ATATTTTACTGAGGGCTACTGACGGTTACTGTACTTTTACTTTTGTTTTTTGACAAACTTTATGTCATACATTGTATATTGTAATAGATAAATAGATATACTAGACATAGCAGTAGGTATACACATTTTACTTGCTATTCTTTGATGCCGTAATAGTTATACCAACAACAACATAGTCAATTATCTTATGACCATCGTATTACGGAACGTTTGAGTCATGAACATAAAGTATATGACAATATACTTTGTAGGATTGTCAACTGATGGTAGATACGATTACAGAGGTAGCGTAAAAGTAATTAATTAGTAAATTGAATCTCTGTTTTCTTACGGTACATTCCCTAAATGAATCTATTCTTGTCTTTGGGAGTACGGTATGACCTTTTACTTCATTTGTCTTACAGTATGTCTTGTAATAAAAAATTATTTTTAAGTTTTAAAACTTTTATTTATTATAATTAGGCGTTATAACTATATTTTGTCATTATTCACTTAACTTTATGATTAAAGTGGCAATAAAGTTAGGATATACGGTAATGTACTGTAGGCTTGATTTAGGTTTCAGCTGTGGAGATTAGAGTTATATTATTACTAAGAAAAGATATTGTAGTGTGAGAACTACCTTTACAGCCCTCCCTTCTCTTAAGACCCTATAAATATACTGTATTACAAGACCATTGAGTATACCGTACTATGTTGAGTACGACCTTTATGTCACCCTGCCCAATCTAATACAAGCTTTGTTTCATATGCGATCAAAAAGTTTCGAGAACTTTTTGCACTAAACGATTCTTTTTTGTCGCTATCACTTTCTTTACAACGCCTGAGGGCGATTTCGGTCAAGGTGCACTTGCTCTCGATTATATTGTAATTGATTAACAGCCGCGGCAGCAAAAGAGCATTTCTGGAAGTGGAAAGAAAGTCCTTGTTGAACATCACTTGATCTTTATATACATAGTCTAATGTGGCAAAATTTTTAAAACTACAGTAGTTAAGACTTGATCATCAAAAAGCTTATGAATTGTGACAATGCGACAACTTTTGACTATAATATTTACAATAGTAACTTCATTTTTTTAATTTAAACTTCTAGAAGAATGCCGAGAGTAAGTCCTTTCAGGTTTTGCAAGATCTTTTATTTTAACGTAAGCCCCTTAGGGCGCTGAAGCTTTAAGTTGATGCACGTCATAACATTACTGTAGAGCTAACATAAGACTAGATTAAAGTATCGGCAAAAGATGGAAGACTACCGTAATGTGAGTGGGTGCATTGCGTAGATCCATACATGAGCTTTAGCCAATACGTGACAACAAAAACAAAAAAAACCGTATTTTAGGCTTTCCCCTAATTTAAAGTTTGTTTTAGAAGATTGGTTAAGGTTTAGAAGTATCTAGCTAAAAGAAAACATTTCGGGAGAAGAATAGTCAGGCTTTCAAGCAAAGCTGGGCTAATTCTCTGGCTTAGGCAATGGCTAGTATATCTTGAGGTCAAACATAGGTTAGGCTAAGCGTTAACATAATGCAGTATCGCAACATAGAAAAATAAATAAAAAAAGGGCCTAAACTATCGTGTAAGCCGAACCTAAGCAAAAATCAAGAAGGTTTTGACCTAAAAAGAAACGCAGAGTTAACCTAGGCTTGTAAATAAGAACAGTAACTAAGATGCAGTATCTCGTTATTAACTGTGTGCTTAAAGAAAGCACCAATATTTCAAAGGCGTAATCCCAACAGTCTTTTTTAAAGTCCCACAGTTTCAAAGTGAAATCAATCTAATATTACTTTTCGGAAAATTAAAAATTTTAAAATTATTTTTTAAAACCTCTTCCAACTTATAAGTTAGATGATACTAACCCCCAAGCCTACAACTCTCAAAAACTGCTGCGCTCCTAAAATTCGTAAAATCTGATCCAGACGTAAGTGACACGCCCGTCATGTAAGCCGTTGATAAAGTGGGTGCAGTAATCAGCGCGACGTTTTCCCAGACATTCTACATTCATATACGTCGATGAATCAAGTCACAAAGTTTCATCAATATTATTTTTGACGACTTTTTTCGATCAAACCTTATTTATGGTTCGGTCGGCGGGGCTGAAGCTGCCTTACTTCTCACGTTGCCGGGCGTTGTAACCGGCGTTTTGTAATCGCGCGCTGTCAAGCAATCGGTTGATTTTGATTTTTGGACGATATTACAGGTACAGAGAGAGGAGTCATGGTTATATTGTGGTAGCTTGATAAAAGTGATAGTTTTTCTGATTTTTAGCCTACTTTTTGATTTAGCTACTATAATATAACGCCACAAAAGTCTTTTCGCTTTTTAACGTAGAAACTAATATAATTCGACGACAAAACTTTTTTATACTTTCTTCCTTTACTATATATCATCCTTGTATATTATGCTGACATATCAACATTACTGATCATACTTCCTCAACCAATCTTTGCAAGATCTATTTATACCCAAATTTTACAACCTAAACACATCGGTTACTGTAGCTCGGTGCAGATTAGTATCACTGTGATTAAAAATGCCTCTCCTACCTTGTCTTGATGTTCTTTGAATATTCGCGTTTACAACCCGGTATTTACATCATTTAGAGGTCTTCCTGAGACAATCGAGCCGTTGAGCCGTTTACTATGACATTTTATGTTGTCATCTAGCACTAATCTTACAGATAAAAATGATTTCGGTTTCAGATACCTTTTGACTTGTTTTGGTCATACCTTTGTTTTTTGGTATGACACTTTGTTGCAATTCATTCGAAATCGAAATTTAGGCTTTATGTTATCTACCTTAACATACTTTTTCTAACTTTATGTACTAACTGCGGTCTAATGTTATCTAAAAGCTTAACTTATACTGTCTTTTAAGGCGTATTATTATCTTCCAAACCACGATATTCTCTTCAAGATCACAATACAACCTCCTCCACTGTCTAATTCCTTCATTTTCTGTTCATCAACATCAAAACGAAAGCATTATTCATGCTAATATGAATGTAATTTCATTTAACCTTAAGAAATAGTATCTCTCTCATCTGAAGGTGCTCTCTGCTCGTGCTCTCTCCACCTGCACCATCCCCAACAACCCAAAATAGTTGAGTAAAGCGGCTTTACATTGGGGACCTTCACCATGTAAAGGAATTGTAAAACCGTTACATTTCAATTATTAATTTTACATCGTTGGCTTGCACTTAAATCTACATTGTTTTGTAAGAGCGTTAGCCGGGGTTACTGTAACCGGAAAGCAAGTTACGATCGTGTTAGGGAAGGGCGGGGCGAGGATGATAATATTGTGATACATTTGGTAACATTGTCATTGTTTCCTATTGTTACATGAGGTTATTTGTTGTATGCCTTATTTACTAGATAGAATATGACAGCTTGCATATGGCTTAACATATTCAGAGATTGATTAGTAGTTTAGACGGAGGAAGGGTTCATTTATGGTACATTAGGGTCTTGATGACAAAGGACATCGTATAAACGAAAGATTATTTAAAATAACATCCCCGGGTTTATTTTACGATCCTTAGATTCAAAATTACAACTGACTACAGATATTAAACACTCTGGTCATAAAACATAGTCTTCAAAGATGCACTTTATACGCTCTTATATATACTAATCGGTCAAAAAATCACTATAACACCCTTCAACCTACTGACCCAATCGAGTATTCCTGTTTTTAACCAACACTATTACTGTTAATGTCCAAAACACACATCCGTGAGTGTTAATGTCAAAAATAGCTGACCATGTTTATTAAACGTGAATGTCGCGACAGATTTGTCTCTAAACCTTATAGAGCTCACAATAATCGCAATTTAATCTGGAAACTGACCATGTTGGTAAAACAAAGCCCAGATATTAGTGTGGCCAAGGTTTTAACACTATATTTTGCGATAAAACATCAGAAATCGTCATTTTAAATGATTTAGATGATATTGTAGTAGGTTGAGATGAGCGTTTTAACTAATAACAGTGCAACAGCACATTAGTTTAGTCAAAAATCTTTTATAAAAGTCGTTTTTGACTGAATTTTATCATAAAAATACTTTTTACATTACTTTGTCCATGTTTTATTAAAATTTTGTTTTTCTATTCACTTTATGACCCAACATTCATTATTACCTAATTTCATACCAAGTTTGAATCGTTCTCCCACTTTTGACCAACCTATGACAACAAATTGCCCTTATTTCTAATCTTACACCTAATCCAATAGCGTTTCATTTGTTTTTCTTTTCAATTTGAAAGTTTCCGCCTGTCCGTCTCTGCCCATCTCTGCGTTCGCCGTGCTCTCTCGCCAGTTACGGGTCGAGAAAGTTATCATCGACGAAACTGATAAGCGATTGAAAATACCAGAAAAAAGGTCAAAAATCGTAATTTTTCTACCGCAAACACAACTATTTTGAAGAACGGTTATTAATAGGCTTTTTACTGCGATATTACTCTCGATTACTTTGTTACCAGGGCAGTTACAACTGCTATATATTGAATTGAAGCTTTTTTTAGCTGGGTTTTGTGATTCCCATGCCGTTGAGAAAGTTTATCAATCGCTGTCTATCAGTTTTCATATTCGAACAAATATTTACGCGCTTCCATTTTTGATAACATACCCATTTTGGAGATAAATTACCCAGTTTTCTGATCGTTTTTGTAAAGTTCTTGCCTTTTTAGACAGCTCCGTCTATGGTATTTTGTGGTAAACTAAGATTTTTTGTGAATTCTCACGAATTAACTTATTTTTGGCCTTTTTCTTATTGTTAGACAAGTTACTCATTTCAACAAATATTTTTTAATTTTAACCAAAATTACTGTTTACTAACGGTCCTTGAGTCTTTATCGCATAATAAGACTTCTAAAATTTACCCGTGTTTTACCTTTAAAAACTGTCATTTTCCGTGATATTGCAGTTTCTTCAATGTTACACTTACGTCTTTCAGGTTTCAGGTGGCATGGTAATCAAGCAAAGACGGAAAAATTGATTGCACTGTAAGAATGAGCAATCAGAGAACTGGAACAGCCACATTCCAACAAGATATTTACGAATTTGTAAGTTTTGTCTTGTATTTTTCGTTTTTAGGTAATAAGTTTGACAAGATTTTGTTTTGGAGAAACTTGACTTTTTCATCAATATGGGGTCAAGTCTTTTGCTGAAATAGACTGTCTTTATATTTTGGATAAGTAGCTACTAGTAATTTAAAATTATTTGAACAGTACGTAAATATGTTTGTAAAATAAAAATATATTATAATGGATAATTATGGTAAACATTATAATTTAAAATTTCAATTTTGCGCCGTTTTTAATACCTAAACTTGAAGCTTTAAGCTAAAACAGTGTATAAAACCTGTATTCTTGTTTCAGTTGTGTGTGTTTCATCGTATTCGGAAATTGGCCCCAAAAGAAGCCACATCCCCAGCCAACCAGCACTCGAGCGATGAGAAGGTGAACAATGAACAACGAGGTCAGCAGCTCAACCGATCGTTGTACAAGATCTTGAATGAGATCGAAGGACGGATCGTGATCTTACCATCATCAGCTGAAGCACCAACGGCCGACTACTTTGATGAATGGGCTTTCTTGACCTGGACCTTGTTGTCTATCATCAACAGACTGGAAAAGGAATCAGAAGAGTTGTCAACGTATTTGGATTATGGTGGAAAGCACTTTCAGGTATATTTTAATATTATTTCTGGGGACCTTTACTTTTTCTTTGTTATTTTTTGCTGACTTGTCTTAAGAGAACATTAATATTCTTTTAAAACTCTATTTATGTTTTAGGAGAAGATCCACGCAGCTCTGGTTGACTTGGTCAACAAAGCTCAACGAATGCAACCTCCCGTTGGGGTTTCTAAAGCAGATAGCAATTTTGATAGGTTTTACCAAGCATACGTGTCGTCCTTGATATCTTTGCATGACCTATACACGATGTGTCAAGAGAAGTATGTGACGCCGGAGTTTGAAGCACAGATAACATTGTTCAAGGACCAGCTGACGAATTGTTTCCAATTACAACGAGAATTCTGTAACGCGGTAAGTGGCGAAAGTTTGGTAGATTAAAATATTTTTTGATGTTAGTATTAGTTATCTTGTTAATTAGGGTTTTTTTTGTAATAATCAGGACTGTTTATAATATTTTATGTGTTTTTTACTGTTTAAAGACAATAAAAAGGTTGTATAGTGTGTATTTGATATTAAAATTGATGCTTTTAGCACGGATATTACGTTTGGAACCAACTAAGGACCACCCAGATCCAGAAGATGACCAGATTTGGCTTTAATAACAAAGGGTTCTTGAGTGTAGCTATGTCGTTTTACAGCCACATGTTGTACAATCTTGGTGTGCTTGCCGCAAGGTTACAAGTTACTCTGGTAAGTTTTTATATTTAATTTAACATTGTTTTAACGCACTTGTCAGATTCTAAAATATTTTTAAATTTTAATTATTAAAGTTTTTAAAGCGAATATTAATAACGTATTTTAGGGATTCTGTTACGGAGCCAGAGCAGCAAAAGGAGTTGCGAAACCAGAACTGATAGCACCGCTGTTAAAAATGGTGTACAACATGGTGGAGATGTTACTCAGCGACTCGATAATTTGTATAGAACCGAGTCAAAATGCCATTTTGGTGACTAACAACCTGTTTCCTACCAAGATTGCTTCACTGTGTAGATGCACTTTGTTCAAGGAGTACTCGCTTCAAATTGTGAGCGAGGAAGGTAAGTTTGGTGATTTTTTAAAAATTGCCATTTTTACTTTGTAGTGACCTATAATGTTTCAAATTTTGTAATTTTTTTAGTTACTTTACTTAAATTTTACGATATTTTCAGTAGCTCAACAGATTCAACAAGAAATGCGACATCGAAAAACCTTTGATCCACCAGTAGCCATTCGTCAAACCCCGTCGGCCGCACTTCTGGCTATGAAGCCTTCAAGCGGTGTGAAAAGAAACAACGCTACAGCATCAGACGGCGGTGGCAACACAGCTCACAAGAAGAGCGATGTCAACTCGAAAGAGTGGATTTCAATTCTACCTTCTTTCGACCCAGAGTACCAGTCCTGGATTGCCACCTACCCCCATTTACTGTGCACGACGCGACAGAAAGACGCGCTACTGGACTCCCGATCTGCTGGTCAGACTGGGAAGCGGCCGTTGTTCTATTTCCATGTTAAGGCCGAAATGTTCAGTTTCACCGGAGGCATTCAAACCGCCCACACACTGTCACTACCGTTTGCCATTGCTACACGAAGGAATCAGGACTGCCAGGTGCAGCGGATGATGAGCTCGTACACGGCAACATGCTTTTGGATGTACGGCACGGCCGCGTTGGATGGGTTACTGCTACAGTGGTACGATAACACGATCGATTGGAAGACCTTCAGAGATTTGTACGCACAGTACTTTTCGATGAATGCTGAGGTTAATAGAAGTCTCACGGACGATGATTTCGTGATATTAAAGAACAAGATGCACTGTTCCGAGTGCAATGAAGGTATGTTTTGGCTTTGCTTCTTTAAGATATTGTAAAATATTATAGTAGGTACTTCTTACAGTTTTGATTTGAAGCGTTATAAAAGCTTAAATAAATGAGTAAAAACAATTATTTTTCAATTTTTGCAGGTAACAGTCCTTACAACGCTTTCGAAGTGCCTCCAATAGCCTTCCGCAACGTTTTATGTCCCCATCTCCATTATACAGTAGGCAAAACGGATGTCAAATTCAGTGTTTGGAGAGGAATGTTAGAGTTGTTGCATCTGTTCAGTGATCAACGAACCGAAATCAAGTCATTGTGGGAGGCTGGACTTCTCAGCGGCTTCATGGAGCGACAAAAGATTGCCTTACAACTGTCACGGATCGATTCTGGACTGATAATGTATCTGTCGTTTGTGATGGGTGGATGTGTATGTTTCGCTGTGAAATCTGGAGCCGAGATTCTGCATTTGGAGCCATTGGATCTGAAGAAGTTACAGGTAAGACTATATTATGATTGGTTGATCTTTTATCGCCGTTTTTTCTAAAAATGTGATGTGTTTTGATTGTTTTAACTTAACGTTTAACCTTTAGGCAAAGTCTCTTCACGAGTACCTTCGTGACATCCTAATTGCCGAAAAGGTTGAGTACATGTACACAGCAAATCAAGGGTGGATGTCGGTATCAGATGCCATGAAAGAGTGCCCCAAGTCTTCGGATCTTTTCTCCCAGGCTCAGCCGACTCAACGTGAAGTCACATCGAATCTTATTCACACCGAGGGCATCGAGGTCGAGGAAACCCAATGGTAAGTTGTCTTGAGTTTACTTTGTGTATATCGATGTGGCAGAAAGGTTTAATGGATTATTTTAAAGTAGTGATCTTTGTTAACATTAACTAGCCTGTTTTAAAGTATTATTCTTCATATTATTGTCTTCATATTAATTGGATGACATATTGTGTGATATTGTTATGATCTTTCAGTTTCACACCAATGAGAGTGGCCGTGGTAACCTGTAAGCCGACTTCGGACAATTACAAATTTGAACATGTAAGTCTTTTTAAATGATTACTTTTTTGTCATTTGATAAATGCTTTGATTACGTTTATGTTTTGGTATAAAGTAGGTAAACATATGGATTTAACAGTTGGATTCTGATAGTACAAGAGTTGTTTTTGTTGAAAAAATATGACAAAAGTTATTATAAACTAGTCTCTTAAGTTTTACGTTGTCTTTTCTGTTAGTACATACAATTATATAATAGAAATTGCAGGAAATACCGTCCCAGAGCCATGGAGAAGAGTTCGAAATAGCGCTGGAAAAGCTGATGAACAAGTTTGCCAAGACCAGAATCGATGTGATCGATATTCTGAATCGAAAATCCGTATCGGCCGCCGCTTCAGTCTCATCGTCGATCCATCCCCCGGTCTCGACTTTCGGACCTTCTGGCCAGTTGGCTCCATTCAGTAGCCATTCAAGCCCATTCCATCCATATCACTACAATGATATCCCGCAACAAAGAGTGGCACGATATCAGAATGAGGATAAGTTCTGGTCACCGTCCTTGGCCGTTCAATGGTCAGGACACAACGAACCTGACACGACTTACAATGCTGGAGTCGACATCATGACCCTGATGCCACCTGCTGTCGACTCTACTCTCAAGTATCAATAGAAAACCGGTAATTTCTGTAATATTATGGTTGTTCACGTCTTTTTAAGATTTCTACTTTGTTCTTAAGCTTTTTATTTCAAGATGTTTAGTATGTTCTAACCTGATTTTACAATTTTCAGAGACTAATAGTACTTTTGATATGTTTTAAAAGCATTTTCGAGTTACAATTTAAATGCTTTTTAATATTTTGAGTCTTACTTTTTATCAATTTACAGTTTAAATACTGTCTAAAGTTCACAAATCAAGCCTATGCTGTTTAAGGCTTCGTTTATGCCATATGAATTGTTTTGGTCTACTACAATATAATCTGATACACTATTGTAGCCTAAGACATGTTCCACTGTGCCCCAGTGTTTGTTGTATGCAATGATATTACTTTTCTTTCTAATATTACACACGATTTTTCTATCCTAATAATTATACATGATCCTTTCTTTTCAATATTATAGTTTCTTTCTAATATTATACACGATCCTTTCTAATATTGCACATGTTTGTATATCTAAATGTTTGTAAACCAAGTTTGCTCACTTACCGTAACCCTAATAGTTTGTAAAGTTTTATTTTGTGTCTTAATTAGTAATATATGTGTTACCCGCTCACTGCAATCTCAAGTTTTTCGATCCCTAAAGTATTATATCAAATTTCTATTAGCATTTCATTCCCTAACATCGTCGTATCCTTAATACTACATTACAGCTAGATTGTTTTTGTTGTTGAATTTACTAATAAATAACTTTATGACTTGATTACTCTATATTAAACAACTTATATTGTTTTATTGTTAAAATGTGTTACAGTCCTCTTGGGTGTTACAGTAACCGCCATTACCGTAACATTCATCCGGCTCGGCTCTGGCGGAGATTTTCCCATGACCTTGTTCCTCCACCAACGAACTTGTCGACGAAATTGCTCGTTGAAGTAGTAGTTGATGAAGATGTGGACCAATGAAATGAAGCCAGTGGTAGAGTAAGTTAAGGATACTGTAATATCGTTCGGAGCAAAGAACTGCCATTTCGCCCCGAGCATTACAAACCCCGGAATGAAGACTAACACAATGTCCATGGCTGTCATGATCATGAACACTTTGAGCTGTTTGTCTGCCTTGTTGTTGTTGCTCGACATTACTGTCTTCTCTTGCTCTTTTTTCCTTTTCTGAAGGTTTTTAGGTAACAATCGATTGAAGCACAATACCAGAATGGCAGGGATCAAAATTTTGAATTTTAATGGATAATGTTGGATAAAAACTTTGGTTTGAAAATATCATTTTATGAAAAAAAAATAATTTTCAATCAAAAATTGCAAACCATACCTGACTAAAGTGGTATATCGTGTAGAGTGAGACAAAGCTGACCATATAAGCCATAACAATGAATAAAAAGTGAAAAGTACTGTAAAACCCTGCAGTGGAACTGATAATGGCACAATGTTTATCTGAGTTAATTCTGGCGTTATGCCATGATGACAGTGCTGCTGTTAGTATGAATACCTGCAAAAATAAAAAAAATTTAAAGTTTTAAACTGAATTTCCAATTCGAAAAATAAATAATTTTTAAGCCTTTAGGCCATATAATTATAAAATTTAACTTAATTTTAAAGTTTTAAGTAGTTTAAAAAATATTTACCATTTCAGTCCCAAAAACGACCATAATCCAATAAGGCTTGAAGTCAGCGATGAATATCTTATTGTACAACGACGCCTTCTCCACCGCCACGACCCGCTCGAAGCTCTGTAACATCGTCATCAACGCGGGTATTTCGGTGCCCATTATGAGGAAGACGGGCCAATACTTGTGGAAGAAACACTCGTGCACCGAAATGGGCTGACCATAATCTCCTTGCAGGGCGTGGGTCCCTCGGCCAATCCCTGTCAGCACGTACGACAAGCCGTTTATCATCTCGCCGAAATCCAGCGCAATCAGGAAGATGTGGTTGGTACGGAGCTCACGGTGAGTGAGGAACATCATCATGTTCAACAGGTTCGCTGTTACTGCTACCGTGCCTGAAACATTAGAATAGAAGGGAGGCAGACACCTTTGGGGTTAAACTTCAATAGAAGCTGGGGTACCTATTATACATGACGTTGTTTTTGAATATTGTTTTGGTCGAATGACTAATACTTTTAAAAAGTTAATTCAAAAACAATTAAACTCAAGTTTCTAACAATTTTAACAATAATTTAATCAAAAACTACTCAGAACGGCCTTATTTTAACTAGTTTAACTCATGCTTTCGACCATTTCAATTTATTTACTTTAATACTAAATAACCTTAAACTAGAATAAACAACGAAGCATCAGTACTAATTAGCTATTCAAAGACAATAAACAATGTAAAAAGCTGCAAACAAACTTGCAAAATCATGGTAAACGTTAACATACCAAGTGTAACATACAATGAGCACATGAACAAGGTTTTCTGGATGTCGCTGACATTAAACTCCGTCTCCACTGTTGGCATCACTACAATATATTATGTATCTAAGTTTATTTATAAGAAATGTCATATTATATTAATGCAAATTACAGGTTAAATATTCAAATTACAATCCTTACCTCCAAAAACAACAATTACTGATTACCAAGGCATTAAGTTCTCGGTTTGTTTTTCTTTTGTCTGAGATTCCACATGAGAGCAAGGTAATTAGGCAGACATCTCAATCCCGCATACTGTTGTACTGCTATTGTGGTATGTTCATTTATGGGAAAGTAAATCAGAAATTAATTATACATTGCTTTATCCATAGAGGACGTGTCCTTACATCACCGTTTTATTTTATAATATACTGCTTCTAGTACAGATACGACAATATTAAAATGAATTATAGATACTAATCTCCCTCTGTATGCCTGATTTGTGTTAGAAAGTAAATATTAAAAACTTGCAAAAATTATTAAAAATAGAAGTTTAATACAACTTTCTGCTTTAAAAGTTACTAAAAACCACTAGTTAATGATTTGACTATCATTTCATTGACTACAATAGTTCTCAACCAAACCAATACCTAATTATAATACCAAATAACAAACCGCGTAACAGTACAAAAAGCCCAGTACAAAACATAAAAGGGGGTTGTAATTTGTTATTATTTTATTTATTTAATTATACTGTAGCTAACTTACAACACCTATGTCATTTTAATCAATTAATTATAAGACGCAATGTCACTTTTGGCGGGCGAACCAATTTTCGTTAAAAATAATATTTTTTCTGACTTTTTTGCTAAAAAGTACAAAAACTTGTTGTGAATTGGTAAGTTATAAATATTTAAATATAATGTTAATATGATTGTTTTGTATTTTATTCAAGTTATTTTAGCAATCTTGCAGCTAAAACAATGTCTGTTTCAGGAATGTCTCAAGAAAACAAACGGATTGAAGTTTCATTCGAACATGCTCATGACCAATTCTGGTGGACTGTTCAGGACAAGGAAAGTTTGAACAATCGCCAGTATTTCAGACTTTACAATAACAGAGTTCGGGTTTTAAAACAGAAGATACTTGAAACTGCTCGAGAAGTAATAGGTAAGACAACTTTTTGCTTTTTTTTGTTTTTAGGTATTCACAGAGCAGTGTAAATTATAATAAATCTTTTTGTAGATAAAGATGTGTCTTTCACGTCGCTATCAGATGTTAAACCTAACACACCGGTCCTAATCTGTGGAGTAACAATTAAGAAATGCAAAAACATGGTTAGCGTTATGGAAGAATTTAAGAAGCCGCAATGTGAAGATGAGGATGAACTTTGGGAACAGGAAGATGCAGAAGAGGAAGCTGAACTAAATGCCGAGAATCCGTTTGCCAAAGTTACAAGTCTGTGTTGTCCACAAGATTCTGTTGAGTTAGAAGACGATAAACAACGGATTCCGTTGACTGGACCTGAGATTAACAAGGTGGTTTATATTAAAACAATGACGATTTTTTACTGGTTTTGTTAATTTATTCACAACAGTCAGCTTTATTTAAATTATGAATAAAAATAGAATACAAAACGTTGTTTTCAGGATCACTACGTGACAGGTAACGTAATGGGGTTTTTCGGATTTAAAAATAACACTGAGGACTTTGTTGTGGAAAAAGTGATAAGGCCAAAGTTGCCAGAACAGAAGCCATGGCCGAAGAAAGTCAAGGACTCGTAAGTTTGTCTAATACCTTAAAATAGCTTTCGGTAACATCACAAAGATGTTCTTAAGAATTTGATGATTTTGCAAATATTTACTTTTTTAATTGCAATATAAGCGATATTATACTTTAACTATAGTTTTAAGGTACATAATGTTCATATCAGGCTTTAATTTAAACGCCCAGATATCGAAAAACGAGTGGAAGATGGCTGCTTTTGCCCAGTTATCTGAATTCTTACAAGGAAATTCCTTGGACATGAAGCAATGTGATTTGGCCCAAAAGGTTGCAAGAGTACTATTTGTTGGTGACACCCTGAGGCTATCTAGCCAGGTAATATTTTTTTGTTTTTTATTTATATAACAGTTTCTTGCGGTTACAAATCTTCAGAATACTTTTTTTAGGATTACACGAGATACACGGTTACGAGGATAGGACAGAAGCAAAGCTTTGAACCTCATGGGTTGGAACAGTTGGATCGGTTAATGGAAGAAATGACAGTAAGTTCGATCGTAGTGTATTTTTACGATTTTGTTAACTAAATTATGTATGTTCTATATGCTTTTTTTAATCTTTTTATGTTTTAAAGTTTGTATCATTAGGTTTTAGAAATGCCTGTTACTCAAGTGATAGCAATTTTATCTTTTTACTGTAACTGTCGTTTGTTTTAGGTTACATGTCCAGTCACACTGATGCCGGGGCTAAATGACATTTGCTCCGGGTTACTACCTCAACAACCAATGTTAAGGAAGGCGTTTTTGAGGAATAATAAACATTCAGAAGCCAACTTCAACTTGGTCACGAATCCGTATGGCTTCGTCTATGATGGTGTCAAGTTTTTGGGAATGTCAGGTAACAATCGTTTTATATCATAATGTAAAATACTTTGATTTGTTGTATGTTATTATATAAATCCATGTTGTACGTTTATAGGCCAGAATATGGATGATATGTTACGATACACTCAAGGTCGATCAGTGATTGAGTTGATGACGGATCTTTTGGAACATTCTCATATTTGTCCAACATGTCCAAGCACAGCAGATGGATATCCATATTTGAATAGAGATCCACTGTTGATCACCGAGATACCTCATGTTTTCTTTGTGGGAAACCAAGATAAATTTGCATCAGAGATGGTCACCTTATCCAACGGAGCCAAAGTTCAAATATTGGTACTGCCTAGGTTCAGTCAGACACATGAGGTAGGTTTTTACAGCAAGATTCCTTGTTGCAGCTTTGAACAGAAAACTTATTTTGTTTTTAGGTGCACTTGTTTAATCCGAAAACGTTAGAAACCGTGCCATTTGAAGTGTTTGTCGACGAAGATCTGATAGAAAAGACTCACTTTTACGCAAATTCACAGAGCGAAGAGATGGAAGTGGATTAAGATAGATTGTAAACTGTTCATATGTTGACTAAATTACTATTATCAGCCTTTTATTAAAGAAATAAGACCTCTACGGGCTATTGTAAACTTCTTTGCCAAATTATGTGTCGAATACTGTGTTTTATACTTTATTTTCATTTTTGTGTACGTTTAATAGTATAGAACTAACTTTAATGTACTTTTAATGAGATCATACTATTTACCAGAATAATCGAATATTATTATACGATTTTTATTGTCTAAACAATTTATTATCTACAATATAAAGCTGAAAGATTGTAAACGAAGGCAGTCGGTAGTTAAGGTTCAAAATTAGATATCACGATTGTTACAGTAACCTGTGAAACGCTAAACACTGTCATGATAATACAAGAATTGTACAAGAATGAGATTCAGGAGAGAAAGACCAAATTTACAGAAATTTCAGTAGCGACAGTCCACGAACTGTAGGATACGACCGAGCACTGTCCATGTGTACTGACTTCCACCAACATTGGTGCACATGGCCAGCAGGCTGGGCGAGGATTGGATTGACGAGCGGGACTAAAGGATCGTTACGTTTATATAATTTACGAAATTTTAAAAGTATTATGTTAAAGTTACGAACTTTTTGAAGTATTAGATTGTTCAGATAATTCTGTGCGTCCGAACGCCGAAAAAGTGCTTTGAAGAGAGCACAGAATTATTTGAACAATCTACTGTTACTATATTTTTTTGTTTTCTGGGGTTACTGCATATTGTTTTGCAGACGTTTCTAGTTTCAAATCGTCACTATAACAACAAAGTTTGGCATTTTTGTAAAGTAGAGCTGGCTGTTATTTAAAAGGTTCATTTTTGGTCTTATGTCAGTTTTAAAACTACAACATTTAACAGAAATAAGCGGTAAGCCTGAACTTTAGTCTTTTAAACAATACTAACAAACACTTACCTGATCAAAGCCTTCTACTGTAGCCGGCTGTCCGTTTGCCGTACATGTAATGGCTACTGTAGCAGCTTGGGCATGTGTGTTTCCAAATGCGACGTCAGAGTAATCAAACCTGTAAAAGTAATGTGTGATAACATACGCAAAAGCAAAACATATTACTATTATCTGTTATCATATCACGATATGAACGGTGCGAACATACCTGTACTGATCCGATTGATCGACCGCATTAACTGGGTACAGGATCAAGTCTGAGCATCGAGCGTTCACATGTGCTGAAATATGTTTTAATGTATTGGCTATAGCATTGTCCAGCTTGATTATTACCTATACTCCGTTATATTTAATATATTATTTCTAAATTCGTTTCAAAAACCTCATTTTACAATTTCAAACTTCGAAAACCGAACGATATTTGATTATCGAGGTGACGTGAGTTGTGAGAGATGAGTGAAATCGGGGTAATTTTCTCCTCAGGCATTTTCGCCTCGCTTTTTCAATTTTAAATCCAGTTTTTGCGAGCGAAATCAAGGTCAAAGACGCAGTAGACAGTCAAGTACGCACCAGAATACTGGTATTTCAGTAAGAAATGCAACATTTTACCAAATTTTAAGGTTTTGCATAATTTTCGTAGTAATATTTAAAAAAAGATGACGACTTAGACTTACCATCACAATACTGTGAACTATTTTTTAAAATAGTTGTGATAAGATAAGCGAAACATACCTGGATCCTGGCTAGAAATAAAGCCGCCAACTCCACCTCCAGGTGTTGGTGGACATGTATGGATCAACGGCACTGTTACCACGAGTGTGACCAGTAAAAGGTTTGGGATCTTGAGAAACATCAGTCGATCCATATACGAAACAGACTGAAAGTACTACGTTAAATGGCACAAAGACAAAATTTTATAGTTTTAACGAGTTCGGCACCGGCACGACTTATTTGATATGAAAAGATAAAGTTTGTTTGGACGTGACCTCGCGAGAATTCACGAAAATTTTGTAAACATAAAATAAGATTTCCGATGATAAAGTTCTATAAAACAAGACTAATATCAAAGTTGAGGCATCCACCCCAAATAAAGCCTTTTAAGCATTGAACCAAAATTGAAAACGTTTCGAAGAGTTCAACGAGCTACAAAAGGGTTTGGTTGAAGCCGCGCAGTACGTCAAATGCTGATGAATCGAAGCCGACGGCTTGCGGAGCAATTTTCTCATCTCCTTCTTCTTTTCATACAAATCTATTATTATTAATAATAGAGCTGCCGTCGAAAAATGGTGCTTCTGGAAAGGTTAGTTTCGCGCTCCAAAATTCAAGGTTGCAAAAAGTTGAAAAAGTAACACCTGGGGGCGTGGAGGAAGGTAAAAGTGAAGTAGTTAGGTTTGTGGTATTGAAAATGGTCTAAAATCGTCAACTTTTTCATAAATTTATAGTTTCTTAAGTATGGCATTCATAATATAGTTTATTGATAACATTTTCATACTCGCAATTTTTTGCCTGCAAGCTAGGAATTGAGTTTGTTTAATCAAACAAGGCCATACAGTAATCATGGACTATATCAGAAGCTCCCAGACGTAAAACTTTTAAGCTAAAAGCCAACTGTTAGCCCTAGACCCAAAAACTATATATAGCTCAAAGCCAAGAACACGGTCACTTAATCGTATTGTTTTATGATGTTTCGACTGACCACTAGTAGCATCTTTTGCTAGGAAACCGACTGTAAAGATTCTCGCAAAAACAACTCTGAAACAATCCGGGAACTGCGGTCGCTGTGGAGATTGGCACAACGACAAAATGCAGGCCAAAAATTGTAAAAATGAGGAAAAAGATATTATAATAAACAAGTTTGTATTGTATTGGCTAGGAATATACTGGTATTCATTATTTTTAATAGTTTTTTTTAATTAAAGTGATTTTAAAATTAAAGTGAGTAAAGTAATGTAAAAAATCAAAATCTTCATCAAAAAAGTAAAGTTTTAAAAAAAGAGTCAAAAAATTAAAAAAAAACTTTTAAAAACATCTTAAAATACCGCAAAATTGCCCAGTTACACAGAAAATAAAGATTTTATAAAGTTGTCAATTTTAATGCACAACTCACAAAATTTTGGAAAAGTTCGAAAGGGAGAAAATCGGAATTTAGCTTGACAAATTAGCTCACGCATCAAAGCGTACTATAACAATAACTGAATAGAAGATCAAGAGCGGCAGAAGCCTCCACCGGATCCGGAAAGGATTTTTGTGTTGTGTTTGAAAAGAACAGTTATTGTAGTACAAAAGGTACAAATCTAAACCTGTATGGTGCTTTATATAGTAACTTGAGCTGAGTGTTGATCAAAAATATCACGAAAATCTAGTTTTTAAAGAGGACTATTGAATATATAAGGGTGAAAAATTTCTGCCTTCAGTATACAAAGTTGTAGATAAAAATTGCAAATTCTATCTTGCACCTCTGTCAGAAGGGATTTGAATTCTTTATCTCAACCCCTATCCCCACAATACAATCCTAAAACAACAATACTATCCAGTACCAATAAAACCCTAACAACAACATCGCAATGTAAAAACATAAAACACAAACATGCAATATTCGCAATAACACACTCGTTTTGACAGTAATATAGAAATGAGTAAGTTATGGGTGGCGAATTAGGCGTGAAAAAGTGATTCCGTCCACCGTGCCGAATCAACTGGAACGAGACGTACGCTCATGCAACGGATATTGTGAAAGCCGCTTCATTGAACGTGTTGCGCAGGTGAGAAGTATATAACGTCATTAAATGTCAAAACTCACTGTTTCAGCGAAAGCTTGGGGTATATCTATTTGAAATAAAGACTCGAATCAAACAGTTAAAATACGCAATTGACCATAAAGAAAAGACATTAAGATCAGGCCTTCAATATACGCAAATGAAAAACTTTGCATACTGTATAGTTTAAAAACCACTCCTAGATTGAAACAAAGCTAAAGACATCTATACATGCAAGTACAATGCCCGGCTCGAAGTTTTTACAAATTTTAGAATGATAGAAACGCAGCTCAAGGCTAATATAGTATTGTGCTGACAACCCCTCAATTATAATACCATAACTCTCGAAATCCGAATAGCCAACCGGCTTCCGAGTGGACTTTGGAATGATTGCGCCATTCGATTGTCCGGGAAACATAAATTGCAATTTCCTGCCATTTATTCACAGTCAACAGACTGTAAACGGAACAATAGTGGACGCACAAAACAGGTTGGTACTTTTATTATCACAGTTGCATGTTTATTCTTTAATAACACCAATTTAGACAGTTAAAAGACAAAATACTATCGATAGACATAATAGTACCATAATGCTGAACATTTGCATGTTTTATCTGATTTGTCACGTTTTCAAGTTAACTACCAATCCAGTTGAAATCATATTTAGTTCAAGCTGATTTTCTATTTGATTATCGAAAGAATGTATTGCGTAGTGCATGAAATGTCAGAGTCCTTCTTGTAAAAAGAGAGTTTAGTCTGTTTATATTGCCATTCGAAACCTTACTCTGTGTCATCGCGCTGTGTCATGAAAATTTTTGTTGATCGTTTGGAGGCATGGGTAAGTTTTTCATATTATTCTAAACTAGTCTTTAATTGGTGAAAACGTACGTATATTATACAAGCAATACTGACATACTAAAACATAGTTGTACATTCAGTGGAGCAAGTAATGTAGCTCATAGTAATCCTTATGCTTTAAAAACCAAATCTCAACTCAATTTTATCGTATTAGCCACACAAAAAGTCAGAAGAATTGAGATTTCAGATGTGGTACCGCATAATAGAGCATGTAACAGGAATGGAGGATACTTGTTCTTTGGCTATGGTAAACAAATATTTTTACAAACTTGTCAAGATGGGCTTCAAAAAATTATGTTCCGACCATGCGGCGTATCGTCTTGAAGGCGCGACCTGGGCATCTGCCTTCTCGGAGTAGGTTTGTTTTACAAATACTAAAAATCGTATTTTGATATAGAACTAACTGCACTTATTGTGTTGTTGTATATCAAAAGAATACTTGTAACTGACCACATCAACAACACATCACATGATTTATCATGATTTTAGCTTTGGAGTCCGAGGAATTCTTCCAAAAAAACTCTGTTTGTTGTGCGTATACAGACAAGATAGCTTTAACCATTAGAGACGGTTATGTTTTACTGACCAATATTGACTTCGGCCTCAAGGAGTTTACTGTACTTGACTTTAGAGCATATGGAAAGCAGGTTAAGCAAGCCAATATAATCAATCGAGGAGCCGAGCTTCTCGTTCATATTAACTTTTCAGTAATAGTATACGACTTGCATAATATGAAAATTAAATACCCTATTTATCCGAAGCACAGACAGGTTCTACTTGAATATCAAACCTCTAGTTGTTGTACCATGAATGATTTTTAAACAAAACGAATGTACAAAATTTACGCTGATAATCCATTAAGATCAATAATCTACACCAACAAATACGGCATGTCTAGATATACAGGGTGTTTCACGAAATTCCGTTGTCAGAAATAATTTATATCTTTGCAACTACGCATCCTGCAATTGTGATTTTTAGCGCAGTTGCAGTCCAGACCTGTGCGTTTTTTTGTGCAAATTTTGGCATTTTAAAGTTGCACTTTAAGGTCGTTATGAATTTTTAAAAATCAGCATTTTCACCGAAATGACAGATATTTTTGGTTGGGAATTGGTTCTTTTCAAATTTTACATTTTCTTCAATTTGTTTGAAAAATTCGGGGTTTCAAATGATTGCGAAGGTTTGGCGGAGCCCCGGCGGACGGCTTAAAATATCGGCGGAGGTCAGAACTTTCTTTAAACTAGTCATATAGACATGAAACAAAAAACTAATGTTATTTAAATATTTATTAAACTAACTATTAACCCTAATTTCAACACAATTTCCGTTACTTTGGATACATTTGCGTAACTTTGGAACAGCCAAGCCTAAGCTCACTAAGCCTACTAAACCTAGTCCTACTAAATCTAAGCTTAAGCCTAAGCCCAAGTGTAAGCTCCAGCTTGAACCCTATCCTAAGGTAAGCCTAAGTTTAAACCTAAGCCTAAACTTATGACTAAGCTTAAGGCTAAAGCCGAGACCAAGTTCAAGCCTAAGCCTATTACGCCTAAGCTAACTTTGTCTTATCTTACTAACCTTTCTGCCTTTCTATTCAAAGCCTGCTAAGCCTATGCCTACTAAGACTAAGCCTGAAATCTAAGCCTTCAAAACCTGAGCCTTCTGACTTTGATTCTACTGAGCCTAAGCCTACTAACAAGGAAGGTACCCGACCTGCAACGCTCAGATTTCGTTCAAACTTTTTTATTGAAAGGCCACGTAAATGTAAGATGTTATGCAAAATTCTAAGTTGCGGCTTGCGGCCAGTCTTGAGAAAATCGAGATCGAAAAATCGCGTTTTGAATTTCCCGCCAAATTGGCATTGTGTTTCAAGCTTATAACTTTGCCATTTTTTGACGCTTAATCATTTTTCTTTAATATGCTAGTAAAAAACCTTCAAATGAACCTACATTTTTAAATTTGTAAGTTTAGCTTGGCTGGAAAGTCGAAAAAAGTGCTTGAAACACAATGCCAAATTTGCCAAATTGGCGGGATATTTAACTATTTAAAATTTAAAACTCAAAAGCGCAAGCTAAAGTTTTTCATAGGTACTATTGGTACTACAAAGAATCCGTATAAAAATTTTGAGCTGATTCTGAGAGTTGCAGGTTGGGTACTTTCCCTGTAAGCCTAAGTCAATCAGTCTGCAAAATGAATTTTAAATTTAAGGCGTTAAAATTATAATATTAGTTTTTTATTTCACGTCTATATGACTAGTTTAAAGAAAGTTCTGACCTCCGCCGATATTTTAAGCCGTCCGCCGGGGCTCCGCCAAACCTTCGCAATCATTTGAAACCCCGAATTTTTCAAACAAATTGAAGAAAATGTAAAATTTGAAAAGAACCAATTCCCAACCAAAAATATCTGTCATTTCGGTGAAAATGCTGATTTTTAAAAATTCATAACGACCTTAAAGTGCAACTTTAAAATGCCAAAATTTGCACAAAAAAACGCACAGGTCTGGACTGCAACTGCGCTAAAAATCACAATTGCAGGATGCGTAGTTGCAAAGATATAAATTATTTCTGACAACGGAATTTCGTGAAACACCCTGTATTGTACTAACAAGGAGGGACAAGACTGGAAACTTGTCGTAATTGACAGGGAAACAGATGATATGCAAGAAATATGCGATTGGAGAAAAGTGATGAACACATACGTCATCGAGGAAAACGACTCTGTTGCCCTACTGGGTAAGTTTTTATTGTTACTATCTTTTTTGCAAGCTACCGCTGTAGAAATACTTTGTCTGAGCCGATTTTCACAAAAAAAAACAGTTTTTTGGCTTTGAGTTTAAAAAAGTCTGAAGTGCATGTAGAGGAAACCAAATAATTAAAATTATACGTTGGATCTCGGATATACAGCATTAAAAGGAGAGACTTTGTGTTTCAATCAAATGATAACTGGATGTTTCTCAATTCAAATGCTCTTTTTCTTAAAAACTAGATCTGTAAGCTTTTAAGAAAACCTTTTTATTTAAAGCTAAATTTCTTAATATTTTTGAATATATAGAAATATTAGCCGTTAACACTAATTTACACTTCAAAATCTTACATTTTTTAGTTCTTGGTCTACAACAAACAAATTAAAAATAGTTCCTCGACCAGTAACTTTGAGTCATTGCCAAACTATACTGTTATTGGGTCTCTTCAAAACGGTGTCCCTCAGCGCGCTTCCCTGCGCTTTGAAAAAAGCAATTTTTAAAAACCTTTAACATTTTATAATTTGGATAGCATTAGCTTCCTAATTTAACAAGGGAATGTTACAAACTGCCCATTCGTTTTTTAAAAATGAATGGTACCATGTGAAAGAGCGTAAAAATTTGACTAGAAATCTATTTTCAAAAACTGCTAATTTTGCTTTACAAGCCCGCTAGCGAGCTTTTAAAATCATTGGTGAAAGGGCCTTATAAGTTGTTATCCTTTCTTTTAGATTATTGTATTTTTAAAAACCTTAGTTTTTACTTTTTTTATGCTTTATTAGATGTAAGAAGCCATTATCAACAAAAAAATCTTTTTTGAATATTTAAATTAATTAACTTTTAAATAAAAAATAATACCAATCATTTATTTACCCAAAAAGAGAATCGAACCAGAAGTCCATTGATTGCGCAATCACGGCGCCTTTGACCACTCGACCATTCGAACATATTTACTTCGCCTTTTTGAAAGAAGTCAAAAGAAAGCGGGTTTAAAAAATCCGTTTTAATAGTAAAAATTTTAAAAGCTCGCTAGCTGGCTTGTAAAGCAAAATTAGCAGTTTTTGAAAATAGATTTCTAGTCAACTTTTTACGCTCTTTCACATGGTACCATTCATTTTTAAAAAGCGAATGGGCAGTTTGTAACATTCCCTTGTAAGTCTAATGATACCACGTATATTTCATGAACCCAGTTACAGACAAAATCCGAATGAAAAGCTACACTGCCAAAATACACGAGGATATGTAAGGTCCCCATCAAATAGGGCAGTTATACAAATTGACATTCCCTAAGCAAAGAAAAAAATGTTACGGGTTTCGAAAATGGTTCAGTCATTTATACATTGCAAAGCCAAACATCCCATTAATTAACGCTGAGACTGGAGCCACATGCTATTTAAATTTTTAACCTCAAGAATGATGCTTGCGTTAAAATTTGTTAAAAAAGATACAGCTTCATGATAATTTTCAAAATATAGTCCCAAAACACAATTTAAGAAAAATCCAGTATACGTTACACGGTACCTGAACCGGACGGTCGATCACAATCGAGAAACATTACCTTAATATATCGTCATTGAAATTACTTTAATAACCATTGAAAAACAATAAAGAATAGAATATGTATTTTAGTTTGTCACTGATATTATAATAAGACCATTGAAATAAAAGTTGAGAACTATTAGAGGAATTACAAACATTGAAATGGACCAAAATATATATCTTTAGACGAAGTTAATGTACAATTGCAACGGCCTAAAACGAGGATGTAAGAGACATGCTTCGGGAATATGAAAAAAGTTGTTAGCTATGCAGCCTTAGACAATAATATATAATACAAATAATACCTTGATACAAATCGATTCTGGAGGCGAGTATGACAACATGATATTAATATTCGTTATTTCGCTTTAGTACAAAACTGTCAAAGACACTGCGATGGTGCCTGTTATTTCAAAACATAAATCACATATAAATTTGTCAAAGCAATAGTAAACAAATATTAATTTATAGTATAATATAACTATTAGCAACATATTCGTCGCCCTTTCAAAACCGACACTGATATGAGAGAGACACAAGGAATAACTTAAAGTTGACATAACACCAAGATAAGATTAGCATACCGTACCATACATTCAAAACTTCAGCACCGGTGGTTGATGATCTTGCTTTGTCGGTTCTTCTGAATCCATCGCACTTAACCTTTCATCTAATGTCATCCTCATACTAGCCAGCCGTTTCCTCAAACTCTTCGGACTCCGAAGACCGACGCTTTTGGCTGATCTTAGTGGTGTGTGTATACCGTGACTTAGCTCGTACTCCCTCTTAATCTGATTCATTCTCGCACGATCACCTGGTGAAAGCTCTGTCATGAAATCATCGTCATCATCAATGTTCCTGTTAAAATCCCGAGAAAACCTAGGATCAGGTAATGGAGGGGAAGCTAATGTTTGAGGCGGAGTTCGGTCTGATGAGCACGGTTCATCTTCAGGCCGTTCTGAGCTTGTGCCCGCAATCAACCCCAACTTCTGAGCAACATTCGACAACTTTGTCTGCTGAAAACGGAATGGAATAAACCAGTTTTTAAATTGAAGTAGAGTAAACGTACTAAAGAGGCAGTAGAAAATAGATAACGCCGTTAAAGTAGAGAAATCCAAAGACAAGACGACAAAACTAAACAATACTGTAATGTGAAACAAAAACATAACCAACCATACCAATCTTATTAAGAACCGGTGTAATCTAGATTGCATTCTCGACGTCAATTCCGGTCGATTTAAGAGTTCTTCGACCGTAAAACGAACTGTGGGTTCTGGATCCATCATTCGCAAAAGAATATCCTTCAGATCTTTGGATATAACTAAAACAGAACATTTAAACCTTTTCACGTAAATTCAACACAGCTTTTAAAATTAAAATTAAGTTCTGCAAAACTTACTATTCGTAATACTGTCATCAATCTCCAGATTCCTCAACTCGTGCCACCGTTCCGTGCCTCCTTTAGGTAACAACAAGTCAGTTGCAAACTGGAAGATCGTCAAGCCAAGAGAGAAAATATCAGAAGCAAATGACGGTCCATCGGCCAGCACTTCAGTCGCCAGGTATTGACTGTCTCCTTCTCGAAGTCCTATTTCAAGCGTCTCAGTTTCCAAATCGATTGCCATTCCAAAGTCGCCAATCTTGAAAACGCCGTTCTTGTCCACAAAGATGTTCTCGGGCTTGATATCATTATGGATTATCCTGTTCTGCTGGAGAGACTCCAAAGCCTAAAATAAAAATTTTTAAAAAGATTTAAACGGTTTCTTCCTCAACACTTATACAACAAAAACCTCTACAAAATTCACGTTTCAAAAAATGTTAACTATTCATAAATTTGGGTAACACTTACATGAGCCATGTCTATCAACGCGGTCCAAGCCAATGGTTCCGGAACTTCCTTTTCCATCAATGATGTCATAGTTGAGGAACACAGCTCTGTTACCATGTACAGTCTGTCCCACTCTTCCCATGCCATCTTCATTTGAAGAACATTCTCGTGCTTCATCGCTTTCTGATGTAGGTACACTTCCCGGATCTTCTCCCTCCTGTCGTTATTTCCTTTGTACGGATCTGTCAGACATTTTACCGCAAATTCTTCGCCAGTTATCCTATGTCTAATATGATATACCACGCCAAACGATCCGTCGCCCAATGTCCCCAATCTTTCATAAACTTGTTCGAGATACGACACTGTAGTGCTAGGAACGTAGCTATCGTCCAATAAGAAGTCAGTTACATTACAAGAAACAGGCCTGGCATAAGGATACTTCATGACGAGCATTTCTAAAACACGTCCACTTCTTTGCTGAGGCCTTCGACCGGTCGATTTAATAAGTCTCGGCGTCATCTTCTTCTAAAACATTACTTTTATAAAATCGTCCAAAACATATTATCTAGGCATTTACATAGATAATCTATTAGGTGATTGCAAAAGTTTCTGGCCGATTTTTGTTTTTACCAAAATTTAATATTTAAAAAAAACAACAATAACTAATTAACAAATATATGTGTCATTATTATAAACGACCTGTTGCCATTCCTTCGGCAGCATTTGGATTCAACTTCTATAGAAACCTGGAGTTTGAGAATTGAAAAAGTTAGTCCACCACCTCTTGAGGTACTCTCGATTGTCAAAGCGTGTTGCGTTAAGGTGATTTTGAAGAGAGTGGAACATATGATAATCTGTTAGTGCAACCTCAGGTGAGTACTGTGCATATGACATCACAGTCCAGCCGAGGCTTTTGAGCTTGTGTTGGGTCAACTTTGTCACAAGGGCGCAAGCAGTATCATGAATGAAGAAGATCCGCTCCTGTTTAACATGCAATGCCGCGAAAACAAATTTAATTTGGTTACAGTAGACATCCACAAGGATCGTAGTTCCATGTGGTACCATTTCCCAGAACACCATACCTGTTGAGTTCCGGCTAAAGCTGATCATCTTATCCAGTGGGTGAAGATCAGGTTTGAGGTTGATACACCCTGTTCTCCACGTTCAAGCCATTGTTTCTTACTGGTGTGATTAACATACAGTACCCGCTCCTCATCCCCAGTAACCAAATTGTCAAGCCATTCAAAGTTCCTTGGGAGCATTAACAAACAAGTGCAAACTTCTACTCGACGTTCAGCTGGTCGCTGTTCAAATCATGTGGAAATTCTTGACCATATTTCCGTAATCTCCCAAGGGCGTGAAGTCTAATTAATGTGGTAGAAGGGTCACACTGAAGCTCTACAGTCAAATAAGTACAGGTTCGTCGGAGTTCTTCTTCGATCAGCTTCAGAAGGTGGGGTTTCTTCAACGCTGATGGTCTACCAGATCGAACTTTTCGGACATGTCAAAGTCACCGTTTTTGAACTTGTGGAACCAAACTTTTGTGGTGTCGTAAGAGACAACTAAAGGCCCTACAGCACTGCATATTTTCTACGTCGCTCTTGTTGCGTTGCCGTGATTGCGGAATTTGAGAAACAACACTGGCCGAACATGATTGTGTTTCACCTTGATTTCTTGAACTACCGTAAACAACAGAAAGCATGAACATGCAATAGTTTTTAGTCCTTGGACACCTCTTTATACAGGTTGCCAACAGGAAGTTCTAGAACAGTGCAAAATTTTGAAAAAAAATTTTGAAAAATCGGCCAGAAACTTTTGCAATCACCTAATAGCAAGTGTTACCTAATTTTGTGCCAAAACAAGATTAGACTCACATTGATAAATTTTTTACCCAAACAACTCAATTCATAGTTTAAAATTCACAGAAATATTAATAACTATTTAAAAAGTAAAAAAAACTTACTGCTTGCTTCCTCGTCGATAAAGGAGGCTCTTTCAGTTTGTAGTAAGGAGAAGCTGCCAACATTGGTCCATCCATTGAAGTAGAGCTCCGATGAGCGAGTATACCACTCATATTTATCTAAAATAACCAAATTTACAATAGTACAACAAATAAAAAGTAATAGCACGAAATACCAGAGATATAAGATATAAAACACAAAATATATCATAAAAAATTAAAACAAAAAAAAATAAAAAGCTGGCTACAAAGTTCAAGATGCTTAAAAAATAATTTAAAATTATGTTATTAAGAATATTATACAGATAGTAATATAAATTTAGTACAAAACAAAGATACCAAAAATTAAAATATGGCTCAAAAAACCTTAAAAACAAAGAAAACCCTCAAAAATATACCCAAACTCCTTTTAAAAATTACTACAACCCAAAAAAATGTAAAATAACCTATTCATCCCTACTTTTATCAATAAAGGGCGGAAAAAAGTTTTTAATAAAGAAAATCAGACGAAGAAAAATAATATTTTCGAACATTTTTATTAGCGGTCAATTGCTTTCGCGTCGGGACCCAACGAACTGATTGGCGCTTTCTATATTTCTTGTTTTGGCAAACCTCATTCGAAGTTCACAGTTTTAAAAACACCTCTAATTTTCGAAAGTTTAAATTTCGAATATGATTATTTTGAGGAAAACACCAAAGATCCGATGTTGTGAAATACGAAGGTCATTTCGCAGCTGTCATCGTCGATTAACACGTGACATATGGGTGATTCACTGGTCATTTAAAAATATATTAGCATATCTTACACTAAGGAATTAAGTTACAATTGTCTTGGTGTTTATGTGTTATTTTAATGACTAGTTTTACTACTTTATGATATCTATCGCGGTAGATGTTACAGTTTTTCCTTTTATTAGTTGCAAAATTTAAATTTCAAACTAAGAGGAATTAGTATTTATTCTAATAACATTATTTAACTTAAAACTGATTTAACGAACTGTCTTTCTCCAGTGCATCTGTCTCTGTAACCAAATCAACAATCATGTTGGCGATTTTTTCACCCAACATGTTAGCGGGTGAGCGGAACAACAACGTACCTAAATATGCCTTTTACTGTGGTTTTAAACACATACCCTTTGTTATCAGCATAAAATTGTCTATTTTTAAAAGTTTTAATGACATAAAAAGACATAAATTATGTTTTTACACGTACCTTTGAAGCTGAGTTGGCCCATGTTACTGGCATCGGCTTCATCGAACATCGTATCTGCGATTACAACAGCAGTTTCTATAGTGTCATCGTCTATGACACTTTCTGTAAACACATTGTTGATCGAATTGCGAACAAAACTGTCTAATTCTCGTTTGTCTAAGAAGGTGTCTTTATTGAGATCAGATTGTTGGAACATGGTTTGTAATCTTTCATAGTAAGTGTCAGCAGCAGATGTTATTGATAGTACAATAACAAGGTAACAACAGATTGAACGGAGCATGGTAATCAACAGTACTAGTTAATTCAACTTATTATGTAGGCCTAGATAGGCACTTAGTGATGTTTTAAATGAAAAAAATACAAGTAGGCTAGTAATAGAAAGTACGATGTAAAAAATACGATGTAAGAATCTTACAGAATACGAAAACGGGGCTACCTCCAAATGAGCTCGTTTTGATGAACTCTAAATCGAATATTTTACGTAACCCAGTTTTTACACACTTTAAATTGCGCTTTTGAAACTAAAGGAGGCTGAACAAAGAGCAGTATTCCGGTTGTGAATTATTTTAACTAATAAAAACATTCCCGATAATTAAGTTTACTGTACAGTAAACTCACGTAAATAAATTTAATGTAATTTTTTAACTGTCTTTAAAAATATAAACGAGAAAATCTCACTTATTATAATCAGGCGTGAAAGCTGGCCAGGGCGTGACATGAGAAAGGGCTGCACGGCAAATTTATGATAAGTTGTCTTTTCATAAACAAAATGCCTTGTAGAGGACAGAACATGGAAAATTCGCAACGCCCTGTCACGTCCCAAGTCTGCTTATAATACAATTATTTTCAAAAGTACACAGGTTTTTATATTAACCACAACAAGCCAAATAAGTTATTTTAATATTTATCTTAACTTATACACAATTGTGATGTATACTTAAATTATTCCACAGGGTGTTGTTCAATGTGCTTAGGGAAGAATTGGTAAGGCGTCGGAGTCTCAAACATTGGGAACTGAGTGTTGGTATCAGGACGGTACAATTCACGTTGAGTTCCGTTCTCATCAATAATGGCTAGACGGATAACACCGCCAGATGAGCCGTCTCTGAACATGGCCAATGCTACTGCGTTCATGACGAGCTGTAAGAGTAATACAAGTAATAATACATCATCGAAAATTGAGTTGAATATATAAACAATGTTTCATTCTACCTCAACTTATACATTTGTTACAACTATAATTTAAAACAAAGCAAACGTACCTGCTTAACTTCCTCCAGAGTCATGTCCTTTCTCCATGCTCTATCCAAGAAACCCGTAACGAAAGTGCTTCCAGATCCACTGGCAGTAAACCGTTGTCTGCTAACGAAACCTCCCAACGGAATCGTGTAAATTTGACCCCCTTCGTGAGCGTCCCAACCGGCCACAATCATACTTGCAGACAGCTGCTCACGGTAGTCGTATAGATATTTGCGGAAGATTTGAGATGATCTGTAGATTGAAACTTGTTCATCCTCCATAGTCCTATAAGTGCCCAGTTACGAAATTTGCAGTTTAAATAGAATTTGCATCAAAAAAATCAGGATAACACAGATGTTAGAAAGTTTAATAATATGTCAAATTACTACTACTACTTTCAAATAGTTTTATACCGAAACATAAAACACATATATGACAAGGACAAACTTACGAAAAGAATTCAATGTGATACTTGGCAATATCAGCAATAGCTTGAGTGTCGGCAGCGCTTCCAGATCGACATACCACCAGATGATCAGTGATTGGAGTAATCTTGTCCGTTACACGAGAAGCCACGAAGCTTCTAAAATAATAATAAATAACATAAAAACCGGTTCATCAACGTAAAACAACTAACCAGATTTATTATAAACCCACAATCCACCTATGACATCTTTTCAAAGCATATAATTTTATCAAAATATCTTTAGATACCTAAAACAATAACAACAAACCTAAAACACTTACCCAGTGCTAGTTCTCGCATCGGTACCAACTACAACACCTCCAGGAAACTGTACGGCAATCAACGTTGTCTAAAATTCAGAAAATAGAAAAATTAAGAGTACATTTCTTATAAAAAAAATAATATTAAAACTTACTCCAGTCGAGATTGGCTCTTGTGGATAATATCCAATGCCTGGAATCGCTTCACGTTTCTCCAAATTAACTTCACGATGCATTTTTAACGTTTTCACCAACTTTTACTCTAAACCTTGCGATTTCCAAAAAACTTTCATCCGAAAAAAAATAAGAAATTTTTTGTAAGCAGTTATTTGGAAAGCCCGCTAAACCCTGATCAATTTCGCGGCGGGACCAATGCCACAGCTCGATCGTAGCAAATTTGGGATTTTGATCGCGTGTTTTCGCGTCTTTTGGGGGGTTGTCTTGTTTTTGACGTGTATTTGAAGTAAAAGATGTAGGTTTTTTGGACTTGTTACCTAAAAATGTTTATTGTGAGTATTTTATAATATTGAAATAGTGTATTAGTGGGTTTTCATGACCTGTAGAACAAAAATAATTTTGGTTTTTAAAAGTTTTTTAACGGGGTTTCCTTTCGTGTTAGTTGTTTTGTTCGTTTTTAAAGCTGTTTATCGTTTTAATTTTTAGTGGCTCGTCCCTTTGTTTTAAGCGCACACATTTTGTCTTATCAAAAAGATGGCCAACGAGTGTTACAAATGTCACCAGGAGGGACACTTCGCCCGCGACTGTCCCAACTCTGATGGTCAGGATCGTCCAGCCCGTTCTGGAGGAGGTAATTTCGTTATATATTTTTTGTTTTTAGGCTTGGTTTATTTACAAAGTTCGTACAAGATTGGTAGTGAAGATTATTTTTAAATTATTATGTTTGTATCTTATTGTTTTGTCTATAGATTGCTACAACTGCGGCCAAAGCGGACACATGAGCCGCGACTGTACCGAACCTCGCCGTCAGTCCAACGGAGGTGGACGTCAAGGTGGTGGCTCCAAGTGCTACAACTGCGGAGGATACGGCCACTTCGCTCGCGAGTGCCAAGATGCTCAAAGTAAGTTTTTCCGTCACTAACTAAAAAGTTAAAAAGTAAATTATATAATTGATGTATTTCGCTTTTTTTATATATTTTAGTAACTGTTACATAAAGTAATTGAAGTCTTTGCAACTTATTTCACTGTTTTTTAGGCGGTGGTAACCAGGGTGGACGTCAAGGTGGTGGCTCCAAGTGCTACAACTGTGGAGGTTTCGGCCACTTCTCTCGTGAATGCCCAGACGCTCAAGCCGGCCGCCGTTGCTACAATTGCCAGGAATCCGGTCATATCTCTCGTGACTGTCCCAGTGTTCGCGCTTAAACAAAGTTGAAGTTGGGGACGAGTTGAGACTCATCCGATTATTTTGTTAATCAAACCACATATTTTGTTTTCTTATTTTCTCTTAAAACGTTATTTTTCTTTATTCTCCGTTTATTGTGGCTTCGAATGTGGAAGTTTGAAGTTTTTCTGAAAAGCTTCGTGGATCTCGACCGATTTTCGCATTTTTTAGCCTTCTCCATATAATGCAATCGAAGTAGGAAACAATATGGGTAACCCTATTTGTTTTCTGCTTTGACTTGTAATATTTTTGTCTCAACTCCATAATTGTAATCGGAATTGTCAAATCTCGTTTCGACTTGATTTGACGATTTGAAGTACGAACGCCGTTCTATCTTCATTATATTTTCTGTATCTCCCGCTATTTTTATTAACATTTCCCGTTATAACTCTAAGCAGACTCGTTCTAATTATTGTTTCGATGGGCTTTATTTGTTAAATCTAACCCCTCTCTTGTTGGTTTGGGCGAGGCGGCCGTCGGGAACGGCGATCAAGGTGTGAAGTTTAAGTTGTTAAAGTTGTGGAGGATTTGTTTTCATTTTATTTGTCGGAGAAATAAAGTTGTTAAAGGTTATCTTGGTGATTCTATGGTTTAATTTTGTTTGGATCAGAAAATGTTTCTTTCTTTGTTGTATGTTTGATTCATTCATGTGTTGCTGTTTGAAAGGGTTAATAGTAAAACTATGTTATTTTCGAAAAAGATTTAAAGAAATAGATGTTAAGTAATGCGATTAATCACTTTGTTAAAAGTAGACTTTAGACAAAACTTTAATGAACTTCTGCGCATTCTAATTTTTGTGCGGACTTTTAAAGTCAATTTTTTTTCGTAGAATAACATAAACTTTGGAATTATTTTTGTTTCTCGGCTAGTTGTACTTACGGATAGATCGCTTTTCGCAGACAACTATACTCTTAAAATGAAGTTTTCGTTTTAAGACCAAATTATTTACTAAAAAATTTGTTTGGTTTTTATAAAATTTTATCGAATGTTTGGATATTTTCGTGTTTTTATACGTTGTGTAGTACAGTTAACTATAATGTTGTTTTTTTGTGAATATAACAACTGTTGAATTAAAAAGCAATTGTCGATTTGTAGAATTTCAGATGTCTCACACAAAAAGGCATTATAAACTACAAGAAGATTATCATTCTCGAAAAAGGGTAAAAGTCGAACAAGATGTGAAGTGTCCTATATGTTTGAACGAAGCGGATGATCTTACATTGCTTAAGACGTGTTCCCATGCCTTCTGTTATTCGTGCATTGTAAGGTGGATAACGGAGAAAGCAAATTGTCCGTTATGTAAACTGCCCGTTGGTATGATGAAACATAAAATCAAGACGAAATGGATTGAAGAAGATGGATACAATGTCAGTGGAACAGAGTAGGTATAACGCCTGATTTTTGAATTGAAATTTTAGGTTTGATGCTCAAGAGAAGATCGAGGAGAACGAGTTCAAGGAGATTCAAAAGAAGGACAGGAGGAACTTTAAAGAAGAACTTGAATTGATGCGTGATGTAGCTACGGAATTGGCGTATCAAACAACTGCTCTTTCGTATGTTTTTACTTTACCTGACTAATGGATAATGTATCATATATTCTTGTGTAGAATTCTTTATGCTTCCTTTCAAACATGCTTCTTTATCTAAATTCTTTCAGAACTTTGCCAGAAGACCGAGTATACCTTACGGGTAAATTAAAGGAAATCAACGATTTGTCAAGACGTGCTGGACGAATAAGCAGGTAAGATTTTAGTTTTTAAAATTGTATTTGAATACTTTATATGTTTTTTGTTAACTATTTTTAAACTTTACTATATTGATACAAAAGTAAGTAAAATTATTTCAGACGACGTTTCATGGCTGAACCAATCTTTCGCTTTGTAATATATTTTTCCAATGCGGACAGAACCACTGTGATTAAAACGAGCACTGATGTTGATATGACACCAGAATATGTGAAAAACAACTACGAACTCATCAAGACCAAATTGAGACCGTTTTTGTTGCGAGAGTTAAGAGCCTTGTGTAGGGTGAAAGTATTCAGTTTGTGCGACTTGACAGAACTGATTTTGAAGTGCATTATGAACATTCAAAACAGCAAGTCCAGGCTTCAAGCAACGTTGAAGAGTATGGGTATTAAACATCCACTTAGCGTTTTCAATTCTGTAATGGCATTTGTGGGTGCCAACCAAAGCTTGAAGCTATTTGATTCAAATTCCAGATACGTGTATGTTGTTTTTTTTACAATTTCTGTTATGTGCTTAGAATTCATATTTAAAAAAGTTTACTTAAAGCAACTCAAGAGAGAAAGGTAGTATTGACTTTGTATTTTCTAATATATTTGATGAATTTTCTTTAGAAAACGGATCACTTTAAGTAGCACTTTTGTGGATGACAATGACGTTACGATAATGCCATCACGAAGTAATGAAGACAACGATGTTATGATTGTTGATGAACCTGCACGACCTTCGCGAACTCAAGCCGACCCTTTAAGTTACGGCTACAATTCTGACTTGTCACCTTTTTCTCTGTTTAACAGACGGATACGAGAACAGTACCGTGACATGCTTCGACGAGGAAGGTCAAATCCAGCTGTATCTTTACCATCGTTACCAAACATGTCTCCTGATGACCCAGATGTTTTCAGGAGGACAATTCATTCGAGATCACCTCCAGACTTTTTGGAGCACTTGAATAGGCGAAGAGCAAATAGGACCATACAGTTGAATGATAGCGATGACGAGGTAAGTCTGACTTTTACTGTTTATACACTATAGTTTTCGTAAAATCTTTACAAACCTTAAAAAACATAACTTTTTGGTCAATATAATTTCTTTCAGGACGAATTAATGTTATCCGCTCCTCCAATCCGCCATCGGCCACATCCTCCTTTACCTCCGCGGCCAGATGAGGTAATGACGATAGATTCGGATTGATAAATTATTTTTATCGTTATACGTGTAAAATAAATATTTTCATACTGTAGAAAAAGTATTTGGGAGTTTTCAACTGTTATTTATTACAAGAAATGAATTAAAGTAGATTGTAACTTTTTTAAGGCTTATGATTTTTAGAAAAGGTAGAGTTAAGCAGAACTGTTTACAAAAAATTTGAGTATATTCAGTACGTAGTACTTTAACAACCCTAGTAATAAAAATGAGCATGCTATTATACAAAAATATATGAAAGTTTTTTAAAAGGGTTTTCTACTGTATATATAACAAAGGGACGAAAAAAGTATAACGCCAAAAGATCGTGTGTCTTACGACGAAAACAATTCACGTAAAATAGCGGCGATTTTTCCGCGTCTAGACGTCCAGGCCGTTGAGCAAATTAGTCAGTGGGATGCCGATTCTTTTCCATATTTACAAAAGTGTGTTCTTGCAGCTGGTTTTTTGTTGATTAAAGAGTTGCACTTTGGCGTGGGAAGGTATTAGCCATAATGCGTTAAAGAAGGCGTTAATGATGTAGCTTGGCTGTCACTAGTTTATATATTGTCAAAACCCTTATTTAAGGAAAGGTTGGATTTGTGTTATTTGAAAACTTTACTACGCTCTGCTCCATGTACTTTTGATGTCCTCCAAGCAAAAGATATCAGTGTCTGGCATAACAATTACTATTTTGTTGCTATGGAGACGTAGTACTTGATGAACAAAACGATGTCCTTATATTTTTTTAGCTGCGTGTTCACGATGATATAATAGTCCATTGTTCTTAAACTAATAATTTAGTATTTAGGTGATATTTTTTGGTTGATAAAGGTGCGAAATGGTGGACAACAAGGAAGTTGCACAGGTAGACTCGAAAGTGGTTGCCACTCAATTTATTCAATATTATTACAAAGAATTGTTGAATGGACCTCAAAATGTTTTAAAGTGCTATTCTGTGAACTCTAGCATCAAGCGATTCGGTAGAGAACTCGTTTCTGGTTTGGAGGTGAGAATAAAAAGCCTTATTTTATTTTTAGTTCCTTACCAAACCTGGTCAGCGATTAATCGATTAAACATTTTAAAACACATGCAATATATTTTCAGAACATCAAGGCTGAGTTGGAGCAATACCATGTTACCAACGTGAAGATCTACAAAATCAACTCTGTCTACTCGATTAAAGATTCTGTTTTTTTGCAAGTTGGTGCTGAAATCGCCACTGAAACCAAGCCAGAAAGAACCCCTGTGATTCACAATGTATTGTTGGTTCCTCGTGGCCCGCTTTCCTTTTACATCCACTCGGACCTTTTGGATTTTGTCGACAATCTGTTTGACGACGGAAAGCCTAAACCAGTCAAGGCTCCGGCCAAATACGAAAATCAAACTAAAGTTGAGAAGCCAGTCCAAAATGGAGTAAGCTCAATTGAAAAAACGCAAAGCCCAGTGAAACCTGTTCAACAAGTACCACCAAGTTTGGCCCAGCCTGTGACGCCGTCAGCCCCGCTGCAAAACGGCACCCACGAAAAAATCGACCAAGTCGGTTTTCTACAAAGCTTGGAAGCACACGTTCCTTCTCTAACACGACCAACACAACAAACTCAACTTCCTCCAACCCAACCTCGAACTGAAACTAAACCATTTGAACAACCACCTTTGAAGACTGGGCCAGCCACCTGGGCTCAATTGGTTGGCGGCGGAGCGTCACGAAATGGTGGCCTAGCATCTCCAACAAAGCCAATAGAGCCACCAAAGCCTGTTGGTTTCCAAAACAAGAAGCCCCAGGAACAAAAAACGCAACAACAACAACAATCTCAACCAAAACAACGACGTGACGATAAAACAGAAAAGAACCCACGAAGACTACACTTCAGTTATCTGAGAAGGAAACAACAGACTGGTCAACCTGTGCTGGAGGAGATTATCAAACAAGCCTTCTCGCGTAAGTTTCTTTTGCCTCAATTTTTTCTAAATATTTAACAATAAATTGTGGAGTAGTTTGTGGAAAAAATTAACTGAAATTTTTAGACCTTGGAAATGTTGAAAAGGTCAATGCCTTTGGGTCAGACAAGTGGGTCAACGGCTACGTTGAGTTTGAAAAAGAGTGTTCTGTTCAGACGGCTATTAGTATGGTAGACAATGTAAGTTTTTCTACTTTTTTTAATCTTTAGAAAAAAAAAGTTTAATTAAAAAATAAAGGCAAAAGATAATAGTACCAAGCTTACGTCATCGAATTTCAGAATACTGGAAAACCTGGCTTGCAGCTTCGCATTGCCATCCCAGTTTGGGAGTTGGACGAGCATGTTCAAATCTCGGAAACGCCTCGCATTTCGAACGGAAGCCGTGGCTTCAACAACCGTACTGGTCAGTCGCACCAGCAGAATAGCAATAACGGATGGAATAATGTTGGACGTCGTGACAACCGTCAATTCCGTCCTAAGTTTGAAAACCAGACTGCTCAGGCACGCTGAGTTTTGTCATCCTTTCCAGCGAATCAAAAAAAGGCGAACCAGTATAGTGAGATTACACAAATCACTAGAAAGTTTGCTCTTCTGACGGTACTACTATGATCTTGCACTTTTTCAACCTTTAATTTTTTAACTCGTCTTTAAAGTTTTATTTTGGCAGTTTTAATGTATACGGATATTTGCATGTTTCTTTGCTGTTTTATACAGTTACTCCCGGAAATATATGCGTTTTCATAGGTCTTTAGAACACAGTAAGTATAGTTTAAGGAAAGTCATAACAAGATTTTTAGTAAATTTAAGATTTTGGCTTGCACGTCTTATCTGCTGTCTCTTGCTCTTCCCATCTGTCTGCGCAGTCTCAATATTTTACAAGTTAAACGTGTGTTTCTTATTGATGATTTCAATTTTGTCTTGTATGACCATGTTTAAGAAATATGTCATTTGGACTCTCTGGCTCTTATTTTCGCATATTTATTTTTGTTATCTTCTTAACATGCTCCTGATGTAACGTACCGCAACGACCAGACGTTCTTTGATGGTGTTACCAATCAGATGACGTATTTGTTGGTTTTCCTTGTTTTACACGTCCGAGTGCGTGAAAGTGTTTTGTCAGAATAAATTGTACTTTTGGATTGTTGGTTGGTGTTTGATATATATAAAAATGGGAATACTAAACTGAGCAAAGTTAATGCTGGTTGCGGGAAAATGAATTTATTATAAAGAAAGAATATACATTTCGAATTATTAAAGCCATATAATGATTGAAAACTGTCGGCAAACTTTCAAAAATTACACTTTATTCGAAAAATACCTAAAAGCGATTCAAACACCTGCTATGCGAAGCTACGGACGGCTTTTGTCGACGGTGTGTTTAAAAGTCGATGGCTTTTGTGGCTTTTCGTTTGCGGGAATTGTTATTTTTAAAAATAAGAAAATATTTTGGAAAATAATTTTTTGCTAATAAAGTAGTATTGTAAATTTTGCTTTGTTTTTATCTAATTTGTTACTTACTTGAGTACATCTTAACATGGACGATGATGCTTTTAATTCTTTAGCGTATGATGACGAGTTTGAGCTTGAAATGTAAGTTTTTTTGTTGTTGTTTTTAAATTTAGGTATTTTTTATGTCTATTGGCAATGTATTGGTAGAAAGTTTATGAACAAATATAAGTTTACACTTTCATTAATTAAAGCGCTGAATCCGAGTATGACGAAGAAGCTGAACGGTATTTACAAGAGCAAAGACATTCCGAAGCGCAGAAGGAAACTCGGGTGATAGAAGACGACTTGGACGACGAGCTGGTGATAACTGGGAATCCATTTGAAGAATTACAAACAGATACAGTTACTGAAGTGGTTGAAAAAAGGAAGTACGACGACGAAAACCTGCCGTTTGGCGAACATCCACTCGGTATGTTACCTAAAATCTAATTTTGAGGTTCTATATTGTAAGGAGTGGCATTAAATGATGTTGTGGATTTTACAAGTTTATGTGAATCTATAATCATTGTATATTTGTAAAATTTTGATTAACATCTTTACTGTTCAGTATTACTTTTCAGATTGGTTTATGCGTTCTGAGTTAGATACAGTAGAATTGAAGAAGAAAAAGAAGGAAAAGACTGAAATCAAGGTGGCTAAATTAGCTGATCGGATTCAAAATGCAAGAAAAGTGAAAACGGCTAAGAATTTTGGATCAAATACAACAGAAAACGGAGCAGAAGCGTGCTCGTACGTTACTGATGTACCAAGTGGAGAAGAAAAGAATTATATCAAGATCTCAGACCCTGACGGTATTGAAGAAGGTTACCTGAAGTTTGAAAAGATGAGTATTGCTGATTGGGTTAACGAAAAAGTTAGAGCAACGATTGCAAAGAGTATCAATGGTCTGAACAGGGCGGAGGAAAGCACCACTTGTATGTTTAAGCTTTATATGTTATTGTTTAGTTTATCCGCACATGTTTTTGAATTCAACCTTTAACCTATTTGTTTTTCAGTTGTACCAGAACCTAGACCACAACCTTCTCAACCTTCTTTAGTCCAGCAAATACAAAGGAACATATCACAGATCAATAGCACCCTGAATGCTACATTAAACAATTCTAACGTTTCGAACATGAATACTTCAATGAACAGAACTCGTTTCATCGAAGGAGTTGATTTGAGCAAGTTTGGCATCGACGAGACACAGTTATTGAACACAGCCGATGATGATGACGATTTTAGTCAGCCTGAACTTCAGAGTAGTAGTAATACCGTAGTAGAGCCTCCACAAATTGTATTACCAAGCAAAAGTATGGACGGTACGCTATGGACGAAGAAGTATGAGCCAAGGGCGTTTTTGGAGTTGATAACAGAAGATGTTACTAACAAGATGGTCCTAACGTGGCTGAAGTTGTGGGACAGGCATGTCTACAATAAGCGGCCGAAGATTGAAGGACTTTTGAACGAATTTCAAATGAGACAGCTGGAGATTGAGGAAGAGAAGCCTAACTTACCGAAACAAAAGGTATCGTAATCATTTGTTAAGTAGTTTGGAGTATTTCACATTTTACTATTTTATTTAAGCATTTGTTTTTCAGGTTTTACTTCTTCATGGGCCTAGTGGAAGTGGAAAGTCTGTTCTTGCAAAAGTTTGTGCTTCTACTTGTGGCTACGAACCGTTTGTCGTGAATTTAAGGTATTTTTTGGCAGGTTTTATTACTTCATTTTAGGTATAAATTAACGCATATTTTAAATAGAATCTGTAATATTATGTATTCGTTTCAGTGAGATGAATTCTCTGGCTTATCTAAAGTCTTTAATCTGTGAACGTGGCTCAAACGTCTCTATGGACCAATTTACAAAAACGAAAACTACTAGTACTACAGTAGGAAAACCTATTTGTTTTATCATTGAGGGAGTGGACGGAGCTTCGAACGAATTCACAAGGTTCCTGGCCGCTTATGCTACAGAAAAGAAGAAGAAAATGGTACGAAGACCGATTATATTGACATGCAACAATGCTTTCGTTAACTCTTTGAAGCCTTTAAGAACAGCGTCACTGGTTATCAAATGTACTGGACTGAACAGAGATAGAGCTGTCAAGAGGCTTACAAAAGTATGATTATTATTTCCACTTGACTGATGTTTTTTTGTAGTTAGGAAGGTTTACAGTAATGTTTTTACAGATTTGTGAAGATGAAGGAATAACGCTGAAGAGGTTTGCGATTGTACAACTCTTTGAACAATGTCGGAAAGATATTAGGTTATGTTTGAACAATTTACAGTATTTGTCGAGTACGTCTAACGACGAGAAGAATATATCAGTAAGTAATTGTTTGTAGCAAAGTTACGCAGTACAGTTTTGGTTAATAAGCAATGAATGTTTTTTATTTTGTTTTAGGATGAATCCTGCTCAAGGGTTGAAGAATATTCTGTTTTTGATGCGATTGATGCTGTTCTGACTACAAACTTTCATCTGGATGCGTAAGTCATGAATTGGGAAATATAGTTTTCAGTATATTTTTTGCTGTTTCATGATTTTTTACTTTTTTATAAAATAATTTTTTAGACGTGGTCACATTAAGTCTCCAAAACAACGTGTCGAGGCGATACAACAAGTTTTGGGTCGTCGTGATGATGTAGACCGAGTATTTAACGCTATATTCTTTAACGCTCCGCTTGTGTTTAAATTAAAACTGTTTCAAGTAAGTATTGACGTATTATCGACAGTGAGTTTAGAATACTTCGATAGGGGTTATTATGGTTTTTTGGGGATATTATGATAAGAATACGTTGTTATACAAATGACGATATTTTTAGAGGCTAAAAATTGGTAGGAGTTTAATATCAGTCGATTCCATTGGTCGATACGCTCTTCGGACTCAAAACTTTACACTTCTGAGATATTTGATTACGGCCGCCGTTCAAATCCACTTTACTGCAGCTGTACCATGTCCCAATAGGAATACCTACAACTTGAACTTCATGGTAAGCGAAAGTTTGAGTTAATTAGGCTAAATTTTTGTTATTATCTTTTACACTCAAACAAACTATTCTAATTATTTTTTGGTGGAATTATAATAATTTGTCTTTACAGTTGATTGGATGCTTTACTCTTTGTTATAGGGATTTGCGGAAAAACAAAAAGAAAACCGTGAAATCTTGACCTCAATCGAAGAACATCAAAAAGGAATGTACAGACAGAATAGGACCGTCTTGTTACTGACGACTCTCCCGTACTTATATTCTATCATCAACATACCACTTCAAAGTCAGAACCCGCACATGTTGAGTCAGCAAGATAAGGAGAATATAGCGAGAGTAGCAGCCATTATGGTTGATTTTGGTTTGGGATTCACACAGAAAGTGGAACAAGCGATTCAAGTATTATGTTTGGACCCGTAAGTTTTAATTTTAAAAAGGTACTTATTACAATATTTGCATTTTTGCGATATAAAGTTAAAAAAATAGTGCAGAAATTCGTACTCTATTTTCAAGTACGCAGTGTGGTCTATATCTAATTAACTTTAACATGACTTGCTATCGATTTTTAATTTCAGACCTATTGAACAACTTGTAAACCTTGATTACTCGAATAAACAAACTCCAATGAAGGATATTTTGATGAGGATACTGAACAGTGAGGTACGACAACGGCAGATTCAGCAAGTCACGAAGAGCAACAAGTCTAGTGTTCAAGATAAACTCAACGGAAACAAGGAACATCGACGCTCGACCGGGAATCAAGGATCAAACGTCAGTCCAATAACAGACTCTGCCTTCACCTACTCTCACGGATCGTCACAGGCTATTAGAAGAATCATCAAGAACATGAACTTTCTCAACCCAGAGTTACTATAAACGGTTCGAAGTTACTGTAAATTAGCTTATTTCAACTTACAATTTGCATATCTCTATTGTCAAAATAATAAATTTTATTCAAGGTTTAAGCATTACTATTTGATGATATCGCTATTAGGCGTACATATTTTTAATCTGTAAATAAACATAACAAGATAATAAGTAATTTCCGCATGAGCAAATCAGGCTTTAAAATTTCATAAACAACACCACAGGATGATGAATTTATTCAGGTTGAGAAATTAGACTTTTTACAATTTGGCTAGTTCAGCTATCCTGCGAGGAGTCAGAGTCCAAGATGTTGATGGAGATGAGACCGTCTTCCAATGTTCCCAGGATTTGTGCCATTTCTTTTTGCATCTTGCCAATTTTATCAGGTGTTAAAGGTTTCAGGTCCAAGTCGGACGCTTCTTCCACAATCCGATGCTTTGCTGGACCAACCTTTTTTATTCTCGACCGGTTCATCCTGTTGGTACCATCGGCTCCAGTTTTTTGTGAAATGTTGGCGTTATCACGCTTTGCATCAGAAGCGTCGTGATTCATGGTACAGTTAGCTTTACGTTCTTTTTTACGCTCTTCGCCGTTGATACTGAACTTGTTACGATAATGGTCGGCGACGAAGGTGGATGTATTGGTGAAAGCAGCATGCGCCCATTTGTTGTCCAACTTTTGTTTTTCAGCCCTGGCCAAGCCTTTAGCTGCCTGCAGACGCATCACTTCTACCGTGGATTCTTCTCCTTTCACGGATTCTTCAATCTTCCTCGTTTCTGATGCCAATTGTGGAAGGAGCACCCTTGCGTTTCTTCTGCCAGACTTTTGACGTTTTTTGGTGGCTTCAGGACCTTGGACAGGTTCGGTTTCGTTAGCCTTTTGAGCTTGTAGGACAGTTCTCATATTTTGTGTAGCCTAAACTTGATTTTTTAATTCTAACATAAAAATCGCGAAATTTTAACACAAAATTTCATTTTTTAATTAATAAAACTGTTGCCTAAAGTAAGAAAAGAACTCTATGATTTAAATCATGACGTTATACCTATGTATACCGTTATACAATACTTACCATGACCAACCGTCAGAAAATGGAAGCAGCAATCTGAAGCGGGTACCACCAAAACGACCGACAGTCTGTTGCCGAGGAATAATCAAGAATGAATGAAATAGCACAAAATGATTTTGACATAGTTCTCGTAAAATCTTGAAGTTTGAGAAATTTCAAAAAATTTTAAACTTGCACGTGGATCGAGTTGATTAGCCCGAGCAAAACAAAATTTTATAACTTTGTTGGCGGAAGGGGTAAGACAGTCAAACTATGTTATGTTAGAGTAGATATAAACAACAAAATTGAAAAAATTACGTTTCTGACAACCATATTCATTGGGAACATCTTTCCCGTCAATTACGGTAATTGTAGACACTTCTTTTCCGATTCCAAAGAGACGAAGTGTCAAACATTTATTTTATTTTTTGGACAAAAATTGTTTATTTCGATGGATTTGGTAACAACTGGTAATGATTAGAGGATTTCTAACTAATTTGAGAATCCAGAAGGAGTTTTTACGTTCTTCTACAATTCAAAGGTAGTTTTTATTTACTTTACTTCAAATTTTAGGTATTTGTTATGGGTGAACTGTTATACATAAAACAAGTTTTTGTAAAACTTGGCATTTAAAAGCTTTAAAATATGGTTTAACGGCTATATTGTGGTATATGATATTCGCATTGGAGTAAATAAAAATTAATTATTGAAAGTAGAGATGAATCGTATGGAACTAAAAGAAATTGTTCAGGTATCAATGCTGGAACTGTTCCGAACATCATGATCAACACAAAGTGTTCTGCCACAAATGCAACTTCATTCAGCCTTTACATCCCAATATTGACTTCTTTTCTTACTTTGGGTTAAAAAGGAAGTTTAATGTTGATAACGTGGACTTGAAGAAGTCCTTCAGGGAGATGCAGTCCAATGTGCATCCGGACAAGTTTGGTACAGCAACAGACAAGGAAAAACAGATTAGTGAGCAACATTCCAGCTATCTTAACCAAGCCTACAAAACGTTGAAGTCACCCAGAGAAAGAGCCAAGTATTTGCTTCGATTATTGTCGAAAGGTAGGGATTTTAATGTTGGTATACAACGTCTACATGAAAATGTACGTTGTCTTAAGTTTTTTACTTCAAGTACTTTAACTTAAAAGGTAGTCGAAATTATTAAGTTTTCTGCTTAAAATACGTCACTTACATTCTCTGAGGTAATTCTAGAAACTAAAGACGAAACGACTCCAGACTTTGCAGCTGAAATGTTTGAGTTCATCGAAACCGTAGAGGACGAAACTGACGAGAAAGTATTACGCAAACATTCCGAGCATGTAGATACTGAAATCGAACAGCTTCTGATCAAAATTGAGAACGCGTTTGACAAAAATGACCCAAAAACAGCCAGAACATTGTTAACACGACTGCGATACTATGACAGAGCCAAAAATATACTGGTTAACAAATTAGGAATTGATTTGTGATTGTTTTGTTATGTACATACAATAAACTTTTATTTTGATTACAGTTTCTGTCATTATTCAAACCTGTAGGCTCATTACAAACAACATTGGCGGGTCGGGTCTGTCAAGTGAATCCATCAATGTGGCGTTTCGTCACATTTCCGGGCGAGTTTGAATTATAAAATAACTTTTTTTTAAAAGATTGAATTTTTTTGTAAACAATTAAAAAATATTTTTTGATATTTTTCCTTGTAATCTATCAGAAAGCGTGGTTATGTTATGGCATCAGACGACGAGGAACTGCCGCATGTTAGCCAAAGAGTCCAATTCAATAGACAAGTTCGAGTTCAAATCATAGATCAGGACAAGGAATATGGACTTGATGTGGGTTTTTTTAGTTTCCGAATGTGTATTTAAACGTCATTTTGTTATCCTTATATATTTCTTCTTGATTTTAGTTTTTATTTTGTATTTTCACTTGTTTTTTCGCCAATATTTCAGGTTTATGTACTACAACTTAACAATTTATTTTTTTTTTTCAGAAGAATTCTGGAGTTTGGCGTTCAGAATGTGACGAATTGGTAAGTTTATGATGTCTGCTAGTTGGTTTGGGTATTCAAAATGCTGCTTTTACATTTTTTATTTTTGATTGTTGGCTGAATTTTGCATAATAATATCCATATTATGTTAAATTTAGGTAACAACGATGTTTTTATTGACACTATTTGGTTTATGTTTAATGCCGTTGTATATTGAATAACTAGATTTATTATACAGCCAGTAATTGTGTTTTAAAATTACATTATACACAGAAACTTGCAGATTCATATTTTACGAGAAGTACCTGACGATGATGATGCGTTGTCACAAATTTATGATGCAATTCAATTATTCAAAGGAGGCCATGGTGGATTAGAAGGAGTTTACGAAAACTACACAGCATTACTGATAGCTAATGTCAAGCTTCGTCGGAATCCAGAGCTTTTACCTAACCGTGACAATGCCATTTACTACGTTGAAAGAGTGAAACACGATTGTTACTTGCTTCAACGGAAACTTTGGTAAGTTTTTAAGTTTTTGCTTGTTTTCATCACTGATTTTTACATTTTTATTAATGTTTTACTGTATATTCTTTTTGATTTTACTTCTTCCTCCATTCTGTCCTTTTAGTTCACCAAAACTCATTTTGGAATATGTGTTAGATGAGAAAGAGTTTGGTAATACTTTATGGTCAGATCACATTCTCCCAGTCAATTCACGTTTGTCTCAGTTCAACTACGAAACGTATGGTCGTTTGGTCAAAGCTATGGATGGTAAGGTCCCTATAACATGATATTTTTAAATAACTTTTGGAATCTAAAAGTTGCAACATGAAAGTTATAACAGGTAAAACGTTCCAGATTTATCGGAAAGAAGAAAAAGTGAAAGTTTTGGGAGAGTGATTATTTTACATGGACCTACTGGATCAGGGAAAACGTTCATGAAGAAACTACTAGAAGAAAACGAAACTGTTATGTACTACAATGTCAGCGAAGTCAACCAGGCTCTGGAGTTTATCGGAGAAAACAAAGATTTGGATTATGTTGTCTTTATTGATGACGTAAGGTTTGACACATTTATTTTGTGTTTGAAACTATAATATAATAGCATTTTTTAGTTTTTTTAGATTGGCACATATGGGTCATACTGTGCATACCTTTATTTAATTTTTATTAAGATTTTGAGATGACTGTTAACAAATAACTTATTGTAGGTTGATCGTTTTGAAGAATATGGTGATGAATCCACGTTTTTCTACAAATTACGACGTTTGATGCCAAGGCTAAAGACTACGGTGATTCTTACAGTATCAGCGTGGGATAAAGCCAATCGACTGAAGCGGGTATTACCAGCTGTTATTGTACCCATCAATTGCTTGGAATCAAAGTTTAAAGATAACTTTCAAGTAAGTTTTATATTCTATGTGTACAACAGTTAAAACAGAGTCCGGGAGAGGATCAAGGTTTGGCCAGACAATTTTTAAAGTTTTAAATTATTGCTAAAGACAATGCAATCTTTTTTAAGAATGCTTACTGTAATTAGCAAAAAAAGGCTAAAAGAAGATTTCTAGGGTTGGTGCACAGCCATGTTCTTCGACTACTTTAAGTACTCTTCAGTCCACCAGTGTTTGTTAAACAGCTACTTTGACTATTCTCAATTCATGAATCAATTACAATATGAATTCTGTCACTTACCCACATCCGTGAAAAACGAAGAGTTTGCAGTACATAATATTACCAAATTGAATGCTGAAGGACCAAGGCAGTCAGGATTGATGGAATTTGAAGACGAAAAACCTGCCCATCTGATATATAGTGTCACTGAATTGGCTCGAATCAACTCAAAATTGGGAAAGTGCGGGTTTTTGAAGGTGAAAAAACCATTGGGGATCACTGTAAGAGATTCTTACGTTAATTATGGAGCAGAACATGAGGACGATGATGAGGAATATAAATGTTTTGTAAACGACTTCAATTTTGCTGTAAATGAAGCATTGTTGGATGCTGTAAAAGGAAAAAAGAAGACAAAGGGAGAAGATGGAGGGCGAAGCGAAGTGGATGAAGGACTTTTAGATTGTCAAAATGAGACTACTGTAACACTCTCAAAAGACGATGAGGTAAATTTAAGGTCATCATGCTATTTTTAAACTTAAGTGTATCTAGTGTACTGTTTTTAACTAGATGATAAATAAGTCCATGTTAACTACATAAAACTTAATCTTTAGATTCCCGTACCACCTTCAAAACCTCCAATTATACCGTACAATTCAGCTCCGGCGATGCTTTACCGTCTTGACTCTGAAATGACTTCGCGTTGGACAAACGATCCTCACGCTTACAGAGCTTACAGTGGAATAGTGTACGACGTAAAACCTCTTGCTATTAGAACGGCTGGTAATTATTTTATGAAAGAAGTAGAGTTCCTGGATCGCATGTCAGTGTATTCTGCCATCGACGATGACTTCACAGATTATGTGACCAAGATCTGTAGAAGGGATGATTATCACAAGAAGGTCATCAACCCGGTTATTGTAGGTTTTTGCATCGTTTTTATAAGGTTATTATAGGTTTTTCAAACTTTTTGTTAATGGGATCATAACGTGAAAGTAGGAATCAAAACTAGACAATAAAATATGTTGTCCACGTGTAAAGAGACTAAACTAACTTTTCAGATAAAAAACCGCCATGGTCTTGTAGATCTGTTTGGGGATCGCTTCAACATGGAGCAGGTGCAATTGCTACGAGAAATGAGAATCAAAGGTGCTCAAGTCCATCAGTCACCAGTAGCAGAGCCAGATATAACAACATCCTTTCGTCACAGCTACAGAGAACTTATATATGACGAAGCCGAACTTCAGCATCGAATGAACAGAAAAAGAAGCGTCAGTCAATTTGCTCATGATGTCTTTGAAGACGAACTCGAGCCGCCATTAAAGAAAGTGCATATTGTGGATGACATTGATGATTTACTCTTAGCACGAACAGATTATGATTATAATAATATATCTGTGACATACGGTGACAATAATAATGAGACTGTGACATTATACAATGGTGATGAAGTTACTGTGACATTATGCAATGGTGGTGGACTGGATAATATGGAAGGAGAGGAAATCGTAGTGGATTGAGTTATCGTAGTGTAGTTATTTATATTTTGTCATAAGCGTATTTAAATAGTCCGTTTTTTTTGGTAGCCTTGCTTTTCATTGGCATTTTTAGTAGGTATATATATATGTAGATGTTTTTAGCTACTTATTGTTTTTATAGCTATTATATTGTTATGTCGATTCAGAATATGTTTTATATTGTGTTATCTCTTTACTTGTTTTATTTATTTTTTGTTATCCATAAACTTTTATAGCAATTTCGTTTTTACATCTAAACTACGTTTTTCGTTTTATTATCTAACAAAATGTAAAACAAGTTTAACTGTTCAAAAACCTAGTGTTTTATCCTCATAACGACCTGCCCGGTGAAGCGATTGTCCTCCAATGCATTTCTGGCTTCGTCATCCTTGGTCACAACGATCGGAGCAACTCCTCGAGGCATTCCACTCTCCAGAATCTGCATCGCCATCTGGAATGCCTTCCGCACGTCAGCTGGATTCTGTTTTTCGAAGGATATCGACGATACGGTAAGATTCCGCTCAATTAGGGTTTTTGTATTGATAACAGGGATGCGACCAGATGACTGGTCGAGTATCAACAGTAGGCCGTTTGGTTTGATACTAAAATTATGTTAGCTAAGGATTGCTTATGAGACAATTGATAATTTTGTATTACAACAAATACAATATATATCCAGAATTTTAATGAAAAATTTTCTTGAAAGTCCTACCAATGCTGAAGCTTTTCCAAAGCGTCACCACCAACAGTGTCAATCACAAAGTCAGCGCCCACTCCAAAAGTCCTTTCCAGAACTTTAGGTATCAAAGTTTCGTCTTTCCAATTCAGGACTTCATTGCATCCTTGACTTTGAAACCGTTCCATATTTAGTTTGCTGTCAGATACACCTGTGACTTGACATTCGAATAGGTTCTGAGCCAAGTCCAAGATGGCAGAGCTGAGTGACCGATTCTGACCTAACAAGAGAATAGAATTACTGATTCATATTATTCAAGCCTAGTAAACTTACCCCTGCTTCTCAAGGGCAAGCTTCTTCAGTCCCAAATAGCCTAGAGCATAGTTGCCAACCGACGCCAACGCATCTTCAGTTTTGATGGATTCCGGAACCTCCATGATCTTGTGATTGAAGGTATGCAGTTTTAGGGGTTTAGTAAAGTTGACATTCGTCGAAATTCCAGCAAAAATTCGGTCCCCAACATTAAAATCAGAGTCTTCGCCAACTTTTTCCACTGTTCCCACTAATTCTGTCCCTAAAACAATATAATTTGTTTTGTATATATTTTCGTATTAAAAATAAACTATTTTAACTTTATATACAAAGTGGTACTTGTCTGATAATCGCCATGTTTATTTATTGGGACAAACTAGTAGGTATTCTGTCAACTTTTACCTCATTGCTTCTCATTAAAAATTACCTAAAACAACAACAAAAACAACTAGAAAACATACCAAAATCACTAAGATGTCGGTTGTAATGTGAATACCTGACAGTATGAGCATCTACCTTCACGATCACTTCACTTGCCTTCAAACTGGGGTCAATTTTGGCAGTTCTTGCTACAGAATAACATCTGAATCCACTGTTGGCAATCCATCTACCGAACATAGTAAAAATAAGACAAGAATCAAACAAAACTTTTGTTTTTCATGAAATAAAACGTCGTTTGTTTTGCTATCACTCATGATGAACAACAATTTTTTGTTTTTCTTTTTTACGTGTTGCACAAAGCCAGGGATTTGTGGGAATGCGAATTTTGCGGAAAGATTGATGGTTTGAAGTTATTTTTCAGTTTTTTGCAGCACTTTTAGTAGATGTAATTAATTTTATTGATCAAGGTTTAATTTAGGAGTATTTTACATGTAACTGAATATAGTTAGATGGGGAAGAAAGGCGAAATCGTTTAGTTTAAGTGTTGTGTTTGATTGGTCTTCCTTGAGATTTCGATGGGGGAAAAGAAACTTAACGATCCACCACCGTTTAGGCCTCCAAAACTGGGCAAACCTATAATAAAGAAGGTTATGAAAAACGTGCTACAATATCAAAAATACCATGTTTTAAAAACTAACAAACAAATTTAATATTGAAGTATTTCAAAATAATTAAAGTGCATTATAAACTCAAGAAGGCACTTACTATTCATCATGACCAAGCCTTCAGGTGGCGGTGGAATGGCCAAGCATACATTAACACACAACAAACTTATTACAATCAGAAAGCGTGCAAATTTCATTTCAAAGTCAGTAAAGTAATAGGTTTTGGTGTCTATTTCAAAAATTAACGGTTTTAAAACGTATGTTGTAATAGTTCTTACTCTTCTGTTGCAACAACTTTACATAGTAAACTTTAAAAATAAACTTGAAAAGGTTCCTGTAGTAAGAGTTTTTCTACGTAAAATATGATGAATATAGTATATATTTTTTAAGTATTTATTAACATGTGGGTAATAATATAGTAAAAGTGAAGACGTAAAGCTTTGTCAACAAACTCTTTGTTTGCTTCACTGGTCAAAAAGTATATAGAACAGATTTAAAAACTTAACTATGTTATTGTTTTTGTTAATTCACCCATTTCCTTCTTGACTTGCCTAGTATTTTGTGACTTGAACTGATGTTATCTTCAAAATCAAACTTATAGTCATGTTTGTGACAAAGTTTTAAAATACTTATTGCATTTCGAATTGCCTTTTATGTTGTTTTAAAATAGAAACAAAAACAGCTGGCAGATCACAGATTAGACGACCGGTAATTACGGCTCGAACCGGTAAAACCCGACGCTTCAAATGCAAACACACAAGTTGTCTATCTTGAACTTGGCGAGAGAGTACGAGGAAGTGAGAGGGTGAGGGAAGGCAAAGGGACTATTTCTTTAATTCTCTTCGGTCGATGATGAAGACTTTCGATGTAACTTACCTTAATGACTAATCATTTCTCGATATGTCATTTTTCAACTTTTTAAATTTTATCAAACTTTCAAGTTGCTTTAGTTGATTTAACGTTAAACATATTTAATTTTTATGAAATTAATTTTTAATAAAACACTTCTTTTTAGTAGAAACTTTACCTAAATCAACTTAAAACAAGGTTTACATAAGTAAATTTAATCAACTTTACTATAATTAGGTTGGAAATATAATTCTTGCGGATGTTGGAGACGATAAAAGTCGAGAATGAGCAAGAGCGGTTTGGAAAAGATTTTCAGACGAAAGAGAAAACTTTAGCCCTCAGGCGTTTTGGGGATTTCCTGGGGGTTTTCGAGGGAAAATAATATGTTTTTCTTGTATAAAACAATATTTATGAAAATGGATTTTCGAATTTACAAAATGGTAGAGTAGGAAAGTCATTCTTTGAACTTCGTATCATAGCAATATTTTAATGGTTTTTAAAGTTAGTGTCGGCTAATTAAGTTAAGCAAAGTAAATTTAAAAAGTCTGAACCTTTTTAAAAATAAATTTAAAATGTAAATATGTATTTTTTGTAAGCCTTAGAGTATATGTTGGAAGTTTTGTTTATTGGCTACTCTGTGACACTAAAGTGGAACCGCTGGTAACTTTCGTTGTCAGAAGATGATGAAGATAAACTCAAAGATAAGATGAGTAAATGAGCAAGTCTTTTTTGTTCTGTCATATTATAAGTTATGTTAAGCTATGTTACATGACGAATTCACTAAATAGTTTAGTTTTAACTTCATTTTGGTCAAGTAATCATAAGATATTATCTTATATGGAAGCTTCTACTTTAACTTTCATCTATCAAAAAATTACTAATTTGAGTAGATTTGTACAAGGTTAACATACATACTAAAACGTTCTCGTAACTAAACGTGTTCTAAAATGTTCAGTTTAAATTTATAATGAAGAAGCCTCTGGCATAAAATTTCCTTTTTTGGTCAGAAGAAAAAGGAATAAACATGGCCAGTTTTATATAAATTTATAAGCTTTTGGGGAACATTTTACATTACCGGATACTCAAATTTTGCAATTTTTTTAAATTTAATTTTGCAGTTTTCGATTGAAAAAATAAAAGTTTGTAAAAAGTTTTAATAATTCGAGCCGTGACTAATTTAATTTTCCATGAATTTCCTACTTCTTAGTAATACTAACGTATGCTTTTTAGTGTTAACTATATATCTTTCGAGACTATATGTGTTTTGAGACTATATATGTGTTATATTTTATCATTATCATCAGTTTCTAAATATTTTTGAGATTTTTTATAATGTTTTACTGACCAAAAACCTTTTATTTACTCTGTATTGGGTATGATAACCTGATGTATTTTCTGCCCGGAAACGAGTTTCGAAACGTTCAGTTACTTTTCAGAGGCACTTTGTATTGTGTGACCAGGAAAGGGAAAGAGCACTGTTTCATTAAGCTTTCCAGAGTTATACTTTTGTTAGCATTATGTGATGTAAAAGTGTTAAAAGTGATAGTTGAAGAGCGTATTTTAGCTTGATTTAAATTTGAATAACTTGATGAAGTTTTTGGCTTCTAACACTTTTATGCCAATTTATGTTTACATTATATTTATTGATAACGGACGTGTTAAAGGCTATTTAATGAAGCTATGTTAAGAAACATAAGTAATTCTTTATGTTTCTCTTAATTGTAATTTGATATAATTAGTAAAATATTATAGGTAATGGGCCACATCAGTTCGTATTTAAAGCCGGTAGATCGGGCGTTACCAACGAAAGAGCTCAAGATAAACAATGGGGTGATCAGAGGGTTAACTTATGTGTTCGAAGATGGACGACAAGCCAGTGCTTACATGAGTATACCATTCGCTCAACCACCAGTAGGAGAACTAAGGTTCCAGGTAAATAGATCTTCATATTATAAGATTTCGTGCTGATTTTATCTTGTAGTATCTTGATATTGTAGTACTACATGATAGTTAAGCCTAAAAAAGTGGAAAGCTTTTAAAGTAGAAAATAGTGCTTAATATTATGAGTATTTAGAAGCCAAAGCCATCCTTACCATGGGAAGGGATACGTGATTGTACAAAGCTACCACCACGATGTCCTCATGCTGATATGATACACGAAAAGATGTTTGTCAGAATACCAAAGTCAGAAGACTGCCTTTACCTTAACGTATTCACACCTGGTCGTGTTGAAGATATCTCACAGAAACTACCGGTTATGGTGTTTGTCCATGGTGGGGGTTACACGATACATTCGTGTACTCATTACGGCGATAGTAATATCTGCAGGTAAAACTTTTGGTTAAGGGTAAAAACGGCTTTTTGAGAGTATTGATACTTTTTTTGGCAGTACTGTAACCGTACTAATATAGTATGGTAATTGCAATTACTACTAATGCTTTATGATAGTATTAAAGATTTTTGTATGTAGAATTACTAGGCTTTTACAATGAAATGTTATCTAAAAATGTAAAACTTCAGATGCCTATGTGTGAAGAACGTGATCGTAGTAACTTTCAACTACCGAACGGGTATTTTCGGCTTTTTCTGCACCAATGACTCTCGTGCTGCGGGAAACTACGGGTTCTGGGACATGCAGAAAGCCTTGGAGTGGGTCAGAGACAACATTTCTCACTTCGGGGGTGATCCCAACAATGTCACAATCTTTGGTCAAAGTGCTGGCGGATCAGCGGTCGATTTCTTGGCTTTATCGCCACACACTAGAGGACTGTTTCATAGGTACATAGCGATGGCAGGTAATGCGTATGCCACGTTTTCGAGGCAGAATGCGAAGAGAATGAGAGAAGAATGGCTTTACTTGGCTACTACAATGTATGGTTTCAAGCACGACGAGAAAGCTTCGGAAAGTGAGGTTAACGAACAGTTGTGGAAGTTTTTAAAGTAAGTTTTGATGTAAAAAAGATGTATAATGACAGAAAAACGTTTCGTAAAAGGTAAAATACCATCATTTTTAGAGAAATGCCAGCGACAAAGCTAGAGTTAAGTTTGCTACCATCGAGGAAGCTGAAAATCAACAGAGATGGTCGTATTCACGTGGCTCCACTAGTCGATGGAGACTTTTTCCCAAAAGACTTTATCGAATTGAGAAAAGAAATGCCAAAGAAACAGATCATTACTGGAGTTACCAAGTGGGAAAGTTTATTATTCGGTATGTTAGTCTATTAACAACATAAAACAACATATTTTAGTTTTTTTTCACAATTAATTTGGCTAAAACAACATTTCAAAGCTGAAAGCTACGTACATTTTCCTGAATTGTTTTATAATTTATAAAAAATGACTTTTTCAGTCATAGCCAAGAATATCAACAACTCTCTCAAAGACTTTGCTCGGATGGTAATGGACCAGACCTTGAGTAAGTACAAGCTGAACCAGCCGAAGGAGGAGTTGATCGAGAAAGCCTTTGCTACATTTCTGGACGAATCAAAGTCACCAAAGTCGTTGGAGTACAAAGAGCAGATCATAAAGATGTGTTCGGACGTCATGTTCAACAACAGTACAATTTATCTGGCAGAGACTAGTGTGAAGAACGGTCATGATGTATATCTGTACACTTTTGAGTATCACCGACCGAATGTCGCTGGATTGTTGGGACATTTCTTCCCGTTCAAAGGTATCTTTGTATTTATAGGGAAAAAGTTATTAGGTTGTTCACATAATTATATGCCCCCTCTCAAAGCCAATTTGTGGGGTTTATGGGTCACAGAATTATTTGAAAATCATAATAATAAAAGTGACACTTTTAAGCTTTTTTATAATAAAACTAAATTCAGGGGCCACTCACAGCACGGAACTCGCCTATCTCTTTGGTAAATGTATCGTATCTACCCACTTCACCCCATCAGCTGAAGACCTACTAGTCATGGACCGATTCACAAACTTGTTTTCAAACTTTGCTCGCTCAGGTGATCCAAATGGTACAGGCGACAAGAAATGGGTACCAATAACAAAAGACAATATAGAGAACAACTTCACGATAGACCTTGGAGACTGCACGATGAAGTCAGAATTCTGTGAGAATCGCTACAAGAAATGGCTGGAAATCTGGCCTAATCTGAATGAATGGCCTACGGTAGAAGATGCTGAAGAGTTTGAGAGTGTGGACATGCCTGTTACCGAGGTTGATACTATTGAGAATGAACTGATAGCCGATGATAAGGCGTTGAGGAATGGAGATTCTAAGTGAGAGTAGGCTAGGTAGTATAAGTGCTGATTTAACATTACTTTAAGCGTTTTACACTGTCACAGGAACATAGATTAATAATTGCTAGAGTGTCTAGTCTAGAGTAATATCACATTTTCTTATAGCTAAACGTTTTTTTAAATTACATTTTTACTGTAACAGCGCGGTAAAAGGACTTTGTAAACTATATTTTTAATATCTACCGTAGAAAACACTACTGTAACTTTAGAGAAAACCTTTTTGTAACCATGGTGTCGTTGAATAGAAAACCAACTTTCAAATGAAAACGTGTCAAACTGATAATATCTACCATTTACATTGTTGTAGCTATTTGTATTTATTGTAATTGTTGTTTTATGTTGTTATTTTACTTTTTAACTTGTTGAAATTAAAATTACTGACCCATTTATGTGAGTCTGCTTAGGCACTTGAATATACAAGTAATATGAGTTCTGCCATGCCTCGGGTGTAGCCTTTGATCATAAAAAGTTTTGAATGTAAAGGAACGTGCTAGCTTATGAAATGATTTTATCAATCTTATATTTAGACATTACTTTCACGTAGCTCCGATAGTCTATTTTTAAAGCGTGTTAAAAGATTTTAGAGAATGTGTTGATAATTAATGAAGGAAAATGAAAGGAATTTGCGTGAAGAAGACATCAGATTTCAATCAAAACCACTGTTAATTCGACCGGACAGTTTTTATGTTTTCGTATTTCATATGTGGGCATAAACATAACATAACAGCCGTGGAAGGGCTTTACTGTAGTATTTTTTCAATTTTTTAAAACTGTTTGTAGAAAAGGCTTTAGGCTATTTAGCAGCTCAACATTTTTTAAACATTTTTGGTCTTAAAATTGAAATTCCAAAGGATTCCAAGAGCTTTTAATAGTTTTTGTTACTCCTTAAGGTTTCAACGGTAAGTAACCTTGTACAAGGTTTAATTAAAGTTACTAACCCTTACAAACAAACGTTGTAAACATTTTTGTGTATAAAAGGGGTGAGAGTAAACTGTTTCAAATACTTAATATACGTTTGTAGACCAATTTTAAAGTTCGTGTTATCCGCAAATTATAGGGCTTAATTTGTTTTATATCTCGAGTAAAAGGGGCCATAAAACTGGGTTTGTCTGATGGGCCGTTTCTTCAGAAGGCTTGGGCCATCTGCGCACAAAAGAACTCGGATTATTAGATTAGAAAGCGATAAGGACTACTTTATATTATACTCGGGTTGGGGAAGTCACAGACCAGAAAAAACGTAATGATATTGCCAATTTTTGTAATTACAGTTTTTAGAGAATAATTTTTTTTATCTTTCGAGTACTTTTGGACTTTTAACATTATTTTCTTGATAATAGTGTACATACTTTTATAGTATTATACATCTATCAACTTTAGTATTTTTATATCTTTCCGGTACTAACTTAGCATAACTTTTCTCTAGCAATGTTGATTGTTAATTTGCCATAGAATTCAAGAATTTGTATCGAGAACTTGTAGAACAATTTCCTAGGGATTCGAAGACGTTTGGCTTTTGCTTTGGGGATTCCGGAGCATAAACATCAAGTGTTTTTGGGGCCGAGGACATCTAAACGTCGTTACTATGACTTTGCAATGTTCGGGAATACTTATTGTTATTGGGCATTATTTTACTATGTAACTTTTGAATTTAACTTGTATCATCGTATATATTCTTTCAAATTGTAAGTATTTTCATAACTTTGTGTGTAGTGATCTTACAGACTTTACGACAATGAATATTTTTAAATTGCATAAATATTGTTTTGGGTAAAACTTTTTTTCCGCTTATTAATACTACTGTTACCTAAAATAAAAAAGTAATAGTAAAGTAGCTTTACTTAATCTCGGTGCTGTCCAAAATAGCCTTATGAGAAGTTTTTAACTAAAACATATAAGCCTGAAGATTGCTTGAGCAAATATTGGATTGTAATAAATAAAAACAGCTCAAGAAACGTTTCGAAGTAATTACGAGGCGGGCGAGCAACCTCAAAGGATCGAAAACGGAACACAAATGTTCGGAATCCGCTTACTTACCGAGTTGCCTTCTCCTCTGATTCGAAGCTAAAAGTAACAATTTGGGGGCTCAAAGTAGGGGATTATATATTATTTTATAACTTCTTTAGTAAGACATGTTATAGTAGTGTTAAGACTTCTATAAGTGGTCTAAAATGCACAGAAAAAATAAAAAAAAATTTTTTTCGGTGATTTTTTTGCGAAACGTTTTGTTATTCTGGCAATTTTTCTATATTATTATATCTTTAGTCATCTTTTTAAAATTTAAACTATAATGTTGCCCCTTTTTGTAAAATTTACGTATTTTTTGATTTTTAAAAATGTGAAAATAGTTATCTGTTCGAGAGCTGCCACTTTGATTAATCATTTGAATTTCGCGCCATTTTTTGACATTTGATAATGGATTCATTCCGTCGTTATTTATGGCAAAGTAAACAAACTGTTTACCATTTCGCAAAATCATTTTTTTTAAATAATAAATTGAGAAAATTTTAAAAACTGGGAGAACATAAGCAGCTTAAAATTTAAACGCTTCTGTTGTACCATTTTATACCGGACCATCGTACCATCTTATACTAGACTATACCACTGTAACTTTTCATAAATATAAAATAATCCGCAATTTACCGTAGAAACAACGTATTTTACCTAGAAAACAATGGCATTAAAGGCCATTTATTCCTATTTTAATGTCTTTTGCCGTTCGAGTGCCACTTTTGTCTCGTTTTCGATGACATTTCATTCAATTATTCCAATTTCCTTAAAGTGGCGCACTTAATGGGACGCGATATTCTTTTTTTTGGCACTTTTATAAGGTTTAATTTTGCATTGATAATGGTTTTTAAGGCTTATTTTCTTGTTTTAACGGCAAAGATTAGTGTAAAATGACATTGAAAGTTAAAATTTTAAACATTTTTGTTGTTTTTTTGTAAAAATTTGTTTTAGAAAGGCTTATCTAGAAAGGTAACGCATGTTTTCTTTTATCCTCTGATTTGGTATATCTTTTTATATTTTATTACATTTTTTATAACATAGCCTTTACTATATATTTTTATAACGTAACCCAATTATAGTGCCTTGAACTTAAACACCAAAAATCAGTACTGTCCATCTTTTCCCTGAACCGCTCGCCACCCATACCTCATGCATTTCGACCCTTATTGAGTGCAGTTTCTGACCGCACATTCGGCTCATAAATTTGGTCGATTTGACATTTGGCGCTCGCTCTCTCCCGGTTTCTCGAGTGATTCGGGTCCCTCGGGTCGGAAACCTTTCGCTCTGCTCTTTGTTTCTTGGGGGGATAAACTGAATGCAGTTGCACCCCTCTTCTTGGCCTGGACCCCTCTCTTGGCCGCAAAACATTTTCTTTCGAAAAATCGGCCCAAAAAACATGAACCGTCTTTGTAGAAGCGGGGCCAGAATCTGCGCTTTTTTGGGGACCGCTTCCGGCTTCGGATCCAGTCTCTATGTCGAGAATGGATTTGAAGACGATGGTTGAAGAACAAGATTGCCGGGCCAAAGAACGGCCGAAGGGATGAGGTTTTGAGTGGAGAGTAGGGTCTGGGAATAGGTTTAAGAAGATGACATAGTGTTCCAAAGTCTCTGAATAACTTTTTATAACCGTGTTGTCTTCAAGTTGACGTTACAAGTCTATTTTTTACCAAATAGTATGAGTAATATCTTTTTTTCTGTCACTTCATTCCCTGTAAAACAAAAAGTAATCTTACTCTCCTTCCATCCCCACTCCAATCATCTCCAGTTTAATTAAAGTAGCCTCAATTCCCATTATTCAATTCACATCGTATTCAGAACCTATGCCTATTTACTGCATGTTATTTACTCCGTGGTAATTCCCTATTTACTACAGCTTGTTTTGTTCGAAATGTGGGCTTATTTAAAAGCTTTTCGCAAGTTCTAACCAGTGTTTGGAGTTTTGACAAGTATGATACTGAAAAGAGTGGCAGGTCTTATATTTTCTGACAAAAAAGTCTTCCCCTTTTTCGAAAGTCTTATAGCTTCTCAAAAGTCATATACCTAGTCCAATAAAAGACCACGGTGAAATGAGAGAGGCCAGAGAAGTTACAGAGTAAACAAAACTGATAGTGCGGTCAGAGAATGTCAACCGGCTTTTTTTCTTTTTCGTCTCTTCGATTCGAAAAATGTTTAGGAATAGTCTTTGGCCCTCAGGGGATACAAGCTTTGACTCCAACATTTATTTCTAACATGGCTCTTAGATACAATATAAAATGTCATAAATACAGTAGAACATAGTAGTGATTGTAGACCTTTAAAAAACAGTTTTGTTTTTATTTACAACATAATCTTTGGTCGTTTATAAGCAATCTAATACTTTTGTCTCAAAATATAGCAGCATATAGAATTTTACGATGCCTTCTACTCCTTTAGGCATTATTGCTAAAAATTTTTTCATTTTAAGGAGTTTTCTTAAAATTTTTTAATTTTAAAATTTATTTTCCAATTTTTTAAATATTTTGGTGTTGCTAAATGTAAAAACATGTTTTTAAACTTTCATTTAACGTGCATGATCTTTCAACTCAGCGTTTCCTCTTGCTATGCATAATATAGGCCTGTTCCCTTTCGCAGTATAAGTACTGGCAATAGTTGTAATCGAGCATTTTGTCTCTCTTTTGGTCTTTCTTTCTCTGTCATCTCTATATTTACCTAACTATCTCACAATACCGTCTCTAAACAAACCTCAATATTCTTCTCTGCCGTCTCTCTATTCAACGTACTCTCTCTTCACCCCACTCTCGGGCAATCTTTTCCCGAATGCCACAAAGGCTTGGTCTCTTTGTTTCGAAGCGAATTTCGTCCCGTTCCTTCCCCCCCCCCCTTTTTTTCCCTTTTTTGACCATCTGCACCCCAGCCCGTCGAGAGTCTCGACGTTCGCAAAAAAGCCGGGTCAGCGAATACACACTCTCGCTTTTCCCGACCTTTATGTATAGTTAATGTCATAGCTAATTCCCGGGCTTAATTTTGTTATTTAGTACTAGTTTGGGCATTTGTAAAGTTTTATAGTTTTATACATCTTGAGTTAAATAGGTAAAAAGGTTTATTTTAGACTCTTTTTAATATCAAAAATTGTAAATTTTTACTATCAATTGTTATCCTTTTTACTTTTAGGTTTAAAGCCATAAATTTCCCTTTTTCTTTCAAATTGAAAGTTATTTTTGGTTCAGCTGAACGTTCAGATCTCTTATGAATAAGCAAAGGTTTCTTTTATTTCCCTTAATTTGACGTTTTATTTCTGTTTTGACATTGATAACGAGAGCAAACACTTGTTTTTGTTGATTTTTGTAAACAGACGCTCGTTTTGGTATTATTATTAATTACTTTTACCTTTCATTAGAACAATAATACTTTTCGATTTGTTATAGTTAGATTGTCACTTCCTTTAGTTCTATTACACCCTTTTCTATATTTAGATGTTTAGAGTGTGTGTAATGTTGTTTACAAATCTCTAAATTCTTGCATGATTTCGTAAGTTTGTAGCCATTAGAGTGCACTGTTGAGTAATCAGTAGTAAAACAACTATTTGTATAGGTAGTCAAGTGTAATGTGAAAGAATTTGGGTGGTTTTATACAATTGTAGTAAAAATATTCTTTTAGTAAAGTGTTACATTTTGATATCACTTTGTTTACCGGTAACCTATATTTACTTTTTTGACTTTTAAAATGATTTTTAGCCATTTTACTCTGTTTTCGTTTACCAAAAGTTTAGCAAAACCTAAAAACCTTGGTCAACCCTGAATAGACTTTTTTTTCAAAGAAGACAGCTAGTCCAGTCCTCCGTAATGCCAGTCTCAAATTACTGAAATCTCAGTTCCCTCAGATTCTACCTTTGCTTTTCGTGTCTGCCGCTCTCCTCCCAGCCCCCATACCTGGTAATAATCTGGTTGTGACCTTTCCGCGTCCCCTGGTTGCCGGATTTCCCTCGGCTTTTGTTTCTCGTTATTAATCTCAATTCTTTTCGATTTTTTGCTCATCTGTAAACAGTTTGTGATGGGTTTACTACATGATCCACGGGTATTTGATTGTTTGTAGAATTTTTTAAAAAATTTTTTAGTAATTTTTATTTAAAGTTTTTAAAGAAACAGTAAAGGGGGTTTAAGCAAAGGGTTTAAAGCTGTTGTTATCAAAACAAATTTTCAAGGTTTTGATAGTTTCAATTAATGAAATTTTGACAATTTGTAACAAAATTCATTAAAAACATCAAAATTTATGCGCGTGTCGGAAGAGATGAACGGATACGAAATTACGGGTAAAATTCGATCGTAGGAACACCTTTCCCCGACCTTACCGCCTTGGTTTGATTAGGTTTTGGAATTCTTTCCTGTTTTACACAACAAATAAGCGTTGAAATTGTGTTTGTAAACAAAATTTATGATAATTTAGGACAAAAAATTCCTATTTTTAATTTTTTTAAAAGATAATTTAAATATTTTCTGTTTCTTATTGTATCAATGTTAAAAAATATTGAATTGCATCCTATTTTAAAAATATTTTAAATCAATTTTTATGTCAAAAACTCCTTAAAAGCCATGTTTATTCACATAAGCCCTCCGTGTTAACACATTCCCTCCAAACCGTGATGTTTTGCCATTTTGACCCCATAACAACCGCGAAATTCTTTTCAGTCGATTTTTCTCGTAAATAAATACTCAAGGAAAGACAACTTTGTGTGAGTCAGTTCTGTGCATGGAAATCTCTTGCTGCGGAAATAATTTAGTTTTTTGACGGATTTGCGAAGCCATTTCTGGTGTTATATGGAAATTAAACGACCATATTCGGAACGTTTGTGGGAGTTTTACCGTTTTAATGCAATTGACTGGCTTGGGTTGGGAAAATGTAGTAAAATCAACGTTAGGGGGAGGTAATATGTGAAATTTCACAATTCTTTATTTTATAAAATATATTGAATATAATATTTCCTCAAAATCAATTATATAATCGTAATAACACTACTCTTTCCTTTACATTACCCATTTATCCCCTGAGAATCGCGTTCTTAACTTATGTCCCCGTTTATTTCTTGTACTGAACACAGTAATCACCATAAAACCGCGTCCCGCGCCCTCCCTCTATCTTAAAAACTATAACAATATGACTTCAGGTCACAGAAACTGCCACGACCACCGTGTTTAACGGGGTCCTGGACCTCGACGAACGAATAAAATAAAAAATCGACAAAATGGGTCACGATGAATCGCCGGAGAACGGTCATTCACAGCACCAGGACGTGCCCGAGACCAGCGGGAATGTAGAACAGCCAACACAGAAGAAACCCCAAGATCAGAACGCTACATTCCTCCGTGCCGCTCGTGCCGGGAACCTACAACAAGTCCTCGACTTTCTCCACAACGGTGTCAACATCAATACCTGCAACTCCAACGGCTTGAACGCTCTGCATCTGGCTTCGAAAGAGGGACACAACGAAGTCGTGCGAGAGCTGATACGTCGTGGAGCTGAGGTAGATTCAGCTACGAGGAAAGGCAACACGGCGCTTCATATTGCATCGTTGGCCGGCCAAGACATCATCGTTACCATCTTGGTGGAGAACGGTGCCAATGTGAATGCACAGAGCTTGAACGGCTTCACACCGTTGTATATGGCAGCTCAGGAGAACCACGAGAACGTTGTACGATACCTACTATCACACGGTGCCAACCAAGCCTTGGCTACTGAAGATGGATTCACACCATTGGCTGTAGCTCTACAACAAGGTCACGACCGTGTTGTAGCTTTATTGTTAGAGAACGACAACAGCAGTAAAGTAAAGCTACCAGCACTACACATCGCGGCCAAGAAGGACGACACTCGAGCAGCTACATTACTACTACAAAGTGAACAGAATCCGAATGTGACATCGAAGAGTGGATTCACGCCTCTTCATATCGCTGCTCACTACGGTAATGAAAATGTAGCCAGTCTTCTGATTGAGAAAGGAGCTGATGTCAACCACAAAGCTCGTCACGATATCACCCCTCTACACGTTTCATCGAAGTGGGGTCGTGTGAATCTGTGTAAACTGCTTCTGGATAACAATGCCATCAAGGACAGCAGAACTCGTGACTTGCTGACTCCACTGCATTGTGCTGCTCGATCTGGTCATGATCTCGTTGTTGATATCTTGTTAGAAAACGATGCTCCAATCAACGCCAAGACCAAGAACGGTCTAGCTCCACTTCACATGGCGGCACAGGGTGATCACGTTGAATGTGCCAGAATCTTACTGTACCACCATGCTCCAGTAGATGATGTTACAGTAGATTACTTGACACCTTTACATGTAGCAGCTCATTGCGGGCACGTTCAAGCAGCCAAGCTGCTACTGGACCGTCACGCCGATCCCAATGCCAGAGCCTTGAACGGCTTCACTCCCCTTCACATCGCTTGCAAAAAAAACAGAATCAAGGTTGTTGAGCTGCTACTTAAGTACTACGCTTCCATGGAAGCTACAACTGAATCTGGGCTTGCTCCACTTCACGTTGCTTCGTTCATGGGATGCATCAACATCGTCATGTACCTGATTCAACAGGGAGCCAAAGTAGACGTAGAGACTGTTAGAGGAGAAACCCCACTGCATTTAGCTGCTAGAGCTAATCAGACCGATATTGTTAGAGTACTAGTACGGAACGGAGCCAACGTGAACGCCAAAGCTCGCGAACTTCAGACTCCACTCCACATCGCTTGTAGATTAGGTAACACAGACATTGTACTTATCTTATTAAATGCCAAAGCTGACCCCAACGCCGCTTCCAAAGACGAATATACAGCTTTGCACATCGCTGCCAAGGAGAACAAAGAAGAAGTCGCACAGATTCTTCTTGATCACAACGCCAACCAGAAGGCTTTGACAAAGAAAGGCTTCACTCCTCTTCATCTGGCTGCCAAGTACGGTAACTACGATGTAGCCAAACTTCTGTTGGAACGAGGAACTCCAGTCGACATTGAAGGCAAAAACCAAGTCACCCCTCTCCACGTTGCTGCTCATTACAACAACGATCGTGTGGCACAGCTTCTGCTACAAAATGGAGCCGGAGCACAAGCTACGGCCAAGAACGGCTACACTCCACTTCACATTGCGGCCAAGAAGAATCAGATGGAGATAGCCAGCTCGTTACTCAGCTACAAAGCCGACCCCAACGCTACGAGCAAAGCCGGCTTCACTCCTCTGCATTTGGCTTCAGAATCTGGCCACAACGAGATGGCGGCGCTACTGATCGAGAACGGCTCCAAAGTCAACGCTACGGCCAACAATGGCCTGACGCCACTTCATCTGTGTGCCCAAGAAGACAAGGTCGAAGCTGCTAGAGTGCTGTTGGCCAATAGAGCTGAAGTCAATGCTAAGACCAAAGCCGGCTACACACCGCTACACGTAGCGTGTCACTTTGGACAACTGAACATGGTCAGACTTCTGATGGAGCACGGTGCTTTGGTGGGATCGGAAACGAGTGCTGGCTACACCCCGCTTCATCAAGCTGCTCAACAAGGTCACAACAGTGTGGTTAGGTATCTTCTGGAGCATGGAGCTAGTCCTAACACTAAGACTGCGGTAAGTAATCAAGTTACCATATCTTTGATTTTTAAAGCTGAAAAATTTAAAAAAGAATCAGTCTAGGATTTATACTAACTTTTAAAAGCTGTTACCTAAATGATTTTAAGAAAGAATTTAAATTTAAAACTTCAAAAGAACTGACCCAATTCAGCTAGACTCTTTCGTATCCCCAAAATTAACTTTGCAGTATTTAAAAAACAATCCCACGCCAACAATAAATACCGTTAGATAATCCGCAGCGGGGAAATAAACAAACCTTTTGAATATGAAACGATCCATTTCGTTTTGTAGAATATTTTGGTCAGTTCAAGGCTTTCAGTCAACTACTGCTTACTTTTTTGAAATTCTTTCGTTTTTTTACTTCAAAAATCTAGTCGAAAAATTTTTTGAGTTGTTTTAGGTAATAACAGTTACATTTTTGTCACAAAATGAATTATTAAGGTCTCAAAAGCATTGGCACTTCAAACAAAAGTACTGCAAAATAGTGCCAAAACTTTTGTTACCTAAAAACTTGCTTTGAACCCAAATATAATATTCGTTTCGATAGAGAAAATGTGTAAGCTTACATGTAAGACACTGAATAAAAAACAATTCAGGTGTCGATGCAAAGTCATGACAAACCTTGTTAACACGACGTTTTGTTTTGTCTGACTTGATTTCCTCAGGGACTTTGGGGACGGAAATTTCATGCCGTGACAGATTTTTGTGTTCTTATAAATTGCAGGATTTCGACCAGCTTCTCATTGTTTTTGGGGAAAATCGGTCATCGGGCAATTACTTTCGAACCATTTTTAAAGTTTTGGCGGGCTTAGGGCTTAAAATAGCTTTCTATCCGGATTTTACTATCTTTTCGAGCTGAGCTACTACAATATAAACATTTATAGTAGGCCTTTACTAAAATAAAATAATTTTTTATATTATAGTAGTAACAAGCCTTATTATATGTGATTTTTAAATAAAATATGCTCTAAATTTTAAAATTTACTACTTTTTGACATTATGCTAGCATGGTAAGTAACCGCTTAAGAGATACGTTGTGCTTTTTGCACGTTGCTGTGCGGGATGGATAATATAATTAAAAAGTTGACAGAACAAACCCAACTCTTCCGGCTGACTAACTCAACATTTACTTTTGATGAATGTTCAATTCAGCCTCAGGCAAAAATATATTTTGGGGTGGAATAAGGTTTTTTTCGTGCTTAAAATAATTTTTTAAAATTAATTTTATAAAAATAAAAAATTTTGATAGTTCCACCACTTTCTGACCTTTTAACCCATTATCTTGTCATAAATGTAAAATTTAAATTGTTATTTCAATTTTACTGAATTTACCTTCGTTTTGTATCTTTTACTATAACATAACTATAAAAATAAGCTGCAAATGTTATAGTAAACAATAACACCCCTTTTCCAACCGAAAATACACTTTTTTAAACCGCAAGATATGTTGTTCACGGCTAATTAGATCATGGAAATTTAGTTGAAAGGTTCGCGAAACATATGGGGCACTGATATTATACCCGTCCTTCCAAAACACTTGATAAACTAATTATTGTGTCATTACTTTGGTCAAGATACGAACATTTCAGTCATATTTTTTGTTTTAATGTAAAAAAATTAAAATTTCGATTATAACTTTAGTATGATTTCTGAATCTTCCTAATTTTAACTTTTTCTCTACAACAATACATAAAATTTGTTACCTAAACTAATAGTAACTTCAATAATGTTCTATTTTCAGAACGGCCAAACGCCCCTGTCCATCGCCCAACGTCTTGGCTATGTTAGCGTGGTAGAAACGTTGAAGACCGTAACCGAAACTACCGTAATCACAGAGACTACCACCGTGACCGAAGAACGCTACAAACCGCAGAATCCGGAAAGGATGAACGAAACCATGTTCTCGGATTCAGAAGACGAGGTAGACGAGCACCAACAAGCTCAACAAGAACATGCCAAGGACTTCAACGAGAGCATCACCCAAGGGCTGAAGGACTCGGCCGTGATTCATCTGATTCACACTGGAGAACAGGGAAAGAACAGCACGTTCGACGCTACTGATGCTGATCTGGACGCGGTTATTAAGAGGGCGCAGGTACTGTTTGTAATATTATAGTACTAAGTTGTGGATTTAAACATATTGTTTGGTCAAAAAGTTCGTAAAAATCGCAAAAGGATAAAAAAATGTCTTAAAAATGGTCATTCAATAAACTTTTTGACCTACATAATAACTCTCATATAAATCTCTTACCTCTTTTCATTAATTCCCATCTCTTTGCAGGCCGAACCAGTCACCACTGCCATTCCAGACCCAACCATTCTGGACCATTCTGCTGATGACAATATTATCATTGTCAAAGATACCATCCAGCCGAGGTATGTTATGTTATTCTTTGCTTTACTGGCATGCTTGATTCTCTTCGCTGAAAGAATAATACTTTCGTTATAGCTTAGGGTATATTAGAGTAGATTTTTCAAGTTTTAAAGACCTATCTATTTTTTTGACCATTTATTACCTAAAAATTCATTAAAGGTGTAAATTTAGCAAAGTATACTCTGTAGAAACAAATTTTACTAGATTAACATTGTTGAGCTTCAAACTTAACATAATACTGTTCATAACTTAACCATAGTATAATATATTATGATGGGTACTCATAGTTGTTATTGTTATTGTAAGAATAAAGTCTCACTGCTTCGAATTTCACATTCTTTTGCTTATTTTACTTTAACTTCTATTACTAACACAATCTTTTCCGATTTCCAGCAAGCTACACCTCAAGACGTAGGTTTACTCTGACAGTAAATGTTGCTGTGTCATGATCGTACTTTTGGAGTGTTTAGCTTTGTTTAGTGTGATATTTGGCTAGCGAGAGATTTATAAAAAATAAAAGATTTTTGAGAGCTAATGTGAAGTGATTAACCACAGTAAATTGTCTATCGTCTATAACACAAGCACGCTGAGAGAACGTTAAAAACTGTAAAACAATATATTTTTATGTCGAAAGTAGATATTTTAGTAATTTTTTTCTTGTAAACCCACGTTTTCGATGCCAAGAGTAGAAATTGATGTTGCTTTAGTATTTCTCGTTAGTTTACATCAACATTTGTTAGTTTTTTGATCAGATACTGGTCGTTTGGATGCCACTAAACTGTCAGAAATTATATTAACCACACTTCTTTTGTTTCTCATGTTTTGGCTAACAAAAGGTTAGTGCCAAACATACATGATCATGAGTAACATAAAAAATAACCCTGAACAACATGAAAAGCAAAATAAACCTCATGAATAACATCCAATCCTCCAATATTTGAAATAATAATGATACGTTAACGTTGCTTACCTTAACATCCATTTCAGCTTCTTAATCTCCTTCCTGGTTGATGCTCGTGGTGGAGCGATGCGAGGATGTCGTCATTCTGGAGTCAGAGTTATCATTCCACCAAGAAAGGCAGCACAGCCTATGAGAATCACCTGTAGGTATCTGAGAAAGGAGAAGTTGGCTCATCCACCTCCACTAAGTGAAGGAGAAGCTCTGGCTTCAAGGATTCTGGAGATGGGACCTCACAGTGCCAAGTTCTTGGGTCCAGTTGTCCTGGAAGTACCACACTTCGCGTCGCTGAGAGGCAGAGAACGAGAGATCGTGATCCTCAGGTCGGACGATGGACAACATTGGAAAGAGCATCAGTTGGAGGCTACTGAAGATGCTGTTCAGGAAGTAAGTCCTCAAATATCTTGAAAAACATTGAATTTTGATTTCAAAACTCGAAAAAACCCGAAAAAACCTTTCGGAACAAAATTTTGTTTTTTGGGCGCAGCTCGGGCGAAAAAAATTAAAATTCAATATACATTTTTTTAAGTTTATTTTTTAGGTCCTCAACGAATCCTTTGATGCCAATGAACTCAGTCAACTCGACGATCTTCACACATCGAGAATTACTCGTATCTTGACCAACGACTTCCCGATGTACTTCGCAGTTGTGACTCGAGTTCGTCAAGAAGTTCATTGCGTAGGACCAGAAGGCGGTGTTATCCTTTCATCCGTGGTACCTAGAGTTCAAGCCATCTTCCCAGATGGCAGTTTGACCAAGATCATCAAGGTTTCAGTCCAAGCTCAGCCAGTGCCAGTCGAGATAGTGACCAAACTTCACGGTAATCGTGTAGCCGTCTCTCCAATCGTCACGGTGGAGCCAAGAAGAAGAAAGTTCCACAAGCCTATCACTCTCTGCATTCCATTGCCTCAGTCGGCCAACAAGAGTATGCTAACTCAATATACTGGCCAGCCAGGCCAAGAGCCACCTACCTTAAGGTTGTTGTGTTCGATTACTGGAGGATCGTCACCAGCTCAATGGGAAGACATCACTGGCACTACACAGTTGACTTTCACTGGAGAAGAGGTCAGCTTCACCACCACGGTGTCTGCCAGATTCTGGCTGATGGACTGTCAGACGCCTCGTGACGCTGCCAGAATGGCTCAAGAAGTCTACAATGAAGCCATTGCTGTACCGTACATGGCCAAGTTCGTAGCCTTTGCTCGTCGACCATTCCCTCTTGAAGGTCAGCTGAGATTGTTCTGTATGACAGATGACAAAGAAGACAAGACTCTCGAGAAGCAGGAAGGTTTTATTGAAGTCGCCAGAAGCCGTGATGTTGAAGTTCTCAGTGGCAGACATCAATTCCTTGAGTTTGCTGGAAATCTGGTGCCAATCACAAAGAGCGGAGACCAACTGGCAGTCTTTTTCCTGCCATTCCAAGAGAACCGGCTGGCATTCAACTCCAAGGTTCGTCAGCCAGATGACCAAGAAGCCAGTTCGACCGGTCGAATTGCGTTAATGAAAGAGCCAAGAGTGCGATCCGAGAATCTGCCACCTCAACATCCGATCTGCACCTTGAGTATCACATTGCCAGACTACAGAGGTCCTTTGCCGGCTTTGAAGCCGAATGCTTTGGACAAGTTGGACCCAATCCAAGCTAGATATCAATCAGCTTTGGCTACAACACCAACCGAGAGCGATTTGGCCACTCAGATGGACTTTGTGGCCAAGAAGATCGACGCAGATTGGCAACGATTGGCCAGAGCATTGGGAATCCATGACAGTGATATTAGACAGATCAAGAAGGAAATGGGAGGGCAAGAAGCCTTGACTGCTCTCAAGATTTGGGTTTTCTTGAAGGGAGAGGAAGCTACCAGTGAGTTCATACCTAAATTTACAGAATATTCTCTTTCAAACGTGGTGAACTTATTTTAAGCCTCAAATACTATAAGAGTTTGGGTAAACCAATATTGCTGTATTTGAAATGTTAGGAATTTAATTTTTTTAAACTAAAAAATTGTTTTTTACAAAAAATATGTTATTTTAACTTATAAAAATATGTGAAAAATTACAAACCAATGTTATTTTAGGTATAAAAAGACTGGTTTACGCAGGGACGTCGCTACGGTTTTTCTCTGGGGGGGGAGGTCGAAAAAATTTTTTTTTCGTTTTGCCGCGTACAGGTACCTACCTACCTGTGGAATTTTTTTCGGATCGGCTCTGGGGGGAGGGGACCACAAACGACGTCCCTGGGTTTACGTATAAATTAATATTTTTTATAGAAGAAAGGTGTTTTTTATGTTGTAAAACTACATAAATAATATAAATGGACCTTTTCTTTCAGTTCCGGAGCTACATTCCGCTCTCAGACGCATCGGACGCGACGATATTGTGCACAAGTTGCTGAGAGGCGACTTGGACACGGATTCGTTGCGTTTGATCGACCAGTCGACTTTCAATCTTCGCGGATCTCAAAGCAACTCTCGGGCTGATCTCGTGGATCGATCACGTAAGTTTTCCGACTTTGTGTTATTGATTTAGGGCTACCCATAGGGTTTACAACATTATAGAAGCCGTTATTACTCGTGCTGAATGGTGTAGTACTGATAGGAAGAATAGAATTAGAGTAAAACAATACTACTAATGTTAAGAATAGTTTTGTTACCTAAATTACCTATAATAACAACAGTACTGCTACCTAAATTTGAATGGGCGGTAAAAGTATGTAATTTTACACATAACAATCAGTTTGAATGTTGACTTAGATTAACACTATAATTTAACTAGGCAATACAAGTAGATAACACCAGAGTAACAGTTAAAAATCCGTTTGCTGTGTGTGTGCTAACAACATTTTAGGTAATAAATTTCCTAAAAGTAGTATTTTCGTTCTTGAATAGTTAATTTGGTTGGTTTGAAGTGACAAGTTCCGTTTGTTTTATTTTGTTTTAACCTTCCCAACTAATTTACTGGGCTATGGTGTATATTATACTACACTGTCTACCCTCAATGTCTGATCCTTATCTTTAAATTGCGGTTCTCCAGTTAACAGAAAATGGTTGCAACTTAACAAAACTAGGTTTAAAAGGTTTTAAATTAACAAAACTAGATTGGAAATGCTTTGACTTTGACTAAAAGAACGTTTTACGAAAAAAAGGTCCAATTTATGTTATAATTGGTCGTTTATGATGTGTAAGACCGTTAAAAACTCTTTAACAAGCCATATATTACCTATTATTTTCTTTAAAACGGTTGTGACTTTTGATTACTGAGGTGGAGTGGTATTAACAGTAAAATTACATATGGTTACTGTAGGGTTTTACATGTTTTTAGACATAAACTCTAATTTTTTGTCAAAGTATGTCAAAAACATAATTTTTTACTAAATCGGGTTTAAAATTAATTGAAGTTAAGCTTAAAATAACATGAAAACAAAAATTGGTGTTACAGTAGGCGATGTACGAAAAGTTACTACCGTAACCCGCACGGAACGTCGAGTCCATCGTCAAGAAGGTGCTGAACCTGTAGTCGACGAGAAGGTGACTACACGCACGATAGAAGACGAAGGTGCCAACGAGATTGTGAGAGAACATCACGGTCTACCATTAACAGAAGAAGAGGCCGAACATTGGATGAGAGATCCTTCTGAGCATCCAGAAGCCGAAGACATCTTCACCAGAAGTCGAGAGAGTCAGGTGGTGCAACAATTCGAGCTGACTCCGGATGGCGTGATCGAAAGAAGAACGTTGATCACACAGCACGTTATTCCTGATGTTGCTCAACAACATGAACTACAGCATGAGTTGAATGATCAGCCAGGCCAAGCGTATCGTGACGGGATTCCAGACGATGTAGATAACGAAGACAGTGTTATCGTACATCAAGATGAACCTTCTGAAGATCAGCCTTCAGAGGGTCAATCTTCAGAAAGTGTCTTAGCAGGTGCTTCTGAAGATTTAAATGAAGATCCAACACGAGTTGAACAACAAACTTCTGAAGTCCAGGAATCTGAAGCTCAACCAGAAGCTTCTGAAGCCCAAGAAGAGTCAGAAGCTTCATTACAACAATCGATTCAACATCAACAAGACGTGGAGAATCAGAATATCGTGGACTACAGTCCAGATGCTCTTCCTCCACCTCGTGACGAACAAACCCCACAAGCTGACGACGTTGTTACTCATGCTCATCCAGCTCAGATCGCTTCCTCATCCGGTAAAAACTTGAATTAACTTTTCCCGAGTTAACAGTCAATGTCTCCTCGAGTCTACTAAGCTTTACTGTGCCGTGTTTTTGCCGTTTTTGCTTCTACTAGCGGATTCTGAAGTTTGCGTAGAAATCTATTCTACTATAAAGTGTGGTTGTGTCAGGAAATGTGGTGCTATTGGTACGCAAACTTTGGAAAAAGCTTTGTTAATCAGGAGGGTTGAAGGGCTATAGATATGGTTATGATAATATATTGATTAATTTTTTGGGAGCTTAGCCCTTCAATCTTACTGTAGCTTCTTTTGTGGATCGTTTGCTTCTACCCAAGGATATTAGTACATAGTTATTGGAGTTAGGTAGTAAAGCAAGAAGATTTTACAAAATGACATTTCAAAGGCTTTAGAGGATTGGTAAAACCAATTAATGTTAAAAAGCTTGCTTTATATGTGTTTTAGAAAGGTTTTGCGGTTTTTTTCCCTAGAATGAGCTAAAAAAGTTTTTTTTAGATGGTAACATACCGTTTTCACAGTTTGTTAATTAACATGATGAGATGTTAGAAAACTAGGCATTTTTAAGAGTTTTTTACATCTAAAATTGTTTTATTCAAATTTTTTGTATTAATCATAAAATTAGGTAATGATCACCTCACTAATTCACATAGAACTAGCGCTTTTTGCCTAACACACAGGCTTGGACGTGGGGCGTTGCCCCCTGTGCCCGACCCGGCCCGGCCCCAGGGCCGGGCCAGGGCCCATTTTTAAGATCAAGTACAGGGCCGGGCAGGGCCCATGATTCTAACCGGGCAGGGCTTGCTTCGTGCCCGGTAATGCCCTGTAAATGTCCGGTAATAATTTTTTTATATTATATATAAAAAAATTAATTTAAAATTGTTGAGTGTCTAACAAGTAATGTTAATTACCCCGCTTTACTCCTGAACATTTTAACTCTTTCCGACCTCATCCCTAATCCTTTTATCCCTACCCGACTTCAGCCCCCCTATTTTAACCCTACCCAGCCTCACCCCTGACCCTTTTATTTCTACCCGACCCTACCTTTGACCTTTGTAGCCCTGTCCGATCCTACGCTACCATATTGTACCTAATATGCCACACCCCGCCATACCTTATCCTATCTACCATACCAAACCCTACAATACCCTACCATATTATAACATGCCATACCCTACCATACAATACCATATCCTGCCATAACATAACATACTACATATACCATACTGTATCATATCTTACCTTATCCAATCTTATACAACACTACTGTGTACTACCCATAATTAGGGCAGAGTAGGTAAATAAAGCAAGGTAAATGGTATAATATAGTCAGGTAGAGTATGGCATGTTATATATGTTAGGGCATTGTAGGATTTGGTATGGTAGATAGGAAAGCATATAGTATGGTAGAGTATTGCAGGGTCAGGTATGATAGATAGGATAAGTTATGATATGGTAATGTAAAATATTGTAATGTTTGGTATGTTTTGTTTGGTAATATGAGTATGATATAATAAGTAGCATAGGGCATGGTACAGTACAGTATGGTGTAGTAGGGTAGGGTAATAAAGTCAAGGGTAGGGTCTAGTAAAGCTAAACAGGTCAAAGGTAGACTTGGATAAAGCTAGAGAGGTCAGAAATAAGGTTGGGTAGGTCTAAAAAGGTCAGGGGTAAAGCCGGGAAGAGCTAAAAGGATCACGGGTGATGTCGGGTAGGGCTAAAAGGGTCAGGGGTGAGGCCGGATAGATGTAAAGCAGTTTATTTCACTTGTTATTAGCTTTATAAACTTAATTTACAAATGCCCTGTAAAACCCTGTAAAGCCCTGTAAATGCCCTGCCCGACCCGGCCCTAAGGCCGGGCCGGGCAGGGCCCGAAAACTAAAAGCCCTGTACCGGGCAGGGCCCAAGCGGGCCCGGCCCCAGGGCCGCAAATTGGGCCCTGCCCTACGTCCAAGCCTGCTAACACATCAAGCAAACCACAGTAATCGTATATCGGTACTACAATAGTTATAATCCACCACAATATTCGTATACTGATATACAATATCAGAATCCCAACTTGTTGATATCACTCGTATCACGTAACACCTCTGTTGAAGTGTCCTCTAACCTCCATTCAAGTGTAAATAAAGTTCTTACGGCCCATTTTAGAGCCGGTGGAGCAGTCGGTGCGAGGTCAGGCCGAGCCTCAGCCAATCGTCGAAGCGGTCGAGACCATCCGCCACGCACCTCAACAACATGAACATCAGCTGCTGGAAGAGTCGTTGACCACCACCGAGTCAGGCCACGAGTTCAGTCCAGCCGTCCAAAGCGAGCCCGAGCCTCACGATGAAGGTACAGAGTCTGTGGATTAAAAAGGTCATTCTGACGCTAATTTAAGTGTCATCATGACGATATTTAAAAGTGTCTTAATGACATGATTAAATGTGTCATCACGACATGTTTTTTAGAAAAAGTGTTTAGAATCTTACTTTACGGTATTTAATCGTATGTTCTTATAGTATGCAGTAATGTGGCTTTAAGAAACTATTGTGCTTACTGTATCTGTAAGAAACTACAAGTTACTGTAATTTAAGACAATTTGTTTTAATTACTTAAAAATCGAAAAAAAGCCTAAAATACGATCATTTCTGGCCTGGGAACCGCACTCTTTTCTCCTTTCTTTTCGGGATTTGGCCTAAACTATTTAATTCAAAGTTGTTCACCATCATCACATACCACCATTACATTGAAAACGCATAATTATGTTGATTTCTAGTCTACAGTGCACAGACGGCACTAACGAAAAGTTGAGAGAACGGTACTATTCAGTACCTCCGGTGCTATTGAAGTAATAGAGTATTGAGTATGCTAATCGGTACTACTTGCTTAATAGTACTGACACTAGTCGGTACTAGGGGCTAAGTAGTATTGAGTATAGCAACCAGTGTTATGTACTTTATAGTACTTAAAAACGCGGTACTATTAAGTACCATATTCGAAATGTTACACTGGTATCTTTGAGTTTAGTGTGCCATTCTTTTTTGGTTTGACCTTTTGGTTCTCTTTGATTTAAGACTTTTCCGACTGCCACCGCGGTCTGTGCATTGTGTGCGGCGAGTATGCTGGTATTGTAGTAGGGAGTTTTACTGTAATTGCTTGGGCTTTTTGCAAATATTTTGAAAATTCTGGTTTTACTATGTAAAATGTTAGTTTCTGTTACTAAAAGCTATAACAAGTTTGTTATAGTACTAAACGTTAAGATACCTTAGTAATACGGTACGATTTGCTCTTCTACAGTACTATCCGCTAACCACTCCTTCCTATGTTACTTCTATTACTTTGTAAACTAACCACCTTTACTTTGCGATCTAAAATACGCATGAAATCTGAGACTAACACTATATGCAATAGCTACTATATGTATGTTGTACTCTGCCATTACTATGCTTGTGTAATACCAAAAAACCTTGTGTAACTAGTAATAAATGTTTGTAACTGAAAAAGAAAGACTTTTAGATTATCTTAGGTATAAAGTATGTAGGAATTTATAGTAAAAACTACTGTTTTGATTATTTTTTATATGAACTATGTTTATTTAGTTAGTACTACAGAAGATTTTAAATATTTTAGGTGAATAACATAGAGTGAGATCTACTTCAAAATTAGGCTTAGTAAAGAAGATATAGAACTTTAGTGTAAAGAAGGTTTCCGCCCATTCAAGATGCATCAAGTCCTTTAAAAATGAGTAATTGTAGGATATAAAAGATGATGTTTAAGGTGTTTATAATGCTTTTTTTAATTGTTAGTTGATGGCTTTTGTTTCACAGAGCTTGCGGAGACCAATAAGCTCTACTTCTGGTCCTCTTTTTATTATTTTATAGATGTAGAGTTATTTTCTTTTGAGGAGTGAACGTAACATGTTGTAGTAGATTAATTCTGTGTATCTACTACAATATATTATAATCATTTTAATTTTTTTAACCATTAGTTTTATAGGTATAGGTAGAACTCTGATGATTACTATGTAATAAAAATATATTAAGATTATTTGTTGTTTTTTCATATAGGAAAATACCTTTTATAAACAACAAATGACCCTTTCTATATCGTTTAATCAAGGCGACTGTAGCATCTAAAACTATATTTCTTGCGAAAACACTTTGAACTTTCTTGTGATTTCAAAAGTGTTGCAAACATCATCAACAACTTCTCAACAACATGTTGTTTTTTGAGTTTTAAATAAACAAAATTGAAATGTGAGCCGCGAAGAGAGAGGACGAAGGAGAAGGAGACGGCAGAGAAAGAAAGTGTTACCTTTGGGAAAAGAAGAAAATTATCGAAATGAAAGATAAAGAAGTGGAAGGTATCGAAATCAGAGATAAGGGATCGTTTGTCAGCACGCTGGGCACGTTGGAACAGGCCGAGCTCAACAGTTGGGTTATTATTCGTTTTCTGCTTCATGTGATCATAAAGTTGATAGGCGAGGTCGTGACGTGATAGTGTTAGGGATGAGGTTATGTGACATGTTTCGGGTTATGGTATCAATAGGAGTAGGGGTGTAGCATCGTTTTGTTTAGTTTTATTAGGTTTATGGGGAAATTAAGTTTATACGTTGAAGATGTTTCATTTAGAAGGGTTTGGAGACGGAAAGGACTTATTTTGGTAATAGATTAGGTAATATTTTAGTATTAAGCAATTGAGAAGTTATTCATTAGTATCATTAATAGAGAAGCCATATGTCGCGTCAAAGGCTTTAATTGAATATCGCTGTTGATCAGAAACTCCTTGATATCCTTACTGTAGCTAATAGATTCAGATGTCGATCGTTAACGGCGGTTTATTCGCAGATGGCAAAACTCTTGTAGCCGGCTTCATAGCCGAGATTCTGAAGAAAGAATTCACATCAGGCCAAGGGTCTGAAGAGAAACAGAACCACGATGAAGTAATTGATACTAATGAAGTCGATCAAGAAGAAATCAGCCACGATGGCCAATTACTTTCCGACCAGAATGACGAGGCCTACGAGCAGGTGGAGCACGTTCTCGAACACGAAGCAGAGCAATCTCAGATAGCCAAAAATGTGGAGGCTAGCCTGAACAAGCGTAGAATCTCTGGAGAACTGCCATCTTCTCCCAAACAGTATTATCCACCCAGTCTCGACGAACTGATGGAGCAGTTGAGTATGTCAGAGCCTAATCCTCAGCTCAATCTGCCATTCCCAACTACAAAAGCTGAGCATGAGCATGCTGTAGAAGTGGAAGATCCTGTTCATTTGAACGAAGTCATCGGAGAGCCTGGAATCCCCAACGATGCGGCCGATCCAATGGAGAGTCTAGTGCTGGCAGCTGATGACAAAGCTGTCCTGTCTACAGACTTAGGAGAGGTCGATCCGTTGGACATTACTTTTGAGAATTCAGAATCCCAGAATCTCTCCGCCAACCCTGACAGAGAAGCGTTGTTGGATGAGAAGGACAGACTTAATTCGTCCGTTATTGTCGGTGGACTAGACGCTGATGGTTATCCTTTGATTACTGGATTGACTTCTGGGCCAAGCACAGGTAATACTGATGAAGTTAGGCCAACAGAAGAGCCAGTCATTTCATTAGATCAAGGTGGCTATGAAAACAACGAGATCGCCGAGCCAGAGAAGGTAGTTGAACTAGACCAAGGAGGCTACGAAGGTGAGCAACAGCCAGAAGTCGATCTTGAAGCTGCTGTAGCCATTCAAGAGAACAAAGAGATTGGTCTAGACCAAGGAGGATACGAAGTCGAGCAGTTAATCGCTGCTCAAAATGCTATTGAAGCTCAGTTGTCATCGACTTCTGGAGCCTTCCCCAACGAGGCTTCTGAAGTCAAGAATACAGGTGAAATCCCTTTGGATGCCGGAGGCTACGAAGGTGAATTCAGTACAACTATCAAGGACGACGAGTATCCAAAGGCTCTAGAGGCAATGAAAGTTGTGGAAGATCAAGAAAAAGAACTGATTTCTGAACCAAAAGATCCAGAAGAAGAGGACGAACTCGTAGCCAGAGGGGAAGAAGCCCCTAAAGCTAGTCAAGCCGATCCGGTTGGTCGTGCTTTGACTGAATTCGGATCAAATGCTTCTTTAAAATCTTTCGATCCAAATACGGTCAATGCTGGCACTCCTCCAGAAGTCATTCGAGCCACAGGCATCGCCGAAGCCATGAAGTTTGACGCTGCCACAGAATTGAGTGAACACCATATTGTAGGTGGTCTGCTAACTGATGGTGTGCCTTTGATCTTTGGCATTCAAGCTGTTCGGCCTTTGCCAGGTACTGTAGATGAGACTGTACCAGAAGATGAAGGTGACATTGCAGAGAAAGTAAAGAATGACCCTTTAAATGAAAGTGCTTTGCCAGATCAAAATGAAGCCCAGAAACAAGAAAAATCGAAAACCGAACAAAATCCTTCAGAAACCCATGAAGGAGCCAACGATGAAGTCACAGAGCCTACAGAAGAGTTTCACACTGCTTGTGACTCCTTGAAAGAAGATACCCAAGCTAAGCCAGAAGACGAAGAAGGCTACGTTAAACTGATATCTAGCAAATCAGAATCCAGAGACGGTCCGAGGTCCCAAGTTTATTTTGAACATGAAGGTACCCCAATCAACGCTGAGGAGTTAGCTCGCATAGAACATGCTGAGCAACAACCTGATGCACCATTTGAGCGACATCACGTCATTCACGTTGAACAAGAAGCCGAGCCACACAAGACACGCAACATTCCGATTATAATCGAGGAAAATAGCATCGAAGTTCAAGAGGCGTTAAAGAACAGTCTGGACAAACAAGACAGCGTGAAGACTGAAGATGTGGGCATAGATCACAAAGACAACATTACACACGAGGAGACCCCATTAAAAGATTACCCAGACCAGGAGAAGGCCACAGAAAGCAATCGCATCATTTTAAAAGAGCCCCTCGAGCGATGGGCGTCGGAAGAAGACCTGCGGGCTGTCGGCACGGATCAATCTGGCCAGGTGCCACAAGATGTCATTAAACCAGGAGAGGGGGCATACGACCAGAGTGCACAACAAACACCCACGGGTCAGTCCGAGCGTGTTATTCCGATTCTAGTCCAAGGTAACTATTCTGCAGTTGACCATAGTGCTCCAACTGGTCAGACTGGCCCAATTGGTACCCAACCTACCGCTCCTAGTACCGAAAAGCATATTACTTTTGATAACGAGCGTCTGATTACTATCGAACGGCCATCAGCTCCCAACAATTCGATCCAAGAGTCTCTGAAAGAACGGTCAGTCGAGAGGAACGTGCCGATCCGATTAGTCAGTTCGACTAATGGTCTAGCCCTCGACCTGCCCTCGCCCGGAGCTCGCAGTGAAACCCAAGAGAGTGGCTTTGCTTCAGTCGACGCTCTCAGCCCTCTCGAGACAACCGTACCATCTGGTCCAGTACTATCAGGTCCAGTACTAACAGACCCAGTACTAATTTTGAGCTCCATTTTGGCCAACCTCAAGAGACTCAAAATGACCGACAAACCCAAGTACGACAATATTGTAGCCAGACTGAAGGAGTTGGAGGAAGAGATGCGGATTCAGAATACCGGACTGCCTCCAGATGACTCTCTGACTCAAGTCGTGGGTGAGATTCTGCAGTCGGAGTACCCGAACAGTGATCTACAGATCGTGGTGAGTACGTCGCGGAAGAGTACGTCACATACTCAATTCTACGAGACTGAGACGCCTGGCATGGTTGGCTTGGCCCCAGATCAGTTGAGGGACCTGCAGACTAAACTCATGGACAAAATCAGTAGGCTTTTGGCTTTTTATCTAGTGTTTAGGTAGTTTAACTGTTTCTAAAGGCATGGTTAACATACGTTGTTGACAGTGTCTTTGGGAACGTTAGTTTTGCATAGGGTTGATACTAACATCTTGTCGAAGTAACATGTTCTTGTGAAGTTTAGGTAACATTGGGTTGTACTGGTAATGGACTGGGTTGCGGTTGTACTTTTAACTACTGTATGATTACTAAAATCAACTGTTTTACTTGAAAATTAATATTTAAATTGAAAGTGACTATAGTAAATCATAAGTGTCATACTTTGATACTAAGTAACTTCCCCTAATGTAAAATACCATTAACATAACAAACAATAACACTCCTCCAGCAGCTATAACTACTAATATATTGTCTGTTACCTATATTCGGCACTGCTTTTCCTAATTTTTCTGATTTCGAACGCTTAAAATAACGCTTTTGCACTGTAACTAACGACTACTGTGTATCGTGATTGTGACACTAACTAAAATACGGTTTTAATAGGCGTAACAGTTTTTAAAAGTTGATAACAGAACCCCTAAATGTGAATGACATTTTCGCTTCAACCCTCATGAGTTTTACACATTTTTTTGCACTTTCCCCCGACCAATTCAGACACTTTACAGGCGGACGCAATGACTACGGGAAAAACGTGGAAACCAAGGATCAGCCAGGTAATTAGTGGTTTAGTTAGGGATTTAGCTAGGTAGGGTTGTGTAGTAGTTAGGTATAACAGTGTAGTAGGAATTTATATAGAGTTTGGAATGTTTTGTGTCTTTTTAGGCCTAAAAACTATTTTTTAAGCTATTTTTTGAAAAAAAAGACGATGTAAAACCCCAAAATATATAACATAGTAAGCTAGAAAACACGTAGATTATGTAGGCAATCATAAGATTAGAACAAAACAATACCTTTACAAAAGTAGCTATTACCTTGATACCTTAACGTAGTAACTGATCTTTGGTTATGTAGATGATCTGAAACGCCGCGACGCCACGGAAGAAGGCTGGACGAACGAGGACGGCACGGAGAGCGTCCACACACGCTCCGTACGACAAGTCACGACAACACAATCGTCCGTCAAAGGTATTCTGTTAGCTTAAGGTTTTGTTGCTCCGTAATATTTGTGTTATAACCTGGGGTGTAGACAGCGAGGTAAAAGGCAAAGGCGGGAAGATACGAAATGTATTGTAGACAAGGTTGAGGCATGCGAACATTCGTTGTAGTACTATGTCTAAGATAGACATAGATCTGAAAGCCATGTCTTCTTACAAGACATTAACGTATCTCAACCAATGTGCAGTACAATTTAATACAAATTATTACGTAAAGCAGTAAGTACAAAGTAATCATAGCTTTTACAAAGTAATCATAGCTTACATGTTAAGTGTTACATCCGTCGTTCTGCGTGCAGTGATGTACCGTGATCGTACGCACTGATTTCTGTGTTATCTCTGTGGTTTTACTTCCTTTCCTTATACTATCTCTATTACTCGGTTTCTTGGCATAGTACTACTGTCGTATTTAATACATTCTTTGTTACTCTTAACTTCATAGTTTGCTTATACGGTAACCTTACTATAAGTGTATCCTTTAGCTATTTACATGTAATCATTAGTATTTATATGTAGTTATAGGTATGACTTCGCACTATTTGGGTGCTAGTATATATTTTCAAGCTTTTTATTTACTATAGATTCCAGTACGTTAATAACCATAACTATAATTTAGTATATGTTATTTTTGGAAAGCATAGAAACATAAAACTTAAAAACACGTTTACATTCCCTGAACAGCAGTCAAAAACTAAGCAATAGATATATTTTATAACAAATATTTAAGGCGAAAAGTTAAGAAACCTCGAATGCTTTTTGTCATGACCAAATGTTTCGGCCAATTCATTTCGTGCAAAAATAGCGGCCGAACGTCATTAAAAACAAAGTTTAACAAAGCTCTCCGGGGGTATTAATCAAGGAACAAATAGCTGTGGAAAGAAGACATTCTTATATATTTTGGTCGAAATGTAAGTTTACAATATACTAAAATTTAGAATTAACATAGGAGGGTCGAAATTTCCGTAATATTAAGAAAAACGAAAAATATCGATCATTTTATAAAGGTGAAGGTAGTGAGATGGATGAAAACAGCTGATATCGTAGTTTTTAACACAGTAGACTATGTTATCATCGTTGCCATTGTTTTTTAGCTAGTATCTTTGAGTTGGATACCTAAACACACAAAATCTTTATAAAGTAACATACTATTTCCAAACCCAAACGTATCATACGTGCTTTTAGTTCAAAAGGCTTACGTTCACTTTCAAGTTGTTGTTACAATTCCTGCTTTCGTATCTTCTGTAACAACAAACCTTATTACCTTCGTTCTTCTATAAAACCTGAGTTTTCTTCCTTTGTATCTTCTATCACATTTTCTTCTAAACTACATACTTTTTGCTGCGTATCTTCTGTAAAACTCCCTTTCCTTCGTATCTTTTTAACTATAATGTAAATCTGTAAAGGCCATATCCTGAAATACGAAAAGCGAGGAAAGAATGCGGTTCTCAACCTTGATATGTTGAGTAATCCATCTCTTTTCAGTGAACGGAAACTAATCACAGTGCCTCGACGTACTGTCCTCCAGCTCTTCTTTTCGTTGCATCAAAGAAGAATCACAATATTATTATGTCGATGTTGTCTTTTTGTGTCGTTTCGTGCGAAAGTCGTAGTATTTGGTGTAAAATTAGCTAATAAGTGTAGGGCTTTAGTTAAGATATCTGAAAAAAAGTAAAATATTCAATTATAGATGTAAATTGCCTAAAAATAGAGGCGAAATTCAGAGAAAATTGATAAAATTTTGAAATTTACAACTTTTACCTATAAGTGTGATACTTGACTCAACTTTTAATTGTGGGTTAAGTGTCGCTTAAAACAATTTTTTGTCGAAATTTTAGAATTTTACACGGTTTCTAAAAAAATTAGGAAAAAAGTGTGTAGAATGTTCACAGTCGATTGTAGAAAGAGGTAAAAGCAAGTAAACGTAATTTTAGATCATTTACGACGATATTATCCATGTCTTTAGCTGTTTCCACTGCCGATTATTACCTAAATTGCCAAAGAAAAAGAAAAAAAGCAAAATCTCATTTCCGGAGCTAAAAATTGCAATTCTAACATGAATTTTATGCAATGAAAACTAATTTTGAACAAATTTTGATTAAAATCCTATATTATCTATAATGTTTTAGCTATTTCAATTCAAGTTTATTATCTAAAATTTTAAGTTTAATGACTAGTAGCTACTATTTAACTATTATAACTTCAAGAACGTACATTAGCTTAGATTTGACAAATTAAATCAATTTTAACGGTTTATGACCTCTATGACAATGTAACTATTACACTATATGTTCGTATAACCTCGCTTACTGTGCTGTAAAATTGCTGTAATTGATGTAGGCTTTGATTACAAATGTAATTTGCTGAGAAAAATAAATTTTGTAACAGAATGTTGGTAAGATACGATGAATACATCACAAGGTTGACACAGATATTACGGTCGTATGTTTACATAGTAGATATGGTACTTTTGTATACGGCGATGACTACCTTGTCGTATACCGTACCAAAGTATAATTTATGTGATAATTAGTCCTACTTGGATACTTGTAATCTTAACATGATCATTTACAGGTCTCGGAGAACATCCTCAACCAAATGGTATGTTACAGTAACCAGATTAACACTTTACCTCGGAGTGAAGTTACCATAACTTATTTTGACACAACGATATGGTTTTACTAAAGCTTTGACATGTAAACTTGAAATGTCAGTGTTGTAAAGTTACCACCAAAACTCTTCATCATATTTTACTATGCTTTTGCTTGGTATTTTACGATGACAGAGTAATTCCGTGGTATCGTACAGTAATATTCGTTGTAAATTGCAGTGAAACTACAGTAATGGTTGGTTTGTGATGTTGATGATGTTGTTATGCACTTACACTTGATTTTGTTTGCTTCTTCAGTTGGTATCACAAGTTACTGTACCATGTATACTGTATATGAAACATGTCACTGTGGCGTGGTATTTCAGTATTTTTATGTTGTTTTTGGTTATTTTATTTTTTTATGTTTGATGCATAAAGAATGGTATTTTTTGAAATTGTCATCTTGACGCCATTATTTTTGCATCAGCTTACTGTAATATTTACTTGAGTTGTCTCACTTACTGTCATAATGTTCTGAGGTGTTGTAATCTGGTCGAACGTATTGTCAGGTATACTGTAATTTACTTTGTTATTTATATTTTTGGTTGAGGTATACGGTAACAGTATACTGTAGTTTTTTTGTGTCAAAACATGTTTCTAAAGCAATATATTAACTCATGAGTAATAGTTGTGTTTGTCATAATATATGCGGTCTTAAACTACAGTAACCGAATGTGGTGGCCTAACGGAGTGCGCGGTGATACGGTAACGTGACCATGTTGTTGTAGGCGAATTCATACGTCTGAAGGTGAACGAGCAGGTCTACGATGGTCAGTCAGATCCGCAGACCCACCACATTCGACTGGTACCCATCCAACGGATCCCTGTCAAGTACTACTGAGTGTAGTTTTTAAATCGTCGTACCTTGTATATTCTTTACATCGTATTTTATTGTACAGTAAGGTGTTTGAGGTTACTGTAGCGATAAGGAAAGTTGCTTTATAGATTTACAAAAGTACTGTATTGTTGCAGTATGCTCTAGTGTAATATGCAGTATGTTCTATTGCAATAAACAGTATGATCTACTGTAATATACAGTAAGATGACAATTGTAAAATTAAAAAGTAACTTAAATATTACCGTAATCTCGAATACCGTAGTCTAATCCTGGTGCAATAGCAAAGAAATAAACTTCTATTTGAATAATTACAGTATGATATACAGTAAGTGTCTGTTCAGTTTGCTTTACTTTCGTTTGCACTTGGTATGTTGAGTTAAAGTGAATGGTCGTATAAGGTGAAATGTAATGTAATGGTAGGTATTGTGATGGTGGTCGACAAAAAATGTAAAAAAATGAAATAGAAAAATAAAATCCCTTAGAGCGACAAAAGTTTAATTTTTTAAAAACATACGAAAAGGAATGGCACATTTTGTCAGTCGGCTTTCTTTAGCTTGGGCTTGAAAATGTAAAAAAAAATATCACTCAACCCCTTCCTGACCTCGCTAATCTTACAGACGACACAGAATCCCTGAATTCTGAAGCCTCGTCGGTAAAAGACCGAATCGCTCGGTTCGAATCCCTGAAGGAGACTTCTAAGATTCCGATTCACCGTACCGCCCAATCAGAGTTGGTGGAAGAAGACGTGAAAGAACAGCCATCACAGAGGAAGGAAGAGGAACATGTCTCTCAACGACCCACCGACCTCATCCTTCACGAATCGACCACACAATCGACCGAAATCAAACAAGATCAACCGGCCGATTCCCCATCTACTCCACAAACTGTCACGGAACAGAGAGAACAGCTGGGCAGGGCTTTGACGGTAGAGAGTCCACCTAAGAGTGACACTCAAGGTTTGTATGAGAGTGTGGTGTTTGTTGTCTTCAGTGTTGTTATGGAAAAAACAGTTAGAGACAGTAACTCAAAGTAAAAGATATCATTATAAGAGACTTTTGACTTTATATTGCTACCAAAAGCTTAACTTTAGTTTAAAGTTGCACTAACACGCCTTACATTAATTTATCGCACTTTATTTAAGCTAAACTAAAACAACATCAGAAAACTTCATCAAAATTAAAAATTTTTTAATTTTAAGGAAACAATTTAAATTTAAAAAACTTGAAATGCCATAAAAGATTTGGTAAAGAATGGTGTTGTTTACAGGCAGCTTTGTTCTCACAGCCAATAGAAAACATTGACAATAACGTCTTTTTGCCTCTAAAACAAAGTTGTTTTCGCAAAAATGTTTACGTTGTATTGTCAAAGAAGTATATGTGATGTACATGCATGTTTATGTAAATGTGATTCACAACTATAAGATACGATCATCAAAAACTGAATCACATTTACATGTAAACTAAATGTGTAAACTGAATTTACCCCGCCTAATCTTGTTTATTCCAGATCTTCCCGAAACCATAGCCGAAGAGCCGGAAGAACCTCAAGTTAGTGTACACAAGCTGGTCCAAAAGTTCACGCAGCCTTCCGAAACCATTGCTGACACATCGTCACCAGCCCAGTTCCCGGAACACCACGTTGTGTCGGGAGATGGCCTGTCTCGAGTTGACAGTCACGAGAAGATCATCATCAGGGAAGAGATCGAAGTGGAACCCAGCTCTTCTGAAGTCCCTGAAACCGAGATCCTGGCGTCTACAGAAGACATCGCTCAACAAGTCCACAAACTGTCATTGAAGGAGCCTAGCCAAGTACAGGTCCAGCCAATACCTGAAGACATTGTTCATGTGAGTGTGCAAGAGAAAGTAAGACGACTAGAGCCGGCTACAAGCCTCGAATCTGAGCACGAAGAAGGAGACTTTGTAGAACAAGTGCCTCAAGGCATCGACACAGAAATAGCTCCCCATGACGACGCGCTACAAACAGCTACGGTCATAACGACTGAAGTCAGAGAAAAACCGCCTACAGAAGCCGAGTTTGCTGTTATTAATCAAGCACGGTATGAAAGTTCAGAAGAGCCTTTGGAATCCGTTAGTGAACAACGTAGGATCGCCATCAACAAAGCCTTGAATGAAGAGATTCAGGACGAAACCACATCTGGATTGCTCGATGAATCAGCTACAGGACAGCGTTTGGAAGAGACAGCTAGTCCAAGCCTAGAAACCAGCTCAAAGTCATCAGTTCAGCAATTCAGTGCAGGTAGAGAAGGTGCTTCTGAAGAAGAACCAGAGGGCTTTTCTGAACAAAAAAGGATTCAGATCAGTAGAAGTTCGGAAAGAAGTGTCGTTGATGAACCAGAATCTCAGAAACCAGACGAATCTCAACCTGAATCTCACGTTGAAGGCTCGGAAGAGCCCGGCCTTCTGAAGAAGGCAGCTGCTGTTGGAGTAGCTCTTGCTGGAGGAGTTGCAATGGCTGCTAGCAGTTTGTTGCCTGATAAAGAAGTTAATGAACAACAACAAAAAGATGCTGAAAAGCCAGTTGAATCTAATGAACGTTATGAGAAATCAGAATCTCAAGAAGCAACGCAACAGTCACCAGAATTGACTGCTGATGTTGAACATGAAGAACAAGAAGTTGCTGTAGAACAACGTGGCAGGACAGGTGACAGATGTGAAGAAGACCTTCTAGAAACACCTGAAAAGCAAAAGGAATTCTCTGCAATTGGACCAGAAAGTACTAAGAATATCCCAGTGCACCAAACTACGACTGGAGAAGCCGTAGAAAGTCAACAAGGTACAGCTACTGGAATACCTGTAGCTGAGAGCGTGTCATCGGTTGAGAGATTCGAAGCCCAACAACCAATTACGGAAGATATTAGACATGAACAGTATGAGCATGAGCATTACGAAGAGCCACAAACTAAAAGTGAACAAGATACACAACATGAACAATACGAAAATAAACCATATGAACAAGAACAAATTGAACCAGAACTAACCCAAGAAGAAAAGAACATCCACATTGAACTCCCAGCTGAAAGTCAAGATACTGAAGTTCAATCAGAACCCTTATCACCTCGAGGTGTTACCCCAGATCAAACGGAAAAAGAACTTGAACAGGAGATAGCCCAGAAGAATGTTGAACCTGTTGGTGATCTGTCGAAGGAATTAGAAGCCACAGAATCCGTTCAACCAGTAACTTCAGGACGGGAATCTAGTCCAGACAAAAGCACGCTAGCATTTGTGAATGCACCAAGTGAAATCGAAGCAGAAGATGCCAAAGAACCCCAAAGAAGCCCCGAAGAAGAGAAATATAGACTTCAAAAACAGTACAGACGTGATGTTGAAGATAAGCAAGAGATCAGAAAGTCAATTGACGACAGAGAAAGACCTTTCGGAATTGAGGGTCCAGTAGGAACAGAACAGCCGTCTGCTGCTGAAGAAAATCTAGAACATCCAGGAAAACCAGAATCTGAAGTCAAAGAATCGCCAGAAAAAGAATCTCCAGATTCCCAAAAAATGGGCCTAGGTACCATGATAGCCGGTGCTGCCCTTATGAGCGGTAAGGCGTTGATAGACAAATTCAAAGGAGATAAAGCTCCAGAAGCCGGCGGTTACGATGACAGTGACAATGATTCAGATGACTTTAAGCCAGAAGGTGGTTCTGAACGTGTAGTTGCTGAAGTATACGACGAACCAAGGAAAGCTGAAGAAGCTCCAACACCTGCAGAGTCAGAATACACCCCTGAAGCCAAACTAGATCAACAAGAAGTCACTAAAACATCTGAAGTTAGTGAGATAGAAAGCCCCAAAACTACGGAATCAGAATCACAAGGTTTCGTGGAGCCAGAGACACACAAACCTGATTCTGAACAAACCGTTTTGGAGCCAGAAGCCGAGAAAACTGAAGTCGAAGAGCCAGAAGAAGGTCCAAACTCTCCGCCACCAACACCAACAAAGGTGGTGCATGTTCATGAACACTTTGAAGAACAAATACTTGACCATGATGGTAACGTTGTTGATGATGTGACATTCGAGTCAAACTACGATGTCAGAGATTCTCACACTCCAATTGACGACGAAAGAAAGGTCAGTCTTGTGCCACCTGAACATGGTGCAGAGAGCGAGACTTTGAGTCATTTCGAGGAACAAGCCATCCACATCAATCCAAATGCAGTACCACCATCTGGTACACAGACGCTACATGAAGAAAGAGTCGAAACAACCGACGATCTTCAACAGAAAACCATAACTGAAGACCTAGATGTCCATGTAGTACCGACTGACGAGAGTCATTACCACATGCAGATCCATGAAGAACGAGTCGAGCGTGTTGAGAACGATACAGTAACCACCACTCGGGATTACGACATCGAAGCTCCCGTTGGTACTCAAATTTCATTGCCAGAAGGAGATCAACCAGTCTCTAACATCAGAGAACAAGTTGAACAAGGTTATATAAGTCAACAACCAGATGCTGACATGACTGAAAGTCATTATAAAGTACATGAAGAGCGTCACGAAGAGGTGATCGACAAAGACGGTAACACGGTAACTGAGATGACCACGGTCAGAGAGTACGATGATGAGCATCCAGAACCCTCGATCCAGGCCATGCATATTGAACGCAAAGCTTCTGAAGTCAAGCCAAGTTCAGCTAAACCGGTCGGAGATGTTGAGAAGGAGACTGCCACCACTACTGACCCTAAACAGGCTGTAGAACCGACCAACACTCCGATTCAGGACCTTGAAGATGAAAGGGAAGAAAGACGAAAGATTGACGAAGAAAGAGAGGAGCAGAGAGTCAGGGAAGAGCAACTTCAACAACAATATCAGCCAGAAGCATACCAAAATCAATATCAATCAGAAGAACATCAACAACAATATCAGGCAGAACAAACGCCAAGTGAGGTACAAGAATATTCTGACGAAGAATCAGGAGATACCACGAAAAAGATGGGACTTGGTACTATGATTGCTGGAGCCGCGTATCTTGGCGGTAAGGCAATTTACGACAAGATGAAGGGTGATGGAAAAGACAAACATCCAGATACAGAATATCATCACGAAGAACTTAAAGAAAACGAGTATCAACAACCAGAAGCAAGTGAAATCACCTTCAAAGATGAACCTCAAGGTTTCCAAATTCATGAAGAAGGTCCTTCTGAATCCTTCAAAGAAGACGTTACAAGGAAAACAGAAAAACAGCAACCGATCCCAGAAGCTGCTCCAGTGTCACAAACACCTTTAAGTCAGGCTGACAACATTTCTACAGCTAGTGTTAAGAATCTGGATTTAGACAAGTTGGACGAAGAAGAGACACTTCAACAAGCTCAAGCTGCTACTGAAAATACACAAGAAGACCAGGCTATAACTCCAAGTACTGAAGTCTCGGTTGAAGGTAAAGAACAAAAGCCAGAAGTAACCGAATATACTGAAGAACTACCATCAGGTACAGTACCTGGACAGCCAGAAGAACCTTCAGTTGAAGCTGAAGGCCAAGAAAAACCTTCAGTTACAGTTACTGAACAGCCACAAGAGCCAGTGTCTCCAGAACAACATGACGAGCCTCATCGTACGATTGTTACTGAGTCTTATGAGTATACCTACACTGATGACGGTGTTCACGAGCCTCACGCTGAAATCAGTTACAGAAAATTGTCCCAAGAAGATGAAGGTCCGGTAGTCACAAGTGAAGAACATTACGATGTTTCTGGATCTGAGAAGCCTTTGCCTATTCAACCAGACGCCGGTCGAACCGAAGAAGGATCCCAAAAGTCAGATACGATCAGCGTACAAACTGAGGAGGTCGAGCCTGAATCAGAATATCAAGTTGAAGAGTTGCCTGAAGACAAGAGTGTGCAAAGAGACATTAGCCCCGAAAATGTATCAAAATTACTTCATGAACAGAAGGAAACGCGTGAAGAACACGGTGATAAGAAGGAGGAGGCAGCTGATAAGGTAGAAGGAGTAGAATCGCCCTCCCAAGACCAAGAAGCTACAACTGAAGAAGGTCAAGTTCAACAAAATGTAATATCTCATCACTTTGGTTCGACTGGAGAACTGCCACAAAGTGTAGAAGAACTCGAGCAAAGAGAAGTCACACGATCTCCTCAACCCGTCGTTACTGATATTACAGACAGACCAGCTGTCGAGGACGTTGGTGAACCCAAAGCCACTGATACAACAGATACGACCACCCAAGAAGACAAGTCTGAAGGCCAGATCAAGGAGAAACAATTCACAGCTGAAGGCCCAGAAACACAAAAGATAATCGACACTCACGAGTCGAGACTTGAAGATCAAGACCAACTACAACCATTTGAAACTAGTGAATTCAGAGGAAAACGTGAAGCCGATCAGGACGTATCATCTCCTCAACCTGAAGGAGTTGAACATACTACATCATCAGAACCATCTGAACAACAATCGACTGAATTTCCTGAAACCAAGCAGGATACTGAAGCAAAATCGACGTCTGAAGTCACTGAAATTTCAACAGCAGAATCTCCTGTAGCACCAGCTTCGATTTCTGATGTAAGTATCCCAGAAGAAGCTGAACAGAAGAAGCCAGAAGATGCTGTCAGACACACAGACGAAACTGCATTACCATATGAAGCGAAGCCAGTAGAAGCGTCAAAAGAAGAAACTTCAGAATCAGAAGGTGAAACAACAGAAAAGATTAATCTTGGTACAATGATTGCTGGAGCTGCTTACCTTGGCGGTAAAGCAATCTATGACAAGTTGAAAGGAAGTGAATCTGATGAGCCAGAAGTTGAATACCCAGTAGAACCAAAAGACGAGCATTATGAGAGTCCAGAAGGCTATCGTCATGTTGGGGACAGTGCTCAAAACACTCCAGAGCTAGCCAGGAAACAATATACAGAACCGGCCAAAGACTCTGATGTTGCAGAACGTGAATTGCAAAACAAAGAAGTTGAACAAGAAATCTCAGAAGCTTCGAAGCAAACTTCAGGACCCACAGAACATAGTGAACACTCTCCAGATGTTACAGAACACCACGAAGAACATTCAGAACCTTCCGAACAAGCCAGTCAACATCAGGAAACATCACAGTTCGACGAGCAAGCCCCAGAAGCGTCTCAACAGGGCGAACCAGCTCCAGATGTTACAGAAGAAAGAAGAGAGGGCTCACCGTCAGCCCCAGAAACAGTTTATATTCACGAAGAACGTCACGAAACTGTGATTGGAGCCGGAGGAGAGGTACTAAAAGACATCGTTGAAACTCGAGACTACGACACTTCTCATCCAGAAGTTTACGAAACAACAAAAACCAACTACGGTCAAGAAGAACGTCGGGTGTCTACTGCTGACATCTCCCGAGAGTTCGAAATCTCTCCAGATGACTTGCCAACCAACGAAGAGCCAAAGGAAGTCCATGTCCATGAGAAACACACAGAATGGAGTCAAGATGATCACGGCCAACCTCGGGAGGTTGAGATCACAGATGACTTTGACATTACCCAAACAAAAACAGGTGCAGAGGCAATTTCCGAAGAACACGACATTCACGTTCATGAAAAACGTGTAGAACACGTTACCGGATTTGGTCAAGAAACTCGAGAAGTAACAACCACAAGAGATTATGACATTCATGTTCCTGAAGGAGCTGAAGAAGTTCATTTGCCAGATGGAAGTGAACCTATTGACATGATCACCAGCTCCGGAGAGGAACCAGTACATTACCACGTTCACGAAGAAAGAGACGAGAAAGTAATCGACAAAGACGGAAATCTCATCAGTGATGTACAGTACGTCAAAGACTTTGATGACGAGCATCTGGAAGACAACGTGTACGAGCTGAAGAACGTTGAGATCCAAGGAGAAGCTCCATTGCCAACTGCTGATCCACCCAGCCATGATGGTGAACATGCTGCTGAAACAGATCACGAGATCTCCACAATTCAAGAAGACGAATCTCAAGAGAATTTGGCAAAAACAGAAACTTCAGGGAAAGAAGAAGGTGTTTCTACGGAAAAACTGGATTCTGAAGGTGTTGAACAACACAAACCAGAAGACGTCGTTGAAGGAACTGACATTTCGTTTGAGCAAAAGCCGACTGAAGGGCTGACGATCACCGAACGAGTGCCAATCAATCGTTCCCCAGCTTCGGACATTGTCGAGGGTGTAGCTATGACTACTGAACATCTGGACATTACTCAACAACCAGTCAGAGAAGACGTTGAAAAGAAGGAGGAAGAAGGGCAAGCTAGCAAGTACGGTCCAGCTACTGTTTTAGTCGGAGCTGCCGCCTATGGAGCTATGAAGTTGGCTGAAAAACTAACAGGAAAGCCAAAAGACCAAGAAGAATATAATGAATATGAACAAGAGTACGGTGACGCACAATACGATGACAGACGGCGGTCAGAGACTTCACCGGTCGGAGATATCGTCAAAGAAACAGCTCCAAGCGAAGATCCGGACAAACAAGCTGAGCCGGTTGGAAGCTACGCTGAGTCTAGTCCTTCACAGTCGACTACAGACTACGTCACCAGAGACCTTGAAGATTACGAACGAGCTGTCCCCAGTGGTCAAAGAGGTGATGATGGCAAGGTCTTGGAGTCATACGACCGAGCCCCAGAAAAGAATATAAATGTAGAGCCAGCACAAGAGGAAACAGAAGAACAAATCCTCGTAGATGACGAGTATTCTGAATCCGAAGAAATCCGCCCCAGACCTCACGGACTTGAACTAGACTCTCAAGAAGATCTGGACCTTCAATCTCCAGTATCGCTGGCTACAGTACGACGTGAAGATACAGACGACAACTTGGATCTGATGCAAGAAAGTGTATACGTACCAGCTGATACTCCACAATCAGAATCCAAGACCGACCACAGTTACGACATCGAACAAACTCCAGAATTCGCGTCTGAGAAGTTTGAAGGTCTCCAAGAACAAGACCCCATGCAACAGAGCATGTACATATCGCACGATGAAGGTGACCAAGCACAGCAATATGACAACGATGAGTATAATACCACAGAAGAGCATGTTACAGATAGCCACGGTGATGCAAACGATGTCTTGGAGTCTGAGCCAGTCCAACAAGAATCTGAACTGTACCCAGACCAGATCAATTTGCCTTCCGACACCACTCCAGTCGGAGATATCGACCGCGAGACCAAAGTGTCAGGTGACATCGAATTCGAGACAGAACCGGTCCGGGATGTGCAGCACCAAACCACACCAAGTGCTCCAGCCTGGAGTGAAACTGAGCCAGTTGGAGACATTGACAAAGAAGTGGCTACAAGTGTAGAAGCTGGCCAAGGAGCCAAGCCTGTAGTTGGTCCACATGAGATGAACGATGATTGCGAGTTGGTCACTGATACTGAACCTGTACTCAGGCCACAAGATTCAGAAGCTGAGAAATCTGAAGTCGTAGAAAGTGAGCCGGTTGAGAAGACCGAAGAAGATCAACATGAACATGGCATTGGTACCATGATTGCTGGCGCTGCTCTTATGGGCGGTAAAGCAATTTATGACAAGCTAAAGGGCAAAACAAGTGATGAACAACATCAACAAGAATATGAAGATGTGGTTGAAAGCTCACCGGTCGAAGAAACTCGAAAAGATGAAGAAACTCCGCTTCGAAAAGATTCAAAAGACGAGCACGAACGAGAAATGTCACGAGAACACTCACAAGCCATATCAACCGACAGCCAAGTCACAGCCATCCACGTCGGAGATGATGTGGTGGAATCACAATCACTTGATATTGAAACACCAGAAGACATGTCAGACTTGTCACCCCAACAAACAGCTTATGACATGGACAAAGAAACGCCAGAACCTTTAGTAAAATCTGAAACCATCGACGAAGAGGCAGCAGATGTACCAAAAACACCAACCAATGTGTCACATCCAACTTCTGAAGATATCAAAAAGCCAACAGAAGCTGTTTCTGAGAAGCCAGAAGCATCTGAAGTTCACAAAGATGAAGAAGTAATCGATTCCGAGCCAGTCCACCCAGAAAGTCCACTGCCAAGCCAGCTACACGACTTTAAGGCTGAAGAAGATCGCTTCGAAACTGACATTCATTCCCCGGACCTTGTTGAGAGTGAACACATCCAACACCATCTTCATGAACATCACGACCTACCCAAAGTGGTCGATTACTCTGACATTGGTGAAGGTCACGAATTAAATATCAAGGATGAACCAAGTCCACAAGAAGGTTCTGAACATACTCACAGTATTGCCGAATCCCATCCTCACGATATCGTAGAGTCAGAAAGTATTGACATAGAAGACAAACCAACTCCAGCTCCTGTCGCCAGACCCAACGTCATCAGTGATTCCAGTCAGATATCCCCAGATGAAGAGCCCAGTGTTGAAGAGAAGATCAAACACTTCAAGGAAGACGAGGAAACTGGAATCTCAGAATACCAAGACCAATTCAGACCTATCGCTGAAGAACCTGGCAGAGAAGCTGAAGAACAACGTGACGTCGACGACATCGTGGAAAGTGAGGATATTAACGAAGAAGACATCAAAAGAATGTCAGGAAGCATCATCCAGAAAGCTCAAGAAGCTACTACCCCATCTGAACATAGAAAAAGCGTGTCTACTGAAGCCAGCCAAATACCACGATCAGATATGGTCGATTCTGAAGGTGTACAAGACACAAAACAAGGTACTCCTGAAAGAAAACGATCTGACTTGATTCTATCGCCAGAAACCCTACAACAAGACATTCAGCGACAGTACAGCCAAGAGAGTGCCCAAGGACACGAACTAGTCCAATCAGAATCCATCAGAGAAGAGGACGACCATCAAGCCGACATTGATAATATTGACCTGAAGGGAGATGAAAAGGTCGAGATGGATGCTTTGGCTCAATCCATTGTGACAGCCGACGTTCCTGAAGACCTTGACTATGAACACATCACTCATCCAGAACACCACGAGCACGATGACATCGTACAATCCTCTCACGTTGACGCTTTAGAAGACGAACATCATTTCGAGCCAGAAGGAGACGTTCCCTACACTGAGAAGCCGATTGATCATGACAAACTTGATGAGAAGCTAGGACTTGGCACGATGATGGCTGGAGCTGTAGCTATGGGTGCAGCTGCTTTGGTCGATAAGATAACTGGAGAACGAAGCGACGACCAGAAACTCAAGGCTGAAATGGCAGTCGAAAAGAAGTTGGGAGAGAAGACCGTGAGCGAGAAGAGTGTAGCTGGAAGCGAAAAATCAGAAGCTGAACGGCTCGAAGAGATAGGAGAACCTGTACCTTCAGAAGGCTTTGTTGAAAGTGAATCAATCCCCTCGGGAGACGTTAGCCAAGAAGTCGCAAAAGATGTTGTAGCTCAAGAAGAAGAACGAAAGCATACAGAAGCATTTAAAGACGATGAACAACCACGAGTAGAAGATAAAGACGACTTCGACATTGAGATTGTGGAATCTACAGACTTGGATTCAGAAAAAGGATCACCTAGGCAAGAACACGAAAATCCAGAAACCGAGGAAGAAGTAGAGCATCACGAAGAAAAGCACGATGAAGACGACTTCGATGTCATCCACCACGACGACATCATTGACATCCAGATGACAGAAGAAGAGATCGCTCAAAGTGCCCAGTTGAGAGCTTCCAAGAGTATGAGTTTGTCTCCACATGCTAAAGGAACAGACTCTCCTACGTCAACACCACTTAAAGATTCTGAGTTAGGTACAGAAGTCGCTGAAGATGAACTTGTGAACAAACTAGAGACAATCAAGAAGGAAGAGGACACAGTAGCAGAAAAGGAAAGACCTGAACTGAGGAGAGTTCAAGACGCTGAGTTCGAACGAACAGATTCTGCCGGTTCCATCCTGAAGGACCGTGAATTGACGAGAGAAGACTTTGGAGGAGACATGCCAGACCTCACTCATGAATCAGAATCTGAAGACGAGAAGCCGACAGTAGAAAGATTCGATCAGCCTGTAGAGATCAATATTGAAGAGGAACCCAAACATCTAGATGCCTTTGATTCTGACAAATTCACAGACGAGATGGAAGGGGAAAGAGGATTGGCTCCATCTGAACCAATTGGACGGCCCCACTCTCCATTACCACCAAGAACACAATCAGTAGATCAAAGTGGAAGCCGAGTTGATACCCAATCTTCGGAAGAGGGTAGACCAATCGAGTCGGTAGCTGAAGAAGAAGTTTACGATGGTCAACTACTAGCAGATCAGAACGAGGCTGCTTACGAAGCCGCCGAAAGAATGGTCGAAGAACAAGTAAGAGAAGAACAAGAAAAGAAGCAACAAGAAGAGAAACAAGAAGAAAAGAAGCATAAACTCAGTGTAGATGACAGTCCATCGAAAGTGTCACAAAAGACAGACGAAGAAATCTCACCATCCAATGAATCCGGCTCATCAAACGCCTCATCTACCGTCTTTGTCCGTAAGGAGATCAACACCGACATCAAGATGAAGGATTCTGACGATGGCTCCCAATCCTCACTTCTAGAATTCGAACGTCTAGAACAAGAACTAAGCGCCAAACAACCATCTCCAGGTCACAGTGACAACGAACAGATGGTCGCATCAGCTACTGGTTCAGTCAACTCGCTTCTCGAGTTCGAAAACATTGAGAGAGAAGTCCTAGAACAACATATGAGCAATGAAGAAGCTGCGAGTCAATCGATTGGTCCAGAAGTCATGATTCTGAGTGATATCAGAGAAGAAAGTGAGGTAGAAGAGATGAGCATCAAAGGAGATGATGAAGACTCGTTGAATGAGGCACAGGTAATATAATATACTGAAAAATAGGTAAAAAGAGATAAAACAAGACAAAAAGAATAGTTAAAGCTAAAATATTAGGCTACTAATGAGGCAAAAAGGGTCAGGGGTAGGGGTGGGTAGGGCCAAAAGGGTCAGGGGTAGGGGTGAGTAAGGCTAGAAAGGTCAGGGGTAGGGGTGGGTAGGGCTAGAAAGGTCAGGGGTAGGGGTGGGTAGGGCAAAAAGGGTCAGGGGTAGGGGTGGGTAAGGCTAGAAAGGTCAGGGGTGGGGTCAGGTGGAATTAAAAATAATTTTTTAAAATATATTTGAGATTCCCCATTTGTCGTTTCCCCATTTTGCAATTTCCCCAAATGTCGCAGTACGCTAATTTCGTATACGATGAAAAGAATTAAAAATTAAAGTTAATTCGAAAATAAAAAGGTAATTCTACGCATTTTTAGACCAACATTGGCCAAAGAAAACCAAAATTAAAAAAAATTTATTTTTCCAAAATTATTTTCCTGTATGGGCGCGACTTGTCTTTACCGCCGCAGGCCGCACTTAAAAAACAAAATTTTGTTTGACAATGTCAAAACAATAGTTCTTCGAAATTTTAATGTAATAACAACTTTTTCTCACATTCCCTACATCTTCTTATAAATATTTTGCCCAAAACAATATAATTAATCGACATGGATTTAATCTTATACCTAAACTAATATTCACATCTAATTTCGGCATTTTAGATGGCCGCAGATGCAATGATAACGTCAGCCGACTCTTTGGAGCCTTCAGGACGTGTGATTCGAGATGCGAATCGAATGGAGACCTCTGTAGATTCGTTGGAACCTCAATATTCTGGATCTCGACAACAACACGACGACTCTTTGTTGGACGAAGGAACTTCCGGAGGTGCACAAAGTCAAGATACTCAAGCCGTTTTGAGTGCTGATACTGCTGGCACTTTCCAGGTGAGATTGATTTACATTTTTTGGATAAAATATTTAAAATTATATTGTACTAATCAGCCATACCTTGTAATTCGGTGTTGTTATAGCATAAGATTGCTCATGATAAGTAACTTTATATGTGAAATTAACTTTATTTTTAAATATTTATGCTAACTTGTTGTAGGAATACCAAGACGACGATCGTGACTCTCTGGAAGGAGCGTTGGAAGACTACGAGACCATTACCACCTTCCAGACGGTTCAACAACGAGACGATGGTACCACCGAGACCATAACTCGTAAAGTGAGGACCAGAGTGACTGATCCAGTTCATTCTCATGTTCGTTTCACTGGCACAGAGAACGAGGATCGGTTGAGGAACATTGAGCCAGAACAGGAAATCGAGTCGGTTGATGAAGAAGGAAACATTACCAAGACGATACGCAGAAGATTACAGTAGATTTACAGTATTTCCAAAGGCTGTACTTCTAAAACTGTACCAAAAATATTTTTACAGTAAGGTTGTGTTACTGTAATCTTGACAGCAACAATGGTACTGTAAAATACAGTAGTTTTCTGGAATTACTGAAGTTTGTGTCACATTGTAACTTATATTGTACTTGTCTTCTCCAGACATTCCAGCTTGCTTTTACCTAGTAACGTTGACATTTCGCGATCTCGGTTTTAGGAATTTTAATTTAAAAACGTATTCAAATTAGTATTTTAAAGATTTACAAATTATTTTACATTATTTTAAGGTATTTTACATTACAAGATGACATTTCTTGGTTGTGTTACAGTATCTAACAAAAACGTGGAGACTGTATTGTTTTTAACACGCGTTTACGGTATCTGACAAGATTATAAGCTTAGTTGTTATGGTACTTACTTCATGACACTGTAACATCAGTACCTACAATGGTACTGTAACTTAGCCTACAAATAAGGCTTAGAATACAATTTCCAAACATTTTACAGTATTCACAACATTTTTGATACAGGAGTCAACTCTTACAGTATTCAGCAGTATTTTATACAGAAGTCAACCAAATTACAGTAGTTTCCAATGGTATTTCATATTTTCACAGCATTTTCGCTTCAACGTGTAGGGCTTTCTTCAAGCATTTCCAACCTTTTCGACTAGTCACAAATCCAATTGGCCGTATTTTAGCTCGTATTTCAAAGGATTTTCGGTATAATATCGTCCCTCACAGTATTTTAGGTATTGATTTATGGGTAATAACTATACACTTAACTACAAACTTGAGAACAGAACCTTAGGGTTTTATTGATAAGGAGGCTATAATACTTACAATGTTATAGAGGTATACCCACACAAATTTTAAGAAGGCATACTTGTTTGAATAGATGAGTTTATTGGCTGTAACACATATTCGTGTGTTTACAATAGTAAGAGTGTTCTTTATGTAAGGTAGATAGTTAATTTAGGAGTTTTCAGTCTTTGATCCATCCGCGAAACTTTATATTATACTATGTTGTTATCACATCAATGTTTTTTTATTTTTTTTTCACATTACATTTTTCCCTTTTCTTACTGTTATTTACTTTACAGTATCCTCCCTCTCATGCCGTATTGTTTTCTACTTACCCACCAGCTTTACAGTAATCCTTTCCAGCGTAAAGGAGCCTAATCAAGCTTTAACTCAGCGGATCTGACTTACTTCTCCCATACTTGTACCTAAAGTATTGTTGATTATACCCTTAACATCTAGTCTTTTTGAAATCGCTTCGACAGCCAGTCCACTCTTTCAGCATTATATTTGTTACCTGCTTTGGCGGCATTCTTTGCTTAAGTTTGTTGAAGGCCCAGTTTTCGACTTAAAAACGGTTTTATTGTTACTTTTCCAGCGTAATAAATAAGTTACTATAAGGTTGGGATGTGTACAATATACTTTACAGTATGACAAACCTAAAAATTTTTTAAAAAATTCTGTCTTATTTTATATAATGGCACAAAAACGCTGTAGAACTTTACAGTAACTTTTTAATTTAACCCCAAATGAATAAAATTGACCCCTTTACCGCAAAGTATCAATAAGTTACATGCGTTTCTTATGCTCGCGATTGCTCTGACGCTTCCTTCCGCCTCCACTGATATCAAAACAACTCAAACAGAGAACGGCCGAACCCCGCGGCCTGGAGGCAGCCAGGGGGCCATCCTTCAGATCGATTGCTTTAGCGCCTGGATTTAGTCTCCACTTTACGTTGGGTTAATGTTAAGTGCGGGATTATTTATTTAACTTTATAAACCACCAGTTATTCTTGTTTTTGATACAATAACACTTGTACTGGGGATCTATTGAAGGGTATGTTGTGATAGGGGTTATGGTTTTGATTGAAACGGGGAAATATTTGGGAAAGAGCTAACATAGACAGTGGTAGTCAAGTTAAAATTCAAATTGTTTCAAAAAGTTTTAAAATTAAAAATACTGTTTTTCTTTTTCAAAGAAAGTTAAAATTTGTCGTATCTCAGGTTTAATATAAAGTAGTTTATATTTTTATTAAAACATTTTTAAAATATTTAAAGTCAGTTTCGAAATTCGGCCGAACGGCATTGAATCATCGCTTTAAACATTTCTCGGCCATTAGTCTTTCCTTAATTACTCTCTTCAAGGCCAGCTGATTAAAACTGGCATATTCATATAGAAACACGTAATTGACTTACTGAGCTTTTTCATTACATTATCATCTTATTTTACATTATTATATTTTTGGTAGTTTTGTACAATTTTTTTTGAGAGTAGCCAATAAACTTAAATTTTTTTTTGATTTCTTGAAATTTTAAAATTTGAAGTAACAAACTAAAAAGAAACCTCCTCTCCTTCCTCCCTTCGTCTAGCCAGCCTATTAGTTTACTACGTAGAACTTTATATCATTTCCCATGTTTTTTCTTAACAAAATCTGCTCAGGGAATGGCCGAGCAGCTGGTGTTTGATTGTGGCCCCGAGGGCCGAAACTCTTTTAAAACGTTTCTTAGTCGATTTTTAAAAACCTTTTGCTTTGTTTCGACATAAACGAATTTAATACTGAAATTTGAACCTAATATTTGAAATGTTTTAAATTATCTGATGTTATAATGAGGTTTAAATTCCAAATTAGTTTCTATTACCTTGTTCAATTAGTTCTGTGCTCCTTAACACCAAAAATTCGCTTTCAGATAGGCACAGAATTATTTGAACAACCTAATCTTAAGGTTATATCTTACTTTTACCATATAAAGTAGTAGTAGTAAATTGATTTTTGAATCAAACGTCTTTTTGATGACTAAATGCGTATAAGGTAAACGCCAGTTGTGACAAACTAAGTATTATATAACATGTTATACTTTAGTGATATAGCCTATTGATCCCGGTGTAATTATAAAATGTCTGACAACGAAGATCCTTATGCCGTCAGCTCGGGTTCCGAAGATGAAGATCAAAGGAAACCGCCACCAAAGATTCAGATTGAAGGCCGTACTGGGGATTTGAACAAGATTGTAAGTTTCAAAACATAATCTTGAGGAAGGTAATGTACATATACATTTACTGTCCATAACCTTATAATACTATGTGTTTGTAGAAAGAAAACCTATCGAAACCAGAAGGAAATGTAAAGGATGAAGAGCGACAGAAAGAGATAGAAGCACTGAAAGAAGCCAAGAAAGAAGATATGGCTAAGATGAAGCAAGACTTCGAAGCCGGAAAGTCATCGCTACAAAAAGATGAAGCCGATCGCAAAGTTTCTCTAGAAGGTAAGTTTTCGGGAGATATTATTACGGTCGTATGAACACGATTACTTTCATTGTAGACGTATTTCCGAGTGTCATACGAAGACATCTTTTGTCATTTGTTAGAGTAGTTATTGTTAGCTAATTACATTGTGTTTACCTTGCAATGTTTCGTAAGTTTACTTTAGAATTTTGCATATTTGAATATTACATTAGTTGTTTAACGATAATATCGTACTAGAAGAGTCTTAGTAATAGTAATATTGGACTAAAACACACTTCAATACTAATAATATAATAGTACAATAATATTTTTAATAAAAAATGGCCTGTCATTGTAATATTGATCATGCTACAAGAATTTAACAAAACCATGTGATAACAATACCTTCAGGCGTCGGAAAAGATACCTTATCGTCAATTCGGAATCTGATCGAAAGCGGCGGAGAAACCAAAGCTTTTGAATCCGAACAGAGGAAAGAAGTGGAAAGTCTTCTGAAGAGCGAAGGAGAACGGAAGAAAATGCTCGCTGCTTTCATGGAGGTAAAACCAGTACTAATGTACTATAATTACATATATTACGGCTGTAATACATAGGACTCATTGTGCTTCATTTGGAATATATAAAAAGATAGTACCGAGTAAAGAAGAAGTACATTAAGATGTTGTTTTGTTTTAGGAAGCGGCCAAAGAACCTTCAAACGACTGTCACATTTGTGGAAAGATTGTTTATAATGTTGAACGTATCATTGCGGCCAAGAAAGTCTACCACAACACTTGTTTTACTTGCTGTAAATGCTCAAAGAAGTTGACGTAAGTTCACATTCTAAAGCTAACATTGAGCCATGATCTTCGATTCTCTAACATGTAAATTAAATTAAAAAGTCTTCAATTTTATGGCTTTTCATATAAAAAATGACTTTTTAGTCCAACAACGTTCAACCACCACGATGGTGATCTGTATTGTCGTGCCCACTACCAAGAAGCTCTTCATCCTGAACAAGTCGGAGTTGTGGTCGACGAAGAAGACGATCAGCCAGATGACGACGATGAGTTTTCATTGGTTTCAAAGCCAAAGAAGTTGGCTGATGGTGTTGTCAGATGTGAGTTCATTTAAATGATAGTTGTTACACTTATAATTACAACACGTAATAGCGTGAAATACCTTGAACTGAACTTAAAAAACGGTCTGTAGAGAAAACAAGGCCTACTATAACATATTACAGTTTCCTTTTAAGCTGAACAAACCACAAACATTGGTGATGAACTAGCCCAGCTGAAGTCTTTGAGAGAAAAGAAGGCTGAACTAGAACAATCAGCAGCTGAAGCTCAGAAGGTGGAAAAGAAACTGACACCAGCTGAAGAGATCGCTGCCGGACGGGTCAAGGAAAACAGGGGAAAAGTAAGTATAATGTAAATAAGCCAATAAATTGGGTTATACAGGCAAAAAAAGCAAGTGTTAAAATTTTGTTTGGGGAAGTTTTTTAGTTTTTTGTTTTATCGGCTAAAAAACGGGTTTCAACAATTGATTCGATAAAAAATAATTTTTTTTTATTATTTGGTAAAAAATAGGATGGAATGCTTTTTATGGTATTTTCTTTCTCTTTATTTAATGACCAGCATGTTCTGATTATATCTCTCTCCCACTTTAGAATCGCGACAAGCGGTGAAACTGACGAAGAAAGAGCGGCGGCTGAAGCAGCTGAACGTCAGAAGGAAATCGACGCTATCAAGGGATCAGTCCACAATGTCAAGAACAAGTGGAAGACAGGCGACGTGGAGACGGCCGAAAGCAAGGAATCTGAAGCTAAATCAGAACTTGAGGCTCTGAAAGGCCAAAAACTTTCAGAAAGATTCAAAGAAGGAGCTGAAGATCATGAGGTTGTCAAGGCTTACGATAAGTCGGAGCTGGACACTGCTGGTGAGTTCATATTAGTTAAAAGAAGTTAAATTTAGGATTTTGCTATATATTTGTGTATGTAATAGTACCAATCGTATTTACAGCTATTGCCAATGCCAGAAAGTCGTTTTTGGAAGGATCAGCTTATCAGTCAGGACCGGTTGAGAAAACGGCTATTGATTTGGAAGAAATTCGAAGAGGAAGTAAGTCATTTTATTTTAGCCCTAATTAGAAATGGCTTTCTAGTTATTGCCTATTTTTACTTCAATAGAATATTATCTATTTGACAATTTTGTTAGCAATTATCTGTTAAAACCTCGAAATAAAAGTAATTTTGTCGTATAACTTTATTTACGACTCTCAGAGACATATGGCTCTGATTTCGGCTTTAAAATGATCTCATTGGCCATTTTTACACTTTGGGGTTAGTCTGAATATTCATTTCTTTAAAAGTGTAATATTTATTGTAAATAGGCTTTTTTACTCAACTTTTAATACTATTTCTGCCATTTTATTTCGATTTTTGGAGTTTAAAGTACACGTCGATTGTTGTCAAAACAACGATTGTTTTGTTTTAGCCGCCAGCTCGTTCAAGGATCGTTTCGAGAAGGGACTGGAGACGGACTACGAGAAGACAGCCGTCGACTTGGACGTTCAGTTGGGTGATATCAAGAGTCAGTTGAGTAAACTGAAGTCAGAAGACCAGATGACTCCAGAAGAACGGGCGGACAAGAAGAAGAAGGAGATCGAAGAGGAATTCCTTCGCTACAAGTTGGCTAGAAAGCTGAGGGAGAAGAAGAATAATGGTGAAGAAGTAGAAGTGCCACAAGAAGAAGCTGTAGGACTTGATGTTGAGATCAAGATGGCTGGAAAGGCGAGGAAGAAGTTTGAGGAGATCGACAGTAATGCTACGCCAATCTTCCCTAAACAGGTACGTTTTTTGAAAAAGTTTAAGATTTTTATTTGATAAACTTTAAAATGACATCCTTTTACGTCATTTACCTTATGTATTATTATGCAAAAGTGAATTGATGTCTAATATTCAAAATATTGACATTTTTGAATTTTAGTCAGAATCCAAATCTTCGTCCAAATGGGACAAACAGCATGAACCAACGGCGGAAGTTGTCAATCGTCGCCAACAGCAAGATTCAGACGAAGAGGACGAGGATCCAGATGCTTTCGACGTGAAGAATCTGATGAACAAGTTCAAAAACTTGGCCGAATTGGCTCCAGCAAGAATCGAAAAGAAGCTGGATGACCTGGAACAGCTACGTTTAGAAGCCAGGAATCTGAGAGAGAAGTTTGAGAAGCAAGACGACGGGTTGGACGAAGAGACAGAAGAGAAAAAGAGACAGTTACAGGAAGAGTTCGAGCACCTCAAGGGTAAGAATGACGTTTATCAACTTATTTTTCTATATTTCTAATGTAAACTCTTCGTATTTTAAATTTGGATATAAACTGATCAGTATCTTGTTTAAAGCTACTGGTAAATTTTTAAAAGGAGGTGTCTAACTTTAAATTTTCAGCCGAAAGACTACGTGCCAAAGAAGAGTTGGAAGCTGAAAGAGCTGCCGCAGCTGCTGAAGATGATGCTGATAAGGATGATGTGCAAGTAGCTGCTGACCATGCTTCCAAAATGGCAGCCAAATGGGAAAAGATCAATAAGAAAGAGGCCAAGAAGGCCGAACGGTCCAAAATGCCGGCCAAGGTCAGCTATTGTGGAGTGCAGGGTTTGGTCAAGAGTTTCGAGACCTTTACTAACAACCGGTTGCCTTTGAAGTGATGTTTGTATTTCTAAAAAAAAGAGTTTCATTTTAGATTGACAGTAATATTTGTAGATAAGTTTAAATTTTTATAGATAAGCTATTATATTGTTTTAGATAAGGTTTGTAAATATCTAGTTCGTAATACTTTTTAGCTTTTTATATACTTTACTATGATAGGCGGGTTTAAAGTCACGATTTGTCTTTTTTTATGGAAACACAACTAAAACTAGCTTTAAAATTGCTGTACATATCTTGTAAGAATATTGTAGTTACTTCATCTAAAACATCATGAAACGAATGTTAATAAAGTTTGTCATTGTGTGATTTGATAATAACTATAGCGAAGCCTTTACAATAAGGGCTGATGTATGTGACGATAACAGGTTGCGGTTTTTTAACCTTATGCCAACTTAAACTGTAAAACTACTATTGTTACAGCCATAACTACCGCAGCCACAACGCCATCTCAACTTACTTTGCATATAAACTATTATGTACTTTTAACTTGTTTTAAATAAATATCATTGCATTTTAAAATGAAAAAATATGCTTAAAAAGTGGCTTAAAATGAAAATTAACGATTTGTTGCTTTAGTTATATTACAGTAGGTGTAAATATTAATAAAATGAAAGATAACTGTTGTACTTTGTTGAAAAGACTTTTTTATAAAAAGTGGAATATACAGTTCAAAGCTAAAGAAATGATATGATCGTCATTTGTTATCTTTGGTCTCTGATAACACAAAACTCATCTTTTGTCATATTACTGGTTGCAAAAAGTAGTATTTAAAGCAAACGTGATACAAACCAATCCTATAAGCAAAAGATAATTTTAGCGTAGTTTGAATATGGTTTTCATTCAGTGGTCAAATCCCCTTAAGGTGTAAAAGGATAATATCCAAAAATAAACTTTGAAATCGGGAGAATGTAAAGGAAAATGCTTTTCCGCAAATATTTGTTTTCATTGTTCATCACAACGTACAATAACCACTACTACTTCTCGAGACATTCCTTTTGTTACCTTAATTACTAATTTCAACTTTATTGTTTTAAATTATTTATCATTGTTTCTGCTGTTTCACAGATCAAATCTGACATTATTTTAGTGCGGGAATGATTCGTTTCTGTTTTTAAATGTGTCATAGTCTGTTCTGACAAAACTGATGTTGTGATTAACATTATAGTTGACTTTTGAGCTAGTTCTTTGTACTTTTATGAACCTCTATAACCAGTTTTAACGAAAATTACCTCAAATTGAATATATTTTTCGTCAGACAACGACCTTTTCAATGTCAAATTCCTTTAATTTTGGCGATTTCGAGTAATTTAACAACTCGGCGCCGCCATAACGGCATTCAAATGTAGGGCGATTTACTTATGGGGCGTGAAACGACAGTCTTTATTGTTAGGCTTTAAACTAATGTACTGAAATGGCATTTTTTAATATTCAGATGGAACAGTATTCATTTGAAGATAAAAAACATGTCATAAGTTTATATTTTAAAATTTTTCATAATTTTATTGTTTAAATAATATTTTTTTTTCACTTCAATATCAAAATTCCAAAACCCATGGCATTTAAATAACAATGACTGTATGATAATTTGTGCAGAGTTTTGTAATCCTCTTTTATAATTCAAAAAAATGCCGTGAAGCGAGAGATAAAGGGATTTGGAGAGAGTGAAGAGTCAGGAAAAGAACTCTTTTTTTTCAATTTGAGAGAAAGTAAAATATGTTAGTTTAATGACCGTCGTATGTTGTTTTAGCTATCTTTTCATTACCAAAAAAATATTTTGAGAGGTAACAGTTTACATTATGCTTAAATTAACATATATTTTGTAGGTTAGTAGTAAGAAGTTTATTTTTTCACCGCACGTGCCTGACGTTTGTTTACTGCAAGATATAGCTTTGTTATGTTTATACACGTCTTTGACCAAAACATTTGGATATTTGGGATTTGTCAAAGCGAAAAATTAAAGGTTTGGGGGGGGCGGCTACCGGTTTTGGCGTCAATTGGTTAAACCTGGGCGATGGTTTAATATGTATTTGACATATATATCTTGGTTTATTTTGAAAGATAATGCATAGTAAACATAGCTTTTGTTATATTTTACTGAAAATATGCTGTTTTTTATTAATTTTTTCCAATTTTTACTTTTACAGTATTAATATGATCCATATACAAACCTGACAAACCTTTTCATACTGATAACATTCAGAAACACTTGGCAGTTCCAGAATGTCACGGTTCTGGTCGTAGTGTTCGTCATTCGCCGTTATATGATGCAAACTGTCTTATCACTCCCAAAGGGCGTGAGAGTAATCAGAAAAAGAAGTTTGATACGATATACTTTACTTATCATCTGTTCTGTCTGCTATTTAGCCTTAGTTTGGGACTATTATTGGGGACTAGTTGGGGAAAATGTGCTTTAATAATTCTTAAGCTCTGTGATTTGCACTAAACGTCTAATATGACAGTACAAAGCACTGGTCTGTGTTAAACTTTGATTTACGTTTTTTATCAATGATAAAATCATTTAACAGCGAATAAAACGGTAGATTGTATAGTCATTATCGACCACCGTTTAATGGAATCTTCTGTAAAAGGCCTGTTTTAAGATCATGAAGATATGAATTATTTAAAAGTGTTTTACATATCAGTACTGTTTAATATTCAATTGCAATTATGTGGACTATAATTAGTCTCTAAAATAATATTTGATCCGCAAATACTTTAAGTTTCTTAACTTTACATTCGGGCAAATTACTTTTCTTGTTACGCGGTGAGTTTTAAATTGTAAAAAACTTTATTTTGGACATAACTTTTAAATGTTTCCAGCAAACATAGTCATCATGCAGTGTGGCATGAAAATACGATTGATCTTTGCCGGGCTTGGCATCAGTGCTGGAATCATGGCTGGTACTTGTTTTTGGATTATGTATCAGGTAAATATGATTAATAAAAAGCCATTTAAAAAGCTTATACCTTTTCAGGATAATTATTAGGTTTAAAAGTTTAAGATACCGGGAAGAAAACAGGACGTAAAAGTTATCCAGAAAATGTAAAATAATATTGAAATTGTTTTTCAGAACTACAGTGCGACTATAATGGCCTACTTTAGTACGTTGTGTGCCACTTTTATGTTTTACACACATTGGGCCTACTACAAACAGTGGATGCTCAACTGGTCGGAAGGCAAAATCAGAGCTTCTATTATTATCAGTAAGTCTGTTTTCAAATATTATATAGTATAAAATTTTCTTAACTCCTTTGTCTTATCACCAGAATAACATCTTAACTAGAGGAGAAGGTCAGTCTAGTAACCATAAAATTAAAAAATAAACCTTGCATTTTCAAAATCGCATCCTTTAGACACAATCCTATGTGTCCTTGCCCTATCAGGCATGGTAGCCTGTCTAGTGATAGCCGGCATCAAAGGGCAGACCATTGATCACGCTGGACTGATGGGTGAAAACTTGTGGATCACTGCCGTTTGGTGTTGGATGACATTCAAATGGACGATGGCGACGGCGATATACACACGGAAATACGCCCACAATGTAAACCATTCTCTTTTAATGCACAGTGACGCCACTCAAACATACGACAGTTTGGTTTGACGTGCTTTATTTACTGTATTACTTTACTTTCACTAACACACGGGTTCTGTAAATAGAAACATTGCTAATAAAAAAACATTCGCATAGTTGTTGTGGCTGTAAAGCTTACTTTAATCAATTTAAAAGTTTATTCAAATGAATTTAAAGCTATTTCAAGAACCCAAACACTAACCCGCACTGGCTTATGTCAACTAACATACTTGTTATTTAGTGTAACATAAAGTCATTTTACATTTAACATACTTAAGATGATAGTAGAACTAAAGCTGCTCTATTTCAGTTACCTCAATGCGAAAAAAACTTTGTCACGCCTTAATAAGTAGTACTACTTAGCTTTTGTTATTCACACTGCACCATGCACAACTACGGGTGATATCTTCTTCTTTATTGTACTTTTTGTTTGCACTAATAAACAATAACTCACTTTTTCCTGCACTAACACGACTAATACGCTTCACAAAGTTTGCACTATACAAAACATAACATAAGCCTAGGCTTTTATCTATATATACTAACACAGATATGACAATATATTAATCCCTAGCGTTTTATAAACTGCCAGTTTCATCGTTCTTGTAATTTTACCGTATCTAACTTGTAACCTTAACTTTTAACCTTTACTCTGCTGAATTACTTTACTTTATGCTCATAAATTTTTAATTTCTAAAACATTTCAGACTGACGGGTACACGGTTGAACAAGACTTTTGAAGAGAACATAATCCCAAAAAACATAACTTATATCCAATTTCAACATGGACTCTTTAATTACAACTTTAACAGCGATGCGGGTTTTTCGATATTTTAATAAAATACGTTAGTATTCAATATGTTCAACCTTTTTAAACGAATTTTTCTAAAATAAGTTTTAGCTAATACAAACAACATTGTAGATTCGTGAATTTATTATTTATAAACTACAAAAATGACATTCATACACCTTTCATTGTATAAAATGTCCATCTGTACCTACTCCATGGTTTCGCAAATATTTGAAAACAATTAGAAGAGCGATTGCTTATAACCATTGTTGTGATTAATTATTGACTTGTCAAGAGTTTAGAATAAGAAAATCATATTCATCTAGATCACCCGTCCAGGCACAGCTGTCGCCATTTCCGCCTCAGGGAAAAAGCTTTCAAACTCATAAGTTATTAATTCTTCATAAATTGGTATTCCGTAGTTTTAATTAAAGTTATCTTTAGGTATTGGTATTATTTTTAGAAAATCCCTAACTTTCATTAAAATTTAATTAAAGGGCTTCAAGCAAAAGTTGGCAGATTTCAAAAATCTTGACCAAAATATTTTAAAAGATCGTTGAAGACCACGTCATCGTATACATCATACCTATTCTTATAAAACAGAACCTTAGCTTTGTTGAAGTGACAGTTCTTTACACTTTACTGCGGCCCATTAATATCAACCTCCAGGTTGTTTAAAGTCTACTGCTTTGTTTATTTACTTTCTTGTTTGTAATGCCCTAAGAGTCGTGGATTGCAAACTTTGAGGGATTAACATGCGGATCATATACACAAAAAGTACATGTTTAGATGGGAATGTGATGTTGCCTTCTTTTGCGGTTTCTTGTGTTTAAATTTTTGAGAGATCTTGTTCATTAGTTGTTAGTGATTTTTTTCCATTTGAATATCATATTGAATTGTTTTCATCAAGTTTAAATTAAATTTTTAATATTTTTTTAAATCTTGTTTTACAGCTATCTATAACACCTTTTATCAACATCCTTTAGAGTTGAAATAACTTCTTTAAAATAAAACGCCTAAAATAACTCGAAATAATAGGCTTGATCTTTGGCATTATTTATTTTTATGTGCCGTCAGACAAAGGCCATCACTTGTCTTCCATGAACTGTGCAAAAAAATAATTTTTGATGACTTTGATGAGTTTTCTCATCCCACGATCTTCACACATTCTGATGCCAGCCATTGTGACACATTTCTTTCGGGTCTAAACAAAGTTTTTATGTCTAGTAGAGCTCATCAACAACATTATTATAGTAGAGTGTCTTTATTTTATATCCTTTATAGTATTTTATATTGTTTATGGAGGAATTTCATTTGTTGCCAAGTGCTAGAAATCTGTCAGCCCTTTAGGTTGTTCACTCATAATCAATCAGTCCTATCAGTTCACTCATCTTATGAAGTCCAAGCAGATTGTCTCCATAGAGAGATCTCTATACCTTTCAGTTCAAAACGCGCCATTCTTTTCACATCCAAAACTAATGTTATTCAAAGCATACCCTTAATTATTATGCAGCATTTCTTCTTTTTTGCCTTCGACAACCTTTTCGAATTTGAATTAGTTCAGTCAGAACAAAGACTCATTATGGCACCTTGTTGTAGGCCAATTAGACAGAATTGTCAAATTGGCTCCTCAAGCGTTGATTTATTAGCATTTCGTTTTTTTGAAACGCCGCCTCATTTTTTGAAATTTAAAAGTTTACTAATTGCTTTATCTTTTGATTGTTATTGTATTAGTTTTTAGATCTTTATAGAGGTTTCAGGCTTAATATTGTTGTACTTTCAACTGTTGTACCATACAACAAGAGACAGAGGCACTTGTTAAACATATTAATCTAACAAAGTAATTTTAAGCTAATCTACCACTAACACTGCCCCAATGTTCATGTAAGTCTTCTATGCTCGTCCTAATAAAATCTTTCACCCAAAAGCAAAAACTTTGTTTCCAACGTTTTTTGGCTGCTTCTGAAGCACTTTTTGAGAATTGTCCTCTTGAACGGTGAATAAAAAGTTTGTGTCCGCGATGTATCGAGTGCCATTCTTCCAAGGTCGAGGGTTCCGTCTTAATGATTAGCACATTGCCAATGCTTTTGCCGCCTTTCATTAACTTTGGCGCCAGTTTTGGGACTTTTAAGATTTCCAATCAAAGACTATTTTTTACTCAATCGTACCGCGATAAAACACGTGTAAAAAGCGTCTTTATAATAACTTTGCAGCTCAATAAAAATATAAAATTTATATTCAACTAGAATAGCATAACATTTTTTTTTAAGTTAATATAATTATAACATTTTTAATTAATTACTGCTAAATTACAGAGTAAAAACGGACGAAGCACCGCTGACGAAGACGAGTCCGCCGCCCAATTACTCCAGCATGGGTGAGACGGTGAAAGAACATGAAGATAGTCCGCCGAGAGACAAGTGGAGCTCGTGGGCCGACTTCATCATGTCGTGTGTGGGGTATGCCATCGGACTTGGAAACGTAAGAAACTGTTATCAAACATGAACAACAAAACATCATTAAAAAACAAAATCAGCAAAATAATTTGCTCTTACACAGGTTTTTAGCTACCTATGTGTATATTTCACACCATCTTATAACATCTTGCTCTGACAGAAAGATATTAATAAATACCACACCAAAACACAAAATCAAACTTACAGGTATGGCGATTCCCATACCTCTGTGGAATGAACGGTGGAGGTGCTTTCTTGATTCCCTACATCATTTCCCTTCTGCTGTGTGGAGCTCCCATGTTCATATTGGAAACTACCTGGGGACAATTGGTATCAGTTGGTGGTCTGGGCATGTTCAAGATATGCCCCATCTTCAAAGGCGTGGGTATTGCGGCCGCTGTGATGGCTTTCTGGCTCAATATCTACTATATTGTTGTCCTCAGCTGGGCTTTGGCCTACTGGATCTACTCATTGAGGTTAGATGACAACGTACCGTGGCGGAATTGCAACAACGAGTAAGATCTATAACATTATTCAAGCTACCTTAGTAAAAAAAAACTTTATTAATATTGTTCATGACGTTATCATATAGCAGCTAACTCTAACTAATTAAAGGATGTAACGTTACTTACCTTTATATCTTTGCAGATGGAACACTGAGCACTGTAGATCCGACTACGATCCAGTAAAATGTGATTCCAATCGCACGATCCGAGAATACTTCAACGTCAAAGTTCTGACTCACGACCACTTGCAAGAATACAAGAAACAGTTTTTCGTCGGTCCGAAAATCAACTACACCTTCTGTTCAGCTGACGATCTTGCCGTCCAATCTCCAGTCCGCGAGTTCTGGGAGTAAGTTCACAGAGTTCGTCAAAACTTAAGATTAATATAAAAAATATCGTTTAAATAGAATAATACAATAACAAGTTGTGTTACATGTGTAAAATACCTTGATGTCAGATATTCCGTGGTTTTACTGCAAAATACTTTGAAAAGCATAGTTATTTTGTTTTGGTCTGCGTCCACAGTTTGAAGAAGCGCATTCTGCGGTTAGAAGGGGACATGTTATACGATGGCCACGCCATTTCGCTTTAGAAAACTATAATAGGTTATTATAATACATTATAGACGATAGAAGGTAATTTTTATTATCTTCTCAATTTTTCAGCCATCGTATCTTGGGCATCTCGAAAGGAATTGAAGATGTTGGAAGTCTTCGAACTGATCTGGCTCTGTACCTCTTGATCGTGTGGATCATCTGCTATTTGTGCATTTTCAAAGGTGTGAAATGGACTGGAAAAGTGGTTTACTTTACTGCGTCTTTTCCTTATGTTATGTTGTTCTTTCTGTTAGTACGAGGACTGACATTGCCTGGGGCTTCGCTTGGACTTGAGTTTTATTTGAAGCCGGACTTCTCGAAGCTTCTGGAGTCACGAGTGTGGTTTGATGCGCTGACTCAGGTAATTTTTAAAGGATTTTAACATGAAGATAAAAGAGTTGATTTGCCATCTTTTTGGAAAAACAAATATGCTTTAGTATGTTACCTAAATTTATATTGCTAACACAATTTATTAATTAACATGTTGAATTTCAGGTATTCTTCTCTTACGGTCTAGGCTTAGGAGCTTTAGTAGCGTTGGGAAGTTATAACAGCTACAACAACAACGTATATCGCCAAGCTATGACAGTATGTTGCGTGAACTCTGGCACGTCTATGTTCGCTGGTATTGTTATCTTCTCCTTTATCGGATTTATGGCCAAACAAATGGGAAAAACGGTACAGGAAGTGGCCCAAAGTGGTCCTGGTCTTCTCTTCTTGGCTTACCCATCTGGTATCTTGCAGTTACCGTACACTCAAGTATGGTCCGTGCTGTTCTTCTCAATGGTGCTGTTCTTGGGGGTGGACTCACAGGTATGTTTAGGTAGCATTAGTTTTATAATGACATGAACTTATTGTGGTAATTGAGGCTATTATTTTGGGGCTATTCCTGAGCGGTTGGCTTGATTTTTGGAGTAGACGAGGTAGAGTTATTGGTGATTATTATGACTTTCAGTTTTGTACGATGGAAGGCTTTTTCACGGCCATTATCGACGAATTCCCTCAACTTTTGCGTGGTCGACGATACGGTAGAGAGATATTTGTTTTTGTCATATGTGCTATATCTTACATTGCTGGTCTGGCTACTGTAACTAACGTAAGTAAACTGTTATCATGTTGTAGTTATTGTAATTTATTATTGTAGGAATGTTTATTATATTGTTTCAAAGAAATCTTAAAGGATCATAAATAAAGAAAACAAATGTAAGACGGATATTATTTTATATGGCTTGCCTTAGGTAACTATACATGATTTTAGGGTGGCTTCTACGTGTTCCAGATCTTTGACTTCTACGCGGCTTCAGGTTGGGCATTGATCTGGCTGTTGTTCTTTGAATGCATTACCATTTCATGGTGTGTTGGCATAAACTCATGGTACGATCACATCAAGTCTATGATCGGATATTATCCATCACCGTGGTGGAAGTTCTGCTGGGTCTTTGCTACACCTTCTGTTTGCATCGTACGTTTATGATTTGAATTTTATATATATATATACATATATATATTAAAAATGTTTTTATATTTTCTGGAGAACAGTGTGTTACAATTTAGCGCTACAGTGCACTGTGTAGTACTGTAGAAGCAAATAGAAGCAAAAATGGTTTAATATTGACTTAAAACTACTTATTTTAGTTGACATTCTTCTTTGGCTTATTCCAATACAAACCTGTAAGACTGCCAGCATACGACTACGACTTCCCCTTATGGGCACATGTCTTTGGATGGTTCTTGTCTTTGTCATCAATGTTATGTATTCCGATCTATGCTATCTACATATGGTGTGTCACGGATGGCTCGTCTAGTGAGGTAAGCGCAAGGAGTGTTTGTCAAAGTTTATGTTAAAACTTTCTGCTATTGGCTGAAACTTGTTTAACATAAAAGACATCTTAAATTACCATAGTTTGACTAGTAATTAATGTAGATTATTAAACTCTTTAACGTATATATTGTATTAGTGTTATATTAACTATGTGTTTCCTACATATAATGTGTTTTTAGAAGTTTGAAAAGCTTTGTCGCCCCAAAATTGACTTTTCTCCGGCTTCTAAGATCTCCGAAGACAACGGCGACGGCCATGTATTATACGAATTTGCATAATAGGACAGTAACGTTTTGAGTCTAATCTTTTATAAATTTTTATCTGATCTCAATTTATTTTTTCGAATAAATTTTTTACATTTTTTGCTAACTTTAATGCTCAAATCTTAAATTTTACCTTAATATTTTTATCACTTCAGGTGATGATCTTTACTAAAGATAAAATAAAACACAAGTTACTGCAAATACATTTCCAACTGTTACCATTTACATTAATTAAAGTTTAGTGCAACAAAATCAAGCTTTTTGAACGGCAGATCCTTGCCATTTCTGGCCAATACACAAGCACAGTCCGTGTTGTTGGACCATCCAACTCCAAAGTCTTTGGCACGACAGTTCTTGGCACAGGTTACTGTAGTCTTTAGCCTGGTTTGACCACAGTCGCACCATTTACCGCCTCCAACAAACCGACAAAACGATGGACAGTACTTTAGATTACATAAACATGTCTTCTTCAAGTTGCTAGCTGCTGGACAATTGGCTGGGCAAGACTGGGCTTGAACGTAAAGGCAAAGGCAACATACAGCACACAGCAGCAGTAGTACGAATTTCATTTTGGTATAAAATAGATATCAAGTCTAATATCGAGCTATGAAGAGTATAAAAAGCAATGTATATTAACTATGGTATCACGTTTTGATATCAAGTTATGGAACGTATAATAATCAATTATGGACCGAAACACATTACGCTTATATACTAATTTGAATTAAAATGGAAGGTCATAAAGCGTTTCACATAAAGTAATATCATATGCATCAAGAAGGCGTCAAACTGCAGATTTTGTAGAGTTTTATGATCTCTTTCATAATTTTGATATTATTCACAGTTTAATTAAATTAACCTTTACATAAAAATGCAACTGTTTATTATCCTCCAACACCTCTACATACAAATACAACTGTTGCCATACCGACTAACTCCTCTTCTGAAGCCTTTGTCAATGCAGTATTGATTACAAGGTTTTCCAGCCTTCTCCGCCGCTGTCATGCGATACCCATACTGATAGCGGCATACGCATTTACCACCGGACATTTTGGTACAACCACGTTGACATTCAGTAGGAGAAGTTGTGACTATTAACAGGAAAAACAATAAGATATAAACATACATTGTCTTAGTAGGCAATAACAATATAAGAGAATGTAAAATGGCTGGTTTATATTTCAAACAAATGTACAAGATGTGAATCACAATTACTTTAATGTTTATGGATAATATGTGACTTTGATCAATATTAAAAGGAATTTCAAATGAAATTTGTTTAAAATATACAATGGAATGTAGCCAATATATAAATATGGATTATGTTATTGTGATTAGGTGCTTGCAAAAGAATGTAAACAACTAAAAACTACGTTAGGTCAATGAAAATAAACTATTTTACCAAGTTATTGTAGTTACACTTTACAGTAAATAAAAGACTTAAGACCTTCGTATTGTCTAGAAAATAATCTTTGCACAAAGAGCACCTTGCACTACAGTATCTCCGGGAACAGGTAACCAATTTCCATTTTCACTTTTGTTAGAACTGACAACCAGAACAAAGTAAGAGTCATTGGGTGGGTCTTTAGTAAAGTCGTACATGCTATGGTAGCTTACTGGGGTAATACTGTCTAGCCAAGTGTAGTTCTGGTTGAAGTAAAAACCAATGGCAACATTGTAGTCTTTGGACGTTACTTTTTCTAGCACGTGTTCTAAAGTGTCATACTGTAAGGTTGTAATAGTAATATGATTTTTTTTTAAATTTGTAATAAATTGTCAAACGTATATAATATTTTTACAGTTGTGGTTACATAAGCTAATTAAAGAGCTCATTTTATACACATCTTACTGTATAGGTGATCTTGCGCTTTTGCTGAAGGTATAGAAGCTGGTTGATATCCATGTTTCTCACAAAAATCTTGGTGGTCTTTAATTGGCATGTTGTAGTTTGCTTTCAGCTATAACATAAAACTTAAAGAACTTCTGTCGTATAACTAATTACTTTAAATTTTTGTCACTTGGTCTTCATTTTTGGTAAAATATCTGACCAATAGTACACTGACTTCTTCATGGATATTATGTATCAAACTTACATAAAAATTATAGTTTTTTAGACTCAAATTAAGAGGTCGAAGCGATTTACAATATACTACAAACAGCAACAATACAACTACCTTTATGCTAACCACAATAAAGCGCAATATTGAAATATCAACTGCTATTAACTTATTCAAATAAAATTTCAATTATGATTTTAATAACTTAACGACGTTTAAACTAATAACTACACGTATATCATGGTGTATATAGTGATTAATTGCAACACATTCGGTTTGGTAAATTAGATAGTTTAGTTTTATACTCAGTTTTGTTTTTAATGTAAAATTTAAATTTGTATCAAATTAAGATATAGCATTACAAATCCTATATATAATATTATACTAGAGCGCATTGTTATAGAACAAAAGTATCCAAGCCAAAAAGCCAAGTTTATTGCACAAGTTTAGTCATCAGTAAATCCGACACATAATGTATATTCAACAATGTCAGTAGTCTTCACTCTCACCCACTTCCTATTGATCGAGTCGTTGTAGTTGAACATAGTAACATAGCCAAACTCTTGACTGTTTGGCGTATTGTAATCCTGCAGATTCATGTAGTTAACTGGCGACATATAATCCAACCAGGTATAGTTGTGCTTGTTGAAGTACAGTCCAATTGAAGCGTTGAACGGTCGTTGTGTCAGATTGTGCATTTCAACTAAAATTTAAATTTTATATTCAGATTATATTCATCTACTAACTCCACAGGCTAACTTTACATCTAATGCGTATTCTTAATAACTTACAGTAAAGTCTATTATTCATATCGACGGTTGGTATACCCATTGGCAACAAACTCCTGTTGTGACAAAAACCAATAGCTTTTGCCCATGATCTATTAACGTGACCAACCTAATTAAAGATTTGATTTAAATAAAAATTAGAAAAATTTAATAACTTTCGTTTTTAACTATATTACCTTCTTTATATAACACTTCCCCCTAACTTAAAAAATTTATTTTATAATATAATTTATTAGGTTCAGAACAAAAGCTAACCTATTGGGACAATTCTTGATTATAAAGCTTACATAAAAATTATAAAAATAAGAAGTGTAGTTGTAGAAGTTGTCTTGAGAAGGCAAAAAGTCCTGTGAACAAACACAGACACAAACCAACAGCACCGCTAATAACATAACATAAAGTGTGTAAGTATATTTCCAGCCATAACAACGCAATCGTACATTGCTTAGCATTAAAATACGTAGACAATTTTTTAAATCTTTATTAATGTATTTTAAATATGTGTTTGCTACTCATTTTCTGGTAGAAAAGTGATTTTTTGCTGTTTTGTTTGAAGTAAAGTACGTTATTTAGGTGTATATGTAATATTTTAGCTCGCGCTCTTGAGCTTTAAATTTAAATTATTTGGGTTTCCTGCCAATTCGGCAATTTTGGCATTGTGTTTCAAGCACTTTTTTTAACTTTCCAGACAAGATGCGCTTACAAATTTAAAAATGTAGGTTCATTTAAAGGTATTCTACTAGTAAATCAAAGAAAAATTATTAAAAGTCAAAAATGACAAAGTTACAAGCTTGAAACACAATGCCAAGTTCGCGGGAAATTCAAGCCGTAATTTTTTGATCTTGATTTTCTCGAGATTTCCTGGAAAGCGCGATTTAGTACTTTGCTGAAGATCTTAAATTTACATGATCTTTATTTATAAAAAGTTAGAAGTCAATCAGAGCGGGGGCAGGTCGGGCACTTTCCTTGTGAATAACACAAAACAGTCTGAGTTTACTGCCATCTTTTATTTGACTTTCATTTTAATGACAACTTTAAAATAAATCAAACAACAATGGTATTTTATTACAAAAACACACATACAATGTAATATTTCATATTTCAAATCATTTTTATTGGTCATCAGTAATGGTAATAATACCAACTAAACTCTCTATAAACCTCAGACTCTATGTGTAGTAAAATATTTGACAAAGCTACTGTAAGTAAGTCTTTAAAACTATATGCTCTTTTATTTGTTGTAGCGATGGTAATAGCTGTCTCAACAGTGGTAGCCATCGAATGTGATCCAGAAGCGTGCAACATTTACTGTGCTACTACTTGGAGTCTAAAAGGAGAATGTTGAAGTGTGAAGTGTGCTTGTAAAGCATAACTCGCTCATGTTCATTTGCTGTTATGTTTAATAAAATTATTTGCACTGTTATTTACTTTTCTTTTGAACCTTAATATAAAGATACGAAGATTAAAATTTTTAATTTCCAATATTATTTATTTCTTCCTCAAAAACAAAGCGATAAACAGCGAGGGCAGTTTCCATCGTATAAATAATTCCAAGCCAAAAAAAATATTTTTTATAGCTACAATGGACAGAAAACTGCATTATTATCGATGATTCGCAACAGAATGTCCAGTTTGTCGATAAAAGATGGGAATTCAGTTAGACATCACAAACAAGTAAGTTGTTTCAATTTCCATATGGTTTCGCGGCAGTTCTTGAGTAAAAATGTTTTTTTTAGGTCATACTTTTGTTATATGGTGTTGTCTAGATGATAATATGATATGGCTATTGTTTTATTTTAATGTTTTTTCAAAGTTGATTATATTCATCTTGTTTTAGATAAGACTTTGGGGTGATCGTGGCCAACATAGCCTCGGAAGATGTGATTGGGCCATCATTGGATCATCAGCTACTAGTACCGAGATTTTGGAATGTTTGGTTTTCGCTGGCATTCGATCTTTCACCATTTTTGTTGATGAACACGTTGGAGGAGTTGATTTTGGTAGCAATTTCTTTATAACTCAAGAAGACACTGGAAGATCAAGAGCGGAAGTTGTCACTAAATATATAAAAGTAAGTTTAATCATTCTCATGTAGATTCTATCGTTGTAGGAGTTGAATCCAGCTGTAGAAGGACGATTTGAAGAGATCAATTTCAAAAATGACACTAAGTTCAATGTTTTGGAGAAGTTCAGCATTGTTATTGGCTGCGGGATGAGTGCTAATGTCTCTGTTCAAGTGGGGTACTATTTAGGCGGAGGAATATTCCATTCATATCAAGGTTGAGTTTGGGACTACTGGGATTCATGAGGATTTGCGTAGGAGATCATGAAGTTCACAACGCTCACACTGAGAATGTTCCCTTCGATTTTAGGTATGACTTTTATCTGTTTTCTATTTTAAAGTGTTCTCCTTCGTAATGTACGAAAAGTGTTATTTTTAGGATCTGGAACCCTTTTCCGGCGTTAAAAGAATACGCAGATAACATAAACTTGGATGAATTAGAGCATGAACAACATTCACACATCCCTTACCTTTTGTTGTACATAAAGGCTTTACCAGAATGGAGAAAGACACAAGTGGATCCAGATGCATTACCTACTGCAGGAGCCAAGAAAAAGAGTTTCATTACGTTGTTGAAGGAGATGCAGAAGCCCAACAATAAAGGGATTCTGGATGAAGTCAACTTTCAGGAGGCGTGTGACAATATTTATAGATCTTCCTACTTTCAAAGTTTGTTTTTATAATTACGCTACTCAAAATAGGGATTGTATGTTAATTTTAAACTCAAAAACAAAGACAATTTTTAACATTAGACAATTTTTTAAGTTATTTAAGAAAATTTCAGTCTGGAGCGAGTAGTAATAAGTTTCAATGTTAAATTTGGTAAAATAATTGTTTGTTCAATATTTGCAATAGTATGTTATATGTCAGCTGAATCTGATCTCTTCAAATATAATGTAGACAACAAAAAACCACAAATTCGAAAAGACGTGTTTATTCGAAAACAATCGTATTGAGATTCCAGTTGTGGATGTCAGTAACGGAGGTAGTTCGCACAGTTATGTGTTAGTTGAACTAAAAAAAGTCAGTTTTCATTACAATATACAGTAATCTCAGCGTAGAACAAGCTTAATATTTTTGTCAAAAAACATAAATTAAGCATAATTTTGATAATTTACTGTTCACTCAACTTGTGAATCATGTTACACATGTTTGCCGAAACGGTACGGTATGCCAAGTAAAGATGTTTTTATTTTTTTTTAAATCCCGTGATGAGTTAGCTTTTGAACTAACAAGGAATGTGCTCAACCTGCAACTCTCACAATCTACTCAAATGTGTATATGAATTATTTGTTGTACCAATAATAAATATAAAAAATTTTAGCTTGTGGTTTTGAGTTTTAAAAATTAAATATTTAAATTTCCGGTCAAATTGGAAAAATTGGGCATTGTGTTGCAAACATTTTTTCGATTTTCCAGACAAGTTTCTGCTTAAAAATTTAAAAAGTTAGGTTCATTTAAGGGTTTTCTATCATTATGTAAAACAAAAATTGTTAAAAGTTAAAAGTGAACTTTATAAGCTTGCAACACAATACCGATTTTGCGGGGAATTCAAAACATAGTTTTTAATGTAATATGTTTTGGGTTGGGGTCTTTTTTAAGTACTTTTTACTTGGCATACTTATTGTTCAGCTAACAGTTTTGTTTGTATTTTAATATCGAAAAAGTTAATATAAGTAAATAAAACATACGTTATTTTCGACCTTCTGCTTATTTTTTTCCTTTTTGCGAGTTTTTGACCACTCCAATATTGCTTTTGAGCATTACATCAGTATTGTCATGTGGAGGAACGGCTTCTAAATAATTACGTAAATGAAAGTTATTAGCGTTAGTAATGTAGTGAATAAACGTTTGGTTTAACCGTTAATATGGGCAATATATTAATTAATATTTTTATTTGCAAGAATTTGAACTGGTTATTTGGATAAATAGAGTTGCTTTAAAGGCGGCACGTGCATCTTTGGTAGTTGGAAGTAGAAGTGAAAGCAAGTTTTGAATAATAAAGTTAACGTAGTGTTTCGATACTGTAACTTTGTAAAAAGGTGTATACTGTAGAGTAATATGTATAGTAAATGTATTTAACCTTTTTAAAGAAATTATTAAAATTCGCGAAAATTTTATGTTGTACAATGCCACCTAATTTATAAATAAGTTTTTAACATTTTAGCCTTTTGTGGGTTTAAAAGTATGTGAGTTAAGGTAGAAGGCGTTCGCTGATGTACGTCAAAAGGGGATGCTGTAGGGTTTGAGTGGAATATTTTTTGATACGTTGCTAGAGATGATATGCTAGTTGCTACTTACGGTCGGCATTTGATTGCAGAAATACGAGCCAAATGTCGTACTGGATTACAGGTTCATAAACCGATCCGATGGCGTTGACTGACACCATGACCTTTCGTTTTTCGAGGTTTAGCTGCCTCTCAGAAGCGGTCTCGTTGGTGGTTTGCTCCACAAGGAATATCTGGGCCGTGTTTTGCGCAAGTGTACACTTTCTGGGTGTCACTTTGCTGTTCTTGAGGTCCATGGCATAAAAATTCTACCACGAACAATTGGGCCGTCTTTCTCGGAACCACACATTTGGACGGGTAGACATTTGCGTCCTCACACTCCTTCACTTGAACATACAGTTCCTGGTCTGAGCCATTCATCACCCACACGGATTTGTATCCACCTTTTGGGTTAGTAACAAGGATCTCCGGTCTCACAATGAGCTCTTGATGCACGAACGTCGCATGCCGGTTGGCCTAAATTTAAAAATGGTACTACTATGGATATACATTATACTGGATCTACTAATTGTCGTTTAAAGGTTATAGTACAGATATGTAATCAATTATAGAAATTCAGAAAGATTTAGTTTAAGTTAGTGATATTTAGACTTGTGTTTTGTTAAATATGACTATATAAACGAGATAAAACTGTTTCAGAAAACCGTCAAGTGATTTAACTTACTAATTTATTTATTTTATTTATTTCTAGGTCAATAACATACATCCCCTCTATCAATTGCGAAGAATGGAATCAAAATCGTGTCTGACCTTTTTGAAGCCAAAGAAAGGTGCAATTGAGAGAGCCATGCAAATTTTCAAAAAAAAATCATTTTTAAAATTAAAACTGCGAAAATCGGCGAGAAAATTTTGTAAAATTTTGATAAAATAGAGCGGTCATTCAATAGCAAAAATGTTTTGCAACAGGTTTTAGAGTTTGAATTGGAAAAAACGTGCGAGAGCCGCAGGCCCGAGCATATTAGTTTGAATAATATAAAAAACATGGAGTTGTAATGTCCAGATAAAAATGATCCAAAAAAATGTGCGAGGACCACGGGCCGGAGCTCATAATATAATATCTCCAAATGAAAATTGTTTTCATTGATTTATAACAGTATAAAAAAAAGATGTGCGAGGGCCGCAGGCCCGAGCTCATGATTTAGCATATTATAAACTGCATTAAAATTGGCACCATGATGAAACAAAATGAAATTGCAATGTCCAGATCATAGGATGCCCGAAGGGCATCCGTTGATCTGGTTTTTAAATTATTTTAAGAAAAAAGATTAAAAACTTACTAATGTGCAGCCAGTTCTTTGAATCAACATGGCATTCTCATTCCATGCGACCTCTTGATATCTTCCTTTAGTCCTCTTGATACTCCACAATTGTGTGGTCTACACAACCATTCCAGCAATCCCCGTGAACAACAATAGTCGTCCCAGTGCCAGCTTTCAGCATCAAAACCCCAAATTCGGCTTTGTAGCATTCAGAAGTTTTGACTCGTACTTGAACCCATGTGTTTGTCAAATTTATTATTTCGATGTGTTCGTCAAACACCGACCCTACTAAATATGATCTTTGTTATGTTATAAGGGTAAGTCATTTTAATTTTTTATGTTATGTTAAAATACGATATTTGGAAAGTAATAGGTTGAACCGAAAGTAGCGAGACACTTTTTAGTTGACTAATAATTAAGATGTTGTTTGTTTAGTTATTCTGATAACGTGTATAAAATGCAAAGTTGAACGTATTAAACTGTTATTGTTATAACACCGTAAAGTAAAAAGAAGGAAACGTATAGAGAAGCTACATCTAAACAATCTAAAAAAGCGGATTATTATTAGAAATTGTATTTATACTTACCAACACGTCTGTAGGGACGAGCCACTGACACCTGTTGGGCCTTTCCATGATTAGCGTTGGAGATTGCCAGCATTTTTAGGGAATAATTAAGAACCAACCGCCCGGCGGGAAATTCACGTGAAAGTGGTCAATAATGGAAATTTACAAAATTTAAGTTGCATTAAGAATAACATTTTTAAATAGAATGCATAATTTTTTTTGTATTTGTCTATGGTGCGGTTATGTTGTAGATTAAGAAGCAGTAACATGGCATATTTTATTTGGTTATCATTTTTATCTATTATAAGGTAAACTAAACAACAATAAAGCCTCATTACAAACAGGCAATGTCGAGTTTTATATTTTAAAGCATTTGTATTGGTTATATACATTACAGTAATGTTATTCATAAAAACTATATAAACCTCAGACTTTATAATACCTTGTATTATTTGGCAAAGCTGCTGTGATTATGTCTTCAAAGCTGTTTTCTCTTTTATTTGTTGTAGCTATCGTAATGGCGGTCACAACAGTGATAGCCTTCGAATGTGATCCAGAAGCGTGCAACACTTACTGTGCTACAACTTGGAGTCTGAAAGGAGAATGTGGAAGTGTGAAGTGTGCTTGTAAAGCATAACTCGCTCATGTTCATTTGCTGTTGTTTATGTTTAATAAAATTCATTGCACTGTAATTTACTGTACTTTTTTTGAACATTAATATTAAGATTCGATGCTTTTGATGAAACATTTATATAACTTCAGAATATATTGTTTATAGTTAGCTATCTATTACGTTATAGAAACGTTTTGTATGCTTTAATGATTAATTTCAAAAATATAACAGAACGGTTTGATTGTGCAAATAAATCATTTCAGATTTACAAGGGAAACTGCTCACATTATGCGTTTTCTTCTGATATTCGTGGTTTTACTAATTTTAGTTAATGCCACTTTCTCTTGGCCCACAAAGTCTGTCAGTGGTAAGTCACGTTCTTGGTTATTACTGAGTGGTTAGTTTTTACTGTAATTTCATTGTCTGGGTGGATCATCTTGGCCAAGAAGAGTCTTCAAATAGAGAGGAGCCCCGAGAAGGATCGTTTTTAATTTATCAGGTTTTTCAAATAATTCTGGGCTCTCTCCCAAAGCAAAAATTTTAGGGGTTAGGGGCACAGAATCACTTGAACAATCTAATAAAATAACCCTTTTTTTAACTTTAAATTCACAGGCTCTAATGACAGCTTCCAGATACCAGCTCTAAAGCTGGATGTGACTTGGACTACTGTAAGCAAGAATGTAAGAAAAGAAAGTTCACGACTGGTCGTTGCTACAATGGTGAATGTATTTGTGTAAACTGACATTATTTTTGAAAAAGATATTGCTTAAAGTTTGTGTTTGAAATTACTTATTATTTACAATTTCTGCAATTACATTACATTTAAAATACCTTTACATCATCTTACATTCAGCAACATAATTAAATTCATATTGACATCAAACAATTATGAACGGTTAATTTTATGTTTGCGTCTAAATAAACTGATAAGAATAAGCTCTTAGTTTAATATCAGAAAAGAGGAAAAGGAGGAGGAACAACAATTTTGAGTGTCCAATAGGTCGACTCTGATTACTTTCAATCTCTGGCCGAGAAGAGTTGGCATATAATCGGGTTTAATCCTTGCTTTTGTTTTGTTTTTTAATATGAAACTATATTAATATCTAATTTTAACATATTTATTTAATGTATGTTAATACAAATGTAGAAAGTAGTGGTATACCATAGTTAAAAAGAAAAGTATGAGTAGATGGGGTTTTCTAGGGAGGGTAGTTATATACTTTTTGGCTTGCCAGGTGTTTGTAAACTGTTTTAAAATTCGAAAAATATAATTTTTTTGAATGTGGGAATACCTTAACTTTATCTCTTCATTTAACTGCCCTTCGGCGTTGACTGCTCTTTGATATAATGATTATCAAGATTAAAATAATTTTTTTACATATTGAGTTCGTCCACGGCGTGTGGCTACTAAACGTGTAGGTTTTCTGGTTACTTTGCATAAAATAGCTAAAAAAACAAAGTTGAGAATCTGCTCCTTTTGCAAAACTAATTTGCGGCTTCAACGGCACTTTTTTCGAGACGGCTTTTCAGAGTTCAAGTTGAAAAAAAGATGGTTTATTTACTTTCTAGGATTATACTGTTTTGGATGTTTATTTTTTTTCCTTGGTTATATGTAATAATGTACTTTTTGAGATACATCACCACAATGTTATAGCTTTATTGAGCATTACTCTAAACCTTTGAGGGATAAGGTCTGGCCATAATTGAAGCCATAGGAGTGACAGACCGTGTAATGCCGGACTCTCTTCTGAAAGCAGGTATATGTCCTTTGATAAAGTCTCTGTAAGGCTTGATGAAGTACAACACCAACAGACAGTTGACTGAAGTATGTAAGAAGAAGAAGCAAAAACAGATGACAGCCAACGTAGGGGATCTAGCTACGCCCAGTAGTATCCACGCTATGCCAAAAATGAATGGCAGTATGATGAGAAGGTACATGGCGGCCATTTGAGCGGCCAATGACCAGAACAACATCATCTGAAGTCGATATGTTTGAACGTTGAGAGAGTTTCGTCGAATCGACAAGTGCATGTGAAATAACATGGCGGAGAAGATGATCGCTATCATATTCATAAGCAAGAAAGTAGGCATCATAGGCTTAGATATGTTAGGAGTACTGGAAACACATGTCATACTAGGGTACTTCTGTGCCAGATACGATATGACACGGTCTTGGTTTGAGTAGATTTTGAGTTGTTGAGGTTGGTTGGGTAAGGCAAAGATTAGTGGCACCTAAAATCATTCTTTATGTAGTCTGACGCAATGTTAACATAGAAGTAGAGGTATAAAGTAAAACATTAACTAAACAACGAACTTGTAGTAGTGCAACTCACTTCAATACCCACAAAAACCACCACCAACATAGCTCCTCTAGCTAGTACCTCTATTCTAACTGGTACATCGCCAAACCATTTTTGGTACACAGATACGACAGATTGTGACTTGACATAGAGATGCTCGAACTGAAACATGACTGAGATGTTCTTCCCCAACATCGCTGTCACTCCAACAATCAGGAATACTATCTTCTGTAAATCAGTTTGTATGATGGAGTTGACACTAAAGTAACATGAGAAGGGAAACAGTAGTACCGGTCCTACTAGGTAACCCATTATGTCTGAGAAAAGCGACCTGAAACATGTTATAGTTGGGTAAATGTTGTACTAAAAGAAGGTTTACTATAAACAAAAGAAGTTTTTAACTGATATGACACATTATTACGTTTACTGTTAATAATACTTACCATAATAAGCTGTGAACAATGTACCATCGATATTTACTGATGTTACGCGTTGTAGCTGAAACTTATTCTTTAAATGCCACTATTTATGTTGGGTCTTAAAACAAATAGAATAATTATAGATTAAAAACAGATTTTCATTAAACTTTTCGGCCAATAACTCAAAATAAAATTATTCCTGCTGCACTTACAGGTAACCATGACAAAGATGGTAAAGAACACCATAATTATAGTTACAGTAATCGTAAAGTTCTTGTATATCCAGTAAAACCGTAGTAACTCATCGCTCGGTACATCTTTTTCGCTTACATATACACCCATTTAGTGCCACAACTTTTGAAACAACCAAAAAGTTTGAAACTTTTAACTATCAGTAATCATCAATAACGATAGCAGTATATACTTTACTTCAAAAACAGCTTCCAAAAGTAGAAATTAATGTCTAAAATCTTAAAGTACTACACAAAACGTTTGCAAAAGATTACTCAGTAGATCGTTTTTAAAAAGTAAAGTAAACTTTTACCTTGGGACAGGTGAAAGATGGTGCCATAACATCATAACAATAACTATATTAAATTAACGTCCTTGTCCTGAATTATACAAAGTTTGCAGTTTCAAAACGGTCGTACTTTGTACGTACATGTCTTGTAGTCTACTCAATGTTACATTACTTCATTATCTTTAAAATTCAATTCTTTTTTAATGGAAATTTAAACAACAGGTCAAAAAGTACATGGAAACTTTTCAAGGTACTTAAACTAAGCTTTTCTAATGATTTCTTGATCTATAGACCCATACATATTTTTATATACTAAATTTAGACTTTGGTATCATGTTAACTTAACTTTATGTTAGTATCTTGTTTTTCTCAAACATTATCTTCGCATATAAATCATGCCCTAAAATTTTTTTTATTATGCTACTTTTTCCTGTAGAATTATATCGACCTTGTTTTATATTTTCTTTATCCAAAACAACTGAACTCTTACACTTTTGTTACCCAAATTTGTGTTCTGGAGAATGTAAAACCGGTTCGCCTGTTCATAAACAAAACTTTTGAGCCCGGCTGACCGTTTGAGTCAAAAATTTATTTTTTATTTCACTCGAAGTGTTTACATGTTCCCAAAAAGATAGATAGGAACACTTTTGCGAGGCAGAATAATATTCTTTTTGATATTATCATGAGTCTTATCATTTTATTAGCCGTACTTTTAGCGATAACGCCTTGTTTTTGGATTGGGAATATAAAGATCATAACGATTTTACCAAATTTTGTAAATTTCCTTAAAAAATTTCTAGAAATTGTCTGAAAAAGCCATGAAAATGCCCGAAAACCTATTGAAATTGTCCAAAAAAGCTGTTTTTGTCTTATTTTTGGCCCAATTTTCAGCGAAAAAGTTATCGAATTCTTTGTAAAACGCGTAAATTCTCCCCAAATCCCTATAATTTCTTTAACTTCCAGCACCATGCTCCGAACACGTGCTCCATTGACTTTCATCCGCCAAATCGGCACCATCGCTGTCCAAGAACCAGCTGGACCATCAGTCAAGACCGAAATTCCTGGTCCACGATCCAAGCATCTCCATGAGAGTTTGAAGAGAGTTCATGTGAGTTATTTTACTCTTGTGGAGCCACAGAAACAGCAAATATTATAATAAATTTCGGCCAAAACACAGAAGATAAGTGGGCGCAGATTGGTGATAGCTTGTGCAGGCTGCGTAAGCCAATTTATACGAATATATTCTGATTTTCGTCGACGATTGTGCTGCCTAATTTATTTTGTCAGTCGTTCACAATATTTATGACAGTATCTTATAAAAATTATCTTTTAAAAAGTAGTGTTTATATTATTAACTTATTCGATATTGTAGATATCAATTTCCTTTTTTAGCAAGCCCCATCAGTCAAGTTCTTCGTAGATTATGAATCTTCTTTTGGCAACTACCTTATCGATGCTGATGGTAATGCCCTTCTCGACTCTTTTATGCAAATTTCCTCAATTCCAATTGGTTACAATCATCCTGAACTTATTGCTCTCCACAGTGATCCCAGACTCATCGTATGTTTATGTTCATAACCTTACAGTATTATTGCTTGTAGTTCAACATTGTGTAATAAAATGTTATTTTAGACAGCAGCTGTAAGTCGACCAGCTTTGGGCAACTTCCCACGAACTGACTTTGCTGAACTTGTCTCCAATTCTTTGATTTCGGTAAGATTTTAAGTCTAAATTGATTATAAGGTGATCAAGCTGATAAGTTTGTTATCTTTTGTAAACTTTGATGAAATTCTATTCAAAGTTATAAATCTACTTATTATACTATAGAAAAATAGCAAAGGTTAAAATAATTATTTTGCAGGTGGCCCCTCCAGGCCTTCGCCATGTCCAAACAATGATGGATGGTACTGGAGCCAATGAGAATGCAATTAAGCAAGCTTTTATCAGATATCAAACCCTGAAGCGTGGAGGTCCACCATCTCCAAAAGACCTTGAATCCTGCATGAATCAGGAACTTCCAGGAACGCCAAAGCTCAGTGTTCTTGGATTCCAGGGAAGTTTCCACGGAAGAAGTTTGGGCATGCTCAGTGTGACAAGGTGGGTTTGATGCAGATGCGATAAGAATAAGGTCAAATAAAATTTATACCTTGTTTATTTGTAATATAGTAATTTAACTTTTCAAAAAGCCTCAAGTCACAATATTCGTATCTTCAGGTCGAAAGCCGTCCACAAAGTTGACATCCCGGCCTTTGACTGGCCGATTGCCAAGTTCCCTCGCTACAAGTACCCATTGGTGAAGCACGAGAGCTACAACAAGAGGCAGGACAAGGAATGTTTGGAAGATGTGAAACGTCTGATTGAGCAACGCAAGAAGGAGAAGCGTGATGTGGCCGCCGTTCTGATCGAACCGATCCAATCAGAAGGCGGAGATTACCACGCCTCCAACGAATTCTTCACGGAACTTCAGAAGATCTGCAAGGAGAAGGGAGTCACCTTCATAGTGGACGAGGTGCAGACAGGTGGTGGTGCTAGTGGTCACTTCTGGGCTCACGAAAAATGGCAATTGCCCGAGGCGCCGGATATCGTGACCTTCTCGAAGAAGGCATTGATTGGCGGATACTTCTACAAGGATGAACTCACGGTGAATGAGGTAAGCTTTATGATTTGTTGAGGACAATAGTATTTTAAACTTTATTTCGGCTGAACGGTAAATAACCTTTTAACTTTCAGCCCTATCGTATCTTCAACACCTGGATGGGAGAACCCACCAAGCTCGTGATTCTTGAGAAAGTGATCGAGATCATCAAACGCGACCGACTGGTCGAACAAACCGCTAAAGTCGGTGAGCATCTCCAAAAAGCCCTGGAGAAGCTTGAACAACATTACCCCAACCTGGTGTCTTCAGTTCGTGGTCAAGGCAATCTGTGTGCCTTTGATCTGCCGGATTCAGGAAAGCGTGACAAACTTTTGGGAATCGCGTTGAAGCACGGTCTTCACATCGGAGGCTGTGGCGATCTGACCGTTCGCTTCAGACCATCCCTGATCTTCGAACAAAAACATGCCGATATTGCCATTGACATTCTGAGTCAGTCTCTCAAGGAGTTGTAAACTTGTAATAGTACTTGAAATTGTGTCTTACAAAAGTTATAATGTTTTTTATTCTAAAGCAGTCTTGTAGCAAAGTAAGTGCTAAATTAGTAAAACCTATCAATATTAAAGTTTTAAAAAATATTTTCAAAAAAGTATTGTTATCGCCATTACGACTGTTATAAAGCGAGTATATTTATCGTTAAGGTTTTGTTACATTTATTCAATTTTAATAAACATATGTACAAAAACAACCGTAAAAACAACTATACATAACCGGGATGTCAAATAATGAACTATGAAAATAATTACAAGAAATACACTATTAAGGTCAAAAAGAACGTAGAAAAACAAAATAATTACTGCAAAATAAACAATTTTCTATTCTACACACTTTCTGACCAAAGTTAAAAAACAATACCCTGCTATAGTACCATCTACGACAATGGTACCCCAAAGACGTCGTTAGCCCGTTCAGTATCAGGTGTAACATCCCCAATCCCAGAGGTGGAGTTCTTCTTCGTGTACTCAATAGCTGGGTTTGCTACCATTTGTGGAGATATTAAGGGTACCTCGCTGGAGATCTTGAGCTTGTCCGGGTCTGGTGGTTCTGGTATGGCGTCCACGATAATTCCCTGAGCATTTGTTTTGCCGAGAAGCCAGAAAGTCTCCATTAATCCCTTGCCCTTTATCATTACCTCCCCTCGAGATTCGGTACCGTACCCGCCTATCATCTCGGTCAAATAATGATTCGACGAGGCTGAGATGTGGATACGACCGGCTGAAATTCAGGATTTAAAGGTTTTTAATAGTCATTTGGTACTTTTGGATCTCTTATAAGGTTAACCGTCCATTGGCGCATTTTACATATAATTTCAAACAAAAAACTTTAACTTTCAAAAATCTCAACAGACTTACGTTTACTATTTGACTCCATCCTACTCGCCGTGTTTACAGTATCACCAAACAAACAATATCTTGGCATGGTCAAACCAACAACTCCAGCTACTACTGGTCCTAAAACAACAATATATTCTAAAAGATATTGGTCGATATCATCATATTATAGTAAACATCATCATAAAATCAAGATACAAAAGCTTCTAATTCCATTATAGTCCAAACTGATAGTCCCACACCAACCAAACTCATACCTGTATGAAATCCAATTCGAATATTAATCTTTTCATTTGGCAAATGGGCGATTCTAAATGTAGACAAGCTCTTCAGAAAAGCCATGGACATGTTGGCTATCTCTTTACAATGTAAATCACCATTCCTCCTTGGTAACCCTGACACACACAGGTAACCATCACCTATTGTCTCCACCTTGTAGACATCACAACTGTCTATGATACCATCAAAGTTGGTGTAGAGGTCGTTCAGTAGATTTACTACCTAAAGAATCTTGCCATTAACCTAATATTGCTTTAACAATTAGAGAAGAATTTGAAATAATCATGATTAATCAGTTTAGATTTTATATAATGTTGCAGCCCATCCTTAACTATATTTTAGTCGTAAATAGTAAAACTTCATACATAACCTAAAAATTAACTGACTTTTTGCTATTTATTAGTGACATTGCTCCCTTACCTGTAAAGGAGTACATTTTGAAGCCAAAGTTGTGAAAGATACGACGTCAGAGAAGAAGACAGTAACCATGTCAAAACTTTCTGGAGCCACAACTTCTCCCAGCTTTAACTTATCAGCCACTTGTCTAAAAAATTATTATTTAATATATTTTTATATTTAGAAAAAAACTAAGCAAACAATTATTAATATACACCTTATCCTATGTGTAGACTTACTGAGGCATCATTCTATACAACAATATGTCGCTTTTCTTCTTTTCTTCTGTCAGTTCTCGAGTTCTTTGTTCAACTTCTTGTTCCAAGGAGCCAGCATAGTTCTCCAACATCGAGAACACATAATCCATCAAGTTTTGTTTGCTAAAATAACATTTACATTATTTCTCCACAAAAACTTTTTTAAAAATTCGATTGTGGCAATTCGTCCAAATCAAAAGATTTGACAAAATTTTGTCGAAAAATGTTTTTGAAATTCAAAATTGAAGTAAAATAACACTTCTATGTCAAAGACTTACTTGTTTTTGAGTAACTGCTTCAACATGACTCTGACGTTCTCCATGGTAGGTCTGTTTTCCGGGATTTCGGCCCAACAATCTTTGATCAGCAATACCTAAAGAAGTTAAACGCCGTTTTTTGTATCTTAGAACGTTCTTTTATCATTTATCTTACTTTTTTATGCCTTTTTACTCGTTTTTTTGTAGGGTTTATGGATTGACTTACAATGTTGGTGTCAACGTCATCTGGTGGATGAATGTTTGGTCGGAAAGGTGTCGCTCCGCCTCGCTTCAGTCGATAAATGATTTCTGTAAGTAAAATAACAGTTACAATGTTTTTCTGCATTTTAAATTCTCAAGGTGGCATAAGACTCAAATGGCTGACAATTTTCTTGGATTTTGCGACAAAAATTGTTTTAGAGTCTATTTTTAAACAAAAATAACTTTAAACATGTAAATCTTTATAGGATTTAATTTCAGAAGTCTTACCATCGATGTCATCGTCATTTTCTGAAGCATCCCAGGCGATTTCTCTGTTCAAAAGCTCGGAACAGATAATGGCAAAGCTGTATACATCACCTGTTTGGGTTCCGTGACGATCGTCTACTCGAATCAGCTCTGGAGCCATCCACAAGTATTCTGAAGGTAGGTTATTGTAAATTAAATGACAAAAAGTTATGTTTACGAAGAGATTTCTTTGTTTGTTACTTATTTTATATAAAATGTTGGTTTTATTATTATTTATACTATTGTGTGTTTTTTTACTGTTTTAACTGATGGAAGAAGTTGATATAGCCATAAAGAAGATCTTGTCTCAATTTCAGTGCTTTTACAAAAAGCTTTAACAAGTCAATACCATGGATAACAAAAGGTAAGCGTAAGTTATTACCTTTTCTTTTGATAGGTTGTTGGTCCCTAATTGGGCCTAAACCAAAGTTGCCAATCTTGACCTGCCATCGATCGCTGATCAAACAGCACATTGAGGACAAAGCTCCATGTACTTCAATGTCAGAGCTGTGGATTGCTAGAAGACCGTTGCAAATATCACGCATCAAAGCGAACATTACGAATTGATCATGAACATAGCTTTCTTTGCTCAAAACATCCTGAAAGGTTGTTTTATCATCTATTTGACAGATTATTATGAAGACCATTGGCCAGTGACACTTGTTTTACTAAATCTTAAGTTGACAAACTGTTTTGTTGAAATGTACCTTAACATACCTGTAATGACCCACGCTGACAATATTTCCATACAGAATACATTACAGGTCCATCTAGGCAAATGCCAAGGAACCGGTTGGCATTATCGTGATCAAATTGTCGTAACTAAAACAACAAAAGTGTCAACCTGTTAATACTAGTTATTTTTTAATACTTTCTAGTCACTATGAAGGTTAACAATGTCATGTTCCTTACATTTTTGATCCTCTGCACATCCTGTTTGGTCAGCCTCATCCTGACTGGATGCTTGTTGGCGAAGACCACGTTTCTTCTGAAGGTGAAGAAGCAGTGGGATTCTGTTTCTGTAAAGTTTTCACTGGCATTTGTCTTGCTTCCGTTGCTTTGACCGCTGGCAATCGAACGCATACTTTTAATCGCCTCCGGGGCTTCTTCCTCCACCTTGCCCAGAGAATGGTACGGCACTTCCCATTCTAGTTTGGATTGATTTTGCTCCCGCAGGCGCTCACTGAAAGGATTTCAGGTGTATGTTGTTCAAAAAATGGCTGTAAAGAAGTGCTGTTTGATTTTAGCTATTTTTGTGTTATGGCATCTTTAAAATAATATTACTTTTGTAAAGTGCAATAGTATTTTCAAAACGTTTTAAGTAATAAGTTTGTACTTTCATTGTAAATACTTACCGTAAAAAATAAAGCGCAACACCACCGCTGATTAACAGTACTAAAGCGACCAGCGCAGCACCAATTCCAATGTAAGCACCAATACTCATAGGACATTCATTGCCATTAAAGCCACAAACTGGTCTAGATAGGGGGGCCTTCTTGTCTTTTCGCATATCCCACATTATTGGCTGATCATTTTTGGGGATGACTTTCTAAAAACATAGTTATGATGTTGTAATATGATCATTGGCTGCGATGTCTAATAAGCTGGTTAACGGAGATATTTATATTATGATAATGGACATGTATATACAGTCCATAAAATTTTGTAGTATTAACTTTAAAAGAAGCTTATAAGGAAATAAAGATTTATTTTATAAAGGTTTAGGTTGTAGTAGCTCAGGTACTCCTCTTATTAGACCACACACTGTGTATTGCTAGGAAATGTAATAGTAGTAATTATTAATGTTAGTAATAGTTAATATGTTGTGCCACTTACAGCCTCGCTCGATTCTGTGATATTTATTTCCAAATACACCTGAGCTTTGCGTGATGCGTCCACGCCATAAACAATAAGACTAGGGATTCGAGTTCCGTTCTTGCTCATTATCACTTGGCCGGATATACCTATAAGAAAATATATATGTAAAATACGACTCAAATTTTCATCTTGCTTTTTAATGAATATAAACAGTTTTAAGTAACCTTTTTCATTGTAAATACTTTTTGATAAGCTTACCATCAAAGGAAACCTGGCTTTGTTCAGAAATGAAGGTACCATTGGAGATCTGGCTCTCTTTTCCTTCTTGAAATGTCTTATTCAAAGCTTTGGCATAAACATAGAAGGCGTCATGTAGTGGACCGGCATAGGCTGATAGCTAAAATATTTTAAATTTGGATGTAAACTACTGTAACATGACTTTACAATTAACCAAGGTACATAAAAGACAAAGTACTCAAGTAGTATCAATAAAATCAAAAAATCCAATTTTCTAACCTTTTTTGGAGTACCCATACAATTGTCATCACAGTAAAACGGCTCTTTCCCCAACTTCTCATTGGCCTTTTGGGCAAAGTTTTGGATTACAGTATCATTGGAAATGGCAAAATCAATGGTAAATGATCTCTTTGCTACTTCATATGCATTGTTATCTCTACCATCGTTCTCCATTGGGTTACTCCATACATCAGCGCTATACCTTTTAGTGCCGTTTATGCTTTGTATACCGTAATTGGCTACTACAGTAAAGATGAACATGTACTCGTCAGTAGCCAATCCCTCATCGTACGCTGCCAACATGAAGTCACGTTGATCTTTGGCGAATTCAGTACATACGACAAAGACTAAAAATTTAGAGTACATTATTTCGTGTTGTTGATGACATTTGAGTGTGTGTTATGATGTGTGTTTAGAAGACATACAAGATTGGAATTGATCATTGGGTCAATAACAAGTTGTGTTTGAGTATGACAATATTGAGAAGAACGTAAAAATGAAATGGCAATTTAAACTTAAAAGTTTGAAAACTAAATTCTTACTTCTGGCTATGCTTTTGGCTTGTTTTAAATAGGACCTGTAGCCTTCTATTGTTGGCGTCATCACATGTCTGTACGAGATGTAGATACTACTGTCATTGGATTGTATTGAAGCCTAAAATGAAAAGATAAAAAAGTGTTTTGACTTGAATATTATGATATCAGTGTACAAAAGGTTTTTTAAATTTTTTGAGTCTTTTGCGATATATATTGGTTATCTACCTCAATATCACTTTGTAGGTCGTTACAGAACGATAAATGCTCGTAAGTGGTATAAAGTAGAGCGAATTCTGTCCATTTAAAGTATTTTAATAGTGCTGATACTGCATTTCCAATTCTAAAAACCACAAATTGACATTTAACAAGTGAAAAACCAATTTACATTATGTTAGACAGACAATTTTATTAAAAAAAATAAAAGAATTTTTACTTACGGTAGTGTACCACTGGAGACACTTGTGAGCGTAGGGAAATCATTTATATTTAAAGCTTGGGGAGAAAAGCCGGCTCCCCAGTACATAACAGGCATTAGTTGTGAAGATGCCACAGACGCCGCTGCTACTACACCTAAAATTGGTAATGCTACTATACTTTCCCGTAAGTAGTTTTAAGAAATCTAGTATGAGGTCTCAACCATATGATGAAAAGTACAAGTGATTAGTTAGAACTTACTATTAGTACAAAGTGGACCAAAGATAACGGAAACCTTGTCCACATTGATCATCCTCATCACATATCCCGCTGCTTTCGTGGGCGAACAATTGTCAAAGTAATAGACAAAAGTAAAGTTGACATTTGGTAGTAAACCCTCGCTTTTGATACGATCTAGAGCTACTGCCAAAGCAGGAGTTGACTGGCCAAAGCCTTCTTTATCTCTAACATATTCTGAGTTGTTCGGGAAGAGAAGACCAATCTACAACAACATAATACATACATCTACACAATAAAATACGTCTACAGCACACAATCAGGGACGTCGTTTGGGGGGGGTGGTTCGGGGTGACTCCCCCCCAGAGCCGATCCGAAAAAAAATCCACAGGTAGCAGCTAAAACTGTGGACCAAAAAAATTTTTTCGACCTCCCCCTCCCCCCCCCCAGAGAAAAACCGTAGCGACGTCCCTGCACACAATATATTGAAAGGCTTAAAACAAGGTAACTTAGCTAAAAATTATAAAATTAAAAGTTACCTTGATTTGATATTTGCCATCCACTCCTCTGACTAATGGACTAATGCTACCAGTAAAGGGTGCGGCTGACGTTACTGGTATCAAGCTAGGCAATGTTGCCAAAGTAGGTAATGTAGGTAACAAATTTGCTATGGTTGTTGTTGCTACCGTTAACAACGCATTTTGAGATGGCACAGTAGCACCAGCTATGGGATTTGAAACTGGTACCGGTGTGGTTACCGATCCTAATGGCACTAATGGAGCTAAAGTGCCGAGGGTAATAGCTGGGGCAACTGTTACAGGTTGTAAGGGAAAGACTTGACCCGACGGTTGAGCTGGCACTAGGGGAGGTAATGTGGCCAATGTGAAAGGCGCTAGGGTTGGCAGTGTGGGAAGGGCAATTTGGGCAGTGGAGCATTTCTAAACAAACGATTGTTAAGGTCAATTCAATAAGAATTACTACGTTTTAAGAAATGGTAAGATGAAACAAAGGTAATATTATTATGAATCGTTATACAAAGTGATGTGGATTACAAAAAACTTTGAAGTTGGAGTAAAGGCAACTTACTAACAATGACGAGAATATAACAACAAACACAGTTTTGTACATTTACAACTCAATAACAACAAGGCAGATCTAGAAGTGAGCTAGACTAGTAATTGCGGGCTAAGCTTTTTATTGTGAAGCCAGTCTTGTTCAGTAGCTATGCAAATTTACATTGTTTGTAGAAATACAATTAGAGTAATCTGTTGTAATTCATTAACTCAGGGTTGAAGGTTGTTGTACTTTAATATAAGTTTAACTGATAAGCAAAGTTGTTTAGCTTTAAATTATTGTTTATCACATAAGAGAAAGTAGTATACTATAACTCAGACAGCCGTGAATATCTCTTGTAATGTGTTTCCCAGTAAAAAGGCTTTTGTGGCATACAGAAGCCAGACTTTGTTGTGGCGACCAACGATGAAGCCATTTCGCAAAGTAAAGCTGTGAAGGCGGCTTTCGAAGCCTCAAAGTTGGTTCGTTTTTTGAAATTTCGAATAAAATCACACAAACTTGAAGCTGGGGACTCGAACTAGAAATTTGCATATGAAATGTAGTTGTTGTTTATGAAATGTCATCACATTTACTTCTGACATTGTATTGAGTTTTTTCTTTTTTTTTGTGTTTCTATGTGTTTTTCTATCTTTTTTTCTGTGTGTGGTGCTTATCAGCGTATAAAATGTTATAGTACCGAGCTGTTCCTACGGTTTTTGGGTTGGGTGAGGCGAAGGTACTTCCTTCTCTTCTTCTGTACTTCCAAGAACATCTTTAGTTGGAATCCCTCATTTTTCTTTTGCTTTTTCAAGCGACATCTTGGTGATAACATGTTGGCTAGGGATAAAAAGAGCATTTGATATGCTTCATAACTGGTAATTTTGATTTTGAAAGTTATTATTTTCTTATCCGCCACTTACCTACTGATAATGATGTGTATTGTAATGAACATTCCCTCAATTACAATACTATGGGATTAGCTCTGAAATGAGTCTGGATAGTTCTATAAGATGTAGATTAATAAGTGCCAGTCATCTTTGAAACATTAACCTTTGGCATTCACATTATTGTAAACCGTTTGAATGTTTTTAAGTGCATTGTACGGCTTTTTTTAGGTATTTTTAAAGACTTTAGTACAAGATTAATACGAAAAAGACATCCTTAAAACGTTGAGGTTTTATATTAACTATAGAGTAGCCTTAAGATACCCATTAGAATGAATAATGATGTTTAGGTCACTACGAATATCACAATAAAAATCTTGAATACTGTTAATAAGTAAAATCTACTAAATCTGAACACCCCAATCAAGATGTCAACACTTTTATTGCAACACATAGTCTCTACAGCAATTATCTTCCTTCAGATTCAGAAGCGCACCGTCTGTTGTTGGAGCGGCGTCTCAAAAAGCGGGTTCGATTAGAATCAGGGCCACCAAACGAAAATTTAGCAGGTTTTTCGGAAGATAATTTTGGGGATTTAGGAATGTGGTAAAGCGTGCGTTATGAGTTCACAACAAGATTTATGAACACGGAAGAGATTTATGATGTCAAGGTGCGAACTTCCACGCTTATCGCAACTTCTGGACTAGAAAAAAAGGGGAAAAGCAACAAGTTGTGAGGGGAAAGGAAAGGAATGAGGAAGTGTAATATGAACAGGAAAAAGATTTAAAAACGATACAAAAATTACAGTATGCGCAGGACAATATTGAAAATACGAGTAAGGGTTACAACTTCAACAGTATTCATTTATAATCAAAATTTACATAAAACTATATATTCAAACCTCGAAACACCAAATACGTATCTGAATGCCGAAACAGGTTACCGGTTCACAAATTTTGTAATAAATTTTTTCTGCTATTACCGTTTTTTTACATTACTCCGAATGCCTTTTACTGTTTTTCACTACTCAAACTGTCACTGTGAATCTCTATCCCTCACTTAAATTCCAACACTTTTATTGTCGGCTTTATGACGTAGTCTAACGGTAAGAGAAGTTTCCGTCGACGTTTCGCAAAATTCTTGTTTTTTTACAATTTAAAATTTTTTTTTATTTAAATAATGTTGGTAAGCCTGAAAATTGACGGAGGTATGAAGGACATTTGTCCTTGTACGTTTAGTACGAGAAGAGGGGATACTTCTGGGCTCAATTTATTAATATTAGGTTGTTCAAATAATTTTGTGCTCTCCACTCTCAAAATTTACTTTGAAAGAAGGCACAGAATTATTCGAACAACATAGTCGTGTTAATAGTACTATTACAGCTTTGGTCAGAGAGTTGTAGGTGGGATACGAAAGGTTGTAGAAGACACTTAAAGTTTTTTTTGTTTCAATTACTTAAATTTAAAAATTCTACACTTTTTTACCTTAAAATTAAATTTAAAAAGTTTTAAACCAGTCTATCTTACAGTCTATCGTGTTGTAATCTCAGTACCATCTTTTTGGCTTTTTAATGGTCGTATTATGCGAATACAGTAGAGATAAGCCTACACAGATCCTTCTTTTTTCGGATTTCCAGCGAATGTTTTAAGGGAGTTATCTACTGAAAGGCGGATCTACACACCCAATCATTCAAGTAGCTGTCAGATGCCGTTTAGCTATGTATATTTAAGCACAGTAGCAAAGCAAAGTCATGGTCACTTCGCTTTACAAATTCTTTTAGGATTAAGGGACCGTCTAGACTGTGAAAGTATTACTGTAGCTTTTGGCTGATGACGCTTTTAGAAATGTTGTCTTTAGTTTTTGCTTTAGGTTCCGAAACTTTTTTTAATTTTCAGACTTTAAAATATTTTGAAAAATTTAAAAAATTAGCCATTTCTCTTATGGGGGCCGACAATTTCAAACAATAGGTGGGACAACCATATAGACAGTCATATAAAAGACCATGTTACAGTAATTGTTGTTGCATAATTAGAGGTTACGTCAGCTGGTTGTTAACCTGTCGGATTCATTAAAAGTTCTTGAGTCAATTAAGGTACTTGAAATGGTTTCACTTTAGGTTTTGTTTTCAATTATATTTTTAAAACAATACTCTTTTGCTGTCTCATAGTTAAAGTTCAAAACGTTGTTTGGGATATTGTAGTAGGCCCTTCATTTTTGATCTTTTGGTCGGAAAAAGTAATATCAAGAAATTTAAGAATTAAAAACTAGTATATTATTTTAGGTAAGATTTTAAGTCTTTAAAATTTAAATTAGATTTTTAATTTTTTTTAAGTTCAAGATAACCTAAAATCTAAAAAATTTTGGTTTAGCTTTCTTTGCCGATTTAAAGAAATGTTTTTCTAAAGATAATGCATAGTCATTTCCTACAAAACCATTTCTAAAATTTTAAAAATACAAGTCTTTTTCAAATTTAAATTTTTATTTCAAAATTCAAATTTCGATGTTCAAGAAGAAGGCTGAGAAAAGCCGAAACAGTCTAGCTTCGGAGAGGGGGGATCTTCAGATTGTGTTTCAAGTAGCCTCTTTGTAATTGGTTTTACTCTGTCTTCAGGTATTTTGTTTGGGAGGCGCGGTGTTCACGTTTATTAGGTGTTTTCGGAGGGAATGTTTTACGCCTCCGATTTCGCTTGAAGACTCGACTTACTTACATTATACTTGATTCTGCAGTGACGAGATCACGGTTCACTTTCACTGCTTAAGGGAGGTTTGGGGGGATGTATGTTGGTGAAGGTGGTCTTATCATTGGGTTTTTGGTTAACTTTATATTCGGTAGTTCACATAATTCTGGGCCCTCTAATTCCGTAAATTTGCTTGAGGGGGGGGCACATAATTATTTGAACGACCTAATAAAAGGTTTGAGTAGTAGGCTTTTTATAGCGAGTACAAAAGTCTTGTCGTTAACTTTCGTGGTCCCTCAGGGTTAAAAGCGACAAGACTTTTCTTGATAGTTTTGTCATTTTAAAAAATTTTAATAAAATTATTCTTTTGCTTAAAATCTTTGTCAATTTTAATAATTTGTGCTGTTTTCATCAAAAAACCACGTTTACTGGTTAAAGCTATGAAAATGAAGAATTCCCATTTGAATTATGTTATAGTTATCTCATAATCAAATTACGATATTACGAATACATTACTCATACCTCCGTATTGCTTTCTAATACTGTATTCTTTCTCGAAACAGTTAAAACGCAATAATCAGGGTCTGGGATCGGCGCTAATCCAGTTTGACACATACCGGATAATTATTCTGATGGCTATCTTGTTTAGCTGGATCAGTTAACGGGCTAGTTTTTTAGGTGCGAACGACACTTTTAAATCCGACAAATTTGTTTAAAAATACTTTTTTTATTTAAAAACGGCTTTAAAGGGCGATTAGAGGTTGGAACTTGGGTTTTAGACTTTTGGTATTAGCCTAGGTATTGGTTTTAGTATTGTAGCTTAAGACAGGTGCTTTTTCTTTATAGTATGATGGTATGGTAGCTTTTTCTTCTATAGTAACTGTTTTGGATATCTGATTTTACAATATCAATAGAAAATTAAAAGTTATGCAAATTTTTCAAATGATACTAATTTAGCTTTGATTTATGACACTGCATGACATCTTAAGTGGATGACAGTTTTATTTGACGTCATTTCCAAATCGTAATTTAGACACCTTCGTTGTTGTGATGTTGACGTTAACCATGACATAATTCGGTTAATGCTTTCACTCCCTTATCTAGCACTCCTTCCCTTACCTCCGGCGCCTTGAAAGACTGATGGATCCGGTTCAGATTCCAATCTTTTCGTACAAAAGCGAATTACAAAAATCAGCTTAAGGAAGTTGGAATGCCGGTTCCATTTGAAAAGCACCCCCCGCTGGGACCGTTTCGAAGCCGGCTTCGAGGAAGAACGGTCACTTCATTCAGAGGGAACGATCGAAAAGTGGTCAGTTAAACGTTTCCAATCGGCTGGTAATGGGAAGCCGGCTTTTGTAGGCTTAACAAGGCTGAGAAAGGTTGGCTAGGGTATAAGGTTATGGTAGTATGAGGTTACTGTAGTATGAGGTTACTGTAGTAAAGGATTAAGTAGTATGACTATATATAGGGTGAGGTGTTACATAATCGTTTGATTATTTTATATCATAGTGCTTTGTTTAATCATAGCTTTGTACCGTATTGTTTTAATTGTGTAAGTAGTACTATATTGATTCTTTTTTTGGTTTCATATTGTTGTATTAAGGCTTTAGTAGATTTGACAGCAAATAATTACTTTTACTTTGTTTGTAAATCCATTGTTCATTTACTTGAGGCGTTAATTAGATCGTACAATGGCATCTAGTTCTTCTCTTAAAGAGTTATATAACTTTTTTAATGATCATACTTGTTTTGTAACTTACTAAAAACTCAAAATTTTAATTGTTTTTTTAATCTAGTACCGTTACCGTTATTATGTATTGTTCACTACAATGAAAACTTTTGTACAACGTACTTGCGATACAAATTTTCTTTCCCAACTTAATGACAATATCTTCAGGAGGATGTCGCCACATCCAGATAAAGCGGGTCTTGTCGCCGAATGCGAGTACTCTGAGCACAGCATGAAGCACTTCAGACAGGTCGCTTTCTTGGCTGTAGCCTTGTCTACCGTCACCATGTTGGCTTGCATTGTCGTACTGCCATTGTCATTCCAGTACATCCAACGAGTACAATCCTCAGTCAGCAGCGACATCGAGTTTTGTAGGGTAAGTTGTTGAGGTATTTTATGAAATTGTACTTGAACATGATTATGTTGATTAAGTCCAATGTTTTTCAAGTTTTTACAGATGGCATGAGAAAGCATGTCAAGACATGACTTGTTATGCCATTATTACTTCCTTTTTGCAAACTTCTTCTAAATTGCCCGATTTTCCGGTATTTTACTTTGATTTACACTTAATTGGCGCCGTTGCGCAGCTAATTCAACAACAACAATACTTGGCATCTAATGAAGATTTAAAATAATAGTACTTAATTAAAAAGACTTTATATGTATATACAATATATATATATTAATATTAAGGATTATAACTTCTCTACCTATTTTAGAGCCGCAACAAGGATCTGTGGACAGAAGTTGTGACAGTTCAGTTGGGCAAAGGAGCTCACGCTCAAGCTGATCGTTTGAAGAGAGACACAGCCGCTGGCAAGAACGGCAGATGGTTGTTCGGAAACTTTGTCCAAAACACCGACCAGTAAGTTTTAAAGTAGACATTGTAATTCTTTAAATAATTTTACTTACTTGATCTCAACTTGTTGACTACAGCTATTTTACGGCTTATGAACAACATTTTTGCTAATTTTTTCAATTTAAAATGCTTCAATATGACTTATACTTGTATTATTCATAAATCTTTAGACTAGCCGCTCGCGGAGTTCGCCGTCAAGCTTCGTACGACAACAATGCTGCTGCCGCTCCATCCAACGACTACAATGGAGCCGCTCCAGCCGGTACTACTGCTGCTCCAGCCGCCGACTACAGTGCTCCAGTCTCTTCGGCTCCGAAAGAGAAGGACTGCTGTGGCTGTCAGCTTGGCCCACCAGGACCACCAGGAGAAGCCGGTGTTGATGGACAACCAGGTCTTGACGGTAAACCAGGTCAAGACGGATCCCCAGGACAAGACGCTCCACCAGGCCAGAAGGCTGCTCCATGTGTCAGAGAATGCCCACCTGGACCACCAGGACCAGCCGGCTCTCCAGGAGACAAGGGCCCTAAGGGATACCCAGGAGAGCAAGGAGAACCAGGCACCAGCGGAAAGCCAGGACCAAAGGGACCACTCGGCAAACAAGGACCACCCGGTCCACCCGGACTTCCAGGCCGGCCAGGAGACAAGGGAGAGCCAGGCAAACACGTCCCAGGAGTCGCTCCACCAGGCCCACCAGGGCGTCAAGGAGAAATGGGACCACCTGGCCCACCAGGACCACCTGGATCCAAGGGAAAACCCGGAGAGCAAGGACCACCAGGACCAGAAGGAGACCAAGGAAATCCAGGTTAGTACATTTAGGCTAAACTAACTATGGTACTCTTTTTTAAATTATAGTACTATATTGTACATGAAAGAAAAGTGTACTAAATAGTACCAATTTTAAATTCAAACTTTTAAAATTAAATTGAAATCCCGATTTTCAGGACCATACGGAAAGCCTGGAGCTCCCGGCCCAATTGGCCCTCCTGGCTCAGCTGGTGCTGTTGGTGCTTGCGACCACTGTCCCAAGCCACGTACTCCACCAGGATACTAGACAGATTTGTTGTTAATATGACTGTTGCAATGCCATTTCTCTCGTTTCCCCTCATCTACCGGTCGATCCGTATTAAGTGCTAGTAATTTATAAGACAATCGACCGGTCGAAGGAACGAACCCCTTTTACTAACCTTTCATAAGTGTACTATCTGTAAATTTGTGTTGATACTACTGCTGTTAAAATAAACTTATTAACCCGGAGGTTGTCGGTCATAAGTTTTGGTAAAGCCATTTTATATTGTTATAGGTAACAACTCTTGAAAAAGGGAAAAAAAGGAAAATTTCTAATAACAAATTAATCAAAAAACTTTTTTATTTTATACAAATTCAGCTTAAAATCCAAAAATTATAGTTTTAACCTTGAGAATACAACTGATAAGCGTACTACAACTTGTTTGTCAATCCCCAAGTAATATAGTCGATGATTGAATCTCTAAACTTCCGCTCTAATTTCATCCATCTTTTATGATTTACGACCTTTCACGTGCATTCTGTGTGGTAAATAATAAGTTCAATCAACAATAACTGTACATATAACTTTACAGTCTATTTATTATTCAAGATTAATTTAACTAATAATGATGTAAACGATTATTTTGACCTTTTTTCTTCAATATAAATTAATATTAGTCCTCGACTTGATCAAAAAATATTTTTTAAAATGAAGTTTAGAGGCTATTTTCGACTTTATTTTGCTACCATTTTCGTCTAAAACAATATAAAGAGCAAATTAGGTAACAATATTGTTCTAAAAAAGTTTCTGTAACAAGCTATGTTTCAATTGAACTTTGAACGGATATCTTCTTATCTCTGACATTATTCATTTCCGTTTTCAGTTTAAAAAACAATCACATTGAGCAACAGAATTCGGACTACAACCAAAGTGGATATGCCGGCTTCGGGCTACAAACTATAACATAGACACTTTTCTTCTAATTTTGGTGTTGAGGCAAATATCTTGTCCTTTGCAAGATTTTTAAATGGTTTTAAGTCTAGTTTTTTGAATTTTTATTATACTATGTTGTTCAGATAATTCTGTGCCCTCACTCAAAGAAAGTTTTCAGGGTTACGGGGCTTAGAATTAGTTGAACAACATAATAAAAATAGGCATCATATCTGTAAGACAGTTGACTACAAGAGGTGTTTTTTCGAAAAATTACCTTGCTTTAAATTTTTTAAAAATATTTTTTTATTTAAAGGTATATATTGCTTTGCACTTTTCCAAAAGCATTTTTATCAGTTTGACTCAAAAATAAGCAAAAACTTTGTTTACAATAATATATTAATGTTTATGCCGTGAACTTTGTCATGCTTCTTTTGATGTTTATATACAGTATTTTTGCAAATTTAGTAGATATCAACGTGGTACCACTCAGCAAATAACTATGTTATTTATAAAAGGGCAGATTCTTCCAAAACTTTTAATTGTGTTTTCTTTTTTATTTCAAAACGATATTTTAAACTGTGATAAGTCTGGTAAGGCTTAAGGTGATAAAAATGATGAGCTTTTAAAATGATTTTTGCTATTTAAAAAACTTTTTTTTCTTCTTTTTTTACATGGGAAGGTACTTAAATCAGAAATCGACTTTGGGACGAGACCTATATATTATGAAAGCTCTGTGCTCACTGAGTACGAATCTGAAAGCCGTTTTTCCGTATGGCTCTTCGTTTTCGAGAAATTCGACGTTAAAGTTTGACCCAAATCGCATTAAAAAGCGCTCCGCAAAGGCTCTTGCAAAAAACGAAAGAGAAGCAAGTAGCGGCGTGGCGCAGAGGTAGAGCGCTTGCCTTCTAGTTTTAACGATGCAGGTTCGACTCCGGGCAGTCTGTTTTTATTTTGCAACAATTTTCAATTATGCAAATTTATGCAAATCATAACAAAACATTAAATCGTTTTGCAATTTTATTTTGAATAATCAAAAACTGCCATATCGCCAATGTCCGGAGTTGAAGGTTGAGGGTCGCGCGAGAGAGTGCTGTTGTACTGATGGCCAGGGCGGTGAATGGCGGGTGTGAACTACATTGGATGAGAGTGCGATCTACAGTGGGTGGGGGTGCATCTACAGTGGGTGGGGGCACTATCTACAGTGGGTGGGGGTGCGATCTACAGCGTAGGGGGTGTAAACTACAATTATGGGGATGCAAAGTAAAATGGAACTATTAGTTCTTTTAGGGTGGCTATTCTGGATGAGCGCTAAAACTTTTAAAGAATTAATTTTAAAGTTTAAATAAAAATAAAAATCATTTTAAAAATAAATTAACAAAAATGATTACATTTTTGTAGTTAAAATAAAGTCTTTCAAAATTTTGTTGCTTTGAAACTTGTTGCAAAATGAAACCAGACTGCCCGGAGTCGAACCTGCATGGCCAAAACTAGAAGGCAAGCGCTCTACCTCTGCGCCACGCCGCTACTTGCTTTATTTCGTTTTTTGCAAGAGCCTTTGCGGAGCGCTTTTTAATGCGATTTGGGTCAAACTTTAACGTCGATTTTCTCGAAAACGAAGAGCCATACGGAAAAACGGCTTTCAGATTCGTACTCAGTGAGCACAGAGCTTTCATAATATATAGGTCTCGTCCCAAAGTCGATTTCTGATTTAAGTATCTTCCCATGTTAGAACTTATTTCGAAATTTTGTTTAAATTGTTGACTTACAGAGATCTGTTGTTTTTGTTGAAAACAATGTCATAGTTTATGCTTGTTTGAACTTTTCGAACTAGAAACTAAAAAGAAAGAAAAGTTTGAAATACCTGTCTTCTTCAAGTCGGCTCTTCTTTTGGCCACTATACGATCTCTTGACTTTGATCTTTTAAAATAATTTCACTTTTCAACATTTTATTGTTTTATGATATTGTTTTTAATTAGACCTGTAAAGGGGCCGGACCGGGTCTGATTTTCTCTTTTCAAATTTGTTTCGGACTAGTCAAGCCGGGCTCGGAGCCAGGCCGGGTTTAGTGGGCTTCTTTTTAGGCCTACTTTCAGTATATATGCAAGTTACAGTGTAATTTAACGCGTTTTTTATTCACTATATTTATTGAAAGTTATGCTAAAAGCTAATAGATCAGTTGTCATTTTATTTTTTGTATCAAAATGTCATCATAACTACAACAAGATAAGCCTTTTTGTTTCTGCAAACTGCACGTAAGCGGTTTCAACTTTTGAACTCTCAACTTTGAAGATGTTTAAAATGCGCAAACATATCCATTGTCTTGTCTTGTAAACACAAACATCTGTTTCGACACGGTAATCTTTATAAATATATCGAAATTTACAAAATTCAAACTTTTTCTTTCAACAGTTGTTATCGGATTACTGTAGAATGGAGCCAAAGGTCGTGTATTGTTATCAGTAGTTTTTGCTTTAGGGTGTTCAAAGGGTATGTAAAGGTATCTACAATAAATGTTTTTGATTATTCTTTGAAAAAAAAACTTATTTTTGCATACTCTCTGTATAGGTAACGACTGTGTCTATTGTGGCAATGTTTAGAAGGCTATAGTAGATAAGAGCAAGAAAAAAAAGTGACGTGAAAATGGCAGAAGCGACTACACAGATTCGATTCAGTAGTTTGAGTAAGATCTTTAATTATTGACACGAGAGATCATATACTATAACATGGTTTTGTGTTTTATGATTGACGAAAGGCGTTATCTCGGCGCTAGAATTATTTTTTCTCAAAGAAGCTCCATTCCTTCCATTTTATTTGTTTCGTGCTTATCGTTTGACTTCCGTTCAGATGCACCCAGAAAGGAGGTCGGTAGAGTCAGTTTTACAGTTTTTGGTATTTAAAAATGGAAAATTGACTTACATTTTTAGTTTTAAATATACAGTAGAACCTTTATATAGAGAACCTCTAGCGAACTAAAAAAATTTTCATTGTATTGAGGATTTCTTATAGGGAAAGTAACCAGATAGACCTCTCACTATCTATCACTAAGGTTGAGTTACGTTCATGCCGTACTACGAAAGATTCTTTGTATGGTCTTGTCTATTTTTTCTTTATAAGGAGGATCTTTATATAGAGTTCCTACTGTATTTGTTGAAATAATATCCTTTTAAAGATTTTTGTAAAAAAATAAATGCTGGTATTATAGGTCCAGTATACTAAAAATCTTAAGTTTTTGGTATATTGTACCTATAAAACAGTTGTTGGCTGGGTAAAAGCAACATATTGGGGGTTGGTCTCTCTTACTCGTTCCATCTCTCATTTCTACAGTATTACTCACTTCTGTTATAAGGAATATGTAACTTAAAGTCTGTACCTTATGAGACGTTGACTACTTCAAAGCTTTTAAAATTTTTTTGTCTGCATCTTTGATATAGTTCAAGCTCTTTCTTATCAAGTCCAATAAAGTCGCCCCCTTAACATAAACTCCCATATCCGACGCCACTATGTCATCACGCTGTCGATGACATGTTCGGCTATAACACGGAGCTTAACTTATGGAATTGCGCGATCTTTCTTAAAAAATTCGAAAAAAATGTTTTTTGGATTGTTCTCGAAGAATCTGTTCTGAATTACAGTTTAGTTTAATATGTTTGTTTGGGGAATGCTAATAGATCTGTAGACGTCGACAGTGTTGTTGTTACGTCGACAAAGTGTTGTGGTTACTAAAATAAAAAGAGTAGCGTGATAATCATATGTGATTGGAGACTAGAGATTACTATTGTCAATTGACAACTAAAGATTACTTTTGGGTTGGGGAATGCAATAAATGACATTTCAAGAATTTTGACGCGAGAAGATCAATTTACAGAGTAGAAGAGTAAGGGATGGTTAGGTTAATTGAAGTTTGGTGAGCGGTTAGAGTGACTGATAGCAACAGTAATAAAAAGGGTAGTAAGAGCAAGCTGGTATCAGTATTTAAGTATACTTTACAAAAATTAAAAAATAATATCATACTGTGTTGAGACAATAAGGGATTACCACAATGGGCACGGTGACCATACAATAACATTGGATTATGTTTTGTATGACAAATACAAACACAAAACATGAATCAATGTTGTAAACTTTTACTGTAATGTTTGACCATTAATTTAACTTATAATTTACGACGTCAACTCTGTAGCGTTAACTCGCTTAACTCATTTGTAGCTTGTCTCTTAACTTAACTTCTGTTACCTATTTCATTATCATTTGGTTGGTGAACTTGATTTAAAGTTAATTTTTATAATTCTTATGTCTATCTTAATATCTACACTATCAGTTAAAAGTGCAGTCGGTCATGTCTGTCAAGATTATGTAAGACCCTACAAACTTTTACTCTAATCTATGTGCCCTCCTTCACCTTAACGTAGCCTTAGTCCCTCACTGAACGTAGGAATCAAAGGACGAGAGTTGGTTTTGTTGTCTGAACCTAATTTAATTCGATTACTCGTCGAGAGTTTCGACCGGGGCGTGGGTAAACTTTTGTAATTTGTTTTATAAATTGATTGTAACTGTAAGAACGCCATCTGGTCGGTTTAAATTTAGACGAAGAGTTCAATTCAAGAGTTCTTTATCACTGAAAAAGTATTTGGAACATTTAAGTGATTCAGAAGTGTCGGTTTAGATGTTTTGGCTTCTGTTATTGTGGTTTCTGCATACAAGTTTACTTCGTGTAAAGTATATGTAATGTGTGTGATACACTATAAGTTTCACAAACATTATGTGATGAACTAATAATATAACATGATGATTTTCATATTCGTGCGCATTCAATACTAATTTTTGAAAATGATATGTTTATAATATACTGTCGTTCTAGTTACTCGCCATGGGTTACAAGATGTGCGACTTGTACAGACTTTTGCGCGTCAGTAACATAGACCTACTACAGTACATGCTACTGTCGGCAAAGTTAAAAAAGAAAGACGAAATTGGCAGTGAAGCACACCATACGACAGAAATGACCGCTGTTTACCACGCTGATGACTCTGTAATACTAGAAGAAGTATTGGAAGTAATTCAACATGAAGCCAAGTAAGTTACAGTAATTTTCTACTAGTAATACAATGTATACGGTAATAGACAGCTAGTAATACAATGTATACGGTAATAGACTATATCTTTATCCTTAATATTTTCTTCAAACTATGTTTCCAAACTTGTTAAAATGAAAAGTCTGTAACTTAAAGTAAGTAATATCCACTTAATTTCAGGAAATCTCACGTAAACTTGAATCTTCTGCCAATTCAAGACGAATCCGAGCATTTGTCAACTTCAGAAGTAGCTCAGCTTACCAAATACAACAACATCATTTACTTGACGTTCGACGAGCAAGTCGATCTAGACAGACTACTTCATGTCATACCTTCTACCTCCAAGTTAACGTTGATAACATTGAATGAAGAGAAGTTGGAGGATGTAGGAGGCCAAAAATACTGTAGCCAAATCCTCGCCGCCGTTAATAACAGTAGTTCTGAGTTTGAATCCTTCAACAGAATTCAAATCAACGTGAACATTGCCAAGGAAAACGTCAAAAATGGGTACGTTTAGTATTTTTTACTTTAATGAATCTATATAATATTTAAAATACACACTTTAAAGTAATTTTATATCAAAACTGAGTTTGTCAATAGTATTTTACTTCAAAACATTCCTTCAGTTAAGCAAAAAGCAATGTAAACTAACCATAACCTTTCAGGATTGAATCCTTCGAACTCTTTTCGGCCCACGATATTTACATTGGGGAAGAAGACTCTGCCAGAGTGTCCTATATAGAACTCGGAGTGGATTCAGATGCCATAGTAAAACAGAAGAACAGTGGTATGTTCATTCGACTTGAACAAGACAACAAGAACGTATCCATGAGTCACGAACATCAGATTCACGAACCAAACTATGTATCCCCAACCCAAGTGCTACATCTTTTGGAGACCTTGAAGGATATGGGCTACGATTACACATCTTCTAATCAGGAGATGGATAAGGAGAATATGGTTAATGAAGAGATGGAGAGTGATGATTCGAAGGTTGATAAGGATGACAATGTTAAGGCTAGTTGCAGTTCAATGTTAGACGATAGTCGTGACTTGGCTACAAAGTTCAACGAAGCCATTCAGAAGAAGAACAGTGACAACGGTAAGCCAAAGATATACTCGAGCTTTGCCTAAAATTTTTTATATATTAATTTAAAACAAAAACATTTCAAAATTTTAGTAAGGTTATTTCAAAAGCAGTCTAAACCTTTCAAATTCAATGATCATGTTGTTTGCTTTCAGGCCTGCATTACCGACTCCGAGAGCCCATCTTCAACAACACATTCCGAGAAATCAAACCGTTTGGCGTTTTCAAAAACATGTTCATACGTTCAAAGTGTACTCATGGTATTGTGATCGTTGATGGCTTCAAGGAATTCAAGTTCAACAACGGAGATGAAGTGACGTTAAGCATGAACCAGGATCTCAGAATTCAACGAGTTTACTTATAACTTATATTATTTTAGAAAATGACTTGTTATGGTTTTTAGTTAGGGATATACCCCTTTTTAGATATTTACATTAATGTAACTTTAAAATATTTAAAAATTTATTTACAACTTTACAGAATTCTGATATTTGTCTTTAAATGCGCGTACTGAACAGTTATCATGTCTCACTATTTCACTTATCCCTAAAGTTCACTTGACTTCTCAATTTGAAAAATATTTCAATGTACACTAATTTTACTGTACGATACTATTGTAACATATACAACTGTCATTATGCGTATAAAATACAGCTTTACAATAAAAGATGTATGGGTTTAATCGAAATAATTATCAAATTTAATAAATAAGACCTGAATATGCACAAATATGCCTACCGGCTATCACAACTACTCCACGCCCAAATCCAAAGGCGGAAGCTTTTCGGGGAGAGATTGGGGTTCCTTTGCCTCAAGCACTGGAGCCAATTGTTGATTCGATCGTGACGGAGGAATCGGAGACGACCGTTTCTGTTGCATCAGGCGTGACTGTAACTCTCGCAAAGCAATTTGACTAAAAAATCACACAACTGATTACAAAGACATTTATAAATACATTTTGATGCTACCGTTGATCCACATTCAAACCGAAAAAAAACTCACAAAATTTAAAAAATGCGTATAAACTGCAAAGATGTATCTTAACAACAACTCTTTTTCAAGTAGTTTACATTAGTTCAAAACTTACCGTTTCCTCTCGGCTTCTCTGTCCAAATCTAGCTCAAACATGGCTTCCTCATTCAGCTGTGGCAATATCATTTTATCCACCTTCTTGAACAATTTTAGCTTCACCAAGGTTCTGTAACATATCCTCCCGAGAATTTGCGCTACGGGCTGTGTAATTCGAGGAAACAGACTACAAAGCATTTATGTTATACTACAACATGACAGTGGTTAGGAAATATGCTTTTCTTAGTAAAGAAAAACACTTTTTTTCAAAGATAACTCATTAGAATCCATAAAAAGACTTCAAACTTACGTATGCCAAGCAAAGTGATCGCTCTGATCGCCCTTCTCGTCTGGCCTTGAGTCTCGAACTTGAATAAACCTGAGATACGTCCAAGACACTTGAATACCCATAGCTACTTGAAATATCACGCCAAATCTGACTAAGCCAACAAAATATGCCAATATTACTACAGTAAGCGCTGATAGAGGTAGATGGTTGTTCTTCAGACGACCTTTTGATGTCGTTATTAACACTGTATCCGGTAGAAACTAAAAAAAAGTATGTTTTTAAGAAAACGCAACGTCTTTTTATAATCTTTTTACTTAAAACCTGGTTTTATCTTGTCTATAAAGTAATAAATAAAAAGATCATATAAAACTACAAAAATAGAGCAAAAAAATGAAACAAGACTAAAAAATAATTTATGCTACCTTTTACACTTTAAATTGTTAAATGCACCTTTAAAACTAACCTGTTTAACCGCCACAAGAGCAGCGACATTAACTGAAGCCAAACCATTCAGCTTTTCAAAGTAGAAAAAGTCCACAGCTCCAAACAATGAGAAACAACCCAGTGATATCAATGATAAGGCCACCAAACTCGATAAATGTACAATCAATCCAAACTTTAGTATTTCCAACAATCCCCAGAGGGGTGAGATCACTTCCGTTAGCTGATGAAAGGCCAATACTGACCACAACAACATAAATACATTTGTTTCAGCGATGGCAGCAGTAAACGGTCGCCAAACGTGTAATAAGAACAAGCTACTCGAAGTGAATGAGAAGAAATTGTACAACGGACTAATTAATGACAAAAGAAACCCTAAAACATAAAAAGTAAAAAAATAGCAGCATTTAAAAAAAGTTAAAAATTGAAAAGCTTTAAATTTAATTTACTATATATGTATTACTAACCATCTTCCTTGTTTTCAAATATTCGGATATCTAAACAACAAAAATCAACGTAAAAAACCTACCAATAAAAAGCACCCCAACAGACAGCTGATATACTGGCTTCTCTGCTATAAACCAAGCCTTCCATACTTGAAATTTATGTTGTATTAACACCGGATCAATATTCATACGCATTTCACAAATCTTCTTTTCGCCTCAAATCTTTTTCATTTCAAGCTAAAAAGCTATCGTTAAAAACTATCAATAACTAGATCAACAAAGTCGATTAAAAATACTATAAAAACAATATTATGTACCAACCGTCCTACGCCAATTTCCTCGAAAGCTTACTTATTAATCAATCAAGTATATAATTCTTCTAATGCTGAACAATATGCCGTTGTCTACACGCGTTATAAGTCTTGAATCCAGCAACTTCTCGTCGTGGCACCGATAAATCCAAAAACATTTTTTTGACGTGTTTTTGCAGGAGGCCAACACTTATGTTGTCGCGGCGGGACCCATCTTATGCATTTATGTCGTGTCTTTTAGTGTGCGGCGCGTCAAGCCTCATTGTAGGAGGTGTATACGGGGTTTGCCAACACATAGTTCGTTTGTCTTATCATAGCGATTATTGTTGCTCGTCGTATGTTTAGCTCCGTTTTGTTTCTTTAATTATTTTTACTTGTTTTTGAGGTCTATTTGACGGTTTATAATAAGTTTGGTTATGGCAAAAGAAAATTATTGTTTCTATTGTTTGTAACTTGACAATAACAAACGTTTTGTATGCTGATTACTCTTTCTGTTTTTTAAACAACGTTTACGTGTACTTTGGGTGTTCATGTTATTTGTTTTACCGTTGCCGTGGCAATTTGGGTTTACTTACCTTACTCTTATCTTTATAGTTACTAACTATGACGACAACCGATCGCTCTACTGTTCTACCTGACAAGCCGTTTATTCGGCTCAGAGGAATGCCCTATTCGGCCAGGGATGATGACATTTTGCAGTTTTTGGGATGTAAGTTTTTGTTTTCTTTTGAATTTTAGGTATAAAGCAAATTTTGAGGTTTTGTTCAAAAGACATACTATTTTTTTGGTATTCGAATTTTTTGTTTATAAAATTTAGTAAATTGCTTATAAAGACAATGTATTATACTATATATCCATAATCAGTTTTTTGATTCAAGGTGCTCATACTTTTGTTTTAGCCGAAGTGAACGTAACTTACATCTACTTTACTTCTACATCTGATGGTAAGCCCTCTGGAGAAGCTTATGTTCAAGTCATGACTGAAGATGACGTTAAACGTGCTCAGGATAAGCATCAACAAAACATGGGAAGTCGTTATATCGAAGTTTTCGTCGTTCCTGATGCTGATCAACTGATTAAACGCATTCAGAACACATTGCTTGACAAAGATACTGGAGCTGTACGTGTTCGTGGATTGCCTTACTCGTGCAGAGCTGAGGAGATCAGGGATTTCTTCAAAGGTACGTTTATTTCTGCTAATTCAGGTATAATATTTTGATAGATTGGCCTAATATTGTGAGGTTTATGGTTGTAGTAGCTCTGGGTCTTTTCTTCACTGTTTTTTCTTATTATCAATGTGATAATATTGTCTTTACTGGGTCTTAAATTGGGCAATAGTAAGCCTATAAAGTTTTGGTCATGTTAAAATCTAAAATTACGCTGGTTTTACATTTGGTTTTACTCTAGATATGAAGGTGGTCGAGGTGATTCTCGGGAAGGAGCAAGGGGAGTGGGGCCGGCCCACGGGAGAGGCTTACATTCGGTTCAGTTCAAAAGAGGAAGCGGAGAGGGCTATGCAACTTAATGGGCAATACCTCGGGAAAAGGTAACGTGGTTTTTAGGACTTTGTTAAATGGTACTGTAGCTTTTGCAGTTGGTATTCTTATATTTAATGTTTTATTTTAGATATGTTGAGATTTTCACCGTGGATTTGGACGCCTACGAGAACTTCAAGAACAAGATGGATCCAAACAGGATAAAGCCTTTGAACTCGGTCGACGGCCCATGGAATGGATACTATCCTCCACCATACGGAGGCTATGGACCTCCAGACTATGGAAATGGAGATCGTTCTGGATAGTAAGTTTTGGTTTCTTATTTTTTATCAACATACACAATGATTTAGTACATATATTGTATTGTTTGTGAGACCTTATTTAACTTGATGATTTCAGTTATGATCCCTATGCTTACCGAGGAGGTCCTCCAGTTCCACCATATCCAGGCCCAAGATCTTATGGAGGCTACGGTGATCCATACTATGGAGGTCGCAATGGTCCTCCATCAAGAGGATACGGTGGAGGTTACGGTGATCGCTTCAACTCCGAGCCAATCAATCCCTGCAAGATTCAGATGAGAGGATTACCGTACAGAGTGTCAGATCAGCAGATTCTGGAATTCTTTGCACCTCTGAAGCCGGTCGAAATTAAGATTGGATACTTTGAAGACGGAAGAGCCTCTGGAGATGGTCTAGTGGAGTTTGCCAACGACCAGGACGCTTCTGAAGCATTTAGAAAAGACAGGGAGAGCATAAAGAACAGGTAGGCATGGTTTTTGGGATAATATTGTTTATTTAATTTAAAAAATGGTTTTTGATGTCAAATTGATTTTGTGTTGACTGGTTTAAGGTGTATTTTTTATTGAACTTACTTATTTTAGGTACATCGAACTGTTCCGTGGAGAACAAATGAAGTTATCGAGCAACACAACGTACAAGACTACATTCAAGTCTTCAAATGAAGCCTTTAAGCCAGCTCCAGACCCATACAGACCTGACCCATATCAAGCAGCGGACCCATACAAGGCAGCCGATCCGTACAAGGCTGCCGATCCTTACAGGATGCCTCCAGCAGACCCCTACAAGCCCGAATTCAAGCCCCTGGACCCCTATTCTCCCTACGGCAATGCACCGACTGCTCCGGCCATGCCCGCCCAACCTTATAACCAACAACCAACTTGGAGATATTGAACTGATCTACCACTATTGTCACCTTTTATCTTGTAGTATGAACTCAAATACACCTGGCTCTTATTTATTTTTGGAGTAACGTAATTAATATAATAAATATTTGATCTGATTGACAGTGTTCCCAAGGGGTTTCTATCCGCTTTTTCCTTTTGTCAACACAAATAAGACTTGTTGATTTTAAAAGTGATTGTGGCTATTTTTGTTCAAAGAGCGCTCACTCGAACATAATCTAGTAAAAATCGGGTTGGTATTATATATTATCACATATTTTAAGGAAAAAAATGCAAATTTAGTTTTTGTTATGAATGAAAAATGGAATTTCTTTTGGTTTTTGTTAGTGTAATATATATGAGCGAGGGAGCACATTTTATTACAAACTAAAAGTTTTGTCAAAAAGAAACAACTTTGTTCACTAATTTAATTAACTTCTATGAAATCTGTGGTTTCATACATAACATTTGGGTATTATATCTAAGTAAACTAAATAAATATGTGCAATTCTCAGATTGACATGAGTGCCCCACGTGCTTTACTCCAGAAGCTCCGGCCAGCCGAGACGGCCTTATTCTTATGTGATCTACAGGAGAAGTTTAGGTATGTTATTGTACGTTTTCAACGAGTACTTGCTCAGTTACAGAAAGATAGTACTTTTCAAAAGGTCGCAGATAAATGAGTATGATAATATACAATAGGTGTATTACACCCTTAGTATTGATCTAACGATCTCTAAAATGAACAAGCTCTAAAATTACAGGCCAAGTATCCAATACTTCCCTCAGATCGTCCAAGTGGCCAGAAGACTGACCGAAGGTGCTCACATCTTAGACATGCAAATTTTGGCCACAGAACAATACCCGAAAGGCCTTGGAAAGACTGTGGCTGAACTTGATGTAGAGAAGTTTGGAATCAAACCAGTCGACAAGACCAAGTTCAGTATGTGCGTTCCTCCACTGACAGAACAACTTCAGTCTGGTGTGAAGTCGATCGTGATCTGTGGCATTGAAGCTCATGTGTGTGTCTACCAAAGTGTGCTCGACTTCTTGGCCAAGGACTACCAGGTCCATGTTGTTGTGGATGCTACGAGTTCCAGGGCTTTGCCTGATCGTTTTTACGCTTTCAAGTAAGTAACTATTTCTAGCACTATATTGTACATAGATTATACACGAATCGGTATATTATGGAAGCATAAGGGGCTTTTTTACTTCAATCAAGATCACTGAGTTATTGGAGCTAGTAATGTCCATACATAACGATTACTATATAAATGTCATTTTAAGACAAATGGAGAGAGCCGGTGCCATTTTGACGACCAGTGAATGTGTTCTGCTGAGCTTGGTAGGAGGATCTGATCACCCGAAATTCAAGCAAGTCCAAGGATTGATCAAGGAAAGTGCACCAGACACTGGTCTCCTACAGTTCAAACTGTAACCTCGCAGTGTAGCTAACGAGGGAACATTAATATTTAGTCTATTTGGGTATGTATTAGATATTTAAATAAATTTCTAAATATATTATTTACCGTATATGTATTTTGAATATTTTTTTGACTTTATAAAGACAAGGTCTTCAACGTACTAAGGACAATTTTTAGCTTGCTATTCAATCTCAGATAATGCCGTTTCACATAGTAAAATGTTTTAAAAATGTTGAATCGTTTATTAAAACAATATTCGGTACAAAATTAGTTGTTTACAATATATTTTGATATAAAACAAGCATTCTTATCAAGTTATGGCTGACAATGTTACGATTATGGCAATTGTAAACTTCAAAATACATATAAATTTATAAAATCTTTGGCAGGATCATTAATATTAGTCTGTTCTTTAATAACTTTCCATACGAACTGTTAGATAAATGGTACAGATTTTGGTAATACAATAGTGGCTTAAAGCTAAAAAAATACAACTTATGAGTTTAGGACTAGTTTGACCATAAGAACAAAAAATTCCTTTTTTATGTACTTTCTGACCGTAATACTACTGTAATCAAGCTTACCTTAAGCATGCTTGTACTTGGTGAAGAGAGCGTGTAACACTCTCAATGTGCTCTTCAAATCACCATTTACAATATCGTGTGGTCGAGTTTTCGGCTTCTGGATTCCACTATCTTCCATCAGGAAGAAGGCAAAGTTGACGTTCTTTAGCTTTTCTTCGTGTGAGGTTACTTGAAGGGAAAACTTGTACAATGGAACGAAGTAGCCCTCAAGAAGGCCCATCAGGAGGATCAGGAATACTCCATCCTGATAATTCAAAAATTATTTCAAAATAAAAAGCATTATCAAACATAACAATAATGTCAATGAAAAACCCGGAACCAACAGAGTTACTCTATTTTTTCAAAATAAACCCACCTGGAACTGAGTCTCCAAGTCCGTGACCTCCAAGTTGATCTTGTTCAGGTGTTTGTTGCAGAAGGCAACCAAACTGCCCTTGACATGTTGTAGTTTGTCAGGGCCATAGTCAAACAAAGTGTCAAATGCATCCCTTTCTCCTTTCGGTGGGGGTAGATCACTTTGTTTTCCAGTCAATTGCTCTGTCTGGAAGCTTTTGGTAATTTGGCGACCATTTCTAGTGTACACAATCATCTGAACGTTGACATTGTTTGGGAATCTGACAGGTGCACGGAAATGAAGAGCCAAGTCAATCAAAAGTTGGAGAATGGCTACAACATCTTTCTGGTGAATAAGTTCAGCGTTCCAGCGCTTTGACACTGGTCCTTGAGCATGAATGTTCCTGTTCAAGGCATCTACAAGAACATTCCACTTCTCCTTCTGGCCGGCTTCTGACTGGGACACTTCCGGGATCTCGATTCTGATGTCAGCCAGCTTTTCCAACAACTTCTGGACGATTTGGCCATCGTAGAAGTCTTCTTGTACGTTTCTAACTACTATTCTTTCATCGGCAAGTTCATCATTCACCCAGTACAACAACTGATTAACGATCTCATTGACCTGAGCATCATCCCGAGATTCTGGGACCAAAACACGAACACTTTGTCCTAAAATTTTAAATTTAAAAAAATCATTGAAAGGCGATTTGACGCTATTAATCATTATGATATCCAAGTAACTGTTCTAAGATGTGACTTACCATCTTCCAACAGCTTCAGATCAGGTTGATGAAGTACCAAACAGCTTTCGAGTGTTTCTTTTCCTTCTTTCTCCAATAACTCTGCTTCTTTTTCTTCCTTCTGCTCCTTGGTCAACTGCTCTTTCTCGGCTGAGTGTCCACGTTCTTCTGGAGGGACAGACTTCTTTCTTCTCGTCAATGTTCCAAACTTTCCCAAGAATCCACCTTCTTTATCATCCTATAACGAACTTTATTTAAGGAGCGTCAAAGAGAATATAACGTAAAAAAGTATTAGGTTGGCCGGTTATGGATTTCGGTTCCAAAATTTTCTGAATTTCATTAAATTGATTAACAACAATAATTAGAACAAAATATAGTTTATAATAAAGTTCAGAAAATTTTGGAACCGAAGCCCATAACAGGCCAATCTAATAGTAACAGTAAGTTAATTCTCCAACTACAGTTTATGCAACAATTTACCTAAATTTAAATAATAAAGACCAAAACCTTACCTTCTTTCCCTTTCTGCTTTGCACTGTACTACTTTCGTATTCGTGGTGTTGGCCTCGGCCCTGGTCTCGTCCCATCATTGAAGGGATCATCTAAAAAGAGGTCTATACTTGCAAAAAAGCTTGTCATTTTTTAAAAATTTTAGAAAATGTCAAAAACCGCACAAAATACAACAAAAACGCGAGAGAACCCCAGAAACGCCAAGACATTATGTTATAGAAGGAAAATCGAAAAAAGCCAAAATTTCCGTCGGTTTTTGAATAGCTGTGTTATATTTCTCGGAGCGTAGGCGGCTGTTTCGAGCCGATCGAAATTGTTCGAGACTCATTGAGGTAAAGGAAGGAACAGACAATTGGCCAAAATGAGTGGCCATCGCTTTGAATATTGATATTAAATCGACGAGGGTTCTGGCTACAGAAGCAGCTCAAAAGTTGTTTTGTTTTCGATAAAATATGAAGCTCACTCACTCTTCTATAGATTAATATTATGTTAATGTAGACATTCAAAACAAAGAAAAGGCACCTATTATAAATAGCTATTACATTGTAAGTGTAAATCATAGTAAATAAATAAAATTTAAATCGATGGCCCACAAAAACTAAATCTTTATTGTTATAAACCACTTTTTCAAAGCGTGAAATTTTATGCATTTCGCTCTTTAAGACGAGAGTTTCTCGTTTCGTCAACTTTTTAGGTATGAAAACCGCAAAAAATTGTATTTGATGACAAACAAAGTATGTACATTTAATTCATCAACAAAGTAACAACAAAAATATTAGATTTAACAATATTAGAAAAACAAATGTTAAGATTAGAAATGTTACAAGGACAGTACTCGGTTTGTAAGCAGAGATTTATGTTTAAAATGCGGATTAAAAATTTTTTTAATATTTTTACCACGACTATGAAATCTATTAACAAAATAAAATCCAAATCTGGCCGTTAACAATCGAGTACTGTCGTTTTTACAAAATTTTTAGGTAACAAAAAATTAAAACATACGAAGAAATTGGAATTTAGAACGAAAAAAACATGCATTAACCCGTAGGTTAATTTAGTTTTAAGATCTGATTGAAGGTTAACAATAATTGATATCAGCTGAATGATACGCCAATTGCCAACAACAACATACTTTAAGATCTGCATATTTTGATACTCCGATCCAAGATGCGCCAAGAAGCACGACACAAAGGACAATCAGGATAAGTACCATCCGACATTTGAGTCTTGTGCCACAATCTGACACAGCCTTCACAACCAACCATCTGATTACACTTCATACAAATGGCAGAGACTTCTGGAGGATCCATGCAAATGCAACACACGGCTCCTAAGACAGGATCAGAGTTAGTTACACGGCAAACAAGTTAGTTTTAAAATTTGAAGATGGTCAAAAAGTGTGTAGAAATATAAAAAAGATCAGTCAAGAAAAAACGGCAATTTAACAGTTTTTACCAATTAAACCAAAGATGGCAATATTAAATAATACGATAAAAACTACGTCCTTTCCACACTCAAAAAATAAAACACCTACCTTCCTCGTCGTCGTACCACCAGAGAGAAGTGTCGAACTCCTTGGTTGAATGCGCCATGTTATGAACAACTTCAAATAAGACTAATTATAGACGTTGTGCCTTTTTATATACAATAAACTATGAGATAAACAAAAACTATGACACCTGCAGGTCCGGTGATTACCAATTATAAATAGTTTTGTAAATTATACATGTTTATAAAAAAGTTGCAAAGATAGTAAATCCATTAGTTCATTCGTGTTTTTACAGAATTTAACTCTACAAGTGTAGCTACAACGCAGTACAAAAAATAAAGAAAATATAAACCTAATCAAAACAACAAAATCACAATATTTATTTAACTGTTGACCTACAATTCAAAAAATGTCTGTCTTTCGTTACCTAAAACCATTTTTTATCGTATTGTTAAAATATTACCTCAATTTCCTTGGAAATGCTGCTGCAGATACTAAAGCTGTGTCCGATACTGCTCTACAGAGCTAGCTCTGTGATTCTTCACAATCGCTCAAAGCCTTTTGGCAATTTTATACCGAGAAAAATCAAAAATTCCCCCGCGAAACCATTTTTTTCAAAAAATCACCGTTTTATACGACCAAAAAAAGTCGATGAAGAACGGTTTCTATTCGAAAAAAAGTTCGTATAAATATAGAGAGTACCAGCATGTTTAAAAGCAATAACATCCATCTTTCGATTCAACAAATTATCTTTTAAAAAATGTTTCAAATATCTCAATGTAAGACAAAAAGCAAAACCTAAATTACAGCATAACTTTACCACAACCGTTTAAAAAAGAGTTTAAAAAATCAAAAACAAAGAGATCCATCCTCATACTATCAAAAAGTATCAATATGTTGTTATTAAGATTTATTTACATTAAGTACGTAACGCAATTCGAGAGGAGTTCCCATTTGTGTCTACAAAAGGGGCATCTTTGGTCGTTTTTAAAACATATGTAAATGCAGCTTTCACAACCGACTATCTGTTTGCAAAATTTACATTGGGCTGGTATGTGAGATGACAAACTTCGGCAGCAAATTATACAGTCGGTACCTACAATGAGAGACAATAGTAGTTAAAAAAGCCGCCAAATGTATTAAAATTAAATGAATAAGTAGTCATTTAGCAGTAATCTGAAAAAACTAATATAAAACTATCTAGAAAGACCTACTGAGTTTGTATTACCAACTTTTACAAAATTTCAATAACATTTAAAAAACGTTACCTTCGTAACTCTCTTCGGCAGGTCTAGTAGATTCTTCTAAATCCGGCATCATATACCAATCTTTGGGCATCTCCGGTTTCTTGCGTTTGGCTACCTTATTCTGAGTGGTATATGTCCTCCCGATCTTTTGCATTATTTGTTGTTGTTTTCGTTCCAGAAGAATTTTAGGTAACATCTTCACGTTGTATTGTATACGTTTTCTAAAAAGGATAACGATAGATGATCAGAAAGAAGTTGTAATAAAACAACGAAAGAACAGCCAACTAAAAAAATCTTTATAAAAACTTTTCAAATATAGGTAACAAAAACTAAAATTCTCAAAAACATCTAAATCTCGTCCAAAACCGCATCTTTGCCATAAAATACACGTAAAAAGGCAGATAAAACCTCAAAATCAATAAGATAACAATACTTTTATAAGAAAAAAAGATCAACATAGTATTCTATGTCCATTTGCTCGTCTTTGACTCCCTATTGACCAAACACGGTTGTTTTGAAGCAATAGAAATGCGTCCTTAATTCTGTCCTTTTTTTTGAGGAGAAGACGCTCAAAACAAGTCAGTCAACGAGCAAATCGGATCGAATTTACAAGTAAAAGGTCGTAGCTCTTACATCTGAAAATGTGAGCAACGTCGCTCAAAAATGTCGATTGTCTGAGCCGATGTTACACATGGTACGTAATCTAAAATTGTGGTCTTGAAAGTTTGATATATTCAAAAGCATTAAGAAATGTTTTATAAATCCAAATAAACACCTAAATTTAACATTCCAATACAATTCCACGGTATGCTAACCAAAAAAAAAAACAATTTCTTTGCCGAAACTAGGCGTCGACTCTTCTCTAAAAAATATGTCATAATGACTGACAATATAAAACATTTTTTAAAAAAACTGTAAAAATTTTTGTAAACTATATTATAATGTATATATTATAATGTACAAAAAATTCAATAAAACCACTTTTCAATTTCTGAAAAATTATAAATCAAAAATCCGTCTAGAAAATGTGTCATGAAGTGTTTTTATTGCAAGTTCAAAACTAAATATGTAGATCGTTGTTTGTCTTATCATAATGTCCACCAAACTGTAATTCATTACACTATAGGTACAAAAGAAATGTAATTGGACCAAGGACCTCGACATAAAGGACAATGTGCTGATAAGTTGCTGGAATGGAACCATAACGATACACAGTCATTACAGCCGACTACTTGAGAACATTGTTGGCATCGTACTGGGTTGTTAATAATAACTTCTTCCATACATATCGTACAGCTGATGTCTGAAATTATCGTGATGTATATTTTGTACTTATCCTTGGTTTTTTATAGTAGAACAGAAGTTTAAAAAGGCAAAGAACCTTTATTCCCACTCAAGTTCTAACTCATTTTTTTAATTTTATTATTAAATTGTTTCATTTATTCTTTATATTAGACTGCCTTTACTGATATTATACTTACTTCTATTTTGCAAAGCTCCTGCCGAGTTCACTCTCTCACTATCGCCGCTCTCTTCGTTTACTTTGAACGTTATCTTGAATATATTTCTAAAGCATTTGACCACCTTTGTACCCATAATACCACTGTAAACTCTTCCCGACATCTTCTGTACCATCTGCATACTTACGATGGTACTCTCCAAGGATAAGTAACACCAAATGATGGAAATCACTATGCCCAGAAACAATGGTAGAAATAGAACGCTAACACAGAGTAGAAAGCCCATGGTAACTATTAGACATATTAAGGCGAAGAACTCACTAATAGCAAACTGTAGAAGATACAGTAACTGGAGACGCACTGAAGGAGTAGATGTGACCACAAAGTGTTTGAGGAGTTTGAGAAGCTGGATGAAGGGATGGAGCACCAAAAACACTTTTTCGAACAATCCGCCATCGTTTATTGAGACTTTGAAACTCTAAATTCTCAAAATTTCAATTTTTTAAGAAAAAGTCAAAGTTTAATTGATTAAAATTGTAAAATACCATAACATTCTAAAAAACAGCTACAACTTAAACGTTTTAACAGGTTTCTTTGATTTGTAACTTGAGAGCAAAGTCTGTTCAACTTACCAACATAATTAAAGGCGCTCTTCCTAATTTTATTGATAAACAACGCTGTTCAAAGGGGGGGGTTTGTAGAAAAAACATAAGGAGAAAGAGATACGAAGGTTACGCAACACCACCGTATTTGGTATAATATGTTACAAGGTAAATGCTGAATTTATTAGGAAACATAAAGTTATAAAACAATACTGTAAATGTAAAATTCTGATAAGAAACTTTAAAATTAAATTTTTGTAATTTTAATATAAATTCAGTGATTTAGCTACAAAATTCCATCTGAAGTGCAAGTTCCACTGCCATTTATGCATAGTACAAAGTTCAATGTAAGTGATGTTTAATCGAGAACTCGTTGTAAACTGTTTTTGCACTCTGTCATGTTTCACATTACACTAGAGTACATGTCGGTTGTAAACTCGAGTATTATATCTTGATGTCCTCAAGTGTTTGTTTCAAAAAAGAAAAGGCGTGCTCTGAAGTGTAGCACTGTTCTGTACAATATTACTTACTGGAAAACATTAACAGACTATGAAAGTCAAATGTTCAGCGCTTTATACTGTAGTTATTTCAGCTTTATACTGTAGTTGTTTCAGCTTTATACTGTAACTGTTTGAGTATCAACAAGTGTGACTGGTATTTAATTTTAGTAATATTATATTTCTTGAATCTTTGTAAACAACTAATTAATTTTAAAATTGAAATTTAGTCTTTTACTTGATGTTTCAAATTCAACAGTAAATTATTGCTAAAGTTTTAAACTGTAACTAGACTATTACTTAATATTAAACTTTGTATTTACAGTTTCTCAACTTTAGCACGCAAAAGAAATGTCACATGAAATATTTCGTACATTGTAATCTTTTGCTTAATCTTTAGTAAACAAAGATTACTGTAATAGTGCAGTTGTATTACCTACGGCGTAGGTGGCTTCACTGTCCCTGTTTATTTGAATAATGAAGTTCCACTTTAACTTTGCTATATATGTTAGTTGCCTGAGGCGCTAAATTTACTTTTACAGTATTAAAATATGTAATAATACTTATTAAGTTACATGTACCGTTATGTGTAAGATATTTTCTGATTAATCGACTAAAAATAAAATTGGTACAATACGAAAGTGTTTTTAGTTTTTCGGCAGGAGACTGATAAATACATGACATTATACTTTTAAAATTCACTTTTTTCTTTACGTAACTTCACAATGCATACCGGCCATAAATACATATATAATATATCTACTATTCTACATCTTCTTTAGTATAAGAGGTACTCCATTTTTTTTACTACAAAAGAACACATGTATTACGGGCATACGTAAACTTATAGTATTTGAATTCAAATTTCTTTGTACAAAATGTCATTTAAGATATAGGTTCATCTATCTTATACCTATATTGTCATTACTGAATACTCACGTTGACAGTTAATACGTGAATTAATTAAAGATGTGCCCATAAACATGCCAAAACACTGTTAATACGTCATTGGTATGTACTTGTAAGAGTACAATACGACCGAGCTGCCTATAGTATACATAGTAATCGTATTTGCTAATTGGGTTAGGTTTGTGTTTGTATGAAATTATACTGTAAACATTTCAACTATCAATTGTAAGAGTATAATAAATTTAATTTAGAAAGTAGTTTCCGTAGGTTTGGCATTCCAAAAGTATAACTTAAAGACACGTTTTTGAACTATTATTAATTTAAAAAAGGGGAAGCATAGAGAAGGATGTAGCGGAAATAGATCAGTAACAAATTTTTAAGAAAATTATAAACTGAAAAAACTTTTTTTCTAGGCCAGTTTGGCTCTGATAAGGAGTAGCAAGTGTTTCTTACATAGAGAGTCAAAACTCGTACCTCATTGGCACTTACTTTACCCGTTTAAGTTCTTTACAATACCAAAACAATGTTGTTTGTAAACACTATTCGCTACGTATGTTAGTAAGTCTGTCTATTTATACCGTATTTCATAATAATTGTAAAGTCAGCTATATGCAAATGTCGTGTTTACCGTCACATTGTTTATTACAACTACAGGTAAAGAAACTGTAGTTGTAGTAGATGTAATACCTGTGAATGTTATAAGCTTCGTATGTTTGCAAGACTGTCATTATCGTGTTGATCTTTTCGAATGTGAAGTTAGTACTGTAACGGTCTTTGTAATTGCTTTATGGTAGTTTTGTATATTCAATTTACTGTTGTTTAAAGTTTATTTTATGTATTGTAAATAACCGTGTTCAATATATTGCTGTGCTTAACTTACATATTTTAGGTAAACTGTAAAATAATAGTGACCAAATGAATCCTCAAGAGATCCAGAGCGTCAGTGAGCGTTGTGCTATCATAATATCAGCCTTCTTCAACGTTATCTTATTCTTATTGACTGTAACTGAGAAGAACTCGTCTCTGAAGTCGTACCGAAACCTCTTATTGCTTAATATCTTGACTGAAAGTTTGTTCACTTTGTTCATCGCTCTCTCTCAAGTGGTAAGTTAATAAGTTGTAGCTTTCAAATTAATTGTAGCAACAACATGTTATTTGAATTGGTTTTTGTAGTGAGAAATTCCTTGTTGAAACAGATAATAGTGTAATCTTTTAATGGACCGTCATATGTAAATGTATGTGACATTACTGTAAAATCCAAAAACCATTTTTTTAAAAAATACTATGATTACAATAAGATGTGAAATAATTCTTTAAAATTTTATACAATCCGATTTTCAAACCTGACCCCGGAGGTCATGTCCTTCATAAATTTAATTTTTAAAACTTTACGGTAGTGTAAGGCAGGGACGTCGCTACGGATTTTCTCTGGGGGAGGGGGAGCTCAAAAAAAATTTTTTTGTCCACAGGTACCTACATGTGGACCGATTTTCCAAAATTTTTTTTTGTTTTTTTGCGTACGGGTACCTACCTGTGGAATTTTTTTCGGATCGGCTCTGGGGGAGGGGTACCCCCCCCCCCCTTACCCCCTCTCCCAAACGACGTCCCTGGTGTAAGGTAATTTCAATATGTCAAACTAAAATACGTAACATTTCAGACGTTACAGTTCCTGGACGGTGCTTTTATTGCCATTTCCAATGGACCGTTCAAACACTTACCGTATGAATACCACTGTTACATCGTATCACTGTACATTTTAGGAATAGGCATGAGTTTCATAACTCTGCCAATCGACTTCATATACCGATACCTGATTGTGTGTAGGTGTGTTTTTGCATTTCAATTTTTAAATTTTTGTAAATGTAATGTTGTCTATTTGAATTTCTTATATGTGTTATAGATTATCATTGCACACAAAGTCATCAAAAGTTATAAGAACTGGAAAATCTTTGTTAGTTTTCCAATGTATAATATGACAGAGAGAAATCATAAATCATTTTTAATTTTAAATTTTCAGACGAACCCAGGTAAAACTAAAATATCTAATAATTTTTACTGTGCTGGCCTATGCATGGGCCTTATGGGACTCATATTGGATTACTATAAGTTTTTTGACAACACCAGACGTGAAGGAGACTTACGGTAGTTTACTGTCACAAGATATGTGGTTTGAAGATGGCAAACAAGTGACATTTTTGGCCGCTTCTTTTGTAATTTTTTTTATAAATATACTATTGACTTTGTCCAAATTAACTGTTATTTTATTGAAACAACTTGAACTTTAACATTTTTTGCTTTATTCTGCCGGAGACTTAATTTTTTAAATTTTTTTAATTGGAAAAAATAGATTATGTACAAAAAATTTAAAATGTCCATAAGTTCAAAAATAAATGGCGTTTTTAAATTCAGGACACGTTATCAGTAAAGATCTTCGTATTATCAGCTGCATTAATCATCTTCATTGTCTATTTGTCCGTTTTTATCATTGGCCGACATGTGTTTAAGGAATTGTCATCAAAAAGGCACACAATGTCAAAGAAAACCATGGAAATGCAAAGAGGAATGAATCGCATGTTAATAGCTCAGGTGAGTCATCAAGGCAACAGCTCTTTATAAAAAAATGATTTTTTAGAATTTTAAAACATACTTTTTTGCATAACTTTAGCAATATTAATCAATATATAGTTTTTAAAAAATGGCTTCAAACATAAAAAACGACAATATCTTTTTCTAAAGTACTAGTTTGTTCAAATGATTTCTTTGCCAATTTTTTAGAAGGCGCAGAATTATTATTAAGCAAATTTTCGCAGTTAGAAGGCGCAGAATTATTTAAACGACCCATAATATAAAAGAAGAGGAAACAGTCCAAAGAGAAATGTCTTTTCGCGTTTCTATGACTTCTCTGCTTCGTGCGAAAAGGTCCCAAAACATTTCCGTTGGATTGCTCGGCTGCGAGTAGTTTTGGAAAGGAGAAGAAATAAAATATAATTCAAATATGAAAGAGTCCTTAATTTAAAATTCTAATGGCAAAAATGTTAAAATTTAAATTCTTTCACACAATCAAAAATTGTAATACCTTGAAAAAATAACAATTGTTTCAGGCCATAATTCCCATATTCACGGGACTATTACCGTTGATAGTGATGTTGGTGTCCACCAGTATGCGGTGGAAATACCAATGGACAGGGTTTTTCACATATTTTTGTATTTGCTGGCTGCCGACTATTGGTCCCATTTGTGCAATATATTTTATAACCAGCTTTAGGAAACGACTGTTCTCAATATTCTCACAACAATTCAAAAAGACCTCCGTTATTAACTCCTTACACAACATTAGCTCTCATTAAAATGGTAATAAAAACATAACATTATTATTGAATGGCTTACTTTGGAAATATTGAAATGCAGTTTTTTTGTTTTTTGTAATAATGAAAATTTATCTCAACTGTTTGTTCCCCAATTTAAAATATTCTACATCTCACAAAAAATGTAAATTTTCTATTAAGAAAGGAAGCAGAGTAGAAAAAAAAGACGTATGTAAGTATCTGAAGAGGTCCCAATCCCTAGTGCCCTGGGTACCCGCAAATTTTAAATTTTCGAAAAAAGATACCCACTTTCTTAACGAAAGAACTTCCATTTCTTATAAAAAGGTATCATATATACCTAGGTACCCTGCCCAATCCTCCTTATCACATTTCCCAAAACAACCATATCATACGTGACATTCACATAAGATGTTGTGTTTGTAGGTGCGCAAGCACACGTACAGCTCTTTAGAATCCAAAGGTATAACCTTGGTGTCGATGATTCACATTCCATACTCAACTCCAATATCACATACAAATTTTATTTCGTATGCTTATAGCGCAGTAAGTGATAAAACAATAAAAACAACCTGAGATTCGTTATAGTGAATTTAAATAGTTACGGGTTAAAATTCTAACAAACAAATTAGTTTACAACGTTAACAATAAAAACTAATACTACTGTATCGATAACAACATTTAACATATATGTACAATCACAGCGTTTCATCCAATTGACAGGGTTGGCATAACAGGGGATATATTTCATGATTCATATTCTTCACCGAAACACTTTTCATGGGGCAATCCGATAAGGTAGTTAGTAATCTGAAATTATAGATTAATTAGTTGTTACCTGCATGTCATACATTTTAAATAAGGCAATAAACTCCTAAAATTCAAACAATTTTAAAAAAAGCTACCTGTTAGAGATTCATCAAATATTTGGCCAAGTCCAACTCTTTCTCCGACATAATATGTGAGATATTTTTTGCCGGTTTTCTTGTAATAGATGTGCGTAATATAGACTTGATCTTCTTTACTTCAGACACTTGATGTTCCATTTCTTGTTTATTTCCGAATAAATACTTTTCTGGCTGATCTTCTTGTTTCTTTTGGTTTTCTCGAATCAAACCTTTTAAAAATACTTCTTCCGTCTCGCCCGCCATCTGAATCCTATCAGCGGTGTCGTCATGAGGTGTGCATATCTGAAACAATTATTAATTCTTTCGTATAAGATTAAATCCACTTTTCCATTTAAAATACAATTATAAAAAAGTAGCTTTGAATGATTAAACCATAAAAACTTATATTAACCCCTTTAAATCCAAAAGTAATATTACCTGAAATCTAACCCGCTTTGGCGTAACACCTTCCGATCTTCTCGACGATCTACCTTTGTCAGTTGAAGGTCCAGCCAGGTCTTCTTCATGTCGTCTTTTCCGGGACTCCTTCTCTTTCCCCAAAGCCAAAAATTCATCCATCGGCCGAAGTGACTTCATTGTCTCTTTCAACTTTTTGAAAGTGTTCATCGAACTTTCTTCTCCATAAGGTATAGGAGATTTGGCTATTAAGGGATCTACATCTGAATCATAATCTTCAAGTGCATCAGCCCACAAAGCGCCTACATTCTTTCTTTCTCTATTACGATTGACGTTTGATCTTGATTCTTCAGTTATACCAGCATTCAAGCTCTGAACTGGCTCTTGTTGGTAGTCCATGACCTCGTCCTCGATGCTGATTTCGAGTTCCATTTTACTTGGCGGAATAAGGTTTTCATCATTTACCAATCGCCAGTCATCTATAGAAGTAGATGGTTCGTTTTTTGCATCTTTTATTTCTTTTAATTCTTCTAACTCCTTATAGTATTGTACCATGACCTCATCATCGTCTATTCCTCGTTTTAAAAAGAACGCCACTAATGCATCGGGACACTGCAAAAACAATTTGATTAAACCGCAAAAGAATGTAATGTTAAATCAACTAGGTAATTCTGAACTCACACTGTTCAAATTCTCCCTCGGTTCCCAACTGTTGTGTTCCGGCCCATACCCAACCCATTTAATGAGAAATTCACGTTTTTTCTTGCGTCGTGGTCCTCTCAACCTCATATCCAATACTTCTTCTACTTCGTATGCTGGTTCCCCATTGATGGAGTGAGGAGTTTCTTCGTCCATCTGAAACTTGCCAACATAAGAAGCTTCGTTACCAGTATCCGCTTTGTAACATGAAAAATTAAAAACGCCGCACAAGCCAAAATTTCGCTACAATAATGTTCTTCTTCTGTGATGAAACCTTGTCGATATCTACTACGCATGAGAAATCACAAAACTAGAAGCCGTAAACACTGGTTATAAACAAAACCTCGTCGCATACTAGCGAAATATTCCAAACGATTCAATTCGACAACAAGGCTTCCTAAGTAAAGACAATTGTAAGCATTACATATAAATGTACCATATAATTACAAAAGCATTTCACTTCAACACAAAACGACTTTTTTTAATTACGAAAAATACCATTAGACCAGAAATTTCAAAATAAATGATTCAAAACGCCCTACTTTAAGACATAATAGTCTGCTGTATCCACTAATAACGTTCTATTTTTCGTTATCGATCGGAGCCAGCCGCCCCTCGCCGCTGTTTTCCCCCCGCCTCGAGTGTTCGTCAGGAATAAAAAGTATCCAAAGTGGAAAGAGAAAAAGCGAAGAATGAGAATAGACGCCCATTTCCACTACTGAATTCAGAAAACTGCTTGAAAAGCATATACAGATGAGAAAATCAGTTTTAATATGCCGCATAATTGATAAATCCACAACTGTTTTGTGCAGAAGCCGCCTAACGCTGTCTTGAAGCCATAAACACGTGTTCCGGTTGGAAAAAAAGATAGTTGCCTTGTTCTTTGCAGCTGACGACAGAAACGGTCACGTTACGACGAATTTTTCTAAAGAAAGCTCTGCGTTTAAAATTCGCGAACAAAATAGATAGAAGGAAATCAACAACAAATTTCCATACACTAATTTATGCGTCTTTCACGTCCCGAAAAGAATTTTAAACAAATTTCACTCAAAAACTTACTAAAGAATAAGATGCTACATAACTTCTTCCGCCGCAACCATTTTTTATTTGTAACTATGTAACGCGCCTTTACAATGTTAGCCTATAAAAGTAGCCCCAAAATAAAAAAAAGCTTCCGTCGCTAAAAAATCCTAAATCTTCTTCTCATAATTATGACTTCTTTCAGATATGTGACCAAAAACGTCATGACAACGTCGAATGCAATTTGTTTGCTGTGAAATTCCATTGATGAAATCAGAGAGAAGTACAATTCTTGGTTCCCCCTAAAACTGTAGCTACGTTATTAGAGTTGATTCCATTGCAACAGTGACTTAATTTTGTTGGATGGTTCTTCTGTGCAATATTGAACTTCTATAGCAGTGAAAAGTATTAGCCATCTGTGCATTTGTTGAAGTAGTTCCACTTACTGTTCCACCCTCTCGTGCTATACTTAAAAAATATCCAAACAGAAAACTTACAACTTTTAAACTTAGGGTCACGTATCTACACATCGTTAAGAATAAACAAAGTTAATGTAAAAACAAAAAAATCTCAATATCGAGAACAAATTTTTATTCAGCGTTTACAAAATAAAGCACAAAACCGGAACAAAATGATAAATTTAAAAAAAACAACATTCCCTACCGCCAAGAATCCAAAAAACCTTATTGACAACATGAAAAAACCATTTTTTTAGGTAACAATTTACAAAAATCACATAAGTTCACATAACAAATTACCTCATAGAAAAACTTCAGAGATCAAAAGAAAGCAGACTATCCTCTCACAAAATACAACAGCAAATGGCGCGCTTTTCATTACCCGTAACATTAATGTTGACTTACATAATCGTATTCCATTCGAGTGTTCAATCAGAGTAAAAATGAGAATGTCTTCGTCGAGTAAAAACTGTGGTTTCTATCCTTTTCTTGTTACGGTGATGTTAGAAACATTAAAAATCTAAAATAAGACGGTTAACATCGGAAATAAAAAATAACACTTACATCAATTGAAAAAATGGTTGTAAGTCCGTTTGTGAGCGAAATCTTAGTTAGAATCGAATAAAAATTTTTATAGATAGTATGATATGAAGAGTAACAAGAACAAGAATAGAAAAAGATTGCCAATAACCAAAAAATATTTTATAATTTTACAAAATCAACATAATTTTGGTCGTTTGGTCCTGAAACGAAACCATTTGTGGTTCGAAAAAAAAATTTTAGATTATTCGTATAAAATGTCTTTTACAAGTGCTAAAATGCGGGCGCGACTTGCAAATTTAATAATTTTAGAAATAATTTTTATAGATTCTTTTTGACAAAATCTCGTCTGATTGCAGAATCTTATATTGATATCACTCATAATGTGGTTATATTTATCACTAGGGGTCATTTTGCAATGTATTGGATTATCTTTATGTTCAACTTGTTCGAGATACGGCTTCGATGTTGTGTTGAAGAAGCTATGCCCAGCATTCACGGATCCAGCTTGTTATTATGCGTTTGAGAAGTGGGGAAAGCCGAATTCTGTACAGTTTCAGTGTAATTCAGGTAAAGTTCTTTTTTATTATTGGTTTTTTGTTTTAGGCGTTTGGATTTGGAATCTTAGAAAGACAATTTGTATATTTTGTTTTTGAGGTCTTTGATTTTAACAAAAGACATTTTAGTAGATGCACTCAATTCAACAACGTTTGAATTAGTAGATTCTACGAAACTACGGCAGATTCTATCGAAAACAGATGATTATGGACGATATAGATGTAGTGTGGTGTTGTTTTACTCTGCCAAATGTATTTACAGCCAAAAACTGATTCTAAGCTACAGTTATTTGACCCTACTGTTTCCTAAGATGGGCTTCTATTTGATAAATTTGGATTCTAAGGACACGGACTATGTGATAAATAAATATGGAATAACAGCGACACCTACGATGTTGTTGTATGCGAATGGAAGCACGTAGTAAGTCTGTAGTAATTGTAAAGTTTAGGTTAGGATTTGATGATTAGTAAACAGTTATTTTAACCTAACAACATTTATTAACTGTCAATGTTATTAATAATTCCAGCGCAAGGATTTACGACGGTCAGAAAAAGTTGAAGAAGCTGGTTAGAAGCATAGTTGATGTTACGGACTTAGAAGTTGTGAACAATGTCACTTTACACGAATACGAAGACTTCGAAGCACAGTTGAAAGATATAGAGGAATATAAGACGCATTATGAAGGTGTAGAAGGCCTTACTTTCGAAGACACCAAGACATATCTTGATCGGTATGTTTTGAGACTTCTTTTTTCGAAAACATTACAATACTTTTTACCTATTTTAAGCTATTTTACTTGTTATCATTATTTTTCATGGTTATGTCATTATATCGTTATATTTTATGTTTCAGAGGGTTTGCACTGGCGTTGGTTGTCCTGATGATTAACATGATCTACTTTACTCATCGACTTGGTTACATATCGATACTGTAAAGTCGATTGTATCATATATTGTAAAAATGACATTTCGTGATACTTTCATTAGTTCTTCTTTAGTGAGGTGTATAGTTTACGTGTTTCTACTACCGGTTTTGCTTTAATACGGGTCTTTCTGAACATTATCTTTTAGTTTTGAAATTTGATAAATAAAAGGTTAAAACGACGTGGAGCGATTTTTTAATGAATAACGTTGTCAGTGTCTTAACTTCACTATTTATTTGCACACCCTTTTTTTATTTTAAAACTGGTCACAAATGGTATATAATTAAGAAATTTCATTTCAATATTTATAAAATAACATTTAAAAGCGATAAAACTCGTTTACTGTATTATGGCAGTTTAACATGTAAAAGATCGTTTTCAGTAGTACAGACTCTCTGCGCACAGTTTTCGAAGAGAAGCCTTGAAGTATAATGGTTGGAATGGAGATCCAGCGCCTTCGTAGAACTTGCTCTGGAACTCGACCCTAAAATGTGAGTGATTAATTATTACATGTACGGCTAAATATAATATACATTTTGCCCAAGCACGTACATATCCAATAACCTTGTTATAACAAAAATAAGTAAAATATAAGAAAGAACGTACCAATGTAACCTGAGAGCGTGTAAGAACGCACTTAGTCCTTCCATGAGTACCAGAACGGCGACTGTCAACAAGAAGAAGATGAACCACATAACGGCCAATACCGCAGCTCCGAGAACACCGTGGTCTACTGACAGACCTTTGTGTAGCACGAATTCCCATAAAACTTCAGAGAGCTCTAAAACAACATCAGTATATAAATGAATTTTACTGCTAAGTTTTTGCAATAGCCAGGGTCCGGCGGAAGGTCAGGCTTTAGACAGAGGATATAACCAACAAAAGTTGTAATAATATAAAATAGTATGTTTTTTCAAGGAAAACTAATATTTTTAAAACTTACGCGCATGAGCCAAAGACAGGGCCCACAACCTCAGGTACGACGCTGTGTGTGATATACAACCAAGTACGAACTCTATTGTATGAATCGACTGGTGTACCATAACGTCGCCAAATTCCTAAAAACGTAACACCATTTTAAGTAACGGCCAAATTTAAAGCATTGAAATATTTAACTATTTATGAGGCAAAACATTATAATGCATTTACTTTATTCTACATATATATTTAGTTTATATACTATACTCACTTTTTGTTCGTGCTCCGATCGTGCTGACATACTCTCGGACTTGTGTCTGATTTTAGGTGTTTCTGGCAGTTCACTTATCAGTTCGGCTTCCTCGCCCGCTCCCATTTTGATGCGTACACTCTGAAAGTACGTGTTATATGAAACCGTTGTACAATAAAATTTGAAGTAGGGGTTCATTTTTTTAATATCCTCCTAGCATACCACATTTGTTGGTCTCCTTGTTTCTACACGTCGCTTCTGATTCTTCTTGCGTGACAACAGCCAGAACAGGGGTTTTCCAAACAACATTATCGGTATCATCAACAAGGCCACAATCACTAATGTGTGTTCTAATTCCTTCTAAAAAAAGCAAAAATGTAATTAAAATATATTACATCTAAACTTTAAAACAATATTTTTACTACAATTTATACATTAAAACCAAAAATAAACATCTACTTGCCTGATTAGGGTACCAATAGGACAAATGGCAGTTCTTGATTTCATTTCCTTCTGAATCCGTGAAACCAACAGCCCTTTGTTTGAACATGAACATATTGATCAAGCCAACTAGTAGCGATGGTGCACAATGAGAGCCTGGGTAATATAAACTGAATACTCTAGCCGGCTCCACCCAGAAGAATATCCATTTGGCGAAGATCTGACCGCACAAGTAAATGAAGATAGAGCTGAGGAAGATTAGTTGAGGTATGCATTGAGTGAAGATGTCCACTTTCGATTTGAAAAACCTGAAATTTATAATTTGCATAAAAATTAGCATAGTAGAAGTTTCTAAATGTAAGTTACCTTAACTATACTGATAAGAATGCTATATTATGTTAGCTTCAAATCACTTACGCTGCATTCATAAAGGATAGTATAACACCAAACGTCATTTGTGTGATCCCGATGACAACCGAAGCCTTCATCTTCATAGAATTCAGAAAGTTTAGTCGATTATTTGCCAGAATCCATACAGGATCAACACCAATCGGGTATGGACCGTACTAGAAAATCATTTTACAGTACCAAACTAAACGTTTATAGCAAAAAACTGAATTTGTACTCCAATTTACATCAAGTGTAATATTATTCAAAAAGTACATTACATATATATTAATGTGAAGATACTGTAATAATAAAAAAGTACTTTAAAATTGAATTCATACCACTTTTTTGAACGCGTCCTTTGGATCAACTTCGATTTTGTTTGCCAATTCAAGTTTTGTCATGTTCCCAATAACATACTGGTCGTATCCTGGTGGTTCCCATCGTGATCCGAAGATATTAACTGATTTGGCAAACACATCATTGTATATTATACCAGCATACATGGAGAAGACACCCATTAATATTATTATGAATCGACCGTCGTAAAATGTGTTGAAGATCTGGAAAAATCAGTTTGAAGTGACACAACATATAAACATAGCTAATAGTGCTGTAAAGTGTCTGTAAATGCGTCTTATTGTGTAGTATTACATATTACAGGACAATTTCTATAATTAAAATAAGCTTGAAACTACCTAACGTTATTAGGCCTAGTATTCACCCTACCTCATCCTTAATCTTGGCGGCGTTAATTCGTTTCTCAAAGTAGATAAAGGTCAGTCCAGCCAATGCCATTATCAGTCCATGGCCAAAGTCTCCGAACATGATGCCGAACAAGAAGGGGAAGGTGATTATCGTGAATGGAGCCGGATTCACTTCTCGGTACGATGCCACACCGTACGAGTCCACAATGTTCTGGAACACTCTGGTGAACTTGTTGGTCCTGTTAAACGTGGGCGGAGTCTCGGAATTCTCTACTACGTTGATTATGGGTCTTATCGATGAGCCAGCTTTGTCCTAGAATGTGAGCTTATATATATATAAGTTATTTGAAATGACATATATAAACTATTTAAAATGACCATATGAATATAAAACATCTTGGAACCATAACATACCACGCCTCGTTGTAATGTTTGAAAGACGGCGTCTAGTTCCCTTTCTGGCAGCCAACATTCAGCAACAAAAAAGTTGCCACTTGTGTCAAACGTGAACAGGTTCAAGGCATGGTACACACACTTCTGTAGATGTACAGTCCTTGCCCATTCTGGAAGTTGTGAAGCTGCTGTACTCAGAAGCTAAAACACTATGTCTTTAAATTACTTCCTAAAATATTGTAAGAACAGAACGGTTTAAACGCTATTCAAACATAAAATTAATTATTAAATTTTAGGTAACAAATATGTGATAGTATTAGATCACAGATCTGTTGCTTAAAAGCTTTAAAGTCAAGAAACTTACAATGAATTTCTGTTTTTCCGTTTCTTCAATTACAACTCGTAGGTCGTGTAGCCTTAATGTGACATCAGCTTCGACCAGTCGACGTTCTTTCGAGCTTTTTGGACATGAATATAGTTTGGCATTGAAGCCGTCACATACTCGATTCACAATGTCTTGCAGTTTCTGACCGTTGAAGAAGATGATGAATACTGATTTGGCATATAATTTGCCCTGAAATGTAAATAAATCTATCCTTATATTATCAATGTTGGTTATGGGCCAACGCCAAATAATTTTTGGTAAAAAGCTGATGCGTGTCAAGTCTTCCCCTATCATGTGGCAGAAATACAAATGCTATTACAGTATGCTGAGAAACCACCTTTTGGATACTTTTAGTTCTTTTCTGAAAACTTACTGTATGTGGATCTTCGAACATGTCATCGATTTCGGCTGTACGTACGAAAGCTGTTCGTCTACAAGCTCTCCACAGTACTCTTTCAAAAGAATGGCGTTTCTGGGCTTCTAGGATACCAGCAATGAACCACGGTGTTTCATGGTTTCGCTCCAGAAGCGGTGTCAACGGAGTACCCTGAAATCTCGAGAAGTTAACTCAAGGCTTACAATTATGGTGAAAAATGCTTATTACGATAGATTGTCGCAATCTTGCCTTACCAAGTCATTGACTTTGTCATCCAACCCCTCTGCATCCAGCTCCGTCTTGGCCATGTCTTCCAGATGCACGTTGAAGAAGGACTCCACCTTCTGCAGAACACACTGGAATTCCCTCATGTCGTTGTAATTCTGTTTGATTTGCTCTTCGTTGGCCAAAAACTGCCGCAGGTCTCGTTCCAGTTCGTATAATTTCGTCTCCAGATCGTATATCTCACGTTGTTGTATGACCTCTGTGTTCGTACTGTCCAACGGAGGAATATGTTTGTCTGCTCCAGCATCGTTTATCTCTTCTTCTATGTAGCCTAAAGTTTAGAAAATAGAGTTTAAGGCTTTTTGCAATTTGTAAAATACGGTTGAAAATAATTCGTATCCTATACACAGTTTAGAAAACAAAAAGTCAGAGGTACTTACGTATGCACCGCTCCAACTCTGTACATCTTCGAACTTCCCTTACGAAAGTTCTTTGGAACAGTCCCAGATGTTGATTTAGCTAAAGCGTAGGTATTACATTTAATTTTGTGATAAAAAGTTATTTTTAAAAACCGGACCGACTATAAAGTGTCAATTCTATATACAATAATTCGTTTTTAAGACCACATTATTGTTATATTATCTAAGCCAGCGTAAAAACAACGATACTACTTACATCTTTAAACTGCACCACGCCTTGCCGTCCCAGTTCAACGACACAATGAAAGGCGGCATCTTTCTGTACGATCATCTGACACAGTTTCAGAGATTCGCTTCGAAACGACATTATTGTTTACAGTAACCTTTTTAACAGGTCTTGTAACCGTTATGACGCAATGTTATCTGAAATGACAAGGTTAAAAGACTGACAGTAAGCGTGAAATGTTTACATTAAACAGTAACATCTATACAGTAATCAATGACGGTAATATGATACATGTGTTGTAAACTATGATAAATTTACAGTAACTCATGATAAAATCACAGTAACTTATATTATATGTTACACATTATATGCCTACGATAACCTAAGGTAAAAATGGCAAAAATAATATGGAAACACGTACCGTAATTTGCAAATGTCAACTGAAACTCTCGGTCCAAGGACTAATGATCATGTAGAAGGTGGAGAGAGGTTGACTTGTTTTGACGGTCAAGATTACTCAGCAAAGATTTCTTAAAATACCGCTGAGTTTAATCAACCGGTTGATATAAAGTGTACAAAATAAATGGGCTCTACTCGATTACAACATAACATGGAAAAGCTTGAGAATTTAAATATCTTTTAATAAAAAAATATTTTTAAAAATTTAATTTTTAAAAGTTATAAAATTGAATTTAAAAAAAATTAAATTAAAATTATTTTTGCGTTCTGGTCAAAAAGTAAAAAAAACATAAAAATTAAAAGATTACTTTACAAAATTAAATGAAGCTACTAAAAATGTTGCTTCCGGCACAAATTACAGTATTCGCAATCCAGCTTTATATGAAAATCTACGGCACTAGTACCAGAAATACAAGTTTCAGTTTCTCAAAATTTTATTGAATAGCCGTGAGTTTACGGCGCAGTAAATAAACAAAGTAGCCGTCAGAATTCCATTGATTACGTTAAAATCCTTACTAATTTTAGGTCACGTATACCACAAATTAACAAATAAAATAACGAAGTAACTTCTTTAAAAAACCAAGCAAATGACATTACCTTATATAAAAATTGATAAAAATGAAAAACATTTCTTTTAAAAGCTTTTTCTTGTTGGTTCTACAGACTTTTTGACCTCTCTTTTAAAACAATAGACCACTGGTATATTGAAGACAAGAATTTAAATCAGTCAGTAACTTTAAAACACTTTTATCCCCAACATACAACAATGTAACACCTACATCTACTTTCGAAAGGATTGAAACGTTATCGATGAATTCGGTTACCCGCTCTCGACGGAAACAGCCTCTTTCGATCAGTTTTTATAAACTTTTTGTTTTATTTTGATCAAAGAATTTCTTTGCGTAAATAAGATTTTAAAAGTCATTTGTCAATTAATTAGCTACTACAATATAACCGAATAAGTAAAATAGAAGCGAGTTACCACTCATTACAGAGTAACTTGGCTGTACAGAAGGCACAGAAAACTATGTAAGCTCATTAAGTGATCAACAGATATTAAGTAATCATAAAGACTGCATTTGAAATTTTAAAGCAATAGGTTTTGACTAAAATTTTAAATTAAAAATGAGCTTATAACGCAAAGTTTTAAATTTACAATCAGAAAGAGCTCAATGACCGGGGCAAAATGGCCAAACAAAGAATTCCGATCGAATATTCGAAATGGCCACAGAAAGAAACATCCTTCACATTATAAAAAGTGCATCTTCCGAATTTTGCTTAACAGTCATGATTCTTTAGTCATTTCGGAAGATAATTAATATTCTGTTTTGTACGGAGTCTGTGGTTTTTAAATGGTTTTTTAGGTGTTTCATGTGCTAAATATCACAACTTTTTTGTCACTTTTTATGTCAAAATAATATATAACAGTTTGCACTACAAGAAAGTGTAATAGTACATTTTTTAGACTATGCGTCCACTCGCACAGTGTCCGCCCCAGCAGTGGGCATACTCCGGTCGAAGAGTTATCTGGGCTAGAGAGGTACCAATTTGTAATCATTCTGGTACCTTAGAGCGAAGACGTGGTTGTTGAATGCAATTAGCATTGTACTAATAAATTTTTTGACGTTGAACACTACTTGAGTGATGTACGGCGGTTTTTCCCGTAAGTTTTATGTATGGGCCGTTCCCGGAAGTAGGTGCAAGACCGGGCCGACCCTTGCCGGGCGGAAGGCAAGCCTTCGCAACTCAGCTGGTCCCAAAAATCTGTTAATCTCGAATGACTTCAATAGAAGTCGTACCGGAGATTAAACCGATAAGAACAGATACTACACTTTGATCTTAGCCAAAAGGCCGAGAAGCGATGAAGAGTTGTCTTTGCTCCGCGGTATAGCTCTTTTCGGGGTTTCCTTTTGAGTGGGAAAAACGGTGCGACAGAGAAACAAAGAAAAAACTTTGAAACTGGTGTCTTTCTCACTTTGAAATGACCACAAAATATTATAGTTAGATTCTGTTAACAATAAAAAAACTTTTTTATTATTTTAGGTAATATTGTCTATTTTGTTTTGGGCTAGAAACATTTATTTTCGTGTTTTGTTGTCTCTCTTTACTTACAACACTCTCTCGCAGAAAGAGCTCACGTAAAAAGCTTGTTTTTTTTCCGTTTTGTTGGAATAGCCCTACAACAATATATTTTACAAAATAGAAGACAATGTGGGCCAGGTTATTAAAATGACAGTTCAGTTATTGTAAACGAGTCGAAAAAGTCGTAAATCTGTGAAAGACAAAAGAAAAAAAATCAAAATTTTGTGAAAACTGAGTTCGGGTCACGGCAACAGGCTCTGACTGTAAACAATGATATCGATAAGGGTTCCCAATACCATGTATATAAGGATGAACGGTCGGTGGAAATACCATCATCAAGTGTCGTTTGTGTTCAGCAAACTACAGGTAAGTTGTCGGCTTACTGTCGATAGCGTAATTAGAAAATATTCTTCTTTACTGTGTTGTTGTATGTACATATTTTTACCTTATGCGGCAAAATAATATACGGTAACTTTTAGGATGTCCGGTAAAGCTGCCGTAACCTTTGCGGCCTCGGCTTCGGCCGTAGCGATTGTCGTATCCTTGGTCACTTGTGGAGTCCTTCTTCAAGACATCAACTCCCTCTACTACGAGATCATGGAAGACATCACTGAGTTCCGTGCCGTCAGCAACGATGCATGGGCCAACATTGTCACCTACCAACGTGCCGTCCGTCCCCAACCATCGTTCGCTCAACTGATCGGCCGTAACAAACGTCAAGCCGAGTGCCAATGCGGGGCTCAGGCCAGCAACTGCCCAGCTGGACCACCAGGGCCACCTGGAACTCCAGGTGTTCCCGGAGACGATGGTACTCCAGGAGAAGCTGGTAAGGCTGGAATCGGAGGAATCGAGCAATCGGACTACGGACAAGACAAATCTTGCATCACCTGCCCAGCTGGCGCACCAGGACCAGCAGGACCTGACGGCCCAGCCGGACCACCAGGCCCAGATGGACAACCTGGAGAAGCTGGACAAAAGGGACAAGACGGTACTCCAGGACAAGCCGGCCCAGCCGGAGATGCCGGAGGTGATGGTACCCCAGGAAACCCAGGAACAGCTGGACCACCAGGAGAAAATGGACAGAGATCGACTCCTCTTCCAGGCCCACCAGGACCAGCCGGACCTCCAGGTCCAGCCGGACCAGCTGGAGATGCCGGAGCTGCTCCACCAGCCGGTGAACCAGGACCACCAGGTCCAGCTGGACCACCAGGTGCTCCAGGAAACGAGGGACCAGCCGGAAACCCAGGAACCGATGGACAAACTGGTGCTCCAGGAGGTGATGCAGCCTACTGCCCATGCCCACCTCGCTCAAGCAACCTCAACGGAGACGCGGCCGCCACTGGATACGGTGAAAGCGCTGCCCCAGCTCCTCCCCCTCCAGCTCCAGCTGCTGCTGAATACAGTGAGGCTGCTCCCGCTCCAGCCCCTGCTCCAGAACCTGCTCCAGCCCCAGCTGCTAGTGGCTATGGTGATCAAGCTGCTGCTGCTGCTCCAGCCAAACAAGGCTACCGTCGCAGAAAGTACAGAACCCAGGGTTAAACTAAGGTTTATTTGAATAAATTATGCATGTAACACAATATCAGAGCTTTTGAATTTAAAAATTTGTTCAAAATTGTAGAAAAGGTTACTGTAAGATTACTGTAACTTTTTTATAATTGTTTACGAGAAAATTTAAAAAGACTTTTTTATGTGATTTACAACTCTTGATGTTATCATTGAGCTTTAAAAGAACTCGAAAAACTAAAAAATCAGAAAAAAAGAAATCAAAAAATGCTTTTTTTCCTCTGAAAAAAGACCGCGAGGTTATTGTTTTTGGTTTGTTTTGCTAATTATTACCTAATATTCAATAAAAAGTAAGTTTTTTACGATTATACGTATTAATGTCAAATCAAGAGGTATATAATTTTAAATAGCTTCAGCATACCATAGATAGAGACGTTTTAGAGACGGAAAACGTCTTGTTTTTATGGTATAACACCCCTTATTTAAAACTGAAAACGTTTGATTGTGAGTTCAGAGGTCATTTTTATTGTAAAGTGTTTAAAAGACTGTGGCAGTCAATGTTATATTTTTAAAATTTTATGTTTTATTGTCAAATATTTTATGCAAAACATTATTTTAGGTAATGAGTTTCTCTAGACTTCCGACTTTTGCCAGTCCACTGAATTACTCTTTAAGCCTGAAACCAAGCCTAGAGACATTTAACTGCGAGGGTACTGTAACCATTTCTGTTCGGGTTTCAAAAGCTACAAGCTATTTGCAATTACATTTGGAGGAGTTGGATGTAAAGGATGTTCAAGTAACGCTGGAGAATGGTGACAGTAAGTTTTGTGTTTTGAGTGTATGATTTGTGTCAAAACGTTTCTTACTTGGTATTTCAGTAAATTTTTAACTCGTAGCTTTGAACGTTTTCTGACCGAGGATTACTGTAAAATTGATGTTGTTTTAGGGGTTAACGGTCTGAAACTAAGATACGACGACAAATGGAATTGGGTATTTGTTGACTTTCCAACTGAAATTTCTCCACAGGTCGTGAAGCTGACATTTATCTACAGTTTTAAACACCTTGACAGACTCAACGGGTTCTACAGGTCGAGTTACAAAGATATAGATGGTAATAACAAGTACTTGCTGACTACCTTTCTTTGTGTAAGTATTTTTAAATTTGACATTATACTTTCAGTTTTATGTGACTATGTCGGATAGGAACCCTATTATATTTTATTTAGATACTAAACATTAGTTTACTACGGTAATGACTTATGATATTTTAGCCGACATACGCCCGCAGGGTCCTTCCTTGCTGGGATGAACCCATTTACAAGGCCAGTTTTGAAGTCACCCTTGAAGTAAAAAAAGGGCTTACATCGTTGTCGAATATGCCAGTAATTCAAGTTGAAGGTACAGATATTACTACAATATACACTTATGCCCCTTCACCAGTAATGTCAACGTATCTTCTTGCTTTTGCTGTCGGGGAATTCGAATATATAGAAGTAAGTTGTTTTATATTTTTAATTTTTTGTTACTTATGGACAATTTTTTATTTTAATTGTATCATATTATTGTTTATGTTCTAATAGGTGTAATTTTAGAAAAAGACAACTTCAGGTATACCAATAAGAGTATACACAGTGATGGGGAAGAAAGAACAAGGGTCTTTTGCTCTGGAATTGGCTGTAAAAGCTTTGGAATGGTACAATGAATGGTTTGACATCAAGTATGTGTTACCTAAAGTCGACTTGATAGCCATACCTGACTTTTCGATGAATGCCATGGAGAACTGGGGTCTGGTCAGCTACAGAGAAGTGGCATTGTTAATTGACCCCAAAAGCTCTTCAATCAGTCAAAAATCTCGTGTGGCACTAGTTGTAGCTCATGAGTTAGCACACTTCTGGTTTGGGGACTTGGTAACTATGGTAAGGAATGAACATAAGAATACTGTACTTTTTGTTTAAATCAAAGCCTATTTTGATGAAAACAAATGAACAAGTTAAGTACTGCAGTAGTATACTGTATTTTAGGATTGGTGGACCGATTTGTGGCTGAACGAAGGCTTTGCCACTTTCATGGAGTATGTGTTTGTTGACCATCAGAACCCCGAATTTCAAGTTTGGCTTCACTTCTTGAGCTACGAACTGGAACGTGGCTTCTGTTTAGATCATCTACATTCCACGCATTCGATTGAGATCGAAATCACAAATCCAAACGAATTGGACGAGATTTACGATGCCATTACCTACTCCAAAGGATGTTGTGTCAACCGAATGTTGTACGATTACCTCGGCAAGGACGTGTATCGTGCTGGACTGGTCAAGTACTTGAAGAAGTTTCAATTTAAAAACACTGTGACTGCTGATCTGTGGGAAGCTTTAGGAGAATCTTCGAATCAAGATGTGAAGACGATGATGTCAAAATGGACTCAGCAGGCTGGCTTCCCGTTAATTCAAGTGTCAGAAGAACACTATGGAGACAAGAGGACGATCACGGTGAAACAGCAAAGATTCTTGGCCGATGGTACAACCGATAACACGATCTGGCACGTTCCCATTAATGTCATTACATCTTCAAACAAAGAGTTTAAGTTTCTGTTGACAAAACAACAAGATACGTTTGAGATGGACAACATAAAGGCAGATGAATATATCAAGGTTAATTCGAATTGCAGTGGGTTCTACAGAGTGATGTATTCAGAAGATGCAACGACAAAGCTTATCACTCATTTTGATAACTTATCAACAGCTGACAGATTCGGAATCGCCAGCGATTTGTTTGTTCTGGCCAATGCGGGAAAAGTTACAGTAGCACCGTTCTTGGATCTTCTGAAGACCAAAAAGACGGATTACGTTGTGTTAGCTATCTTGGACAGAGGAATCTCTGCTTTGAACAATGTAATCGGACATGTTGGGGATGAAGATCTGCATAATAAGTTCAAAAAGTTCGTACTCAAGAGTTTCAAATGGATAGCTGATGAACTGGGGTGGGACAAGAAGGAAGGTGAATGTAAGTTGATTCTGTAAAATAAATCTTATTTATACACGTAATGTACTATTGTTAGCACAATATGGACTCATATGGTTTATTAATATATTTTTATGAAAAGCAATTTTTATTGTTTAATACGTCTAATGTAAATGAACTGTGTTAACTACATATATAAATTTACAGTTGCTCTACTGTCCACATTACGTTCCCTGATATTTACTCGCCTGGCTGCTTGTGGTGATAAGAACACAATCAATAAAGCTTTGGCTTTGTTTGATGATTATATTACAAACGGAACGCCATTGAACCCTGATTTACGTTTTTTCATTTTCGCGACAACTGTAAAGCACCGTGCAGATGGAGTTGAACAAGTCATGAAGATCCTGGAGAAAAGAGAATTTCCTGAAGTTGTCAGAGACGCCATCATTGCTGTTGGCCAAACAAATGAGGCCCAAAAGCTGGAAATGGTATACAACTCGGCTGTTATCAACGGCAACGTCAAGAATCAGGTACGGTAACTTTTTTAATTTTGCGAAGTTGTAGATCACATTTCTGACTATATTACAATGAGAAAGTCTAATTAGAGCTTTAATATATTGGTTGTAACATTAAAATAATCCTACTTTATTTCATTATAAGTTTTTTATGTAGGATATTGTTTTAGGACCTGGCTTATATGTTCTCCGGCACTATCAACACTAAAACTGGTCAAGAATTCTATTGGAACTTCTTCAAAAAGAATCTGAAGCTGATCGTGAACAAGTTCGGGTCAGTTAATTCCAATTTGTTCATACATACATTAAAATCGACCGGTCTTTTACAAAGTTCATCTGAATTTATCACGGAGTTTGAGGTAAGTCTTTGGTTAATATTACTGTTGCTCTATATATTACCATAATCAAAAGTATTCCTTTTTTTATGTTTTGCTTTATAGACATTCTGTAATGCCAATTTCGACCACGACCAGTTGAAGATTCTTGACCGTACCGTTAAACAAACCATCGAGTATGTCAAGATCAACAATCAGCTACGGCAGTGCATTCCTGACGTTAAGAAGTACTTAAATTAATTTATTAGCCAAAACTAACCTTTTTTTTTAATTATTTTAGTATTTACTTATAGAAGTATTTTAGAATTAACGCTTACTATGCCAGATAACATATAATGTTGTGGTTTAAAAACAGTTTATTAAAAAGTACTTTATTACATACAATTACCTTGAATAAGTCTTATTATAAGTTGAAGATTTCGTTAAAGTAATAGCCAAATTTACCGAGAAAAGTTCCCTGAACTTAATACGGGATTCAAAACGAGGTATTGAAATGATAATAGACGGAGTTTGTTATATACAGCAAGACACCTCTTGGGATTCATGTACAATGAAAGACAATGTGATTAAAAATGATTATTGCTTTACTCTCAAAATGTATTATATACTAGTCTATGAACATAGCAATGTCCTAAAATCTAAAAATTTAAAAACAGTGTTACATTTTAAAACAGTAATACTGTATCAATTTTGGCATCATACTACCTCAAAAAGATTGTTTGAATGGCGCTTACCAATTAATAAAACCAAGAGATATTGTATTCTAACCTATACTACCAATACTGATCAATACTTTCATATCAAAGGGAAAGACAATATAAAACACGTACTAAAGGTATCCTTTTGTACAGCAATCACTGATAAGACATCTACATATGCTACACTGAATTCATTCCGAACTCATTGACTCTGCGGATTCTGAATCCGGAGAGTCGTGGTAGACACTGCTTTCATCAGAGTTGGGCTCTTCCGTAGATGATGTACCTTCGACCGTCTCCCAATATGAATCTGAAGCTGGTCCTGGCACCGCAGCCAGGTAAAACAGATGGATTGATACATTCTCAAGTTCACCAGTTACTTGGCCAACAACTTCCTTCTAAAAATGAATTTATTATACTGAAGGAAATGGTCTACCTCATCCAAAGCCAATACACACATCTTTCTCCCACTGTCCAGCAGCACTTCGCCTCTGTTGCTCAATATAACCATTCTGAAAAAGCAAATTACATAAATTATATAGAAATGCTTAACAAATCCTACAACTCTTTTGAGTATACACTTCATCCACATATTTTACAACATACGTTCTAAAATAAATAACAGTATTTCCTTAATTACATGACATAAACAGTTTAATAAGACAATTGTACTTTACCTGTAATGTATCCTGCACTTTGGTCTGACTGACAACTGAAACAGTCCGTGATCTCGCGAGAAGTTTCGTATCAAATAAATAGTCTTGAACTGACACCTGACCACCAAATCTAATCCGAAGTCGTAGCCAGCCCATCTCCAACACTTCTGTAAATGATTCGATTTAAAACTCTGCATAATTTACAATTCTGACTAACGTATAACGTTTTGTAAAAGTCAAAGCTTCACCAAATCACTCACATTTCCTTCGTCCAAATGTCTCCCCAACCTGCGACAATGTGAGTAGAAGAAGTCGTCTTTTACTTCGGCAGGACTAAAACAGCAACATTAATACTAATGACTTTGTAAATAAACAAAACTTACAGTTCATTCTTGTCCTCATTAACCAATAAAGTATTCCATAGGTCCTTCATCATGCAGTCTAACATATCCGTCCCTAGTAAATGATCATGTTTCAGCTTTTCCATCGTTCTCTTTGACGTAATCATGTGTTGGAATCTGATGTTCCTCAGAAGTAAATGATACTTGTAAAAGTGACCAGAGGGCAGAGAGTTGAAGTACTTGCACATCTCTGAGTCCGTACATTCCAACTGCTTCGTGCCTCTGATATAAAACCACTAAAACAAAAAAAGTTGATGAAAAACCAAAAAAATGTGAAAGTTAAAAAGTAAAGATATGTACCTAAAAAAGAAGATCAATCAACCTCTTTTATATTTTTTCAATATATTAACCTTGAAAATAATAAAATCATAAACTTACCCTTCTGATGGCATGATACAAATCTTTCTCTCCTTCACATATACATAGGTCTCTACGACAACATATTTCCAGCAAATGATCGTATGTTAGTTTCTCCAAAAATGTCGTTTTCTGACTAAACTTCCAAAACAACCTCTCCAATAATAACATTGATGCTTCTCTTGTTTTAGTACAACCGTACGCTTCTGATAACTCCAAGAAATTCAAAATATTGTCTTCAGATAAGCTTTCAGCCATGATATCGTCGCACCGATCAATCACTACTACCTAAACAATAAAAAGTATACCTATAATTTCAGTGAACGACTAATGACTGCCATGAGTAGTATTATGTAAAAAATAACAGTTCAAAACATACCAAATTTAACATAGAAGCTGCTGCTAAAACTCCAGACACATTCTCAACATCTATTTCAATTTCATTCTTGTACAATGAAGCGAAGACATTCTCCAATCCTGTAATTATCAGTCAAATAACTCAAGAAAATAAAGAAAAGTCAAAAAGGTAAAATATAAACTTAACGTTATAATAAGATATTCTTACCTTTCACATTGACCCTCGAATCAACCACTTCCAGCTCGTATATGTTCTTTTCCGGCGTTCCCCATCGCTCACTGAACAAAACAGAAAAGTAATCACATTGTTCTAGATATATCTTGTGAAGACGCCACGTTTTATCTAAAGCTTTGATAACTACATCTGACTTGAGACCTTCCACAAACAACTTCTGATGAAGATACGTAGGAGTGTCTAGTTTAGCCTTCTTAATCATTGGTTCTGGAGTCGGGGCTTCTGATGTTGTACGTCGTCTTCTTGAACCACTATTCGAGATAGCAGTAGAATGATTAAAAATAGCTCTTCGTACATTCTAAAAAACTTCGTAAAGGCTATCATGGAATTACAAATCACAAATCTATGATTTAGTAGAATTATCGATAATGTACCATTTCGAACAGTCAATTTAAGCCCATCAACAATATATTAACGTACTTAACGCCTAATCTTATTTTAAAAATACTCATTTTATGTGTTTCTAACCTTCCTAAACACAAAACATCAACAATAATAAACAAACCTGTGCTTTCCCACTTTCTCCTAACGTGGTTCTTGATGTTCTTGAACTATTTGAACTTGTAGATGATTCTCTCGATGAAGCATAATTACTATATGCGTTTCCCATATTACAGCTAATTCGATATGTATTCAAGTTGCACCAAATGTGAAGTCACGAGGTAATTGATTCCTTCTTGTAATTATTAAAGCTAACACAATATTACACTAGATATTTAGAATATGATTTAAATTTCACAAAATAACGAATTGTAATTACTTTTTGACCGCTACACTTTCACGTGTGGACACTCGAAATGGACACTCGATTTGTCAAAATATAATTTATCAATTTTCTTATTTTGTGGAGTTTCGTTCACTATTGGTGCGAAGTGTCACAAACAAGACCGTGTTTTTGTCGAATAACTCTTCAATCCACTTTTTCGGAATTAGCTCCTTTTTCGGATGGAATTTCGATCGACAATGAATCAGAATCTTTTGCGATACGTTGAATTTTAAAACCTTTAGCTTTCTTCCGTCAATTTTTGTGATTATTTTGTTGTTATCCATAAGAATTCTTATTGTGGGAAACGCACGAATAATGAGTCACTTCGGAAGGAATCGGGCGACGACCTCTAAATTCTCATTTTTGAATATTTCGGGTTTTATTTCGTAGCGCCATAGATTTTTCGAGGAGTTTGGGAGGCAATGAGATATTAGATTAGACTGATATGTTGCTCTCATCTTGTTTATGTTACATTCCTTCTTTTGGTATTTTATAAACGGTTTTGATATGTTGGTTTTTTCTTGTGAACTCAATGTTTGTATTTTTACGATTTCTTTTCGAGGATTTATTGTTGTTGTTGGAATGCAGATGATATTGGGTGTAATTTCAGTGTTCTTTTCAGAAAATGGCATCCAGAAAGACCGTATCTCGTCGTACTCGCCCCCAAAGGGCAACATCGAACATCTTTGCCATGTTTGATCAAGCTCAAATTCAGGAATTCAAAGAAGCTTTCAACATGATCGACCAAGATCACGATGGATTCATCAGCAATCAGGATTTGCAGGTAGGAATTGTTCGGCTTCGGATTTTAGGAATAAAAGGTTTTGTAAAGTGTGCTTTTAACGATAAGACAGTGACAGAGCTAAAATATTTTGCTTTAGGACATGTTTGCTTCTTTGGGAAAAGAAGTCAACGAAGATTTTATTGAGAAGATGATTGGTGAAGCTTCTGGATCCATCAACTTTACCATGTTCTTGACCTTGTTCGGAGAAAAACTCACTGGAACGGATCCAGAAGAAGTGATTCGGAATGCTTTTCAATGTTTTGATGAGGACAATAGTGGTATGTTTAATGTAGTACTTAAATTTTCAGTTTTTGATTTTTTTGAAACTAAAATTTAAATAAGTTTAAAGCGTGGGCAAAGTGTATAAATTTACAACCGATATTTTGTAATTTGTTTAGGATAATACAAAAGCTGAAATAATTAAATTAATGCTTAATGTAACCTAGGTTTTTAAGGGACTATATCAGAAGACCGTTTTCGAGAGTTAATGACGACAATGGGAGACCGTTTCACTGATGAACAAGTTGATGAACTCTTCCGTGATGCTCCCATCAAAAATGGTCGCTTCGACTACGTCGAGTTCACCAGAATGCTCAAGCACGGTACTAAAGATAAGGACGAACAAAAGTAAAGTAATTTGTACGAGAATACTGTAGTTTATTACAGTAGTTTGTGCAATTATGATTCGCTTACTGTAAATTTATACCCGGGAAATCTAAGTTAATTTTGTATGGTTACACGCTGCCTTAAACTGATTAAATTTTGTAAATTGAAGTTTATCGTTAAGTTTGAATAGTGAAAATGTTTAAAAATACTTCTTTTTTAGAATTTTTATGTACTTTATTAATTTAAAGATGAAAAATTATAATAGCCTTTAAAATGACGTTTTTTCTAGTTTTACCTTACTGTTGAGGGTTTTTGGAAATGAAAAAGTTGGCAGCGATTGGAGCTCCTGAAATTTGATATTTTTATATGAAATCGTACCTTTTTTTCTAAAAATTTTGGCGGTTAAAAGAGAAATAAAGTAAGGGAATAAAATACTTACCAAGTTGATGTTTTTCGATAAATTGCTTCAAACTGAACTTGGCGCGGGAGTTTGGTTTTGGTACCGAGATACGACGTCCTTGATGTTCGAATAGGACAATCAAGTATCGGTGGTCTCCGGTGCGGGGTTGCGGCGCTGGCGATCCGTATGGTTGTTGGTGTTGACCTATAACATTATTTATTTTATGAATACTATTTTTTAATTTTTTGAAAATTTTTCGAAATTGTGAAAGTCATGGTCAAAAAAAATTTCTCCTAATTAGTCCTGTCGTATGTTTTTATTATACATATATAAATATGAAAAAGGTGACTTTACCTCCGTTGATTCCTTCTTGAATGTTGCTGGCTGGAATGTTGGTGACCAACCAGTGAAGCCATTCAGCTACAGACGGGTTCTTTCTTGATAGGTTGTCGGGGTCTGAAAAGGTATTTATAGAAATAAATTAAAAAATTTTCAACATTGGTTATTAAAATTATGGTCGTCCATCTACCTACCGATCATGACTAACGAAAACGTAGATTCTGGGTCTACGTTCAGAGTGCACCTTGGGGCATTCTTCAAGTTGTGTACTGGGATCTCCTGGCCTGGTTTTACTTGAATACCGGCGAATTGAACCTTTAAAGCATTTACAGTCAACTAATAAAGTTTGCAATTTGTTAAGTTTGCTACTATAGCATGATACTAGGATCCTAGTTAGGATACTGGACAAAACCTATTCTAAACCTACGTTAAGTTGTTGTTGCGGGGGTTGTGGCAACACATTTGGTACCAGTTCAGCTGATTGCAAAGCGGCACCAACGTCTCCCATGATGACTAAACTGATTGTTTTAATAACTAAACGTTATCTAGCTAAATATGCAGAATATGGTAAACTTTAAATTAAGCGAAACATCTGGAGATTCGTCAGATCCAAATAGTATAACAAATGGCAATTCATCACTAAAATTTGAATTGGACATGGGTTTAAAGTGGGATGTTAAAGTTTTTTGTGAATATTAAAGCCTGTTTTACAACTATAATACTGGAAAAGCGGTATAAAAACTAGTTTATATACTAAACTTGATATAACGTAACATTATATTATCATAACCCATTATTTTCATTAACTACAGAAACAACAAATAAATATTTGAAAATGTTTGCCCGGCACTAAAGTGTAACTAAAGAAACCGAAAAGTACTGCGTTGTTGTTTACCCATGGCCTCGAGCTGATCCGTCCTCCCTCTAAGACATTTGTCAAAGCCTTCGGTTCATGTTAGAGAGGTCAGCTGTTTTGGATAAAGAAACTGTCGCCCCCTCAGACTAAATTTAAATCGACCAGACTATGAACTTAAAGCAATTAGACTCTAAATGTCCAATTGGTGTCACTTTTTCGAGGTATTTAAATCAAATTGTCCGAAAACTTTTGGAGTCGTAAGTTTTGACGATTCATGAGTATCAATTTAACTGATATTCTTATAAAATGAATGAAAAAGGGCGAGATTAGGTAATACTTTATCCGTTAAAAAAAATTTAAATATTTTATTACCACCTCGACAAGAGACGACTGATGAGCTCATTTGTATATAATAATTAAATTAAGTAGTACGATAACTGCTGTAAAAAAACAATAGTAAAGAACTTTCTTTACACTGTCTGAGACACAATATTAAAGCAACCCCTAACATAAGATCCCTGCCGCTAATAACTGAAAGGTAAAATGACAAAAAGACAAATATACATCAGTAGAAGTTTACAATCGACTGTAGATATAGTTACGAAGCCAGAATGTTGTTAGTTGACATGAACCTGCACAGTTCGTGATTGTTCGAGTTCTTCCTTGGCAGATTTTGTTGAGCATTGGCTTCGGTTTCAATGGCATCCCACTTCTCCATCGAGATTTGCATTAGAGACCTAGTTACATTGATGGATTCTGCTTCTGTGACTTGAGCTGACGCCCTATGAGCCCCCATTATCGTGGGCCCAACTCGTTTGCTCATTTCGTCTTGACTGATTGCACCGTGCTGAAACAAAGGAAACGTATTATTATCAAAAGTAATATACTTGTCAACAACCACACACACAAAAAGCTAATTATATTTAAATCTGAAAACACTTACAAAGCTTTCCTCCCCCAATCGTTTCCAATGTTTGATCAAACAAACCAAAGTGTCACAATGAGGGTTAGGTAGTCCACCTACAAGCTCCAACAATTTATCTTCATTTCCTTCTGATTCTGCGACAATAAAGTCTGATGCATCAGCGAAAGGAATTAACGGATCCTAAAGCAAAATCGTTACATCGAATAATGAAAAATGTAAAAAAATTACTATCAAACTAACAATTTTATGTAACCACCACTGAAGAACTTACCCTAATTTCAGATAGAAACCGTTTGATGCATCCGGCAATGTCATTCGGTTGAGAATCAGACAATTTAGGTACACATTTGTTCTTTTTAAATAAATTGACTAGTTTTAATGAATTCTCATCATCCCTAAAAAAGAATTTTTAAATTAAAATCAAAAAACAAACCCCACCCAACTTTCAGATCAATGATTAGAAGATGAAATATCCACCGTATACAGAAACATACCCAATTCCCTCATAGAGATCGTTTGAGATCTTGCTTCGTTCCAAAAACACAACACAATGTCCAATAATATGTGGAATCATCGGCCTATTGTCAGGACAGTAATCACCCAACCTTAACCGTCCCTTTCCATATGCAGACTTGGGTGTTTCTTTTCGAGGTAGACAAGGTACAATCATATTGGGAGTACAATCAGGGTGGAAGTACAAACGACAAGCTAAAAATATTAACAGTAAAACATAAAAAAGCAGTTGTGATGCACAATTCGTATCACAACCACTTAAAGCTACTTTTATAACAAAAATTTAATTTTCAGAAAGCTTAGCTTACCATTGCACTTTTTACTCGTAGTTCCAAACTTAATAGGAGAATTACAGAATGAACATTCTACTGTCGTTAGCACATTCTTAATCCGTAAATTAACAAAGTCGTGAGATCTACTAGCATCAAAACTGTCCCAATTCGATAGTGAAATGTCCTTTACTTCGTTTCTATAATAACACAATTAGCTGTATAAATGATATGGCTCAATAATCTATTATTAAACAAACTAGTTTTTGGTTTACGCATTATAGCAAATTAAAGCTGTAATTTAGAATAGAGTCAATAACTTACATTGCTGGAGGAACAATAGTTGTTGTTGCTCTCCTTTGAGCTGGCGGTGCTTTTGTTTCGCCCTAAAACAAGATAAATAATATGTAACGTAACTTACCGTGTCCAATAAATGTGGAACAGATATAGACCTTCTTAATTTATTCCTTATTGTACGTTTTTCCGGTTTCTTCTCTGGCGATTCGAGTTCTTCATCAAAATCAATTATTTCAGGTTCAATTTCTGCTAATGGAGCCTAAAACAATATAATTTTGAATAAAGTAAGCTCCAATTACTTAAAATTCCTTCTAAGATCAACAAACTCACTTTGCCTTCTCTGCAAAAAGATGTGTTCTCAAAAGAAGACTCCAACAATATCTTTTTGGCCGAGGAAACACTCTCATTAACCATGTCGAGGACTTCCTGAGTAGTTACCTCTATGGATCTCTTTCGATTACTCATTTTATCGTGTCAGTAACAATATACACTACAGTACGAATTAATAAACCGTTTGACGTCGAAGAATCGCCAACTCGAAAAAAAGTATTTATTTTTCGCGTTCAAAAATAACGAAAAAGTACAGAATGTTTTCGTGGTGGGACAAAATTAACCGCATTTTATGTTGTTTTATACATTTGAGTGTATAAACAGCTAATTAAATTATATTTTTACATATAACTAACAAATTTATTTGTGTTACTTTAAATTTTACAACTCTGCAACATTCTGTTGAATTCATTGTTCGTATAAAGTTGTTTCCTTAATCTGCAAGAAGGCAGGTGCGAGCTGCGCCCTTTTTTATGAATTATTTTTTATTATTTTGTAAAGTTATCTCTTATCAGTACTTTACAGCATAAATTATAAACGATTAGCTACCAAAATTCATAAAACACTAGAATAATTTAATTTAATGAAGTTGTTTGATCCAAGTCAAGAGTTACTTTACTTTTTTGAAGATTTGAGTCGTCAGCAAGCTAACGAACTGCTTAAACTTGGAGAAGTCGGGTCGTTCCTTGTCAGAACATCGACATCTGATCCTTCGAATCTTTCTCTGAGTTTGAGGTAAATTATTTTATTAATTAAATTTTGGTTTTAGGGTTTCTTATGATGAAGATAACTATGCACGACATTACTTCATTGAAAAAGGTCACAACGATGCTGGGAAACCGATTGTAACGGTAAGTTTAGTCTTACTGGGTATTGTTGAAAGCTAGGTTTTAAACGTTGTTATCAATCACATTGGAAGCTGTTTTTAGTTAAACGGACAAACCTTTTATGATCTGCCTGATCTTATCACGCATTTTACGGAACATCCACTAGGACAGACAGTCTTAGTCAAACCAGTCACAAGAAACGTCATTTGTCAGGTCTGCAAGTTATGATTTTATTAGTTTGTAGTATAGAAATTGCTTTATTAAAGCAAAAATTCCATATTCGCATTAAAATTGCAATTTTAGGTAACAGGGAAGTTCCGCTTTGCTGGAGAGCGAATAACTGATCTTCCGTTTGATGTTGGAGAGACAATCGATGTCATTTCAAAGCCTGAGGAAAATTGGTGGGTGGCCAAGAACAAGTTGGGTGATGTGGGGTTGATTCCAGTGCCTTATGTAAATATTGTATAACAAAATATTGTCTTTTGATAAATACATGTAAATAAAGTTGTTATAAAGTTTTTTTTGTTTCTTTGAATCTGTATTTTATATATCTGTTAATATCTTTATTTTTGGTTATTTCTGTTTCTTTATAGTATTTATTTCAAGGTTATCGATATTGAATTTCAGTTTTATTATATATGTTTCAAAATTAAAGGCCGATGATAAACTTTACATTAATATCAGAAAACGTGATAAAAGTGGATGAAGTTCTAGAGGGATGTAAATGTATAGGTCCTTGTTCTGTTTCCACTAATTGTAGTTGTTTAGTCTACAACCAAGTAAGGACTCTTTTAAAATTAATATGAACTTTTGATGTATACAACAATACGTTACTAAAAAGGTCTATAACGATTTGATCATTGATCATACTCTAATCTGTTATAGGACAATTACAATAACAAAAAGCTGGTTCATTCCTTTGACTCTAACCTACCAATCTTTGAATGTCACGACGACTGCACTTGTTCTAAAGAATGTTTAAATAGATTGGTCGGAAATGATACTACCAAGAAGTTAGAGCCATTTTATGATGAAAACAAAGGCTATGGGTTAAAGACTGTGGATATTATACAAGAGAAAGTATTTGTCATAGAATACAAAGGAGAAATAGTAACTGAAGATGAAGCTAAAACAAGGTCAGAGAAGTATAAGAGGGACGGAAGGGAACACAACTTTATATTCACTGTAAAGGAACACTTTTCAGGTAAGGTTTTTAACGCTTTGTGATAATAAAAATATTTTAATCAATCATAAATTATTATAGCTTATAAAACTTTTAATTTCAGGGGAAGTAAGGTATACCTACATAGACGCTACTATGTTTGGTGGTATGGCTAGGTTTATAAACCACTCATGTGAACCCAATCTAACACCTGTTATTGTACGATGTGGCTCTGTTACACCTAGACTAGCCCTTTTTGCTAATAAAGCCATTTCTAAAGGTATTTTTAATTATCATTGTACATCATGTAATCAAAACCACTATATAGTTTATCTCCTTTTTACAAATAATGACGTTTTTTATTAATCGTTAAATTTATGTCCTTACTTAACGTGTTATGATTGTTTTATGCGTAGTTAACATGATATATGCATGTCTAGTTAATGTTTCAAACAAGTCTTTTTCCAGATACAGAGCTATGTTACGACTACGGATTACTGGAAGAAGACAATAATGTGAAGAAGAAATGTCATTGCGGAGCTGAAAAGTGTCGCGGATTCTTGCCATCTGGAAGTTATGGGTCGTAAAATGGTTAATTTGCATATAAAAGACACCATATATCTTGAGATTCTGCTTTTGAAGGCTTTAGAATATAATGATGACATTATTGTTGTTGGTATTACTTGTTACTACTGTGTCATGTCAAACACAACGACCTTTTATGGACATTACACCTGTACCTATGGAGAAGCTGAACCCTAGGTTGTCAGGTAAGTCTAAGTTGAGGTAATTCAAGTTGTAATTAGCAATTTCTACAAGCTTTTGGAATAAAATTGGGTAAAAAGTTTTCATTATTGGTTATAGTGAAATACGATTACTTTTTTGCTATTACAACCAATCCACCGCTTCAGAATTCCTTCGGATCGATTCGAACAATGACAATCAGTTGACATTCAGCGAGTTCATCCTATCCGACCGACCATTCATCGAAAGTCAGTCGAGATACTTCCACGAACTCGACCTCAACAACGATGGTCGTATCACTCGAGGCGAGTTCGAGAACTACTTCAGGAAGCACGATGAAGAAGAACGGCAACAGAGAATCCAGACAGACCAGTTCTTAAAGAATCTTTTAGGTCACAGCTATACGTATGGTTTGTGGTAGATAAGACAATTAGACCAAATTTTAAAGAATTTGCATGCTACTGTAGTAACAAACTACTCTTTTTGTAGTAACGTAGATTGAGATATTTGCAAAATTTGGAATTTTGGTTAATTTTTATAAAGGCTTGGCTTAAAATGGCATTCTGATGCTTACAGCTATAGTAAAGTCGACCAAACGTTGCAGTATGCTTGCGAACTTACCGTAATTTTTTTATAAAGTGCCGTGTTTTGCCTAAAACACTATATACATCCTAAAAATCACGGTATCCCACCCAAACAATCGTTACCTAAAATGTGTCAGAGCTTTTAGGCCGTCCATCGAGTATTCCTTTTAAGGACTTCAAGGGCGTTGTTTATGCATTCAGATCCTCCAAAAATGTAAGGAGGACCTTGTAGTAGCCATCTGTTTTACCGTTTCAGAACAGTTCTCTCCCGTTTAACTTTGGTCCTCGCATTGGTCCACTGAACCCTCAACTGGTACCGTCCGATGGGAATCAAACTAAGCATGAGTAATGTGGCATCAAGTTTTTAAATCATCATTTAATATTTAAGTAGATAAAGTTACAAAGTGTACAAGTTGTTTCGTAATTTGATTTATATTTAATTTAAAGTAAAAGAAAAGTTACCATGATGGCTTAGTAGCTTCAAAAACTTGGTTTTAAAAACTTTTTGGTTTTTCAGTCGAAAATGTATGTACTAACGTAACACAAACTTTATATCTCATAAACCGTCGATCAAAAATGTTATAAAAAATAAGTAGTGGTCAATTTTTCTTCTCTTCTTTTGTATATTTCTCAAGAACTCTCTGGGTAAAGTTATCCATTTTTACATTTCAAACCCTAAAACATTACAGTTACACTACCGTACCCCGAACAATACGTATACGAACAGACAAAGAGTAAATAACAACAAATCGCCTGCAAAGTGTACTTTGGGTTTGTCGCTCGCTAATGATAAAAAAGGTTCGAAGCGCCCGTCTCTCTCTCACTACCAATTGATTATTGATTTCGGCCCTCTACGTGATAACCGCGAAGGAAGGAGGTTTGGCCCTCCAATCGAGTGTAGACCCTTATCTTGTCTAATTAGCCGCTCCGGTAGTTGTAACTTCTATTTCGGTGGTTGTAAACGCGGAACTTGATGTGGAATGACCTCCAGATTTAACGGGGAAGACCTGGTCAAGCGGTCGCTGTTCGTGTCGTTGATCGGGCTCAAGAAGAAGAACAAAGATGAAGCCGCCAAGAAAGGTAAAGCTCGATCGATCGAAGTTTGTAGGTCACCGTTTTTTAAGTTTAAATCAGGATTAAAAATTAGATTTTTGAAGCAAACTTCTTAAAGATTATAGAGAACCATAATCCTCACTGGATCAGAAAAGTTATATAATTATAAAAGGTGTTTATCTTCTACCTATATGAACATCAGATTTTTTAAAAATTGTAAATTAGAATGCAATCCAAGAAACATCACATCAGAATCCTTTTTAGAACCCTCAAATCCATGGAGCAACTTCAACGTTAACGACTTCAACGAATCCACAGATCCGTGTTCTACAAGCACTTTACTTTCACATGACATCCAACCCGTAGATCAGTTGGCCGAGAATCTGTTGACAGATCAGATGCAAGATGTTCTACTCACTTCGCCCCCTCCAGACACTCCAAACGTAGCCTCCCCTCTAGATATATACCACGAAATAGTTAATGAATGTGCAAACTTTGAACAACAACCAATTCCCCCTTACTATGACAAACAGGTAAGTCACTTACTATTGTAGCCGTAGTAACAGAATTCTGATCATGATTTTAAGAAGATAAAGCCATTTTGAGAAACTAATGTATAAAACGATGACATCCTTTAGGTCGATATGTTGGCATGGACACCCGAACTGCCACCGCATCCAATGACACCCACCACCAACTACCCTCCACCATGCTACACAGCTACACCCGAACCAGTCATGTGCCCCAACTGTCACTATATCAGTAACCCCATACCGGTATCTCAATCACAACAATATAATGGTATTACAATTCCACACACAGTAAACGGAATCTCAATAGAAGAGCTGGTCAAGATGATCATTTCGAAGGTCAAGAATTCCCCAGAAGAAGTGAAAGAAACGCCGGAAGAGACGTTGAAACGGAAACGACAGCAGGTAAAGGATTATAAGTTAATTATACTTAGTTTAATGAGTTATTTCTTAATGCTGGCAAGCTTGCCAAATATAACATAGAAAAACAAAAAGGGGACCTACATTAACATAAAACACGCAATTTTCTTAACTTTCAAAGTATAAAACAACCAATACATCATGGTATACACCTTCAGTTCATCGAACATACATACATTTTAGAACAACGAAGCTGCCGCACGTTACCGTAAACGACAACGCGAAGAGAAAGGTACAAAGTCCGGCGAATACGACGAGCTGTTCGAAAAAAACAAACTCTTAAAAATTCAAATCGGACAGATTCAGAAGGAGATGAGCAGCCTGCGAAAACATATTTTGAGCAATAAATAAAGTGAATCTTTAATCATTTATAAATTATCCATAAAAGCAGTGTACACAATAGAGAAAACGTCGTTCTAAAGTAGATGAAGGCTACAACATACAAATATATAAATCACAACGGCATCTCCACTCCTGGATCTAGTCGAATTTAAGCGAGAACAATATCGACACCGGCCATATTAACGCGTTCAACGCTGACTCTTGGAATGTTGGATAAGCCATTGCAGCGTGATATCTAAAGGTTTTAGATTATAAAGTGTAAAGAACAGAATTTACATTGTATGTTGAAGGTCAAAATTAAGTCGACGTATTTTACCGAGTAACTGTTCATTTCTTCATATCTTGAAATTCTGAACAAATTACTAAACACCATTTTTAAACTAGAACTACAAAAACACGTTACCTTAAAAAAGTTCTTAAATATCTTTGAAAAATGAAAAACGTACCAATGTTAGACTTGTTTTTACATGAAATCGAATAACAGCAAATCTCTCGGTTCTGGATGTTGTTTAACGACCTAAACACATCGATATATCAAGCAATCAAACTTACAGTTTTTCTATTAATTCTCGTTCGTCTAACGCGTTTGGCAAGTCCTTTTTGTTACCTAAAACAAGAACTGGAATTCCTTCCAACTGTGACTTCTCCAACAATTGCATGAGCTCATTCTTGGCAGCTTCTAGCTTCTCTTCATCTGCGGCATCAACCATGAAAACAATAGCGTTCACTCCTCGGCAATAACGCTCCCACATCGATCTAAACCTTGGCTGACCTCCAATATCCCATAGCTAAAAAGAAAAAACGTTTAAATACAATAAAAACTCTTAAGAACAACAAATTGAGATTATGCATACCAAATTAGACACCATTCTTTTCATGCGTCCATGAAACTAATCCAAAATTGAAATAATCGGAAGTATTTCAAAACACCAAAGTAAAACCATACCTTGATAGTGACGTTGCCCTTAGTGATCTTCCTCATATTAAAGCCAACAGTTGGAATCGATCCTTCTTCCATGAACTGTCCACTCTAAAAGCCAACAAATAAACAAGCCATATCAACTTACGGCAATCACATTTACAAAAGTGGTTTTGCCAGAACTCTGTAGACCAACCAATGTGAGCTCCATCTCCTCCTTCCAGAACAAACTCCGAAACCAATCGAGGATACGGTTAATCATAGACAACATTTTTATCCTCTATATTATTGTTATCACGGTTCCTGTCCAATATTTTTATTTTTCTTACTCATTTCTTCGATTTTGGCGTTCTGTTTATTGTTTTGCAGCTTTTGTTTTCGTGCCGGGACTCGAACAGTCACGCTCTTTTTGGTGTTTTGAAATCATAAATCCAAAGTTTATGAAACTATCTGCTATACGGGCAGTTATTTATACTTTTAAACATATTTTTAAAAATTGACAGCCATTTGAAAGTTTGAATCTTTATAAAAACGTTTTCATTGAAGTTCTAAATTTATATAACAAGTTTGGAAGCGATGGTGAAAAACTGATTAATTTTAATCTCTTTGAAAAGCGTTTGCTTCTGTATGGTCATAAAAGACAAAAATTAGCAACAATTTCACAAATTTTAATGACCATAAAAGCTGCCGCCAAAAAAGATTTTTAAAAAGTTCAGCAAACGTTATCAGTGGAATGATCCGCTTCTTCGCAACATCGTACAATCGCCTCTAATCCGGTTTATATTTAACTTTGAAAAGCCCACAGAAACCCATAATATCCTGATCTCATCTTATGATTCACGAGGACAAACACATCTGCGCAGTGCAACTCGAGTAAACCGAAAAGGTGTTTATTTGAGAGCAAAAAAATCCGGAGGCAGTTTGATAAGACTTGAAAAGAAACCCGACCATAACTTCGTTTGAACATGCACAGTACGGCGGTTCTGTTTCTCTGTTCTCTGGCATTAGTCACCGGTCAGAACCTGAAGTGTTACTCGTGTGAAGGTAAATGTGACTGTAGACAGCCAAGGGAAGAGCTGTGCCCGGTTACAACCTTCTGCTACACTTTGAGGAGTTTGGCGGATCGAAAAGGTATTGTTGTGCTTATCAATTAAGTATATGGTGATAATATTAATATTTACTTGTTTATTTGGGTGTTCGATCCTACTGATTGCAATACATTTGATCGTTCGATTACTATTAGAGTGGTAATGTATTATGGTATAGAAAGTAGTTAATTACCAACTTGAAAACCAGAGATTCTTAGTTTTGATTGACAGTTCTTTTGGTATGTCACGATGGCTTACTCAGTCTTGTAAACTGTACGTTTTAGTGGTACAAAGAGGTTGTACGACCAACTGTAAGAACGTTAATATCTTTGACAATGTCTGTGCGATGTGTCGTGGAAGCTTTTGTAACATGGAGCCTACTGACGGTAAGTGAAACGTTACATTACTCTGTTATAATTTTTGTTACAGTATGACGTTACTTCTTGTAAAGTTTTAAAAGTATTAGATGCCGACATAAAGAATCCGCCATACTTTTCCTGTAATTTCTTATAAAAATGGCGGGTTTTTTTGTCGGCACCTAATAATACCTTCTTTGTTACAGAGTTTGTGCAGTACTCCCAAAACGATGACTGTGTAGAGTACGATAGACAAAAGTCAAGCCAAGGTACGCTAACTACTCCTGGATTCACGAATGGAGTACGAAGTGGAGACTTGACGCAGGAGATGCTACGTCAAGGTCCAGAAGAGATGGTAGCCTTCAACAATAATCACGGAAGACAGAACCTTGAAGGTCAATCAGGTATTGGCAACGGAGCAGGATTAAATGGCAGACAAGATATTGGGGGTGGATCGAGTATCAACAATGGGGCTGACATTGGCAACGGAGCAGGTGTTCATCCAAACCCAAATGTAGGTAACGGTGCTCAATATGACAACAGGAACTCGAGATCAGAAGACGTGGGAGGTGGAGCGGCTCTGAATCCACGGAACGATGCCATTCTGAATAGACAAACAGAAATTGGAAACGGAGGTAATTTGAATAATGGTTATGGCCTTTTGAACTATAACAATGACATTGGCAACGGGGGACAAGTAGGACAAGGTGGTGCTATCGGGACTGGAGTGCAAGTTAACACTCCTGGTTATGGTCCAGCACCTTCTGTGTTCGACGAGCAAAACAGGTATGATAAAGCTATTTTTATTGTTAAAATATTTTAACTTGATAATAACTATACTTTATATTACTTTTTGTAGTATAATATATTTGGTACAAATTTCAGTAAGGTCGATATATCTTAGAAATATTGCTTAAAAATAATTCTTATGTTATTTTTAGTTCAATCAGCGTATCTTCAGCCTTCACAACAATTTTTACTTTTATTGTTTGTAAATTGGTATTATGATCAAGAAAGTAACAATAAATTATAACAATGACCCGCGTTCAAAGTAGTTTGTCGGTAAAAGTAAGATATCACAGTAGCATACTGTATCACAGGATAAAAAATATAAGTATCACAGTAAACTATCAGATATATTCATAGTACTGGAATTACTGTTGGCAGGTTGATAGTACTGTATCAATGATAGTTTGATAGGCAGATTGACAGTACTGTAATTCTACTAAGAATAGTGACACTACTGTTAAGTTACTTATAGTACTGTAGAACAACTGACAGCACAATTGGAATGTAAAGAAAGAGTTTCTAATTAGTGTAAGTTTTTGGCAAAAACTTAACTGGAATTGAAGCTTAGGGCACATCTTTGGCCAAGAGCGTGGCCTCTTCTGGCTTCGTCCTTACTTTCCTTATAATGACATTCTTTTTCACATTGTACAACTTGAGTTCGGTCTGCAGTTTCTTGATTTCTTCTTGTAATTCCTCGTTTTCATGACTGAAATAAGCTGCTTATAATATCATGTGTTACGAGCCTTTATAGTTATCGTCAGAATTTTTAAAAAACGGACTTGTTTTAACTTGAAATGTTAATATATACTGTAATATTGAGGTATTTAAACTAGTATTTTATAAAAAATGGTCTGTGTTTGCATACATAACCTAAGTACTGTCATTATACCAACTTTTAATCATTTTAAATTAAAATTTACAGTATGAAAAAGAATAATTTGAGCAAAAATTAAAGTTTTTGTAAAATACGCAACTTCCTATTGCTCGACAATAAAATATTTAGAAATTGAACAATATTTAAAAAGGAATAGCTAAAGTTGAAAAAACTGTCTCACCGTGCTTTTCGGAAGAACATCCACCCCATAACTCCAAAACATAACGACAAACAGAAGGCCAACGCCAGAATCCAGCAAACAAGGCTCAACGATGCGATTCTGCTTTCTTCTGAATCCTTGTTGGCTAGTTCTACTGAAAATTTAAATAGTTCAGTTTATTTTTTGATTAAAAAAGTACAAAAAAAAGAAGAGTATACAAGCCACAAAAAGTAAATAAAACATGTTTGAGGCTTGAAATGCCTATGTTATAGTAACCAAGTTGGCATAAATTGATGATTTAATCAATCAGATTTTTAATAAATTAATTTTATATTGAATTTTAATAGTTTTTTTATGTATATATTTTATATAATATTCTGTTTGACTTACACATTCGTTCGCACAACTCTCCGCCAAAGTTTGAGGCACAGCTGAAACAATCAATCACGTTTAAAAAGAGGATTGCCTCAGGTTATAAAGTAACAAAAACATTACGTAACACAGATACTTTTTAAAAATGACGTTTCTTGATCTTAGTGCTTTGCCAAAAAATAAAATTATCTATTTTAGTTACTGTAACACAAATATTTTGACAAAAGAAGCAACTACGCTTTTATCTAACAAGTAATTTAATTCTTAATTTGACTTTAAAATGTTTCGAAATCAGATTTCAAAATTGTATATTAATGTTTGTCAGAACGCAACATTTTTTTTTATAAAATAAATTTTTTAAAACAAAAAATCTCGAAATCTTCTGATACAGCGATGATAAAACCATTACTCACGTGCAGAACTCGGCCCCACCGTCTTCGTAGCACGTTCCACCGTTCTTGCACACATTCTGAGCACAAGGCGCCCAATTTGGGGGTAGATCGTTAGCTTTTAATTTGAAAATTAAAAGAAAAAAGAGAAAAGTGGAGAGCTGTGACATTTCTCGAAGAATGTTCTTATCACAAACTGAATTTCAATAAAAGGAGTAAGGGAGTTTAGGGAGGGGAGGGGGTGTCTTTTCGAAGGAGTGGACGTGACCGCGCACTTTCCGCTTACTCACTTTTGTCAACATTCCCGAGGATCATAAACTGTATTGTACCACGTATTCGTTAAAAGTTTATTGTGTTTTGTATGCGATTAAATTGGAGTTTATCGCCTACATTCACTATAGCATAACTCTTCAGTATATAAATTTAAAAAGAATATCTCAACTTTATGAATAAAAATACAAATACATAGCTAACTATAATATAAAACTAGACAGACATGTTTGTTAAACACGACAATCAGAGTACCTTCGAGTAATGTTTAGTTTATGGTACAAATATTGATCATACTATGATACAAATGAGATTACTTCGTCTTCAGCAAGCTTTATATCAGTTACAACGTTCTAGTTTGTCAAAGATCTTGCCTGGACCATGTTCGCAGTCCAACTTTACAGTACTACATCTCTTGTCACCTAATGCCAAGGTCGTATTCAGAAGAGATCGTGGTTTCAGTGGGCATGGCTCCCGTAATTCACAACGCTGACCACAGAAACCAGAGTCACAAATACAGTAGTATTTTAGGGTTACGATAGCTTTGCCGGTTTTGCATTCGTTGGTTCGGCACACTTCTTGGGATACTGTAAAAGTATAATACTGTGAGTTAAGACTCTTTATTTTTTGTTATTTTCACAAAAAATTAAAATTGACTTTATAAGATTTTCGTTGCAAGACCCAAAGCTTGGTAAAAATAAAATGTAGATTTTAAAAAAAGTGCCATTTTCATACTGATACCAAACTGAAAAACGTCTGTAGATCTAGTAATTTAACAATAAAGGCTTTAAAGTTTAAATTTCCCTAAAACAATATCTTTTGTTTGCTCTGACAGTTTTATTGACCATTCAAACCATTTTTCGAATGCGGAATTCCCTTAGGCTATGACTAATATCAAAACCATTAGCAAAGTGTGAAATTCCGGTTAAAATTCCGCCAAATAAAAACTATGACTAATGCTATCTAAAGCAATTTGTTTATATTCAAAATGTCATATATTGTTATCGATATACGAATTTCTTTGCTATGATCATGGCAAAGCTGTTCGTATTTTACAATTGGTCCAAAAAGAATTAACTATGGCAAAACAACTTAATTTCGCTTTGACGTTTAAAAAACTACATGGTATGTACTATAAAGAGTCTTATATACGACTATATTACACTTGGATGATGAATTTATTCAGCAAACGTACCTGCATACGTAATTAGAAACAACAATATAAAGGGTTTAATAGAGCCCATTTTGCAAACCGAACAGCCGGAGGACAAGAGTTTATGAAACCAACTCGAAATCAGGTGTTCAGATCATGTTTGTGTACTTGTGCCACGATCGTACCTCAAGTTATCGTAGTCGTTGGGGTCAGGCGGTTTCTGAATCAAGTTGTCGGCCTGATCGTACAGCACGTCCAAGTCTACCTGAACTTATATGTGTTAAACTGGACTGTTCTTTGGAATATGTCTTATATGTTTTAGTGAGCTGATTGCACTACTTTCATACGAAGGTTAGTACAATGTTGTTTTAGTTAAAATCTGTCTATTTACTATAAGAATACAAAGTATAGACATCAATTGTATAGTAAAAACATGTAGTTTGTAGGCAACTACACTTTATGACGTATTTAAGATAATAAAATGCAAAAAAGCAATAAAACTTTAGAGAGACTTACATCATGTTCTGAATGATCTTTCAACTCCAATTTGGCTTCAGCTTGCACGAAATGATCGTCTTCTGATTCTCGTTTTTCTGCTCGTCTAGAAATAACTTAACTTAAAAGATGTATAATATTGATAAGGTTAGGTTGTTCAAATAATTCTGTGCTTTCTAACCTTGAAAAATATCTTTACAACAGGGCACAGAACTATTTAAACAATCTAACTGTATTATTCTTCAATTTACTGAAACAGTTGAAGCAATAAGTACAAATCTAAAGTTATCTCCGGTCAATATAAAATAAAATTTAAAATTTGAATTTTGAAAACTTTCCAAACTTTACCTTGTCAAACATAACAAAATGCCAAGGATAATCGAGATCATTGACAAACTGATCAGACCAGCTCCCCATATCCAAGGCGATACGTAATATTGCTCTTGTACTTTACATTCATTGCCAGAACAACTGAAAATACATAAAAATCGTGCTTATAGATGTTCTTAGACTAGCTTTACAAATAAAGTCCCAAAGTTTATACAGTATATTATCTTATATTATTGTCTAAAAATCGTATTTTTGCCGTTAAAAGTTTCGTATTGACTTACAAACAATGCTCAATCCCAGTTCTCAACTCCTCCAAGCACAGTCCTCGTTCTCCACATTTGTTTGAAGTACATTGGCGGTACTTACAAGAATGATATGTCTTCGGAACGACCTTTAGAGATCGTACTTGGAACTTCTGATTCCGTCTTCTGGCTGCGCAGTCAAACACCATCTCTCCTTTCGATGGGTCGTAGGCGGTAATGTCATACAGTATGCTAAAAAATAATAACCTTAGTATGTTACTAGATCCATAATTCAGTAGGTATGCTTGCTCAGTAGATATGCTTGCTCAGTAGACACATATATACAAAATACAGTAAGATTTATAATATACAGTAAAAAATACTATCAGTCTTTACCTATGGCCTCTGTGTGTACCCGTCATGTTGTGATTGTTCATACTCAAGAATAATGTTTGGGGATCGAATCCGCTGTCCTGTATGTTACATCGTATCCTTGCATCGTCTCCTGGTCCTAGGCTTATCACTTTTGTCTCGGCTATCAGTGAGTCACCTAAAGTACAACATTATTATTCATTTTAAGCTTTAAAGTAATCAAACTTTATTAAAACAGCTTTACTAGTACATTTTTACTATTAGTTTTGTAATAAATGTTATAAATGGACTTTAAAAGACTCTACAGCAATATAATCTCAAGATAAAGTTCATAAGGATAACGCTAAAATACGATACAACTAAGTGTAACTATATTAATCTTTACTTTAACATCAGCCACTTACTAGACATCAAAGGCAACTCGAAGAGCGGGATCATAGAAGCCATAGCAATATATTCTCCTAGGCTCTAAGTCGAATTCCCGCTGACTCTCGACCCCGCTATATTACTCTTGTCCCTAGATTCGAGATCGGTCTGCCTTTTTCGGAGTTTTTATTGTAATCGAGACCAGGTTAAAAGGTGCGAAACTGGACTTGAGCAAACACAACGTCTAGTGTCATAATCTATCTGCGGGTAGAGGTATAGGTAATATGTGATAAATTGCTCAGTTTACGCATAGAGAATATTAGCAAAATAGGTAACAAGTTAATCGATCATAAAGACTAGAGTACGTTTCAATTAATTTAAACAAGAATATTGCCTATCAATACGAATAAATCAGTCAATTATTTAAAAATCAGTAAAAAATCGACCTCAATATTACACTAGACCAAAAGTTTTAGTTAATTTATTAAAATTTCCACCGGTTATAACAAAGTACTACTCAATATAACTATGCACTGCCACTCGACCTAATACCAGAGTTCTGGCCAGAAGAGCATGATAATATTGGTCGCGATCAAGGTCAAGTAGAAGGTGAGAGACGCCGCCTCCAACCTCTTGATCACCCTCTCCCAATACACCGGCAGCTCGTGCCGGTTCCTCATCTCTCGTCGATGTTCTAGTAGCTCTCTTAACAATGATATTAGAAGGTCCAGTTTCTGAGAGTCTAAAGGTGGAGGTGCGGGCGGTGATTCTAGTACAATATCCGTTGAGATTTGCTGTGCCGTTTGTTGTTGGTACTCCATGAAGTTAAGCTACAAAGATATGTTGACGTTAGTTTGGGTAAAAGTTTTCTTAAAGATACTGTTAATTTACAAAATCAAACATTTTACAGTAACCATGTGATATTATACTACCCTACCTACCTCAGTAGGAATGAGTGTTTTGAAGGCCTGACTGTCCATGCTAGAATGATTCGACCTCATCCTGATATTCTTGTTCTGATCCACCTGGTCTCCCTTATTCAACCTCAGCCTTCGTGGTGGATAACAACAGAAGAATTGCTTCGCCGTCAACCATCGTAGCCACATGGGAACTGATGAGAACGATGGGTTCCGAAGAGCAAACTTTTCCAAGTGGACAAATATTGTTGATGTGCAAGTTGCTACACTGATTATTAGGATCAGACTCATGTAGTAGATACCTAAAACATTAGGTAATACAAAACATCAATCAAAAACAAACTTTCTACCATACCCCTACCGTAACCCAAACAAGCTTACCAATTAACGGCACATCAGAGAAGGATCCCCGTTGGCCTGGAATCGACTCCAATGCAAACTTCATTTCGTCCACCAACATCAACAACATGACGGACAACGATAGTAATGTCATCACTCCCAATCTGAACTTAGACTCCCTTCTGCCGGTAGCATTTATGGGAGCGTGGAACCCGATGACAGCCACCAAACTGACTAAAGTTGTCGGGAACACCAAGTTGAAGACGTAGTAGAAAGACTGTCGCCGTAACAGAAGATTCACCGTGACAACCGAGAAGGTTTCGTTGTGGAGGTAGTGCATCGTGCCGTTTGATAAAGTGGCATCGACCTTTAAATTAAATAAATGAAGCTTAAATAAGTTAAAAGTTTTATAAAATTAGTAATCTAATAGTGATAGTAATAGAAAAAATGTAAAAAAGTTAAAATACGCCACATTAAAACCATTTTCAAAATTTTTTAAAATTAAAGTTAACTTTACAGTAAATTTTAAAAATGTTCAAAAGATCGTATTTTAAATAAAAAAAACTCCTCTTACCAATAGCCACTCCTGACTGTCGTAGAAGTCGCCCAAGAAGACATCTCGTTCTTCGACCAGTAGCTTTACCACTTCAGATTGATATGACCAAGACCCTATCTGAAACAATTACTGTAGTAATACTAACTCTTGTAATCATCAATAAGTCCACGAAAAGTTAAAATGATATCTTAATGTAAAATAATTTTGAATTTTCAAGTTCAAAAAATACCCAATTTCAACTTTTCAAACAAGAAATTGCAAAAAAATATAAATTTAGACCTAAAAAACATGTGGAAGTTGATGTACATCTCGAAAACATCTCCTTCCCGGTATGTCTGAATGCACAGGAAGTAGAGAACACCTCTCCGGGACCATTTTCCGCCTAGTTGAGCGTCCAGAAAACGGTGGCGAAGTAAGGTAGGGCCTTGAGAAGCACATATTGGTCACTCGGACGACTATTGCCCTCAGGGCTTCCCGTTTATGCGCATTTAACCTTTTCCGGCCCTGTGGCGACTTGTGGCTAATCCGTTTGAATATGACCTTTTGGGCCATATTACAAATACTATTACTATGCCCATTACTCGGGTATTGTGTCATCGAACGTATCACCATACCCACCACCACAGCTACAGTACCCCGCTCCATTACTCCGAAAGAGAACCTAGATGGCTACGTAGACAGGATAGAAGCGATTGATGTGAGCTCAAATCAAGTTGTTATCACGACCAGTAAAGTGGGACCTCCAGAGGATGTACAAGTCTCAATTGATGTGGTCGATTTATCGACCGGAGAGAAACTACCGCCTATCAATCTGACTGGGATTCTGCTGTTTATCACTAGAGGTAAAGACGCCTTTTACATTCTGATTTTAAGACTAACAATAATATACTAATCACTTATATGACTAAAATCTAATTAATCTTTGACCTTTTAAATCTACGTTTCAAACTTAACAAAAAAAATTCAGGACGATACACGGTAAACTTCCTGAGACCAAACACATGGTACGGAATTGCCTTCCGGTCGAAACAACAACATCGACCAGAAGGCCCGATCTACATCGACTTTGAAGAACATTTGATCAGAACTCATAGAGAAGATGGCTCTAACCTGGACGGAGAACCAATAGTGTCAGTTGGTACTAGTAGACTCGGAAATGACGGAAAATCTGTGGAAAACCTGGTACTTACTTTGAAGTGGGAACAACATCCAGATGAAAGGTAAGAAAGAAATTGAACAATAAGATTAACTAAAATTAAGAAGTATACACTTCAAACCCATCTACTTGATTTGTGTTATTGATAAACTAATCTCGATATAAATTTAAGACAAGACCTGGATATGGTAGCTAACGTCAGCTTGGTATGTGACAAACAGATCAAGTTCAAGCAGGTATTTCTGAACAGACGAGAGATCGAGAAGTCGATTGAAGTAAAAGTAAGTAAAACTCAGTAAAATAATCCATAATGAACGTTTTATGACTAAACCTTCCTAAAACCATCTAACACAACATATAAAAACGCTCATTTTCAGTTGGACAACAACTTCGAAGTCCTTGAAACCAACAACAAAAGTCGACAAATAATGGCATCAATAACTCCAAAACATTGTCACAAGTAAGGCAACATAACCATGAGCTTTAAAACCTACATTTTAAAGGACTTACTACAGTTTTAATATAAGACTTTACAACAACTATATATTCCCGAATATATGTTCTTCTACCACTATAATATAATATTACGTTCCCCCAAACCTATAATTAACACTTCCAGAATATGTTGGCTAGGCAGTGTGTACTCGAATGTCCAAGGATATAATTTCAAAAGAGAAGTAGCCAAGAAGTGCGAAAGTATAACAACTATCACTACAACAGCCAAGCTAAGGGAGTACAAGAGCTATGAAGTCAAGAACAACAGTCTCATCGTACATACGACGTACCTGAAGGAACATAATGATACGATAGATAAGGAATCGTATGTTCAGTTGACTGCAATACCTATTCCTGAAAACTTCACTACGAAAGTGAATTCGACTGATGATACGACTAGATACAAAGTGTTCAGGTAGGGAAATACTGTATTTTTTTAATTCTTTAATATATGTAGTATGAAGCACTATGACAATATCATACTATACATTAGTCCTTAGCCGTTCATCGGTATAACATATATCCTAATTTGCCTCATGGTAATTACCAAGCATAACAGAAAAATTAGCCTACGTGCCTTCTCTATTTACATTCATCTTTCTATTTCTTATCCTAATCCCCTTTTCCAGTCTATCCTAATCCCTTTTTCTAGTCCAGGAAACGAAGAAGATACCACCTTTTTTAACACACCACAGTACGCCTTATAATATCTTATTTATCACATCTTATAACAGCTGATAACACCTTAATATACCCTATTGTAGTCCATATAAAGATAATATTTTCAGTACATCAGAAGGAGACACTTACACTCTGCCTAATCTCGTCCCCGGCAGATTATATGCCACTCAATACACTTACGTCAAGCAATCTCCCTTTGCCTACGCTGAATCTCGTCGCTTCATAATTGAAACACAGCTCAGGAACACCATCGGACATGCTGTGAAACCGATCCAAGTCGAGGTTCACTTCCCCAAAAAGACGAATTCGACCGATTCAAAGACAATTTCCGACAATTCCTCGACAAAACCGACTGCCAAAGTGAAGTTAAACCCTCAGTTTCACAAATACAAGGTAACATTTACATAGTTTTTTGTTTGATTTTTTCAGAAATTTGTTAATTTTTCCGAATTTTCCGAATTAATTAAGTTTGGTCCCGCAACCAAAAATTGCGCGATTGCCAAGCTTTCACATTTCGAAATAATTTGGTAAACAATTTTGAAATAAAAGTAAACAAAATCACTTTTTACGAAATAAGGGAAACGCGCTCATGCTACAGTAAATTTGTCAAAAAGTTCTGAGAAATCTACATAACATAATATAATTTTTTATTTTTTCCTTCTGTTTTTTGACCAAACAACTGTCACATTGAACTATAAGACCGAAAACCCCGTAAACCAACTAAAAACATCAAGAACCTTTAAAACGACTTTTAGGTAGGAGTAGACCTGGAGCCCTTCTGCAACCAAAAGAACGGTACCCATATCTGGTTAGATGCCGACCGTAATGAATTCAGACTCCCGACTTCAGACCTGGTGCAACTGCAACAGAATCAGAAGAAGTGTAGTCCGAATCTATGCTACACTACTTCTATGATTGTAAAGGAGAAGGTGTACTCAATGGAGAGACATTGTCAGAATCTGGCTACAGATCTGCCTCCGCCGATCCCGATTCAGAGGGATTCTGGAGTCTCACGGTATTCTACAGCGTCCCTTTTGTTGTTTTACATCATGTACATGTTACTGTAGTGTGTTCTTATAGCTATTTAAACTTATAACAATGTTATCTTGTGTTATTTATATTATTCATGTTCGTACATAAACTTACATTGAATGAGCAGTTTTGAATGTCATATGGAAAGTATTTGACTGAAAATGGTATCTTTAAACGAGTGTTCTTTATAATGTAATATGTATTGCAGGTTTAAAACTTTTGGATTTTCTACTGCCGCAATAAACAGTAATTACTGTATACAGCTGTACTTTTTACTCATCTAAAGATAACTAAAGTATAAACGTACAAAAGGGTTATTATAAGCTGATAATAAACCTACCATTAATGGGACATAGTGCCCGTGATGTTATTGGAATGAACATACGAACCGTGCCATTCGAAGTGATTTCGGCTGTAGCTTCGGCATCGTATTCAGGTGTTCGGCCTTGTATGCTAAAACAATATGCAGATACTTAGGGGTGAACAAAAGGAGTATTGTTTTCAGTCTAAATTGTTGAAAAGAATACTAAAAGGCCTTTCACTACAAAAATAATAGTAATATATGATTCTATGTTATAAGAATACCAAGATATATGACGTTCATGCATGTTACAGTAACTTCTTTGTATACTGTTAAACTTTTGGACTGATTTTTAAAATGCTTATTGCAGTAAATAAGCTTAATATGGTATCTGCAGATTTATATGATAAATATAACATACCTGTGGAAAAAGTAGAATTCAGGTTTCCACACCCACCGTGCCGGAACGAACGTGACCTCGGCTTCGAAGGCCGTGCTGTTCCAGGCCAAGAACGGATCGTGCCACCAGACATCGAAGTAGGCTGATATAGTGGCTAGGTTGTTTCTCTGGTCCTAAAACGTAATGTAAAATACGATTCTGAAAGCCGTCAGCCGCTAAATTAACTTGTAATTTAAGTATTGATGTTCTTAACGTCACTTCTATGTGTCACGCAGAAGTATTAACTATGTTATACTAAAATGTAGACCTACTAGATCAACTACTTGATACAACGCAGCTCTAACGTGGATATGTGATACTTCTTTGAGAGTGTAGACTGGTCGACGATACGGCGACGACCTTGATCTATAAAACCAAATTGTTAATGTTTTTGAATTTAGTTCAATAAACAAATAAATGTTTCTACTATCTACTACAATATCTTTTTCAAAATCGTGAGTACAAAAGAAACGCATTCCTATCATAATATTCTCTCTGCTAGCCTTTTCAGATAGAACAACTTTTACAAAAGTTTTAAATTAGGTAACACTACTGACAAGAACATACTTTATATGATACAATAGTTGGGTGTTAAGGTCATTGAACATGGGTAGGTCGTCATCGTGAGCAGAGGTAGAACGTTTCCGTTCCTCCAATTGTACGGGTTTCAGACGTCCTTTGTGGTTGCGGGCAAAAACAGCTTAAAGCTTTTTAGGTAATAAACTTTTGGCAAAATGGCCATAAAATGTTTAAAATGTTTTAGCATAAAAAATTTTTTTAATTTTAAAGGTATAATTGTTGCAAACTGATCTTTTATATTTTTTTTATTTAAATTTAAAAAACTGAATTTAAACTCAAAATGTCACTTTCCCAAACCCAAAACCCCATTCCTTACCTTGAACAGTTGAGCACAGCGAAAAGCAGAGCAGAAGCTGAAAGACGGCGAACATTGTCCAGAGGCAGATTCATACCGTTGCAACACCCATTACCTCTATCTAGTATAACGTTCTGGAATTAAGTTGAATAATGTCTAAATGTCATGATTGTGACACGAAAGCCATGATTGATTGTTTTTTAAAGTTCGGGCGACACAGCACGTCTTATTAAAGTTACGACAATATAACGTGATATAGGGCAATTGTATTCATATATGAGGGAGGGGTGATCATGTAAGGGATGTAGGGGTCTTCTACGCACTTTTTGACCGTTATTATAATCTAAATGTGGACAGTTGTCTATTGGCTAAACAATTTGTACAAATACAGTAATTACTATATTAAAGCATCTTATGAGTTATTAAAACTACCGTAACACTAACACATACTTTGGCTTCTTACAGTATGGATTCCTACAGTTATTCGAAACAAAAAAGTAATAACATTGCTATGTAGCACAATGGTATCAAATGTATCACAAGTACTTATCCTTTCAGTACATAGAGCAAGCCTTTTCCCACGTTTACATTAATAAAAAAGGGCAGAAAAAGTAAAGTAAGTAGTGTAAAACGTCTCACGGTTTAAATAGATTTGATAACATAATCTCTGGTCTCTATGACAACCGTGTCCTAATGTAATTAATATACATTGAGATAAAGATGGTACGTTCAAATTAAGTGGTCTTACTATGATCGTAAACATTACTTTTGTCATAGTATATGCAAGTAATTATGTGCCCCTAATTCCAAAAAATTTTCGTTAAAAGAAGGCACAGAATTATTTGAACAACCTAATAGTTGTAGCCATACCATTTGTAGTGATATATGCAAATATACACCTACCCTGGCTTAGTCTTCTCTTTAAAATCAAAAAAATCACCCGCCAAGCCTTTTAAATAACACAATATACATTACCATAACCTCAAAAAAACCTATATTAATATAGTGTCGCTAATGTTGCCAATGATGACATAGGCTGTTGCCAAAAACAGTTGAATATTGTTTTAAGGAGGACAGAAGACATAAGTGATATATGGATGAATGAGTAACAGATCTCTCGCTTCGCTTGACATTCTTTATTCATTCGAATACAATTCAAAGTAGAGCTTGTAAACATAGCCAAGAGAATAACAATAGTTACTTTGGCCGTTTATGTACGTAAATAACACAAATACAGCATACAACATGTCGCTGCACAAATGTAAAAATAGATTTAAATCACGCTGTGTCAACTTATTGTGTATGGTGTCAAGGGGCACAAAATTAAGTGAACGGCCTAGTATAAGCTTGATTATAGTCAACTTAGTCAAACACACAATATAGTCAACGAACAATCTAGCGACTCTATGATATGCTACGGGCATTTTGACTGCAAACGTGCCCTACCTTGCAGTTCACAGTACTTACCGTGCTGTAAAATGCAAAAACAGTACGAGTAACAGTGTAAAAGTTAACAGACATAACTACTCTCGAAAAAAACACCTTTGTTATAGTATAAAACGTCATACGACAAGTGGAAAACAATTCGGAAAACACGTTTGTTTTATGTTATTAACAATACTACTCCCGAACGTTTTCCAGATACTACCACCAAGGATAATGTCCTTTTTAATGTACACCCGAAAATAAAACAATTTGGCTATGTATTGTATTCTTAAATTGTTGAAATTGGCTTAAATTATCTTTGAAAAGGTATAGAAGTCAAAAGGCAATAAGTTATACATAGTATAATATTGTAGTAGCTATGGCAGCATTACAAATCGTCAAAAACTAAATGAATTTCTATATAAAATTTTGGCTTTTCTATCTTATCCTTATCTTTTTGGCCAACGCTACACCTTTATTAAAACTTTTGGCCACGTTTCAAGTAGTCAAACGTAAGACTATATAAATTAACAAGTATCGTATGTAAATCCAAGAAACATTGTTCATTTCGAATTCGAAGCAAAAAGTGACATCTGTCTGCCTTGTTTTTATAGCCGCGGGCATTAACTCGCCTATTAAAGTAAATTAATGGTCGAAATAAGAGTGCAAAGCAGCTGAACAAAAACTACTGTAATATATTATAATATACTCTGTTATTACTAAGTGGAAGTTAATATTTATTCAGAAATATTAAAAGACTTCGTTATATTGTACTGAGAGTGTAACATTGAGTTAAGTTTTTAACAATTTTTTGCCAAAAATAAGTAAAAGATATTGTTTATGGTAAGCTAGGTTACTGTAGCTACACGCAGCAACACCTAAACTACCATAAACAATTTAAAAGCCTATAAAACCTCGACAAGTGCACCAGCAGCATCCCAAAGTATCTCCGGAGCAGTAATAATACAAAGAGAGTAAGAAGTTGGTCGACGTCGTGAGGTCCTGAGGCGTTTCGCCTCTCTGGCCATTGTCTTCCGACCTCGTATTCATATCGGATCCGCGGGTGCCTGAGGGCGCTAGAAGTCCCTGGACGGTCTTCGAAGCCGCCGCCCTTCTTTATCTATGTTTCTTTGTCAAAAGTGACCTAAATCCACGGTCTAATCTCATCTCAATTAACACTACTCCTTTACGGCTCACTGAAGGAGCAGGGCTATGTAATGTAGTCATTGTAGCTTGTTGCAACTTTAATTTTACTGCTTTTGGTTCATAATGAAAGAGAGGATACTTGTGTTGAGGGCGGGTTACTTGGTTGCTAACTACCGCCTCAATAATGCTCAGACATTTGCTCAGACAAGTATTCTGAACTTTTATTCAAATTATTAACGTAATTACAATATAAATTTTAAAAAATTCAACTTTTTTGGATATTTATATTTTGCAGATTATATTGTTTAGGTCCGAACTAATAATAAGTTTAAAATCGTTGTTACTCATGTTAATATAAACAAACCTTTAAACAGACATTGCTGTTTATAAAGCCATTTCACGGCTATTCCGCACACTTTTTGACCAATTTCATCTCCTCTCCTCTAATACCTTACTTTTAATCGTATTAACTTCGTTTGTTACTTTAAAATATTCTTTATATTGTACTTGTTTCTTAACTTTTACTGTTTATTTGGATCTTTATTATAATTCTCTTACTTTTATTTCTGTTTGTATCTTATACTATCTCTTATATTACTCTAGCTAACCATTCAAACTACCTTTCACCTTCTAAAATTAATAAATTATTGAAATATTGCTTTGAAAACTGCCCCAAGACTTGCCCTGGTTACGTTTATAAAAAGCAAATTAGCTCGCTATATCTTGTGTTATTTTTATAGGTAACACCTGTCGGATCTCTTAACCTATTGACTCATTTCACCGAATGAAAATAAAACTCTTGAACGTCTACTCTTCTCCCGATTCGAATTAAAACAAATTCTATCAGTTATGCGGTTTCTCTGCTCGTTTCTCTACCTATTTAATTGTGTTCACGGCTTCAGAATCGGAAGTAGTGACGTCGAATTAGGGATTAATGAAGTTGAACATGACGAAGATAGCGTCAGGAGCTTCGAAGATCAAAATGAGAGCTTCAAAAGTCAAAAAGGCAAGTTTAGAAGTCTGAACGATACCTCTCAAGATGAAAATAGTGGCTTCTTTAATATCTACAAGACCGAATGTTTGAGTTACCATGACGTCACGAATGAAGAGGATGAGAAGAAGATTCAAGAAAGATTGAAAAACGCCGCTAGAAGTCATCTACAACAACAATCGCACTTGATCAATAGAGAACACTTATTAGAATCCATGGCCAAGAATGGCAGACCAAGAGTTAAAAGGGACTTCGGAGTTCTTACTAGTCCAGTAGCCACAGCTGTAGTTACAGGAATGATTGGTAAGTCAAGAAATATTTTTGATACTTTTTATATAACTATATTTCAAGAGAATTCGTCTCACTTTAAGTAATATACGATGACTTTAATGTCATTTTTAGCGCAAGACGACCTTTTCTGTTTTGTCATAGGTTTTCAGTAAAACATTACTTGAAATAAATCAATGTCACTAGACCTGGATAAAAAATCAGTTTTTTAAATCACATTATAAAAAATGAGTTTAAATTTCTTTAGGTATGACAGCAAAGGTAGTGTCAGATATCACAACATTTCGTGCAACTCCATCTTCCGGAGGCTGTGAATGGTTTGGCACAGCTCCATTATGTAACTATGCCTGTCCTAGCGATTATGACTATGTCAGAGGACATAATGGAAGATGTTCCAACTTTTGGCTAGCCGATACCTGCAAACCAGATGAGAGTTTTGGAGGACCGTGCTCTACAATCCTAGGATCCTTTTTCAAAAAGAGGTTTTGTTGCAAGTAAGTATGACTTGCCTTGTAGAAAACATAGTTTAGGGTTAATTTGGTGCCTGAATAAGAATTTTAAGTTGCACTTTACAAAAAATCTGAAAAACTAAAAAAAACCCCGTTTAAACATTAAAAAACTTAAAAAAGAAGTTGTTTTAGGTCTGATCCAAACGACTGTACCTGGAGTGGTCGATGGATGGGAGCAATGACTGCTCACAATGCTTATTGTCGATACGACAACAATATTGGTATCTGTGGTGCTCTTAAGTGTTCCATTAACCACCATGAATTAAAGGTATGTTAATTATACGTTACCTATGTAAAAAATTATACTATTGTACATTGGTAACACATTATTTTACATTTTATAACTGTTCCTAATCAAAAACAATAAATAAAAAATTCGATTAAAAATTGAATCGTGTAGAACGAAATTCAATTTGCAAAATGAAACAAAATATTTATGAAAATAACTTAATATTCAAATTATTTTAGGCAATAGACAGAACAGAAATCACAGGAGAAAACTGTGATCAGCTCACCTTGTTCAACATGACAGGTAGTGCTACCTGTGGGTTTATTGCCTGGAGCGATTCGGAAGGAAACGCAATTAACAGCTGGTACAAGACACGATGAATATCAACTTTAATATAAATTATAAACTACGGGTGACTAGATGTAAATAAATAATATTGATAGACGTATACTTGACAATAGTCTTTACAGTATATCTAGTTCGATAAGAATGTAATACTACAATCAAATAGGCACTTATTAGACAACCAAATAATAGTATACCAACCAGTTAAGACGATATTTAGTGATATGGACCAAATAATTAATAATGAACGGTAGTGAACAAGTGGAGTAGTCCTTTGACAAAGCCAAAGATCTCGTTTGAACCCAATTTGGACTCTCCATAGACACGGTCGACGAAAGTGATCGGGATCTGAGCAATCTTGTACTTATGATATGCCAAAGCCATCATTTCCATCTAAAATACGGAAAATTTTTAAACAAAATCAAAGCAAAAGATATAAAAAATATCATTTTTATAAACATTACTTAATAACCTTATGTAATACCCATAGAGTTAAATATAAACCACTAAACAAAACTACCTTACCTGGAAGACGTATCCTTTAGAAACAGATCTGGTGATAAGATCAGACAAGACTTCCTTCTTGTACAACCTGAATGATCCAGTCAGATCAGTAAAAGTTCTGATCTGAAGGGCAGTTTGAGACAAGAAGTTGGCTCCACAAGAAATTATCTTTCTTTTCGCATCCCAGCCATAGATACCTCCACCAGAGAGGTAACGGTTTCCAGTGACAATGTCGTACTAAAAATAAGCAATTAACAAAATCATCGACAACCTTAGTGTAACAATGATAAAGCCTTACAATTAAAAAAATCAAATATTAGCACGTACAGTAACATATCCTTCGTATATAGTAAACATTATTACCTAAAAACAGTTAAATAACACAATATACTTACATTATCTTTCTTTTGCAACTCAACCATCTGAGGAATGAACTTAGGATGATGAGAGAGATCAGCATCCATCAGAATAATAAAATCTCCCTTCGCAAACTTGATCCCTTCTCTGTAAGCTGTACCTAGTCCAAGTTTTCCCGGTCGACTCTTCAAAACAATCTTGTCTTCACCATACTCAGCCTGAAGCTTCTTGGCTACCTCATAAGTTTCATCTGGGCTTGAGTCATCAATCACAATTACCTAAATATTGAATAAATAACAATATAGGTAAAAAGACAATAACCAAAGAGTACTGTTTTATAAAGAATGTATAATAAGTTAAGTTATTTAAAAAATAAACTTATAATAAAATATTAATTATGCTTTAGAATTTCATGGCATAACAATAATTACCTCGTAGTTGACGCCAGCAGCAGTCAAATGTTTGTTAATCAACCAAAGACAAATTGGAAGATTGTCTTTTTCATTGTAAGTCGGTAAAATAATGGTATAAAGAGTCATCTAAACAAAAATCAACAATTATACTGAATTACGCCTAAGCAACGTATACATAAAGAAAGTTCATTCTTCAAAGCATCAGATATTATCATAGTTTTAAACTACTTGTCGCAAAAATCTACCAAAAAAATCCTAATCCTTGTTTATTTTTTAAAATACTTCAAATAATCAGAAGCATCAAAGTTGTCGTCGATGACCTCTTCCTTGATCCTCTTGACTTGAGGTTTCCTCAACGCCAATCTCTGTCGTCTCTCACTTTCATCTGCTATTCTTAGATCCAATGGTAATCTGACAAAATGCAATGGCTTCGGATACCTGGCTTCAACAGTGGAACCATCTGAATTCATCAACGTCACCTTGTACTGCTTGACGTATTTCGTTCGACTAGGTCGGCCGAGACAAGCTCTGTTTGCGTTCAAATCCACTAAAACAATATAAATACATAAAATAATATTACCTGAAGATACGGAGAAACATCGTGCTTGATTCAGAAACGTCAGGTACTTTGTGGCTAACATTTTTGAGCTCCTAAGCCCACGTATCACTCCGAAAATTATTTTACAAGATTTATTTTCAGTGGCGACAAGTTATACGACAGAAACGTTAGAAAACAAAAAATGTTTTACGAACATTGCTTTGCAAGCTGCGTCCATATTAGATGAATCAGAAAATAAAATTTTAGAAGATCTCACATAGCCGTTTTGTTGTAAATATAGTTTTGTAGTTATGCCGGTAAGTATTCAAGTAGTATCTAATAAAGAAATGTTTTATAATTTGTAAAATTAGATGTAACTTTATTGTTTTAGGCATATCACTCTCAATTCAACGATAATGTCGAATCAAAAGTTGGTAACATGGCTGTGTTACCTCTCAGGTCAAATTTTAAAGGTCCAGCGCCTCGTCAAGGTAATATTTTTTAAGTTTTAGGTATTATAATTACATGATTCAAGTTTATTAATTTATTTAATGTCAATATTTTGTTTTAGAAGCCAACAAAGTAGATATAATTGATGAAGCGCTTCTCTACTTCAAGCCAAATTTGTTCTTCCGAGAGTACGATATAAAGGGAGCCGCTGATCGTACTTTAATCTACTTGTTTTTGTATATTACTGAGTGCTTGAAGCGTCTTGTGAAGGTGTGTTCTTAATTATTTTTGATTATTTAGGTATACGAGTTGTGTCCATATCAATAAGAATAACATAATAGAAGTTTAGGTGCCAAAGAAAACCCAAGCGATCAAAGATCTGACTACAATGGCATTGGAATCTAAGTTACCGATTCCTGGAGAAGCTGCTTTCCCGTTCTCTGGACTTTTCAAACCTCCAAATGGTCCACAAGAAGAAGGTAAGCTTGTTGATTTGTTATTCTTAACTTTATATTATAGTAAGTTAGTAAATTATAATTTTTAGTTTTTTTGTTCATTTCAACCGTTTTATTAATCTTTTATTTATTGTTATCGATGTTTTACTTTATATGGTTAAATGTTCTTAAATAAGGTCTTGCTATGTTTAGAAACGATGCGAGCGTACCTCCAACAGTTAAGACAAGAGCTAGGGGCCAGATTAATTGAAATTGTATATCAGAATCCCGATCAGCCATCAAAGGTCAGTTTTTTACATATTCACATTGGTTTTTTACTGTAATTTAGGTATAAAAAGTTATCTGTTTTTAAATTTAAATATTTTTAAAGCTTTCTTTAATTTTTAAAAGAATATTTAAATTAACATAGGTATTGAGTAATGAACCTAAATGTAAACTTTCTGTTTTAGTGGTGGCTTTGCTTTGCCCGACGTCGCTTCATGGATAAAAGTTTAAGCAAAAACTTTTAATTATCTTGTAAATTATATGACCTTTTAAATAAATTATTTCGTAAAATGAAAAAAAAATTAAAGACGACAAAAAAAAATAAAACAAGGTAACGTCAAGAATATTGGCGTAACTATACCTAAAAGTAAATAAAAAGACAAAATGAAACAGTATTATCTATAATAATATCAAAGACTTACTCGTCCTTGTTTTGAATCCCTGTCAGGTAACGGGTTTGTTTGAAATTCGAACGGCGTGAAGCTGCTCTTGACCAAGTAACCTTTGGGTGAGTCAATTTCATCGGAGAACTTGAAATCGCGCTTCGCTCCTTCAGACCGATCAGAAGAGATCCGTTGAGATTTGTCGGTTTTCTCTTCAGTCCGATGACATGAAACTGCAGAATCTTTCATTCGAAAAACATTTCGTGCGCGGCTTCTTCTACTGGGGCTTTATCGTGCACCGATTCAGATGCGTTTTGTTGTGGGCACCGTTCTTTGTGACGGCGTTCCTCGCATGCGGGTTCTATTGGCTTAAAGAGCAGGTAACTGGTTAAAATTGAAATTTTGAGGTGATAAACGGTTCATTTTTAATAAATATTTGTTGAAATCGATGTTATTCAAGCATAAAGTGCTAGATTGTTGTAGTTTTTTCTTGCTTGTTTGTTCTGTGTTAAGATTAGGTAGTGTAAAGATGTATGATAGATTTTAAATTCTTAACTTTTAGACCACCATCGACCCCCAATTTGTGTTTTCTCCAGAAGATGCTATCTGGAGGTACGAACGTGGTGTTATCAGTGAGCATTGGCCACTGGATGAAAAGAAGTTCTGGCCAGGAATGTCGTACGAATACAATGGCTACGTTGATGTAATAGCAGCTGGAAGACCGAATCCTGACTTTGGATACCCGAATATGCTTCTGAAGCGTTATGTAGAGGAATTGGATAGGATTAACCAGTATATTGTACATAATCTGACGGTTACTGTAGAGTTGAATGATCGTAATTATACTGTGGGATTCAGTGATTTGTGTATGACATACAATTGGAGGTGTTACGAGAACGATCATGTGTTTATGCTGAAACCAAAGAGTACATGGGGAAGGTTTGATGCTCAGATTGCTGAGTTTGCAGAGGATATCATCAATACTGAGGTAAGTATGACTATAACTAGATTCAACGCAGCATTTTAGAGGTTTGATAAGCAAAATAATTAATGTGACAAATTTAAAAACACTTAATTTTCAGCTAAAAGTGACATACCCGATCGGATGGCGTGGTACTGAACCGATCTATTTTGGAGCTTTTGTTGGTGCACCTCATATAAAGGACGATGAAGGTCATTTCGACTATGTTAAAGCTGTCAGACTGACGTATAATGTGAGAGCGGGCAATGTCGATGTCTTTTCTTATCAGTGGAGGAAAAAGTTGACCAAGTTCTTGACAGACAAAGTTAATCCGGCTAGTGGTATGCTTTTAATGTTTCACTACAATATTGCGTTTAAAATGTTTATAGAACTACTGTTTACAAGTATTATTAAGTACTATGTGATAACAATATCAGACTAAACTTACTTAAAAATATAAGCTTAACCTTATTTTATGCCGTAGCCTTTTTCAGAACTGCTCCAATTCGGCCTGTTCCACAACGAAAGTCTACCTGAAGGTCTCCAAGACGTTGCTGACACCTTAACCCCCAAGTTTGCCATAATGTCATTCTTACTATTCGTGTTTTGTGTTGGCTGTTCTTTGGTCGTTCTGCCATTTGAAGACAGTTTCTGCATCGATTGGGTACGCTCTAAGCCTATTCTTGGTCTAGCTGGCATCGTATGTCCATTGTTGGCCGTAGTCAGCGGATGGGGAATCGTACTGTGGAATGGGGTACTGTACAATGCTATAGTAAATGTATCTCCGTTTATTGTCACTTGTATTGGGATCGATGATGCGTTTTTGATGACAGCCGCTTGGCACAGGACCAATCCAGAACAAAGTCCGGCCAAACGGCTAGCTGAAACGTTGGCCGAGGCTGCTGTGGCCATTTCTATTACTTCCATCACTGATATGGTATGTTTAGAGAAGGTTATATTGTTTAGACGGTAAAATTTATAGCTCATATCATAACTTAAATTTTTTAAATATTATTACGGTAAGTTTAGTGTAAGAATTAATAATTTCAATCTTTTGTAGCTGACATTTGGTATCGGATGTATGACCTCTCTACCTGGTGTGCGTTTGTTTTGTTTATACACATTCTGGGGTGTTACCTTCACCTACATCTACCAGATCACCTACTTTGCCGCTTTGATGGCTTACTGTGGAGAAATGGAAGACAAAGGCATACATTCTTTGTTTTGGACTGATACTAAAGAGCCTGGAGAATACAGTAAGACTAGCTGAATAGATCTAATGGCACTTTTATTACTGTATTTATGTTATATTTATGAGTTTATTACTACGCTTTAGCTTTACATTACAGTACTTTTGGTATCTAAATAACCAAAAATCTTTTCAGAAACCTACTGGAGGAGATTCTGGTTCTCAGGAAGTAAATGTAGGTATAAGGACAGAATGGAGAGCTCGAAACAACTTACTGATCTGAATAATGTGGAAGATACGATGAAAGAAACAGTCAAGGATACGAAGAAGGGACATAAAAGTAAATTCATGGCCATTATGTCGAGTTTCGGGACCAGTATGGCCAGTGATGACCATGTAAGTTGTCAAAATCACTTATTTTGGAATGTAAAATACGTTGAAATGATCGCATTTGTTTTTAGCACATGGAGACCCACTACTCGAAGGAGACTTTTGTCAATTACATATTCAGAAATGTCTATGCTCCATTTCTACTGACAAAGAAGACCAAGGTCTACGTCTTCATAGCCTACTTGATCTATATTGGAGTAGCCGTATATGGGGTGTCTGAAATCAGAGAAGGTCTGAATCCAAAGAATCTAGTCAGGTCTTCGTTCTACTTGAGCGACTTCTACGAACTTATCGACCAGACGTTTTGGTTGGAAGGTATGCTTATTTGTTTTAGCGTTTTTTTCAACATACTTTATGATTAGAATATCAAAGTATCCTATGTAGATGTAGGACAAAATCAATGATAAAATGGTGTAATATCCTTAATTTTAGGCCTTCAAGTCCAAGTAGTAGTGAACAATCCTCCCAACTTGTTCGATGAGTCTGATAGACATGAGTTTCATCGTCTTGTGAGTTCATTCGAAGATACCGAGAACACGATGAATCACAATGCCACGATGATCTTCTGGGATGCATACGAAAAACACCTGGAAGAAGACTTTACTGATCACAAGATAAGCAAACCTAATAGGTATGAAGGTCAAGTTTTCTATATGATATGATAGCTATTGTATAGATATTATGTCACAGCTATATTATTCGTTCAAATAGTTTGTCATTTCACTTTAAAACTATAAGGCGTTACTTTAAAATTGATTTTAGTACGGAAGAGTATTACATACGAATGCGAGATTGGTTACTGACAGCCGGTGGTCGAAACCTGTGGGAAGTAAACATGCAATGGGCGAGTGACAATGAATCTGATCCTATTGTAAGTTCGATTTAAACCCACCGTTTTCAGAATGACTTTATACTTCTTCTTCCAGAGCTTGACATTCTGTCCGGCTCTGTACCTAAAATAATATAATGATTACAGTACCTAACATAATATTTGCCAGCATGATCACGAGTATTCTTTCAGAACTACTACAACTTAAAGGCGTTCCGCTTCCAAGTCGGTCTCCGCAACTACCGTACCCCGACCCAACATACAGAAGGCTGTCGTCTGATCCGTAGTATTGCTCGTAGCTGGAGTAAGTACAATGTCACCACCTTCCACGAGTACTACCCCTTCGCCGACCAGTACCTCGAACTGAAGCCGGCTCTGATTAGAAATTGTATCTTGGCCGTTCTTTGTATGGGTATCGTAGCGTTTCTCATGATTCCACATGTAGGTGGGGTGTTGGTTATAGTGGCAGCCATCATATCGATTGACATTGGAGTAATCGGCTACATGACGATATGGGGAGTGAATCTGGAGAGTGTCTCCATGATCACCATCATCATGAGTATCGGGTTCTCGGTGGACTTGAGTGCTCACATATCGTATGCTTATGTCATTGCCAAAGGGGACAACCACACAAAGGCTATCACAGCTTTGGAGACATTGGGATGGCCAGTGTTTTTGGTAAGTTATATTGGCCCAGGTCTTGATGCTAAACCACATTTAGAACTAGAAAACGTTTATTTTGGGATAGGAATTGTTCGACCACAATATTCATTTTATACAGAAAATTTTAAAATTTTAGGGTGCCTTTTCTACTGTAATGGGTATCATGATATTGGCCTTTGTGGATGCTTATATCGTGCAGCTGTTCTTCAAAACAGTATTCCTGGTGATATCCTTCAGTTTACTCCACGGTATCGTATTCCTACCTATATTTATGACCGTAGTAATGCCTGGGAAAAAGGTAGACGGCCAAGGTCAATAACTTGTATCATTGCCATACACAACAAAGTGTTTACTGTTGTCTTTATATTATTGTTAAGCTATTAACTTATTTATACCCACATACATCCTACTGTAATATGTTACATTTACGTATTTATAGCCGTTATGAACAAAGATTTCTATGATAATATGACCCGTTAGTTAGTGATAATTTCAAAGTTGAATTGACACCGATTTTTGAGTACGACCGTCGTATATGAAGGTGTTGTCGACGGGTACGTACTGTTGAGTACATAGCTTAATGGCTTCTTGAGCTACGATCCCACCCAAAATCGAACATACCACGTTGAGCTCCGCAGTGCCGTACCTACAAATCTCTTTGATGGCCGAGTTGGGGATGATACGGTCTTGGTTTGATATCAGTTCTTCGTCCTGGAAATGATATACTTAATCGTCATTTATATTTACAAAACTTCGCTTTGTATCTCTTTTCAACAAAATAGTATTCAAAGTATACATTACAATACCATGCCTCAGTTTCGTCCAGAATACTCTTGACTCTGTCTGCCAGATCCCTCGAGTCCAACGTGATTGGTACCCCATTAGTACCGGGAGCTCTATTCTTCGACAAACTGAACCTATCCCTCGCCTTCAGCAGTACCAACCACGCCAACGGATGCACGGTGCTTGTTTCATCGTACTGCACTTCCTCCCAAATGCGCCTAATTACCGCAGTTAGCCCTCCCTTCGTATCTTCCTTAATTCCTTGGCCCATAATGACGTCGAGGCCAAGGACATTCTTGCAAATCTCTCGGCAATCTTTAAAACTCAGCTCGGCCACTTTCGCGTCCAAACGAGCATCGTGTAGAATCTGCGTAGCCTTCGTCAGAACCCATTCAGCGTCGGCATGGGCTTGCTCGTTGAATATCTTGACCAGTTTCACGTAGCTTTGCGTGTCAGAAGTCATGTCGGGTAGAACACCACTCAACGGAAGATGGCCAGTTTCATTGAAGAAGGCCTTTATGGCCGATACGTATACCCAGAAGGCTGTAGCGTTCTTCATCGTCAAGTTTTCTGAATCTGTTCGAGGGTCGTTGAAGAGGTTCTCAATGTTGTACGGTAACTAAAACATAATAAAGTGAGAAAAATCTTTGAAAAATAAAAATAAGCCTTAATGTTTAAAGGAGACCTTATATAATCTTAAAAACAAACCTTGAAATTAGCAAAAGATCTATGAATATTGTCACAAGCTTCCTGAAAGTTGACTTCATCCAGGATCCCTTTCTCGTTGGGCTTCTGCATCTCCTTCAACAACGTAATAAAACTCTTTTTCTTGGCTCCTGCAGTAGGTAATGCATCTGTATCCAGTTGCGTTTTTCTCCATAGAGGTAGGGCCTTTATGTACAATAAAAGATAGGGGATGTGTGAATGTTGTTCATGTTCCATTTCATCCAAGTTTATGGTATCTGCGTATTCTTTTAACGCTGGGAAAGGGTTCCAAATTCTGAACATAATACTTAGTAAACTATAAAAGAAAAAACTGGCACTTTAAACGAAAACAGGTTGAATCATACCTAAAATCGAACGGAACATTCTCAGTGTGAGCGTTGTGAACTTCATGATCTCCTACACAAATTCTCATGAATCCCAGCAGTCCCAAACTCAATGTTGATATGAATGGAATATTCCTCCGCCTTAAATAGTCCCCCAACTGAACAGAGACATTAGCATTCATCCCGCATCCAATAACAATGCTGAACTTCTCCAAAACGTTGAACTGAGTGTCATTTTTAAATTTGATCTCCTCGAACCGTCCTTCTACCGCTGGATTCAACTCCTAAACTCGTAGAACATGTATGAGAATGATTAAAATTACCTTTATATATTTAGTGACAACTTCCGCTCTTGATCTTCCAGTGTCTTCTTGAGTTATAAAGAAATTGCTACCAAAATCAACTTCTCCGACGTGTTCATCATCGAAAATGGTGAAAGATCGAATGCCAGCCAAAACCAAACATTTCAAAATCTCGGTACTTGTAGCTGTTGATCCAATGATGGCCAAATCACATCTTCCGAGGCTATGTTGGCCACGATCACCCCAAAGCCTTATCTAAAAGGAGATGAATATGATCAACCTTGAAAAACACATTAAAATAAAACAATAGCCATATCATATTATAATGATACGGCTTTTATTTTTTATCTAAACAACACTATTCAAAGGTAACAAAGGTATTACTTAAAAAACCATTTTTACTCAAGAACTGTCGCGAAACCATATATAAATTAAAATAACTTACTTGTCTGTCATATCTAGCTGAATTCCCATCCTCTATCGACAGACTGGACATTCTGTTGCGAATCATGGATAATAATGCAGTTTTTTGTCCATAGTAACTATAAAAAATATATTTTTGGCTTGGAATTATTTTATACGATGGATCGTGTCCACGCTGTTTATCGCTTTGTTTTTGAGGAAGTAACAGACATTTCTAGACGGCATTTTGTGTAAATCTTGCTTTGACATAAATAAACTATATTGGAATTAAAAGTTGTAAATTAGAAACGTATTTTTTATTTTAATATTACTTTTATGTGCTGAATTAACTAAAATTCAATTGAAAAAACCTAAATATAAATGGAAAAATTGTAGTTTTGTATTAAAATCATAATTATAGGCTTATTTATTAGTTTTGAGACAAAACACGTGTCTAAAATACAAAATTTAGTAAAAGAGAGTAATTTGTAGTAAAAGTATTAGCATACGAAACACAAGACATAACATCAACCGTGGCACACATGGTTACTTTGTTGGTCGATGAAGACTCGTACACTCCTAAAGTCAGTTTGTTAATTGCTAGAGTTACTGAACGTTAACCGTGTTCTTTGTGGAGATATGATTAATTACGTCTTAAGTCTTTTGAGGACATGTCCTGAGGGCGTAAACAGAACGCTTGAATGGAGTGCCAAATACGAAGTCCAAAACGTTTTTCATGGAATTCAAAAATTAGGGGACGGTCTTTCTCTGATGACGAGGACAAGTATTAATGAATGAGGCCAAGAGGGATGCCATTCTGCATAAGTAATCAGAAGCGGCCGCTCCCGGGGCCAATTTCATACTTTTTAATTCATATTGAGTGAGTTAATGTACTCGATATCGATACTGAACATGTTCTTGCTAATGGCCATGACAGTTTTATTGATATTGTGCTTTTAATGCTATTAATATCGTCAATTTAGATGACATTGTTATGAATAATGCCTATGTTAATGTGTTTATAACCATTAACATGGTGAATATACGTCTTTGGCACTTTAATGGCTTCACAGCATGTTAATGTTGTTCATCTCTAACGTGTTAGAGTTCTTTCTATCGTAGAGAATATTCTTGTTTTTGCTCAAATGGTCTTCAGATTGGATATGTTAATATTCCTATCTTATGGAGTAATTTTTTCTAGAATATTGGTGTTCTCCTATCTTACGAATTAATTGTGTCCAAAGTATTGGTGTTCTTCGTATCTTACAGAGTAAATTTTAATGTTCGGCCGCCGTTAAAATGTAACTTTTTGAATAAGCGTCTTATTGGGGCGTGGAATTTACTGTGAGCTTATGCAAATTAGTCTGCTTTTGAGGAAATCCGTGACGTTTTATGGTTTTACAGTATACGATTTGGCAATTTAATGGTCACAAAGTATGTGGCAATAAATTTTGCATAAAAAATTGTAAATTTTAGGATCAAAGTTTACGTTTCTCTCTACTTTTCGACTAATACTTAAGTAAACTCAAAAAGTTATAATTTCATAAATTTCACATCATTTCATAAGGTTACTGTAACTTTAACTTTACCATTATTTTCCCATAGTTACAGTAGTCTCAACCGCAACAAACCCAATAACTTTACTTGCCTTTCGCTTCCAGAAAAGGCGTCATCCAATTTGGAGGAAGTCGGGTTTATTTCCTCCAAATCTGATGACAATTGATTGACTGCTGGCCAAATGTTTTGGCCATTTACTTCTCGTATATCTTTTTGTGAGTACATATATTACATCTGTTGACATGGCCGGTTTAATTAAGTCGAATGTCATTGTATCTCATAATATTGTGCACGATACTAATTAGTTCTTTCTGAACGGGTTGAGACTTGGACTTCGGAGGGTTCTGGAGGTGAGGCTGGGGTTAAAAGGTTGTATTTTTATTGTTTTTTAAATGTTTAAAATTTTTAAAAGTTTGTTGGAAAGAAAATTTTAGCCTTAAAACTTGAGTTTTGAATAGTTTATGGCCCAAATCTACTACAATATAAAGCCCAAATTTACATTTTCGCGGGAACTTCGAACGTTCTCAGAATCCTTAAAAATGTAAATTCAAAACTTGACAGCTGAGCTTCAGAAGTTGTACTTTAACACGAATCCGTTTGGCGGTTCCATTTGAGGATGTTCTGTCACTTCCCGGCCCCAGTCAAAGTTCTTTTCTGGCCAGTAAATACCCGAAAAATGTGGGATTGTGGTGGGTCCTCTCTCTTCGAAGCAGGTGTTTTTATGTCTTCAAATTGGCCCTGAGGTGTTATTGCTAATCCAAATTTGTACACGTCTAAAGGACAGCCGCTTGTCGTCGTATCTTTCACATTGTAAGGGGTTATTTACATTGTTCCGTTACTGAGTCATTTACATTATGTCGTTACTGCGTTATTTACATTATGTTGTTATTGAGTTATTGACATTGTTCAAGTACTGAGTTATTTACATCATTTTGTGTTAAAAACAAATGTCATCATGGTTAATATGGCTAATCACTTTATTATTATCTATGCACTTGGTTAGAGTATAAGTTAAGTGTTGTTGACGTATTTAGAGGACAGTAGGTTGTGTTGTATAGTACAGTAAACAAATTTGTTGAGAATGTTTGGTTTAGCGGTCAAAAAGTAAAGGGAAACGGCAGCAAGGAAAAATATTTTTAAGTAAAGAATATTCTACTTTTTAAAATTATAAATTATTGTTGGGGTCAAAAAGTAAATAGAAGTTTTGAAAATTGTAAAATTTAAAAAAAAATTTTTTGTAGCAATATTTAGCTTTCTTATATCGTAGTAGGTCTTTTTCTGTCAAAAATGTTTAAAAACTGAATTTATTTGTAAATAATTCATTTTTTACTATTTCTATGTACTTTTTGACCAAAAAACCTAATACATATCTTTATAAATTTTAAAAAACTTCCTCCGACTAAGCTAAAGTCATTACCATGGTAAAGGGAAAGCGAAATTAGTACCCAAGAACAGTTGTGTTATTGTTTACTCCAAAGTAAGAGTGCAATTGTATTGCCATTTGAAGATAGACCTTGTTATCTACTTTTCTGTACTGTCATACGTTATCTTTGGGTTTGAACTCTTGTGTTTAGGTATGTACGAATACACATTGTCTAGGTTATATTTAGATTGTGTTATCTTTGTTTACATCTGCTAACTAGGGCTAGTTAGGGGGGTTTTGTTGGTTTACATGTTGTGCTCGTACGATGATGCTGGTCTTTTACATATACTTGCATGATGGTACTAGTCTTTTTGGTATTTAAATTCGTGAGCCTTGCTTGAACTTTCGAAGTCTCAATTAGAGAAGGAGATCACTTCTTGCTCTAAATTTACCTTACCCATCCTTGGTGGTCACATTATTACCCATTTCTGTACAGACTATACTCACCTCTCCCTTTCGTCTTACCTCACAGTACGAGCACGATTTCCAGTTCGGCCCAAACGAGCCCGAACTCAAGTCTGGTCCAAACCCACATGTATACATGTTTACTTTACTTGTACATATGATTTACTTTGCTTCTCGAGACGAAATAAGCAATATCGTAGAATATAATTAGAGTTGTTATATTTGTTTTGAAAAGTCGGCGGTTTTCTCGACATTATAAAATGAAGCCATGCGCATTCAGAGACACAACTTTTACGGTTTTATGCCCCAGGGCTTTTCCAAAAACAATTCTTTAATAGACTTAGGAATGTCTTTAACAGACTGAAACAAGTTCTTATAAGTCAGAGCTTTTCTCGATTCGTGCTGTTTTGGCAGACGTTTTTTTGGCAAACTTTTGGGAAACTCTGGGTCGATAAATACGTAGAAACTTGGTTTGGTCAATAAGTTAGTATAAGAACTTAAAATGAAGGTATAGATGTAAATAAAGGCAACGTTTTGGCACGTTTTGATTAGATTTACACACTTCAAAGTTATCTTTGACCTCCCAAACGAAGGTCTTTTCTGATGTATTACCTAAAACATGACCTCTAATAGACTTCAAGAGTCTTTAATGCTCTCCCGAATACCTCTGGTCTACCCTACGGCCGCGTATACGTCCTCCTTTATGTCAGTTATTATACCAACTACAAGATTAAGAAGGCTATTTTTAAATTGGTCGGCCAAGAGTTGCGTGAAAACGAGGAACGGGGTGGGGCCAAAGCCTCGCTCGGCCACAGCTTTCCCCTGAGGGCATAAGTTCGAGAAAAGGGAAAAGCCGTGAAGGGGGTCAGTTCGGTTCCAATGAGTGCATTTCAGATGGACGGACCGCCCGAGCCCATAGCCAGCGACTACGTCGAGCTAGCCATCCTGGTCATATTGTTCGTAGTTGGTGCTCCACTCAATTTGGCTGCGTATACTCAGGTATGGTTAATATAGTTAAAAGGAAATGACAACATATATTTTATAAACAAAATGGTACTTCGAAGAAAGTATTGTTTTAAGTGAGCTCTTCCGAATACTATTTAAAAACCCCTGCCTATTATGTTGTTATTGCCTTCGCTAGCTGTTTTTTTGTAAAATAATGTTGTTTTTAAGCATTGTTTTTGTTTGTCCAGGAATTATTGTCACTTTTACAAATTATAATTTTCAGACAAAAGTGGATTTCCAAATTACTGGCTTTACATTTTAAATTACAGCCTTTACAACAGTTGACTTTAAGGCATTTTGAAATTCAAAATTATGGCTTTAAAATTAAATTTTTTTATTTTTTAAGTTTGACATGCCTTTTAAAAAATTTCTAAACTGTAAGGTTAAGGCATTAAAGTTGTTTTAAAATGACATTTTTTAACTTCGAAATTAGTATCCATAGATATGGTGTGCTTTAATACCAAAAACTATTGATATTGCAGTAGCATAGATATAATACGCTCTAATACTGAAAACTCATAAACAAACTTGTTATAGTAGGCCGGGTAACTCAACTATAAATAATGTTGGGCATAAACAGAATTTCGAAAAATGTTAAAAAGTACATTTAGAGGCAAAAAGTTAATCTTTCTAATGAATGTTATTGGATTGGCGTAAGTTATGTTATGCTTTGCTTAACTCCCTGAGTTACAAGTTATGTTAGGCTTTCCTTACCATTAGACCAGCTTTTTTAGGTTTATTGAACCCTATTTTGATTCAAAAATGTTTTTGAAATGTCTCAAAAAGTTGAAATTCCTCGAAAAACAGAGAAGGCAAAAGTGGCCGTATAGGTTTATAAAGGGCTACGTGACGATGTAAAAGCAGCCATATAGGCATTTATATGAAAAGTCAATAGTATTTCGAAGTAAGAACAAATGTTTAAGTGTCGTCATGATAAACAAGTTTCAGCTGGCCGAGAGACCTGTTTGTACTCGACTTGACATTCTCAAGCGACATCTCAACTACTCCGACCTACTAGTACTCTTCATTTATGTACCGTCGAGGGCATGTTGGCTACTGACGTATGACTGGAGGGGCGGTGACTTCCTATGCAAATTAGTCAAGTTTCTGCACACTTTTGCTTTCCAGGTAATCTTTATTTATATGAACTTTTAATTTTTTTAAATGTTTTTAAAATTTTAATTGATTTTATGTTTTTTCTCTGAACTTTTCGACCGAAAACTCACTATAACTTTTCGACTCAAAAAAAGTAAAAATAGACACATTTGAGTCAGGTATATATATCATGTGTTGTATCGCTCTTTTTAAACTTTTTTTTATTTCAAAAAGAGAAATTGGCAGGCTTAAAACACAGCTGAGCCTTAGGGCTAATTGGCTTTAATAACCAAGGAGAGAGCTTTTATTCAATTAAACATAGTAACATAGACATAAGTGCATTCTGACATGTCCAAATTGTAGTTATAAAGAAACATTGTCAATAATATGGTGTAAAGTAACATATGATATGTTCTAGGCATACTTAACTTAATATAATTAACTTAGCATATAACATAATATTATACTTAAAATGAGTTAAAAATAAATACATGACATTTCAAAGCAGATTTGTGTACATAAATGTACATTATATTATAGTAGGTGGTAAATTAAAATGCATTTTTAGAGTTTGCATAATAAGAGTAGGTGCTGATACTATAATATGCATTAATAGAAAAGCTAGTAATGAGTATATTGTCATAAGAATGGCAGAATGCTGATACCAATTTGTTTTTCTGAAGATGTTTGAGCTTTCTTTTGGTTCCTACTTTTGGCTAATTTTCTATAGATACTGGGTATGGCTGTGACAAACAGATCAAAGATTTTAATATTAGTCATGTAGGGTTTTAAATTGGAGAGTAACTGTTATTGGCATGAGAATGTTACGGTAATGGCATGCTTAATATTTACTAGGGTAGAAGTATTACTTAGGAAGAAAGAGGGGGGGGGGAATTAATTATTGTAAAATTAGCTATGATAATATATAAAACTATTCAAAAACTCAAATGCTTTAGTTTTTCTTATGACAATATTGTATGTATTTTGCCTACTACAACGCCCTACGTATTCTTTGCAGATCTCGTCCAATGTGATCGTAGTAATAGCCATAGACCGTCTCTTGACAGTCATGTCCTCATCACATCATCGACCGGAAAGAGCCCATAAGCGGACCAAGTTAATGTTGTTGGTGGCGTGGGTAGCGGCGTTTGTGATTTCGGCTCCACAGTTCGCCGTCTGGAGAGCGTACGAAGCCTTCAAGGACAAGAAGTGGAGTCAATGCATGCAGGTATGGTAATAGGATATATGCATTTATTTAGCATTACTATTATTTATCTTCATTGCTTTACATTACTGTTCTATATATACATCGATTAGTAGGATATGTTAATAGAATGGGAGTATAATTAACATTAGAAATTTAAAGTTATGCATCTGATTAGGGTAATGTAGCTTCAGATAATGTTGCTTTTGGTTCTTAATTTATGCATTTTTGGTTGCATTTGTTCTTTCTAAAGTAATGTTAATATAAGGCAGAAGTAAGCCTACTTTAATATTCAAATTCTCGTGAAATACATTTTATGAAAATCTTTTGAATTTTGATGAGTTATCGGTATAGAAAATGTAAATTTGCGTCAAGTTTAGGCTATCAAGCAAAAAATAAAAACTAAAAGCTACCTCTTTGTATATTGCACTAGCTCTCAGTATTAAAAATTTTAAACATTTAGTCTGAAAACAATTGCAAAAAACGCTAAAACAAGATGTAGTATTGTGTAAATCAGACTTCTGAACTCTAAAATTCGGAGTTATATATAGTTTCTTAAAATTACATTATCTTTCGTCTCCCTCTATTTAGTGTTTTTGATTGTTATGTGTAATATGTCATGTATAACATGTTGTTCATGACAATTCAATTAAGTAATGTTGTTTTTAATCAAAATGTCATTTTAGATATGGGAGATATTCCGCGCCGAGGCCGTTCTCAACAATAACACTCAAATAAACGCCAACGAACTGATGCGCGAAGAGAACGTGTACGTCGTTCTGCACATGCTTCTCATCTTCTGGATTCCGGCTACTATTGTTATGGTAAGGGACTGTTTTGAAGGGTTTTCTGTATGTATTACAGTAGGTAGGGTAAAGTTTTGATATTAATGTAGTTTGTGGTCTTGGTAATATAGCTATAGGTAACACTGTGATTAGTTTTGATACTTTCACTAACACCCTTAACATTACAAGGTTTCTTAACATTAAAACGTTGTTAAGGAAGTCGGTTAAGCTTAAGCCAAAGCTAAAACTCTAACTAAGGCTTAATCTCTTAACAGTTTTAAAGGCTTAAAAAGTAATCAAAGTTTGTTATTTCAGCTGAGCTACGTCATCGTATCTTGTTGGGTTTACTGGAACAGTGAGCCGTCATTGTTGATAGCGCATGGCAGAGCTAGTGCTGACTCTCGTGCTGGGATTTCATATCATACTGGGATGGAGACGCTGGATACTGTGGTCACTAAGACTACCGGCGTTCAGTTTGGTATGTTTGTTATGGTATTGGTATCCTTTTAATGTTTTTACCGCTTATGGGTTGATTTTAATATTATATCGTCTGGTCTTCCATTTTTAATGTTACGATACTGTTTACAGTACTCTAACTTCTCTGTTTGTCTGTGTTTTGTGCAGCTTAGTTTCTGTATTCATTTTACAGCTATTATTATGCAAAACATATGACGTAAAGGTCAGGGCCGGGCGCGAGGTGGGGGGGGACGGGGGGGGATACCCTCCCAGAAAAAAATTTTCGAACAAATTTGAACGTGGTCCCCCCCCCCTGTGGATTTTCGGAAAAAAATTTCGCAAAAAATCGGCACAGGTAACCTGTGCCAATTTTTTGGACCCCTGCCCCCAGACCAAAAGTCCCCGTTCGGCCCTGGTAAAGGTATATAACACTAGATTTACAATAACGTTGTCATTTACATTACTATTCGCCTGCAAAGTTGTTTGCATTTGTTACATTTACAGCTGCAAATCCGAAAATAGTAATTAGTGACGATACGATAAAACCTCTGAATGAGCAACGAGCTTCAGCTGGCTCGGCCGACACCCTCAGGCACAATTCCACGAACACCGTGATAACACCGGCCATGAGGCGAAGTCATTCCACATTCAGTGCCAAAGTCAACAGGTGCGATTATAACTATTCTTGGCACAGTAACTTTCAAAAGCTTGGTAGTAAACGAGTATAACAATGACTTTAACTACAGTAGAGAAGATACTGTAACAAGAAATTATAAACATTTTGTTACAGTAAAAAAATTGCCATAGAAAAGCAGAGTATTATTTATAAAAACAATTTTTGGTAGAGTAAACTCATATTAAACTAAATCACTTTCAGAAGTCGAGCAATAAGAGTCAGTTTCCTGCTAGTAGCCGCTTACATAATATGTTGGCTACCGTATAACGCTCTCAGTCTTATACAGTTTGTGGATTCGGAAATATTCAGTAAACACGCAAACAAAGTAAGTTCATCAAGATAAGAAGCAATACCATAAAAGGGCTTTGTCTGTCTTTATGAAAAAGTGGTGCAGGCTGTGGAAGTGAGGGCGCGGGTCTCAAGTTGGGTTTTTGTGGTTTTATCTTTCGAAAATGACTAAAAATTTGAGGTCAATATTAACATAGACTATTCATGTTCGTTTCGACGCAATTTTATTCCATAGTAGCCCAATTGTTAATTTGTAAGATCAATATCAATGATAAGATCTTTTATACTCAGATAAACCCCAAAACATAGGCATTTACTTTGACTTTTCAGCTGTACTGTTTACACGGAATGATGGTGTTTAACTCGGTGGTGAATCCATATTTGTACGGGTTGTTTGGCAAAATGTGTCGGACCAAACGGAGACATTCCTGATTAGCACAAAGTCGATCTCAACTTGAAACAACGGGCCGCTGAACATGTTCAGCATTGTTTATGTTTGTATATACATGGTTAAAGTAACTTAAATACATATTATCACTCACTCACGGTGTCAAGAATCGGCAACTTTTTCAATTTTTGGGCTGAATTCTACGGCAAAGACAAGCAATATTGTAGTAGACCAGCAAGAAAACTTATAGAAATGTTTTTGTATTGATTTTTGGACCAAATTAAGTAATATATTTTTAAAATGATACTAAAATCGTCGAATAAAACCTTTTTCTTTGAATTGACAACCTTAAAATCAACTATTTCAATTAGTAAATCGATCAAACCCTATTCTAAACCTGCAAACCCTCCCTCCATGCCCATACCTCTTCCATTATTTACGTTACGTCCATACCTCTTTGTACACAACGTTTAAAAAGAATTGGAAAGCTTAACACACGGCGCAAAATAGCAGCAACCTGACCAAACCCTGCGGATTTGGTTGACAAAAGAAAAAGAGCGAAAAAGAGGATCAGGCAGCCCCCAGCCGCACCTTTCCACCCCCCTCGCCTCTCTTCCTTCGGTCGCGCACAGTCGGCTCAAGGTTGCCTCTTCTCCACGTGCTCATCAAACTCTCTTCGGGCGACTTTCCTCTTCTGTCCAGTCGCTTTCGCGAACGTCGTCCATCTCAAGGTTTGCCCGGGTCTTCTGCCCCCAGGGCCCAAACCGGCCTTCTGAAGTTCGTGGCGCCGCTTTACACGCCTTTTCTTATCTAATTTTAATATATCCGGCGGCGAACGACCCGCGGCCCGCTAACAGTATTACTCATAACTTATTTATTGCCCCGATTTTTGTTTTTATTTGAAGGGGGGGGGATTACACTGATTTTGACAGCATTACATATAATATTGTCCGAGGAGGCTTGATGGTTGGGCAGAGTTGTGACATTTTAATATGATTTTTTAAGAGTTTTGGTGTTTTATTTGATGATTGTTGTAGAACAAGGTTATGTTTCGTATAAGATGCTGCTTATTACATTATATTCTAGTTTTAAATTTAAAATTATTTTGATTTTCAGAAAGTTTGTGATTTTTTGATATTCATATATTAATTTACTTTTTATTAAAAGTCATTTTCTATCTAAAATTCTTAAAATTTCAACTTATCACACCCCTTTTAATCAATTTTAAAACAATTTTAATCAAAATCTGCGAAATTCGTTTTCCAGAAACCCTTTTAAATTCGCATTCCGACTGTAACAATAGGCGAGAGCACCTATCAGAGGATCGCGCGACGGCCACAACGAGTGGTCTGTGGGGGAAACCAGTTCCGTCACTCTTGAAACCCGCACCGGTCTATCGATTTTCTGACCCAACGTCTTTTGATTCGCGCCTCATTTCCTTTAACATTATACCACCCAATTACGTAAGCCGGTTTGTTACTGCGTTTTTGGTTTTGCACATAATGCAATTTTAAGTGATTGGAGCAGGCATAGTTATTAAAACAGTATTAGGTATAGTTATTGTCGTTGAAATAATTCTGTGCTCTTAATTCTTAAATTTGCTTTGAGAGGAGGCACAGAATTATTTGAACAAACTAAGTACAGTTGTTATTAAAATAGTATTAGGCATAGTTATGGCAATATCATATAGATAAAATACCATTTTTTATAAATAATATTTGGCTGAGGGCATGAAATTTATAATTTAGGTAGTACAGGAATTTTCACAAATTGAGCTGAAATTTGCATAAATAATGGCGGTTTTGTAGTAAGAATCCCAGCATTTTTTGATCGATTTTAGTTTTTGTCATTAGATAGGATAACTTTACAAAAGCCTAAATTGGCAATTTACAGATGGCCAGGCTTTTAATCACAAAATGCTTCAAAATAAGCTTGTAGCTAACATAAAATCATTTTTTTTAAATTGACTGGTCGGTTCTGAAAAAGAAGATATCTTTTAACTTTTTAATTTTATTCAAATTAAAAGTTTATTGACTTTAGAAGCCTATATCACACTTTATAATAGCTCGAAGCCTTCATTCTTCAGCGCCTGACAATAAGAAGATAGCCTCGTTAAAATCAAAATCGTTTATAAAATGACAACATTTTAAACTACTTAGAACTTCCAAACAGTTTAACAGCTTCAATCCCGAACTTATCCTTTGATTACACATGTATGTTTACTATAGAATAACACGCTCGAATGGCGCCTACAAATTGAGGTTCGGGGAGCTCCAAGGTGCGGGGTCTTCTTCTCCTCTCTTTCTTGACTTTTCTTGACAGAATCATCTTTAAACTGTGGCAGAACAAGTTCCGGTCCCCAAACTTTTTGGGCGCCAAACCCGAAAATCTACTCCTTCTGGGTGTGTGGCTACATCTTTTTCGTGGGTTTGTTTGTAGTTGTATCTTCTTTAGGCCCTTGTGTTAGAAATTGTTGATTTTTTTAGATAAGAGTAGATTCTGAAGTCTTCAGCAACACTTTCTAAGTGTGTAGGACCCTTTGCTTATGCTGATATGTATAACTTTTTAAGATATGTATCCCTATCTTTTTATTTTACTTTATCATTTATATAGCTAAAATGTTTGGCATATCTCTTTCCCACTAAACCCATAACTTCATATTTTGTTACAGTAGTCATTTTTTAACTCTAGAAGCCCCATTTTGTTAAACGTGTAGCCACCACCTCTTCCCCTAAGGTGTATGTCGTTTCCGTTCACCGTCGAAGAAGGCGGGAATCATACAAACGGCCTTTCTTTCATCAACGCAATTAGATCAAGAAGAAGACCCTTGAATCTATCCCCCCCCCCCCGCGCATTCCATTCCCAACCCCATTTCCTCTTAACATTTTCGTGATAACGTCAAATCCTTTCCTTTTACACGTTTTTAGACTGATGCCCGCCATCACTGAGTGCCATCAATGAAGAGTAACGGCACGTCACGGATCGACCTCAACGAAGGCACCTCCAAGTAAGTTGAAATTTCGAATTTTTGATTAAAAAACCTTTTATTTTCTAGATGAACTGCACCATTATGTTTATTTTGACCTCATTTTGCCACTTTTACTTTACAACCTTCTTTCCTCCCCCATGCCCTTCCCAGCCCAAAAGTTTGCCGTTTGAGTTAATATTGTTCTATTCTTGTGCATCTAATCCTTGCCTTTTGAACCCTCGCCCTCCCTTCACAAACTTTAAAATGCAGTTCGATGTCGGGAAATGCTAAACCCTACGAGCAGAGAGTTGTACATGTCCAGTTTGACCGCTAATAATCAGCTTTTCGACTTTTTCCGCGCAACTTTCTCTTTGGTCCGCGGTCTCCGCGCCCACCGCGCTCTCTCGTCGCCACAAGGTTAGAGAACCTTAATTCGTGATTAGGGCCGTTTGTGAAGTTTTTGCGCGGGATTACTCAAATTTTTGACAAAAGAGCAAACAGTTTGTGATATTGTGTTAGATAGTGATTTACAATCAGTGATAAGAGTTTTATGGGTTTGCGGTCTTGGGATCTTTTGTTGTAGTAAAAGTTACTGTCAGTCTTTGTATTTTAAGTGTGACATCCTGGTCAAAAAGTAACTAGAACTTTATGTTTTTATCTTTTAAAAGCTTTTCCTACAAACTTTTTAATCATCATTTCCTCCATAATCAGCTCAGTTTGAAAGGAAATGATTATCTCATTGTAACGTTCCGTGCAGACAGTTATACGAGACAGAACAATAGACTTTGGAGTAGTTCAGCAAAAGCAATTATGCAGGAAGGATAACCAATCGCCTTTCATAAACATTCGCGCAATAAATAACGATTCTAATTAATTCTCCAACGGTTTAATTCCGATCAGGCTTATTTAACCCATTTTGCGTTTTTTATACCTTTTGAACCCTAATTACTGGTCGGTCGAAAAGTAAATAGACCAGACAACAAAAGATACTATTGTTGTATTTTAAGATCTATTCTATAGACTTTTTGACCGGAATTTAGCTATCTTAGCGGTGCATATAAAGGATAAAATGACTTTATTGAAATCAACCTTAGTAAAGCGGTCAAAAAGTTAAGAGAAACCCAGAAAACCTTCCATACTCACTGTCTTTTGACAAATTTCAAAAAAATGAAATTTAAATTTTAAACCCAAAGTAACTTGTAATTGCAAATTATATGATGATAAGAATGTTTAAAAAAGCTTTTACCTCTTATCAGAATCATTACGACGCCATTCCAGAACCCCGTTTCCTTACCCTTCGGCGATTTTCGTACTCTATTTCCACGTAGAGGCTTTAGTCATTACTCGTAAAGTTTGTTGGCAAACGTCAAACATAAGTTTTGAAGATTTCAAAGCCTTGCACTTTGAGTTGTATATTTTGAACAGTTTGATAACTGAATTTTGGTTAGATCTTCATCTTCATCAGTCTTTCCTTTAGCAGAATTTAATAAAATAACTGTTTTTATACCTTGATATCTATACGTTAACGTAAACAAAGCAAAACACGTCTTTCTACATCACTGTTTATTAACTAACACTGTTTAACGCCTCGTATTTTAGTGGCTTCGGTGGCAGAAGCCCTCAGAACACAGGGCCTTCGTACTACTACAGTTCCCAGCCAACTCTAGTGCACACATCAACAAGGTCCTTGAATCAACCACCCCCTTCCAACATACAACCCATCCACCACACGTCTTCGGCCGCTTCTAGTCCAGCACAGCCAGCCCAGACCTATCGGACCGTGACCACCACCAAGATCGACCCTCCACATCGGTCTGGCACACTGCCTGCCAATCCATCAGCTCGTAGAACACCGTCGTTACCTCCAGGAATGGAGCCACCATCGTACTACGTGGAGCATCTGGCTTCGTTCGCCGTAGGCGAAGAACATGGTCTTACTAGTACTCCAGATGCCATCAGGAAGTTGAAGGAAATGGAGCAGAAGAGCGCCGTCTTCCCTCAGCCTATGATTATGAAGTTGTACCCAGACAGGATAAGTGTAGAAGAAGATAACGGTGAAGTCGTGGAGCAGTTCAACATGGATCTGGTTACAGAGCCCACAGCACATCAGTCCAACGACCCTCACGATGTGTTCAACAACGTGATACTGTTCACGGTGAAAGATGACACTCGGAACGGCAGAAGGCCTTTCATGCCTACTGAAATGCACATATTTCAAGTAAGTTGGACCTTCAAATTGTGGTTAAAATAACCTTTTTATAACATTCACTGTCTGTTACCTATTTCAAAAGAGATGTTTGTCAATAGCAATCTTATTCTAAACACGTTTTTGTACCTCATTACTCCAATTTCAGTGTGTGCGAGTGTCAGCCCAAGATCTGGCCAGTGACATTTACCAGTTCCTCAGAAGAAGCTACCATAAGGTGAGGCCAGGAAGGCGAGGGGCTGAGTATGGTCAGCCGATCCCTCCCCCAGCTCCCTCAAGTTACTACGATGGACATACCTCAAGACGGGATTATCGAGATGACCCCGCAGGCGGTGGAGAGTACTTCGAGATGGACGTTGTAAGTAATAACAACATCTATATAAGGATTACTTTTAATGACTTTTATTGTTTTTTTGATGTTTTAAAAGATATTAACTTTAGTTTTAATGATTCGCTTTCAGAATACACTGAACAAGTGTTTTGATGACATTGAACGGTTTGTTGCCCGAATCCAGTCAGCTGCCATCGCACAACGAGAGTTGGAGTTACAAGCCCATAAGTTACGAACCAACCAACGCAAGTATCGTGCTCATGAAGCCGCGATAGCAGCACAGCACGGTATCCTACAAATGAGAGCTCAACTGCCTACGTATCAAGAATTCTACGACGTTTTTCAAAAATTCAAACTATGTTTTAACCTTCTTGTAAGTGTTAACCTTATTCAAAACATACTTTAGGACTACATATGCCTTGTGAACTATATCTTATCCAAAACATTTTAATCACGGTTAACATATTAATCAAATTCGTATTTTAGGCCAAATTAAAAAACCATATCCGAGAACCGAACGCACCAGAACTACTACACTTTCTGTTCACCCCACTGACCGTCATCTTCGATGCTTGCCATTGGGGGTTAACCAGAAATGTCGCTCAAGACGTTGTGAGCCCGCTACTGACATACGAAGCCTGTGACTTGCTACGGAACTGTTTAATCTCAAAAGAACAAGAAGTTTGGGCGGCTTTAGGGAAGGCATGGCGAACACCGCCGTAAGTATAATTCTAAATCTTATATTGTAAACGAATTAGCAGTAATCTTATTAGACCCTCCGTAATTCAAAAATAATATACCTTAAATTCTATTTATTCTACAGAGAAGACTGGAACGGTCCACCAGTGCCCCCTTATCGGCCAATATTTAATACACCGCCTTTTGTGGGTACCTTTGAACCTCCTCCAGCACGAACTCCGAATGCTATTCACAGAGGGGCTTCTGCACCCCCTCCACAACAACAGCACTTCGCTCCATCGTACAGAGCCCCACCACATCGGGAACGATCGGTAGATAATGTAAGTACAATATAAAATGATATGCATAAATATGAAACCTTAATTTTAAACAGCCTCTTTATTCAAAACAAAAAATGGCATTTTCAGATTGATTTGGAAAAAGTAAACCTAGAGAAAGAACGGCTGGAGTTCGAGAAAATGAAAGTTAGGGACCGTGAGTTGAGGCTACAAGAAGAAGAGCGAAGACTAAAGTAAGTTGACCTATTATAATGAAATCACTGATGACTTTAGGCAAGAACAAGCTCGGCTAGAGGCTGAACGAAGGCTACTACACAAAGAAGCCGAAAAACAATCAATGGCCGGATCAGATCGACCTGATTTCTACCGACGAGACGAGTAAGTTCATCAAGATTTTGTTCTCATCAAGCCCTTTGTACCGCGTTTGACCAACGTAAAGTAAACTATAACATAATTTTACGAAAATACTTATTAGAAGCCACAACATCTACACCTATAAGTGCAACTATAAAAATATTAAGTTTTATTTCTTTCAGTTACTCGACCCACTCCCCTCGAGTAGACAGAAGAACAGCTAGTGTGCAACAACTGAACGGCCATGCCAGTCCAGTATCTCCTCGGCCTAACATCCCTATTCCAATACCAGATCAAAGCCCACGTCAACGAGCTTATCTGGACGAGCTACTACATAAGAGAGCTAAGGTAGTACAAGTTACGTACGACCGAGTAGCGCAAAATGCAAAAGAATTAACCGTCGACCGTGGTGAATACCTGGAGGTAAGGTAATTTTAAATATAGATATTAAAAGGTCTAAAAAGGTATTTTAAACTTAGTTCAAATAACTCGTATTTTACAACCATAAAACTATGAATTCAGATTCTGAACGACGCCAAAAACTGGTGGGAATGTAGAAATGCCAGCAATAGAGTCGGCTACGTCCCGCACACCATCCTGGCTGTAGTTACAGTAGACGAGACAGAGGTAAGAGCACCATTCTATTCAACAAAACATTAAAAGAACCGCATTCAGAGCCTGCCACAACAAAACCCAGCAGCGCTTCAGCCTGGCTCGGCCATCAGCCCTCGACCAGGTATGATGATATCAGAAGACACTCCTGAATACATAAAGCAACGTCAAGGCAAACGCGGTGAATTCCGCTACTTTTGATTACCCGGGTGCTAATGAACCTTCAGTTCAGTCCAGATATATCATGTACTGTCAATGTATAAGCTAGAATTATATCGTCCAGAAATGATACATCGAGCTGAACAACCTTTGTTATATCACTGTCCGTCCTTTTCCCCGCGACATCCCCATATGCTCATGTTACTGTATAAATCGGCCGAACGACTACTTTCACCCCAAAGTAGTCGTATCGGCCTGCAAACGCTCAACTATGTCTACGCTGAAAACTTCTATTATGTAAATTATTTATTTGTCAATTGATTGTACCAGTATAATGTTATTGTCAGTCCACTTTGCCTCATTATTGCCTGATTCCGTATGCCTGTTTTTAACCTATGTGATATGTGATTACGGTAAACTATTACTTAAAATGTGCTGTCAAATTCCATTCTTTAAAGTAGCTTACAATACTTTAAAGTAGCTTATACAACAATTAACGTAGGTATATAGAGAATATACAACAAGATAGAGCAATTAGACAGCAAACTATATTACAGACCTTTACGAACTTAATGAACCATCGACAATAACAACTAATGATAACACATTACTCGACCGTTTACATTCTGTTAGACTACGTCCAGCTATCGTAAGTCAGAAAAACACTGAACTAACAAAATCAAAGGATATCTCTCCATCTGAACCCGAGACTTTCATCGACAGACCATCCAAAAAACTGCCAAAGCTGGTAACTGATGAACAAAGTAAGTTATCTAACAATATGATAAACTTTACCCTTAAAATAATAAAATTATACAAACTCAATCAATAGTTGCCAACAATTTGACTCTATAAACACTATTTATAACAGAGTATGTTCCTGAGATGGTAGCGACCATCAAGAGTAACGCTCCTATCATCGGCCTGAAGAGAGCATCTTCAGCTAGAGGACCAAAACTAGGTCCAGAAAGCAATGTCAAAGACGTACAATTGTGGCTAGAATCTAAAGGATTCAGTGACTTTACACAGAAGGTGTTGAGCAAGTGTAACGGATCACATTTATTCAAATTGACTAAAGATTTACTATTCAAATATTGTGGAGATGAAGGAAACCGTGTCTACAGCTTGGTTTTGGCCCAGAAAAACAGGTGCAATGTAAGACCTTTAATTTTTTTAAATAATAATAACCTTAAAAATTAATTTCGTTATATTAGTTATTATGAGCTTGTCGTACATTGATCTCTAACCTGTTATAGCTTGCAAAACAATATTTATTATATATGAGTAATGTAATCAATCAATTTAGTACGAAAGCCACCGAGGAGACCAACTTAAAGCCTTATTAGAAATGAGAAAAGACCATGTAGATGAGAACAACGAAGCCGAAGCAGAACCCAGCCTAGATCCTCCAGAATCAACAGACGAAAACGGAAACCACATATTATCCACAATACCCATCAAACCAGAAACACTTTATGCCCCAAGCTTTCCAAAAACATTCTTAAATCAGCAAACTCCCTATCACCACGCGCCCACAATCACACAGAAAATACCCACAAACATTCAGCCAGCACAGCTTCAACCTCAAGCAAACAACAATAATAATATCAACGTTCTTCGAGAGATATCACACACAGTTCGTTCTTATCATTAACTCTCAATAAATTTTCTGTCACGTTCCGGCGGGATATTATTACACCTCGAACACATGATCGACCACGAGACAAGCGAATAAACAAAATTTCGTCGAAATTTACATTTTTTCTTTTCGTTTTTTGTCGGGGACAACGGAATGTCACAGAATTTATTGATTTTATGGTCAGATGCAAAAAATAAGTAAATGGTTCGTTCTTCTTTCCTTTTCCCTCTGTAATTGAATAGTTGCTCGGTTTTGTGCACTCGTGGATCCAACTCGTATTCTGACATGTCAAACGAAGACTTTGTGTCGTCGGATGTCAGCGCAGCGCTTCAAGAAGCCCGTGAATTCGTGACCAAAGGAAAACGGCGTGTAGCTCAGAATGAACACATTATTGAAGAATCCACCACCGTCCAGGTGAACAAAACCGGAAGTCGCACAGATCCAGTTGAAGTTATCATCTCCAGGTCTAAGAAGTTTACTCAAGACTCGAGTGATGATGAATATATTGCAGGTAAGCTTATTTTTAAATATTTTATGGTGTTTAGGCTCTTTGTCGGACTCGGATTTGTTGCCAAGAGAAAGAACTTTGTCTTCGGCTTCAAGAAAATCATGTAAACATTACTACAACAGTGACAATGAATTGGAAGGACTTCGCAAGAATAGTACCCACAAACATACGAACGTCAAGTACAGGAAAAAGAGAAACGAAATGTGGACTAAAGACAACGAAAGGTTGTTAACTGACGGATCTGACTCGGAATTTGACGGAGATCAAGCACGGTTAGAGGTTGATGTGAAAGAAGAATGTCTGGAGGATGATGGAGAAGGACATGTTGTTATTAAGGTAGGGTAACAAAAAATATGAGTTTCTTGTAAAGATTGTGTATTTTGATCCTTTTTAATTGTGAAACAGGGTTTACTGCTTTTAATGTAGTTTTTTAGACGTGGAGTGCTAGATGGACCGTCCAGCATTATGATCTACTACCGGAATGGCTACAAGACAACGAATATCTACGACACGGTCATCGTCCACCACTGCCAAGTGTCGTAGAGTGTTTCAAGAGTATATTATCTGTTCATACTGAGACTGGTAACATTTGGACGCATTTGATTGGTAAGTAATTCATATTACTTTTTTTGTGGGTAAATTTATATTTTTAACTCTACAATTTAGCAATTTGTTGATACGTCATATCTAAAAAGGCCATTTAATTTTATATTTCAGGTTGTGTGGCATTCTTCTTTTTGGCATTGTGGTTCTTGACTCGGCCAGATACTCATATCGGACTTCAAGAAAAAGTGATATTCTCCTTCTTCTTTGGTGGAGCCATTCTCTGTTTAGGACTATCGTTCATGTTCCATACATTATCGTGTCATTCACTCAACGTTTTACTAATATTCAGCAAGTAAGTCATTAAATTATGGTTTTTTATTTTAGATTTGAAAATTGGAAACTATGTTATCATAATAACATGTTAAACTTTGAAAACTTATTGTAATCCTTCTTGTTTAGACTTGATTACATGGGTATAAGTCTGCTGATTGTTGGTTCGTTTATTCCATGGGTTTACTATGGGTTTTACTGCCGGCAAGAGCCTAAGATAACATATATCGCCATGATAAGCGTGCTCGGTGTTGGTGCTATCGTCGTATCATTGTGGGACAAGTTCAGTGAGAGCCGGTATCGTCCGCTACGTGCTGGAGTTTTTGTTTCTATGGGATTAAGCGGTTCGTTTTTTGAAAATATCATGTAAAAACTTGGTTGGTGTGACTTTTTATGTTTGATTTTTTTTTAAAATTAATTGCCCATGATAGTTTACTGTAAACGACATCAATTCAAAACATTTTCTAGGTATCATCCCAGCTGTTCACTTTGTTTACACAGATGGAATGAGTCAAATGATTGACGAAACCGGCTTCTACTGGCTTGTAGCAATGGCAGCTTTATACCTATTTGGTGCTTTTTTGTACGCTACTCGAACGCCAGAGAGATTCTTCCCTGGAAAATGTGATCTAGTCGTAAGCCTTATCACTAACCTTTACTGCGTCAACTTGCTTAGTCTTGTCAGACTGTAGCTGAAGATGTGGATCGCTATCTTGCCCATGGGATTGAAGAATTTAATTATAGTTTGCGTTACATAAGATACAATAACAATTTTTTTCAGTTCCAATCCCATCAACTATTCCACTTGTGTGTGGTAGTGGCAGCTTTTACCCATTACTACGGTATCTCCGAGATGGCCATGAAACGGCTGACTTCAGAGTGCCCGGCAGAAACCAACATCTTCGAGGCCACAAAACACACAGAATTGTAAAATTATATTGTAAATGCGGTTAGAAATGCCTGCGGGTTTGGCGTCACACACTTTGCACTCGGTTTATTATACTGACTATGAATAAAATGTGAAAATTTAAATCGAATTCGGCTTCTGAGTCTGTTTCTATCAAGTCGCGTATCTGATATTGAAGTTTGAAGCATCTAATTGTGATTTTAATGATAGACAACTAGAATATTACGGTACTTGTAGATCTTTGGTATGTTGTGAGCATTTCATCTAATGGATCCCTTCGAGAAACCTCAGTTTAATGGTCGGGTATTCGAAAACCCCAGGTCTTTCTCCAACTGGAAGGGTCTCCCTGGCCTCAGGGAACTCTTCAGGTGGAAGTTTGTCGAAAGAAACGAGTCCCATTTACCTAGTCAAACCGTCCTTGATCATTCCTTGCCAGTTGTCACTCCCCAATTCGACCTAAAATCAAAGTTATCAGCTACGTGGCTGGGTCACGCTACACTTTTTGTACATCTAGAAGGCATTAACTTCATCACAGACCCTGTTTGGGCATCTAGGGCGTCACCGTTCAGTTGTGTGGGGCCAGTCAGGTACCGTCCGCCACCATGTGAGATCGACAATTTGCCAGCAGTAAGTGAGATATGTCAGAGTTACATTGAAAAGATAATCAAAAGAACTAAATTTTAGTACAAAAAACGAAAAACATCATTTGAATAGTATTCAATAATAAGAATATACGAGAATTTGTTGTAACCTAACTTAATTTAAGCTAAATTTTGGTGTTATATCACACAATCACTACGACCACCTTGACGCAGATGCCGTTAGCACGTTATCAGCCAAGTTTCCTGATATGGAATGGTTTGTGCCTAAAGGATTAAGCGATTGGATGCGGCGACATGTCAGCAACAACGTCATCCACGAAATGACATGGTAAATAGTAGTTAATCGCAAATCATCAGAAAAAAATTAATTTTTTTACATAATGCTATAACATAGAAACGTGCTTCGTAAAAAAGAAGTCCTATATTATATTCAGGTATATAAGGTGAGACCAACAAACATGATTTCAGGGGAGAAAGTGTAACACTAGCCCTGAACGATGGCAAGTATCAAATATGGTGTGTTCCAGCACAGCACTGGAGCAGTCGGAACCTGTTTGACAAAAACAAGTCATTATGGTCAGGGTGGGCTATAATCGGGAACGAAAGGAAGTTCTACTTTGCTGGAGACACTGGATTCTGTGAGACCGAATTTGCAAAAATAGGCAACAACCTAGGGCCTTTTGATCTTGCCGCCATCCCTATTGGTGCTTATGCTCCTAGGTATGTTATCGCAAATAAGCCAATAATATACGTATTATCTATAATATCCTAAATTTCTCTCAATACCCTCAACGTGTTTTATATTAACTTTTTGGACTCAACCTTGTTTTAGGTGGTTCATGAAATCACAACATATCGACCCAGAAGAAGCGGTTAAAATACACAAACTGGTCAAAGCTGTAACAACGATAGGAATACATTGGGGAACCTACAAGATGGGGTCCACCGAGGTAATCTTTTAATAATAACAAAATACGGTCAAGTATAATACAGGTTTCAAACTATTATAAACCACAAAGCAATGATTAAGCCTAATATTTTTAAGAGCTACCTAGAGCCCCGATCCAAGTTACGTCAAGGAGTGGAGAAACTACGTCTATCTTCCACATCCGTGATAACGTTGGGTCACGGTGAGACGTGGGTTGAAGACCCCACTTCTCGATACTCATCAGTCTCGTCCATCAGCTCAACAACAACTTAATGTACAAAACGCGTCAGTTCTAATTTATTAGTAGTTTTACAGTAGCCACCTCGATTCACTGTAATTTAGTTGTGAATAGAATATAAAACAGATAATCCATATTACATCAAAATACCCGTGCTCTTGGTAGCCAACATGATTTGAATGAAAACAAAGTCAACATCAATCTAGTTAACGTAATACAGTAGCAAATATACATCTAGTTAACAGACTTGAAGTCGACATAAGAACATGAACGACATCCTGACGCTTTTTGAAAGCCTATTATCGTATAGGTGACAAGTCCAGCCTCTCCCTTACAACAGACACGCCTTCTGATACTTCCCCCAAGGGTCCTTCCATTTCTTCCGAGTTCGAGTTAAGCGATCCTCCACAAAACAGTTCAACAGAGTCATCTTTGGTGTTATCCAATCGTATTTCACTCATACTCGGGTCAAATGTAAAGGATGATATCCCTGGGTTCTGGTAAGAAGATTCTGCGTCTGGAGAAGTCGACGGGGAATCTGCGAATGAACTACACATTCTTCTTCGTCTAAAACAACATAATCAGAACAAACCTACATGGTAAAGCTAAAAAGAAGGTAATACAATATAAAACAGCCGTTGATCTCGATTAAAAACGCTTTACGAAAATCTCGATATCAATTAAAAGATTGAAACCTTGAAAACAGTACAGAAAATAAACAACACAACTACCTTTTTGAGGTGAACGAGTTCTCAGCCGATAAGAAACTCTCTCCTGCTATGTGTTCCTTTAATATACTTTCAAAGTCCAAATCTAAAGGTATGTGAAAGTCGGTTTGAGTACTAGAATCCTTAAACTCCTTCTTATCTTTGAATGTTACCACCCTCTTTTCAGATGAAAACGTGCTACTTCGAGTTATTGACACTTTTGATGATACCTAAACATAAAACAATGAAAAGTAGAATCAAACCTTACCCCTACATCCGGACTAGGAACATAATGCTCGTTTTTAAAGTAGTTATTGACGTAGATTTGAACTCGTTCGTCTTTTTCTCTGGAAAAAGTCAACTTCTTTATAATCAAAAAATATTGCTTCAGATGACAAAACATAATTAATACTTTCTAAAATTCAAAATAACTTACTCATGATACTCCTCGACCGCTTGCGGATATTCGAGAAAAGCTGGAGCCATGAATGACCGTTCTTCTATCGTCCATTGGAAGTTCTCTGGCGATTCAGCTAATGGAGATTTCTAAAACAATATAATTTTAAAAAATAAAGGCAAAAGCATAAATTAACATTAAGAATATAAAAAGCAAAACATAAACTTTATAAAAAGTTATAAAGCATTACCTCAACTTCTCCTTTTTTACCCTTGAAAACTCCTGGACTGAATATCAGTCGATTAAATTTGCCACTATCAAACGGATTCTTGGTTGTCCTATACCTAAATCAATTGAAATATGATAAATGGAGACATACCTCGACGGTGTGGACATTATTTACACAAACTTCTACAAAAAATGCTTCTTGAAGAAGCAAAATCAAAAAAAAATGTTTTATTTTCAAAGAAATATTTTTCTGAATATTGGTTGCGGGTTGCCACTATTGACTGATCGAAATTATTAATAAAAAATTGTTAAAATTTCGTCGATTTTAAAGAATTTTGAAGGTCACGGAAATCTATAGGCTTAAATTTTAGTTTAAAAAAGTGTTTTCATTGGATTTTTATATTTTTAAAATGATTTTTTGATATTTTGTTTTTGTTTTTTAAAAATTGTAAATCTTGCTCTTTTATGCTTTTTTTCAAATATTTTCGTAAAGCTTTGTTCCTAAAATGTGTATAAATCATGTTTATTTTGTTTTATGTTATGGAATACGAACTACAGCGATGTGAAGCAGGATTGCTCTTTCCTTGTTTGTTATTAATGTATGACTCATTATTCTTCTGTTTACAGGTTCTGTCTCGCTGCTTTTATGCGGTTCAATTGATTTTTCGGGATGGTAGATCATCTAAGTAAGTGATTTTAATTATTTTAATTCGGTTTTTAGGCAGAAGCAGATTCATTTAAATTTTCGAGGCAATTTGGTATGAATGTAATCTTGTTTTATAACCAATTAACATTAAGTTAATCTAATTCAGTTTCATAAAAAAACTGAAAATTAATCGTTATTTAATTATGATTTTGAAAAAGACTGTCAATAATGTTCATTAAATTTTCTTTACAGAACAAACCGACATTAATGCCCGCAGGATAAACAATGTTGAAGTATGTTTCGGATCGACCGGTCGACCTTTACAGCATTTTGACAGAGTGTTGATTGGAGAAGGAGTGTTGATGAAAATGTGCAGAAAGAAAGCGAAACCAAGACAGTTCTTTTTGTTCAACGACATTTTGGTGTATGGGAGTATCTTAATATCTAAAAGAAGATACTCTAAACAGAGGATCATTCCATTAGAAGATGTGAAGATAGAGAACGTTGAAGACGAAGGGGAAAGCAAATACGGGTTCTTGATTAAGACCAGGATCAAGAGTTTCATGGTTTTTGCTATTTCCGAAAGTGAGAAGGAACAGTGGATGTCCCACATCGTTAAATGTGTTAACAACGTTCTTAAAAGTAAGTTTTGTTTGATAGCAACGTCAATTCAAAGTTTTTTATTGCTTCTCATTATAAAAATGACATTGTAGAAGGCAAGCAAGCGGCACAAGACCACGCAGCTGTGTGGGTACCAGATTCTGAAGCAGAGTTCTGTATGGTTTGTCATAGTACCCACTTTACAATGATACAACGAAGAGTACGTTAATTTAATTTATAAAATAAATTCAAATTATATAAGGTTAAACATGAATTTTGTTCTATTGAGCCCTTTATGTTATCTATTTTTGTAGCATCATTGCCGATCTTGTGGAAAAGTTGTGTGTGGAGCTTGTTCATCACGAACGTTCACGTTGGAAGGGATCAGTAAGAAACCAGTGCGAGTTTGTGACATTGTAAGTCCTTTAATTTACTAGTTCAAGTCGTATGTCTTTACAGCTTCTTGGAATTTATGTTTTGACGTAAATTGAAAGAAATGATGATGTAATAGGTACTAAAATAGGTTGTGATTACAAATTTATAAATTAAGGCACGAGTTTAAATTGAGTTTTATTTTCAGTGTTACAACAAGTTGTGTCAAGGCTTTTCGGCGTCGCCTCAGGCATTGAACGATTCGTCAGATTCAGAAGAAGACACGATGACATTAGGCCACGAAAAGGTAAGCGAAGTTTTCTTTTTTATAATTTTTTAGCTTATGTAAATCAAAAGGATCAAAGAGATAATCAAAAATTTGACAAAAAATTTTATTTCAAATTGAAATTAAAAAAAAATTAAATTTTAAATTAAAAATTTATGATTTGCCTATGTTGTTTGTTGTAGGCCACTTTCTACCATGACAAAGATGAACCGGAAAACCTGGTTTAATACAACTAACAACATGTATGTACAGCAATACCTTTTCACTTTTATATTCCTCACTTAATTTGGTAACAATATTTATATGTTAATATGTGATACAGTTTTCAAATAATAAACGTGCCTATAGCACTACCCGTGTCATTACTTAGTTGAGATTCACAGTTCGTCGTCCATTAACGAAGCACATTGGTCCGTGCTCGGACGGCGGTTTATTCCGTTTTGTTTGATTTCTCTGGAAAGTGGCAGTGTTATGTCGTACCTTGTGGGTATAGTGTTTTGTAGTAAACGAGATTTTTTTAAAACAGCAATTGGAAATGTTGATTTTGTTTGTCAAAAGATGGTAAAGCTTACTTTATATCTGAGAACTCGTTATCATTGATATCGTGCTCATTCTGATGTACTGTACTCGGCGTTCTGTCTTCCACCACGACTGTATTCAGCACGGCCATGGTGACATTTCCCTGATTACTGGTCGAGCTGATTACATCGTGTTTCATCTGTAGCTGAGTGTTTAGAAGCCCGTACAGAATCCAGTTGGAAGCCGACCCGAAGTACGGTAGCAGATGAACACAGTAGATGATGAACACGAGCAGAGGTGATGGATCGGAACGTCCATCAGCCAGAACACTCATGTAGATGGCGTATAGTACCGAGCACCAGTACGGCGTCCAACATACGAAGTAGAGGACGGCGATGAGGATGGTGTAGATGGAGATACGACGTAGCGGAATCCCCGACCGTGGTAAGGTCTTGGTATGTCGGTAGAGTTTGCTGATAAGCTTGGAGTTGAAGAAGATGATGAGGATGAGTGGCACCAGATAGCCCAGAATGAACGTGGACGAGGTGAACCAGTAAAATACGTATGGCGGCATCATATCTGTGCACTTGTATACCCGTACTCGTGTTACGTTTTCGATACCAGTAATTTTGTCTACGTCACGATGTTGATGTAGGAGGACTTCTGTCGACGACGCGTATGTTAACATTGGCAACAACAAGATGAACGCGACCACCCACAGAGCTGAATTATATTGTGTTAGGTATGTTTGAGGTTAGGTATTGGTTTAAGGTGATGCAAAAGATTCTTGAGATGGTTACTATTGAATGTAAGACAACTAAAGGTGAAGATGTCTCTGTTCCCCTCCGAGCTAATAGTTAATGTATTAAGAATTGTTTACTCTCAACTACAGTGATATGGATTAGGACGTTTACTTAGCCAGAATACCGAGATTACGAGAATTAGTGAAGAAAGATGACGTGGACACAGTTGTTTATAAACAACGCTCTAAATAGAACTTACTTATTATGGTTGATATCACAAACTTCCGCGACCTGTAGTAGTGTTTGTAGGGATGGCAGACGGCCACGAACCGGTCGAACGACATCGCCGTGATCAGGAACGTTGATACGATACGACCCACACTGCCACAAACGTGATGTAGTTTGCATATCACTGTGCCAAACATCCAGAATCCGATGATGCTGTCCTGAAAAAGGCTTGTTTTACCATTGTAAAGCAGTTTTATATCGTAAAAGGTATACAACTTTTAAAAAAATGTTAATATATGTACGTTTTAGGTCAGTTTTCCACTTAATTTTAGTTTTTTTAGCTACAGATATTGATGTAGATGTTAACAAACGCAATAAAAAAGATGACTTACCAGAATGGCCGGTGGAAGCGACAATGACATGAGAAAGTCGACCACACACAACGCCCCAATGTAAAGGATGGCATTGTCTGACTGTCGCCTACAGTTGGCTCGACTACCTTTCCTCTCGGATACGATGCCCCGGATGATGGTTAATATCGACGAGTTGCCACATATCCCGACGATGAAGCAGAGGACAAAGATTATGACCACGAACAGCACTCGCGGCTGAAGTTCCTGCAACAAGATTGGCCGTGAATTCGATTACAGGATTACTGTTAATGGGGGGCGAGTGGATTTTTTCGAAATTTTTCGAATTTTAACTGAATTTTGTTTCTTTTCGGGTTTGGACATTAGAAAAATAGGGCTGAGCGCATTAAAAGTGGCATCATTGCCAACAAACCAAAGAAACAAAGCTTTCGAAGTGATTACTTGGATTGGCGGGTACACGTTGTGTATGTAGACATGCCCACTCTGACACAAGTAGGTCCCTCGTTCAGTCTGATGACAGTCCGGCTCCATTATTCAGCGGAACGTGTCCTCAGGGCCATTGACGGAAGGGAACCTAATGACATTCAACGTTTAATTAAATCTAAAACATTCAACCTTCATTCATAGTATTCGGCGGATTATGTGACACAAACATGTTACATCGTCATAACATTGTCATACGTTTCGCGATCAACGATTACCGAGGTTATTGTGACGTTGAGGATGACAATGTAAGGTGACAAAAGAGATAAGGAACAGAGATTATAATGAGTACAGGTGTTATTGTACAAGATCATTTCCGGCTGACATTTGGTGAGGCAGCTGGTTAATATTAAGATGAGAGTGGTAGACTCAGATTTTGTACTATAAGCTGTTTTGATTGGAATTAAAATGTAAAAATGATAAAGCAGACAAGAGTTGATGATAAAATAAAAGTCTACGTATGTACTTTTGTACAAAAAATGTTGTAAAACGGATATCTCATCAAAATATGCACAACAATATCTTAAATTTAAAATAAAAATAACCTATGAGAAGTGCAGAAAGATATCCAATTAACATAGTAATAAGTTCAAGTGTCCACGTCAAGTGCTCATAAAGTAATCATAAGCGCATGTGTGGACAACATCACCCCAAAATACACATTGTAGCCCAAACCGCCGCGTAAACAACCCGTAAACACGGCACACTACAAAAATCAACATTACTTTGTTTTGGTCTACAGGAGCGAAACGGAAGGAGCGAGGAAGAGAGTAGGTATCATTATCCGGTTAAAGACAAGAGAGTTGGCTTATGTCTTCGACGGGCCTTCTCGCCGGCGGGCAACGTTCTCGCCCCGTTCGCGTCGGCACGTTCTCCAAGGTACGGTTCCGGAAATCCCGACCCGACCGACCGGATATGACTGGCCTTACGGGTCGTTTCGAACCAACCAAGCCGACGCCCGCAGCGAACATATGAACATTTCAAGAGGTTATCACAAACATAAACAACCTTGAAGTTGGATACTGACTTTCAGACAGATGATTCTAATGTTGCTACATGTCGTAAAATTATAGAATTAATGGTAATGGGGTCAAAAAGTAAAAAGAAAGGCGATAAGAGAAGGCCAAAACTAAAAACATAAGAAACTAAGCTATTAAAAAATCATTAAAACTATCACTGAACATGATTATCAACATAACATTGCCAATATATAATATATAATGTCATTAATAGAAAACACTGTAAAACACCCCCAAGGCAATACAAAGATGGTCATCATTCCGAAAAGCGGCGATTATACCTTCTGAAAGAGCACTTTTTAATACACCCAGCTGATATTTGATGTCATAACATCACTGTACAAAGAACTGCATAAGAGCCATTAACTTTACGACAATATGATTACATATTATTGGAGGTTATATACTGTGGTCAATCAATCTTATCCATAAAGTAAATTGTTTTTTTAACGAAATCAAACTAAAATTCAGTTAACACAAGTAAAATGTTTTGGACAACAAGTATCAACTATAAAACTAAAACATTGCAAACATATCGACCAGCAAGTTTGCATAGTATAAGGAACTAAGATAACAAGGTAACAACACTGAGAATTGTTGGATTAAGGGTCATTTTAATTCAAGGAAATAGGACAAAAATCAGCGTTGCTCTTAAAAATATGCCAATAACATAAGTTTACATCAAGATTTAGGTTAATAAGCTAAAGTACAGTGAGATATAGGTCAAAACATTTGCCTACATAGAGATATAGGCCAATGAGATGACTTTACATTCAGATTTAGGCCGTTTGGAATTAGGTTTGTCAATTAATTCTAAGACCTGCATCTAAAAGTACAACTTAATTTTGTTTTTAGCTGTTGTTTTCGCCTCTTAAATACTTAGAAAATCTTATAAAGCGTCAACACACTTTACGGTAATAGTAATAATGTGTGAAGACACTAACATATGTAAAGGAAGACTTACTTCAACAGCAATTCAAAAGTTTACTTTATTGTTTTGACATTGACATTGAAATAACAATACCTTCAGTCATGTATAATATTATTTAACTTGAAATAAAGTTAACCTGGTTTCTACTTTTTGAACTTAATAGTAATGTAAAGTAATATAATATAGGTTCATAATATGTATTAAACCTAATAGCTAACAGGCCCACTCATGTTTGTAAAAGCAATTCTACATAGTATGAATACAAGCTAATTCGAGGCTCAGACATCTACAACATTCAGGTTGGCGTTAATACCTATACCAGTAATTGAGGTAAGTGTGATACCAGTAATGTGAGTAACTCAAATTAGATTTGAAAGAGACCGACTGTCAATAAAGTCAAATTCTTTATGAGATTGGTTTGACTCGATGAAGACCCTACCGAAGTCAACAAGTGTCAATCTGGCCATAACAATAATAATATAAATGCAACAATTACACGGCAGACCCCAAGTACACCACCGAAAACAATATATAAATTTATATGAAGGAGGATCCGTCCACCACTCACTTCCACTCCAAATAGGCATTGCGCACCATCTCCCTCAAGTTTGAAATGTGCCAGTACAAGTACTAATAAAACTCGAGAGCAGAAGCCAACCCGCATACATCGTCTTGATTATAAACAGAGTTTAATGCGTTTAAGGCTGGAATAGGAATGAAACGTGGGGCTTCTAGTGCAGAAGACGTCTCGCAATGGGAAGATGGGCCAAGTTTGAGAAAGAGGATGATAAAGAGAGGAACTGATAAATACCAAGAGAAAGGGATGGATAATAAGAGGGAAAAGATGATAAATAGTACGTAATTGGATACTACAATGCCATTTTGTAAGTAATAAGACACTGGACTCGTCTTTGCAGAATAGTATTAGTTTTACAATGTTATAGGTAACGTTTTTGAAAAGTTTAATGATGCGATTGAACACTCATAAAATCATTTGAAAGCAAACCTATTAGTGTGTCCTATAATTTATGACTCTTTCTGGCTCACGCCAAAAGAAATATCGCCTAAAGCAAAAAAAACGAAAAATGTTGCTTTTGTTCTTATGTCTTTATCATAAGATTGAAACAGCCCAGTAATAACAAAAAACACCCCTTGAAACAAATGATGATCCTTGCAACAGAACGCCAACGGCTTTCGAGAACGTTTGTGTTCTTTTAAACCATCGATACACAAAAGTCATCCACGAATGTACTGAAAAGACAGACGACCCTCCAACGTACTATAAAGATAAGCGAAGCCCTATGGGCACCAGATACCCAAAATGATGCCAAATTACCCATAACATGAATATCCAAAAACCCGCGAAAATAGGCTTAATTTTTGGTGCATTAAGATTATTTCCCAAGAAATTAAGACTTGTTTAATTAATTTAGCCGGTTTGTTTACGCGGCAGACGTCATACCGACCTGTAGTCGTGTTATGTCCTTAATTATGCCTAGATTAGCTGGAATTAGGTTTGTTCAGCTAGCTGAAACTAAGTTGGTGGTCTAGCCATTACCTAAAGCTGTAGTTTTTTCTTTGAACTATCTAAATCAAAAAATTGTTCGAAAATTAGCCTAGTGTCTTCTGTGACCCAGTGAAGCTGAACCCGCTTTCTACCCATCAAAAGTAACATACAAAAAACTTGATTAGCCCCGTTTCTCAGTCTAAAATACAAAAACTCTGATTAGTACACTAAATAGTTAGTGCTCAGCCCTAAAAGCCATTCCGAAACGTGCTGCTTAAGTGGTTCTTACGTTGAGCTTGGTGAACTCGAAAAACAAGTAATAACAATACGGACACGATCACGTGAAGATAATATCGTGCAACAAAACGTATGTTTGAAGAATACAGTCAAATTCAACATGACACCTACTAGCCAATAAGCCTAGTTAGTGCATAGACACAAGAGCCCTTAATGAGCCGAAGGTGGCGGTGGCTGTGGTCAATGAAGGCCTAATCACGGTGCGACGAAGATGCAGATTCTTCTGACATCCGCGCCAAAACAGAAAACAAAGAATCTGTCATCTTTTCGTGGCAATTAAGCATGGGCATCTCAAATAAACAACACAGGTTAATAACGGCCGCACAATAAACACAACCCCGTTTATTGCCAGCCGGTTGCCTGGAATGCCGGCCTTGAGACGGAACCGGTTTCTGCTTCTTTAATTGGCGCCTCCCGGGATGAATCGCCTCCGCACTCCCCCCAAGGCATCCACCTCTAATTTGGCCCCCCCCCCCGAGAAGTGAGTGTGGCTGTTCTCCACCACATTAATCCCGGCCCCTCATGTTCTTCTTCTCTCGTTTGGTTTCGGTGGCAAATCTGGCAGCAAAATTAATCGTTTCCACGGCCTGAACACGCGTCCTCCTTCCTCAAGGTATCTGGGAATCCATTTCGGGTATTAGCCCCACAATCTAATTAAACCCAGAAACTTGCATTTCGAGACCTTAACTTGGTTTCGAGCAGCCATGGAGATAGTAGAATTTAATATCATTTGCCTGTTTCAGACCCACAAATTTACATAGCACTATAAGGAGGGGACGTGCACTACAGATGACATAAAGTTCGAACAGACACGACTTTAAAATTAGATAGACAAAAACCCAAAACAGGCTACTACAATATAGCTTTTCTTCAAAAAGAAGCATTTACTACTTTACAACTTGATTAAGTCCGTTTTTATGCTTAAAATACAACATTTACTATGAGGATATTAGACTCTAATTGCCATAAAGAGAGATAACTCTATAAACCGAGCACACTAGAACGAAACCACCATCATTATGCCCAACTTCAGACAAAAGCCGTCCAGCAGATAAAAACTAATGGCCATAATGTGACATTTCACTCATATGCTTCACAAATGCACTATTTAAAGCCCTTTAAAGCTTACCACCGCACAGTAGACAAAGTACAAACAAATTAGAAGATGGACAGAAAGTCTTACATTATTATAGGAATGTAAGGCATTATGCTTTACATCGAAATCATTAAAACTAGTTTCCATATCAGTATTATAGAGACAGGCTTTAAGAGAAAAGTTCAAAATTCATCCTCCTTCACATAGCTACGCCCCACAAGATAATAAAGTGTATTTAAATTTACACCACGATCATTAAGCATATACACCATGATCATTAATCGACGGGCTGTCACAACCACGCGTTCTGGTCCCTCCACCAGCATGTAAACAATGTAAAGTTATCCTGAGAAAACTACATTGTCCCCGCCGAGTAATTGGCTCAATTACACGGTAATGGTCTTATCCTAATATAATTACTTTCTTTAAAGCGTTTAAGCAATTATAATATGTTACATTACTTCCAATACAATTCTGGCAAACAATTACCTCTCTTACTTTACCGCCATTACGCTATGAACCCACTTGCAAACCGTGCAAAGACGTATTTACAACTTGTGGTCTCCTTCATTCCCAGGCTTCCGTGATATCTCATAATTACGTAGCAAAAGAAGGCACAATCTTCGTCCAAACTACGTATACCAAAAAGAAGAAAAATAACATATGAATGCCAAATTCTCCGTTTGGCCAGCATCATAAGGAATCTTTGACATCAAGTTAATATTTAAAGACTGAGCGCTTCTTCCCTATTCAGTACGTAGATTACAATATATATTAGTACACGGATCGTGCTGTACTTATATTCAACAGAGTTCATTTAAGAACAACAAACGTTTTAAAAATATTTTTATTTCCGAATTTTCAAATTTCAAACTGTACTTTTTACGATACGTCTCACAACGAAAACAATAACATGCCAAACATTTCCACGTTTTTGTGGCATTCTGTCAAATAATTAATTTTTATTTTTTGCGATTTACGTGTAATGTAGTACAACATGACGGTGAACACAGAGAGGAAGATGTCGTTGATAGATCAGCCGGCTCAGAATGGCACCAGTTTGAAGATTTGCTTTGACACTACTTTATTCGACCGGTCTGACTTCACAGTCGAGAAGTTTATCAATTTCAATCGGAAAAGAGTTACCTTGGACCAGCTGCACAATGACTTACGTGCCTTTTTGCGACATCTACAGAATTCTATGGTGGAACTTATCAATGACGACTATGCTGACTTTGTAAACTTGAGTTCTAATTTGGCCGCATTGAAAGAGTCCATTGATAAGGTTTCGTCGGACGTTAATGTGAGTGATTAACGTTGTTTCATTGAATGTTTAGGTCAGAATAGAAACACATGAAATGTAGATTAATTAGACGATTATGCAGATTAATAAACGTCGCATGAAAGGCTAATTAAAGCCGTACATCAGACAATCAAGGTTGTATGAGAGGATAAAAGCTTTACGAAAGTTAATTGGATTTATTGTTAAGGTTTCAGGGTAGTTGGGACGGGTTTTTGAAATCTACATCAACAATAAAAGAAACTGCTAGCTTTATCAACCAAAAATCTGAAGAAATTGTACAAAATCGACAGCACCAGACTTTGGTACGCAACAAAATATTGTTCTTGACGAGTTTAGAACGACTGTCATTATGCTTACGAAAGCGGCCGTCTGATCTCTCTCAAAAATGGTTAGTATTTAATTTTTTTAAATAGTATCTGCATATTCAGAATCAGTTTTACGCTTTTTGATTGTCTATTTAAAAATTTTAGGTAACAATCTTTGTTAACTTATAAAGTTAAATCTTTTTAGGTATTTAAAGTTGATAAACATCTTAACTACAATTCATTTATGGCAGCTACGAATCAGAGAGCTTGATTTGAAGTCAGATGCTTTTGTGGCTAAAGATGTTTGTTTTGGAAGGACCAAGAAGTTGTTGACGGAAGACCTGGTATCGGATTTGAGGTCCGGCTGTCAGTTTGTGACTTTTATTTTGATTGCTTTAAAGTTGGTGAACGAATTAGAGTACGCATCAAAGATTGTCTCTTACACCGTGATCAAGAGCTCTATTGATGTTGTTGGGAATGATCCTATTCAACAATTGACAAGTCTTTTCGAACAGTGCAAAAAGGTATGTTGTTGTAGTTAAAATGCAACTTTGTTTATTTTTAATGGTTTTCTGGGATTGAAACGAATTAGTTTATTATGTGGAATGGTTTTTGTTGCAGCTACGCTCGCAGTGGATTACAAATCTACAAATTCACAATCAGTTTATACTAGAAGTCGAACACTTTCTGGATGGTGCTATTATGGAGTTTGTGCTAGGATTTTTGGACGATGTAAGTAATATTATTTGTAATACTTTTTTAGTTTTTTTTTAATTCTGAATTATAATAATTGCAGAACTTGAGTACGCTATGTCTCCCATCTGACCCATCCACCTTCTTCCAATCGTACACTTGTTCTCAGAGGTTTGCCTCTTCCTTTAACAACATTAAAAACCATCCGAAGTTTTTAAACGGATTGAGTGAACGATACAATACGAATCTGTACGTGAAACGAGTAACTTCACATTTCAAAGACGAGATGTTGAACAAGAGCAAAGATCTTTCTGTAAGGTGGAATATTACACCAGAAGATCGGCTACATCCATTTGATCCATCTGATGTTATTCTACGTGCAATCGACAGGTTATACTCAAATGACTTTTTCTTGCCAGTTGTTGGGACAGAATTCTGGGAAGTCACCTTGAACTTGATTGATCTGCACATTCAGTGGATTGACAATTGTATAAAGTAGGTATAGATCACCTATCTATATATTACATTGATAGACATCAATTTTAAAGTTTATTTCAATATTGAAATAATTGTAGTGCGGAGCCATTGAAGTCAGTGGACGAGATCTCTGGAGTAATATCAGTCAAAGACAAATGGCCAGATTATGTAAATTTAGTGGCTGGTATCAACAGTTTCCATCTTAAGTTGTACGACTATTGTGTCACCAAGATCTTTAAGCAATTCCATGACATGAATGCAGAAGAAGCACCTTTCCGACAGTTTATAATAGAGCACAACATGTTAATTGATGACAAACGGGTTAAAATAATTGAAAAACTGGTGGCGGAATTGGTCGAAAAGGCAGCTGATGGACTGTCGAAAGTGTCAGAGATCCCAAAACAATATCGATGGACAAAGAAGCCGGCTCCAACAGGTGCTAATGAGTACGTGAACTCAGCCTTTGGGAAACAGAACGAGTTTTGTAAAATGGCAACAGAGATTGGGTGGAAAGAGGACTGGACTAACGATTCTATGAAGAGGGTCAGGACAGGAATGGTCGATGTGTATCTAGAGCATGCTAATAAGGTAAGAATTTACTTTTGTATATTTTTTCAGCATTTTTTTAAATTTATAGCTTGTTGAATTCGTCATAGATGTGTTATAAAATGTACCAATCTATAAAAGAAATACTTTAAATGTGATATTTTAGGTTCTAAGTTCAGTACAACAAACTGGCTCCAGTCTTCAACGATTTAAACGAAAAGGTCTGATGACTTCAGAATCTTCAGATAAGGTAGTGGAGACCGACGAATACAAGATCAAACTTCAACTACAGTTGGATACCGAAGCCGTGAAGAAGGCTGCTACGGAAGTTGGACTAGAAGTTGAGAGATTGGATCAATTCTTAGAAGCGGTTCAGCAAATTGATGCTTAACCTTGTTTAATTTATATTGTTTTTGTATTTATTTGGCTAATCTGTGATAAATATTAAGTTGGGTGTAGGCTAAAGGTATTGTTTCGCTTAAAATGGTTTTATCCATTGGATATTGTAGCAAGTTGGATCAAAAATTATTAAAAGTGGTTAGTAGGCGTTTTAGTAATAAATGGCAACTTGGGCTGACATTCAAAGACTAGCTGCTGATCTTCAACGGGTTCAGTCGGCTGATTCTGAAAAGAAGTAAGTGCACATTTATTATCAGTTGCTACGATTATTATATAAGTCATCTTGGCAAGGTAATATCACCGAATGCAGCAGCATAAGGTTGATGTCGGACATAACAAAAGCTTGGTGGCAAAGACAATGTTGAAACAACAAATATTGTACTCAAAAAATGTTTCAGACTGTCCGAAGCAAACTGCATTGAAGTAATCACCAGATTGATCAACAATGCTGCTATTGATATTGTAGTAGCGACTAATGGCAAGGAATATGTCACCAAGAAGCATTTGGTGACAGAAATTCAAAACGAATGTGTTGCCAATGGGGGTCGAGTCTCTGTCGGTGACTTGGGAGCTTTCCTGAATGTCAATCTTGAACACATTGAAGCAGGTATTACAACTCTGGTCAGTCAGTCAGATGACTTTATTTTATGTGCTGGAGAACTGTTATCACGGTGAGTTTACAGGAGCTGGTTATTTTATGATGAAATAGGGCAAAAGTAATGGGGAAGGAGTTTCAAAAGGTATTATAAAATACATTTGTTTAATATTCAGAGAGTTTATCAACGATGTTTGCAAGCAACTGAATGACAAGTTGAAGGAAACTGGCCAGACATCTATGGCCGAGCTGACCAAGACCTGGGATCTCCCAACTGATGTCTTCAATCATTATATTCTGTCAGAGTTGGGCTCTAAGATTGATGCCAAGAAAGTAGAAGATCAGCTGTATACTACAACATTCCTGAAGCTACAGACTAACAAACTTAGGGCTTGCTTGGCTGCCTTGAGCAAGTAAGCATTTTTTTAAATTATGTATACTTTTACTTGTTACATTCAATTAATTGGGCATATTTTTAGTTGTTTACCTAACAGCACGGTAAGTTTTATAAGTAATCATTTTCAGGCCTACTATAATATCCTCAATCTTCGCGGCATTCGCAACTCCAGAATCCTTGTTCTTCAACATTTGGAATGGTCTCATAAGTGATGGAAAGCTAAATGGTCACGTTGTTGGAGCCAAGAACAACTTGAAGGCGTACTACGTTCCTAGGATGCATGAAGTGTTGGTCAAGTCGTATATTAAGAAGACTTTTGGAGCTGACCAGTTTATTGGTAAGGAATTCTTTTTATTGTGTCAATACAAGAATTGAGCAGCATTTTTTGATTTCATACTTTTTGTGCTAATAAGACTATTTCTAGGTACTACTTTGCTGAAGAAACTGTCAGTTAACGACCAAAAACCCTACTTCAAAGATCTGCTTCCAAAGAAGACTTTTGAGGCTTGTCTCTTCTTGGAATCTGGAGTTGTGAACCAAAGTTTGTGGTCGGAGACGGTAAACAGCATTAACGGTGAGTACATTATGTAACTGAATTAATATCTACATAAATTGCAAGAAGATCACACGAATTGTTATTAAAAGAAGACAATCTTATAATAATGTAACTCCTTTTAGAGGAACTCTCGGCCAAACTTTACGTTAACGTGGAAGAATCCCTCACATCCGTCCTGTCAGATCTGTCGGAAAAAGATCTCGACCAGCTTCATGCATCTGTCAAGAAAAGTAATGGTAATGTGAAGGCCGTTACTACGGAAGGCTACATTTTGTACGATGACAAGCTGACTACACAGTGTCTAGAAAAGGTTCTACCGGCAGTTGTGGCTAAAGCAAAAGAAGATGCTCCATCTTTGGTTGACAAGATCAAAGAGTTTAAGGCTACACAACAGAGTACGCAGAAGAAGAATGACGACGATGACGTGGGTTATTAAATTACTTTTATAGATTTTGTGCAATATATTACTGTTTGTATTGGTTTAGGACTGGGGAGCTGGCAACAAAAAGAAGGGAAAAGGAGGAAAGAAACAGCCGGCTGGCAAAGGTAAAGCAACGCAAGCTAAGGATAGTAATGGTAAGTAAAAGAGATTGAGCAGCGAAAAATAGTTAAGCAGTACGGCAGTGAGGAGGGACAGTCTTTAGCAGCTGATTAAGTTTGGTCAGATGCTGCCAAGTCGATGATTAACTTTTTCAGATTATTGGTCAGTAGTAACGTTAGACAAAGACGAACTTAAGCGTAGCGTTGAGGAGACAGGACTTCCTCAATCACTCATCGATGAATTATTTGATGAAATCTTACTTCAGTCAAACAACAAGTACAAGGAAGAAGTCGAGTCAGCATTGGCGAGTGCTGAGAGCAGTGAGACTAAAGACATGAAGAAGTTGATCGAAGACAGAACGGCCAAGGCACAGAACGTCTACAATCAACTGGTGCTGTTTGAGCAGAGCTTGGAAGGACTGTCTGGTACGTTCAAGTCGTAATGTAAAACGTTTCTTTGTAAATTTGTACAGAAAATAGAAGTTTATGCATCTTGTGTATATGTAAGTATTGTGTTGTTTTAGAAAGCCTTGCGTTGGACCTAAAATCATATCTAACAAAGTCATTGTGCGTTGAGATTTCTCAATTGGTACTTTCAACCTTAACTGAAGCTCCCCCAACTCCAATATTGACTAACAAAGTCAGAGACGAGTTCATCAAATCCATATCAGACAATCAGGCGAAAGATCTGATGACAGAGTTGTATACAAATACAACGGATCTAGAGAAGTTCCATGACACTGTCAAAGATCTTCAGAGAATATCAGTCATGATGAGATTCCCCGATAAGAAAACAAAGTGAGATACTCTAATCATTTATATTACAATATTATAGTAGTACTAACAGCTAGAATCATACTTGTTAGAGTAATGTAAAGTTATAATTGAAGCTCATTTTATGTGTATTTTTAGGACCGAAACATTCGATAACTACAAGCAACTTTTGAAGCAGAAAGTAACTGACGAGTCTGATCCCCCAACCTTCTTGCTAACAGCTCTACTATACCTTTATGCCTTCAAAAAGGACATTGCAGTAACATGTACTGGAAAGTACGTTGGCGCGTTGATCAAGGGGCTTAATTCTACTCCTGGAAGCATACCAGATCCTGTAGTGGCTGAAATACAAGATACACAGAAGTTGGTTGTAGATTCTTTGAAGAAGGAAAACCATTCCAACCAAGAATTGGCACAAAAGTTGTCGGACCAAATTGCTGATTTGAAGACTAAAGTACTATCACTTTGAAACTTTTATATCATAAATCATAGTCAAATTATATTAAATTTTTTTTTCCTATTCTTAAATTACTATTACTATATTTTTCAAGTCTAATAACTAGATCAACATTACATTTCTATGCTATAATCTTACAATATGGGAAAAATAATCTGTCTCTTTGGAGACTTCGCCAACAGTCATAGTTAATTATAATATATATCCATTTTATTACCACTTTACGTTGTTGACGCCGAATAAATAAATAATAAATTTTAGTCAATAAATTATTTTTTATTTTGTACTCGTTTTTACGACAAAGAACAATTTCCTTCTTTCGTATAAAATTGTTTCTGCGAAACTCAATACTTTGGGCGCAGCTGGCGAATAACTAATTTCTTTTGGGAAAATAAAAGCAAAATAAACGATAAAATTATGTCGAGAGTAGTAATAAAGAACTTGCCTTCGAAATGTACTGAAGATACTGTTCGGAAGTTCTTCAAGGATTACGACCCTATAACTGATGTTAGCTTCAAATATACGAAGGATGGAGTATTCAGAAAGTTCGCCTTTGTCGGATTTGATTGCGATGAAAAGGCCCAAGAAGTGATTAAGAAGTATAATCAGAGTTTCTTCGGCTCTTCTAGAATTGTGGTATGTTTTTATTTGTTTTTTGTTTTAGGTATTATAATACAGATTTGGTTGAGACTTTTTCAATTTTCTTCCTCTTTATGGAAATGATATTTTAGGTGGAAGAATGTGCTCCTATTGACGAGAGAAACAGAATTCGACCATGGAGTAAGCACAGCAAAGGATCTACGGCTTATAAAAGGATTCATGGAGATGACGATGTTCTGGAGAACGTTAATGGAAAGAAGTTCAAGAGTAATAAAGGAATTTCATTTAAATATGAAAATGATCCTTTGTTTGCCGAGTTTTTGAAAGTTAGAGGTGTGAAATTGGACAAAAAAGAAGAAACAGAAGAGGAGAATAGTGAAGAATTTTTGCTTAACGCGATTGAGACATATAAAGGTATATAACTTTGTTACATTTTATTTAAAAATGTTTTTAATTTTGGCATAATATTTGACCTTTAAAATTCTAAAACTAATTTCAGGGGACAAAAGTGTGTCACTTATATTTCGTGGATTACCTACAAGTATAAAGCAGACAAATCTGAAGGAATGGTTGAGTCCAATAAGGATAAAGTCTTGTTTCTTTGTTAATGCTGGAAGTGAAGCTTTTGGTTTTGTGCAGTTTAATCGACCAGGTGATGCAAAGAAGGCTTTGCAGAGGACGAATCAGTTTCTTGGAGGTTTTAAGGTAAGGTTTATTGTCTTACAAACGTTTTGAAGTTTAGGTTTATTTTGAAAAGCAGTGTTGGTAAATTTTATTCTCATAAAAATATTTATTGGAAGTTTAGGTAAGAATTTGCAAATTCCCGGAAGACGCAAAGCCCAAAGAGCATAATGACGAGGAAATGGAAGATATTGATTTTGAAGCTGAAAGAAAGAAGATAACGGACAAGATTTTGGACACTGGTCGACTGTTTCTCCGCAACCTACCGTATGTATGTACTGGGGATGATCTGACGTTTTTATTCAAGAAATACGGAGAACTGATTGACGTTCAATGTGTGGTTAACAGACAAACAGGCCAATGCAAGGGATTTGCAGTTATCACATTCATGTTTCCTGAAAATGCTTTGACCGCCTATACTGAACTTGATGGAACTGTTTTTAAAGGAAGAATGTTACACATATTGCCAGGCGAAGAGAAACTAGAAGAAAGCGGAGATCAAGGTGGGGAGAAAGTGTTGTCTAAGTTCCAGAAGGAGAAGAACCAGAAGAAAGAAGCTGCTGGGAAGGCGTTCAGTTGGAATACCTTGTTTTTGGGAGCCAATGCTGTTGCTGATACTCTGGCTGAGAAGTTGGCTATTCAGAAGTCAGACTTTTTAGAAGGAGACGACAAAAACAGGTATGATATTTGTTGAAGCTGATGGGCAATTTAGAATATATTTATGATCTTTCTACATTAAGTCAGAGGCTACGTTAACAACAGGTTTAAACGTACTTTTAGTGCTGCTGTGCGTATGAGTTTGGCTGAAACAAGATTGGTCAATGAAACGCGAGACTTTTTGATTAAAAATGGAGTTTGTCTGGATGCTTTCTCAAGACCAGTTACAAAACGATCAGATTCTGTTATGATTGTTAAGAATTTATCTGCTGCGACGGATTCAGAAGAGTTAAAGCGAATGTTTGAGAGATTTGGAGAAATAAAGAGGTTCTTGCTACCGCCGGGTATGTAATTTCCTTTTTAATGTGTTTTATTTTTCATGCTTTAAAAACTTTACTTTAACTTTTAACATTTAGAGTGCAAAGTGACAGGATTGGTAGAGTTCAAATTGGCAGTCGATGCAAAGAAGGCATTCAAAGGCTTGGCTTACTCAAAGTACAGGACACTACCTTTATATCTTGAATGGGCACCGTCTGACGTCTTCAATAAAGATTCTGAAGAAGAGGTAAAACCAACAGAACCAGAAGTTGGAACAAGCCAATTGAACAAGCAGAAGAAGCGAGCTTTGAAGTTAAAGGAGAAGTACGGCGATAAGTTTAACAAAGAAGCAGAAGATGATGATAATGAAGAGGAAGTAGATGACGAGGAGGAAGACAATGCGGCAGAAGAAGAGGATGTTAAAGAAGAAGTCAAAGATGAAGTGAAAGAAGAAAAGGAAGAAACTGATGCTGTAAGCCAATATTTTTTTTATTTGACAGTCTTTATGTGGTAATAGCGTTGTAGATGTTCTGAAGGCATTAGTTTTTATATTACTAATTGAATTTTTATTATTTACTTATAGGGTAATGGTCGCACGTTGTTTGTTAAAAACCTGAACTTTGACACGACGGATGAAGGACTGAAGAAGTTCTTCTCGAAGGGTTACAAGGTGACATTAGCTGAAGTGTCAAAGAAGGAAGGCAAGAAAGCAAAGAGTAAGCTATTGAGTATGGGATTTGGATTTGTGACATTTGCGAGTGTAGAAGATGCTGAGAAGGCTTTAAGGAAACTTCAGGTAAGAATCGTCCGACTAGTTTAAGTTTTATTGATTTTTTAAATATTTTTGGTACAAAAAGTTGGCTTTTCTATTCTAAAATTACTGTATGTTATGATTGCTGATGATGTTATAAATGTATTTATCGAATTTCGTCTTTAGGGTGCTTTGTTGGATGGTCATGCAGTTGAATTGAAACGATCACGAAGGACAGATCTTATTGATCATTCAGATGAATTGAAGAGAAAAGAAGTCAACAACCTCAAACAAGGAGAATGTACCAAGATATTGGTACGAAACATACCATTCCAAGCTTCTGAGAAGGAAATCAAGGCTTTATTCACATCATTTGGGGAAATTAAATTTGTAAGACTGCCGAGAAAGGTAAGGTTGTTCATTATAAGATTGCGTGGGAACAAAAAGGCACTATTAGCTCTAGTTTTAAAAGTTTCATAATATATAGTTGTGTAATAAAAAAGTTAAAGAAAAAGCTTTGAACATGTTGTTTTAGGTAGCATCAGCTTCGAAACATCGTGGATTCTGTTTTGTCGACTTTGTATCGAAATTGGATGCAAAAACGGCGTTTGATGCTTTAGTACATTCTACTCACTTGTACGGTCGTCGTCTGGTCCTGGAGTGGGCCAAGGAATCAGAAACGATAGACGAAATTAGAGAACGAACAAACAAGAAGTTCAAGTAAGTCTTGATTTTCAATTTTTATTACTTATATGTCTGGCATATAAATTACCATTTTAATTTAACAATACAGTGTTATGACTAGTTACAAAATTATTAAACTTGGTTTTTAGTGATAAACCTGACCGTGGTCCAACAACAAGACGACAGATCAGAGGCGTCGTGGAAGAAGGAATGGAGAAAGCGTCGAAACTCGATTAGAATGCACAATTCATACTTTTATCCCGCACAAGTTGAACTATTATTGTTATATTGTTGTTTTTGTTACAGTTAAATTGTTATCTGTTGTTGGGAAAGGGCGACTGATCGATTCGTTAACGGCGAGATTGCAATATCTGTAGTTGTTTTTGTTTGTTTTTAATGATTTTTGAGGTTTTCTATTTATATATTCGAACTTTAAAGTTCGACTATTGTTTACTGTAATATTGGGGGGGTTGTTATCTTTAAGATTTGCTGATGTAAAATTTTGTTCTATTTAGATGTCAGCTGAATTTAAAACTAAAGTGTCTCCTGAAGATCAGGCACAGATAAACGAGTTCGCTAGAGAACACAAGCATCTGGTTGATCTGAAGGTAAGCTAAGCTACATTAATATGGTTTTAAAGATTGTTTGTTTTTAAATTTGTTACAAATCAAATTTTGTTAGAAAAACACAAGTTTTTAGAGAGGGGAACTTTAGGTTATAAAAATACGAAGAAGAATGTTTTATTTTAAAACTAAACTTCTTTTACTTTCTAAACAAGTTTAACTTGTAAAACTAACAAACTGTTAACAAGTGACACATTTCAGTCCGAATACAAGAACCTCGAGAAAGAGAAGGCTAATTACGACGACGCAAATGACGAGTTGATCATTTTGGACGAGACTGACGGCCCATTCGCCTACAAGTTCGGCGAATCTTTTATATACCTGGATCACGACGAGGTGACGAACAAACTGGAGACAGCCAGCGCGGCATGCGAGAAGAGAATGGAAGTGTTTCAAAAGCAGATAGAACAGGCTTCGAAACGACGAGACCAGCTGAAGGAGCAGTTGAGGAAGAAGTTTGGAGATAACATTGGTCTGGATGACGATGAAGAATAGACTCGTCTATCGTCTACCGGCCAGAAGACAGTTCTTTATGATAAATCTGCTGTTTTATCAATTGCTAACTACAACATCGCTTGGCCATCTACAGTCATGTCAACCGACTACTTGTTCCGCACCAAATATTGTAATCTCAATTTTTTTGTTAAAGTTAGCCTTATTAAACAATCTTGCTTTATTAACTACATTAGAAGAGGTTTTAACGCCACTAACAATGTTATTTTAATGTTTACCTCCGATTGTAAGAGCCCTTGATTGTGTTTACCGTACACGTTGGAGTAACAGCTGTCTGAGGTAGCAGTTAAAAGTAAAAATCATCCCAGCTTCCAATTATTTTCGTTCACAATGTTGTGGTTTTTGTTTTTATGGGCTGGAAGGACTTGTTCTACGTTTATGACAATATTATAGTAGTTTTTTTATAAGAAATGACTATTATTCTATAAAAAAAGTTTAAAGAAATTGGAACGTTGAAGGGCATTTTTTTTGTAAGCAGCTTTTAGAATATCAGGCGACTATTTGATCAATCTATAAACTTTTTTTGTTGATGTAGTATAATGTAAAATAGGTAACAAGAAGTACTGGTTTTTGGTCAAAAGTCATAATCGAAAGAACAGGTAAACTGGTATTGTCAAACAATGTTTCTGATGTTTGACGTATCGTTTGTTTATAAAAAGTCGTTATCAGCGCCCGATTTTCTGCAGCAAAACATAAAAGTAAAAGCTTGGAAGGGCCTGATCTGATTCACATGATTTCATTCCGCCGACCACCGCTGGCCACAAATAATCGCTTTCAACTTTAGAGCAAGCTGAGAGATTCCAAGGACGGTCAGGAGGATTTTGTATGTTGCTGTGGTCTGTTCGGCGCACCTGAATCCGTGTTTGTGGCTCCACTATCAGAAGAGGTTCGAGCCGGCCCGGAAGCCCCGCCCCCAGTGATAGAGAAGATGGCGGGAAGCGAGGGGACACCTTCATTGTTGAGCGTCGAAGAAATGGAACGACAGCGACGTGTTTCGGCTTCGGAGCCGTTATTGCCAGAGGCAATTAGTCTGATCCAGGAAGATCTCCGCAAGAGCAAGACCTTTGCACTACCACATGTCTTCGTGGTGTTCGGAGCCTCCGTAAGTGTTTTTATGCGTAATCGAGAGCAGAAAGTGTTTTTGGAACGTCGAAGAGCTTGTTTACTAATGTTTTGAATTAGCAAACCTTGGGTTTTGCATTAAAAACCTATTTTTTGTTACTTTAAAAGAACTTTAATGCATTTCCAGGTCTTGTAATAAAGGAACATGATGATTTATACAATAAAAAATAGAAAATTAAAGGATAATTATGTTTTTGTTAATTTCCAGGGTGATTTGGCCAAGAAGAAGATCTTTCCGACTCTGTGGTGGCTTTACAGAGATAAACTGTTGCCCGAACACATTGTCTTCATTGGCTATGCTAGGACAAAGTTGACCTTAGACAAGTTGCGGGAGTCTTTTGAGAAGAACTGCAAGGTCAGAGATGGAGAGAAGGATCGTTTCGAAGACTTTATCAAGTGTATTACCTATGTGTCTGGCCAATACGATAAGGACGAAGGATTCGAAACCCTGAAGAAGAGTTTCGATGCTATTGAAGCCAAGTTGAACAAGCCTTTGAACAGATTGTTCTACTTGGCTTTGCCTCCGAATGTTTTTGAACCGGTTACAAAGTTTGTGAAGAAGCATTGTATGGACAAAGGGTAACGGTTACTGTAACATTACTGAAGTTTTTTGTGTTTTAGTAACTCTTGGACTCGAGTAGTGATTGAGAAGCCATTTGGACATGATTCTGAATCCTCGAATGCCTTATCTAAACATCTGAACAGTTTGTTCTCGGAGGACCAGATCTACCGTATCGATCATTATCTTGGCAAGGAGATGGTACAAAACTTGGTCGTTTTGAGGTTGGTTTTTGTTTTACGTATAACACGTTATTGTAGTAATTACATGGTGTTACAATATCTTCTAAACAATGTTTTAGATTGGGTAACCGCTTTATTGGCCCAACTTGGAACAGGGATCACATTGCCAGCGTCATGATCTCATTTAAGGAAGACTTTGGAACTCAAGGTCGTGGAGGTTACTTCGATTCGAGTGGAATCATCAGAGATGTGATGCAGAACCATCTTATGCAGATTCTGACTCTAGTAGCAATGGAGAAGCCTGCTTCATTGTCCGCTGATGACATTAGAAGCGAGAAAGTCAAGGTTCTCAAGTCCATCAAGGAACTGGAGCTGAAGGACCTTGTTTTAGGTCAATACGTCGCTGATCCTGAGGGCAAAGGTAAGCAAAATGTTTGTAAATAGCGTTTTGTTCGAAAAGAGATTGTGTTTTTGAAGAAAAAAGAGTTTGAATAACAATTTGGGTTTTGTGTTTCACCCTGAAAGCAGCACAAGGTATACTTTTGTAGGAGACAAACTACAATTTCGACAGAGATAGGGCTGCAAACAATGATTTTTGGTTCACAGTTGTAATTTTTGATGATTATTTGTTATTTTTATTTGTATTTTGTGGTCATTGGGATGTGAAATTGACAATTTTGATGATTGGCTAAAATATTGCTATCGTACATTTGTTAATCATGCTAATTAAACCGTATATTGTTTACTATAACATTCATTTTTAGACGAAGACGCCAGGACAGGTTACCTACAAGACCCAACTGTACCAAATGACTCTGTAACCCCTACCTTTGCTACGGCCGTTCTCAGAATCAACAACGAACGATGGGAGGGCGTGCCATTCATTCTTCGGTGTGGCAAAGCTCTGAATGAAAGGAAGGCTGAAGTCAGAATCCAGTACAAAGATGTGTCTGGAGACATCTTCAAGGCCGGCAGCTTGAAACGCGACGAGTTGGTTATCCGAGTACAACCCAATGAAGCCGTCTACTTGAAGTTGAACACCAAAAAACCTGGCTTCGACTTTGAAGCTGAAGAGACTGAACTTGACCTGACTCTTCATTCCCGGTACAAGGTAAGCCTGCTTTTATATGTTATTTGTAGATTTGTATTTTTGGTATTGTTGCAAGTACTTTAATATCAATTCAAAGGCAAACTAAAAAACAATACTACAATATCTAACAATACCTAAAAATGTTTCAAATATAAACCACAATAAAAATCCTAAACCGAGACACTTTAAAGGATTTGCGGCTTCCCGATGCTTACGAACGGTTGTTCTTTGACCTGATGGAAGGTCAACAGTACAACTTTGTCCGCAGCGACGAGTTGGAACACGCTTGGCGCATATTCACTCCCGTCCTGAAGCAAATCGAATCGCAAAAAGTGAAACCAGAGAACTACGTCTACGGATCTCGAGGACCCAAGGCCAGCGACGAGATCATGAAGCAGAACGGCTTCGTCTTCACTGGCACTTACAAATGGAACCCACCCCACAAACTCTGAACTATTTATTGAGTAGACATTGGTCTAGTAGCTGAGCTTAAGTTTCGTAAAGCATTTCATAATTGGCGTATAAACAAACATAATTTACTTAGATATTAGACTTGGCTCTTGGTGTGGTTTTACAAAAAAAGAAAATTTTCACGTTTTAGCCATTTTTAAACGTTGAAAATGCACTTTTAAAATGAAAAACTTAAAATCGAAAGAACTAAAGAACAGTATCACTGATAACTGATAAGTTTACTTATTTACAACCAGAAAGTTTCGAATGTTGGTCCAGAAGTCGGAATCATGGTACAAGTAGGTCATGGAGGATTGTAGTGAGCTCTGTAGTACGTGTTGATGGTACTCGAACATCCACAATACAGTACCCCACAAAACGGCCGCGAACCAAGGGAAGACCTTGAAGTTTGGAGTAGGTACTATACCGTTTTCAGCTCCTAACTTGACAAGGCCGTAGATAATACGCGATAGGAGGTAGAGGTTGATCTGAAACATAACATGTGGTACTCATTTTATAATTTAACTTTTCAAATGTTACAGTAGGTCAGAAAAATCATGCTGATGATACTTACCTGAGTATTGACTCCGTTTTCTTTGCCAAAGATCAAGTATCCGACTGAGAAAGCTGCCACGAATGAGTGTAGCTGATTTTTTTCACCTTCTAGTTTTTTGAGAACTGCCAACAATAACTTGTAGCCAAATACGAACCGTCCTAGGTTCCAGGCATGGGTTTTTGTCAATTTTAGTACTGTCTTTAGCCTTGCCACAATAGAGCCTCTGCCGAAAAGGAATACCATAACCAGGGCATGGGGAGCTCTGATGCGGGCTCCGTAGCTAAAAAGTGGTAGAATTACTAGGTAAACTGAAAAGAACTGTCAAGCTATCATTGTGAGAATATAAGCATGTATAATAAAAGTGTAATTGAACAACTAATAAGGTTTGAAGAGTTAAATAGCTGAACATTTCTTCAATAATTTCAACTAGACCAACTCCTAAACCAACTAGAAAAGGCAGCTTACACCAATCCGTTCCGCAATCCCTTCAACGCGGTCAAGAACTCCTTCTCGCTGTCGAGACTCTTGAGTACGTTGTTTCCAACATCTTCCAGCAGCTTCAAGACCTCCATTATTGAGACGCGAGTGTGAGCAAGCAACCCCTGCTTCCTCACATACAAATATTCTAGTTTATCGATGCGCTTTTCCGATCAAACGATTTAATTTCGGTGTTCTTAAGTTTTTCGAACTTTCAACAAGACAGTTGGGAAAAACACTTAACCAAGGGTGAAATAATATAGCTTCCAGTAGATTGCACATTTGCTTACAAGTCTATCACAATATTGGCGCTTTAAATTGACAGGTTGAGCCTTCAGACAAGGGTTCAGTTTGAAATTTAGTTTTAAACTGTTTTAAAGAAAAAGGTCAAAGGTTAATAACACACCTAAGTTATTAGCCAGCAAAGGTCGGCTTACCTAATTAGGACTGATTTTGACTTCTCTGTCTCACAAACTGAGCCAAGCCATTAAGCTTTCTGGCCAGGTTTGAAAATCGGCCTGTACTAACCGGGAAATCAGATCTATATTATTATAGCACATTTTCAGTTGATTAAAAACAGCAAAATATATTAACATAGATGTATGGTTTTGCAGTAAAATCAGTTTTGTTGCGTAAAGAGTGATAACTTTATCACTCTCGTAATCTGCACTTTAGAGACGGGAAAACAACAAGATTTCGTGGCGAATAACAATCAAGTTGTAAATCCTTAGTACAGTGAAAATGCACTATGACCTTTGCAGTCGACTACGTTGGTTATTTACATAATATTTGAACAACTCAGCAAACATGAAACCCGCAGACACAACAACAGCATAGTATAGTCGAAAACAATATCACTGTACTTTTACACAAAACAATACTGATTTAAAATACAATGGAAGTTTTTTGTATAGTTTGTAAGAAATGATTACTATGATCAAGAACAAAGCTTTGTAAATGAATTGAAATAATTTTTAAAAAAATTTAAAAATCGTTTGCAACTGATTTAATAAAACGTTTGTTTTCAAGCTTCTAATTTTAACTCATTTAGCGAAGGATGAGGAAGTCTGGCTGTCATAACACTACTCGAACATGTCCTCGCTTCTCTGTAACACGAGTGATTAAACAAGGCCGTTTATCGGACGGTCCCTGCTCGACGGTGATTATTGTTTCAGTCGCTGTCAAAGACAAATACAAGGCCTCCCAAATATGAATATCACGTCGGTTCGAGTATTATTCTCTGGGATCGTTGTTTTCATGGGATTAAAATGCAAATAGGCAGTTTGGTTGAGCTGGACTGGCTGAGTTGGCGGAGGTGCTTTGTCTTCTATATAAGGGAGTGGAGGGCAGATAAGCGTATATCGACGCTTCTATCACGGTGACCGGACACCACCGATCTTATCGCCTCTCCAGAATTCAAACGTTTCACCACAAAGCCCAAGTCAGTCGATGTCTGACTTCGCATGGATCGGCTTGGGCGTGGGAATCGGCTGGGTTAGAAACCCGCGACGTTTTTTTCCGTTTTGAGGGCTTTTACGGTTTCATATCTATCAGTCAGACAACTATATCGTGACACGTTAACCCGGATTCGATCAGAGATAAGCGTTGCGCCGACTTGAAAATCGAAAAGTGGCTTCACTCCGTATTTAAAGTAGCGGTGTACTTCTCGTGTTATATTCCCGTGACTCTCGTGTTTCCCTCATTTGTCTCTTCAATTCAGGATACTTGAGTCAAACATGACAAAGAAGTTGATCATCATCGGAGCCGCCCCGACCGCCTTGGGCTTCGCCTACCGTCTCAACGAGTTGTGCGAGGAGGGTAACGAGGAGGCCAAGAACGTCGACCTTCAAATCTTTGAACAAGTAAGTACTAGGCTATGTCAAAAAAAATTTCTTGTAAATTACTATTTTACAACAATGCTGATGTCTACAATATTTTGATATAGTACAAAAAACTGAAAGTCTGAAATTAAAGGAAGAAATCGCCGGCGGCCTTTCCCGCTCCGAACGTGATGACAAGGGATTCTTGTGGGACATGGGAGGCCACATCACCTTCAGCGAGAACTGCCCTTACTACGAGAAGGCCACTCGTTGGGCCGTCGATGACTGGAACTCTCTCCAACGTAACTGTCTGGTCGACATGAACTACTTGTTTGACAAGAAGGGTATCCACTTGGTCCCATACCCAGCTCAATTCGCCGTACCTTTGTTCCCCGACGAGGTCAAGAACAACTGCTTGGCCGAGTTGAAGGAACGTTACGAGAAGAGCGACGAATCTTCTCCAGTAACCTTCGAAGACTGGATTCTCAAGAACTTTGGCCCCACCATCCTCAACTGCTTCTTCAAGCCATACACCAAGAAGGTATGGACTGTTGACACCGCCAAGATGTCCCCCAACTGGGTCGGTACTCGTGTGGCCAAGCTTCCTCAAGAGAAACTTGAATCTCTCTGCGCCATGAACAAAGATGAGTTGGCCAAGGCTGACTTCGGATGGGGACCAAACGCTTGCTTCACCTTCCCCAAGTACGGAGGAACTGGTGCCGTTTGGCAAAAGATGGCCAACAAGTTGCCACAAGAGTGGATCAAGTACAACCACAAGTGTGTCAACGTTGACTACAAGAACAAGAAGATCACCGTCCAGAAGAAAGACGGTTCGACCCAAGAAGTGGAATATGACGCTTTGGTCAGTACCACCCCAGCCGACCAATTGGTCCAACACACCAAGATCTGCCCCGAGATCAACGTCGAGCACAACAAGGTGTTCATCGTTGGAGTCGGCCTCGAGTTGCCTATGCCCGAGAGCATGAAGAGCTACACCTGGTTGTACTTCCCCGACCCAGCTGTGCCATTCTACAGAGTAACCTTCTTGTCAAGGTACGGTGAAATGACTCCAGACAGCAACAAGTACTGGTCGGTGATGGTGGAGTGTGCCCGTCAACCTGACGACCCAGTGACCGAAGAGGAGATCAAGAACGCCTCGGTCGAAGGACTGATCACCAAGGAGATCATCAAGAGAGATCAGATCGTGTCTGTCTGGTCCACCACCCTCCCCTACGGATACCCAATCCCAACTGTTGAGGTAAGTGAAGCTTTGATCTTAAATTCTATAACTGACAGCATATAATCAGAATCAATAGTCATAATAATATAATAATAATACTTTCTTCAGCGTGACAACGAAATGGCTCGTGCACACCGCGCCTTGGAAGCCCACGACATCTACAGCAGAGGACGTTTCGGTGGATGGAAGTACGAAGTGTCCAACCAGGACCACTGCTTCATCCAAGGAAAGGAAATCGCCGACCGACTGGTCCTGGGACAAGAAGAGAAACTGTACCGCACTGGGCTGACGGAGAAGCGCGGTTAAAGATCTAACTATCTACCTTTAAATATAATAATTTATATAAACGCTTGTGATATGATTTTATTCGGTATTACTGTAACACGGGATGTTCTGTCGTCGCTGATGCAGCGTGACCAATGTTGGACGAGTGGTTGTGCTTAACGTGCCGCCTGAAACGCTTCGGCTCCTGAGAGTTAAGTTCGCCTTGTTGAGAGTGTTCACTATGAGTCATGGATTCTGGAGAGCTTTCTGAAATCACATGACATCAATATAGAAATTATATTATGTTACATTAAAAAGGTTTACTGGTCTTATCGTCAGTAATCAATTGTTTTCTTACGTCTTTTTTCTTTCTTCTCTTCCTCAGCTTCTTCTTTTTCTTCTTCCTCTTCTTCTGGAGCCTTTTCTTCTTCCTTTCTTGCCTCATTCTCCTTACTCGATTCCTTTGATGCTACCTTGCTTGAATTCTTTTCTTTGCTCACTTCTTTTTCTTCTTCTTCAGCATTATGTCGCTTCTCTCGTTCTTCAACCTTTTCTTCTTCTTCTCCATGTCTTTTCACTCTCATATCCTTGGACTCTTCACCTTCTTCATGAGCTCTCACTAGTCTAATGACATGTTCATCTTGTTCCTTACTGCCTAAAACAACTTTGAAAGCTTGTGCCATCACTTACCAGTACAATCAGCCAATTGTACGCAACAAAACACAAAAAATACGGCCGCAACACGCATCGTATATGCAATTCGGAAAAGGACTCGGGTTACTTATATACAATGTCATGAGTTCATAGATGGAATAATTGCGCAGACGTGATGGGTAATATATCCGTCAAACAAATATAACACATTTCGTGTCAGGTCAGGCCGTTATTGTACATTGGGAAGCATAAGTTCATAAAACTACCTATTTCCGACAATTATTTGATCACTTGCAAAGTTACAGTAATAAAAAAGTAACTGCTTGTTACTCTAACATCACTTTTTAAGCTAGATATTTAAAACATAAAATTAAAAAGAAACATTGCAGACAGGCTTTCCATATCGTACGGCCCACAATATATTCTTACCCAAACAGAATTTGCATAAATCTTACTTTTGCTAAAAAATGAGAGAACACTTGACTCAAGCGGTCAAGTTTTTCTTTTGCGGTTGGCCTGGCGTTCGAATTAATACGGAATGCCGCGTTAGACTCGCGGCTTTGCAAAGAAAACCGTCTCTGGCACCTCGAAAATGTTTATGGAATATTGAAATATGAGAAGGTGTTGATCTTTATCTATAATATTGTTTACGATGGGTTTCTTCAAGGCACGATGTAAATTAAGTCTTCTAAACTTGGACGTGCTCGAGTTTGAAATCGGATCCAAACAGACGGCAGACACGATTCTGTTGGCAGCCAACGAAAAACTTAATATTTCTGAGGAGAACTACGACTGTTTTGCTTTATACTATTTAGATGCCGAGTAAGTCTTTATTTTTTTTAATTAAATTTAGTTTGGATTGAGAGAAAAAACATTTATTTATTATGCAAATGAGCATAAGTTACTTTGTAAGACGATATCTACAAAAATTTTTAGAAATCAAGTACAATGGGTTAACCCAATGGATACCGTAGTCAACATATTAGCGCAACGAGACTCTTCTGGCCATATCCTTTTGTTCCACGGTGTTCGCTTCTTTCCTCTGTCGTGCTTATCAGTTGTTGACCCGAATACTGTGATACAATTCTTCTTTGATACTCGACTTCAGTTTGTAAAGGTAAGATCACAAAACTTAGTTAAGACATTTATTTTAATATACAAAGTCAACATATAACTAAAAAAATATAATATTATGCTTCATTGGTATCTTCCTGATTTTTCTTTACATAATTTTTGTAAGAATTGGAATTAACGCTACTGTTTAGGGTTACCTGTCAATGGAATTTGACGACTTTACCACGTGTTCTGCAATCTTGATACTCCACAAATGTGGCATCGAAAGTTTAGAGTAAGTTGATATCTAAATTTATGTCACAATTTTTAGGTATGTTTCTTTAAACTGTTGATTGTATTAATGCTCAAAACTGATCATTATCATATGTTTAGATACTCTGAAGTTAGTCGTGTATTCGATGAAGAGTTGGCATTTCCCAAGTTATTACTGCGTCAGTTTGAAGCCAATGTCGACCAGATTCACGATGAGGTCTACGATAAATGTTTGAGTTTCAAAAATGCTACACACGCTCAGTTGATTGCAACGTAAGATTTGTTTTTTTACTTTAGTTTTGAGCTAAATTTATTTTATTATGTTATTCAAATAATTTTGTGCTCCTTAATCTCGATATTTCTTTTGAGAGGGGGCATAGAATTATGTGAGCAACATAATAGAACTAAAAAATTAGGTATATTTTTGACGCTATTAACTAAACAGTACTACTTTATTCTGTCAATAGTTTGTTATTTTAGATTCTTGAAGCACTGTCAAAATTCCGCATTATTTGGAAGCGTATTTTACAAATTTACTGACAGTGTCAACCATGATATTGTCTTAGCCGTCAACAGCAGATCTGTTTTACAGTTTGATCCCAAAAATATTTATCAGCCAAAAAAGGTAATTTTATATTTTAAACGTTTTTACTGTTGAATTATTTTGTAATTATTTTTATTGTCGATTTAAGTACTACTTTGTGTAAAATTTTTGTGTGATCTTTTTGACTATTTATCTTAACAATGATTTTATATTGTTTTAGGTGTTTAACTTTGCACTTGTTGACGATATTACTTGTTCAGAAGCATCATTAGTTATTTCAGTCAGAGGGTAAGTTACTTACAGTTTTTGACATTTCGTCTCAATCAATTTTTGACACTTTTTTTCGAAAATTTTTATTTTTTAAATATATTTTACGCTTTTTGAAAAGAAAATAGAAAAATAGATGTTTTATAGGAATTATTACTTTACTTTTTTTTAATTTTATTTAATATTTTACTTTTACAGAGAAAGGGATGAACCTTATGCAGCCGCCTTCTTAAAGAAAGCAACTTTCAAATTTCAATCAACTCAAGTTTGCAAGAAGATCTGGAGTGCCATCGTCGCTCAACACAAGTACTACAGAAGTCAGATAGCTGAGGTAAGCATTAACTTGTTTTTTATCTTGTAAGAGGTTTCTTTGGTCAAAAAGTTTATAGATGAGAAAGAATGATCGATTTCAGTAAAATTAAGCTGGGTTGATCGATCTTTCTACTTATTTTCTGACAAAAAAATGATTTTAAGTCAAAAAAAGTTTAAAATTAGTATGCACAAGAGTAAGCCGTGTTACCTCTGCTATAACATGTATAACAAGACGCGATCGGAGCGGCGGGGTGTTCTCGTAAAAGGATTTCACGCAGAGTGGGGGTTGGATGGGCCTTCGGGCGGGTTGTTTGTGTCGAAACGGCTCATTTGCATAAAAAGGGATACTAGGGCTGAGCTTGCTCTTTAAGACGGCCACTCGTGTCTTGCCTCGGGTGAGTTCAGGAAATACTTATTTTACGGCTGGGTGACCTACTATAATATATGGGCACAGCACATTTTTCCATAATATTGGTTTGGTTTGGTCTTTAAGGCTTATTATATTATTTTACAGCTTTTATGACCTTCTGGGACGTTTGCACTTTGAGTGTTTTTGTAATTCGTTTTAATGTCTACCATAATATAGGGTCTACTGACGTTTGAGACTTGTTAGGCTAGTTCGTTTTGAAAATTTGAAGTTTTGACATTGCATTTTAACCTAAAATTGGTTTTAAGTTTTCTGGGACTATTTTTAACTCAATTTCATTATTTAAACGTTTCAATGTCTACTACAACGTTGTGATTTAAGACCTATAGCATTAGGTGGAAGTTTAAAGGCGACACTTTGCGGTTCTCTCGAAAGGAATGCAATCTTATCTTACTCATAAACAAAACAAACGTAAGGTGCGGGCCTTTATGCTCTTGATTAATGGTGCGAGGATGAAGGCTCTCGGCTCGGGAGCCATTTGTTAAGGATGGTCACTTAGTTTTGCGACCGTTTGTCTAAAAGGGCAATTTCGGAAGTCATAATGAATTTAAAGGTCATTTCAAAGTTTAAAATTTTGAGCTTTTGTTTGAATGGGTTTACAGAGGTATAGCGAGGTCAGAAAGTTCTCAGAGTTGCTGGAAATGGAGAGTTATAGCTGGTTATAAGTTTGAACTTTTAAATTTTTTTTAATTGGTAATTTCATATTTCCGCTTGTTATTCCACTAAACAACCAATGTTTAGCATAAAACTTAATATATATTTGTTGACATGATTAATCACCGGAATATGTATGGTCAGATGTCTTCTGAATTCCGGGCATTATTACAGTGGTTTTGTGGTGATTCAGACGTTTCGTAAAGTCGGAGTTGAACGCGCCTTTCCCTTATGAAGTCAGTGAGGGATCGCCGTGCTTTGTGAGGGATCACCGTTCTTCGCACGGTGACCTTCTTCCTCGAGTAGCTAACTGTTGGTTCTTTGTATAATATTTATTGAAGGTTGGGTTTATATAATGGACATAAAGGGTCTTTGTGGAAAAGTCAATATTCGATTCTTCTTTATATTATACATGAATGTCTCGTTCGAACACGTTTTGGTTGGAAAATATAAAAGCTGTTCTTAATATCAATATTTAATAGTTAAAGTTAACAACACCAATATTATAGTTATTAAAATCGATATTGTTTTACATATTGACCAATGTTTTGCTCTTTTTATATTGGACAAAGTCAGAGTGGGGTGTTGTTCGTTGCGATCACTGCAATGTTTGCGGATCAATAGCATTCCGATTTAGCCTCTTGACTTTGCACTATATTATTCTTCGTCTTCATTGGGGGGTTTGTAAGGTTTGCCGTGAATTCAAAATGGCGCGACATATTTATTATTCAATCAAGAGCATCAAGTGTTATAGTAAGGTGAACATTGCCTTATTTTGGCGACAATCTTGTTTATTTATTAGTGTAGCTTGAGAATTGTAGATATTGGGTAGTATTCTGATTTAGGGGACATACAATTTGTTTATAGTAGGCTGGAGAAGGGCTAAAGTATAAATGATTTGTTTTTGTATTTAAAACTTTTTTTTAAATTTAAAAGTGTTGCTTTCGAATAATAAAAGTTTTTGGGCGTTTTGTTTTTGTTGTCATTAATCTGCGAAGCCAAATCTAGGAAACAAGGTCGATCGGCGCGGAAACCCGCACATATCCCCCCCCCCCTCCAATATTCCCTTCCCTATGACCTTTTCCCACGACCTCGCGATCTCGACTTGAGGCTCGACATGCCTCTCAATCTTGTTTCTTAATTAGGTGGTAATCAGATTCCGAACGTTTTCAGACATCGCATCAGGGCTCCGAATACAGTCTTCAGCTACTCACCGACCGGTTGAGTCAGTTCTTTGCCAGCTCCTCGACTATCGCCAGCTCCGGACCTTCGAATAGGTAATAAACTTTACTTTTGCGTTTCCTATTAATTTATTACCTATTTTTTGGTTTCTTTTTGTAGCTTTTTGCAACTTTAATTTACTTTTTAGTTGTTTTTTTTTCAATTAGGTAACTTTTTGTATTTTTTTAAAATTACTTGGTTTTTTGTCACATTTAGGATTTTTTTGATTTTGCGGAAGTTCATATCTTATATTATTCCTTTTTAGCTCGTTGGGATCTACAAGATCGTACAGCACTACCAGTATGAAGTCTCGGGTATCAGATGTTACTGTCGATCAACCACTAACTTCCTACCGTAAGTTTCCATGGCATTATGACTAAAAAGCCATAGTATAAGACATTGGGTGTTGATACGCTTTTGTTCTAAAACTTGTATTTGCTTTTGTATAAGTAATGAAGTAGATATGACTGGTAGAAAAACCGTTTTGTATGTGCAATACAGGGATCTTACGAGGAAACGAACGTGCTTAATGTGATTAATATTCAGAAAGAACAAAAGAAGAGAAGGAACGGGATCTGCAGTCTTATTACAAACTCAAAGGTGAGGTAAAGCTGATCGAGGATGAATTACTTTACAAATTGGAAGAACTTAAACAGCTGTGCGTGGAAGAAGCTGTAAGGATTTGCATTTTATATGATAATTTACAAGGAAAGCAGAAAAGTATAATATAGAAAGAATGTCATTTTTGAACCATTTACTCCGAGTTAGAGTAACTTATCATTTTTCTGTGATTTTAGGTAACATTTTCAGTGAAGCTATGCCTAAATCTTATTCTTTTTTAGAACATAACTGGAGATATGCCTAAAGAGATCTTCATGACTCTTCTACCAGGCGAATCAATGCCAAACACGACAAAACGGATGGGAACCGCTTTTAAACTGGACCGTGATGTTATCCCAACCTCAAACTTTGTAAGTTTATTCAGTATTTAGCCGTCGATGGCGGCGTCGCAGTCGTTGAGAGTGTCAGGGTCGTACGTTGCGAAGAGGAACGACAGGAACGCGTGAATGTAGACGTTGATCACGAGGCCACGGTAGTGTCCTTTGGTCATGCTGCTTTCGTCTGAAAACGGGTTAGATAAGTATATAGTAGGTCGAACATGATAGTTGTTGGCACGTTAACTTACCACAACCTCCCTTCTTCAAGTCGGCGATTAGAAACTGTAGATTCATGGCGGAAGCGAAGGCATTTGTACATGTAGTGATGATATACGCAATACCAAGGGCTTCGTAGTACAATGCCATACTCAGACTGATGGTAATGGCTGAAGTGACACAAGTTCCGACCAAAGCTTTGCGGTCATTGGCCAAGTGAGGCCCAACAACTTGTAGTGTGGCACCAATGACAGCCGGGTAGTAGTAGGAGGGGGCACTGATGGCAGCAAAGTGAAGGTAATGGATCCAGACATGTTCACCGAGCAATCCGAAGGTGAAGGCGAGGATGATGAGCACGATTCTTCTCACGTTCAGTGATACTTGTTGCTGCAAATTCAGGTTTTAGGTATAGGAAGCTGTGTTAGATAAGTATACTTGCAAGGAGTAAGTTTAGGTAACATTTACTACAAGTTATAAGCTTAGAATAGTAACGATAGAATAGAACTTGCTTCAGTATAACGTGGAGGAAGGTAGATGGCACAAGCCGGCATAACAATGTATACCAACCCAAACCAGAGGTTGTCGGGTACGATACTCAAAGGAACGTGAACGGCGGAGTTTCTGGCCAAGCGATGTCCCAATGTCTTTGACGTCATGATGACAACTGACCACAAATACGCGCTAAAACCGTAAATATGTAAAAGTGTAAGAAAAGAAGATAGTGTGATCAGTATCAAACTTGATGTTGTTTTTGCTGCATTATACTCACCGCATAGCATATCCAAAGTCGAAAGTAACCGGAAGTGGGGACACATCAGTGAGGTCGTTCTTGATGTCTTCCATGATTTTCCAGCCTTCTTTCTTCAAATCAACTTTTCTAAAATTCGAAATTTTTTAATTTCACAAAAATTTTAATGTCGTGGAAAGTACTGTAACATGTGCAAAAACTCACTCGTTCTCTCCCAGTTTGATGTTCTGAGCTTTGTCGGCGAAAGTGACACCCCATTTGACGCCGGCTTTAGTCAGGCTTTTGTAAGTTTCATTTTGGCTAGCCTGGCGCACAGTATTGCCGACAATCTTGTCGACCGGTTCTTTTACATTCATTTTGAAGCAAATGACATTTTACAGAAGGTTGTTTTAAAATGGAATTTTAAAATTATTTTTTAGGGTACTGCTATTTATTTCTTAGGTACTGCGAAAGAGTACTAAAATATTGCTTTTAAAGATGACGGTGTTTGAATTTTTAAAAGGAACAACTAATCTGACATTTTTTATATTATGTTTCTTCAGATCTTACAATAAAGTAGTGAAAAGCTATTTTCAGACGACCGAAGCCGATCAGCTTCAAGCAGACATTCAATTGCATAGGAAGATTGTGGCAGCGGCGGAACGTTTGGCTAACGATCGTACCACTAACAAGCTGGTGAGGAAGAAAAGGAAAAGGGACTTCAAGGCGGCTGCCACTAAGCTACGAGGTCTGGAGAAGGGACTGTACCAGCTACGGTTGTCGGCTTCGAAGCCAGACATTTCGGAGTTTGATGGTTTATCACAGTTGCCAAAGTCGAGTGTTGGAAGCGGGTTTTCGCTGAATAGTTTGAGTACGTTTTTTAATTTTGGATTAAGTTTTTTTAAATTTTTTAAAGCAGTCTAAACGGTGTATAAATATAATATGCAATACTAAACAATAATTTTAACTTTTCAGAACACTGGCCTAACTTTATGAATCCGAAGATCGGCTTTGTAGCTAAGTCGTGTCCCACAACGCCTCGAGGTTCTATTCAGGATATGTCGCAGGAAGATGTGGAGAAACTGTCAGTTGGCAAAGCCTTCAACATGAGAGGGCCTGCGCAACGAACGGCCAATAAGATCTCGGCCTTGAATTGGGCCGAGAAACAACGACGATCTTCCGGAGCTCTTCCACCTTCGGTCCCACAACGAAAACACACGACTGGTTCTTTAGGATATTGCCAGTCAGATTCGTCATCTCTAGCATGTCAATCTACATCAAGTATAGCATTTGAAACCCCCACCTACTCTAATATTGGCTACGAATCAGTGGTTCCTTATCAGAGTTCATATCGTCGTTCCAATTTTCCCACGCTACAGGAACGGTACGGACTTGCGAGTAGATCCAGAAGTACGTCGAGCTACGGAGAACCGATTAGAAGGACAGAGTACCATGGACAACATCAGAGTACGATAAGTGAAAAGAGAGATACGGATTCAGTGATAGCTACAGGCTTCTCGACGTCAAGTTTGGATAGAAGAATGCTCAGAAGTAGACCGACAAGCACGACGTCAGTGAACCCACAGTTGAGGGATTCTACATCGTCAGGGGTTTCTAGTGCTTCTTCATTCGCTGGGTCACCGTGCACGATGTCACGGACGACAACTTTTCCAGTTTCTCCAGAATACGGGTGAGTTACTGTAGTTTTATACAGTCTTTACTGTATATCTTACACAGAAGTTGTGTAGTACTTTTTTACATTGTATTTTAAAGACGTATCATGTTTTATATTGTTATCCCATGACTTATTACAGAGAACCCTCCTCTCACACCATGACCTCATCCATATCCAGCTCCCGCCTCCAACCTCAGAACATTGATCATATATTATCATCGATATCGTCCCGTGCTGCCATTCATTTCAAAAACAGTCCAGCTTTAGGTAGTCCGTCCAAGAAGACGGCTACCGTAGTGTAGCGTGCAATACTGTATATACGTTATGATTGTACATATGTGGTTACGTAGATAGTTAATAATACATTTTCTAGCGATTGTAACAGTTTTTATATGTTAAATTAATAAATACATCGAGTAAAGGCAGTTATATTGTAGTAGAGAAAGTGGTGGTATACCCGTCATAAATATTGAGATTTTGCGAAACCATGAGAACATATTGAAAAGATACGAAGTTATGGTAGTAGGCGGAAGTTAAGGTACTATAACGTGTACTATGGTACTGTATGAAACTTTTAGTATTATAAAATACTAAAGAATACTTTACTATACTACACATTTTATGACACGTTACAGTACTACCAAATCAAGGACACGTATCACAGTACCGTACCTACTAGTAAGGCTAAGGGGTTGATATGAAGACATACAGATATGAAAATGGCACAAATGTTTTGGAAGTTGATTTTGTATGCTATGGCTATATACATACAGGTAAAGCTTAGACCATAGTAAAAGATTTACCAGTCGTTTTGAAAGTAGTTGAAGCTCCAGAGATAGAAGTCGACACGGTCGACCGGTCGTCTTCTGGATCAAACTGTGAGTCTCCTAGACGATATGTTAATGATCCCATAGACCTGTCATGTTCTGATACTGCGTAGTTGATGCCAAAGTTGGTCTCCTTCAGACCTAGTGTTGGTCGCTTTGTGTAGCCGACTTCAGATGGAGCATTTGAGCTTTGTTTGGAGGATACAGATGGATCCACGGTCAGGTTCAGGTTTGTCAAGGATCTGAAACATAGTTTTGTTATGTTAGGTACCTACAGATGTTGGTTTGTGTTTCTATATGACTAGGGAATGCGGTTATGATAGCTTACCGTATCCGTCCTTCTTCATCACGGTACTCGAAAGTGTTGATTTGCACGGTCGGTTGAGGATTACTGGGGGTTTTGGAGTGTCTAACAGAGCTTCTTAAAGCCTAAAATGGACAAATATATTTTAGGTGTTTATTCTCTTGTTAACTACTCTGAAGCATAAGCTTTAAGGTCATGTTTAAGGCTGGTAATTGTAGAATATAGGGCAACATACCGGCTTTGGCATAACTTTATTGTCCCCAATACTTGTTGATAACGATTGTTTTGAGTTTTGGAAAGGTAACGGAGTAATGGCATTCAGAGATTTCTGTTCGAAGCGTCGTTCGATGTCATGTCTCGTGCTTATGATATCTAAAACAAGTTGTATTCTTACATATCTTGTTATGTTTTCACTTTTTTGGAAATATATAGCTTTTAGAATCCTTATTCTTGATGTCAGACGACACGTAGTAGTCTTACCTCTTAATGGAGCACTTTTTGGAGCCGTCAACCCAATAGGTGTTGATGCTATACTTCTTGGTTGTAAGTAATCTTCTTCTGGTTCTTTGGCTACATTATCAAATACACTGTCGTATACTGGCAGTTTGGTCGACGTTACTGGTCGCTTTGGTAGTGGAGGCCTAAACTCAACATGTTTTTAATAATATAAGAATTATAGTACCAACTAGTCAGTTGGTATAAGTGTTTTATTATTATAAGTTACTGACGTCTAGTGGACTAAAAGTAACTTACCCAGTGTTATAAGTACGGTCAGACTTCAAGGATATCGTGTTTGCTTCTACGTATTCGTACATAACATCATCGTCGCTGGATTCTGGCTTCTGGTCGATAAAGTTTACTCTCGGCACCGGCTCGGTGAAGGCTTTGGAAATGTCAGAAGTTGATGACATAAAGTTGACACTGGGCTTGGAGGGCATCTTCTTCATGTTTGGCATAGAATTGGCTCTTTTGAAAGCGGTCTGAAAGACAAAAGTTACAGTAATTTGTAGGTTATGGAAGTATTACTTTAGGTATCAAATCAATACATTAGAGACTTATTCAGGGTACTTATTTGTGGCAAATAGACCTAAAGTTCAAAAACAATTGACATATTTACCTTCTGCATGATCTTCAACTGCTCTCTCTCCCACTTCCTCAGTTCCTTCGAGTCTATCTTGTAAATGGCACTCTTGGACCTTTTAAACCTATTGTCATTGCTACTCATCACTCTCAACAGATGTTCATCATCCTCTTCTGGCAACTCTATCTTCACAAGTTGCGCCTTCTTCTTCCCCAAAGTTGCTTTTGTCGCGAAACATCCAATGAAAGACGTTACGAACAAACAGAAGTTGGCCACCAAAGAGGCATAGAAGGACCAGCCGAACCACTGCTGGTAGATACCATCGTCCTCCTTGATGATATTGTTGTCTTGGTAGTTGGCAAAGAAGTAGAATACGGTATTACCAATGGAACAACCGAAAAGTGACAATATGACAAGTACTGATGTTACACATACGAGAGTACGGTAACAGAACGCCCAGAACAGCATTACCAGGGCGGCGATGGAGAGTACTGTAGCGAAGGAGATTGCTGTTAGAGCAGCGATCTTCCACCCTGAAGATTGTATTTTAAAATGTGTTATTTAAATATTTTAAAATTTTTTAAAAATAATTTGAATATTTAAGTATGTTGCACTTTTACGTCGCAAATCCTTGTTCATAATGATGTAATGTCTTAATTCGCGAGCCGATAAGTGAATAATTACCTATAAACAAGTGTTGGTACGCGTCGCCTTGAAGGCGATTCTCGTCGTAGCCGTGCTCGAACCAATCCTCCTCGTCCAGCCAATAATCGAACTTGTAGACACATTGTAAGGCCGGCAGCCAGAACTGGTCGAACGGACCTTGAAGATGGTCGCGTCTGCAAATTAGCTTATTTATGCAAATATTGGGCAATTTTAGGAAAAGTTCTAGCCTTTTCTGATCAAAATTAATTTATTTCCAAATTAAAAAATTTTTTAAAATGTTTGAAGTTTAATTTTCATGTTATTTGAAAGCCATATTCTTCTTAAAATGAATGTCATTCCAGATATACCCTCTTTTATAAGAAATCGCCTTGTTTCACCCGAAATGACCGGCAGTAGCTCGATCCGCTTCAAGGTCGTTTTCAGGAAAAAGACGCTTCAAGATGGCAAAGATAAGACTGTTTACCTGTAAAGGGTTTCATAGTAATCACGCGGTCTGCCGTATTCATTTGAGTAGTCACGCTTACAGTCCAGCCACAGACCGTGCTGATGTTCCGTTCGGCCGTCCTTAAAAACGTCATTTTTTAATTTTTTTTTTAAAAAAGGGCGAAAAGTTTGATGAGACGTTTACTTTTCGAATTTAAAAGTGCATTTTTTGTTGTTTTTTTTTTGATGAAAAGTTGAAAGTTTGTTTGTAAATATTGAGTTTTGAATCAGAAATATTACGTTTTCTGTCAAAATTTTCAACATTATGAAAAAAACATTATTAACGTACCTCAAGATACACGTACTGCCAGCTAGGACTGACCAATGCCAACAATAAACAAGTACATCCACAGATTTGTAACGCGAACAACCCGCTCAACCACGCCGATCTTCTGGAGGCGCTCATCGTAATCCGCTTCTGAATCACCCGCAAACAAACTCAGAAGCTGTAAACAACACAGTAGCTGAGTACACACACTCCGTAACAAATCCAGAAACCGAATTCAGAAGCAGAAAACCGGAAATTGCATGTGCAGAAGGAGAGATGCCGAGATGATGAAGAAGAAGCAGGGTTTGTCCTTGGAACGATTGCGTTATGGAACCGCGCACCCCCCCCCCTGCCCATAACATAACCAAAAGGCAAGCCACGCCCACTTTACCCCACCTCTTATATGTAGCAGCTGCCAGCCGGTGGGTCAGCTTTCAAGGCTACAGAAGATGACTCATCCGCGCGACACCCCCCCCCCTTAAGTGAGCCGGATCGCCGCGTGAATCCCGAAATTCGAAAAAATCAAGAAAAGAGTGGCAATGTGACAGTTTTATTTATTATCGATAACAAAAATGAGTTCAACGGCACACAACAGGTCATTTTAACTTCAAAATTCAAAAATTTTAAAATTTTAAATGTGAAAAAGAATGCTACAAGAGTTACAGTAAGACAAAAAAATAGTAAAAAATTACAAAAACATTACAGTAAACAGATACGGTAATCGGTGTGAGCGGAGCACCGGAACGGGCTTTATTAGTCAAAGTTTGGTCAAAAAGTACATAGAAATATAAAAAAAGTATCAAAAATGTGATTCTACGTACTTTTTGACCAATATATATGCCTGAGCTATAAAAATGAAACTTGGATCTAAAACAATATTAAAAGGAGAAGATTGAGAGACCTGGACATAGACAATGTCATTCTAGGTTTAATAATGTCATAAATACATTGAGTATAACTAAAGAGGCTAGCCATAAGATATGGAGCAACGATTACATAGTAAGTGTTATAAATGTGGCAATGATGACAAAACTACTGTCTGGCAATGTTAATATGTTGGTATAGTGGTAGTAGGTGGAATTATTGATACAGCTCTAATACGTACCAATACCAATAGTACTAAATACAATATGACAATACTGAAATAACACGTAGACATGTCAATGTTCACATACTACAAAACATGGCACTCAGCTCCATTCAAACGCAAGTCTCCGACTTTCTGCGGATTCTGGAGTTGTTCAAGGCGTCTGGGTAGGAACGATGCACTGGAAGGTCGGGCATCGAGTCGCCGATCTCTTCCGTGGAGCTCTTGTAGAAAACCGGCTTGATGTTCTTGGACTGGAACTGCTGGGAGCCGGTGTGGAAGACGGGCTGCTCGAACTCCATCGACCTGAACATAGGTGAAGCTGAGGGCGGCCGATAAGGTGGGGCCAAGAGGAGCGGCGTACCCGCAAAACTGGACACTTCCCACTCCTTTTGTCTAAAGTTTGCGTGTTCGACCGGTCGGTTTTCGGGGCAAAACTCAGGAGAAAAGCTGTCGAACACAAAACAAAACAAATGGGATGTGGTGTTCAACCACTTCAACGTGATTTATCATGAGTTTTGGAGTTGTTTTGATAAAAAATTTACAAAAAAGTTTTAAAAATTGTGATAAATGACGTTAAAAGCAATAATTTGGTCAAAAAGTGCATAGAATACTTTCCAATTCACAAAAATTACAATTTTTCGCTAAAAATTATTCATTTTTCTACCAACTTTCTGACCAAAGTGCGAAAAGCTTGAATTTAAATAATAATCAATGACTTACCTCCCGATGTTGGTCATGTTGGTATGTGAAGACCGTGGCTGACTGTATCGTTCCAATGCGCCACCTTTGCCCGAGAAGGAGAGATAGGTGTTGAACATTGATACGATGAATGATAAGAAGTGGAAGAAGGCGGCTGCCATTTGAAGAAAGAAGGCCAGGCCGACTCGTTGCTGAAACAAATTCATTTGGGTGGGAAGTTACAGTATTATAACATGGGAATATGGTACAAAACATATTTTCTTATACATAACGTTCTACTTACTTCATAAGTTCCGACGATACCTTTGATGAACCGGTTGTCAGCACGGTGCGAGAAGAAGAAGAACAAGCCTACGGCAATTGAGGACAGGAATGCTAAAACAAACACAATTAAACCATAATCTGTTTTATGTTTGGAAAACAAAAAAAAACTACATTTATAGATTAAACAGTACTATTTGATACCTACGTTATAACAATATTACCATATGTACTAAACTTACTGGTAACAAGGGTAGCACCAACAAAGAGCAGACTTAATGATGGATAACAACATCCACAAGAGCCCAAACCAAGTGATAAGAAGGAAGTTAATAGAGCCAGAGCCAACAATATTAAGGTAGCTGTGTGCCATCCATAGAACTTGTGACGGTTAACTTCACCGACTGGACTGTTGTCATCTTCAAGATCAAAGGTACCAGAGTATTTGTCATAATCGAATTTGTAGACACAGTGGAGAGGCTCATTGATGGTGGCGTATCTAAAATATAATATTACACATCATCTTACGATATGTTTCAAATTAAAATTTTAGAATTACAAACTATGTTTCGTACAAAGAAAAGTTTAAAACAATAAGATATTAAGCATGGTAACAAAGCAAACTTTACGTTTTCCCCGTTCTCAGACTTTAAAAGTTAATTAAAAGTAAAAAAGTACGAAATAAGCTATTAACAGTAAAAAGAAACAAGAGACAGTAATCTTACCGCCGCAGTAAAGGACTGCCATCTCTGGTGTGTCGTGTACAATCCAACCACAATCCATGTTCATGTACGGAGTTATATTCACGTAGATTGACCACCTGCCAGCTGGGTGTCAAAATAGCACCAATCGACAGACCTATACCTATCAGAATCATGCCCATGGCTACTGCCGTGGTCGCTTTTCGCGCGATTTCCGACATCCTAAAAGAAACGGCATAAAATGGAAAAATTGCCGAATATTTCAAAGTAGTGACATAATTTTAAAAAACGCCTCATCACGTATAAAAATCATGGCTTTTGAAGTTTTGTCATAATATTTTTGTCATCAACTAATAACTATCAGCCCGCTGATTGATTTGGTTCTGCATAACCAACAAATTGTCGTTCCATCAACCTTCTTTTCACAATTAAAAAGTGAAACTCGTTACAAAAAGCGAACAAAATCCCCGTTCGTAGGTCAATCGACAAAAAAAGTACAAAAAGTTTTGGGAGCCGGTCAACAAATTCATAAGCGGCGAACGGGGTGGGTAAGCACTCTCGGAGTTTCACTTGAATCGTCGTTGGATTGGCATCTGATAGTCTTGGAAAAGGCGGCGCAAAAAGATTGTTTTATTTACTGTAAAATGCGTTACTGATGCACCGCTGGTGTTAAATGGCATTTTGAAAGCATATTAGAGTAGTTGAAAAAGCAAATTGAAAAAAATTGATTAAATTGTAGAAAAAAAATATTTTAGCATAGTACATTATATAATATAACCCTACTAGTCCTAATGAGGTACTGGTACATTCTTAATAAGGTACAAGCGCCATATTTAAAAAAAAGTCATTCCCAACCCCCTGAGCTACCAAAATATTAAGCAATTCAAAATTCGCCCGCCCCAGCTCAAAAAGCTCCTTCTGAACCCCCTCCACCACTGTAGATGGAATGTCCTTCGAATCAGAAATAAAGCGTCAGAAGCAAGAGATGGGTCGCACCAAAAAATGCATCGCGCTGAGAAACTTCTTGCCGTCAACACACCTTTCCTTCCTTCCTTCTGTTGTCGTAACAGCGGAGGTAAAAGAGGCATGCGGAGAGCTCTTCCATTCCGGTTTCAACATTCACCTTCACTTCAGAGCTTCACCTTCACGAGAGATTCAACATAACTGAGAAGAGATGCAACCCGAGCTGCAAGAGATTCAGAATAACTAGATTCAACCGCAGGATTCGAAATAGAGTTCTTTTCGCCTTACTGGGAAATTCACCGGAGGGAAAAGATCGCCATTTCACTCGCAGGTACCCTGGACAGAGTCGAAAGCAGTAGTCGCTGTTGTTTTGAGGAAATTGAGTCATTCGGATCTCGAGGCGACCTTGGAAGCGTCGTCCACTCGCTGGATACCTTTACATGCCGAATTACACAGCTATGCGTTCAAGACGAAGCGACAACCGTTTTGAGGTCCATCAAGGTCGCCCGATTGATTTGGTTACAGTTTTGCGACGTTTTCGAGTGCGGATCATTCTCGAGGATCAGAAGGGCATCAAGGGTTCCCGAGCAACCAGTTTTACGACCCCATAAATCTTTGGAATAAAACACATTACTTATGTCTATAAGGCGAGAGTATGACCACGAAATGACTTGCTTTATAATCAAACGTCATGTTATTATAGACAACTTACCAAAAATTGCAAAAAAAAATCAAAAAAATATTTTAAAAACCAATTTTAAGGAAATTCTGCAGACTTTTTGACCATAAAAGCTGAAAACTCCTTTTACAAAAAAAATTAACAATCAAAAATGCCATTTTTGGCACAAATCAACAACTTTATGAACTAAAACAAGTAATAATTTCCTAACAATCCAACTACATCAAAGATACCAAGTAGTCGTCCGCATTCTTCTTTTCTTCCACATCTTCTTCCACTACCACCTTAGCCTTCTTCTTCTTTTTCCGGCTTTGAAGCTTGTCAATTTGTTCTTCTGTAGCTACTGGCATGTACGGTGTCACATCAATCGGAATATACACCTTGGGAGGCAGCAATGTCAACATACAACGGTTTATAAAAGGTCCTAACGCTGGATTCCTGTGAGCACAAACAGCTTCGACAACAGCTTTGATATTCTCTTCGATCTGTTGGTCTGACATGTTCAACTAAAACAATGCCATTGATAATGTTATACGCTAATTAAGAAGATATGCCAATTTCTTAAAGTTAAGACCTTTTTATCACTTACCCTTCCAATCACTGGCTCAGAAAGACCCCACATTGGATATACACCATCTGGCTTAATACTCAGTTTAACTCCTTTCTTGAACTTGTCGACCAACTCTACCAAATCATCGCCCATAGCTCCTACAATACGTTATAATACAAACTTTAAGCTTAAAAAAATAGATAATAAGCTAACCGATCTGTTTTTTAAATCGTTATTTACATCAAAAGTTGCTCCTAACTTTTTTCTTTTATAAATTTTTTAATTAAATTCAGAACTTCATCTTTAATTTTTGCTAAACCAAAAGTTAAAAAATCTTTTTAAAAAGTAGTCTAACATAAAATGACATACCATTAAGTTTACTCGGATATCGTGACTTCAGCAGTCCTCTCAATGGAGCCAAAATAGGTCCAGCCATATTAGAGTGAGCAACACAAAAATCGTAATCGTCGATTCTGAACTGCCCTTTAATGATCTTCTTCACCATGTCAAGCCCAACAGCAACTTCAGCTCCAGCATTCAAAGCAATATCTTGCGTCTTCAAATCAGCGGCAAACGCCAGAATCGACCGCTTCTCCTTGTGGTCAAAAGGAAACGGTACCGGAATGATCTCATCGCTTGCCGTCATCATTTTAGTCTATAAATACCTTATAATAGTACAAAATATTTAAAAACATTGTAATATTCAAGAATTTTAGTAAAAATAGCTTACCAGTCACAATATACCTCAAAAATTACCTAAATATAAAAAAACAAATAAGTTAACTAACCGCCCTTTCTGTTGTCATATTCAACTCCAACCTCAACTTAAGCTGAGCATTCAAGTTGTCATAGATCTCTGGTCGTTGTTGTAGACGATGCAAAGCCAAAGCCTCGGAAATTGAATAAAACTGCTCTTTCACATCAGACTTTATATAAACTGTAGCCATAGGCTTTTCTGGAAGCCCCACTTCTTTATTTTCATCATATCTACCTGGTCCCATTTCAGATGGAGATTGCCTAAAACAATATATATGAATCATTGCTCGTACACCCCTCTTTGTGTACGATAAGCACCAACGTATATAAACTTCATTCAATTTCAAACCTAAAAGATTAATTCTGTGAAATTCCACAACTTTTTTTAATGTGTTACCTAATTCCATTAAATCTCCTAAACATGACCAACGTAATTAAAATGAACCCACATTTCCTTCATTCTTCTGATTTTAATCCTCTCCATGAATGAGAATTGCTTCTTGGCCGCCTCCTTCTCCTCTCTTTTGATCCTTCTAGCCAGTTTTTCTTGTCTACTCAACGGCTTCTTCAACGCCCTTTTTCGACCACGTACTTGAACACAACTTGGAGAGAAAGTAGCACAAATCCCGTTGATTTGCCCATCGAAACTACCTAGTAGTCGAGAAACACGAAACACAGCAAACGACATTGTGTTTCAGGATCTAGAAAATGTTTTTGGAGAAAATCTTGTAAAAATACTTGTATCAAAAATGTGTCATCATTGTACATAAAATGTCTTTTAAAACAACAAAAAACAGTACCAAGCAAAATAGTTATTTTTATGTTATATATTTTATTCCATTATAATATTGCTATACAAACTATAAAGCAATCGTAAACAAGAGAAGTCAGTCGTAACGACATGTTTAATAGAAAAGGAAACTTGACGCCATGTCAAGACTTCTCCTGTTATAAAAAGTAAAATAAAATTTTAAAAATACGAATTTAGATACATCTAACAACAAGAAAATAAATCAAAACTCCATAGTCATAGTCAGTTGTTTATTTTGTACACAAAGTTAGTTATGAAATTCACAAAACATTCATTCCCTTCTCATTTTAGTGTTCAGGCTCTTCTCCTTCAAACTTCCTAGTGGAGCAGCTTTCCGTTTTGGTCTATCGGCTGATGACGCACTGATTGGATCACAAACATTATCAGGAGTTCCAAGACGTAGTCTATTGTTCCGCTGTTGAGACGAGGCTGTTTTAGTATTAGTCTTGCTTGGTTTGGCAGTCGATAAAGTGGATTCTTGGCTTTGTGATGCTGGAGCTAAGTTTTCTGAAGCAGCTTCACGATTTACTGACGGAAAACTTTGTGATGCAGATCCAGTATGAATTTGCTCCAAAGGTTTTTGAACAGATCCACGATTACTCTTCCTTGATGAATGTCGTTTAACAAATACGGTCTCTGTGTCATCCCTTGTGGCATCATGGTCACCAACCACAGATTCTTGAGACTTCGATGATAATTCTATATTCTCATCATCTACATACCTCTGAAGAGTCGAACCAGTCACGCTCTGCTCCAGACGTTGGTTGACTGTATCCGAAACCTGACTCGACAATTCCGTAGCCTTTGTAAGCGTGTCATCAGAAGCATCAAAATTAGATTCCATTGAACTGATTTCGGAAGTGAAGCTCGTCCCTTCTGTAGTCTTGATAACAGAATCCAGTGTTTCGCATGTTGATTCAACAAAGCCACTGACCGTATCCAAACTATGAGTTGTCATCTCGGTAGGTACAGAAGTCGCATCGACGTCGTCACTGAACGAATCCCGATCCATGGGCTCCAAACTTCCACTGACCGATTTTATGGCGCTACTAATCGGGTCAATATTTGTCGTCTCTGTCCTCTGACTAACTGTATCCGAAGCACTTCTCGTAACTGTTGTAACCTCAGAAACCGTATTTGGGTTTGTTTTCCGGGGTAAAACAAGAGTGGCATCACTACCGTTCAGTTGAGTGTCGTCAGTAGAATCTTCAAAATTCAACGGAATATCACGGATTCTAGGGTCCAACGAGTCTTTCTTGATCCTTCCACTTCGAACAGTTATCTGAGCAACCTTTCTGTTTTCTATAGAGTCATCTGCTTCATCCGGAGGATGTGATGCCTAAATTTAAAAAAATTAAAACAAAGCAGGAACTCAAGTATTCTTTGAAGATATTCAAAACATGTGTTTTCCCCTTCAGACACGTTTGTACAACTACGCACTTCATAATCAAATAAGTTGACATGTCGATTACATATCTAAACATAAAATTTTAAAAATTACTCACTTCCTTGACATAAGTCCGGTTTGCACCCAAGTCCCCATACTCTTCACAGTCTTCTGGTCGCTCCATAAATGAGTCAAATACCTCATCTTCACATAAAGCCTCCAAATAAGGATGAAATTGGGGTAACAGAAGACGTGAGTTCACAACGTCACAAGCTTTTGATATTTTAATAGCTCCAGCAGCTATGCAAGCCTTCTTTCTAAAATATACCAAATTTAAAAATTCGAAAAGATGAAACACTATTGCAGAAATCTAAAAATTAATTCACTTACATGTCATCCAGATCTTTCTGATGTCTCTCAAACTCTACAAACATTTTTTGAAAAAAAGTGGCAGATCTTTTGTGGAAAGCAGCGATGCTGGTGACTTTACTCTAAAATAATACTACTATAAATAATAAGTTGTTGCTATCAATGATGAACTTGTTACTACAGACAGAATAAATAAGAAAATTATCTTTTTAGGTAACAAAGTGTACATAAAATTTAAAATTTGATAAATAAACCTTAAAAACACATAATTACCCTTACCTGGCCCTCTAAATAACAGAAAATTCAAAAAGAAAACTCATTAAACATACCAAGACTCTATCGGAGACCAGCAGGTCAATTCTAGCCTGGTCTTCCTCCGTAGTCGAAGTTCGAATACGTTTCTTCAGCTCCAAAGTGTCGTTCTTCAGTTGACGATTCTCTTTGATTAATTTCTCGATTAGTACATCTTTCGAGTCTGAGCAGGCCTTTGGATCTAAAAAATACTTTTATCTTACCTTAGGTTGGTATATAACAGATGCTTTTACAAAAAAAAATTCAGTTCAAAGATAATATAACAACATACCTTTCTTGGCAAAAGCCATCTGAAACTTAGAAAGACTGCTCTCAGTGTTCGAAAATTTCATTTTCAAATCAGTCGAAATGAATCAATTCCCCAAAAAAAATATTTTACAAAAACTTTTTTCGAATTTTAAATAATTCTTCGAAATGAATTAATTTGGGCGCACTCTGCTAGAAAGAATAAAGTTTGGCGTGCAGCCTGCGACGAATAAAATACTAAAAAATATTTTTTCGCAAGTTGTGGTAAATGTTTTATATAGCTAGCTATTTTGACATTTAAAAAATATTTTTATAGCATATATAGAATCAGTTTATGAGTATATTTACTCTGTAGAAATGATGGACAATAATCATAACGGAGCTAGTGACGATAGTTATGATTCGGATCCTTTTGATAACATGGATTTTCGGACAATGTAAGTTATTTCTTTCCTTCTATTGCGCTCTTAGGAATGTGAATAATGAAAGAATGGAGCTACTAGAACAAAGGAGGAAAGTTTTAAACGGAACTGATCCAAAATTGCAAGTTGACATTAGCAAGATCAAAGAGTTGTTGAACGAGAGGAAACTGATTTTGAATGATCAGATGGAGGTAAGGTGAAGAAGACAGTTTGAGTAAAAGAGTTTCTGGTATTTTATAAATGTTTTTTGTATAATAGAACACAAAAATGTTTGATATTTTACTTTTGTTAGGCGGAAACTAAATGGATAGTGGAAAAGTCAAAGAAAGAAATGGAGAAGCTAGAGAATGACGAAACGAATGAGTTGACAAATGTGATAACAAAGTTAACAGACGATCTAGACGAGCTAAAGAGTAATATACAGGATCAGGTTAATAAAATGGATCTGTTTGATCGGAAAGGACTTTCTTTGTTTGACTTGATAGATCAGGAAATAGACTTGGACGATAAACTTAGTGGCAGTAGCTCGTAAGTCGAATTTTTGATAAATTTATAAATTTTTTAGGCAAGACAATCCATTGGCAATGTTAGAAAAGCGCTCTGTTATGCCTGGAAGGTTAATATCAGATGCAGCTATCAAGGAAGACTTAGTTCATCTGAATCAGAGTTTTGTAACGACAGAAGTTGATGCTGTAGAGGCGCCTAAAATAATGCGACCGAGACACAAGGTTGTGATGGATAAGGCTAGGTTAATATACGATGGGAAAACGTAAGTTTTGTATTAATATTTTCATTGAATTCTGTTTTAATTTTGTTGTGTATTATAGTAAATTTTATGCTATCATTATTGCTTTTATGCTTCATAAGAGGTGTTCAATTTAAAAAACTTTAATTATTTCTTTTGCTTTGCAGATTTTACCGTGGTCAAAAGTTGTTCGTCCAAACTATGAATTACACTAGATTTCCGGCTATTGTATATGCTTTGGCAGATGAATATGTGCACATACGATCACGTACTCCAGGAGATACTAGAGAAGTATTTGCTACAATCGACGATCTCAGAGCTGGGCGGGTAAGAATCGGCCGTAAAGTAGTTACGCCGTCGTAGAATCATCAGCTTGAACCTCGTCTTCAATAAGATCTAACAAAATGTAAGAGATCTTAAACTTTCACATTTTCTCATTTTTAAGCTTATTAACTGTAAGTTTTGTATGGTATTTCTGTTGGTATACTGTACATAACAATTTAATATGTACATTTAGTGAATTAATTTATTTAAATATTATGTAAATAATAAATATGATCACATTGTACACCCGTTGTAACTAATCACGAAGTCCCCGCCGTCTTGTGCAAAGTGTATCTTCACCTTTGTGTTCATGGAGTCGTGTTCATACACTTTCCTGGCTATCGAGCACCGGAGCCCCTCCACTTTGGGTAGATCACATCTCAAGGGACCCGGACAGCTCTCCGGTCGTTTGGATCGACCGTAAAAGATACGATTATAGCATTCCTCGATCAGTGGATAATATCGGACTTCGTTGGGGAGTCGTTCGAACTCTTTATGGGCATATAAACGAAGGAATCGACGGAAGTTTCTCTCCAGGTCGTGAGTCATTTGTGGTTGGATCACGTCGGATATCTGATACTTGAAGAGGTCAAAGTTTTTGGCTGGTTTTAGGGGACTACTTTTTTCTACCTGGAATGATATTAATATCAATAGTGTTTGCAGTATCTGGTAAGAGATTTACATTATATTTACACTTACAATACTCCAATTCCTCATGTGCACCATGATGTTTATCTCCTCGTCTACAGCGTACATTTTGTAATTTGAATCCATGATCCCGGGCCAATGTAGCCACACGGTCTCAATGAACTTTGGTCGTACCACGTACTTGCCATCTTCCCATTCATTGGCTATCTTGGCACTGTTAATCAGTGAAGATAAGCTGTAATCTTGAGGCGATTTGCCTAAAAATATAAGTTTTCAGTAGTTTTAACTTACTGGCTATAAGTTCGGTGTTGTATCTACTGTAAGAAAAGCCGGCTCCCAAAGGAAAAGTGACAGCCAGTCTTCTGAATTCCTCTAGGTAAGTTTCTCCAAGTTTAGGGAACAAGATGTCGTCAATGTCTGATATTATGATGAACTCGGCGGCTTGCTGTAGTCATTTACAGTTTAGGTTTATTGTAAATGTTTTAGGGTTTTTAATAACGTTTGAAGTAACTAAATATTGCTATACCTCTAAAGCTATATTTAGTTTTTCATAGCTATAAATGCCTTTTTATAGTACGTTTGAGTACTTTTAGTAGCATCTTTGAGTACTTTTCATGGTATATTTGTGTTCCGTAATTGTACCTACTTTGTAATTCAAAAAGCAGTCTGTGTGGGCCGTGGCCTGGTTTCGCCATTCCAGTTCAGCATTCGGGTCGTATCCCAGTTTCCTCTCCTTGTTCGGGTCCAGTCGTATCATGTTCCAGGTATTGATTTTGATGATATTCAACTTTTCGTAAACCTTAAATGTATTTGATGACATTAACTTTCTATATACGATCAATTTTGTGCCTTAAATGCAATTACCTTCATGTAGTCCATGATGTCTGTGAGCATGCTTTGAATGTAAAATACTTGCATATCCACCCCCAACTGTCTGTATATCTCCAATGTCGGTATGATCAGTTGCCAGCGTTCGTTGTAGAATAAAGGCGAAAAGCAGGCAACCACCCCCATTCTCTGTTGCACTGCTGTTCGATATGGTACCTGAACAAACGTAGGTTATCTAGTTATTAGGAAAATAATATACCGATGATTACAGATCTATAGATGCAAAAATCTTTTGAAAATGACATTTTCAGGGTTCTTCTAGACTTTGATTAACTAAAACAAGGTCTTCTTCACACAGTAGCTTTTAAACTTTAGAGAAACGTATTTAGTCCACTTACCTGGATTGTAGCCGAACTGAATCTGGTATCACTCAACGCGAATCCGTTTGGTAGTCCAACTACTGGACATGTCATCAGGTACGTGGCCCACCGACAAATGTATATGGGTTCAAAAGCGTAGCGTATTTTGGCTAATTCCGCAAAAACTTTCGTTCCATTATTGGAAACACAAAGGAACGGTCGAGGAGGCCACAGGCGTTTTTGACTGTTGAACAATATTGCCATCGTGTTTTCGGGGTACCTGAAGTGTAATGTTGCAGTTCAGACTAATATTTTCAACTTTTTTGATTGGCAATATGTAAAAATGATAAGACACAGATAAGTTTTACAATTAACACTAGTAAGTTTGGCACCGTACTCACCCGCTTTTGGAATCCGAGAAGTATGTAGCCGAGATGACGGCGATCTCCTGGTCGGCCCATTGTTTGTTGCAAGTGAAGACGAACAGGAACAGCAGCAGATAAAGGATCGGCGGCCCTATTTTCTGTCTAAACGAGATATATGGCCCTGATATTGCACCACTTACTTGTTAACATACATTCCTCCACCTAAAATCTTAACGGCTGGAGACGACGAAGGCAGACGTGTATGGTTTATCGCTTGATCTCTGAGTCTAATTTTCGTAATTTCGTTGTCTTTTTGAACTGTAACGGGGAGTTTGACTTCATTTAAGGTATATAGATCACAGTATATTGGCGGTATTACAAGGTAACTTAAGTACATATAAAGTTGTTTCATGACACTGTAATTGATACCACGCTGCTCATACCTTATTATAACTATAGGTTGAGCGAATTAATGGCTGATAAGTGCTACTTTAAGTGCATTTTAAACTTTTGCCTCCAACTCTAAACCTCTTGATGTTACTTTAACCACATTTGAGGTCATTCGATGTTACTTTCTTCTGTTTTCTGCATAAATTACTTTTTATTTCGAAAAAGCAAGACGGACTTAAGCAGTTTTTTCTGCTGTTTGTTCGAGTACTTCTAAAAATGCTAATAACTTTGTCCAGACTTGAGATTTGTAGTTGGCCGAGTTATATTTGCTGCTGGAAATAAGTCAATCATCGCCTCAGGGCGCCAAAATGGTTTTCAATGGGCATGGGGGGCCCACCTTTCTTTCGCTGGTCATTTGTAAAGTTGGGATTGCTCTTGGCGCCTTTATGGCCTTAATTCGATGGCACGGCACAGCGGGAGCGTCCTCTGGTCTTCTGAAACAAATCTTTTAAGACCGCCCGATTTGATGGCCTTATGTCATGATAGTTAAGCTCCAGGTTCCACTTTCCGGTTCCCTGACCTTTTTTGGCGTTAATGCCCTGCGGCCGCTTCTTCTGTTTTCACAATGTTCCGTTTTCATTCTTGACTGAGCCATGACCGGAATTGCACTTTAAGATGAGTCAGGATGGGGAAGAAAGGTGGACCGCCGGAATCTGGATGACATGTTGCATTAGATTGGATAAGGGCGGGTCATCTCGCGGTCTGCGGGGAATTGGGGGTGGCCAGGGCTTCGTGGCATAATCAAAACTGGAAATGACACAAATAGTCATTTTTGGGACGCGCTGTCATCTGATGTAAACTTTAATACACTTATTTTGGTTTATTTGGAGAGGGCATAATTGACTAATGTGCAAAACATTTACTTTGGACGTACTTTTGGTACCAAAAATCATGTACTTTTTTGTTTTTAAAATCATAGTAGATTACAGTAATTACTATGTCGTTAAAATCGTACAGTTTGCCTTTTTAGCCTGTTACTGTAAGATAAAGTTAAGCTCAAAGGTACCATAACCGACATTAAATAGTACTAAAGTTCAAAAACTTAATTGAAAAAGTTGTTTTACCGTACCCCTATTTGTCGCTGTGCCCAGAAATTGGATCCTAAGCCCTACCTATGACATCTGCACTCTTCTCGCGATATCTCAAATGACGCAAAAGTCGTGAGAAAAAATTGTAAGATTTGTAATATGAAGTCGTGGTATCTGATACTCTCCAAAATTGGCCCTATAACCTTTTGGGAGTCGTTATGCTTAATGGCCTTTAATTCCGAGGTCATCTCATTCAAATCCGGTCAAGTTCGAGTCACTTGAAGTAGCCTCTGAGTTTAATATGTTTTAGTGTTTGACCATAAAACATAAATTCCATAAATGTTTTAACCATTTCGACCGTAGATTTAAGCTTTTACAGTCACTTCATAAAAGCCTTTGAAGTGCCCTCAGTCGAACCGTTAAAGCGGCGATTATATTCATGTATTTACCTGGTCACTATTTGTTGGACGCCAAAACATACAATTACCGCGGTTGGAGACTTCCATTTGAGATACTTAACCTTTACTTTCAGTGGACATAATGAATATCTAGATGAAGAATGAGTATGTTAAGAAACGACCAACGGACCAAAGGTAAGGTGTTTAATACTTTACAAAGCTGTACACTTTGATAGTTAATAATTCTTTATATTTTGAATTTATAAACTTGTACCTAAACAACAAAAAAAAGTAATGCATTTCAGGTGTGACATATATCAGAGCCCCAACATGCCTACCCCCAGATGAGCTGGAGCCATGCTTGAGGAATGGCATGTCCGCCTCCATCGTATCGAACCGTAACCATTACCCACTAGTTGAGGGCAATAAAACACGCTTCAGAGGTACGTAGTTATTTTTGAGTGCCGCCACTTAGAGCCAATTAACTCCAATTACACTTGCTAATCCACGAGATTATTCTTTCAGAAATCGACCATCGGCCGAAGAGGAATGATTGTATGGGGAAATGTGTCATCTGTCTACTGATACAAGCCATCTTTATCTTTGGGGTATTCCTCGCCTTTCTTGTTGGTCATTGGGTATCAGAAGTCGAATTCGGAAACGACGTAAGTTCGAAAGACAACAATCTAATACTCCTAACAGACTTTCCTGCTCACCTCTATTAACCAACTTAATCCTAACTTCACCTTAACTCTGCTTAACACTACTTTTAACAATGACTCCGAGTCATCCAACCTTCCCTCATCCGAGTTGCAAATTCAGCGACAAAATATCAGGAATATAACCTTGTTCGACGTGTATCCGCCGCGAAAAGGTACAGAAGACACATTGAGCTTCTATCATCGGAAAAGTAAATATAACGATTATACTATCAACCTCCCCGACTACTTCAAACCAGTACATTATGACCTCAAAGTAAGTTTAAAATACGAAATTTTTAGTGATAAAATAGTATTTAACAAATATAACTTAAAAAATTTTATTTTTAGCTAGACTTCACAGAATTTTCGACGGCCGAACACATACGAGGTAACAGTACAATACTATTAGAGTATTCAGGAAACAGAACACAACAGAACATTGTATTCTACGCAGCCTCAAACATCTTCATCTACCGACTGAAATTAGAACATGACAAGAAGACAGTGAAGCTAGGAGAAACCACCAGAGAATTCAGCAAGAACTTGGTCACCGTGCAAGTGAAAGAGAAGTTAAAACATTCATGGTACAAACTCAAGATCGAATTCAGAACACGAATATGTCAAGGAAATGGGAAGGGAATTCATTGCATCAAACGATCGACGTATAACAAAGTCTGTTTAAATTTCGAATATTTTTTTTTAATTTTAATTAATGTCAAACTGAAAATTTAACTTTAAAAAATGACATAAATAATATTAATTTAGGACAACGCAACCACCACCCACAGAATGGCCGGTTTTACCACAAAATTTGAACCCACCTTCGCTCACACGTTTCTACCATGCTGGGACGAGCCTAAAATAAAGTCTACATTCAACATTACAGTAAGACATAATGTGGACCTTACTGTTCTGTCTAACTCAAAGTTAACAGAGGAATTCGATGAGATCAACACCCAAAACAAAGTCTCGCGTTTCAAAGAAACTCCCCGAATGTCAATCTACCTGCTCGCCTTTGTTATCACTGACTTCACACCACTAGAGTTGAGGACGCAAAGGAATCTGCCATTGACATTATGGTTGGATCCTCAAAAAATGGCCGCTGGGCATTTCACTGCCGGATTTGCACCTGCCATCTTTGATAGAATTGAGAAAGACTTGGGAGTTTTATATCCATTACAAAAATTGGACATTGTACTTACACCGAACTACCCGGTAGGAGGGATGGAGAATTGGGGCCTGATCGTGCTACAAGAAGAGGCCGCTTTGATCTCGTCCATGACTTTAGACGAACAAAATATGACTGTAGATAGGTTGGCTGAGCAATACAGGATAGAAAAGATAACAACTCATGAGGTAACAGTTTTGCAATATCAAAACTATAAAAAGTAATTAGTGCCGTTGGATACTTACATAATTCTTGCAGATTGTTCATCAGTGGTTTGGAGACCTAGTCACTATGGCTAATTGGTCAAACTTATGGCTAAGCGAAGGTTTTGCTACCTATTTTGTTTTCGACTACTTGAACTTTGACCATCCTTATCTAACAGACAATGAGTACTACCTACAACTCACAGAACTGACACAAAGCCAGGTAAGAATAAAAGTTTATTGGTCCCTAAGTTTTGCAATAGAAAAATAGAAATCATTCTACTATTACTAATATAAATGCATATTTGCAGACATCAGATTCACCAACATCCCTAGCAGAATCTTTAAAAGGAGTTAATTCTGTAAATGAACTTTTTCACCATGTAAACGTCTACATCAAAGGATCAGTTATTGTCAAGATGATCAAGGATTTGCTCGGTGTTGAGACCTTCAGAGAAGGAATCACAAAGTTTTTAAAAACTAATTCTTACAACGCCGTTGATACCAACAGTATTTGGGAGTCATTTGCAGTATTTGCTGATCACGGAGTAGAAGAAGAACGATTATCCCATGTTATGCAAAGTTGGATAGAAAACGTTGGAATGCCAGAAGTTATCATTAGTAGAAATTACGAAGAACAAACTGTACGAATTACTCAGAGGACTTCTAACAAAAACAACTACATTATTTTCTTGAACGAAGACAGCAACGACGTTATTAAAGACAAAGAGAAAGCCAAAAGAAGTACAGAAACAGAAAATTTTCAATTCAACGATACGGTACTCTTAAACATGGATACGGTACCTCCAAAGAATGTACGACGAAAGAAAAATCATCGAAGGAAAAAGACAAACAAAATAGAACAACAAAACAAAACTGCTGTCTTTGGCAATCATCAACTACGAGATGCTCAAAACAGACAAAAATCATTGTCATGGGACAAGTTTTCTGTAAAACGAGAACAAACGCGCCGGAAAGCGAAAGACAACCAGTTATGGTCAATTCCCTTCAGCTACAGTTTCGGTTTCGTACAATCATCTGATGGACAGACAGTTCGGCAGTTTTGGCTACACAATGAAACCATTAGATTTGTCGACCTCGCTGTACAACCATACCAATACATATTAGTCAACCCTCATTGGATTTACCCTTATAAAGTAAACTACGACATCGACAACTGGAAGATGCTTATCAAGCAACTTTATCGAGATCAGACCGTGATTCCTGTAATGTCTCGGATGCAGTTATTGGTAGATGCAGAAACGTATTTGAAACAAAGCGGAGTACCTCAGCTTTACGTTCATCTACTTGGTTACTTGTACAAAGAAGAAGACCTAGGAGTACTATTGCAGGGGCTGGATCAGATACATGACTTTGTGGACATGATCAGTGGGACAAACTTGATAGGTCCACTGCTTGTTCATTGGAACCCAGTAATAAAACAACTAGACAAACTGTTAGAAAACACCGCTACAAACCCTCAATTGGCAGCTGTGTGGCTACTCAGCCCCAGAAGACTATCCAAATTGTACCAACTGAGATGTGTAGGTAACATAGCATCTTGTGATCAGAACAAACAAATGTCACAGTGGATGGCTCATCCAACAGCATTAGATCCGTCCCACCATCAACAAATAACAGCCATCTGTCATTACCTATTCACGCAAGCTGGGCCTTCTGAATTGTCTATGCTTATGGGACTTCTGAAGCTGAGAAGTGGCCAATGGTCAGTCAATATTCAACTTGCAACTTGTGTGCGAGATGAAACTTTGATATCATCTGTGGTAGACAAAATCATCAAAACCAAGAATGCAGCTGTGTATCTGTCCGTCTTACAAGTAAGTTTTTCTGAAAATAATAAAGTAACGTAACTTATTGTTCTCAAATCTTCAAGTTCTTTTATATACAGTGGAACTCCTGTATAACGAATCGCTCGGAGACTGGAAATTTGTTCGTTATAAAGGAGTTTCGTTATACAGTAGTTTTAAATGCACTGTGTAGTGGTAGACGGGAATTCAAAAGTTGTTCGTTATACGGGAGTTTCGTTATAGAGGAGTTCGTTATACAGGAGTTCCACTGTATAACAATAAGATTTGAAAGTCAAAATATGAAAAAATAAAACGTGAATTTTAGGGATCTTATACAGTACAGTACAATAAACAGTTCCGCGAAATGTTTTGGCGAGGCATCAGCCATCTGTCAACCCACGAACGACAACTTTTGTTTGCCGTTAACACGGGCAAATCCGACAAAATCGGACGTTACCTACTACACGCAACAAGAACCTTAAGTGAACTGGATAGCGTTGAGTCTTTGCTACCAGAATGGCCTCAAAATTTGAAAGTTCACTTTGACTACTTGAGACGAAAACACAAATGGATCAGCGATTCTGTGGCTTCAAAAGTCCACAACTATTTAATGGAAGAAGTAGAATAATACGGGTTACATAAATTAATTTGCCTCACGAAAAATCAACATAATCTCGGTTTAATGTTTTTAAATATTGTTTTACTTTATCACAACTAATATTATTTTAATCAATTTTAATTAGTTTCAACCATAATGTAAATATTCAGCACAATAAACATTTTTTGGATTATTTTACTACATAATTTCTCAAAATAACACATACCCTCTCCCACATATAGCACAAAACCAATAAATTGAAAAAATATAATAATAAATTCGCGGTTTAGGACTTAGGAAGCCGCGCCAGGCCTGAGCAAACTGAAAAATGGGCTGATCCCACCTTTTAGGCCCGTTGCTAATTTCTAACAAATTTTAGTTTGATTTTCGACAAAAGCCGATAATCTTTTTGATTTTTCGTCGAAGAATATCGGCCACATCTGAATTAGCCGTAAATCTTACAACGAAAATTACAGTTCCCTGATTTCAAAAAATAAAGTTTTCGAACAATTTTTTCGATGAAATTGTGAATTGCCGTCGGCTTTTTCATGTTGTTCCTTTCTTCTCATTCAGCCTGACCTTTTGGCAAGAATTTTCTTTCATTTTCAAGTTTTTTTGAATTTTTTGCCACTTATATTATGTTATGGGGGCTTATGGTTGACGTTAATGGTGTGAATTCTCTTGTTTTACGTTAAATATTATCTTGTGCACAATTTTATTTGGTATTTTATCTTTTTTCAGTAATATATATACCTTTTGAGTGAATTTTTCAACATGACGCTGGTTTTGCAACAAAACGAAGACTGGAAAAAGGACTTGAAGTTGCCTCCGAAGGATTTGCGTCGTAAAACTGCTGATGTAACCTCCACGAAGGGATTGGAGTTTGAGGAATTCGGTTTGTCTAGGGATCTTCTTCGTGGAATCTTTGAAAAAGGATGGGACAAGCCTTCGCCGATTCAAGAAGGCACCGTGAAAGCCGCATTGGCAGGTAAGTACCTTGTTTTAGATGTGTTTAGGTGATGAGATTTTGTAATTTGACGTTGTTTTGCTCTAGAAGTATATAAATTGTAAAGATTATTTGTTTTATTGGTCAAATGGAAATTTGATGTTATTTTAGGCGTTGCATTTAGGGGTTTTAATGAATTTCATATTGTTTTTGCACAGCTTAACGAATTTTGTTTTTAGGTCAAGACATTTTGGCTCGTGCAAAGAATGGTACTGGTAAGACTGGTGCCTACTGCATTCCTGTTATTCAGAAGATTGACCTTACCCTCAACGCCATTCAAGGTTTGATTGTTGTTCCTACTCGTGAATTGGCTCTTCAGACTTCTCAAATCTGCGTCGAATTGAGCAGACATTTGAACCTTAAGGTAAGTTTCATGATTTTTGCTTGGTTTTGCATTTTTCAGGTTAAAATTGTGTTTTTTACGTTTCAACGTACGTATTGTTGTAGGTTATGGTCACAACTGGTGGAACTGATCTCCGTGATGATCTGATGAGACTAAATGGTGTTGTGCACCTTATCATTGCTACTCCTGGTCGCATTCTCGATCTCATGGACAAAGGCGTAGCCAAGATGGCTAAGTGCAAGATGCTGGTTTTGGACGAAGCTGACAAGCTTTTGTCTCAAGATTTCCAGTCGATGTTGGACCGTTTGGTCGATCATTTGCCTAATGACCGCCAGATTATGTTGTACTCGGCTACGTTCCCTCGTTCTGTCGCTACTTTCATGAACAAGCACATGACAAACCGCTACGAAGTCAACTTGATGGAGGAACTGACTTTGCTGGGAGTCACTCAATACTACGCTTTTGTACAGGAAACTCAAAAGGTAAGCTAATTTATGAATTATATTGGAAATTCGAATGTTTAATCGTTGTGATTGGAAATGTTAATGTGCTGGTTTTAGGTTCACTGTTTGAACACCTTGTTCCGCAAGCTCCAAATCAACCAGTCGATAATCTTCTGCAACTCTACTCAACGCGTGGAGCTTTTGGCCAAGAAAATCACTGAACTCGGCTACTCGTGCTTCTACATTCACTCCAAGATGGCTCAGCAGCACAGAAACCGTGTCTTCCACGACTTCCGTCAAGGTCACTGCAGAAACCTGGTGTGCTCGGACTTGTTGACCCGTGGTATTGACATTCAAGCTGTGAACGTGGTTATCAACTTTGATTTCCCGAGAAACGCCGAAACTTATTTGCACAGAATCGGACGGTAAGAGTTAATATTACTTTTTTTTTAGTTTAGGACAACAGTTTTAATCATATCATCAAGAATATTTCTAATTTTTGTTGTTTTTATGTTAAAATTGTGTTATTAGGTAAATTTTAATATGCTGTTTTAGTTCTGGTCGATTTGGACACTTGGGTATTGCCATCGACTTCGTGACATACGACGATCGCCACAACCTCCGCAAGATTGAGAAAGAGCTGAAGACCAAGATCGAACCCATCCCCAAGGAAGTGGATCCAAAACTTTATGTTGCCGAATTCCAATTCGAGGAAGCCTAAACTACGTTAATCTTCATTTTCCATTTTATTCCTATTTGTGCATCTTTATATTGTTAGCAGTTAGTTATATTGTACTATTCTTTAATTTAATCAATGTTTGAAGGGATAAAGTTTGTCTAAGCACGCCCGATATTGTAAAAATATTTACATTGTTATACGTCCAATAAATCACAGATAGGCGGTATTATATTGGTGTTACTGATTTGGCCGAAACAAGCGCAGATGTTTTGCATTTTAAGTTTCGGATTTTCTTGAAAATGTATAAGATTAATTTTTGGATTTGTTTCAGAAAGTTTGAGGGCATGTATACACTTACGTTATGTTACACTACATCTGAACAATAAGACAGTGTAAATCCATACCTAAATCTCCACCAATCTTCTAAACCGGTCTCTATACGCGATAATATGTGTAATGTTTGGTTATTTCTCGCGTCGGCCGTTTGGCCGAACTGAGCAGATGTATTGGCCTCTCCCCTACTGATGCAATGGCTGGAGGGCACATTGTTTTCAAAGCTCAAAATTCCGGCTTTTTAGTTTCGGAGTGGTTTGATGCCGGGGCCGTTTCGTTTTTATTGTCACCTATACCAGTTTGTGTGACTTTTAAAAATAGTTTCTTTTGTGGTGAAGGTTTATATTTTAGTTAATTTACGAAAAATGTAGGAGTATACGAATTTTGGCATTTATTTTTTAATGATTTTGTTAAAAAAAATGTTCTCTGTATGTCGCTACAATTAATGGTTTTAACTTTTCAGTTTATTTTACTATTTGTTATCATAAAAAGTGCAAAATAAGATTGATGTTTACAGTTTTATTTTAAGAAATCTACGTTCATTTTTTATATAACATTAGCCCATTTGAATCATACACAATATACTTTTATAATTTAAGTAGGATGCACGATGACACGCACTGGATGGACCAGTACATTGCTCCTGGGCTACGTTTGTGGATGTTAATCGGGTTAGTAGGGTCAGTGTTACTGTCGATGACTATCATCGTATGTTGTTTCATGAGGATTCGTATTCCTCGAACCAAAAGACAGATTGAACTGATGAGTGCAAAGTAAGTGACATTTGAGTTACAATTACTCAACTTTAGGATACCAAAACATAAAACCATACTTTCTTATCTTCTGCATTCAAATTTCTAAAGTTCTAGACAATGAATGCCTAAATTTAGGAGAGCACAGAGAAAACAGAGACGAGAAGGTGGTCGATTGTCAGGCCAAAACGGAGTTGAGCCTGGCTACGACCGAGGCCAGACGATTGTTATGAACTCGCTGGCTACGAGGCCGCCCGGGCGCGGCGATCGCAGTCGGGAGCCCTTAAATTCGCATTCAGCCAATGTATAATAACATTCGTCAACGGGTTGTACTACAATTCCTCCCACATTTCATATTTAAATAAGTTAAAATTTACTGTGGACACGTTTAATAAGTAAAAACTGATATCCCATAAACTTATGATTAGTTTTTCTCTTTATACACACAAGACTTTACGGAAACTTTACACTCGTACTAGTTTCCTGACACTTGTAACCGTTTTCCTAGAGCTGCAAAGTTTTCGGCGGCCAGTAGCTTCCTGCACTCTTTGACTAGTTCATGAGCATCTTCTCCAACTAAATTTCGATTTTTAAGATGATGTAGTACCAAACACAATGTTGTGCAATAGTCTCTACTAAAGGAAAACATACTTTTAAGTTGAGAGTTCTGTTTGATAAGCAGGTTCAGTTTCTTTAGCGATGTAACCAACGACTCTACTGAAGCCATCAAAATCTGACGCTGAGCTACACACTCTCTATTCAACATGGCTACTCTAACATACAGTTTCCTGGCTTTGCTGGTCTGATCAGTTACCAAAGCATCTTCAGCACGGACTACGGTTTCCCGAATAAAGTTGAGTCGTTCTGTCCATTCGGCCATCAACTTGTCGTTCGTGGTGTAGCGGTCTTCCATCTGCAAAGTAATACATAACTTCATCAGCGTTAAAGTTGCAATAAATAATACCAAATTTTTATGTGTTTTAAACATTACTTAACATATTAAAAACTAGATCCCACAAAGTTAAATTTCACAACTTACCGAAGCAATGAGCTCAACAAGTTGTTCTTGATACTTTGGAAAGAAGGCTCTGCTACTCATCTGTTTCACTTCCATGGACTGTACTATTGACTGTACAACTTCTCCGACCACTTCGATAAAGTTGTGTCTGACAAACAACTAAACTTTTTATAAAATTTATGCGCATTGTTATAGTCTTAAAGGTATAAGAGCCGTGGAGAGATTGGACGACGGCAGCCGGAAAAGGAAGAACACAGAAAATGAAGAGACGAAGATAAGTAATTGCAATTTTTGGCTGATCCAATGTATTTTGCACGGCCCTTCTATTATTTTACAATTTTAAATAAGGAATAAAAAATTTAACTTACTCTTCCTTCAATAACTTCAATCTGCAAAACTTCCTTCGAGTAACAACATCGGAACGACACCTTCCAGTTTTGTTCGTCGTTCATACCCAAAACCATCCCTTCGTTGATCAAAAAGTGTGTAGCCAGCCATCTGTTGAGCAGGTCTAGTCGTAGACTGAACTCCAGATCGACGTACCCTTCCGGTGCTGGAGCTCCTTTCTCCATATACACATAAGTGGAGAATTTTGGCAGAGATTGATCAAACTCTAGTACTCGTAGTTGAGTACTGTAACATAAATGTTAAACCGTTGGATCCGTAGATGCCTTTTAAGTATCAAAATACACATTTTTTGAAAGAATTACCTTCCTTGTGCTCCAATAATTACTCTCATCAGGATGTCAGTAGCTGTGTTCTTCACAGGTTTTATGATGGTGAACATGTCAGATGTTTCCTCGTTGGCGTGTCTGTATAACTGTGTTATGTAAGCGTATGTCACTTTTATAAAGTACACAATTTTTAAAAACATTTTACAGCAAAGAACGACCTACATAGAGAAGCATTCTGAGTGGAAGATTCCTTCGGCAAACAATAAGATAGCTTTGATGGGAATATCATTAGTAACATGCACGTGTAGTAGTAGCCCTCGTTCTTCAGTCAACTCCAACACACAGTCCATCTGAGTATTCAGCGGTATGCCGATCTGATTACGATCTCCACTCTCAGCAGCTTCGTAGTTCTTCAGCTCTTCCATCAGATTGTGCTTCCTCTGGCCATATTCATGAAGCACTTCTATCTCATCCTCTGCTTCATCGTAGTCTGGATTCAATTCTACTCCCCGAACTAAACTATGTTGTGTAACTTATAACTGGCTATATTTAGAAACCATTATCACTAGAAATTTATAAAATGACTCACCACGCCCATTAAAATAGGTAACCAGAAGTTGATCCATCTGGTTGTCTCGACGTTGAACTACAGAGCCCGACACCTCACCGTCGAGTTGTGTTTTCAAATAGTTTTCTCCATTTTCAGTATCTCGGACATCAATCTTTCCATTCTGCCAAACACAACACAAATATGGCTTGTCATCACCGGCAACAGTAGGGAATATCAGGAGGTTTGCAATCTTATGTTTGGTCTTGATCCTCCACAGCCTCTCCCATTTCCTGTAGACTCCGATGACACCACTATTAAGTCCAAAAGCAAAAGTTCCTTCTCCCATCGTCTTGATCATCACACAAGGATCTCCTTCTATCAGATCCTTGAGAAGCGACTGTTGCTTCAGAACTTTGATTTCCGTGCCATTACTTCCTACAATCAGCTGAAACAACAGTAACATTAAGTACTTGTACCAAATTAAAATAAAATTATCTACAATCTTTACTAAAGAGCCATACAATAACGTAAACATTACCTCATTCATGCCATCATAGTCAATATCACATAGGTCGATTGAGTTGACATCATCTCCTAGAGCTGTCCAAAACACATCTTCACCTTGAAAGTCTATGCCCCAGATTGTAGATCCACACCCACATACGATAACGTTCTCCTTATGTTCATCTAAGTGCCCTATCTTGATACACGTTATACCCTCAGGCATGTCACGATGGAACATAGTCTTGTTGTTGTAGACATCAAATACAATCAAACTCTTTTCTGTACCTACTATCACTAAATCGCTCACAAATCCATACTGTTTTGAAGGTTGATGTAGTACATCGATCCATGTTATTGGTTCGTTCACGTGGAATATAGCTTCTAAAAGTACGAATTAAGTTTATTTTGTTGTATAAGTTATTTAATTTAAACTAATTTTCTTTCTAAATAAAAAGTTACAATAGATGTGGGTAAGATTGACAAGCTTTAAAGTAAATGCAAACTGAAAACTTACCAGAATTCTGAAGAATAACTTTGTTCGAAGATGTGCCGGCTACCAGAGTGTCTCCGCTGTTCTCATCAAAACGCCCAATAGCTGTGGCATTTCTAGATAATCTATGGCCAAAAGAGTAGTTAACTATCTCCTTCAAAGACCCTTTCATATTCGTATTAGAGACAAAAGCGATCCAAAAATTAAAGGTAACGTGTTGCCATAGTGATCCCCAATATTATTCTAAACTCAGAAATAAAAAAAAACATAAATATAGGTTTATTGTGTTCTTTACAATATAATTTCATAAGGTACAGATAATGTTGTCATCAGAATCATAGAAAGTCACAACGCGTGTGCAACGCCCAAATTAGACGAATTTTTAAATAAATTATTCAAAGCTGATCGTCTGACAATTTGGGCCTTCTAATATATTTTTAAAGTACAGATTTGCCTTCTACATGCATTCGAAAGGCATTAAAACAATACTTCTATAAAAGGTTTATCTTTGATCATCGTAAACTTAAAAAATCATATTAAACTTTAAATTAGTAATATACTGTAAATCCAGAATAGGCGTTAACTAATTGAATTTTTATTTCTTCAGTGCAAAATTGGGCGGACCATTCGGAAAAGTAATTACATGCTTCACCTAGAACAGTAAACTTCATTCGTGATAGCTTCCAGATTGGATAGTTGTCGTTTCGTGCCTCGACCCACGAATCCTGGTATGTGAGATGTCTTTTCATTTCGGCGTTGAAGGTTTTAAATCGAACTCTACCTAATATTAAACATATAAATTTATGATAATGTTAATTATATTTATGCAAAAATGCAATTAGGAAAACTAGAGAAAAAGTAAAACAGAAACTTATGGGACACATAATATAAAGCAAGTAAAACTTGCCTTTTTCAAATTACAAATATACACGTTTAAAAACGTCATTTTGGTAAGACGTCATGACTTTGTAATCGCACATAGGTACGAACCTTCCATGACAGTAACAATAATATTTTTTATTCAATTGAAGAGACGGATCTGATTGTACTATTTCCCAATCCTCTGTTTGGTTGTTGTATACCAAAAACTAAAAATAATTTAAACTATACGACTTCAAAATATTTAAATTCTGTTTTGGCGTATTTTACAAGCTATAAAAATATTTTATGGAAGTGTTGCTAAGCATTCAATTTTTAAAAGGCGTACCGAAGAGTTGAATATATGGATAAGAACATTCGAATTGAACATAAACCAACCGTCATCGTTTGGGTTACAAAACACTATTCTTCTTTTTTTCATACTGTATATAAGAATTCCAAATCGATACCCTAAAATTAAATAATTGTTTTGTTTAAACTACAGTGAAGCTTTACAAGCTATAACAATATTTTATAGAAGTGTTGCTAAGCATTCAATTTTTAACGTTCCATAGACAAAAGTTCTGCACTGATTCTTAAATAAAAGAAACTACAGTGGAACTCCTGTATAACGAACTCCTCTATAACAAAAATCCCGTATAACGAACAACTTTTGAAATCCCCGTCTACCACTACACAGTGCGTTTAAAACTCCTGTATAACGAAACTCCTTTATAACGAACAAGTTTCTAGTTCCCGAGCGATTCGTTGTACAGGAGTTCCACTGTATAACAAAGCCCTATTACAACGAATAATTTTTTAACCCCTTTTACCGGTAAATGTCCAACCCTAATCAACAAGCTTCAAATATAAATAATAAAATAAGTAACACATACCCGTTACCACTACTGAGTCATTATCATTGATAACAAAGACACTGAGGTCATGGGTCCATGCACAGATTACACTACCTTTACCTGTCTCCGCATCATATATAGCAAGTTGGTTGTCTATTGTATGTACCGCAAAGTATTTTGACTTATCATACATATTGAGGTACGATACTATACCGTTTGGCTTTTTTGCGCAAATTTTGTATTCTTTTTTAGTGTAAAGATCAAGAACAGTATCAGATTGTACTGTTTGATAACCTTTGTTTTGTGGGCTATCATAGGGTGGTATTTTTACCTGCATCCACACCAAGTCATACACCAATACAAAGGTCACACTATGAACCAAGAGCTCCGTCCCTCGATTTATCATGTTAACTCTTGTGACTTTGTTAGTGTATGAAGAAAAGTCGAGAATAGTAAATTCGCTGAGACCAAAGTCAATATTGGTCAATAATACATAAGCATCGTTAAGTGCTAAAGCTATTTTTCCTGTAAATGGACAACAAATGGCGTTATCTCTGTAAAATTCGATTTTCGCAATGATAGTATTATATGAACGAGATCCAAGGCTAAAATGATGGTACATAGTTAAAACTTATTAGTTAACAACAATAAGATACATAGATGCATTTTTAAGACACATCCAACCAACGTTTATGTTTGCCAACATGATATTGACTTGAATGCCCTTGTTTATTTATTTAAAAAGTAAAACAGTTAGTGTTTTACACAAAATTAAACACTATGGTTAAGAAACTTACTTTGAGAAAGCATACGCCCAAGTCTCGCCTTTTAAACGATATACTACATGGTTGCGACATTCCCGTTTAAAATCCATTTCGACAAGCTTGTAGAAGTACTTGCTCACCATAGCCAACGAACAAGTATCCTCCATTATCGTCAAATGCCGGATGACCCTGTGCCACAACTAAACTCTTAATATGCTTAAGCTTTTAAAAAAGTTTGATGTAGTACCAAACAGTATTATAATGCTGACAGTCAAGTTTTATCATCAGTATTCAAAAATATTACAGAGATAAAGTTCTACTGCAAAAAAACCGACCGTAAACAGAAAAAGATGTTTTGGCAAAACGTTTACCACCGCAAAAACCTCGGTTTCCCGCTTACCGGGCCCATACATTCCTTCAATTAACTTCAAACGCAGTGCTTTATCAGGTGCTTTTATAAATATGAAAACTATCCCAAACTATTGAAAAGTATCAAAAACATACCTCTGACGGTAAGCAGGCAATAGACATTTTTACCAGAATATTTTAACACACAAAGCAATGCTTCAAATCCAACCTAGACTAAAGTATAACACTTTCATCAACCTCAACTGCTTGGCGTCTTTTTACGCTTTGTGCGGTGGGGAGGGGGGAGAGCCCACCAAAAAAAATGTCGAAAAAATGGAACAGTGTGAAAAGTTATGCTACAATCAAGTTTCAAAAACTGCCATGCTTGCTTGGCTAACGAACTACATGCCTCGAAAACACGTTTAGATCACTAATTTCGGGTTATTTACAATATAATTTCATGAGATGCAGATAATGTCGTCGTCAGAATCTTCCAAAGTGACAATATCCAAATTGGACGAATTCTTGAAAAAATTGTCCAAAACTGGTCGTTTGACGATGTCGGTCTTCGAATGATGCCTTTTTCTTTTCGTTGGGACTTGTTTGTCACTAGTACTTGGCAGCTTAAGGTCAAGGTCCTCCTTTTCTTGCTTCTTCACTTCTCGATCACCAATAACAACATCACCCTCATTTAAAGTTTGTCCGAACCCGTCATGTGTGTCATCATCTTCCTCCAACTCCACAATGTCGTCATCCTTGTCGATAATACTCAAATCATCTAGTTCTATATCTTTATCATCATCTAAAAGACCTTCTAACAGCTCCGAAGCAAATTCTTTCTTGTTCTTCATCAACAACTCTTCATTTTCCAGATCATCCGCCCATTTTTCCTCATCACTTGCCGGTTCTTCTTTCTTCATACAGACTTCTTTAATAAGGTTTTTAGTTTCGTTGCTTTCAATGGTTTTCACAGCGTCTTCAATGTAGTCATCAACTAAAATGAGTTAGTTAATTAACCATACCTTAAAATTAAAAAACCATACCTTAACCACTAACAAAGCCACAAAGTATTAATAATAGAAAAGTAAAAACGGAAACTTTAAAAAACTATAAAATACCTACTCGCTTCCCCTGGATTATACCGTTCAAAAAACGGAACACGAACACGGTGAAGATGCACATACGAGGAAACGCTGTGCATCAGTTGTCTTACAAAAACATCTGTAACAGAAAAACACATTAACTTTACAAAAATATATTTCTTTGTTTTAAAAACAGCTTATCAAACATAAAAGTAAATGCCGTATAATAAAGTACTCACAAAGTTCTTCTCCATCATTAAGCGGAATCCCCTTCTTAATCATCCTATCTTCACCATGTTCCTCCTTCAGGTCTTTCAAAAACTTTTTCACGACTTTTTCAGTGACCAACCTGGAAATATGTTTGTAACTAAATGTTAAACGTATATAAAAAAGCTCTATGTTAATATATTACTGCAAAAACAACTCATTATATTAAATGACATTATCAAATGTACACAACTCACATTCCTTCCTTGTTCACGTTGTTCGGATTGTTAATGTACTCGTTAATCTTCTCGTTCAACGGCTCAAATGAACTTGAGGTGTAAAATACCGCCCTGATCCTAAAAGTCACATTTACAAAAGCCAAGCATAAATTTTAAAATTTACCAAATACATTAAATGTTCGCAAAAAACGGAAATAAAGCTAATTAGACCTACTCAGGCTCGTCCACATTGAAATCAAAGTATATGTCAAGGTCCTCCAATTTCCCTTCAATCTCCTTGATCTTCTCCTGAATCCTTTTAAGATTGTTAAACAAAATCCGATCGCCATTCTTTTTAAAACCCTTCTTTTTGTCAATCTTAATTCGTGTGTCCATTTCTAAGCGTTCCTTGTACTTCAGGTTCAGTTTCTAAAAAGTAGATTAATAATATTGAAGAATTTGGATTGCAACAACCTGAAATCAACAAAGACAACAAAAGACTTACATAGTAATCATTTAGCATAGCACAAGCATCTTTTTTCTGCTTTTCTGTTAAATGTTCAGCAGTTTGTACAGCCTTCAAGTAATCTTCAAGTTCATTGTCTGAATCGTCTGATACATTGCCGTGCTTTACAACGTCCTTACTGAACACGGGTTTCTCCATGTATAAAGTCGGTTTTAACCAAATAATCTAAAAAGAATAAAATTGGCGGTAGTCGAAAGGACACTATCAATAGCGGACAAAGTATTGTAAATTTAATTTTCTTAAAATCGCATTCTGCGCCCGAACTATTGCAAACTGCGCTTAAAATGGCAAGTTCTATATAATATGTCGTTTAAAAATAAAAAATAAAATATTAAAATTGGTTTTTTGCAGAGTAACAAAACGTAAAACAGCGTGAGTATAATTTTATTAAAGATTGTTATAAAATTTTACAAAAAAAACCAATTTAAAATGACAGGTTTTATATAATGTCTATTTATTCCGAAGGCCGTAAGCCGCCAAAGGAAAATATATTTTTCGCAAAACAAATCTGCGTTTTCTGGATTTCAAGCTTGAATTTATGATCTCGTGACTTTTTCTTAATTTTTGGTTTAAATATGTAATAAAATTTAAATTGTAGATAACCTTTTTGTAAATATAGCTGTACATAATGACTACTAAAGAAGTAAACTTACTGGAATCTTTGTTTATGAACGCAAAGATCCAAAAAGAACCAGAGAATGTTGTCAATCCACTGGATAAGTTGTTTGCTAAAGCGGCAGAAAGTAAAGTAAGTTAACATTACTTTAAAAGTAACTTTTATTTTAATTTTGAAAGTTTAGATACGTATGGGTACCTGGCAGCATAAATCTAATAATTCTTTTAAAATTTAGCAAAAAGAAACTGCCAAGACGCGGGATCCACAGGAGTTTCTAAAGTCTCTCGATCCGTTGTGCAAGGATATTGTTATACATTCGAAAAAAGCAGCTTTGTACAAGTTTGTCGATGGAAAATGGTCAACAACGGATATTGCTGGACCGTTGTTCCTATACAAAAGGCTGGAGAAGCCTAACTATTCATTAATTTTTGCAACGAAATCTTCTCATTTTATAAGGCCAGTGACTGAAAACGCTAAGGTTGAATTCAAGAGTCCGTTTATCTTTCTTCACTTAAAGAAAGGTTCGTTTTTCGAGTACTTCATTAAAATTTTTATATAAACTATTTTTAAGCTGTAAATATATGTTTGAATGATCTGTTACTAATATAATACCTTCCTTTTTGGTCTAACAAAACATTTAACTTTGATATTCAGATGAGTCACTTGGAATCTGTTTTAAAGAAGTCACGGAATGCCCCAAGTTTTTTGAAGTTTTAACATCAATTACTAAAGGATCGAAGGTCGTAACAAAGGCTGATAATGCTTTGAATAAGTTCTTGAACAAAAGCGAGAAGGAAGTTACTATGAAGTATTCTGAAAAAACCACGGTAACTGCTTCTTACAAGTCGCATAATGTCACCAAGAAAGTAAAGGTAATTAATTTTCTACTTTGGTTATATCGTTAAATTTAAACTGAGATGTATAATTATATTTTGTGAACGTATACTTGAAAAAAATTGTTTTAGACTTCAAAAGTGAAGACGTTTACCCAGTCCGAGTTGGTGGACGTGTCAGACCAGAACCTGAAGTGTATAAAGATGATTGATCCGTTTGCTAATGCTATTGTTTCTCAGGCCAGTCATGGAGCCTTGTACAATTACAATGTTGACAAAGACGAGTGGGTAAAGTCGGACATTGGAGGTCCGTTCTTTGTGTACAGTAGGAAGGAAAAGCCCGCGTACTCGTATATGATCGCCAACCGACAGTCGTTTGAGGATTGGATTCAGCCGATCACTAAGGATATGAGATTCGAATGTAATGCACCTTACATATTTACTAACATTCCAAAGAGTAGGTCTTTGCATTATGGTTTATTACTGTGAAGAGCTTTATTTACTACAATATAGTAATTTTAATTGTATTCATATAATACGCTTCTATAGATTAACTGTATCTTTTCAGAGGAAATTAACGCTTTATGGTTTGGCGATGACAAACAATGCTTAAGTGTATATAAAACTCTGACAGATCTGAAGAATTTGTTGAATCAACCAGAAGCCACGACCTCTGACAGTGCTACAGGATCATCTTCAAATGACAGTAGCAACATTCTCGACGTACTCTTTCCCCAAACTCTAGTAGTAAAAGTACATAAACCAGAAGAGGCAGTAGTTGAAGAAGTAGACAATGATGAAGAAGATTGCGATGATGAAGAAGAATTTGAAGACAGTGACGATACGATCGGAGAAAGTTATCATGAACTTCAAGGTAGTACACACAGTAGTATGAATGACGATGGAATAACGGAACGGTCAAATCGCGGAGCTGATCGACCGGTTACAGTGCACACTGCACCAAAAGTACTAGTAGCACTGTTTGGTTCAGCTGCTAAAGGATGAGGTTTTGGTGTTGATAGATCGAACGTCTAAATAAAATGCACGAGTTTCCGTCAAAAAGATTGTTTTATTCTGGGTAGATAGACTTAACACGTTGCAGCTTTCTTTTAAAGCATTTATTTGAAAATAAGGTAGCTAGTTGAAGGATTCGGACTTCTGAGCAGTACGAAGGTCGGCGTCGTCAGAGATGATGCGATGTCCAAGTGAGGAGCCTAGGTTCGCGGCCGAATGGCTAGCACGTTCGTCAAAGTCATCTGGAGTGTGTAAAATGTTTTGTGCAGCTCCACCAAGGAATTCGGTAACAGATGCACAGTCTCTGGCAGTGAGGAACGGTTCTCGCGTGGCGTTCTAAAAACATACCGTAATATTTTGTCATTAAGACAACATAATTCTTTCTTTAAAGGTATTTTACGTATGCCTTTATTTTACGTAAAACGTTTGCTTACCTTCCCAGAGTTTTGTAGTTGCAAATCGGCAGTTTCGTTTCCAAAAGCATAAACCGATTGGTCATGCCCTGGTTGGTACTGTTGGTCCTTTTGGTAGAGATAGGCACTACCTTGGAAATCTTGGGCAGCACCGAGATTGGCAGCCGAATGACTAGCCCGTCCATCAAAGTTGTTTGCCGTTTGTAGAATGTTTTTTGCAGCTCCAAACTGTTCTGTTACAGAAGCCGACTCTCTGGCTGTCAGGTATTGGTCTTTTGTAGCCTAAAGTGACAAGTTTAAAAAAATTTATTAAAATGACGACAAACGTTAACTTTACTCACCTGCGCGATGGGTAATGTCTGAAAATTGGGCGTGTCATTTTGAAAAAGATAATGGTCGTGTCCCAAGTCTTGAGCAGCTCCAAGGTTAGCAGCTGATTGGCTAGCACGTTCGTCAAAGTTATTTGGAGTGTGCAGAATGTTGTGTGCTGCTCCACCGTGAAATTCGGTTGTAGAAGCACATTCTCTGGCAGTTAAAAATTGTTCTTTTGTAGCTGTCTAAAGAATCGTAACCGTAGCGACAAAAAATGTTTAATTTGAAGTCAAAAACAACATAATTTTAAGAATGATAGTAAGATTAAGTGTGAGTACCTCGGCCGCGTCTGAGGTTTTCTCGAAGGCATACGAAGAAGGCTTCATTTCTGGCTGGTATCCCTTGTCCGTTTCGTAGAGATAAGCACTGCTTTGAAACTGATTTCCAGGTGAAGGATTCATAATGTTGTACACGACCTCCTTGTTGTGGTAGCGATCACAAAATGAAGAAATTTCATAGTTTTTAATTTTTTCATTGATTTGCATATTGGCTAATTGGTAAGGCCATTCGAACTCATAGTCAAAATTGAGTTTTTGTAATTTCTATTTTGTTTTTTCTATGAACTTTTTGACCACTATATTAAAAGTGTTACAAGACCTCGAGTTTCCACATATACTTGCTGTACTTACGAAAGGTACTGTGAAGCACTTAATAAAATACTTGTTCAAACTTCAACTTATTAAAAATTTCGCGGGCGCCAACGGTCGATTAGGACCTGTTGGAGCGTGGTATTAAAGGGAAGCGTATCCTACGGTAGGGGGATGATTATTTACGGGTTTATGTTGTGCAAGTTGTCAGTATTTGCATAAAAGTTGAGTGAGTTAATGCATTTGGGATGATCTCGACCCATTTCCGGCCATATTTTCTCATCTAAACAAAAACCGTCGAGCACGCACGGTCGAGGCGTTTCATGGCCCGGCCCTCGGGGGGATTGGGGCTGGGTGAGGCGCGCATTTCATCTTTGTTCTGGGCGCAAAGTATCACCTATAACCACTTCCGGTCGATTGTGCTACCGGAAATGTTCGTCGCTTACGTTTAATGCAATCGCTGTTTAGTGCTCACGGCTTTGTGCCCGACCCGTATTGAGTTTCTCGTGCTTCAAGTGGCGGAGAATACGAAACCATCCACCTGTGCCGGTTTTTATGTCCGCTGCCACTCGGCGTTCAGTCTCGCATTTCGCTGCACGCTTTCAAGATGAATATGGTAAAATTAAGACAGATTCTGGAGCTGCGGAGGGCTACCAAGGCTCCGCCGTTGGTTCCGCCAAAGGCCAAGAGGTAGGCTTAATTAGGGGATTTTAGCGTTATCGTCTTGAGGATTATAGTGATTAAACCTTGCTTTAGGGGCTCTGAAGGTGATTACAAGAGGGGACCGAAGGAGATAATCGACATTCACATCAGTGCTAGGTAATTAGTTTGTGTCGTTTTAACTCAGGTATTAATATTAGATTAAAGATACTGTATTTAAATTAAAAAAAGAATTTTGAGATAGTAACCTTTTGACCTAATTAAGCCAAATTTGCAAAAACATATTGTACATTAGTTGCTTGGTGATTTTTTTTATTTTCTTTGTGGTTACCTAATGTGTAATAGCCAGGGCCGGGCGGGGACTAGGAGGGACCACGTTCAAATTTTTTTCGAAAATTTTTTTTCTGGGGGGGTACCCCTCGCGCCCGGCCCTTGTAATAGCGTTTAATGTTTGTAAGAGATTGTTTTTAGGCATTTCCGTTGTCTTCCCCAGTATACCAACAACAATATTGTTTTAATTTTTTCTGAAAGTGATGACGCTCGTAATGGTCCTTGGCGAGTCGTAAGTTTCTGTACCTTTTGGTCTTTGAGTTACTGTATTTTAGTTTATAAAAGAATTTTTAAGAGTACAGTATAGTTTTTTGTAAAAACTGTTATTTTGTAACAGTATGGCAGTTTTGTCTACATTTTGAAGTTAATGAAGTAATGTCAACTCTTCAGACTACCGCTTCTGAAATCTTCCCCAAGGCAGAATGTTTTGATTTGAATTCAGTATTTGCCGTCGAGTTTCAATTCGAGAGATGTCAGTATATTAAAGTTGATATGTAAGTTTCAAAAACATGACGTGGTGTGTAATACTCTGCTTTTTTTATTAAATTATGTGTCTTTGGATTCTATTTTTTATGATATTGTTTTAATCACATTTATCTTAATATTATACATATGATTACTTTTAGTTGTGAATGGGAAGAAAGCAACGCTACCAGCCTAGGCTACGCTGTGTTTTCAGTAGGTGAATTAGTAGTAAAGTATGGTATTCCAATCGACAAAGAAGTAATGTAAGTTGTATTTACATGGTTCGCTAAAATATGTTACATTTGGATTTCATACCAAAAAAGACTTTGATTGTATTGAAGCGTATAATACGAAAATTGTAAACAAGGTTACACTAGGTATTAATTACAATGTTTAAATTAAGAATTTGTAACAGTACGACATTGTAATAATAAGTGTAGTATATTATATTATTATTGCAATATTATAGAGAAGACGATGCTGGTACCAAGATAGCAGATCTGTCCCTTTCTTGCACTTTAAGGCCGAAACCCCATTCAGTACTGTTGCAGTTCTGCACCAAAGGTGTATCAAAGAAAACATTGACATTGGGAACATCTCAGGTACAACATTATGCTGTCTTAACAGTGTATTTACTAGTAATTTATATCTTACTATATGCTAACTATAATCATGGAATGCTATTGTTTTCAAAGATACGACCCTTAAAACGCTTTCTTCTGGTCTTTCCGGCCATTAATTGTCATCGTACACTTTCAGATGTTCTTTGAGATTAAAAGGCTAGGAACTACAGCTGAATCGGTGGTACTGTACAAGAGTGAAACTGTAAAGTATGCTAACAAATGTGTATTCAGGACGTTTTCACTACAATCTACTGATGTCACCGATAGGTAGGTCATTTTGTAAAAATATTACTGTAATTTGAACATGAAGTTTACTTAAAGTATTAGTTTTAAAAGGTAGTACGGTACTTTGAAGGAGTTTTGTCAACAAGTTATTACAGTATCCTGGAAGTGGTTTTCTATCAAAAAGAAGGAAAAAGCGGTAAAGTTTTCATTGGTTCGTGCGAGACCACATACGAACGACTCCGTATTGGCCCAACCTTCAGTAATGTATATGCGGTATGTTTGAGGTTGACGTATTAATGGCTGTTACAGTTGACATACGAGAACTCAAAAGGCCAAAAGAAAGTTTGTGGAGAGTTCGAGTTGATGAAGTTCAATGAAATGGTGTTGCCCTCTTTCTTGGAGTTCATTAGTACTGGGTAAGGCTTTGTTTTATATTTAAGTGCGTTTATTTCAATTGTAGTTATGTTTATGATATTACATAAGTTGTGTTTTAAAACAGGAGCTTACTTTACATTAACTTTTGAATACTATTTTACTTTATTATGGTATCAATTTAAATATTGTTCTTTCTAACTATAGGACCTTGATCAATGTTGCGTTTGCAATTGACTTCACGCAATCAGAAGCCGAGGTGGATCCGGCCAACATCAAACAGTACGTTGATGATGTAGAATTGGCGATCAGAGCTGTCGGAGAACCCTTGAAAGAGTTCAATATCTCTAGTGCCTACGCGGCCTTTGGATTTGGAGCTAAAGTACCACCACACTACCGAGAATCACAAGAGTTTTGCTTGGTATGTCATCGTATTGTTTTCTTTGTATTGTACAATATTTAATTATTTTACTAGTATTTATGATTTAATTGGCACTTTTGCCTACTTCATTATAGGCAAAAGTAAGGAATTGGTGGTTAACCGTGGTATCTTACTGCCCAATTTAATTTATTGTATTTTACCATAGGTATATTGTCTTCCCAATGTAAACACAAATTAATTAAGAATTTGGACACAGACCCGTACTGTCGAGGATTAGATGGTGTACTGGATGCCTTCAAGACGGCATTTGCCAACACACGGCCGATAAACATGGCACATCTCTCTCATGTCATCTACTACGTCTCCAAGTAAGTACATTATGGTTCCAAAGGTTTTAAAAATATTAGCTTATTTTGACAAAGTAGTATTGTACATGATTGTACGGTTATTTTGCATGATTTTACTTTTGCTCAAGTAATACAGATACAGTCTAACAAGGTCGACTATACGACCATAACAAACATATATAACCAACCATAATATAAGAAACATAAAACAATGTACACACAACAAGACAACACTTTCAGATTAGCCCAGAACGTCGTGGCCCGATGCAAGTCCGGCCAAACACAGTACCACGTACTGGTGCTGATCACGCGAGGCATATTCGATGACATTAAGGAGACGGTCCAGTCCCTCATCTTCGCCTCGAGAGCCCCCATCTCGGTGGTGTTCGTTGGCATCGGAGAGCTGGACTTAAGTGAGCTGGAACGGTTGGGCACGGCCGGCACACGGCTCAACTATCACGGCCGCAAGCCGGAAAGGGATTGTATGCAGGTAAACAACTTAGCCAAGTCACGATAATGTTTTGTTTGTGGGTCGGCATTTTAGTTCCGGTTGGTTTTTGATAAAATTCCAGTAACATATACGTCATGTGAACGTTATGCTTTAGGAACGTATAAAGCATATACATGTTATTTTTCGGGTTAACACTAAACCAACCTTTTTGACATTACAAAGAATTTTATTGTTCAAAATTGATTCGAATGTCAGCGTGGCATATCAAACAAAAGTCGAATTGATATCGATAAACCTAACATAACATGTTGTTTTAGTTCGTCTCCATCCCAAAATGTCGCGAAGAAGAAACCCAAAGAGCTGATCTCCTTGCTCTGATAGCTGAAAGAGCTCTCATCTCCATACCGTACCAAATGACATCGTGGATGTCACGGAATGGCATCAAACCTCCAGTACCCGAGCCCTGCTCTTCTGTAAGATATAACTTGTATCTCCTGATTTGACCAATTTTATAACTTTTTTTAAAGTTTATGACAAAAGTCATCACATGAACTAACAGTATTGTTATAGCGCCATTCCTCAAGAGGAAGTACAGTATTCCGGCCAGCCTTTCCTACTGTAGTCCACTCAATGAATGCAAATGTTGTTGGTATCTCTTCAGTCGATATAAACTCGTGTTCGACCAAGTCAATTCACAGTAACGACAGGACGGAGGACGATTCTCTCCATTCTTCGCTTTCTAACCGTGATTCTTCTAGCTTTAAGTAAGGCAAAGAAAGTTTTTGAAGTTTTAATATAATTTCAACTCATTCTTGAAAACATTCTGGTCTAAATTTCAAAAACAATATAGTTAATATTGTTTTAGAGAAAGCAATAGCTCCCGAAAGCTACCGTCCCTAGAACAGTGTAGATCTCATTCGATGAACAATGAAGCCGACGTCCGGCTTTGAACCTAACAAAAGTTTTATTTCATATCACTCGAACTTCATAATCATAGATAAATAAACGAATGGAACACTGATATTCACCTTCCTTTGCTTCAGCCTATACAATGTCGAGGTTTCACAGGTTTATTAGCATAAGTACATTCAATTTCAAAATAATCTTATTTTAATATTGTTCAAAGATGACGTCCGAATGTTCATGAACATTTTTCAAAAACAACCAAACACTAACAAGAGTTTCCGAGTCTGAGGCAGTATCACACCAAATATAGGTATTATAATATCTTTCGGTCAAAACTATCGCAATCCAAGAGTAATCACAGTAATTTAGAGCTGTACATGCCTACTTAAGTTGTTAGAGGCTGAGGTAGAAGGCTGGACTTCAAGCAAAGACTGACATGTTGAGGATGAGGCTACAGAACTACTCGAATATTCGTTGGCTTTTGAAGAAGTTGGAGTATCTGATTTAGTTGATTGAGAAAAATACATTGCTGGTACTGTATGGTAATTTGCTGCCTAAATGACATATTTTGGCTTTTTTCGACAGAAAAGGTCAGATTCCTCACAACTAACGCCCCAATAACGATTTAAAACAACTTACTTGAGGTTTTAACTTCTTGAGATTAGCATTGATTATGTCGTCAAACATTTCGGTTAACGTGTAGGAACACGGCGGTTGGAGTAATCTAAACTCCTGATTCCGATCGTTCTCTACAGGATTCGTAAGAGCTGACGGTAATCTACGCTTCAGTAACTTCTTCTTCTATAAGTTAACATAATATTGTTAAATTAACTATTTTTTTATCTTATTTTTTGTATTTGGCGAATATCAGTTGAAAAATCGACCAAAGAGCGAAAAAACTTGTTTCGTCTGCGCCCTCGTATAAGATGTGCGAAATATTTTGAAATACAAAATATTGTTTTTATTTTTTTTTGTTTTTTTTGCATTTTCTTTTACATCTTTTACCAATCCATAAACTTACAACACATGCGTGATCTGTCTGTGTTTCTGTCGATTTACATATTACTTTAGGTGGTTCTTCGAGAAATGGCTCCACCGGGAAACAGCCGAACAAAGAGATCAACAAGGGGATCCGACCGAGGGTGGAGAAGGTTTGGGCGAATCGAATGTTTTCGTAGACGGAATTGGCCATGCCCGTTAGGATTGGAATTGATAACAGAAGATTTCCAAAGCGAGAACTTGGATTCTGACTTCCATTCACATCCTTCATTATCATGAACAAGGTGTCGTGAATCTTGTTGCGTAGCGTCAGGACCTTCTCGTAACCATCGTCTGAGATTCCACGGGCCACTAAAGGTATGTTGGTTATGTACAGGTTTAAAAAGTTAAAGTAGTTTTTGATCGGAAAGATTTAAAATTATGTTATCTAAAATAGGAGCTTGTTTTAGAGGTTTTAGCAATGTTTAGGTATAAGATAACTCAAATTTTGAAACTTTTTTGTTATATTCTATTTTTTGTAAACTTACTTGGGTTTAATACGGATATAGCGCACATACAAACAATTTCTTCATCTGTCAGTCGTAGCTTTCGGTACGGTGTGACGACTTCATCTAGAATCCTGGCTACTAACCCGTTGTCTAAGTGACTAAACAATACAAAATAAGGTCAGTTTCAATTGGCCTGAATTTCAAGCAATTACAACAAAAAATACCTATAAACTTCTAACTACATACCAACTCTATGGATAAAGTAATACAAAGCAAATAACTTACTATGAATCTCCATAAGCAGTAGCCATATTTCTTGGTACGTAAGCAAAGTTACAAACACACAAGATGTCAGTTTTCTCAGTAACTATAGATGTTTTAGCCGCGTTTTTAAACAACATCAATACACCAAAACCACCTTTGACTAAGGCGATCTTATCCTCAATATCTAGGCCGCCCATAATTTCTGAAAGAGTCTCGACCCAGTCAATGGCGGCTACGAGGCGTCTACTGACCACACCTAGAAGTTCTTCGTTTCTGGCCATTCGGTAGGGTTCGTATCTCATCTGGAATGGTGAGTGTCAGATTAGTAAGTATTTCTGCAATCTGTGTGATTAATATAATCGTTTTAGTTTGTATGACATAGAATATTGCTTTAGTGAGTATTTGTAGTTAATGATTTACGAATTTTCTGTGACGAATATTAACGTGTTAGTCATCGCTTTCAACCGATTATTAATTAATTCTTACTTCTGTTCGTTTCCCTTTTAATTTGGAAGGGTCTGCGATGATGTCCCGGATTGAGTTTACATTCAGCGGGTACAGCTGGGACGGGTCTTTTGAAGTGTCGCCACTGGTCACTAGGGCATCTATATTCAGAAGATTCATCATTATAGTGCGATACTCGACCGGTATCTTCTTCCATCGTTCTTCTTTGGAGTCTGGGGTTGTTTGTTTGGACGGTCCAGGCTTGTTTTGTCGTGGACTGGACTGAATCCGAATGTTTTGTTGTTTTCCGGTGAAATCACGGTCGGGACGGACAGCTCCAGGGTCCATTCCGACGTTTAGGCATTTCTGAAGTCGGCACGCTCTGCAGGAATTCCGAAAATCTAAAAATTTGAATTTGGACAGAATGGGTTTACTTTTGTTGATGACACAGTTGTTGGAGTTGAGACATTCATACTGATCGGCCTTCTTTAGGGCTCGTCTGAAGAAGCCTTTGCAGCCGAGACAAGACGTGACTCCATAGTGGGTCTTGGCTCCAGCGTCTCCACAAACCGCGCAGATTGGTGATGTAACCAAGTTGTCGTCTTAAATCATTTTTTTATATTTCGTATTTTATGTTTATAAATATAAATTTTTATGGTTATCTTGGTCAAAACTGCATAGAAAAAGGTCAAGTTAGCAAAATAGAGGTACATTTTGTACACTTTTGATTAAACTCTAATGAAAGTGATCTTTATTGGTAATATTACGTGGTTGTTATAGGTAATTAATGTCACCGGAACAGTGTAAACTTGTCGCATTACTAAAAAAAGTCTACTTGGTGTAACGGTATGGGTAACTTAAGATGGTTTCTTGAACTCACTCGCTAATGCTGTAGCACTGTCAGCCATCACTCTCGACGGCGTCGACGTCGACGAGGTACACAATACCGCAACGGTCGTCGTCGATCACCTCCACAGGGCATAAGGCCAGATGTCTGGTCGGTTTCTTCAACCACTACACTTCTATCTAATCGGACAAACGGAAGCAAAGTCAGAAGCGGAGCTGACACATGACAATCGCGTAAATAGAGTGCTTCAGGCAAACCGTAGATCACGATATGAGTTTGAAAAAACAACAAAAAGTACAAAAACCTTGACAATCTTTTCTCTCCGCTTCACACACGTTTGGTGCCACAACAATAAGAGCGCAGCGACCCGACCTCGAGTCGGCTGCCGCTCTCCGCGATCGCCACGCTGTCTGCCGCCTGTTTCGATCACTGTTTGTCTTTTGGGGTTGGTGTTTCTTTTTTCGACTGCAACTTCTGAAAGTTTGAGGATCTGCATTAAGCCAGGGTATGCAAATGAGCTGACTTCAATATGACTAACACGCATAAACTTGTAATCTTTGACCGCCAATACGGTCGATATTGAAATAGTTTCAAATAATTCGGATTTTGCCACTTGAACACTTGGAGCTTCGAGTTTCTCTCAAATTCCGCTCAACTTGTAACACCCCAAAGGGTATCTTTTGCTTTGCAATTAGATAACCTTGCCCCAAGTTGACGGTTGTTGAGTTCCTGAAACTCATGCTGGGAATCACGAAATCGAATCTGACGCCGTCTTATAGTTTACATACAGAGTTTTGATATGCAAAAGATCAAAAAACGACCGTCGCGACAATGTTTTTGAAATGGAGCCTCGGGGGCATGAACGGTCAGTTGGTTCTTCAGATCGTCTGAAGTTTGTTTAGAAGGCGATCTTCTTGCAATAGTGCATTGGTTTTGTTAAAATTAGATTAGGTGTTACTCACAGGTTTGGTATTCCTCTTAGATGATTAGTTGTTAACCTTAGATTCTTAGAGGTTAAGCTTAGCTCATGAGGTGTTAATCATAGCTCATGAGGTGTTAATCTTAGCTCATGAGGTGTTAATCTTAGATGGTTAGGTATACTTTTTGGAAGTATTTGTTGACTACGGTCAAAAAGTTTGTGCAAGTTTTGAAAACGGTAATCTTGCAAAGCTCATCATGTTTATGAACTTTGGAAAACAATACTGCTGTTGAAAGTGGGGGTAGTTCAACTATAGTTTTAGGCAGTAATTTGAAATATAAGCAATAAACATACATTTTTATTTGGTAGTAACGCGTTATATATTGCTTTTCCATCCGCACTTTTGTCAGACAAAACTTTGATTCCAAAGGTTGTTTTGTTTTTAAATATTCTGATTGTTATCATCGATTCTTGTAACCTTTCCAAGAACTGGAATCAAAGGTTTGTCATTAAAATTTTTTTAAAAGTTTTTTATTAAATTTGTATTGAAAAATGTTATTTTAATTCATAACTTCGAATTCTGTGTGTTTTAACTATTTTCCGTCAAAAAGTCATCTGAAAATAACTAAATTATCTAATAATTTTAAATTTGCGATGTTTTCTATAAAGTAATGTCGGTTTCTACTTAAATTTCCTACAATCTGTCATTTCCTCCTGAAGGTTGAGTAGTATTTAAAGTGCCATCAAGACGCCGCCATTATTCGTATGTATGCCGTTTTTCTCCAATATCGATCTCACGCATTTTTTACGTGGCCGCCGGGCTTTCTCCATGCTTTAAAGACCTCGCACGCTCTTTTCAGAAGTTATTTGTTGTTTTATTTTGGGATTCAGCATTATTTGGGTTGGCGGGCTGCCATTTAAGCACTTAAAGCGATGACATTCGAATGCGTTCCGAGCTAGCCGCCTCTTTATCAGAGTCAGTCTGATTGTTTAAATTGATGTGTACAATAATTTCTTTTTAATTTGCTATTAATTAAGCGGCGACTTATCGATAAGACGTGTCTTCTTGGTTTCTATACTTTTAGAGGTTGCGCATTGTCTTCGTACTATATGTCATGATTACAATGTGATACGGGGTGTTTATTGTGCATTAGTGAAGTTTACAACTGACAGGGAAAGTACCCAACCTGCAACTCTCAGAATCAGCTCAAAATTTTTATACGGATTCTTTGTAGTACCATTAGTACCTATGAAAAATTTTAGCTTGCGCTTTTGAGTTTTAAATTTTAAATATTTAAATTTCCTGCCAATTTGGCAAATTTGGCATTGTGTTTCAAGTACTTTTTTCGATTTTCCAGCCAAGCTAAACTTACAAATTTAAAAATGTAGGTTCATTTAAAGGTTTTTTACTAGCATATTAAAGAAAAATGATTAAAAGTCAAAAAATGGCAAAGTTATAAGCTTGAAACACAATGCCAATTTGGCGGAAAATTCAAAACGCGATTTTTTGATCCCGATTTTCTCAAGACTGGCCGCAAACCGCAACTTAGAATTTTGCATAACATCTTACATTTACGTGACCTTTCAATAAAAAAAGTTTGAACGAAATCTGAGCGTTGCAGGTCGGGTACCTTCCTTGTGAGTATAAGTTGTAGTATCTTGTCGTGGTAACTTTTTAAAGATCATATACGTTTTGTGCTTGATTTGGACTTGTCAAAGAAGTCTGTCTTGAGTCGAACGTGAATGTAAACACAGTTATACCGATACGGCGTATTCCTTGAACATTTACATTACTCTGCAGGGCTCCTTTTTGCTTTTTGTATTTGTGTTTTGTTTGTAATCCCCTTTCCATGTTCGGCTACCCTCTCTCAACGGGCCAATGCACAAAAAGGGAATATATTGTGGTAGGGTCGCGCATTGAAATGTTTCGTTAGATCTGCGGGCGTACGTCATTGCCCTTTATATGGTAAGGTTTACATAAATCTGTGCAGCCCCGCCCCCTAAGGCATTGCAAATTTTTTTCAAGAGTAACTGAAAGTGTCCTTGTTGGAGCGATCTCGTAATTCCATGATATTAGGCTGATGGTATTGCACGGTTTGATAGTATGCGGGCTTATCATGATTCTGGAAACTTTTTATGTGATCTACGTAGGGAGTTAGGAAGCCACGGTATTGCAAGTTTTGGCTAGTTGCTGGTGAAATTATTGAGCTTATCATCGTGTTAAAGGTTTTTGATAGTATATGCGTAGCATATTAGGAACTAATTGTGTTTGGCGTTTCAGTATGTACTTTGGGTATACTTGGCTTTCAGTGAAGGTGCCTATCTACTCTCACAGTATTTTAATATTTTACTAAAAGGCGTTTATTAACTATCAACTGGGTTATTCAAGGCCTTGATATTGCACTCTATGGACTATATTTGGTATTATACTCTTGAAGCCCATTCTGGACGCGACGATTCCTTTTTCGGGCAGTGATAACGGTGTTTGAAACCCGATCGCGGCGACCAGGCTGTTATCTGCTCTAATCCATTATAATGTAGTCGGCCGTGTTACTGCGGAGGCTCTTAAGTAGTTTGTAAAGGCTTGCAAACAGATTGTTTGAGCATGGAAAGCTTGGATAATGCGTTCCGTATGCCGTCTGAGCAGCATCTCGAGGAAGTTGGTGTTCTTGACAGGGCTGTCTGTTTATTTTTGATGATTACGTTTTGTGTTAAAATTGTAACAGTGCTCGTGTTTTTTGCCCGCGCTCTAATTTGCGCGCTTGAGCGACGGGGGATCGCTTTCAGCCTGGAGGGGGTCGTTTGATGGGGCCTTGATATGGAGACAGCGATTATCCGCCCCGTCTAGCTATGTCAGATTACCGGTTTTTCTTTCCCCACAATAACACGGTTGTTTGTTTGCGATACATGGGGTTATGCCGTTTATGATCCTGTCATTCATCCATGACCCTGAATTGCCTCAGCCAAACAAGAATCGCTCCTTCTGAAGTCGTTGTCGTGTTTCTTCTGAAGCCACACAAAAGACTTCCATAATGTTTTGAAGCTTTCCCTTATTTGTAGAAGCTTTTTAGGGATACCCCCTTATTCTTGAAGCCATCTTTTCAAACCACCCCTTATTTTTGCACAGCTTCCCCTACTTGTGGTGATTTTCATACCCAAATTTCTCCATATTCCTTCTGAAGCCAAACAAAAAATATTTGCGCATGAAAATTTCAATACCTCGAGGCGATCGTAAAGATTTGAATAGCCCCGTCGAAAATGTTTACTTGATCTATCATTCTGCGCTCCCGTCGACGGAATCTCGAGACCAATTAAACGCTTTACCGGGCGAGAGTCGACTGTCTGTTATTAAGATGTTTGACTCATAATTCTGTTATTTGTTACTCGCTTTTTGCTTCGAAATTGGATCGAAAAGCGTTGAATTTGGTGCAAAACTTTAAACTTGGCTGGGGATTGTTACATTGTGTGATGTAATAGGTAATATACTGTACTAGAAGGCCGTCAATATGTGATTTCATGGTATTTTATTAAGATTTCTTTAATAATTTTTAATTTTATCAAATTTTAACATAGATTACTACGTTTAATTTCGCGTGAAACATTATTTTATATTCCCCTACCTCCAAACGCCACAAAACCTTCACTTTCAGACGTATCATCGGCCCTGCAAACACGACATAGCAGCTTGACCTTGTGTATTGTACATTATAGTAGAGTAAGCGTTAATATGATCCGAATCACACACAATTAAATCAAGTTTCAAAGGTTTTTTCGAATTTCGACCTTAACAACGCTGCAAGTTCAGAGACCGAAGACAATAACTTGAAAGTCTTACGGTTTAATTCGACTGTTTGTATGCGTTTCGAGGTTATTATACCTTCAACTCAGTCAAACAAACTGTTTATGAGGTCTTTTGATCAATGCTACAGTAGCGTTTGGTTTCTTAAGGTGTTTATATAAGTTTGTATATCTTGTGGTAGCTTTTAGGGATATTGTAGTAAGTGTTAGAGATATTGTAGTAGTTTTACAGGTTGATTTGATATTTTGAGGATCTTGCTACTGCTTTTAAGATAACTTGATAAGTTTTGAAGTTTAAAACTATCAGATAAATTTGAAATTTAAAAATTTTTGCAGCAAACGAGTTACTGTAGGCTGTAAAGTTAAAGATCTTGTAGTAGAGTATTTGTGTAGCCTACGCAAACAATCTTCTGTAGCCTATTGTAATCATATTGCAATAGAGTGTACTATTGTACCCTTTTCTAAGTTGTTTTTCGTAAAAAATGTGTTATTGTAGACTATAATATTGCTATCAGTGATATATTGTAGTAGGCTGTAATTATGTACATTGTTAAGGCTGTACTTTATTTAAAATAATGTTGTAAACGTTAAAATTTTATTTGACTTGTAAAAACTAACAATATTGTTGTAGATAGAATGGAGTACGAGTACTGGGAGGACGACTACGGGCAGTGCCCATCGAACCAGTCCTTCGACGAGGAGGACGAGGAAGTCAGCTCCACCCAACTGCTTCTGAAGCAGATGATGCCACGCGAAGAGACCTACCAGCATCAGATCATCAAGAACCACAACCAACAACGCCTGCGGTACATGCGAATGTCCCGGTAAGTGAGCAAAGTTTTGTTCGAGACCCTCGAGCGCTCTTTTAAACCCCTGATCCGTTTCGAAGAGTCGTTTTGTAAATCAACCTCACATCAAATGGGCTTGTGACCTTCCAATGGTCAAATAATAAATTAACTTTACTTTCCGATTGCTTTTTGTTTTTTACAGTTCGAAATAGTTTCCGAGTTAGAGTTTATGTTGTTTTAGATAGTTGCTTGTCATTGTGTCGGCAGTGTTTTTCTCTTTCTCAACATTTCTCACATTCCTGGTAAATAGGCGTTTTTAAAAGCATTTTAATTTGTTTTAAAAGTTGAATTCGAGTGGTTTAGACATAGTTAAGGCTGACTAATCGTGTTGTTGTTTATTCTTTCGGTGATTAACAGGATAAAAACTTTATTTTTCGATTTGCCCTCGGGGAATGTTCACCAAATTTCGATTTTTTTGAAAAGTAAAGTCAGTTTCACTATTATTGTAAATCTTTTTGTTGTTATGACATACGGTCAAAGTACAACGCGGATGTTTACATATTTCAGTAGTTATGTCGCAAAGAAAATAAAAAATTAAAATCTGCAAATATTAGCACTAATAGGTGGTGCTACTAACTTTCTGACCTATTTTTATTATTTTGGGCGCTTTTAGTAATTTTTAGATTTAATTTTTGTTATAGTACATTTAAAATGACATTTCAATGTCTTTTACTTCTAAATTTTAATATTGTGAACGAAAGCACTTTATTTACAATTGACAGTAGTATAATATATAAACTATGAAATTATCTAACGTCGGCGGTACCTTATTGTCGCAAACGTGTGTTTTTGCCTGAGGGAATGAAAGCGGAAAGGCATTTGGTATTATCAGTAGAGGCATGAATTTAATCTTCCTCCACTTTTATTCCTAATTAATTGTAATCGAACACACCTATTTTAAGTGTCATAATCTCGGAATTCCGATGATAATGTCATCTTTCGAAGATCATCTGTCTATTTTTAGGGCAGTCAAGTTTAAAGTTTAAATTTGCATGTCAATGATAATATCTGGAAGATACTATAAGGTTATTCCATGATGTTGTAGTAATATTTTAGAGTGATGTTGTTGTCTTCTGATGTTATGCTAGTTACTATGTTTACTGCTCTATTTAAGTAGCCTGTTGATGCGATAGTCATATTTGACGCCAATTTCAATCATTCCTTCAAAGATATGCACCTTAATGATAAACTCTTGCAGAATGACTGCGCCGCCTTCGTATTACATTAAAGAGAAGGCCGTCGTATCTACAAGTGAAGCAACATGTGCAGTATGTGGAGATAGACCGGCAAAAGCACATTATGGAGTGTTAGCATGTTATGGTAGGTTACAAAACATTCAGGAGAATCGTATTTTACATATTCAAGTAAAATTGTTTTAAACTTATTTTCGGTGGGTTTCTTTATGTTTATATCAATTCTTTTCGCTATTATAATATTAATATTTCAACCAAAATGTTGATTATTCTGTAAATTTAGAGAAATACTTTGTTTGTCTACCTTAATGTCTTTTTGATGTAATAAAAGTATTATCGATATCAAACATACCATGACGTCATACGATCACTTCCAGGATGCAAAGGTTTCTTTCGACGAACGTTGACCGGAAAGTACCGTTATGTATGTCGTTTCGGCAACAATTGCGTGGTCGATAAAGGTAATGACCAAGATAACACCACCTTATTTAAGGACTTACTGTAGTCTTACCTCATTCTTAATATATGCATTAACCGTTTGTTTACAGTACAACGAAATAGTTGTCGGTACTGTAGGTTTCAACGATGTCTCGAAGTGGGTATGGACCCTCAGGCCGTCCGACCGGACCGTGATTTGACCGGTAAACAGAAGGTACCACGGACAAGGAAACGGCAGATGGACGAAGAGTTGATCAATCACATGGTAAGTAATCGTATGTCACGGAAACATTCTTGTTTTTCATGGAGTTTGGTCAGAATTCGAAAAAAGTACAAGTTCTTTATCTTTTGGACAAATATTATTGGAAATACAGATGAAAGTATGCAATATTATTACTGTTTACAGTAGTAAAAACATTTAGTAATGTATGACAAACATTGTTACATAATATTGTGGCTGTTATTTCACAGTACGTACTATTAAATACAACAATAGCATTCCTCAATATACAGTACGACTATTTCAGATGCGACTACAAGGAGACGACTGGTCGAGGAAGATACCGGTCGAAGCCAAGGTCTTGTTGATGCAGTTGTTGAACATCGAGTCCAACGTGGTCAAAGGCGACGTCTTATCACCGAACAATGTCAATTACAACGAAAAACTGAACCTGAGCAGTGTTAGCCTGAGGGAATTGTTCGAAAAGAAGCCGGCTTGCAACACGCGGCGGACGGAGGTAAGAATCATATTACGTGGAAAGTGCAACAAGGTGATAACATAATAAGCTACGGATAGCTGCTGATAATGGGTTTTGTTACACTGGGTTCAAGAGACTGTTAGCGCTGGAATGCGGACTAAAGATTACGTTTACAGCTTTAACTTAGTGTCTTAAGTTTTGTTATTATAGGTTTTTTTTAGAATTACAATGATTTTTTGAATAATTTAACTTAAAAAACCGATATTTAACTTTAAAAGTCTACTTGTACTTTTATGGCTTTCTGAACGTATAAACTATCATTTAACGTCATGTCTGATGAGTTTTTACCACATACGATCGTATAACAAGGAAACACGAATGATCCCTTTTCACCATCCCATATATCTCTCTAACATACCACAAAACTCATCCAAAACATAACGAAAGCAATGTAAATTGTAAACCATCAAATGCCTAATGTTGTTTTAGATGTGTTATGAGCCCTATCGGATGGCGAGAGCTGACGAGCTACCTATGATCGCTCATCGTGGAGCGATCGCCGCAGTCGACTGGATCGAATCCCTGGTGGAGATGACGGAATTCATAGACACCGAGGACAAGATCGCCTTGGTCAAGTCGTGTTATGCTCCATTAACCATCTTCAACTTCTCAGCACGAACGGCACAGAACACTGAGAACCCTGACATACTGTGCTTGTGCTTCTACTCGTACGTGCCGAGGAAACTGCCTTCTGAATTCAATGCTAACAAGTAAGAATGACACAAAAATAGGATTTGAAAAAATGAAAAAAAGATCAAAATTTGACAAAATGATGAACATATAGGTCTAATTACATAAATGTAAAGAAAACATGTTTTAATTAAATTTAAAACATTAAAAAAATGAAAATTAACGATAAATGAGCAACATTTCAGTCACTTATCAAACAACCTCGTCGATAGGACGTTAAACGAGTTGGTGGGGCCCCTGAGGAAGCTGAAGCTACGAGAAGAAGAAGTTATTCCCCTTAAGGCAATTATATGCCTAAATCCAAGTAAGTGGATTTTACAGAGTAAAAAAATGGCAAATTTATGCAACATATAATATACAAAAAGCCATAATTTGTTACTTTTTATAAGTTTTCTTGTTTTAAGATGCCAAAGGATTGTCACCAGAAGCTCAACATCATGTAGCCGAGCTTCGTGACAAAATTCAAGACATGTTATTCCAAGTAGTCAAAGAATTACATCCGGTTTACAATGCTTCATCTCGGTTTGGCAATCTTCTGCTTCTACTGCCAACTATAACCGTAAGCTGCCTTATATTACACTAGATCTTGGTTCAATGAAGTATATTTTTTGAGGTTTTTGTTTCTATGACTTCTGTATGACTTTTTTACTGAACGTTAATACTATTTTAACCGTCAAGATATAATAAACAAGGAATATTATGTTTTATATTCAGACACTGTCAGCGATCATGTGCGAGAACATGCAGTTCTGTCAGACCATCTTCGGTAATCGACCGCCCAGTGAATCCCTCCTCAACGAGTTGTTCCAAGACTCCAGAAACGACGAACCTCTAATCACCTCCACTCAAACCTCATCTTCTCCTTTATTCGAAAACCCGGCTGATATTAGTTTACAGGTAATTATGGCATTGCCGTGAGGTCTTTATTTATATCTTAAGATATCGCTGATAGACACTATGATTTGAAACAGTTTATAATGTAATTTACAAGGCACCGTTACAAACTGTTATTCGAAAAGTATGTAAATTAGCCTTTTCTGGGTGAAAATTAGTCTTTGTTTAATGATTTCTACTTAATTTGTGACCATTACTCCAAAATATTTAAAAATAGCATACCAAACATATAAATCATACTTAACATAGTTACTTCCACCCTTAATGTCATGATTACGTATCAATTAGTAATAGCAACTCCGGAAGATGTTAATCATCATTTGATGCATTACTTGTTGTAGGCCCTAGATACGTTTACAAAAGTAGTCAATCATCACATGTCCAAGTCAGATGGCAGTACTCAGACCGAGTCCAGCGATGACTGTAGCTCACCGTTGACGAGTTGGTCCAGTCGATCCATGACAGCCGACTTCTCACCATCTGAACATGTAAGTGGATATTACAGTAGTCAAACGTGATATTATGATGACATAAATGTGCTGATATAAATCACATTATTGTACCTACTTTCAGGCTCAAATAGACCACATGGACATCACCTCGTTCGGCCTTCTAGAAGATGATCTCACGGACTCCTTCCCTTCAGACGCCGTCAACCTCTTCACATCGACCGGTTGCTCTGAGCTGTTTGGTCTGACACAATAGATAGATATACAGTGATAACGTGATATATTATCAGTGATATTCGTACTTGTTATTTGTACTTAATGTGTCTGCTTAGTTATATTTCCCTAGAGATATATTGTCCGAGATGTAGTCCTTCATGGTAGAAGTATTGAGTAGTAAGTTGTATATTCTATGAGCCTTATCAACCATCATGACATGTTTTACCTTGTGATATTAACCGTACTTCACTTATTTTCAGATTTTTATCAAAATTTTTATATTTAACAGGTTGGGCATGGCAAAAAATGGCATGATTTATGTTGGGCAGGGTATTTGGCTGTCACTTTACATTTCTATATGTCATTGTTACGCTTTCAATGCCATTTTTTACATTTTGACGAACACATGACCTTTTTACATTTAAAATTGCCCTTTTAACATACGTCACTGTTAAACAAAATGACATTATTGTATGCCCGACCTGTCCAACGTACAAACTCGACCTTGTTGTTACCCTCCGCTACTTATTTAAACGTTATCACCGACTCTTACTGCCAATAATTGTTTTATGGCCGGGGTTCTCCTCTTCCTTTCTTTTCGAATAAATTTTTTGCTGAACAAGGAGGGCAGGGGGGGGCTTTTAAGCCTGGTCACAAAAGGAAGAGAAACGAGTGGTGTTCCTCTCACCCGCAGCCCCATCTGATATCGATTCTGACGGATAAGACGACGGCCTCGATCGCCGCCCTTAATACGAGATTATTCTGGTAGCTCGGCTTTCGTATACGCATCGTATGTTGAGTTTGTTGTGAGTTGTGTCACTTCAGCGTGATGACGGCTACGGAACAGAAACCGTATTTCAATTTGCTCGAAGAGAAGCCCAAAGTGAGTCATGCTGGGTGTAATAACAGGCGTATTTATTTGAGTTTAAACATTGCTTTAGGTTGTATTGTAGATAGCTGAGTACTTGATCTTGAGATTGACTGCTTTTGATGGAATTTACAATTAATTCTTAGGTTTAAAAACTCTTGTAATAATTTTTTAATAAATATCTTTGCAAATATTGAAAGAATGACTCATAAAAACAAGCTATTAATAAGTAATAGAGACAACATTGTTTTGCAAAGAGTAATATTGCCTCAAGGTATTAGTAATGAACATGAAAATTTATAAAATTATGTTCAAAGTTTCAGCAACAAGTTTATATTGTTTTAGCTGGTGTTATCGCACGACCTTGGAGCGGGAGCTAATTGTTTGAAGTGTGATTGTCCTGGACTAGATTTACATTTTTGGAGGTAACTTGTTGTATCTTCCACTATTAAAGCCCTGTGAACTTTGAATCTCATTAAAAACGAACGTTGTAAACCCTCAAAGTGCAATATAATTGTTTATTGCTTGTTTATGACCCTTTCCTGTAAAAACATTGGTTTTTTACAGAAAACGTTGTAAAATCTGTACATGTCGAGCAGACGACCATGACATTAAACTACCATCCGACCATGATTACTGTAACCTCATCAAACAAAACATAAACCCAGGCAAAATTCAAATTGAAGAAGAGAAATTCAACTCGGTTAATGGCAGAGTAAAGGAAGGGAAGGGCAAAGTGGATTGTAAATTAGATTCTACCATCGAGGAGAAGATACGACTACTGAAGGAGAAGTTGGAGTGGTTACCATCAGAAGACGTGGCTATCACAGAAAAGTATCTGAGTGCTTTGGATGAGAAAGATCGACCGGTAAAAGGAACAGAAGGAGGTCAGAAGAGACGGCAGAGACTGCAATATCAGGTAAAGATTCTATTCAAGTATAGCCTAGTACTTTACTAGCGGAGTTAGTAAGAAAGTTAGATTTCAAGAAAATGTGTTATAAAATGTCACATAACATTCTTATCACCTGAGTATTTTAGCTGCCAGTATACGATTGTTTCCCAGACAGTGCCGTCTCCGTAGAAACTCCAGAAGTCCGCAATGAGTTGGCCAAGTTTGTCAAAAAGGCACAAGATGTAAGTTTACCGCGTTGTGATAACCTAGATAGTTTACAGAAGCTGTCACAATACTATAAAGTGGTAACTGATAATATTATAATAATCGCTTTGACTTTAGAATGTGGCTATGGGTCAAGTGGTACACTCAGATACAGTAAACTTGCAACAAAAAGGATACTGTGGTCAGATCACTACTACTCCTCATGGCAAAGTAACCACTTGTTATCACTGTAACCAATTCGTACAACCCGACTCGGTTGGTGTTCTACCATCTAACAAAAGCGCTAAGGTTACTGTAAGTTTGTTTTTCAAAACTTCACCTTATGGCTTAAAAAAACTAAAATAGTAAGGTCACAGAAGTCGCTATAAATTAATATAAAGTTACGAAGATAGTGATATACAGTAATGTCATAAAATTTAACCCAACTACTGTAACTTGCAGGATATCTGGCATCCAGGATGCTTCAAATGTGAAGATTGTAACGATTTGTTGGCTGATTTGCTATACTTCCACAAAGATGGCAAGTATTTATGTGGACGGCATTACTGCGAGAAAACATACGATCGATGTGCCGGATGTGATGAGGCAAGTACTATACACAACCTATGAATATTGAGTATGATTGCTGTTACTAGTACAATATAGCAATGATAATATTTAAAATTTAGTTGATCCTGGACAAACAGTACACCCGTGCCGAGGAACGATCATGGCACGTTAAGCACTTCAGTTGTTTCGGCTGTGATAAAAGCTTTATCAATGAAGACTATGTGAACAAAGACGACATGTTCTACTGTTTACAGTGTTATTTGGTCAAGTTTGCCAAAGTAAATTTGTATTTTATGGCAGAAAATTAGCATATTTGTTGATTTCAAGTCTTATATTTTTACATACTTATTTGTAATACTGTTTATGTTGTAGTAAAAATCTGTGTTGACCTCTACCTAATATGTCATGCTTTTAGACCTGTTTTGGATGTGGCCACAAGATAGCAGCGACAGAGACCTTCATCGTACACAAAGACTTCTATTGGCACAAAAGTCCAAAATGCTTCAGGTAAACAACTGTTTTACTACAGGATTCTAGGAAAATTGTACCATAATGCCTTACAATAATATACAAATTAGAGTGTAACCTTATCACTTATTCCCTACCTCAAACGTAAACATAACGCAGCTAATATTAATCATGATTTCAAATATTTTCATAAACATTAACTGCCTTTCGAAGAATTTAAATTCCCATGATTGAATTCGCGCCATGTGTTTAACGAGCCATATTGCAGATGTCGGAAGTGCGCGAAATACCTGGAGACCAGATTCCTGTTCAAGAACAACAACATCTACTGCTCGGATGTGTGTAAACGAGAGTTCGAAAGCATCCTCTAAACAAAGCCGGTCGATTTAAATTTCTATAAACGAAAACCCGTTAATTTGTGTCATCAGTCACTTGATTTTGCACACCTGCGGTTTTTTCCTTTACCCCCACCCCTCCGCCCAATCCGAACTCGCTCGCTAGCCGGCTTTCGTCCGAGTTTGTTGCGAAACAGCTGTAAAGTTAAGACTTTAATGAAAAGTCGCGCGGATTAATGGCCTTTCTGTCTCGAGCAATTTGAATTTGGCCGATTAGCATAGTCTATATTGTCCATCAGTTATTCGAAGACGGAAGGCGTCTCGGGGTCAGCGGACTTGTTGCATAATGTTTAGCTGGCTACAAACAGAGCCGCGCCAACAAGGTCGATGGATTACATTATAATCGAACGGGTATTACAAAGGGTAATTGGCACGCGATGTTTACACTGCTAATGAGCTCTTTCTTGTAGCAGCATGGATTTTGTTGTAGCAAAGTTAGGTGGTTTTTTACATATTTTCTTTTAGATATCTTATAGCAATAATATTGCAACTATAGTTCGTTTACTATAGATTGACTTAACCTTGCATTTCATAAGTTAGTCATACTTCAAAATCTTTTCCAAACGTTTTCGTTATCCACTTTACTATGTTTAAACTTTTTACAGTACTCCCTGAACTTCAAAACCTTTACAAAATCATATTCTATGTTAATCTTTGATGCCATGACATCCCCAGCCATTTCAAGCCGATTACTTTGAAATAAATTAAGTTATAGGTTATAGTAACCCGATTACAATAAACCGCTTGACTGAATCTGCTGTTCTTTCTATCGTTCGGATGTTCTTCAGCGTTCTAATCACATTAACAGTTGGAGCGTGCAATTGTCGTGATACGACTAAACATACGACCATTTCAAAATGACCCATTTTTGCATGTTTGACATACTGTAGTTCTAAATACTAGTACTTTTTAGGTATACCATAAGTCTCATGTTGTTTATGTAAATTACATGTCAGATCAGTCGTTTCAAGTATAAGCCTCATTAGTCGTGTCAGGTATACTATAAGTCCTAAGCGGCACTTGAAAGGCGTTTTCTTGAAATCGATCCTATACGGTTGTTATGGCACGCAATCTCAGGCCAAATTTATGAGGTCGCCGCTTCCGACCCAAGGTTTGATGTCAGCGCACTTGATGAGACGGCCTGGCCAAACTTTCATGCCTTTCCTTAATTTCGGTATTCATTTCCGCTACTTATCGCATTCTGTCTATTATTTTGTTACTACAGCTAGATTATGGAGATATTAACACCAAGTCAATACAAATGACAATCTTTTTTCGAAATCTGAAAACTGTAACTTTTTACAGTAATCCGTAATACTATTATATTAGAAATATCATTTGTATCCCTTACAATTGTTAGTATCGCAATGTCAAATCTCTCCATAACCACATAAAGATAGTTGTATACCCTCCCAGGCGATTACCGTACCGTAAACCTGTCGATTGCCCAACCCGTGACCTCAGATATCCACTTGGCATAAACAAGTGGGTGGGATGAGGTTATTAGCCGTTGTTTATTAATATTTTCTCAGTAAATGGATCCCCGATTGTTGCTCTCGTTAATTAAGTGCTCGGGAATGGGATTAATGGCGCGATTTGCATATTATTTCAACCATTTATAATAGTGGGGAGGGTATCGCTATTTTGAAGTTTTGAGGGGTGTTATCTTGTGGATGTTGCGTATTTTAGGTTTTTGTCGATTGATATTTTATATTTTACGTTTTATTTAATTATCGTATGTTGTCAAAAGCATAGGTTACATACTTGAAGGTTTACACCTTCAAATTTCTACTTTTATCATAACATATTGATTATCTTTAGTATTATAAAACTATAATTTTCAATATTAATCTACGTAGACCTCTGTATATTACTTTTAATCAAGCTTCTACAATCCGTTACCTTACCCTTTTTACCCTATGTTAAGGCCGGAATTGGGACTGCCTCCGTAAAAAGAAAAGATTGTACAAGATGCTAAAGGCGCGTACGCTCGACGGTCCCGAAAAGGCTTTTGCCGAGAATAACGGCCAGAGGAAATCTTTCGGGACATAGAGAATGGACGAGTCTCTTTGAGGGTCGTTTTTCTTTAAAATAATGTAGTTTATACTTTGTCTATCTGCTTTTATTTAGTTTTATATAATTATATAAAGGTAACTTAACCTTAATAAGTATTTACCCCTAATACCTATATTGTTATAGCCCACAAGCAATGGATTCTGGAGACCTGATAAGCTGTGAGATCTGCCTAGAAGCCTTCGATTCAGAATGCCGACCTCCGAAGATCATTCCATGCGGCCACAATTTCTGTGAAAACTGTCTCTTCTCGTTGTGTTTGCATAGTGAGGTAGGTGATGTAACAAATAGTATAATCTGTTCAGTATTATCTCCTCGACACCATCAAGTGTCCCAAGTGTCGCAAATTGTGTGATTCCAAGCTGGCCATGAATGCCCCGACCAATTATGACCTTTGCAGTAAGTAAACAGAATAATCCGTATGTTACACGTACCTATATCAACATGTGTTTAATGATTATTGTAAAACAAAAAAAAACAATTCTGTAATCTATGTTTGTGCATAATAAATGACATTATTAAGTGAACTATACTAACTCACAACTGCTAATTTCAGAAATGTTGGAAAACTTCAAGTACAGTCAAAATGTTACAGTAATACACGTTCCAGACAGCTCAGGCGGGAATGCGGTAAAGAATAAAAAGCCAAAGATCAGACGATGTAACAACTCCAAGGTAAAGTTATCAGAAGCCTGTTTCGACTGTAGAAGGAACATAAACATGTACGAGCGATGTGTCATCTGCAGATTCTGTAGGGATTGCCACCAGACAGCTAAGACATTGGTAAGCACGTTATTAGAATATCAACAAAAACATAACCGAAGAATATAAACAATAATCAAACTTTGTTACACAAGTACATAACATTAAATATTCAGAGATTGGTATGCTTGGAATGCTGTGTTAACAACCACAACGGCCACAATCTTGTGACCATCGAACAACTTGTAAGTAATCATCAAGCCACAGTAAGACAAGGCCAGCTACTTCGACGACATCTAGAATGTCTAAACAAAGACTTTAAACAACGTTCAGCTATGACTACAGAAGTAAAGGCACAGATTCCACAGGTCGAGATACTACGAGAGGTAAGAGTGAGATAGTCAATACTAAATTGTTAAAAAAAATCTCGCTAAAGGCATTAAAATAAGACAACCATTAATGAAAATGACATATTAACATTTACAGAGTATGAAGACTCAAGTGAACACCATGATAAAGAAGAACTTGACCAGATTAGAGAGCGAATATCCCTTATCACCAGCAGAACTCACAGCCATCCAACAATCACAACTAGATTCCATCATCAAGCTACAGAAAATGGCCAATATCTTTGATGTAAGTCTTTGAATACCTAAAACAATATAACACTCAGGTATTGTGCGCCTTATTCTAATAAATACAACTGTTATAAATATACTATAAGTGTAAAACAACTGTTGTGTTTGATCATAATTTATAAGTTTAGAAGCTAAATGTCTCTCTCGAACCAGAATCCATAAAATTGAACTTCGAACAGAAGCTGGTCCTTTCGTCTATGGACCTCATGATAGAGCTTCTGAAAACGGAAGACCTCAACGACCTTCGACAACATATGATTCTTCTACATTCTGATAACATTCAGAAAGAAACCAAGCTTGAGATTCTACAGTATTGCATTACAGTAATAATCAAGCTACTGAACAGTAACATGACTTCAGAAGTCTTCATTTTAGTAGAAGACCTGTTATTCAAGAGTTTCGTGTTTATCAACAAGCTATTCCCGCGGGGCATGGTCGACGACAAAAACAGGATTGAAACTTGGAATCTGGCCAAAAGTGGGTTCGGCCAGATAATGCAGCTTTCGAATTTGGTAGGTTTTACAAAGAATACCTTACCCTTCAGTTAAAAATCAAGTTAGAGAGTCTTCCATGCTCTACGACCTTTTACAGCACCATAATACCCAAAATCATCTAATATAAATCTCAAAAAAAACGTACCTACCCATTTTATCGGTCAATTTCAGAGGTGGACCAGTTATGAAGAATGGAGGGTAGACTTTGTATCAGATCTGTCATTCCTCTGCCAGTTGTACGCTGATGCATGCGATTGGGGCACTATAACATTGTGTACCATCGAGACGGTCAGGTCAAGAAGTGTTCTAAACTCATGTAAATCAGACAGAGCTCTTATCAACAAAGTCAAAGTAAGTCAATCATTAAACTTTAAACGAACATACAACTGATCATTACCACTATATTGAACTTTAAAATCGAAGCTTTAAAACTTATAAAAACTATAATAACTGAAAAAAACGTACATAAACTAGACCTTGTACTAATGTTGTCCTTTCAGTTCGCCGAGGAATGCTTGTTGGAGTGCCGGAGGATACAGAAGTTGTTGAATATCTGTGTCAAAAGTAAGAGATTCGCCAACGGAGACAAATGCCGCGGCCTAAGACAATGGCTTAGCTGTCTTGGTCCAAAAGTATCGTAAACCATAACTGTAAATAACCTTCGTTAGTATTTATATTATAGTTTACAATAAAGAAGCCAGATCAAGCATTAAAGTACCCATTGGAACCGTTTTCGATATCAATTACATCGAATTTGCTATCAAATACGGAAAAAAGGGAAACGCAAAGAACAAACCGTTCATAATCAAACATTTTTGCACAGAACACACGAACAATATACATGTAAACCTTGTTTCTTACGAATCGTACGGTAAAAATAGAATATTTTCATGAAAAAAAAGCGCAGCTCGCGCATCAGCTCCTGCAGGCTGCACAACAACAAATTTGTTTTTAGCGCCAAAAAGCAACAAAAAACTGAAATTTATCGAAAAATAAACACAAAGATGGAAAAACCGATTTATTCAATAAAAATTTGTGGTATTTTACTACTTTTACCGATGAGATCATGCGGGACAACATATATTACCGGGACTACACCTATTTTGACCAGAACATCTACTTTCATAACAAGAACCGACTGGTTCTCTGCCATTGGCACATGATGGGCAACAGTACCCATTTGTAGCACATGTATAGCCAATAGGACATCCGTGTTGACAAGACCCACTCGATTGACCATAAGGACACTCACAGCAGTAGTTGGAAGATGTACATGACATCTGGTTGGAGCACGTTCCTTGTAGCGTGCAACTGGCTACGGCCGTAATTCCGGCACAAGCAACTGTAAGTTGAGTTATGTTATGGAGGTTATAGTTTATTTTGTTATGTTATAGTTATTTTAATTGTATTTTTATGGTTTGTGTCAAAAGTTGTGGGTAGTCAAGATAACTTTTTCAAAATATTATTCATTACCGACTACAAACTCATGTAGCAATCATAGAATAGTATTCTAAAGCAAGTAATGCCCTAGTTTAAAGAAGTACTTACACTTCCATTCATTGCCAGTATGAGTACAACATAGTCCATTGACACACAGCTGATCGCTACCACAGTCATTACGGTATCTACACAACTTCTGTGATGCTTCTCCATTGTAACAGTATCCTAAACACTACGTTAATACCTCATCAAGTTAACTTACCAACACCATTCCCCGGGTTTACTCCTCCGTAACTACAACAATATCCATCGTGACACACAGCGCTCGTTTGTGTTTGACTACTACATATGTTTGTGTTGCCTTGACAGTTGTAGCCGGTGTATGACATACCGTAGCCTCGACAAACACTCTCTCCGTTCGAGTTCTGAGCTACACAGCAGTAGTTGTTGACACATCGTCCCAACGTGCTTCCAGGACATTCAGAGTCACGTGAACATCGTATGTTGTAGTTGATGCTCGTACCGTACGGACATTGGTTGATGTTGTTAGTCGATATACAGCAATGCCCATTTTCACATGTAGCTACGTCATTGTAGTTGTTGGTCCTACACTGGTTCTGTGTGGTACAAGTCTGGCCATTATATCTTGACTGGGTAGATGAACATTGATATACACAACAGATGCCACTTCTACAGATTCCGTAGCTGTTTCCAGACTGGCACTGCTGGTTGTTCATGTTGTTGTTGCAAGTTCCTTGAGCTGTCTCTCCAGTTTGACATTGCTGAGAGAAGGCACAACATCTGCCAATGTTTCTATCACAATATGACATTTGCTGGACCTGTTGACACTCGTAGTCTTGGTTACAGTTTCCATTCCCAACTACCGTGCCTCCTCCAGAGCATTGTGGTTGATCTTGGCTGTACACACAACATTGGTTACTCACACATATACCTCTCAAGGTGAGGGCGTAACAGTTCTGATTGTTGAACTGACATTGAGTACCAGAAGGCCGTGAACCTGTAGGACACTGTGACTGCTGAGTGTTGGTACAACATACGTAGTTGGAGGTACATGTTCCTTGAACTCCGTTGACATAACAGTAGGAGTTGGGTTGGGTACACATACCTGAGTTCATGGTACCAGTAGGGCAAAGCCCATTGATTCTGGATTTGTGGAGACAACAGTAGCCAGAAGTACCGTCACACGGTGCCAGTTGAGGACACTGAGATTGACACCGTAAAGGAGTTGTTATACCTTGATTATTGAGGCAATCTACTGGGTTTACATTGGCACAACAAGCTCCATTGTAACATACTCCAGGGATCTGATTACCGTTGCTACTAAGGCCGCTACAGAAGACGTTGTTACCGTTACATTCAGCTATTTGGGTCGTATCTTGAGGGCATGAGTTGTAGGTTTGTCGTATTGCCAGAGGGGATAGGCATGCTACAAATGAGTATTGTAGGAAACGGTAGTGAAGTTTAATGTAAAAAAGTTGTTAAAGTATTTTTTGCGTTATTGTAGCGTGATACGATGTATAAAACCCGAGATAAACCCATATATCATATAAATCCTGAATCAACCTACGTGTACTAGAGTAATACTGATCTGGCGGTTCTCCACACAAATATGTTGTTACATTACTCGAGGCAGTAATGTAAAACGACCCTAGTAGAAGATACGACAATAGCATTGAAAGTAATAAAATAGAAAATGATCGATAATTTCGAACAATTATTTTCCGCTGTTTATTCAGATGTCAGATACGTTGAGACGAAGGTACACAAAGGCTTTCAAAACACATTAATATATACTCTCCACAATTGCAATTTCACAATTGTAGGCTAAGTTTGGCTTACATCCTATTTTTGAAGTTTTGAATATATTATACTTGACTATGGTAATCTACAGTAATAGCGGCTTTACTTCTCATAGTGTTCATGTGTATTATGTTCATTTGTATGTTAACTTTGCCTTCTTATCTTATTGTATTTTGTCTCGAAGCCAACCTTAATGAAATTCCAATTTAGATATTTTACTATGCTATGTTCTACGTACGTTTGTTCACAATTTGGTATTTAAAAACTTTTTTCACTGTAGAGTAGTGTAAGACTGTCAGAAGCAATCGCTTGTGACAACTTGCAACTAATTTAATTAAGCGCAAACTTGGTTCTTTACTCTTGAACGTAGCTCTATTTATATGTGTAATGTAATAATTTGCGTGATTGTCGCTGTTTTTACACAATAAGCGATTAAAGTTTTGTATGAAGGGGTACTGTAAGGTCTATTTATACTTTACAGTAAGGTGTGGCGTGTCTTCATGCAAAAGGAGGTTTAATGGGACCGCTTTTCTTAATTGTACCGAGCTCTTTGAATGTTAAAAACAATGATATTAATGTGGAAAATGATATATAAAGGATACTATAAAAAGCTATCACACAGTAGCTACTGTAGCTCAACAAGATCACTATACTACCCTAACATTTATTTTCTTTAACTTGTTTCAAGTGTTATACAACCCCAACCTCTCAGAAACCACCGTTCTTACAGAAGAATGCGGTCGAGTTCATAAAAAAGCACGTTAACTGATAAGGCGGATTACTGTGTCAGCTGATAAAGCTCTTAATGCTTGCTACAACAACTATTGATCCTTTTGGTTTTTTTCGCTTCACAAGTTTCACTGTAACGGGAGTATTACAACGAATTAACATTGGGAAACAGCCACCGTAAGTGAAGTCTGTGGCTAGCGAGAAAGTTACAAAACTGAGAAAGACGTTTGCAGGAAAAAACTTTCTTTACAGTCATCTGTAGTTGTGTTTTACCTTATCATTTTAATATGTATTTTGTGTTTTGAAAAACTTCTCTTCTAAAAGCCAGCACTAGGGCTAATTTGGGCTGGTATAGGCCTGTTGTTATGGCTAGTACTTTGTTTTAAGTCGGGACTAGCAGCGACATCTCTATGACCTTAGCCCGGTCTGGCATTGGCTAATATAAAAAAAAAGCTAGCAAACAATTAAGAATATTATTCATGCCTTCTATTACAGCTTTAATGCCTGAAGTTATTAGTTTAGGTATAAAAGCTGCAATATTACTTTCAACCCTCAAATGCTTGCAGAGTAATATGATGTTAGTGTTCTACTATTATACATTGCAAAGAGTAAACTCAACCTTTTTTTACTTTTTTCGAATTTAAAATCTCACGTCCCTTCGAAACATTTTAAAAAGATGAAGGTCCTCCTTCACGTTCACTCACTTCTGACAAGAGAAGGAACGTCAAGTTCACAAAACTCAACTTTTGAATTGACCTCTTCCACTTGGGGTTTACTTACGTAGGAGGTCCCTTGAGTATTCATGTTTATATTATCAATTATTTAATAGTTTCGTATCTTTACACTTTTTACTGAGTCGTGCATGTAGCATACCAAAGGGATAATCTCGAACAAAAGGTATCCAAATTTAACTTATTATACATTTTGAAATGTTTTAGTTCTTCAGTCTTTTATTAAATGTAACTTTTTTAAAATTGTAATTGTGGATAACGTTACCATGGCAAATTTAAACAGTAAAAATACATTTTACTACCTACTTATTAAAATGAAAGTAATTACTGTTTAAGTGGCCGTTTTTGCCTTTAATTTATCTTTTTTTCAATTTTCTAGCTTTATTTGGCACAATTTATTAAAAGGATGCTACATCTAGTACCTCTCCGCCCAAGACCAAGTCACTTGTCTAGGTCCTCTCTTCCCTAGACCAAGTAACTGTATATTGCGAAACTTGTATGTTTGGACTAATACCCTCGAGCAATCTTGTGTTTGATACTCATAACTTTCAAAGGTTTGTCAGTTATACTTTGTCCTCTTCAAATTTGACGAAGATTAAGCTGATTTTTGTTTTAAAACTGCTTCGAGAGCAACAATCGAGGAATGAGAGTATCAGTGCAAACATTCAAGTTTCAACACTTTGGTCTTTACCTTTTCGAACGTGTAACTTATCTTCGCTAAGCCGATAGAAATGGCCAAGACTCGTTATCTAATTTCTATTTTTGTGTTGAGATACGAACTAGACCCCACAAGTGGATATGCCCTTTGTTTTGTTGTCGTCTGCCCCTTGATTGATAACCGTTTTATCAGTTTAAATTGTAATGAAGTGTCGTTTTTTACTTCCACCTCCCGTACTCCCTTATTGTAATATGCACTTTTTGTGGAGCGATAGTAACCTGCAAAAACAAGTATCAAGTTAGTAACTATTATCAGCATAACTTAAGAAGATTAAGAGGCGGGGCGATTGAAACAAAGAGTTACTTGCAAAGTACACAAGTTCACTGTCACGGGGTCGTTGCGGCTTTAAAAACGGTTTACCGGCTCATTACATGCATTTAAATCAAGCTGTAACATTTTACAGGCATGGTAGCCGCGGCGCCAACTCAGGTTGTGGAGGAAGTGGCAGTGCCACGGACGTTGGCCGAGCCAAAGGTGGGTATACTGTAAATTCAGATTACTTTTTTTATTTTAACGTGATCTTTGTTAAATTTTATTACTTTTCCAACTGTTTTTTTTATCATTTTTAAAAGTTGTAACTAAAATAGCTAAAGTTATGTTAACATGTCATTGTCGTTCGCACATTTAAAAATTTCAGTCCAAGCGGCCGAACCTGCCGACGCTTGAAGAGCTGAAGAACGCGATTCCTCCAGAATGCTTCGAGAAGGACTGGAAGAAGTCGATGGCCTTCTTCGTCTGGGATGTCGCTGTCTTGGCTACACTGTACTCGATCGTACCTTATGTTGAACATTACGGAGGATGGACTGGTCTGTTAGTCTGGTGAGTATCGAAAAACGGCTTAACTGAATAATGTGGAAAACAAACTAATATTTTCAGTAATCAATTGAAACAGTAAAACAAGTACTATATCAAAGTAATATTTCAAAATACATTTTAGGTACTACATAATGGGAATGTTTGGCTTCTCATTGTTCGTGGTTGGCCATGACTGTGGCCATGGAACCTTCTCAGAATACACATGGCTCAATGATATTGTAGGTCATTTTGCTCATGCCCCGATCTTGGCCCCCTACTGGCCATGGCAAAAGTCCCACAGACAACATCATCAATATACGTCACACATTGATAAGGACATGGGTCATCCATGGTACACAGAAGAGGAATACATGGAGAAACACTGGGTCTTCAAGCACTTTGCCAAGTTCCCATTGTCTGGTTTGATCAGGTAATCATTACTTCTAATGTTATTGTTACCTAAATAATCAGTATCGAAACTTCAACAACAGACTATCGATTTTGGTGTCATACCTATAAACGTAATCTGCCTTTTACTAACTATGATTAATATAATACACTTTCCAGATGGACCATCATCTACCTGGCCGTAGGTATCCCAGACGGCTCCCACTACTGGCCCTACTCAAGGTTGTTCAAAACCACTCAAGACCGTATCAAATGTGCTGTCAGCACTTCAGCCTGCATCGCCTGTGCTTCGTTTGCTTTCTACCTTTGTGACTACAGTATCTACAGCTTCTTGAAGTACTATTTTGTACCAGTCATGTTCTTTGGCTTGTGGATTGTAATGGTCACTTACCTACAACACCAGGACGAAGAGATCGAAGTGTACGAACAAGACGAATGGAGCTTTGTCAGAGGTCAAACTCAGACTGTAGACAGGACATACGGTCTTTACATTGACACTTTGATGCATCACATCACTGATGGTAAGCTTAACATATAGATATCGCGCAAAGCATATAGAAGCAAAACAATAACAAACATTTGTAACATAAAACACAAAAACAAGGTATCAATGTAAAATAACATCCAAAAGCATAAAAAGATTCGCAAGATGCTTCATTTCGATATTGTTTTAGGTCATGTTGCCCATCACTTGTTCTTCACCAAGATCCCTCATTATCATCTGATGGAGGCTACTGAAGGCATCAAGAAGGTGCTGCAAAAGTACCCTGGGTTATACAAACATCAGAGCAACTTCCTTACTTTGTTAGAGTTCTTGAGGTTAGTATTTCAAGGTTATTAACAATATATAAGAAATAAGTATTAAAAAGTTTATCAGCTATCAGACACCTATATTAAGGTTTATACAGTAATCCCACACTTATTTTGAATTTTTGATAACAACCACGCAACAAAACAAGCTATTTTACGTGACACTTCAAACGAAACATGTTTTAGGCATAAAAAACGTTTTTGACCTTGTTTTCATTTTCAATTGAAGTTCATTCCTTTTCAAACATTAACCATGTCATTTTAGGTTGAATGTGAGACTGGACTACCTGTTGGGACGCGGCACTGGCATCCTCCGATACCGAGTGTCCAAGTTCTACCAAAACAAGACGAAATAGAAAGAGTTAAGTGATCTTAACTATTACTATGCATGTAACAAATGTAGAAAGCAATAAATTATTATTATCTGTAAGACAGACATAGTTTACTGCAATTTAGAAACACTTTCCGTCTGCTTTTTGTCTATCATAACACCGCATTCTTATCATAATGTGTGTTCTTTTGCTTTCAGTTTGTACTTTAAAGTCAAAAGTGCAGTCGACAAGTTGGAAATCATTAAAAGTAACTTTAAACGTTACTATAAAACAAAAACTTTATTTGAAATGGAACTTACATTACATTGTTACCTAAATTAATGAAATTTCCGTGAATTTCATGAAAAAATGTAATTATTGACAATTTTAAACCCCGGACATTGCATGACAGTCCATTTAGCTGGAACATTCTAAAATTTACATAGTGTTTGCAGCCACAGACTGTGGTACAAAATTTCAACAATTATCTGTCTAATTCGACGAAATGTTAGAACTTTATAGGAAAAGCGAAGTGTCAAATTATTATAGGCTTTTCAAATTATTTTTTTTAATGGAGAAATTCTAGAATGGAAGCTCTAGAATTTCCCTTCAATTTTGAATTCTAAATTTGCTTCAGAAGGATTGACGTAGATCTGATAATATTGTTACCGCTTTTATTTCTGTGCGAGTCTATTGTGGAAGTATCTCGATGGGGATGTTATTATTGTCTTTAAAAGTCTTTAATGAGGTCTTAATTAATGGGGATAGCATTCATGTTTTTGTTTTTTAAGTAAATTTGTTGTTTTTGCTATATTTTGTCTCGTTCTTATAGGAGGATTAATTTTGTTACCTAAAATATTGAAAATGTGAATTTATATATATGCTAGTTCTTAGTATGGATTACAAGAGTTCTTATGACATCCCCAGACTGTAAAGTTTTGTTTTATGGCGGAAAAGTAGTTATGTTTATTACCAAAAATAGAAATTTTCATTGTAATATGTTTTTTATAAAAAGTTTTAAAAGCTACGTTTGTTACCATCTATTTTTTATAACTGTTATCTAAAAAAATCTTTCTTTTTACCTAAATTAATATTGACTCAATCCGTACCGACTCTAAGGGCAGATGTCTCTTCCAAAGTACAATATGATGTGTAAAGAGAAAAGCGAAAAGTCTGAGACCTAGAGAACTACTTGGAAGATAGCCTTCGTTTTGTAATATTTTCTCTTATCTGATCTAAATTTATTAATTGAACAGTCGTTCGCAGATAACTCCCCAATTTACATTGTTTTAGGTGTTCTGAGGTTTGTAATCAAGTGCATTTACACTTCTGATAGATGTGTTAAGGGTCTACGGGGCTGAAGACGGTTTCACAATTAATAATCTCACAGTTATTAAATGCAGCAACTTGTTATCGACAACACGTTTCGTGTTAGTTTGTCTGTCTCTGGGGATCGTATAGAATGTTATAGTATATTATACCTGGCTGTAATTGTGGTGTAACAGCCTAAATTAAGGTGTATTGTTACCTAATCGGTGGTTTAATTTGTTTTGGTGTCGTTACGCCTTTTATGGCCGTTTATTGGGCCATAATTGAGGGCATCATTAGCGTGGTGTATTTAAATGCTTTATGTTAATATAGATCTATGTTAATATACAGGTATTTCGTGTGCATTAGTACACTGTTATTCGTGCACGTTGATGTACATGTATATTGACAGGTTGTGTAGATTAATATCCAATGTAATTAACGTACTTATATTAACATTCGTGACAAAGTTCATCTCGGAAAGTGTCTCGCCAGCGAAACCTTATCAATCCCAAGTTGTTCATGTTAACTTGGGCCGTTCACACGTGAAATTTCGAATTTTAATTGACATGCAAAGGCTTTAGGGCGGGAGAGTTGTGTCCCAGGGCCTCAAACGGGTGGTTCACTTCGTGCAATCTTCAAGTTTACAATGGTTGCAGCGGCGCCAAGTCAAGTCGGGGAGGATGTTCATATGGCTCCGAGTGTGCAGAAGCAGTCGGAGGTGCAAAAGGTTAGTTATTATAGTATGTCTTATATATTATTATATGTAGAATGAGAATTTTTGGAAAGGTTGCAATTAGGTACGTTATCATTGGTATGAATATTTAAACGAATTGTGGGGAAATTTTATTTTTTAAAAATTCAAAAACCGGAACAGTGAAATTCACTATCGATAAGAAAAATTGAAAAAAATTATTTACTTTTTGAAATAAAACCGTTTTAAATTTTGAAATTTAGGTATTTCTGTTTGATGTAGTAGACTCTTTTTACTGTATTTTGAAGCTTTTACATTGTGTCTGACTTTTAATTTAAAAATTTTGAATTTTAGCCTCAACCACCGAATCTGCCGACGCTAGAAGAGCTGAGGAAGGCGATTCCTCCAGAATGTTTTGAGAAGGATTGGAGAAAGTCAATGTTCTTCTTGGTCTGGGACTATGCCGTAATAGCTGGGCTATATTACGCGTTACCGTATATTGAGCAGTATGGTGGATGGCCTGGGTTATTGGTCTGGTAAGTCTATTGATTTAAGATTTTAATGTAAATGACTTATTTTTAGGTGTTATAATTGGATTTTAAGCGTTTTATTCTTATTGTGTTAAAGATTTCTTGAAAAATGATAATAATACATTATCTCTTAGTCTACATTAGCATCCACATTAACATATTATTCTACTTTCAGGTATTATGTCGTTGGAATGTTTGGTTTTTCATTGTTTGTCGTTGGTCATGACTGTGGCCATGGGACCTTCTCCGAGTACACCTGGCTGAATGACATAATAGGACATGTCGCACATGCTCCAATCTTGGCCCCATATTGGCCGTGGCAGAAGTCCCACAGACAACATCATCAATACACGTCGCATTTGGAGAAGGACAAAGGACATCCGTGGTATACTCAAGAGGAATATGTCCAAGAGCCGTGGGTAATTCAGCAGTTCTTCAAGTTTCCTTTGTCTGCATTTGTCAGGTAGGTTTATCTACTTTATATTATGTTGATTTAATGAATCTATGAATTATGTTTACTTAGTTTAGATGGAACTTTGTGTACCTGACTCTCGGTCTACCCGATGGATCTCACTACTGGCCCTACTCAAAACTCTTCAAAACTACAGAAGACCGAGTCAAATGTGCTGTCAGTACCTCACTGTGCATTGCTTCAGCTTACGTTGCCTTTGTAATCTGCGACTACAGTTTCTCGACTTATGTCAAATATTATCTGGCACCAGTACTGTTCCAAGGACTGTGGCTGGTTATGGTTACCTATCTACAACATCAAGATGAAGAGATCGAGGTATACGAAGACGCCGAATGGAGTTTTGTAAGGGGACAGACACAGACAATCGACAGAACATACGGAATGTTCATCGACACACTGATGCATCACATCACTGATGGTAAGCATGTTAACCGTTAAAGCTGGCGGCTTCTGTTGTTCTTACGTCTATTTTATTGAGAATATAGTTTACATTTGTTTTTATAACAATTTTAAAGTGGTGTGTATAACATTTAAAGTATTGTAACTTCCATTGTTAGCCGTGTTTTAAAAAGATCATTGAATTAAAGTAATTTTTTTGTAGGGCACGTTGCTCATCACCTCTTCTTCACCAAGATCCCTCATTATCATCTTATCGAGGCTACTGAAGGAATCAAAAAAGTTTTTAAGAAGTATCCAGGGCTATACAAGAAACAGAACAACTTCTTGACGTTACTCGAGTTTTTAAGGTAGGTAACATTACCAGTTACAGTAAGGTTGAGTTAAAAAAGAACGTTTTTTTGTGAAATTTGAATTTCAAAATGTAATTCCTTATCATGAATATAACTTTCAACATATCATACTATAGACAGATTACACTAGACTTTGTGGACTTTTGAATATATCTAAACACTATCTTACTCGACTAGACTAAACCACTGTTATAGATTAAACGTGAGACTGGATTACCTTCTGGGACGAGGTACTGGTGTTCTAAGATATCACGTTTCTAAGTTCTACAACAAAAACAAAACGGAATAATAACTTTGAACACTTGGCATTGCTGTTACAATTATTTATTAGATTATTAAACATTTTGAAATACATTATGGTCCTTGTTTGACGGTAATGAATATTAATCAAGCTGGGAAGAGGGAAATACGGGCTAAATTTAATTTATTGGAAGGGGTTTAAAATGTCAAGGTGAAAAGGTAATTGTTTTTAAAATGTAATACGTTAGTAATTCTCCCAGCAGTTCGGGCATATCTCCGTTTTTAATGCCGTTAATATATTTATACATTTGATATGTTATATTACTAGTTATTCAGACAGACCGTATAATTTGTTTTATGGCTGATAAGATATTAACAAGTAATAATAAAGTTATTGAGTAAACGTGACATATAGGTCTTTGTTACCGTATGGGTGTAACGAAACTGTTAAATTGGTTAACATAAGTCACAATCATGACTGCTACAGTTAAAAAACGTGTAAATCAATCTCTTTGGTTTGTAAAACTAATCAAATTAGTAGCAGAGTTGCAATTAAACAGTGTTACTACATAAGAAGAGAAGTCACAACGACATATCTGGGAAGAATCCATCAGGTGAACAAAATCACATCTGGAGAAGGACCGATAAGAGTTGAGTTAGTTACAGTGAGTGAAATATATTAAAGTATTATTAAAAAGTATATGAGAGGAGGGCATTAGTAAGGTGTTTAGCAAGCTATAAATGCAAAGGATAGACGTTTATGGTAGGAAATAAAAGGACATGGAGTGATAGATGAGACATAAGGTCATCAATACGATTACTGTGTCGACCGCCCAGGTAGCCATTTCCTTTGTACACCCCCCCCCCCCCCCCCCCAGCTAATAAAAGACAGCCGGCTGTCTCTTTGCTTAACCGTCTCCTTAATGTACGTCACAAGTGAACACAATATATTACTCGGCTTTGCATCTCTTTTACCTAACCTACCCTTATTTACAGAGATATTAGCACGAAAACAAGCGTATCAGCTGGACTCAACCATCTTATACTCAATATCAGCTGGCGGAACAATTGAAGGCGGGTCGTACAGGCAGCCGGCTGCGAGCAAAGTCCGACCAGTGGGTTTACCGCCAACAGAGTTCGCAATCACGCCATTCGCCGTCCTTTAAAAAGGACTCAACGGGTTTGTATTCCCACCGCTTTAACCTGTAACACAACATCGTCATGGTGGCCGCCGCCCCGAATCAGATCGGCGAGGAGATCACGGTGCCACGAGAGTTGGCTAAGCCTACTGTAAGCCTAATTCTGATTTGAATATTCTAATTTTTATCAATTTTACTTTTCAATTTTTTAAAATTTGAATATTTAAATTCATTTTTCTATTTTTGAACTTCAAGTATTCAAAACTCTTTTATATATTACACATCTCTATCACATGTGTCTTACTTTCAAATCTATTTTAGTCATCTAAACCCAAACTGCCAACTTTGGAAGAGATCAAGAATGCCGTGCCGGCTGAATGTTTCGAGAAGGACTGGAAGAAGTCGACCTTCTTCTTGATCTGGGACCTTGCTGTGATTGCGGGCCTGTACTACATTGTACCATACGTCGAACAGTACGGAGGATGGTTGGGTTTCTTGACCTGGTAAGTTATATTGCTTTGAGAGAGAGCACAGTATTATGTAAACAACGTAATATAAGAAGCAGCAACACTTTTAAACAAAATAATTTTCACATATTTTTATATTTTTAATTGCACGGTAAAGTTGCTTTAACTTTAAAACTTTTACAGTCACAATAATTTTTAAATTTGTACTATTATTTTATCCAATATTTATATCATCTTAGGTACTACGTCATGGGAATGTTTCTATCTTCACTGTTCGTTGTTGGTCACGATGCTGGTCATGGAACCTACTCCGAGTACATCTGGCTGAATGCCATTGCTGGCCACATCGCCCACTCTCCTATCCTCACCCCCTACTGGCCATGGCAGAAGTCCCACAGACAACATCATCAATATACATCACATCTGGAGAAGGACCGAGGCCATCCATGGGTCACAGAAGAAGAACACATGGACAGGAACTGGTTCCTCCAGAACTTTGCCAAGATCCCACTCTCTGGATTCATCAGATGGAACCCCATCTACACCGTGCTCGGTCTGCCAGACGGCTCCCACTTCTGGCCCTTCTCCAAACTCTTCAAGACGACAGAGGATCGTATCAAGTGTGTCATCAGTGTAGCCTGCTGTCTGACCTGTGCCTACGTAGCCTTCCGTCTCTGTGACTACAGTGTCTACAACTTCATCAAGTACTACTACGTACCATTGTTGTTCCAGGGTCTGTGGATCATTATGATTACCTACCTACAACATCAAGATGACGAAATCGAGGTGTACGAAGAAGACGAATGGAGCTTCGTCAGAGGTCAGACACAGACAATCGACAGAACATACGGGTTCTACATTGACACTTTGATGCACCATATCACTGATGGTAAGGAAGGTTGAACATAATGTTGTTTTTTATATTATCTTATTTATTCTTGCGTTTCTAATTCAAGTTTAATTTGTTTTGATGTCTTTCTCTGAAAAACTTTTGAAATGAAAATATTACAGGCCATGTTGCTCATCACTTGTTCTTCACCAAGATTCCTCACTATCACCTGATGGAGGCTACTGAAGCCGTGAAGAAGGTGTTCCAGAACTACCCTGGTGTATATAAGAGCCAAAACAACTTCATGACTTTGATTGACTTCTTACGGTAAGCCTTTTATTACTCAATACACATTACAATAATCTCCTCGGCAACACATATAACCTTATTCAAGTCACCTTGATATAACTTATGCTTCCAGACTGAACGTTCGCTTGGATTACTTGTTGGGCAAAGGGACCGGCGTTCTCAGGTACCGTGTTTCCAACTTCTACGCAGACAAAAAGACAGAATAGATGGACATGGATACGCGGGGCTTAATAACTATTGTAAACATACGAAAGTGCAGTAACATAAATTATATCAAACATAACATCATACTTCGAACTTTTTACAGCACCACGTTACAATGGTTTAGTATATGATAGTGAAATGTCAAACAATAGCTTATTATGTAATATTTCTTAGCTTACTATTATATTTAACATACCTAGCAGTCAGGGACGTCGTTTGGAGGAGGGGGGTAGGGGGGGGTACCCCCTTCCGTGGACGAAAAAATTTTTTTCGACCTCCCCCTCCCCCCAGAGAAAATCCGTAGCGACGTCCCTGCTAGCAGTTACTATGTAAAACTCTTAATAATACATTGACTATGTGACGAAATCCACGTGAATATCACCTTTTTTACCACGTAAATGATTTGTGATATAGTTATACACATGCGTATCACCTGGGATGCCATTTATAGATTGACACGGTCATTATCTCATAACATGATCGTTCTTTGCAAACCAAATATGGTATGACATTTGAACAATTCTAGTCTAGCTGAAAAATGGAACCATGTTTGAGAAATGACTTTAATCGCCGCTTTAAAATACAAATTGTTGATTTAAATAGTAACCTTTTAAGCTGGCATTTGTTGCAAAATTGATAAGACTTGCTTTCAACAATCAAATGATAGGCAAAACAATCTATTTGTTACAGTACACATAATGATCGGTTACCCTACCATAAAGTAATGGTATCAAAGCCCTAAACTCCAATATTAAAAACTTAAGACCCCGACCAAAAGTATTAATAAGCTTGCTCGACTCTTGACAATAGCATCAAGTTGTTTTACCGTGCTCATGGTATGTCCACTCGTCAAATAATTCCGTCTTAATCTGCTTCTTATATTATTTTAAGTGCTTTAAAAGTGTTCCGTGATTGTTTTCGTCTCCAATGAGTTGTGTCCGAGCGATGACCGTTTACTCAGTTATTCTTTACATTATCCTCTCCTATTATATCACAACACAAACACAACAAAGCTACTGGCAAGCGACATTGGGCGACATATGTCAGTTGCCGAGTTTGCCAAAAGCAGCCGGAGATCCGACGAAATATCTGGAGTGTGTGAGGCAGGACATTGTGTCCGATAGGTGGGTGTTATACTACTAATCATAGTTTTCAGTGATAGACCTTATTTAGTATAAAACAGTGTTTATACGTTACACCATAGATTCTGTTATCCAGAATTTTTAATTTTTTAATGTCATTCTGTAGAAGCGATTTGGGAGTATGGAAGTTACAAGAATGTGCAGAAGGCTTCATCTTCGTGCCATCGGCCAAAAAGTGCAAATCGGAAAAGTTTGTACAAAAACAAGAAATGATGTGCGATTCCAACAAGAACTTCGACTTTTGTCCCAAACTTCAAAATGAAGTAAGTTCTTTTCACAAACAATATTACTCCTAAAACCTAACTAACATATCTTTATATCTAAAATATTAAAATTCACCTTATATCGTTACCAAAACCTTCAATTATAGTATCATATCAAGAAGTCGACGTCAGAATCCAAAACTTGTAAATGTGAAAAAGAAGATGCTTGTGGTTGTGAGAAGACACAAGACGTACTACAACCTATCAAAGTCATCAGAAAAAGTAGAACAACACATGCCCAAACACAGTTTACACAGGCCCCGAGGTACCGTCAGATGTCAACAACTTGTAATAATAACTGTGCCAAAACTCAAGTAAGTATATTATTTGAAAAAGCAAATTTTTCAATTTTCTCAAAAATTCGTTTCCAACGTCCTTTTTATATATAAAATGTCATCAATTTTAGATGATAGTAGAGATATATAAAGACCTGACAGCTTACCCCTTTTCATCTACCCCAACTCCACCTGCTTCTGAAGCCCCTTCCTTTCAAAACACCCCTGCTTTTACCCCTCCTTTCGTGTATGAACACTCTCCTGATCCCCCAATCGGCTCTGCCAATGTTAATAACTTGAACCAAGATCAAAATGTTAGACAAGAGAACCTTCAAAATAACAATCAGCCACCCTACAACAACAGGATTCAAGATTACTACAGTCAGAGCAAATACCAAAACGATTTGAACCAAATGAATGCTCCAGAAGTTAATAAACAGCAAGTCAAAAATAGTAATATTGAGGATCAACAGCCAGTTCAGCAACCATTTCAGCAAATGCCACAGGAAAACAGACAGCAACCTCAAGGTAACACGTTTCAACAGCAACAAGGTCAACAACAGCCGCAACAAAATCAAAACGAACCATCACAACAACCGTTTCAACAGCAGCCAAACCAAATCGCATATCAGCCACAACAAAACTATCAACAACAATATCCATATCAACAAACTCAGCCTCAAGCACCGCCATATCAGCCGCAAAATCAGCAACAAAATGGGATGCAGTTACAACAAGTGCCTCCGAATCAGCAATCACACCAAACTTCATTACAGCAGCAAAAAGTGTACCAGCCATCATATCAACCAGTTCCAGCTCAACCTTTAAATCGACAGTATGAACATCAAAACCCAGTACAACAACAACAGCAGCAACCCCAACGGTTACAGAGGCCACAAGGGAATCAATATAACTGTCCATCATGTGGGCTTTATAGTAATGTTAACCACAACTCTAATGACCATCCTCAATACAACGCTATTAACAGCAATAGTGATGTTATCCCATCTCAATCAGATGGAACAGTATACAACAAAGTAAAGGAAGAACGAAGACATAATGTGATAAGAGGAAAGCATGGTGAAACCGAGTACGATATTGTTATCACACAATATAAAGGCAAACGACCATTAACAGGAGATGGCAGACAAGGTAACAATACCATCCAACAAGGTACCAGACAGCAAAGCAGTTCAGAAACGCAACATCAATATCAACAAAATCAAGGATACCAAAACGATCAGTTTCAAAATAACTACGATAGGCAAAGTTATCAACCATCAGGTAACTCAGGGCCTCCAATAAAATATAATCAGTTCAACAACGCTAACTACCTTATGGAACAACATAATACGCAAAGAAATCGACCATGCACAAGTTGTCAAAATCAAAATAGTCAAAACACACCTTCTGGATACAACAACCAACAACAGAACTATCAAAACCCATCAAACATACAGATACAAAACTACAACAATATTGGGATTCGACACAATAGTCAATCAAATAACAGACCAGATCTACAACAAGCAGCCTACCCACAAAATCATGACAACTCGTACCTGAACAATAATTACCAAGGTTCGAGTCAACAGTATTTACCACAGAACCAAAGTCCTTACTCCAACATCAATGGACAAAACCAACACCAACTTAATCCATCACAGCATGAACAACAGCCTAATCAATATCTACAACAACAAAGCTTACCTCAATATCAAGCTGCAGATCAACGCCAAAGTAATTTAAACCATCAACAACAGAATCAACAGATTCTGAACCCACCAAACAAAAATTGTCCGAACTGCAATCAAAAGTTGGCCGACAGTTACAATTCAGCCCAAAACAGCTGGAATCAGAATAATTACATGAATCTACAACAACATAGTCAAGCTGAGTACCGCTATCAAGGAAGTAACAATCAAATACAAGGTCAAAGGATGCAGGATAACTCTGTAAGATGTGTTATGACCTTCGCTTGCCTTTAACAAATAATTCTGTAAAATACTAATAATTTACTTACATTTGATGCTAATAGTAACATATTATCCTTAACAACTGTCTGTAACATCAAGTGCAATATAAACCAGGATTTTGTAGAAATTTTTTACAAATATTTTTCTCAAACCAGTTTCCCTGCGCGGAGTATTGATTGATTGAAACGAAGTGTCAAAAAGTATCGGCCGTTTTTTTTTTGAATAAACGCCTTTGGAAATACTAAAAATGTAGAGTATCGTGCTGTGAAAAGGTATTATTAGGCTGAAATGTTTTTTTAAAAATTAAATTTAGATGAAATGTCAAATGATATCGACAAAGCAACAGTATTGTCCTCGTAATGACCAGCCCATAATTCAGCCACAACCTTGTGGTTTAGGTAAGTTTTTGTCGTTTAGAGATGCAAGTCAACTTTTTGTTAATTATTCTATTAGTAACAAATAAGAAAGTATAGTAATGGTTAAGACAAAGTTTCACTTTGCTAATTAAATCTTCATTTTTTAATGTTTTAGTCGACGGTGACAGCGTGGCCAACGCCCAGTATCTGGGAATCTGTTCGTGGATGTTGGACCCGCTAGCCAAAGATCCTGAATCTAACTGTAACTTCTTGCAATGCCAGCCGGCTCCGAACAATTTGTTTTGTGGTCGATGGCAGCGAATGCCTTGTGCTCCAGCTACAGCGTTTGATGTTAATGCTCAAGTTTGTGTGTGGGATGCATGTAAGTATCATATTGGCTATTCCCTTTTGTACCATAATACATAACGTAATTTTTTAGATTATGATAGATATTTAAATAATTATAAGCTACTTTTCAGTGTCAATGCCTGGCCCTCTTCCCCCTCCAGGTACTACAACAACATCAGTACCTCAGTTTAATCCCATAAAGATATCAATTCCCTTGCCCAACATGAACCCATGTTCATGTAAAGGTGGCGTTCAGATCGGGTCGTGTAATGGTCAATTCCAATGTCCTGGACAGTCGATATGTCAAGTTGGTCAGAGTTCCAATAATCGGGTGAGTAACTTGTACTTTTATATATTTTTAGGTTTTTAGATAAAGATTAAGTATTTCTAACACATCTAACTGGTATAACAACATAATCAATCATAAAATCAAGTTTACTTTTATAGCCATGTACAGTTTGCTGTTATTACAAGTCGATGATGGAGTAACTTATTATGCAAATATTGATTCAAATAAAGTATTACAGTATGTATATCTTAATGTATGTCTCTATCTAAGCACCATCAGCTGGACAACTTGGTCCCCGTTCTCCAGGCTGACATTTACAGTCAGACTCCTTCATCCGACGTTCCGTGATCTGGTGGCCGTCCTTGTCGTTACCTACAACACAGAGACATCCCTTGGGGCGTGGATAACATCCCTCCTTCAGACCTCTGAACTTCTCCTTCAGCTCGTTGACTACGGCTTGATAATTGGCCTGAGCTTTTTCGCGAACTGGGTCACGAACGTTTTGGCTGGGGCTTTGGGAACGTTCACGTTGGGGCTCACGCTTTTGGCGGGTCTAAAAAGTGATTTTTATAGTCATGATATTGTATTAAGGAAGCGTAAAAAAGTAAATAATGGGATTAAGTTGACTTACGTTGACCTCCACCTTGCAATCTGCATCGTTATCATACAACTTGGTCTGTTCGTTGCCAGAGGCGTCCTTCTCCACACAGCGACAACCTTTGCCCGGGCGTGGGAAGCAGTTTTCTTTATTTCCACCGTACTTCTTGTTGAACTCCTCGTTCAGTTTGGCTTTGTTCTCCTTAGCTTCGGCCGAGGGTCCGGTGCATTCGTCGTGGGTGTCGTAGTTCTTGGTGACTTCTTCGCCTTGAGCATCCTTCACAGTGCATCTGCAGCCTTTGCCTGGGCGGGGGAAGCATCCCTCCCTAAGGCCGCCGAATTTCTTATTAAATTCCTCGTTTAATTTGGCCTTGTTTTCTGCTGTTTGAACTGTAAACGTATTAAAGTAACGTTGTTAGTGGGCAGAGTGATAGAGTAGGTATTAAGAGTAAATTAAGTTTTGACGCAGATGTTAATTCCGGAAGCTAGGGCGGTTACAAATTGTTTTAACTGTCAGATTTGATTTACTTTTTCGAATTTCATGTGGTTTAGGTATGATATGTGTTTTATGGTTTGGACGGGTATCACTTAATCTAACCTACTTTGTTTGTAACCTTACCATATAAACATCCTTATTCTACAATACTTCTCTATAAAGAACAAAGTAAACTCACCAACAATAGGCTTGACACAATCAGACTTTTGTTCGAACAGTTTGGTTTCTTCTACACCGTCAGCTCCCTTCATCGTGCATCGACAGCCTTCCGAGCCTGGACGAGGGAAACAGTCATCCTTCAGATTACCGTACTTTTCCTTGATGTCGAGAGCGACATCACGTTTCTAAATAAAGTAATTACTCTGTCGAAATCTAATCCCTACGTTTACTGACTTCAACGTGGTAATTTGACAAAATTATATCTAAATTTATTCTTAAAACTAAAGTAACAATTAAACATGTTTTTAGGTAATAACAATGTTACGGTGAAGAGAGTACAAAGTTTGCAAAAAAAGTTTACAATAAGGATTACTATAATGTAGATAATAATATTGGCAATGAGGATATAAGGTTTATAGATATATTATAGTAAGCATATGCCTTTTAGGGCTATTAAATGTTAGATAATGCCTCCTTTTGTTATGACAGATTACTTAATACAGGATTAAACTGAAAAGATTAGCAAAGAATACATAATATAGCCAGACTATGACCTTTATTACCATTTTGTATCACAATGAACAACATATTCTTCTTTCTTCTTGTCTTTAAATCTACTGCATTGTAAAATAAATAGACAACAAGTTACGTTTGTGAACCTCTGTTTTTACCCTTTAAAATATAGCAAAGTTGATCTTAAACCTTACAACTACTTTTCTCCCATTCAAAACAATATTAACATATTTACAATCGATATTTACTATTGTAAAACCAACAACCGTTCAATCTTACCTGTAAAGCGCAGACGCTCACCAAGAAGGTCAGCAGAATGACCCGGATCATGTTGTGATCTGTAACGACGAGAACACTGACTAAACGCGCTTTATTCGAACCCGACGACCCGCCCCGAGCGTTGTTTTATGTGTTTATTTCGAGGCAGTTGTTTATAGGCCAAAACACTTAGGTCTAAGCATGAGTCAGCTCGGGTCTGACTCTTAAAGATCCATCAATTTGAAGACGCTACCAAAACAACCTGATTCACAAAAGTGTGTCATTCTGCGTCAAAACGCGTTCAAAGACTAAGTGATAAAATAATATAACAGAGATTTTACAGTATGATCAATTATAATCTTTATGATTGACTAAAATTTTAGAATATCAGAGCTTATCATCCTTTATATCAGTAAAATTCAAAAAATATAAGACATTGTGATCAAACTTTCAATAAAACCGCAATACCTACAATAAAAAAAAAATATACCCCAAAACCAATATTACCTAAAAAATGAAAATCTTCCATCAAAACATAAAACTATAATAAAAGATAAATACCCCGCCAAAGTGAACGTTAACTTTGTCAAAAACAAACGAAGTAAATAACGGTTTATTATACAGTTTGATTGACAGGAAGGTTAAACGACGAGTTGAGGAACTTGGCTATTAGTGTGTAAAGAACGTACAGAAAGCATTGGATGAAGAAGACGGACACGGAGAAGACGGTGACCAGCAGTACCAGTAGGACGATGTGACAACATGGGTGGGTTTTGGTGGTTGTGTGTAGAAGTCGTGTCTGCAAACAGTGTCATATACCAACATCTTAATGCTTAAACAGTGCCACCATTATAGTGTCCTAGTGAGTTTTAGGAGTATTTTAGTTAACTTTTGAACTTGTTACTACCTTTCCCGTTATTACCCTTATAAAATTTAAATTTTCGAACTTGTTATTACCTTTCCAAGTTTAACTTTTTGAATTATTTATAAGTTTAGTTTCATTTTGTTTAACAATTTGTTGAGAAATTGATATAAAACAAGTTGATAAGTGTTCTCTGTTACAAAAAGCGTTATTATTAAACTTTAAAGTTGTAATTGCATGTCTACAAGTACAAATCCACACCAAAAATACTCAAAATACATTGAACAAAGCCAAGGTTTGTTTTGGATTTAACAAACAATATACGAATAATACTTTTTACTAACTCTATATTCACTTACAAATGATTTTTGATTGTCAGTAAACAGTAAAATCACAGTAAATTAAATATTAATCTTATAAAAAGTTAAATCTTGAGAAAACTTTGATGAATATATAGTAATAAAACAGTGTAAGGTTAAATATAAAAGCAAAATATTTCATAGTATCAAAAAGAAGGAGTCATTCTCATGTATAAAATAGTGCTAAAATTGTTATTACCATCTACTTAACAGCACTAATAATACAGTAAGACTCTACAGTACCACTTACATTGTCTACCGTATAATCGTCAGTCTGAATCCGCGTCACCGTCTCTTCTGAAGCCGAAGCATCGCGCCAGTGCACTTTGCGGCCAGAATCCATTAGACAGGTGATAGGTAATTACCAGATTCTTCTAATAATCTTGTGTTCGCCGCTCTCCAAGGAGTAGTCCGTGTGTCGGCCGTGCCAATGACTGCGTAAGAGTGCCCGTTTCGCACGCTGAAAAACAAAGGGGGAAGACTTATTAGAACATATATTATTCATACTCCACAAACACTGCCCTTACCAGACGGTGCATCAGCGCGCGGCTGGGCTGGATCGGCTCCGACTCGAAGGTGCGAACATCGCCCAGGTGAGGGTGGCGAGCCAGTACGTGGGTTAAGGTCAATAGAATCACGATGACAAAACAGACGGCTCTAGAATTAAAATTTAATCACATTCCAGCTAGTTTCACAATGAAAAGTGCAAATGCTAAGTTTATACCCAAAAAAAAGTTTTAAAATTCATTAATTTATAAACTTTGGGGCTTTAACATGAATATGAAAGTGTTCTTTCCTCAAAAACACTTCTATTTCCTACCAAAACGTGTTTCTAGTAAATGAAAGTATACTTTTAGTTTTTGGAAACCATTTTTAATGCTGATAATGTCAAAAAGTAAATAAAAAATTTAAAAAAGAAAAAAATCTTCCAGGAGAAACAGTAGACCCGCTTTTTCGAAATAAAAACAAAATCATCACTTTTACATTAGAATTCTAGCTTACAACTCACAAGTTGACACAGTTAAGCTTACCTCATCGCAAAGTCAGACGTTTACTGAGGTTTGTCGCAGTCGTATCTTCTTTTGCGCGTAACAACCGGTATTATGAAGCATTCTACCGTGGCGGAGCACAATAAAAGAAGTGATCCGATTGCGCCATTTAATTGTTCGCTTTATCGCACACGTTTACAACAACACGAACGATCACAACAGCATGAGCTACAGTGAAAAGTTTTTTTCGAGATGGCACTCTTCCGATTATGGAGAGGCCTTAATGGGGTGATCAAAGTTCCACTGATAAGACGTGTTCTTATAAAACGACGGAACGCTGTGCGTTCGCGGCCTCTTCCTTCAGCAGCATGTCGGGTCTCAGCATCTTCTTCGAGGAATACAACTTCTCCAAGGCCAAGCGATGGCTGGTCGAGACCGAGCCCTTCCAGCTCAAGTGTGTTGCCGTCTACGTCGTCGCCATTTGGGCCATCAAATTCATCCAGAGCTCCCGGAAGCCATTCGACCTGAAAGTCCCTCTGATCCTGTGGAATGCTGCTTTGGCCATATTCAGTATCTTAGGTGTTGTCTACACTACCCCAACCTGGATCCGAGTTATCAGCAAGCATGGTATTTCCTGTAAGTATTATATCTTTTTTAAGTAAACAAACAAACCTCACGAGTTTGATTTTAAAAGTTCGCAAAGTTGACTGAAAGATCATGAATATAAGTCTCGTGTTAGCACAGATTATACTGTAGTTTAAGTTAAGCAAATATAGTTTTTAATCTTGATGTGAACGTGCGAATTATAAATAAAAAATTAAGCATAAAGAAGAAGTTCAAAATAAAACAAAATAGTTTAGAAAAAAATTTAAAAAACTGTTTTCAGACACCTACACCAATGTAAGTGAAATGTATACTGACAAGACCGCCGGATACTGGACCTTCTTGTGGGTAGTCTCCAAGATCCCCGAACTCGTCGACACCATCTTCATCGTACTCCGCAAAAAGCCGTTGATGTTCATGCACTGGTATCACCACGCCCTCACCGGCTACTTCGCTTTCCACACCTTTTACTCAGAGAACGTGTACATGATCTGGGTCGTCTGGCTGAACTACATCATTCACTCCGCCATGTACTCCTACTACTGTCTCCGTGCCTGTCAGATCCGTGTCCCACCTCAGGTAGCTCAGTTCATCACCTCTGCCCAGATCGTGCAATTCCTCATTACCCATGTTGTCATGATCCACACTGCCTACTTGGCCTGGGTGGTTGGAGCTAAGGTTTCGGTCACTCCCTATGGATTCTTCGTTGGAGGCTTCATGGAGTTCACTTACCTGCTTCTGTGGTTCCGCTTCTACTACGAGTCGTACTACAAGACCGGAGGCAAGAAGTACGTGCAACATCAACAGAAGGTGGAGAAGTCACAATAAGCAATCTGATTCTCATTATTTGTAAAAACAGTTGTTGTTCAATAAACGTTATTACTTCTTTCCGTCGTTTACTTTGAGAAGACTTTGTATTGTTTAATTTATCCATCTATAATACTTCCATTTTTCCACAAATAAACTGTAACAAACATGATTAAAAGAGCCTTTTTGTGGATAATATCAAATTATTGTACAAGTTTGTTTATTGTCGTTTTGTTTAGTTGTTCTGTTTATTTCCATTTTCCTGTTGAGCCAAGTTAAGTTGAAAGAGTTAATAAAATTAGTTCAAACAATAAAAAAATAAAATTGACACAAAATAAACGTTGATAAAACATTGATAAGACGCAAAAACTAATAAATAGTAGCCGCTAAACACTTATTGTTTAAGTGGTTTCAGTGTTGTAAATGAATATTTGCAAAAAAGTTCCAACCTAAAACAAAGATATAAAAATGTAAGATTGAGTAAAAATACAAATTTATATACCCTATGCTAAAAACCCCTACCAACATGTTAAAATACAAGATATTACCACAAACAACGATGCCGTGTTTACTAAAGTAATTACAAGTCGTAAACTACTAAACTTCCAGCAACCAGACGCCGTATCCACAGCTATAGTCCCCAAAATACTCAACCCTCCCAAATATTATGCGTAAACAGTTTCCTTAAGCCGGAAAGCCATCAGTCACAGTACATGCGGCCTTATTGTCTTTATATGGAGGAGTTCGCCCGCCTCCAAGCCGTTCGCTTCGCGCACCTCATCTTCTTTTATTTATTCGCTCTTCACTTCCCTGAACTCGTGTCAAGTCAACCGGTCAGCAACGCCATTATTATCCATCCATTTGACTCGCGATTCACTCTGTAGCTGTGCTTGAATGCTGCTGTAGATGACCATTCCTCTACAGCGCTTCATCCCGCTTTTGGTATTGGGACTTTGGTGCCACACCGCCTTCGGCCAAGTCCTCAACACCGGCGCTTGTTGGATTCGTCCGACCGGTTGTATTCTGAATTGTGCTAGTGGATTTTCGTGGGGCTTCGGTGGGCATTGCTTGTGCCTTTGCTACGTGAACCCGTGCACGGTAAGTAAGGATTGTAATGATCAATTTGTTTTCAGAATTACCCATGCTTGCCAGGTCAAGTTTGTGTGGTTAAAAGTGGATTCCCACAATGTATAAATGGAGGTAACCATTTTTATTTTTAGTGCTTTTTTTATTTTTTGAATTCTTTTAAAGTTCGCTTTATTGTACTTCTTTAATAATCACCGTTATGCAAATTTCAGCCGTGTCGGGCATTGAAGTGCCGCGTACCACTCCCTTGATCTCCCACCACCACCAGACCAATCTGATCGGGGAATGTCCCCTCCTCAGAGGTGGTGATTGTTCCCAGAATTGTAAAACTGATCACGATTGTCCAAATGACTTCAAATGTTGCCACAATGGCTGTGGAATGGAATGTGTACAACCAGTGGAAGTGGCCCCAGTGAAGGCGGCATTGCCCATTCTTCCGATCTCGGGCTCTTCGAGTAAGACAAACACAACATTGAAGGAATTTTAATAATTGCAGAGTCGACCAAAGTCTCCTCGAAGTGGTGTGATCACTTCGCGAAGTACGTAAATAAACTGCCAAACAAGTATTTGAATAACGGTCACGTGCCCGATTGCAATGTCAATGGAGATTTTGAAGCAGTTCAGTGTGACACAGTAGGTTTTTGAATAAATCCTTATATAAAATACTAAAAAATGTAAAAGAAACCTTTTTTTGAATCATTTGTAGCTTCCTTGTAGACCTCTGATGCTAAGATACATTTCAATTACCTAAATTTACTTAAAACAATAATAAATTGTCATTTCAGCAGTCCTGTTGGTGTGTCGACGTCTTCAGCGGCATCGAGCTTCTGGGAACAAAGCAGAACAAATATAAGCGGAACGAAATGAACTGTCAAGGTAAGGCGCTTAATGCAAATTAAGTATTCTTTCAGATAATACTCGTTGCGAACAACTTTGCGAGGATCAAAGTTGTCTTTACGGCTTAGAAACCGACTTCAGAGGATGTCCTGTAGCAGGCTGTAAATGCAAAAACATCTGTGACGGTGTTCGGTAAGAATTATTGAAACATATAAAACAAGAATTGATGTAAAAATGTATAACATCCGTTGCAAAACAGCAACATAAAAAACATTATCTGAATTTGAGGTTTTACTCATGAATGATATAAGAAAACAAACAGAAAAACATAATGAAGTTTCCACAATGTATTTATTTTACAATACAGTAATGTATATTTTAATTCATTCTTGAGGGATACCTTTTTCTCAAAAGCACGTTTTTGGATACATTAAACCTGCATCAAATCAAAATTTAAACAACCAAACCAAAAATTTTTCAGATGCCAAGATAGTGTTAGCGAGTGTCAACTTAAAGAATCTAAATGTAAAAACTGTCCTCCAGTCCCAATCTGTAAGTTTTTGTACCCTATTTAATATTCCTTACCTTTCTATTACCTAAAACAAATAAAAACTTACAGGTTTGATCAATCCGTGTCCTCACGGTCTCAGAAAGCTGGAAAAGGGAGTAACAGCCTTGTGTATTACCGACAAACATTGTGGTAAAGGCTTTTGGTGTAATCCGGTAAGGGACAAGATTTTGTTTTGTGACACTTCGTTTCATTTAGAAAATCTGTCGTTTCGACGGATTTTATAGAAGACAAAATTTTGTTTTCAAGGTTTTTTACTTTTTTTTTTATTTTTAAAGTTCAAATGTGTTCATTGTAAAAGCGTTCTTTTATAATTAAAAAAAAGTAACATTTTATTCTATTTTGGTATATTATACTAGTGTTCCGACCCATTTAAGTTGAAAGTACAAGTTTTGAAAAGTTTGTAAAATAATATAATTAAGTCACAGCTGGATGATCTTGTTTATTGTAGGTTGGTTTTGGTGGGAATGGCTTTTGTTGTTCCGATCCCGAGTCAGCGCGGAGGTCGGGCGAGTGCAAGAATGTCGGGATTCAGGAAACTCGATGCAAATCCGAATGCAAAGCAGATTCCGACTGTGCCGATGCGGAAAAGTGCTGTTTCAGCGGGTGCGGATTGAAATGCACAAGTCATTTTAATAATAATGCTGTTCAAGTGCGAACACACAAGAAACATGACAACAAATGTAAGCAATCACAATATACGAAAAACATCTTTTAGGTTTGATCATAACTTCTTTCAAAAAGCAAGATAAAAATTCTTTTTTTGTTTTTTTATTAACAAGTACAATCTCAAAAAATATTTTTACAGACCTGTTCATAAACTTGTCACAATGTCCATTACCATCAAAGGAACGATCATCTACAGTATGTTCCACTGAATGTGAGACCGACAATGATTGTAAAGGTATGAAGAGATGTTGTGTTGATGGCTGTTCAAAAAAGTGTACGTATCCGAGCAAGACGACATCTTGTCTCCACTCTGCCATAACCTCAGAACTCTTCTCTACTATAATATTGCCCGAATGCTCAATCGATGGATACTTCCAGCCAATTCAGTGTAATAGGAACTTTTGTTATTGTGTGAACAGAGTAACTGGGATAGCCGTGCCTGGTACTCTGGTACCAAAGAATAGAACTCCGAACTGTAATCGACCGAGAAGTTGTGTGAGGCAAGAGTGCGACTGTCAGTTTGGGTCAGAACTGGATGAAGATGGGTGTGAAACTTGTGAATGCATCAATCCTTGTAAGGATGTGGTGTGTCCGATTGGCAATGTGTGTATTATGGCTGATGTGGAGTGTCTGTCATCTTCTTGTCTTCAACAACCTAGGTGTAGGTCATTTTATATTGTTGTTATATTCTATAAGGGTTATTATTGACATGCTATCAATAACCATAAGGTGGATTTATTGTAGTAATTTGTTAAATTTAAATTTAGGTGTGCCAAATGTATGTTCAGGAAAGCCGGAGATATCTATAGAAGGTTTCGTAAAGTCGTGTAACAGAGAATGTTCTTCTGGCTACACCTGCAATAATGTTGGATTTCCCGGTCAAGGAGGTATATGTTGTTCAGAAAGGAATCAACCAGTCAAGAGATTTGGTAAATGTTTAAAAGAATCGGTCGATTTGTCTCCATACAGCCATTGTCATGTGGAATGTAGGTCTGACGATGAATGTAAACTAAATCAGAAGTGTTGTTTTACTGGATGTGGATTGAAGTGTCGAGAAGTCGATCAGGGTCAGATGCTGACTCCAGAAGTCTCAAAGAGTCACGTAGTACCTTCAGAGACGTCACAGAATCACGTCTTGTTTCCGGTACCATCTACAGTACGAAGCGGAGTTGTTGTGACTTCGAAACTGGCTTCTAAAGTTGGACGATGTGGGAAGCCTTCTGATTCTGCTCAGTGCAGAAGTGGACACGACGAATGTAAGGTAGATCCTGATTGTGGAGGGATTCAGAAGTGTTGTAACGATGGTTGCTACAAGAAATGTTTGTATCCAGAAGTCACTACAGCTTGTCTACATCTGCGGACGGCCTTTGAGAGACTTGGGAAGGATGACACTGTGCGGTGTAATGAAGGTAAAACTTTGAAAAATATTGTCATACTATCGAGGACCAAATACAAAACTTAAGATAAGCCTTTTGAATTTAAGCTAAAATATATTATGATAAGTTACAGATGGTTCATTCAAAACAATGAATTGTGATGAAAATGGTTGTTACTGTGTGGATTCTCATGGTCAAGAAGTTAGTGGAACTCGAGTTGAGGCTGGCACAAAGCCTACTTGTGTATCACGTATATGTCCAGCCAATGACTGTCTTAAGAGCTGTGCTCATGGTTATGTTAAGGACAAAAATGGGTGTAACACTTGTGAATGCATCGATATATGTCGGGTAAGGGTACTGTAACATTCATAACTTAATATTTCTAAAGTTAAACTACGTTAATGGAATGTGATAGCTCAGTTGCTTTACTAAGTTAATACTATAATGGCATTATTTAGGGAATAAAGTGTCCCAATGAGTTTGTATGTGTCAGTGAACCAGTTGAATGTATCGGTGATACATGTGTTGATGTACCCAAATGTGTTCCAAATGTGTGTTCTACTACTCCGGTAAAAAGTAGACAATCTGGTATGGTAGCACGATGTCATTCTGACTCTGAATGTCCTCTTCAAAGCACTTGTCGAACGTTTGGATTGTTATCCGGAGTGTGTTGTTCTGGGAAACGTAGGTTAATATTGTTACTTATTGATTTTTTATATATTTTACAGTGTTTTCTCATTGTTTTTAAAATTTTGGAATTTACGGTGTTATCATACTGAAGTTGAAGTTCTCTTTGCATATTTAAATTTAGACAATCACCAACACCCAGGAGCCTGTCCTAAGCCGTCTTCTCAGAATCCGAACTGCAAACAAGAATGCAAAGATGACGATGATTGCGGCACTTCAAAGTGCTGCTACAACGGTTGTGGCACCGAGTGTATGGCAGTAACACAAACACAGAGTCGTGGTATGTTTACAAAGGGCTCGGTCTATTATTTTAGGTCGGGAAAAGACACTCACTCTTCGGTCTGAATGTCCTACAGTACAAGATCTGGGCGTATTAGTGTGTGGCAGAGAAAGAGAGAACAAGTGTGATGGAGGTAAGGATGTCTTGCTAGGGAGATAGGTTTAAAAGCGTTGGAAAAGATATTAAAGATCTTAAAAATGGTGCAAAATGTCTTAAAAAATGGAAAAAGAATTCAAAATTTTTAAATGAATTTATGTTTCAGATGACAGTTGCTCTTCTGGATTGTCATGCTGTTTTGATGGTTGTGTTAAAAGTTGTGTGAATCTGTACAGAACAACTCAATGTCTACATCAACAAAGTGCCATACAAGCCTTAATTCAGTTTGGTAATGTACATCTGAAGCTTGTGAGTGTTATGATTTTTATCAGCAATATCAAGTACAATATGCATTTTAAGCTATTGGTTTTTACATTATACTTTAATAACTATTTTATAAAAGTTTACTGTAAATATACTGTTTTAGCCTTTATGTGAGCTGAACGGAGCTTTCTCCCAGATTCAACGGCACGGTGAGCTTCAATGGTGTGTAACATCAGATGGCAATGAACTTCCAGGTACAAGATCCAACTCCGGCTCTACTGACTGTACTAGACCTCGAATCTGTCCGACTACAGTATGCCCATTATCTTGTGATTTTGGTTACAAACTCGACCGTGATGGTTGTGAAGTGTGTGAATGTCACGATCCATGTCGCAATGTAGAATGTCCTCTACATCATGTTTGTCGCTCAGTACGATCAGAGTGTACGGACTCAGTAAAGTGTGGTTATGTACCTAAATGTATACCTAATGTGTGTCCTCGAGGTGATCCGTTGACGAAAGGAAGCGGGTCGAAGCTGTTGGAATGTAGCGACAAAGATGGCAAATGCCCTCCGGGATGGTCATGTCATCACTTTGGGTTCGAGAAGAGGAGTTACTGTTGTGCTGGCATTGGTGTGTTATCTAAAAGCGGTTTTTTGATTATTAATTAAGATATTTTTGTTTGATTATTCAAATGGCAGTGATTTTTTTAAAAATTCTATTAGTGTTTTAGGTATGTTTAATACACGGCAATGTCCGGACGTTTTCTCATCGTTCTCGAAGAGCCAGAAGACGAGGAACGTTGAATGTAAAGGAGAGTGTTCTAGCAAACGGCCGTGTTGTTTCGATGGTTATGGTGTGCGATGTCAAGAAGATACGATAGAAAATGGCAGAATTATCAACAAAAATGAAAGTATGTTACGATTTTTTACTGTAGCAAAAGCTTTTTGCTAGTATAATTAAATGAAAATTATAAATCAATGTTGTTTAGTACAATATCGCTTCAGATTATTGAAAAATAATGTTAAGATCACCTTACTTTAGGCTCTGTAACAGCATCAGTAGCCTTGTCCCAAAACCAGCTTGGCTCCTGCCCAGCCAACCGCTTCCACAATCCCGGCTGTCAGCAAGAATGCTTCAAAGACAGCGACTGTCCTGACCTCCAATTGTGTTGTGGATTTGGCTGTGGTAAAAGATGTCTCTTCCCCGATATTACCCACAACTGTGTACATCGAATGGCAGTGTTGGCTGAGGAAATTATAAAATACGCCAGTTTGGGGCCATTAGTATCTCGTATAACATTCGATGAGGACCAGTTCACAAAATGCAGTTCAAATGGTGATTTCAAGGAAATACAGTGCGATAAAAGGATACGACAGTGTTGGTGTGTGGATAAGATAACTGGCAGTGAAGTTGTGGGTACGAGGAGTCAGGTGGACGCGAGGGGAGAGCCCAATTGTCAAAGTAGGTTTATTTTATGAAAAAGTAGGTACTACTTTGTGCACTTAAACTTTTTTTTGTATTAAAAGTGACATTTAAAAGTGTATTAGTACCTTTTTACTATTTTTAGAACCACGAAAATGTTCTACAAAGTGTGACGCCGAAGACTTTGGCTGTGATCACGGTATTAGACTGGACAGTTCTGGCTGTCCCTTGAATCAGAAATGTGAATGTCAGAATCCTTGTGAACATTTTCACTGTGCCGTTCCGAATGAAATTTGTGTTCTGAAAAGGACCAAGTGTCTGAATCAAGAACAATGTGTTACACAACCAACTTGTCGACCATCCACATGTCCAGGACATCTGAATCCGATGAAAGACTCTTTGGGTATTGTGAAGAACTGTAGAAGTGAGAAAGACTGTGGCAAAAGAGGAGAGTGCAGATCCATGGCTACCACAGACGATCCAGAAGGTCATCGTGTGGGAATCTGTTGTGGAATGGAGGAGGATTCTGTAGTCATTGCTGCGAGACCAAGCTTGCAATCAGTGTCTAAAGGAGTTTGTCCACCACAAGATGTTCAGTTGAGAGAAGATAAGTGTGAACAACACTGCAATATTGACCATGATTGTGAGGGAAACAAGTTATGTTGTAGCTATGGATGTTCTTCAAGGTGTATTAGTGGGGTGGCTGCTACACGTAAGTTATTTATTGTGGCTAACTTAATATTTATATTAAATTATGTGATTTTTTAAAACATTTCTGATTGATTTTAATGGTAACTTGGCATTGACTTTTCATAGTAATTATTAGTAAATAGGTCATTTTAAGGTTGTCACAACTTGTACAACGCGATTCAGAAGCTTTTAAGTAACAACATCCGAACCACGCTATCTTCACCGTTATGCGAATCAGAATCCGGTCGTTTCATGAAGACACAATGTGATGACAAAGGCTATTGTTGGTGTGTGGACAAAGAGAATGGCATAGAATTAGTGGGTACACGACAGTTTCAGCCTTCTACAGATGCCTGTAGCGGCCCACGGAGAGATTGTATCATACAATGTAGCTTGGATGAAGTTAACAACTGTCCTATGGGGTTGGATTTGAATTCAGAAGGCTGCCCGAAGACTTCACAGTGCAAGTGTTACAATCCATGTAACCAAGTCGAATGTCCAGAATCAGAGGTTTGTATTCTGAGACAGAAAGAGTGTGACGATGATGTGTGTCTTCCAGTTCCTGTTTGTAAGTTTTGGTACTATATTGGTCGAAAAGTATTTAGAAAAAATTAAGGGTAGAAAATATTGTAAATGGCATTTTTATAAAATTTTTGACATTTGTTTGTTTTTTTTTATTTAGAAGTATGATTTGTAACCATAAAGCTATATGTTGTAGGTGAGCCGTCACCATGCAAATCGGGCTATCCCTTGAAAGACGCATCCACCAACACTCACTTTAGTTGCTTCAACAATGTATCTAAACCATGTCCCCCAAGTTATCAATGTTCAGGTCTAGATAAGCATAGCATTGGCGTTTGCTGTCCGGCTTCAGATCCGACGCTTCTGAAGGCATTTGGAGACGTTTCTTGCCTTCACGGTACACCGTTCATAGCCAGAGAACGGCCGACGGTATGCTCGTTAAAAGAGGCCAGTACGTGTCCGCTAACACATTATTGCGTATCTTCAGACGAACAACACGGAATCTGTTGTCCGACTAAACGTGAGTTAACGTGATTTGTCATTAGGGAAATAGGGTTATGGTAATATAGGTAAACAAAAACAGTCCTGATGATAAGGGTACTCGGAAAATTGTGTTTTGTACTGAAAAGTTGTATACACGGAAGTATTTTGCAAAAAAATATAAGTTATGTAATGTGCTAGTATATCATACTAAAGCCTTAAAAATCAACTCAATATACTACATATTGTGATAAAGTTAAATGTAAACCATCTTTTAAGGTTTTGTGTGTAACTTGGAGCTAGACATTGGTGGCTGTAACAACCCAACAGAACGGTACTACTTTGATTCCGACAACCAAGTGTGCAAGAAGTTTGTTTACAGTGGCTGTGATGGCAACTTGAACAACTTTGAGTCAGAAAAAGAATGTCGCGACTACTGTAGAGGACTGAGGATGGACGAAGCTCTGGATGATACTGGCATGCAATACTATCAAATTGGATTCACTTTTACTGGGCCATTGATGCGACAACGACATACCGAAGACTTCACCAACAAACTTAAAGACTACATTAGGGACACGTTTAATGTTGAGGGAGATGACATTAGGGATCTGCTGGTGCAGGATGACAATTCTGTTAGGTTCAATCTGGTGGCACAAGACGCTCAGAAGAAGGCTGATTTCATATCCAAGGCTGTAAGTTGGATCAAAAAGGGAAATATTGTTTGTATGATGAGATGGAAGTTTGGTTGATTAACATAGTGCTTTTTCTATTTGTACTAATATAATAGTATTTTGGTTTCAGATTGAGTCAGGCCAACTGTATTTCCGCTACGGCGATCAAACTTACCATGCTGAGCCTACAACGTTGTTTTCTCGACTGGTCGATTCAAATAGCTCAAGACTCAATGGTCCTTTATATTGGTGTAAGTTATATTTAGTATATTTTGGTATGTTCAAACGTTTATTTTTTAGGTATCAAGCTTTTTAAAATATTTTATATTTGTTTCTTATTTATGGATGTTATCTAGAAATTTAATTTGTTGTTTTAGTACTGTTGATATCATCCGGCATTGTGTGCCTTATCATCATTTTTACGTTATTCATGGCTTGTGTAAGTTTTAACAAAAATCATGTTTTTTACTTTTTCTAGCGTCCTAGCCCTGATTACATTTTATCTGGCTTGTAGTAGTGGTACTAGTTTTGTAGTTATTTGGTACAAGCATTAGAAAACTTAAATGTAGCTTTAGTATGTGAGTATTATACTGTTTTGCTTCTGCAGATGTTTGTGCGATCCCGATCGAAGCGTGCGAACAGTGTGATAAGAGGATTATCACCGAGCGAGTACGGCCAAATTAGTGCGTTTACTCCGCCGCCCAACGCCAGCCCGCCCTCTTCGCGGCCGACATCGGCGCTGAAAAAAACAAAAAAGACAATTTCGGTTGAAGACTTGTATGCTCTTCGGATGGCGGAAGGGCCCACCAGCTCTCGACCTCATCTTCAAGATCATCATCTTTCTTCCAACATGACCACGGGACGCAGGCCCAGTCGTACTACTTTGTATTATTGAGGTTTCTTACTATGTTATAGTAGCTTTTTAAGTATTAATTTGTCTTACTGTCGAATTTGTGGAATATAGTACTGTATGGTAGTACTATATTGTATTATTAGTATTCTTAGTACCAAAATTCTTATAATTCCAACATCCATACTCGATCTTACACTATTATTTATATATTACCACTTGATTGTCATACCACTCTTCCCATTGTCATCCCCTGAACCCAGAATTCTATTTTCGAATGTCAAACCTCTATTTGTTAATTTGGTTTGTTGTCTTGGGCCTGTGACATTAGTTCGTCTCATTTGATGTTGTCCTGAACGGGTGTTCTCTCGATTACTTGTTGCTCTTGTGTTTGTATAAATAAACCTTTTAAACAATGCTACGCCTTAGTTTCCCTAAAAGCAGTTGGTCGAATCTCGAGAGGATTTGGGTCTTTGATAGTTCAAGAATCTGTCGTTTGTCTTAAGTCCATGCCGCTAATCAAAATGTTATCAAAAGACGGAGCACATTAATCATGGTGCATGTCAGGCACTTGTGCTCCAACACCTTTTTGCACTTTTTTCGTTTTATTTCGTTGAAAAAGTCTTGTCTCACCTCTTGGGGGTGTAATCCCCAAGGCTCAGAAGCTTCATTTCTCGGCTTCAAAACCGTTCTTCTCACGTTGAAACAAATCTGACATCCTGCCCTTCTGGCGTGTTGGTTTGTACAGCGTCGAGGGGGCTACAAGGGTTTTCGTTCGAATTTTGAAGTTACCGTATTGCTTTTGAGCACTTTTTTGCCTTACATATTACTTTAGGTGTAGTAGACAAGGTGTTACGGTAAAATATTAGAAAAGGGGTTTAAAAACTGTTTATTAATTATATTGCGGTAGGTTTAGTAGTGTTATCATGTAAAAAATATCAATTCAAGTTAATCAATCCCCAAGACTTGAATATTAATCATAAATGAGTTACGACGGCCGGTGTGCAAGTTGTGATTCCCTTTGATTCGGCCAGTAAATCATCCGTTAATTGGAACATTTTATGATCCGACATGACCGAGACAAGGGATTCTTGGCCCATCTCTTGTGTTTTGCCTCAGGCTGTTTCCGAACTCGTTAAAAAGTCGGCTGTACGTATTGTTTCATGCCGGTTAATCGAGTTAGGCTTAATGAAGCAATTGTCTTCGACTGTTTTTTGATCTGGGCTACATTATAATAACATGCACTTTGTTGCATTACCCTCATATTTGTTGTTACGAGGCTATTTTAGTAGCTTTTAGGTGGTAAATCTATTAAAAGTACAAGAGTATTGGGTTGGAGACACACGACTATCTGATTGACATATGTTCGTGTTTTTGGTTGTCACAAATCAGGCCGGAGATAGGTTAAACAAGTCAACTCTTGATTGTCAAACAAATCAGGGGTCGATTTGTCAAGCCCTAACAGAGGAATTCTTGATTTTTTGACAAATCTTTTGGTTTTTTACGTGTTTTGTGGCCAAATCTTGATTTTTTAATATTGTTTTTTTAATGGTTTAGCTATGTTTTGATAATTTTTGATCTTACTCCGATGGTATAAGACGTTTTGTGCTTCATGTTCTATTTTTTGCTTTTTTTGATTGTATAAGGTGTCTTTTGATAGCTTCTGAATCTTATAGTACCTATTCTTGCTGACTCTTCACGGTACAACGAATGTTTCAATAGCTTCTAACCTTATAGTCTGTATTCCTAATGCCTCTTGATGACGCAACGTATCTCCTGGCCGTATAACGTGTTTTAAGCGGTTTATAAGATGGTTCATGAGAAAGTGCCTTGAGGCTATTTTCTTTGTCCAATTTATGGTCTTTCTCTCGATGTTTGCAACAAAGTGGATTATTCTACTCTCCTTCTTCTGCGAAAAGTATTGGCCAGATTTAGAAGCCTACAGTGACGTTATCATAGTGCACTTCTTCTCCAGGGAATCACGATTTGTGTTCGTTAGGGACGTGTTCAACCGATTTGTTTAACCGTTCCGAAAGTGTTCTTGTAGTTGGGCCTACTGTGATATGGTTGGGATAGAACTACTGTTCACACTTGTTACAGAAATACCTAATGTTTGGTCATGTTTAACCTTTTTGTGATGTTGAGTACGTTGAACGTCATAGATGTCTGCTTTATGATACTTTTCCTGGTATACGATTTCCAAGTTTGGCCCTAGATGTTGACCATTATGGCAGTCGCAATAAGGAAGATCTTTTCGCTTATTTTGGCTCTATTCATCTGATGACAACACGATGTAATTGTCGTCTTTCTGAACATCTAATTGTAGAGTTATCTCTTTATTTTCTTATAGTAAGTTTTGAAAGCTAGGCCATTTCGAACTGACATTTTGGCTGAAATTAGTTTTTTTATCATTTTAAAATTATAAATTCTGGAGGAAATGTAATCCGTCCCCCACCAGTTTCTGAATCCACTGTCTGGTTATTGAAGCCTGTTTATGGCCAGATGTTTTGAGCACGTCTTTAGATTCATTTGCTCTAAATTACATCAAAACAAATATTTTGGTTCGTTTTGATGACAACAAACCCCACATATTGTTGCGTTTACTCTTTGGAATTGTATTTTGCCAACTTTTGCAAATTTCAAATTTTAAAATATTGAATTTTAATTATTTTATTTTTGGAATTTTTAATTTTTTTTTATTTTGTTACCTAAATTTATGTTTTTTTCGAAATTTTGGATTTCAAAATTTGAAATTTGTATTTTTTAAAGGTTTTTACTTTTTGACCTTTGGTTATGTCATAACTCCAACTTTCCGAACACAAAACTGTTTCCCAAACTCTAAGTATATTATAGTAGAAGTCAGCTGGTATCCTTTGTTCCCTTGTTATCCCAAACTTAACAACATACCCCGCCCAAACCCAAAAAACCACCTTCTCCTGCCCTTCCTAATTTAACGATGGACAGTCTATACGAGTCTCTCGAGAGTTGGTACACTTTGCTTAATTCGAGGCCTTAATGTAGCTCTGAACAACTTTTGAACAGATTTGGCCGTGTTCAAATCAAATTTCCCGTTTTTGGCCGCTGTGGCCAGATTCGTCGACGCCTCCTTCTTGGGCACGGAACACCGGTGTAGGCTTCTTACCGTTTTACGGCGGGGTAGAAGTGGAATTGGTTATTCACTTCACCTTTTTCTACACAAAGCCACCTGCCCGAGGTCATTAATAAGTTGTTCATAAACCTCCCGGCTTAACTGGTTCTAGTGTTTGTTTGTTTCGGCCATTAACAACTTTCGGAAGTTATTCGAGCCCTTCGGCTCTTATGGCCGCTAAATTAACGAATGTTTGGGGGATGATACGTGTTGCACTTGAGATGTAGCTGAGTTTGGACATTAATATTGACAAATTGAGGTCATTTTGTGGGCAATTCGAGTTGGTTTAGACGAAGTGGCTATCTTCGAAAAAATTGAAGATTTTTGAAAAATTAACTGTTTCAGAGAAGTGGGCTTACTTAATTAATGACTAGTCTATGCCTCTGTTCGACAAAGTGTTTAAAATATATAGCTTTAGTTTGTTAATCAGTATCACATCATTAAGTTACTGTAATTTAGAAATTGTTAAAAGTTCGATAAGCTAACCTCTCCTTAAGGATAAACTTGCTTATTTTAGCTTTGTTTTTTATCTGATACTACCCTTTATACAGACCTCTATAACGAATATTCTAATCGCGTTATGCAAAGTTCTCAAAGTGCGTTTGGGCTGTTGTTGTGCACCAGCTTTACAGTAATTGTAAATGGAGCGGCCGTTCTGCACTGGGCGGTTAATTTGCGGTAAATAAATTCAAACTCGGTATATCTACTGTACGGTAAACGTTAAAGGTTAATATTGCACCTGAGCGCATTTGCCATTCCTTTTCTACCCGTCTGTGTCGCTCCAGTCCACACTTTAAGATGGCTAATTATTGGCGCGCGATCTTTTTTGTGCCTTAGGGCAGGATTAATTGTGGCGCTTTTACTTCCAAAGGGCCGCCAAATCTCTTGGTTTGTTTTGCTTCCGATTGATTTGTGTAGCATCTTCAGTAGCTGGCTTCATCTTCTAGTAGCCGGCTTCATCAGAAATGAATTCAGCGTTATTTAGTGTTGTCTTTTCTTCTTTGGGTGATATATACTTTTATTTGTGTTTCTTCTTGATAGATATACCTAAGCGTGTCTTTTTTGCTTACATATATCTCTATTACGCCCTTACTTTCTTGAAAATACTCAAAGTAAGCCTAAAGAACGTGTTATCAGACTAGGATTGTGTCATAAATCTGTTTTTGATGTTTAAAATGATTTTACTTACTGTTTACCTAACTTTATTTAAATTTTATGTGATTTCAGTAAGAAATGGCAGAGAATAGTTCGGGTGTAGTAGTTATGGACCCCGACTTCTGTACGTATATCAGTCCACCGTTGGCTGACATGCGAATATGGCTGGTTACCGTGTTCGGATCGATGATCTCCTTGACCAGTATTTTGGAAAACATATTCTTCTTCTTTCATTTCCTTAGGCGGTAAGTTAATATCGTTGGAATTTTCGTTATATAGTAATAATGTTATTATGAATATTTGATCTTTTTGTTATAAGGGATAATATATTTTGGAAAAATTTACAAACAAATTAATTTTTAAAATTATGTCTTATGTAAACCTGAAAACCTTATCAACGTATATATTATGTTATAGCCTATAACTTCTTAAATGTTTCAGAAAGCACCACCGCACCACCTACAACATCTACATGATGATGATAGCCTTCTTCGATGTGTTCGTCAGTCTAGCCTACATCTTTCTGATGTCAGTAGGAGTATTCGCAGAATACTACGAGTTCCCGAGTGTTATCAAAGTGTACTATTACTACATGCCTCCCATGTTGACCGTCTCTCACATTGCCATTACCACCACATCTTTCCTTATCTTGGCCGCTACAATCGAGCGGTTCTGTATCACGCTGAACACGAGCTGGTCTCCGATAGTACAAAGGAGACGACAATGGATCGTGTTCATAGCCATACTGATGGGGGTGATCAGTAAGGGCGGGATTTTCATTGAAATGAAGGTAGGTTAACATATCTGTGGATAATTGGTTTTTTATTATGTAATTTTATATTTTGGAACGTACATTACGAATAGCAGTGTTACTTACACGATTTATCCTCTCCTTACAACAACAAAATCTATTTACATTCACCTTTCTTCACCCTCCAAATCATATTATTGTAGGTCGTCATCTTCGAGGAATGCAAAGGTCAGATGACAGAGTACGGGCTAGCGATGGAGGCCTTCAGCCAGCCCAACACGCCCTACAATGATGTAAGTTTGTAAACCGACTGAACTACATTTATGTTAAGTACTTCCGATTCTATTACCGTAACTTTGTCACCATCTTCTTTCCTTTCTTTGCCCTCTTCTGGTTGAACATCCTGATTGTGCGAGCACTTCACAATCAAGAAAAGTACGAGAGTGTCTCCAACAACAACGCCCAAACCAAACGAAAAGTGAGTTCGGACTGATTAGCATAAACTCAAAACAATAACAATACCCATAATTTCTGGAAGAGGGGGGGGTGTCTTTTGAAGGCTGGGCCAGAAAAAAATTTTAATTTAACTGGCAAACCATCCATCTGAAAGATAAAAATTCGTTTTTTCTCTTAAAACTTCCTTTTAAACACCATGCCAAAACCCGCCAAAATTTAAATTTAAAAAACCGCGGGCCTTTTTAATATTTCTAATTAAGCCATATTACCCATGCATAACTTTCAAACCCATTTTAAATTAACATCTTTGATTCACAATGTCAACACTTTCAGGCTCAAGCACGAGCAGCCACCCGGACCATGGTGTTGGTGGTATGTACATATTTAATCTCCAACATTCCGAATGTCTTTATCACAACTTGGGAGCACGTAGACAAAGGCTCGTTGGTGGCCAAGGAGAAGTGAGTAAACAACCACAATTCTTAACCAAATTTGCAGATTTTACGCCATTACCATCGACATGTTGTCTATATTGACCAACATGGCGTGCGCCTTCCGGCCCATTATCTATATGTTGTGTCAGGCGCCGCTACGGAAAGAAGTGGCACAGTCGCTCAGGGAGTCGTACAAACGGTGTATCAGTACGAGGCGAAGAACGACGCCTCAGGTAAACTTTAAAATAGCTGGTTTAACTGTTTTATATAGTTCTTAATAGTGTTTTCTTATATCAAATTGTTGTTTTAGAGACCTTTAAAAGCCGTTTTATCGTTTTTTGGTCTGAAAACTGTAAACTGATAAACAAAAACACTTTCAGGCGGTAACGACGACAAAAGGGCAGTCTTGTACACTAACGTTAGCCACCAAGAACCGTGAGAACAATATAGAAAGTATGACAAAACCAGCGTTGCCGCAGGCATTGATTGCCAATCTGGATGAGAGCTCAGAAACGACACAATCAGAAGTTTCTTCCAAGTTCCTGAACAATATGAACAACGAGACCTTGCTATGACATAATAAGGGTTTCTTTGATGTAAAGCAAGTCTTTATTGTACTAGGTGTGGCAAAAAGTTTATGAAAAAGCCAAGAGGATGGCCAGTAAGGTCAATTCTGTAAACTTTTTGACCAATTAAACAACCTTCTGTTGTTAAAAAAGGCATTATTGTAAAAAGCTCTTGTAAGATAATATGAAGCTTTTGTACTTGTCTGGTCAAGAAGTACCTAGAATCGTAAACACGGTCTCTCCATCGCCCAAAATTAGATTCCACGTACTTTCCGACCTTAACTTTCAAACTTTTTCCATTTTCGACCAAACCCCTCGATGTAACCACGACTCTTATACCACGACCCACAAACCGGTAGCCCTAAAATACGATGACTAATTGTTATTATCGCATAATCACTGCTCAAATAAAGATTATTAATCTCGACTGTCAGATCAAACACCCCGCTTGTTGTGAATGACAGAACCCGCGCGACGCTTCCTTAATTAATAGAGTGCCGGAAAGAAAAGGTCACCGATCGACCGGTTGTAAACGATTCTGTCGTATCTCGTAGGATGGGAGTGGTGATCTGCTCAAAGCCACTTTGCGGTCACCGCCACCTTTTTACAGCTAATAAAATACGGCTTGTACAGCAATTTTGTTCCAATTTTGTTTTGTGTAAGGTGTGAGACAGATGGTATGGGTGGGGTGGAGTTTTTTTGTTTTAAGGGGATTTTTTAAAATGTTTTTAAAGATTGATAACTTCAAACTTTAAGAACTTTGGCAAAAAAAATATACCCCCCCCCTCCTCCCTAGCTTCAATTTTATATCATAAGTTTGCCACGCCCGCCCTTTAACCGCAAGATTAGTTTAAAAATGCATTTTAATAACGACAACCAGTTGATTTACTGCCCAAAACCTAAAAGCCTGGTAAAATTATTAAAACGCTTCGTCAGATTCTGTTTTCTGATCTGGTCGCTTGTCTATTGCATAATTCTGGTCGAAAGCGCGGTTAATTTTGCGACTCTTAAACACTTTACAACAATGCGATGGCCGTGTTTCCCTCATGAATAATGACATCGTGTAACAACATAAGTCGAATCTCGCCCGCCTTTTCGGAATCGAATTTGTATTGAGTTGGGTCAGCTTCGTATGGGGTCAGCGAGATCGGAGTGGCCACGATATTTGTTAGAGCTGTTAATAGTTTGGCCAGAACGTTGCGATTTTGGATATAAAATGGTAGTTTTGTCTTGAATACCTCTTGTTTACTTTATAATTGGACACAGTTTTATTGACATAAAGGTTATCAATAACATGGAGAGCACTCCGTCTTTAAAAACACGTCCTCTACACTAGTGATAAAGCTGTTGTTTTGCCCAAAACATGATAAGTTTGGCCAAAAACCAAAAGTTGGCCGTGGGTTGATAGTGATGATTCCTATCACTTCGTTTTGGGAGTTTTGAGTCGCTTATCAATACAACTTTCCGCTTCCCCAAGAATCGGCGTCCGGATCTGCTTTTTTGTCCTTTTTTGATTCAGCCCTTTCAGCCGTGGGCCATTAAGCAGCGATCAGGTTTCGCCCCAAAAATGCCTTGATTCGAGCGATTAACGACCTCCTCAAACACATTCCTCTTTATTAGCAAGCAGTTGCCGGAACGAGGGGGTAATCAGTGCCCATTTGACTATAACCATGGCTAGCCATACGACGGATTTAAAGTCACTAATTAATGGGCGGTCGAGTCATTACAACTACAAGAAGCTGAGATTGATTGACGCCTCAGGCTTCTTGACAACTTATCTGTGTAAAACACTTGTTAATCTGGTTTTCGGGGGACTTTGTGGCCGTTGATCTGGCAGAGTTTATTGAAATTTGGTTTGAGACTTTTGTTTTACAGAGAATGGCATCGCTCGTGGGTTCTTGATGTTGTTTTTTTATCTTTTGGGACTGTCTACAATAAGTTTGTGCATTATTTACCTATTTTTTCTGGACCACAAAGTAAACTGATACTAGTGAAATCATGCTAAGTTAATTTTATTTCCAATTCTTACAATATGTTGTCCTTTTAACTTTTACAATCATTTTGGCGCCTTCCAGCCCACTTGGAGTCTTTATCTTGCGACAACAATTAAACGGCCGTAAAATAAATAAATCACTTTTAATATGTTTCCCGCCTCTCTCATGTCGACGCATTCCAAAGTTTACTCAGTAATCGAATACTTATTCAAGATCATACGGCCATATGGCAAAATAAATATGTTATTGCATAAGATGTTGGCGATAGTAACATTTTCACCCTTGTAAATCTGTCGTTTGGGTTTGGGGTATATTAAGGTGTGGTTTTGTAATGTTTAAGGTATTGTAACTTTGCGTATTTTAGGTGTTGGGTAGTGTAATATTGAGGTTTTTATGGTTTTGTGTTTTTATATTGTGATTAGAAGCTTGAATAGAAAAAGGATTCTTGCTGTATATTATTGTGTTCATATCGTTTATGTAGTAAAATATTGAGTTTTAGTACTATATCATTATCCTTTTCATAGTAAAAGCTTTATTTTACATTTTAGTTTAAAAATCCCCTATATTTAACCCTTTTTTAGGCCCAGAAATCTGGCCACAGCGCAGTAAACATCGCGTGACTTAACTTATTTCATGTCGGTAACGTTACAGCGATATTATTACTTTCGGCCAGTACCAGTCGGGTTGCCATGCATAAGGTATAATTATACAGTAATCTCGGGCTGATCGCGTCATATTACAGGCTCATGCCACAATTAAGTGTGGCCCTTCCCGCTTCTTATTTCAGATTTGGATTACTCGCCGGAGGCCATAATCACCTGCTCATTAATGGTATCCGGTTGCCGCAAGAAGAATAGCGTGTCTTTAATTGGACTGCCTTTTTTAATAACACTTCTGGGCCTAGAATAATATTACAGCTCTCGCACTGATACTTAACGTACTGCTGGGTTTATAGGGATATTGGTCACGTTTAGGAGCTAGTCTAATATATATACATCTATAAAACAGAGCTTATATTATTAGTTAGTTGGCAAAAACTCGTAAGTGGTGTAATGTTTAAGCCAAAATTTAGTACATCAAGTGTAATATAGCTACAGAAGCTGAATAAGCGGCTTTGGCGTCACAATCTACCTGTCAATAGCCAATCTGATTACTTGTCCGAAACGTTTCTGACTTGATATGTCGATTATAATTATAGTATCTTTGAGATTTTATCTGGGAAATGCCGGTCTCAGTCACCTACATTTATGCAAATTTATGTGTGGTGTTATGATGTATATAAATTTACATTTCTATTAAACTAGGCCTGCCATTTCTTCTAAACTGGATAGTTATTTTGTAGATAGAGTGTACTAGTCATAAGTAGTATCTTCATGATTCTTAAAGTATATTCTCCTAGCCATTTTCTATTTACTTTACACACAGCCTATTATATGCAAATTTATGAGTATTTGGCCGAGATTTCCGAAAGATGGGACAATATTTAAGATGAAACAACGTTTCAATGGCCGTATTAGAGTGAAGCCGCAAAGAGTTATGGCCATAACCATCTCCTTGTAATGGTATCTCGCATCAAAAGTGCCCTCAGGGCAGGTGCGGTCCCCAATTGTTTTCGTTACCTCGGGAAGGCCCGTGTGCTGAGATTTATCTATGTCCAACAGTCAGCCGCCGCTTCCATTGATACAACACTTCCCTTGTTGGTATGTCGCCTTTCTTGTTGATATACAGCCTTTTATAGGTTCTTTTGTCGCTTTGTAAGGTGGTAAACGTTTTGACAACTGCTTTCAAGTTATGTTTTTACAACTTTGCTTTACCTCACTTAACCTTTTATATACAAAGCGGGTTTAAATAAATGAATGTAGGTTGTTTAGGTGGTGTATCTGAGCTTGACATTACTCTCAAGTTATGTTCCTTTCAAAGGTGGTTTAGAATCATTACTTTCATTTTGTTTTTGCTACAAACCTATATTATTTTAAACTTTCCAACAACTTTTTATTGTTCTTAAGGGTGTGTTCAGAGCAAAAGTGGCATTCTTTCGACGTGATATCTATAATTAAATTCACGTTACTTGTTGGCGCTCCAGTGTTCTACAATTTCTTTCAAGTGTTTTTACTTTGGTTGCGAGTTTTTGTACTTTTTACTGGTTATTGTTGTTAATTTTACCTTTTTTTCAATATTTATCAACCAATTTGTTCATATTTCTGTTTACTTTATGACCACACTACTCTAAGGTCAGTCTAATATCGTGTACAAGGCTTTAAACACATTAACTCAACTTAATGGCCGTGATTGAGTATTCGAATCGAACACGATAAAGTAATTCGATACGAGTTATTGAATAAGCATTAGATTGGTATTGCCTTTGACCCGCCCCGCGTTCCAATTGGATCGCGCATCGAGTGCGGTATAGGGAGTGTCCGAGAGTCGAGAGCAGGGTACCCATTTTAAATCTCCTTTATCGGGGTAAACCCTTCCTTTACAGGTGGAAAAACAACTTATGCAAATACTCGGGCTAATTTCGGCTGGGGCCACTTGTTTTATTAAGTACGAGTTGACTCGCCCATTAGGACTCTATCAATCTCGAGAGCGCCAACTTCCGAGTACTTGTCGTGTCGTATTTGGGGGCTTTCGAAGTTTGGCTGATTTCAAACTTTGTTTTAATTTGGCTTTTCTTTATTTGTGGACTTTGTTTTATTTTTTCAATTTTAATTACTGATATCTTGAATATCCTTGGCACAATCACCTCTGCCACTTTATGCCCTTCCAATCCCGAATCTATTCCCGATAAGTCCATCTAAGCCCGTAAATGCCACACAGATCAGCTTTTCAAATACGCTCATCCATATCCTCTTAACCTTCCTCTACCCTTATATTATTCATGCCCTTGTTATTATAATATCCCCCACTACTTTAATATATTCCTGTTTGACTCAAGTAGTCGTGTGAACTCCCAAGAGCAGATTATGCACCGGCATTCCTGTCCCTCTACTATAATATGTCCGTTTTTATTTTGAACGCGCGTCAGGTAGTTGCGCAAGGCCTGAGTTTGGCAGGGCTCAAATGACATTTACTTTGCGGTGTTTCAGAGTAAAAGAGTGCCGAAACAGTAGAGGATGAAATTATAATCCGAGTATGACTGCAACGACTCCAACATCTGGCTGGTCGTGGCTGACGTTGTTGCTGGTGATAAGTCCGCTCGGTTATGGTAAAATGATCAACGTCGATTGGTCCCCCAACAGCGATTTGTAAGTTTTTTTTAGTTTTTATTTCTATTTTTGCCTCTGATATAAACCTTTTTTCTCGAAACTTCTCCTTACAGTAGCTCCTTTCATCTTTTAAAATCTTTACAGTTTAAGTCTTTCAAAGGTATGTCTCTTGTAACCCTTCAATCATAAACATGTTTTCACATATGTTGTTATCAAGGTTTGCGTTACTGTGTGTTGGACAAACACTTTTGGTCCATCGTTGGCATGCGTAATCCCCAAAAGACGGGTTTTGTTTGGCGTTCCGATTAAGGAATGCAGAGATTGATCTGTTACGAATTAGCAACGATTTGTGCCATTTTTCGATTGAGAATAATATATCTTGGTATAAAACACAAAAAATCAGATTATTTTCGATATAAATTCCATTTTTTACATAAACCAATAGAAAGCCAAGTAAAAGACCAAACCAACATACGATTCCATAAACTTTCCGACCAATTCTTATTTACGATCTTTTGCACCCAATATATCCACTCTGAAACAGCTAATTCTATGCAGAATATAAAAAACGATTGAACTCAAAAAAGAGCTCTCTCCCGTTCAAGACTCTCGACTTAATCCACTTGGCCGATCAAACGATGCCGCCCCGATCGGTCTCTTTTTGAGGTTGTCTCATCCAGTTCCCGCAGGATTTTGATTAATAAAAAATGTAATATTCATAAGGGAAAGCCCTTCTTGACACTATAGTGTCTTCTCTTGAACCTACCATTTCTATAATATCTTTCTCGGTCTTACAACATCAAAGCAATCTCTAACTCAATATTCATAATATCTCTTGTTGACCCCTCCTAACCCTCATCACAAGAAAACACAATATTCATCATAAGAAACAGCCCTTCCCCAATCTCGCTCCTATTACTCTTGACTCCTCGGGACACACAAAAGCCGATCACAATGACACATCCAAAAGTGGCATTCTGTAAGACAAAATTCGGCTTTTGGAAGAGGCTTTTCTTCCTGATTCCCATCGCCAAACACGGCCCGCATCTTACTCATTGTCTACAACAAAAACAAAACACAGCTACATTGTTTTGCCTCCTTTAATTGTCATTTCAAGGTTCGACAACGGCGTTCATATCAGGACCATATTCGTCAGACTCAACGACCTTCTCAAGTTCAAATGCCCACACGGGCTCAGCTTACAGATCCATTTGGTATGTTTGTTATAAAATGATAAAATTAATTTTAAATTTTCAAAAATTAAGTAATTTTTGAAAGTCTTTTAATTTTTAAAATAAATTTAACAGTTTTTAAAAAAAAATTAAATTTAATGGATCATTATGTTATAATCGAGTCCTCTAAACTCATTTTCGTATTACAGATGCAGCCGATTGACGCACTAGAATGCAGATTTAAAACCGAAAAGTCTGCCATCGGCTTCTGTAGCCCCGACACCACGGATCCTCGGTTTGTGATCCGAAAGTTCAGTCCGATGCCAGATCAGCCGCTGTTCCAGGAAGGGGAGACGTACTACTTTGCAGGTGAGTACCATAATCGATTAGATGAAATAAGAAACCGAAATTGCACCAAATCTGCATGAATCGAGGGATTATCCCGAGACAGCTGGGCCGCTAACTGAAGGGCGGGTTATTATATTAATAAGCAGTAGGGTAATATGCGATTGTGGGTAATATCAATAAATTAAACGGGCTGAAGATACTTTGGTAGGACAACAATTAACTGTATTGAAGTAGAGTTTGATTTCGCCTGATGCTCTGCTGTTTTCGCATCCAGCAGCGTCAATAAGGTCTCAATTAAATTGACCCAAATAAGTGCGAAACTATAATATAAACATAGCAGATTCGTGCAGCGATAATTCATAGTTCCGAGGTGCAACAAACCATGTAAATTGAGCATAAGGAATCCCGAACGCTAGGTGTTATTCAAGGCAGCTTAATTCGAGCGTTTAATAAATAGCTTAATAAGAGGAGTTATAGACCCGTTGTAAGACTGTAAGACGCTAAAACACTATATACTATACTATTTTTAAATAAATGATATCGCAGATAAACATACTAAGCTACTTTTGCACTTTTAAATTCGATACCAAACTATTAAATACCAATTAACAATTGTAATACCTTAAATGCCAACCTATAAGTTGCGCAAGATGATTTATTATCCCCAATTAAAGTGCAATTTCAGCTGCCACAAACGACACTTCTGGCCGCCTGAATGACGGATTATGCAGAAAAGTGGGGATGAGGCTGCGGATCTTCGTGCTGCCTCGAGATGCCATCGGAAGCGACCTTCCGGTTATGGACTTGACCCGATCGCTGTGGTTGCGCGAACAAATAAAAGAGCCAGATGTTGAAGAGCCCCATAGGGAAACGTCAACAGCTCCCACTACCACCACAACTACCGTGCATACGATACGTAGGATACATCACAAGCCTATCAAGGACATTCCACGACGACATCAGCCGACCAGGCACATCACCACAGATTCAGAAGGCATCAAGTACGATGTGACCGAGAAGAAGACAGGAGGAGTGCCAGAATTCAGTCATCTCGGCACACTTCCCAACCCATTAGCCAACCATCTACCTCAATTAGAGTTCGAAGTGGGGTACGAAGACGTGAGTTCGTCGGCGAACTCTTTGTGTAAGTTGACATTTTCTTCAAGACTCAAGTCACACAGTTAAGACAACTTGATTTTACATCATCTTATGAATGTAAACATTGTTAATTATTTCGCGACAGATATTAATCACCACACTTTTCAGACGCCAACCTGTCAATTATGCTCCTTCTTCTGTTAAGGATACTGTTGTAAACAAAATGTCTTCCAAACCACACTCAAAACCGGTACTTGGGTTGTCCAAGCTCTACACTTCGGGTTCATTCACTTTGTCATACTGTGACATTACTGTATTATATGTACATAAGGTTGAAAGTTTTAATTTGAATAAATGTCTATATTAAGCATGTTGGTGAAAGTGCACTTTTATGCGGTTACTGATAAGATTAGCGGTGTTGTCAATTCCAGAAGACAATATGATCAGTGTGATAACAAAGCGGAAGAGATTACAAGTCCTGCAACAAGGCATACGATACCTTTACAAAATTAACACAAGATACGCTGAAATTTAGCAAAGTATACGACACTTTAAGATACTTTAAGACGAACGACAAAAGATACTATAACATAGTGTTTTAATAAAGTTCGTAATAACTTCCTTTGACTGTGCGATAAAGTCTACGGTACCTGCAACCAGTTTTTTGAGTTACATCTATCGTAGTTTGTTCATAATGTGTTTATCGCACGTAGACATGGTAATCGGTAAAGTATTTCGTCATATCGAATATCAAATCAAATTACATTTAATCTGCCAAACCTATTATATAACACCAGCAATTGGATCGGCTTCCGAACGCGTCGACGCCGTCGTTACGTCTTTGAATGACGATGACAAAACGCTTTGTCATCAAGCTATTCACGCCGAGCTTCTTTAGTTTTTCTTACAAAACAGTGAACGAAATGAAAACGAGTTTACCACCTCTGGAAAATGGACACAATGACGAAACTGACCGCCTACAACAACAGGATACACCGTAGATGGGATCTCATTTCGGATCGGAAACAGTTTCGGAAGTGCCAAGTCGTTGGCTTGTGAATCGATCAGCATGTTCGCAAAGATTACGGTAAGTGTAAGGCTTTACAGTACTGTGCAAATTGAAAACATGTACTTATTGTGCATAGTATACTAATACCACGTACTGTTAATAGTAGAATGCGTACCTGTTGCTTATGAAACTTTCTTTCAGATTACATTACTACTGTTACTGCCCCATCAAACAACCGGCTGTCTCGGCGGCTTCGGTGGAGGAGGACAACAATGCTGTCCTCCTCATGCAGCTCCCACGTGTGCATCTTCTTGTGGTAGTGCGATGTGAGTTTAAAATTACATTCTTTTTCTAAAAATCATAGTAACGACAGTTTTTAGAACCAAATAAAATAAATTTTCATATACAATATGAATGCTATACTCAAAATTATGTTACAGAAGTGCCCCACAATACGCCGCTCCTCAGCCCCAATCGTATAATCCACCCCCAATAGTTTATCCCGCTCCCCAACCTCTACCTGCACCTCAACCATTACCACCAGCCGTTGGATCGTCGTACGGCGGTGCTTACCATTCCCCACCTTACCAAAATTCGTATCAACAAAGTCCCCCACAAAGCAACAACTATATTCAACCAAGTGCCAATGCTCAAGGATACCCATCTCAAGGACAACAAATAATTCCACAAAAACAAAACTACATTGGACAACCACAAGGTAACTACAACACCCAGTCAAGTAATAACTACATAGGTCAACCTCACAATAACTACGTGGGAGGACAACAACTTCCACAAGGTCCACCAGCTCAGCGTGAACATTACGTGCATCCAGGTGCTGCTCCACCTGCACATATACCACCAACTGGTAACACAGGAAGACCTTCATCGTATAACAATCGCAACAACGTCCATGTCAAAGAAAGTAGTGAGAATGCTGCCATTCATGAACCTTTTAGTGGCATTGATGAAGAAGACGGCTACAACAAGAACCAGAAACAAGTAGAAGGCTCCAAGAAAGAGAAGGAAACTAATTCTGGACCAGTCGACGAAGAAGACAAACATACGGATAGTGGAAACAAGAATACGGTAGAGTCAGCCACAGAAGAACACACCAAAGAAGATGCCCACGCTCAGAGCTACGGTGAAGAAGAACACTCGACTGGCTACAAGTTCACGTGATCAGTACTTTTAATACCTAATAAATTTTTACATTTCAGCCTTTTAATAGAAAATATAGTACATATCACATTAGTTTAGTTAACAAGTATCAGTGATTCAAGTTGTCACGCTTTAAGTTGTTTTACCACAAAACTAGCAAGTGTCACGATGCTCGTAGCTGTTGCGTTAACTGAGCATTCTCTTGTTGAATCAACACAAGATCTTGCATAATTTGCTCAAGATTCGAGTCAGCGCTTTGTTGTTTCAAGACCTCGATCTCGTCGTCAATGAGGTCTTTTTGACAATTAATGTCGTATATGTCATCCATGTTGCGAGAGACGTCAGAACATTGAAGATGGAACTTCATCATGAGGTGGTAGGCATTCTTCAGTCTCAGATCTTTCTCCGAAAACTCGTACAACCAATTACTTACTACGGTAAACGAACGATCGAGACTGCCGCAAAAGTTTCGCCTTTCTTTTTGAAGTCGTTTACAGTCTTCTAGACTCTAAAACTTACTTTCTGTACTTCGATTCTGTACTTTGAATTTTAACATACGAAAATTATAAGTGCCTTTGAGTTATAACACATTAAACCAAAAACGTACATTTAAAATTTCTGCCTTCTGAGCCTTGACGTTGTTTGCCAAGTATATTATCCTTAACAAGAACTTTTTCCTATCCCATATCTCCGTGTCGTTTTCCTTGCTCAATTGCTTCATCTAAACGACATATTTGATTGCAATTAAAAAACGTGTAAAGCTACTGTTTATACTCCCATTTAAGTTCTGTAAACAAACAATTTAAGACACAGTATCCTGTTTAGAAGACATACCATCTTGTCTAATGTCTTCTTCTGACTAGTTATCAAGCCTTCCAGCTTCGCATTTTTAACTTTCAATTCGTTTGTTTGCATATCGACCTGAGATCCCTTTTCAGCTCGTAATGCGTTCAGAATCTGCAGATTCTCACGTTCCCATCCAACAAAATTGTCTTCTAATATGGATCGCCGGTTTTCGCCTTCTCTCAAGAAATCCTGCAAATTAATGAAAGTCAAACATTGAGTTATGGCCGAAAATAACAAAAAAAGATAATAGGAAAAACTATGAAAATTTCTAAACAATATAATAATTAAAACTCACATTTAAAGGCTCAACTTGAGTTTCCGGATCAATCAGAATTTTGCGCATCTTGTCATGCCAAGAAGTCCAGCCAGCCGTCTTCTTCTTTATGGACTCATCCAAGTTTTCTTGCTCCGTCTTCAATTTGTAATTATTCTCTTTCTCCCGTAACACTTTGTTCTTAAGTTCCTTTAGTCTCTTTAGCTGTTCTAATTTATCTTTATCCTCAGTATCATCTATTGTAGTTGAAGGTCTGAAATTAAAAAAAAACTACAAGACCCTTGAATTGTCATAGAAAACACAACAATCAACTTGTTTTTTACTCATTTTGCTATAAGTCTTTAGATATTTGTAATACACATAGCGTACCTTTCAACTGGTATGTTTTCCACAAGCCGAACAGAAGGTAAAACAACCTTGTCTCTTTGTAAATGTTCTGTTTGATCCATTTCATAGCCCAGATTATCATCTTCGTTCATAAATGTCATCCACTTTCCTCTCCTACCATCTTTAGAAGTTATACCAAGAGTAAACGGACTTTTCTAAAAAATAATAACTAAAACAAAACACCTTCAACTTACCTCTCCATCTAACCAGTAATGTCCAGCTTTCTTCATGTTCAAATATCTACAATAACCCGGAACCCATTCACTGTCCATATCAGATCTGATTTGAGATCCTATCCTGTTTTTAAGCTGCTCAATTGAAGCTAAAACAATCTTACCATTAATTTTAGAGCTAATGTAAGTTAAAATAGATTAAAAAACGTCAAGAAGTTAACAGTACACTCACTTAATTCAACATTTTCTATCACAGACTCTTGTGGCATCTTTTCTATTAAAAATATGAAGATATTCCTCACGTCGTACAAGTTTGGGTACAATATTGAATGGTATCCTAGTTTTTCTCGTATTCCAAGATTCTAAATTAATCAATCATTCAAAATAACGTATTTAAAACCTCATTTTACATACGAAACATACTTTTATGCTATCCACAAACTCAGTAGCTTTCCTATACCTCATTGTCATTTGACTTGGAAGCTTTGTAGATGTTATAGTAGACTTCGCGCTTTCATCACATATCCATAGTAATCTTACTATGCCTTCCACGATATCATCAACTCCCAGAAGTGATAAACCGTCCACATCCTTACAGAAAGAACTAAATTACAATAGATAGAAAGTAAATCAACTTACCATCCTATCTGTTTCAAAGTCGTCATTATCATACTATCCAGATCCTCCATTTTAGCTAATAAATTATGTCGATAAATTATAATACAAAAATAAATATTTATTTGTTTTGAACAATTTTTTATAATTTTGTACAAAAATATCAGATTTTTTATCAAAATAATATTTTTTGTGACACTTCGTCGTCTCTACTATTGACTATTTTTATAAGTTCGAAAATCCATCAGAAAAAAGAAAAACATTTGACAATATAAAATTAACTAACTCATATGATGTTGAAGGGATGTCATCAAAAGAAGATGTTTTTCTGTTCTATACTCTTTACTTTATTATGCATAACATACTTATATATCTGAAGCTTCATTCGATCGGTTTTTATTCGTCTTCGTGTCGAATTGAACATAAACTTGTTTCATAAGTATTTTTCAGATATTTTAGTAAAATGACTACTCCTTCACGTCGTCGCCTGATGCGGGACTTTAAAAAACTTCAGGTAAATTATTAACTATGTTGTTATTGCTTGTTTAGGAAGATCCTCCATCTGGTGTTAGTGGAGCACCAACAGAAGAGAACATAATGGTATGGGAGGCGATTATCTTTGGTCCGCAGGACACTCCATTTGAAGATGGTACTTTCAAGTTGTCTTTAGAGTTCACTGAAGAATATCCAAACAAACCTCCTTCAGTCAAGTTTCTGTCAAAAATGTTCCATCCCAATGTTTATGCTGATGGCAGTATTTGTTTAGACATTTTACAGGTAAGCGATGATTTATATTTTTTAATTGATAGACGTGTATTTTCAAATTACAAAATAGTTTTATGTTATAAAATATTGCTTTAGAATCGATGGTCTCCAACGTACGACGTGGCTGCCGTATTAACTTCAATTCAATCACTACTCGATGAACCTAATCCAAACAGTCCTGCTAACTCGGTAGCTGCCCAATTATATCAGGAAAACCGAAGGGAATACGAAAAACGAGTACAAGCTATTGTAGAGCAGGTATGTTTGGTCATCTTTATGCTAAAGATTTATATATTATATCTACAACTGAAACGTTGAAAATCGAAATGTTAACTTTGCCAATAACCCATTTTAAATCCCTAATATTGTAGTTCGGTTATAAACATGAAATTTTAGTCTTGGCAGGCTTTCAACGACGATGGTGAAGAAGAAGGTGATGAACCAGAACCCGAATCTCAAACTCAGCCACAGGAAGAGCGGATGGACTTTAACGAAATTGTGAGAAACGTGATCGACTCGGCTACACGACCTCCAGAATTCAATGACGACGAGGAGTTGCAGGAAGCGTTGCCTCCGCCACCAGCTCCTCCAGCACAAGATTAAAGCTTTAACACACGTCTTTGATAGAATTTACCCGAGTACATGTAAATACGAAGCGATTATTATTTTCTGGAGTAGGATGGAGGTAGGAACGACAGGTCTTGTTCGTCCGGACAGAGGTTAGAGTCGTGTTTTGCTTCTTTTTTGGGCGGATCTGAAATCATTTCGAATATAATATAAGTAGTAAAATTCTAATAAAATGGAAGCGACTAAAGGCATAGGTATAGAATCAATGAGAAAAACAAAGTTTAAATTTAAAGCAGTTATTGATCAAAGTTTCAAAATAAGAATACCTGGTCTTCTTTCATGCTCATTTGCCTCCCCTGGTACCAATGAACTTGACGCAACATCTGGAGCAGTAAGCTCTTTGTGGTCGTCTTTATCAGTTTGTTTCTCAGTTTGATTTGCTTCTTTTTTGGTTTCTGAAAAAGGGACTTTTAGTTTTCTGTTGTGAACTAACATGAATAACATTATATGCCATTACCTGATTGTTTCAAATGTTCAGCGGCTTCACCTGGCACCAGTGATTCTGACACAACATCCTGAGCGTGTACCTCCTTTCCTTTTTTGTCTGAAATCAGTTGCATTGTTAAAAGTATTCCTAACGTTGAATACAAAAAATGTCAGCAGCTTCCTACCATGTTGTTTTGCATGATCAGCTGCTTCTTCTGGCGATTCAGACTCCATGTCCTGTTCGTCTTCTTTGGCCTGTTCGGGATCCAAAATTTTAAAGTTTTTGTCGTTACCTTCGACACCTCCCCATGCTTTGGGAAGTAAAGTTTGGTGAGTGAGCAGAGTATCGACTAGTACGCTCTTTGCTTTCACACGATTGTTCAAGAAGCTAGCCAAGTCAGTGCTCATGCCCGTCTTTCTGATCGTAAAGTTTTGGATGGCTCGCTCGATCCCTTTGTCCAGTAATTCCACGATCTAAATTGTATTAAGCAGCGTGTACCTTTAGACAGAGGGTTACCAATATTCCTTTGCATAAAAACTTCGTATAATGTATCATATATTTAAAAAAACTTCGTAATACTTACAATGTGTGTGAACGACGTGAGCCCTTCAAAGAATTTGGTCAATTCCTCGCATTCTGAAGGCGACAAAGCATCATCGAAACATTTCTTTTCACTCATCTGCCGCAGAACAGAAAGGCCAAGTTGGTTTTGTACAACCTATAAAAATACAGCTTATACATATCGTATAATAATATAATAGATAAATAATACCTACAATTTCCGAATCGGTTTGAACATCTTTACGCTCAGGCATTGCTTCTTCATTACCGTGAGAAACGGGCTCCTCGTCCACGTCAATAATAGGCGATTCTACGGATTTGGGTGAGTTGACAACATCAGATTCAGCTCCTGTTATCGGACTGCCATCTGACGCTTGACCCTTGGAGACCTTTTTGAGCTTCTTGCCTGACTTTTCTTTGGGTCTTCTCTTGAATCAGATCTTTCTTCTTCTCGACCTCGTCCCCTTCCTTCTTCCGTTTCTGTTCCTCATCATCACCTTCCGTCTTCACTTTCCTCTTGCTCTTGGGCTTGTTACTCTTCTTCTTGTTGCCACACTTTGCTGGTCTGGCGTTGCTAATGCGGACGAATTCAGTTGGAGCATCTTCTTCACGTACGACTTTCGATTTCTTAAAGTTTGGTGATTTGGCAGCAAAAAATGGCTTAGGTGATACTGATTTGGATTTTTTCGCTCTAGGGTTATCTTCTGAAAATCATAGTTTATATCGATTCCTTTAAAATAGGTAACATTTTTTAACTTTAAATAAATCAGTTCAATTTTAAAGGTTTGCTAAAATTGCATTTCTACAAAATTACTACAAAAACGTGGCTTAGGCTTAGGCTTAGGCCAAAGTTCGACGAAATTTTGTTGAAACGGTTTCGAACTAACTTTTGAAAAGATTACCTTTACTTTTGACTGCTTCTACCGGTGAAGTGCATCTGGGTTGTTTATCTGAAGACTTTGTACGACTTTCACTGTCAGACGAAGCTAAATAATGTAAGTTGATTTTATATTTTAAAAAATTTAAAAAGATACCTAAATATATAAAATTACAAGATGCATAAATCAAGTTGTGAGAACATATACGAGCTCTGTGAAAGACCTTACTTTTGCTAGTTCCACTTTTGATGTGAGATTCAAAGTGTTGACGTAGTAGCTGAATCTCAATGTTCTTCTGCTGTTTCGTCTGTTTCTTTGGAGTCGACATCACGAAACACAACCTCACTGTTGGAAATGACAAGAATAAAGTAAACCCAAAGTATTTTGTGTTTGAAATACTTGATTTATGCAAATTTTCATGTTTTTTGTCAATTTTATTCAGTTTTTCTATTTGAAAAAACTTGTTTATTTTGTTTTGCTAAAGTGTAAATGGGGATAACTTGTGACAACCGAGGCAATACGGCCTACCGGAGCTAAAGAGATCATTAGCACTTATATTAACTAATATAAACATCGATGAAGTATAAATAATTGGTTTATTAATATCATAATAACAGATAGATCAACAACAACGAAATTATGCTACTGCGCAATTCCAGAAACAAAGTAAAAATGAGAAGTGAACCGTAATGTCAGTATGGCCATATACCGATATACTTGAATATTGCAACCTGTTTTTTTACGACACTGTCGCTTGAAGTAGCAGCAGCACACCCGCGCTTAGGATTCCTGAAAATTCCAATAAAACCATACTAAAAATTGTAGATGAGTCTCTATTAATACTATGGGATGTTTCACAGCTTATTCTATGACTTACCAGTTACTGGAAGTGTCACCAGCCACGATAGGAAGATATTCCTGAACACTCCCCAGTGAACGTCCGAGTTGGCCTGGACTAGTCCAACCGCGACAACACTGCCCACTTTGCACTGCGTCGAGCTGATTGGCATTCCGAATTTAGAAGCAATAAGTACAGTAACCGCGGCTCCAAATTCTATTGAGAATCCGCTGAAAACAACTTTTTTAAGAAGATAGACGTTGTTTACAGTAGATTACAGTAGGAGTTGATAAAAAAGCTAATTTCACAAAGTTTTGTAAAAAGGCTAGAATTTAACAGAAGTTTAGGAAAGTTTGTCTCGAAAAAACTTTTAAAAAGTTTAACAAAAGTAGTGTTTCATCAGAATTCGGAAAGATAAAAGTACCTTGGCGGCGTGATTTTTGTAAGATTCTCTCCGACCGTGAAGATGACACGATGGCCGAGAAGCCAAAGACCAACACACATTCCGACGGCTCCGTAGAACAGTAGCCACATGGGTGTCGTACTTGACTGTGCGACATTCCCGTCTTTGTAGATGGCGTACAATGAGACTAAAGGTGCGATGGCGTTGCTCACATCGTTACCTCCGTGAGCGAATCCTCCGAAACAGGCAGTCATCACTTGGAGGAAGTTGAAGAGCTGGGACGCCTGGGGGTCTTCTGGTTTGTCTGAACGAAAGAAACTGACAACTGACGAGGTCGGTTTGATGGCCGGAGCTGAAATTGACACATGCTTAAAGTACTCGGAGCAATCACAATACATAGCGGGCCTTAACAGATTAGCAATCACAATAAAGAACAGCTTCTAACAGATTTACGAACATACTCGGGACATTCGTTCCTTGTTTTTCCTCCTCGATTAACGGTTGTTTTCCGAATCCGTTGGACTTTTCTTTGGCCTTGGGTGAATCGTTCACGGCCAGACTTTCCAAATCTCCCCCAACGATCGACTGCCGGAGGCGTTTCACCACGAAGATCTGCACAATTGCACCAGCTAGTATTCCAATACCCAAGGTTACTAACATGACACGAGTAAACGACCATTTGTCGAAGCCGAGATACGATGAGCCTTGGTAGACAATGGCAAATACGTTGAAGGATACACAAATGAAGTACAGTGCTGGCAGAAGAACCAGACCGTAGTTGAGGGGTCGGTTCTGAAAAGTTTATGAATGACGTTATAGTACAGAGGTATATGATGATATTGGAATATTATCTGTTTTTGTGTTTACTTACTCTCCTTAGTACTGTGTGATCAATGAACAGGTAAATAATTGTAGATACGAGGCCAGAAAATACAGGTGAAACAAACCAGGACATAACTAAAGCAATTACTTGTAGCTGTGTTATTATGTCATTTTTTGAACTTTAAAGTGCAATTTAAATACTAAAATTGTACCAAACTTACAAATATTCAAGATCTTGTACCACCGGATGCCTTCAGTACCCCTCAGCAGTAGAGAGTAGCCAACAGTAGCTCCGACAATACTGTGAGTGGTCGAAACTGGCAGTTTGAAGAAGGTGGCCATCAGAAGCCAAGCTCCACAGCCACTTAACACAGCTATCTGGCCAAACATCAGTTCAGTTTCAGAATTTTCGTACACACTCAGATCTACCACGCCCTTCCGCATCGTATCTGTTACTTGGTATCCTAAAAATTAATATTTGTGAACCTTTTTAATATGTTTTTGATCTATAGTACGTACGAAAAGCACGTGTTTATGTTATATTTTTGATATTTCTACTTGTTTACTATACGAAGAAGGATACGTGTAATTAAAAACTCTATATTGTTTAAAACGTAGATATTAAAGTATACAAAGACATGTAAGACAACTTACCCAAAAGAGTGGCTCCCATGGTCTCGAAAACACTGGCCAACAGGTACGCCTGGTGCAGTGTCACAACTTTACTGCCGACAGAAGTACCAAACGAGTTGGCTGTGTCATTGGCACCGATGGCGAACGCCAGGATGAACGATATCACCATGCCGAGGCATATCATCCAGAATACATCACCCTGCCAAGCCACCACATCCCCGATCATCTTGTGACCACACTAAAGTACAGTCAACCAAGCCCTACAGGAAAATGGCACTGAAAGAGCATTAACGGTTTAGTTTTGGTATCAGAGAATGCGCGACACGATAGGACACGAATCTTGGCCTACCTGAACGCAGCTAAAGCAATGTTTTGGTACGTTAAAGTGAGAAAAATTAGTTGCAGGACAATAATATGCATATTAACATGAAAAATAATATAGTTTGGTCAAAGTAAACAAAAGAATGTGGCAGGATTTTCTGGACTTGAACCAAACTGATATTATGGATGTTTACCGACATCATGGATAATATAGATACTATCGTCCCAAGACAAAGGCTGAACTGACCTCGCTTGATTCCATCCTCTTCATTATTAATGTATCCACTTGATCCCACCAGCGTTGCCTCGATGGAGCAAAAAGAGGGAAACCAACTGTTCTAAAAGCAAGCCCATCTTTGGCCAGCTGCCCAGCCACAGCACGGCGCTCTCTCTCCGTTCCCTCCACAATTGCGAAAGACTGAAATGGCGCGCAAAGTGTGTGTACCTCCGTTCAGTACGGTCCCTTCCTGCCAGACGGCTCTCGAATACAAGGCCCGACAACAAAAATAATCATTTCGCAAACCCAATCAATGAACATGGCCTCAGACGGAACCAGAATTTAAATGAGGCCGGGACTTGTTGCAATCACAACATGCCGTGTTAGCAAGAGTTATATACATAAATCTGGGGACCGTATGGTAAGATTAAACGAAAAAGTGTTACGAAATCGAACACGTACTTACGAGTATACGTGCTAAAAAATACAAATATATTCACATTGTGTTAAGTGATAGGAAATAACGCTAAAAGGGATGTTATTGCCAAAAATGTTATAATGACACGATACACTTTCGAAAGTGATTCATTTACTTTAAAGTACAATCATAGACACAATAATTTATACAATCATTTATTGAATAGAGTAAAATTAGAAATGGTCGTAAAGTGACTTAAGTGGATGCAAGTTCATTATTCATGCAAAATTCTTTAAGCCGGAAGCTTAACACAAACCCCAAAGATACAAACTGGCCAGAATATTAAGGTTACACTAAGTGGCCTAAATACTAAGCAAAGTCTTCGAAATACTTGGCTCTTTTTCAAAAAAACGATAATAATGGCTTTTACTACAGTTTTGCAGGTCACAATTGGTCATTTACAGAAACCGAAAAATGATATAATTATAATCAAAGTAATTAAAACTACAAAAATGTATTAAAAGATGACAGTACCTAGTCAAATCTCTTTACTCGGTTATGAACATTATTAACTCGGAACGTTTGCTCACCGTCTCACATCAAAGTCAAGTAAAATGTGTTCGGATTAATGATAAAGCAAACAAAGAGCGCACGCTGATAGGCCATATAGATCAAGCAAAAGTCTTGGGCCCAGGTATTATAAAGGAAGGGGGAAGAAAGCCCGCCTCTCTGCTCAACTGATGTCGTGGACAGCCGTCGGGCCATCGTCGTCGTCTCTCTGATCGAGCAGAGACAACGGGAACCCTTGGCCAATTCGAAAAGGCATTCAAAAACGTCTGGGACCCCTTTTCCAACCCAATCACAACCTCATCTGTCGAATGCAGCCTGTACTTGGCGGCTCTTCCTTTTGAATCCGCAAAAGTGCAGAACGGAGCAGATCGCATACAAAAGCCTGGATGGTTCCATAAACTTCTTTGTCAGCTGGATTTTGTTTGTCATTCGCATTTTGAAATTAGGGAATTAAGCTGCAGCTAGCTGGGAGTTATGTTTGAGCATTAAAGTATGAAATCAAGTTTGGAAGGCAAAGTTTGACGTTAATCTGGGTGGTGAACAAACTTAAGCCAATAAGTTTCTAATAGTAAAAAATTGGAAATTACGCTTAAGTTCTTTTATAAAGAAGTCAACTATCAAGGGCAACACTTTCCAACGAAATTTCTAAATTAAAGTTTATTTATAAAATGCACGGAGTTGAGGTATATTTTAGATATGTACAGTTTAGCGACCGAGCAAAGCTCCACCGATCTGGGCTCCAAGCATGGCTCTGAAAAAATATTTTTAGCTTGAAAACCCAGTTCTCGAAGGCTCTGTTTCTTAAAAGCTAGGAGAATAAAGCGGTCATAATCCAGATATGAAATATATCTTTAGAAAGCCAACTGATTTTATAATAATTTTGACAAAAAGCCTACTACTCTTTTCAAAAAATGACTGTTACTTTGTGGAAAATCAATAACAAATTATCAATTTACCCTGGGTTTCCTGCGTAAGGTCCTCCTCCGTAGCCACGTCCTCCGTATGGTCCACCTCCGTAGCCTCTACCACCGTATGGTCCTCCACCGTAACCACGTCCACCATAGGCTCCGCCACCGTAGCCACGGCCTCCGCCGTAGAACTGAGCGCTGGCTACAGCGATGAGGAGAAGTACGATGGCTAACACTTTCATGATTCACAAGACAGAATGCTGGACTGTCAACACCGTCACTTTTTAAAGGCCGTCAGGATGTAAACGTGATGCAAGGTCATAATGAGCAGGCGGTGTAATAAGCGGTGTAACTTTCAACCTTTCCAACAGTTTCCAGTAAACAGTTTAAAGTAGTAAACAGTTTTTCGTAAAAAGGCGCGACAAAGGGCGTCTGCTGCCTTTTCAATTCGTAAATGCTCCAAAACTTACTGAAGGCTTTACTTTACACAAGAATCTCGGCTTTCATCAGCTACAGAAATCTAATTGTAAGTGCAAGTTACGATAATAAACAACTTGTTGTTATCCATCAAAGTAATAGACGATTAAAATTTTTTGTTATTAGTTTTTGATGTAGACAGTAAAAATTTACTTCAACAAAAGTTATGGTGTAGATCATCCTATTAAGGACTGTCCTATCTGCGCGCCTAGTTGAGCACCAAGTGTTCCACCAAGGGCAGCTCTGAAATACAATTTTCACTTTTCTAATGACTAAACTAAATTGCTAAAACTAAAACACATTTTTTATCAGAAAAAGTTTGGATGCGCGTTTCAAAGCTAACTGTAAGATATTTACCCGGGATTGACTGGTCTCATACCCATACCACCGTAACAACCACCATATCCTGTACTACCGTATAAGTTGTAGCCGTAAGTACTACCATAACCAGGGTAATAATTAGAGTACGGGCGGTACGGTCCGTAGTACTGACTTTCTACCACACACACAAGAAGAGCTATTACAGTAACAAAAAGCATAATTTTTTAAAATTTCAAATAAAATTACTTTCCAAACACAGTGACTTTTATACCTAAATCGACAAGTAATTTGTGATTTTATGAGTGAAAAATAATAAAAAGTTGTTAATTTACTCAGTTTGTCAAAAAGAATGGCAGACAAAAGACCATCGTATGTTAAGGTAGTTAAAAAAACCTATCATAACATAGTCAAACAACAAAATCATCACAGTTCAATCAAAGAAAAACTGTAAGTAGACATGATATTCTCGGAGAGTAACAAAAAGGCGACATTCCTTGAAAATGATAAGGTCTTTGACCAGCGGGAACAAAGCGGTCTGATGTCAAGCCTAAAGTGCAGTGGGTTCTTGTTAGAGCGGGATTCAGAAACTTTGTTCCCTCAAAACCGGTCACTCGGCGGTTGGCGGCCTAGCCCGGAAGCCGAGCTGATTTGCATACGCCTTGACTCCACGTGCCCTGGAGTTGTATTCTAATCGGAGATGTCATCGCTCATGCCAACCTATGTCTCCAAGTGTCCCGTTTGACCTCCGCGTCTTGTTCTTTTCTCGCGTCGTTCCACATCGTTCTGTTCTGATTCCCCACGGGAATCTATTTGTGTGAGGACATCACAGGCATTAAGAATAAATCGCGCACTCTCGGCTTACACCACTTTTAAATTTAAATTTCTTCAGGGTCTAACAAAAACAGGACATTAAGAGCGCCGGGGACGAGAAAGAATCCCTTAGTCCTGTTTCTCTTTGTTTTAACGGCGATTCAGAAGGCTACCGTACCCCGCCGCCCAACTTTTGTCTTTGCAATTTATCTTTGAAATTTAAATTCGAGACCTGACTGTTGGAAGAGCAACACTATATTATAGTAGGCTGCTCATAGTACTTTGTCTGGCTGTGTTATTGGGCCTCGTCACCTTTTCCTTTCCTGTCTCCGCTACCTGCGCACTCTATTCCAAAATTGCTTCCGTTTCGAGTGGGAATGTGAAGGAAAGTTTAGTACATGTGTTTGTTATCGCTAACACCCTCAGGGCATTGGTGACCGATCACAAGTTTATTAAAAAGAAGCCCCGGATATTTGTTTATTAAAATTGCGAGTAGCCAACTCTTCGTGTTGTTTTCGCTTCTGAATAGTCGTATCCTGACGGCGGATTCCGATCGGACTTCCGGTCAAAAACAATGTCGGAGGTCGGGGTGGTCAGCCCGGAGACAAAGGTCACCGTGGTCAGCGATAGAGACCGAGGTCAACGTGCTACGCTATCTCCACGGAGAGAAAATGAGCCGGGCCCTCAGGCAGAAGTGACACTCGAGGAGGTTTTTAAGTGCCGGAGGCAAATAAGAAGTCGCCACCTTTCGTAAAGAAACTCCGCTTATAAGGGATATTAGAGTGCAGCTCTTTATTGCCTGTCTGATATTCAATCCTAGGCCTAAGGCCTTGAAGTTTGTGGGCCAAGAGTTGTGTGTGACGTCGTCGTCGTTCTGAAGCCGAGTCTCCTTCATATGCACGAGAAGGAGAAGCAAATTCAATTCCACGACCCCCGTCAAGTTCGTTTTGGTTAGGGTGCCGAGGTTTAAACAAGACCTTTACAGCCCTGAATCCGAGCATGATTCGTTTGTCGCGTATTGTTACCTCCTTACCGCTCTAATTGCATTTTGCAGATGTACTCCACCTTATTCATTTTGTATGGGTCTCCGTGCTGACTCGAACTTTTGCTTGGGAGTGCCATCGAAAATGTAAGTGTTTAGTCATCACCGCTTCCGCGTTACCGTAAATAATGACCACTTACCGTAAGTAGGCCACTTACCGTACTCATTAACAATTGGTAGTATTCATTAACAATTGGAAGAGAATTTTAAAATTATAGTACTCGGTCAAGAAGTAAATAGGAAGTGCGATAACTATTACTAATCGTTTTCTACAGACTTTTTGACCACCATTATCATATTAATTTAAACAATTCTAATCCTTGTATATTGTCGTAGATGAGTCATCCGGGCTGGGTGATGGTCTCGTTCCTGACCGAATTGCTCAGCTCGTACGGCGGGCTCGGCACGGCCCACTTACCCAACAATTGCGCCAACGACACGGAAGTCATAGACAACCTCTTGAAGGAGGCTTACAACAAGCATTATCTCCCAGCGTATCCTGTCCGCGTCCGCGTAGACATGTGGGTCCAGGAAGTGACAGCGGTTAGCGAGCTGACGCAGGACTTCGAGATAGGTAATTACAACTGGTTTTACTGTGTTTTTCTGAGTCTATTGTTGTAGGCAAGATTACTTGCAATTTCTTTGTCATAGACGACGTTATATTTTGGTATTTTTAGTATGTCTTGGCATTCTTTATATCATAACGTTACAATTTATGGCACTCTTTTATAAAGCATTTGTGTGCATATGGTACTGTTTTTGCTTGATGGTGCCTTTTTTTGCGATTAGTACTACTTTACAGCATTCAGTACCACTTTTTACAAAATTTACCGCTTTTTTAAGAAAAAAAAACATTGTTTTTAAGCTATTTTGTACCATAATGTACCATTTTTTATTAGAAAGTACCATTTGGCATAATAAGGTAACAAACTCCTTTTTACAACAGTCATATTTCAGACTTGTATATTAACGAGTTCTGGGAGGATCCAGCGTTGGCGTTCAACTACATGAATCCCTGCAAGAACAATATATCATTTGATGACAAAGTGCTCCAGAAGCTGTGGATTCCGAACACTTGTAAGTGACCGTGTAGCCGAATTTAATCTCTTTTTGTCTCAGGTTTCATTAATTCCAAGAATGCTGCAATTCACGAAAGTCCATTCAGGTAGGCGACACATGACACTAGGGTTACTGTAATTCTAGGAACGTGTTTCTGATGGTCCTATCAAACGGTACAGTATGGGTAAACTACCGCATGAAGGTAACGGGTCCTTGTGATATGAACTTAAAAAGGTAATGGTTTTACCTTGCATTATCATTAAAATCATCGTGAATAAGTTTAATTTAATCACCGTACTATTGTAGATTTCCCTTTGATCAACAAAAGTGTTTTCTGACCTTCGAGTCTTTCAACTACAACACCGGGGAAGTGAGAATGCAGTGGAATCAACCATATCCTGTCATGTTGCTCAAATCTATCGAATTGCCAGACTTTGTTTTAGTTAATTATAGTGTCATAGCGATTGAACAAATGTATCCAGCCGGCTGGTGGGACGAGCTTACCGTAGCATTCGTCTTTAAACGACGGTTCGGGTGGTACATTCTTCAGGGATACATTCCTACGTAAGTACCATGATTAACATACTGTAAAAATTGTGAAAAGTGAAAACTGAATACAACAACCATCGATGATTTCCATAAAGACTACTGCCAAACTTTAAACTGCAGCCTTGTATTTCAGATATGTTACTATCTTCATTTCGTGGATATCATTTTACTTGGGCTCTAAAGCCATTCCTGCTCGAACAATGTTAGGCGTTAACTCACTACTTGGTAAGCTACATTACCTTTGCTTTTACTACCATTTATTACATTTGCATTCCACTTCTTTTTAGCAATGACATTTCAATTTGGAAACATCATCAGAAACCTTCCTCGTGTCTCTTATGTTAAGGTAAGGTTATGTACAAACTTTGCTCTTTTTACCTTCAACTATTTATGAAAAGTTCTTCTTTTAGTACAATATAGATATTATCTAACCACTTCTTGAAGAGATCCTTCCTCAATTCTTATTCTTTTTACCATTCCCGTTTTCAGGCTATTGACGTGTGGATGTTATCAGGTATGATGTTCATCTTTATGAGCTTATTAGAACTGGCGGTGGTCGGGTTCATGTCCAGGAACGACGGTCTTCCACGCCGCGCATCGCTACGAAAACGAAACGACGACGACTTTTCGTGGAAAGAAATGCCGAGCCCGCGAATTGGATTAAGGCAGTTTTGGGTGGAAAAACAATGTGCCAGTCTGAGGAATAATAACGACGACTTGCCGGTGACTGAGATCAGAGAACGGCCGCCCATTATTCAGCCGATAACCGAGCCGCCCATTCAGTGCACCTTCAACAAGTCGAGGACACACTCGAAGAGCGGAATCCTGCTGTCTTTGTACGACCTCATTAGGTGCTTCAAAATAATAACGCCGGAAAAGGTGGACAAATACAGGTAGGACACAATAAGAACAAAGCATAACACAGAGCCACTGTTTCAGATGTTTTTTACATTTTCATAAAGAAAATATAGCAATTGCCAGAGGTTTTAACTGCAAAAATATTTTGAAAAGTACCACTAATAGTGCTTAACATAATTTTTTAAAAAACATAAATTTTCTAATCAAAACTATAGGTAATCTGGAATTATTACTCGCATCATAAATAATTTCTAACATAACCTCCGCAAAAACTAAAATCAAACATAACTCAACCACTTTTAGTGCAATCCTATTCCCCACTGCGTACTTTATCTTCAATGTTGGATATTGGGGCTACTACCTCACAGACCTCTCTGCCGAAGATTTGTCTATCAGCTGATTTTCAAACTTGTTGTCTTAGATCAATAAATTTAATGTACAGTTAAAGGAAATCCACAAGTGGTATTCGAATTACAAAATTGTACGATGAATTAGGAATCCGCCCAGGCTTGAAGCTGCGCCATCTCATCCTCTTCTTTTGACTTAGATTTCGCTTTGGGTAAAGCGTCAGTGGGAGCAGCAGGTAGTGTAACATCCGCAACAGGAGCTGGGCCAGCTTCGAGTAGCTGCTTATCGAGGTCCTCCTAAAATTAAACCAGTTATTTCAGTGTTCTATCTTCTGTTTCTTTTTTAACTTAAAGTTTAAAAACAAAAAAGGTATCAAAAATTAACAATAATACCACCTATCACAACATATAAACCCTTACCTCTTCCAAAGCCTCCAGCTCGGCCAACAATTCGTCGTCATCAAAGTCGCTCATGCCAACAGGGTTGGAAATGGCTTCGGCAATTTCGCTGGCCACTTCTTGTTGTTCGGCAATGTCCTCCATGAGATCATGCACCTTGTCCACATCCATGTTGTTGTGAGCGCCTTTGAGAGCCTTGGCAGAACCAGCCAAAACTTGCAGAACTTCAGCATTAGTGGCAGCATTCTCGAGGGTTTCCTTCTGGTGCTGGATCCTGTTTAACATGCCATCGTTCATTTCTTGTTGCTTCTCCAATTTTTTCTTGTTACGGAGAGCTGTGAGTGCCAATCTCTTATTCTTTGTGCCATGTTGTCGTGCCTTTTTCAACTCCCAAACCGACAGAATAATATTAAAATGGAAATACTTACCTCGTCTATTTTATTCTCAATGAATTCCTGCTTTTTGAGCAGCATTTCTTCAGTATTACGGAGTGTCTGGAGAGCATCTTGAGTTGATGGAGCTGCCTCTTTCTTCTTACTGAATAGGTTAGAGAAGACACTCATCTGAAAGTTACAGAATAATATAAACTATAATAAAATAAGCAAAACCACAAATTAAACGATAATGTCACAAAATAAAAGTTGCTTCTCAAAAATCCGACACGCGCGACACGGAGAATTTAGTGAGTTTTTTAAGACGTGAGTCATACCGTTATCTAACACCCCGCCCTTTCATCCCACTGTCTTTGACGTCACTAAACACGAAATCAGAATACAATAAACAGAATCAGATCCAATAGACAAAAATACAATGATCGTGAATTCATAATACCAGGAAAGAACAAATCAATTCTTTCAAAACACATGATAAGGATTAATCGATTGACATTTTTGATGTCAAACTTGATATATTAAGATAAGAAAGAAAACTATCAAAAACCTTGTAAAAAAGTCAATAATTTTACAACAAGGTAACTATTTTAGACAACATGTAAAAGACGGAACATGTACTTTTCAGTTCACGCACCAAAACAAAAACAGACATTATAAGTCTCTGCGTCCCGTAACGAAAATGTACCGGAAGGCCAGAGGTGTGACTCTTCGACTCTGTATTTTTCGGGAGGGCCTACGATTTTTTGATAAAGTTTTTGTTGATTTTTTCAAGTTATCACCTTTGCGTTTTCGATCGTATATCGATCCCGACGTAAAACATTGCGCGAAATTTTGGCGGGATTATTTTAGATCGAATTATATTGATTTAGCTGGTATATTATTTTATTTTAATTTTCGTGCATTTTGAAACCTGTTTTCGGGCCTAAAGTGAGAAGTGATTATTACAACGCGTTTTCTTGTCTTAAAAATTGATTTTTCAGAAGGAATTCGAGAACTCGGAGGAAACTCGCCTTACTCATGAACGCCGAGAAGATCAAGAAGCTCCAGGCAGCTTCTGAAGCTGTTCGTACCGGTGGAAAGGTAGGCTCTTTGTTTATTTTCGTTTTTTAGGTACCTTTTAGATAGTTTTGTGTAATTAGGAGGTCGTAATTGTTGTTCGTGAACGTTACAAAATAATTAAGAAATATTGCAGTTGAAGATTGAATTTTATATTAAGGAAAGAAGTATTGTCTTTTTAAAACGATTGCAACCTTAGATTATTGAAATTTTAGGGCACCGCCAGAAGAAAGAAGAAGATTGTACATAAGACCGCTGCGACAGATGATAAGAAGCTTCAAAGTAACTTGAAGAAGCTCGCCGTTACTAACATTCCTGGCATCGAGGAAGTGAACATGATCAAGGATGACGGCTCTGTTATCCACTTTAACAACCCAAAGGTCCAAGCTTCAGTTCCCGCCAACACCTTCTCGGTTACAGGAACTGCTGAGAACAAGCGTAAGTATACAGTTTTAATTATTTTTACTCTTAGTATGGTTTTTAAGAAAGCTCGTGTTCAAAAACAGTCGCTTTATACCTAAATTTGAGGTGAATGTAAAACTTAAATATTAATATGATATTTTTGCAGAACTGACTGAGATGCTGCCAGGAATCTTAAATCAACTAGGAGCCGAGTCTCTGACTCACTTGAAGAAGTTGGCGAACAACGTCACCAGCCAGTACAAGGGCGGAGAAGAAGAAATACCTGGTTGGTTTTTAGTTTTTTTTATTTTATTTAGCTTTGTTAATCTTATGAACAACATAATTTTGTCTATTTTTCAGATCTCGTCGGCGATTTCGAAGAAGCCTCAAAAACCGAAGCCAAGGGAGAGGAGAAACAAGAGTCTTAAACTGTTGATATCCGTTGAACTCGTTCGTCTGTTGGTTATTTTTGTTTTACTCTGTTCGGTGGTGCGAATCTCAGTATGAGAAGGCGCGTCAAAACTATTTTTTATTTGATTGTTTTCGTTTACGAGTTTTCTGAATGAATTGTTAAAGGTCTCTATTATTGGCTGTTTATTTTGTTGAGGACATTAACAGATATAAATTTAAGTCGTTCATGATCGATGAATACCGTTTGTGAATTCAAATAATTCACCAAATATCAAAAACAAGTTGTTTACTGTAGAGGCCAAAGGTCGTTTTGTGTTGATCCATTTTTTAAGCTGCAAAATATAAGAAAAATTTAGTTTTAAGTAATTTTTTACAGAGTACCAAGGTTTTGTAGGTAACAATGGCATCTAGTCCGAAGAACACACCTCATATGATAACTTTGAGAGGTTAGTGGCATTTTTCTTTTTAATTCTTCCTTTAGTTATGAGGTTAGCTCGGCCAAAGTTCTTCGAAGGTGCCTCAATGGGAATAGATCCAGCTGATGAGTTCTCTGGACTTGTTGATCAAGTTGTTTGCAAAAGTACGGGTAAAGATGGTATGGAGTTTCCAGTCAGCGGGTTTCTGATGGCTCCTCGAAGTATTGAGTACGTCTGAACGTTGTAAACAATTTGTTTTGCAGTAATATCTATTTGGGCGAAACTTTTACCTTCTACGTCGCTGTTTTGAATGAAAGTGGACAAAAATGTCAAGGAGTTAAGCTACAAGTAAGTTTTGTTTCTATCACTGCTACAATAACAATTGCTTAAGACGGACATACAAACACAAACTCAAAAAGTGGCACTGGACAGCAAGTTGAATGTGGGACAGAATCTAGACCCAAAAACGTTTTTAGGACACACTGTTTCACATGAGATCAAAGAAGTGGGACAACATATGTGAGTCTACACAATGTTAGGGTTGTTTTAATGAAAGGAGATAGAGTTACGATGTATTTTTCAGTTTGGTATGTACGGTGACTTACTATGTGGACGAGATTGAATATTCGTTTCGCAAGTTCTTCAAGTTTCCTGTACAGAAGCCGATTGATGTCCGAACAAAGTTCTTTAACACTGAAGACCACTTGGTAAGGCTTATTATATCTTTTTATTACTGTTTAGAACAATGATGTGTATCTCGAAGCTCAAATACAGAATCTGTGTTCTAATCCGATGATAATGGAGAAAGTGGCACTGGACCCTTCTGAATTGTACGGAAGGAAGGAGCTTGTGTCTAGTGAACGGTAAGATAACATTTTATGTGATATTTTGTTGATTCCAAGTTGATATATGGTTTTCAGTTTATTATAGTTATTTTTTATTATTTAGTGATTCTCCCATTCATCTGGATTCTGGAGAAGTGCATCAGTATTTATTCTGTTTATCTCCAAATACATCTGATCATTGTTTCTCAGACTTCCGAGGTGTTACGACGATTGGGAAGCTGGATATGTCATGGAGAACAACAATGGGTGAACCAGGTCGTCTTCAGACTAGTCCTTTAACTAGGGTATCACCTTCGTACGGTGACATTCGGCTGCTAATTGAGTCGATCCCGGGCACCGTCCAAAAGCATAATTTGTTTAGTGTAAAGTGCAAGGTCTTGAATTGTTGGTAAGCTGTTTATTCTTTTAATTTTTTTTCATTCTTTAATGTATTAGGTTGTTCACATAATTCTTCGCCCCCTTAACCCAAAAATTTGCTTTGAGAGGGGGCGCAGAATTAAGTGAACAACCTAATAATATTGGTTTTGTATGGGGAGGGAACATCATTATCATACGGTAAATGTCGTACTTTAGCGAGCGCTCATTAGACTTGGTATTAACACTGGATAACTCTGAAGATCGACCGTTTCTGTTAGCGTCGTTAAGTGGAATACATTTAGGACAAATTCAACCAAATGCTTTTGTACAGTTCGAAGTAGAAGTGTTGCCGCTCAATGAAGGATTACAGGTAGGGCTTATAACAGTATTTCCTGTCAAAATTTATACGTTATGCTGTTTTAATTAAAAAATGTCATAAGCATGATAAATAACGCTTATAAGCTAAAGTAATACTTCTTTACCAAAACAGTCTATTTTTAGTCGCTTTCTGGCATCAGAATCACAGATTCATTTTTAAAACGTACATACGAACTGGATGACATTGCTAAAGTGATGGTAACTGAAGAAAACTAATTTATTAAATTATTAATATTTAAAATAAAGTTAATGTACAGTCAAGACGAATTACGTTATGTCAAGTACACAGTTGACATGTTTTTCCACAGATTCTTTTCTTTAATGTGACAGAGTAGAATTGGGAATCACAGAATCCATTACTTCCCCAGTACGCGCAACTAAAATACAAACTTTCAAGGTTTTAAATTTGATGGGTGATATCAATGGAGATGGTTAATATAATGCACAAACTTTCATTTCTAAAAATAATGTTTTTACGTTAATATAGAATAAGCTATTTTACCTGTTAGAAGAGTCTCCACACTCACAAAACCCACAAGTCTTGGCACAGTTCTCAGTCATCATTTCTGCAAACGCAGCACTATTACAATTCTTTACAATTTCACCACAGTTCGTGGCCTTATCCACACATTTCACATCAGGTACAGTGTCCGGTATCTTATTAGCCAATACCACAGTACTCTCTTTTTTGTTTTCGTATGTCACCACCGGTTTCCCTATCAAGTCGGGTGGTGGACGAGTGACACTTTTAGGCTTAACCCCAAAGTTCTCCAGGTAGGCTTGGTCCCAGGGATTGATTTCGACGTTATCCGCCTTAAGCCTACAAGTAGCAATAAGGAACACCAAGCAGAGCAACATTCCCTCGAAGCAGAGGCGATAAAACAACCCAGCCGCTTTCATTGTATCAACACTCGCGTTTGTTCAGCTTTTTATTATGTTTTATAGAAGACTGGTACTTTGTCTATACCCGCTGTGGACGTCGCAATAGTGACCGTGAAAAGATAAATATGTTGAGATAAATCTATATTACGTTATATGTAATGGGGATTGAGATATTATGGAATGTGGAAAAGATATCAGTATATAACGTGCCGTTTGACGAGATATACAGCAATTTTCTAGAGCAATATTATGATGATAAGGTTAAGCAGATTCATCTGATAAGAAGTCCAGACTTTCGCCTTCCATCGGATTCTTCTGCTTCGGCGTTCGTGTAGTAGACACACGAACACTGTCGTCCTCCTTCTGATTCTGTTTCTTGTTGAAGAAGACCTTTGTTCTGTCCTTGTCTTCTTCTTCATCCTCGTCGCTGGTCAAACCACAGGTATTCAGATCGTCAGGTTCCTTACCTTCTACTATTCTCATATAACGGTATTCTAGTCTGAAATATTTTTTGCATAACAAAGTGATAACGCTATTTTTGTAAGCTATTCTTCTGTAAATTATAATTCTAAGCTTAAAAGATGATTTAAATTTAAAGCTCGTTTGTCAGTTAATATTACATTTTTATCCTTAGGTATTGCTTTTGACTTACGTTTTGTTTCGACGATGAATGTTGTAAATAATTAAAATCAGAAGCACTATTAATCCTGATGCCAATACAAACAGCAGGCGCACGTTAGATGACACGTTGGAACAGGCTTCTGTACGCTGACGGCTTTGCATTCCACTTAGCACGCAATGCCTGAAATTTAAAATATTTAAATCTGATGACTTGTAAAAACAAACATAGACATCAAAACGCAGAATATTCTATTCAGTTACTACCATAACTATGGTACAATTCTTACTTAGAAGGAATCGAATGAATCTTCTGTTTCCCCTCGAGACATTCTCCTTTGATCTCGTCGAAGTCCGATGGATCACAAATGGGGCAAGCAAACGAACTTTCGACTATAATATGGAACAAACAACCATTACAGGTACCATCCGGGCAATTCTTCGAAGTTCTGACTTCTGGCTTTGTAGCCAATAAAGGATCACAACGAGTGGTCACCACACCAATGGTACCATTAGGGCAACTGGCACTTTTACTCGGGATTGGCTCAAAGTAGAAGTGAATGTCAATTGGTTTTGTCGTGGATTTTATTTTTGAATCTGAAGACGTTAAGGTTATATTATGATTCCTTTTTAAAATTTGGACAGTGATGGTTATTAAAAAACCAATGTGTAAAATAACAATCCTTACCGTACTCCAACTGTTTGTCGTCCAAAACAAAGCCTTTGTAGGTCTTGTTCTGCGTTATCGCCCCCAATTTACTGCCAATCATAAAAGCTGACACAAATGCCACTTTATTTGTTGTATTCACATTCTTGGCCTTCGGCAATGGAATGGCAGTAGCTCTACAGAACAAGGGACGAGTGTCTGAGAGTTGGAAGTCGATGCCTAAAGGCGCCAATGAATCCATGAGTCCACTTTCGTAGCTGTCTTCACAAGTTACGGGTTCGTTGAAGAGACTCACGTTGAAGGAATGGTAGTAAGCGTTACCTTCGCGCGGAAACACTTTGATCCCGTTGGCAGTTAAGGGTCTGAAAATTAACACTATAGTCAACGTTAGTATTACATAATAGTCAACAATAATAAAAACTGAAACATTCGGTCTATATTGAAGCGCTAGATACTGTCTTTGGCCAGATGTTACAGTTAATTTTTATCTTAGGACAGCCTTCGTTATATTATTAAATCTTTACTTACTGTGGCTTGAGAGGGGTAAGATCAAAATGTGTAGTTTTGTCATCCAATTGTAGATCCAGGTTTCCAGTAAAGCCACATTCAAAACCTCCAACTGATCCCATGTTTCGTGGACATTTCACACAACTTTTAACTCCAATCATGTCTGAAGTTGCATTCAAAGCTGAACCCTCAGGGCACTTAACGCACTCGCTTGTCTGGAATTTTAAAATAAAAAATCCTACTAAAGAAAGTTATCCGATTATCACTCCCTTGTCTTCATTACCTTTTCCTGAATATAATGTCCCTGTGGACATGGTTTACATTCGCCATCGCTATTCTTGGCCAAAGGACATTGTCGACACCTCCTAGCTCCACCAACGTTCCCTTTCTGTGTCTGATCAGCTACATTTGTAAGATTAAGGGCGTAGATGATAGCTTTGTCATCAATAGCATCATTCCCTCGACTAGCTCCCGACCTCATGAAAGCGAACACCAATCGTACTGGAGCGTTCTTTACAATGGAGTAAGACTTGACTTGCCTTTTTTGAGGTCCATTGAAAGCTTCTAGGAATTTGAAACCTTCTCGCTTCGCTATCAAACTCTAGAATAAAGCTTAGAGCACCTCATCAGAAAGAAATTATATAATACTCAATGTGATAACAAAATAAATTAAAAAAGGTATTAGGACTTCTCAGTACTCACCAGTTCTACCAATACCACATACAATTGACAAGTCCCATCCCGACAATTCAACTCAAATTCAAAGTCGAGTCTGGCTACAGGATGATCTACACTCGGCTTCATCTCCAGACTCTGTAGCGGTTCGTAGAAACCATTTGTCACATTTAATGACAATTCTAATGCCACCCCCTCGGCTCTTGTCGTAGCACTTTCGATACGATCTCCATTTGGTATCCAGGACCCTTTGACAGGACATTCACCCAGGTCTTCTGCCATTATATATTCACATCCAGACATCATGAAGTCGGGCATCTGTTCCCAATTCGTGTAGAACAGACCATATTCAGGGATGGTAGAATTAGGACATTGGGTACAAGCGGTACCATCAGAATACTCGTCCTTCTTGCAGAACGAACACCTACCGTTCTCACGGTGGGTTCCGGCGCTACACTTGATGCATGATTCTGATGTTGAGGTTGGGGCCTAAAAAGAGTGCTACATTAAGGCCCGTTCAAGTAAATAATATATATTATATAAGTGATAAAATTTTAAGATTCTACAAAATCACTGGTAAAATATAAAAATTTTATAACTAATGCTTACATTTGGACTGACACAGACATCTGGCTCTACTTTTGTAAACGATTTCTTTATTTGGCCATCTTCACATTTACCGTACTCCGGTCGATAATCATCACTTTGGCAATTCGGTCGAATTTGGCATTTTTCGGCTTTTGGTCCTATAACAATGTTTATTAGTCATAGCAACACAAAGTAACAAGTTCACTATCACTAATATCAACATACCAGAATATTCGTTTATCCCACAAGCCGTACAAGTAGAGGATCCCCTAGTACTGTAAGACCCAGCTGCACATCCAAAACATTGCGATGACTTTGCGTTACTGTAACTTCCAGCTGGACACTTACTGCAGATTGGAGTGTAAGCCAATCCAACTATCTCGATTCTTGGTACTCTGATAACATCCGCTAAAGTTGTAAGGTCTCGATTTGATACAATCGTCCATACGACAAGGTTCTGACCTCCCTTCACGTTAACTCGCTTAACGTGCCAATCGTTCCCAGTAGATATATCTTCATCGACCGGTCGCTTCCGCTTGAATATTTCAGGTGTGCTGCAAAATGTCAAAGTTATAATGTAATAATACATTGACCCTTATCGAGTTTATAATTTCAACACCTTATAGGTATTTAACTTGGAGTAATACTATATTAACCTACCCATAGCTCTCACATTGTTCGTTTCTAATGACAAGATCACTTATCAACGAATGCCGATTCTTTGGCAGTTGATAGAATATCTCTATGTAGCCATCCTTCACCAAATGTAATGATATACTCAATCTTGATACACAAGATGTAGGATTGTATCTTAATTCATTGTCTTGCACAGTCCAGCCAGCACTAAAACAAGGCTAAATTTTAGAAGATGCGGTTTAATATTTTTCCAATTTACATAGTTTCAAATTAACATAATGATAAGTTTTTATTAATTTTTTAGACGTCTAGTTGTAATCATCTATATATAAACATGTGCATATTGAACTAGAATAATGCAAAGCGTAGATAATTTTACCTCTGAGGACAACTATAGCTGTGTCTTTGTCCAAATACTTGTTCTGAATCATCTACAAAATTCTCGATAGAAAACCCATCGGGTAACTTCGAGAATCCATCGTATCTTACTCCATCACCAAGACTATACGACCCTTTAAAGTGTCTTTAGTTACATAAAGTAAAACATCAGCTTACCTGCTGGACATCCTTTACATTCCTGAGTTTTCATATCAAGAAAATGGCCTGTGGGACATGAAAAGCCTAAAAACAACCTTTGTATTGGCAATTTTGGAAAAATAAGCAAATATTGATTGGTAACAATAAAGAAAACACGATAAATATTGTTTTAGTGTTAATCACTTACTGCAATTTACACCATTTTGAGGTGGAGGCACATTATCACATTGTAAATTATGGTTTTTAGGCAGAGCTACCCTCCATCTCTGACCATTACTATCACATTTTGTGTATTCAAAAACGAAGTCTTGTTCATTGCAATGTTCAGCACCAGATATCGATAAGAACCTTATTAATTTGAACACAATTAAAAGCTTGTTGAGTATCATATTGACATTTTCTATAATTTATGTTGCCTTTTTTCTACTAATCTGAAACGAAAAGTTAAAATTCACATTCAAAACACCGGAAATTCCGCAAAATTCGCGACGTTTGGCGTTCCGCAACAAGAAAAATCAGATTTTTCAGGAAAATATTTTGATCAAGCTCTCAAGAGATCTCCAGAACAATATAACCTTTTTTCTTACTTGTTAAATTGGAGAAAAGTTGAGTAAAATGCAGAAAACGAGGCCAAAAAAGCCGCCGTTGGCTTTTCTGGCCGCTTCGGCTTTTTTTGGAATGTATTTCGTTTTTTTTCTCGCAGAAATGCTTTTAGGCATATAATTATTTTCAGACATGCGCCACAGAAGATATCCGGTGAAAAAGACAACAAAGATAAAGGCAAGCGATCCTTTGTCCAAGGGGAAAGGTGGAGGAAAGAAGGTAGACTTAAAGTAAGTACTGTTTTGTTGATTTTAATTTTTAGAATGAATAATACTTGTTTTCAATGTTTATAAGGAAAGTGATCCATAATGCGTGTTTAGAAAGAATTTATTAACAATTTTGGATTCTTATGAATTAACTGCTAATTTTCGTTGTTTAGGAAAAAGAACAGGCCTCCAACTCTTGATGAGATTGATCATCAGATGGTGCCACGACGTCTGAAGGAAATAGAAGAAGCCAAGAACAATGAACTCAATGGGGAAGGAAAGAAGAAAAAGAAGAAGCGAAACAAGAACAAGTTTTTAGGTAATAATTTTTGCTAGTAGCTATTTTGGTGTTGTTTTACAAATATTTTTGTCTTTGTCAAATATTTGTTTATATATGTAATAATATTTATAGTGCCAAAACCAGATATTTTCATGATTTTGTTGTTTCAGAATTGACCGCAAAGATGGGATTCCAACAGAGGCCTTGGGAAGACAACCAACAGCTGATGAAAAGGATAATGAGGACGAAGAACAAGGCATTAGATGACGAAATGATAAAGGTCAAGGCAGGAACGGCAGGCAGAGATGTAAAGGAGTTGGAGAAGGAGTTTGACGAAACCGAATAAGTTTGTTTTGTAAATTTTGTTGTTATATTGTTAAACTTTTATTCAGGTTTTTTAAACTACTACGTGTGTCATTATACTTTTGATGTTACCATACTTGATCTTGTTAATGTTTTATTGAGCATAACATAGAATAAAATGCCGTAACATGAATATATAATTAACCGGAGTTAGAACCACCCTCCTCCATATCGTTTGAACTGGGTTGAGGTCGGGAGAGCGGAGGTGTAGCGGGATGAGCTGTTTGTTGATGGGTAAATGGGATTGGATGGCTTTTTGGATGTACTATTTGTTACTCCGCCGAACAAACTCTTCAGACGGTCGATCGGGGAAGCGGGGCGTTTATAGTCATCGTCAATGTGTATACTATAAGAGTTTACATTTCAAGAGTATATCTGTCAACCAGGATATTACTATAGTATTTTGTGGTAAAAGTAAGGCTCTCTACTGGTTTAATTACCACAAAACTGGTTATATCTTTGAAAGTCAGAGAATACCTTACCCATTACTAGTAGTACTCATTTTTCCGTCATTTCCCAACCGAATCTCGGCCGTTCGTCGACGCAGATTCAAGAAGCTTGACGGACCAGAGTTTCGTTTTTTGCTTGACGACGATGCCAAAGGGTCGAATCCTTCACTTCCCGGCGTGATACCTCTAGGAACTAAAATACTACGGTAAGATTGAGCAGAGCACCCGGCTGACACAAAAGTTAGTAGCAACTACACCTGTTACACAGTAAAACTGACACAACACTCTCCGTCTTCTCTGGTGAAATCTCACGGCACGACACAAACTCGAACAGAACGTCACATGCGCACCTTCGGCAGGATGCCCATACACGGGAGTCGTGTGGAACAGCTGGAATCCAGAAGGCCCCATGGAGCCTAACCGCATGGGTGCACCATATGGCATTGGATGGGTGGGACCATAGTAAAACGGTCCCATCGTCTTCTCCGAACTGATCGCACTCCGAGGCCGTGCTACACAAAAATAGTCGCATTAGTAGAAAGTGGTGATTAGATGGAAGGATAGAAAGGTTATGTTGAGTGATAGTGAAACAATGGTTATATATTTCATAGTGATGCGATAGAGAAGAAAGTGCAGGTTTTTGTTATTAGATCGAGAGTAATACCGTCAAAATTTTAATGGAGGCAAACTGTTTTTCCTTGTTTTTTCGAAATAATTTGAAAGTGATCAAATTAGTCCGATAGCGATAGATCAAGTTCAAGAAAACTATAGTACAATAAAATCGTGATTAGAGTGCATGACAGAGTTTCTTTCACTTACCTTGTACCGGCTGTGTGGACCTCGGTTCTATTTCATACGCCTGAAAAAGTAAAATGTCATCAAAGTTGTATTTTAAAGTTTTGTCACCATATTGTGTATAAATGTCATCAAAAGCTATTTTATTTAACTAATTGTTATGCCAGTTTAAATGCTTATCCCCAACTTTTGTCTTACTTGTTTGTTTTTAAGGATGGACCTGGTGGGGGCCAAACTGATGTCAGGTTCTCTTGTTTGTGAAATCCGAGAGTTGCCCGAGTCGTGATAACTGACATAACCGTAATCTGTCACTCCAGTCCCCACTTCGGGGGTCATTAAACGAGCCGACATCGCAGCTGAAACATAACATGTGAACCTTGTACAATAAACTTTGATTAAACATAAGTTCAGATTTGTCACCTCAATATGAAGGATTCAATTTTAAGTTTTTTTAAGTTCAGTAGGTCAAAAATTAGGTACAAGTGCCTTTATAAAAACAATCTTAACTATTCACGTTTCTGTAGGCTCCTTGACCAATATTTAGGCTATAAACACCTTCTACACAATGAATAAACTATCTTATGTTAAAGTAAAGAGTAAACATACCAGCGGCATCGATGTCAGTAATAGAACTGGTCGAAAACTTCCTGTCATTGGACTGAGATCTTGCTCTCGCTCTCCTACCGTCAACATCTCTGGCGTTGTTACCTAATCGTCGAGTGACCGGTCGGAATCTGTCCTTGTTCGATGTAAAGTACGGATCTGGAGCGTAATTCGAAGAACTTGGAGCATAGTCAGATGTACTCACTGGGTCGAGATCGTACGCTGAAGGTCTTCTGTAACCAGAAGCTGACAAACCGTAGTCGTTGTACTGAGACTTGTAGCCGGATATGTATGAACTGACCGGTCGATCCTGGTAGTTGTAGGCACTTCCATTAGCAGCGGCTGCACGATCTCGTTCAGCACGAGTCTTGTAGACTTCGAAACGTTGACGAGGCTGTTCATGACCTACAGAATTGTCGATACGATGACTAGAGTAAGGCTGAAATAGGTAAATGGTGGCTATAAGGAAAAGTTTAGTATTACACAACATAGCAATCATAATATGATGTTGTACTTACTATTAGTTTTATGGTTAGTATCTTAACTGTTATTGAAATATAAGTAAGTAGATGTTAGTACACTAGGGGTTATGGCGGACCTGAGATGAAGTCCAATGAGTGGAAGATAAGGGATCAGCTGGATAGGGGTCGTGATGGTGGGTTCGCGACAATACCTCGTCAAGATCGAATCGACATTTTGAAGTTGGAGCATAAGCAGACGAATAAGTTGGGGTCTTGGGGTTACCGTAGACAGTAGCATAGTCATCGGATTCTGAGGGTGAGAACTCGTGGAGGGACTTTCTTCTTTCAGCATATGACTAAAGTAAGTTATGTTACAGAATTCTTACTATTATCATATAATAACCAAAGTGTACTTAAAACTTGGTGTAAAATAAAGATGTTCTACCTGCCGCTTGTCCTCCAAGTACGAATTCCTATGATAATTAGAATCCGCGGCTCCCTTCGACGACTGTCTAGCCATGTGCTTTCTCAGGATCGGCGGAATGTGACTCTCCTTCAGAGGCTCGGCTGGACTGGTCGGCTTCGAAACCGGCTCTGGCGTCTTTTCGGCCACCCTAAAACCGTGATATTAACATAAGACACTCGAGATGGAACTAGAAGCAACACAAAAATACACCACCGTTGCCAGGCTTCGTCCGTGATGGCGATGGTCAGCGTGCGGGCACGTCTCTCCCTGTTCTTACGACGAATGTACTGCGATGCCGTTTCGTAACTCAATTTGCCGGCTTTCGTTGGCGACAAAGGTGGTGACTCTGACTCATGCTCATAACTTAAAAACACAACAATAAAACGAATTTAAAATTTTAATCAAGCGATACCACTTGTGGTTAGTTCACAGTGACCATATATGGCTGGGGACTTATACTTCATATTTTTGAGAAAAAAAATTGAAGTATAAGTCTCCAGCCATATATCCACAGATACAGTATACAGAAAAACATTGTAAAAGCTTTACAGTATACAAAATTACATTGCAAAATAAAAAAAGTGCAAAAAATGACATTATAACGCTTTATATGTATGAAAAACGACATTATGTGACTATAAAGCTTAAAAAATTACAAAATGTATTAGATCACATTGATGTACATACCTTTTTCTTTCTTCTGGAAGCTTCAAAGATGGCTCTTTACTGGTTCTCCTGTCATTTTCAGCTGGAGGCGTCTTTTGAGTGATTCCTTGATAGGGCTTCTGGGGCTTTACTTCAACTACTTGTACTTCCTTTTGAGGGCCTTCTAAAGACATTTATTAATTTTCGTATAACAAAGTAGACATTTTAAAGTTTATAAAATTATATTTATAATGCTTACCTGCAGTAGTCTTAATCGTTCTGAAGCCAATAATAGTAGATGTTCTCGGCTTTCTGATTACTTCACCTTCATCTTCGCTTTCCTCTTCACTTTCTTGCTTAGCTTTTGGAGCGGCTGGTACATTGTTCTCTTTCCTACTAAAGTAAACGTCAATAACTTTTCTGTACTATTTAAAAACTTTTATTTTACTTTACTAATTAAAAAGATTAAAGGCATCTTTCCGTGAATATAGAAGAACAAAAGTAATGTTAAGCTTGTAACGTCACCTTTTGTTTAACTTTTTTTTAATTTTCATATGCAAAACGTGTTATCCAACATTATTATTTGATAAATGTTGTTTCTTTTTAAAATTTTTGATATATATTGCTCTATATATTGTTTTAAGTCTATCAAAACGTTCGTACTTTGGTGTTGGGGTGGCTGTTGCACTTTTGTCGCTAACATCTGGGTCTTGCGTCTTTGTCCATTTTGACGCTTTGGATTCTTTGTCAGTTTCCTCTTCTTCCTCAGGTTTCAATGGATATTCCATGATTAACTGTTTTGCCTAAAGACAAGTGTTAATAAATGTCATAACGGATAGAAGAAAGGACAGAAGAGAAGCTAACCTTGTCGAAAAGGATAGGAGATTGCTTAAGAGAAGGCTGGGGACCTCCAATCGGCTTCTTCGTCAATGGAGGACTGTCGGCTTCCGTGGAAACGCCTCGACCGTACATTTCGACGTGACTGTGCTGAACCCAAACAGTAATAAGAAAAGGAAATTAAAGAAGAAAATATCAAGTAATAGTGTCGCGTTTTATAACGTTATTAGCTTTTTCACCAGAAAATTGAAAAATAAAAGTAAACCAACAATGTTACGAAAAGATAAAGCGACAATATTACCTAATCCAGCAGAAACACAAACCCACCTGATACTTTCCTTTACTCTGTCTCTTGGCCAACTTCCTTTCTAATGTGGACAAGTGATTAGCGGATATCTCCACTTGTGGAAGAGCATCCACTTGTTCACTCAAACTTTCAACTATCTTCGGTGTCTTGACTTGACTACTGCTCTGACCAGACTGCTCCACTACCTCAGCAAGTTCGTCAATCTCACTTTCATATTCAGACTCATCTTCACATTCATTCTCTTCATCGTCAAAGTCCTCTTCTTCTTCCTCAACATGCCCAGCCGATTTGGTATCTCTAACTGGCAATGTTATCTTTGGTTCGGTTGATACTTTAGAATTCTTTCGGCTTCCTGTAGATCCAGACGATTCTTCATCAGTTTCGAAGCCAACTTCAACACTGTGCCACTTTCTGTCCTCAAGAACCCCTCGTTTAGAGATGGCTTCCTTAACATCGACCTTTGTAGGTAGTTCCTGGACTGTGTACTTGTTCTTGGTGTCCTCCGGAATTGTTTCCGGAATCGCGTTCACTTTCTTCACCGTAGGACTTAGAATCGGAGTCTTTTCGGTCTTCTTTTCTTTCTGAAAATAATTTGTTCTTTTTCTTAATTTAAAAAATCAATACTTATTTTTGGCCGATTCTCTATTGATTTTTTGGCTATAAACAATTTTTGAAAACAATTTTTCGAAATTTTGAAAAATTTTTATTTTTTTGCTGTTTTATTTATAAATTGCTTACCTTGATCGTGTTGCATGCTTGCTCGATAACCTTTGAGGCTTGTTTTTGCACAGAAGCTGGTTGAGCGTTGATAATCGACTCGAGAAGTTCTTTTATCGTGGGACGATGTTCGTACATTGGGTGGGCTTTGACTCGAGCGATCAGATTGATGCTTACAGGACCTTTGTCCATTTGTTCTAGTACCTGATTCATCAACACGTTAAGAGAGTCATTCTCAGCCATCCAACTGTAATTTGAGGGTAATGGTTTGTGGCTAGTAGCTGGTTTCTTGGCTTCTGTGATGGAAACGAACGCTGGCTTCTTGTCTTCGTCCTTGGGCTTTTCTTCACTCTTTTGAGGTTCGACTTTTGATGGACGTTCAGTTCGCGAAGTAGACGGTTCTGGAGAAGATGGCTTTGTATGTAGTTTCTTCTCAAGTTGGCGGAGTCGTTCGAGAGGATCGTTCATGTGTCCGGCGACGTCTATCTTCTTTTCTTCCGTCTCTGTTTGTCGCAAACTCTTTTCTTTGGCCGTCATTTCAGGTTTTTCCTCATTTTTACGTTTTGGAGGTTTGATGGGAGAGTTGTCGTTGTATTCTTCAGCTTCTTTCCTTCGTCTTCTGAATTCCTCAATCTTCTGTCTAGTAGATGAACTTAGGTGTCCGAACTCCATGAAGACATCGGTTTCATCGGCCAAGTCTTGAACATAGAGAACTTCTGCTCGTTCAGTCAATGGAGTGTAATCGGTGATCTAAGAGAATATAGACATTATCATTGAATGTTTACCTGATTTTCTGGTAATTCTTGGATTACCGGCATGTTTTCTTCCAAATTCAACCACCAATGACTAGCAATTTCATCGATATCTGCTCTTCGGTCTGGGTTTACTCGTAACATATTTCTAATGAGCATAGAGGCAGCTAAAACGGTTAGCATATTAGCTTTATTGTGGAAAGGTTTAAAAATTGTATATTTCTAAGTCGTCTTTTTTTAATTCTGAACTTACATGAGGGCGTTTCAGGCTCGTAATAGGTACCACGTTTTATTTGACGCACCTGAAATTGTTTTAGGTATAAAATGTCACTTTTTGTTTTTGCTTTGATATAAAAACTTTTTTAAGAACTTACCATTCGGTTAAAGTCTTGACCATCGAAAGGCATAGTCCCGTAAACTAAGGTGTACAATAAGATACCCAAACTCCAGCAATCAACCTCGGGGCCTTTGTAGGGCGTTCCGTTGATGATTTCAGGAGATGCATACAATGGAGACCCGCAAAATGTACTTAACAACGCTTTGTCGCTAAAGTAGTTGGAAAGACCGAAATCAGCAATTTTGGCATTGTTGTTCACATCCAACAAAATATTCTCAAGTTTCAAGTCACGATGTACAACTTTGTGCTGAAACGAGTAATTTTTTGTTATTTGAGGCTACTTTTTGTTATCTCAACTGTTTTCTAAATAGCTATAAAAAATGTAATTTCGTTTTAAAAAACAATTACTGTTATTACTCATATCTCACCTTATGGCAATACAAAATGGCTGAAGTGATTTGACGGAATATCCTTCGTGCTTCAGATTCTGGCAAGCTTCCATGCTTTCCCACGTAGTCGTAAAGTTCTCCACCACTGGCGTACTCCATGACCAAGATGATCTTGTCCTTGTTCTCGAACACTTCGAAGATTTGAATGATATTTGGGTGTTTTAGCATAGACATGATTCTGATTTCTCTTCGGATTCTGATCAAGTCTTGTTTGTTTTCAATGGCGCTCTTCTTGATCAGTTTAACGGCGACCTCAAATTGGTTTTTAAAGTTAATATTGAATTATAAATGGTAATTCACTACGGCTTTTATCACAATTTAAGGCAGAAAGGAGTAAAAACTTTAATTTACCTCTTTTTCGGTTTTGTGGTCGTATGCTAGCGATACTTTACCATAAGTACCTTCACCAAGCTTTTTCGTTATTTCGAATCGATGTTTGATGTCTTTGTTGATACGGTCGGTCCCGGCTAATGGAGCTCCTCCGAGAGTCGAGGACGGACCTTGACCTCCGGAGCTACCGTTTCGAAGTCGAGTATGACTCATTCTGGCCTTGGACTTACTGTTGGATCGTGAGTTGGTCCCCATCTTGCTGATCCTATGGGGACCTAACGGCCTAAATGCAGAATTGTTTAAGAACACCATGTTTCACGCGAAGGAACATGTGTTGTTAATTGTGGCACTTTAGGGTATAATCAAGGACACGTTTGACTTTGACAAAACTGTTAAAAGTTATTAGCGTCAATGTTTAGATAAAATATCTTGTAGTCTTAGAAATTGTGAAAGTTAATTTAAAGGCAATAAATTGAAAGGTCAGAGATTTGGTAGGATATTTATCAAGTTACTCATTAGGATACGATTTGTCGTGTCAAAGGAATTCTTTTTCTTAAATTTCCAACTGATTGTGAAACCTTGTAATCAGTGAGTACCAGACAATTTTTTGATGTAATGAAATTGCCTTTGGTTATTATTACCCCCGAAATGATTGGACAGCTCACTCAAAGAGCTTGAAAGTGCGGGGGAAGATAAATCTAGTGGTTGTTTTTTGCCGAACAGATGGGTCTAAAGGTTTCGACAAGAAAGGGTGACGATTATGACTAACGGTAGGTCATCTGATTAAGAACAATACAAAAAACAATCTCGAACAATTGACAATGCGGGAATCAAATAGGTTTAAGCAAACAGAACTCTTTATTTTATACACGGAATAAGTTCACTGTACAACAAGCTATAAAAACAAAAACAGAAAATGGATCAAAACCGAAGTTTGTACGAATTTGCATTTGAATGGGAGTGATAAAAGGTTGAGGCTGGAGTCGAGTTAATCGACTAGCAAAACCCGCTGGACCGATCGGAAGGGCCCAGCGGCGATGGGATAACGGAGAGAGAAACGAAAGAAATCCGTTTTCTCGGACACGGCCTTCAATTGCCCCAAATCACTGCCTCAGGGGCCGCACTGAAGTAAGAGGGAGTTAAAGAAGAGTGCGGCTGATCTTGGAACGGACGGAGGAGCAGCGACCAGGAAGGTTGATACTGAGGATCGCGCCTGTCGGATAAACCCAGTGCTCCTCTTCCCTCCGTGATGACGCGGCTCAAACCTCGGCCGTTTCCACCTGATCAATTTAAACTTTCTCCATCTCGTTGTAGTAGAAGGACACGCTCTTTTGTTTGTCGGCATTCATTTCGTACGGCACGCCAGCTTCGCCGATAATGTTGCCGGCCGAAGAGTACCAGCTTCCGAAGTCTAGGCCTTCTTTGCCGACGTCTTCTTTGGATTCAGGCGGATCCTCTGAAATTTAAAATGTCATTTATAGTAAATGATGACTTTTATTTTCAAAGCATGGCGTAGTTTTCAATTGCTTATTGTAAAGTTAATTTGTCAGCACTATTAAAAACAAGATTAACACCCACCCGCACTTTGCCAGGTCCGCTTTGTGTTGTGGGAGTATCGTAAAAAGAAGCTGTAAAACTCCGTACGATACTCTGGGAAGAGCTTGAACAGCGTTATGGGCTCAAGAAGGCCAAACATGACGGCGTATGCTATCCTTAACAATATTTCCAAAATAGGGTCTTGCCGATTGATATGTGAAGATAGTACGTACAAAGGAAAATGTACAACTGCTAGTAGCATAATGCATCTCGTGAGGACAAAGAAGTAGAATCTTTCGGCTTCCTCGTTGTTGTCGGACCATTTGAAGCTCCAGTTCTGTAGTAATTGGAATACCAGTAGAGAAAAGCCGGCTAGAGATAACATAATCACACCTAAATTGGCTTGTTTAGTTTTGTATATTGACATTGTAATATATAGCGAGCATTACAATGAGCAATGGAGAATTGTAACGCATATTAGCTATAGTTATGAAACTTTACCAATTAAAGGCGCATACTGTCGCATGTTAAGTTCATTTCTGTAGAATTTACTACTGAAGACAGACTCTATTGTACAAAATGGAGATACACGTATAGTTGAGTTATCGGATTGCGATAAAGGGAAGTTCCAAGCTGGGACCAGGATCACCATTGACAATGTTACCATAGCCAATATAAACTTTTGCGACATGTACAATGAGTTGATCTAAAATTGTAAGGAGTTAGTTGCCAATTGAAACACAAAGGTAGCGAAAAATAAACAATTCTTTGTAGTTTTAAATTTAAAATAATCTAGAAATTTGAATATTTGTTTAGTAAAAAAAGTTTAAAGTTTAACTTTAAACTTACAACTTTGTGTTTCTTGGTCCAAATAACAGATACTAGTTGATCAAAACACAATAAAAATATAACTATGAAATTAGACAAGTCTAGTACACACCATAAACTTATATGGATGGCTCTGTACAAACAATCGACCGGTTGAATTGCGCTGTTGTCATCACTGTTTGCGGATATGAAACATCCGTGGAAACCGGCATAAAACAAACTTATGCCGTATGCAAAGTCTACAACAAGAGAACAGTTAAAAACAACGATAAGATGCACAATACATAAACCACACAATTACCATAAAAATATTATAACAATACCTAAACACTGTACCACGTAGATCCCAGCAAACGCATCCTTCTGTTTTTTGCGCATAATCCAAAGGTAGAAGCCTGTGGATACACAAAGAAGGAAGCCGAAGATTGGCAACAGTTCGAACACCAACGCCGGTAACATCGCTACCTTAACTATGACTGAAGCCGAATCTTCTCGGCCAATCAGCCTAATAGCTGTCTAGCGGGAGGAAAAGCAGCTTAAGCAAGCCTCTTAGCACGATGATTACTGGCATTGTAAATGAAATAATTTTATTTCGAAAAGAAAAGTTACAACACTGTAATGAATTAAGGATCGTACACATATTTTTTAAGTTTTACTGAAACTGGTGTTACTTAAGTTGCCTCACGACATTAATACCGGTATCGATATCTTATGTAAAGTTTATACAATAAGTTAATAAATAACATGTTTTAAAAAAGTAATAAATTAGTTTCTTATGCAAATTAGGTGCGTTTCTGGAAGTTGGGGTCGGCTGGTGGGATTTCGGCCTCAGGGTGGATAGGAATGTCCTTGAAGCGACAGTGAGTGGTCAAGGTGGCTACACAAGGTTCAGTGATCCACAAGTACCACTCGTTCTCCTTGGTGTCACGGTACTTTCCGTATGTGTAGTACTTTTGGCAGTTCTTGTTTACATAAGGCTTCTTCTGGATGACCTGAATTGACATATTATTGGCTTTGACACTCAAAGTATATGACAAGAAAAGGTGACAATTTATTTGAAATGTCAGAAATCTTGAAAAACAAACAAATTTGGGTTATAAAATGAGCAAGATATTATATTAGACAAATTGTACTGCTTCAAATTCAGTCAAATAAGCGTAAAGATAGCTAGAAGTGAACCCAGAAATACTGAAAAAACCCATGTAAGAAGAAGGTTTACTTACCGAAAGATCAGCATCAGGTTCGCAGCCAATTGGGCAAGCAATTCTGGTGGTCGAGTTCTTGGCCAATGTGTTCCAGTCGTTCTGGGGCATTGGTTCTTGTCTGCACTTGTACTTGGCTGGATCTCTTGGTACTTTTGAGTTTGGAGCCAGAAGAGTGCATTGCTTTGTTTTGGCCGAGTTTGTGCAATCAATGGTTCTTTCTTCTAAAACAGGTTAACAGTTGACAAACATCATAGAAGATAAGAATTGATTAATCTTGCCACAATGTCTAAAACTAACCCCATCGAGGCCATTGGGCAATGGCTGCCACCAGAAGGCAGGCTACAACAACAACGCGAAGAAGCATCTTCGAGACAACAAACTCCTTTCAACCCTTCAAACATGAGTTTATATAGTAACAACGCCGTAGGGAAACCAGTTTATTGGATAAGATATTAAATAAATTATGATCGACGCTTGGCGTCCGTGTCGAGGGGAACATCACCTTCATCATACTCGAACAGTTGTTTATATTGGGCATAGAACTGGCGTGGGTCTTTGGGGAATCCGCAGCGGACTTGGAAGCTGATCGTCGTCGAAATACACTCTCCGGATCTCCAGATGTACCTAGAAACAAGTCGAATGCGACAAACCGGCATTAATCATATCACTGGTTTAATGTTTTGATAGCGATGACATAAAAACATGACCCTAAACTAAAGTTTGATTGACCTGAATTCAAGCTTGGAAGTCAGTTATTTCAGCTACAAACAATAAAGATAATATCATTTTTGGCTCTTTTGATTGTTCATAAGTCAAACAATGTGGTACTATTTAAGATGTAGTGTTAGTACTTAAGAAATTCACTATTATTGAAAAAAGTAAGATAACTAACGTACCAATCTCTCCTCCTCCTCTCCAAATGATAAGTAAAGAAGTTGTTGCACTTGTGGTTAGCTCCAGGTACTTTTGCCAATACTGTAGTTTCATCTGACTCTTCACAGTTTAGTCTACAGTATACTCTTGTTTTATTCTTCTAAAAGCCTTATTTTAAGTTTTAATTCGGATTTATGGAAAAATTATGTTATCAGTTTGAATATGCCTGCAATTATCTTATAGTACTTGAGTAATTTTGACTATAAAATCTGCTTTTTATTATTTTTTTAAATTTTTACATTGTCATGATACTCCGTTTGGTCAAGTATTTTCACACTTACTTCGGTTTGTTCCTCGAAACATCCAGGATTCAATTCGGTATTCCGACCTTCTTCCTTGAGTGAACATCTTGTAACGTTCGGTCCATAATTTATGCATTCAAGGACACGATCGCCTGCAGTAATTCGAGTATTATACACAACTAAGTTTATTGCAAAAACAAAACTCATAAACCTTTTGAAACACAATATTACTCTAGATGAGTCAAAAAATTGTTAAAAAAGTTACCATAATTTGGGTCTTTTGGGAAAAACTACAGTAAAATGTTGTTTGTTAAAAGAAACTACAGTAACCTACTTGTGTAGTACGAAGTTTTTGGCAATACATCAGCATAAACGGAACATAACAAAACTACAACACAAAAAGTAACCCGCTCCATGAGTAACATTAACAATGATACGATTGCGTCAACGAGCCATTTCTCGAGCTTATAAACTTGTTTGGGCAGGATATTAAGGAAGGCAGAGTTACGTAATAACTAGCTCGTCTGGTCACTCTTCATCATGAGTATTTCTTTTTTTTACTTTTGTATTGTCTTTGGTTATGTTCTTTCTTTTTATTGTATATACTGTCTTTTATAAAATATATTATTTTTGACATTACAGTATACCGTATTACTTCGCTTATATAATGAATGTTTTCAAATTCTCAAAAATATTTTTTTCTAACGCCAATTTGTTTCAAGGTTTGCAGTAGAAGGCTCCGTACATACCTCCGTTCCCGAAACCTTAAACAGCGGAGAGTATTAAGTTTGTTTTTACTGCGCAATAATTCTCCTCAGTTATGTCTATTCAGTTACATGTCTAATTTATTTCACTGGTCCCCGAGTGTGTTTTACGACCGGTCGCGGTCTCTAACTGCCGAGGCCGGGGATGGACAGGTAATAAAACAAACATCTACATAACTCTAGTTGTAGGTTTATTGCCAAGCAGTTGTCCAGGTCCTGATCGGCGATGCTCATAAAGGATGGCACTCGAGTATGATTGGAGAGCTGGTACTGTACTCGTACAATGCAAAGTCTGAAAATGAAAGGAACGATCTGTTTTTGTCGTTCTTTGCTTCGGAGAGATTCAGCTTCATCATCAAGATGTATAATTTAACTATAAAAACTTCAAAAACAATTTTTACTCTCATGATATACTGTATTCAAACTAGGAATACAAGTATCTCCTTAAAAAATCATTGTTTCATATCAAAAATTACTTCAGGAGCGATGGTGCACGATTCTGGAGAACTAAGGCCAATTTCCTGGTGATCGAGCACGGTCAGTTGATCGGCTTCAATTTCTGCGTAGAACACTTGCACAAAGTCAACCAGCTGGTCAAACACATGCACGGTATGCCTTTTATATTAAACTCATCGAATTTCGTATTGTCAAAGAGACAAAGCGGTATATGTTGTTTATGAGAAGCAATATGTACACAAAGCAACAATAAAATAGTAAAACTGCAAAAACTTACTTTTCCAATTTGAAAATCCATAAAGTTTTATTGAATTTTTCAAAAATAATATTATCTGTTTACACGGAATGCCTGAAGCGATAGTTTTTGACATTTCGTCGAAAAATTGATTGTGCTGAAAATTAAAAAATGTAAAAAATTAGTTTCATTGATGCATCAATTGATGTTATTATAGTTATTTTATTGTTCAACTCATTAATTTACCTTTTTTTGGGCTAAGAATGGATAATATAAGCATAGACTTTACTATACCCACCATATTCCCATGAATAATATTGTAGGTTCAGTGCCACTAGTGCTGTCGAGTCGTTTCCTGCGCGTGATTCAAAAAGCGATGCATCATCTTCATGTTAGACCAAACAAAGACAGAGATGAACTGGTCAAGAAGGAGGAAGGTGTTAAGGGCCTCGACCCGGTTCGGGAGCCGCGCGCCTTCCTTCATCGTGTCACTTTGGCCGATTCGGATGATATTTGAATGCTTGGGACAATGTGGCGCCGTTTTTGAGTGGCCTTGATTCGAAATGACTTTAAACTTTGTCTTGTTCTATTTGACAAATGGGCGTAATGTTGTTTTAGAGGTTATTTTGTTTAAATTAATGTTGTTGTAGAGGTTTGAGGGAATGAATGGTTGTTTTGTGAGATGGTTTATGGTTTTATCGGGTAAAGTATTACAATTTAATTGAGTTTTAAATTTTTAAGATTGAGTTTGGTCTGATATTAACAAAAAGTAAGGAGAGTTGTAACATTATTTTAGGTAACAAATGTGAAATTTTAATAAATTTTGCTTTTCCCTTTTTTGAATTATGCGCCAATTATCGTAGGATAATTAGGTATGATTGAGTGGTAACTGTAACTAAACGTGTAGCTGAGAGATGAATGGGCTTATTTATAACTTTTGAAAGTTGACAATCTGACACTTTCTTCGCATAATGCCCTGAGGTGTCATGATAGTAAAACGAATCTGAATTGAGTGACAGCTCTTCTTCACATGATCCGCTTCTTCAAACAGCTTTAATTGCATTATCAGTTTCAAAACATCAGGTAGAGGATGGATGTAAAGGATGATGTGGTTGCGATGTACGAAGATTACTTTCTAGACTTCAACAAACGTAAGTGTCATAGCGACTTATGTATGAGTAAATAGCTATAATATAAGACATGACAGAATGCGTTGAGAAAGAGGGTCTTGTGGGTTTTGCAACATCTACATTAAGCTTTAATTGTAGGTATTCTACCTGAACATAGAATACTGTAAAATAAATTTTTTGTCTATGTTAATATAATTTTGGGTCAAATATCCTTGTCAATCTACCATTCCAAAAAAGTTTACATTCCACATACTATTGTAATATTGTCAATGAAAATAAATGCTTAATGGCGCTGATGACATTATAATAGATATAACGGCGACAAAAGTTTGTTCTCGATAGTAACGTTTTGTTTGTCTTGTTCATGTTTACATCCCATTTGATCTTAATTTGACCCAAATGACAATTTTGAATTAATTTCGATTCTTAAAAGGGCACCTTCCCTCAGGCATTCTCGCACTCAATTCCCCCAAAAGTGCATTGGAGCGTGTTCTACAGGTATTCATGTTGTTCTTCGAAATCTTCAAGTGTCAGTTGTTTGGTCAGAAAGTGCGTAGAATTTGGGTCTCACATTAATTTTGCCATTTTTGAATTTTTATAATTTTTTTTATTTAAAAGATATTAATCTAGATTTAAAAATGACCTCTGTCTTTAGACATTTTGTTTTAAATTTCATATCTGAGCTTTTAATGTTTTATCCTTAAAAAGTATAGTGTATTTTACATCGAAAAGTTGGGGTTTCACCTGCATTTGGGAGTAATCAAGTTTGGCGGAGGATTGATAGGATTATGCGCTTAGAAAGTGAGTAGATTCAGGTGCCGTCGTTTTGGGGGATTCGGCGTGGAAACGAGAGTTTATGACAAGTTTTATGGAATATGAAACCGTCTTACATGAAAGTTAGGTAAAAACGGATTCACTAATTAATACTCATGTTTTCTCGCTGCTTTTGACTATGTAGGTATAGGTAATCGAGTTTTCTTGTTCTTCTGGCCTTCGTATCTTTTTTTTGTTGCAGTAAATCTATATTGCAGTAACTTTCTTTACATATTCTTCCTAATACAATATAATGCCTATTGTCATCTATTTAAAACCCAAATAAAGTGCACGTTTTACTGCGTACAGTTGAAATGCACTTGAAAAGGTTGTAAAATCCATTTTATTTCTGTTCGATCGAATCGAAAAAGGTTTGTTTGCACTTTTTGAAAAGTGTGCATGAAACATATTATTTGCCTGGAGGTCTGTTACCCGATCCTCTCCCATCCACGCGGTTCACGCCGAATGTCCATTAGTTTCACGCCTGGAGTGACCATTAAGATAAGCAAAGTGTGGGGTGGTTATCAGTGTTTTGCTTGAAAGTTTTGGAATTTTAAGCGGTTTAAAAATTAATTTTAAGTCGAGAAATAGGGGAGTGGAGCAAAAAAATTCTGGGTTTTATAAAGGTGTATGAATTTTATGATTTTTTAATTGAAAAAACAGCTATGGCAAAACTATAACTCTAAAAATTTTTACAGTACTCTAGTTAGAAATATTTTTTTTCTACGAACTTTTTGACCCAAAGTAGTTTTTAAAATTACCTGCTCACAACAGCCTAACTGTTTATTTTTACATTATCTGTTTACTTTTCCATATAATTTCTGACCTACTCAGCAAACCTTATCAATATCACTAATAAGCGGGCCGTCAAAGGTTTTGTACGGAATGCCCGAGGCGATCCGTTTGAAGTGGCCGCCTTATCTGTGGCCATTGTTTTTTGCTCAATCGTAAACTTGAACTCCTAGGTTTATGTCGTCAGCTGCATAACCACAGTGGCAATGTTTATTGGCGCGATAAAATCATCCACTTAGGATTTTATTTCAAATTTAATTGCGAAACTTTTGACTTTTATTCAAATACTTCTGTTTTGGCTATAGTAATTTGCAATCCGGCTGGGCGGGGTAGAAGTGGACATGTCGGGTGGGTTTCGGTTTTTTACAATAGACATAGGTAGGTAGCTAAATGATGTTTTACTGATTGATTTTACTGCACGATAGGAGTCATTTTAGACAGTTCAGTTGATGTCAAGATAAATTTTCTTCAACTTTATCACCCGGTTCCTTTTCAAATATTATAGTACAAAAGTCCCATTAATCGTGGTATGTTAATTTTATTTGACGACATCGCAAGTGTTACTATCACTATATTAATATGTAAAACGATCTCTTTCTCTTAAAATCTGCCCTCGACCAACTGACTATGGCCTGAAGGGTGGCGGAGTAAAGTAAACTTTGGCGGCCTCTGATTTACGATCATTGGGGGGTACCTTCTACTTTGTGGCCCCCTTACACTCGCTAATCCCTCAAGAAGATGGCGGTTTACTTTCATTTACTTATTTTACTGTAATTCATAATCTCTTCGTCTGAGTTAGAATTGACAATTCGACTGTTACCTTGCCTTCAGTATAATAGCAGGTTTAAGTATAATGTTAGATTTTCTATTTACTTTTCTACCAATTTGCACTTTCATAGTAACTACAATATATAGCTCAAAGCATTAATACGTCTTTATTTACTATAGTAATATCGCTAATAGCGGCAATTGATCTGATATCTATATCAGACGATAACATCTTCGTACAACATGTGGATGACGTTTCGATAATTATTTATGGGTATGCGTTATTAAGAAAACATTTGCGTTCGTTTTATTGTTGCATATTTTAAGGGCGCTTTAGAGGCTGGTAGTCAATATAGGTATCTGATATGGTAATTAATATAGGTAGCTTTAAAATTAGTTATGTTTAATTAATTTTTTTACTGTTTATATTAGGTAGTTATTTTTTTAGTTTTGATTACTTAAAGACCCTTTATATTGTAATATGACTTTCTTCATTCAGAAATCAGTAGCTTTACCACCGCCGAATCTTTAGGTATACGTTAAAGATTAAGGTATACCTAAATTAATACCTTTCTCACTTGTAACCGTTTAATCCCCATATTATTTACATTATTTTCACAAACCCGTTATGTAACATTGCGCAAGTATTATACATTTGCATATATTATGTTTGAACAGTAGAAAGTGGATACCTGCATAAGAGGCTGGACAGGTGGAGGGGCGAGTTTGTATACTTGGCAGTTTTAAATTTTTGCCGTTAAGGTGGTCAAAAAGTATATAGAATCACTTTTCAATCATCTTCATTTTTCAAAGCTTTTTTTCTACAAAAATATTTTAATGTTATACGAATTGTACAATCGTTTGCTAAGCCTAAATCAAAATGTGGGATATTGTTTATCTTAATGTGTAAGCTTGTTTGTTATTCCTGGATCAGAATGCCGCTACTGCAAAGAAATGCGCAAAAAACGCCGTTTTGATAGATGGGTCTCGGCCGCCCTCCTCCCTCTGCCCGCTCTCTCGCCTCTCTGTCGCCGAACTATTTTTGAGTCAATGGGAGAGGCCCCGCCCCCTAACTTGTCCTGATTTCACTCTCTCTGAATCCCTTGTTTTGGCCACCGAAAGCGGTCTTTTGTTTCTACGGTATGTTAATATAAGTCGACCTTTGTCGTTTACAACCTGATAATTGGGCAAGTACATGATAAGACGTGTGTGAGGGGACGTGTGTCATCGCTCGTTATGTTTCAGTTGATTTTTGTTTACTTACTCTGATTGCAGTGATGGACGAGATTGTTTTCGTCGAGCACCCAGAATCCACGTACGCTGTCAGAACGAGGCCAGCCTTTCTGTCGTGCAAGGCTCTGAATGCTCATACTATCAGGTTCCAATGTAACTCAAAATGGGTAGGTTTGGTGAAAAATTGTATTTTGTGTAATATGATTTCATGTTTACTAAATAATTTTTAATTAAGAATTATGTTTTGGTCTAAAGGTTCATGGACAAGTTTTTGCAAAAAATTCTAAGCTTTTGTTTGATTACTTTAATTTTCACTTTAATTAACTTCAAGTCACAATAGAACTTTTAGATTCCGGATGATAAAGTGGAGAACCAAGACGGTATAGACCAGACGAATCAGAAGCCATTTAAACGAGTTACATTGGAACTGAGTAGACAAGACATTGAGACAGCGTTAACAGAATCAGAAGCCTTCACGTGTCAGTGTTTTGCCTCCAGAAGCGACGATCAAGACGTGATCATCAGGTCAGCGACGGCTCAAATTCGAGTAGCTTGTAAGTGAATTAAAATTGGTTTTGGGAAGATTTTGGGGCAGTTTTATTATTTTTTACATTTTTTATTAATTTTTTTTTGATTTTTTTTTCAAAATTCATAAAAAACATAATTTTAATTAACATTCTTGAGTTACCTTTCTCTGAACTTACCTCTCAGTTGTACGTTCCAATAGGTTACTTTAGCCCATTCAGTTGACTACGACATAACTTTACGTTCTATTTGAGATGCTATCAAAAATGTGTGTGGCGTTGTTAAATTTAGAAATTTATGGCTTTTTGTGACTCGCTTTATCGTCCGCGGATCAGCCAGTGATTTATTCCTTGCCTGCGGCTATATTTATTTATTGGCCTGACATAGTGAGTCAGCCGAGAGTATGGCCATGTTTAAGGCAAACTTTAAACGGTTTCTTCCTGAAGCTATAAACAATTCATTCTCGGATGAAAGCTTATTTAAACTGTAGTTAAGGTCATGATTATTCAAAGTAAAAAAAAACTAGATTATAGGACAGGTAATCAGTAAACGAGTTTTATATATAACTCAAGTGTCCAATTGTAGTTGATTTTTCCCCTTTTTGTGATCTTTTACTACGCTTGTTCAATGTTTAGGACATAGCAATTAAAATCACAGTAAAAATGCGTAACATCACTTCCTGTACAAACATACGATGGGCCATGTAAAAACAATAGTAATGTAATCGGGCGTATCCCGAAGCGCTGGGATTTGTGTAATTTGTTCGGGGGAGGATTAATTAGTTCGATCTCATCATCGAGTTTCTTACGCTTTGTTTACAATGTCCTAGGCCTAATTCTTGGGCCAATTGTGCGTAATTACAGTCGGTCTTCGCCTTGTCTGTCTAGGCAGTACCCAGCCTTGTCTAACTACCCAAGCCTTCTCGAACTACCCGGCCCTCCATAACTAGGCCAGGCTTATCGGCATCGGAAATCGACTTGGAACCCGAATTGCGCAAAAAAGTATCGTCCTCCCCAGACGCGCATTTTTTGTCTCCAAAAACATTTCAAATGAATCGCCCATGTCAAATGCCCTCGGGGAACAATTTTGGGGAGAAATGCGTTTCTGATTGGGACACAATGTCCGGGCAGATCCCTATCACAACTTCTGACTCACTCCACTTAAAAGGGCCATCTGGGTAAAGTAAACAAAGTAATCGAGAGCTTGACGTTCACCTTCGAGCACAAACAAAATACTCTCGAGCATGACATTCTTCTGTCACCACCTAATAGCATGGCAAATATTAACTTTGGGCAATGACCTTAGGGTGACAAATTTGAGAATTTTGAAATTTCGAAATTTTGACAGCTCTTACCAATTACAGTAATCAATCAAAATCTTCTTAACAAATCGCGAAAGTTACAAAAAACTGAAAATTTCAACAAGTTTTATGAAGTAGGCACTGATGCGTGTTTGAAACAAATACAACACCCGAGGGCGGCGGCTGCGGTTTTGATGCCATATGCAACATGAAGACACTATACAACATGAAAACATTATACGGCGTATACGATGACATTATCGCGCTCATTTAAGCCCGAGGCATAAATCACGGCCGTTTCCTGTGTTTGGAGTTCGCCGCCCTTTTCGCACGATCAAGTTCGCGCTTCTGCCTTCAGAATCAGAAATTCGATTCGCACTAATGACCCTCGCTTTCCCCCAGCGACATTGAGTCAAGGTACTTGAGGCTTCCGACCGCATTAACAAACTTTGTCCGCGCCGAACCACTTGAGGAATCTGGCGCGCGACTCTGTTTTCACATAAATTTCATCAAAGAATCTGCCTAATTAGGGGCAGTTGGGCATGCCAAATAACAATATCATAATAACTAGGCAAGCGCGTAAATAAAAATGGCACAATCTGAGAGTTAAGAAAAATTAATTCATAAATAAAGGGAATTGGCTTGTAAAGTAAAAATTATTTTTGAGTTCAAAAAATAAATAGAACTGTCAAGTAAGTTTTGAGTTTAAAACAAACTTATCAACGTTTGAACAAATCACAAAAATGATACTGATATTTTGACGCTTTCTGCAACATATATCGGAAATGTCGACGAAGTGTCACAGAATTAATTTATCAAAGGAAATTTTACTTTTTTTTCGCTTTTGGGGGGTGATCAACGAGAAATTAACAGTTAGGGTAGAAGTTATTTATAGTTTGATATTTTCAGATATTCGAAAACATTTTTATCAAACGCCGGTGTCTGACAAGGTCCCTGAGGGCCGGACCATTCAATTACCATGTGTGCCGCCAGATGGGGAGCCCAAAGTTGAGGTAAATTTATGATTCTTTTGATTAATTAACTTCAAATTGGGTGTTAAGTTTGCTTTAAACACGTTTTCACTATTTTTGTCATTTTTTCGGTATTTTTGAAGTTTTTGTTGTTTGGTCAAAAAGTTTATAGATTTTTAGTTTTTAGACATCTTGCTTTGGTTTGAAGTTTCATTCTTTTTTCGAATTTTAATAGAAAACATTTTTCAATTTAAAATTGCATAAAGTTTATATGATAATTGATTTAGGTCTTCTGGCTGAAGGATGGCCACGAGCTGAGCGAGGACCACGATTCCAATCTTATCTTGGCCAATGACGGATCTCTCATAATTTCCTCGACCCGACTGACGGACTCTGGTAACTACACATGCGAGGCGCGGAACTTGGCCAACCGCCGGGTGACAGAGCCCGCGGAGCTCGTAGTGTTTGGTAAGTTTATGGTGTAATTGATGACCGAGATTAAAAGATGGACGCGATAGATAAGGCCAAGTACCTAATCCAGGGTATGGATGGTCATTGCGAGGCACCTCGGACGTCAAAAAACGACAAACTGAGATAAGGCAGAAAGTGAATGGTCAGCAGTGGTTTTTTTACCCAAAACAACACCTTTTAGCTTGAAATTACTTTTAAAAATTTTTTAAAATAAGATAAGATATAAGCATAAATCTATATTATAGGTCTATTATGCTTTTGTTAAGTCTTCTTGGTCTTTATAGGTTGTTATGTAACGTAATATAAGCATTTCATCTGCAGTATCGTCTGTTTAAATGGCCTGGTATTAACTTAATGACCGGAGCCGTTTTTTCACGCCTAAGCCCTCCTTTAAACGACCTAAGCCTTTCTGTAATTGGAGGTCGTGCGCGACAAAAGACCGCGACAAACAGACTCTCGGTTTTAAGGACCGGCACATACCTTTAAGGGTCGGCTCCAATTATGCCGCCCTATTAACGTCTGTCGCACACTGGCCGAAAGGACAAGTTGTCCTCGGTTGTGCAACCACGATACACCCGAAAAACAAGTTTTATTTGTCGTAAAAAGTTTCAAAAGCACCCGACATCCGATTGTGCAATCTGTGTCCACTTTGATGCGACTTTTTCGATTCAAGAACGTATCCGATTTCAAAAAACAATGGCACTAAAGTTATTTTAAAGCCGAATTTGGGGAAACGAAAGTTTTTGGGTGGAAAACTCGAAAGTTTTTATGAAGGTTCATGCCAGTTTTAATACCTTTTTGTATTGTTTGCTTGTATTTATACCTTTAGTTATTTGCAGTTTTGAAGAAACGTATAAGCATTACAGATGTACAAATTAAGCAATAACAACTAAAAACACATTGTAAAGCATAAAGACTACAAATGCACAAAAATATTAAGCACTATTACTAGCACAGTATTTATATGAACTGTTTTTAGTGGACGGAGACTGGTCCCCATGGTCTTCATGGCAAGGCCTATGTACAGTAAACTGCCCTCTTCTTAATACTCACATCGATATGAGTCGAGGAGATGAACTAGCCCTGAAGCAGATCATTCCGTCTCAACGACGAACACGAGCTTGTAATAATCCGGCACCGATTAACGGCGGCCGAAGATGTTCGGGGCCGGAAGAAGAGTTCCGCGAGTGTCCTCATGACTGTAAGATAAATGGTGAGTGTAATTAATTATGGCCGAAAATGGGAAAGTCCAGATATACATCTTTATGTTCGTGAGCTTAATGAGCTCTTGTCTTTGAATAATATTTGTAAAGCTTCGATCACAATATAATTTGAAAACATATTTTTAAAAAATTTTAGAAATTATGAAGTTTTTAAGTAGACATATCTTATGAAGCATTTTTATGACGATATTGTTGTAGGGTCTTGGTCGAAATGGGCTCCGTGGTCAGAATGTACCACTCAATGTCAGCGGATTCGAAACAGAGATTGTACGGCTCCGAAGCCAATGAATGGTGGTTCAGAATGCAAAGGGAAGAATATGGAGACGGTGAACTGTACAGAAGGAGTCCTACCAGTGCACTGTCAGCCGGGCAACACTTTTTACCAACCAGAGAACCGTCTTCTACCTCAGAACAACATTGACCTCTGGAATGGGAACCAGGTCTTCATCTTGGGCTCTTTGCTGTGTTTCTCCTTTTTATTACTGGTGATTATCGGGCTAATAATTACTTTGGTATGTAAGAAGAAGCGATCAGAGAAAGACCAGGTCTACTTTCCCTCCGGCAGTGTGCATACTGTACTTTTGCAACAGCAAAAGGCAGCGTTGCTGAGTCAGTTGGGAAGTAGAGATGTGAAGCTAATGTGTACACCACCTCCAGCACCGTATGTTTCGTTATCTACCGGAACGGGTACGGTAAATACCCATATATATCCGAATAGTTATACTTTGAAGTCAAACAAGAGCTACGCCAGCGGATATTCGACTAATCATCGACTAGCAGGTACGCAAATATATTGTTTGTATTTTTCGTACTCTTATTTATTCTCATCATGTAAAGTTGAACATATTAATTAGGATTTTACTACAAAAGTAATCTTAATATTGTTATAGGATCCCGTGCAGCTCTGATCAACGACTACTCCAGCTCTAACACTTCCTCCAACGCTGGAAGTTCTTGTGGAGTAACACCATTGAAGAAGACATTGATGCGAGCACATTCACCATCAGAAGAGTATGCTACACTGTACGATTGTGTAGCCGAACACTACAATTCATCCATGACGATAGACGACCGCAATTCAGATGTCGACCAAAGTGCAACGATCGTAGCAGCTCAAGTGGATTCTGATTTCAGTAGAATCGAGCTGAAGAAGTGCGGAGGCTGTGTAGCACTAAATGAGAACACCTTCAGCGAGTCGACCATGGTGTATTTGTCGGTTTCTGATGATTTACAGGTAAGTGGTATATTGTTGTAGACAGATTTTTACGCTTTCTTGATAAATATTTTTTAAGTATTATTACCTATTGAAATTTGTTCTATGTGTTATTAATTTTCCAATTTTGTTGATGACTGAGCTTACCTTATATTTTAGGACCGACCGACTCTAAAGTCAGGTGAAACGTGGTTGAGTAGCGTGGTTGAATTCGGAAAATGTGAGAACGAAACCACAGAGATTCAACCAAACCGACCGGTCGTGATCACACTTGAACACTATGCCTCGACGTTCCCCAAAGACAACTGGGACTTTAGCCTATATGCAGATTTTGGGTCAGGCTGGGAATTCGCAGTAAAATTGGGCGAGGAAAACATCAACACTCCAGTCTATGTGCAACTAGAACGACAACGATATCACATTATGACGGATCAATTTGGTCGATTCTTGTTGGCTGGGTCTCCGAAACGACCAAATGTACCGCCTTTCAAACGGGTTCGTATCTCGTGCTATGCTTCTGTTTCCACCGTGAAGAAGTCCGCCATTCCCGTCAGAGTCTACATCGTGCCTGACTCAGCTATGGCGGTAGAGAACGTGCGGAAACAGGAGCACGATCAGATGGGCACGGTACTCACGGAGTCCAAGGAGTTTCTGATGAACGAGTATGGTGACATCTGCATCAGTTTGCAAGACGAGACATCGTATGCAGCTGATGGCTACACACTACCTAACAATGGAGTCAAGTATCGAGTAAGTGTATTTCAAAAAGTGTATTTACGTTACTATGAATAACAAATGTTACCTAAAAATAAAATGTCCAAAAATAAAGTCTAATGTTGAAAGTCTTCTGAAATTAGACGCTTTTCGTAAATAATGGTGATAAGTAGTGTTGTAGTCATCAAAGACTATTCCTTAGCGTAGTAACAGTATTATATTGGTAAATAATCGCGTGAAATTGATTCAATTAAACTATTATATCTGTTGTGAAATAAGCTTGCCGAATGGTATTACAACCACCAACTTCAGGAAATACCTTCAACGCAACATCAATGGTGCTCACAGAACGGTATCCACTGTCCTTTCAGTATCGTGATGACTGACAAGACCAGGACTCGACTGGTCGGACAGATTTCAGTGTGTCAGAAGGCGAGTGTAGCCGAGAAGCAGATTCTGGAGTTTGACTTCGATCTTTCCGCTAAAGTGAGTCAAAGTTTGTCACAAACATTGAGGTCATACGTTTGATCGGGGTAACGTTACCTCTTTGAGAAAGTCCAAAGATGCCTTTAGATATTAACACATTGAGGGTAACAAAACTCTTTATGAACCTTTTATAATGAAAGTTTAAAAGAGTTATTTTTAAATAATTCTGTTTAGTACTACAGTAGTTCATATTAACATCAATATATACATGGACATTCTTTTTTTCAGCCCGAACGTACTCCCTTGCCCGAGGTATCCAACCGATTGGTCTCCCAAGAGTTAAAGCTTCTTCCAGAAACCAAAAGAAGGCTAGCGAGGTTACTGGACCCGCCCGTTGAATCCGAACAGGACTGGCGTGGGCTAGCCAAAAAGTTGGGATACGACCGGTATTTACAGGTACGTAATTGTTGAACTAAGGGTTTATGTAAACCATGCAACAGAATTGCCATAGGGTTATGTATATTTTTATATTATTTTGAATAAGGATAAGTAACGCTACAATAATATGATTCACTGTGTCCAGCGTTCTTTGGAGTTTCACGCAGAGTACAATACGATTTTAGTAGCCGGTCCTTTTAGCCTACTTTTTGTACATTTGATATTACAGTAGATGTAAAAAGTATTAAAAGATAACCTTTCTTACATAAACACAAGCTTATGCCTTTTAAATTAATTAACCTTGTTTTAGTTCTTTGGTACTCGTCCTCAATGTTCTGCGACAACTTTGATCCTCGATCTCTGGGAATCGGCTAGCTACGGTTCTGACCGTGCCCTTTTCGATCTCCTCCAAACTTTGCGTGTCCTCGGCCGTCCTGATGCCGCTGCCATTATTGAAGAAGTGTTACCATAACCTCTGATGCCTTTCTACAGATGTCCTGCCGTAAATTATTCAAATTTCTATTTTAACATATCCCGGTCTCTTTTAAACGTTGTACCTTTAAGTCATTGCCAAAAGTTTGATCAGACTTTTATCATGTTTATTTTATAGGAACATAGTTATTTTTGTATTATCTTTAGCACAGTTTAAGTTTACTTGATAGCCATGTTCTTATATAGTATTTTCTTGTTTTAGATTGTCTTAGCCTTTTGTAGACTATTTTATTATTTAAAACTGTTATACCTCGCCATTAATGGAAACCGTGCCGACCGGTAAAGCCACTAATAACTGCGTCTTCTTCAAACCACGCTCATGTTCCTGATATTAACCATGTCTGTAAATAAACCTTGTGAAGCTCTGGGAATGTTCCACAGGAAATATCATTTTTACAAAAAACATTGACGAAATTCAGCGACGCTGATGATGAAGAAGTTATTCTCCGTGTGAAAGTCACGATCGAGGCGCCATCCATCACTTGGGTTTAGACGAGCAGCCAGCCGGTCCAGCCCCAATGGATGGTCAAACAAAATAAAGCGCTGTTTATCGGGAATAAAACAGATAAAAGAACCATTGATAAGTTGTTTTTATCACCAACACAGCCCTTTATCCCGGTTATATAGTCTGCTTATTTGTTTTCGTGCAAGATGGACAAAAGTGTAGGTATCAAAGCTTACTTTCTTACGAATCATTAGCTTAATTTTAGTACCAAACGGTTTTTTTGGATGATACTGTCTAGTACATAACTTGACCCAGTCATAAATAAGAGTTTATAGTTCGAAAAGACATGATACATCTCTTTTAAACATCAAAGTTTACCATGTGTTTCGAGTTATTTCACAGATAGGAGTAGCTACTTATATGGATAAGTTGTGTTACTATTTAAAGAGTCGAAACAGTGTTACTGGATAACGTTAGAACGGGTGTCAGTAGATAAAAAGTTATTCGATTACGGTCTGTTGGATATGTTTGTTGTTACATACCAAGGTCATACCAAAAGATCAGAGAATATTGTATTGTTGTTCTCATGACACATTACATGGCCACAATCAATCGAAATAAAATACGTTTGTCTATCAGTCATCAGACAAAAAGATTCTAATCATTGTTCCGTGAATATCATCGTTATCGTATATTGCATACTCAGAATACAACTTTCTTTGACAAACCCTTACTCTTGTTGTTATAGGTGTAAGGTTATTTCTAACAATCAATCTAACAACTTTAATAATAACTGTTACAACCTAATACCTAATAAGTGATCTCACAACAACAATGACCTTAACTACTAATCTTACCACAGTAACACATGTCATTAACAAGTTGATCAAATAGTCTCTATCACTAATGACCCATCTCCGAGTCGCCATAACATAAAAAAGTATGAAAGTAACGATTTCGTTGTAAAACGATGGCAAGTTGTTGTAAAGCACTTCCATGAACAGGTCACAATACACAGTAAACGGATACCGTATGTTTACAATAGTTTGATGTCTGATCAGTTTGTTATTGTTTCTTCGAGAAGCCGTTTCGAACAGTTAATAACAACAAACAGACTCTACCTATATTGCAACTTTCGCTCTCTCTATATCTACCTTTATATGTTTACTCTCTATATAATGTTATACATAGTGACTTGACCGACCTGTTCAGTAGCTGTGTGTAGCGCGTGATCATTATGTGTTATTTATCGGTTCCTAGACTTTTAATTCAACACCATCGTACACAGTCCCCCACACACCAATTGGCCCTTCTTTCGGCCTGATTATGGTATTTAGTCCCCGTTCGTCCGTCGCCAAATAAGGGCCAATTCGGATGTTATAGTAGATGGGTGACGCCACCCATCGATCAGTTCTCTCGTTCGTACGGTGAAATCGAAGACGGTGGGCGGTCGGAGTAGGAACTCGACGAACAATCGCGTCAGTCCGTCCTGCTTCTCCTTATATCAAATCAGACTCCCGGCTTCAGAAGCCATTTTGGTATCGTCCCACGAAGCGATACATCTACCTGGCCATGTTTTGGATTTCTGGTGGGCTTTGCTGTTATAATCTCGGTTTACGGGCATATTATGTCATCATTTTTTTACATTTTTGTAAATATTTTTTTAGAAAACTTTATCTTTTTTAAGTTTAGGTAACAACTTAACATCTCCCACTTTAGGCACTAAACGGGGTATTTTAAATTGATTTTTAAGTAAAATTAGTTTTTTTAGTTAGATATATTATCTAGTACCATTTTTTTCTTAGTTTTAGGTAACAAAAAAGGGCTTTTAACAAAATTTAGGTAACAACCCCGCTATTTTTGTGGATCAAAGCCACTTTTGACCCAAAAGCTTTATGCTAGCATTTAAAACAAGGTCCTCCTCCCAACTTATGAACCTTCTTATAACAAACAAGCCTTTCTCGTGTTTCAGCATCCCCCATTATTCTCCAAATCTAGGGACCCAACCCAGCGAACGCGCTCAAATCGCATGCGTTGGTCTGTTTTTTGCGCGCTTTCTCGGCATGATTACTAGTTTTTGTTGAGTTCGAACCCATTCCTTTCAGTTAAAGCCACCTCGGCTTCCCACAGCACGCGGGTGTCAAGTCGACATCAACTTCTTCACAAATCTCTTCTAATTCAGGAGAGCATCCACTGCAACCATGTTTGAGGTATTCACCGGAGAGATCAGCTTCCTTAACATTCTCTCGTTATGCGCCTTCTTCACCACCGTCGGGCTCTTCTTTTGTGGAATGTAAGTTTTTTCTTGCCTTTTCTACCTTGTTTCATGTTATTTTAGATGTATTTGATCGTTCTTAAGGTGATTTCATATGTTTTAGATGTTTTTTTATATTTTTAAAGCATTTTAGTTATTTTTACTTTTTTTCACATTCTTGTTACCTAAATTTACCTTTTTTCTAAATTAGTGCTGTTTTAGCCCAATTTGCCGCCAGATCTGGAAGCGAAAAGACACAAATGAGATTAGTGGAGCTCCCTTCCTGATGGGCGTTCTGGGAGGATTCTGCTGGATGACGTACGGTATTCTGAAGAACGACGAGACCGTGAAGTACGTGACCAGTGCTCAAGTGGTCTTGTACTCGGTCTACACAGTCTACTACTTCTTCATGACCAAAAAGAAGTTCTGGATCAGTATCCAGATCACCGCGCTGACTGCCATCTGTACCGGCCTCTTCTTGTCGCAGCACTTCTTTAAGGAAAGAGTTCTCCATCCTCTTGGAATCGTATGTTTGACGTTGAACATCGCCGATTTCGCTGCTCCGTTGGCTGGACTCAAAGTGGTCATTCGTCGTGGAGCTACCTCGACCCTGCCATTGCCTTTGTGTATCGCCAACTTCTTGGTATCTTCGGAATGGTTCATTTATGGTCTCTTGAAGGGTGACTTCTACCTTATTGTAAGTTTTCAAAGTTATAGTGCAAACAAACGCGTTTTCTCGCCAAAAACAAGGTTTTCGTTAAAATTAATACCTAAAATGATGTCTTGTTTTGTGTTTATTACCCAAATCAAGGTGTTTTTGAAACTGTTACCTAAAATTAATTTTTCATTACGTAAATTACCTTTTGTTTTCGAAACTGACATCAAAATATATCTTGTTTTCTTGTTTATTACCTAAAATACCTTTAATTTTCAAAATTGTTACCCAAAGTGTATTTTTTGAAATTTTAAACTATTTTTATATTTTCCAGTTCCCCAACGGAGTCGGTTCCTTCTTGGCCTTCTGTCAACTGATCCTCTTCATCGTGCTGCCAAGAAAACCAAAGCAACGAGCTCCAATCGTTAAGCTCTTCTTCTACATCAAACGCTGTGGAGCTCCATCAGAAACTGACATTGAGACCTCGGCCGTTGTCCCACCAGAAAAGGAACCCGACAGCCGACTCAGCAAACGCTGGTCCAAGAGATTGGCCGCTTCTATGGCCAGCGTTACCAGTGAGATCGAAGAAGCCATGTCCAAGGTGCAGATGGGAGGCCAGTTCGGATACTCGGCCAAGCTCAACACTCTGGAAGACATTCCCAGCGACACTGCCACCTTAGACTCGGCCGTTGTCACTCCTAACAAGGACCCTAAGGAGATCAAGTTCCCTATGACCATCACCAGTGAGGAACAGCTAATGCAGCTGAGCAAGACCCTGATGCACAAGCTGAGCGTATCTGGAGAGCCTCAGACTCAAGTAGATCGTGCTCCACTTCCAGAACACTTCGGAGAGTCCCACCCTAGTGGTACCATCTCGGCTTCGTCCAGCAGCTCCAAATTGGAACGATGCCGAAGCGAGCCCAGTGTCAACAAATAAGTATTGTTACCTAAATTACCAGTACTTGTCATTTTACAATCAATGTTAACGGCCTTTTCCAAAATATCTTAACTATATGACGTTAACTGCCTTCTGAGTACTGTAACTAAGACTACTCGCATAACTCTTGTGAGCATACTGTCTGTACAAACAACCAATTGTTGTAGTCATTTCATCTCACTCCATCACTAGTCTCTTTGCCATTCTCATATTTTCCTGCACTCTCTCACCGACTTGACCCCGCCTTCTCTAACTTTGTTATAGTACCGGTGTCCGTTGGCATCTATTATGACATGTTGATTCAAATCTCTAGTGCCGTACCGGTGTATATGGCACTAAATGTGATATAAAATGTCGCATTTCTGTGAATTAAAGTCTAACTTGTCATGTCGATGCCAGTCCACATCTCTAGTCTCAAATCGATGACGATGACATATTTTGTGTTATATCAATGTCATTTCAATGTTTTGTGTCATATTGATGTCATTTCGTGCTCTAATGAAGTTATTGTAAACGTGTCTAACACATTTTGGGTTGTGAATCCATTTTTGAACCACGAGATCTCTTCACGACCTGATTGTAGTTCAGCTCGTGTTGTTTATGCAATAAACATGTAAGAAATATTGTCGTTGTGTTAAAATATCAACTTTAAGACAAGTAGGTGCGTGTTCCAACAGTTTCAACACAGTTTGAACTAATCTTTACTCCAAAATGACTTTTTAACGAAAATGCCTTTCCAAATTGACTTGCATTTGCAGGTTCAGAATCTTCTCCAAACGTAACAGAACGATGATATGATTGATGGTAGGGCATCAGACGGATCTAACCCCAATTTCTTTCCAACTTTACTTTACAATCGGAGTCACGACACGCCTAATAATAACTTCATCTTCGGTTGCGATTCACGTGTTCCATTAATCAAGCGATAACGTCAAAGAACGGCAATGTTGAATTGTCAAAATAATATTGTAGTAGGGTTGTTGTGATGAAGCAACCATTGTTACACAAGATATCAAAACACCACCAACTACTGAAAACGTCAAACCTTTGTTGACAATAATTTTACAGGTTAACATTGTTAATGACAATAGGAACTCATAAGACATTGTCGTTTGTCGTAAAATCACGATTTGTTATCCTTAACTGCTTCAAATATTAAAATAAGAATTTAACCATTGTCTTATAGCTCTTATTAAGAAAACAGGTAAAGGTAACCATTAACTACAAGATACCAAAAGTAGTGAGTGTGTTTACTAAGTAATAAAATATATTTACATTATTGTGTGAAGGTTACAAGATGTAAAACTAATGTCTAATTACAGAAATTAACAAGTGAGATTAGTAATTTAGTTATGTTAACGTCGTGCTGATCGGAATTCTTTTGGAGGTATTAGGCGACTTGGGGTACGGGAGGGCGTAGCGAATGCGGGCTTGGGGGAAGATGCCACTGGAACCTAAAAGTAAAATATAAGCCTAGAACAGAATCAGTAGTAATTAAAAAGATTAAGAAAATTCGAAAAAGAAGAGACCAACACTTTCATTACAAAGTCTTAAATTCAATTTAAAATTTTTAAAAAAATCTTACTCGACTAGCTGATATTGGTTCAATGACTGACACACTCGAAGATCGTCTCTTTTTGCTTTTCAGAACTGCTGTACTTGGTGTTTGAACACGTTTTCTCGGAGATGAGGTGCCTGGAGGTGTTGATGATGTGCCGAATCGTTGTTCGTACTTAATCTGTTCTTCTCGCGTTCTTTTCTGAAATTAAATTTTTATAATTTAGTATTTTCTGTCGTCTACAAGCTTTCTAAGCTCCACAAATAAAATTAAATATCTTTTGAAAACCAGCAAAACCCACCTTAATAACTTTGGCGTTCTCCTTAAGCATATCTTTTTCTTCAATCATATTAACCACAAATTCGTACACCGACAATCCATTAATAGTGACACTAGGTGGAAGCTCGTTGATATCTTTTAACTGCTCCAGAAACTTCTGTTGCTTCGCTTTCAGAACTTTCTGTTTTTGTAGAGCTCGGTTTAGACATCCGCCACGATTTTTTCTGTAGGCTTCTGTTTGCATATCGAGCTCCAGCTCTCCCATCTCTTCAAAAGCATTGTACCATCCAAAGAACTTGTCATAAACTTCCTTCCCCGTCTCGTATTGAGTCTGCAGACGATCCAAATCAACCCTCATTCGGTTGATTTCGTCTTCTGCGTGTCTGTCTATAATAATATAGACTTAATAATCAAAACCATAAGACTTCAGTAAAACTTAATTTGTGTATCAAAAATTCTAAACAAAAAATTCCTAAAATCTACTACATATTTAAGAAAAGTCACTTACCTGGATCAAATTCAGATTCATGACAGTCGAGGATGTCCAGAGCATGACATTTCAAAGCCAACTCCTTTAATTTGCCGTACATCTCAATGTACTCAAATTCCATTGCCTCCAGCCATTTTTGGTATTCATGATCAAACTAAAACGCAATAGTTTGAATTTTAAAACATTGCATTGCTATTAGTAAATAAATGGTAAAACGTAGGTAGTTTTAAAATTATGTTCCCTGGAACTTATACCTATAAAATGAAAATAATGTTAAAGGACCAAACCTTCTCTAGAAGATCCTCAAACCTTTGAGCAAATGATTGACTTAAAGGTACACGGTGCCTTGATGTAAAGTCGAGAGAAAGAAGCTCCTTCTCCAACTCGTCCAATGAAATGTTCTTCACAACTTGGTTCATCTTGTTGGCCTTGTTCTGAAGAGCTGTCAAGAGCTCCAAACGTTCTTCAAACTCTAACTTCTTTTGATTCTTAAGTTCTGTGATTTCTTCCACCACATCTGGTGACAAAATCTAAAAAATTAATATAAAAACGGCATTGAATTTTCTCATATAAAATCATTTCTTTAGAAGGATAGAAGAACTTACTTTATCTTCTACTCCATCAAAGAAGGGAACTTCTTCGTCCAAAACAGTGCAAATTTGGGTCAATTCATCATAAATATTCAATTGTTTCGCCATCTTCTTATCCTTTATAGTCTTCAACTTCTCCAGGTCCTTCCTCAAAGCCTTTAGCAGTGAGACCGACATTGGTTTAAAGTCCTGTGTTCTAAAGGATTGTTCGTGTAGCTCTTGACGAATATCATTGTTCATCGCTAATGCTGTTTTAATATCTGTTTCTACACCTTTCACCATCTCCTTCTCAGATTCAACCTAAAATTAAGCCATAAAAGCGGTAATTCCTGCCATCTTATCCTCTTGTTGAGCTTACAGCCTAAAATAAAACAAAAAAATTTTAAAAAAAACTTACGATATCTTCCATTAAAGAGTAAAAATGCTCGTGAGCTGCTTGAATTCTCAATTCTCGAGCAGGTTGATCTAAATGAACTTTATTCCATAATGAGTTTAAAGTTTCCATCGCCGTGTGGAAGGTTGACAACAAATTTGCAGTCGAATCATCCACCGACATTCTGAAACTCTCTATTATTTAAAAACTATTTAAGTTTACACAAAATTCTACCAATTATCTACACCAACATACACAACACAATTTTCAAAACAAAAATAAACTCAATATTACCTTCTCTTTCCTGCTCTGCTTCGAACCGGTGAATTTGTTGGGCTGATCATGATCGACGTACGTCTTCTATTGCCATCCATCGCCACGGCACTCCAAAACTTCTTGTCTTCTCGAAAAAGAAATGAAAAAAAAATCGAAAAAAAAAATATTATTCAAAACGAAAATTGGTGCAGTGCCAATAGGTTCCAACAATAAAACATTTTTCTTGGTGCGTTATGCCAAATAAAAGTGATAAAATATTTTTTTGATGAAGTGGATTTGCGTTTTTAGCGTGTGATCCAAATTTTTTGACTAAAAAAGTTCTGCAACATGTCTAAGTAAGTTCTTAATTGAGTATCTTATGTTTCTTTTATTTGAATGAGAGATTCATTCTTATTTTTACGTGTTTTAGCATTCGAAGTCTTGGAGACTTGAAAGGAGACAAGCCAGAGAGTGGAAATTCTTCAGATGAAGATGAAGGTCGTCAGGGATTCTTTGTTGGTGGAAGCGAACGGAGCGGTCAACAAGTTTTGGGTCCAAATGGTGGTGATCAACTTGCTGATCGAGTTTTCAAATCGGCTCAACGTCACGGAGCAGAAACCTTGAGCACGGAAGAAGCGGAGCGCTTTCGTGATGGAGCCTCAGATCCGAATTCTGGTGTCAGGTTGAGTGGTGGCCCCTCAGCTCAGATGAACACTGAACGAGTTCACGTCATTTTCTGGCAAAATGGTTTCAGTGTGGACGATGGACATCTGAGATCGTTTGCGGATCCCGCTTCTATGGAGTTCATCAAAGCGTTGGATCGCGGTCAAATCCCGACTGAACTTCAACAGAAGCATCGTTACAAGCAGGTCGATCTGCATCTCGAACGTCGTGCTACTGAGTACGTTAAACCAAATGCAAAACCGTTTGCTTCCTCGGGTCATCGTTTGGGAGCTGTTGTTCCTGAGATTGTTTCTGGAGAAACGAGTCAAGCTAAGCCTTCTGCTGATGGTAAGTCTTTAAAAAAATATTTTTGAATTTAGGATAATGATTCATGTAATAGTAAACTTCTTGCTATCATTAATTAAGAAGTTAAATATTAAAAACGTCTTGAATTTTACACGTACATTTATTGTCGTCTTAAAATATAAAATTGACATGTAACTTAGTTACTGTTATGGGACATTACAATATAAATAATAAAAAATACAGACGATTATAAAGACCTATCTAAAAACCCTATTGCTAAAGACCAACTGGTCCATAGCTTCGAACTCTCACTCAACTGGTGATCAGAGGCATTTTGAGCTAGAGCCTAAATTATAATCTTATCATATTTGCACTGGCCTATTTGCATAGGCGGCACCTAACTTAATATAATGATGAATCTTGATTTAGAAGCTAAGAAATTGTTTGAAGAAGCTCAAAGCAATGTTGGTCTGAAGGAGGGTGAACCTACGGGCAGGATCCAAATCAGACAACCGAACGGTGAACGCTTGATTGGCACATTCAATCCTTCACATGTGGTCGAGGATGTCCGGTCTTTCATTGTCTCGTAAGTTTTGTATTTGTTACCTAATTTTTTAAACTTTGTAAAATATAACAGTTTTGGTACTTTTTTATGGAATAACATAACTTTCTTGATGAGTTTTGAAATATAATTGTAATGTTGCTTTAGAGCTTTACCAGAATGGGCGTTCCAGCCGTTCCAATTGTACACTACCTTCCCTAATAAGCTAATTGAAGACGAGTCCAAGACTGTGAAAGAAGCTGACATCTTGAATGCAGTCGTTGTTATTAAACCTGTTTCCTAAATTATTATTAAGGGTCACATATAAACTATTGTACCATTTTGGCGTTTTGAATTCAGAAGTTTGTGACTTTGTTACCTTTGGCTTATACTTGTTTTTAGAAATTGCTGTAATTTATCCATGCGTATTAACAGTACTATATTGTTTAGATGCCAGGTGGCATAAAAGAAGCTTTAGGTCTAGACAAGTTTGCTAAGGCTTTGAAGATCGTAAAGGATGCTGGAGGCATTCGTGGTGCTATAAAGCAACGATATCTGTAAGGTTTGATTGTGATGTTGTTACTAACATGATTAATGGATACTATATTTACTTTTTATTATTTTTTTGGCAGTTTTATCACTAAAATAATGTGTAATGACATTTTAAATTTATAGGATTAAATTTGATAGTTATGTTCTGTTGACTTTGATAGTATACTTTTAGGATGGATCAGAGCAAGACTGGAGATCTGATCGGAACGGACAAGTTTGGCAACAAGTATTTCCAGGACGATGGTAACTTCATGCCCAGAAACAGATGGGTGGTATTCGACGAGAAGCAGTGGTTGGACTACGATGCCACTCAAGTGCCTCCAGAATGGCACAGGTGGCTACACCACATGACTGACGAGCCTCCCACCGTCAAGCCTCCAGTAGACAGGAAGTGGATCATGGAGCACAAAGAGAACACTTCCATATACATGTAAGTGATATTGTTTTTGGTTGATTGACACTTTTTATTGTAGAACTGGATTCTTTTTGATATGAAGTGTGTTATTAGTGTATTGTTTAAATAACGGTTACATTGTTTTTGTAATTTCAGGGACGAGAAATACATCCCGTACTCGACTACCAGACCCAAGGTGCAAGGCTGGCAACCCAAAAACAAACAGTAAATTTTATATTTGTAGGATTTATTGCTGATTAGAATGAACTGTATCATAACACTTGAACAATCGATAAATGTAATAGGACTTACAACGATAATATTATGAGAGTTGACAATGTTAAAGGTAATTGTTATGTAAAAGGCTAATTTCTTTGGTTTTTGGCATCTGGAAGACAACATTCGTTAACAGTAACTACTAAATGTATGCTGATGATTAATGGATTCTTTTGGAAATCTGTTTTTCCAATTTAATATTACAGGTGAATTTGAAAGTCTCGAATTCGTCATTCATTCTTAATGTTTCATAGTAGGGCTTTTACCTCTTACCATGTTAGACCTTTGTCACAAATGGGTTTTTCAAGTAAATCTTTTACGGTCAACAAATTTTAAGCAAATTTATGTTTAAACGACGACTTTACAGAATTCTTGACCGCAGAATCGACCTTTGGTCGTGTTACTTCTGTAATTCGAATTTGGGAACTTATTAGGAGGAACGTGTTACGCCGAGTCAGTATTATTTATTTTGTTTTTCTGATGAGGTTTGGAGAAATTGAAAAGACAAGCCCGCAGGGAATGCTTTATATAGAAAATTGGAAAGAGTTTATTTGTGTTAATCTTGGGCCGCTTTGTTTTTGTGAGGTATTTAGGCCTTCGTTGGGCCTCATCAGATTATGGAGATTTCATTGTCCTCATAGTACGCCGGAAAGTACTAAAAGTGACAATGGCACTGGCTATTTTTATGTCAGTTCATATTTAGAATATACGGATAATATGATCCTCTGACATTCTTAGCAAGTATGAGTTTGCTCGATGACTTCAGAATACGTTTATTACTGTAGCCGTTTATTTGGGCTTTTTAATGTGTAACAGACACGAAATGTATGTTTTAGCAGCAACATTAGTCAATGGGGATACTAATACTAAGTTTAATATGCTCTATAACTAATATATTGTAGTTTATGCAAGAGTATTTTTAGTATCTTTACAACTCGAACTCTGTGAACGAAAGGAGATGCTTAAGAAAGATTTTTACATTCCTAAAAATACCGTCCCCCCGCTTAGCCCCACCCTCCTTAATAAGTGTGTGAGGAAGCGCGGCCCAAAATAAGAGTTATTGTGGTCCAAGTTTTGGCGACTGCACCTGATACCAAACAAAGCGAAGGGCTTCATTAGCATGGCCATTTCACAACTATATCTTTCCGAGCCAGTCATTCCTTTAAGTTATTCATGTCCACGCACTCTCGGCTTCGCTATCCAGTGCACTCTTCATTTTATCGTTCCGATGCACATTCGGCCGCTGAGGCGGGCGGTGCGTTTAATTGGGTTCGAAACATTGTTTTAAATTTGTAAATATTGTTTTACATTCTAAAAAGAAGGTTTACACGGTAAAGGGTTTTACCATGGGATTGTTGGTTTACATAGTAAAAGCATCGAGTTGTAGGTATTGTTTTACTTAGTAGAGAGAGGTTGTAATTTCTTTAAATTGAGGAGGTAAAGGCAGATTAGCTGGTCACAAAGTCTTTAGAATTAAGATAGTTATTTTTTGTAATTAAGCGGAGGTAAGGGAAGTGTCTGAAGGTAGGACGGGGTTTTGTAAGGGGAGGAGAATGAATATTTATTCATATCAGACAGAAATATCACGCTTGACTTTTGGATAAATTACCATCAAGACTCTGTTTTTTTAAATACCTGTCAACCTCTGACATTCCCAAATTGCAAACATTGCCTTTGTCTCTGAGTATACCTCTTGTCTCCGGCGGCCTCAATCTCGGATCCAATTGTGCTGTTTTTGGTACGGGATATTTGTTTTTCGAGTGCTATTTCTGTTGGGCGGCTTTCCGGCACGGGGGGGGAGGGGGGGGAGGGAAAACTAACGCCCAAATTGAATTTCGCACATCGCCCAAATCAGGTTGACATTGATTCGAAGGAACGGCGGGAAGTGAGGTCAATTCAACACTTTCAAACATAACTTAATGTCATTTGATGTGACGGGATTTGAATATGACTTTTAACTCTGATACCATTTCAGAGCTGTCTTGATATTATTGTTCTTTTTGGGGAGCTTTAAAGTTTTTTGTTTTATTGTGGTCAAAAAGTACGTAGAACCGTTTGTTTCAAGCGTTTGTGATAGCTTTGTGTGTTAAGATGACTTATGTTTAAACTTTTCGGCCAAAGTAACTTTAGAGAAACATAAAATGATATGTTGACTAGATATTACATCCAACTTGTCGAAAACCTTTTTATTCGAATATTTTAACTTTTCACGCCAGACCATTTCATTACTTAATCCCCTCGGGCACGTTCTTTAATTGGCCTCTGGGACACCTGTTCCACTTGGAGTAAGGGCCTTTTTTGTTTATTATACCTAATTGCTTTCCTCTCCAATGCTTAATTCCCACCATTGTTATTCGCCGGTTTAATTGTTTGTTATTGTACACCATATTATTGTAGATGTTGGAGGTGCAGACAACGGAGCCCGGCCCCAGCACGATGGCCAAGGGTCTGTCGGCCAAGAAGTTCACCAAACTGGAAGTGAGTCCACGGAGACGATCCCATGATGTCGCAAGTGCCTACATTACTCGGCCCCAGTCCAAGTCTCATCGAAGGGTAATTAAGTTTTCATCATAATGACAGCTTTACTTTATCATTTGTATGTCATCGTTTCGGTTCGAAAATAAGTTTTTAGTACAATTAGAGTTGTGTTAGTACTAATTAGGAGGAACGTAAACTCAAAAATGAAAAAGCTGACAAAACATAGGGAAAAACACGATTCTACTGACTTTTCGACCAAAAAAGCATTTTTTAATGCAAAAAAGATGTACGGCCAAATTGAATTTCATGCCAGCTTTGTTTACAGCGTAATAATATTGTTTACTGTGCAACGATGCATTTACAGGGTACGATGCACGCGGTTCAAGCCTCCAAAAACAGCTTCAACAGTATCAGTTTCGGCTACGCGGCGAGTATCCAAGCCGTTCGAGTAGAAACCCACGCCAGCGTGTCAGTATCAGATGAGGAAGGCTCGTCGTACAACGACGACCAACCCTCCACTTCAGTTACAGAATCCGATCAGACGTACCGTGAAGGCGAGTTCTTTGCTCGCATGCCGAACAAGGTGATCGTGCCATTGTCGTGCGAATGTCTAAGCGGCCGAGAAGCCGATGTGTTTCTGGAGGCATTGGGCGACAAGAACCGGGACAAGATCCAGAAGTATCTGGAGAAAGAGGAGCCAGACATCGGCGAGTATCACATCTGGATCCGGAACGACGACACTTCACAAGTCAGTTTGTTTACTATTAATATGCGGGAGATGCATTACTCCGTAATAGGATGATAGATTAGACAGGAAAGATAGTATTAGGATGTTATTTTGTAATGTAGAATGTCACGTAGTAGTGAGATGATATGTTGTGAAACAGACACAGTAATATTGAGTTGTAGAGACAATAATATAATGTTATAGTAAGGTTAAGTGAACTGTTTTTATTATATTATATGAAAACTAATTGACACCAAGTTAATGCTATGTTGTGCAGAAGATATCCCAGTAATACGATGACACTTTACTGAGTAGCAAACTGTTTTTGCGTAGTGATAATTGAACTTGGAAAGCCAAGGAGCAGGGATAAAATTTAATTCCTTTTAAAGTAACTCGAGGCAGTAAAAATAGTAAAATGATTACCTAAATGTCATTAACTGTTCTTTGTGTAATCGTATTTCGCAAATTGTTTTATCTTCTGATTTCTGAAGGCATAATGCCATTGTATTCAAATTAGCAAAGAGTACAACCAACATATGCAATTACAAAACTGAAACCAATGACAATAGAGGGATGCAATAACAGTATGTAGTGATTTTGTCTCCTTTTGTATATTTGGCTTTGTTACACTTTTTGTAAAGGTAACTGTTACATAGTTGAGATGAAAAGCCAAACTTCTTTTTGAATTCTGATATTATTTCTTAAAGTTTTTACTACTACTGCTTAAATAAGACCTTTCGAAACATTTAAATGCCACGAGACGATAATTGTGATGTTGTTATAGTGCATATTTAAGCAACTGTTTACATTATTTTTGAATTGAAAACAATCCCAGACGGAAAATTATAATTACTTTGTCCTTTCATATACCCAACACATAGGAAGAAATTAGGCCATATATCACCTGACTAACTCACACACATACTACAATATACTTAAAAATATCTCATACACAGACAAAAAATTAATTTGTAGTAATGATTACTGTACTGCAAGGCACAACTTAACCAAAAAATATTAATATTATCAAAAAACTTATGTACGGTACTGTGTTATACTATAGCAAACTAAAATGCCACTAGCTACATACAATAACATGTCTCATCCATGTGTCCATTACAGGTAACCGTGGTCAGCATCAAAGCCCTCGAGAACCACTTCAGAAGCGAGAGAGTGAAGCGTGTCAAATGGCGGCACATGTCCTTGGACAAGGCCAGTATCTACAGGTACTCGGTGCCAGTCATCACGACCAAGTTCCGGCTCCGTATAGTACACTTTCTCTCGCGCAACTACAGGTGCTGTATCCTGTGTGTGTGGTGCTTCGTCATCTTCTTCATCAGTATCGGCATCGTACTGACAGTAATAGTGGGCTCTACCCCCATCGCTCGTCCTTACAATGAGTCCGTCCCTTACAGTACTACTCATCGGCCCCATCTCAACGAGAATCGACTACTAAACGCAGCCAAGAACGGCGGAATGCCAGCTCACGGCTGATGGTACAGTGCACCGTAAGTGTACTGTACAAGTTGCAGTAGCATGGTACGGGTTTTGGCTTTCATATCAATTATTGCAGCGATTAATATTAATAAATATATTTTATGATAATAAGGCTTGTTTGGTACGGTATAAGTTGTTGACAATGCAAAAACATTGTCGTATATGGCCTGAGATTACTGAGAATACATATAAACACATTCTGAGTATTGTACAGGCATGAATATAATTAGGAGATGTCAGGCCAACACAACAACAATATAATAGATATCATATATTGGTGATTTACACTCAAACATTGCTTTTCCTACTGTAAAATAAAAACGTATCTTTACTAGCCGAAATTACTGTCTAATCAAAAACTATATTACAACAAGTTATTACTTGAGTTTGGTGGGAACAAGAGGAAATTGAGCACGAACAGGGTTACGCAGGTCAACCAGGTAACACAAAGCACCAGCCCAGCCTTCGAACAAAGAAAACGGTGAGTCTGGGACACTTGACAAGGACTGAAATGTCATATTACATTAGGAAAAGTACCGTAACGTCACGCCCATACACAACTAAGCCTCAAAATGATACAGTACCTCAAAGTTGGGGTCCATCATGATCACAGCGAACGCTTTAGCCTTCAACAACAACTGGGGATCGTTGACAACTCTCGACAACAACAGAAGAGCATAGCCATTCCCAGCCACACCGTGACAGATTCCAGGCCCTTTCTTCAGAATCCCACGGTGCCATATTAAGTCGGCACATCTCTTTGCACTCTGGAGGTATCGCTCATCGTTAAACAAAGTTATTCCCGTTATCATCAGGTGAATGGCTCCAGGTGCGCCGTGACACCAATGGACAAGTTCATCTTCACCTTTTGGGTATCCAACGTAGCCACTGGACGATGGGAAGTTGCCATCTGGAGATTGAATACCGACAAACCAATCCAATGTTGCCTTAACATCAAATCTGGCTTTTTCGTCGAGGAAGTGCCAATACCTACAAGAAAATTTGTCCACCATCTGACTCTATTTCCGGTCAATTCTTAATGAGTGCTTCAACCTCAGTTTAAACACACTTCGAATAAAGTAGAAAGTTATATTACCTTCAAAAACAAAAACCTACGTTAAGAAAGCCTGTAGAATCCCGGAGATACCGTGAGCCGCTCCAAGGTACTCTTTACCGTGCCATTCGTAGAACAGTGGTGTAGGACTATTATGTTCCGTAGAATATTCTCTTCCAGAGTCCAGTAAGGCTCGCAATACTGCCTTGGCTTCACTTTCCGTTAACATATGCACTCCAGTCTCATTGTACACCATCTGAGCACCTAACAAGAACCCAGCACGACCATTTAGTATGTCGTCATCGCCGTATCTCTGATAGCCTTTCGAGCATACAGTTTCCACAAAACCAGAGAAAAGGCTTTTGTAATGACATACTGACCTTCCTGACATGTGATCCTTAATGGCCTGTATCACATAGAGACCAAGAGTACCACAAAGATAGCGAGAATGTCGGCTTCTGGAGCCATTCTAAAGTTGTAAAATTTAAACAATTACAACATTTTTATTCTTAGAATGCATGTAAGTACAAAGATCTTAAAACTAGTTTTTTTTTCATTAATTTAAAAATACCTTTGCATATTCAAATTGGTTGTTCAGCATCTCAGTACAAGCTTGTACTGACTGTGCCAGCCTTTCTGGGATGGCTTGGGCAGCTTTAAGTAACGAGAAGCCAACTCCCCCACATCCTGTGTATGGTCCAGCTGCAAATTTAAATTGACGTATCTTACGCACTTAAAAACCCACAGTAAACTAAAAACAGACATTAAACATGGCATAAACAACTTTTGAATACTATTTAGAATATTAACCTACCATCCTCAATCTCATCTTTCCTTGCTGGCCTAGCCGTCAGCCGTAACGTTAGCTCCAGAATCCACTTTTCCAGCCATTCATCTGTAGCAAACTTGGCTACAGCCGCAGCGTCGAGTTCACATGGATTAGTAAAGTACCGTTTATGATCTGCTCGAAGATTTACCGTAGGTATCATAGACAAAGGCAACTAAAAAGAAGGTAAATAAGAAATAGAAGAACACATAAATTTAAAAAACACGAGGAAAAAGTATCCTAGACAAAGTCAACTAAAACAACAAGACAGATAAAGTACACAGACAGCCAGCAAGATGAATATGAACCAAAAACAAAAGTTAAATCAAGACTTCACGTAAAGTAACAACAAACATGTCAACAACAACGTTCCGAGACAAACATGACCTCGGGAATGCAAGTCCGAGCAATATTTATGGACTCGCACATCAAAAACTTCATTTAAATCCGAATTTGAATCGAGAAAATAGATTAGCGCCTCAGGGGATCTAATAAGTTGATCTGGTGGTAGATATTCCCACATAATTAAAAGGCCAATACCCTCCCCAGAAGGCCCTGGAGACTCGAAAACGGCCAAAAAGAAGAGTTTCCATTCTTCCCGCTTCTGAATGTCTGCGTCTTTATACATACCATAACAGAAATGGCCCCGAGAAAACATCTCAATCCCTCTCGAACAACATCAGACGCCTAACTTCATTATCAGCAGATTCCGTTAAGTTTATCCGATTCAATTTGTGGCGTTTTACTGTAGGATTAAAGTTCAAAATAGTGTTATTAGTACTGTAAGTTGAGTACGATTACAGTATAATGCTAATGTACTGTAGTTTCTAGTTTAACATAATATAAATTTACATTATGTATAGGTTATAAACTAAAAAAAAGCATGCAAACATTTAAACTATAAAAAAGAAAAGTGTCAATGTCCAAATCACAAGATCTAAACATGTCAAAGACAAATGTATAACTGTCATTCTCAACAATTATACAGTTAATATGAAACAAAAGCATCAAAAGACTGATTCCAACAACCTCCAGCACTATCCAATCAATTGTTGCTCAATTACCATAAAATGTTATTTGAAAGTGTACTAATAAGGAAACTGCTGTAGCATCAACTGTATCTCCTTTATGCAAATTTAGAGTTGAGATCTCACAGGAAATTCCAAAGAATTCTTTCTTTTTTAAGTAAATGTTTCGTTATTTACATCTGTGATCTAAAGATTGGAATAGGTTAAAGCTCAATTCACCTTTACAGAACAAAAAGCGAGGCAAAGTTGACCACCAAACAGCGTTGAAACAAACACAAAGCAACACTTTGACGCGACTAACATAATACGGTAAAAAAGCTACGTTCGCGTTGAAAACGTGTCTTATATTTCGATAGTTAACATGTCCATATCGCGAGTTTTCAATGATTATTTCCATTTAATCTTTATTTTTTACTTCAAAACCTACAAGCCTCTCTATATTCTCCAAATTTTAGTCTTTTCTCGGACATTACATTAACATATGGCTATATTATATCGAAACAAACTACCTCAAAGATCAATTCACCTGTTTTGTTGTTATTTTCTTTTTGAAACGGTTGTTTTTCCACTTTTTCGCTAAAAACAAAACTGTGAGGAGCCTTTTCAAAACCAAATTATTGAATGCCAAGGATTCGTGGCGTTCTGTCTATTGACGTAGGATTCGTCGTTTTTCTGAACAATATTGTTTCAGTAAATTGTTTGAGCCCTTATTGATTGTAGTTGACGTGTTTGTATCCTTTTTTAGCACTTATACGAAAACCTTCTAGTTATGTTATGTTCAAATTGTTTTTTCTTAATTATAGTTTGGTTAATCGTGATTTAAACGGAAATTTTATTTTTTGGAACTGTATGAGAGTTAAGTTTTCAGGTATAATTACTAATTATGGGTGACGATCTTGCGGCCTTTTTTGCCAAGAAGAAGTCCAAGGGTACCAAGAAGAAGGCGATCCGAATGGACGATGTTGTTCAGCAGCTCGAGTCCAATATGAAGTTCGACAAGGTAGGTTATTTTTTTAACTTTTTTATTGTTTAGGAACTTGGTGGCATTGTTAAGGTTCAGAATGGTTGAAGAAAAATTCAAAAAACCGGTCAAGTTAACTGATGTTTTACACAGAAATGTGCTCTATAATTGTTGAGCAATTATAATAGCAGTTCTTACCTATTTCTATGCTTACAAGTATTTTAATAGGGTAACGATGCTTACTTTAGTATGAATAATACTATTTTTTCTTCAGGATGGAGGTGAGGACGATGTTCCTTCAAATCAAGATATTTTGGGAACGAATTTGAACGATGAAGATTCTGAATGGATCGGATATGGTTCCAAGCCTTTGAACCTCGCCGGAGAAACAGTTGGAACATTTAACTCAACAGAAGTTGTAGATGAAGAAGTGGTAACTGATAGAGCTGAACGAGAAAGCTCAGTTGTTGAGAAAACTAAAACCTGGAATATACCTTCTAAAGTAAGATACTTTTAATTTTATCCTTTCGAACTATAATGATGTAGAAAACATGGTTATCAAATAAGTTTAACTTATTTTTATTAAAGATGTCTTATTTTTGATTTAGGACAAAGAAGATGCTCCTAAAGAGACCGTTATCGCCTCTGTTACAACGACGAAATCAAAGTTTGAGGCCTACAAACCGCCCCAACGTTCAGCACTAGGTCAGGGCGGTGCAGTTCGGAGACAGAATGTTGATCTTCGCAGCGAAGAGATGTTTCCTTCGCTTGGAGATGCTGATAAAATAGAAAAACAGCAAACTGAATATCAGAAGAAGCAACGTCAGGAGGAAAAGGCCACAACTCCAGTGGAAACGAAGCCGGAGCCGGTTAGAGAAGTTCGTCGACCTGAGCCTGTGGCTACTACAACACTCCCTACGCCAGCTTTACGACCTACCAATAGACCTGTGCCAACTGGAAATATTGGAACTGGAATTATGAATGCTAAAGGAGAATATATTGTTCTTAACGAGCCTAAGGATGAACCCGAACCGGTGAAGAAGGAGGTACAGTCCTGGAGGGCGAGCAGGGAAGAGAGACCAGCACCACTTCAAACAAACTGGAGAGATGACAAAGAGGACAAGCGTACGTTTTTTTTTGTTTCTAACGTTAGAATACGAATTCAGTATATTAAGATATTAAGAATTTTATAATTTTTGTGTGTTTAACTCTAAATTTCATTTTTCAGCTGCTCCTAAACCTGTAGTCAAATCGAATCCGTTTGGAGCCGCCACGCCTGTTGTAACGAAACTACCGGAATCTATGGCTCCTACTGAAACTTGGAGAAACTCTAAAGCCGGTGCATATCAACCACCTCGTGGTGGCGATCGTCAAGGTCCTCCAGTTGATCGGAAAGCTTGGGGAAGAGATAATAACAGAGAGATACGAGATGCTAGACCAGAACCACCACGTCAAGAACAATGGAGAAGGGACAGTAAGAAGGAAGAGCCGGTAAAGAGCTGGAAGGGCGAGAACGATCAAGCAGAACCACTTGAAGATGGATGGTCGACTACCAAGCGACGTCGTTAGTCATCCCTTATTTATATTGTTGATGGTTGCCTTGTTTAGAACGTGTTGCTGTCTAGTTCTATGTTTATAAATACCATGGTTATCTTGAGTGTTTGTTGAATGTTTTATCATAATGTTTATTTTAATTTGCAAGACGAGAATAACATGATATTGTGGAAGACTTGTGGTATTAATTGTACAATATGTTTAATATAATGTATAGAATGCATTTCACATTTAGTTTTTTGATCAAAAAGTATGCAGAATCGTTTTTCATGGACATTTGGTGTTCTTGTTAACTTTTCGGCCTAGATCTGAGACAGTTATGGGTAAAAATAGCGGCCGAAATGTTTTTTAAATCTGTTGTAGCCACATAACCAATGAGAAATCTTGAGTTATCCTCGAGGGACTGGATAATAAAATCTTGGTCAAAAGCAACAATCACCAGAGTTTTGTTTTTGGACTGGTTGAAGATGACGGTCCGGAGGTAATAATGGGTTTGTTTACTTTGGGTTCGAAGGTGGGAGCCTCATAAATAATCCTCCGCCTGGGTAATAAACTTGGCGGACACGTTGATGGTTGGCCCCGCCGTCTCTGGCCCTTCTTTTTGTCCAAATTCAATTAAACACGGGTCAGCGAATTTCACTGAATTCGAATTTGACGGCTTTTTTGAATTCCATCCCCACCTTCGCACAAGATGTATCGCTTTAATGTCCAAAAGTTCGCGATTGGCGGGGGAAAATAAAGAATTTGTTATACCCCCGGGGCATTTCACCGGATTTCATTTGGAGACAGGGCTCGCAGAGAAAATGGATCCGGGTTTCGGCCGTACCTTTTATTAAAGTATTGTCTTGAGGCTTGTCAAGGCTTTCTTCTTATAGTATGTTGTTCTTAAAGTCGGTTAAAGTATTGTTATTGGGTTGAGTTAAAGTACTTGTCATTATAGTAAATAGTGTGGTATCTTCAGCAAAGGAGTAGTTTGGTCAACAAGTAAACAGAAAATTTGAGTTTTAGAGATTTTTCTAAAAATACAGGGTGCGTGAAAAGTGAAAAAAAAACCGATTGACTATGATATAACTAGTACTACATGTTACTATTGTTAGATATTGTTTTAGTTATATTTGTTGTTAAAATAAATATTTGATTAAAAAACTGGGTAACACCACTTTTCACGCACCCTGTATAATCATTTTTTTTCATCTCACCCATACCTATACACAACAGTATGGCTCTTTCGAAGCATTATCCTATTACATGCTAGTAACAATTATTACTGGTAACAATTACACTTTGTATGTGTAATTGTAACTATTATGTTGAGGATTAGGCAACATGGCAAGTGACGAAACCATTTAATACTGTTAATCTGAAGAAAGCGTTATGGTTTATTAAGTATGCCGTTCTTAATCATCAGCCCCTATACATTCTGTTTTGGGGCCGGAATTAGCCATTTCGGTGTCAGGCAGTCATTCACTCATTCGGCCGTGTACACCAACTTCCACTCGCGTATTGGATGGCAGCTCAGTCGATTCGCGCTCAAAACCGTCGCTCCAGCTATTTCCGGCAGTTCAGCGAGCCGGCCTGCAGCCGGGGCAGCGAGAATCGACCGGTCAAGCGGACCTTGTCGGGGAGCTCGCTGTTCCCGGACTGGCAGGAGATCGCGCAGACTGCCAGCAATTCAGGGCTCTACCGCTTCTTCAAAAAGGGTAAAGTTTGGCGGATTTGCATAATTTGGGGATTAGGAAGGGGTCTGGTTGTTTTTTCTTGATGACTAACGATTTAAAAAGAATTTACTACAGTCAAAACTGTGAGTAATGAGGTTACAGGGTTTTTTAAATTATTCAGATTTTCTTTGGAGTTTATATTTTAAATAGGTGCTTCTGTGGTTCTGTTTAACAAAGAATGTTTCGATTATAATCGGCCTTCTGATTTGGCCAAGGAAAAGCCAAAAAATGGGCTAGCCTAAAGGCTAGTCCTACCTTTTGCTCTAAACTTGTTGACCGACTGCAGCTAATGATTAAAATGAATTCAAAATGAGTATTTTAAACCACAAATTCACACTTTGTTATAGGTGAATACACTTTCAATGTACTATTCCAACCCAACGTAAACAAAGTTTTTCAAACCACTAGATAACGTACTTTAAGTTAGCTAGCCAAGCACTTTCAGTCTTTTCCAAATTTCAAAAAATTTCATAAAAAATCGACCGTATATCAATAAGGATGGCACCATCCATCTGATGGTATTGTGTTTTACATGTGGTTTCATGCAATCATTAATATTCAAGACGGGCCTCTCCTCCTGATTAATGACTTCAGACCTTCGGATCCTTTGGTTTATATTTCCAAGTGTATGTGTTACTGTATAGCGGGTGAGCCGTTTGCATACTTTATTCCGGCCTGTGGTGTTATGTTTCGTATACGATTGCAAAGAATTATTCCAAGTTCTTTGTACTCTTTAGTACTTGGGGTGCAAGTTAGAGTACGTGGAACTTATAGTAGGGCGTTCGGGTGCTAAGTAGGTCAAGAAGTTCGAGGAATTGTTGTCTTAGATATTGATTAAGACTGTTATATGATTAGATATTACATGAGAAACGGTCAAAAAGTGCATAGAATTGACATATAAACAATTTGGTTGCCTTGATTTTTGTTCGTATTACTTAAATATAGTACCTAGACTACAATAGCTAAACTAATTATTGATTTGATACTAAATTGTATTGTCAATTTATCTTTTGTCTCACAGTATTGTATTGCCAACCCTTATCAATACAAAGCAATTAAAAGAAGTTTGTGGAATCCGATACCTAATTGAAGCAACTCACTTATCTACTCCAATATTCACACTCATGTAGCACACTTATGTTATGTAGCACGTGTTCGTACTGCGAAGTGTAATGGTCACGCAATCAGGCCTGGTTAGGGACAAGGTCTAATCTAATAAAGGGTCTGGTCGTATTCATTTCATCCATATTAGTCTTTGTTTCGAGATGCCGTCTTCAACGTCCACCAAAACTTTCTCAGCCTTCAAAGGTTTCGTACTTTCGAGTTATGATTCAAGTTGTTTTAGAGATGTTTAATGTCCTCTTCTCGTTGGCCAAAGACAACGCCAGTCCAGGGACACCGGTTTCGTCGCCAGCCAGTAAGTGGGTTACTGTATTTTGAATTTTTATTCTTTAAGGTTGAGATTTTAATGAATTCGTCTTGAAGACAATACAAATTGTAGTAAATTTGAGGTTATTAGTGAATACTCTAGTCATAGGTAACCAGTATATTGACCTGACAGTTATTGTCCTATGTACTGTTTTGTCAAGTACTAAGCCTAAAAGAACGAGGACTATTTGTAAAGTATAACAATTTGAGGTTCAAGTAGAGACGGATTGGTGGCCACCGTCTACAAACAGTATCGTACTCGAGCACGACTCTTGGAGCCCTATCGAAGAATAAAGAATGCTCTCAAGAATATGCAAGAAGAGTACGTCGCTTCGAAGGAGCACAACCTGTTCCTCAGGTACACACACATGCAACACATGGTACACGAAGTAAGGATTACCGAATGATTGGTGGTATATCAGCTCATTACCTAAATGGGCAATAATGAACTTTTCATGTTTTTATAACCAATTAGAGGAAAATTTTGGAATTTTTTGAAAATTGGGGCTCCGCTCGTCTCATACCCTATCCTCCCGCCCTACCACGCGGCCTTGGCCTTACTCTGTAAATACGTACCCTGCGATGTTTACTTATTTACGCTTTAGGTAATATTACTAGAGAAGCAATACTGGCAGCTGATTGATGTCCCTCAACATGAAGTCTCCGAAACCCCCAATTCATACGTCCTACGGTAATTAAACTTTCCGATTACTGACATTAGTAAAAAACAAAATTTTATTTCTGACATTTAGAATATGTACTACTAGTTAATTGTACCAAAAATGAAAAAATATGAACCAGAAGAGCATACCATAATGTATTTGACGCTACTATTAGTACTGTTTTTAGTTACTACTACTCCAGTAACTAAAGATACTACTACAGTAACCATAACTCATAGTACAGAAGTAAAAAACTATATTATAGTACCTAATAGGTATTACTAATGATAGTAGTAGCCTTGTGTCTGTTTTCAGTGTGATGACACTCCTCGACCAGAAGTCCAACTCTTCGGCCGTAAAGACGGGGGGAATCGCCAGTTTGTTGGGCACTACCATTAATATCGCCGAAAAGACAAAGGACCAGAGTTTTTACGAAGACATCCGCGGTAAGATATTGTTTATTCTTCCGGGTTGTGTACAGTACAGCACATATATAATATTTCCAAATAGTACAATTCGCATTAAATTTGAAAAATCTTTTGGATTTTATTGTTTTTGCCGGATACTGTGCACAGATTGATGAAAAAGTTATGGTGAACGGAAAAACATTGCTTTACAGATAGTATTTTCAAGAGTTGAGTTTTGAATGATAGTGATAAGATATTGGACTAACCGGACTTTCATCCCCATGAATAATATCCGTTTTCTCGACCTCGCAGTCACAAAGTTTTCGATAGTATAATGAACAAAGAAAACTTCAAAACATCACATCTTCTATAATATAATATGATCCTTTCAGCGATGAGCACGGAGGAACTTCGCAAAGAATGTGATCGTTTGTACACAGAACTCTACAAACTCATCCGCAAATACCAGAATCTGCGTGCCATCGTACGCGAACTGACAGAAGCATATCAAGACAGTAGATACTACCCCATCGTGCCACGGTACCATCTCCTCAAAAACATGATTAAAAGGGTCCTAAGAGCCCCAGCCTTTTCAGAAGTTTGCCATGAACAAAACGAATAAAATAAAGATTCTATTTGCTCAGCTTCGTATCCCAATATGACAGTTTGTGTACAACAAAGGGTTCAGAACAATGTTGAACATTCAGGTTTTGGAACCATATTCTACATTTCTTGGCCAATATTAAATATTTTTCTAATTCTAGTTTATCTAGTTGACTCTTTTCTAAGTATTGCAACTTTTCTGCACATTTTTAATGTAAATTCGTAAAAGTTACAGTAAATTTTGAGTGAAATGAGTGTACTAACATCCCTAAAAGTATTCTTCCTAACATGGATATTGTTGTTGTTGACTTTCTACGCCTATTACTTGTACAGCACTTCAGGCAAAGTTGATGTACAACAACTGTTCAATGAATTTGGTAGTAACTTCAAGAAAATATCGGAACAAGTAAGTCCACTTTTACTATGAAGAGAATTATTACAATGTTTTATGTTGTCTATGACCTAATATTACCCAATGTTTTAAAACTACTTTAAGAAAACTCATCAAATATATCGTATTATAATATATTGCCGGAAACTGTTCTTACAGAAACTAACCCCATCCACAATAAAATCTCTGGTAAACTACAGAATGAACGACAAAGCCTACAGAATGGAGTATCTAAAAGAATATTTTGCATCAGCCCAGCTTGAAGTTCCGCATTTAGAAAAGGTACTGACTAATTTGCATAATACTTTACATAAAGATAAGTAAAACACTGCTTTCTTAACATTTTTTAATCAACTTCAGATAAACGACCTTCTCAAAGGAGTAAACATAGATTCACTAGAAGAATACGAAGCCAAAATAAGAAACTACGTGAATTCAGAAGTTGAAGAAGACAAGAAACTCAAGTTCTTGAATCAGTTAGACATCTTCAAGGAGAACCTACCTCATCTCGACGAAGCTATCGAACTCATGATTCAGAACTTGTACAGTGATCAAGATAAAGAGTTGTAAAAGTGTGTAAATGATCAAACTCAGTAAAAGTAGCTACAAACCTACAAAGTAAAATAAATTTTTGTCATCCCATTGACCGATGAACTTAAAATAATGTTGACCTTACGAATAGATATAACAAGTGATTTAATACCACCCTACCTCCAACAATCCAGATGGTTCAAATATTTTCACATGTTTAATATCCAAAGTTACAAAATGTAGTAGACATAGAAAAATTACAATTTTGAGCTTTGTTTCTTGGCTAGATTCTCAGCCAGCTTGTCCAAGAACTCGAAAGTGTTCAAGTAGTCCGACCGGTCGACTTTAGTAGTACCCTTAACGCAGATGGCCAAGTCCTTGGTCATGAACCCTTGTTCGATTGTCTCGACGCAAACCTTCTCGAGATTGTCAGCAAACACAACCAAGTCGTTGTTGTTGTCCAATTTGGCACGATGGGCCAAGCCTCGAGTCCAAGCGAAGATAGACGCTAAAATACGATAAAGTAAGAGATTAAAATTGAATATTTAAGTCACAACTATAATTGTTACTTTTCTAACATACCAATAGGGTTAGTAGAAGTCTCCTGTCCCTTCTGGTGGAACCTGTAATGTCTGGTGACGGTACCGTGAGCAGCTTCAGCTTCCACAGTCTTTCCATCAGGACAGATCAACACAGAAGTCATCAATCCCAGAGATCCGTAGCCTTGAGCTACAGAATCCGACTGAACATCTCCGTCATAGTTCTTGCAAGCCCACACAAAACCACCCTCGGACTTCATGGCTTGAGCTACCATGTCATCGATCAGTCTATGCTCGTACCAAATACCAGCAGCTTCGTACTTGGCTCTGTAGTCCTTCTCGTAGATTTCTTGGAAGATGTCCTTGAATCTGCCATCGTACTTCTTCAGAATCGTGTTCTTCGTACTGAAAGATATAAATGATTATATAAAAATACAAAAATAACAGAATCATTACAAAAAGATATAGATTTTAACCAATATAAAACCAAAATAACATAAATAATTACTGTAAGAGTAAACAACACAAAGTAAACGTAAAAACTTACCTCAAATACAAAGGATACTTCCTTTGCAAAGCGTATTCAAATGAAGATACGGCAAAGTCACGGATACTCTCATCAGTATTGTACATGGCTAGCGACACGCCTGGACCAGGATAGTTGTGAACTTCATAAGCGACCTTCTCTCCGCCATCAGCTGGAGTATAGACCAGTTCTACCTTACCAGCTCCTGGGACCACAAAGTCTGTGGCTTTGTACTAAAAGTATAATATTATCAAAGCTTTAGTAACTTTAAAACATCAGCTTAATAACCAATACAGTTTGAAATTAACTAAAATAGCTAATGAAAAGCTGACTCAATTCTATTAAAAAGCTGTTAGCCACACCAGACAAACACTAATAACACCTTACTTGATCAGCATGAGCATGACGACCGATAATGATTGGTTTGACCCATCCAGTGACCAATCTTGGCACGTTCTTGCAGATAATAGGTTCTCTGAACACAGTACCACCCAGAATGTTCCTGATAGTACCGTTGGGACTCTTCCACATCTTCTTCAGCTTAAACTCTTCCACTCGAGCTTCATCTGGAGTAATGGTCGCACACTTGACAGCAACGTTGTACTTCTTTGTGGCTTCAGCGGCATCAATGGTTACTGAAATTAAGAAAATGTTATTTTTTTCGTTTTTATTCAAAATTTTGATCTAATCATATATATGAATTAAAATAACATCACATTTATAAAAATATTATCTACCTTGATCCTCAGTCTTGTCACGGTTCTCAATTCCCAAGTCAAAGTAGTGGATCTTGAGATCAACATAAGGGTTGATAAGCTTCTCCTTGATCAGATCCCAGATGATCCTGGTCATTTCATCTCCTTGCATTTCAACAACATCTCCACCTTGAATCTTGCCCATTTTTCAGCTAAAAGTCGAAAATAAACCTCAAAAAGTGGAGTAAACAAGTTAAAAACAACAATATCACACTTTATGATGTACATAAAATCCTGTGAAGTGAAAAGAACAACTTAACTCAAAGATACACCCTTCTTTTTACTAGTAAGACCTCTTATTTTGTAAAGAAGACCTTTCATACTATATATAAAACCTTTCCTTGAAGTTAAGACCTTTTATCACCTTTGTTGCATTGCAATGTCTTTTATATTGCAATTTCAAACTTTTACAAGCAAAAACAGATTCGTAGCTAATTTAAAAACAAATTGTTATGACAATTCAAATACGAAAACAGCCTGATATTACCCAAAAAGTGCATAAAAGATAAACCGAAGCGTATTTGTTCGAAAAGCCTCGTGGTGAATATCGAAAACTAAACAAAATAAATAATCAGAGCACGAATGATATTAATGGGAGGGAAATTGGGACGACCTCGCTGCGAATGACCTTCTAAGTCGAGATCTGTTATCAATTCAGTTGTAACACACGATCGTTGTCCATTGATGGTTCTTTGATCTTTCTGTTACAGTTCGCACGCCACATACTAGTCTTGTGTATAATATTATCTAAAACGTGTAAAAACATTGAAAGAAAGCACATAACTTACTAGAATCAACGCCTCCAGATTCAGAATTCATTTTGTTTCATTTTCTTTTCAAAATTGTTTTGAAATTCTGTTTTTCGTCCAGAAAACAAACTTCCCATCCAGAAAACAAATCATTAGTTTGTTGTTTAGAAAATACATCATTTTGTCCACAAAATGTGTCATTTTTATGAATATATGACGGCTTTTCTGAATGAAACTGACGCTTTTCTTGGAACAACAAAATTTTGTTTCCTGAAAGATAAGGATCGGAATTTGTCTCACGAAGCCACGGGTGTTTTGACGCAAAAGAACGATTATCGCTAAGAAATTCATTTTTTCGGGCCAGGGCGCAAGTCGGAAAAATTGTAAGGGGAAATGACATTTTCGAATATACTGAAAAAGTTAACACCGAAAAAAACAAAGTAATAGAGTATTTAAAAACTAGATTTTATACTCTTTCAGATACTATTTAGCTCTATGCCAAAATAATGTTTTGTTACTTCACAATTTGCATTCAAAGTCTGCATATTGGGTGAAAATATAGTGAAACATGACATTTTCGAATATAGTGAAAAAGTTAACATCGCAAAATACAAAATAAAACTGCATTTTAATACTAAATTTTATGCTCTTCCAGATACTATTTTGCTCTATGTCAAAATAATGTTTTGTTACTTCACAATTTGCATTCAAAGTCTGCATATTGGGTGAAAATATAGTGAAACATGACATTTTCGAATATAGTGAAAAAGTTAACATCGCAAAATACAAAATAAAACTGCATTTTAATACTAAATTTTATGCTCTTCCAGATACTATTTTGCTCTATGTCAAAATCATGTTTCGTTTTCCCACAATTTGCATTCAAAGTTTGCACATTAGGCAAAAATACAGTAAAAGCTGACATTTTAAAGTATAGTGAAAAAGTTAACATTGCTAAATACAAAATAAAACAGCATTTTAATACTACATTTTATGCTCTTCCAGATAATATTTAGTTCTATGCCAAACTAATGTTTTGTTATCTCACAATTTGCATTCAAAGTCCGAATGTTGGGCAAAAATAAAGTAAAACATGACACTTTCAAATATACTAAAAAATTTGACATGGAATTAAAAAAAGTGATAGAATATTTAAAAACTACATTGTATTCTCTTACCGGCACTATTTAAAACTAGGCAAAAATAATGTTTCATTTTCTCACAATTGGCATTCAAAGTACACCCATTGAAGAAAAATATAGTGAAAAGTGCATTTTTACCCTACCTGACATACCATACCCTATCCTACCTACTATGCTTTGCCATATCGTATATCATATCATATTAAATTGTATGTTGTCTACTATTCTCTACCTTACCTACCATACCATATTCTATACTACCTACCGTACAATACTCTACCGTATCCTGTACTACCACACCTTATATTTACATACCCTACACTATCTTATATACCATACTATACTAAATCATACCATACCAAACCCTATACTACCTACTATACCATAGTATCACATACCATACCTACCTTATCCTATCTACCAAACTATATCATATCTTACCTTGTCTAATCTTATATTTACGACACTACCGTATACTATAATATTTACCCATTGGTAAGAGTTCAGTGCAAGTAAGTAAGGCAAGATAAGTGGTTTAGTATAGACAAATATGTCATGGTATGGTATGGTAGATATGGTACTGTAGGTAGTGTAGGGTATGTTAGAGTATAATATGATATAGTATTTTTTGGTTTAGTATGGTAGAGTAGGGTAGGGTAGGTAGTATAGGGTGTGATATGGTACAATATAGTAGTATAAAGCATGGTAGGGTATGTAATGTTAGTTAGTATAGGGTATGCTAGTACAGGATACGGTAGGGTATGATATGGTAGGTAGAATAAAGTATGACATGGTATAGTAGGTACGCAAGGTAGAGAATAGATAACATACGATATAATGGTACAGTATAGCATAGTAATTAGGATAGAGTATGGTATGCCAAGTAGGATGAGTACGATATAGTAGGTAGCATAGGGTATGGTATGTTAGGGTTTGTTCTGGAGGTGTCACTATTCCGGAAAGTGACCCAAACCTTTTAAAGATTGTGAAGAAGGTAACATGGCATTAAAAAAAAGTAATACTGTATTCAAAAACTAAATTTTATGTTTGTTCAGATAATGTTTAGCGCGATGCAAATATAATATATCAATTACTTAATAACTGCGTTTGAAGCTAACCTGCTACCTGCTATCCATTTCCAGCCTAATCGTTAGAAAATTGGCATTTTTAGCTATTTTACAAAGGTTAATATTGTCTAAAGCCGTGTAAAGCAGACCTATATCTACGTTTTGTTCCTTCTCTTATTAAAATCCTTAAATACAAGTGCCAGTTCAAAAAAATATGCAAACAAAGTTTAAAGAAATACATCAAAATTCGCTAATAGGATTCCGCTTAAAAACCCCCGATATAGCGAAATTTTTTAAATCCCAAGAAAAATGCTTCATTAATTCTTGACTAAAAAATCCGGATATAATGAAATTCCCTACAGCTAACAGTTCTTTAATCCCATTGCAAATTGCAGTTCGTTAAGTTTTAAAAAGTTGCCATCAACAACAAATTGTTTGTAAACAAACCTATAATATTTTCATTTTACGTCTTTTATATTATTTTTGTTTTATTATAAAAAGTTCATAAGCTGCCTGTGAATAATAGAGCAAACGTTCCTTCGTATAACTTGTCACTCGCGGGACACAGCGGCCCGCCGCGAAAAAAAGTCTAACGATAATGGAAAAACACCCGTGGAAGCATAAATAATGTTGTAAACAACCCAATTATGTTATTTTTTTAGTAAATAACGTTAAATATATTTTTTACTTTTATATATGTATCGCATTGTACTATTTTGGGCATTATTGCTTAAAATAACGTCAATATTTTGTTTAATTATGGGTCAACTTGTGATGCAGTATAAAATATGAGAAGAGCAATTGAAAGGTAGATTGATCACTACAAAAGTTGTGACCAATCGAACACCACTTGCCTGATTGTTGTCGCTCCTCGTGAGAATGATTAAGGCATCTGCGTTGACATACAAAACCAACGGGGATCCCAAAAAAGTATGTTGTTGTAGACTTTACACAGTTTAAAGTAGTTTTTAAGAGCTTTAAATTTTAAAAATAGAAAGTATTACGATAATATTATTATTTGAACAAAATAGAACTAATGGCAAATGACGAAAAGTTAAGGAAATAAGGTTTTAGGTATTACAATTAGAACAGATTGAAGTAGATACTACATTAGGACCGAGTTCAGTTCTGGTGAAATGGCTTTTGTCACCAATCAACCCATTGGATATCAACAAGATCGAGGGCACTTATCCATCAAAGTTTACGAACATTGGAGGGTCTGAAGGAGTGGGAAGGGTTGTTAAGGTATGCTATGTTAGCTTATGTTCTTGATGTTGTGCTCTTTATTATTTGAAAGTTTGTTTTATTTTTTAAAAACTTGTAGGTAGGATCAGAAGTTAGAAAGTTGAAAGCAGATGATCGTGTCTTTAGTGGTGCACCGTTTGCAACACCATGGATCGAATACAGTGTAGTTGATCAATCTTCGTTATTCAAACTTCAACCAGACGTAGACGAGGTATCAGCAGCTTCTTTGATGATAAATCCTCCTACGGCGTATATCATGTTAAAAGAGTACGAACATCTCGAGAATGGAGATTATGTTATCCAGAATTCTGCTAATTCTGCTGTTGGTCGTTGTGTCATCCAACTGGCTAAAGGTAACAAAATGCGAACTTTATTATAAACTACAATAATATGTTTAGCTTTTGGGTACAAATCGATTAATTTGGTAAGAGATCGACCAGATATTGAGGATCTGAAGAATGAACTCAAGGCTTTGGGTGCTGATTTTGTGTTTACGGAAGAAGAATTTAAATCGACTGGTCGGCAGTTTGTGAAGACTCTGGACAGACCTATTAGATTGGCGTGTAATGGAGTTGGCGGCCGAAGTGCATTGGCTATATCAGCATCTCTCACATATGGTGCTACTTGTGTCACTTATGGTGAGATAAACTAAATTACTGTACTTTTTGTTCTAACTGTCATAGTGACTATAATGAAATAGTATCTATTTTTGATGATAACTAATTTCTTTTAGGTGGAATGAGTAAGAAGCCATCTGAATTCTCGACCGCTTCACTGGTCTTCAACGACCTGAGAGTTGTTGGAGTTGCTGTCACAAACTTCATTGCCAATGCGTGGTCCGAAAAGGTTGATCGAATGTTTAAAGAGCTGCAAGTAAGTTACTATTGCATTTTTAGTACTGTCAAACGTTCGAAAAGCAATTTGTAAAGAAACTTTAAAATTAATTTTAAAAAAATCAAAAGTCGATTTACAAAAAGCTAGGTCGTTTTTTCTAATTGTAAGTCAATTTGTAATGAAATCAAAAGTTAATTTGTTAAAAGTCAAATTGAAAAAATGAAATTGATTGCAGGACTTGATCGCGGCAGGTAAATTGAAGCCGCCTCCGGTCAAGATTCACCGTCTGGAGGAGTATGAAGCTGCCATCAGGGATCATCTAGATAGATGGGCGGAAGGGGAAGCAAATGCTTAGGATCATTGACCAAACTGTAGCCAAATTGTAGACGTTTTATGGACTAGGCTTGGCTAGTTTTGAATATATTGCAGACATTTTGTACAAAATTTGTTTTATTAAATTTTGAATAATTGTGGCTGTAACCTGATTTAGTGGGGTTAAAATGATTTTACTTTAAGACGGTTACATTTCTTGCTATGATATCCGCTTTGAGCCATATTAGTATTGAATACAGTATAGTTTAGATTATAGTTGCGTGATTGTGAATAAGTTACGTTATAACGGTCTGAAAGTACGTAGAATCACATATACAAGTTATTTCGTTGACTATTGCTGAAACTTTATTATACTGACGCAAAAACTACAGTAAACAATGACAAAATACCTGTCGGTTACTCATACATTACCTATATTTACCACGTCAAAACATGTTTGTTTCCGCTTGTTCTGGGAAACTGATTTTACAATGTAAAGTTACTGCCGATCTTCAGTCGGAAACCTTCATATCTAAAGTTCGTATGATGTAATACCTCCGCCGATGATCGAAGGCTTTTTATCAATGAAATTGGAATATTAATCAACGATTACTCTGTGTTCGTACGTTGATGACACGAATGGGGGCAGGTTTGTGTTTTTGGTCTTGTTTTACTGTGGTGTGCAAAGCTTTATGGCCGTATTTACATTATTGATGTCATTGAAGGTTGCAACGTCGTATTTTACTTTATATTTGTCGGAAAGAGATAGGGAAGAGTCTACTCAGTAAAGTTTATGAGTTAAGTTGGTCAAAAAGTACGTAGAATTTGTTTTTAGAGATAATTTTAGACTTTCTTTTAAGTTTACTTTGAGTATCGTATACGTCCGACAGTAACATTGAATACTACAATATAGTTACAGAAATGCCATTTTTTATAAAACAACTGGTGAAAAAAGTACCAAAAAACAGAAAAATGTTACAATAGCGCCAACTTGTGGTCGGAAACTTGTTATTGTTGAGCTTTTGATTAGCTAAATTAATGTCATTCATCACAAATGTAACCGAAAACAAATCAAATAAATGGGTGGTAACCTTAATTGGGTGGGTTAATCAACACGTGATCGCTGAATTCGTCAAAGATTTATAAACTCGAATTGTTTTAAGTGTCGCTACCTCCCGGGTCTTGTTACAGTACGGTTTTAAGAGCTTAAACCTCACGAGTCTAGTTACAGTATACTACAGTAAGTATGAATATGGCTACAGAGAACGGAATACACGATCCAGAAGTCAAAAAACAGATTCATTTGGATTTTGAGTAAGTTGAAACAGCTTGGGAAAATTTTTTTTGATTTTAATTTTTAAAAAGTTCAAAGTTTTGAAAATTTGTGTTTCGACCGGTTGGATCTGAATGTGTAAAGCTACTAAAACCAAAAAGGTTGTGCCTAAAAGCCACTGGCCAATGTAAATATACTTTTTGTGCTTTTATACCATTTTTTCTGAAAAAAACGTTTGGTTGTTACCTTGTTACTATAGTAAATTATTATTAAAACTTATGATAAGGAAAACATGTAAAAACTAAAAATCCTTATCTACTTTATCACTATTAAGATAAAGACTATATTTTCAGTCCAAAGAACTACGACCATGTCTACGAGTTAGCGATGACAATTCAGAAGATGGCCAACCTTGACATACCCCCAACTGTTGGCATTATCTGTGGCTCGGGCTTGGGAGACTTGGCCGACCTCGTTCAGGAACCTACAGTAATCCCATACAGTAAAATCCCTGGTTTCCCTGTTCCTAGTGGTAAGTTTGTCTACTCTGATGGTTATTCTAATATTTTTGGAGAGCTATCAGCTCATTATTAAAGGACCAGTTCGCCCATTCAAATATCATTGGCATTCTGTCGCGAAAATTCGACGTTCATTTTTTTCGCAAAAAACCTGAGCAGGTCGGTCCCAAATTGGAAAATTCATTTCGACACCGACCCACTCACGTTTTTTGAGAAAAATGATTTTGATTGAAATTGCCTGATTTTCGACACTTTTTGCGACAGAATGCCAATGATATTTGAATGGGCGAACTGGTCCTTTAAATACTTTTTCCAATTAACACAATATCTTTGTAAAGTAATACTTTTTAAATGTAACTGTCTACTGCACATTAAATGCTTTCAAATGTGTTATAATACAATACATTTGTCGTTTTAGTTGTTGGCCACAAAGGTAACTTGATATTCGGAGAGTTAAGTGGAAAGCAAGTAATGTGCCTACAAGGTAGATTCCACCCTTACGAACATGACATGGACTTGGCTTTGGTAAGTAAATGTTCATCTTCGATAACTGTATATCATTCATTAGTTACATTGTATCAGATTTTTATAAAAATCGTGATAACGTAAACTTTTTAGTGTACCCTGCCAGTCCGTATCATGCACATTCTCGGCTGTAAAACCCTGATTGTATCAAACGCTGCCGGAGGCGTTAACTCTGAATTCCAGTATGGAGATCTGATGGTGATCAAGGACCACATCTTCATGCCCGGACTCTGTGGATTCAGTCCCTTAGTCGGAATCAACGATCCTAGATTTGGCCCTAGGTTCGTGTCAATTCACGATGCTTATGATATCAAACTACGGTAAGGTTACTGTAACATGGTCATCGGTTGTTTAGAAAAAATGCTTTAAAGATTGCCAACGAACAAGGAATCAAGGTGCACGAGGGAGTGTATGTGATGTCAGCTGGCCCCCAGTACGAGACGCCTTCTGAAGTCAAGCTTTACAAAGTCGTCGGAGCTGATGCCTTGGGTATGTCAACGTGCCATGAAGTCACGGTGGCCAGGCAGTGCAACATGAGGGTGTTCGGCTTCTCGCTGATAACGAATATGTAAGTTTTGGAAAGATTCAAATGTCTGAATTAGTGTTTTGAACTTAAACAACCTTAAGGTTACTGTAACATCATATTCAAAACAATATATTATAGTTGCCTACTGTACTATTTGAATATATTTTCAGTGCCAACTTGGACCTAGAAAACTCAGTAGAAGTCTCCCACCAAGAAGTGCTCGACACCGCTCGAGCAGCTAGCGACCGTGCCTGTAAATTCATATCTCAGGTCGTATACGAACTCTGAGCTACCGTACTCCAACACCGTTTTTGTATATTATGTACAATAGTTTATTCTAAATAAAGTTTATGCAAACGCTAATCTCACGACACTCAATACCAAGGTAACACCGTAGAATCCACTGACATACCAACACTTGAGGGCATTCTCCCAGTACTTGTCTTCCACATCTTGTTTTAGTTCTTCGAACGTCGTAAACGTTTTGTCAGATTGTGGTAGACTCTCCATCAGTCCAACAGCCTGGCTCCAGAAGGCCACTCCAAGTACTCCCTAAACAGTAAGCAGTAAGGCAAAGGCACGTTACCATGAATACCACTCCCCATAGTGATATGAAGGCACAGAAGCCAGAGGTTTTGGGTCCAAACACCATGATATATTAACGTATATTATTATTGTACAAAACCCTTGTTTAGAGAGGAATTCAAATAAAACAAGAATTCGATCACTGCCCTCAGGATGAAGAAATGGCGTTATCAGTTGGAGGCCAATTTGGCGGGTCTTTCGAATATTTATAATTTTCTATTAGGTTTATTGTTTTTTTTGAAGAATTTAAAGTTAAAATGTGTTTAACTGTGTAAAAAATAAAACAAAATAAAAAAAATGTAATTAGTGTTCATTAAACTTGCCAATCGACTTACCACAAAATCAAAAAGAAATGTTTAATGTAGAAATAATTACTTTTTAAATTTTCTAAAGGAATGTCAATTAGTTTCATTTTTTTAATAATGAATTTTTCCTGCCATACTTTGAGTATAATTCCAACTTTTGCAAACCTAACTCAAGAAAACAAGTTTGTGAGCAAATTAACTGTTCGCAACAATTAAGGAGTTAAGAAACAAAGTAATGCCTTTTAGTAAGTGAAGGCAATGTTTCAATTAATGGAGAAGGTCGCTAATGGTCGTGGACTGTCTTATTGAATTGTGTCAGCCCAAGCCCTCTTCCGACAGCCAAACCCCCTCCGGCTCTAATGTTCCGGTCAATCCCATTTTTCAGGTAATATGATTAATATTTATTCAATTTCTTGGCCTTTCTTATGACATTTTTTCTTATTTTTTGTGTAAGATTGTAAAGTAACTTTGACCTTTGACCAAATTTTTTAAAAAATTTAAAATTTTGTGTCTCGACACGAAAAACCTGAATAATTAAATTTAATGCCAAACAAACTGAACTTTTACAAAAGTATCTTTATGTATAATATAATATTTTTACAGTATTATAAACTCATTTTACTATCAAAAATTATAAAATTCTAGTATTGTAAACTCATTTTACTATTCTTGGTCTATAATATTATTTTTATCATTAGCCTTTAAGGAAGATGACAAAGCATACTTCACATGCTGTAACTTAGTGCACGTTATCGACTTGGCCAAAAGCTTGATATTTGCCAAGATATTCATCTACAGTGTTTTGTTAGCCGGCTCTTTAAGCACCAATATCCAGCCGTTGATTGAATTCGGTGAGTTCTCTATGGTAATATAATGCTTAAGACGTTGTTTAATAGTATAATTGGTTTAAAAAAGTGGCAAAACTTTAGAATATTGGCCTAAAAGTGTGTAGAATCTTGATTTCTTTAAAAAATATTACTTATAACGATGCTTTCTTTTAAATTTTTCGAATTTTTTGGTCTAAAACGTCATATTTGATTAAAACTTTGCTTTACTACAGATATCTTCATACATGTTGATCTCACAAATGTTTACCTTGTTGTTATTTATCCTAATTTGCAGGTTTTTTCCTAGCCTTCGGACTAGCCCTTCTGAGTTATGCGGCTTTGTTCCTGGGGATGCGCCGAAAGCGGTTCCATTTGTTCATACCGTACTTCTTTGTGAGTTTTGTGTTAATTGTTATTGGTAGGTCACTTTCCGTATATACTCATGAACATCTTCAGCTGTGGTTCATCTGTTTGTCGACTTCCTGGATAGCGCAAACACTCGAGATACCATGAGTTCGGAACGAGTTTCGTCCTTCATAATGCAGGTAGGTAATGTTTGTTGTTATTGGCATTCAGGTCTTTTGTTGTTTGTGGCATCAGAAATTATACTTTTGATTTGCGGGGTGATAATGTGGAAAGTTATAAATTATACTCTAACTTTTAACTACAATTTCCAATTCTAGTTACGTTTACTGCCATTTGGAATACTTTACACTCCTTTAAAGTCACGTTTCTCTGACTAATGCCATTTCTTTTGCTTTGTTTGTGGACTCATGAACCTTTGAAGTTTGAAAGCAGCTTTGGTTTAAACTCTTCTTTGTCCCGAAATCATAAATTTCAGATTGGATTAATCGTGTTTGAAGTGTACTGCTTGCTGGTGGTGTGGCGAGTGTTCATCTACGTGTGTGACGCTCGGTCAGTGGAGGAGGTGGAGGAGAAGCGACTGATCAAGCAGAAAATGTACGATAATTACGAAATAGCCTTCTGAAGTTACAAATAAACAACAAAATTGATTAACTAGAAAATAAGTTCAGACAGGCGAATTAGATTTGAGGTGAGCAGCTGCCTCACGTTTGGTGTCCATTTCCTCCGGGCATTTCTGGTCGATCCTCATATTCTGAGGTGTCTCGGTTTATATTTGCGTGCATAACACGGTGCATATCATTACAAATCAGCCATGTTTTGTCTGTTTTATATCACTTTTTTACATTTTACTTTTTTTAAATGTTTCGGAGGGTTTAAGGGTCAATATATAGAGTTTAATACCTCCTCTCGACCGTTTAATACTTTCCCTTTCTAAATATTACACTTGCAACTATAATATTTTCATTTCGCTCGGATTTGGCGGATAAACGGGGCTTGATTGACACCTCCATCATGGAGAATATACAGTAGAGGGTCCGTTTCCATTCCTCATGTTGTTTTTTTTCGTGTACCAACCGCGAGAGAGCGAGGCAACAAGGTCATTGGACTGTCTTCAATCAAACCAGTCCACAATGTGGTGAGCCCATTTTCTGACCGGAAACACCCTTTTTCCGGCTTCACACTTCCATGGCCCCTCGTCCCCTGGGACCGGTGTATATGGAATAAAAGTGCCGTCATGTCAGCGGCCTTGGCGTCTCTGAATCAAGAATGGATTCGAGAGTCCTTCGGGATCGGCGTTCATTAAATCCAGTCTTCTTTTGTTTCCGCGCTCATCAAACAGTTAGCCTACCAGCAATAATTGGCTACGTAGCGTGGGGCTTTGCTGTTACTTTCGTACTGGTTTTTGTAGTTTTACCCTTTATTATTACGGGTTATACAACATTTTACATTGTACGGTAGCTCTAGTATTCCTATAAGATGTATCACCATAAAAGCATTTGATACCCCTTAACAATAATCACCTTTTTACCATTTATACCCCTATATCGTATAGTACCCTTTAGTATAAGTATAAAATGTTGCCCTTAAGTGTTTGCACAACCCTATATAACCCTTTGATGTACAAATATAAATGTTGAATTTCGTATCCCCAAATGTTGAATTTGGAATATGCTGTATTTGTCATCGCATTTAACCTTTACTCATAGCATACTTCTTATTTTATCGCTTTCCAATTGTAAACCCGATTACTTTCCGTATAAAGTCAGTTGTAAAGTTCTGTTGTGAATAAACAACCGTAAGAACACCATAAAAGTATATGGGGTCGCCTCCAACCTGATAGTTAAGCGATTTCGGCCCATTTGAGATCATGAATCGTTTAATTGCAGGGTGTTGATAGAAGAAGCTTTTCGAAATTCGTTGTTGACGTTAAATTGGAAATATCTTCTGACTTTGTAGTGCTAGTTGGCGTGGGTTTATTCCTTGTTTTGCTAGGTAAAGCGAGCATTTTTTATAGTTAAGGTCTTTGTAATAAAACCGAATTCCCCGCAATCAAAATAAGATTGGAATCCTTTGGAGTAAAATTCTTTGTGGTAAGCGTGTGTCACCAAACAGCGACATCCCCCCGCAAAAACAATTTTTGTTTTAATGCAAATATGTAGCCATTTACGCAAATGAAAGCGCATCCATGATAAATGAACGAATTGAAGTAGCGCATCAGCCTTGATTGAAGTGGGACCGCGTTTTATTCGTTAAGCCCTCGGGAGCTGACGGGCGTTAAATTTTGGAGCCGTGCGCGGAACTGTTCCAAGTTCGATTCGAGTTCAATTTGGGCGCGTTTATTGCCACCTCCGGTTCCTGAGGAAGGGCACATTAACGCCTTTCGCGCGCCGTTCTCGCCCCTTTATCCCGACATTAGGCCAGCACTAATTTGTCCACTCAGGCAAGGTCAAATCTGACCGGCGGCTCCTTTCTTGTGGACAACCCAACCGACATGGCGGATCATCGCTTGCGCGCATTTTTGTCTTCATATCCAACAGGTTTTCCCCCAAATTGGGTTTAACGAGAGGGAGGGGTGAAAAAGCGCCGAGATCAGGGCGGCGATGTCCATTCAGACGTGAGTAATCTTTGGCCTGGATGGTGAGTGCCACAGCGGCTCATCGTCACGTCCATGACCCCACTCGGGTTTCTAGCACTTTGTATTCAAAATAGTTGGCCAGGTGAAAAAAACGGCACTCTTTTGCTTTGACCGGAGGGTTTGTTGTCATTTCGAGGCCTTTGACCAACGAGTTTGTTGCTACTTTCCAGAAACCTCAATATGAGTTGGTTTTTTTCTTTTCACCAAAGAGAGGGTTGCCTTTTCCAATGCTCTCAATGGTAACGTTTTTGTCACATTTTCTCTGAATGATAGGCTTTGTCACAGTTTGAGGGCTGTATAGTTTTGTCGTTTTATCATTCGCAAAGCCTACGTTTCATAAGGTTTTGGTCTTTTAACTAGTTTTTATCGGATTTTGTTGCCTTTTGTAAAGCCGCGGCCTGTTGCCACTTCCAGCCATCATCTTGTCTATAAAGTTGAGGGCGGAAACGGAAGAAAGGCGAAACAAATTCCTTGTCTTCTGTCCGCAAATTGGATGAAGAGATTAGACGATCGAGTCATTAGGACGTGTTCCGTCAAGTGCAGTCACTTTCGCTGTTTTTGGAAGAAGTAAAGTGAAGCGGCTCCCGATATTAGGCGTGAAATTGCCGGGAATCCCTTGTGGATCGCGCGATCCACTCGAGCGCATAATGTCCCCGACATTAGATTTGCATTTTAATTTGAATTTCGCTTACAGAAGTGTCATATAAGTAGTGGCTGCAAAAACAGAAGGTAGCGAGCCGGTTGTCAAAAGAGCGCGTTTAATCCCGAGATGGTTTTACTGCGACTGAATTCCATTTTCCGCGATTGTTTCGAGTTTCTGACAAATTAGGTGTGGCATCTAGACGTCGCTCACACGCGCCCCTTGACTCACAAGATTGCGGGCCTTCGGTAATCAGGCTAAAACAAGGTCGCTTCGAAGTGTCGGAAAGTTTCGCCGGGTGTCACGTTACCTCTCTGGGCACGTTCCACATACCGACCGCGGTTTTCGAGTCGTTTTATGAATTATGGCCTTTCGGAACGCAGCTGCATGAGCCTGAAGATTTTATATAAATGTTTACTTTGTCTGATACCCCTGGAATCAGGGTGATGCATAAGGAATAACAGGAATGACCGATTTCCCGTCACTTTCCGTCAAAATGTTGTAATTGCTCTCCGAACTTTTGAGGCAGAAAAGTGGCGCCCTCCCGACAATAGTTATCTCATTCTGGCGGCAAACTTATTTGACCAATGGCTACGCTCAGGTTGCCTAGCGCGTTTGTTTGGGCAAACCCTCGGGGGGTTTTGAACTCGGGGCTAATTGTGGTTTAATTGTGGACAATCAGACGTCCTTTAGGACAGGGAATGTTTGCATTGTATCTGCGTGACGGGCCCCTCTTTGGCCTCCATATCACTTTTATGAATCCGACCAAATGTTATTTCGGATAACAATCTCTTGTTTTTATACCGAATTTGAATAAAAAGGGAAGATTCCGCCCGTCTGTCTGTTATACAGTCCGGCTAGAACGGGGGCAGCCTGAATCGCGACCGTCCTCGGTCGATTGAATGCGTGGCCGAAACGGAACTGGCCAAGTAGATGCCTTAAAAGAGCGACAGTCCGGCTTTTTTTGGTCCGTGGGAGGGTTCACTTTACAGTTCTGAATGGAACCCGATTTAGGGGATGCAATTAGTCCCCTCCGAGGTCGCTTTCGTTTTGTATCTTAACAATGAAGTCGGGTGTCACGTTTCTTTGCTTCTTAAGGGCTGTAACTAGGGATGAAACTTTTTGTCAGTTTGTCAAAATAACGTTACAATACCATCGTTCCACCCGCTCCCTCAGGAGCCGTATGTCAACGCAATTAAGTCCTCGTGAAAGCCCTTTAATTCGTACATTTACATTGACTGGGAGTCACTTCAAGTTCCTTCCAGTTTACACTGTTTCTTCTCGGTTTGTTGCCTTCTTGCCGACTCGGTTTTGCGCCCGTTCAAAACTTTATTAATGTTTTTACAATAGGTCGGTCACTCGTCTATAAAAGCCGAGATCTAATCAGGTATTGATATATGACTCACGACTTTTGTATTTTCATAATCTCGTTACACCTTTCTATTTGTTTACGGTGAATGCGATGGTATAAATCTAAACGGGTTAGAGTCGCATATTCTCCATGTAAATATTGTGTTAGAGTCGAAGCTTGTCTATCACGTCAGATATATATAAATATACAAAACACATGTAGTAACAAACACTATCTGATCAGAGTAACACCACAACAAAGTAGTCTGAAAGTTTTGTATAATATTATTATGCAAATTTGGCGGAGACTTTTTTTGCCAGTCGTATGGACAATGCATGATGGTGTCGCAATGGTTGGCATTGCACCGCCCTTTCGCATTCTCATGCCCCTAATCCCCTCCACTCTCACTCGATTGTTGTCGCGACTTTAGTTGTTTTTGAGCCCCATTTTTTACTTTTATAACTTTTGAATGTTGCGGTCAAAACGTTCCTGAACGTGACCATCGATCATCCGTCGCTCCACCTTTATCCCCTTAAGGGCTTCTTAAACAGGCTACCGTCCGGCGACTTTTGGGGTTTTTTGGAGATTTAAAAACATTTTATTTACAAACTTGGCTCTATTTTTTTTGAAATTTTTGTATAATTCATGTTATTTTGTCCTATTATCACTAAATGGATGTGCATAATATCATAATCTCAATATTTTATAATATTTGTCCTTTTATACATCTATTTGTAAACAATCATGATCGTTGTACATAGCAATGCTGAGCTAACACGGCTCGGTCGCGTTCTCGATAAAGAAAAATCCGCCTTTCAGCCATCTGTCCCTATACATTATACATGTCTCTCAACAGTTAGTGTCCTGGTGTCCCCGTACAGTTTGGCTCCCTTTCCTTTCTTGTCGTCGCCGCCAACCCAACATACAGGCTGACCCTTCCCATCTTATCTGTTGGCCCTCCTTTAAAGACGCGCGTGCCAATTAAGCGATAAAACTTTTCATAAACATGGTGAAGACATGGGCTGCCAGGTCGATTTCCGGATTTGTAGAAGCTTTCCCCACTTTTAATGCTCTGAGCTGGTGTTTGTGCGTGAGATTAGTTTCGGATGGCCCAGTCGCATATAAGAATATAGATCAACACATCGAGGTTGTGACTTTCTTTTTTAAATTTTCATTTTTTGTTACCTATTCTTTCAATTTACATTTTCTGACATCTGCTGTGTAATATTTATGAATATATTATCCTTCAAAGTTTTGCATTAAAATTTTTGATGTTGTAGTACATTCGCTATACCACAACGTTGAAACGTCGCAGAAAACGGTTGTTTCGGCGATTGCAATAAAATGTTCCGGAGGTCGGGGTGAATCGACTTTCAGAATCTCTCTCCATCTAATGGGATTTCAAGTGTAGAGTTAATGAAAGCGCCCGTCTTCTTATTTCTGAATAAGGCCATATTGGGTTACCAGTCGAATTATGATTTACTCTCGATCCCGAGGACTTCCTGTTTTTCCAGGGCCAAAGGGCGGCGCCAATTGTCGCAGAAATCGAATTCAGTAACCTCATTTTGTGTTTCTCACTTCGCTTTGTGCTAATTAACGTTGCCGACTTCATTGTTTTGTCTCGATAGCATCGTTTCGAGTCGAATGTCAGTCTTTCTGTGATTTTGTTTTATGCATATCGTGTGATAAATTACTTTCGTGTGTCTTGTACATCTTATGCATGTATTATGTTATACGTTCTATGCATTTATCATAGTAAAACTCATCTTATTAATGTAGTTTCAGCCATGAGGTCGTGGCTCCTCGCTATCTACCTCACCCTGTTTTGTGGTATTCGAGCAGAAGTCATCGACGTAGCCGTAGGACAATTGTTCAGCGTCCGACTAGATGGCGACGATAGCATTTCGAGCGACAGTATCCCAGGATGGATGAGTTTCGACGCTTCTCAAAGCACACTGTTCGGTGTGCCAAGATGGAACAACTTCGAGAATGTGACGTTACCAACGAAACGAGGCAGACAGATTGAAATCAATATCCACATCGAGTTCGACCAATGTGCTCAAAGCGAAGCGTTTATCATGCTGGAAAGCTATGAAGACAAGCCTTATGACAGCTACAAGATCGAAGATTTAAGGTAAATAATTGTATAAAGTAACAAATTTGCAGCAAAAATTGTTCATTATTAAGAGCACCAAATGAAATAAGACCAAAAAACGCCAAGATGGCATAATAAAACCTCATTTTAGAGAATTGATAAAGGACTTTGCTGAAACTTTCGACCTCGAAAACCGGGACGTCCGTGCCTATCGTGCCGATGAAGTCACACGTTACCGAGAGTTCCAAGAGACATTAATCACCCTTAACAAAGACCTAGTACGACGTGACAATGTCCTAGTTCTCTGGTCTAACATCCTTTGTGGCAACATTGAGCAAGCTGGTGAAGAGCGAACTGACCTTCTCTCAAAGGCTTCTGAACTCGACTCTAACCGTATCAGAAACCTTCAGGTAAGACAATTCTGAAAGTTTAATCTTAATTACTAATGACAACAGAAGTAATGCCGCTTTTAGTTGCAATAGTGACATACTATTTTTGTTTTACTTCTGGTTAGCATAAGTAACACCATTTCCTTATCTTTTCACATTTATAATTGATCCTTACTCAATAATACTGAACTTCAGCTGACCCAAGCTCGTGTCAAGAAGGAAGAACTTTTGGCCCTCCAAACCGCGACCCCAGCCCCCATAGCCAGAACAACTCGCATGATCAAGGACAACCCTCCCAACAGATACAATAACATCGACAAGTTCGAGTGTCAGAAGTAAGGCATTAAATGTTTTTGTTTGCTGGCTTTATTTGCATACGAATTGGCAGCGGAGGCTCGCTTACTTACGTTGGCTACCCTTCACTTGTCTCAAAGAAAGCCTAGCTTGCAGTTGACATATTTGCCATGACATAAATTGCGCAATAAGGCTTAGAAGAAGGAAAAGCCATGTGTCTTTAATCGCCGGCCGTAACGTATAATACATTAATAAAATCGTGTTTCTATAATAGTCAATAGATTAAGAACACCACAATTGAGAAGATATGACATATTGCTTATTTTACATAAAAAGTATAACTGTTATACCTTCAAAGTTATGACTTATATTATCATTTCAGAGGTCGATTGTGCCAAAAATGGCTGCCTTCGAACACTTTCATCGACTCAGAAGACGGTCAGCTCCAGAATCTCCGGTCCAAAGTGTTCAACGACGACAAGTCCATCAACTTCTTGACCGTGGTCCACGAGAAGGAGAAGGTGGCCCTGGAGGGAGTCCCCTTGAGCACTGGAATCTTCAGCTTCCGTTTGGAAGTTCGCGACTCTGCTGACCAGGTAAGTAATCCTTGGCATTAGTCGGCGATTAAAACAGCAAACGACAGATGTGAGGCCCGATTTATTCCACTTAAATGCCCATCTAAGAAGCTAATATATATCTTTTACGACCGGAATTTTTCTTCGCGCATCTGTCCATGAGAAGCGAACATATAAATAAGGACTATAGAAGGGTCTCCTCAATTATTACCTAAAAGTAAACCGGGAAGAGTCATTTCCGATCGCCGCCGATCGAATTACATTCATTAACTCATCCATAGATTACCCACCCAATTCAGTTGAGATTATTTACATCATCATTCATTTTATAATGAGGTTCATATTACCCTAACATTACCCCGACATCATCCACATCCGTTTCAGATGGCAGCGGCAGCTTTCAGCGTGGAAGTCAAGGATGAGCCCGAGCCCAATCATCTCTTCGAGATGGTCCTTGACACCAAATTCAAGCGTTTCCAGGACGAACCCAAACTGCTTGTAAAGTTCGGCGAGAAGCTGGTCGAGAGAATCGGCGGAAACCGCAAGGAAATCGCCGTGAATTCAGTAGAAGAAGACAAGCAGAACACCGTGATCAGATGGAGCAACAGCTCGTTGAGTCGAGTGACATGTGAGGAAAAGCTCATTAACGCCACTAAGACCAAAATGACTGGAAAAGGAAAAGAGCGCGGTATCCGCGACTTTGCCAAACACATGGGAGCAGACTTTGCGATTCGCGATGTAAGTACAGTCAAGGAGAATATAATATTCTTTGTGAACTTAGTTAGAACAGTTGAAAACATAAAGTATTCTAACTATACATAAAATAACATACATAACACATTTTCACACGTTATCAATTATATTATTATAGGTTTCAATCAAACTGCAAGGAACTTGTGGCCCTCAAACTGTCAGTCCTAAGATTGTTCGTGTCCATGCTTCTACAATCTCTACTCCACTCGACGAAGAAGGCGGCATCTCCAACATCGTACTTCTCGTACTCATTGTTGTAGCCATCGTGCTATTGTTGGCCATCCTCTTTGTAGTTTTCTGTTGTATCAAGCGAAAACAAGCACCAAAGAAGAGTCAAGAGTACACGACAAAAGGTAATACTCATTTTGATACAGTATCTTATCTTTAGAATATCGTGAAACTCATTTTAACTTTCATTTCAACCTCTCCAGTTTCTTTTAAAACCTTCTACGAGCAAGTAACATTAAATTTACATCAAGTAGCATTTTTCAAAAGCTATAACATAGCATTACACTCAAGTTCCTACGTACGACTATAATAACATAACATTTTAGGCACTCCAATCGTTTTCCCCGACGATGTCCGACAAGATGACGAGACGAATGGCAGCACGGCCGCTGTTACCACGCCAATGTTAGTGAGCCACGAACACCCACCTCTGAACCCCAACACCACATTGCACGAGAACCCCATCTACAAACCACCATCTGAAGCCGGAACCCCGACCAGAAGTGCTGTAGGACAACGACTGCCACCTCCGTACATGGCTCCTTGAGCTGAGATGACCTCTTTTCTAGATTATCCGGTACCCTCACGTCGTTTCTTCTTTTCAGAGCTTCACATATTGTTTTAGCTGCAGTATCCCAAGCTGAAGCGCTTTCCTTGATCTCCTTTAACGGAATTATTTGGTTGTAACATTCGTTTTACTCTATCACTTTCGGCACGACCAGTGTCACGGGTCTTCCGCTCAGGTGTAGGTCTTCTCGATCAGCCAACGACCCAACTTTGATTTTTAACATTGTCACATTCATTTTCTAACAGTGTCAGACTATTTCTAACTCTCAATTCTTGCTTTATCTTATTAATTATTGGAAATGTTCTACTAACTCGACACATCTTGTTGTAAATATTAGATAGAAATAAATAACAACATTCAACTGTCGGTATAACAGAGATAGATAGTAAAAACTAAAATCAGGAAAAACCATTTTTTGAACAATTTTGTAGCCGAAGTTAGCCTGTTATAATAAGTGATATAACAGAAATTACATATCACTCTAGTCCATACATAATACATGACTTACCTTTACATCTATATTACCCATATATGTCAAAGTAGATGAAAGGGCGCCTCCGGCAAACTCGGTCGAAAAGGCGTGTCGTTTGTTTTGATCGTTATCAGTGGAGATCGACCTTTCCGCCCGAATTCCTGGTCTTTCGACAAATAATGCGACGATTCATCGAGCGAATCAAACAGTTCATCACGAGCACCAAGTTACTTCGACGAAGATACGCCCAGCTAGCTCGATATTCCTTGTTTTTGTTGATTCTGGGACTATGTGCTTTGATATACACCACTAAATACCGTAAGTAAATTATTATTCAAATAAAAGCTTTACTCACTTAATTTTTATCTCCTTAAAGCATAATTTAAGGTAATTAGTTTGTAATTAACCTACCTTATCTTGTCCTAAATCTGTAGTTGTCGGAATGTTGAAAAAAAATATTACCTAAAATGGAATTTTACGTAAAGTTGTATATGAAATCAAATATAAATAAAAAATACGATTTCGATGTATTATTGTACCATTTTCATTAAATTCTAACAATAAAACATTATTTTCCCTTTACAAACAAAAAATTGTCAAAGAATTCTGTCCAGAAAAAGTGTCATCAAGACAATATTTGTGAATTTTCGATCGTATTTTTTGTAAAAAACCTATTTGAAGATTTTCAGATTCAAGCTACATTACCAAAGCTCCGTTTGATGATGTAAACTACGTCAGATCAGCGTACCGTGTTGATGATTCCACAATTCGAATTGTGTTCGTGAGATCTGTTGAGAATAGGTAAGACTTTCTTTTTATATTTACGTTTTTTAGGCACAATCTGACATTTGAATATGGATCAAAGAAAGGCAAGATCAGGTTGGAATGTCACAATGAACATTGCCCGGACAAGTTTTCACCTCCATGCAGATTGACTGGGTATATCGGAGTAGTTGAGGGACTTTCGAAGACTGATATCCAATCTTATCTCGTTATCTTTTCCGATTTTGACCCTGTGGAACCTTTGTTCATCAATGTTCAGTAAGTTTGGGATTTTGAAGTTTGTTTTAATGTTGTTATAGGTAACATTTTGTTAATTGGTATGTCTTGCTTATAGCTAGATCAGAACAAGCTTTTTGATTTTTTGAGAATCAGGTATAACTTTTATTGTTTTAGAGATGCCAGGGTTGTTGGTACACCAAAACACAAGCTTGGTGTATGTGTTCAGCCAATATACCTTCACACTGACGTGTCTTCTTTAGTCCAGTTCTTCGAATTCTGGTTATCTGAGAAAGCGACCAAGTTCTACATTTATCGTGAAAGCTACACGAAAGAAGTTGGAGAAGTTCTGGAGTTTTATGGAAGTCAAAATAATATTGAGGTGGTTTATATCGACTGGTCGAGTTTGCCGTTCAGTGAAGGAAAGGTTGGCGAAAAAAGTAATCCAAACAGGTATTGGTTCCGGTTGGAGGTGTTCATGTCATTGTTCGACTGTATTCATCGTGCAAGGTGAGTGAATTTATGAGTTGTTGCAGGTAAAGCTAAGCTTCTAATCAAATTTAACAATTTTTTATAAAATATTTCCTAAAATCAGTTTTTTCATAATAAGATAGATAACTGTACGTTTTTAGAGGAAATGTACAATATCTAGCACAAACAGATTTGGATGAGATGATTTACGTCGGGAAAGACCGGTCGATTATCAGTTTTATGGAGATTATGGATAAACAAGAGCCGCTGATGGCTTCGGCTTCATTCAGAAGTCAAAGAGTTCAGTTGACGGTGAGGAACACTAGGTAATGTAACATCTTTTTAGAACAGTTCGTTGACTTTTACGCAAGATCCTCGTGAGATATCCTTTAACAATCTGGAGGAAGTTGTACTAGAAGATCGAGTGTTCAAGAGGCCTTTGTACTCTAAGATGATTTACAAGCCTGAGAGGGTGAGTTTTGAACCTTTTGTATTAACTTTTTGCTTAAATTGACAAGATTTGTTTGTTTAAACTACGTATAAGAGAAAAATAAGGAAAAAATTAAAGTTTATCATTTTTAGGTATATCATGTACATATCCATCGACAACTCCAAACTGAACCTATTCCTGATGCTAAAGGCTACTACAAGCATGTTAACATAGCTCCGGAAGGTGGAGTTGTGCTTCACATCAGACGACTGAAAGACATGTATCCATGGACAAAGTCATTCAACTCTTCGATATTGTTAACCAAATCGCAACAAATGGAAGAAAACTACAAGAAAAGGATTCAGGATTACAACTTTTGTAAGTTTTATCGTTCACGTTATAGTACATACACCTATTAGCATCACTTTAATGCTATATGTCTGTCTAAACTTAAAATGAACTTGCTTTCAGCACAAAACGAGTGGAATAACTATGGTGTAGAAGTGAACGAAAAGATAGAGGAATGTCGACAGAAGATGAACAAGAATCGACAGAATGCGTGTCACAACTTGTGGGATTGTGACAAGAAAGTTACCCATGTTGATTGGGTCCGGGTCCGTAATTCATGGCTGGTAGTATGAATCTTACTGTAACATATGATCTCAATGTTCTCAAATTGCAATTTTTCATAGCTAAATAAATTTTAATATCTAAAATTATATAGAACTGTAATACAAGATTAAATAAGGTTGGATCGTTTGTTTTAGTCATTTCAAACGTCGTTTTACTTCTTCATTAATTTCGTTGCTAATTGTTTGACGTAAGTGTGTATAGATAAGGAATGAATAACTTTTAACCGAACCACCGCCCAACCCGGACGTATTAAACTACAAATATGATGTTGCAACATAGAAACCCCCTGTTTGTATTATAATTTTCGACTTACGAACTATTTTAATTTTCTTCTAAAATGCTTCGTAAGCGAGAAAAAAAAGTTAATTATTTTGTTATAAACAACATCAAAAGAGTGGTGGATGGAATTATTGCGTTTTCAACAACACTACAGAGAAATATCCATAGAAATTACCAAAAAACTAGTAACGACAGAAACACTTGACTTATCGCCAGTTAGAAAGAGACTTGTCTCAAAACAGATTTTTGTTTTTTTGGCCAAAAATTAGGAAATTAGCGTCAATTCAGCAAAGGATCCTTGTATTTCCACTGCAATGTAATAGTAAAGGTAAGTTTTTTTTAATTTGGCATACCATTTTTTAAAGAAATTTAAGTCACCTTTGCCATAGTTTGTGATTTGTTTACTTTTTCTTTGATTTATCAAACATTTTCTTGAGATCTTTGACGGGACGTTGTCGTTCTGCGTGCATTCCGTCGATGGGGTCCCAATCCAGGCTTTCAGGAGATGATCGTCCTTCTTCATCGTCTTGATCTGATCCTTCATCTCCGGATACTTCCTTCCAGTCGCTCATTTCCGGTTCGGTCGATTTGCTGGGCGTATTCCGGGTAAATGCCTTCTGAAGCCGGCGTCTGGCTTTTGTTATCTTGGACGGGGATTTTATCGCATCTTGTACTATCTGAAAGAAGTCGCATTAGTTGGGGGAAGATGGTGAAATTACGTAGTTGGGCTTTGAACGGTTAACTTTGATATCTAAAATAATTATTTGGTCGCTTCCAGTATAGAATTAGGTGTCATAGTAACTTACACTTTCATCTGTTTGTGTTTCATTCGTCAAAGTTTCAGGATAGGGCGTCTGAATCCGTTCATTCTTTGTCTCCAAAATGTTTGTTTGGCTTTCATTGTCAATGTTTTCAACCACATGAGTTTGCAACTCTTGCTCAGCTGTTGTGATGACATCAGTTTGAGTGTCATTCGACTGAAATTTCAGAAATTAGAAAAGGTTTTTGAACTTTGTCATACAAATCTATTTTAAGATACCTCGAGAGTGTAAGCAGCTGTAAAGGTTTCTTTCTCTTTCGTCTCGGTAACAGAGGTTTGTGTTTCGTCTGAACTTGTGGACAAGTAGTCGGTTTGGATTCCTTCGTCGTTCAGGTCGATTTCCTTTTCTGGATCTGTTTGAACGGCCAAATTATCACATTGTGCGTCTATCGTTTGTCCTATCTTGTCATCTCTGAAATAGATTTTACATTGCAAAGTAAATGTCCTAAAGCGAGATAAGAAATAAAAATAAGTTGCGGACGTTTCAAGGCATTATGGATAACATACGTGACCACAGGTTCAGTTTGACTGCTTTCATCGTATGTGATGACGTTGCCAATCTTACTGGGCATGCTTTGTCGAGTTGGGTCAGCTTCTCTGACAATCTCATTCACAATGGCATCGTTGACTTCTACTTTGTTTTTGGCCATTTGTTCGGCGACAACCAATATTTTGGGCAATCCAGTTTTGTTATCAATGTTCTCGAAGATAGGTGGTAGCTCAACCCCTGTTTCTCGTGCTTCATCTTGGATCTGCTGCATGACATTCTTTCTGGTTTCAGTGCCAATCATTGGCATCAGGTACTTGGCTGCTTTGCTGTTTCCCCACATCTTCATCATTCCCATTGAGGCTCCTTTGTGGTCGCCAGCAGCTAGTTTAGCTTGGTATTCGACTAACAGTTTCATCAGAAGCTTTTTGTAGAGATCTTCTAACGACGCTTGGATGACTGATATCGTCATACTGACCAATGAAAGGCCGATGATAACAAAGACGAAACATACTACCATCAAGCTTAAAGATTATAGTTAGTTTTTGCAATTATTAACAGAACAATTAACTCAAGAAGCAACAATTGTATAAAGCTATCTACTGTATCACAATCAACTTACTCTCGTCGTTTTACATTGACGTCTCCCAACCCGATTGTTGACATACTGATGAACATGAAGTAGACACTCTCTGTGTACTGCCAGTCTTCCCACAGCAAGAACAATGCAGCACAAAAAAATATCCACCCCAAAGTGATTCCGACAGCCACTAACACGTGCATTCTTGGTGGAGCACCAGCTTGAGGTAACAGTTCTTCAGCTGCTGTGTATTCTCCGCTAAGAGCATCGAATGAAGTGTTGGTTTCAAGTCTGGGGAAGGTGGGTGCATGTTGACTGTCGCTAGTCAGACGTTCATCCAGCGACTGCATTCGTTGGAAGCTCTCCAGATCTCCACCAGCCTCCAGGTCTAACGTTAGCTCATCAGGTCCTGGCTGTAGATTGAAGCTGACGTGATTGACTGTGTCGTTGTGATCACTGTTTATGCTTTGTACCATACCTTGTTCTAGGTTAATAAGTTCGTCTTTGGTTTGGTCGTTCTTCTTTATTCGATTCTTGATTCTGTCCAGAATCCTGTCGTAGAATCCTATGAGGTCTTGTATGTTGTTGTACAAGAACTTCCCTAGGTCGTTTAACGTCATCAACATGGCTGGTATGCCAACTACGGCATAAACGAACGTCATGAAACGACCAGCTGCTGTTTTGCATGCAATATCTCCAAAACCTGTAAAGTTACTGTGTTACTTTAGCTACAATATTATGTTAGTTTTTTCATGATATTAGGCTAACTATTTGAAGGTTGCTTTTTTAAGAGTGAGAATTGATTACAATTAGTGTTAACATTCACTTTTGACAAAAGGAGTGTTTGCTCTTCCCCGAGGCCAGTTGAGTTATTTTTATGAAGTTGGTCATTTTGTCGAAAGTCATCCCTCAATCTAACAGAACAGGAGGATCTCTCATCCAACTCATATATTACGACAAAATAAGTTTGTAATCTCGAAAAAATTTCAAAAACAGGTGTTACCCCATGCCACGTGAACTTGTAAACATACCGATGGTAGTAAATATAGTCCCGGAAAAGTACATTGCCGTGCTCAAGCTCCATACCGGCTCGGGCTGGGGCTCTATGTCCAGCTGATGGTGGAAGTGGGTTATGGCTTCGTGGAGGTGGCGTCGCTTGGTCTGTTTACTGGATATCGACCTGTCGATCGAGATTTCGTCTAGCCTTTTTACAAATAATTCTATTTCGCGGTCGAACTCACGTCGTCTGTAAATAACAGCAAGTTACTACGGAGCCATGAGGCCACGAGGAGGTGTTTGGTTTCTCAAGAAAGTATTAGTACGTTGCCAGAAATGTATACTTAGGTTTTAAAGCATGATAAGATAACAAAACTTGTTTTATCAATTTGTCAGAAGATGACAGTTGAAGATTTCAAAAATATGGTTTTTTTAATTTTAAGTTTGTCAATCTTATTGTGACGCAAGTGATAAAAACAACGTAATTTAAAAGTTAATGAGAATAAGTATAATTAGGATATGATATTCACCTGTTTGCTATCCTGTCGGCTTCAGCCCCACTCTCAAGCCAGTAAAACAACAACGCGCCTACTAACATATAAAACATGATAAAGATTAACGGTAACAAATATTTGAGGTAGAATTTGCGGTAGATCTTCCTGAACTCCTTCACCCACTCCTTCGGGTTCTTGAGCTTCTGTGAGAATCTGAGAGTCGGCTGAGAGGATCGTTTCCGAACACGGTCGATGAAATTAGAGCCCGCACTAGCTAGCGTGTTGACCGTATTCTGGGAATGAATCCGACGGCCTTGGGACGAGGCACCGGCGGTGGAGTCGGCATGACTGAACTGACCCACCGAGCCATGGGACTGTATCACGCTCTTACTGCCGTGTTTAAAAATGACCGGCATCCTTCGAACAACAGCAGTCCTAGCTACTCATTTACAGATCTTTTCTTCAGGTCGGAGTGTACCAGCTGTTCTCTGCCCTCACCTTCATGGCCCTCCCGCCTGCCACCCTGACTTGACGTCTTTAACCCGTACGGAACTATGTTATCTCAGGTGTCAGATTTCCACGTTTTTTGTCATAATCCAGCCAAAGTTTATGTTCCTTTTATTGTCAGTTTATTATTATGTAACAATACCCGTATGTTGCGATTCTTGAGATTCAGTTGGTTACGGTGGAGATGGCTGAAATAGTGATGGTTTTAAAAAGAAAGGCTCATTGGGGGTATTAAAGTAATGTTTATGGAGTAAAGCAATCGTTTGTGATAAAACTTTACGACAAGAAAACAAAGCCATCTATACCTGAGCTCGGTTCTGGTGATATACTCGGTCTGTCGCTAAGTGGAGTAGTAAGGAGATTTCTCGTCTGGAAGTAATTGTGTATGAGGAATCTTTCACGACAACATGACGTGCTCAGCAATATTAATTACTCTGTTGTAGGAAATATTTAGGCCGTTTTACATACTTAAGACAATTAGAATGCAATTACAGTTCTGAGGGTATTTATTCGAAGAAGACATGTTGTTCACCTTGCACCTCGTAAAATTTTATGTGACATAAAGTTTTATGGCATGTTTATATAAAAGACCAATCTTTACATATGAAATTACCTGATCTATACACAGTGGGGATTTGGCGCTTTGTTTTCGGACGGCCTGGCTTAATGGAATCCCACTAATTGTCGCCTTCCGCCGTAGCGGCATCTGTTTTCGACGTTCTGCTTGTAGACTGAGTTGTCGTGGGAGGCGCGGCCGTTGGGGGACGACCGAGTGAACGGCCGAGACCGTGCTGAGCGGGCTGATAGGCGAGTTGGTCGAGGTCTTTTTGTAGGCCCGGAACAGAGAGTTAATAGCCTTCCGGAACGAATTGGAGAACGCATAGAAGATGAAGAGATTGATTCCGGCCGACGATACGACCACGAGATTGCTTATGTCTACACAAATGGTGAGTTCGGCCGATCTCGTGAAGATCTCCGGCCCCACCAAGTGCTCCACCACGTCCAGCACAGTCGGTAGCAGGCGTGAGAGCAAGAACTTGGAGATTACCGCTATTAATATCATTTCCGAATCCGTTGCATAGGCGCTCGACATAGTGCCCGAAGCGTTCATTTTAAGCCTGGCCATCGCGGCCGACCGGATGACTAGCCAAACCTAAAAGCTCGAGTTAATCCGGATTTGGGAGATTATTCAAACGAATTGCCGTCCTGTACTTTCACATGTAAAAAATGTTTCGTTCGGAGTGTCGGCCGCATAAAAGCAATTTTATAAATTCTCAAACACACCATCCATCATAGGAATGGTCTGGCCGAATCTCTGTGTAATTTGTTTTGTGTCAAAACGAATGTCATCATAAAGTTTGTAGCAATTTCAAAGCTTTAGATGTTTAGAACTCAAAAAAGGCTTATTAAGCAAGTCATGATGCTGTGGATTAGCAAAATACTGTAGCATACTAAATTTAAAATTACTTTAAACAGCCTTTTTGGTTTTTTTACGTTTTTCATCTCCTTTTCCATCAAATCATGTTTTAAAACACTACGAAGCGGGAGAAAAAACACGATAAATCAAACTCTTACCCTGAAGGACAAAACAAACAAAAGTACATATGGCAGTAATGAATAAAAGAGCAGGCCACCCACTATCCGGTACCCAATCATGTACAGCTTGTTGTGCACGAGCTGGGTTTGGGACACGTAGAAGGTGTCGGTGCTCTCGTCGAGGACGGAGTGCAGCTCGAAGAAACGTGGCATCGAGAACAGTAGCGCCGTCAAACAGACGCCAAACAGCACCTTATGAATTAATGGAATGTTGTTGGAGCGGACGGAGAACGGTTTGCACAGAGTACGATACCTGTCCAGCATCAGCGCGCACATCAGCCACACCTGAAGTGATTTCAATTTAATTTTAAAACATTCATATTAAACATGTACAAGGTTAATGTATGCAACGTTGTCATACATTTAAACATTGCGTATGATGTGCCAATTGTGGGCAAAGTTTTACGTATGACAGGCTGAAAACATTGTCATGTGTTTTAATAGGTGACATATCAAAAAAAGTTAATTTGTTAAAAATAAAATGGTATTTGAATAAAGTTTGTTGCCAAAAACTGACGTTTCTGCATGACACTCCTATTCGCACCATTTCAATTTTAAAAATATTCGTTTTCAGCATTATATGCAAACATTTTACAAATTTCTATAAATTTATAGTAACATATAAGATACCAATGGCAATATCAACATATTACCCAAACTTACACTGGCAATCAAGGCGGCATTGCTCATCAAGTAAAAGTAGGGAAATAAGTGAACGTACGGTTGATACATGCCATTCAGAAGGCTGGGTATGGAGTACATGAACAGGGCTGATAACAGCAACAATATATCCGAAATGGCTAGCCAAACAAAGAAAGTGTAAACCCGTGGTCGATTACTGTGTGTGGAACCCGTCGACATGACCGAGCCTTGGCTACGGCATGGTCGTCTTCGCTGTGATGAATGAAGATCGAAGCCGGATCGACTTCGTTCGATCGTCGAACTGGACATGCGCTTCTGAATCTGTGGCGACGTGTAGGCGAAGACGGAAGGCCGATGATACTTGCTGGCAGTTTGAGCTGATAGGACGTAGATCGTGAGCAGATTCATGAAGGACCCCAGAACCACCACGATCAACGTAATGGGACCGTTCAGGATGGCGGACATGGTGGGGTGTCATACACGGGATCCAGGAGTTGTTGTTGGAACTTCAGAAGTGTTCGTATGTCATACAGTTAGTCCGAAATGATACGGTAGAAATCATGAAACGACAAGGCTTCAATTACAAATTGAAGGGATTCAGAAATCAATTCGCAAGTCGACAATGGAATTTGGTTCGTGGGGATCCATGCGAGGAAATGGGAAAGCGCGGCCTTTTCCTCCTTTCCCTGGTAGTCAAGCAAGCAGGCCAGGCGAGCAGGGGTGGAGCTGAAAGAAATAGGAAGTGAAGTCGGACATCGAGGATTCTGAAGCTAGCTCCTCCCACGTCCACTACCCGCAGTCCAGTCTAGGTAGGTTTCGGGTCCACTCGAAACAGCCCCAGGTCTAATCCCGAAACCCTGAGGACAAGATTAAGGCCCAGACTCTTTTGGTCTGAAACTTTGGGATAATCGAGTTTGACAGTGATAAAAGAGCGTGATGCGAGCACAGAGAACAAACGTTCGTACAAATTTCTGAATTGGCCCAAACGAGGAGCGCCACCATTCTTGAAAGGGATAGTTAGGGTATGGTAATTTGGAAAGACGTAGTTACTCTGATTTCTAAAATTAAATGTGTCGGTAATTTGTAAAGACGTAGGTTAATATCCTCAATAGTGGCATTTAACTTGTTTAAATGGAAGTATGAGTGAATGGACGTAGGTAAGTTGGGTATATACTTAAGACATATTTATATCTTTGCCTAAATGTAGTTATTAGGCAAATGTAATAACATAATGTAGGGCCGGGTTTTACGCAAAGACGAGTAATAAGTGCCTCAATAACAACAACTTTACTGCTCCCAAATTGTAGTAATTGTTTTTGAGTAAAGCAACTGTAGTTTACTATACTATATTGTATAAAACTGATGGTAAATTAAATATATAGTCGTTTATACATTTAACAGTCATGCCTTTGTATATAAGCTTAGTGTATCAAAGAAGGCAACGCTTGACAATATGTATAATATATTATAGTTTTACAACATAGGCAATTCTCGAAAACTAGTCATACGTAAACATTGTAGTAAGTATGCAACACCCGACCAAAACCTTAAACCTACAATACAAATATAAAATACAAAAAATAAAACGGCTACACTTGACGCTGATTCATAATATATTGCCAAAACAATGTAAAGCAACAACATGGTATGCATATGTTAAGTCTATGGGAAAGACGTCAACAACGATTAAAGTATTTACTCTCCCTACTTAACTTTCCTATAGAAACCAAAACAAATCCAATTATTACACATACGGAGCACTTTTCAGTGTTGCATTGTACAGTCAACAGTACACTATTGTCTTGGCTAAATCACTATAAAATGTACTTTGTTTTGAAATGCCCGATTCTGTATTCCACGACAACACGAATATTCGAATATTTGTCTTTGTGTATGTTATAGTACATCTTGTGGCATTTTATTGTGTTGAAAGTAAAATCCTTCTATTGTAAACAAAAACATGCAACATAATACCAAATAGTACCATACTGAGTTTATAATGGCACAGTTTCAAAATGATCTTGATATGACAGTTTAAAAATAAATTACAAAGTAATGACTAATTGTTAAAGGTAGAATGACGTCAGATACCTAAACATTAAGTTCAGGACATCGCGCTGCAAGACAGCTTCACCTTTTGTTTTGTGTACCTTGTTCAGTTACAAAAAAGTGTCAAGTAACATGGTTTAAACAAAAGGGTCATTTTCGACAAGTTTTTTTTCTCAATTTTAATTTTACTGGATTTTTTGCTGTTTTTGCAAAATTAAAATTTAATGACTAGCCTCCACCTTCTAATAGGTCACTTTTAGCGCTGTTTGGGAAAGAAGTTTTCTTAAGAACAGATTAAGTTAATATCCAGAAGTAAAATTTATTATGCAAATTTGGAGCTATAGTATCTTTGTATCTTGTATAAATATTGATTCCTCAAAAGATTCAAACGTAAGATACTCTTTTGTAAACAATATAACACACAACTCATCAGCTGTTTACGGTTTATTTATAAGTGATAAGCACCAACTTATGCGTAATGTCGAGAGTCTCGACGTCATAACTACGTAGAATGCCCTTGTTTCTTTCCAACTGTTGTTGTTTCGAAATGAAGAGTATATAGGGAGGCTACTTTTGCCTTTCGTATCTTGTTATAGTACATATGTCTGCTACAATTCCTTTCAATCATTTGTATTCTGTGACTTTATGTTTAATGTACCTTTAAAATTGTTTATTACAGTAATTTGAGGTTCAAAAATTATTTTTTATGTTTGAATTCTGTAATTTTATAAACTTTGAAAAAACTATAACTCTATAAGAAGCCAATAACAGGGGAACACAATATCACAAAATTATTTATTCAGAAAACAAAAAAATGCCAGAGCTTATCTTACCTCCGTGACCTCGTGGTCATAGCTCGTTTCTGTTTTGGACGAGCAGCTGGTCCCTGGTCATTTTGCTTTTTGCGTATCTTTTCTTGGCAAACTCCGCATGGAAAACAAATTTATTCCGCTTTTCTGGTAATCCGACTTTACTTTAAGATTATGAAAGGTTACAATGAGCCCAAATCTCGAGTCGAGTTGATATTGGCAGCAAGGTGAGCATTTAATTTGAATTTTACAGGTATTGTTTTGTTTCAGTTAAAAAAATATATTATTTTAGGTAACAAGTCTTAATTTTCAAAAGTATTTATGTCAGTTTGAGAAAGTTGAGAAATTAAACGACAATATTTTATATTTTAGAAACTTAGCAGATCGCGATGTTATGTCCAAAAGTGACCCGATGTGTGTGGTCTATAGGGTGGATAATAATGTAGCTCGCGAGGTGGCTCGAACAGAGACGATAAAGGACAATTTAAGTCCTAAATGGGGCACAAAAATAAAGCTGGACTATTATTTTGAACGAAGACAAACTTTGCTTTTTAAAATGTAAGTTTAACTTTGATTTATGGTATCAATTTTGAGTTCAACATATTTTTAACTCTAAAACAATATTTTGTTTAGTTTAAAATTTTTTGGACATTTAAAGGTTTTATTAAAGTTAAGATTTATGTAAAATATAATTTTAAATGTCTTAAAATAATATTTCTTGTTGTAGATACGATATTGACTCTCCTACTGCCGAACTTACCCATCACGACTTCTTGGGGGAATGTTCTACTGATCTGGCTGATATTCTAGCTGCTCCTCATGGATACCTTACAATTTCTTTGAGGTGAGTTCTAACTTTATATTGTTTTATGTTTTTAGTGGATGGAGCGGTGCTCGCGGCCATATGATCGTATTTGCTGAAGAGGTTACTCAGGTGCAGAACGACTTCTTTATCTTCAAGATACAGGCGATTGATCTGCATAAGAAGTTCCACTTCATTCAACCAGACACGTACCTAGAGTTTCTAAGACATTTGCCGGATGGAAGGTAGGACTGTTGTGGATAACTTTATTGTTATGTTATAGTAAGCATATGTTCATTTAAAGTAATGTTTTTAGTAGACATCTAGTGCTGCGAACAGCAGTTGTGAATAATTCGTGCTTTCCAACGTATTCTCAAGTCGACTTACAGATACGACAGTTGTGTGGTAATGAGCTGACAAAGTAAGTACCAGTTTTTTTTATATTCTGTTTACTGTTGTTGTATTTGACATTATTTATTGATTTTAGCGAGTTTACCATACAATGCTTTCGAGTTGGCTCGAATGGAAAGTAAGTTTTTACTGTGGTTGTATAATGGCCTAACTAAACATCTTCTTATTTTTTGTGTATGATAATGAGTTTGCTGATAACTTTTGTTGTAAAATTATAGCTTGTAAAGTCATACTGTAACATTTTCAGTATGTTGGTAGGAGAAGTTACGACAACATTTGACAAGATCAAGTCTAGTGGGAGTACACCGTTGCCTATCTTGAATCCAAGGAAGATACGACGATCGAGTTACAAGGATTCTGGAGCTCTTCGGTTTCTAGAAGCTAGACACGAGAAAGCTCATTCGTTTGTTGAATTCATTCGTGGAGGGTATGTTATAAATGTTATAGGGTCCTGAGAGGGAAGTATATTTTAAAGTAACTGTTAACGTATTGTATAATATGGTCTTTGGGTATTCCAATATAGATTTATCCCTGTATTAAAACAACTTTTCCATTTTAGGTTGCAACTAGACTTTGCCGTATGTATTGACTTCACGGCTTCGAATGGATCTGTCCATTCTCAACAATCTCTGCACTATATTGATCCTCAGAATCAGAACCAGTACGAACTGGCGATCGGAGCGGTTCTTGAGATATGTCAGCATTACAATCACACCAAGCAGTTCGAAGTTATGGGATTCGGAGCTAAGATACCACCATCCAACACGGTCAGTCATCTGTTTCCATTGGTAAGTCGTCGTATCTTTGCGTTTACTGTGTGTTTCCGAAGGATCTCGAGACTCGGCAGAGGGTGATCAATGGCGTCGAGAGTGTGCTACAGATGTATCGGAAGGCCTTGTTCTCCATCCAGTTCTACGGACCTACCAACTTCTCTCCGTCTGTCAAAGAGTTTGCATACAAGGCCAGTCTGTTAGCCAAAGAGAAGAATAGGTATCAGATGTTGTTGATCATCACCGACGGAGAAATCACTGATATGCTCAAGACTGTGGATGCAATCGTTGACGTAAGGCTTTTAAAATATATTTATGTATTTTATATTGATTTATTCAGTTATTTAAGCTTTGTTTTGGAGATACGTATGATAATTATGATTTTAGGCCTCTGACAAACCTTTGTCAATTATTATTGTTGGTGTGGGCAACGCCTCATTTGACAAAATGGATGATTTGGATTCAGATCAAGCCATGTTATCTGCATCTAATGGCCGAAAAGCCTTAAGGGACATTGTACAAGTAATTTTTTGTATTTTTGCTTGAAAAGCCGTTTTTTACATTTTTATTTAGTTTTTTAATCGAGAGATCTGCACGGTTCAGTGGGAAAGTTCTTAATTTTAACTGCAGTTTTACGTTCTTCCCTGCACTGTGCAAAATTCTGCGAAAGTTGCGTAATTGTGTTGTCAACTGCACTGTGCAGGCTTTTTTGTGGTCTTCTTTGACGAATTGCACAGTGCAAGCTCCGCTCTTTGTTGCAAAAGCCATCCCATCTGCGACAAATGTTTTTCCCGAAACGAATGTCCTTCTCCGAAATTTCCCATTTGAAAGAATCGCTGTCGCGCCGAGAATTGGAAGAAATCGCGCGACAAGCGGCGCGATCTGCGACAGTCGCTTGCACCCTGCGACATCCCAATGGGAATCGCAATGTCGCAGGGTGCAAAGCTTTGCGACAGACTGTCGCGTCGCGATTCAAATGGCGATGCGACAGTGTGTCGCGGTTGTCGCAACGCTCAAGCCACCACCGGGTTCAGTGGAAGGCTTGCGACAAGTTTCTTTTGGCTGTCGCAAGTCCCCTGACTTCTGCGACAACCGACCGGCGCGACAATTGGGGGCTTGCACTGTGCAGTCTTTCCATCATCGTCTGGGGTTGCAAGCAATCGCAGGGGAATCTGCACTGTGCAGAGTGGAATAAAAAGGGCGCGATTTTCCCAGGGACTGCACTGTGCAGAGGGACATTCTTTTCGGGAAAGACTGATAACCATTCTTGTGAACACAGAACGCACATTGTTGCTGGGCATCCGCGGCAGTTTTATCGGTTCGCTTCTCCAAGAGCGATGCAAGCAATTTGTCGCGAAACGATTTGTTCCGCGACAAAGCAACAGAATCTCTGGTGTCGCGAGGTGCAAGCAGTTGTCGCGATTGTTGCTCGATTTCTCTTCATTTTGAAAAGAAATTCGGGAGCGACAAAGATGCCGCAGGTTTCTTTGAATTTTTGTCGCTTTCCAATTGAAGGCATTTGCGCGACTTTGAACAAAAAGTTGCGACATTTGCTTTCACATAGCGACATTTCAGTTTATTGGACTGTCGCAGGGGTAAAAGTTGTCGTATTGCATTTGGAAAGTTTTTGCGACAGCGTTTGGGGATTGTCGCAATGTTTCAGTTTCCACTGTGTTCAATCGAAAGTTTGCGACAAAATTTTAAGGGTATTCGCAGATGGGGACTTCTGCGATAAACTTCACAGTTTGGAGATTGCACTGTGCATTTGTCTTTATTGGGAAGCAAATCTGCACGGTGCAGTCATGGTTTTGTACAGTGCAAAGGTTTATGATAAATATGCACGGTGTAGCTGGGGTTAGGGATTGCACTCTGCAGATGTTTTACTCTTTAAAAACTGATACAACGTTTGATGCTTTTCAGTTTGTGCCGTTCCGTGACTTCTTTCCACCGAGTGGAATGCCTCGGTCGCTTCTGGAAGCCGACCAAATCAAACGTCGCCTGGCCGAAGCCGTTCTGGAAGAAGTGCCAGAACAAGTGACGTCGTATATGAGGATGATGAAGATCTCTCCCGACCCTCCTCGCTTCCAACTGCCTCCAGGCGACGATCTCCTCGACTTAATACCTCCACTGAACACGTCTCGACCAGTCGATTCCATGTTGGACACCTCTCAACCCCCTGTTAACCCTGCTTATCAACAAGTGCTACTAGCTTAATACGATGCCTTAGATTCGTTGTTACCTATTTATTGAACACGGTGCTTAACTTATACTTTATAAAGGTTGTTACTATCGTTGGTTCATATTCATATCATAGATATTGTTTATGTTAGGTTTGGACTAATATCAAAAAACATTAAATTTGAATTCAAAATAGGGTTTTAATTTGTCTTAAATTAGCATAAATTGCAATTTATTTGTTTTGTAATAGCATATTGTCTTCATTACGACTCATTTGGCCTTATTTAGTCTTATAATTTATTTAAATTGTTTATTTCTTGACTTTCATAAGCCTATACTTTAAAATGAGAATACTATTGTTAATGTTCTTACCACTAGTCGAAACAACTTCATCAAGAGCCTTATGGAATCTGAATTCAATGGCTGAGTGTAGACTAGGCTACTCAGCTCTAGTCTACAATAACTATGGCTGTTGGTGTGGTGTAGGTGGAGCTCATACTCCGGTCGATGGCATTGACGAGTAGGTATTTGAATATGGTATTTTAGTTTTAAATTACAATTATTAGTTGTTGTCGTCGTCACGACAACTGCTACGACGTAGCTCTTGATAAGCACGATTGCAAAGGCGTGTTCGAGGAATATGTGAAAAACTACAAATGGAAGTGCGACAAAATAAACATTACTTCGTCTGAGCCAATGTGTCTTGGTAAGAGTTGTCAGCTACCATGAATATAGAATAATATAGCGAGTTACTTTCTGTAACATATATAAAAATAACGGTTACTATAAGTCAAAGTATGTCAATGTCAATCGTATATGCATTTAGGGTCTGAAGATGCTTGTCGAGATGATCTTTGTCATTGTGATAAGATGGTGGTTGACTGTTGGTCACAGTGCGCTAAGCCATCTGAGAGGAAACGCTGTTCTCACAATGACTAAGTAACTCAAAATAATACCTTATTAGTACCTAAAATACGAAAAAAGTTATTTTAATTTAAAAATAAGCCTTTGAATACACTCTTTCCTCAGATTGAGAAGTCAGTTATAGTCTCTCAACCTAATCATGTTTGATCAAATGAAACTCTCCAAAACATCAAAATTAGCATAACCTTATATAAAGTAGTTAATGTAAACATAAATCAACCCAATAGCCTATATTATATATTATTGGCAATCTCGACTGACAGATGATTCATGCTGTCAGCTGATCTCTAGACCTTTCTGTTGATAAGCCTTTCTTCCGACTTTCCTAACTTAATATGCGGTTTCTACTCTTATCAATCCTCCCGGTACTCTCGGTCGAACCTGTCATCAAAGCTCTATGGAATCTGAATGCAATGGCTGAGTGTAGACTGGGCTACACGGCTCTAGTCTACAACAACTATGGGTGCTGGTGTGGGGTGGGGGGAGCTCATACTCCGATGGATCCGATTGATGAGTAAGTGAGGTCATATTGTTGTTTTAAACAAGAAATAAGTTAAATTTTATAAATTGGCCAAGAACTTCTTAGACTAGTCTGGAACAGGCTAAAAAGCTGTGAATTTTTAAATTTTAAATTTTTTAAAATTTTTTTTGTATATAAAACATAATATAAACTAATTCGAACATAAATGACCAAATATTTTCTTATTTTAGCTGTTGTCGGCGTCATGACAAGTGTTACGATGCAGCAATTGCAGAGAAGGCTTGTCCAGATGTTCCGATTGAGTACGTAGAAGACTATGATTGGGTTTGTAACAAGACTATTGATACTCGACCTCAACCAACATGTACTGGTAAGTAACGTACTAGGTCGTTCACTTGATTCTGCGCCTCTTTTTGAAGTAAATTTTGAAATATACTGTAGGCCTTAAAAATGTATTCATAGAAAAAAGGTAATCGTAGCAAATACTGATTTACTTTGCTTATTGTGATAAAACAATGTCTTTAAGCAATACAACATGATTGTTACATTAACATAACATTTTTTAGAATCTTCAAACATGTGCAAGAACTACATGTGTAATTGTGACCAGATGGTGGTCGATTGTTGGTCACAGTATTCCAGACCCTCCTTTAAAGTGTCATGTACTCATCATGATAAAGCCTTGGCCAAAGCTTTTTTTGACGCCATTTTGAATTAGTTATGATAAATAAATTACTGAATAACATATACATATATACCGTATTTTAAAATAAAAATATTTATTTTTCAAAGTTTTTTAATTATTAAACATGCATTTCAAGTTGTTTCTTATAATATCAGTCTTTCCCGAAATGAATGTCCCTCTCCGAAATTTCCCATTTGAAAGAATCGCTGTCGCGCCGAGAATTGGAAGAAATCGCGCGACAAGCGGCGCGCTCTGCGACAGTCGCTTGCACCCTGCGACATCCCAATGTGAATCGCAATGTCGCAGGGTGCAAAGCTTTGCGACAGACTGTCGCGTCGCGATTTAAATGGCGATGCGACAGTGTGTCGCGGTTGTCGCAACGCTCAAGCCACCACCGGGTTCAGTGGAAGGCTTGCGACAAGTTTCTTTTGGCTGTCGCAAGTCCCCTGACTTCTGCGACAACCGACCGGCGCGACAATTGGGGGCTTGCACTGTGCAGTCTTTCCATCATCGTCTGGGGTTGCAAGCAATCGCAGGGGAATCTGCACTGTGCAGAATGGAATAAAAAGGGCGCGATTTTCCCAGGAACTGCACTGTGCAGAGGGACATTCTTTTCGGGAAAGACTGATATTAGGCTTGTCGAATTAAGTGTCTAAAAAAAGCAAAAAAGTTGCGACATCAAGCCTACAACAACCATAAGATTCCTGAAAGATGACAAAGAATATTAAAGACAAACAGAACTTAATTGAATCTTAAAAAGGCAATAAAACTTAATTACCTGTAATCTCGGTTAATAAAACCTTGTCATTCAATTAGTGATAACAAAAAGGCGTCAAAGTTGGTGTTGTAGGCCATTAACACCCAAGATGTGGCGAATTTTAGCGACAGTTGCATTATGTAAGTTAATTTGAGTTTATATGCAAATTTATATCATAAATATTATATTATCATGAACTCTATTTTTATTGTCACTGCGGACATAAAACACATTCGTACAGTAAGCTTTATCATAATAAAGTTTTTTTAGTATTTAATGTAAGCGGTGAAGATGTAGGGCTCTTTTACACTGTAAACCCTCAAATACCGCCTTCTGAAGTCAGTAGCGAGCCTCATCCTGGCGTTCGGGAATGTAACAAGTACCAGCTGGAATACTGTGAGGTAACTATGTTTGTTTACAGCTTTTTTTTATAAATCAAGTTTAAATCATTAGTTTATTTGATTTTATTATCATTCTATGTAAATCGTACTATAGTTATGTAAACTTAATAATGTTTTAAGTCTCAACTAGCAATTCACCTCGGCATCGACAAGGATCTATTCAAAAAGCCAGTCGAGCTTGTGAGAGAAGTTGAAAAGATCATCTTCCACAATGTAAGCCAATACAAATTATTTTTATAAACCAATTATTGTTTTTTTGTTTACATACATTACATCTATAAATTCTGATCTAACTTTCTACAAATTTGGTACGTTTAGGGAAACACTGGTATTCTGAACGTCTGCAAAGCCAGGACCGACTTCCATACCTGTTTGGGAAGCGACTATGCTGCTTGTACTGACCTATTCAACATCCTCAAGTTCCAAGGGCTCACTGGAAGAGATGCCTTCATTCTGGCCGACTTCTATGACAATATGGACTTTGACTGTAACGGGGGCTTCTTACGTACGTTAATGTAGAAAGAAAGAAGTTTAAAAAAAAAATAGAAAAGGGTTGTTCATGTTTATATAATACTTGATTTTTTTAAGTTTTATCTTGGGATTCTATACTTAACTTCATTACGGTATAATTGTATGACAGAGTATCATCTTGTAAAACCCAAATGTTACAGAAGGAATCCGCCACTGGTCGTGCATTGAAAAGACTCACTTGTCCGACAACTACAAGAAACATACTGAAGAGTGCTTCAAGCAGTACAACGAGACCGTGCACAAGAATCCCCATCTGTACTGTCAAGCCGCCGAAAGCTTCAGCTTCTGCCAAGCCATGGTCTACGCTTCGGATGAAGATTGTCAAGGTAGAGAGGTGAGTGTAATATCAGAACTAATTATGTTAGAGTAAAATGTATTTAAAGTAACACATTAGTGCGATTACAGGGTATCATTTATCTCATCCTAATATATTTTTATTCAGCTTCTTTGGTGGGAGTGTGAAAGAACGTTGAGAAGAGCCCAACTAGATGGATACTGTAGCCGCTCTTCATGTGCCAAGGTATTCGAGGAGCTTCGTGGTATTAAGTCACAAGCACAACCAGTCGAGAAGAAGTTCACTCTCAGTACTCGTAAGTTTTTCAGTACTAATTCATCTTTGTAGCTATTGTTCGAAAAAGATTTTGTCTGTAAATACAAAAATCATGCTAAACATTACTGTAGCTTAACGTCATCTTTCAGTTCATCGCAAACTTCTGGCCGATGCTGACAGAAAGCACAAGGAAATGTTGAATTAACTTTAGTATCTTAATAAACTTTTCACTATTCAATGGTATATACTGACTTTACGGTAGATTACCAACCTCCTTATCTGCTTTTAACTTACTTCTTTTTGGTTAATATTGTAGTAATTCAATATTACCAAGCACTTTACACTACCATTTTGTACTGTCTATTATAAGAATTTTAGAACAATGAAGCTGTTGGCAGCTTTGTTGACGTTTGTTCTGCCAGCCGGTAAGTGTCTGTGAACAACTTTATAAATATTGTAATATTGTAGTGTCGGCATTGAATAACTGTACTATCGAAGACTTGAAGGAAGCCCAAGCTGTGTTTGGAAAGAAGTTAGGCTTAGATTCAGGCAAAGACTGGAATCACCCTCTGGCACTATTCGACGCCATTCAAAAGTTTTACGCCCAAGATGGAGTGAAGGGCATTCTGGACGTATGCAAGTGAGTATCTGATTGAGTACTGTATTGTTGTAATTGTAGTATTGTTGATGACTAACACATATATACTTAGAAACATTGATACATACTACTATTTTTCCAATATATGTAATTAAATATAAATGCCTTTAATCATCAAATATCATTTTTTAATCTGTCTTCATATTCCAGTGCCATTAATGCTGAATTAGACTCCTTGAACAAAAAGGACATCGACTTTAGAACCTGCTTCGACCCTCGCTTCTTGCTGAGCAATGATGACACTCCTGAACACGCCCTTCACTATATTAGTGTCGTATCGTATCTTCGCTTCCAATGTGGTGCTGGATTCTATAGTAAGCTTTTTCAAATTTTTTTATTATACTGTAATATCTTTGTTATGAATGAATGTAACAAATAATTACAGCCGCAGCCCAAAACTGGGAATGTATCTCGAACACCTTCAGAGCAGCATCTACTCAGCTACTGGATGAAGTCACGAGTGTTGTGAAGAGACTAGCCAACACCGACTTGTTCGAATTCGAAGTAGGGTTTGGCACTAATTATTATACTAAATTAGACACGGATTTTGAGTAATAAAAAGCTCTAAATTAAAATTTAGAAATGCGACGTTATCAAACAAGGGGAGCGTCCCTACTACAAGCCGTTCCAAGACCGTTGTAACTCCGGACCTGTTACCTACTTTGCCTGCGAATCGTACAATACTTTCTTCACTTCCATCTACGCCGATTGCAAGAGTGAATGTAAAGGTAAGTTATTATAATTGTAAAAATACTGGAACATCAAATTATCCATTTTTATCTTAAATTATAATTTTCAATCAAAAAACCAACATTATTTTAAACTTTATTACAGTTGGATCGTGAACTGAGACCATTCAAACATTATTCATCTTGCGAATTTAGAATGACTAATAAATAATTCGACTCCTTCGATAATAAATCTAAATTTGGTATAAAATGTTTCGTTATCTTTGATGCTAAACTACAGTAAGGTAGAATGTAAATCACGGCATTGCTCGACAGACGTGCCACTCCTACGGCGTCCTTATCGTTCATGTACTCGATGAAAGGTGTAAATGACATAGCCACTTCAGCCCCGACCATAAAAACTAACGATCCCTTATCAGCCTCGAGCAGTTTCTCCAGAAACATCGTCTCTCGCGGTAACCTCTGATCTATCTTCAGTTTTATGGCTCCTCCTTCATCGTTCCTCATCAGATCTTGGACCAGATTCTCTTTGCCGGCCACTCGATGGATTCTACAAATTAAAGTTTTATAGAATAGGCCTTACTCGTTAAATTTACTTAATAGCAAATGCAAATTAAGAATTTCGAAACAAATAACAACTTGAACTTACTTTATGTTGTACTCAGTCTTCTTTAAACAGAAGAATCCCTTCCAAGTACTCGGGTATTTCTCATTGAATTCATCGTATGTGCTCTTAGGTGACCTGCTTCTGGATCTGCTCTTCGTCTTCTCCCTCCGCTTCCTTTTAACCTCTTCTGGACTTAATGAACGTGGTTCTGGTTTTGCTCTCTTCCTTACATCAATACGCTCCATTCGATCCACTCTATCCACACGCTCTACTCTGTCCATACGATCTACTCTATCCATACGATAATCGCCACGATCCATTCGATCTACACGCTCGAATCGATCATTTCTGCCCATACCTCGAAAGTCCATACGGTCAGGTCGCTCATTTCTGTCAAACCTCCTTTGATTGCCTCGTTCTCTATAATAAAGAAGACATAACTACCAAAGGCTAACTTTTTTGCCACATAAAATGTAAAGACCAAAGAAGCATAAAACATAAAAAATAGTTTCAAAGCCTTACTTGGCATAATCAACCACAATCCTATGCCGTCCATCCAAAGCAAAGTCTTTAAGTGCCAAACAAGCGTCTCTGGCAGAATTCGAATCACTGAACTTAACATAAGCATGATGATCTCCATAATTAAACTCTACGCTTTCCACAACTCCATACCGGTCGAATTCCTTTACCAACATGTCCTTATTGGCCCAGGCTCCTAGTCTGCCGACCCACAGTTTCGGAGACACTTGAGACTTCCCGTAGCCAATCTGACATAGTGAAGATCCCTTTCTGACAGGTCGATTATGCATCGTTTCTAAGGCGTCAATGGCAACGTCAAGAGACTGAAAGTAAAATAACTGTATGATAAGCACGTTCAAGTATATTTAAACCTAATATTATCGTTTATATAACTACGTTTTAACTTTAAGTTAAATAGTCTTACATGAAACACAACAAATGCAAAAGCTGCTGTCTTGTCCCCAATGACCTTGATGTCAATGTCCTCAATGGTTCCAAACTTTCCGAAAACTCTCATTAGTTCATCTTGCTTAACATCTCCGGGTAGATTGCCAACAAATAGCGTCCTTGTAGCCATTTTTGGCTCCTGATTTAAGTTATTAAACCCTTTATTATTGTTATTATTGTGATGATGTTGTTGATAATGATGTGAAGGTCCAAGCCGTGCCTGATGATGGTTATTATACGGCACACGAGTATCAGGATGTCCATCCGACATTTGAGCCCTATTGAAACGATCCGGAATGAACTTTCCCTCTTGATCTCTCAGTACTCCAGCTGGGTCGATGAGGACAGCATCTCCCAGTCTGTCTTGTAGATTAGGTATCAAAGCTCTCCTGACAGTTTTGGCACAGTTATTGCGACGAAAGTTAACGTATGCTAACCTGTCGTCAGTTTCTGGGTCTTTAACAACCTTTATCTGCAAAAAAACGTAAATTAGAAAAGATCAAACGGATTACTTCAATTTTAGGTAACATTTTTGCTTTAGATATAATACAAATTAATTTGAAAAACTTACTTCAAATGGGCCTAGACTGCGCAACTCTTCTTCTAATATCTTTTTGATATCGTCGTTTCCCAGACGAGGATTCATCTTAGAGAACCTCAGATTCAGGTAGTCTTCTGGAGAATGACTTCCAAACCTTTCTCTGTAGTACTTTGACAAACATGATGTGCTGTCAATCGGCGCTCTCTCTCTAAAATAATATAGAAACCAAAACAAAACACTTACCGAGGTCTGGATTCTCTTTCTGACGGTGGGCGTGCTGGCGTTGAAGAACGAGACCTGATCTCGCCTTCAGAATGATCCGATATCACTCCGGCATCTTCTTCACCGGAACTCGAAGACCGAGAAGACATGATCTATAAATAACCGAGATATTGTCCATCTTTGTCACGCAGGTGAATATTAGAGAACCTGGGAATCCGTTAGAGGATGAGACTAGATCAGAGATAAGAGCTTATAGATAGGTAAAGGTAATATAAAAAGGAAATAGAAGCCCAAAAATAAAAACATTAATAATATAGAAATTAATAAAAACAGTGCGCTCAAAAGCTAGCAACAACCTTAAATGTTGAGGATAGTATAGCAGCCAACTTTAGAAAAAACGAACAGTTTTCCTCGTGTCAACGAAAAATCGATTTTAAAACGAAACGCCAAGCCGCTGCGGCCTGCGCCCCTAATCAAAAAATAAAAAAAAATATTATAAAATATTTGGAAAACTAGCCAAATATTGCCGAAGTTTGTAACAAACATGGATGAGGAAATGGATGTTGACTATGTCAATGGTAATGGAAATCATTTTAGTCAATCAAATGGCCATGCTCAATCAGAAGGATCAGATTGTGGATCGGAGATTACCAGAGTAAGTATAACATCTTAGTTTTATTGGTTTTTAGAAGATGAAAGAAATGTTGAATGATGGTCAATTGGCTTCGGATCAGTCGATTCCTGAAGCCTTTGGAGAGCCGTTGTCTCCAACTTCAATAACGTTAGTTATGTCGTATATTGTGAATCGAAAGTCGGCTAGACATAAGACGTAGGTTTACTTTATGAATTATAGTAGAACGGTGGAGATAGTCTTGAGTTAAATCCGAAATTTAATAACATAGATTTTCAATCTTTTAGTGGTGTTATTGAGTGTCATATTTAGATTTAAACCTTCTGCAATGGCTTGCTGCAACTTGATGTACACTATCAACCACTACGAGCTGGAACCTCCACATCAGTTGGCTGGCAAACGTAAGTTTTGAGCGCTAGGACAAATGTAATAATAATGAATTTGGACATTTGCGGATCTGCGGTTTTTAGACACTTGCGGATCTTCGGTTTTTTGGACACTTGCGGATTTTTTTAAAGGTTTTTTTTTATTTTTTAGTTAATTTAGTTGTGTTATGGTACTAAATGGTACTAAAGTTTAAATTGGTACGGTTTTAACATAACAGTACCTTTTTGGGCTTTTAGTACTATTTAGTACCAAAAATATAAAAGCAGTACCGATTAAAAATTTAGTACTATTTAACATTAAGAAATATTAAGACAGTGCCAATTTAAACTTTAGTACCATTTAGTACCATACTACAACTAAATTAAATAAAAAATAAAAAAAAACCCTTAAAAAATCCGCAAATGTCCAAAATCCGCAAGTGTCCAAAAACCGAAGATCCGCAAGTGTCTAAAAACCGCAGATCCGCAAATGTCCAAAAACCGCATTTGTCCTAGCGCCAAGTTTGTTTTAATAGTTTGTTTTTGACAACAATGATTTAAATTAAACAAAGTTCTTATAGTTAACGGAAATCATCTATTGAGATACCGTGTCATATACGCAAGGTGGCTGATGTACTGTAAATTTCCACAATCATTTTCGAATCTTCCTCTTTACAAAGCCTCGAAAGTCATAGATTTTGAGTTTTTCTCTGTTTTTGGACCCATAATCATTGAAAAACTGAAGAACAAGGATAATGTTGTGAGTTTGATTAACTTTTACAATATTTTTGGTTTTAGGCCACAAATAAATATGTCATTCTAAAACAGATAAATGTAAAAAGAAGCTTACAATAAGACGATATATTTCTAGGAGTGTAAAAAAGCATTGGAAATTATTGAATACCTGAACAACGAGTTTACAGTACCAGCTAACTCAACATTATCCAGAGTACGTACTCTGGACGACAGCGCTGGCATAAATTTACTTCAAGAAGAAGAACCGAGTGTCACCCCGAAGAGTAGTTTATCGAGTATTCCAACTATTAGCAACCTCGAGGATGAGAATGACACAATGTACAGTTGTGACAATATGGAGGACAATACGATGACGAATGGACTGGATGAAGATACTACGCTGGTTCCAGATGATACGAGGTTAGAAGTGAAAGAGGATGATGCCAGTTTGAATAGCAGGTTGTTAAGGGCTCTTACTATCGAAGACCTCGAGGAAATGATACCGCCAAAGTTGACAAAGGGTAGGTTGTTAATATTGTTCGTTGAAAGTTGTTTAATTTAGAATTTTATTGTAAGGAATATATTATTTTTACAATATTTTTAAAGATAATACTTGTACTTTTCTAGAAGAAGATGTTGTTTTTGGAGTGAAACGGAAGGAATCAGCGAAGCAGGAAGAGAAGGATGGTTCTATCGCTTTTTACTTTTGTTCCAACAATTGTACGGTAACGCAGAAGCCACAAAAGTTGCTTTGGTTGTTGCAACTTCAAGGCGTTTTCAGTGCACAGTTGCCTAAAATGCCCAAAAGTTACATTACAAGGATAGTATTCGACCCAAGACACTGTAACTTGGTACTTGTCAAACGTGGTAGGTCTTCCTACTATGGTTATGACAATTTTTTGTATATTACTTATGTCATATTTAAAATTTTATCCATAAATTGTTTTAGATATCGGAGTTATTGGTGGTATCTGCTTCAGGCCGTTTTACAACGAAGGCTTCACAGAGATTGTGTTTTGTGCCATTACAGCAAGTCAGCAGGTGAGTACTGTACTGTCTTACAGTTTATTTGTTTAGGTAAAAGGCTACGGTACTCTGATGATGAATCACTTGAAAGACTTTCATGTTAGAGTAGCCAACATTCATCACTTTCTCACGTACGCCGATGAGTTTGCATTGGGATACTTCAAGAAACAGGGGTTCAGTGATATCATAAGCCTACCGAGAGTACGGTATCACGGCTTCATCAAAGACTACGAAGGAGCTACGCTAATGGAATGCGAGTTACATCCAAAGTAATGGTGTCGACTTTATTAAAACCATTTATATCAATATTCTACTATATATAAGTCAAGTGTGCTTCTAACTACGATTTGTGAGATTAAAAGTATTGCTTTTAGAATGCTGTACATAGATTACAAGGAGGTTGTGGGTAATATCAGAGACGCATTCCAAGCCTATGTCAATCGCAATTTCCCGGATTTCGAGAAAACTTACGGAGGAATTGAACAACTGTTCCAAGAATTACGTGAGTTTTTACAAATTGTTGCATAAAATGTAGCACAAAGTAATGGTATTGTACTTAAAATTGTTGTAAAATAAGTTTAAGTCAAATACAATTACAAGAAACTGTTCTCACTATCTTTTTTGTTATAAACTTCAATGAACGTTTACAGCCAAGAACCAAATAATCGAATTGGACAAGATCGACGGTGTCAGTCAATTGAAACTCGAAGACCGACTTTCAGTAGAAGATACTTTATCGTTGAAGACCGTTTACAACAAGATAAAGTCAAACCAGTATGCATGGCCTTTTGCAGAGCCAGTAGATGCTGAGGAAGTGCCAGAATATTACGACTACATCAAGTTTCCGATGGATATGAAGAAGATTGGCGACAGACTAAAGGACGGATACTACCTTCATGTAGGTAGCTGGATAATATGTCTTTATCACTGTTGTTATTGATTTAACTTGTTTGTTATTGTTGTATTTCTTGTAAGTCTCCAATAATGGGATCTATTTTCTGATTTTATCATTTTCAGCCACGACTGTTTGTCGCTGACTTTAAGCGAATGTTCGCCAACTGTTACTCATTCAACTCCTCTCAAACAATATACTACAACTGTGGGTACAAACTGAACATCGCTTTCAACAAGTTGTGCAACTCTTACTACCCAGATCTCGATCTCAAATGTACTCTGCCTGATACCACACCCACGTGGGAGGAGGAGTAATGTTTAACTACCTTAAGTATTAAGGGTTCCAATTAATAATTGAGCCCTTTAAGCTATTAACGAGAACTTTCTTTACAAAGCCTTCGTTAAAAGAGCCTAAATACCTTAATTTATTTGTAAACTGTACGTATTTATAATACACTTGGTTTGTCAATATACAATCGTATCACATTACTTTGTCAACAGCCACTGTGTCCCCTGTAGATTCACTTCCTTCAAGCTCTCCCTCGCAAACGCCTTTCCTTGTTTGAATTCCGTGTAGACCACGTTCTGTCGTTTCAACGGCACGTTCTCGGTCGATTTGGCTGTCGGATCGATGAGTCGTGTTATCTTGGAATGATCTCCTTGACCTATTGGGTGATGCTCATTACCTATAGCCACGAATACTATCGATATAGGGAGGTGGGAAGAGTTCACAATCACATCCATCGACTCCTTGTGATTCTTGAGAGCTCCATTCGTGAAGATAACCAGTACGAAGTATAAGCTGGTACCCGTTTTGACGGCGGCCTTGGCCATCTTGACTATGTGATGTATGGGAGAGACGTACTCTGTAGGGGCATACGGTAATACTGACATTACTGCACGGCGATAGCCTGTCATTACATTGTCCAAGCCACGTATAATCGTGTTGTTCATGTCACCGGTTAGAGGAAATAATGGGCTGTATTCAAACTTGGGAGGAACTTTAGCTCCGAATCCAAACACCGAGATTCGTTGTAACCTGAAAAAGGATATTTTTAGAACCATTTTAAACAAGAATTTCATTTATTCTGTGAATTTTATAATATTAGGTTACCTACTTGTCAATTTTGCATATTTCTACCCCAACTTCGTGTATCGCCTGACTGTACATGTTGTGATGATGAGGATGCACAAAATGAAGAGATTGAGGATCATTTTGGCCGCCATTGTTGGCCGTAAAGTCGATAGCCATTGAGAAATGCAATTTGAGACTAAAAATATTTTAAAATAAACGCTTTAATTAACAATATTAAAGTAGACGTGAAACAGTACTTACCCAATACGAATTGCGCTAATAAAAGTGGGTATTTTAGGTACACTTCCAAACTGTACCACTTCAACGTAAACATTTTCTTTCTTTTTACCATTAGAGCCATGTAGCTGAAAATTGATAATGATTCACTTTTAGGTAATAACATAAAAGTCTTTAATTATATCAAAACGATTATTTTCTGATATTACTGATACCAGCCGAAGAAAAAAACTCACCATAAATTTATTGCCAAGAGATCCGTTCAAAAGTTGGAAAAATGTAATTGTAAACTTCCCGACCAAGTAGTCTTCCGCCTTGTTGTGTATGAAATGATATACAGCTATTTCCAGTATGGAAGGCTTTATCGTCGTCAACGCAGAAGTTGGCACGGTAAACTGGTTCCATTTGGGATGAGTGGAGTTTGGTACTAATTCACTTCTGTACAGCAATGTCTAAATTCTGAATGTTGAAAACGTGGGCAACCTACTGGAAAGCTGTCTATCGAGCTCTGTATCCTATTCAAAACAAAGTATGGAGCTGGGTTTATGACTTCATCTACGTTAAGATGGTTTGCTCTCAACTGGATCACAGTGCCATTGATGACTTGCTCTGACTCTGTTACATTAATACCCAGTAAAGGACTGTCATCCGCTTCCCAATTGCCATCTGCTGAATCGAGCGGTAAATACAGTTGACCTGAACTCATTACCAAATCCCTGAAGCCAGTTTCGACGCCTCCGACTTCTTTCTCGCCCTGATACCTAAAATACACAAAGTAACTAAACTTTTATCGAATGCTCAAAAACTCCAAGAAATGGCTACAGGGTTGCACCGTGCAACATAAGAATTTCATTTCTGACTAAACCAATAAATACCTTTTATAAAAAACTTGATTTCAACATGTTTTTATACCTTTTCTAAAACAATAAATAACTTTCAAAAGTACCCTTGAAAACTGCAAAAACATTATTAATCATTGTTTGCGCCAAAAAAACAAATAAAAACTTAAAATCTAATTCAAAACCTACAAACAAAACTTCAGACGCTGATTCAGCTCCAAGGAGAAGACTACCGAAACTAGTTCCTCGAAGGCGGGGCTCTTCCCGGTCCGTAACTCTGTTTGTCCCACCTCAAAACGAATAATTTGAATTGGGGATCAGGAAAGAAAGGAAAGCGAACGCAAATCAACGGAAACGAACAGAAAAAGAGGAAAATAGGTATAAACTCAAGAAACTTGACGTCATCTGACTTTTTCACCTGGGTGAATCGCTGCGCTCCTTCGTTAATGATTAACACTTTCACTTGAGTTCCTAAGCCGCACTCCAAAGGTATATCGCTTCAATGAATCACATGATTAATGACCCACCACAACTTACGAACATGACAGTTTTAGGCCAATCACCTCTTGAAAAGCCATTTTATTTGAGAAGAAATATTGTTTGTTAAACTACAAAATTTAAAAAACAGAATCTCGTTTTTCGTGAATTCTTTTTACTTTACACAAACTGCGCATAGCAGCGTATAACTTTGTTTTTACGAAAAAAGCGCGACATGCGCCCGAAAAAGTAAATTCTAAAAAGAACAAATGTCAGTTCCTGTCCTAATCCTATTGATGTTTCAATCTTGACCAATTGGTTGAATTTGTTTCCAGGGTTTTTGAGGTCAAAAAGAGCGAAGGATGTAGAATTTGAATATTTCACTTTTTTGAATAACAAGACTTGACCGGAAAAATGTATAAAATAATTTTTTAAATTGTGTTTTATTTCCAATTTTGATCTATTTCTTTTCAGACGGCATAATGGCGAACATGTACAGGATTCAGCCGGTTTTGGAGGACCTTGTGGTAAAGCCAAATGTGTCCATGTATCACATCGAATCCATTCACGGGGAAGTCCAGATCCCTTCAAGCAACAGTGTCCAGTCCACTTCCGAAGACCCAGTGAAAGATTTGGAGAGAAGACAACTCGAGCTGATCAGAAATTTGAATGAATTCAGCAAAACCTTAGATCAATACTTGTCTTCTGATGTCTCTAAACTCCGTTCGGATGTGTCCAAATTGAGTGTGCAAGAGGGAAATGCTACCAAAGCTGGTGGTAAGGTGGACAAGAAAGCGGCCAAGAAGGAAGCCCGTAACAACAACAAGAGCTTGGCCAAGGAAAAGAAGACACCTGAGACAAGATCAGAATCTCTTCTGACGTTGGTTCATCCTCCAAACTCCTCAACCTTCAACATCAAACCGAATGTAGAAGACCCAAAGGTTACTATACACGACTACAAGACGACGCTACCTACAGATTTTGAAGGAGTTTTGGAATGTCAAGTGGCCGACATCAAATGGCTAAATTCCCTCATGAAGTTAGGCAATCTTCGAGGCATAGCTATCGGCCCAAGGGCTAAAGGAAAAGGCACGATTCATTTCAAGACTACCAAAGGTAACACATTAATATTGCCTGTTTTCATAATTTAGGGGATCGAGGAAGATCGATGACTGACAATTGATATTTTAGGCACAGTCCAGCTATCTGGAGTGTCCACATTCCCAATTACCGGTCGAGTATCTGTCTGGAAGGCCTTGGGAACATTGCTACGGGTATACGATGTCCTCGATGGTGTTTCAGCCTTGGAAACTCATGAATGGCTGACGTTAGCGGACTCGTTTTTGAAGAACCAGATCTCTTTCGACGATTTTTATCGACCAATAAACCGCCGACTCAGTGAAGTCGACTACCTGGCCTCAAGAAGCTCCTTATTACTTCCCGATCTGCTACTGAAGGACCTGGTGAACGGCCATGTTGTGGCAAACAACACCGAACTTTGGATAAACCGAGTGACTAGTTCCCTTTAATTGTTAAAGTTTATTGATATTTATAAACGTGCTCAATGCGAATCACGTTATGGTTAAGTTACAGTGGATTTGACACAAAGTTAAACATTGCCCTTAAAATTACCCTTGGATCAGAATAGTAACTGCGCAATACTTTTTGACCAGCAAAGTAAAAATCAGCCATCTTTATAAGTTTATCTTCGATTTTTGAGTGCAGATCGGGATTTTGTGTCCTTTTTCGACGTACTTGTCGTTTTTCGTCGTTTTACGGGTGTAGATGAGTTCGACCAGTCTTCGTCGTCCTCCATTAACTCTTCTTCCATATCAAAAGCAGGTGATCCGCATCCATCAGCAATTGATGATGTAGATATCCGAGTAGGAACTCGAGGTGACTGTGAAGCACTTGGAGGAGCTGACGACAAATTTGCGAGTCTCCGTCTGGCTACTCTAAACGATTTTAGTTTCTTGATCAGGTATAAAAAGATTTTTTATTTTTATAATATTCGGTAGAGAAAAGCATTCGAATGTAAATCATAGGAAAAACTAGATATGGTTAATGATACCTAAAAACAAAAAAAACTGAAAAGCTTACCGAGAACTGTTCCTTCCCATCCCGATGCACTTTTCCATGTGTGGAGCGAACCTGGAAGCAGCAATCATCCTGTGACAACACATACATTCACATTCGAGTTGTGTTCGTTTGTTCTGGTTGTCAGCACTAACTGCCTCTACCGGCTTTCGACGGACTGGCATCTTGTTGTCAGGTTCACACTCCAGGTTCAAAGATGAATTCAGCTCACGATCTCTGTGATATTTGAGAACTGTCTCTGTCAAAACATGGTCCATCAGATGGGAATACACTTGTTTTAACGCTGAAAGTGTTATTAAGTATCTGTGAGGTTCCGAAATTATACAAGACTAGAAAATTAAACTCGGTCGAAAACAAACAAACAATATTATATAAGTTAACCTACCATTAACCCTGAATTCTTCTGATTGTGGTGTTGGTTTGAACCCGTTCTCCATTTTTTACACAACAAATGTTATCTATTTACACAAACTGTTGTAGAAGTACCTTTTTGGTTGTAAATTTATTCCGAATTTGTTATAAATTAACATCCAATCAATAGTGGCACTTCGTCGCAATTGGAAACAGAAAAATTAAATTTCTGATTTGCGGATTGTGTGATTTCCACCGAAAATGTTGAGGAAATTCGATCGACCTCCAACTTTCTTATTGAGGACATGCAGAAGGTTTGCATCGGGTCATGGTCACGACGACCATCACCATCATGGTGATCCAATTAACGACAAGCTTGAGAAACAAAGCCCAGAGTACAGGTAAATTATCTGTTTTATAGTCTTTCTCTTTCTATAAGAACGATACTTGCTTTACTATGAGGTCCAATGTGATGGAAGCTAGTTTTTCCGGATTTTACAGCTGTTTATAATTGTATGAAAACTGATAGTGTGATTCCATTGCTTTCGTATTTGAAGTTCTCGTTTAATCTTATAGTAATTGTTTTCAGGCCTGGTTCTGACACTTATGCTTATGAAAACCCTTGGCCCAAGTTGAACAAGGGCCGTTTGGACTGGATGTTCAACGATGGTTGGCGTCGACCTTTGGCTCCGGATCAAGGAGGTAGACTGGTAAGTCGTTGTTAAAATTGTCTGTTTGTTTAAAGAGATCATTAAGGGAGTTTCAAGTAATTATATCCTACTTTGTAGATAATTGGTACAGTTTATTACAAGTATAGTAAGGTTTAGGAGTAATATTGTTTATAATTTATAGAGAAAAGAATGGCTGTGGTTTGGAGTTGTGGGCCACAACGAACATGCCGATTGGAAGAACTTTCACACACTGATGTTTGGTGCGGCCACAGTCCTGTCCGTTTATGTTTTCTTCGTTTTAATCTTCCTGCGCTCTGACTGGTAAGTTGAAGGTTTTCGGCTCTTGATAATAAGAATTTATTATACTTAATCATCAGTATTTTTAATGTTTTATTTTTCCAATTATGGAAAAGCTATGACCAAGCCATGTTAATATGTGAGTTTTCAGGCCTTCCGGAAAAGAATGGGCTTTACGAGAGGCCTACTTCGAATTGGAACGTCGCCAAAAGGCTGGACTGCCTCTCATCAGCAAAGACTTCATCGACCCAGAGCGAGTGAAGAAGAACCTGCCTTCGGACGAGGAGCTTCGCGACTTCGCCATCATTATTTAGGTAATTGTTGAGCTTGATTAGAGACATAAATTAACGGTATATGTATTGAAAATAGGACTGTGACAAAACAAACATGTGATTCGTATTTTTTTCGTACTTACAATTACAATTTTGTGACACAGAACGCTAAAGTTGTCTTCGAAGATAATACTTGACCCATAAGTACTACTGCTTTTTGGTCATTTTCAAGTAGGATACCAGTTTATTAGATACATAAATCAGTGGTATATGTGGATCAACTATAAATTAGACAGTAACAAAACATGCTGGTCGTCGTGACCACGTACAGGGTATTCTGAACACCGCACGGTGCTGTAGCAGACGGAGGGGCCTGCTTCTGTGCCTGGGCGTAATGTACCACATGGTCGGTGGGCTTGTGTTTGATGGTGATCAAGTATTGTGGAGGGTCTTCCGGATTCTTTCGGTCGTCTGGCAGTCCCCAATTCAAGATGTTGGTGAAGCGGAGGTCTTCATTGAAGAAGGCGCACAGAAGCTGGCCTCCTGGTTCTGTCCAGATTATATTGACGGTGTTCTTGCTTAGCATTGCAGATCTGGTTTGGTGGTTTCCTAGTTGTTTTACTGCGCCCTAAAAAGTTTACTTCAGTCCAAGGGTTCCCAAATAAAGCTATAGAGCAAAAACTTACGCAGAATATAACGTTTTCACTCACATTACAAAAAATAGGTAGGTATCGTTGAGCAAATATTTAAAAATTATCAAAAATAACACAAAATTGGAATAAACTTGCCATATTTTGAAAGTCGACTTTGTAAAGTTGGAGAGCTGTCCTCACTTTACCTTGCACAGGAGGAATAGTTAACAGAAAGCATCCGGTAACGGTGTCGTAACAAAAACTAGCTATTGATACTGAAATGAACCATATTGATTAATTTAAATAATGTCATGGGGACAATTATGTATAACCAGTAATATATCAAAACCTTACTATTTTCAAGCAGAGTATACAAGGTGCCATTCCTGTAGGCCTTAATAGAATTGACGGCACAAATGAACAGAACTCGATGGTTAGAATCGTAGTTTAAAGACATGATAGGCTTGTCTCCGTCTCCATTAGTGATATCTTCGGGTTCTTTCCCGGGCGAGTACGTGTATACTCGACCATTCTTCAGTCCGACTGCCACTTGTTGCAGCGACATCCAACAACAAGCCCACCCATTCGACTTCAGCTTGTAGGTGATCTTCAGCTGCTGTGTAGCCAACGAGACGTCGGTTATACAAAGAGTACCGTCATCTGAAGTTGAAGCCACCATGTTCGGGGAAGAAGGGTTGATGTGGATGGAACGGACAATCTTATCATGTAGTGCTATCTTCTTAACACTCGTCGAGTCTATCTGAAAGCTCAAAGTGTCAATCCTTAGAAGTAACAAGATTTTCATAAATAATGTAGAATAAAGATTAAGATTGTATTCGTTCATAAATACGACATTATATTTTTAGGTAACAATACTGTTGATACAAATATTTAAACAATATTATAAACTAAAACTAGTAAGCTTACCTTAGCAATGCCACAACACTTTTCTTTGTTGGACATGAGCTGACATCCACACACCACAAAATCTTCGTTGTCAAAGGCACAAATAGCTTTGACAAAATCGTCTTTAGCCAACATAGAACTGAACGGCAGCTTCTTCACAGCCAGTTTGAACTCTTTCACGCTCACAGTGCTAAAAACATATTAATGACAACAATGTGTGTAAAATAAAGGAAATCTTCGCCATTGCAAATTGTTATGTTACTTACTTTAGCTCATTGTATGTAGCAATAGTCTTCAGCGCTTTTTCGAGTTCTTCTTCGGTTGTTTTCAGCTTTCCTTGTAGTTTTTCGTTCTGTTCTAAAGCTTCTTTCAACTTTGTTTTCAGCTGGTTAAACTCAGCTCCATTTGAAGCCTAAAAACAACTTATTTACTCTGATGTTAACTTTAATCCATACTCCACTACCAAAAATAAAAAAAAAGTTATCTCATATTCACTGTTAATAAACACTCAGTGAAACCTAAACATGTAAATAACTATGAAAACAATCACCTTGAACATCTGCCCAAACAATGGTCGAATATCTTTGACTGTGGCCTTGGTTTTACAAGTAGGACAGTTGCCATTTCTTTCGGATTGGATCCATCGAATAATACAGCTCTTACCAAATAAATGACCACATTTTAGACATACCAGTCGATGTAGATCAGCATCAAAGTCGTCGTAACAGATGGTACAACAACAATCTTGGTCTGGGTCATTTAAGGTCTGATTTTGAGACTTTAGGGGTGAATCAAGTCTGAAAACAGAAGATAGTCTGTGGTAAACAAGAAAAAGAATATAAAGAATAGATAACAAAAGATCATAAGTTATGATTCAAACCTAGATACAGAACGTAATACCTAAAACAACAAAAACCGACCTTATTCTTTTCAAAGGAACTTCATTACTCGTACTTGGTGTGGAAACATTAGGTTGCATCGACACAATGTCGCCAGTGAAGTTTTCTGAAAGGACAAAATAAATTTCAACATAAATCTTACTGCTTTTACCTTTATTTTCTAAAATATCAATGAAACCTACCTAAAACAATATCAGATAAAAATAATCAAGTTTTCAAGAGCTACTTACCTTGTTGAATAGTAAATTCATTAGCGTTAAGAACAGCTTCAGCAACAGAAGACCTGGTCGAAGATGTGGCTGCTGCTCCTCGTCGCCCTCTACCTCCACGAGCTCCTCGACCTCGCGTTGTTGTAGCTGACGAAGCAGCGCCTCGACCTCTGCCTCGTGTTGATGCCGACGTCGATCTCCGTGCCCTTGTAGCGACCGTGTTTTGGGGAATGTATAAAGCGTCTTGTGAGTGTTCTGGACTGTATTCTTCATTATAAACATCGTCTAGGAACGCTAAACTTGATAACGGATACTGAGTGTTCAACTGGAAGAGATCATCGTCCATAGTGGAGGAAAGACCGTTTGGTCTACATAAAAGACAATATAATAAAACAAATTTTAATATTTCGCAGCCAAACGAAAAAATGTTTTTTATAAAACAATATTTTTGGCGTTCCGCAACTGTTTTTCGAAGAGCGTCGACCCGCGCGACGAAATGTCAATTGATTGGCAAAGCAGGCGAACAATAATAATTAGAAAATAAAAAAATAATTCATGGCTATGAAGATGGTGCTCACGAATTAGCATGTTATGCGTGCTAAAATAATGAATTTAGAGGTTAAAATGGTCTTTTATGACTTATTTGTTAAAATTTATATTGTTGTAGACGTTGAAGTTTAATTTCGTTAAAGTTGATAACACCCAGATGTTTTGTGGTATTTTAACGTTGGGTATTCGAAGTCACAGCAAGTTTAGTCGTCTTAGAAGTTGCACTAAATTTACACTTTTGTTGTGTTAAACATGTTTTTGGGCGTAAAACGTTTCGATTTGAAAGGATTGGCTTATTTCTTTTCACTTTTGGCAAGTTATTTGATAATATTAACTTACTCATGGTAATTTCATATGTTTATAGTGCTAATAAAAGGTAAATTTATTTTAGATTTAAAGTAACTTTAAATTATTGTTGATTTGTATATAATTCTGTCCTTTACTGTTATGTTGTTGTAGACGTGGTTGTTGTTCACGCGTTTTGTTATCTTTTTTTGCATACCTATACTTAAATTCCATTGAAAATACGCGAAATTTGATGAATTTAACTATGCCAAGTATTCGTATTTAAATCAGAACGACCAAATATTTTGTTATGTAACATGAGAAGGGCTGATACGATGGTTAATACGATATGATGTTAGTGTTTGAATAACTTGTTTTGCCAAGTTCTTTGTCTCGATAAAATATGGGTTTTTGCATAATTCTGCATACATCATGTTCGTATAATAAAGCACGCTGAGGTCAGTAATTACATTGTCGTATGTTGTTGCGTGTGCACGCAATGAATAGGATATTGTTGTAGTAGAAACATGGTGTAAATTGTGTTACAGCAAGTGCAGATGACGGTGTAAAACATGTGTGTTTAACATACATCTACAGGGTGTTCCGAGAAATTTGGTCGCTAGAAATAATTCATAACTTTGCAACTATGCATCCTAAAAATGCCAAATTTGGCACAGTTGTAGAACAGGCTAGTACATTTTTTATGGAAAATTTTGTTTTTTAAAAGTGCAAATTACGGTCATTGTGAATTTTTAAAAATCAGCATTTCACACCGAAATTACACATATTTTGGTTGTAAATGAACAGTTTTCGTCGACTTTTGACATTTTTTGCTTTCTTTTTTGGAAAACCGCGTTTTTTGTGTCTGCGAAGCCTCGGCGGAAGATCGGCGGACGTAGCCGAGTATCGGCGAAGACTATAACTTGGTTCAAATTTGTCGTACCGACATGAAACAAAAAATTACACTATTTTGAGTACGGTACTATATATTGTGATATGAAATATTTGGGTACGGCATGGGTATGGATAAAGGTATGGGTATAAATATGGGTATGGGCATGGGTTCGGTATGGGTACGGGTATGGCATGGGTATGGGTACGAGGGTGGATATGGATATTGGCATGGATACGGGCAGGGACGTCGTTTGGGGGAGGGGGTAGGGGGTATCCTTTCCCCCAAAACCAATCCGAAAAAAAATTCCACAGGTCCTGTACGCAAAAAAACAAAAAAAAAGTTTTGGGAAATCAGTCCACAGAAAAAATTTATTTCGGTCTCCCCCTCCCCCAGAGAAAATCCGTAGCGACGTCCCTGGATACGGGTACGAGTGGGTACGGGTAGGGGTATGACATCAATGTGGGTATGGAATGGGTACGGGTATGGGTTTGGCATGAGTATGACATTGGTATGGCAAGGGTATGGCATGGGTTTAACATATTTTTAGAACAAAAGTAAATTTTTCTGAAATTAAATTATGATTTGAAAACAGTGTTCTTTAAATTTGGAAGTTATTAGTTTTTGTTTCATGTCGGTACGACAAATTTGAACCAAGTTATAGTCTTCGCCGATACTCGGCTACGTCCGCCGATCTTCCGCCGAGGCTTCGCAGACACAAAAAACGCAGTTTTCCAAAAAAAAGAAAGCAAAAAATGTCAAAAGTCGAAGAAAACTGTTCATTTACAACCAAAATATGTGTAATTTCGGTGTGAAATGCTGATTTTTAAAAATTCACAATGACCGTAATTTGCACTTTTAAAAAACAAAATTTTCCATAAAAAATGTACTAGCCTGTTCTACAACTGTGCCAAATTTGGCATTTTTAGGATGCATAGTTGCAAAGTTATGAATTATTTCTAGCGACCAAATTTCTCGGAACACCCTGTATGTTAAAAAACATTTGGAATGATTTAGTTGTTGATACAGTAGTAAGAGATTTACTCTAGTGAGAGTGTAAAGTTGTTATGGTGGTATTATAACTTAGTGTAAAGAATGATTTTATCTTGAGTTTAAAGAAAGGTACGATGCTTTTATGGTCAACTGTTTTATACTGTGGTATCTTGCTTATTGTGGGTTATGCAAGCTACGTATATCTTTGTAAACTTAACATACGGTCGTATCATATCATTTTTGCACTTTGCACTTAAAGTTTACGTGTACATGTTTACATCGTTTTAAAAATAACGTATTTACAACTTGTGCATCATAATCTGTAACCTGAAGGGTAGCTTTGCAAGATACGTCAATTTATTGTGGCACACGACGATGCGTTCAGCTATACGATGATCTTATTGTAGTTAATCCGTCTTATTGTAATAACGGTAAGGGGGGGGAGTGTATAGTACAGGGTTATATGAGCAGTATATAGAGTCGTATCTCGGGGGTGATGTATAGCATCGTATGTTAGGGGAAGTGAGTCGGAAGCGGGTTATTTGAGTTATTAGCGACAGGAAGGCGTCTAATTGCGGTTTGGCTGGACTGGCCTAACAAGCTGTTGTACGAACTTCTACTCCTAAGTGGCGACGAAATGTCTTCATAGTACATTTATATACAGTTGGTATGTATGGTCTGCCGAAAAGTTTGGAGAAAAACTAACAACAAGGTTACTATATTAGACGTATGTAGTTATAGCACAGTCAAGACAGGTCGAGGGAGGGGAGGGGGGAAGTATGGACTGAAGGTACCTCGCCCCTCTTTCCCTGTAAAGCTTACTGTTAAGCTGTGGTTACAATGTAAAACAGATAACATTAGTTAAAGCTATTTCTTATTTCTGGAGGAATTTCGCTTTATACGCTAACTAAGGTACGATGGTAATGACGAAAGGAAATGACATATCATGTTGAACTTTACAATAACATGCAGTAATGAATGTTTTGAAAGGAGGATAATATGTTAGTAAACAACCTAGTTTCCGTTATTGCACGCATATATCTTGGCGTGGAATACAGTACGTTACAGTAGATTTTAAAATAACGTTTGAGGAAACAGGTAGTACGTATAATGTAACGTATATACATGTATATTTATATACTACAAGAGTTTAGTGATTTCTGGCTGTGAGGGAGGGGGCGAGAGAGATTATAGGAGGGGGATATGTTCTCTGGGAAGTGCCATTATTAAACCAATGTGACCTGTAAACAGTACATTCACAAGACGATATGATTGTAATCTTTATTACGTGCTGTAAGTCTTTAAAATCTTATTTAGTTGTTATGAACAACAATTACTCTAATGACATACGATCTCTTAGCTGGAGCACCACAGTGTAAATACCTATACATTACAATCTGAACCGGTCGATAATTAATATTACTATTGGTGGCATAACAGTTCTGTGGTCAAGAAGTATATAGAAAAATGTGTTCGGTCGAAAAGTAGATGGAGAAAATATTTAGATTGTTAATTATAAAAGTTTTTACATTTTTTATGGACTCCTTGACCAAAACAGTAGTTTTGAGTGAATTGGCACAAAAGTTTTTAAAATTTTTGAAATTTAAAAATTTGAATTTTTATAAATTGTCAAAATCTCCCATTTCTCGGTCGAAAACTTTCCAGAACACCAAATTTCGGCCAAAACTTTTGCACCAATAGCACCATCCGAACAGTGGATTTATTGTACAGATACAACAACAGCAACATGGTTAACGAGGTTTATGTTAATATAAATATATGTATACGAATGTCTATTTGCGGCCTCGCGGGTGGTAGAGCGCGTCGTTGTTGTTGGTGTTGTACGACAGCATACACTGGACGGGCGAGAAGAAACAGTTCCGGTCGTATTTCTTGTCGCGCTTCGCCGGCGACATGTGTCGCGGCTCGTCCATGTAGAAGAAGCGCGACAAGGGGTTGAGGACGGCACTGGGCGGGTCTCTGAAAGCATGGTTACTGTAGTTTTTAGCATAACGTCACTAGAGGTTACTGTAGTTTTAGTTTTTCGGCGTAAAGTGCTAGAGGTTACTATAGTTTTAGGTGATTGTATATACTATATATATTATGGCATTGAAGTTGTTTTTATCGTAACCCTGATAACATTTCTCAACATACGAAGCCACAGACTTGCAAAATAGACGGAGGCGAGGTAATTACGGACAATAAAAGATAAAACTTGCAATTTTGTTGTTTTTAGATAGTAACATCTATTCTTATTGTAACCCTACTAATTTTGGTTTTGTTTACTAGTGAAACTAATAATCATAACATCGTCTACTCGACAGGTAAATATAAGTATACTTACTTTGTAAGTATCACTTATAGTTTAGGCTTTTAAAGTTATAACCTAACGTAGCCTGTTATATAAATCACAGTCCAGCGGCAGGGGGGGGAAGACAGTTTGGGGTAGGCGGGCTAAATTTGCCCATACAAAGGTGAGGCTGTGTAACAACCATGTAACTTCCTTCTCATACCAACTTACCGGTAGTAATATACGGAGTCTGGGGCTGATTGTACCGTCCGCACTGAAGCCAATGTGATCAAGTAGACTAGGATAATGTGCTTGATGGGCATTTCTGTCGTGCAAACTCTGAACATACGATAACCTGCAAGTATATAGTTGTAATTGCTACATAGTGGGTGAAAAGTAAATAATCATATATAACATATAGAACGATAAAACTGTACTAACGCGGTCAAAAAGTTTAAGGAACGTTGGTCTTCATGGTAAAAGAGCGTTCTGTAATTACTGTTTACTTTGCGACACTGTTATTAAGGGATACATTTACAACATCAACAATAAATGTAAATGTATTTTACTGGCGACATATGCTATATTGCATGGTCTATTATTAGCAATCACTACGATAATATCATAATATCACGTTCAAACTTAAAATAACATTTCCAAACGTTAAAACTTGATCAAATGACATTTGTAAAGAGCTACGATAATATATGCAAACGCAAATAAGCGTAGTAGATGTAAATATACAAATGCCATATCATGTAGGGTCATTTAACTTCAACCTTTGAGGGATTTTGTGGCAGAGTAACATCAACAAACAGTTGACAGGTTTACAACCAACATATATATACAAGATTAACATGATAGTTTTGCGAATTACTTCCAACAGTAAACATATCACAACAATGGCATTTACTATGTTATTGGTCGTAAACTGTACTATTTTTGAAATTACGAGAAATAGAAGATATTAGTTACGGTGTCATTTACAACGTCAATATTACACAACATATATTGGTTACAAGAACACATGGTAATATACATTGATATAAATACATATACATGTTAATGTACAAGATGCCTTACATATATACTTATGAAGTTTATACATGAATATATGCACCTATGTTTGATATAAAGATCATAGAGTAATACGTCGAATTGTGATGCGTTAAACGTTTCTGGTTAATATACATATACATGTCGTATAATAAACTTCCTGCAGTCAACAATATATGTATATTATGTAGCCCTACCTACTCATATAAAGGTATAATGCATATATATAACGTATATAAGGTATAATGTACTACAATTTATATATAGACACAGTAATCTTAAAGTAATACAGAAGATTGTGTCAGATAACAGTTTTTAAATTTACAGTAGTTATTAAATGCCAAAGACAACATACCACGAAACATGATATGTCAATAATTATATCGTATACTCGTGATTACAACGTATCATATACATATATCAAGAGTTATGTAATGGTACCATCAAATATACATTCTGAGTGGGTTACAGTGATACGGAAATGACATATTAGGACAAAGATGACGCTTTGATATGATATGTTTTTACACAGTAAATGAGAAGATTTTGTATAATAAATAATTTGGAATAAGACAACAAGATACCCAAAGTAACGTCATGGTGAACGTACGAGAAGCCAATAATACAAATTCGGCCAAAATGTCATTCCTTGACTAATTATTAATAATGGAAACATATGAACTAAATATATACATTGCCATAGAAAGTAATCTCATCGAGGACGGTAGTATAATAAGAAAGGGATGAAAAAAAGGGGGGGGGTAGTTGATGGGAAAAAATGACAATACCTTATCTTACAAGCTAGTAGGGTAGAGCTCACCGTTTCCTCTAAACCTTCTATATTTTTTATTTTAAGCGGGAGTGTGATCCCACCAATTCTGCCATTCAAATCCCCTCCCTTATCCAGCACCCCTCCCATGTTGAAACTCAGAACGAGAACACCGTTAACTTAAATCCACCCCCGCACTTTAAAAACCTCCCAACCCGACAAACAACCCAAAACTTTCAGGCCAGACTAACCCAAATCAGGTATTCCGACTACAGTAACCCGACACCGGAGGGCGGAAGACAAATACCAAGTTTGGGGGAAAACAAACCAAACCCTGAGGGCTTCTTTCTGCAATCCTCGAAACATGTCCATAAGGGGCGGGGCGTGGGGATGACCGCCTTATTGTGACAGCCGGTTTAATTGCTACAGTACGCCGAGAGTTATATTATTGTACTGTGTAGTATATTAGAGTACTATAAATGTTGTTTTATGTATTTACTTTGTATGTATATAGCGATTTCAATTTGTCAAATTAACAACTTGAACTTGATGTAAAGGAGAACAACACATTAAACTTATTAACACACCTGACACGTTTCCAAGTTCAATGACTAATATTGTCGTATGTATAAATACATATACACCTACATATATATCTTGAACCTTACAACAACATATAACTTATCTAAAAGTGTGGTCCAAAAGTGAATAGACTCATCTCTTATTCAAAAATAACAAGTCTACTACAAACTTTTTGACCAAATATTCTACGTTTCTATAAACCTTTTGACCCCAAAGACAACATGACATTCAAACTTGACAGTATGCCAATATAGTACAAAGTTATGTTCACCTAAGGTAACTAATTAGAAGGATTAATACCCAAAAACCAAAACGTAAATAAATCAAACCGGAACTGGCAGTAATTGCGATGCCGGAAGATACGACGTGTTACCGAGACAAATATACACATACCAACAGCACGTCATGGGTAGTGCACAAAAAAACCAATAACCGTACTGATTTTACAGCACTAATTATCATGACATCAGCGTGACATACCGGTCCAAAAGTTTGTAGAAATACGAAAAAGTTAACTTTTCTTTCCTTTCAAAACAATTCTATAAACTTTTTGACCAAGCAAACCAGTTGAATTTGCAAACTAAACAGAATGTCACAATGACCAGATACGGTAACCATGTACATCACTAACAAGTCAACGTCTCCATTAAGCCAAGTGTAATGTAAGTAGCAATTATGTAAATCAAGGTAAAGGTCCCCGCCTACTGTAGCCGCAATTTGCATTTGGAATTATGAAAATTAGCCCTTGATGTGGATTATGATGAGGATAGTAAAGTTTGGCCATGTTTCTGACATAACTTGCAATAAATTTTAAATGTACATGACAGCTACTGCAAGCATAATATAAAGCTCCAAAAATAAGGCCCCGCGGCCATTATACAATGAATAACATAAAGCTGGGAGGCTACAATGAAGAACCACGCTTTTGGCGCATTAAAAGTATTGTGAGCAGCGGCCCGATGCTAAATAGTATAGTAAAGGTCAGCAAAGGACAAGTAAAGTGGGGTAGAAGTAAGGTCACAACGTGAATATTAGAACAGTAACTTCGTGAAATGAAGCGAAATATATTAGAGCTACGATCACAAACATAGGCTAATGTTCTGTCAAATACAACATGTTGAACATGGTGACAAATCAAAATTTACAAAAACTTCAAAAGTCTTCCTTTTTGCCTTTTAAACACCAAGATCACTACCATCCAACAACAACATGCCGAAAGATTTAGCTAAAGTAACATCAGAAACCAAACAGTTTAGCCAAAGTCATGTCCAAAATGGCACAATCACTAACTAGGACAATAACGGACGAATGTCGTTTCCCAAAGTCATAAAGAAGACGACCAATTATGTCTGGACGTCACACTCGTTCCCATACTATCGTATGCTTTATTCTCATAACCCAATTGTTTCACAATATACTTTGGTTTGAAAGATACGCTCGAATATCACCATGAGTGGGCGCATAACATCATCTACCTCAACGTTCCTGTCCAACTCGTGTGACAAAGAGGTGGCCGTTTTACCCGCCAGTCCACAAGGTACGATGTGGTCGAACCATCGCAGATCTACGTTACAGTTCAATGCCATCCCATGAGTTGTGATGCCATGCCGGACCTGAACACCTATCGCTGCCACTTTCCTGTCGTTCTGCACCCAAACGCCTAGAATAGAAGTCAGGTGAAACAGTAATTCCTCTTATAGCGGTTGTAGTGGTATTACTTGCAAAATGTAATCAACCATTCTGCGTGGCAACTCAAACAATGTAATTTTAATTCTTGATGTAGTTTTAATTTTATATTGATAATTTTAAGTTTGATCTTGTTTCTTTTGAATATAAACAAAGTTGGATTCGCTAAAAAACAAAATTACAACAAAAATTCCGCGAAATTCAAAATTTTTTAAAAATAAGTTTTTACAAGGTAATAGAAGAACTATTTAAAAACTCCAAAAATTTAAAGCATTAATATGAATTCCCATGATAATATTAATTCAGAATTATTAGGTGCCGGCAAAAGTTTTCCGCCATTTTTTCTAAAATTTACTAAAGAATTCTGGACAGTTCTAGAACTTTCTGTTGATAACCTAGATAAAAGAACTAAAAACTTTTGTATTTTCAAGCTTTCTGTTGTTTACAATGGTCGAAGAAATCAAGCTAAAACCTGATCATATACGGGCCATGCTACTTCTCAAATTCCGTGAGCACGGTAACGCAAGAAGAGCAACGACGGAAATATGCATGTAGGGCCTTCGGTTGTCTCCCACAACACTGCAAAAGCTTGGTTCCGCAAGTTCAAAAACGGTGACTTTGACATGTCCGAAGAACCGTGAGGTGGTAGATCATCAGTGTTGGCAACAGATCGTTGGTAATACTGGTACATATAATTGTTAATTAGTTGTTGTTGTTTTTTTTTAAATATTAAATTTTGGTAAAAACAAAAATTAACGGAAAACTTTTGTCGGCACCTAATAGTTTGAGCCTTACCAGGATCAGAAGTCCTTCCAACTGATTTGATCCCGAATTCGTCTGTGCACAAATCAATGACGCTTTGCTCCAGACATTCCACAAATCTTCGAACGCCCAAGCTTTTGCCATCTACTTTAGCGCGGAGATCCATCACTGGGTATACAACAAGCTGGCCCGGGCCGTGAAATGTGATCAGACCTCCTCTTTTTATCCTAACATTCATTGGAAGTTTCAAACAGATTAATATTAATTTAAATTTTTATAAAAGTAACTTTAATATAAATATTGTTTAAGTCTCTTCAGATAAAGCTTGCCGCTGAATCCCAAAATTTTATTATAAAAATTAAATTTAAAAAGATTAAAACTTTTAAAAGACCCATCTCAAAGGAAAATAAGTAATAATGCTAGCTAATTTGCCCCAAGATAAGATAAATTACCTTTGAAAGTCAGCTCCGGACGCCTTGAGACGTTTCTCTTCCTCTTCTCCGTAAGACTTGTCTCTGAGGCCGACAGTGAAGACGGGATCATGCTCAATCAAACAAATGTAATTCCTAAGAGATTTATTCAAATAACAAGTAAATCAACAAACGTTTTTTGTGGGCTCTGGCGAACAGTTTGGAAGAGTTTCTCCTGAATTTCCAGTCCTTCCAAGTAAGGGCGACGGCCAAACCACAAAGCTTTGAGAATCATTTTCGTTTTGGTAGAGGAGCCGCTGTAGCGTACAATCGATCTTCTCGTGTTCTGAAAACAGTAAATTAAATATATTTTAATATTTAAAATATAAATTTTGCTCAAATGTATATTTAGCTCGCTAATGAAATCACAACAACAACAATCTCCAAGGAAGAAGTTAAAAACTTTTGAAAACGACCTTACCTAGTCTGAAACTCTGTTTTTCCGGTATGGAAAAGTTCCTTCAACTCAGAATTTGTAGGACCAGCTGGACCGCAAGGCAACTTGTAAATTCCGCTGATTTTCTAAAAAGAGATAATGTATAACACAAGGTAAAGTACCTTTCTGTCTTCTTCTATCTCTTCTTTAGTTATTGGCCGCGTTAGCTGATAAGGAACTTCTTTCTTCGGATGCCAACAAGCAATTGCTCCGTTTCTGAGTCCCACAATGTGCCAATCCCTTAAAAACATCCGTTAAACAAATCTATCATGAATATTAACCTACTTCACTGAATAAACCTCTTCTTTGGCTGATGAAAAATGTCTAAGAACTTGAAACCGAAGCGAAGGTAACCTTGTAACAGTGTTCATAACTTCATTTGCAAAAAAAAAATAAATCCAAGGCAAAAAAATTAATATTTTCACGGAATGCCAAAGCGTTTGTTTTCGTTGCGGGACGCTAAAGCAGTAAAAGTAAAGTATCTTCAACTTTAAAAGTTGATTACTCGCGACTGTCATATGGCGCAGATTGTTTATTGGTGATAAATCAGCCCCTCACATGGCTTTAGTACATTAGGTTACTTGGAATCATTTACCACAACATTACAGCGCATAGTAATATTGTGGAAGGTTTGTCGTCGAACAAACATCTCCCAAATATGCGAGGAATTTGAAAAATATAAGTTTAGGTATTAGTTTACGTTCCGAAGAGTGAAAGTGAAAGTAAAAAACGGGGAGGGCTATAAATCATTGGAAAGCCGTAATAAAGTAATGTTCCGCCGCAATCGGCCGTTGTAATGTTGTCTTGTTTATTTAGAAATACATATTGCTATTATTATGATATTAACATAGAAGGAAAAGGCTTTAGAAACAAGGTTTTTGGCAGCAATTTTACAAACAAGCGACATTCTTTTGTCGTACGATGCTAACGAGTTGGTTGAAGGTGGCGTCGCTGAAGATCTCGTTGGGATTGCCAGTGATGGCCTTCAGGTTGTCAGTGTGGAGAGGGACGCCTTCTGGTGTGTGGTCCTGAAGTTGATCGGGTTACACAAATTCAAAAAACTATTAAAAATGCGTTGCAAATCATTTTAATTTAAAAATAAGCTGCCAACTGGTCAAAAAGTAGCTAGAATCGTTTTCCGTCTTATTGTAAGGTGAATAACATTACAGAAAAGCTGAGGAATCTAATTCTCACTGCTTTTCCCTCAATTTGTTGGCCAAAGTAATGAAAAAATGTATTTTTGTGCCATTTTTACCTGGACTCCGATCGTGAGCATTCTGAATCCGGCGGCGCGAGCTCTGGCGGCTTCTTGGACTGGATCGACTCCTTTGTTGTTCCAGCCGTCAGTGAATAACAACATAATCTTGTTGGCTAGGCCAGGACGAGCTCCCCGATCTTCGTCAGCTTGTTTGGTGGCTTCCTTGATTCCCTCACCTGCAAAGTCATGATTAGCCTTTTATCTTTGCTATTTGGGTATTTATAGGTCATGTTGGTTTTGTCATGATAAACAAATGACAATGTGACTATTACGATAACTTTTGGTCTCTCATAGTAATCTTAATTTTCTTACCAATAGCTGTCAATCCACCAATGTATTGTGCTTCTCTGACCGCTCTGATCGTATCTTCGGCCGTTTTGAAGGTATTCAAGTTGAACTTGGTGTGTGTTTTGCCAACACTGCTGAAGACGATGAGAGCGACACGAGTGTGACGAGGACTGATGTAGAGTTGTCGCAGCAGTCTCTCGGCCAACTGTTGATAGGAGTTGTGGACGATAGTGGTGGTGGTCGAAAAGTCCATGACTAAAACAAGGTCCTGCTCACAGCCGGTGAAGGGGTTCGTGGTTGTAGTCGTAGTGGTGGTAGTTGTTGTTGTAGTGGTCGTGGTGGTCCTGCACTTTTCTTGTGTAGCTCTCAGAAGACGTCTCGTGATGTCCGTAGCCAATTCACGGCCGCTTTGCATAACAACATGGTTAATATGGCCGGTGATGTCGATCAGCTCCTTTCTTAAAGTTTTTGATTATTTTTTATATAATATTGTTACCTAATATTAACTTTACTTCTATTAACTGGTCTTTTGACCTAAAACTCGATCTATTTCTCAAATTAGGTAATATTAATTTCGTTTTTAAATTATTTAATTGCTAGTGAAGCCAAAACACAAAAATAGCGGGCGGAACCTGTTTGTTCGATATCGTTAATATTTGTTCCAAAGGACTGTAACAGTTCGTCTGACTTACTTATCGACCAAGGCTGGGTCACCTGTGGCGGCAGCAAACACCCAGGTTTGAGGTATGGATTGGAGTTGGCGAGCTGGTACTACTGGGTCTACGGCACTACGACCGTCAGTCACGACCATGACCAAGGTTGGGATGGACTTGTTTCTGCTCTCCATAAGGTCCAGAGCTACTTCCAGGGCTTTCTTGGTGTTGGTGGTACCTCCAATGGCACGGAGACCACCCACGATCTCGTAGAACTCTTTGTTATTCTTGGCGAAGTTCCACTTGTACACTTCTCGTCTGTAGCTGTTTCCAGAATACACAATCATGGAAACCTACAATATAACATTATACTTTGAAAACTTTAAGTTTTAAATTAAGTTACTGAGAGACCTAATATTATCCAATTTATTACAAATTTGAATGACTTATGTCTACATTCTTGTGTTGAAACTTACACTGTGAGTGTTGGGGCCAATGTTCAACTCTTGTGACACATCGAGAACAAAGTCACGACTCACGTTGAAGCCACCTTTCACGGAGTCGGAACGATCCAAGATAATCATGACATTGAGGACACAACTCACTGGAAACAAAGTTTGTTCCCCGTTGATGTGTTGGACGATACCAAATAAGGCTACGCATAGCTAAAAATGTCATTTTTACAAAATATTAACCATGGATTTGAATGAAAGATACAATTTTACTAGTGATGGCATGAGCATAAAAAATTAATAATTTATCGCATAAAAATGAAAATCATTTTGATCGAATATAAATTTGAAGTCGACTTATGTAAAGGTTACCTCCCACAGATACCATAATCCAAAGATACTACGAGTGACGTGCAAGAAATTCTAGCATGACAAACTTAGACTACCCCTTAGCACAATTCCAAGAATCATAAACTTACCGTCGTTCCGAGGAGCGACCGTAGTAGGAGATTCATGCCTGGCCGACTGTTTCCAACGTCAACAAAGTAATGATAGTTCTGACTTCTGATTGTTTTTTGTGGGGCGTCCCCTCCCCCCGAGATCAGCTGCTTCGACGGTCGGCGAGAACCCGTTCCCGATGAAGGCGTGAAATGGGTGAGACTATCATACTTTATATTGCCATGCTTACAAGTTGTAATGTTTGCAGAATTCGGTTTAATGCGCTACCCAACCGGCCCAGGCTTATTAAAACATTTTTAAACCATGTTGACGTTCATCAAACACCGAAAGTCGGCTATTTTGGTGATGTTTTGATGCCAATGTGGATTTTATGGGTCCTTTTGTGTCTCCACAACGATATTACACCGCTCACACTCCTCCACAAAAAGTTGACGTTGAAATGAATGGAATGTCCACTCGAAGGGCATCCAGGTTAAAAAAAGCATGACAGACCTAAAAACTCTGAATTGGAAACCCAAAAAAGCATCAAACTTTGACTCGAAAAGACATCGCAACCGAAAGGACATCACACTCATACCCAAAACAAACTCTTCAACCAGGCTTAGCCAAGTTTCGATTTCCGATAGATGAGCACGGTGCTGTCGATCATGAATGCCTAATTGTAGCCAGATAAACAAAGATACGTGCGCGAGTGATTTCATGAGAATGGAGGTCGGGACGTCGGCTTTTTGCGCCGTGGCCAGAAAAAAACCCTCGGGCCTCCCGCTGGCCAAAGCCGGACTTCAATACCACTCTTGGGTTTTCTTCCCGTAGGAGGAGCCAAAAACAACGCGTTTCGATTTTCTAAAGCTTCTGGAATTAGGGTTTTACGGCAATTCGAAGCCGTTCTGAACCGGCCGGCATCAAGTTGCCACAATGTATAACCAGCTCATAGGGCTCATTTCTAACCAAATAGGCGTGTAGTTGATATGAGATGGGGGATTCAAAAGGTTTTTTGAACGGCGATTTAATATTTATGTTATTCAATTTCTGACAGTACAGTACCACTTGGTCAATGTTTTTTAGCTTTTTTATCTGTTAATGAAACGGCTTTAATCTTAATGTAAAAGCCATACAATGTTATCTTTCGCTTAAGCATCGCTACTTTCTTTTGCCATTTTATTAATTTTTGTTACAATTTAATGTAATTTTATTCATTTTGATACTATCACACCAATTTTAATACTTTAATGTGCATTAAACCCGCAATTTGTCATAATTTCATACTTTCAGTGTTAGCGAAAGTTGCGCCATGTTGTAACATTTACGAATCGGGTGTAATGTCTTCTTGGTTTTCTTATTTTCGGTAAGTAAAGTTTGAGAGACGTATACGAAGAGAAGGCAACGGAAAGCATAACTCACACGTTACAGATCTCCTACGCCCAACAATAATGAAGACCCCCAGCCGGGCACGTCCGAACAAATCCAAACCATATCAGAGACCATAGACGGCCTCACTCAAGAACAAAAACAACACATAAACGAGGTAAACACAGGCAAAGTTACAGTATTCCGAGTTTAGGTACTCAACCGAGCTGAACGGTCCAAGCAAAATGTACGGGTAGTTATGGACCAGTACCAGCTCAGAGGGCTCAGGGAACGAGGGTCGATCTCAGAGAGCAGCATCGACATTGAAGATGAAGATGACCTGTTAGAAATGGACCCACTTCCAAAAAGTAAGAGTTAATTTGAGAAATTAAATAAACCATTTAGTTATAAGATACGATATAACAAACGTTGAGTAATTTAAAGTACCTATAAGAGTAATCGCTTAGGTGTCCAAGTAAGCGTGGGCCAAGGTACATCACGGGAAGTCTCGCCGTTCCCTCAATCAGACATGAGCATCGACGACCTAAGTGCCAGCTGTAGATCATATACGCCGTCAATTACAGTCGAGAATGCCCCAGGTAATAAACAATTCACAACAAAATATTTAAATTCAGAGACGACAGAAGACGACCTAAATATTGTATCGAAAGGAATGAAGTTACTAAGCAACAAGATCGTAGAATGGGTAACCAACTTGGACGATGACTACGGTATAAACTCGAAACAACGTAAGTTGACTAATCCAATAAGATCAAATAGGTCAAAAAGTAAACAGAAAGGTTAAAATGCGCGAAATTAAACTAAGTATTGATTACAGAACACGATGACAAAGAAGCCGAACTGTTCTACGAAGGCTCGCTACTCGATGATTACACGACAAACTTTACTCGCTGTGTCATCATAATTGCTCTCGCAGATGTAACGACAATAAGAAGAATCAAAAAAGAATCCTTAAATATACACCTACAACAACTAGCTGAGAACCTCTCACGCCAAGCAATCTCAAGTGCGTATGCTAATTTCAAGCCAACTGCTTCAAACAAAGATCAGTCGAATATACAACACGATTTAGTAGAATCTATAGTACAAGAGTCTCTAGAAACAGCAATAGCAGAATATTATCTACATGGTAAGTACAATAGTGTAATATACATGTCGTTTAGAACAAAAAGATTACGACCTGCCTTATGGCGTCCTAATCAACTCATCAGCGACCGCTACTTTCAACCAACAATATTCATTAAGTACTATAAACCACACCTCAATCTCTGATTCCACAGAAATAGAAAGCACGTCCTCAGATCCAGGGGACAATGAAAAAGCTTCAGATGCGGCAATAACATTAAATATAACGGGTAACTCAATCAGTGCCAATATCACACGTTTAAAACAAGATCTCAACCAACATTTAAAAGAAGGCGTCGATGGGTCCGGTGCAACAAAAGATAATATTTTTAAAATAGAAAGCCCTTCAACAACAGAAAATGAACAATCAGAAGAAACAACATCATCAGCCACCTCTGGTGCTGACGAAGAAGCCCGATTCGAAAGCCAAGGTTCAGTTATCGCCGGTGATTCTTTCGAAGATCATGGCTTACTCGCTGAATCTCCCGTCAAAGAGGCCCCACCTCTACCACCACCTCCAGTTTTGATTCAAAAAGAGGAGTTGACAACAGAAGAGCTAGAACACATCGAACGGGTACGACGACTGGCTGAAGGTTTAGAAATGACCCCCGTCGAAGAACCAGAAATCAGAGAAGCCGTACTAGAGTTTAGAGAAGCCGAACCAGAGTTTAGAGAAGCCGAACCAGAGTTCAGAGAAGCCGAACCAGAGTTCAAAGAAGCCGAACCAGAGTTCAAAGAAGCCGAACCAATGCTAGAACGAACATCATCATCAGCCACCTCTGGTGCTGACGAAGAAGCCGGTTTCGAAAGCCAAGGTTCAGTTATCGCCGGTGATTCTTTCGAAGACCATGGCTTACTCGCTGAATCTCCTGTCAAAGAGGCCCCACCTCTACCACCACTTCCAGTTTTGATTCAAAAAGAGGAGTTGACAGCAGAAGAGCTAGAACACATCGAACGGGTACGACGACTGGCTGAAGGTTTGGAAATGACCTCAACGTACGTCGAAGAACCAGAAATTAGAGAAGCCGAACCAGAGTTCAGAGAAGCCGAACCAGAGTTCAAAGAAGCCGAACCAGAGTTCAAAGAAGCCGAACCAATGCTAGAACGAACAGCATCATCAGCCACCTCTGGTGCTGACGAAGAAGCCCGTTTCGAAAGCCAAGGTTCAGTTATCGCCGGTGATTCTTTCGAAGATCATGGCTTACTCGCTGAATCTCCCGTCAAAGAGGCCCCACCTCTACCACCACCTCCAGTTTTGATTCAAAAAGAGGAGTTGACAGCAGAAGAGCTAGAACACATCGAACGGGTACGACGACTGGCTGAAGGTTTGGAAATGACCTCAACGTACGTCGAAGAACCAGAAATCAAAGAAGCCGAACCAGAGTTCAGAGAAGCCGAACCAGATTTCAAAGAAGCCGAACCAATGCTAGAACGAACAGCATCATCAGCCACCTCTGGTGGTGACGAAGAAGCCCGTTTCGAAAGCCAAGGTTCAGTTATCGCCGGTGATTCTTTCGAAGATCATGGCTTACTCGCTGAATCTCCCGTCAAAGAGGCCCCACCTCCAGTTTTGATTCAAAAAGAGGAGTTGACAGCAGAAGAGCTAGAACACATCGAACGGGTACGACGACTGGCTGAAGGTTTGGAAATGACCTCAACGTACGTCGAAGAACCAGAAATTAGAGAAGCCGAACCAGAGTTCAGAGAAGCCGAACCAGAGTTCAAAGAAGCCGAACCAGAGTTCAAAGAAGCCGAACCAATGCTAGAACGAACAGCATCATCAGCCACCTCTGGTGCTGACGAAGAAGCCCGTTTCGAAAGCCAAGGTTCAGTTATCGCCGGTGATTCTTTCGAAGATCATGGCTTACTCGCTGAATCTCCTGTCAAAGAGGCCCCACCTCTACCACCACCTCCAGTTTTTATTCAAAAAGAGGAGTTGACAGCAGAAGAGCTAGAACACATCGAACGGGTACGACGACTGGCTGAAGGTTTGGAAATGACCTCAACGTACGTCGAAGAACCAGAAATTAGAGAAGCCGAACCAATGCTAGAACGAACAGCATCATCAGCCACCTCTGGTGCTGACGAAGAAGCCCGTTTCGAAAGCCAAGGTTCAGTTATCGCCGGTGATTCTTTCGAAGATCATGGCTTACTCGCTGAATCTCCTGTCAAAGAGGCCCCACCTCTACCACCTCCAGTTTTGATTCAAAAAGAGGAGTTGACAGCAGAAGAGCTAGAACACATCGAACGGGTACGACGACTGGCTGAAGGTTTGGAAATGACCTCAACGTACGTCGAAGAACCAGAAATTAGAGAAGCCGAACCAGAGTTCAGAGAAGCCGAACCAGAGTTCAAAGAAGCCGAACCAATGCTAGAACGAACAGCATCATCAGCCACCTCTGGTGCTGACGAAGAAGCCCGTTTCGAAAGCCAAGGTTCAGTTATCGCCGGTGATTCTTTCGAAGATCATGGCTTACTCGCTGAATCTCCTGTCAAAGAGGCCCCACCTCTACCACCTCCAGTTTTGATTCAAAAAGAGGAGTTGACAGCAGAAGAGCTAGAACACATCGAACGGGTACGACGACTGGCTGAAGGTTTGGAAATGACCTCAACGTACGTCGAAGAACCAGAAATTAGAGAAGCCGAACCAGAGTTCAGAGAAGCCGAACCAGAGTTCAAAGAAGCCGAACCAGAGTTCAAAGAAGCCGAACCAATGCTAGAACGAACAGCATCATCAGCCACCTCTGGTGCTGACGAAGAAGCCCGTTTCGAAAGCCAAGGTTCAGTTATCGCCGGTGATTCTTTCGAAGATCATGGCTTACTCGCTGAATCTCCTGTCAAAGAGGCCCCACCTCTACCACCACCTCCAGTTTTTATTCAAAAAGAGGAGTTGACAGCAGAAGAGCTAGAACACATCGAACGGGTACGACGACTGGCTGAAGGTTTGGAAATGACCTCAACGTACGTCGAAGAACCAGAAATTAGAGAAGCCGAACCAATGCTAGAACGAACAGCATCATCAGCCACCTCTGGTGCTGACGAAGAAGCCCGTTTCGAAAGCCAAGGTTCAGTTATCGCCGGTGATTCTTTCGAAGATCATGGCTTACTCGCTGAATCTCCTGTCAAAGAGGCCCCACCTCTACCACCTCCAGTTTTGATTCAAAAAGAGGAGTTGACAGCAGAAGAGCTAGAACACATCGAACGGGTACGACGACTGGCTGAAGGTTTGGAAATGACCTCAACGTACGTCGAAGAACCAGAAATTAGAGAAGCCGAACCAGAGTTCAGAGAAGCCGAACCAGAGTTCAAAGAAGCCGAACCAATGCTAGAACGAACAGCATCATCAGCCACCTCTGGTGCTGACGAAGAAGCCCGTTTCGAAAGCCAAGGTTCAGTTATCGCCGGTGATTCTTTCGAAGATCATGGCTTACTCGCTGAATCTCCTGTCAAAGAGGCCCCACCTCTACCACCTCCAGTTTTGATTCAAAAAGAGGAGTTGACAGCAGAAGAGCTAGAACACATCGAACGGGTACGACGACTGGCTGAAGGTTTGGAAATGACCTCAACGTACGTCGAAGAACCAGAAATTAGAGAAGCCGAACCAGAGTTCAGAGAAGCCGAACCAGAGTTCAAAGAAGCCGAACCAGAGTTCAAAGAAGCCGAACCAATGCTAGAACGAACAGCATCATCAGCCACCTCTGGTGCTGACGAAGAAGCCCGTTTCGAAAGCCAAGGTTCAGTTATCGCCGGTGATTCTTTCGAAGATCATGGCTTACTCGCTGAATCTCCTGTCAAAGAGGCCCCACCTCTACCACCACCTCCAGTTTTTATTCAAAAAGAGGAGTTGACAGCAGAAGAGCTAGAACACATCGAACGGGTACGACGACTGGCTGAAGGTTTGGAAATGACCTCAACGTACGTCGAAGAACCAGAAATTAGAGAAGCCGAACCAATGCTAGAACGAACAGCATCATCAGCCACCTCTGGTGCTGACGAAGAAGCCCGTTTCGAAAGCCAAGGTTCAGTTATCGCCGGTGATTCTTTCGAAGATCATGGCTTACTCGCTGAATCTCCTGTCAAAGAGGCCCCACCTCTACCACCTCCAGTTTTGATTCAAAAAGAGGAGTTGACAGCAGAAGAGCTAGAACACATCGAACGGGTACGACGACTGGCTGAAGGTTTGGAAATGACCTCAACGTACGTCGAAGAACCAGAAATTAGAGAAGCCGAACCAGAGTTCAGAGAAGCCGAACCAGAGTTCAAAGAAGCCGAACCAATGCTAGAACGAACAGCATCATCAGCCACCTCTGGTGCTGACGAAGAAGCCCGTTTCGAAAGCCAAGGTTCAGTTATCGCCGGTGATTCTTTCGAAGATCATGGCTTACTCGCTGAATCTCCTGTCAAAGAGGCCCCCACCTCTACCACCTCCAGTTTTGATTCAAAAAGAGGAGTTGACAGCAGAAGAGCTAGAACACATCGAACGGGTACGACGACTGGCTGAAGGTTTGGAAATGACCTCAACGTACGTCGAAGAACCAGAAATCAAAGAAGCCGAACCAGAGTTCAGAGAAGCCGAACCAGATTTCAAAGAAGCCGAACCAATGCTAGAACGAACAGCATCATCAGCCACCTCTGGTGCTGACGAAGAAGCCCGTTTCGAAAGCCAAGGTTCAGTTATCGCCGGTGATTCTTTCGAAGATCATGGCTTACTCGCTGAATCTCCTGTCAAAGAGGCCCCACCTCTACCACCTCCAGTTTTGATTCAAAAAGAGGAGTTGACAGCAGAAGAGCTAGAACACATCGAACGGGTACGACGACTGGCTGAAGGTTTGGAAATGACCTCAACGTACGTCGAAGAACCAGAAATTAGAGAAGCCGAACCAGAGTTCAGAGAAGCCGAACCAGAGTTCAAAGAAGCCGAACCAATGCTAGAACGAACAGCATCATCAGCCACCTCTGGTGCTGACGAAGAAGCCCGTTTCGAAAGCCAAGGTTCAGTTATCGCCGGTGATTCTTTCGAAGATCATGGCTTACTCGCTGAATCTCCTGTCAAAGAGGCCCCACCTCTACCACCTCCAGTTTTGATTCAAAAAGAGGAGTTGACAGCAGAAGAGCTAGAACACATCGAACGGGTACGACGACTGGCTGAAGGTTTGGAAATGACCTCAACGTACGTCGAAGAACCAGAAATCAAAGAAGCCGAACCAGAGTTCAGAGAAGCCGAACCAGATTTCAAAGAAGCCGAACCAATGCTAGAACGAACAGCATCATCAGCCACCTCTGGTGCTGACGAAGAAGCCCGTTTCGAAAGCCAAGGTTCAGTTATCGCCGGTGATTCTTTCGAAGATCATGGCTTACTCGCTGAATCTCCTGTCAAAGAGGCCCCACCTCTACCACCTCCAGTTTTGATTCAAAAAGAGGAGTTGACAGCAGAAGAGCTAGAACACATCGAACGGGTACGACGACTGGCTGAAGGTTTGGAAATGACCTCAACGTACGTCGAAGAACCAGAAATCAAAGAAGCCGAACCAGAGTTCAGAGAAGCCGAACCAGATTTCAAAGAAGCCGAACCAATGCTAGAACGAACAGCATCATCAGCCACCTCTGGTGGTGACGAAGAAGCCCGTTTCGAAAGCCAAGGTTCAGTTATCGCCGGTGATTCTTTCGAAGATCATGGCTTACTCGCTGAATCTCCCGTCAAAGAGGCCCCACCTCTACCACCACCTCCAGTTTTGATTCAAAAAGAGGAGTTGACAGCAGAAGAGCTAGAACACATCGAACGGGTACGACGACTGGCTGAAGGTTTGGAAATGACCTCAACGTACGTCGAAGAACCAGAAATTAGAGAAGCCGAACCAATGCTAGAACGAACAGCATCATCAGCCACCTCTGGTGCTGACGAAGAAGCCCGTTTCGAAAGCCAAGGTTCAGTTATCGCCGGTGATTCTTTCGAAGATCATGGCTTACTCGCTGAATCTCCCGTCAAAGAGGCCCCACCTCTACCACCACCTCCAGTTTTGATTCAAAAAGAGGAGTTGACAGCAGAAGAGCTAGAACACATCGAACGGGTACGACGACTGGCTGAAGGTTTGGAAATGACCTCAACGTACGTCGAAGAACCAGAAATCAAAGAAGCCGAACCAGAGTTCAAAGAAGCCGAACCAGAGTTCAAAGAAGCCGAACCAATGCTAGAACGAACATCATCATCAGCCACCTCTGGTGCAGACGAAGAAGCCGGTTTCGAAAGCCAAGGTTCAGTTATCGCCGGTGATTCTTTCGAAGATCACGGCTTACTCGCTGAATCTCCTGTCAAAGAGGCCCCACCTCTACCACCACCTCCAGTTTTGATTCAAAAAGAGGAGTTGACAGCAGAAGAGCTAGAACACATCGAACGGGTACGACGACTGGCTGAAGGTTTGGAAATGACCTCAACGTACGTCGAAGAACCAGAAATTAGAGAAGCCGAACCAGAGTTCAGAGAAGCCGAACCAGATTTCAAAGAAGCCGAACCAATGCTAGAACGAACAGCATCATCAGCCACCTCTGGTGGTGACGAAGAAGCCCGATTCGAAAGCCAAGGTTCAGTTATCGCCGGTGATTCTTTCGAAGATCATGGCTTACTCGCTGAATCTCCTGTCAAAGAGGCCCCACCTCTACCACCTCCAGTTTTGATTCAAAAAGAGGAGTTGACAGCAGAAGAGCCAGAACACATCGAACGGGTACGACGACTGGCTGAAGGTTTGGAAATGACCTCAACGTACGTCGAAGAACCAGAAATCAAAGAAGCCGAACCAGAGTTCAGAGAAGCCGAACCAGATTTCAAAGAAGCCGAACCAATGCTAGAACGAACAGCATCATCAGCCACCTCTGGTGCTGACGAAGAAGCCCGTTTCGAAAGCCAAGGTTCAGTTATCGCCGGTGATTCTTTCGAAGATCATGGCTTACTCGCTGAATCTCCTGTCAAAGAGGCCCCACCTCTACCACCTCCAGTTTTGATTCAAAAAGAGGAGTTGACAGCAGAAGAGCTAGAACACATCGAACGGGTACGACGACTGGCTGAAGGTTTGGAAATGACCTCAACGTACGTCGAAGAACCAGAAATTAGAGAAGCCGAACCAGAGTTCAGAGAAGCCGAACCAGAGTTCAAAGAAGCCGAACCAATGCTAGAACGAACAGCATCATCAGCCACCTCTGGTGCTGACGAAGAAGCCCGTTTCGAAAGCCAAGGTTCAGTTATCGCCGGTGATTCTTTCGAAGATCATGGCTTACTCGCTGAATCTCCTGTCAAAGAGGCCCCACCTCTACCACCTCCAGTTTTGATTCAAAAAGAGGAGTTGACAGCAGAAGAGCTAGAACACATCGAACGGGTACGACGACTGGCTGAAGGTTTGGAAATGACCTCAACGTACGTCGAAGAACCAGAAATCAAAGAAGCCGAACCAGAGTTCAGAGAAGCCGAACCAGATTTCAAAGAAGCCGAACCAATGCTAGAACGAACAGCATCATCAGCCACCTCTGGTGCTGACGAAGAAGCCCGTTTCGAAAGCCAAGGTTCAGTTATCGCCGGTGATTCTTTCGAAGATCATGGCTTACTCGCTGAATCTCCTGTCAAAGAGGCCCCACCTCTACCACCTCCAGTTTTGATTCAAAAAGAGGAGTTGACAGCAGAAGAGCTAGAACACATCGAACGGGTACGACGACTGGCTGAAGGTTTGGAAATGACCTCAACGTACGTCGAAGAACCAGAAATCAAAGAAGCCGAACCAGAGTTCAGAGAAGCCGAACCAGATTTCAAAGAAGCCGAACCAATGCTAGAACGAACAGCATCATCAGCCACCTCTGGTGGTGACGAAGAAGCCCGTTTCGAAAGCCAAGGTTCAGTTATCGCCGGTGATTCTTTCGAAGATCATGGCTTACTCGCTGAATCTCCCGTCAAAGAGGCCCCACCTCTACCACCACCTCCAGTTTTGATTCAAAAAGAGGAGTTGACAGCAGAAGAGCTAGAACACATCGAACGGGTACGACGACTGGCTGAAGGTTTGGAAATGACCTCAACGTACGTCGAAGAACCAGAAATTAGAGAAGCCGAACCAATGCTAGAACGAACAGCATCATCAGCCACCTCTGGTGCTGACGAAGAAGCCCGTTTCGAAAGCCAAGGTTCAGTTATCGCCGGTGATTCTTTCGAAGATCATGGCTTACTCGCTGAATCTCCCGTCAAAGAGGCCCCACCTCTACCACCACCTCCAGTTTTGATTCAAAAAGAGGAGTTGACAGCAGAAGAGCTAGAACACATCGAACGGGTACGACGACTGGCTGAAGGTTTGGAAATGACCTCAACGTACGTCGAAGAACCAGAAATCAAAGAAGCCGAACCAGAGTTCAAAGAAGCCGAACCAGAGTTCAAAGAAGCCGAACCAATGCTAGAACGAACATCATCATCAGCCACCTCTGGTGCAGACGAAGAAGCCGGTTTCGAAAGCCAAGGTTCAGTTATCGCCGGTGATTCTTTCGAAGATCACGGCTTACTCGCTGAATCTCCTGTCAAAGAGGCCCCACCTCTACCACCACCTCCAGTTTTGATTCAAAAAGAGGAGTTGACAGCAGAAGAGCTAGAACACATCGAACGGGTACGACGACTGGCTGAAGGTTTGGAAATGACCTCAACGTACGTCGAAGAACCAGAAATTAGAGAAGCCGAACCAGAGTTCAGAGAAGCCGAACCAGATTTCAAAGAAGCCGAACCAATGCTAGAACGAACAGCATCATCAGCCACCTCTGGTGGTGACGAAGAAGCCCGATTCGAAAGCCAAGGTTCAGTTATCGCCGGTGATTCTTTCGAAGATCATGGCTTACTCGCTGAATCTCCTGTCAAAGAGGCCCCACCTCTACCACCTCCAGTTTTGATTCAAAAAGAGGAGTTGACAGCAGAAGAGCCAGAACACATCGAACGGGTACGACGACTGGCTGAAGGTTTGGAAATGACCTCAACGTACGTCGAAGAACCAGAAATTAGAGAAGCCGAACCAATGCTAGAACGAACAGCATCATCAGCCACCTCTGGTGCTGACGAAGAAGCCCGTTTCGAAAGCCAAGGTTCAGTTATCGCCGGTGATTCTTTCGAAGATCATGGCTTACTCGCTGAATCTCCTGTCAAAGAGGCCCCACCTCTACCACCTCCAGTTTTGATTCAAAAAGAGGAGTTGACAGCAGAAGAGCTAGAACACATCGAACGGGTACGACGACTGGCTGAAGGTTTGGAAATGACCTCAACGTACGTCGAAGAACCAGAAATCAAAGAAGCCGAACCAGAGTTCAGAGAAGCCGAACCAGATTTCAAAGAAGCCGAACCAATGCTAGAACGAACAGCATCATCAGCCACCTCTGGTGGTGACGAAGAAGCCCGTTTCGAAAGCCAAGGTTCAGTTATCGCCGGTGATTCTTTCGAAGATCATGGCTTACTCGCTGAATCTCCCGTCAAAGAGGCCCCACCTCTACCACCACCTCCAGTTTTGATTCAAAAAGAGGAGTTGACAGCAGAAGAGCTAGAACACATCGAACGGGTACGACGACTGGCTGAAGGTTTGGAAATGACCTCAACGTACGTCGAAGAACCAGAAATTAGAGAAGCCGAACCAATGCTAGAACGAACAGCATCATCAGCCACCTCTGGTGCTGACGAAGAAGCCCGTTTCGAAAGCCAAGGTTCAGTTATCGCCGGTGATTCTTTCGAAGATCATGGCTTACTCGCTGAATCTCCCGTCAAAGAGGCCCCACCTCTACCACCACCTCCAGTTTTGATTCAAAAAGAGGAGTTGACAGCAGAAGAGCTAGAACACATCGAACGGGTACGACGACTGGCTGAAGGTTTGGAAATGACCTCAACGTACGTCGAAGAACCAGAAATCAAAGAAGCCGAACCAGAGTTCAGAGAAGCCGAACCAGATTTCAAAGAAGCCGAACCAATGCTAGAACGAACAGCATCATCAGCCACCTCTGGTGGTGACGAAGAAGCCCGTTTCGAAAGCCAAGGTTCAGTTATCGCCGGTGATTCTTTCGAAGATCATGGCTTACTCGCTGAATCTCCCGTCAAAGAGGCCCCACCTCTACCACCACCTCCAGTTTTGATTCAAAAAGAGGAGTTGACAGCAGAAGAGCTAGAACACATCGAACGGGTACGACGACTGGCTGAAGGTTTGGAAATGACCTCAACGTACGTCGAAGAACCAGAAATCAAAGAAGCCGAACCAGAGTTCAGAGAAGCCGAACCAGATTTCAAAGAAGCCGAACCAATGCTAGAACGAACAGCATCATCAGCCACCTCTGGTGGTGACGAAGAAGCCCGTTTCGAAAGCCAAGGTTCAGTTATCGCCGGTGATTCTTTCGAAGATCATGGCTTACTCGCTGAATCTCCTGTCAAAGAGGCCCCACCTCTACCACCACCTCCAGTTTTGATTCAAAAAGAGGAGTTGACAGCAGAAGAGCTAGAACACATCGAACGGGTACGACGACTGGCTGAAGGTTTGGAAATGACCTCAACGTACGTCGAAGAACCAGAAATTAGAGAAGCCGAACCAGAGTTCAGAGAAGCCGAACCAGAGTTCAAAGAAGCCGAACCAATGCTAGAACGAACAGCATCATCAGCCACCTCTGGTGGTGACGAAGAAGCCCGTTTCGAAAGCCAAGGTTCAGTTATCGCCGGTGATTCTTTCGAAGATCATGGCTTACTCGCTGAATCTCCCGTCAAAGAGGCCCCCACCTCTACCACCACCTCCAGTTTTGATTCAAAAAGAGGAGTTGACAGCAGAAGAGCTAGAACACATCGAACGGGTACGACGACTGGCTGAAGGTTTGGAAATGACCTCAACGTACGTCGAAGAACCAGAAATTAGAGAAGCCGAACCAATGCTAGAACGAACAGCATCATCAGCCACCTCTGGTGCTGACGAAGAAGCCCGTTTCGAAAGCCAAGGTTCAGTTATCGCCGGTGATTCTTTCGAAGATCATGGCTTACTCGCTGAATCTCCCGTCAAAGAGGCCCCACCTCTACCACCACCTCCAGTTTTGATTCAAAAAGAGGAGTTGACAGCAGAAGAGCTAGAACACATCGAACGGGTACGACGACTGGCTGAAGGTTTGGAAATGACCTCAACGTACGTCGAAGAACCAGAAATCAAAGAAGCCGAACCAGAGTTCAGAGAAGCGGAACCAGATTTCAAAGAAGCCGAACCAATGCTAGAACGAACAGCATCATCAGCCACCTCTGGTGGTGACGAAGAAGCCCGTTTCGAAAGCCAAGGTTCAGTTATCGCCGGTGATTCTTTCGAAGATCATGGCTTACTCGCTGAATCTCCCGTCAAAGAGGCCCCACCTCTACCACCACCTCCAGTTTTGATTCAAAAAGAGGAGTTGACAGCAGAAGAGCTAGAACACATCGAACGGGTACGACGACTGGCTGAAGGTTTGGAAATGACCTCAACGTACGTCGAAGAACCAGAAATCAAAGAAGCCGAACCAATGCTAGAACGAACAGCATCATCAGCCACCTCTGGTGCTGACGAAGGAGCCCGTTTCGAAAGCCAAGGTTCAGTTATCGCCGGTGATTCTTTCGAAGATCATGGCTTACTCGCTGAATCTCCCGTCAAAGAGGCCCCACCTCTACCACCACCTCCAGTTTTGATTCAAAAAGAGGAGTTGACAGCAGAAGATCTAGAACACATCGAACGGGTACGACGACTGGCTGAAGGTTTGGAAATGACCTCAACGTACGTCGAAGAACCAGAAATCAAAGAAGCCGAACCAATGCTAGAACGAACAGCATCATCAGCCACCTCTGGTGCTGACGAAGAAGCCCGATTCGAAAGCCAAGGTTCAGTTATCGCCGGTGATTCTTTCGAAGATCATGGCTTACTCGCTGAATCTCCTGTCAAAGAGGCCCCACCTCTACCACCACCTCCAGTTTTGATTCAAAAAGAGGAGTTGACAGCAGAAGAGCTAGAACACATCGAACGGGTACGACGACTGGCTGAAGGTTTGGAAATGACCTCAACGTACGTCGAAGAACCAGAAATTAGAGAAGCCGAACCAGAGTTCAGAGAAGCCGAACCAGAGTTCAAAGAAGCCGAACCAATGCTAGAACGAACAGCATCATCAGCCACCTCTGGTGGTGACGAAGAAGCCCGTTTCGAAAGCCAAGGTTCAGTTATCGCCGGTGATTCTTTCGAAGATCATGGCTTACTCGCTGAATCTCCCGTCAAAGAGGCCCCACCTCTACCACCACCTCCAGTTTTGATTCAAAAAGAGGAGTTGACAGCAGAAGAGCTAGAACACATCGAACGGGTACGACGACTGGCTGAAGGTTTGGAAATGACCTCAACGTACGTCGAAGAACCAGAAATTAGAGAAGCCGAACCAGAGTTCAGAGAAGCCGAACCAGAGTTCAAAGAAGCCGAACCAATGCTAGAACGAACAGCATCATCAGCCACCTCTGGTGGTGACGAAGAAGCCCGTTTCGAAAGCCAAGGTTCAGTTATCGCCGGTGATTCTTTCGAAGATCATGGCTTACTCGCTGAATCTCCCGTCAAAGAGGCCCCACCTCTACCACCACCTCCAGTTTTGATTCAAAAAGAGGAGTTGACAGCAGAAGAGCTAGAACACATCGAACGGGTACGACGACTGGCTGAAGGTTTGGAAATGACCTCAACGTACGTCGAAGAACCAGAAATCAAAGAAGCCGAACCAGAGTTCAGAGAAGCCGAACCAGATTTCAAAGAAGCCGAACCAATGCTAGAACGAACAGCATCATCAGCCACCTCTGGTGCTGACGAAGAAGCCCGATTCGAAAGCCAAGGTTCAGTTATCGCCGGTGATTCTTTCGAAGATCATGGCTTACTCGCTGAATCTCCTGTCAAAGAGGCCCCACCTCTACCACCACCTCCAGTTTTGATTCAAAAAGAGGAGTTGACAGCAGAAGAGCTAGAACACATCGAACGGGTACGACGACTGGCTGAAGGTTTGGAAATGACCTCAACGTACGTCGAAGAACCAGAAATTAGAGAAGCCGAACCAGAGTTCAGAGAAGCCGAACCAGAGTTCAAAGAAGCCGAACCAATGCTAGAACGAACAGCATCATCAGCCACCTCTGGTGGTGACGAAGAAGCCCGTTTCGAAAGCCAAGGTTCAGTTATCGCCGGTGATTCTTTCGAAGATCATGGCTTACTCGCTGAATCTCCCGTCAAAGAGGCCCCACCTCTACCACCACCTCCAGTTTTGATTCAAAAAGAGGAGTTGACAGCAGAAGAGCTAGAACACATCGAACGGGTACGACGACTGGCTGAAGGTTTGGAAATGACCTCAACGTACGTCGAAGAACCAGAAATTAGAGAAGCCGAACCAGAGTTCAGAGAAGCCGAACCAGAGTTCAAAGAAGCCGAACCAATGCTAGAACGAACAGCATCATCAGCCACCTCTGGTGGTGACGAAGAAGCCCGTTTCGAAAGCCAAGGTTCAGTTATCGCCGGTGATTCTTTCGAAGATCATGGCTTACTCGCTGAATCTCCCGTCAAAGAGGCCCCACCTCTACCACCACCTCCAGTTTTGATTCAAAAAGAGGAGTTGACAGCAGAAGAGCTAGAACACATCGAACGGGTACGACGACTGGCTGAAGGTTTGGAAATGACCTCAACGTACGTCGAAGAACCAGAAATCAAAGAAGCCGAACCAGAGTTCAGAGAAGCCGAACCAGATTTCAAAGAAGCCGAACCAATGCTAGAACGAACAGCATCATCAGCCACCTCTGGTGCTGACGAAGAAGCCCGATTCGAAAGCCAAGGTTCAGTTATCGCCGGTGATTCTTTCGAAGACCATGGCTTACTCGCTGAATCTCCTGTCAAAGAGGCCCCACCTCTACCACCACTTCCAGTTTTGATTCAAAAAGAGGAGTTGACAGCAGAAGAGCTAGAACACATCGAACGGGTACGACGACTGGCTGAAGGTTTGGAAATGACCTCAACGTACGTCGAAGAACCAGAAATTAGAGAAGCCGAACCAATGCTAGAACGAACAGCATCATCAGCCACCTCTGGTGCTGACGAAGAAGCCCGTTTCGAAAGCCAAGGTTCAGTTATCGCCGGTGATTCTTTCGAAGATCATGGCTTACTCGCTGAATCTCCCGTCAAAGAGGCCCCACCTCTACCACCACCTCCAGTTTTGATTCAAAAAGAGGAGTTGACAGCAGAAGAGCTAGAACACATCGAACGGGTACGACGACTGGCTGAAGGTTTGGAAATGACCTCAACGTACGTCGAAGAACCAGAAATTAGAGAAGCCGAACCAATGCTAGAACGAACAGCATCATCAGCCACCTCTGGTGCTGACGAAGAAGCCCGTTTCGAAAGCCAAGGTTCAGTTATCGCCGGTGATTCTTTCGAAGATCATGGCTTACTCGCTGAATCTCCCGTCAAAGAGGCCCCACCTCTACCACCACCTCCAGTTTTGATTCAAAAAGAGGAGTTGACAGCAGAAGAGCTAGAACACATCGAACGGGTACGACGACTGGCTGAAGGTTTGGAAATGACCTCAACGTACGTCGAAGAACCAGAAATCAAAGAAGCCGAACCAGAGTTCAGAGAAGCCGAACCAGATTTCAAAGAAGCCGAACCAATGCTAGAACGAACAGCATCATCAGCCACCTCTGGTGGTGACGAAGAAGCCCGTTTCGAAAGCCAAGGTTCAGTTATCGCCGGTGATTCTTTCGAAGATCATGGCTTACTCGCTGAATCTCCTGTCAAAGAGGCCCCACCTCTACCACCACCTCCAGTTTTGATTCAAAAAGAGGAGTTGACAGCAGAAGAGCTAGAACACATCGAACGGGTACGACGACTGGCTGAAGGTTTGGAAATGACCTCAACGTACGTCGAAGAACCAGAAATTAGAGAAGCCGAACCAGAGTTCAGAGAAGCCGAACCAGAGTTCAAAGAAGCCGAACCAATGCTAGAACGAACAGCATCATCAGCCACCTCTGGTGGTGACGAAGAAGCCCGTTTCGAAAGCCAAGGTTCAGTTATCGCCGGTGATTCTTTCGAAGATCATGGCTTACTCGCTGAATCTCCCGTCAAAGAGGCCCCACCTCTACCACCACCTCCAGTTTTGATTCAAAAAGAGGAGTTGACAGCAGAAGAGCTAGAACACATCGAACGGGTACGACGACTGGCTGAAGGTTTGGAAATGACCTCAACGTACGTCGAAGAACCAGAAATTAGAGAAGCCGAACCAATGCTAGAACGAACAGCATCATCAGCCACCTCTGGTGCTGACGAAGAAGCCCGTTTCGAAAGCCAAGGTTCAGTTATCGCCGGTGATTCTTTCGAAGATCATGGCTTACTCGCTGAATCTCCCGTCAAAGAGGCCCCACCTCTACCACCACCTCCAGTTTTGATTCAAAAAGAGGAGTTGACAGCAGAAGAGCTAGAACACATCGAACGGGTACGACGACTGGCTGAAGGTTTGGAAATGACCTCAACGTACGTCGAAGAACCAGAAATCAAAGAAGCCGAACCAGAGTTCAGAGAAGCGGAACCAGATTTCAAAGAAGCCGAACCAATGCTAGAACGAACAGCATCATCAGCCACCTCTGGTGGTGACGAAGAAGCCCGTTTCGAAAGCCAAGGTTCAGTTATCGCCGGTGATTCTTTCGAAGATCATGGCTTACTCGCTGAATCTCCCGTCAAAGAGGCCCCACCTCTACCACCACCTCCAGTTTTGATTCAAAAAGAGGAGTTGACAGCAGAAGAGCTAGAACACATCGAACGGGTACGACGACTGGCTGAAGGTTTGGAAATGACCTCAACGTACGTCGAAGAACCAGAAATCAAAGAAGCCGAACCAATGCTAGAACGAACAGCATCATCAGCCACCTCTGGTGCTGACGAAGGAGCCCGTTTCGAAAGCCAAGGTTCAGTTATCGCCGGTGATTCTTTCGAAGATCATGGCTTACTCGCTGAATCTCCCGTCAAAGAGGCCCCACCTCTACCACCACCTCCAGTTTTGATTCAAAAAGAGGAGTTGACAGCAGAAGAGCTAGAACACATCGAACGGGTACGACGACTGGCTGAAGGTTTGGAAATGACCTCAACGTACGTCGAAGAACCAGAAATCAAAGAAGCCGAACCAATGCTAGAACGAACAGCATCATCAGCCACCTCTGGTGCTGACGAAGAAGCCCGATTCGAAAGCCAAGGTTCAGTTATCGCCGGTGATTCTTTCGAAGACCATGGCTTACTCGCTGAATCTCCTGTCAAAGAGGCCCCACCTCTACCACCACTTCCAGTTTTGATTCAAAAAGAGGAGTTGACAGCAGAAGAGCTAGAACACATCGAACGGGTACGACGACTGGCTGAAGGTTTGGAAATGACCTCAACGTACGTCGAAGAACCAGAAATCAAAGAAGCCGAACCAATGCTAGAACGAACAGCATCATCAGCCACCTCTGGTGCTGACGAAGAAGCCCGATTCGAAAGCCAAGGTTCAGTTATCGCCGGTGATTCTTTCGAAGACCATGGCTTACTCGCTGAATCTCCTGTCAAAGAGGCCCCACCTCTACCACCACTTCCAGTTTTGATTCAAAAAGAGGAGTTGACAGCAGAAGAGCTAGAACACATCGAACGGGTACGACGACTGGCTGAAGGTTTGGAAATGACCTCAACGTACGTCGAAGAACCAGAAATCAAAGAAGCCGAACCAATGCTAGAACGAACAGCATCATCAGCCACCTCTGGTGCTGACGAAGAAGCCCGATTCGAAAGCCAAGGTTCAGTTATCGCCGGTGATTCTTTCGAAGACCATGGCTTACTCGCTGAATCTCCTGTCAAAGAGGCCCCACCTCTACCACCACTTCCAGTTTTGATTCAAAAAGAGGAGTTGACAGCAGAAGAGCTAGAACACATCGAACGGGTACGACGACTGGCTGAAGGTTTGGAAATGACCTCAACGTACGTCGAAGAACCAGAAATTAGAGAAGCCGAACCAGAGTTCAGAGAAGCCGAACCAGAGTTCAAAGAAGCCGAACCAGAGTTCAAAGAAGCCGAACCAATGCTAGAACGAACATCATCATCAGCCACCTCTGGTGCAGACGAAGAAGCCGGTTTCGAAAGCCAAGGTTCAGTTATCGCCGGTGATTCTTTCGAAGATCACGGCTTACTCGCTGAATCTCCTGTCAAAGAGGCCCCACCTCTACCACCACTTCCAGTTTTGATTCAAAAAGAGGAGTTGACAGCAGAAGAGCTAGAACACATCGAACGGGTACGACGACTGGCTGAAGGTTTGGAAATGACCTCAACGTACGTCGAAGAACCAGAAATTAGAGAAGCCGAACCAGAGTTCAGAGAAGCCGAACCAGAGTTCAAAAAAGCCGAACCAAATCTAGAACGAACAGCATCATCAGCCACCTCTGGTGCTGACGAAGAAGCCCGTTTCGAAAGCCAAGGTTCAGTTATCGCCGGTGATTCTTTCGAAGATCATGGCTTACTCGCTGAATCTCCCGTCAAAGAGGCCCCACCTCTACCACCACCTCCAGTTTTGATTCAAAAAGAGGAGTTGACAGCAGAAGATCTAGAACACATCGAACGGGTACGACGACTGGCTGAAGGTTTGGAAATGACCTCAACGTACGTCGAAGAACCAGAAATCAAAGAAGCCGAACCAATGCTAGAACGAACAGCATCATCAGCCACCTCTGGTGCAGACGAATTCGTTAACTCGTCCGTTTTAACTAATGATGTATATCGTAAAACTTCAACGAACTCATTAAACGAAATGACAACAGTATCCTACACAAACAAGTTAATCAAAAGTTTGCCGCTAAAAGAAAGACTTTCTTTAAGCTTAGAAGGCAAACATGTAAAAAAGATTGATTATCAACAAAAGAAGTCGTGCAGCGTTAACGTAATCTACACCGACAAAAAACTGTCGACCGAATCCATTTTTGACAACAGTCACTGCAAAATTGACCTCCCGAAGGTTGTCGTTGAAAATAATGGTCTTAATGCTTACGAGCACTGTGAACACACCAGTGGGAGAGATGGCACAGGTCAACTAAACAACGTGGACTTTCTAGCAAAGCTCAACTTCATGTGCCAAAGAATCACAGAAAATATCGCAGAAGCAGCGGCCGATGACCTGCTAAGAATCATTCGGTTAAAGTCAAATCCAAGATTCAGATACTTCGAAGAGGGTTACATAAGTCAGTTACTCGACGTAGATGATGAAGGCGTTTCGTCTCCAGAAAGGTAACTTATTTAACACTGTATACATACAAATATATAGTTAACAAAAGTATTAAAAACTAGTAATATTATTTTAGCGTTACATCGGAAGAAAGCGATAAGCCACTACAATACAACGTGGAACCAGTGATCGAGAAACCCGGAAAGACTGGATTTGACTTGTTTGGTTTGTTCCGTCAAAAGCCACCAGAGAGGCCTGTATCCGCAATGGCATTTTTAAGACGACAGCCATCTCCAGTCTTTACCCCAAGAAAAAGCTCAGTACGATCAGGCGACATCATGGACCTTGTGCGTAGATCGTCATTCACATCAGAAACGCATAACGACTCTTTACCCAACGTACCTGAAGAAGCCCTTCAAGGACTTACAGCTGAAGAACGTGAACATATTATTCAAGTCATGATGAACGCAAGCAAATCAATAACACCCGAACCGTCCAGAAGGTCAGTTTCAATGACTTTTTGATTTTTTATTGCTAAATATAATTTTGTCTAACAAAGTTTAAGCTTCATTATGTCATTTTTGACTTTTTAGGTGTTCTTCTGCTTTGATTGGTTTACCAGAGTTAGACGACTTAGACGAATCAGAAAAGAAACATATAGAATCCGTAGTGGAAAAAGCAGATTCTAGAGACATGCCTTTTGTATTAAACAAAAAAAAAGACGATACATCAGGAATAAAGACGGAAACGGCAAAAGAAAAAACAGTCGCTACACCTGAGTTATCACGAGAAGAACTATATCACATAGCTCAGATTGAGCAGAAGATAAAAGAGTTAGGAATGCTAGATAACAAAACACAAAAAGACGTTGTTACAGATCAAGGCATGTTCAAAAAGTTCAACTTTAATGACATGTTGTCTAAACAAACACAAAAAATCAATAAGATTGTGCAGTCCAACGTCCCAGCATTAAGTAGCCCTGTCACCAGCAAAAAGCAAGAAGAAGAAATTATTGTTCAAAAAGCCTACACAGAAGATGTTGTGAACGAAAGTCAACCGAAATTGTACAGTCCCACTTATACCACTATTCGAACAACTAAACAATTCACAGAAGTCATAACTGTCCCAGAATTAGAAGAAACTATAACTATTGAAGAAATAGACGCTACTTGGCTTCAAGAAAACATTGAAGAACTAAACAAAACAATTGATATGTACACCTATCAAGGTAAGTCTTCAGATATTCAGATTTGGTTTCTTTTATTCGGTTGCTATACATAAAATTTAGAAAACCTGGAAGACCAAGACTTCAGTGAAGAAGATGTAAATATCTTGGAAACGCAAGACTTTGGCAATGTCATTCAAGGAAACGACGACTTTGTTTTAGCTAATCAAACGAAAAGCTGGGAAGCCGACCGACCAAACGAAGCATCAGAAATTATCGATCCTGAAGAACAACATGAAGAACAGCGTTTACGCTCGCAATTCGTTCAGCCGGTTGCTTTTCAGTCCACATTCGAAAGTGGAAAGAAGACGTCCGTCAAATACAACGAGAATGCCGTACTCTCTGGCCGCGCCCTCTCGCCTTCTCTGACAGAAGACCCCCGAGGCCGCGTTTATGCCAACCAAGGCCAGTCTTGTAGTGTCTCGGACCAAAAAGAGAACTCCGAAGGCTTTTCACCGCTTTTTAAGGAAAAGCCTTACGTCGCAGAATTGGGAACTGCATGGCCAGCAGAAGAACCTATATCCGATATTGCAAATGGTAAAGGAGAAGATGAAGTAACCAACGACAATGACAGCAAACCTCAACACCAAAGCACGAATCAAACAGAATCGACGTCTACTACACTGAGACCGGCCAAAGAAGTCATGTCTTTCGGTAAGAGTTCAAGTGGTTTCGGCGGATTCGGTGGCTTTGGTAAATTGGCCAGCGGCGCTTTAAAATCAGCTAAGCAAGCCACTGAACAAATATCAGTCAAGGCATCGCAAGCTGCTCAAGTTGCCCAACAAGCTGCATCTACAGGAGATCTCACACAAGTCGGAGTTGGAAGTTTTGTGAGTTAACTGCTACTATTTATAAAGGTTAATCGTTTAACTGTATTTAATGTATTGCAAAGTAAACTATTTGCCTAACCTTAACTTAATATTTAAAAAATTATTTTTAATTTGTACTTTTAGCTAAGCAAGAAAGAAACACCAGAAAGATCAAAGTCGGCCATCGACTTTAATAAACAGCCTGATGTACCAGCCGTCGTACAAGATATACCACCCGGTTTAGAAAACTTGTCAGAAGAAGAACGAATGAAAATAATGGCAGTAATGGCATGTGCTGAAATTGATACGCAAGCTCCTGCACCACCACCTAAAGTTGTCCAATCTACACCGCCATCTAAGGTTGAAAAGCCACCGATAGCACTACCAGCCAAAACCAAACAACCAAAAATGCCGCAAAAAGTTGAGCAACCCAAACCTACTTCACAACAGGACAAAGTGGCCCAAGCTCAAAACAAAACGTAAGTTACACAACAAACTGCTTGACACTATATATTTAGAATACCATCTCCCCAACCTGTTGATACGCCTCCGGGTGTCGATGAAGAAATGCTTCAAGGGCTATCGCCCGCCGAACGTGAACAAATTCTTCGTGTAATGAGGATGGCAGAACAAGAAGAACCAGTGGCCCCAATAATAACACCAAAGAAACAGTCTATGAGTGCTGAGACTTCGGTTGAGAACGAAGACTACCCAATACCACAAAAGTCTATTTCCTTCACTTCTGTCACAGAAAGTGGTTATGTCACCGCCCCAAGTACTAGCTACAGTACCGAGTTAAGTACATACAGTCCGGAGCAAACGCAAGTCCTTATAATACAAAAACCTGCTCTAGACTCAAATGTAAGTCAATAAATATAATATTACGATGTAAATTTTTAGGAATTGAATTACACCAATGAAAAGGCAGAACCTACACAAGGATTCGAAAAACGGTTAACTACAACTGAATCCGCCAAATCATTGTCAGAAATAGACGCAGTCGAAACTGACGACTCTTTCTGGATCGAACCGCAAGAATACAAAGTAATTTTTTAAATTTAACTTTAAAAAATTTAAATCGAACTCTAAAATGAAAACTTTCAGGTACCAGATGCATGGGAGCCAAACAAGTCAGGCAGAATGTGGACGACGGTCTTTTCGGATGATGGTGATATAGCAGCCACCGAATATGATAGTGAGGTCTCTATTATCGAAACCGACGAGAACGAAAAAAACAAGAATATCATACAGCCGCCCCGACCTGTAACGGAACAGATTGTAACTACAAGTCTTGAATCCGATGATGGAAGCCATCATTTACACGAGTTTAACGACGGTAGTTTCGAAGTTCAAATGGAGGATCCGCTATCCCCCACTGTCATCGTAAGCATGGTCGCGTCAAACAACGTCAACAATGTTACTACCGGATTCAGCAAAATGATGGAGGTCACAAAAACGCCAGAAATCAAAATCACAAGCCACGAAGAGATAGAGAAAACTTCTGACGACGAATCGGATGCTGAAACTCCACCAAGCTCGGACGAAGACGACTACCCCGATCGTGTGATAGAAGTGCCTTCTGTGTCAGCTTTACAGTTGGTTGAAGATCAGAAAACACAATCAAAGAGTACAGAAGAAGTACTCAAGCAGATACAGTCTTTCGGAGAAGCCGCTGATGATGAGTTTGACGTGCAATGGGCAGCGAATATAACGAAGAAGAAAGAAATAAACGAGACAGAAGCACCATCTGGAGCCACTGAACCTTTGAAGACAACAGAGCCTACGACAAACCAGAGAATAAACCCATTCATTGACTCCCCAGAAGACGAAGAAAACGATGTTGTTGTTGAACAAGTACACTTGGATTCGGATGACATTGACTACCAACATGCTGTCCATTATTATACAAGCAGACACGACGGTTATCACAAGCATCGACCGGGTCCAGTTTATACGATTCCAGAAGGCGATGAAAACAATAGCAGTGTTAGTAGTGAATCAAAGTACAACCGTAAGTTAACTTTTAAATTCTTTTTTGAGCGTAATAAAATACAATTATTAAAAAATTTTAGCTCAACTGCTCGAAAGAAGGCCACTTCACGGTACTACAGTTCCTCCACTAGTACCAAAAGACGTCAAACGCAAAGGAAAACCAGAGCCGATTCAAAAATATTCTGAAAGCGAGCCAATTATCGAAAACGGAAAGGTGCCGATAACACCAATCAGGACTGCTCCACCGCCGCCAGATGCTACAAATGGAAGGTCTACCTTCGACAACAAGTCTGGTGACGTCAAAACATCAGCTACACCGCTACAAATAACTTCTCAGTTCACAACTGACATCCACCAAGCCAATGATGTGCATCTTCCACCGCACATTCATATTCATGGTACTCAACCAAAGCCAGCAACCAGTAAGCCGCATTTAAAATAATTACCAGAAAAACTTTAAAAATAAACTATTCAAATTAAAAAACAATTATAGATCCACCATCCTGTGTCGCTGCTTCTGACGCCGAATTCTTGGCTCAGTTCAGCTCAAATCCAAAAGAACAAGACAAATCTGTAGCCGATTATACCTACGTCAGCCTTAACATAGATGACAATCAATCATCAAAGTAAGTGGTACCTTAACGTTTTAGATGTAAATTTAGATTAAAACGATCACCGGCAATGATCTTGACAAAGGAAGAGAAACCAATAGACGTTTTACCGCAAAAACCACTGCCCAAACAGTGGAATGTTGACGTGGGTTTAGCTGTTGTTGTGAGAAACTAAGATTAATGTGGTTTGTGCATTAGTGTGTTTTTCCATTTAATTTATACTTCATAATTAGGCCAATTAAAGTCTTGTTGGCGGCGGCTTAGGTTAAAGCATGCAATTCAGACCAAGACGCCGAAAGATGAAGAAATAAAAAGCGGAAGCTTAGGCCAACGTACTGGTCAGTTAGTTTCCGTTTTCTATTGCACTCTGTGCTCGGCATGACCTACCGGAGCACTAAAACATATGCCTCAGAATGCCTCGCCGCTAGGTTCAACGCTTCCTGAGAAACCACTCTTTCTCACGCCGCACCTAAATCTGCAAAAAACCACGACCCCGCTATAGGCATGCTTTTGAAGCCTCTTGGCACGACAATCCTAATCTCGGGGGACAAATTTTTGACTCAAAAAGCTTTGCGCCCTCTGTTTTAATGTTTTCGTTAGAGAATAGTATCCAATACGAAGACATGGTGTTTGTTTAGCTTTCCCTTATCAATAATAGCCGAGTATGCTTCCCCTTGCGTTCAAATTATATGTCGTTTTCGGGTTTATGCGTTTCGACATCAAAAAGTTGCAAAATCTATAATATTTACAGGAGGATGCGCTATTGCACGGCGCAAACACTGAAATGGGTCGCCGCAAACTACCATCTCTGCCGGGCAACCGTCAACAGCCAACTAGTCATATTCCGCTTTACTACTCAACAAACTCATTAACTCAAAAAGATGGAACTGGCATTGTTGCGCCATATTACGGCCAACTGTCGTCCAGCAGAATCACCAGCAGTATTGCAGCCAGTTCCGAACCGTACCTGCCACGTACGGATGGCTCTTTGTATACTGTTGACCCTGCCATTATGGCTGGAGCTACTTTCAAGCCGGCCCAAAAGCCTCGTCCACGCTCGGCCATTACGTCCACGGAAGTCGGGAAGAAATTTGATGCAACGCCAAAAATGTCGGAAGCTATGTCACAACTCATGTTTAAACAAGAGCTCCGAAAAACGCTTACTAAACGTCGAATCTCACAAGAGAACGCTGAGATCGAAGCCAATCAACGTCAATATGTTATCAGACGTATGTTGGTGAGCGGCCTTATGCCAGAGCATCGTTCTTCTGAAATCGAATCCATCCCTGACGTGGTTAAGTGCAGTCTTCCAGCCGACTTAGTACGAGGGGCACGCGTAACCCCGATTAAAAGCACATCAATCTTGTATGCAACTGAGATTCCACGTGCTCGTCAAACGCCCATTAAAGATCAATATACGCAATCAGTAAGCGCAGTGCCAACACAAAAGACCGTTGGAGTTCAGTATGATACTACCACAAAAAAACCGGCATTGACTCGATATTATACTGAACAAGCTCCTCCTCAAACAAAAACATTACCATTATCAATGAAGTCTCAATTTCAACCATCGGATCAAGTAGATTCATGCACACAAACTATGATATCATCTGAAACTCAGACTGATTCGTACATATCCACTGATATGGAAACATCAGTTAAACGAAGGATCCCGTATCATGAAGAGTTATCAGGTGTCGGATACAACAGTTTGAGTAACCGTTTCACGCCAGACTTGCTTGAAAAGACAGAAAAGTACTTTGATGAGTACGACAAACGGCTTCGTACATCTCAATTACCATCAATAAAGAACAGAACTAGGTTTACCGATGCAAAAACTCCAGAAGAAATGGAGTGGAAACGCCAAGAAGTCATGAAAGAACTAGAGCTTCGCAAAGAAAAAGTAGCATCTATGATAGATCTCAGAAACCTTCACAGCTACGATCTCGATGACAACACTTTAATAAACAGTATGATGAACCAGTACGGGTCTCCACGGCAAGACACAACACGACAAACCCGAACCAACATGTACAACAGATACGGATCCTTGCCAAGAGACTTTGAACGTACGAATTACGAGCGAACAAACTTTGATAATACGCCTTACTACCCTCCCAGTAACATACCTGGCCTTTACTCTGGCTCAGCACAAAACCTATACCAACAAGATAGGTATAAGGCCCCCATTAGTGACCGCAACTTCAATTCGGTTAACCCTTACTGTACGTTGCCCAGAAACAACAACTTCCAACGTTACAGCAACCTGTCATATCCATCACAAGAACAAATTCAATGTAACGACGCCATCCTAACCCAGTATGCCAGTTATGTAAATGACCAAATTGACAATGCCGGCTTCATCGACGACTTCAATTATCCAACAACAATTCGTCAAGAAAACATCTTAGACCAACCTCAAAGGCCGGTACCAGACTACTACTCGTACCAACAAATACCAAACCAATATGCGACTAGTCGGGTTATTCAACAACCATTAATGCAGCAGACTATGCCAACCTACTTGCAGCCGACTACGACCGATTACGTGTATAGTCGGCGAGATAACAACTATGGGTCAAGACCTATCCAGCCAATAGGAGATTACGGCAATGTTCTCTACAACAGAATCAAGCTAAATCAACCGACCAACGATCTTCGAAACGACAACACCAGCGACCCGTACGCCGCGTACTCAATGAACAGACCCCAAAGAACATGGAACACACTGCCATCGCCATATGCATTGCAACCTAGCTATCGATCACCTCACATTCCCTTAAACAATAACTTTAATGAACCATGGCCTTGTCCCCAATACCCCCGTTCTTATCATTATAGTACCCAACCACGCCCTCAACCACAGCCCTATCAAACCCCGGGTATGTACCAAATAGAGCCCGGTAAGCGCTCAAATTTTTAAGCATTGTAATCGTTATGCTAAGCAAAAACAATCTTTGTGTATGTTAAATGTAAATCATTAAGAGTAAGGATTGTATTGTACTGTCAGAACGAAAATTACCCCAAGTGTGACGCTATATTTGTCTATGGTTTTACATTATTGTTTCATGTTTTAAAAATTATTATCATTGTGAAAAATAAAAGAGCAAAAAGCACGTGTAAAGTAATTTAATTTTAAAAATAATATCTTGAACTTATTGATAATGTAAATAGAAAAAACAAAATTAAGCAGTGTAACTTTGTATAACACACAAAAGATAACATGAAAAGTACAAAGATATAGCGTCACACATTGGGAGAAAGTACACTAGTTTATAGAACCAAAGGTTTAATATTATGACTACAATTAGCATTTATCTTCTATACCTTCTATATTTGAATAATATACCTTTTTTACAGAAAAATATTCAATTAGTTTACCACGATACCATCGTTCTGAAGAACGTCGGAATAAAAAGGTATGTTGACCTATTTAAATGATAAACCTAATTTTAGGTTAAATCAACTTACTCCACTCATAATCGAGCTCAACCTACATCATCATATCACTCGACAAGACCAAAAAGTTGTAATAAAATAAAAAGAATTTTACTTACCAGAAGATATCGTCACGCCAATGTTTATCACGGTCAGTTCTTCAACTTCACACATTCTTTTCATTGACAAAAATATTTTTTCAATTTTTGGGCAACATGTTATTGCGACGAAATGCAACCTCTTGTGACATTCCGTTCTCTTTTAATCGGCTAAACGAAAAGATTTTTTTTCGCAGGCGAGATCATTTTTTGTAAAAGTAACTTTTTATAACTTTTCTTATATATTATTGAAGGTTTATATGTTTATTTGCTTTTAGACCTTGGTTTTCGTGTAACTGGAGGCAAACGACTTTATAATGGAGAACTTGCCGCTTATGTTACTGCTGTGAATCGAAGCAAAGCCTATGAAACTCTTGGAGAGATAAAAGAAGGTATATTTTTGCTATTATTATATTGTTTTAGAAAATTTATCCTTTAATTAACGTTTCAAGTTCTAAACGTTGCGCTGTTTGAATAATAATTTATGCGTTAGGTTTATTTAGGCCTTTGCAAAGCGTTACTAGGTACTTAAATTAACTTGTTAAAGTGTATACTTGAAATTATTTTAATGTGAAATTTAACATTGTTGTAGGCGATCAAGTTTTGGAATGGAATGGTGTTCTGTTGAGAGGTAAAACATTTGAAGAAGTGGAAAGGATAATAAATGCTACGAGTGGAGAAGTTGAGATTGTTGTGAAGAGCCAAGACGACTGCAGGAATGACAACTACGAACAGGAAAGCATGTACGATGCTGCTGCTGATGACTCACAACGTCGACTCTATAAGCATCCTCCGCCAGTACCAGCACACAAAGGATCTATGGATTACAAGAGGAAGCGTATGGTATGTTGTTGATATTTAGTTACCTTGTGTGTTTAGAAGTCTCAAGATGGATTGGGAAAGATTCAAATTGCAATTGGATATGACCAGTATCATTCTGTTCTGGTTGTGACTGTCATTGCTGCTAGAGGGCTGACTCACAGAGAGTACGAGAATAACATCGTTCTGCCAAATCCGTTCGTGAAGATTTATCTGCTGCCTGGGCGAAAGTACGTAGCGTTTAAAAGTTTTATTTATTTGGTTGTTATTTCAAGTTTTAATTTATGTTTTCTAAAATAATATTGTTTATGTTGATACTTTTTGAATCTTTTTTGCTTGCTAAGAAAGAATAAAACACCAGTCATTTTAGGGTTGTTAACAAGAGAAGAACGAAGTATGTTTCGAATACTTGTGATCCAGAATGGCACCAACCAGTGGATTACCTGGTTGATTACAATGATTTGTTTAGTAAATACTTGGAGTTAACGGTATGGGACTATGATAAATATAATGACAACATTTGTTTGGGTCATATTATGATTCCTCTTCGTAAGTTTTCTTGTTTATAAGATATTTTAATAGTTTTGAGGTAGAAAGAAAATCTGCTTAGAGAGTAAAATGTAAAGCTTTTACTAATTTATGTTGTCTTTTGAAGGTCATAACGTACTAGACAATGCACCAAGATGGTACTTGTTGGAATCTGTAGATCAACAGTTGAAAACGGAACCTGTTACGACGGCTTTGTACAATAAATCACGTAGTTTCAACAAGGCAAACTACTTCTACAATCCGTGTAAGTTTATTTTCATTAACGCGTTTTTACAATTAGTCCATTTTAAATTTATTTCTTCAAAAATATGCACGAATTTGAATATATTGTTCATACTTGTATGAATATCGTGCAGGTCAATATATTACTTTCAGCAAACTTGGACCTTGGGTATCCTGCCATATAAAACTCAGTACGATATCCTCAGGAAATTAGGACTAGATGACTAGCTGTTTATTGTTATTTACTGCCCTTGACTCAAATTATTTATCGCAAATATCGACCACTCTTGCCTTTCATGTTATTTTGTACACATTTTATATTTTACAGAGATTTATCACAATAAATATTTATGAATATTGTCCTTGTTATGTGTGGAGATGTCTTTTATTTACGACATACTTTTCAGTATTACTTTGCTGTATAAATAAAGTTGTTTATTCTACTACAATATATATTTTAAATATAAAATTATCTACTTTACTATAAAAATTATTGAAGTAAACTTTTTTGTCACAAAGCATAGTTCAAAGTACTATCATTTTCTGAAAGGTTTAAATTCAGACTTTTAAACTCTATAAAGGATAGTAATTTGTGTAATATTTAGTTGTCTCTCGGCTTTGCACTCTCACATAATGGGTCTACCTAAAATAACAGGAAAAGAATTGTTACCTGCATATGATACATTCCTGTTTGACGCTGATGGTGTCCTATGGCTAGGAGACCATCCTATTCCTGGTGCAGTTGACGCCATCAACAAGTTGGTTGAACTGGGAAAACAGGTACTTGTTATCACCAACAACTCCACTAAAACCCCTGCCCAATTTGCCGAAAAAATCAACAAACTTGGATTCACAAGTCTGTCGGCTACGAATGTTGTCAGTCCGGCTATGGTGGTGTGCCAATTCTTGAAGAACGACCCTCGATCACAGGAGCTACCGGTATACCTAATTGGCAGTAAGAACTTGGAGAGTATGATCAATGGAGCCGGGATACAGACTTTTGGTACTGGGCCAGATGTCATGGATCCAAACATGGTATGTTTGTTCTAGATTATACTTTGCTTTAGCGTGTATTATATAGATTTTTTGTATATTTTAGATAAAATTAATTGGTTAAACAAAAAGAACATATATATCAATTATGAAACTAAAAAGGTGTTTTAAATATATAGGGGTGTTCTAAATATAAATTTTGTACCCATTCTCACGTTTCAGAACGGATTTGTAGAACATATCGATTTGAGCAGAAAGCCATTTGCTGTGGTGACAAGTTACGACGCTCACTTCAACTACGTCAAGTTGACCAAAGCCGTGAACTACCTGAAGGATCCAAATGTGATGTTTATCGCCACAAATGAAGACAAAACCTTCCCTACCAACGTGCCAGGTCTTGTAATTCCTGGAGCTGGGTCTTCGTCGCTTTCGGTCAGTGCCATATGTGGAAGACGGCCGACGGTAATGGGAAAACCACATAATGCCATGTACGAGTATATTACCAACAGCTACAAGATCGACAAGAAGCGGACGATCATGATCGGCGATAGGTGTGACACAGACATCTGGTTTGGGAACGCCAACGGGCTGGACACTTTATTAGTGCTGACAGGTGTGCACGATCTGCAACACGTTGAGAAGATCAAGGACGACAAAGAGCTTGTTCCGAAATATTACACTGAATCTGTTAATTGTTTTTTGGAGTAATCGTTTCGGGATTTGGTTGTGATAGGATGAGTAAACTAAACTTAGTTTTTGACAATAAAAAGTTATTTTAAAGGACACTCGAATTGGATTTTTTATTGTTCGGATTTTAATCCAAAATAATATTTTTGAAATTTCACTTTGTCTTTCAATTTGAGGTCTAAATAATTTGGTTTGGTCTCGTTTCTTTCTGATCAAACTCTGAAAATCAAATTCTTGGTATTTCAAACATTCAACTCGAATATACAGAAGACATCAGTGTATTGCGTAAACGGATTAAAATGCCAACGCGCTTTGAAATGTGCGGAAACCACTTTCGAATCGAAGCTTTTGGTGGGCAATCCCCGAGGATTCGACCAGTCAGGTACAAATGCAATTACCTGCCAGTGCCGCTTTCTCCTCGCTGAGCGTGCGGCTTTAAACTTTCGCTGTTCAACGCTAATTCGGCTGAATTTTAGATCCGGCTTCAAAAAATACGAAAATTTTTTAAACTCGGCTTCGAAGAAATTTTTAACTCAGTTTTAAAAACGCGACAAATTTTAAGTTGACTTTGAATAACGCGACGAAATTTCAAGACCTGGCTTTGCTTTGGACCTTTTTCAGCCACATTTTAAGGGTTGCGCGAATTTCAAAAGGCTTTATTGAAATTCGCTCGGCGTCATTTCAAAAAGGCGACCCGGGCCCGGAATATGCTGAATCAGCGTCTTGATGGAGCTAGCCAGCCTTCCGCTCACTCTTTTCCTTGTTGTGGATGTTTGTCTCTGTTTAAACGCGTTTTGTTTATTTTTTTCTGTCGCCGCAACCCGTTCGCGGTTCTTCCGGTTTGGTTGCACCCCCTAAATTTTATACCCCTATTAAAGACGAGCACGAGGTCTTTTTTGGGAAAATTTTACTTTTGGGGGATCTTTTAGGGCTTAGCTGTTTTTTTTCGTATTTTATGCATGTGTTTTGGGTGTTACTCATGCCTCCGCCTTTTTTTGGTGTATTATCTTTTCCGCTAAAAATAAACTTTATTGGCTTTTGATCGAAATGTGAAAAGGTGGGTCGGGAGATTGAGTGGCGAGGTTAAAGAGATATTCGGATCAGGCCTTCCTGGACGGGCGAAACTCTGCCGGGTGGGTGTTGGCGGGTCGGAGCGCCGATGGCCCCGCTTTCGGCCGCGATGATTTGGGTCTGCACTGCTCTTTTTTGCGTTCCTTCTCTCTTTTAGCCCTCACGTACGCCTCCGCAAGAAGCGGCGCCACTATACTTCGATTGGACGGCTTTTTGCCCTTAGGCATCCACAGATTTTTTGAGTTTTTTGCGATTTTACTCGGACAATAGAGGCTGGGGTGCGTTGATTGCGGGAGGGTGAAACAGCCTGACCGAGGCTTTTTTTGTTATCCTAGGTCTTTATGGCCGTGGTGGGGAAGAGAGCCCTGAAGGACCTCACCAGCTCACCGCGAGTTGAAACAAATTCGAAAAGCTGGAAGAGCGCGCGATCTGAAGAGGTGCAGAAGAAGCGATTGTACTATTGCCACTCTGCAGATATGAGTTTTGTTTCGGTTTCTGTGGTTTAGCCTGTTCCTCGTCCCGATACTTTAAAAAGATTTTGCCTGGAGGCGATCGCGGCCAGCAAAGGATCACCCACACAGGTGCATTCTCTCTCCAAGACTCGTACTTTATCTTTGGAGGCAGAAAGCTGTCCTTTGGCCGATGCACGATCATACATTCCTTTATCAATCTGAGCAACTCGGGCCGCGTTTTTGTTATTTTGACATGCTTGATGAGGGTATTGATTGATTGCGTTACATTGTCCCGATTGCAGAGGTAGTCGTGCGCGGTTGTCCATACCAACCCACCCAGCCATAACGCGCCCGACACGCCCCTATGAACTGGTAGGGTGATCCGGCACAACATCGTTAAATTAATAATTTAATCATGCCGGTCTTCCACACAAAAACCATCGAGAGTATCCTCGAGCCCGTGGCCCAACAAGTATGTTTTGTTTGATATGCATGTTATGTTATGTTTACCACTTTTGTTTACTTTCGGTTTGGCTTTTGTATGTTGCGCTTTTTTGAGTAAAGTTAGTGTTTTTTTAAGTTTTTAAATTATATGTTTTAGGTTGATTTTTTTATTTTTTATGTTTTTCTGCCATTTTGAAGGTATTAATTACTCCATCGAAATACTTAGTACTTTATCTTTTACGTATGTTTAAAGTATCTGCTTTATGAGATAGAAGCAGCTGCCTTTAGGCCTGGATAAACGACCTTTTTATAAATTCAGTTCGTTTGTTTCGGAAACCGGTAAACAACAAAATGACCTATGAAGTGTCCGTAATTCACATAGTGACCTATAATTATCCTTATCTGCACCCAAATGACATTAAATCTTGCACCAAGTAACGTATACATTGCCCTAAATGCACATTTATCCCACTTTAAGCTCCACTTGGCATTGTCTGCCGCGCAAAAGATAAGCGGTCGATCCGAGTCCCGACTAGAGAACGACGACGATGTACGATCAATAGTGTCGCTTCAGTTCCACAAACACAGCTACACGCCTCAAAGCGGGTATGGAGAAGCCTGTGCTGTCTGCCGATTGCTTTTGTCTGAGAGTACTGCTTTTGTATGTTTAAAGTGCTTGCAACTTCTGTGCTGTCCTTTCCTTCTACCGCTGTGACACTTCTGAATTGCTTTCGTTAAGGTGTCTCGGTTAGTCATTCTCCACGAAGAAGCCGAAGATGGAAACCCCATGCCGGACCTCACTCGTCCGGTCAGAGCTGTCGCTCGAGCCGTCGACAACTTGATCAAGGTAATCGAATTAACTCATTTGAACGAATGTTCTCTGTATAAGTTGCAGTCGACAGATACAGAAGATAAAACAATGATAGATTTTACTTACATTCCGGTTTTAGGTCGGATATGACACATGTAATTCCTCGGAAGATCCTATCCTGAAACAAGACATGCCTCCAGCTCTTCAGCGTGTCGAGGTCAGCTCGAGAAGTCTGGAGGACTCGAGTCAGATGCTCATATCTGATCCTCACTCAAGTCCAGCTCGTAGAAAGTTGATCGATGGCTCTCGTGGTATTCTTCAAGGCACTTCAGCTTTATTGTTGTGCTTCGATGAATCAGAAGTCAGAAAGATCATCAGAGTCTGCCTCAAGGTGTTGGACTACTTGGCTGTAGCTGAAGTTATCGAGAGTTTCGACGACTTGACACCATTTGTTAGAGTATGTACTTCGGATTCTTTTGTTTAATTTTTTATTTATTTTAACATACTTAATATACAAAACCCTTCTCATCTCCCAATTCAGGACCTCACCCCATGGTTAACTCGTATGTCACACCACATTGATGACCGTGAGAAAGAGTTGACCCACGTTGTCCACCGTGAGATCCTGATCCGTTGTATGGATCAAGTGAAATCTTTGGCTCCAATTCTGATTTGTGCCATGAAGATCTACGCCCAAATCGCTAGCGAAAGACAACCAGGTCAGCCAGAAGCCGCTGAAAACAGAAACTACCTGGCTCAGCGAATGACCGACGAAGTCAACGAAATCATCCGTGTCCTTCAACTCACGACCTACGACGAGGACGAATGGGACAACGACAACGTCACCTACATGAAGAAGGCTTTGAGTGCCGCTCAATCATTGCTGTCGGCCGCCCTCGACTGGCTAGGTGACCCGAACGCCAAGCCAGGCCAAATTGGAGAGAAGGCTATCCGCCGAATTCTGGAGTACGCTGAGAAGATTGCTTCCAGATCGTTGCCAGAAGACCAAACTGGAATCCGTTACCTGGCTAGCGAGATCCAAAGTCTCACCGACCAAGTTTGTCAGCTCAGAAACACTGGCAGATACGACAACCAGAATCTGGCCGGACAGTGTGCACAGAAGTTGCGTGATCTTGTTGGCACCAAGGAAAGCCAAGGAATCCTTCCTTACGCTATGCTCAACAGCCAGAAAGCAGGAGGCGGTCAACCAGCCCACACAACTGGGGGACGTCTCGACCAAGCCCTGCGTTGGTTGGATGGAGCCGATGACGGAGGAGTCGGTAGGTTGCCTTTACAGTGTTAGAAGGCGTTACAACAACTTTTAAAGAAGAGAACCAATCCTAGTCTTAATGCTTATGTTTTAGGTCTTGCCGCCATCAGAGAATTATGCAACGATGCCAGAAAGCTGGCCGACCAACTTAGTCCAGCCGACCGTTCTCGTCTCCACAATCTTTTGGGCAACATTGACCGCTTCGCTAGCCAATTGGCCGATCTTGAGAAGCGCGGCCTTGGCAACACTCCAGAAGCTCACGCTCTACGTCGTCAACTCAGAGACCATCTTAAGGAGCTGGCTAGTCTCATGAACAAGGTCTTGACCGACCGCGTTGTTGAAGACTTTGCCGACATCACAACTCCTCTCAAACAGTTCGTTGAGGCTGTTTACACGCCACAGGGAACAGCTGGGCGCGAAGAGAACTTCCACCAAAAGGCTGGCAACCTTCAACACCACGCAACTTCTTGTGCAAACACAGGCCGCCTCGTGGCTAAGTGTGGCCCGTGTAAGAACAAGAAGACTATTGAAGGCCTGATTGACGCCGCTGACAAGGTAAATGATAACATAAGTCACAGACGCTTTACAATAGGGACAGTTTTTAGAAAATTAGATTCCCATTTGTCAAGAAAAACTTATAATGACTATTGTAGGTAACACAAATGACTCCTCAAGTCGTCAATGCCGGTAAGATCCGTCTGAACAATGCCAGCCAAGACGTCGACCAGCACTTTGACAACTTGCGCAGAGAGTACGCTGATGCATTGACTCGTCTCCGTGACTTCGTTGATGACGCCATTGAGACCGGCGACTTCGTCAGAGCTTCTGAAGGCGCCATGAGAAGATACACCAACCACTGTGAAGACGCGATTAGCCAGAACCAACCACAGTCCATGGTCGACAACACCAGCCAGATCGCTCGCCTGGGTAACCGTGTCCTGATGGCGGCCAAGAATGAAGCCGACAACTCGGAAGAGCCGTCTTTTGTAAACCGTGTCAACTCGGCCGCTTCTCAACTTCACTCAGGTTGGTTTTTTTTTGTTCGAGGATAAGGTTTCCGGATGCTTTTTTAATCCGACCCCCCGCCTTTAACCTGTCGAATGTCTAAAAAACAAACAACAAAGTCCTCATACATTAGCTGAGGACGTAATGACATCCCTCCCCCTTTCTTGATCTCCTTGTCTCTTCCCGACGTTCCACAGTTCGATATTATCCCCCACTATAGCAATGTATTCTGATTACTATTACTCGCCTACTATGTACGTTACAGCGATCCCGCCCATGGTAAATCACGCCAAGCAAGTGGCTTTGAATCCACGCGACCAGAACGCTGCCAATAGATGGCGCGACGTCAACGACGAGTTGTTGAACGCCGTTCGCTCGGTCGGTGACGCTATCACCGGAGTGCCCAGTGTCCACTCTCAAGTCAACCACCACCAGGTCAATGCCCAACCACCCCCACAACCACAGCAATCATACTATCAACAACAAAGCAGACAACAGTCCGCCACGCCCAGCTTCCCCACCAACTCGTACAACGTGCTACAAGACGTACAGGCTCGCGGACCATCACAAGATATTGTTCACAACAGAGTCATCGTCAGAGAAGAGATTCCAGCTCCACCTCGACCGCCTCCACCAGTTGAGATCAGCCCTCCACCACGACCACCACCACCTCCAGAAGTCGACGAAGAAGAGGAAACCAGAGCCTTCTGGGAACGATACCCTCTGCCAACTGCTTCAGGTATTCTCAGTGCTGCCCATAACCTACATCAAGTAAGTTATTAACCTACTTCATAGATTTGCGATCAAAAAGTAGAAAGATGAATAAGTACTATAATATATTTACAGGAATTGAGGCAATGGTCATCACAAGAGAACGAGATCGTCGCTGCTGCCAAGCGTATGGCCATCCTCATGGCTAGACTCTCCCAACTGGTAAGAGGAGAGGGTGGAACCAAGAAGGACCTCATCGACTGTGCCAAAGCTATTGCCGACTCTTCTGAAGAAGTGACTAGACTAGCCGTCCAACTGGCTCGGCAGTGTACCGACATCAAGATGAGAGTGACACTTTTACAAGTGTGTGAACGTATTCCAACCATCGCCACCCAGCTCAAGATCCTGTCCACTGTCAAAGCTACCATGCTCGGCTCACAAGGTAAGATAAGATTAAAAAAGGAGTACTATTTTTTGTAAAGAAAGCTAGTGTAAATGAAAATGATACCTAAAATGTGTTGAAGAAAGTAATACCTAAATTCCCTTTTCAGTGGTTATCGGTCCCTACGGCCAGCCTATTGACGGTAAATTTAGAGTGCAGTTAAAAGTTGAATGTCCTCTTACTATATCGTCCTAACTTTCCCTTGGGCTGACATTCTTGTGAAACTAACTTTACATAACACAATGTCCGAGTGATTTGTTCCAATCTTAACATGAACAACATTATCAAATGTTTTCAGGCACTGAAGAAGATGAGGAAGCCATGCAACAACTGGTCCTCAACGCTCAGAATCTGATGCAGTCCGTGAAGGACACCGTCAGAGCCGCCGAAGCCGCTTCCATCAAGATCAGAACCAACTCAGGTCTCCGTCTCCGCTGGATCCGAAAGCCAATGTGGTCCAACTTCTAAACTTATTTTCGGCTTTAGATTATTTCTGTAAACAAAGATTCTATCTAAACTCTTTCTGTAAACAAAGTTTCTTCCCCTCTTCAAGTGTAACTACCACGAGCACATGTAAATCGGTTATATTTTGAATCCTGTCTATTTCCTCCTAATATGCGTGATCGACAACATGCATACATCCCCTAGCCGCGCATTTCTGGCCAACCGAAGCTTATCTACATCAATATGTGCCTTAACAACGTTTTGTCTACAACTTTCTTTCTGCCGGGAATCCGCTGCTGCCACGTTTCTCAAATTTTCTAGTCTTAGTACGTTATTTTGGTTTTAATTCAATGAAAAATAAATAATTTGTGTTTGATTGAGGTTGAATCTCTCTCCACACGTAAGTTAATGTGATAAAACAAGTTGGTGCAAAAAAACAAGATTTTTATACTACATATGGCCAAAAATAGTATTGAGCATTTATGTATAAATATGATCACAAATAACTTTATTAGAATATTTACATACGTTCAGATCTCCTTGGCATCGTCGAAAGCTCGTCGCGCCTTCTTCAGTTCTTCGCTCATTGATAACAACTCTCGTACACGAGCAAACTTCCTTCGATCACGGCGAATCAAATAATAAATGTCATCAAGTCCCAGTCTGTTGCCTTTCCCCACTTTCAAAGCTTTCTTGCACAACTTTTCGATATAATCCATGACGATCTTCTCCAACGCTTCCAAAGTTGCTTCATCTGTTTCCTATAAAAACATTTAAAATAAATTTACGTGCTTTGCTAGAGTAAACAAAATTTATAGCTCAAAGCACTCATTGTTTATACGCAAGTTTCAGCCGAAATTCAGCTATTTTCGGTGACAAAGATGAAAGAAAATTTTTTAAGCCCTAAAAACAAAAAAAAACCATAATAATTCAAGTCCTCACCTTTACATCGCCAAAACCATATAACATAGAGCTCAATTCTTTTCTGAACAACCTTTTTCGATCTTCTGGGCTTTTCTTCTCCTCCTCGTCATCTTCATCGTCAAAAATCTCGTTAACGTTGTTCATCATTGTCAAATATTATGAAAACTAAAATCAACAAATTAATAATACATTAATTACACCCGCAAAGCACAGTAACACAAGGTACGACAAAAACTTGTCAAAACAATCCTGAAATTTCTAAAAAAAATTTATTATTTTATTTACAACTGCGCCCTAGCTTTTTCAGCTTGCAGGCTTATTTCATACGCAAGATTTATTTATTTTGAAGAAACGAAATCTTGTCGAAATAATTACGGCTACGTTTTGACAATTCCCAAATTTTTTTTAATAAAATGTATTTACAATCAGTTTTCAATAGCAACATCTTTCGTTGTTTGAACACCGATAGAGTTATTGTCCGTGTTGTCGTCGTAGAGATCCAAGTTTCTTACTTGTTTTACTTCAATAGGCACTAGTACTGTCTAAAAATAAATGATATAAATCATATTAAGGCTTACTTGGTGTCCAATAGGTTTACTAAAAAAATATCCTTTGAGGACTTTACCATCTTGAAGTGATCCCAAAGTCTTGAGCAAGATGAACAATATTGCTGCACAACAGACGGCTGAAATAATAATGCAATTAAGTTCAAACGTGATATTTTAGTAAAATATTATTTCATTAATATTTCTGTCAGAAATAACGCCAAGATACATTGGGCATGACTGGTTTTTTTATTAACCTAAAGTGTAATATAAACGTTTTAAGCTTAACGTATTTTATATGTCATTTACCTTGTATTGGAGTGAATATCATATGTAGACTGTACATGGCTATTCTGGTATTCACAACGATGTGGTTAGTTGTCTGTAGATCCGCTTGTGAGAAGTCGAAACCATCTTTTCGAATCTTTTGATCTTCGTCGTATATCAAGTAAGCTGTCCAGAAGAACAAGAACACACAAATTATAAACACTATACTCGTCGTGAAACAACAGAATATCTAAAAAAAGTTAATGATTTATTTACTTTTACATTAATTGTACGCCAGCTTGTGTATAATAGGATATACACATTCATTTAATTGAGGAACTAACAATTTTGAGACAGTATTTATAACTTACTAAAAGAGCCCTGGAATGATGTTTTCGAAGGAAGTAGAACAATAGGCAAGAGTTCAAGATAAACAATATACTGGCAAGGAAAGCGACATAGTACGGAGATCCATCGAACAAAATGCAAATAACTGAAAACATGAGCTAAAATACGATGGTAAGTATTGACGGTAGACTTACTAATTGAATAGCAGCACCAAACGCACACAATATGATGATAAGTAATGTCCGAGCATGAAGGATCAGTACTCGATTTGTTATGATTTGCTCAACCTAAATCCATCAAAATCATATTGAGTTGTTCATACTTTTTAAAATAATTTGTTTACATACGTGATACGTTGATGGATCGGTGTACTGACTCTCGAGCATGCGGTGGTTATTGTGGTATATCGGGTGATATATGTTCATGGTTGTGCGGACTGAAAGGTTTTGTACTTCAGTATTATAACATATTGATACGATAAATCAAGTGGGCTTTTTTTACTTTTCTCCATACTTTTTGATCAAAATATTTTTCGGCAGGTACCGTACAATTGAGAAGCTAATATCGTAATTCGACCCTAATGTTTATGAACTTACCAGTCGATTTACTAGTCTCGGTGTTATCAGAGTCCAAAGTGGTGATACTCTCGCTGAAGGGTCGATCGTTGACCGGCTGCAACCCCAACGTATCTCTGTAGTACACGGGTGGGGGGAAAGCTCCAACATTTTTTTGAGTACTAGCTGTTCGATGCGGAATTGGTGCTGCCATACTTTAAAACAAATCCATACAAATTCGATCGAAAACCAAAAAACCGATTGGATTTGTGCTGGAGAGATTAGGTTCTGTTGCGATAACAGGTGGCATTTCCAGAGATTTTTTGAATTGCCTTGCAATTGACCAATAGATTCATACACAGTCTTACTTGTTAAGCAATAAAAAATAGTCTCATTTTAGAACATAACTACAAGTTACAGGCACTAAAGATGACAAGAAGAAATTGTAGTTCTATTTTTGTTTAACCCTAAGCGTTTTTTGTGTGAAACATTAAGAAAAAATTATTTGTGATAATTAAAAAAACTATGTTTTACAGTCAACTATAATTTTAACTTTCAACAATGGTTACAATCTTCGTTACAATAATAAAACTAACTGCGCCACTAAAAACCGATAATTTTGTGACATTTCGTTGTTTTTCGACTTCCTGCTTTTCTTTCACAATTTTTATCCTAATGCTGCCTTTATTGCATGATAGCGTACAGTACGTGATGTAAACCCATAATTTTATTAAAAAGTATTTTAATTAAGATGAATTTTACGACCTCAAGGTTAGTGTACTTTGTTTTTTTGCTTATTTCGTTGTTTATCGCTAAATGTTGTGGTGAAGTACGATTGTGTTGGTCAGTTAACATATTCCAGTTTGAAGTTAATTAAAATTTAAGGATGAGCCGACCTTCTCCTTGGACGCGTGTTTGGAACGCTTTTTGGGCTTCTATTACGAGAGAGAACGCTCCCATCAGGAAATATGTCGGCTCTGATGCCGCAGGCAACCGTTACTACGAGTTAGATAGACAAGGAAAAAGCAACGTAAACGTGAACAGGTAAGCCGTATAATTCTAAACCGTACGTTGGTTTTTAAAACAGGTTCGATCGTACATTTCTCTATATTTTTGGTGAATCGAGTACTTTCGTGTGATCATTCATTGCTTTTAATCACATGAGTGTTCTTTGTTAATGTTTTCTAACGTTATTTTAGGGGGATTCGAGCAAGCGGACTCTAATTCACAACCTTCTTTGGAGTGGGAATCTTGGCTAAAAGGGACGAGACGCTTTCCGCCATCAGATCAAGAACTTGCACTGAACGAGGCACGTCGCGAACATATTGAACAAGTGAGTTCTTGTGTTCAGATTGATCATTGATTTAGAAACAACACTTGCAAGACGCACAGACCGAGAAACGAGCGCCGCACGTTGCCAGCCGGGGTCAGGGAGCCGGCGACTTGGATCGCAAAAAACATTTCCCCGCGTATGATGACATAGAATTGGCTCCAGGTGCAGAACGAAGAGACGACAAAGGAAAGTAGGCGCGTCCATTGACGAACTTTGAACTGAGTAGAGTAAATAAAGTCTATTTATTCGATTTCTGGGTGTTCTTTTAATTGGATACTTTGGGGCTATTCTAGAGTCCACCGTTTGTCGGATTCTGAAATGACCGGACTTCGGAATCTTTTCCAAGGTGTACTCAAGTACAGGGCTACAGTACGGGAGGACCTTGTAAAGCAGTTTGCGAGAGTTAGGGATGATCCACATCCACAATCTGTCATGTTCACTTGTATGGATTCTCGGTAAGTTTCTTTTTCATTATTTAGGTAACATTTTTTAAAATTTAAGGCTTTGTAGGTATGCATTGTAATAAAGTTTTTAATGTTTAATAGTGTACTTTTCAATAATTATTATCTATTTATGTAATTTTTAATTGAAATTTCAGTATCTTGCCAGCCCGTTTCACCCAGGCTCAGGTTGGTGAAATGTTTGTTGTCCGAAACAGTGGAAACATGATCCCTCACGCTCAGAACTACGGTACGGTGTCTTTTGATATTATTCTATGTTTTAGGTGGTTCTGGATATGAAGTCTCCGTAACTACTGAACCGGCTGGACTGGAATTGGCTGTCAAACGAGGCAATATTCACCACGTTCTTGTTATGGGACACTCGGACTGTAAAGCCATCAATACTTTGTACAATTTGTGTCAATGTCCTCATCATTTTGATCCAGCCAGCCCTGTAGACCATTGGCTACGCAAAAACGGCTTCAGAAGTCACATCAAGTTGAGCCAGATGCTGAAAGATGAAGAAGATGGTGTTCCAGATGCTAGGAGAATCCACTTTGCTGCTCGAGAACCGGAACTTTTGGAATTTCATGCTAGAATTGACCCAGATTTGAAGTTTGGCGTGGAAGATTGGCTATCTCAAATCAATACTCTACAACAACTTGTTCATGTCGCTTCTCATGGCTTCTTGAAGGATTACCTATTGGAAGGAAGGGTTCATTTGCATGCATTGTGGTTTGATGTCTACAAAGGCGACATGTTTATGTTCAGTCGGAAGAAAGAACGATTTATTGAGATCGACGAGAATACAGCACCTGAACTCGAAGACGAAACGCGACATAATTATCAAGAACCCTTGCCAGCTGCTGCTACTGTGTAATTGTGGTTATAACGAACGTATCTTAATGTTACGGACATGCTTATTATCGTTGACATGTCTATTGTATCAAATATGTAACTTTAACGATCTTGTTTAAGACTTATTTTACTGTAAAGAACAAACTTCTACATTATTTTGCCTTACGTGTACTTACGAAACGAAATAAAACTGTATTCTTGTTGTAGTAGGCTAATTGAGTTAATGTGTTGTTTGCTCAGGAAGTTATTTTAGTTAACATGATTAATTTATATACGACAGTATTTATCAGAATGTTTTCGCAATCACTAAAATGGTTCTCGGGTCGTCAAATTGGATTAAGACTGGCGTCTACCTCTTTCTTCAAACCGAAACGCTTCTACAAAGAAGTTCACGTTAACTCCAACACGAACGGCGCCTTCGAGATCTATTTAGACCAGAGGAAACTCAAGACACCACAGAAAAAGACACTTGAGGTACGTAGTCGATAAGATCGTGTTATCGATGGCTTTTTGATAGAAATAAGTTTTGAAAACAAAACATCTTTCTTTAAGCTGTACTCTGAACCCTTGGCACTGGCAATAGCTCACGAATGGGATTCTCAAAAAGAAGAAATCATGATTCCCTCGATGAGGTTGACCGGTCTGGCGTTTACCGCTGAAGATAATCCAACGCACGAGACAAAGTAGGTAATCATTAACTGTGTAAGACAATATTATGGCCAACAGACGCTTTTTTACTGTGATTCGAAAAGTAGTAAAAAAATTTGAGACATTTTCTTAATTGTGTACCATTTTAGTGAGACATTAGTGCAGAAGATGATGGAGTACCTTGAAAACGATACAATCTTGTACTTGGACACGAATCCAGTCGAATTGGCCCAACTTGAAAAGGAACAATGGCTGCCAATTGTGGATTGGGCCAACAAACACTTCGAAACTAAAATAGAACCTAGTTATGCCATCACCGAATTAGCTGCTATTCCAGATGAATCTCGGACTCGGTTCAGGAGGCATCTGGAAGCCATGAACTTCCACAGTTTAACTGGCTTTGCTTATGGAGTTAGTTCTATTAAGAGTTTAATCTTAGTATTGGCTTGTCTTCAGAACAGACTGACTTGTCAGGAAGCTGCTGAGCTGGCTAATCTTGAGTTGGACTATCAAACTAAGGTTTACAGTAAGGTGAGGTACATTGAATTGCTTAAAATGTCAAAATAATATTCGAAAAGTTGTATACCGCGTTTGAAAAAGCTATTCCTTAAAGAACACTTTCAAAACAGGGTTCAAAATTCGCATTACGGTAACTTTTTTACTATTTCAAAATAAGTTATTCTAGGTGGAAGGACATCATGATGTACATGCACTCGAGTTGGTCAACCGTCTGTCGGCCGCTGTAATTTATTCTCAATTTAACTCAAATCTTCATCGTGTAACCAAAGAAAAGGTCCCGTTATGTGGTTCAGCATAAATATAGTACAAGCTTTATAGCGCTATATTAATTTTTAAGTACAATATTAAGAATATTGTTTTACAGGTTGTTTCTTAGTTAGGATTTTGTTTTGTTGATTGTTGTTCAGAATAAAATGCATTTTCGCAAAATGTCATCGGTCAAGTCGGTCGATTCGTTTTCGAGCTACAAGTCGCTGCTGACTGCTAGGCCGGTCGTTTTGCCACCCCTGCTACTGGGCACGGCCAGAAACCGATATTTGGGAGTACGAACAAAGAGTGAAGCCGTGGCTTCAATCCGACAACGAACTGACTTCCGATTGTATCACCTTTGGAATCCTCAACTCGTGGTGGAGAAGGATGATCAGCTTCCGCTTACCATCGTCTACAAGTCTAGCCAAGGGGTAATATTCCATTGGCCTATCAAAACAATTGGGCATATCGATAAGTTTAACAAGTAAGTTCTGAGAAATGTTACTCTGCCATCGTTAAAGTTGTAGTATTGACGACTTTTTAGAGTAACAATAAGCAATAAAATTAATTTTTCAACTGAATGATTCTTAACTTATGTTGTTTTAGATTCATGGTAGACTTCTACTTTGTCGAAACACACGGCCCTACTTTCAAAGACCTGACCAACCTTGTGGACTGCTACGAAACCAAACAGTACTGCGACAGCGGAGAAGTGGATGTATTCAGATGCAATAAAACTGATTAAAATTACAATTTATACATGTCATTGGGAGTAATATGCTGTTGTTGAATAAACGTGCACAAGGTTAACATAGATTAGTTCTTGGTGACTACAACTTCGTTCTTGACTTCAGGTTCGACGTGGTTCAACTTGTTGTGGTCAAAGGTCGAGGCCTCGCTCTTGACCTTTTCACGAACGTATTCTGAAAATGCAATATGTTATAATTTGATATGATCTATATTTAAGTAAAGTGAGAGCAATTTTAAAAACTTAATAAAAGTTACCTACCATCAGCATCAGGAATATGCTCCTTGACAACCGGCTCGACATGTTTCAACTTGTTGTGGTCGAAATCAGCGGCCAATTGAGGAGTTTTTTCTTTCAGAATGTCTTCTTCAGAAGGCAATGCCACTTTCTCTTGAGTCTCGACCTTGTTCAACTTGGATTCATCAAAGCCTTCGATGTCCTTCTTCAAGTCGTCGTGTTGTCTTTCTTGTTGAATTTCTAAAAAACATTTTTTATGCTATTAAAATGCAAATTTACTTTTACGAACCTTCTTTTTTAATTTGTTTGCTATATTTTACATCAATGTAACATACCTTCTTTAGTAGGAAGAACACCTTTCTCGACAGTCTGGACTGGCCGAAGGTTATGTTGCTTGGCCACGTCGGCCTTGATTTCCTCACTTAGCTTTGGGGTTTCCGAAGTCATTCTTCAATGCTAACTTATCTAAACAGTAGAATAAAGTAGAAAACAGCAAGTACGTGTAAGTTTGGTATAAACAAAGGCCCAGTGAATCACGCAATACACAATATAAGACTACACGATATACTCCCGCTTAAATGATTCACCGCCCTATTAAGATATACTCTGCGCATTTCCCTTTCTGCCCCATCTTCTCCTCCCCTCTGACCTGACTGACCTTCTCCTCTCGATCCTCGTTTTTATTCTCAAAACGATGAATAATCGGCTTCCATCGCCTTCTTAAAGTTGTTTTTCTCCATTTTTTGGAGGCATAATTAGCAGACAGATCTGTGAAGCCACCCTATGCATTACAACAAACAAGTCATTTTTGAATCATCAGCTGAGTCACCACAACCTTATCAACAACGTTCCAAAAAATAATAAAATATGTAACTAGAATGACTTTCATTCCAATTGAAAAAATAACGGAAAATTGCAAATATTAACTTAAAAGTAAAGGTGTAAGCAATGATAAAATTGCAAGACATTATTACGGTAGGTTTATTTGTTTATTGTTTATTCGAAAAATGGGTAATTTTGTTCGTATAAAATATTTATTCTCAAGCTGCGCCCTAAAAATAATATATTTTCGCAATATTTTAGATTTTTGATAAACAAATACAGGAAATACAGTAAAGGATACTTTATACGTCGTATTTTAGAACTCAGTCACAATGTCTGAAGCAAGGTAGTTTTATATTTTATTTCGTTTTATTTTGATTTTTAGATTGAGGAACGAAGATTTCCGTAAATTGCTGGAAACTCCATCAGTAAGGACGAGCGACAAGACACTTGGTGCAAATACAAAACCCGCAGCGCTTCCAGCTGCAGGTTTCACACATAAGCAAGGACAAAATGCAGAAAAACAGAAGAAAAAGAAGTTCAACAAGTTCAAACCAAATAAAGATGCCAAAGAGAAGACGGAAATAGACGAATTGGCTGAAGAAAGTGAGCAAAGGCTCAACGAGATCATGAATAAGTACAGAGACAGGGCTGCTGAAAGACGTAAAGGCGATGGTGGAGGTTTGAATGTTGATATCAGATCGACAATCAGTGGCATTAGGGGAGGTGATGGTGATTTAGATGAACGAGAACGAAAGAAACAAGAAATTGATGTCAGTCATTTATTTTTACTCTTTTTTGTTGTAATTTTTATATGATTTTAATATGAAATCTATGTTTAGGAGTCGAAATACCTTGGAGGCGATATTGAACATACTCATTTAGTCAAAGGATTGGATTACTCTTTACTGAAGAAAGCACGGAGCGAAATACTTTTAAAACCAAAAGAAGAAGTGGAAGATGAGTTTGTGAAAGAAACGTTTCAGGTAATTTTATAACCAACACACAGTTTACGTGTTTAGAATCCGATAGCCAGGTCTAACTTGATAAAGAAGCTAGCCAGAACCAAGTTTGCTGAAGATGTCTGCAAAGTGTTGTTTGAACCGCCGTTGACCAAGAAGAACGAGCTTTTCCAAAAAGGAAGAATGGCTTATGTAGTGGATCTGGAAGAAGAACAACAGAATGATGTTCCAGTCACATTACTGAGGTCTACTGTAGAAGTAGTCAACGACAAGGCAGAACAAAACATTAACGTCAACAATATCATTATAAATGTATGTTTCAATTTTTTTGGGTATAAAGCTATTGAATTGAATGTTGTTGTACATAAATATATCACCTAAGTAACGTTTTTCAGAAGTTAACAGATGTGTTGTCATACCTACGTTCTGATGGTAAGAAAAGAAAGAAGGAAAAAGAAAAGGAAGTTGAGCGGCCGCAACCAAAGGGTCGAGAAACAGCTAAAGACATTAATATATACGACGATATTGGTGAATACGTTTTTGACAAATCATCTAGAAGTAGACGAGACGATAGAGATCGCAGAGATCGTGAAGATGATAGAAGAAGAGATTCACGAAAGGATAGACACAGAAGTGATCGTGATTACGATAGGAGAGGTAATGATGACAGAAGGGACCGTGATCGGGATGACCGGAGGAATAGGGACACGGAGAAACGGTAGGATATTGTTTTACGATAAGATTGCCAATTTATTCTTTAATTTATCTCAACGTTTATGAATCTAAAAATTAGTTTTTTACAGTCAAAGGAGTCCAAAACCTGATTCGAAGGCTACGACAGAAAGGAATCCATTCCCGTCTTTACCAGGCTGGCAGAATTCTGTAGCCGAGGTGACAGCAGAAGCTCCAAAGCCAAAGAAAAGTCGTCTAGATGAAGAAGAAGATGACGCTTATGGAGAATTGTTTCCAAATGCTGGAAATTACTTTGGCGCGTTGGGAGAAGACAGTGATGAAGAAGATCTTTCCAAAATGGATACGGTAAGATTTTTTTTTATTTTTACAATTTATCATATTTAAAATTTATTTGTAAAATTAAGGCTGCAATAGGAGTTTGGTCAGGTCACAAAATTGTTTTAAAAAATAAGAAAATATGATTTAAAACCTTATTTTAGGGTAACAAGAAGGGTCCGGTGAAGCGTTGGGACTTTGAGAGCCAAGAAGACTACGAAAAGTACCAGAGTGGTCGAGAAGCATTGCCAAAGGCCGTCTTCCAGTACGGAGTCAAGACAAATGCGAATCGAAAGACGCGGCGGACGATGGCGGAGAAGGAGGACAAGCGCGTGGATCGCGAGCTTGAGAAGATCGAGAAAATCTGGGAAGAGCGACGGAAAAACAAGAATTGAATAATGTTTATTTTAATAAAAGGAGACGTTCCACAACATCCGGGTCAACAACTTTCCCTTCCCAATTGGAGCATGCACATTAAGAGCAACACCCTTGATCTTGCTTTAATTGCAGCATGCTTAGAAACTGGCACATTGTGCCGCGTATAAATAGCGCTAATGACACGCTGTTTTTGTTATTCATATTGTTACAGTATTCCTTGCAACATTGCGAGAACGTTGCTTACATATTTAGCTTTATCGTGGAGACTTATATTATTTTTGAAGTCTAATCAACAATATTTTGCCTAATGCGGTATCTTGTACTGTTGCTAACTGTAACAGTGCTATGTGATGCTTGTGGCTTTGGTATGCTTGGCGGAGGAGGTGGTTGTGGCGGAGGAGGATGTGGGGGCGGTTGTGGAAGAAAGAAGCGATCGGTAAGTTTAATTTTTTCGCAATGTACTCACTTCGTTTTCAAAATAAAAAAATGAAGAGTTGAATAAAAACTGTTTGGTCCAATGGGACGAAACACTGCGTAACCAATCTGACATTCAAACATCATTTGGATTTTTTTAGGTATTAGAACCTCAACTCAAAACAGAATTGTCATCCGAATGTCCTCAATCAGCATGGAAGGCTGTTATGGACAGAAACATGTCAGAAGACCTTGATTCCACGAAGATTGCGATTCAGAGTGAACTGTACCGGCAGTATGAGTCCAAGTTTATTGTCATTTGTGGCGACAAATCAATCAAAAGTTCTCAAAGATTTGCAAGTAGTGGAGAAGGTTACTGTGCATCTGGAAATGATAAGGTTTATTGTATGGCGATACTCATGTTGGGTTAGACTTTATTAAAATAATAAATACATTTAATATTTTTTTAAACAGTAAACACACAAATGGGTATCTTTATGTTGTTATTGAACTTACTTTGTTTTTAAAATTAAAATATACAGCTTATCTTAATGCTGACAATGGGCCGGGCTTATTTTATTATTGAGCCCATTGAATTTAAAAATCGGAAGCAGAAAAAGTTTTTGGAAATTAAATATTCGCGAAATTCCATTGAAACTAACAAAAGTCTTCGGACTAATGCATGTAATGAAACAGTCTGGGTATGAAAGGAAGTTGTTTCAACAACGTTCCATTATCATATTCACACTTTGGTACTGTAGCGGGAGGAACCGCTATTAGTCATGGTTTTTGTTTTAAAGTTCAGTTGAATATATTCACAAATTTGTCAGAAATTGATCAGAAACCGGCTGTAATCAGCTTCCAAATTGAATATTTTGACAGATTACTTCAAGGTACTGAATCTTTTACATATATTATTTTTATTTTTACCTTGTAAAATAATTCTTGATCATTATTTCAAAGGTATGTGCTTACTTTTAATAATTAAAATGAAGGTAAGTAGTGATGAGTGAGTTACCGTGTGTATTTGACGGCTATAATCGGATGAATTTATGGGTTTGCGCGGTTCTCTGGCCTTCTTCTCCGTTCTGATCCCACTGTTTGGTCTCTCTCAGTGCGATTCCCTTTTTTCGAAATAATTTGAAAAAAGATTGGACGGCTGTATAGCGGGTATTGAATGAAGGCCATTGCCCTTTCATTTGCAGCCAGCTCATGGACGAGGTACCCGTGAGAAGGGCGGTGGCGTCTGCCGAAGACAGTCACCATGTCAAGTTCAACATTGGCATGAGTGCTGATAAGCTGGACGATGCCAGTCTCGAGAGTGAGCGGCTTCTGTCTCCAGTTCGCAAGACTTCGCGGAGGTTCCTCGGGAGTTCTCGGAACACCTCGTTGTCTTCCTTATCAGAAATGTCACATACGGAAGACCTGGAGCCTCTGATCAACGTTCGGCCAGACAGTGACGTAAGTTTTGGCGATTTGTAGCGGGTCAGAATCCTATCTTTATCGAACTTTTATTCTTTTTTAGTCGATTTTAATTGTTTTTTTACGAAAACGAAGTCTTTGTCGGAAATTAGGATCTTTGCTCACAAATTTAGACCTTTCTTTGTAACGGCCTGATCTTTGAGTTTAATGACAAAACTTTTGAAGATTCTGGTCGAACTCTACGATCTGAAGTTGAAAGATTCTTGCTCAAAGAACGGAGTTTGGGAGGAAACGGCACGATGGATCAAGTACGAAGAGGACGTTGAGGGTGTGGATCATAGATGGGGACAACCTCACGTCGCTTTTTTGTCGTTCCACGCGTTGCTGCAGTTGCGGAAGTGTATTGAAAAAGGTATGCAAATTAATAATTTATAAATTTTTTTTGAAACTGATTGTTTAAGATACTGTAACAAAGCCTTTGATAATATTTTTTATGAGTATTTTTACCTTTGATCTTTAAATAATGAATCTGCAATAATTTATTTTAGGAACGCTGATCTTGGATGTGACAATAGATGGATTCCCGCAATTATGCGACATTATTGCTAAAGCTGTGGTAGAGGAAGGTCATTGTGCCGTCAGTGCCGACAAAATCAAAGAAATGTTGTTTTTGCAGCAAAGGTATACTGTAATATCCATAAACTTCAATTTTCAAAATGAAATTTTCTACAGTCACAATGAAATTTTTAATTTGAATCTAAACACACATCATCTCTCATATATTACGAAAGGGAAAAACTACAATATAAATGCCACTTTTTAGCCGAGTTCGAACCAGAAGACCGTCCAGAATCTCCGTAGCAGCCAGCTTCTTCGACTCCAACAAAAAACCTACTCGGAGCTGTTCAGCTGTGCCTCTGAATCGTCGAAGTTCGGACTATCCAATACATAACAAGTCTAGTCTAAATACAGTAGGAAGGCCCGTCTACGCTGCAATTACAGAAGCCGATGACGGTGACAATAGACAATTGTTTGATCTTGTGGGCGACAGGTAACTTTACTATATTAACACTGAAGGAAATTGAAAAACTACTTACTTTAAGCAAAACTTTCAATAATTGTTATTGACTAGCTACTGCAATATTCACTTATAAACAGATAAACAACCTAATAAATAATATTAAAGTAACACTTCGCCGAACAACAAAAGAAAATGGTCGACACAGTACTCTCGGAAACGGTCGATATCTCACATGGTCAGCTCAACCTTCCACGAGTATGATGCTATATATAGTCCTTCATGTAACGTACTTGTTTTAGGCTAAAACGAGTACAATCCAAAGACGATCCTTTCGATTACTTCAGAGAAGATATGGTACTCAAGAGGTTACCATTGAACACAGAGTCTGCTCAGGTAAAGGATGTTCCTTCTGAATTACTAGTAGTACTACTGTAAAGTCAGAGAAGTGTTATCAATAACTTTTCAGGTATTTGTTGGATCAGTGCCAGAAATGAAGCGTGTCCGATTCGTGATGGTACGCTTCCACAATCCCCAATACATAAACGAGATCGTCGACCATAACCTTCCAGTCAAGTTTGTGTTTATCATATTGGGCCCATCCCTGGTTGACCTATCGTACCATGAGCTGGGGAGAGCGCTGTGCACGTTGATGGCTAACAAGGTAAGACAACGATAACTAAGGTTTCAAGAATGCCATAATATAGGGAAATGACAGGTGAATCAGTAAGGTATCATTGAAATAACATGTTTTCTTCTGACCTTTAAAAATATAATTACATTAGCAAAAGCAAAAATAATCTTTAAAGATAGTGATAAGAAAAGAAAGCGATACGGTCAAAAGCTAAGGTAAACGCCTACGTCAAAAATGGGAAGAATATGAACATCAATCATAAGTTACTTTCTAAAGATCGCTTAAGCGATGCTTTCACTCCTTGCGCGATTGTTTTGTTTAGCGTGTTCGTACTGACGTCTGAACACCGTCTTCAAAGCAAATAAATCGGGGATCTTCTTCCGGATGTAGATCTCCTTTTTTGTTTCACCAGACCTCGTTATGGTTCACAAGATCGTAATAATGTCTGGAGATCAGATAACGTCTACTCCGTATTTCAGGCGACTTTACTTGTTATTGATTAGCTACGCACTTCTGTACTGACAACAATATAACCTTAACTTTACTAAATATTTTTTAAATTTCAAGACGTTGTTAAGGTTGTCTTTACTTTTTTAAAATTTCTTTGTCCCGGTAAAACACTAAGCCAAAAAGGCGGGAAACTCAAAAAAGAACAATAATGATGTTTAGATTAAGATTGTATGCTCTTTTCGATCAAATGTACATAAAACAATATCATATACGTAATGGGAGACCATAAAATTATAAACCTCGAACGGACTTTGGAGCAACTTTAAAATTTTTGATCTCAACAATTTTTAAAATTCTTGTTTAAAAATAACTTTCACGCTTCAGGGACAGCCGAGTGTTGTTCTAGATCATTAACTGTTTGAGTGCGACAAGTGGTCACTACTCTAAGCATTTCTGTCATTGTGCGCGCATTTCAATTTTTCGAAATAATTATTTTCGAATTTTTAAAACACGTAAAAAAACTTATTTACCTGTGGTTGATGCCAGAATGAAATCATTCGAAGAATCAAGACCCAAAAATCATTTTGCAAAGCATTTGTTTGGAAATTTGCTTCTTCACGTGAATTTCATCATTTTCCCGCCTTTTGTCGCGATATGCCATTATTGATAGTTTGTAAATGTGAAAAATAATTAAAAATTCTTTGCCAAATTCTCTTACACAATCTCTTACAAACCTTGCAGGACTTCAACGGCTTTGCCTACAGTGCCATTTGTCGTGGACAGCTGATTCGGGCCATCGACAACTTCTTGGACGAATCGGTGGTGATCCCACCGGGCGAGGTGAGGTTTATCTTGACTTTCATCGTGTAATTACAGGTCGATTCGAAGCGCTTGTTGTCGGGAAATGAAATAAAGAAGGCCTTAAAGCGCCGACTGCATGAGATCGAAATGACTCGACATAAGGGTATGTTATGTTACATTATTGTTTTGACTCATTGGCTAGCCACTATTACTCTTACGTTATGGTTTTGTAGTTTCAGAGAACAGGGTAATTGGGGTTACAGTAATTTGGATATGTTTTTAGAATTGAAAATCTACTTTTTCGATGTTTTTAAATGTTTTGGGTACAAATTTGAGGAAGATTAAAAATGAAGCGGAGCTTTTACATTTGACTTCATTCTACTTACTTTTAGGTTAAAATTGTAAAGTGTAATACACATTAAACTAACTCTAAGTTCTGCTTTTTAGTAGAGAGTATGGAGCAGAAACAAAAGGTTCCAGAAGCGGGAACTTCAAAAGATTACCGCTTCTTCAATGGAATGATCAACGACATAGCCAACAGATTCCCCAAATATGGATCTGACTTTACTGATGCTCTCAATTTTCAATGTTTAACTAGTGTTGTATTTATGTTTTTTGCGAGTTTTGCGCCGGCAATCACTTTCGGCGGACTTTTAGGTATGTTTTAGTTATTTTAGGTAACATTTTAACAATTTTTGATGATTTTAGGTATAATTTAGATTATGGGTTAAGGTTTTAACTTTAATTTGTATCTTTTTAGGTAAATATACTAACGAAAAAATTGGAATGATAGAAACGTTATTCGCACAATGTATATGTGGTATAATATGGGGCCTCTTCTCGGCACAGCCTTTGATGATTATGAGTGCCACGGGTCCTGTACTTATATTTGAAGCCAGCTTGTATATTGTAAGTTTAAAAGCTTTATATGTAAATTGATTTTCGAATATTTTGTGGAAATTTGTATTACCTTCGTCTCAATGTAATTATTACGTTGCTCATAAAGTAAGGAAAAAGTTATTTCTTAAAGCATTTTTAGTTAAACTATGTTATAATTTGTCATCAGTACCCTTTTCAGTTTTGTGAATCCTTGAATTTCGATTTTATGGTTATTCGTTTGTATGCCGGGATATGGGTTTTGGTCATCGCGATAGTTACTGTAGCTCTGGACGGCTCTCGGTTACTGGCGTTTGTTACTCGATTCACCGAAGATATCTTTGCAACCCTAATATCTGCAATCTTCATAGCTGAAAGCATCGAATTTGTATACCATGTAGGTTTGTAAATGGTACTTGTAGCTTGAGTTGGTGCTGCTGTACAAAGAATTTTTAAAATGTTTTGACAAAGAATTTACTGATAAAAAATATATTATTTTATGTGGGTGGGGATGTTGTTTTAACTTTCTTATTGTTCAAAGTTCAGACGTTTCAAGAGAATCCGGTAGAGAACTTTGACTACTACGAGACGATCCATTCTCACTGTAATTTAACATTAAATGTTCACAATGACACAGCCGAAGCTATCATGTCATCTTCAGCCGAGTCTTATCCATGTACGATGGCCGAGCCAAACACTGCTCTACTTACAGCTATTATCATGTTTGGTACTTTTGTACTAGCTATTTTGTTCAAAAAGTTGAGGGAGAGCTTCTACTTGGGCAGACATGTAAGGTTTTACATCGAATTCAGTGATATAATTTCTAAATAAAGTTAGAGGGATTACTTATTCATAGTACTTGTAGATGTTGTATATATTGTAACATAACGATGGTTTTTTTATGCCACTAATATTTTACAATTTCAGCTTCGGAGAGCCATTGGAGACTTCGGAGTGCTAATATCCATAGCTATCGTAGCCTTTCTGGTTCATGTGTCTGTGCCTGATCCTTATATTCAGGTAAGTTAACAGTTTAGGTGTAAAATCAAAACTGTAAAAACAAGATTTTCAAAAATACAACTATAAAATGATGTAACTGGTATATGTAATAATTTATCGATATGACATTATCCGGTTTCAGCGACTAGACATGCCCGACCACATTAACTTCACAAACCCGGAGAACCGTGGCCACGGTCTTATCATAGATGGTACTCTGACCAAGGACAACTTCCAAGGAGTCTTCGTATCTTTCATCGCAGCGATGTTGGTTTTTATATTGTTGTTTGTTGAAACGGAAATCACTGAGTAAGTCGATTTGTCACTTTCATAGGTCATGGGCCCATGGCATGCATGGGTCAAGAATGTTGGTTTTGTGGAGCAGTTTTGTTTTTTAAATTTATTTTACGATAGTTTACTAAATTTTTTTGTAGCCAAAGATATTATCGTATGTTTTCAGGCTTTTGCTGTCGAGGAAAGAACGAGGCTGTGTGAAGGGCAATGGAATGAACTGGGACCTAGTACTAATAGGCGTATGTGCACTATTATGTTCTGTGTTCGGGCTGCCTTGGATGTGTGCGGCTGCTGTACAATCATTGGCTCACTGTTCGTCATTAACAGTCACCAAGAAGAAGGCTCCTGGAGCTAGATTAGGTGAGGCATCAATATATTTTAATTATTATATGTGGGTTGATTGTTAAGACGATCTTTAGAATTGTGTTATATTTTATTCATACTTAATATTACGATTTTTCAGAAGTGGACCATGTGATAGAACAACGAGTCACCACAATAGGCGTGTCTCTTCTGATCGGAGCCATAGCCTTTGCTGGATCGTATCTTCGGCTTCCGTTGGCTTCACTATTTGGAGTTTTCCTGTACCTCGGCGTGATGAACATGTGCGGAGTCCAACTAATACAGAGGGTAGTACTGTTCTTCATACCCGAGAAGTACCTTCCAGTAACCCCTTATACGGAACAAGTCGGAATCTGGAGGATGCATCTGTTCACTTGGATCCAAATAATATGTCTGTCATTCATTTACATGGTAAAACATTACAAGAAGACAGCACTGGCCTTCCCCTTCGTTCTTATGTTGTTCATCATGTTTAGAGAACTTGTACTACCTAAAGTGTTCACTGACAAAGAGCTCAAAGCTGTAAGTTTTTGAAAAAAAGTTGGTTTAAGGCAATGTATAGCTAAACAGATATGTGGTTTAAGACTAAAATAGGGTAAAGCTAAAAGTGGCCTAAAACTTGAAGCTCAAAGGGTTTTTATAACCCAAAGAAGCTTGATCTTATTCATCCTTTCATAAAGAAGCGTACAAAAAACTTTAATACCTATTTTTACAGCTGGACGGAGAAGAAGGCGAAGATGAGGAATGGATGGATAAAGACTTTTACGAGAATGCGCCCATTCCGGTATAACACAACAACTACGAGTGATATAACCTGAACTAGACTTTTTTGTACATACTAAGACTATCTTGAATAAAATGTATTTATTTGACAATTCCTGGCTAGTAAAAGGTTTTATTCATGTTCAAGTATAATTTATTACCTAAATATTATAATTTTGAAAGATTAATAAGGCAATCTAGTAAAATATACTTGTTAGTACCTTCAACTATATAAAACAACCTTGAAAACTAATATTTATTCATGCCAATACAATCAAACATGGATAAACTTATGTATTCGACCAACTCATGCTTTGACGGTCTCATTCTTCGAGGCTGGAGCGGCTTTTGGAGCCGTAGTTGGAGGAGCATACAATCCGGCATCAGGAAGCGCGTAAAGACGTTGAATTTCAAAGACTAGGCCACACAACACAATATATTGCAACATTATGCAAGAAGAATGTCAATGAACCGACTGTAACACGAAACGGATCCAAAATGAATTAATTTTCAAAACTATATTCTCCTACAGAATGCATTTTAAAACCTACTTTCATTCACTAAATTATTTTTTTTTGGTTTCTTCTAAAAAACGTTCGTTTTTCTCCATTCTCAAGAAAAAAGTTTCAAAAGCCGAAGAAAATATTATTTTTGTCAAAATTCTGGAAACTGTGTGGCAGAGCGCCAACCAACATACAGGGTGCGCGCAATGTTCTGTTACACGGTTTTTTAATCAAATATTTTTTTAACAACAAATATAACTAAAACAACAACTAACAATAGTAACATATAGTACTAGTTATAACATAGTCAATCGGTTTCGATGTATCCCCCCCTTTGCGGCTTGGCACAAGCGCAAACGCTTCAAAAAGTTTTTAGCGATGGGCCGCAGTACCTCCGGTGACAGTTTGTCCCACTCTTCGATCAATGCTTGTTTCAAAGACTCCAAAGTTTGGTGTCTTCTACAACACACCCTAGCCTCCAATATCGACCACACACTGTAATCCATAGGATTGGGATCGGGATAATATGGAGGCTATTCAGCAGATGCAATGAAGCCAGGGAAATGGGTTCAACACCACTCTTGCGTTGCTTTTACTTCATGGGCCGGTGCAGAGTCTTGCTGAAAGATCCATGCGGCACCTTTGAAGCTTCTGAGCCCAAGGGAGTACCACAGCTTCCAAAATGCCCCTTTGATACGCTTCTTTGTTGATCTTCACGCCTTCATCGACAAAAATCGAAGTAATCTTGTCTGAAGCACAGATACCGGCCCAAACTATAATGCCCCGAGGGTGTTGACGACTTGCCACGTTGGCTTCAGCTTTAGGAGGCTCTGTTGAGTATTATCTGTCATTTTAGGGATTGTAGACCTCTGTAAAAAATAAATATCTTCTCATCAGTGAAAAGAATTCGTTCATATTTTTGACCAGCGGCCCGCTGGTGAAGCAGTTTACATCTTCTGAAACGTACCGCCTTGTTTTCTTCAATTAGCTTCTGAAATTTTTTGAGTTTGTACGTCTTCATCTTAAGTTTCTTTCCCACTATGCGCCCTAAAGTAGTTTCTTTGATTCCCGTCCCCCGGGCCATTTTTCGTACTGGGGCCCGTGGATTTCGCTTGAAGCGCTTCTTGATCATCTGACGATTGGCCACGGTGTTAACAGATGCTGGAGGCCCACTTCTGGGTCTGTCACGGTCATGTCTAAGCTCTTCGAAACGTTTTACGGCTCTGTGGACTGTCATTCTTAAAATATTCAACAATTTCGCGACTTTGGAGTTACTTTTTCCTTCATTATATAATTTGATGACTATAGCCCTCATGTTTGACATCTAAATACAGACAGACGGCAGACTATGAAGACTTAACTTTTATGATTATACAATAAAAAAATCACGGAGAATAAGACAAAATAAACAATTTTAAATAATCTAACCGCAACATATAGAAAAAGACCGGTAAAGTTTTGTAACAGAACATTGCGCGCACCCTGTATTGGAATTCAGTTTTTCGACAATTTTCTGTCGCAAATTCGTGTTTTTGTTCGGTAAATTTGGAAAAAAGATTTGCAGGTCAGGAGGTCGGGAATGGAATGGAACTGCGCGTCTTTTTTGTAAAGGAAGAGAGACTTCCACGTCTGAAGACTTCTATAATATAACACGATATCGACTTTGTAAAGTGATTGCACATTATTTATTCAACTGTTCCATGTTTCTTCTCATTAGTTTCGTCGCCACGCTGTTTATCTTTGACATACGTGGCCATTTTGTTCAATTTTTTCGCGGTTTTTCTCGTCATAAACATGTACAATATGTCTTTGTTCAAAAATGTGTTACCTCTTTAATTTTAGTTTTATTCGTTGAATTTCTGTGTTTTTTTACTGAAATATTTCGTTTGTTTTTAGGTAACAAACTTGTATAATACAGTTTTTTTAGGATATAATATGTTTAATAATCTCTTCTTGTGGTTCATAACAATATCATGGCTTTCGGTTTATGTTACTGGCAATGGCATTACTCAGCTTTCTATGGCCAATTTGGAATCAACGTTGAATGGATCTAAAGTATGTTTTAAAAGTTTTTGTTAGGTATTTAGACATCGAAAAAATTTTAAAAAAAGAGTGATGTACTATATTGTTATCAGAATAATTTATTTGTGGATAAAAAATGCACTTTTCTTCAAAACAATATAATATGATATGTAAATCATAGAAAAATATTATTTTAGGTAGTGTTCGTAGCTTTCTGTGCTGACTGGTGTCCATTCAGCCGACGCTTAAAGCCAATCTTTGAAGAAGCTGCTAACACTTGGCATAGAGAGAATCCTCAAAGTAGTGTAACATGGGCTTTAGTAGATAGTGTAGCTCAAGCAGATGTGGCTGATAAGTATTCGGTCTCAAAGTATCCAACGATGAAGATATTTGTCAATGGAGAATTGGTTTTGAAGGAATTTAGGTATGTTTTTGCCGTAATGTTTATGTTGTTTCATAACAATGTCCAGTATTTTTTTGGTTTCAGAGGTTCAAGATCGGTAGAGGCACTGTCAGCTTTTGTAAAGCAACATCTGGAGACAAGTATTCACGAGTTTAGGTCTTTGGAGCAGCTCAACAATGAGTTAGACAAAGGAAAACGAAATGTGATTGGTTACTTCCAGTGCAGAGATTGTGTAGAGTACAAGAACTTCCAGGTGTGTTATTTATATTTTCTATTTTTTAATTTTTAGGTATGTAGATATGCTCAATATATCAATTTTCGACATTTTCAGAAAGCAGCAGCCTTGTACAAAGATGATTGTGGCTTCTGGACCGCCAACACCGACTTTGCTAAGACTGTAGCAGGTCACTCTTTGAAGTTTAGAGATTCCTCATCAGATGGCGAGATTCAGTTCAGTGGAAACTTTGGAGACTTCAAGTTTGTCAAAGACTGGATTCAAGATAAGTGCATCCCATTAGTGAGGGAAGTGACATTTGAGAATGTTGAAGAACTGACAGAAGAAGGTCTGCCATTCTTGATCTACTTCAGAGATCCGGAGAAGAAGGACCACGACAAAGACTTTGTTGATGTGGTAGGTAGATTTTATTAATTTAAAATCATATTTTATGGGTTTTCGAAGTTTAAATTAAAAAAAGGTATTTTGGCTTAAAAGTCATAATGTGGTTTTAAACTAAAAACGTTTGACTGTGATAATATTATACTTTTTATTATGTTAGTTACGTTCTTCGTACTGAATATCATTTTTTAATTATATTAAAATTTGTGATTTTAGGTAACACGTGAGATCCCGGACTCTCGAATCGTTGTGAACGCTTTACTGGCCGATGGCAAGGTGTTTGCTCATCCCCTGAAGCATCTTGGAAAGACCGCGAAAGACTTGCCGGTGCTGGCCATCGACTCTTTCCAACACATGTTCCTCTTTTCCAATATGGCCGAGCTTAATGTGCCCGGAAAGCTCAGACAGGTAACAAAAATAATTCTCGTTCATCACGCTATAGTAACATCTCATTGGCGTCGTTTGCACGAATACATAACGCACTCATGTAGTGTTTAGAAATGATCACATAGTGTTTAAGAAGAACAATGTTAAGGAAGCTAATGATGTATTAAAAGCTATTATTGTAGTATGTTGTAATTAAGTTGTTAGAGCTCGTTTTGTCAATGAAATTAATGACTAGTGCTGTTAAAGGCATAAATAACGACTTTTTTCAGTTCATCGAAGATCTCCAAAGCGGCAAACTGCACAAAGAATTCCATGAAACCCTCGACCAGCGTGTAGCCGAACTCCAGAAGACCCTGGAGCAACAACAGATTGAAGGCGAGGCCAAGCCCCCAGGCCAGATCCCAATCGACACCACGTTGAAACCGTCTGTCTTTAAGGAACTCAAGCCCTCTGGCAAACGCTATTCTCTGCTTCAGAAGACAGAGCTGTAAACATACCATATCAGATCGAATACGAGTACAATTCTATTTATTTTGTTGTTGTAGGCACTTTTAACCGTTTTGTGATATCGAATATAAGAAGCTAACATTACTAGGCATACCTCTTACTATTACAATAATTGCATTATGCCACTTTGAGATTTACGGTACTGGTTTGGTCGGAAAGTAAATAGAAGATTAAAAAAATATATCAGAAATAGTTCTACGCATTTCTGGACCAAACTGGTAATTTGTTTGAAGCATTACTGTAACTTGCGTTTATGTCGTACTGTAATGTTTGAGTATTACGGTAACTTTTTTATATTGGGCTGTAATTCTTATGTATCACGGTAAATTAGTTTACTGTAGTCTTTAAGTGTTACGGTAACTTTTGATACGGTAATTCTTAAGTATTATAGTAAATCTTATGTATTTTACTGTAATGCTTGCATATTACAATAACTTTATTTAAAATTATTGTGGTAAAGTTTAAGTTGCATTAAATAGTACATGATAGCGTGGAATAGTTGATGGAAACAAGTAAATCGCGGCTTTAAAATTCATACGAAACTTTTGAATGTATATAGATTTGGCATAGGCAACTTTAGTTTGTTTTAATCGAGCTTTACATACAGCTACACCATGGTAAGTATTGTTAGAGTTTTTATAGCAGGGTTAATTGTAGTTTACAGAGGCTTATCTTACTCTCAGTAAAAGTAAAACTTTACTATTAAAAGTTACTGTACGACAATTACAAGTTTATTAATACTGTTACAGTACTGGTAAACATTAATTAAGTAATGAGGTATTACTGTATTTTTGTTGCTTACTGTAACCTTTATAGCTGGGCTTTCTACATGCTTGTCTTGAAAGCATGGTCATACGGTACAATGGAGCCGATGTCTACAAACAAGTACTGTAAGTTACCGTCTAACCTTTTCAATAGTCATTTCAGGAAAACGGCTGGATACGACAGTGAGGTAGAATGGGATACACGACTGGTATACCCTGATAACGAGACATACCGTCTCTTCAGAGCTCTGGGTACGGTATTGGGGCAGACTTCGGAAGAGGTGTGGGAGAACTTTGGAGTTTGGATGTGTATCTGGGTGGTGGAGAACGGATGGGAGAAGTTCTTGAACTGCATTGCTAACGACTTGCACGAGTTTCTGGATAATCTGTCATCGATGCACTTCTTCATCGACCAAATCGCATTCCAAGCAGAGATGAGGGGTCCCAGCTTTAAATGCGAGGCCAAGGCTGACGGGTCACTTAGGTAAGAAGCTAACGCAATATAAGTAGGATTACAAAATTTGATAATTTTAAACTATTTACAACCTTTATGCATTACATTAACTACTGTATTTTAGATTGCACTACTACTCAGTACGAAAAGGCTTGTTTCCCCTAGCTAAAGGAATGGTAAAACAAGCTGCGCGTACTTTATTCGGAGTAGAAGTGTCTATTGTAGTATCGGAACGATCGCAAGAACGACGGAACGACGTCCTCACAGAGCACGTGGTGTTTACTTTGGAGTCGGCAGATGATGGAATGCCTTTGGCCAAGCCCAATTCTTACCGCAATGTTCTACTGCCAAAAGACAGTGTACCCAAACCGTTGGCCATGAGTGTAGCCTGCTTCTGTCGTATCTTCCCTACCCACGTATGCTTCAACAAGGCCCTTATCATTGAACATTGTGGAGACTTCATCCTCAAAGAGTTCTCTGTCGCCAAGAGAAGGATGACCAAGATCAGTGATCTGCTACAGTTGGTACAGCCAGACGACATTCCGATGACATTCAAAGCCATATTGACTTATCTCAATTCTTTGTTCATCTTTCAATTCAAGGAAAGTATGGCTAGGAATGAGAACAGTAAAAGCGGCAAGAAAGGGTTCTTCTCTTTGAAAGGTAAATTGCGTGGTAAAGATGTTTACATTTTCCTACAAGTTATTATAATGGAACATACTTTAGTTCATGCTGATTTATAGACATTTTTTACTATAAAATATCACCATTCTGCTAAATATACATACGTTTTCAGGTCAGATGATATTAGTGAACAATGGAAACAGTTTACTGTACCTGAACTCTCCTCATGTCATCAACCCGAAGGCCCTTTTGGACTCCAACTTGTACTTAAATGACATGCAACGTCACGATGCCACTCGAGATTTGATCATGTTGAATCAGACTAGGATCACTCAACAGGAAATCAAGTAACTTTATCTATGTATGATTCACAATAATATAACTTTACAGTAAGAAGTTGGAAGAAAGTGCCAAACGACTCAGAAGGCTCTACGAAGAGTTGGACGGTAAAAAGAAGAACATCGACGTGTTACTGTACGAATGTATCCCAAATCCTGTAGCCAATGCTCTACGGAAAGCGGAGAAAGTGAATGCTCGTAAGTTAATGTAACCAAACTTACTGTAGTCGTGTAGTACTCTTGTTTAAATGATAATATTGTGTTTCACAAAGTTATATTAGATACATATACTTATAATAACTACAGTAACATATAATGGTTTTAGAAGAATTCACTGATGTCACCTGTCTATGTTCGGACATGCCATTCTTTTCTGTTATGTCATTACATTGCAGTTCAAATGAGACTGTCTCAATCATGACCGAGGTTTTTGCAAAGTTCGACCGGTTGGTGGAGTTAAATGACGTAAGCGTAACATAATACTTTTAATATGAATTTTGATCTATTCTACTTACTTTTAAACACTGGTACTCTAAAGAACTTTATGTATCACTAAATCGAACATATAGTACCTGAAAGGTATGTTTTAGTGTTTCAAAGTCTACACGATTATGGACAACTACATGGTGATAGGCGGTGCGCCAAAGAAGCAGTCCGACCATGTAGAACGTATCCTCAACTTGGCCATAGGTATGGTGATCGAAGCCAAACAGATCCGTGTGACCGAACAGCTTCTTCCCCTGATCCTCAGAATCGGAATCCACTCCGGATCTGTAGTCGGAGGTATCATCGGTCATCCCAAGATGAGATACTGTGTCTTCTCGGATACGGTAAATGTTTGTAAGAGACTAACACAACATACCGAGCCTGGCAAGATCCTGGTTACAAATGCGGCCAAGTTACTGGCTTTGAAGTCTGTTCACAATAACTTTGTCTTCACTAACCGAGGATATTTGGGTATCGGCAACAATCAAGCGACATGCACCTTCTACTTGGAGAAGAACACCAAGAAGACCGTCTGGGAGATTATCCAGAAACAGAGACGTAAGTCAATTTAAAAGTAAATAACTGTATGTTTGAAAGTTACTGATTTCACATGAAAAAATTTCAAAAACTTTATTTCCAGCTGAAACAGCCTCTTCCAACGGTCACATCGAGTTCGATAACAATGACAGTCTCAACCAATGGAAGTCGTTGGATGGCAGTAAAAAGGCCAAGGTCACATTTTCGCAAACTCAGAATAAGCCTAAACAAAAGATGGACTTGGTGAAGAGGCTTGGCATCTGGAAGGAAGGGGTCGAGTACTCGAAGTTGGAGAAGGAGGAGAACGACTCTGCTGCGTGCAGTATATTGTAGTGGTGCATAGCTCAACAAGGCGTGTATTGCTGGATGAAGTTTACTCTTTTTGTACTACTTAAATTGAAGTTTTCAGAAATATTACTATCTTTTCTGTTGTAAAAAGAAAATTTTTGAGTGATGTCATGTCAACTTTGGACACTTTTTGTAAAAATCATATTGGGTTGCATATTACTATTACCCATCTTACTATTATATCTTACTATACATATTATTATAAATTGAGTTGTACTCTGTGGTCACATCTCCGGATCTCTTTCAATTAGCAAAACCACACGTTAGCCACTTAAGGGAGTGTAATTGGGGAATAAAGCAGTCATTCTCGATCTCGGATTTTAATTTTTAAGTCCGGAATTCGGCTAAAAATTAAATTATTTGCCTTAATTATTCCACGGCAGGAAAATAGACCGTGTCCGTTTATTTGTTCCTTATTGCGCTCCTGGAATGGTAAGTTATCATCGTAGTGTAGTCGTATTTTCAGTTGGGTTACATCCACTTATGTGTCCAGGAAATGGTGATCAAAGAGCGTGGGGCAGCGAGTTACGTGGAGTTACTGTAAGTTAAACTTTTATTGTTATCACTGTTCTTATCCTTATTTTTTGTCTAAAATTGTGTAGACATCCCTTCCGTATATTAAGTCTGATCTCTTTTAATTTTTGAAATTACAGTAAGAAAGCAGGCATTGAAGACGACATCGTATGGAAGGCAAAACAAGTGTATCCAGATGAGTTGACCTTCAGATTGTTCCACGCTCTGGCCACGATCCTCCGCTTGTCTCCAGAACACGGGATGGAGAAGTTCGGGGAATGGATGTTGGAGTACACCATCAACAACCAATGGGACACCTTGCTCAAGTGTTTGGCCGATAATCTCCACGAATTTCTCGACAATCTCAGCCCGATGCACTACTTCATCGACAACGTAGCTTTCCAGCACGATCTTCAAGGTCCTAGCTTCAGATGCGAAGCCAACTCCGACGGATCGCTGAAGTTACATTACTATTCGGAACGAAAGGCCATGTTCCCCATGGTAAAAGGACTTCTAAAGAGAGCTGCTCAGTTGTTGTTTAACCTAGAAGTCACCGTGGTTGTGGTGGAAAGGTTACAGGAGAAGAAAGCCAACGTCATCACCGAACATGTCATCTTCAACATAAACTCTGATGTGTCGCTGGTCAAGCCCGTGTCGCCAGCGTTGTTGGTGTTGTCGAAAAGGCCAAAAGACTTGGTGAGTTGCCTAATTTTGTATTAATAAAATAAGATTATTTTATTTCAAATGCCAAAGTAATTATGGTTTTTGGCTGACTTACAGTAATTGTTTCAGAGGTCCACCATCAGTATAACAGACCTGTGCAACTTGTACCCTTTCCACATGTGCTTCACAAAGCAGATGATCCTTGAGCATTGTGGCCAATTTATTTTTAAAGAATTTAATCTGGCCAACAAAAGAATGGTTAAGTTGTCGGATCTGTTCACATTGACATCACCGGAAGACTTGAGCGTGAGTTTGATTTATATTTTTTGATTATCTGATAAAACACGATAAACTGAGATATACTGCCATGAATAGTGGATATAAAAAGATGACTTTCAGCTGAGTTTCAAAAACATCCTCAACTACTTGAACACCCCCTTCATATTCAAGGCCAAACAAACCCTGTCCAGAAACAAGGCCCAGGCCAAGCCATTGATCATCAAAGGCCAGATGATGACAGTAGGCACTAATGGAGAGTACATGTTGTTCATGGGATCTCCCTTCTTCTCGACCATCGGGGAATTAGCCGAAAGTAACATGTTTATCAGTGATTACCCAAGGCATGACACTACTAGAGATCTGATCATGCTGAATCAGACTCGGCTCTCACAACAAGAGATTAAGCAAGTGATTAGATTTTGCACGATCAGTCAAAACGTTTTTAGAAAGTTCTAACCTGTCATTACAACGAATTTTGATTTCAAATCAAAACAAAAGGTCTAAAACAAGCTATAATACATAATAAGTGCAATATATGCAAAGTAATACGATACAAAGGACACAAAGTACAGTAATCGTTTATAGCCGAAAACTAGAAGATCAAGCTGAAAACTTGAGGAACATGGCGGCCGAATTGGACGAAAAACGAAGACGTACTGACCATCTTCTGTTCGAATGTCTCCCGCCTACTGTAGCGGAGCAGCTGAGGCAGAATCATCACATCGAACCGCAGGTATTCAGTGAAGCCAGCTGTCTACAGTGTGATCTACCGCACTTTGATCTTATCATGCAAAATATAGAACCCACAGATCTGGTCGACTTGATCAACAACGTGTTCTACAAGTACGAGGTGTTGATCGACCTGCATGGATGTGTAAAGGTGTTATCCATGATGGATTCCTACTTTACTGTAGCAGGGGCTCCAGTGCCACAAGACGACCACGTTGACAGGATTCTGAATCTGGCGTTGGGTATGGTTTCGGGTGCCAGTACAATCATCGTGCCAAGGTTTAATCAGCCTGTATTGGTAAGATCTTTGTTATATGAGATAAAGATGATATCATTATCATTTAGAAAATATATATTATACATATTTTGTAAAATACTCTCTCCTTGTTCGTATTCTATTGTGAAACTATTGTAGATCCGAGTAGGAGTCCACTCAGGCCCTGTAGTAGGTGGAATCATGGGGATCACTAAGATCAGGTATGCTGTGCTATCTGAAACTGTCAATATCTCTAAACGGCTAGCTCAGTACAGTTCTCCTGGCAAGATCTTGGTGACAAATGCTGCCAAAACGTAAGTCTCTAATGCTGATCGTGTACTTTTAATTGCGACAATTTTTTGTACTCTTTTCAAAACATGGTGCACTTTTAAAAATCGTTGTTACCAGAAGGTTATCTATTTTAAACGAGGTTCTTATTAAAAGTATTGTTAAAGTTAATTAATGAGTTTAGGGCGGCTTCCAAATCTAAACGAAATAAGTTTGTCTTCTCTCCCAACTCTTACTTTCAAATCGGAGGTAATCAAGCGACGCTGACGTATTTTTTGGAGAAAAACACAGCGAAAAGCACAAGAGAATTAACTGGAAACACGGAAGGTAACTGCACAATTACCCTCACCGTACCTTTCAGAGGCCAAAGAACATGCCAGTGTGGAGGAGGTGGCCAAGGCATGGGAGCAGCTCCAGAAGAGCGACCTCAACCCGGCCAAGAGGCGGGCTTGGCGCATGGGCCGGCTCAGGTTAGACCAGAGTGTCGACTCGGGAATCAGCCGGTCCTCAACCTGTTCCGCAGTCTGTTCAATTCAGTGATCTGCATGTGTAATCAGTTCGCAATCCGATCGAAAATAAACGTTAAAGTAAAGAGTTCCATTATTTTTTGTAAATAATAGACCAGGCCGGTCTGAAGGTGGTCTAGGGCAACATTAATACTGTTTGCATCATCTGTATTAGATAGAATATTGTACTAGTTGTTTGACCAGTCTAAACTTCACCTACGATAACCAAAAATGACAGTATCAGCGGAAACCGAAAGTAGTGGGTTCTTGAATACGAACATGTTCAGATACTTTATTCTGCTTCTGGGCTTCTTATGCTTGACTACAGTCCAGTCCAATATGGTAGCTCTAAATTTTACATTGATCTGTATGACGTCAGACAATAATGTCACTGTAAGTAAAGAAGAAATGGTAGATACAACCTGTCATTATGTTGAAGCTTCACTTAATTTTTACAATTTTTGAATTACAGATGTTGTTATAGGTGCAAAACGGATTCCCTACGCATGAATATACCCCAATAGAACAGGGTTACCTAATGTGGTCTGTAGCCATTGGTAGTATGATTGGTACCTTCCCCTTTAGTTGGTTGTACACTAATTATGGTGCTCATTTGGTGTTCTTTGGTGCTGGAGCATTATCAGCTGTAGCGACGTGCTTTATACCGTTCGCAGCCTCTACAAGTTTTGTCTTCTTTGTGATTTTGCGTTTCACACAGGTAAAAGGTTGTTAACCTTATATTATATACATACATTACTATCAGATATCTTATGTTATTTGCCTATTCATTTATATAAACTTTCTCTTAGGGTTTTGCCTATGCAGCAGACTTTGCAGCTATTGGAGTATTATGTTCACGATGGGCTTCACTGAAGCAAAATGCTTTGTTCTTATCAGTACTAACATGCTACTCAGCTTTAGCCACTTCATTCACAAATCCTATGGCTGGATTGGTAAGTTCATTGATATAAGCAAGAATGTACACCAACTTCTACATTGAGGATCTGTTTCTTAATTTACATATTTTAATTAAAAAGTGTATTCTTATGTCACTTTTGCTATATTATTATTGTATTTAAGTATTCTGTACTTTAAGTTTTGCGAATCCGCGTTCTTTGGATGGCCTTCCATATATTATTTCAACGCTATTGTAAGCATCGTGCTCTTCGGGGCGTGGCTGCACTTCTACAACGATTTCCCCGAGAAAAGCAGATACGTCTCCAAAGTGGAGCTGGAGAAGATCCATAGAAACAAAACGAAGGCACACATCGAGATGGACAATTATGTCCCATACAAAGTAAGTCTTAACTTGAGTAACACAGTACAACAAAGGTTAACACCAACACATTGCAAATTACAGTAGTTTTTAACAATTTACAGCACATCCTAACCAACAGAGTAGTTATGGCGTGCTGGCTGAACGCATTTGCTGACTTATTTACCGCTGTCTTCATGCACACGTACCTACCACAATATATCAGATATGCACTTGGCTATACTGTAGCAGAAACAGGCATCATATCAGCTATACCTACAATATTATACATTCCAATGAAAGTAGTGTTTGGATATTCAAGTGACAAGTTCAAATGCATGAGTGAGAGAGCCAAACTCTTACTTTTTAATGGAATTGCCGTAGGGGTACCAAGTGTACTATACGTGTTAGTAGCGTTTGTGGAAACCCGGCTGATCAACGTTATCATTGTTATCATTATTCATATCTTTTACAGTGCTGCTGGAGGAGCCTTTTACAAATGTGCTACTTTAACTTCACGGTAATCAGTTTGTTGTTGTTTCATTAATATAATTTTAGGTATCACATAAGTCTTGTCCACATTATATTTGTATTCCAGACAGTACAGCCACTTTGTGATCGCCAGCATCCAATTCATCAAGTGTGTCACGTTATTCCTGGCCCCAACCTTGATGACCCTGATCGTCGACGATACGACGGACTTTCACAAATGGAGCATCATATACCTCATCTTCGCAGTAATTCTGTTTGTGGTATGTTATGACGAAACGCCTTCTCTAATCATTTTTACAGTCAAACGTTGTATTTCAAATATATGCAACAGATGAACCGGCTTCATTCACGGAATTGTCACGTTCTCGCAGAAACTCCGAATCAGAACGGTCTCCTCCCCCTCCGCTCGTGTTAACGTAAAGTGTCTTAAATATTAAAATAAACACAACGAATACGCCTTACACATAGTGACGCGGATGTATGACATTTTGAGCCGTTGGTGAGATCAGGTTCGAACTCAAAATATTAAATTCCACGGTTTCGAAAGCCCAAAGAACATTGGGCGTTGTAATAATCATCCAAAATAGTTGGCATCACCGAAAAAGGTAACACCAAATAAAAAATAAGCGGTAACTGTGTAACCGCACTCTTTCGCTTCTTCCCGGGCCGCTTAAAAGAAAAATCGGTAAACCTATTTAAACCAACGAAGAAGTAAACAGGCCGCAATCTTTCATCGTCGCCACTCTCGTCACGATGATCGAACAGGTAAGGGAGGAAGAAATTATAACGCGCGAGGAAGGATATTGTGGATGCTTGCCACACAAGTTCAGGTACATCCTGTTGATTGTGACGCTGCTATGTCTCACCTCCATCTCGTCCAATATGTTCACCTTGAACTTCACACTTATTTGTATGGCACCAACGAGTAATGTTTCGGTAAGTGGTACTTTCAACTATCATTAGAAAGTCATCATTAATAGATGGTACAATAACTGGTATGATAACTATCAATACCATGAGACAACAGTTCTTGCTATTAGTGAGAAGATTACTATTACATTTATGCCGTAACCATTACTACTTGTGTACTGTAAGCACATGATTTTAGCAAGAAGTCTCCCAACTCCACCAAAAGACCTACGCCTACGACCACACTGAGAAGTCATGGCTCATGTGGGCTGTGGCCATCGGCAGTTTGGTCGGCACTTTCCCATTCAGTTGGGCCTACGGGCACTTTGGTGCTAGATGGGTGTTCTTTGTGGCCGGTATCATCTCCGCGCTCTCTACTGGTGTAATACCGTTCGCTGCCGATTGGGGAATCTGGCCCTTCACAGCTGCTCGGTTTGTGCAGGTAAGTTTAAAAATATAGTAAACACAATAATTAATGAATGGTTACATTACCTTGTATTGCTTTAAAATGCTATTTCGATAAAGTCGTACACTATATAGTAAATAGTACACAGTGTAGTATCACAAGTTATCACAGAAATGTACTAAACGATATTGTTGTAGGGTATTGCTTATGCCGCTGACTTTGCCGCCATTGGAGTACTCACCTCTCACTGGGCTTCTCTAAAACAGCATGCCTTCTTCATCTCCGTACTCACATGCTACTCGCCTCTGTCATTGACCATCACCAACCCCATTGCCGGATGGATGTGTAACACCGAATGGCTAGGATGGCCAATCGTCTACTACAGTCACGCTATCGCTGGAATCCTGTTGTTTGTCATCTGGGTGTTCCTGTACAGCGACTTCCCAGATATGCATCGTCGTGTATCCATTGTCGAGCTCGAGAAGATCCACAGAAACAAGACCAGATCTCACATCGAGCCTGGAGGTACCGTCCCATACGCCGCCATCTGCAAGAACTTCAACATCATTGCTTCGTGGTTGTCGGCCTTCGCTACTTTGTTGTCAGCCATCTTTATGCACTTGTACCTCCCCATCTACATCCACAGAGTGCTCAACTTCAGTATTGTCGAGACTGGTCTTCTGGCTGCCATCCCAACGTTCTCCTACATCCCACTCAAACTCATCTTCGGCACACTCAGTGACAAGATCAAGTAGGTTATCATCAATAATATTATTTATTCTGATAAATCAAAGTTTACCTTTCTTGCATTAATTCTTAGTTTTCTAAAACTTGGGTATTAATTTATGTTACATTATCAAATGTTAACATTGACACTTTTTTTAGGGGTATTGATGAAACCACCAAGGTGTGCATCTTCAACACCATCGCTTTGGTTGGTCCAGCTCTCTGCTACATTGCCCTAGCCTTTGTGCCACAAACACACCCATGGTGGGGACTTGCCCTTCTGATCCTCATCCACATGCTCTACGCTGCCAGTGGAGGCGGTTTCTACAAGTGCTTGACTTTGTCTTCTCGGTAAGTTACACTTAAGTTTATATTGTGTCATTTCATAATAAGGTTTCACGTATCTATTATTGATAACTTATATAGTTGGTATGTAAATAATGCCTTTTATCATATTATTCTTCCTTCACTTATATTATCCATCATTTCAGCCAATTCTCTCACTTCGTGATTGCTACCGTGCAATTCTTCAAGTGTATCAGTTTGTTCTTGGCCCCCGCCTTGGTGTGGTTCTTTGTTGACATCGAAGAGTCGCGAACTGAATGGAGAACCATCTTCTTCATTCTCGCCTTCTTCTTGATCGTGGTACGTTATTGTTTTCGACTGTTTATGAGTGTTTGATCATCAAATTAACTGTGTTGTTTTCAGTCCGCTGCCATCTTCTGGAAGGCCGCTGACACGCAGCCGGCCCACTTCACCAAAGTGGCTCCAAAGCGATCCTCAGTCTCGGTGGTGCCTCGCAAAGACAGCAGGTACTAAATATTTGTTTGTTCTCTAATATCAGCTGATTCCTTATTTCCAAATAAACCAAAAACTCGTCGAGAAGAGTTGTGAAATCTTGTGTAAAACGCGCAAATTAAAACAATTACTTATATTCGTAAGAATTAAAAATGATTTAATGCGATGTTGTAATAGCAAGAAAGGAACCGAAAAACATCAACGCGTCTGTTAATAGAAACATGATTGACATAAATAATATTAACATAAACGCCCTTTCGCGTCTGTCACCGTCAATTAGCGGTTCGATTATTTAAAACATCAAATTTTAAAATCTCTCAAAAACAGTCAATAACCTGTTGATTAAGCAGCTTATGTACTTTGGATGCGGAGATTTCTTTATCATGGATAATATAAAACAAAACAGAAAGCGTTACCTCTTGCAACAAAAACAAAACTCAAATAATGCCAAAAACTTTAAAAATAAATAAGCAAAACAATTTTAAAAATAACGCAAAAAAGGTGCCAGTTCGCATTTCCGTTGTCACAAGTCATAACCAAAACAATAATTTGATCAAAAAACGATCATAACCATGTGAGGTCTGAAAAATTAATAACTTACTGATAACTTAATTGAGCCGACAGAATAAATTAATTGATCCGATCTGACTAATTCGTTGTTTTTCTTTAGCTACACAAGTTGTTATTTCAACTATTTTTAAAGTTTTCCAAGTTTGAACTTCGACGAAAAAGAAAAAGAAGTTCTTTCGTATAAAAATTCCCGTTGTTCAGCTGCGTCCGAATCTAAAAAGAAAGAAAATTGTGTTGAAAGAAATAATTTTAACGCTTGCTGGCTTTATTTTGAAGGATATCTGCCGTGAATGTTTTGTAAACCTTTGTTTTATATTCATTATTTTTTTAATTCTCAATCGTGTTTAATTTTATAAATTTTGCTTTAAATTCAGTCTTAAATTTTGTTATTTTAGATGAGTGTCTCTCCAGATCGTTCCCACAGAAGAAGAAGGGCATCTTCACGAGAAGAAAGTCCTCAAAGATCAAAGAAGTCAAGAAGAGATAACGATAAGAATAAAGAAGATGAATGGGTTGAACAAGAGAATAGACCTAATGAACAGCCGGCCAAGCCTAAATTGGAAATGCTGGGAAAAGCTGGCGGAGCGTACATTCCTCCAGCTAAACTTAGGCTAATGCAACAGCAGTTGGCTAGTGATAAGAATTCAGAGGAATTTCAACGAGTCAACTATCAAAGATTGAAGAAGAAGATCAACGGATGTGTTAACAAGGTCAATATCTCGAATATCGCCAATGTGGTCACCGAGTTACTTCAGGAGAACGTGATCAGAGGAAGGTAGGTCATTATTTAATGTTTTTGGTTTTAGGTAGCTCTATAGTAATCTGAATGATGGATTATTAGATTATTTTTTGTTAAAGTTAATACTAAATTGTTTAATATAATTAATGATTTTTCAGAGGGTTATTGGCTTCAGCTATCATCCAAGCTCAGTCATTTTCTCCTACCTTCTCTAATGTCTACGCTGCATTGGTTGCCATTATTAATTCAAAGTTTCCGAACATTGGTCAGTTGATATTGAAGAGATTGGTGATTCAATTCAAACGAGGATTCAGAATCAACAACAAGACACTTTGTGTCACTGTGTTGAAGTTCATCGCCCACTTGACGAATCAGAGAGTTGCTCATGAAGTTTTGACCTTGGAGATATTGTTTTTGTTGATGGAACAACCGACTGATGACTCGATTGAATTGGCGATCACGGTGCTAAAGGAATGCGGAGAGTTTTTGAGCAAAGCTGCAGCTCAGGGTTTAGACGGTAAGTCATTCATATCTTTAGCATAATAATTTTTAGGAGACAAATTTTATAGTTTTAAAATAATTTTTTATTTAACATTTTCCTAAAATTTATTTATTTCAGCTGTTTTTACTCAACTGCGTCACATTTTGGAAGATGCTGACACTATTAGCACTAGAACTCAGTACATGATTGAAAGGTTGATGTTGGTGAGAAAGGAAAAGTTCAGAGCTTACCCAGCAGTTATAGATGATCTCGATCTGATTGAGGAAGACGATCAAATCACTCATTTACTAGAGTTAATGCCAGAAGATGAAGACGACAAGCCTTTAGATCCAGAAACTGGTCTCAACTACTTCAAGCTTGATCCTGAGTTTGAGAAGAACGAAGAAGCTTACGAAGAGATTAGAAAAGGAATCATTGGAGATGGAGACGACTCAAGTGATGAAGAAGATGATGAAGGCGAAGAAGCTGAAGCGGAAGAAACTGCTGCCGCGAAGCCCACACAACAGAAGATCGTGGACATGACTGACAGCGATCTTGTAGCCTTTAGAAGAAGTATATATCTGTGTATCCAATCTTCTCTTGACTATCAAGAAGCTGCTCACAAGCTCATCAAGTTCCACTGGAAGCCGGGACTGGACACTGAGATGTGCAACATGATTGTAGATTGCTGTGCTCAACAGAGAACGTACGAGGTCTTCTATGGGTTGCTGTCTGAGAGATTCTGTAAATTGAGGTTACAGTTTCAACAGACATACGAACAGATTGCCAGAGATACCTACAAGATCATTCACAGGTTTGAGGTCAAGAAGATCAGAATCATGGCCCAGCTGATTGCTCACTTGCTGGCGACAGATGCTATCGACTGGTCGGTACTGAGCGACATCAAGATGAACGAGGCAGAAACGACATCGGCTGGTAGAGTGTATGTTAAGGTACTCTTCCAAGAGTTGGCCGAGACTATGGGCCATGTTAAGCTGTTCCAGAAGTTATACGATCCGTAAGTGTGTTTACTGTTATATTGTGATTTGTTTTTTATAAATATTGTTGTATAAAAATACTAATGAAATTTGTTTTTAGGACACTAATGCATCACTTCGAAGGCTTGTTCCCGTTAGATCATCCTAAGAACACTCGTTTCGCTATCAACTTCTTCACTCTATCTGGACTAGGAGGATTGACCATCAGGTTAAGAGAACAGTATGAGAAGTTACAAAAGAAGTTTAAGAAGGAAGGAAAGACGAACAGCGATTCAGAATCGTCTTCTGATTCTTCAGATTCCTCTTCAGACTCGGACAGTAGTTCTGATTCCTCGGATTCAGACAGTTCCGGTTCTTCGTCATCATCCAGTTCATCATCTTCAAGCAGCTCGGACAGCGATGTCTCAAGAAAGGTATATTAATTTAATTCTTATCTTTCTTATTATTAAGTCTATTGATTTATAAATGCACTTAGTCTATATCTACAGTAGGTCAATTGCTAACTAACTTTTAAAAGTACAAATTGGGGCTCGACGGCGTCCCAAGAATTCTCACATTTAGATGTTAATTCAATAATTATAGTTAAGTTAACTGTAGTAAAACGACAATAATGAGATGCAATAATTGTTATGGAAAAATTATACGACGAAAATTTAAATACATTCGTCTACATTGTTTGTGCTTTAGACACAATAATATATATAAATTTCTAAATTCAAAAAGCAAGTGAACCACAAAATATAGAAATGTAAATTAGTAAATACAAGGGGACACAAGGTCCAGATTTCATTTGTATTTGGCGTTGATCTATTAATTTTGGCACCTTAACGTCTTATATTTGGCGTCTACCTTATCATATCTTAAAATCAAGAAATATTGATTAACAAGAAAAGTCAAAAATGTATTTTTAGAAGAAAAAGAAGACAGTGAAGGAAAGAAACATTGAAATAAAGAAGGAAATAAAGGAAGAACCATTGGACGAGGATGACATTGGACAATTTGAACCTATCAAGGAACGAAGATCGGTTGAAAAGTCAAGAAGACGCAGTAAAGATAGAGGAGACGAACGAAGAAGGAGAAACAGCCAAAGGAGTAATGGCGACAGGACGAATAGAAGAAAAGAAAGAAGCGTGAGTCAAGAAGATAGAAGGAACAGAAGGGGCAGCTCTGAACGTGACGATGGGAGGAGGAACAGAAGGACAGAAAGAAGCCTAGAACGTGATGATGATAGAAAGAACATAAGAACTGAAAGAAAACAAGATAGAAAAAGAAGTGATAGCCAGTCAAGTGACGATGGCAGAAGCAATAGAAGAAGAGAACAAAACCAAATACGTGACGGTGATAGGGAGAATAAAAGAAGGGAAAGAAGCCCAAGCCAGGAAAATAATGACGAAAGAAGGAATAAAAGATCTGAAGATGATAGAAAAAGAAGCCAAGAACGCGATGATGAAAGTAAAATGAGAAGAAGAAAACGAAGCTTAGAAAATGACGACAATAGGAGGAATAGAAGAAAGGAAAGAAGCCCAAACCAAGAAAGTAATGATGATAGAAGGAATAGAAGAACAGAAAGAAGCAGAAGCAAAGAACGTGACGATGAAGGAAGAACCAGAAGAAGAGAAAGAAGTCCAGAACGTGACGGTGAAAGAAGGAACAGAAGAAGAGAACGAAGCACAAGTTGAAGACGTGAGAACGAGTTCAAGATGGTTGTCGAAGCAGAAGTTAAGAGTTCATAACATCGTCGTTGATAAATATTTTAATTAGAAGGGTTTAATTTTAGCTAATACCTTTGTTTGTTTAATTATGGTACTTACTCTGTTAAAATAAAGAACGTAAATTGTTAAATACGGTGTTTACTTTGTTATGAGATTATCGTTTATTTACTAATTATCTAAAGTTAATATATAATATTAGGTCCGGGTAAAGGTGTTATAGGTTAATGATTAGTGGAAGCTGTGCTAACAAGGCTAGTGGGTTTTTAACATACATATGGATGGTCTTGATTTGAGTAGATAACCAGTCGAATATGACTTTCAAGTGTGGTGCCAACGCATCGATACCTTTTTTGGATTTTGAGTCCAGGTTTAAGTACATTTCGGCCAAGTCGCTTATGTGAGTTTCGGCCGAAACCAGGTCGAACGTGAAGTTACTGGGAGGCGGTAACAGTCGGGTGATCTCTATAATTATCTGGAAACATGCAATTAAGATACGAACTTAATTCTACACTAGTAGAGCTGGTAATCGAGGCACTTGTTACTCTCTTACCTATCCTTATAGTAAGTTTATACAGTAAGTTAACTGTAAATTGTAAATTAATAATTGACTGTAAGTTATATTACTTGATGTCATTCTAAATATACTAGTATATATTACAAATAAACCTATTACTCTGTCGCTGAAATCCTTGGCCTGCTCGGAAACGTCTGCCATTTCAGAATCGAGTCCTTGTCTGAACGCAACAACTTTGTTTACAAGTTCTGGATCTGACGTCTCGAGTTTTTGTTTGAATTCTTCGAAGTTGTGTGCCTTCAGAAGTGATTGGAAGGCATTTATAAGGTTGAGGACGTCTTGCATCGTGACATTCCACAAGATTCGGGTAAACAGGGGTTCTACTTCAGCTGAGCCTAAACTTTTTTAAATATTTTCAACTTTTTTTTTGTAAATCGTACTTGTATACGTGACATGTATGCGTTCTGAAGGTGGTTAAATTGTTTCTGAAAGTGATTACATCTGTTTTTGAACACAGGTGTTTCTAAATTTTGTATTAAAGTATGTTTTGTCAAAAGACTTACCGTAGTAGAAAAGTAACGTGAGTAACAAGACTGACAATGTAGTTGGTTTCATTTCATCATTGATTGTGATTAATATCTGTTTTATCATTGGAACTAGATCGTATGTTAATGTTGTTTGTGGTCAAAAGTAGTCCGTAGGAGGGAATTGGATCATGATATTATTTTAAAGACAATAATTCTTTTTAAGAAGGTGATACGTTAAAATATATTTCAACATAGTATGTGATACTGTATCTATCGTTGTAGGTGTAGGATTATAACTACGTCAAAGTTTACAATTTGTGATACAATGGTAAACTCTATTAAAATTGTTTTCAAAAGCTGGAGATGACTACAAATACGGGGTAAATGAAGTAATGACCAAAGTACAATTAAATAAAGTTAATGGTATCATGTTACTATAAAACTTCCAATTGTAATATACCTTAACCATAGTATATTACGGAGGTTTGTAAAGTAAAAACATTTCAAAACATTGTAGTAGGCAAATCTTTTTCTTCAAGATTTCCTTTTCGAGTACGTCTTGTAAGATGTAGTACTTATGACTGCACGGGTTTTGCGTAACTTTAATCGTCAACACAGTCGTACTCTAAAACGTAGTAAATGGTAAACATATTTCTAGTAAACGTAGTAAACAGTACTTGTAAGGTTTCAGTAGACTTTGGAGGGTTATTACTGAGCAGGTGTGTATAGATAGGTACATATATAATAGATAGGTACATATCCTTTGAGTTAATGCTTATGATAGGTAATTGAGTAAAAGTCGTGGTAGTTAATTAAACATAACATACCTATGGAATGACCAATTACATGTATCATACTTGTGACGTTCTACTCAAAAGGGATTACTTTGTTTTTTCTTAATTAACGGCATTAGAATCCCATTTGTCGCAATCAGACGGTGCCCAGGGATTCGGGGGTGTTCGTCCGGTTTCTATATTCGATTCGGACACAAGAATTATATTTATACATCGTGTTTCACTCGTCATACGGCCATAAATGACGACGATAACTTGTTTTATAACAATAACTTCTGGTTTTAATTGCTTTCTTAAGTATGTTTTAGCACTTCATGAGACGTAATTTTCTATGGTAATATACCTAGATTTACCGTAGTTTTTTATTTTAATTTGCACAATAATATATTTTTAACGTGCGATTGTTCACTAGCCTACACAGTCATTACCTAAAATAATATGTAGGTAGAGCGTGGGTCGGTAACCCTGGTTGATAATACATGATTGAGTTATGTCTTTATACTTACTTCTTTTGTCTTTTACTGCAATATTATTTCTTCTCATTTGATATTATTCAGAATCTGTTGATGTTATTGTGGCCTTTTTGGTATTCGCCTTCTGATGTTGTTCTTCATGCTGCTCCAGGTGATGTCACCGAATCACCTGCAGCTCGTTACCCTTACTGCTAATGAGATGTTTATGTCGTTTCCTATTCTCGCATTTCGATTAATGGAGTTGTGCCCTGAGGAAATTAAACTCGAATGTAACGGTTTTATTTCCATTGTTCAGAGTTTCAATTCCGGCCGTTCCTTTTTAAATTGGATTAAACGTCACAATGTGACCGTCCAACTTTTGATGTCCGATTGTTTAATAACCACGGCTGGGGTGGTTGTTTTGCCGTGTGATTTTGTCAATTTATCTTGCAGTAGTCAGTCTACCTTGCAGTAGTAATTATATGCGTGAATACAGTAATTTTATGATACTGTAATACCTAGACTTACAGATATGGCGGTAAGGCTTTGTTTGCTCTGTGCGATTGCTGTGACGCTAGTTATGGGAAACGACAATGAATCTTCGAATCTGCGGAAGATTCTGTATCCAACGTACTCGCGAGAACCGTACGAACTCGAGAAATGGAGCTTCTACAGTGGCATCGACGTGCCTCACAAAGGGTCGTCCTATGGAGTTTGGGCTCCGATTTCTCGATATTCAGACCTTTTCGACCGGAACCTGAGATCTGTCAAGTATGGTGAGCTTGTGTTTGTATCATAAAATTATTGTATTTGATAATCTTGATACTAAAAAGATAACTTTTTTGGTCAAAAAGTGCGCAGAAAAGCTTTTTATTAGCGAGATTGTTCAGTGTTGGCTAAATTTTAGTGTTATTCTGCATATACTTTAGCCATTAGGCTTTATTTAAGTTCTCATTTTCAATAATATACTTTATGGTTACAGTAACAGAAGGAGCCGAGAACCGTGAACCAGACCTGTCTCAAGACCTACAGTTTGCGCCGTTTTACTCCGGATTGGGACGATAAGATTACTGTACAATAAATGTCGTATGTGTAGAGATATATTTATTAAACTATCTAAAATGAGTTTCGACAAAATGTTATTCGGCCAATTAGCCACTGACTGGGTCCTAATCCGGTAAACACATTTCAATTACCATTACTCAAAACACTTGACAACATTACTGTAGTGTGAGGAAATGTCACAACAAGGTCTGCCATTATAATATACGATTTTCTTACTGTAAGACTTTCTAAAACTTGAATCAAAAGGGCGTAGAATCTTTTTTTCGATTTTGATTCACTTTCTGTTTACTTTTCGACCACATTTGTCACAAAGACCGAGTTACCATGCATTCTTAAACCCGACAGTAATATCAAGGATTAATAGACTTTATTCACGGAAAACAACTAATGCCACTCTTGACCTTACTCCTTCTTAATTTTGAACCGCGACCATTTAATTAGCGTTCCTGGAGATCGGAATAAGAATATCATCTTGGCGAACAGCTCCTGAAACAACAACAAGTTAACAAAAAGTACAGTAAGATTAGTAATCCACTTGAACAGCTATGTTACTTTTACATTTAAGTTAATTCAGCACAGGCTTACTGTATTTCCTTAGAAAACTACAGTAACCACTAAAAGTGTTTTATCACTGAAAAGAGAATAAGATGTTGTAGGAACACAAATACTGTAAACCTCAAGATACAGTAACTCACCTCTTCCAACAAAAAGTCCTGCGCTTCTCGAACCAGGTAGAGGTCGAAGAATATCTTGAGGAGCGGATCTGGGTTGGGCATCTCCTTGATAATAACTTGCAATGGCTCCGAGAAGATAAAGGCTCTGATGAACTTGAACGCCACATATACGACGGCAAAGTACATGGGTATGACACTGTAAAGTAAAGGTTCACAACGCTGGTAGACATACTTTATACTTAACATTTTATTTGTCAAAAAGGACTTAGAAACCTAATAATAGAAAACTTGATAGTGTACACAACACTGCGCCATTCTTTAAGCATCAATTACATGAATATTTTGGATTTATATTACACAAACCACATACCTCTTTTGTGACAATGTTCTCATGACTTCAGGGAACATACGGTCAAAGAATAGTACCATATGGTACTCCTTCTTGTCATCCCTTGTAGGTATCGACACGTTGCGAAGAATATCCGGTTTGATCAGCTTTATCTTCCAATAGAAGCCAAATGGATTCTGAAACGATGTTCAATTACAGAAGCAATGTTACAGACTAAAATGTTTCAAAATTAGCTCATACTAGTCATTTTAGCATTATCGGAATAAAATTTAATTCCAAAACCAAAATCACAAAAACTTATATTACCCTACCTTTCCGCCATCCAAAGTCAGCAGCATCGTACTATAGGTATTGATAAACTCCGACTGATTGGACACCGCCTTCAACATAGAGTCTGCCAGTTCTATTCGTTCGTACGATGGTATCAACATGTAGTAGGGTATCGCGCACGGTATGTACAACTTCTGAGAAAAGTCTGGATGCTGAGAAAAACTCTGATTGATGAGAGTGGTCAGGTTCTCGACTATCTCGGTATTCAAGCCAACAACATAATCTCGGATGTGCAAGCTCATCTGAGATTTGTCCTTTGGATTCCCTCGCAGTAGCGACAAAGATACGTGAACCTCGGACTTGTTCGATGTCAACAAGATCTCGTACAGCTCGTGTAACGCTCCCTTGGACACGTCCCATGATGCCATCGAGAAGTCGGGGAAAGAAACCTTCTGAAAGCAACCAATTTGTAGTGAAAAAAATCAATAAAAAAGTGACATTACGTCAAAAATCAATAAGATGAAATGTCATAAATTCTTTTTTTTGAAATAACTAACATAGACATCAGTGAACTCGTCGAGAAATGTCAAAGCGAGTCTAGCCTTCTTGGCTTCGTCATCGGCTTCGCGATCGGCGTCGTTCTCCAAGTTATTGTACGCAGCTACAATATCTTGTCTGTCAAGACTGGTCAACGGTTCGAAAGTTTCCAAAGTTGTTTGATAAAATGGCTGGAATTTTTAGGCTATTACCGAAGTTTGACGGTTTTTCATTAATATTGCTCGTAAATGTTTCCGCGTTAGTAAAACAAGTTATTTGTTACCTATTAATATCATTTTCACTCTTTTCTTACCGGCAACGTATCAAAGGAGATTTCCATTGTCATTTTCAAGGGATCGTACGATTCCCCGATGAAGTTGAGGACTGAGAAGATCAAGATCGGAGAGAGGATAAGTATCACCAGCACTAGTATTATAGGTATGCCAAGCGAATGTTTCGAAGCTTTCGACTTCTTCTGTCCTCTTGGAACCGGAAAGTTCTAAAACAATATTGTTTAGGGAAAAAAAGTCGTCGAAAAAGTATATGTTACAGTTTGTGCAGTGTAGCTTCTCTAAAACGTCTATGAAGCAAAAGTAATTACAACATTAGGACACGAACCTGCTCCATTTGTCTTCCACACTTGACCATGTAAACATTTGAGAAGAAGATCTCGAACTTGATGAAGTCAAAGATGGGCATAGCAGTGTCAGTCCACGTCCAGTCGATAGCCGACCTTAACTCGAAGGCAAACGGCAGATTCATAAATGCCTTGAACATGACAAAACTCGTGAAGCCATAGTTCTTGGTGAGGAAACTGCCAGTGCACAATGGAGGGTACCCGTTCTTGATCTGCCATCCGGAGAGAAGCAAGCTGATACCTTTTAGAATGTAAAATGCTTGAGCCGGGTAGTTTTTGGGAATGCTTCTGAAGTTTGTAAGTTATTAATAGTTATATGTTATTACAGGACTTTGTCACACTCAATGAACGTTTATACATGTTTAACAAATTGAATCGTGACTTACGTTCTAGTGGTAAAAGGAATGACAAAGAAGAGCCAGAAGTGGAGTCCCAATACGACGATAAAGTGGTATAACAGCTTGGGAAGGACAGCTTTTCGCAGGTACAGAGCCCGATCAATGATGATTAACATAATTAAGAAGAACACTGTGATTACCAAAGAAATTGGAATACGCGACGTCTAAAATGAAAACTTTTTAGCCAACACCACGAAGTAGCTCTACAGTTGTCTCATTTGCCAAATCATACATTTTTACATAACAATCATGACATAACCTACATGAATTACAGGTATCTCGTCCGTACTCGTGTCGGCAAAGGCCGAGTATCCCAACATCACAATAAGTACACAAATCAGATCCAACAAGAACGTGGAAGAGTACACATCTCCAATGAAACGCTTTTTCGGATTGATGACATTTTGGAAGAACTGGATAAAGCAGTTGTACTCCTCCTCAATCGTCTGAAAATGTAAAATAACTTTTAAAACATTAAAAACAGCAACTACTACAAAAAATACTAACTTATAGCATACCGAGTCGCTTCTGTTGACAATTTTGGACAATGAATTCCTCCACAACCCCAACCTCTGTAGCATGTAACGATGAAAGAACAGAAACAGAAGCAAGGCTACATCACACACTGCAAAGGTAGTCTCTTTCTGAAGTCCCAGATAGTACAGTACGTCACCTTTAGTAAAGGTACGATCAAACATTACAAATTGGTAATCGCCGAATGGGTCGATTTGGGACAAACACTTGACGACAATGATGACCTGGGTGTATATCATCATGCAGATCCAGAAGTTCTTCTCAGCACGCGGATTCGACAGAGATCCCCAGAAGAAAATCATCAAAGGTAAGGGCATCGTGATCATGCCTCCACCGTAAGCATGTGCTACGATAGCCAGAACAAAGCATAACGAGTCCGTGTTAGCACTGATGAAGCTGTAGATGGACAACAAGAACCTACAGCACGGTTGGATACGCTTCTCCGCTTCGCGGGCTTCCCGTTGAACTTTTTCTACATCGTCGACCGCCAACAATACTGGGTCGACCGGTGGGGCAATCACATTGCCTGATATTCGGAGCTAAAAACGATGTTATAGGCAACTCCTAAAAAGAATAAAAAAACAGATATTATAAGTTACTTCAAACATCTCAACTTTACAGTATGATACTGTAACCCTTACTTCTTCGAGAATAGCAGACTTGAGTTTACATTTCTCCTTTTTGAGTACGAACGATACGTAGCGTTGTTGTCGAGAATGTCGCCGTAAAAAGCTCGAGAAGTAATGGATAATTGCACTGAACAGCTTGGACGCGAACCTCCCAGCCATTCGTATCTTCTCTATAATCAACATACTTAATATTTTTTTGGCAAAATATCAAAAAACGTTAAGTAAACAGGGCAAGCAGAAGTCGAGGATCTACATATTTAAATAATCATTACTCTTTAACTCACGACTTACCCCTACAAGACTTCTTATGTTTAGTAGGTTGATCTGTAGCGTATTCATCACGTAGCTGTTTCCGTCGTTGTCTAAAGGATTCTATGGATTCTGACCCGTTCTCATTATCGTTATCTTTTGGCTGTTTACGTACTGCCTCCAGCATCCGAAGCTCTTCGTCCTGAATACTCTCGGCATTCTCTATCGCATTCAAAGCATCTTCAAAGTCAAAGTCTTGCGCTACCAAGCAAACAATGACCTAAAAAAGTATTTTTACAAAAGCAATACGTAACATCTACACTCGACAGAAAACACCAAACACCTACCTGTAATGGATCCAACGTTGCTTTGTCTTCCGGTGTATCCCCAGCGTCTAAACTTATCAGAAGGTCTTCGTCCATAGACATATCGTCCTTCAGAGGATCGTACTCAAACATGTAGTAGTCGCCAGACAGTTTTGCTAAAACAACTTCTACCACAACATACCACACTCACCTTGACTGTACGTTTGAGGTCGAAAGTGATGTCCGTTGCTCTTGTTCTCATAGTTTTTCTTCAATTCCACGGCACGTTTTGCAATCTGCTTCAACGTTCTGACCTGCTTCTCGTACTGATCGTGCACTTCTTTGCTGATCAGTTGGTTTATCAATATAGCTCCACTGGAATATTATTATTGTGTAATCATTCAAAAGTAAAATTGTTATAAGATCTATTAAAAGGTACCTGTTAGCCTGGATAGCTTCACAATACATCTCCAAAACGCACCAGTCAAACACTTTTGACTTCAGAAGCCGTAGGTGTAGTAGGACAAAGGTGAAGGCAATCACATCGACCGGACTTTCACCTTTTACCGACTGAAGACAACACGGGTCCTTCCCATAGGTATTACTGACCCAAACCTCAACTCTAGCTGCAGATTCTGGAGATGAACACACAATGCTAAACCACTGCCTCAGCGCACATCCATTAATCAAGCTTGGCATGAAGCCACACGCCCAGAACTGAATGTAGATCTTGAGGAACATGGTAACCATGGAGAAGATCAGCATCAGTTTCCAGTAGAGGATGGTTCTCTTCAAAGTCTTCACCATGTATGTAGCATGACCTTGCCAGAGTACGAAGAAAGCTATGACAAGGTATACCACATTGAAGACAGACCTTCCACCCAAGCCTGCTATCAGATACGACACCAATGCTACCCAATGTAACGACATCACAACACATGTTCGTATGTAGTCGAAACTGCTTCTGAAACATACATCAGTTAAAAAAAGCTATGGCATATTATAAATATAAGCCTTACCCCTAAAAGCAATTCGAAAATGAAAGACAATTTAACACAGAAACTTTAAACTTCACCAACAACTACTACAACATCTAAAAAATAATCACAACTTACCGAGGATTAGAAATGAAGTCATCTTCTGCCGTAGCCTTGACTAAAGTAGACAGATTAAAGTCTTGTCCCGAGACGTTATCTCCTGCCGGGTGCTCAGGGTATTCGGACTCAAAACAGTACGTCTAAAACAATGTAACTTTAATAATTTTAAAACTTTTTAAAAAAGTCAGGGTTATCCAAAAGATTTAAAAAATAGGTAACAATTCGTAAAAAAAATAAAAAGCTAGCCAAACTTTACATATACTGACCTGTGCAGCCATGAAAAGCAAAGTAACAGCATCGAATATCATCTTCTGCAACATCAAACCGGTCCTATAGCGTTCTTTATTAGGCCAGCCCAAAAACTCCAAAAGATTTTCGTCAAATTCTTTGAGTCCGATCATGTTGTGCCATGGGTAGTTTTCTAAAATAAATGTTCGTGAATCGTTATTACAAATTCGTCTATTATAGTTGTTTACGACTGAATACTTACCACCATTACACATAGGAAATCCAACAAAAAAGGCGTACTGTAAGACCATGAGAAGGGCGAAGAACACCGTGAAAGACACCCACAACACTTTGACAGCTCTTCGGTTGAGCACGGCGCTCGGAAATATGATCGCAAAGTACAGTAACCCTACAACGTCCATCCTCAACATGGCATTCAAGCACATTGTCGCCAAAGTCGTCTCCAATCCCAGCTTGTAGAACCAGTAGTTAAAGCCAAACTTGACAGCCTTCCCGAAGCTTTCGTGAAGCACATTCGAAGATTCTGAATCCGGAAACAAGAGAACGATGGGATTGAACCCATTCGACTTCCTTAAGCGACGTCTGACGAGAACAATTGATTGGAGTAATATTAAACAAAACGATATCACAATAATACCAATATTAGCCATTAGAGGTCCTGACTTTATCCCCAGCCATTCATAAGTGTGCTCAATGTTGGAAGAAGCACGCCAGTCTTGACAGTCATCTCGACTATGAGCACGATGCTCTTTTCCAACGGGTAAACCTATTGAAACGGCTGCTAGAGCTATCTGAAACCAAAAAAAACATTTTTTAGGTAACAAAACTAAATATATAAAATATAAGTAACGAAAAAAAATCTAAAAAACAAATTCTAATTAAAAAAATAAATCCCAAAAAAGCATTTTAGGTAACAAAACGACTATACCTGAAAGACACTCGATATTAGTACTGAATAAGGCCCAAACATTGGCATGCAAGTACCAACGGTAAACAATACAATTGTAATCATATTCAAGGCACAAATCTTGAACGACATTACGATTTGACACAGAAGACCCAACTTATCGGCATAGATATCGGCCAAGCGCCACAGGAATTCAAATAACCCACATGGCGCTCGATTTCGGCTACAGCCACACATAACTATAAAAATATTCAGAAATGGCTAACAAACTCACAATCGCTCCAACTTCAACATTCTCTAATTTGCATAAACAAAACAGCTTTTGAAATCCATGTTATCCTTGTTCATTTGCTGTTTCCATCTCTAAATCTTACATTGATCTTGACTTTCATTAGATCTAAACTGTTACATAACATCACTATTTGATACAACAGTACGCTTTCCTGTAAAAACCTGTAAGTTACAGTAAAGATAGATTTTATTGCATGCAAACACCTCTTTTTATTCGATGAAGCACTTTCTAGATTTGATGACTGCTTTTCTAGACGAAAATACAACAAAAATTTGTGTAGTTTGATGTACATTTAGATTGTTTTCGACGATCTAAACTGAAATTAATGCAGGTTATTCATTATCTTTTAAGAATCTTATTATGATGTTATGATGAACATGTAGGGATAATCATATTGTGGTAAAAAGGTTGGTTTATTGCAGTTTTGAATCGACAATTTTAATTTTTTTCTGTGATTTTGTTGTTTGCATAATATTTTACATTGTTTACCCTAATTTGTCCTAATTATATTATTCTTAATTTATAACTTTAAAATAATTTACCCAAAGGCACTGAAGTGTTTATACAAATGATTGTATATGCAATTGCTTCGTTGGAAGTTTAATAATTGCAAGAATTAAAACGAATTGTGAACCCTTTTCACTTTTTTCCAAACTTTTCTCCCATAAATGATTTGTTTTGCGAGATAAAAGCTTGCCCAACGGCCTTTTTATCGCTTTTTGGCCAAGTCATTTGCTCTTTTTCGAATATTTTTGTTTTTCCATTTTTCACCTCAAGAAGGAATGGAGAAAGCGGAAAGTTGTGGATGTCAGAAGCTGTCAGCTACTACAATACCCAATGAGAGGTCTTTATCACGGACGCCGTTATCAGCTGGAGTCCATGCCAACGCTTTGGCCGATTCTCTAGGAGTTTCCCCGATGTATCGTCAAGTCGAGTACGTTTGCAATTAAAAAGTTAGGTATTAGTTCAGCTCGATGGAACTCTGCCGCCCAACTGTACCAGTCGAGTAGAGCACAGTCGCCCACGCCTGGTGGAGTCCGTCTTCAGATTCCGAGTAGTTATGGAAGTGTGGCAAGGTAAGCTTTACTTTTATTAGTATTTTGCTTTTAGTACTCCAATGGCATCAGAAGACATCGCCGCCATGAATAGGAAGCGGTTTCTGGAGAACGCTGAAGCCACTGAGAACGAAGGCTGCTTGGAGTTGGAAGCGATAGCTGCCGTTCACGAGCTGTCTAACAATGTCTTGAGCATTTACGTGTCAGAAATATTACCCAGAACAGCAGACTTGATCTTTGTAAATGTGAAGACCGTGGAAGGTGAGGGTTTTACACTACCGTACAAACTTAAAGCAAATACAAAACAAAAGAATGATATTCAAATAAAATAACATTGAATGAACTTTTTGATCGCAAATATTGTTTTAGATCAAGCTTTTACATTGGAGCTGACCATGAAGGGATGGAGGGTGGCTTCAACTCATAGTGACAGCATGAACGGCGACTATATGAATGTAGGTCACTTGCGTAGCAAATGACGGTCTGGTTTAGGTTGCTTTACACACAAAGTACTTTGACAACATAAAGCATGTTATGAATGAGATAAGCCCTGGACACAACAAGAAGTTTGAGGAATGTCTGTGTAGAAGACTGGAGTTACTTCAGAAGAGGAAAAGTCTCGAAGAAGTAAGTTTAACTTTGCAATAACACGTACTTATTTGGCAGAACGAACAAGGAATCCAAACGTGATAGTACGGGAGAGCTTTATTGGGTATCAATGGGTATGTATGCTTATGTTCATGTTAATAAAGGTTACTGACTTGCTGGAGACTTATTCTGTAGCCTCGGCGTTATCGTCGTCCACGTGGTTACTTTGTTTTACAGTAACCACGGTGGTTTCTGTTACTGGTTTAGCATCTTTCTGTTCTTCTACGTCACCGTCGTCCGTGTCTGAAGATTCTTCTTCTGTATCACTAGTACTGTCCTCTTTGTCATCCTTGCTATCAGAACTGGTTTCCTTCGAATCTTCAGATTTGGTTGATGTTGTTGTTGATACGGCTGCCCTCTGAAAAAATATTATCATGTTTTTAAAGTAATGTTTTGAGTTTAATGGAGTCAAAGTATGACATTTTAAAAACAAGATTATTTCAAAAATAAAGTTCGGTCTTATCACTGATAAAGAGCCACTATTTAAATTGGGTATAAACTTACTTTCACGATGAAACGGCCGTTCACTTGGTAGCACAACAGACCGAAAACTAAAGCCACAACCCAGACGGAGCGCATTTTACTCTGTTACTGTTACAAGAAAGGTATATCCAGCGGGCAGGTGATTATTTCGGTTCGAATGATTCCCCTCATTCATGCGAGAGCAATCCATTTCAATATTTACAGTTACCATGTATGTACAAACAGTAGTTTTATGTGATCCATGATTCATATCGCCGAGTAGACCGACTTCAATAGTCGTTGGTAGGGTCGGCACAGGTGGCTGGTGGTTGACTTAAGGCCATTAGCGAGATAAACAGCTACCAAATTGTGGTGGGGGTCGATGTGAATCGACTGACACCCATAGCCAGGATGGCCGAAGACATATTTACCCTAAAAGTCACGTGTTATAGGTTGTTATTTATAACAATTCAGTCAATTTGTTTTGATATCAATAAAAAAAAAAATAAATGACAAAAGTACGATTGAAATACTAAAACAAGGCATGACTAAGTTAATGTCTTAAAATCTTTGGTCACTTACGCTCTCTTCCGGATGGTAGTCGTAAAAGAAGCCGTAGCCCTTCATAATGGGATACAGCACGGTCTTCTCCCAGTGCCAGTCACTTAATGTCGGTCGAGTCATCTGCTCCACTAAAGCCGAGTTGACTAATGAGCCGTTCAGGAAGATGGAGAACAGTCGTGCTACATCGTGCGCTGTTCCCAATCCATTTGTAGCGCCCAACCCGAGCTTCTGAATCTCGAGCTTGTTCATTGACAGATCTCCCATACTCAGCCAGTTCTGGTTACTTTCAACTCTTGCCAGTACAGAGTCGGAGCCTTGACTGTAGTAGCCAGCTATCATGACTAACATACGAGGATCTACTAAAGTGTCCCTAATGTAATCTAGTACATCAGCTTGTTGTAGCGTAGCGCTTCGCTCAAAGTCAATATCCTTCATCAATCCAATAGAAACGTCTAATCCTAACGGCGATGCTATCTCTTCGTGGAAGAACGAAGCAAGTGTACGATGTTGAGGATCTACATGTTCAACAATGCCCTCCACCAGCCACCCAAAAGTCAAAGCATGGTACCCCGAGGCAGTACCAGGTACCCAAATAGGCTTGGCTTCTTCGATGATCTTGAATATCTTGTTTCTACTGACAACATCTTCTAACTGAATAGTAGAGTTGAGGTACGGTAGACCAGCTTGATGGGTCAGTATGTCTTGGATGGTTGTGTTTTCTTTGCCGTTCTGTCCGTACTCTGGCCAGTGTTTGGCTACACGATCGTTCCAGTTGATCAGTCCCTTATCAACCAGAACGCTCAAACACAACGCCGACAAAGGCTTGGTTGCTGAGAATAATAAAGTACGAGTGTCTTCGTTCCACAGTTTATTTCTGCTATCATCAGCATCGCCAGCCCACACATTAATAACATTAACACCATTTTGGTACACAGAGAATGCTGCTCCTCCTTTTTCGTAGCCGTCGGCAAAGTTTTTTCTAAAAATTTACCTTATTTTAAAATATTATTTGGATATTCATTTATATTATTCAAAAAATAGTTGATTTTTGATTTACTCGTACCAGAAAAATATTGATAATTAAAAGGTACGATAATTCAAAGTTGATTCACAATTTCAAAATTATTCTTACTCGAAAAGCTGCTTGGTGTAGCCAAACTTTTTATCGTAGTACCCATCAGCTGTTACCGCCCGTCCTCTTATGTACGGGACCACAAAGTACGCGAAAACCTGGCATAATATTACTATTAGAAGCCCTAAACACGCTGACACCGAAAGGGGTTTGGACCGAATGATTGTGCTCCCAATCATCGCTTAGCTAGCGGTTTACCCTTTTCCCGAAAACAGACCGTTTATAAGCGTCGGCGGTCGGGGTAACTGTTTGGTCGCGACAACCGGTCTTATCACCTGTTATCGACAATATCATGACGCCGATTTCGTTATTATTATTCTTTATATAATTCTTTCTGTCCAGCTTAGGGATGTGCAAGATAACCACGTGAAGTACGGAGATATTAACAACAATTGAAAGAGTAAACGGCAGCAGCGACTCAAAGGAATAAAGCATACAATACATATTATCATTGAGCAGCTAGAACAAAATCTGGTCGGCAATGGACGAAACAGGATGAGTGGCAGTGTTAAAGAGTATTACTAAAGGGGATAAGAGATCCAGCCGGAGGCGATCCTCCATCAACTTTGTACAAACAACGAGGCCAGACAAAGGAGAACAATATGACACTAGGTACTAAACTTAAAAAGTGGTGCTACAAAAGTAAAGCTCAAGTGGTGCTGTAATAGTACTACTAAAAGATCGTGCTGTATCAACACTACTGGAACGATACTACTCAGAAACAGCACTCTATAGCACTACTGTCATAGACAACATAGATATATGCTACAATAGACGGCGGAAATGCGGATGGTATGTATAAAACATCGTTGCGAAAGCAATGAAAAGCCTATAAAATTATGCAAATTAAGGACACCGGACAAAGCAACGGGACGGGCGGTCGATTGATTCATCTATTTATCATCAGTGATTAGGGTTGTGTTGTCACGACGAGCGTCTTGTTGGGCCCGTACTGGCCGATGAACGATCCGTCCTCCGTGAAGCGGCCTGGATCACCGTCCCCGTATTCGGCCATCGAATCGGTCTCGGATTCGCCCGTCCGCGATCCCGTCAACGATCGCTGTTCTTCATCGTCGCTAAAATGTCATGGTTAAGATTAAGGAGAAGTATTTTTTAAAAAGTAGTTCATAACAACATACAAATAAAAATAGATAGAAAGCTTTAACAAGATCATGTTATCACTTTGGCAAGCTTGTGAATACAATACTTACATCTTGCCATAATCAGCAAAACCACGATCTTTTGGAGTTATTAGTTCTCGGCCTTGTAGCCGTTCTTTCTTTGATACTGGGTACTTCTGACCTCGCTTTCTACAACAGTAAGCGATCAAACAGCACAAGAAGAGGAGTACCAGTAAGATCAGTAGAATCAGGATAATCCAGTAGATTCTGGCGCTGTACGGAGCTGAAATAGCATTTAATTGAGTAAAGTAATGACGCTATAAGGCAAAACAGTAAGAAGTTATAGCTAAATTAAAAATTTTGTACCTAGACAATAAAGTAAAGTCATACAAATATTGTATTTTATTGTGTTAGTCAAGGTTTCTGTTTACATTACTTGATATTACACAGTAAAAACTTACAAATACCCGTTGTTATTAAAGAGTGCACTCTTGACTCTGTCTCTCTGACCGTGCCTCGGGAATCTGTTTGGACTGAGACTACCTCTACATCGTATTTTGTGCCTGGAGTCAGGCCATCTACCGTGGTATGAAGAGCAGAACCTTCTGGTTTCTTCTCCTACAACAACAACGTTTAACTTTAATAATAATTCTAGTTCAAAGTAAATAAAATTTAAAACCTCATTTAAATAAAAAATAAAAAAGCGTATTCGTATTCAAATAAAAAATTTCGTTAAAATTCAGAAAAAAACTTACTTTCCACTCGGTCTCGCCTTCCTCGCGGTACTTGACGTAGAAGGACTGGCCGACCGGTCGTTGTTCGTCCTCATTGTAGTCGCCGGGAACGAAGCTGACATTGAAGTGATGGTCGCCGATGCCTTCTGTGGTGAGAAGCGGCCTCGATGGATCGACTGAAATGTCAGAAGTGGCATTAAACGGAGCTGCCGAGCCACTCCAGACCAACAAACTAGCCAGAAGACAGATGATCATCTCAAACACTTATGTAACAGATTATAATAAAACGCGTCGTCATACGACGGCCGCAGGGGAAACAGTTTTCACTCGATTCAAAGAGGGCCTTTTAAACGGCAGTTGTCTCGCCTTCCTGCAAAACTCGCCCCGAACTAGCCCGGATGGACGGCCAAGAACAGCCGAGCAAAACCCCCGTTCCGAATGTCCTAATTTGAAAGAAAGTTTTGATTAAGAAAGGGAGGGAGGCAGCGATTAGACTCCTCTTTTTGATCCAATGCGATTACTGGAAACAAAACCAAGGCCATTCGTTGCGTAATGGACTGAATTAAGGGCCAGCTGAGCCCCCCCCCCCCCCATTCCCGACTTTGAAATTCGGTGAAATGTGCGCATTTTAAATATTAGGGGATCTGGTGGGGGCTCTCTCTGTTACTGACCTGCTGGGTGTATACCTACTCAGTAAACAAAGTAAATTATAGCGATCTGTAAATAGCGATCTGTAAACTATAATTTGTGACCTTGGAGTGGTCAGATGTCCGGAGGCAAAAAAGAAGTGGAAGGGTTGTCAACTCATGTCAATTGAAAGAAGTTTGTCTGTCGATACGACCGAGAGAAAGAAGGGAGGAGGTATTGCTCGAAAACAACCAAATTGAGACAAATGTGTTTGTCAGATCAATAACAATTAAAACTACTCACGTTGGAAGCGCAATGCCTCGGGCAGGGTCTTGGCGTCGGCCGAGTTGGGGGCTCCTTGCCCGGAGGCGGTGTGCCCGTACACTTTGAACCGGTAATTGGACTCGAATTCCAATTCGGATAGTCGGATTTCGGTAGTTTTGCCGGAAACCTCGATGGGCGGGGCTTGGCAAGCGACTTGTTCATCATTTACTCCATGCGTTCTACATTGCAGTACCGAGTAGTGGGTGAGACGGCCATTATTGGCACGCGGCGGCTCCCATTTCAGGACCACGATCCCCTTCTCCAGCGGCGACAAATTGTTCATGGGGTAAGCGTTCAGCTCTCGAACCGGGGTGGGTACTGTAAAGTTTATTTAAATTTTTGAATTTTAAGATTGTCTTTTTTATTTTAATGTTTATACAGTCTAAGTGTTGTAAACAACAAAACAATAAAACAGTCTTAGATAAAACACCCAAGGGTCATAAAACCTTGTTTACCGACTTCCTTTAAACACATTTTACGACATTGCTATCAAGAAACTTTTATGTTGCTTACCTCCTTCTCGTGTTCTGAATGTCAAAACTTCGCTTTTGGGACCTTCGTGCTGTTCGGTCAGTACCTGTACCACGGCGTAGTTTTGTGCATTCGGCTTTAACCCGTGAACTGTCACACTTGTAGCGTCTGGAGCCACCACTACCGACTTCATTCTTCTACTTTCAGGAATCTGACGTCGACGTCGCTTCAGATGTTTGACGTCGTCTTCAGCCGGAAGATCTTCGTCTTCGTGCCAGAACGTGACCTTGTAGCCAGTGAAGTTGGCTTGGATCTGAGAAGGATCAACTCGGTCCCAGTGGAAGGTAGCTGACGTTGAGGTAACACCTTCAACTCTGAAGTTCTCTGGTCTGACTTCAGGCACTGCTTCTCCAGTTCGGCCGTCAATGGTTTGGGGTTCGACCAGAGAAGCACCGTGACGATTCTTGGACTTTACTTGGAATTCGTACGACTTCATGGGTTGAGGATTCTCGAATTCGATTGTGGCTGTATCGCTGAAGGGGTCGCTGACTTCCATGGTCTTCCATTGGCCGCCTTCCTCCTTCTGAATATGAATCACGTGAGTTTTTAAAATTTTAAAACTTTTATTGCTAATAGCATATAGAACAATTAAATTTTTAAATTTATAAAAAGCTGATACGTTTTTAAAACGCTGTCTTACCGGTCGATAAAGCACTTCGTATCCAAAGTCTCTGCCATTCCACTCATCTCGCGGCATCGGATCCCATGTTACAGTAAGCTGGCCAGGGTTCGTGCTTAATGTCTTAACGTTGGCAGGGTTCCTGTAGGGTTGTTTCTCGTCAGTGTCACATTGTCCTTTGACTTTTGTGGGGGAACTGTCCCCTACTGTATTCCTAGCAATCACTTGGAACACGTAGCGACCGTACGGCTTCAGAGCAATGGTAGCGTTGGCCTTGACGTGCCTAGCTGAAGCCACGGCTTCATTGTCGATGGCACTGATTGGTACTGGATGTACCTTCCATTGGACTAGCTCAACGCTAGGATCAGCCATGTACCTCACCCTAAACACAAAATATCTACTATAACATACGATCACTTACCAAAATTCTTTGACTGGTACCACGGTGTTCTTAGATTCCAGGTGCTCGAAGTATATCGTGGCTGTAGCAGTCTTTCCATCACATCGTTCGATTCTGGCAGCATGTGGAGGACCAGGAACATCTTGTACGCTGATCTTGACACTTTTCGAAGATTCATCCAGCTTCGTCGATGCCGTGCACTGATAGTCTCCAGAATCGAACTGAGTTGGATTCTCGATGGTCAAAGTGTTGTCATCGTCAATCACGAATTGGCCACTTTCTATCTTCGACTGGTCTAATGGCAGGCCGTCTACCTTCCATGTGTACGTCACATCGAGATCGTCATCGTGGTCAGCGCTACACGGCAATTTCAATGCTCGGCCAGCCTGGACTACCTGTATTGGCTCCGTGAATGGCTTCAGAAGCGTCGGCTCTAAATTTAAATTGTGAAATGATTGTTTTCACTTACTTCTCACTGATAGTTTTATCGTCCCTTTGGCTGTACCGTACTTGTTTTTGGCTACACAGTCGTATTCACCTTCATGGTCCTCTGTCACTCCTAAAATAGTCATATTAATTTTTCATTTTGAATTTTTAAAAATTAGTTATCTTACACAAAGAGCTGTAATAATATTAACAACAACATATAAAAATTTAATATTTAGGAAAAAAGCCTAAACTCACGTTCGATGGTGAGATGAGCTACACCTTGTGAGTCGACTTCGGTACGATAATCTTCACCCAGAAGCGATGGATTCTCCCAGGTGACGTTGGGTAGTGGGGAAGCGAAGAACTTGCATTCCATGTTGAAGGGTTTACCTTCTACAGCCTCGACTTCACTCGGCTCTTCCAGCAACCTCGGGCCAAAGGCTAACAAGTTCAGGTAAAAGTTGGTCCACAGATAGCCGTGCTTATTCTCTGCTTTACATTGGTAGACGGCGTTGTCGCCCATGCCATTGACACCCTTTCTGACATTGTGAAGAACCAGCTTCGTCTTGTCGATCTCCCAGTTGCCAGGCGTGGACTCCTTGGTCATTTCTAAAGGAAATATGATGAACAAGGCCATGATGGGGTGACATAGCATAGATAGCACAATAACACAACATACCGACTCCATTCTTGTAGAAAGTGACGGTGGGGACCGGCTTTCCGATGGTTCGGCAGTCAAAGACAACCGTCTCGCCTTCGCTCGTGTTCGTGTTGGGCGGAGGGCCTCCGGGCCAATATGGAGCAGCTACAAAGAAATGAGTCATTTCCCGAGATTCGTCACGGTTTACAACAACATATACGATGTTAGAGTGTTCTTGCAAATTAGCATAGTTTATGTATACTATGATACAGGTATCAATGGCCCTCAACACTCGACCATCTACCATAACCTACCATCTACTACAACATCAAAGACCCGGTCAATGTCGTTGTGATTGGGGAACTTGCAGTCGTACTTGCCAGCCTTCTCTGGCGTCGCATTGAAAGCCAGTGTCTTTCCATAGGCTTCGAAGAAGAAGCCTTCGGCGTTATCTTGGCTGATCTCGACTCCGTCCTTGTACCAAGTCGGGATTGGCTCGGGACTAAAATGACAATAACGATTACTGCTGCCACAACTTACTATCCTGAGAAGAGACAATGCAGTTTGTATGTTTGGCCGACTAAAGCGATCGGACTTGACCGGTTGACGTACTGTTCAGCTGGAGGTATTAGGGCTGAATCTTCTACTGAAATGGTTAATTTTTATTATTTTGTCATCTCTCAAGTCATCATTGATTAGGTTATGATAAGTTTAGCTAATTAAATTTTTGATTTATAAATGTTGCGTAATATGTGTCACGCCTTTTCTTTGTTACGTAACTGTTAAATTTAGGAATTCACAACGCTTAATCACGTTGTTCCTTCCCATTGTAACCGATACTCCCTTTATTGTTTGTTTTGCATAAGAAATGAGGACTTACGGCTTCTCCTCTTGTTAGTCGTCACATTCAGCTTGAATTGGCTTCCAAACTTGTAGTCCTTGATCTTGGTGTTCTCGGCCGTGCACGTGTAAAAGCGGTCGATCTTGAAATCGGACTGTTTAACATGGTGAAAGAAAATGGTACCCTAAAAAAGAAACGAAACTGACCGTGAGCAAACATAGAATCCCAGCTAAAATTGTTGTTCTGTGTTTGGGCCGCTGGCAGGGTGGCGCGGTCGCTAGCGGCCGGGCGCCGCGCCTTTGCAGCATGGCTAGGCTAAGACGAAAAGGAAGCTCGGCCCTCAGGCGTTGGTCCCAGTTTCCTATGACAATGCGGTTAGGACAAAGTCAAGTAGTTCTCGCTTATTAACTACACGTTACATTGGCTTCACGTTACATTAACTTCACGTTATGGTCTCTCAACTACGCGTAATAAGTTACAAACCCATAATGGCTAACTCAGACTGGACACAACAAACTTCTGGCTCTCTCATCAGGACTCTTTAACGCCGCCTAATGAATTACTGGCTCAATACATTATCATGGAATAGGTTATGGGCTCGAATGTAATAATGAGGAGGCCAAACCGCTTAAGCGTTCTTCCACAGCCAGGCCAAAGACCCGCGGAAAGATCGGGATCGCAAACAAAAGTCGAGAGCGCGGGTTAAAAGCGTCACAAGAAGACACTCATGCTTGCTGGTCTCCACACATCCGGTGTCCAAGAGGCGGCCAAACATTACTCGTTTAGGAATTTGTGCCTGGTTATGAATACATTTGTTACAACAAATCGCCCTCCAGATTTATAGCCCTAGTACACGATGCTATTTCGGGTAGTAATTAGGGTGAAAAAGTGTAGTATCATGCAGGAAAACAAATTTGGGTAGATAATTTCTAAACAAAACGTACGTTTGTTTAGAAATTAAAGCAAAAAGCGTCTACATTAAGTAACACCAGACCAACATTAAGTAACATGCTTTTTCTGAAGTCTTTTTCAAATAAATGTGAGGACAGACATGTTCAAAGTCAATAGAAATGACTATCATAAAACGAATAGCCTCTTGAAGCCCCAGATTCCCATCATTTGCATGTTGGGAACAAAACCAAATCTAATTTGTACCAAACAACCTTATAAACGTGAGAACATCCAAGTTGGAGGATCTTCGGGCCGACTGAAACAACAACTCTGTGGACTTCTCCCCGCTCCCCCCACCCCCTGCCCTGGAGCCATTTTTGGCAAACGAAAGACGAGGGAGAGACCTTTGGGAGTGGGAGTTGCGGGAGGACTTAGACGCGCCTGTTTCAGCGTCTCCATGCCCTAAAGGAGTGCGCAAAGTTTTTTTCTTCGGCCGGAACCAATCGGACGGCCAAGAGATGAACGACGCCGTCCAAACCGTCCGCCGTTTTGGGGAAATATGGCATTTAAAAAGCCAAATCCGATGTCAATCCGGGAAGAGTCACTACATACATGGCTCAACAAACAGCAAAGACGACACGCACCTTGGGAAAACAAGCCCTGAGGACAGGTGGCCTCGAGAGCCGGCTTTCGAACCAGATAGTTCTGGTTTCATGGACTAGGTAAACCGCGTTTTATGTTATCTGCCCCCTTATCTGGTCCCCCGACGCCCGTCCCGGCCCGCTAGTACATCTATGCAAATATGATGGCTATAGTGACATTTGGCGGCTGACGTTTAATTTCCCATTTTGGAATTAAACGCTTTTTTCGAATTACAGTACGAATAAGGGGAAACAAGTTTGTAGTAATTTATGACAAATTACAAGTAATAGCCGTTGGAAAGTTTAAAAAAAGCAAATTAAAGCAAGTTTTTTTAAACTAAAGTACGAAAGTAATAGAAATTTGACATTCGGTATGACTTTCATTACAATTAATACTACTTTTTAGTAGTAAACAACTTTTTGCAACATGGCAACTAATTGCCATCAAAAAGTTGTACGAAATAAAGTGAAATAAAGCCCCGGGGCACTTTCTGACTGGCATCAAACAGCTTCGAAAGTATTCTCAAGTACCCATTCCTACTTTTTACCCTTTCTCCAGAGGTGTTCGGCCATAATAAAAAACAGAAAAGGCAATTAAATAACGGATAATTTATTTAGCCAGGCGAGAAAAACTAGCTGCGGCGGTGTACATCAAAGGAAAAACTTGTTATCAAAACTTGTAACAACTGATTGTTGTCTTTGGGGAGTTTAGACAGCCGGTCATGTCATAGTGGACAAAAAGACGTCATAGAGGACACGAGAGAGGTCGTAGTGGACAAGAGAAGGCATAGTACACAAGCAAGACAAGTAGAAACACCACAGGATCGGTTACTCGATCCAGCACACAGAAATGAGTCAAATAAGTTTGAGTCAAGCTTTCAGATCGGTTAGTCATGAGCTTGCGCTTACTTTAAAAGCATAGTTAATATAAGCTATTTTAAAAATAAATTTCCAGTAAAACACCTAAAACAATATAAAAAGCTCATAAACAATGAAAATATTCTGAAGCTGTATTATTCACCCCCCGGCTCTATTATCGCCTCTAAACATGCGCAAAAAGTATAGGAACAAGCCTTGTCCAATCGCATCAGATTCGAAAAGTCATCCGGGCAGAAGACGTGAAAGAACGACGGCCATAATCTCACGCAACCCCTCCCCACCTCCCACCCCAACCATCATAATCAGCTGTTCCAGAAAGACATGAGGTGAGCTTGTTTCATATTTAAATAGTCGGGGCGTCAAACAGCCCCACCTGCCCTTTAATTACGGACCTTCCCCATTTGGGCTAATTATAAACAATTCCCACTGATTTGCAGAGCAGAGCAAGATGGAGGTGCGAGAGTGAGGCAAAGTAATCAAATTTTAAAACAACATTAGCAAAGTTTACAATTACAAATGGAGACCTTGCACTGAAAGGAAACCATAGTTGTAGTGGCTTAAGAGCCCATCTAGTGCAATATTGGTCATGTCTAATATTATAATTACAGTGTTTAAATATTAAAATTAACGTGCATCTTTAATCTCCACATTATAATTAAATTGCGCAGACAGCCAAAAAGAAAGTTCGAAATGGTTTGAAACCCTCCAAAACTTTGCAGTAAAAACTCCAAAAACACCCCCAAAACTTGTTATACTTGCACAAATTGCGGAAACTTATGGTTCCCATTGAAACGGTTAAAACAACGTTCGGTCCCTCGAATCGGGATCAAATCCTCAATCTCGCGCACCCCCCCCCCCCCCCCCCTTCCCTGACAGCCAGCCTTCAGCCGTCTCCAGGATGTTGTCAAGGCCGCGCGGCGTTTCTGCTCCCTCAAAAGCTCATGCAAATTTTATTATTTTCCTGTAATGGACGGACAATATGCAACAAGTCTGTTTTCTGGAATCAAAAAACCTTCAAGGACGTAAAACAAACACAAATAAGTTCTCAAGTCTCGGAAGAGGGGTTGCGCCCTAATACTCTGGGGTAATCGGTCAAGGCTTGTTAAACACGACCGGTTATTAATACCTTTTCCAAGCGCACAGTGCAAAAGTGCTGCTGTTTGAGGGTTCGGTCGGTAAATTAGCAAACAGTAAAACATTTTGCTTGAGGGTTTGTATTAATTTTGATAGAAAGGTGATAAAAAAGTGAAAAAAAGCCTTACATAGCAAAAGAAAAACTGTTTCTATGGACGCTTTTTCCTAACTAGTATACTCAGACACTTGTAATAAGCCGAGCTAATACTTATCAAACAAAAACTTGAGCTTTTCCTATACAATTCCTTCTATGGCTTCCGAAATTAGTACAGAAAACCCAGAAACCGTCTAGTATTTCCGAAACCCCTTAAAACTCAAGGTATTTGAGAACCTTCAACGCGTCGACCATTTAAATCCACGCAATCAGAATCCAACGTCGCTATGCCTTCGGCGCCCAAACACAGTTAATTAAGTCAATTAGACCGACCTGATCGTTTGTCGAGATGTGGGATGAGTTGATCGTGCCGAAAGAGCCCGGCTCACTTCCCATTAAAATCCAATAAACTCTGGCCGTCGGATTCGAAGCCGGCGGAGTGCAGTTGCGATGATAAGGATCACCGAGCTCCACTTGCACCACTTCTGGTTGTTCTTCGTCGAACAGTTGGATAACTAAAGCAACATCAATTTGCTACTTCTCGAATTAAATATTATAATTATTAAATTGTGAGACAATATTATTGTAAAACATTTAAAATTTAAATAAACTTACAAGCAGCCTCAAACTTGACCCTCTCTGAAACGGCTGTGCCATTTTCATTGATAGCCAAACATTCATAAACTCCCTGATCTTCCAAAGTCAGTTGTGAGAGTGTGAACGTTCCTTCGCCTTTCTTCTGTTCAATCCTTTGAGCATAGACTTCTAATGGGAAGGGAACTCCATCTTTCCTCCACTCGTACCTAAAATAACATGAAGTTTTTTATTTTTATGTAAATCCAAGCCAAATCAAGCTATTTCATTTAAAAAACATAAAAAAATACCTTGTTTTATCTAAAGTCACATAAAACTTAATGATTGTTCCCAAATTCCCATAAATATTTAATTAATATCAAATTGTATAATAACTTTTCGAATAAAATATTGTTTTCAAGTCAAATTCTAAACATGTAAAAAGAAATGTCAACGAAACAATTCGAAAAGTAATTTATAATATTGCCTTCGCATACATAAAATATGAAAAAACTGATTGAAGGTAGTGACATGGCTAGAATTCTCAACTATAGAAAGATTGAGTAAAAACATTCGAAACCAAAATTATTTTTCAAAAAAATAACAAAAAATTAGAAATATTTTTTTTTTTCAAAAATTGGGGTGAACAAATTGTTTCAGGATTGGTTTATGTTACTTATTATACATTGATTTAGACTTTAAAACTCTGTTTTCAAACATAATTTCTCAAAATTAAACAAAAATTGTCTCGTACCTTGGCTCTGGAACACCAGCAGCTTTGCAGTTGAAGGTGCGTGCTTTCAGATGGTCTAGATTGTCACGGTCTGGCGTGTTTTCCAGAATATAATACATTATGGGGAGATTGGGCTCGTGGATAAAGTGAGGTGGAGTCGGTAACAAACTGAGATCGCGATCTTCTAGGTACCCGTGGCATAATGCTGAAAAAAGTTTCATGATAAAAAGTTTCAAGTATTATTACTTGGCAAAGTTGGTTTTTTTTAAATCGTTTATGACTTGGAATTGCATTTTTAAAAAAAGTTGCGAATCCGGGTGGCTGAACTTTAAGTTTAAACGCTCTCTAAATGACTAAACAGCAAGTGTTACACTTTAAAATTATATGAATCATGCTGTAATCAAAGTAGAATCCTTAAAAAGCTTAAAATAAAATCAAAAACTCAAATGATTTTTTAAAATTACCCAAACAACCCACCGGCTAAACATATTATCCATGATATTTGGGTGAAAAGCGGGCTTCGGCCGCCGCCGGCCATAGTTTTGACCAGAGGGGCGATGATCGATCTGAAAATGATTGTTGTTATATGATTGCGCGATGACAGCGTTTATTGTTAACCCAAACAGCCCGCTCCGGATGAGTGGGAAATGAAAAGTGGAAATGTGAATGAACAAATTATTATTACCCAAACTAACAGTCAAGGTTGCAAAAGTCGGCGGAATGCGCGGTTTTGATAAGTGCAAGGGATAAGGAAGGGAACGAGACCGGAAGTGGGGGACGGTTGGTCAGACGAGGTGCTCTTCCATGCTCGGAACGGTCAGAAAAAGGCTGCTTTTACTCATAACAGGGGAGCATCACGTTATGACAGCCTCAAAAGGTATGGGAATCAAAACAAATTGGTTTACGGTAGCAGGGAAAGGGTAATATAAACAAGGTCTTACATCTTTTAATTATAAAAAATATTGACATTCTGCAGTATAAAGTAAGCTAAACGTACAATATAATGTTTGAAGGTAAGTCTAAGACCAGGTTTTCTTAAAATACAAGCCCACTTACAGTAGCGGTTATATCAATTACGCATAGCAATTGCCCTTTCAACCCTCCCCCCCCTCAAATGCCGCGCCTCTCAAAGCAAATTCCAAAAAGCAAAATAGGCTGGAAGAAGACAAAAGTGCAGGATTTTGCATCAAAACAATAACCAGCCGGACGGACACCTGCGTGAAGCAAGGAACAAGCAATTAGAGAGAATGTCACGCTCTCCCCCCCCCCTCCCCGATCCGTCGTATGCCCATCAATCACCGTCTACACCTCCATGCCACAAGACTGCGGTTTTGTGTTCGGCTGACTCAAAAACGGCCTGACTGACCATTCTTTTCATTAAAACTTTGCCGCACTTTAACACAACATATTAACCTTTGAGAGGGGTCAAGAGCTTAAGAGAAAGGCGATTGTTTGCTGACAACGTATTTAAATTGATTCAGTTACCTCAGGGGTTATAATAGTTTGCCGAGGGGATTATAAGCTAAATCATGCAGTAAATAATGAAGAATTCAAATTAGAAACGGCTTAATCACCTGAGGGAATGCAAACTTAGAGGCCGAAAACTCTTTCCAAAGATAAGACCAAAAGCGGCCCATGAAATCTGAAGGCGTTATCCGTTTCGAAAAACAACGACTGCATAAGAAACATTAGTTTGGTGTTATAGAACGAGAGGGCTCAGACCAAATCATATTAAAATTCACCAATCTCGATTAAACGACCGCGGACCCAAATTTACTCCAAAAAACCGAAAGTGTGGCCCAGCCCGGCCAAGAAATCGAGGCCAATTCAGGAGGGGGGAGGTCATTTACGCAATATTTGTTTACGGGCCGCACCAGCCCGCTAACTGCCCGCTAGGCGCTGTGGGAAAAGCCAATTTGACATTAATCCTTAGCCGAGAGTGTTAATTAGCTAATTAGCTAGGTTGCGCAAGTGGTCTGGCAATTTTTCGCTCTGCTGGCCACGAAACCCTTCATTTGTACTAGGAGTCGCCTCAGGGGATTTCCCAAAACATTGTTTAACCGCCGGACCGACAAGAGGTTTGAGAGATAACATCGAGCATAATACGTACATCCAGCTCCAGCCAAGTCATAAACGGCTAGCCCACGCCCTCTGGCCCCTAATCTAATCAAAGTGACCCTTTCAAAACTTGGAAATCAGTTTAGAGCGAAACGGCCGCGCGACCGAACCAGCGACAAAGGAAATTAAAAAACTTTAATGCCATTCCCTTTACGAGATCCAATACGATGCTAACGACAATGTAAACGAAACGAATTAATCCCCTGAAGGCGCCAAACCAAATGAAACTTTATAAGGCAGGACGGGACGAGACAACAGCAGCTCGTTATGCTCATAAGCAGATGGTCTTTCGAGATTTTTTGGCGCGTCAGCTTAATAGGCCGAGAGTCGAGAACGGGTCGAGAGCAGAAAAAAGTATAACATAAGAAGGGAGGTCGCGCAGCCTGCCTGACCGCTTATTCTTCCGCCGGCCGTGGCCGAGGTGAAGCCGGAAATTCAAGTGCAAACAATCCCCCCGACTACTTAACCAGCCCAAAAAACGGCAAGGTCAAAAAGTCGAGAATTTATGAATCCCGGGTAGCCTGTTCTCACTCTGACATTGCCATCGCCCCACGCCCCATCGGACTTGATTTATGCGAGGGAATGCCCCGTTGCGTATGATGGATATTCATTTAAATGGGCTCCAAATTTGCATGGAGAGAAACATCTAATTTGTCATAATCGGTTTCCCCGATCAACAACATGGCATTCTGATGGATAAACAACGTCAGAATAGTAGATATTTTCATAAATTTAATGGTTTTATCAGTTGTCTTACCATAATATATGATAATATACGACGTTTTGGTTCAAAATGTTTCCAGATAAACTACTGTTTTGATAAGAAAACATATAAAAGTACATAAAACATGCTATGAGTTAATTTGACATATTTTTCATAAAACATATTGATACTACACCTTAAAAACAACATCATAACACAATATTATACACATTATTGACCACGCAAATAGGGTTATAAAGTACCATAACTTGTTTTATGTTTGCATTTTACTGCCATCGTAAAATTCATAAAATGTGAAATTAGAATATTCAGATGGCTGAACTCGTCGCGACATAAAACTGGATCAAAATTACTCACAACTTTGGATTTCAAACTAAAGATTCCAAAATTTCAAAAAATAAGATCTCAAAGATTACATTTAATATTTTAAAATTTTTAAAAATTTTTCCAAACACCCCCAAAGCCTTATGCAAATGTTGTGGTTACCCGCCTCTCCACACTTATGTTACAATTGATATAATTACCGCCGCCCCCCCCCCTCAAAAAATGAAATTGTTTGAAAAGCGGACCATTTAAAACATAATGCGCATGACCGGCTAATTGTCCCTTCAAAGGCAACTGATCCCGCTGTTCGATGGCTAACCAAATAAAGCTAATAATGCCGTCTCCATATAATAATGCCACACCTACCGTCTTGCCGGGCCCTTTGTTATGGAAATCCAGCATTAAAAATTTGCGAGAACTTTTGGACCGAATTTATAAATGCATGAGACAGCCCTTGCCTTCGACTGGCAAGTGTTTAGTTCTCGTTATTGTGACGACTTAATGGTTTCCAAAGTATTGTAAGTTCTTTTTAAGTGCTTCTGAGTTTTATTGGCTCGGTCAAAAAGTAAGCGGAAAAATTATCAAACAAGAGGGTCTTGTAGACATTTTTAGTTCTTTTTACTTTTTGACCAGATTCTATTATTTTCTCAATTACTCATTGTCAAGAATAATGATAATAATTTGTTTTTTATTTTTTTATTTTCAAATTTTAAAATATTTCAAGGTCATCATTTTGGCGCGCAACTTCGGGCGCACGTCGCCTCCTCCGAACGCCCTGAAAGTGTAATGGTCGGAAACCCTAATGGCTAATGTCTCCGACCGAACGCTATCTACAATCATGATGGGATAAAGAGAACCGCAACCAGATTAAGCCTCGCATATATTATTCACACGTCGTGTTCCCTGAATAAAGTTGTAATTAAATCACATCATGTCAGCTGCTGTTTTATTGTCAAGTCTTAGAGGGTTAAGGGGCTTTCTCTTCAATTTACATAATTGTAAAATGTATTTTTTGGGAGGGGAAGTGTGGTATCTTTGGTTGAAGTGCCATCTTGAGCAAGGTGTGTTGTATTTGTTAGTATAGTAAATTGAGTTGTATGTAGTAATTGAGAGCATTACAATATATGTTTTATAGTCTTGTTGCCTCCTTAGTACTATAATTTGTAGCTTTTACTCCGTAGTAAAGTAGTTATACCACTATCACGTTGCAAAGCTTGTTTTTGAATGACAAAGTTAATGTTACCAAGTGATAAACAAGCAAAAGCGGATAGAAACCACGTTCTTGTAGTATATGATATAATAAAGCCTAGTGTAATATAATTACAGGTTTCAAATAGAAATTACCTTTGTTGCCATTGTTTATCATCTGTAGAACACAATCTGCAGCTGTAACCAAAGGACATCCATCTTCTCTCACGTTGTGGCTAACTGTGGTTCGTATTCTTGGGGAGGGGTACCTCCTTAGTTTGTGGTCTCTCGATATAAATTGTTAAACCCTGCATTAAGTTCTGTCACTTTCTCTCGATTCCGTCGTTTTAAAATGTTTGTTTGTAGCGAATATCCAGAAACCAGCTCAGGTGAGTAAGGCATTGTGATAGGGTTAATTGTGGTCAGAAAGTTTATAGAATTGTCTCCTCGTTATACGTTTGGTCACCTTGATCGTTCTATGAAGTTCTTGATCAAGTATTACTTTTGGTTTAAAAAAGGCTTACCTATGTTTAACTTCAACTTTTTAAAATTTTTTTACGAATTTATCGACCAACAACATTAAACTATAAAAAATAAACTATAAAACATCGGCTTTACTAGCTAGTTCATCTTCCACCGTCTATTACACCAATCTACTACAATATTCACAGCTCCGTGGAGCTATTGTCCTATTCACACTAACACCCGCGTCTTGAATCTTAACCCCATTCGCACCTGGAGATTGTTCCAATAGATAGTTACAGCTTCCAGCGAGGAAGACCAGGACCCACAAGCCACGCCAGATAAGCATCGGTATCTGCTGAAACGCCGTTCCACTGTGCATTCGGTCTTCCCCTTCACCCAGAACGACGCCTTTGCCCGAGATCATTCGGCCGACCGGCGAGAGGAGAGCTGTGCCCAGTTCCTAGATATGCAGTAAGTCCTGTATTGTATTGTGATGTGTCATGTTGGTATTGACATAGGAAGATTGATAAAGCGTTTGTTTGCTACAATGACCTTTTTGGAATTACTGTAACTTTCGATCACCATAAGCTTAAAAGTGATCGTTTTTATCTTAAATTCCTTCAAAAAATTATGTTTTTAAAAACTACAATAGTATCCTATACGTAATGTATTCCTATATAGCTTAATCTTGTAGATATGTACCCTCATCGTCGCCAGACTCTGGTAACGTCGAATTGGATGAAATAGACTCAGCATCGTCAGCTGACATTCGTCTGAAGCCCTGCAACTCCAGATGGAAGAATACCAAGAGTTCGTTGGATGAGATATGGAGTGAGTTCGTCGATGGCCTAAAAGACAACAGAGACAACTACAACAACACATATTTGGTCGACCAGGGTAAACTGAGTGCCTCTGTGTTGGGAAGAGATATTCAAAGATGTTGTAAGTAAATTTATGTCACAACTATTACCTAAATTATTAAAAATTGAGTTTTTGATTAAAAATGTCTATAATTTTTCATAAAATATCAAAGATCATGCCATTTCTAGTAAATGTGATTAAGTAAAGTGATGTAAAAGTGCTTTGGCGCTATCTTTACTTCGTTTTTGACCATTTTTCAATAGAGAAAAGCCACCATTAGTCATGTTGTTGTAACAATTGTGGACACTTAATGTTTACACTGTAACTTGTCTTTGCAGTAGTCGAAAGTCACTTTTACCTTGAGTTTGGAGCCGGCCTCTGGGACATTTGTACGTGGAAGACGCCGCTGGCCTCACTATGCTTGTTTGTGGTATACATGAACTGTGTGTACAAGGAGATGCTCATACCTGTCATCTACTGCCTCCTCCTGCTACAACTCGGCATCAACTATCTTCAAACACAAAAGTAATTCAATTTTATATACCAACAATGTAGTTTAATATAGGAGACATGAATAAGATAGGATACATTGCCAAAAGTGTCTTTACTGTACCGTATTATATCAAAACTAAAAGCTAAATTACTTCCAGCTTTTAAAAATAAAGATACTGTAACATACTTTTAATACGGAAAACAGAAGTCACTGTAAAACGTCGTATAATCAACGTTTTACCAAGTAATTGATATAATACTTGTTGTTTTCTTGACCGTCGCATGTACGACTAGCTTTACTACGCTACTTTAATTTGTTTTCCAATCGAAAAGCTGTCAAATTGTTTTCGAAACGATCTGTTTTAATCTGTAAAAGGGCAGTTGTCTGATTTTGTTAATCCTAAGATGGTTAACATACCGACGCCATCTCTTACTTTTACCGCGATCGCAGTTAAAAATATATCAAGCCTAATTTTTAATTGTTAAATTTAAAGGTTAAGCTTTAAAGTAGAGCCAAAATGCTAAAGATTATATTATATCAGCTAAGAAAAAGTAAAAATACCAAAAATTACAGAAATATTGACATTGGCCTCAACTTTCTGCCCAAAAGGACAGTGCCATTACCTAAATTTGACCTTAATGGAGCGCAATTGATATTCTACGTGGCCAAGAAAGCCCAATTACTACTCACTTTTTGTGCTGATGGTTTGGAAAAGTTACGAGCGTAAGTATTACCATCTATTATATTATACTTGGTCCCCTTGTTTTAGATGTCTTAACATTATCATAAAAATGGTTGTTCAAGAACCTAAATTTATTTTTCTTTCAATGTAATATACTTTTGAAGACTATCTTCAAAGCTTAAAACTTTGTTAACAAAGCGATCTTCTGACCTTCAGACCTTGTGGATGTCTTTGTTTAAACTATTGTTTTTGTTTTAGATTATTTATGTGGAAGAAGCCCGAGGTTACGGTGAAATTCGTCCTGATATTATCGTTCTTCTTCTGGTTACATGTTTTGACATCGCTGAATACATTTTTGATTGTAATCGGTAGGTTTTGCTCGTTATTCTTTCGAAATACAAGATAAAACAATGTTTTTGTGTTTACGGTCATAAGGGTAGACTAATATTTACAAAACTGAGACAGTAGACAGATGCGATCCCTCACCTGCTTTATCAGAAAAATCTAAAAAGGTGATAACGACAAATGTAGTAGCTAACATAATATAACTATTTTAATAAAAATATTGTTTTAGGCTGGCTATGTGGCGGAAAAGCCTTCATGATGACATATCTTTATTACCGCTTCCCTCGCTTACGACAGATGTTCGACATTGCCTTCTATTTCTACCGCCATCTACCTAAATCACCGCATAAATTAACCAAAATGGAGAAGAAACCTGGCTCATTAAGGAGAAGAAGCGAGACCATCTCAGAGATCACTACTGAACACTCCAGCAAGGTAAGACACCATCAGATACGAAGCCTTTCAGCTTTTCAGTAGCAATGCGTTGCAAAAAATGTAAAAGATCAACAAAAATAATACTTTTTTGGGACAAGTTTCTCATTGAATGCCGAAAGTTGAGTCAACTTTTTCTATCATTCAATAATAGATAACGTAAATTTGTTGTAAAATTATCTTGTTTCAGTGGAAGACTCGTTTACTACGGAACAACTCGAATGTCACAAATGTGACGGTAAAGACTTGTAACACAAGTCGACAAGGATCGTTCGACAATTCATCTGAATCCTTCTGTTCCTCATCGTTGTCTGCTGAAAGGAGTCGAGATGATGTGCTGTTTGAACTTCGTATGTCTTTATTTTAATAGTTTATAATATCCATTTTATTTTTGCTGGAATCTGTAAGATACGGTGCTAAAGTTCTGGGATAATATTATAGGAAAATTATTACGTTGTATATTTTTGTCAAAATTAAAATCTAGGACGATATGCCTAGTTTATGGCTTGGTTTCTATACTATATTGCTTTTACAGGTCGGCCTTGTTCTTTGATCGACAAAAATCAGATATTCCCTAAGGGTTTTACTCAAGGAGAACTTATCCTGAATGATTCGTAAGTTGTTTTTACTTTCTATGTCTTATATTATTGTTCTTTGAAAACCCTTTGTTATATTTATGTCGAAATATGTGTAGGTACTGTTTTTGGAATAATTTTAACAATACCTCTTTAAATACGTTTTGTCCTAAAATACCTTTTTCTCAAAGAAAATAGAATAATATGTATGTTTTGTGTATATAGTTGTGTTTTGTCTTTATAAACTACATCGTTATTATGAAATACTTTACTTTGTACGTTGAATACATCTTCGTATGCTTTGTATGTTGAAATAGGCATTGTAAGCAAATTGAGTTTTTAATGTTTGTGCTGTCAATAAACGAACGGTTAATTATGTCTTTGCAGGATGTTGATGTTCACCTACAAGAGCTCCAAGACTGACTTGGTGGAGACGATTGAAATGCCTTTTGAACAGTTTGTTAAGATCAAAAAGGTAAACAACAGTTTCCCATTTAGAAAGTCTAGCAATTTACAGTAGAAGAACTGTAAATTGTAGATAAGATAATATTGAAAAGGGAAAATAGAGTAGCATGGCAGTTTAATTGCTATTAGTCTTTTAATTGTTAAAATTTACTTTGATATCCATATTAACATGTACATATTTTAGATTCGTGTTCTCAAAACGATAGGAAAACTGATCCCCGGAGGCAGTAAAGGCATCGAAATCTCGTTGAAATCGAAGCCGAAGCCATTTCGATTCATTCGAATTCGGAAGTGTGACGAGTTTTTCGAGTGTCTACAACAAACTGCGCATGTTTACAATGTGGATGTGTCTACAGAGCAGTAGATCTCTTCGTGTATTGAGTCCGGGTTACTGTAATTTGATGCTGGTTACTTTAAAGTACTTGTTACTGTATATATTGATGATTTCGGCTATATTTTCTATGTTATATTGTTTGTGTTGACTCGTATTAGGCTTTTTTGCTTCTATTGTAGTGTGTATATGGCTTTAAATTGATATATTCTACATTATACAGTATATATAACTATAAATATGGCAAAGCATTGCATTATATTTGTACTCTTCTTATCAGGGCTGGGAAGGGGATCCCTCTTGCTTTTAGATCAAAGTCCTCCGCCCCGTTCTTATACCTGCACATATTTGTTTGACTATAGTAGGATATATGATTATATAGTGGTCATTGTGCCTGTTTATATTGTAGAGGATATAAATATTTATTTTGATTGTTTTTCAATTTGCATATCGTGTCAGTTCTCACGCTTACTTTCGTGTTGGGTACTGTAACTTGTTTGTGGTGGTCACGTTTGTACTATATGTAATTGTATTTGTGTAGTAACAATTACTATATATTTCTAAACTGGTGTATGCATGTATAGTTTTGTAAATACTATAGTACTGTACCTTCTAGTAGCTTTACTGCAACCATAAGGTATGTTACATTTATTAAAAAAGTAAAATCAACAAACGGAAGACCTGGTAGATGAGACAAAAGTAATGTACAACGTGTATCTGATATCCTGGCGTAGTTTGGGGCACTGTGAATGTGGTGTGAGTTAGACGCTGCTCATGGCGTTGTCCAGATGCTTGCCTTCGTTGTCGTAGTGGCGAGAGTTGTTCTGATGCAGCACCAGATTCTCCTCCAGATTCGAGGATTCGCTGATCGTCGTCTGACGATGGCTACGGCCTTTGGAGCTGGCGTCGTCGTTGTCGCTCTTCTGCTGACTTCGGACGCAGCAGAAGCTGATTCTGGACCCTTCGCCCGACTTCTTGCCCTGCGAGCGGACCGAAGCCAGCGACGTGAACGGTGGCGGAGTGTTCTGCTGGGCGTAGTCGTAATCGATCTCGGTCTCGTTGTATTCTCGTTCCTAAGCGACCGGTATTAATATGCACAAGATTTTAAGTGTTTTAGAATGACACTATTCGTATGTTTTGGCACAAAATCAAAAATGCTATTTTCAACCGAGAAAAAGAACTGAATAATTTCACAACTGATGGTATACAGATTGATAATAAAAGCCGCATTAAATCAGTTTTTAGCTCAAAAAATTGAAAACCTTTAAATAGTGATTTGAAGGTATTTTAGCAAAAGATAGTAACCCAACTTACTGTAGCCCGCTCTAAACACTGTAGCAAGTGATGGTGTTGTATTTCGAATATATCTTCGTCTTTAAGTGCCTCGATTGGCAGGGTACCTTGTTCGAAGGCTTGCATCCTGGCCTCGTGTGCCTTTTTCTTCGAGAACAAGGCTTGGCCGCTAGCGTTTTTCACTACTCGTATCCTGGCTAGCCGTGCCTTCTGCAATCAACACAATTATACCATAGGTTCTAGTAAACATGATTTTTCTGTTTACTTTTGACCAGACATAAAATTTAAATGTTCTATTTTGAATAACAACTACTCTTTCTAACTGTCACACGTGGTCTGTGTAACTTTCATAACATGGCCATCAATGTGAGTAACAGGCTTTGTGACAGCCGGCTTACCTTTTGAGCTTTCCTTTTGTCTGCCCGCTGATTCTGATGGTAGATGCGGGAGAAGTTGCTGACGATGACAGGCACCGGCAGGGCGATTACCAACACACCACTCAGCGAACATATACCTCCAACTATCTTGCCCGTTATCGTCTGCGGCGTCACATCACCGTAGCCGAGCGTCGTCAGCGTGACGATGGTGTACCAGAAGGCGGCGGGGATGGAGGTGAACTTGGTGTTGGACACCTTCTTTTCCGCGTAGTACATGATGGTGGCGAAGATGATTATGGCCATGGCCAAGGAAAACACCAAGAAGCCCAGCTCGGAAGCACAGGATTTGAGCGTGTAACCCAGAATACGAAGTCCTTGAGAATGACGAGAAAATTTAAATATACGAAACACCCGCTGAAAGTGAAAACGTTGTAGTATGCAAAGTAAAATTTTAAATAATGTATTTGTAAGGTTAAAAATATGTTATGATATTAATGTATGTAATAGCGATGCTTGCCATTACGGCGGTAGATGTTAGTGGAAATCACTATGATAAGAGTAAGATACCACAAAAGGAAGGATGAAAACTTACGAAAACTCTAAGTGTGACAAATGCACCACTGATATCTTTATTGTCCTGTAGCCCTAGTCCAACGTAGTACGGCAAAATTGCTACTACATCTATTACTGACATAATTGATCTGGAATTTAATTTACTCAGTAAAGATAGTTATTTTTACTATTTTCTTCTACTTCATAGTAGCATAGCTTGCAAAATGTTTTAATAAATTCAACTTTTCTAAACTAAACACAACCTTACCGCATAAACTTTAGCCGATCAGGCGCCGCAAACAATCGCAGCAAGTACTCTATCGTGAATATGATGACACACGCGGTATCCAGCACGAAGAACTGTCGCTCGTACATGTCGCCACATGTGATACTCTCCTCATTGTCAAAGTACTGACAAGGGATCGTCTCGATTATATTACACAGCACTGATACTGCGATGAAGAAACCCGTTACATAGTAGAACACCAGTGCCACCGACGACGTCTGAGGATTCTCGAAGGCGGCCCACATCTGTTGCTGGAAGGTCTGCTTCCCCTTGGCCTTCTCTGGCACCTCCAACGTCTCTTCCATGAGCCGCTCCTGATTCTCGCGCTTACGGTCCTTGTAGTCTTCGTAGCAGCAGTCGCTGATCAGGTCGGGCATGATGCCGAAGAAGGCCAGCTCCTCGTCGTAGGCCATCAAACATTCGTGTTTGGGGTACTGAAATATTCATATTGCAAAGGAATGTAGTGTTCTTCTGTTTTTGAGATTTACAGATGCTTCTTACAAAAAGATACAAAGATCTTGAGCGCCATCTACACTTAAAACTACAATCACTTTGTCTAGAATTGACATTGTTAACGTTATTTTTAGTCTAGAAAGATTCCGAGAGAACTCTACGTCACTGTAAATCACTTACGTGAAGCTTTCCGGTCCGGTAAAAAGTGAGGACGTGACGAAACAGATCTGAAACAGACAGGTCAATAACATTACAGTGCACTCACCAGGGTCCCTGTCGAAGAAGTACTCGCCCGTCTCCTCGTCGTAGAAGAACTCCTTCTCGTTCGAGCCCAACAAGGTCTCGGGGAACTTCTCGAGTGTGTTGCGCCAGGTCTCGAACCGTCTTCCAGATATGTTGATGATGAGTTTTTCGTCGGACACGTGGTCGACCGCCAGGTCCTTGGCCTGAATCGCTAGCGGCGGCTTCGGCATGGGCTGGCGGGCGATTGGTACCCACCCGATGGCGGCGGCTCGGGCAAACGGCAGCCAAGCCGCCACCGACGCCATGCCGCCGTCAAGAAGTCTGTCAGGACCGTAATTACCAGGGAAGGACTGGCCGAAACTGAAAGCACTGTCGAGGTATAGGTAAAACAACGCGATTACTTTTAATTATAGGCAATTAAAAATGGCACAGTAACAAAACAGGACTGTTGTGAGATACTCAGTAAGTATTACAAATCACGACTGTCAGCACGCTTACCATTCCAATTATAACAGAACGAACGCTAACTTCAGGTAAACAAGGAAATGACAAATGAAAACAATAATTTGGCCAGAATCATGCCACGACTATAATCCGCTACGGTATCACACAATCGGCCTGAATACACGCCAAATACGATATGACATTGAATTATTAAACGTCACGGCCTTCTGCTTGTTAAGTGACCTTTTTAGCGGCTTCAGATGCCGTTTTTGACATGTTCTTCTACTTGAGTTTTTGATTCGGCTGGCGCACTTTGAGAACCTTCTTTTCACCCAAATAATCCGTTTCATAAAAAGAGGTCGGAGCAGAATGGCTTCTATGTAAAAGTGCCGGAGGGCTTGCTTTTCCATTCCCAATAGATATATTCACCTTGGGACAAAGGCTATATTATTCCTCAATTTCTCATGACAACAAAACCCATTTAACAAACACTCATCTTCACGCAACATATTACATGACACCGCCATGACAACAAGGTGCGCGGCTGTCACGGCTGTCAGGAACGAGTAGATCCAGCCGAAACACTAATTCCCTTCCCCTAAAGTCATCCATCACTCAGGCAGGAAATAACAAGAACACAGCGATCATGCCCAAGATAAATATAACTCGAGATTGAGTGCACAGGTACCCTGTTGGACGAGACCATCATTCGACATCCCTCATCTTCCCTTCTCTGGTTACAAAACACCGTACCCCTCCGTAGCCGAACCCTCCACTCTCAGAGCCCTAAGGTATCATAACTTGCCGGCGGAAACGAAGTTTGTCGCCCCAAACCTTTAGAAGCCACTAATTTCCAAGACTTTTCTTACAACCAAAACGGTCTGCTGAAAGAACTGCCACAAAAAACAGTGCCGCTTCTTCTTCTTTTTCCATGACGGCAGAGGAATGAGGCTAGCTCTCTCTCTGGAAGCAGAGGACGAATTGCTGCCCTCTAGCCGGCCATGATAGCCCTTGCTCAACCCTTAAGTCCCCCCTGGCCTCTTTTGCGGCCCCAAATCCTTAGCAAAGAAGGGGGGAAGGGAGAAGGGCACGCGTCTTTTAATACGACCTGTTGCTCATTGCCTCCTAATTTGGGCTAAGTAAAGAGTATTGGAACACAACTTTTGTTGTAGTAGGTCTTCTGCTCCCGTTGATACCGCCATAAACCCTGTTTTATAAGGTCGTTCGCCTTATGTGGTGGAAGGATGTAAGGTTAGTTTATGATTTACAGTTACCCGCATCATAGTAGTGATACTGTAAAGCTAGTGTTTTGTTTTACAAATAGCTATAGGATATGTTTGGATGAGTATCTCATGAATACCTATAAGTGCACTAAGATGTGTTGGTGTACCACATAGTAAACAAAGAGCGGTTTAAATGTCTCTTACAACTCCTCAAACAAGAAGCCCCCCCCCCTCTCGTTCTGTAGCCCCTCGTCTTCAACTTTCAACGCTTTTCAATCCAATTTCGGCGTTTGACAACTTCGGCCACGAGAAGACACGTGTTTTTGTGGCCAATTTGATTAAAATTCAGCCAAACTAGAGTCCCCAAATAAAACGTATTAGTGCCTTAAGTAACTTTTCATTGTCTAATTGTTTGTTTTACTCGGTAGACGGCAATCAAACATGACATGGCGCTTACAGACTCTACTGAAAGCTTGAGAATGTAAAACAGTCAACATTAATTTAACAAAAGTAGTGTTACAAAGGTATAACAGTAATTCTAGTCTACAATAAAATAGAAAACTTGAACAACCACATGCCTTTTTATCGCAATACCTAAAACAACCATAGAAAACTAAAAACCCTTCCATTTACTTCTTGACCATAGTCAAGTAAGCAAAGGTGTTGCATCAAGTTTACTAACAAGCACATTACTTTTATGTAGAATTAAAAACAAAAGTAAACCCATTTTTAACAACAACAAGCCGGCTTTACTTAAGGCCTCAAGGCATTATAAAAACAGCTGTGAATTAAATTTTATTGGATATAAAAAACAAGAGAATACCCGTACGAACGTCTAGGCCCGGCTTGTGTGAGGTCATTTCGGGGTTGAGGATAGGTTTCAGGCATGGCTACCGGAGTTCATTCGTGAGACCAGCTCGTGACACGCGGGCGCCGAGAAGCTGGCTCGGGGCAGCGGGTCAGTCTACAATTAATCATCGGCATCAGTTTAATCTCTCAGAGTATACTTAGGTTTTGAAACGTTTTCTACGTCAATGTACTTTGCATTAGATCGCAATGCTTTTTTTACATAATCTAAAGCATGTTCATGATCATGTACATTACTTGAATCTTGTTCATGACCACAAAGTTTAAATAGACTAAATTTGACAAAACTTTCTAAAGTATATTCAAACGCATAAAAAATTAATCATACATCTTACTTCTGAAAACGCTGGTGGTGGAGAATGTGAATGTCCAGCGGCTGTTCGTGTATCCAATGTCGCACTGGCTGCCTGTGTAACAGAAGATGACTGTACCGCCTCTTCGTAGCTGGGAGGTCGAAAGTCGTATTTGCTATTAATTATGAATACTGCCGGATCAATCGTATGTTGACTTCGGCGTGGATGTTGGTCAAGAGTAGAGAAGCGGGGCGGTGGTGGGTGTAACCTTATAGTAGGACTTACTATCCGCTGTATTTCCTAAAAATAAGCTTTTATTGCTTATTACGATAGAATTGTTTACATACGTTACTGTAAATAAGACAACTTATAATCATCAACACAGTCAATTCACCAGAATAATAAAAATTTATAAAAAATTAACTGATATGCCTATTTGACTTTGCTAGACAATGTTTGACAGGTTTTTTGTTGGCAATTAATTAAATCTTTAAAAAGTGAACTATTTCTTAGGAGAACGGGCATTTTTAATAACTAATCCTTCAAATTAAAATTAAATATTGTTTTTGCTACCTATTTACTGTAAAAACCACATGCCAATAACACGTGTGGGGGATCAACTTACACCTAGCTGATGTTCGTTCCTCTCCCGCCGTTTTGCGATGGCCAAGAAGCATATGATCAAGGTGAAGGCCGTAAATAGGCCGATGGCAGCTATCACCAAGATCACGGTCCCATCCGAAGGCATGGAGTCGTTGTGATATTCCATGACTGAAAGACCTTGAATCAGCGGTTTTATAATGGCAAAATCGTAAAATTCAAATAGGGCTTGGTGATTTCGAAAAGGGTGTGGTAAATCCAAATATTGGGCGAGGGGAGTGGCAGCGAACAAACGAGCAACGTTCCCTCAAAGTTAATCCTGAACTTTTGATCGGGCTCATTTTCAACCTTTGCTTCGGTCGCTTCTGATTGTTTGCCCAACCTCGCGCAACGTGAACTCTCTGTCACTCTCGACGTGTTCTCGGGAGTCCTTTATAACAGATTGTTTGTTGACGTCTGATCTGGAATTTATCTGTCAAAATGGTTTATTTGTTTTCCGGCTTTGTTCCTAAATTTTATGCAAATTTTCGAAATTTGCTCGTAACATTTGATTACTCGGTGTGTGACAGTGAATATTTGGTAACGACCAAAGTTCTTGACAAACAACATAAAGCGGGAAGACCTATTAATAGCGTTATGCGCAAAAACGTGCAAAATAACATTGATATCAGCATTTGTAACGTATTTTTATCCAATTCCATTACAAGATTAATGCCGTTATTACCTAAATTAATGCCGTTATTACCTAAAACTATCGAAATATGTATAAAACCCGGAAATATAACCTTTATATCAATGTCCAGACAGGCTCGCCCGCATAAACAACATAAACCGCAATAAAACATTAACAAACAAGTAAATAAAACGTGTACAAGGTAAACACCAAGCTATATTTGGTCAGATAGGTTCATAACAGCCATTCTAGCAGATTCTGAATGCTGCTAATCACGATCTCATCGATCAAACATGTTTGTTAACAATTTTCGAAATTAAAATTAGCCAATTTTTCTTCGGCGGACGGATTGCAACTATTGATGTTTCACAAAATGCGACAAAATATTGTCCGACGGAAATTATTTTTGACAAATTTTAAATTTACTTTTATGTAAATTGAAGATGAACGTGGATTTGAGAAGTTTCTTTGGTTTAATTCATTCATTTTATACTTGAGTTACGCGACTGTATCTCTTGTTGTTTTATGATGAACGATGTTGAAAATAGAAAGTACGTTACTTTGTATTATTATATAGGTTACTGATATAGGTTTAGAAACTTATTGTACGTCCTTGAGTTTGCTTTATGAATATTTGTATATATTTTATTGTTACAGTAATAGTATAGTTGATACCTGAAATAAGGTTTCAAAACTACTATAATATAATTTTTTAAATATTTTAAACGATTTTGACTAACTTGGTATTTCAGCCAGGACAACGCGGAAGCGGCGATAAAACAGAAGTTGATCAACGCGGTTCGCCGCATCCCTCCCCAATTGTTTGTGTCTTCGAATCCTGAAAGTGTGAATCGTCTGATTGTGATCGATGGATGTAATGTGGGCAGAGCGTCGTGTGGACCTGGCAGAGAACACGTTAATTGTCTCGGGTTGCTGGCTATTGCAAGGTTTTGGATCGTGCGGGACTTCGACGTGGTTATCTTCATTCCGGTCACTTACAATAACCCCCAGAATCAGAACGTTGCTCATTCTGCTGTTCTTCCTGTATGTTGTTTGTTTCCAATATTCTTTGGATCTCTTCAAAAGAACTTTTTAATTGACTAAATTCCTTTGTTTTAGAAGCTGCAAACTCTTGGAATCCTTGGCTTTACGTCCGCCAGAACTACAGGAACGAGGAGGAGAAGCCACATGAACTACGATGATCTCTACGTACTTGACTTTGCTGAGCGACATGGCGGAGCGGTGTTGTCAGGAGATTACTTTGAGGACATTTTGCAGAACGGTGAAGAATATCAGGGCTTCAGAGACATTATCAAACGACGAAGAATCGGCGTCAGATTCCATCCGTTTGGAGAAGCCTTCGCTCGCATCAACAGCGACCACTTCTATCGTTGTTGTCCTGAGATTCACACCTGTAAGTTGGTGATTTTATTTTAGGTTACACTTTTGTGCTTTTATTGTATACAACGCACATTCTTGTTATTGGTGATACTTAAAATTCAAAATTGCTTTAGTGTCCGGGAACGATGACCAAGTTGTGAACTCAGAACGTCTTCATCCTCGTCTGTTTGCTTCACCTTCTGATGTCGAGTTTGAGAAGGCGTTACGTAGAAGAGAATCAGCGTGGTCACCAGAAAGAAGACAACAGCTGCTGGATGGAATCGATGGTATTATCCATCAACTGGAACAATCTCTCAATGCTCTTACTGTGGTCGTGGAGACTGTGGGACGGCCAAGAACATTGTACTCGGATTCTGGAGTGAATGTAGGTTCTTGTTTTATGTTTATTTAATTAGTTAATAACAATTGTTTGTGTATTAATGAGTTTAATTTAAAAAATTATGTTTAAAACAAACAATTTTATGTAATAAATGTTCTGTTCAGAATCAACGCCCATGTGCCACGCGCTCAAGCCACAACTACTACAATCCTACGCCAATTCGACCACGAGGTCAGCAATACCGTACTTCTCCGACCGATGAATACATGGAGGACAACATTCCACATCAAAACAGAAGTTCCAACGAAAGTTATGTCACCGGAGCCAACGCGGTTCCTTTAGTAAGTTAATGGTATTCAATTTGTTTAGTATCTTACAAAAGTAACTTGTTTATCATCTTTAAGAGTGAAGTGTCACCAACTTATAGCCGTGAACATAGTCGGGCTCATAACAGTTCTACGCTGATGAGAGTAAATTATACCCGAAAATCCCATAGATCGTTCAATGTCGTATCGAACGGTCAGAGAGACAATGGGGTAGTTGTTGGTGGTATTCAGGCAAGGTAAGTTATAGTTTTGGTGTAGCATTGAAACTTTGATTTTATCGTTTGCTTCAAGTTCTCTCTTCATTTTATTGTTATGATTTTTCAATAAGTTAGTTGAAACATTTAGTACGGTCCGAATTCAAAGTTCAAGACAACCAAACTACATCTCGAGAAACCTCTTCGAGCCATTGTCAACCTTGTCGTCAAGTTCCAGCTCGTCTTCAAGCTCCCCAAGTCCTCCAGATCGTGTAGATCCTGCCATTCAAAGGCTTACGGATCTCTGGAACTCCTTGCAGGTGGACGGACACAAGTTTGGAGAAGAGTTCCTGAAACTGCCTTCCAAGAATTTGGTGGATCTGTGGTTGAATGAAAAGAATCAGGAATCGAATTCGGAGACTCAAAGTGAAGCCTTACAGACTGTGGAGGAGTTGAATCAGCTTTTGTTACGAGAATTCAATAATGCTCAGACACAAATTGAAAGTAGCGTAACCGACCAGGAAGAGGTCACTGAATCCCTTACTACTACCACAACTACAACGTCACCAACGACTCCTACATTGACGGTGGATAATATATTAGATTTGTTTTAATTATTAAATGTATTATGGTAATTGAGAACAAAAAACTACTTAAAAATAGAAATTGGCATGAACAATATAAGGTTTCATACTCAAATGCAGAATACTTTATTATAAGCTCAATAAGTTAAAAGAAACAAGGCAGCTTAACAATCATTTAAATGTCTATTCCTCTTCTCCTTCCTGGAGTTCGGCTTCGTATTCTCCATCATCTTCAGCGGTTGCCTCTTGGTACTGTTGGTACTCAGAGATGAGATCGTTCATGTTGGATTCGGCTTCAGTGAACTCCATCTCATCCATACCTTCACCAGTGTACCAATGAAGGAAAGCTTTGCGTCGGAACATGGCTGAAATTCTCAGATTATAATAAAATCCAAAACTAAAATGATGCCACATAGCATACAAATGACATTGTTATAATAAAACTTACAGGAGAATTGCTCGGAGATTCTCTTGAACAGTTCCTGGATGGCGGTAGTGTTTCCGATGAAGGTGGCAGCCATCTTCAAGCCTCTAGGTGGAATGTCACAGACGGCAGTCTTGACGTTGTTTGGAATCCATTCCACGAAGTAAGCCGAGTTCTTGTTCTGGACACTGCTCATCTGGTCGTCGACCTCACGCATCGACATACGACCACGGAAGATAGCGGCGACGGTCAAGTAGCGACCGTGACGTGGGTCACAAGCAGCCATCATGTTCTTGGAGTCGAACATCTGCTGAGTAAGATCAGCGACAGTCGAAGCACGGTAGACGGCGGACTCCTTGGCGGACAGAGGAGCGAATCCAGGCATGAAGAAGTGGAGCCGAGGGAATGGTACCATGTTGACAGCCAGCTTTCTTAAGTCGGCGTTCAGTTGGCCAGGGAAGCGCAGACAGGTCGTGACTCCAGACATTGTCATCGACACCAGGTGGTTCAAGTCTCCGTAGTTAGGGTTGGTCAGCTTCAAGGTGCGGAAGCAGATTTCGTACAAGGCTTCGTTGTCAATGCAGAAGGTCTCGTCGGTATTCTCGACCAGTTGGTGGACGGAGAGAGTGGCGTTGTAGGGTTCCACAACAGTATCAGACACCTTCGGAGATGGGACAACGGAGAAGGACGACATGATTCTGTCTGGGTACTCCTCGCGGATCTTGGAGATCAACAAGGTTCCCATTCCAGATCCGGTGCCTCCACCAAGAGAGTGGGTCAGTTGGAAACCTAAAAAACGAAACTGAGTTGTTTAGGTGTTACAAAAATAACAGTACAAATTGAGAAAAGAATAAAGATTTTAGAATTCAGCCATATAAAGGTTGCATTTCAATCTAAAAGCAAAAAAAAAATAATGTTGCAATACCCACCTTGAAGACAGTCACATCCCTCAGCTTCCTTTCTGACAACATCCAACACGTTGTCTACCAACTCAGCTCCTTCAGTGTAATGTCCCTTGGCCCAGTTATTACCAGCACCAGATTGGCCAAACACGAAGTTATCGGGGCGGAAGAGAGCTCCGTAGTTAGCAGCCTTAATAGAATCCATGGTTCCTGGCTCCAAATCGACCAAAACAGCTCGGGGCACGAACCTCTTGTTGCCAGTCTCATTGTAGTAGACGTTGATACGTTCCAATTGGAGGTCGGATTCTCCGGCGTAGGTTCCATCGGGTTGAATACCGTGTTCATCCGAGATAACTTCCCAGAACTAAACAAAAGACATAAAATATAAAGGATAATTTACTTACTTTGCTTCCGATTTGGTTGCCGCATTGGCCGGCTTGGATGTGGACGATCTCACGCATGTTCAACTACAAATATAAGAATCATTATAAATCAACCTTTGCTATTTTAAAAAAGATCATAAAAACACGAACACTATAGTTATCGGAAGTTAAGAAATACAGTATTTTCAGAAGGAACACTGAAACAGGAACCGAACTCAATATGGTGAAAAAGACTATTAAAACAAGGCCAGAAGAGAAGGTTCAAAACGATACGAACGAAGTCTATGAAGGCCAATTTTAGGACAGCCCAAAACGAATGAGAAATGAGGGGGATTGTTCTTTCTTCTGAGGGAAAGCGCGTTCTTTCAAAAAAGTCGAATCGCGGTATTCCCTCCAAAATATATCGAGGAGAAACAGCGGAAATACCGATCATCTCATCCAAAATTATAATAAAACCAGCAAAATAATATTTTGTTTATATAAAAAGGGGGAAAAACGGCATTATCTTATTCTAAACAGTCAAAATTATGGTTTTAAATCCTTTATCTAAAACCATAAAACATTGAGAAAAATGCGTCTTCTCGTTAACAAAAACACTAAGATGTATTAAAATATTAAACATAAGTCCAATACTCTTAAAAAACCCCTCAAAGGCACATTGAAAGAACACGATATTAACCATAGCCTCCTTCCCCGCAAAATGACCAGCGAAAGGAACCGATTGGAACGAGTTGGAACGGCCCTTTCTCTCTCTGTCGCCGTTCGCAACTTCACCTCGAACTCCCTCTCGGTTTGCATCGAATTCAGAAAAAAACATACTTGTTTTAAATATTGTTTTCTTGAAGTATTTTTGTTCAACTCGGTACCAAAAGTTTTATACTATACTAAAGGTGTTTCCACTACTAAATTAGACAAGAAATCATAGCAAATCGCTTTAGGTAAAGGTCTAGATACGTAAAAAGAGGTTTCCTTAAGATCGAAAATTTTCCATGTTTGGCCCTTTATTTAAAAGTGAATTTTAGTATTAAAATACTCACAAAAACGACTTTTAAGATTAAAGTTCATAAAATTTCAAAAAAATCTTTTGAAAAAATTCAGAGCGAATTGCCGAAGGCGTCCAAAAAATGTCCAATAATTGTGTCATCGCCATAAGAGCATTGCTGCGCAAAAATGACTAAACGTATAAGAATTGAATCAAAAGCTATTGCAATATTTTTCAGTTTTAGCCCATCCCGTTTCTCACCTCTAAACCCAAATTACAAAAAAGGAAACACTGTTCTAGAAAATATGTCATAACTGCGTCATCTCTAAAAGATTTTGTCGCACAAAAGATCAAAACGTTGGAAATGAGACTAACTGTAAAACTTAAAAAAATTAATAAAAAGTTGGATAGTAAAAGGTGTTTTTTTATATTTACATCGCAGTATGTTGTTTTAGACATCCCTGAATGTCCAAGTAAAATAAAATATAAATGTTTTCATCAAATCCTCGTAAATTCCAATTTGGTGCCTTTATCGTGTTTTTCGTTTTATTTTTGAGTTACCGTAACTTCGACTTTATGATGTTTATTTTAATACAAACAAATATGTCATACTCGGGTATATTCACCTTGTTATAACGTGAGGAACTTGCAATATTATCATGAAATTTCAGTGCAAATAAAAAACAAAAATGTAGGTCAACAAATGAACAAACTCTTGATATATCTCTATGAGATTGGAAGGCATTCAGTTGAGATATCACTTGTTATGAGATTACTTTTACTTTTGTTTGTTTTGGTATGTTCTTCACAACAACTCGACAAAGGTTTGTTACATTATTGTACTTTAAGTGTGTATTCTATGTTTTGCTCTCTTCCTTCGTATTTAATACAAATTTTCCTTTTTACAGCTTCAATGCCTAAAATATTGTCGTCGAACTATCATATTATCGTATATAGTATTACTAGTACTAACTTCAGGTCGCCGTCTGTACACATGTCTTCTGAAAGAAGCCGATGAGCCTTCTGTCTGCAATCTCGCCTTTATGACAGCCAACGATGAGCATATTACTATAGCTGACAATGGTTGTTTTGTGGTATGTTGTCATTGAAGGTTACTGTAGCTTTAGGAGAGAGCCAAGAATAATCAGCTCAAGAACTACTGTCCTCTGCAATGTCGGAATGCTGAGAATGTGGTAGTAACAAAACAAACATCTGAGGGCATCAACGACCGATGTGTGATAGGGGATACTGTAGGAGTACAGAGAAGACGGAATGATTGGTTCTTCTGGAGGACGGTGGAATGTGCCGTGCTGGAGGCACAGTTCGAAATACATTGTTCTGAAGAGCAACAAGAACCGTTCGACGTAAATCTTGACTTTGAAGGAAGTGGACTGTGACTACTGTAAGAAGCAACCTGTTAAATTAATTTTTAATACCTAAAACAACAAGTAAAACAATTATTGTTGTTTTATAATTATAATCGTACTTTTACTATACTGAATGACATAAACTTTGCGAAAGTAATGGTTGACATGTAATCGTAATCGAAATGTTTTTCGAATAAAATTTGCCGGAGGACAAGAAAGAATTTGAAAGAAAAATGATAATGACAGAGTGCCAGAAGGGGGATTAAACGCCGACGATACAGTACCCCACCCGAGCCAATGGTGGGGCCGACTGCCGGCCCAAAAGAAGCGTCAGTCTTCTAAACAAAAGGGCCGAGTTGGTCGCGACTTGAAGGGGTATCCTCTACCCTAAATCGACGTCTACATCAATATACCGCACCCATCTACATGGTTTACATCGAGTGAAGAGTTGTTGTTGCAGGAACTAAACCTTGTTAAACCCTCTGCCTGGAGGGCTTATGACTCCAAGACTTTTAAGCTCCTTAATTCCGTTTGATCCAATGGACTTAGTGGGACAGGGCGGGCCGGTCGAGGCCAACAGTCTCGAGCTTATTAATAATCATCATCACTCCACAGTTGGCTTCGGCTTCGGCAATGCCGCACCGTACTATCCAGCACCGTTCGTCCTGGATTCAAGCTTCTACGACGGTCAAGTGAACTGTTTCAATTCCATGGGTTTCAGCTCAATCTGTAAGTGATGTTATCATTGGTCGATTACTTTTTATTAGAACTCTCAAACACACTATAAATGTTATTTTAGCCGTACCATACTAATTATATTAATTTTTATTTAATTTCTGAAAGTTTTAAAAAATTGTAGTTGGATGTTATGCCCTACAACTAAATTTAAGCTGTTTATGTCATTCATATGTTTACAATAATGACTTACTTTACTCTTCAGCCAACCCATCGACGTTCCCTCAACTCCCAGTCATAGAACCCTCGCCTTCTCAACCCTACCAACTTCAAAATTCCTCATTATGTAGCTCATACTTAGCCCCGATCGAGATCTCATCTTCAGCTTTGAACTCGATGAGTGCCTTGTCCAATATGGCTGTACCTTCTGTATCCCCAGCGCCGTCAGCTACTGTAGCCAAGTCTACACTACAATCGAAGAGCCTCAAGTCAAAGGAAACCAAAAGTAAGATTTTAAAACTTTTACAGTGTAATTTTTGTTTATTTTTATATTTTTGAAAGTTGTCGCTAATTGTAAGTGTATTTTCTTTATTATGTTGCGATCTTGTCTTTGCTGTGTTCAACTAGAGAGTCAGCAAAAGCTAATTTTAAAATTTTGTGAATCTAAAGGCTTATCAAAACTTTGATATGTACTTTTAGATATATGCAAAAAGCTAGAACGAAGTAAAGTGGAAAAAACCACAGTAATACAAGCACAGAAGCCGAGAAGACAGCGGACTCATTTTACAAGTCATCAGGTACTGTAACTTCAAGTTATTCCCTCTGTCTTTATCATAAAAGCTTATAGAAGTAAGGTGTTTTGTAGCTAACCTTATTTGCCCATTACTTTTGGAAAAACTGTTATACAGTAAATTATATTAATTACTGTGGTTTTGATGAATTTTAACTTTTATGTTGTCTACATTGTTTTAAATTGAAATATGTATCAGTTCTCTGTATTTTTAACGAGAATTCCATTATTTGCAACTATAAAATGCTATTTTTTAGCTAGGGGAACTAGAGGAGCACTTCAAACGGAATCGATACCCTGATATGAGTACGAGGGAGGAGATAGCCGCCTGGATCAGCCTGTCCGAGCCCCGTGTCCGGGTAAGTAATTTGGCTGTTTTGGGTATTAATTAGCCATCTCATTCCGCCGGAGGTCCCCCGAGACCTCGATGCGGGAAGCGAGGGCGCAAAGGGACATAAAATACGATGTGTCAAATCATAAAAGGATTGCGCAATCATGGACATATGGTCGTGACATGATGACAACGAATGCTTTCAGGTCTGGTTCAAGAACCGCCGAGCCAAATGGCGAAAGAGGGAGCGGCACGTTGTCAGTGATAGCGTCAAAACTTATCAGACTGGATCTGTAAGTTTTGAAATAATTATTCAAATTAAGCATATTAATAAAAGCTATAACTTACTTTACTTTCACAAGATATACTACTACTAATGTGTTGTAGGATACTGTATTCTACAACAACCAAAACTGGCCATCATATCCGGCTAGCCAGCAAGCCAACTGGACCTTTAAACCCGAGCCCAAAGCCGACTCTAAGGTCGATGTAAAGCCGGAAACCTTTGACACAATGGAGAAGGAAAAAGTACAGTATCCCTATCCGGCAGAATATTTTAACAGTACCTACCCCGCTTCTTACTCTTACCCCGCCAACTTCTCTTAACTTCGGTGAAACAATAAAGTTTCTAGTCTGTATCTACAGTATACTTGTTTCTTTCATGGTTACTGTGATTTTATCATGAGTTGAACCTTTTTTTTAATTGATTGTAATATGATACCTTCACTGTCAAGTATTTCCCATATTTTGTGAAAATAATTTATTCAGAAGTCTTGGTTGAACTCTGTGACGTTTTGAGGGAAATCCTCGACCAGCGAGTAGGAGAAGTGGATCGCCTCGCCCACCGCTATCATGGCGGCAGTGACCAGTAGTACCAGGCCCGAAAACACTATCAACAACACCCGATCCAGCACCGAAGCCAGAAACTCCCACTCGTGGGCGTAGCGTCGCCTCAGTTTGGCATCCAGAAGGAAGGCGTCGGCCGCGCTCCCAGAAGCAGGACCCCCACCTTGTTGCATATACAGCAACTGCAGTGCAGGCAACATGGATTGAGGTCTACTGGCTGTCGAGACCTTGTGTCGAGCTGAGTATGGCCCCACATTCATTGGCTCGAAACCAGTGCTCGGAGCTAATGAAGCACCATCAGCAAAAGGAATGTCGCTGATTTTGTTTTGTTCTTCTTTCCCTGGAATTAGTTGTTTCTCACAGTTAGAGTAGGGTGTTTGTGCCACAATAATTGTTTTTGAAAACCTTGGAATAGTTTTGGGCTAAACTAGTGTTTTTGTCAGTGTCAGAACATTGTTTTTCCAAGATGTACCGTAATTTAGTCAAGAACTTTGTGTTTAGTTCTAAGATAGTTACGAATTTAGTATTATTTTTTGGATATTACTGTTATAAAACAATTGATATGGCTTTTTTCAAAAATAACAATATAAATATTTGTTCTTAATTAGTTATTTTCAAACCTTTTAAAACAGCCATTACCTATAAATTTAGCAGCTAACTTAAAAACATAAACATTGAGTATGATGTTAATGTTGTTTCATTAGGTAATTGAAACCTTACTTTTGGCGTTGGCTCTGGCTGCCAGACGTTTCCAGTTGTTTCTGGCCTTCTGTGCCGTTTTGGGAGTGTTTAGACTTGGCCCTTGTTTAGACGGCTCCCATTCCGTTTCTATTTGAGACCTTTTAAACAGTTCCGGTGAGCCGAGAAGATGCTGAAGGTCACATTAATGTTTAAAACTAATTTCCGGCACAGACGAGAGCAGGAAGAGAGTAAAACCAAACAAAATTTGGCAAAAAACAAGGTTGTGACTCTTGGAACGATTGTTTTTCAGAGGTTTTCGGAGATTTTCTTCCAGATTTCTCGATTAATTTACAAAAAATGTTTGAAAAACTGTTTCTGGCTCATTCTGAAGACTTTTCGCTTCACGTAGAGTAATTCACTGTAACTTACATTCCGTTTTTCCTCGTTATTTCCATTTTGGCCATTCAGAAACGTGAATTCCTTCTCTTTGCGTGGCGCCGGTAAGCCTAAACTCCTTTTGTTGGTCGAGAACCTCATGGGCAGTTTGGGATCGGCATCTTTCAGGCCTTTTATCCTCACTCCCGTCTCCATCCACAGCTCCAGAAGCGTGGTGGGAGGTCGTAGACTGAGAAAGGGAGCCACCTTGTGGAAGAAGATGAAGCTCACCAACGGAGGAATGGGTTTGTTTCTGGTTTTCTGGAGATGAACGTTGAGGATGAAGGCCGAGAAAAGAGTTCCCGCGAATATGATTATGATAATGGCTAGGTAAAAGATACCAAACAAAGGCACGTAGTCACTGATTGTTGGCATTTGTTCTGCAAAGTTAGGTATTGCGTTTAGGTTTAGGTAACAACGGAACATTGAATAAAACTTTAGGTTTTAGCAGCTGTTAAAGTTAGTTTAATTATTGAAAGTTAAGGTAAAGGTGTTTTTTCTCTTATATTACACTTGATTTTGAAGGTAAATTTAAAGGTTTACCTGCAATCATAGTGAGTAAGATACTCATGGCCAGCAGAGAATCTATTCCCAAACTCAGTTTCTCTCTTCTTTCATTACTGGTCGAAGCTGGAGTGAAGAATCCAGTTACAGCGACTAAAGTGATAACAGAAGTTGGAACAACAAGGTTCACAATATAATATAAAGGTTTCCTTCTCACTACCAAGGAGGCTTCCAATAACACCCATGGTTCTGGACAACAAACGAACTTTTCCTAAAAGTTGTTATTTAGTATTTCGAATTATTATAGTTTAGCTGTAATTCCTTCACATGTCATCTCTTCTCACCTCTTTACGTCTCATATGAAAGCTGACCACCACCCACTCCTCGTTCGGAATAAAGTTCTCCAGGTTCACGGTATCAAACTCGGGAACGTAGTCGATGGAGCTCTTGTCACTCGTCCACGAACTTATAATCAACGTGCAGTTCTGTAGATCGTAAGGGAAGAATCTGATGTGGATTCTGCAACTAGTTCTAAACACAGAAGTGTACTGTAACATTGTTGTTACCTGTATAAGGCTGGGTACATGAACATGATCTGAGCTCCTCTCTCCTTCTTCCAGTAGTTCGTAGTGACTACGGCGTTGATGTAGCGCTCCGTCTCTTCCCGATTCATGACCACGCTGAAGAATTAATTTACATTTTTAAAGTTGTTTTTGTTGACTTTTGACTTAAGAATTGTAAATAGGAATTTTAATGGTTTTCTAGTAAATATACTGTAAGTATGTTGTGAGATATCTCACCTGTTGTAGATATAAGTGTCGGGTAGCCATATCCGTTGATACGGTAAGATGGTGTTGTTGATAAGGCCGTATTTCAGAGGTGACCAGCCTAGGAACTCGTCTCTCCACTTCTGTATTACCCATACATTCAAGTCAATGTTCTGCATCTTCTCGTTCTAAAGTGGTATTCATTATCGTGCAATTCAATCGGGTATTTAAGGCAAATAAAACTTAAGCAGCATTATATATTGGGACGAAAACAAAATAAGTGAATTACGTACTATTGCTAGGATCTGGTACAAGCTCATACTGACGACAATTCTTGTTCTTTGCGTGAAGTTCATGACCGGTCGAATTCGACTGTCGTATCTGCGTGGATCCATTAAATCTTTCGCCAATCGGACGTGGGGCAAAAAATCGCCATCGGCGGTTAGTGATCGTTCTGCAACAACTTTCTTGACAATCTTGTAGAAAAAATAAAGTATTCTTCACTTTTAGTTTTTTAGGATTTTTACGCAGTTAATATAGTATATTCTGACCAATTTTCTATTTTTTATAAATATTTTTAAAATTAAATAAATTTTTTATCTATGGTACTATAAGTAAACGTAAAGATGTAAACATACTTACTTTTGGCCCATACCATATAAAGGCACACGCAGTGCAATATGCAGATGCGGGTTCGCAACATAACTCCAACAACTCCGTGCAACAAACTCGACCGAGTACGGGGAAATTAACGGGCTGCCAAATCGAGCATGGCCAAGGGCAAGGGATGACTTTTGGGAAGAGCCGGGGGGAGTCGGCTGCAAAACGAGGGCACGCGTGAACAATCATACAAATGAATAATGGCCCGAATTAGCACGGCAGCAACTCATCTTTCTCCCGCAACTTTCTACTGTTCGGCAACTTTTTTACAGAACTTCGAATAAGTTAGCTTATAACTTACAGACTACTTTATTTACAGTGATTTAAACTTACAGTATAGTTACGGTAGCAAGTTATAGGGTAATAAATATACAGTGAAATGTAAAGTTCTACTGTGCGGTAGAGGCAGTCCACATCCCCGTTCCGAATCCTCCGTAGGCCTTTTTACGACAATTCGTGCACTTGACGCCTCGGCCAGATATAAAAAATATCTGACACCGAAAAAACAAAACAATGTTTTTGAGTACGTTCGATGTAGTAAAACTTCATACATCTGGGAGTGCAGGTCAGTGATACGGAAACGGGAGTAAACTTCCAAAAGTTATGCTTATCAAAGACTTTTTCACAGTGAGAAGAGGTTGTTATAACTCTATTTCTACTAGGATGTCTAGTTAGGTTAAAAACTTTATACAAAACGGGAGAAAAGAACGTTTTTATTCAAATGTGATAACTACATAGTTTTTGATCATAAAATCAAGCTATTGTGCTGCGTATAAAAGTTATGTTGATTAAAACTTTATAGAAGGATAAAAATAGATTTAGCTACAAAAACTAACTCTTTGTCATTATAATTTAGTTGATCAGTAACCATCCATGTGACAGTAATAATATTTTACACCCAAAAAGTACCATCAACTGATTAAAAATCAAATTTTAAAGTTAACGATGCCCAATGCCCAGGTGACCAACTTGTGATAAACCATTTTGACTATAGCTATTTCTGCACTATGGTACCACTGAGATCATCATATTAATGCCGGAACTTAATAGACCCAAGCCGGCTTTATGGAAAACAAAAGTAATCGAACGGTGCGACAAGCCCTATCCATTGTCCTGATAATAAACAAAAATGGCTGAGATTTGGGAAATCCCGGCCAATTTGTGGAATTGCTTTGCCGCTGGCTGTCTCCAAAACAAATTCTGGAGTGTGCCTGAAAATCACCGGAAACGGCCGGCACAATGGGTCGGTATTGTCCTCCTGGACTAGCGACGCGGCCGGGACCGTGTTTTGGACCTCGAAGACGACCTCCGGGCTTGTTTATTAAGCAATTGTCTTTGGAGGGGAGATGGCTTTGTTCTTCTGACATTCCCACTTATTATGCATGACACTTCGTATGTCTGACTGCACATAGCCGGGGCCACGTGACCCCGGAGATCACTTTACAACGATTTGTTTTGTCATATCTGCTGGGAAATGGGTTTCCGGTTTACAAAACCGCGGTTTAACAAACAATCTGCAGGGCCATTGTATGGATAATATCACATCAATAATAGTGTATTTCAGTAAGAATAACATGTACTGTAAGATACACTTGAGTGTAAAATGGTTGTGAAAATGTATTTCAAATTGCATTTTAAAATTCAGAGGAAATTGCAAAAAGTGTATCAATCATTTATTGTAACGCTATCAAAACATTAATTTAGTGTAACATCAAGCTGTTTCAAGAATGGTCAAGACTTTACTGAATTAACAGGTTAAAAAATTCATAGAATTTATGATAAAATCACGTCTTTCAATCAAATTTTTATTTTATTTTGATCAACTTAACTCAGTTCAGAATCAGCTGGAGACCGCACATGATTCAATAATATTCTTTTCTCGAGACAGCAGTAACTCACACTATCATTGTATCTAAAACATAGTAGTAACCTACACTAGTCTACTTGTGTTATATCAAAATAATTTTTTAATCGATCTGAACTTTCAAGACAACAAATGCATCCTTTAAATGTCCTGAACTGCTGTAAATATTGTAAAGTAACTTCAGTTGTTGTTCTATCTATAAATAGTCATCAGTCATCTGTACCAAACTTTCAACATCGTCAGTGGAATCATCGATGAACTCGGGATCACAACACATTCATCATCTAGACGTCACATTTCAAAATACAAGTAAAGTCAAAATATAATGACAGTAAATGCAAAACAAGTTGATGTTAATATCACCAGATGGTAATGATCTAAGAGATGACATTGTTAATCAAAAATAAGGTTATTTTGTTACCTAAAAATACAAAATAAAGATCATTGGTTGCTTCGACAGCCATAAAAGGTCGATGACAACTTCAAAATCATAAAAGCGGTCGATAATAACTTCAGCAGTCAATATAACTTCCTTCCTTTTACCTGCTACAACCATACAATAGCTGTAAATTAGAACTACTATGATAGGAACAAATTTACTGCTGATGATGAACGACTGCAATAAAGAGAATTAGTCGAGAATTCGGGTCGGTTTCATCGACGGAATCATCGACTCCAATCAATTACTGCGACAACATATTTCGCTTTCTAGAAAATGTGTCATTTTGTGGTCGATATGGGGTTAGAAATGTCATTTTTGGTTGATTTTTGGTAAAATACGAGCTTTACACTGGACTTTACAGCTTATGTCAGTTTAAAATGCATTTTTTAATTTTAAGACGAGACAACTCGAAAAAATATTGTGAGAGATTAAAGTATGTTCCGCAGTAAAGTAATCGATTGACTTGTTTTGAAATTATTAACTTTTGAAGATGTTATCATGTCATGGTTAATATCGTGTGATATCGAAAAGTCTCTTACTGTCTTAAAACTTTACCTTATCGAAGTTATCATGTATGGTAAGTTGAGATGATTTGCTTCAAGTTGTGTTACAATCGCTGTAACTATATGCATACTTTGTGATACAAGAACATTACACTCCCTTCAGTTTCGATTTAAATTCTTCGATTGAGGAGCAGTAACCCCCTTTACCATGGGTTATTGCGGTTAACGTCGCTAAATCTTCGACGAGTCGAACAGACAGTTAATATTATCTATCGTACCTTCCGGGAGGCAACTTCTTACTGTAACAGTTCTTATTACGTTTTACTATGTTTTATGGTTTTTACTGTGGTATTGAACGCTTTAAACTCAGTTTTACATTGTAGTATTAGGTGTCATATTGGTACAAAATTCATCTTATCTTATTTACTTTGATATTGATATAAAGTAATGGTTAGATATTGTTTTAATAGTTAGACGTTATTTATATTAACTTAACGTTTCTACCGTAATATGTTTTTGCGTATAAAATGACAAATTACTTTGCACTTTTAATTCTACTGTAGCTAATGTGTAGTTTAAAACAACAAAATTAAAAAATTATGTTTTGTTGTAACTTTCTACAGTAACATCACTATCAGACATGCCGTTAAGTAGATTAAGATTGAATTTAATATTATTACATTATGACATTACTTAATTGACCAGACCACGTGACTATTAAGATTAATTTGTAATACCTTGTCATTCCACTTCATCTTTTTAAATTTGAAAATTCTTATCACTTTTCATAGATTTTATCGTAGTTTTTATACTTTTTTTGTCTTTATCTGACGTATTTTAGAAATGTTTCTAGTAATTTCTAGAAAATGTGTAACTCTTTGTCTTTTTTTTATTTTTATGACAGTTTTTTCTACCGTACCTTATAATTATTTTCTTACTTATTTATAGTGATCTTTACCCAATATAATGACTTACTTCCGTTTCTTATCACTTTTATCACCTTGATCCACCCTTTGTATCGTATCTGATCGGAGTGGCCTAATTAACGTCACAACTTGACCCGAACTCATCCTGAAAACATGCTCGGAACAGATGTCCGCAGCTCAGCGTGCTCGGCGTTCTATTTGTGTGTTGTTTTTGTCATTTATGCTTGGCCCCCACTCCCCGTCCTTTAATGCATCGCTTTTCGGAACGTTAGGCCAACGGGGAGTTTTCGGTAATGTCATCGTTCCTTGTAGTATTTCTTACTGTTATCTCTCTGTCCTGGCTGTTATACTATACTAAATTCATTGTTCTTCTGTCTTTCGCCTTCTTTCTTTACTCATTTTCTATCATCAAACATATACACCATGACTACGGCTGTGTTTCTCCTCCTCTTTGTTTTCCATCCCTGTGCTGTTTTTTGCTCTCTTAGACAACATTCTGGTGCTCACTTATTGTTGCCCCCCATTCTGGCCTTTATTATTCCCAGAACCCCCTATTTGTGGTTGTCCCCAGCCCCGACGCCGGCCTTGTTTTCGCTTAAAAGCAGCGAAACAACTCCAGAAATTTCGCGAAAGGGGGAGGGGCGACTTAATGGCCAAGCATCAACATGGCCAGTGGACATTTGAAGAACGCCGAACGTTGTTATTCTGTTTTTTGTTGCCGTTCGATCAGAAATCAGCGCTCTACCGTAGCCGGGGTGGTTCAACAAGTCATCATAACATTGGTTTTTGAAATATAAGGTTACTTAAAGGAGACACTTTAAAGCAGTGGGGTAATTTACAGAGTAACTTATTAGAGAAGTTGAAAGGCTAATTAAAGAGTTGTTAAGGGAGACATCTTCATCTAATGAATGACTATGAAGTCTGACAAAGCCTAAGTAGACTTGATCTCACTTATGTAGAGATTGATGTACAAGGTTACCTGAGAGTGATGTTATTTATAGCATTAATTAGGGGAATCAATCTACTTACAACTCGGTGTTTTTGGTTGTTAATTTGGGTTTTTATGTTTTATTCACGTTAACAGTAGACTCAGACAACGCCCTAATCTACTGCAAACATACTTTTATATACCCCAACATACCAGTTTGTATTCCCGAATATACCACTTTACATATACGAATCTTGACTAATAAACCCCACTATATTGCGTTATATACTTGTACATGCCACTTAATATACCGATCTTTCTGGAACATGCTAGTATCTGTTTACGATCCTTTAATCTTGTTGTTCAAGATACGTTTTCTAATTACATTTTGGTAAATTACACGTGTTATTACAAAACAAATGGCGTTTCGTATCATGTATACACATTTTTGTAATACTGTCATGCCTTTTCGTACTGTTTGGGCAATCAACTGTTTCGCAGTACAATTAAAAATGACAGTTTATAAACATGTTTTCTCGTAATAACTGTTTCATACCGTGTTGTTGACAGTGCTTCGTCGTACTGTTCAACCGATTAATATTGTTCAGAAACCAACTAGTATTGTTAGTATTGTGCTTTTCACGCTACACGTCTTCTCCTTGGCATCTGGAGATATCGTGCCGTGTTTTGAAACTTGCTTTGTTACTCTGTTGTTTACTCCCTTGGCCACAACACCGTGGTCCTTGGTCTCTTGCGAAACGATATTGTTTTAAATCGTTTGGAATAACATCCTTAAGTAAAGGCAGACGCTTTCAGATAAGCACAACACTTTGACTGCAGCTACACACGGGTACGACAACATGGAGGATCTGGATGTGGGGTTGAACCAGACCGAGATGGTCTACGAGTAAGTTGTTTAATCTCTTACACTGACACTTTGCTTGTTATTGTTGCTTTGTTTACTTTGATTGTTTTGTTTTTTGAACTTTTTTTGTTTTTAAAAATGGCAAGATTAATTGCGCCGTGCACTCCTAAGAGAACTCCTCAGAGATGCACGGTGCAAGAAATGTGAAAGTTTGTGTCAATATCTGATAAACAAAAGGACAGCATTATAACATAATATATGTTGAAAAAAAGCCTAAAATTGCAATTTTAATTTTTTTAATTTTAAAAAATTATTTAAATTTCGAAAAAGAGAATGACAAACAGTATACAGTTGACAATTTGCAATATGCTTTTTCCTGTTGCAACCGAATGCAAATAACACTTTGCCTCCGGGCATGAAATTGAAAGATTACCAAAACCGTGGCCAATTTGACTGTGAACCATGTCTTTGGCCGAGTCGCAGTCGCTGAAGAGTCGCGAACGCGAGGTTCGGATTAAATAAAAGGACAAACAGTAATCAGACCTGTTAATTATACCTTACCCATTGTTTACTGTCACCTTTTACCGTTACTTTTAAGGCCTATATTAACTCTTTATGGCTTATACTAACCATTACTCAGTAGTGACAGTTTAGTCAATATTTTTAGTTTTACTTTAGTTTTGAGTTCAAAAGCAACCTCAAGTTAGATGATAATAGCATTATAAGGTTAGGCAGTTTCAAAACTTCAAAATACAGTAGTTGCGGTCGGTTGTGGACTAGAAATGGCTTCCAGCTGATTGTCACTGCTAAGTTGTCCTCTTTGTTTATGTTATAAGTTTATTTTGCTCCCGATGTTGTTGTATAACAGGTCTTTTGTGATATTTATTTGACTTTTAGAAGTCGTATTTTATTAAAATGATGATTAATGGCTTTCAAGAGCAACATATGTTGAGGTATACCATGTATAATATACGAATGCTTTCAGAATGGCGGGCGAATCGTTTTCCGTTCTATCAGTACTATCAGTATCAGCCATCATCACCACGATATCACTCTTCTTCTGCGGAATGTAAGTCATATATAGTTTGTAGTAAACCTGTATCTATATTTTTTAAATTCACTAATTTACCTTCGTATTTTAGACCGATTTGTATCGAAATCAAACGCAGAAACAGTACCAACGAGATCTCTGGTTTTCCATTCATCATGGGCTTCTTGGGGTAGGTTACAGTAACATTCTCAATATTTGCTTACGTTTGTATTGTTTACAAACATACTGTACTATATTGTTTACTACTTTACAACATGTCGTATTTTACAAATATACGATGTCTTTGTATATACCAGAGAGTTGACTATGTTATTGTTTGTTTGCTTTTGAAAGTAAAGTTTGTATATAATAGTACTGTTACAGTTATAGTAGTGATAGTGCTGTTATAGTTGTAGTAGTAGTAATGAACATACTGTAGTAACAATGTGACATTTCAGCGGAAGCTTTTGGTTACGGTACGGGTTTATTAAAATGGATTTAACGATGATTACGGTAAATGTAGTGGGTGTCTCCATGATGTTCATCTACATCCTCTTCTTCATCTACTACTCTGAGTCTAAAGTAAGTATATTATGACTTGTTTATATGTCGTGATAAGGTTATAGCATTATGTTTATTTTATTCATATCATGCGACAGTTTATGTAATATTATAGGCGACATTTTGTATTTTAATATCTTAAAATATAAAATCTAATTACTGAACATTAATTATCTTTTTAAGACTTACTACAGGCTATTTATAACGTACTATTGCATACATCCTCTAATATATCAACTATGTTTAGACTGGTATCTCAGTGCAATTCGGCCTTGTCAGTTCGTCGATAGGGGCTATGTTAATATTGACCGAGATGTATGGAATGCAGAGTATCGACATCCTCGGCCTGATCTGCATGACCTTTAACATCGTCAACTTCGGAGCGCCGCTGGCTGGAATCGTATGTTTTATTCATTTTGAAGTGACGTCTGAATCCTGGAATTCTTGGGATTCCGTGAATAATATTGACTTTGAGTCTAATACGATTACTTTACTCTGTAATCACATTTCGACTTTTACTGTGACAAAGCAGAGTTTACAAAAAAGCATTTTCTACGTAATTTTATATAAAATAATATAAAAAAGAGAACTCTTAAACCTTAAAAATACAGTATCAAACACTGATAGTAATGTATCTTATCCATGTTTCAGAAAGTAGTACTGAAGAAGAAGTGCTGTGATTCGATGCCACTGCCATTGTGTACTGCCAATCTTCTCGTATCTTCACAATGGTGTCTCTATGGTGTTCTGGTCAATGACATCTACATCATGATTCCTAATGGAGCTGGTGTTGCGTTGGCCGTTCTCCAGATCTCACTGTTCTTGTTCTTCCCGAGAATGCCCGGAGGGCAAGCACCGTTCTCTTCGTGTGTCACGTTCGTTAATGACCTTGAGATTATGGAGGCACAAGGTAAGAAGAAGGACTAACTGCTTCCATATTAACATAAATTAGTTTAAACTGATTTAGGCGATTATATTGAGTAATGTTTCAGTTACTTTGAAGGCATTTAATTAAACATAGCTTATACTTATTACAACTTATTTCAGATAATTTGAATAATTTAGTTCAATTTAAATTTAAAAACCTTGGTTTAAAGTCCGCTTTTGAGTTTAAAAATACAATTTTAGTTACAAAATTAATTTAAAATTACTTCAGTTCTTCTATTTTTGGAAACAAAATTCTTGCGTTTTAAATTAAAACAGACTGTGATGTTTTACATAGTAAATTGATCAATGTAAAGTACTTTATTGTTTGATCGACTGTCAGACCTTATACAATGTTTAATCAATAGCCAAAAACCACTTAAAGTGACAGTTTAGCCATACTAATGTAGCTTAAAATGTGACTGTTCAATCTGACTACTGTAGCTTAAAAAGTGACAGTTTAACTTCCAAATCAATTTCAAATACCGTAACCTATTGAAGTTTGAATTCTTGCACAGTAGGGTACCGTTAACCGGACTCAGAAGCTGACGTGATAGGGAAGTAGTGCTTATTACGTCAGACGGCTGACGCTAACCCTTTCCGACTTGGCTTTTGATAACTTTTGACATGACACTCAAGTACATTAACATACAGCTATGAGGGTATGATGATAATGTACTTTTGGAGTTCAAAAACGTTTAAAAATATAACTTTTAACTTCTAGGTGAATATGAACAAGGTTTTTAATATTTTAAATACATTTCAAAGCTTTAACATTATAATTGCCACAAAAGATATATTAATATAGCACCAAATTTAAGTTCAAAGCCTTCAAAGCTATGTTAATATGCCTAAAGTAACATAATTACAATATAAATCAAAACCCTAACATATATCACACATACGAATAACAATAAGCCTAAGTTACTAACCTCTCCTACTGAGTTATCTAAGTTACAACTCCCCTAATTTGCTTATCATAATTTTTTTTTTCGCAGTGGAGAAGAACTTCGCCTTGGACGAAAGCTTCCTCACCAACTCTGACGCCAAGCTTATCGTTTAAGTTCAATAACATCAAGGTAATCGTAACCTGGAGTCGGCTTTCCCCAACCAGCAATCAACTATATTATTGTAGATACCAAACACTCGTCAGACATCTGGATCACCAGAGGTTCGTTGCAACAGTCCAGTCTCCCGCCTGCTGGGTGAGTTCAAAATTTTTGAAATATGAAGTTTGATACTAAAATACGAAAAAGTTTGAATTTTTTAAATTCCGCTAGTTTGGCATTCTGTTATAAGCAGTGTTTGTTACCTAAAAACAAGATTTTTTTTATTTTACTTTGTATGACTTTATATAACTGCGACATATTTACAGTAGGAACCCCCTATCGGCGTTGAAATTTGCTCAGACCCAGGGATCGTTCGCGGATTCAGGGTCCACCTTCACCACTACGGCTCCGACCTTATCCACCATATCAAGCAAACCCTTCCAGTTCGATAGGATTAGAGAAGTAGAGTACCTAGACAACCGATGGGCCGACAACGAGTTCAAACGATCCACCAGTGCCCCCAACATCTCCGACTTACCATAGAGCTTTGCCAAATTACCATAGTGATACATACGGTTTACATGGGGTTACTGTAGTCTCTTTACATATTACTGTATCTTTTACATATTGTATCTTTTCTATATTACTGTAACTTTGTCTATTAATGTCATTTTTATATACTACTGTATCTTTTGTTATCGTAATACTACAGTAATCCTCAACTTAAAATAATACTACAGTAGGTCTTAAATTATCATTGTAAAATCTCTTAACAGTAATAGTATTCCTAATATTGTAACTCTACAGTACTCTACATCACAACATCACTTACAGCTAAAGATTCTCAGATTCTAGAAGTAATACTCTTTAACTTGCCTTACCTTCGTATATGTATATATCAATGTAACATAAATTAAGCAGTATAAATGTTTATTCACCTTTAGTATCGAGTTTTGAGGGATTTGTGGAATCTGGAGGCATCGTGGTCGTAGCGGTAGTTAATGTCGTTCAACTGGTCAATTGTTGCTTTAAGGCCGTCCTGAAAGATACAGTAAGCGTAGTGTGTAAGGTAACAGCAAAGTCGCAATGTAAAATTTAAAAAAACTTAAAGCTACAGTATATCCACAGCACACTTACAATAGTAACATCGTAGAACTCGTGCTCACTCCGTGCCCCGACCTGCTTCAGCATCTTGAGGCTCTTGATGCTGCTCTCGAGGCTGTAGATCGTGTGTGCCATACTCTCGTGAGCCTCCCACGTACCGTAGGTCGGCTTCCGAGGTGCCGTCAGAATCCGAAGCTCATCAATCTTCTCCGTCACTTCGACCGAAGCTTCATCTTCTTCCTCGTGATGTCGTTGCTTCTGAGACTTCTGAATCAATAAACATGATGAACTCGATGATACAGATGCGTAATTCTCTTGGTACTCATTGGTCTTGTTCTCGACTTTGTCTAAACATTAGCTGATGATAATTCAGTATAGTGTTACATAAACGTGATACGTTGATATTACAGTAAAAAATGAAATTGAACGTATAAAATTACAAAACGTACCAATCCTTGTTGCCTTTTGGAATTGACAGAGTTTGGGGCTTTTCTGAAATTTAAAAATTAAAGTTTAAACAGAAAGTGATTAATTAAACCACGCTGTAACAAATGAAAAGCGCAGTAAAAACAAGCATTTGGTTTAATTATACAAATTAGTCAAAGTTGGTCAAAGCTCTTCGTAAAATGGCAAGCATATAAACTCTACTGCAAGCTTAGTACTAAAATTTAACATTAGCTAATCAGTGGAATAAAATTTTATACTACGTTACTATCCAAACCCGAATGATACGTCCGATGATACAAACTAACGTTTTAATACTATATGTTAGAGTAAAAGTATTACCAAAGAGTAGAGTATCGGACCTAGAGAACTTCAAAGTTTACTATCTGCAAGGTTTCAAAAAAGATTATTAAAACATAACTTTTTGTCCTCTTTAAGGTGGTACATGTCACAATTCTAAGCCCGATACCCCACCTTTGTCGAACCCTTGTAATAACAGTTTAAAGTTACACTATTAATATGTAACTAGCCTTTACCTTTAACTTATTGCTGTCCATTACACGTACGTTCTGTCCGTTGTCATCTTCCACGTCTACATTGACTTCTTCTTCCTTGACTTCTCGACGATGACCTCTGCCATCTTTTTGTTTTGGCTTCAGATTCCTCTGGTTAGACTTCTGAATCTGAATCTTGTCATTTGGTGACACCTTCTGATGTTTATGTTTAGGTGAAGAATCTCTGACTCGGCCTTCAGGAGATGGCTTCTGAATTCTTTTATTGTCTGGTGACTTTTGTATACGATCGTCCTGAGGTGAGTCCTGAAGTGGTGGTTGATTGGATCTGGCATAAAATAACTCTTTCTCCAGATGCCGGAGCTCAGAGATAAAGTCGATGTCATCTTGTTGATTGCGCGGACCTTGGTTTACAGAGTAACATTGGAAACAAGAAGGCTGACTTTTTTGACCGTACATCACCGCCAAACTTCACCAAACCCAAAAAACTAATTTTTTTTAAATTTTTAAAAATTTGTCGTTTTTTGTTCAATTTGAAAATAAAATTGGTACCAATATTTACATGTGACATTTCCGTAATTTTAAACCAACCTTTTAAGTCTCTAGAGAGCTGTAAACATTAATATAAAAGGTAACGTTAATCTGATATGTTAAACTATTTATTCCTAAAGCCTTGAATATACAGATAGTTAGTTAGTTTAACCCTAAAGTCTTCCTCCATTCCTTCAGAACCTTCAATGAAGCTTCGGCAGTCTCATAGTTCTTTTCCACCTGAACTCGAGCTCCATCATCCACTACTTTACCTTCTTTGTCCACCAATATCAACGTGGGAATCGACTTGATCTCAAACAGCTTCAGGAATCCTCTGAAATTAATTTTTTTTACCTTAAGCCATTCAAAAGCGTTACACTACATTGCTCTGGATGCAATTAAGTATAAAACATGAAAACTACAATAAACAGACAAATCTTTATATAGTTTTAAGTCAAAACAACTCCAAATTAACCGTAAAAGACACAAAAATAGCATCTCTACCTAATATCCTTTGTCCCGAAGGGAACATATGGCCATGGAGGAAGTTGTTCTTCATAATATTCGACTTGATCATCAGCTGAACGATCTCTGGACACCCACACAACATCAAGCCCTTGATCTTTCGTGTTTTCGTAAAACTTCTAAACAGCAAAGTTAAAAACAATGTAAACCATACCTTAATCTTAGGAGTCAATTCCTTACACGTAGAGCACCAACCAGCCGAGAAATATACAAGAACTGCCTGAAATAAGAGATACGACTACAATAATATTAAAAACAAACTAATAAATTCAAATACAAACTAAAATAATTAGTATATATATCTAAAAAGTATATAAATTTTAGAGTATTTATTTTGCAAAATAACTAAAACCTGCCTCATTTCTGAACTTTTCCTTGTTGATATCGCCATTCCTCGACTTCAAATCAACATACTCAAGAAAGTGATTCTCGGAATTCGAAGAAAACGCCCTTCTACAATTACGAGACACTAAACGGGCAACCAGCATTGTTTTTGTCACAATACTTTACACAAAATCACATTTATTTTCATTATTTTTATTTTGCAAACTGCGCCCAAAGAAACTGCAGTTTGCGGCGACAAGTTATACGATATTTTATTTTGCAAGACGGTGATTTTGAAATTTGGAAAAGAAACAAAGATGAAATTATTGTGAAATATGAAAGATTTTTTTATTATTAGGCTTGTTACAGTAAGAATTAAAAATAAAACCAATTTAGGTAACACATAAAATTAATTTTTATTTATAAATTAAATTAGAAATAAATAAGAGATTAACGGCACTTTATGGGAACATTCCTATCATTCCCGGGAACATTCTTTGTTGTCCCATAGGTGGGGAAATGATATTGCCTTGGGGCATGAAAGGCATTTGCCCTCCCATGGGCCCCATTCTGTTCGATTCACCACCCCCAAACGGGAAATTGTTGAAAGGAGCTGAAGCGCCAGAACAGTTGCAGTCCAATCCATCAGCCATCGACAGGATTTGGGCTAAAGGAGCATGAAATTGTATAGTTTGTTGTTTATGCTAATTTTTGTTATGTTTTGTGTCAATTTTTGCTGAATTTTCGGCAAAAATGAAAAAATATAGTTTACATGGCAAAACTTATTGATTATTACACTGTACTATAAAAACAGAACACAAATTTTTAAGAAAAGTGACTTAAGAAATACTAATTTATGGTAAAAACCAATATTATCCTCACCAAACTGCTCGAACGTGCTCTGTCCTTGTTGAGTTCGTCGAATCTGATCGTTGAGTCTTCTGATCTGGTCGTTCAACTGGTTGATTTGTTGTTGTGCTGCTTGATTGGCATCGGTCGGTACTTGCATATTCTTTGGCAGGTTTGACTTGGCCTGACATTTGCATTGGAAGTCGAAACTAACTATAAAAACTTTAAATAACTATGTTATCTACTATAATATATATTATTCTATCCTTATATAGCATTAAATGAATTTTAAAAAGTTAAATATTATATTTTTGGTCCAAGAATCTTTAAAAAAAAGTTTGTTCAAACCCTCTTTTTTTCTGTTTACTTTTTGACCGTTGCAAACATGCTGAACTTACCAGAATCTCCCATGCCCATTCCCATCCCGTAGCCATTTCCCATTCTTCCCATACTCTGAAAAACAAATTCATATTGACTGCTTAATACGCTTTTAATTCTGGAGCTCATTATGAGTACGACTTGTGATATAGTAAAATGCTAATACCAAGTCAGCTGATGCACAAACTAAACTGTACGAGGAATACTCTTCTGTTCGTCCTGGTACAAGTTTTTGGTGTACTAATATTGAATTAAAATTTGATTCAAAATGTGGAATAAAAGCTGTATTCTGCATATCACGTATATTAACCATGGCAAAATAACAAAAAATGCAAAATTTTGATAATTTTTCAGATTTTAAATTTAAAAAATTAAATATTAAAGGTAAAATTTCTGAATGCCCAAACTCCTCACATTAAACGGGTAATCGTGCTGTGCCGCCGTCTCCACCGCTTTGTCCACCTCGTCCAATGTTGCATCTTTGGCTGGCTCCTGAAGTTACAGTAATTAGTTATTCATAGCCAAAACTCTTCTCACCGGAAATGCCAAACTTTTGCTAATTACGAACAGGAAGATGGCGTACGACAACATTGTGACACTCGGAATAGCAAATGGAGGCGATCCGGCTAGCCTCAATCTATAAAAGCGATCCAGTAGCCCGCGCCACCGTGGATTAACCTGGATTCAGATGACGAAGGAGGACAGGTTTCCAGCGGGGCCTCTTGGATGCCATGACACAGCGTTCAAACCGGTCGATTAAGCCTTCAGAATCCGCGGATTAACTTGCTACACAAATAACCGCGACGTCTGGCTACACTGGCTTCTGCACTTTCCGTTCGAAAAGGGGCGGAGCATGTGTTTGTGGCCATACAGGGTTGGCCCCATTCTGTCATTCTTCTGCCGGATACAAGAAAAGAGTCTTGTTGACTAACAAGCAATGTCACGTTGTTTCACGTTACTCTTGGTTTGTAAGTTATTCTTTTGTGATTTCCACTTCCATTGAAGTTATATTGTGTTATCTTAATGTATCTCGCTTTTTGGGAAATAATTTTCCGGAATGGCAGCAATTACTGCACTGGGAGTGTAAACATATAATTATGAGAAAATTTGTTATTGTAGCATTATGTTTTCAACTACAATATGCACTTAAATTTGGTGTTTCATACGGTTCAAAGGTGCTATTGTATCCATAGTGTATGTTTTATGTAATAGTAGTATGTTAGCTGTTTTTTGCGACTTTACTGTGGTTTCTGCAGTACATTTTACACTGTAATATAACACTTTAATATAATCATTTGTTTCAGGGCTGACATTTGTAATCATAACGGAACAGTCGACACTCCGGCCGCCATCCAAACGCCTCAACTTCAACTTCATGAGGACATGGCAGCCCTTTAACGGTGCCCCCATCCCCTCCTACAACTCACATCCAGAACGTCAGAATGTGGTACAAAGGGCGATCGACTCGCCACGGCGACGAATCCACAACCGACTTCTTTGTATGGCAGCTTTAGCAAATCCGATCGCTTGTGCCGGAGTGTGATCTCTTTCAATAAACTCGAAACTTCTGAAGGGACTTAAAAACTTCAAACTTGCAGATTTAAACTGTGAAGAGTTGATTTCAGACTTCAAAACTGATTTAAACTTTAAAGCCCCTCACTTCGAAATGATGTTTGAATTCAAAATTCCGAAACCAAGCTTTCGTCACTTTTCGATCGACCTCGCATTGCCATTTCAAAATTACCAAAGTTGACAAATATTTTGCAGTTTTCAGAAGTATTGCTCAACTTAAGTAATAACGAACTGAAACCGTTTTAGAAAATCGTCATTTCAATTTAGTTTCAGTTGGGAGTTAAATTCAAATGAACTTGATACAATCAAATGATTTTGTTATCACAAAACAGCCTTTTAATATCAGTATAAGCTTTAAATAGCCACTCCATCCGCCATAAAAGTAAAAATTTTTGATAAAATATGTTTATCGGCAAGGCGGAACTTTACGTTTGGTTTACAAATTGCTTTCATCCAATTAAAATACTCGAACTGTTAGGAATCTGCCAACTTTACTGTGGTTTATACAGTCCATAAATTGAACTGGTCAAGTTTTTAAAATTTAAATTAACCCGGTTCTTGTTTTCAGGATCAGGAGTCAATCTAATTCTCAGTTATAAAAATTGAATTTCATCGGAATATCGTGTGTGAATTCTAAATTCAACCACATTTTCACTTTTAAAGGCTCAATTCAACTAGAATCCTAGCCAGAATCCCTTCTCCAAAGTCTGAATTCTCCACATTCGAAAGCTTTGACCAAATGAAACACGTTAGGAAACCTTTAAAAACCGAATTGATAACGAGACGCTGCAAACAAAGATCACTGGAAAGAGTACGTGACAGTAGGAGAATGATAAAGAGCGAGGCCTTTAACGGGAAACGAGAGAAGTCGCGTCGCCTAGGGGTGCAACACAAGGGCCGGGTGCAAGTGAGGTGCGCGCGCACCCTAGCTAGCCCGTCCCTTCCCCGATCTCGACGCGTTAGTTGTGATTAGATGGCATCAGCCCCTCTTCCCGTTTATAATCTTTGCTTTTGTATATGACAAAGTTGTTGTTTGCAGTCACACGGACCCGCGCCCAAAGATCAACTCGACTTTTAAAAGTAGGCTGATACAGGATCACGCGCTCCTTTATCATGCATTCCTGTCGACACAGGAAGTAATTGGTTTACCTTGAGGGCAAGAGACTGTTCTCTTGCACCTTTGTTCTTCGTGTCGCAAGTTGTTTTATGCGAAACACCATCAAATAACGTGGTTTTGCTTACAGAAGTGACAAACTTTATTGTTTTTGTGTACTTTTACCTTTCACTTGTGGTAAGCAAGAGTGTTTTCCGCTGTATATTGTAGTAGATTGCATGTTTCGCAAATAGTCCGTTTTGATTTTAAAAGATGCCATTCGAGAATTTTCCATTGATTCCCTTCAAATTGTTCGTGATATTGATAACCTGATGAGTTGATTTGATAAAAAGAAGAACGATGAAATTCTTATTTTGCGCGACAACGATTTGAGCAGTTTGATGTGTTCTTTACAAAGGTTTTAATATTTACTTCCTAGTCCGTTAATAAGCGCTCTTTTCAGTTTGACAAAACAAAAGTATTATGAACAAAGTGCTACATTCGAGTTGAATTACGTGGAGTAGGTTCACATAACACATTACCTTCTCTTACACCTAAAATACGAGGTCTCAACCACTTTTCTTATCTTCTTACAACTAAACACCACAAATATGAGGTATGTTTTAGCAATTGAACACTTGGCCTGTCTACATGACATGTTCAAGGCGGTTGGTGACAAGTGTCCCATTTTAAAAGATCGTAGGCACAATGTCTCAAAAACAACAAAAAGCAAACGTTTTTCGAAGTTTGCTTTTTATAAGTGCACAGAACGGTCTCAAAATTAACTAGACAAACTTGAGTGATCGGAGCCATGCCGAACGTCAGGCCAGACCGCGACACCGCTGTCACTTTGTCGCCAGTTGTGAGGCATGGAACGGGGAGAGTCAGTGTTTCATGGACAAACGTTTAACTTAAGTTATCCTTGCAGTGACACTTTGCCCAGCCCCGATCTGCCTGGCGTGGTGTCGGTGGAACTGCCAGCCGGCACTCAGATTGTGGTTGAAGCACAAGTCTTGACGTCCGATCTCGACAGGACCATCGCTGAACAACAAGCCGAACAAGTAAGTATTCAAATACTGTCTTTTGAAAATGATTTTCGACTCTTTTTTAACATATTTAACTAACTACAATAACATTACTCAACTGACACTTTTTAGCAACCTCACGACCAACTCCAAGCCCAACCAGGCCAAACTGTGGGAGGAGGCAAGGCAATGACCGCTCCACGTGGTTCCAAAGGACCAGTCAGGACATTGTTTTGCAGAAAATGTGAAGGGCATGGCCAACAAGTGGTGCTCAAGGGCCATGCCTCCAGCTGTCCTTACAACACATGCACGTGTAAAACGTGTGCCAATGTAATGTCAATGCGCGCCAACGCCATTATTAGAAGGTACAGGACGAGGACATCAGAGTGCGGCCTCGTACTGAAACCTGTCCACTTCAAAAACGGAAACACGAGGCTGAGGGTGTTTCCCAAATTTATAAGCGGTAAGTAATACAATTACCCACTTGAATGGTTTTTAGAGGAGGAGTGTCTGCCCATTCCACATGAACAACGACAACGTGAACTACAAGAACAACAGAATGCGTCGGTGGAGAAGCTAGCATTACTCAACGCGAACGGGATCGACATCCCCACTAAAACCTCAAAGTCCATCTACAAGACAAACAGTATGCGGAATCTAGACGAACCAATAACAAACGAAGACCCCATGCCCAAAAGAGCTCAATCCCACTCCCCCAACAAACCGGGCGATTCCGGCTTCGAAGACGTCAAGCCAGAGTTCAATGGCAGCTCCATGAGTTCTCTCTACAATAACGATCAGATCTTCACCGAGTCTCAGAACGACCAACCTCCTCAACAAAACGAAGCCCTAGTCAACGCTCTACTACAGATGGTACAACAACAACGTCTCTCCATGAACAACTACAACGACTTGTACCATCTACCAACCACGTCTTCCTCATCAATCAACATGCCAGCTCTTCTCCAGAAGATGCAACATCAACTAACTACAACAACAGCTGGAGAGTTCACATCGACAGGCTTCTCTCAACCGATATCCATCAACTCACAGCTTTCAGGTTACTATCAGCCAGCGGAGAGAAAGGAGGACATTCCATGTGGTAAGCGTGGCACCCTGAAACAAAATTATATTAACTTATAGAGTTAAAAAAGATCACGTTATTAAAAGATAAAATGAAATAAAAAATATTATTGTTGCCTAATTACAGAGTACAAAGCACCGGAAGAATACCTCAGCCTCACAGAAACATTGTGTTTGAACTCGGAAGGAAAGAAGAAGTTGACCAACACCAGATACCAACAATTTCTGGCAGCTGTCGTGGACCTGGAACAACAATTCATGCAAGACGAGTCGAACATAAACGGTTACTGATCTCACAAAACTAATCTATTCACTTGGACAAGTCAACAGCACTTCATCCTAACAGAAATGGTTTCTTGTTAACTTTATCAATTACTGTTCAACAGAGTCTGCAGTCAAGACGAACATTATTGTTACCTACATTAACAAACACCATTTCTTATTTTAAACTTTACATATTCCCATTATATTCGTTACTTTAAGAAATTCTATTGTTGTTAGAACCACAAAATGGCATGATTCTAATATATCGTTGGTAATACATCGTATGTTGACCTATCTTACTATGGGTAATCAGGAAATAAATAGAGAATTTAATAAATTACAATGACAGACTAATCAACTTTGTAGCACCAGTGTAATATTACAACAGAAAACCAATTTCTTTGTAAAAATTCACAGCGAGCCCAAAGCTAGAAATAAATGGCCTTTTCGATTTTTGCGCAGGCTGCAGAAACCATGTCAAGTTTCTCATTTCGCGTCAAGTTTAATTCTTAATTTTTATTTTTTCTATTGAAAATTATCCAAGTTTGTAGCATTTCTGATGTTTTCTTCAACTTTTTGAATAATACTGTCTTATAATAACGCGGTAAACGTAAATACAAGTTAAAATTTAACTAAATTTGATTTACTCAGTTATATTAACATTAATTTAAAGCTTTAGGTTATTGTTCAGACGTTAAGATGTTATAACATGTTACAATATTATATTAATATGGTTGGAAAACATAATTATTTAAGTAAATAATTTATATACTAAACTCCTCCAACACTTCAAATTTTAACACTTCAAAATTATTCTACTATGTTTTGTGAAATTTTTAGTTAATTACAAAATTCACGTTATACTTTGAATTATGTTACATTTAGAAGGTTCAGGGAGAATAGGTTCTCCGAACAAATAGTATTCTATATAAAAATTTTACACTTTCCTCTTCCCCTAACTCCTATCTTATTCTATCCTATTTTACCCCTCCTTACCTCACCTTACTCTAACTTACCTTACCTTCTAGCCCACCTTTCTATATGTCTTATTTTACCCTAGATGATCACTTGGCCTAACTTAACGTTTTTTACTTTACTCATCAAACTCAAATGTTCTTTTGTATGGTCCCATCAGTGATTTGCCTGGACCGTCCAGACCGAACCTACGAAATTACTGGACCGGACCTGAAAAAAATGGCGACCGGAGTTCATGGATTTACAGTATGCTAAAGTATGAATAGAGTAGGCGTATAGCTAAAGTAGAGCTAAATGTAGGGTAGTAATCTGAAGATACGTTAGTGTGAAACTATAGTACAATTGGAAATTCAGGGGCAGGAGCAGGTGCAGGAGCAAGGGTGAAAAAATAAGGGAGTTGAGCAAGATTTAAATTGGCCAAACGTTATGTAGCACATATTACTGTTTTCATCACCTTCGTTTGAAAAGTTAAATTCATGTTGTTTGTGGTGTATGCAGGCTTAGACGTAGAGCAGGGCAGACAACCATACCAAACCCTACAATACCTTACCATATTATAAAATGCCATACCCTACCATACTCTACCATACCCTACCATACTATACGTGACTATATTATACCATTTACCTTGCTTTATTTACCTACTCCCTACCCTACCCATAGGTACACAGTAGTGTTGTATAAGATTGGATAAGGTAAGATATGATACAGTATAGTGTGGTATAGTATGTTATGATCCGGCCTGTTTCAATTTTAGATCAAGGCCGGCCCGGCCTACACGGTCCGTTTCTCACCCCTAGGTAGGATGAGGTTGGGTAGGGTTACAATAGGTGGGGCTGAAGTCGGGTGGGGCTAAAAGGGTCCGGAGAATAGGGCTAATATTTACAGGAGTGAAGTGGGGTAGGTAACATGACACTCAACAATTTAAAATTAATTTTTTTTCAAAAAATACGAAAAAACCGTTTTTATCGGGCATTTACAAGGTATTACCGGGCACGAGGCAAGCCTTGCCCGGTTACAATCATGTGCCCTGCCAGGCCCTGTAACTGATCGTGAAAATGGGCCCTGGGCCCGCGCCAGAGCCGTGTCGAGCACAGGGGGCAACGCTCTACTTCCAAAATTAAAATCTTACAAAAATAAAGGTAAAACAGTTTAGGACAGTATAAGATGTTTTTATAAACAGTTATATACTTATCGGTAAGAATTATTTATGTTAACGTATAATGGCAGCGCTCTTTAATACGTCCTCGAGGCTTAGCTTAAACAACATACTCTAACTGGTTCGCAAACTCATCATTAATAACCAAAAAATGATTTTAATATGTATACTACAATTTAACTAACATGTCCTGGTTAAATAGTTAAGTTTTAGCGAGAAGTTATGTTAAGGTAGTGCTAATATGCCTTAAAAAAGTTTTCGAAAAGTATCTAGAAAAATATGTATTCAAAACAGCTACAAACTTTCAAAAATAACCAAATAGCAATTATAATGAATGTGACAGTTTTATCGGCAACTTCTCACCTATTTAACAACTTATGTAGCAATATTTGGTTTAGGTACTGGTGACTAAAACAAGGTATTCAAACCGTATCTCAAAAAGTAGATCATATTTGAAGCTAGAACTTTCCAAAAACAAAGAAAACATGATTTAGGTGTGTTTAACGTTTTCACTTTACTATTTATTTGTTTGACTTTGAAGTTATGTGGCCAAAACATGTTATTGTAGTGTTAATATGCGTGAAAAAAGTTTTCAAATCGTAGCCCAAAAAGTAGATAAGTTTTTCAGCTGAAACTTCTTTAAATTAAAGTTTACTTTGTTTTGATGAGTTTAACGTTCTAACTTTACCAATTATTTCTTTAAAATTAAAGTTATATACTTTTAAGTTAGTTTTATTAATTTGCACTAGTTTTATTCGAGAGACCGTAACTTTTTTAAAAATGTGTTTATATAAAAAAACTTTTAATACAAAGTAAAGTAGAATAACTACTTAATCTTTTAATTTTGTTTTGTTGATAATACCTCTTATCGTTTAACAGTTATATCGCTCTAAACCTCAAAGCGACTTGAAAGCGTGCTTTTTTTCCGACCTGCGCCCGCGATTCCACTTTCATCTAGAAAATAAATAAAAGTGGGCTCGCCGTGAATTGCAAGTTTTCGTTTGAAAAAAATTACTCTAATTTAATTTCCTGAGACGAAAACGTTTTTCTATAAATCGTGGCATTCTGCTTCACTTAAAATAATTATGAAAAAGTAAAAATGGCAGATTTTTGTAAATTTTAAAGAAATCTCGATGTTTTCAGCTCACGAGTTGTCTAAAGCTGAAGTCGAACGTTTCAGTCGACAATTACTGCTGAAACACTTTGGAGTTAAAGGTAAGTTTTGTGATTATGAGCTTATTCTTTGAAGTTTAGGACAAGTTGCTTTGAGCAAAGCTTCTGTTCTTATTGTTGGTGCTGGCGGACTGGGATGCCCAGTAGCACTGTACTTGGGAGCTAGCGGCATAAAGAACATTGGCATAGTTGATCATGATAAGGTATCTTTGGACAATTTGCACAGACAAGTTATGCATACTGAAGATAGGGTTGGACAATATAAAGTAGACTCGATAAGGAAGGCGTTGTTAAAGTAAGTTTTCTTTTGTTTTTGGTTTTTAGGAGTTTTATTTCTTATGTGGTGTTAATATTTTAGCTAATCAACAATCTCATGTTACAATTGTTTTTTATAAGGTCTTTTAGTTTTTAAACTTTTGGTTTTGTTATGTAACATTTAAAATTATTTGTTAATGCGGCATCTTTTTACGTTTAATATTTTGTGTTAAATGTGCTTTTTCAGGTTAAATAGTAATTTAAACATTGATGTATATCGAGAACTGATTGACAGTTCAAATGCTACTGAAATTGCTCAAAAGTATGATATTATTGTAGATTGCTCTGATAACGTCGCTACAAGGTAAGTGTATACAATACTTACGTCAATGCTTATTAAGGTACCTAGTCAATGATTTGTGTGTGTTAACTAACAAACCTCTGGTATCTGGAAGTGCTTTGGGATGGGAAGGACAACTTACAGTGTACCATTCTGGTGAGGTAGGCTTTTATTTAATTCTTAAGAAGAATTTTGCTAAGAAGATAAAATTGGCTTTTAAACTTTTTTATGGGTAATGTTGTGTTTTCAGGAATGTCCTTGTTATCGATGTATATTTCCAACACCACCACCTCCAGAGACTGTCACTAATTGTTCAGAAGGAGGTGTTCTGGGACCAATAACTGGCATGATAGGGTCGTTACAAGCACTAGAAGTTATAAATCTTATTGTGAAAGGAAAATGTAAGATTTTTGGACTACGGTGAAGTCTGTACTTCGCATACATGAATATAATTATGTGTAAAATATAATGTAATATTTATGATACGCATTTTCATGGGGTGGTGAATTTAACGTTTGCTTTTTAGCCAACTATGCTGGGCGATTGTTTTTGTTCGATGGCTTGGATGGTAGAACAAGGACGATCTCTTTAAGGAAACGGAAAGTTGACTGTGACATATGTGGTCAGAATCCGACGATAAAATGTTTACAAGATTATGTACAGTTCTGTCAAATGGGTCCAACAGATAAAGTGAGTTTATTCTTTATATTATTAACACGATAATATTTTTTTCAGTTTATTCTTTACGTATAGTCATTTGTTTTTAACTAAAATAAAGTAATCGTTCAGGTAAAGACCTTGAATCTGTTGAAGCCGGAGCTTCGAATCTCTGTTAGAGACTTCTTTATCAAGTACTGGCAAGAAGACGAGAAGCGACCACTGCTAATTGATGTTCGACCAACTATCGAGTATGACATTTGTCATCTACCTGGGAGTAAAAGTATGTTACAATATTTGAAAGACTTATTTTATTTAAAGTTATTTTCTTGTGAATATTGGATGTGCCATAGTTTTTAAACTTTTTTAGATGTTCCATTGTCTAAACTGGAGAAAATGGCAGACGATGAACTGTCTGATGTCGTGAATGGTCAAATTGAAACAGTATTTCTACTTTGTCACAGAGGGAACGATTCTCAATTAGCTGTTAATATCTTTAAAGACAAAGTATCCGACTACAAGTTTAAAGACATCATTGGAGGGTTGGATTCATGGGCTACTGAAATCGATTCGAAATTTCCAACCTACTGAGATATGGTTGTTTCAAGGTTTATGTAGTACTTTATTGTTGATTTTATTGTTATAAAGGGTAACTAGAACATAATTGAAGTTTTGGCGGAAGTTGAGCTTCTTTACTTATATTTATCAAATAGTTATGATTTTTAATATTATAAAACTATTATTTTCTTGATAGATGGAAGTAACAGACTCTTCTGAAATGGGCTTTGCCGTATGCCCATTGTCATCCTGTCCCCACGATGACATTGTAAACAAAATTCCTGTAGGATTTGAGGCAGATGGGCCGTGTGAAAACTGTGGCGATAAGGAAGAAAATTGGATCTGTTTGGTTTGTTATCATGTAAGTGTCAAAATAATATTTGTCTAACTAGTAATTCCTTATAATATTATCTATGTTCTAAAAAAATGATGGAAACCCTTCTTAGTATTAATTCTTGATAATTAACTTTATGTTGTAAACCAAACATATTTCGTTTATTAAACTTTTGGAAGTAATATAAGTTTGCTATTTAAGATATTTTGTGGCCGTCATCGACTTGGTCACGGTGTAGCTCATTATGAAGCGTCTAAACATTCTATGGCTCTCAGCTTCTGCGATCTCTCAGTATGGTGCCATGCCTGTGACTCTTATGTGAGCAATTCTAAGTTTGAAGAAGCCATTCGGTACGTTGAGAAGGTTAAATTTAAAAGTGAATAAGACTATGGTACTTTTTATAACTTATTTGTAACTATACTGTAATTATATACATTAAACCTTTCTTAACTCATTATATTTTCCTGTGAATGTATGTTAACATAATGTTGGTTCCTACCAAACTTTCTCAACCTAATATTGGTCCTCGTAAACTTTTGGCAACGTAATATTGGGCTTCGTAAACCTTCCCCACCGTCATGGCGGTCCTTATTTACTTTTAGTATAAGATTGTCCCCTGTAAACCTGGGAATACCTTCGAGGGGTTATGTCAGAGTAATGCGTTCGCCCCAAGCCCTTGGATAATATTTTTGTTTAAGCTGTGGCTCAAAGCCACGCAGATTGGAAACTGGGTCAGGGCGGCTTATTTGACGTAAATTAATTGGAAAGCTGACAGAGTTCATTGAAAGTACGGTAAGAAAAGTAAAGTAAATGTGTTTTGCAATTATCAGTTTTTTAGGAATTAAAAATGAAGAAAGAAAGACAGTGACAATGTTGATGAGATTTTGAGGTATTCATAAATTCAGACAATATGTACAATTTTACAAAATATTTGAATCTTAAATATGTATATATAGTACTCACGACCTTATTTTTGAGCAATTAATGTGTTTCTCAAATGTGGCAATATCTTTTCTTTGAACTCCAGTAGCGATGGCATGACATATTCTGGTCTTAAATGGGAAATAAACCTTCTGAAGCACTGGTTGTCGATGATTTCTTCTGGCAAGTCCCCGTTTGCGATCATCATAGCTATCTAAACAATGATGAAAAATAACCTATTTAAAATAAAAATCGTACTAAAAATCAAAACCCACATAATTTGTCGCTATCTGGTCATCATCTTGTTCTTCTTTTGATTCAACTCGCTGAACTTCTCCTATTTTTCTTAAAACTTCTTCGACTTGTTCTTGTTTTACTTCTTCTTGAACTTCATTCACTAGTTGGTCTTCGTTTCCTTCTTTTTTGACCTGTACATTCTCTTTAAGTTCTATTTTTGAATTTTCCTCGTTCTTCTGTATCAATTTGTTCGTGTACTCTTTAGGATTGAAATTCGTTAGCCCATATGTTGACGTACTTGCCGATCTTAAATCTTCTGAGGTTTCACTTAATTCTAAACCAGAATCATCTGTAACCTCTTTCCGAGAACTTATTGTACCCAATGTGGTAGTGTTGGCACTTGAACTTGGCGTAGATGAGAGAGAATATGAAGGTGCATTGATCTTCGGAATACGATCAGTACTGTTCTCTAAGTTATCAATTAGCGAGTCATCGGTAGATGAGTTCACGGCGAACTTCTGAATGGTGTCGAGTTTGTTTCGAAGTTGTAGATTCATGGCTTTTTGCAGCTGAGCGTATTCTTCTGAGTGACAAGACTTTATATGTCTTATCATGCCGGTCGTACTGAAATCATAAAAAATACTCTGCGAAGGGCGATATCAGTATTTTTGGTAGATCGAAAGTCAATAATAACACGATAACAAAGCATAATTAAACTTTGAGAAACCTACTTGCTGTTTTTGGCTTGTATAAGTTTACCACAATGATTACAAGTGGCGGCTTGATGGTCGGCGACTTGTTTAAAGAATTTCCAAACTTCGGCCGTTTTGTGGACTGACTTAGTCCTGGGCCGGCGTGAACTCTTTGGAGTCAGATTAATGTTTGGAGTAGAAGTTGTAGCTGGCAGCGGCACATTACATTGATACCGGTTCAATAACGGCGACAATAACATATCATTGGGAAGAAGCACATTCTGGTTCAGATCTCTGGCTGCCAATGGACTGGGGCTGTTTAGTTGAGAATTGGGCATAATGCTTAGAAGAACTTGCAGTATTTGTGGGGGTAGATAAGTATTCATTGGTTGGTGATTCATTTTGCTGAAAAAAATTGTAAATCGAAGTAAGAGAGAAAAGGTACACGACAGAGCGAGAAGATGTCAATTCTGAAATGCAAGACTTGAAGCTTGAAGTTTATCTCAATACTCAAAAGGTTAAAGCCAAACGGTTTATAAAAAATGTTACGACACAATCAGCTTTTATTGTAGATGACCTGCTAGGTCCATGTAACAGCGTTGGTGAGGAGTGGGATCTGTAAGTACCGCCTATAAATCAATCCATACTTAGGTATACCCCCTCAAACCTATACCTAGGTATACTTTCTCAAACTTATGTCTAGGTATGCCCCTTTACCCAAAAACATGGGCGCTGGGTAATGTAGCGGCATACTCTACGTTGTGTTTCAAAATGGCATAGCTTGGAGTCGATGTCAAGTTCTTATTGTTCCCCATAATCTGACAAAGGTTACCGCACTCAATTGCGTAGCTGGCCTTCGGTCACAAATCAAGCTGAGATAAAGTCACTCAAGTTGTTGTCCAAAGTTTATTACGTCAACGAAATGTATATGTTTACACTATATTTTTGGGATTCTGCAGCTAATGAAATCGTCTATAGACATGGCCAATAGGAATCAAGGTAAAGGATACAACATGAAGTATTTTGGTATTGAAAGTAAAACGTACAATGGAACCGGGCGTGGTAGTCCGGCACGATAAAGCTGTGGAGAGTTGATATCAAATTGGAAAGACACAGAGATGGCCACAAGATCGGCATTAAGAGTAATTATACTGTAGAAGGCTTCTAATTATACTGTGGACGGCTTCTGAGCGATCGTCAGACCCGGAAGCCAGATGGAAATACTTAGAAATTTAGGTAACAATGAGAGGCAATCAGATACAATGGAAAGATTCTACTGAAGATGAGGCGTCGTCCTCCTTCTTGGGCCTCGTGATTGGCGGGCTGAAGAACGACATGTTGAGGGAGCGATTCTGAGCGGCGACGGCTTCTGAATTCTCAAACTCTTCGAAGCCGCTTTCCACTGTAGTCGACGGTGAGATTGGCCAGTTGACAGTTTGACTGAAATTTAAAATCATTTAGTATATAAAAAAATGATTTTTTAAAAAGAGAACTCGGTCAAAAAGTATTTAGAATATCAGTTATTTTGCTGATAATAAAATATTACTGGCAAAAGTTCACATAACTGTAGGTAGGACTTACTTGTTGGCGTAGAACTTCTCGACATAGTTTCTCAAAACCGGCAAGAACTTTTCTTGGAACTCCAGAAGCGTTGGCATCACGTATTCTGGCTTTAGGTATGAAATCAAGGCTCGGAAGGCTTGGTTTTCGACGATTTTCTCTGGCAGCTTTCCGATAACAATCATCATGGCAATCTATAAACGTTAAATAAGAAACTTTCATAAGAGTACCAAAATTAACATTATGATTAAATTTTTTTTAAAAAATAAAAATATCATACTGGTTGTTCCAGAAAATAATATCACTAGGGCAAGTACATTCTTTTTGGAAAGACTGATAGATGTAAACTTACATGATTAGTGAGCGTCCTGAACTCTTCGCCCTGCTCCTTCTTGACTTCAGGTTCTGCTTCATGGATCTCGTCTTTGACTTCATTCTCGATTTCCTCTTCTTTGATGGCTTCAGAACTCTCAAACAACACCTTGGCGTTGTCATCGTTCTTCTGTAGCAATTGCTTCGTATACTCTCCCATGTTAAAGCTGAAGAGCTCGGAGTTGGCAGTCGATGCACACACCGAACTTTGGTCTTCTGACCTGGTTTCACTCAGATCTAGGCCAGAATCATTAGGTATGGACTCTTTGACGAATGACGTTGAACTGGCTACTGTAGCGTTGGCACTGGAAGCAGTAGATGAAGGTGAAAACGACGACGAATGCTCAAACTTGGTCTTCAGAATCTCCTGGATCTGCTTCGTACAGTTCTCCGACTGGTCGAGTAGGAGTTCATCTGAAGGCGACTGCACCGTGAACTTCTGGCTGTTGTTGAGCTTCAATTGAGACTGACGATCTCGAGCTTCTTGAAGGATGACATGTTCTTTGCGATGACAACTCTTTAGATGCCTGATCATTCCAGTCGTACTGAAGATGATTAATATTAATTATTGTGTTTCAAATTTCAAAATCAAGTTAATATAAGAAAAATATAAACTTGAATAAATTCAAGCGTAAAAAGCAAAAAAATTAAAAACGACTGTAAAATCGACCGTACCTGCTGTTCGTAGCCTTGATTTCCTTGGTGCAAATGTTGCAAGTTGCAGCTTGACGATCCGCGACTTCCGTGAAAAACTTCCAAACTTCGGCCGTTTTGTTGGCCGGGCCTGAGTTCCTGATCCGTCGTTTGATCTTGGGGGTGAAGTTTGAGATCGGAGTAGATGAAGTGGCAGCTGAGATCGGTAGATTTAACGGTAGTGGGTTTAGGAATGGAGATGAACAGTTGAAGGGCAAGTTTTGTCGGCCAACGTTAAAGTCTTTCAAGGCCAAGGGATTTAAGTTGGCGAATGGCCGGGCCGCCAGAATCTTGAACAAGATCTCCATTTGAGAATGATCCAGGTTGGGCTGGTTCATTTTTCTAAACATTTATACATTAAGGAAGGTAAAAGAACTTTAAGACACGGTAAATCACGTTATTAAAATTTCAAATGTGAAAAGTACAGTATCTAAATGTAAAAACACGGTAACCTATCGTAAAAGTAGTACAACAAAAAGCAATGACATAATAAACCTTTAACTCGGGCGGATGACCGTTCTCCGATCACCCCTTAACTCAAGAGGCCCATCTCAGCAATGGTATGAAGCCGCCACGGTGAGGGACCGCCTCCAAGTTCCCTCATCCCTCCGCCGAGTAACCCGAGGCGTTCGAGCTTTTTTCTCTTTGTTGAATCAGGATAAAGCCCTCTTCCTGAAGAGAATGTCCGACTTTGCTGCTTTTCTCGTCGGACATCAGGGTTACGGTAGCGACGTGGTCACAAAACGACATTATGAAAACAAGACATAAGACAGCTATTGAAGTATAAATGATTATTGAGGTGTAGAACGATAATAATATGTAGAATAACACGAGTTAACACAACGCCTATTCAAGAGCCAAAGCTATGAGCACCCCCAGACCTTTCGATACCGAGAGTTCTTTTTGGACCAAATTAGGTAACAAATCGCGTCAACGAAACCTCAATAACATGGAAACGACGCTTACTGAGTCACCATTCAATGACAAGGAGTGGACGTGGGAAGGTGAAGATTAGGGCCCCGGGCCCCCCGAGGTCGACCTGCTTCCGTGCTCCACTTTCGCCAACAGGTTTTGGAGCCAACAACAACAAGGTGTTGTTGCGGATACCTCGAGATGGGGGATCCGCCCTCAGGTGAACGAGTCTGGACATCAAGCAGAGTATGCAATAAAATGGCTGCTACAGATCTCGTGTAGCAGTCTCCTCGATCCCCGGCCTCCATCCGCCGACTACTTTCGCATAAAAAGAAAGAACACCGAAGCATCAACGAAAAACTGGTTGTCGAATGCCCGGATCGCGCAATCACCCCAAAACGAGATCCACCCTCCGGGCGTTGCGCAACAACCGACTAAGACGAAATGAGGGAAAGAGGCTATTCCTTCACCTCCTTCCTCCATTACCCACATATCACAAAAACAAACACACCACATTACATTCACATAACAAGTAATCCAACAACATAAAGGTGAAAATGACCTACAATAACACATAATTTAAAAATTTAAGAATATTCAGTACATTGCCATAAAAACGATCACAATATCATAATACAACAAGTAAAAGATCAAAAAGAAAACATCTTAATGTCAAGACCTTATTAAGTCCACAGAAAGATATCACTGACAAGCAAATAGAGCAGTCGACGCTCACAAATAATGATGTCCAACAAGACTTTTAGGTAACAAACGCTAAATATATACAATCCCGCAGTCAAAAGGCTTGTATAAAACATTGAAATAACAATAAACGCTAAAAAAATACCAATAAACCTTCCTAAATTATAAAGTTAACATAAAATGATACCTAAAAATTATTAAATAACTAGAGATAATATGATAAAGCAATAAAAAATATGAAAAAACTGCGATGAAACAGAATATATAATAGAACTACTATATAAACTTTTATAAGTCAAATTACATCTTCACCGTCCTGATTTCGACTATACTTTTTAAAAATATTCACTAATTTATATTTTCTTTGTAAAAATCTGAAAACTGTCAAAAACGACGAAATGCCAAAGATTGACAGTCAACGAATCGCCACAAAAATAACAGTTTTTCTGCGTTTTTCGCTTTCGAGAATGCCGCCATCCTCGAGAGTTGAATTGACGAAAAGATCGAAAGTTACTAAGGAGTTTTGAGGTCAGCGAGTCAGACATAAATTCACCTTCAACGACGTACGTATATCTACCACAATATCAATATACTCACTATAATATTAGTGTTTCTACAAGATACATAGCATTATCATAATATAAATTCACCAACTACTATTTTAGCTACAATACTAGACTTGACTTCAGGATACCTAAAACAATATAGACACCTTTGTCCACCCAAAGCTTGTCCCTGCGGGGAACCAACTGAGAAGCTCATTAACACCTTTTGGGACAAGAGGGCGTGCCTTGTTACCGTATTTCGTGATTTTGAATTTCAGGGTCTCGAGGGTGCGGGAAGGGGCAGATGTTGCCAGCTGTGATGAGGGAGAGGCTATGCCGGAATCTGCGGCCCGACCTGTTCGTCGCGAGCCGAGATCTTCACCGTGCTGCACCCAGATGGCATCTGCCTCGAATTCCGTCTCGAAGTGAGTCGCGCGCCTTGACAAACGGCGTGCAACTCGCACCCCAGCGGCCCTTTGTTCGACGGGGGGTGACATCGAAATGAATTGGCGAGGGTGAATGTCCCCTACACAAGACTGTTTTTAATGTCCCTCCACAGTGCGGATTCCCTGTTTCGAGACACTTTCCTTCCCAGCATTGTCTGAATGTCCCCTGTTCTGAACAAGATCACCCCTTTCCCTAAACATCATTTTAGATGTTTTCCTTAGAGACACTCTTTGAACTCGGAGTTTTGGCGCCAACTCCACCTCAAAAACAACACTTCTGGCCGTGTTACGGTGCGGGAGCGGGTCGAAGCCGCATTCCAACAACTTCCGAACCCAAATTGCCGCTTTTCCTCGAATTTGGCGCCTTTTCCCTTTTCCAATTGATCGCAATCTCGACCCAGGGCAACAAAAAGGTAACAGTAAACCCTGACAATATTTAACCGTCTGGCCTTGTTCGATGTTTGCTCGGAACCAGCCGGCTGCGGGAGGGTCGGGTTGGCCCGGTTGCGTCAAACACGGCAGTCTGATTCACGCCAACAACAACAGTGTAAAGCGAAGGAATTGCGGCACGATCTCGCGCCCAAACCTTTTAATAGAGCTCTTGCGACAGCACCATAAACTGTCCGAAATTTGCATAAATTAATCAGAAGAAAAACATTGCGTTTTTGGGGGGAAAAACGCTTATTAATGCCGTGAAAGGGGCTAAGAAGTGCCAAAATAGAGTAATCGGTAAAGAAAGGAGGTGCCAAATGAAGTAATAGGTAAAAATGTTAAAGACGATAAAAAATAGAATAAATTGTTTCAAAAAAAATGTAAAATAAAAACACTGTCTGACCGTACCAAAAAGTCAATTTAAAAACAATATCATTTCTAGGTGCCACAATTGGTTTTAGTAACTTTCTAATCAGAAAACTTGTGGCAACATAATTTCCAAATTTTTAGGTAACAAACAATACATCAACCCGGCCAAGAAAAGGTACAGATGGTCACAAAACACTAATAAATATGCAAAAAAGCAACAAACAAGTCTATAACTCTACAACCAAAATAAGCAACAAGATGACAATATTAACCTAGGGTCCTTGAATGGTCAGAGACGTCGAGAAGCGCCGGCTGAGGCAAATGGACCCCTGTGGCGAATGTAAACGAAACAACGGTTTGGAGGGATTGAGGCGACGGAAAGTGGAATCCGTGGATGACGAGAATACCGAAGAAAGTCAGCGCTTAAGGAAAACGAAAAAACAACCACCGGAGGCAAATTTTGAAAGGACGGGAAGCGGATCGGGATAATGGCGTTCATGTACAGTCCGTCTCGCCTCGTTTTCCCTCCGATCGCCGAGAATTGCAATTCGATTCTCCTCCAAGACGCCGGCCCCAATGTGCCGTTATGCGACGTGCGGCTTCTAGTTACACTGGTAAGCAGGCAAGTGATTTAGACTAAGGTATTGTACTAGTATGTAGACAATATAGACATATTCTTAAATCATAATCAATGAGATCTCTTTTCGTCTACTTCGGATACTACTGGTCAAGACACGCAGCCTCATCATTTTTCCCACTTCGGTCCAAAATTAAATAGAAACGGAAGAACTTTCACGATGATCGCCCTCAGGCCGTAAGCACATAAAAAAACGATTCGCACTTTTTGACCAAACAAGTTTGAAAACGCTTACCGTATTTTAAACGTATCTCTTACTTTGTCATAAAAGCAAACGTAAAATATAAAAATATTAAGGGCATCTAAAGTATAATCGTACAATAAAAATAAACAGTATGTCCAATTTACAGCATTGACCTAACAGTATTGAAGTTTTGATCACTTCGAAAAGTTAAAGCCTTCAAAATCCGAAAACTTTGCAGCTCTCGATAAATCGGGGCAACACGGCCGAGAGATGGCCAAGTTGATAAAATGGCGACAAATGGGTCTCCGATTGAATCACCCAAAGAGGCCCAAAGGTTACAGTACTTACTTTAATGACGTTTCGAATCTCGCTGTGGGTTTATGGCCTGAGAAGCCCGGACGACCAATGGGCGTGGTCTGGGGGACGTCAAACGGTCGCTGCGACAAGATTGCCAAAGTTAATAAATTTTAGCGACAAGAGTGCCAAAACATATGTGAGGGTTGCGCCAAAACGGTCAGGATTGGCAAAGAAACCGAAATTTTCAAAATTTACCGCATTAGACAAGATTGATCATAAATCTTCCTACAATGGATTAAATCAAGTATAACGCTAGGAAGAGTAAGCCTATAAACTAATGGAAAGTAAGCAGTTCACGCGACAAAACAGCATGAGCTTACCTCGAGAGTAACGATGCAGTCAAGTGTCGCGCCAAAGACGGAGGAAACTTGATGAGATCACATTGACCACGAAAATGAGTCTTCCAAATGGGTCTTTGTTAGCGGGTTCGGGCCCCTCTTCTCGCGCCATCGATCCTGAACGCGCCTTCCGGGTGGACCCCAAAACACCCCCCCCCCTTCGAAACAAGTGTTTTGCTTCGAAAAGTCGCGCGCCAAATCTGGCTAGAGAATTTTTGAAATCGCTGCGACACACTTTTAAGAAGTAATGGCATGACGAATCAATTTGTCGCGCGCCCATCATAGCGGCTTGTTCTGATCAACTTGGCCCTACTTTTTTGAATTATGGGACCGGAAGGAACAAAGGGCCGCCGAGTTAAAAAATTCAAAATTTGAAAAGCGTCCACAACTCACCTTACTTACTTCAAAACAATTTGAACATTAGATTGAAAAAGGTGAAATGCAAATTTCTGGGATAAGATAAAACAAAATGGATATTTGGCTATAGAAAAACACAAAATTTGACCTACTAAGACAGGTAGCTAAGCCTAAAAAGTATTAAGAACAGTTTGGAAACAACTCAAATATACATTAATCATATATCTATAAGCTATATAAAGATAGAAGCGTGCAAACAATGCGACAAACCTAAGGGCCGCCATTTACGAAGATTATAAACGGTGTTTATATCTCCGTTTATGTCCTCAAGATGGTCATTTGTGTCGCCATCGGCATCCTGTTGCCTTTCGCCGAACCATAAGCGCCGATCATAAACATGCCGATCCCTTTGTTCGGCCGCCTCTCGAGACAATGGCTGGAATTGGCCCCAAATTTGCATAAAATTAGTTTCCAATTTCGAACGAATTCATGGCCAGCCATTGTCGCGAGGATCTGGGAAAGTTGTCCCACCGAGAGACTTTTCGAATGTCGCGGATCCTGGCCTCGCCTTCTGGGGACAAAGGACCGCGATCTCTCTTTTGTTGACACTTCAACTGACCTTTACACTAGCTTCAAGACAACGGCGTACTGTAGGTTCGCGTCTCCAAGGCTTGTCGCCCACCCGACTGAGTCCGCCGACTGCGATGGCGGACCGCTCAATTAGCCTTAATGCCACACCTTCCACTCGTACCTGCAATTATAGCACGGCACCGGTTTGGAGACTCGATTACTGTTCCGAGAGTTACAAAGTCCGCGAGGGATATTATTTATACCGGCGCGAAACTTTCCGTTTCGAATCCTTTTCTTTGACTGCACCGTACAATGCCGGATTCCTTCCATTGTGTCCGAGAATAATCTCTTTTTACTGCCAACCGGTTCACAACAAGTCTCTTACAGCGTCTCGGTTACTCCAAAGCTTTACTTAACGGAACAAATTACTACAATAATTGACATCCAAACCTACCGTAACAAGACTACTTAAACTACCTATATTAACCTTAATAGGTAACAAATATAAAAAGTGTTTATTATAATTCATATAAATGCATAAAATATATAAACATTGTTCAACTTTACACACAATACTATAAACTATCTATATAACTAAAAGAACAACTTAAAGCCCACGGTCTATTTACATTGGTATCTGGTTCCTCTTCTCCATCAACTCCTTGTCGAGATACGACCATCTCCATTGCTGTGTTCGTTTAGTCTTGACACATTTACTCATAAAAACTTGATCAGTCCGAGGATCAGCATCCAAACACATATTAGCCAGAGGGTGATATATCTGTCGCGATGTTATCAAGTACCTGAACATCTGATTCCCTTTGGTACCGTGACATCCAAATAGTAGTACTGGTGCTCGTTCTGTGTACTGGGAGACGTCGAAACACAAGTTTTTGTCGTTTTTTACTTTTATGTCAAGTTGGAAAGCCATTCGAAGCTTCTGAAAGTTCATTTTTGAGATTTTAGATATAAAGCCGTTGTCAAAAAACAGGCAACCTATTTTTTTCAAGCATAACTTTTTTTTAAAAGGACGCTAGAAACAAAAAAATTTTTTTGTGATTTTAGGTTGGTCTATTATAAAAAAAGCGCACCAACAATAATTTTTAAATTTGTTAATTTCGAAAAGTTACAGTAATTCTACCGTACCCCCTGTTTTTCAACTTTGTGTCTAAAATTTTTTTTTCAAAAATTGGAGATATACGTTTTGTAGAGCATAAAAAGTTGTACATATTCTGTAAGTTTCATTACTTCGTCTCTTTTACTAACCGAGTAACGATTTTTTAAAAATCCAAAAAACGGCCATTTTTCAAGCGGAATCGAACTTTTCTTGTTTTTCAATCTTTTTTTCAAATTTAAAAAAATCGTAGCTCGTTGACTAGATAAGGTGAAGTGGTCCAACTTACAAAATATGTACAACTTTTTATGCTCTACAAAACGTATATCTCCAATTTTTGAAAAAAAAATTTAGACACAAAGTTGAAAAACAGGGGTACGGTAGAATTACTGTAACTTTTCGAAATTAACAAATTTAAAAATTATTATTTGTGCGCTTGTTGTATAATAGACCAATCTAAAATCACAAAAAATTTTTTGTTTTTAACATCCTTTTAAAAAAAGTTACGCTTGAAAAAAATAGGTTGCCTGTTTTTTGACAACGGCTGTAAAATTGTTATTTCTTTTTTAAACATTATTTTTTTAATTTAAAAAGGTACCTGCTCGCCCAGCATGAAAGTAGAGACTTCCATACACTTTCTTAGTCCAAACGTCTTCCCCTGCTCCCGGAAGTCCGTGTCCACACATTTGTTGATCTCCACGTTCCTCAATGATCCTGAAATGTATGTTTAGTCTATTGACCTTATGTATAAAACACCATTTTGTAGAACTATTTAATTTTAGTCATTTAATGATTATGTAATGTCAAATTGTCTTCATTTAATTTGTAAGTTTACCATTAGCACTGTCTGGAGGCTCAACATTGGGATAAAACAGGTCCTGATCGAAAGCCACATTCTTCATATACCAGTCGAACGATTTGCACTGTAACCTCTCTCTGATGGCCCTTTGTTTTGTCAAGTCTCCCGGATCCGTGTCTCTCATCTCAGGCCGTCGCTTGTAGAGAAACTCTTTGTATTCGTCCATCCAAACTTCTGCCACTCGCTTGTAGTTCCGAGAGATAAAGTCTCCCACTCCCGGGTTAGGGAAAGGAATGTACTTGCATCGGTAAATGTGACCAACTCGAGAACAGGGTGCATCGACCATCTTACCGTGGCATTGCCATGTCTGAAGATTGGTAATACTCAAAATAATATGGGCATAGCCATGCAGCTTTCAAATGCAGTCATACAATAGATGTAACGTTAGATTTACTGTTGTTTATTAACTCACCTTGAAACTGAGTTCATATTGTTCCCCACCCCAAATGTCCAATCCTTCATCGTACCCGCCCAACTCCCAAAACCACTTAGCACTAATAGCGAAGTAGCCCCCTGCCATGACTGGACTGTTAAATGGTCTTGTTGGATGCATTTGGTCCTCTTTTGTGACTGGCAGTCTTTTGTAACTGAAACTCCAGTCGAAAGATCCTAGGATGAAATATTTTAGTCAGCAACAATAAGATACATCATTTAAAAGAAGCATATAATAGCGAAGTGTATATCATAATATAATATATAATTGCAACAAACCGTACCTCTTGCTCCTTCATCTTGGCTACGGTACTGATATGTATCACAATCAACTATGTCAACAAATGGACATACCACGGTACGGTAATCCAAAGTTATCGGTTCAATCAATGGCGGTAACCAATTGTAATTGGCTTCAGAATGAGCATCCAGAAACACCAGAATCTCTTTAGTCGCAGCTCTGGCTCCAAACTGTCGTGCTCGGATTAGACCTTCACGCTTTCTGAAGTTATACCAGCTAATGACAACATATTTAGAACAATGTCTTTTAAACACAACAAATTTAATATTGTCTTACACTTCAACCGAAGTAATATCTCTTAAAGGCCTTACTGTGTTCGCACGATCTTCACGATATCTGATAACCCGTGAGTCCTCAAATACTCTTCAAATGACTCTTTAAGTTCAGGCTTAGTGCTTGCATCGTCCACCAACACAATCTCTTTCATAACATCTTTAGGACATCGATTTATAATGGAGTAAATACTCCGAAGCAATGTAGAGTTGTGCTGAAACAAAAATATATATTCTTAAGTATAAAAAACAAAAAACTTTTAGAATTCTGCATAAATAATATCTCGTTAAAAACTGAACGTACTTGCCTCATTATGAAAGGGAAAGATTACTGTAACCGTGGGCAATTTACTCAGGTAATTTACTTTCTTACAACCAGGATGCCGGTTGTCATATACTGACCTGTCCAAGGCAATCAAGTCGCTGGCATAGCCATCGTAACCGTTGACAAGATACAGATCTTTCTAAAATATTCATCAACATAACAAATAGGTATAAAGTTTTAACATAATATTTACAATAAAAACTTTAATAAAGACCTTACCCTCTTTTTAGCCTCATCTGGGGTGTCATTGTAAATTATAGGTTGTCCATGTTCTCCAAGGCCTGTTCTTCGTTTGTCCATCTCCATGGCTTCATAGTCGTGCCAATCTTTTTTGGTGGTTATCTTCTTGTAGGCTTGGAATGGGTCCAAACCATCTGAAATTTCATTTTTTAACTATCTCATACTTTTCGAGTCACTGTCTTCCAAGTTCAAATAAACAAAGGGACCTCGAAGAACTTACCGTATAAAGTAAAAGGTTGCGCGACATTATTGTTGTTATCATCATGTTCCTTTACAATCACTTTGTAAATAAACAGCAACGTCAGAAGAAAAAAACAATAAAATAAAAATATCAATTGTTTCTTTGGTAAATACCGACCAATTTTACGTCGAATCATGATAAGTCATTTATATTGTGTTAGCCTTCATAAGCCGAGTTAACCCTAAAATATCAAAATTTAGTAAAATACATATGACAGACAATAAAACACAAAATCACTAGTAACTAATTTCTGAAAAGCAATAATATGACCATGACCACCATAAACCCTTTACTGACCCTGTTTCAATCGCAATTTTAAGACGTGGGAGAACGTGTTTAGATGGCGTGCGTCCCACCACGAAAACGAAACACGCCAAACCCTTTTCTTACGGTACTTTTTCTCGTCTTTATAAAAATTTCGGACCTGAAAATTTTTTGTTTTATTGAAAAATAAGTTTGTAACTTTCGTATTTCGCGATACTTGCGTGTAATTTTGCCAATATATTGCATTTTCTCTTTTACTATACGTATAATTCGTTTCAGAGGGTAAACCGGCCAAAATGCCGCGTCTTTTGACCCACTATTCCAAAGTCTACGACGTACCTCGCCGTCCGTTCGAAAAAGAACGTCTTGACCAGGTTTGTGAATATTCTAACTTTATATTGGTGTTTAGGAATTGAAATTGATCGGTGAATTCGGTCTTCGCAACAAGCGTGAGGTATGGAGAGTCAAGTTGACTTTAGCCAAGATCAGAAAGGTTGCCCGTCAATTGCTTATGTTGGACGACAAAGACCCTAAACGTCTTTTCGAAGGTAACGTGTTGCTCCGTCGTTTGGTGTTGATGGGTGTCCTCCCAGAAGACAAGATGAAGCTCGATTACGTTCTTGGGCTCCGTGTCGAAGATTTCTTGGAACGTCGTCTTCAAACTCAAGTATTGAAGTTGGGTTTGGCCAAATCTATCCATCATGCTCGTTGTTTGATCCGCCAAAGACACATTCGGTGAGTTTTTGTGTAATTCATAGCTTTATTGTTTTGGTGTGGTACTTTCATTTAGTTTTTGAGTAGAAGTTGGTTTATAGCTGTAAAAACATATTTTGTTGATACCTATTTTTAAACTTTGTCACATTTAAAATATTTTGTGTTAACCTTGATTGTTTCAGCGTCCGCCGTCAGTTGGTCAACATTCCATCCTTCTTGGTGCGTCTCGAGTCTCAGAAACACATTGATTTCTCAGAGAAGTCACCTTATGCTGGTGGAAGACCTGGCCGCGTAAAGAGAAGAAACTTGAAGAAGGGAGGTGGCAACGCTTCCGGAGGCGAAGATGACGAGTAGATACTTTTGTTTTTAATTTGCTCGTTTGGATGTTTAATGTTGTTTCGTTGTTAAAATAAAGCAATTTGACTTTATCTTTGGTTGTTTATTGCTAAAGATATATTCTTTTTGACGAGGTTTCTTAAATTTCAGGTTTACAATATTTGCTAAATTGTGGAACGGTTTAATAAAGTAAAAGGTTTACTAACTTACAAAATCGTTAATTAACTAAAGAATTGCAACAATTAATTGTGTTTTAGTTTATGGTAGCATTTTTAATTAAATAAACAGGTTTTTGAGGAGCTCAGTAATATGTTTGTTGTTGTTTTCATTTTTCAATATTATACAGTGAAACCTCCGTATAATGAATCGCTAGGGGAATTAAAATTTGTTCGTTATGAAGAGGTTTTGTTATAGAAAGGTTTAAAATGCACTGTGTAATAATAACCGGGGATTCAAAAGTTGTTCGTTATACAAGGGGTTCGTTATATAGAGGTTCCTTATACGGAGTTTCCACTGTATTTGCTAATTTTTTATGAAAAAGTAAAATTTTACAAAAAGCGTATTTGAATTTGGGTTATTTTTGGCATTTGTGGCATTCTGCAACAAGGAAAAATAAAGTGAATCATTTTTCGTCGGGTCGCGAAGCACTTGATTTTATAAATTTTATAGAATCAGTATAAAGTTGTAGTTAAAAATGATTTTACTCGAAGAAGAGAATCGGATAATTAGAGAACTATTGGATTACAAGTTCAACGCAGCTTCTCAAGGGTAACTTTTATACTTTTTACATTTTTATTGAAAATTTTAGACATAAAATTGAAAGTGTTTCTGTTCAATTTGCCGATTTCGATGGAGTATTATACAATGTATCGAACCCCAACAAGGAGAAGACCAAAATATTGGTAAGTATAATTTAAATCTTAAAAGGCATTTAACTAAATTTCAATCATAAATTATTTTTATTTCAGCTTAGCATTTCTCTCAAATTCTATAAACAATTACGAGTTCATGGAGCTGATGAGGTAAGTGTTTCTTATAAAATAAGATTTGCTTTTAGTATTTAAAAAGGGTTTACGGGTCTTACCTGCAAGCTACGCCTGAAGATGGATACGATGCTTCATTGTTGTTTGACCTGACAGCTTTGCCAGAGAACTTCAACGAACTGATTGACAAAGCTACAAGATTCAAAAGGAATTGCTTTGCATCTGTGTTTGAGAAGTACTTCTTGTTCCAAGAGAAAGGTCAGGAAGGTGAAGAGCGAGCTGTGATCAACTACAGAGAAGATGAAACCATGTTCATCCAAGCCAAGGCTGACAGGGTTACTGTAATATTTAGCACGCTGTTTAAGGATCCGGATGATATTGTTATTGGAAAGCTATTTTTACAGGTAAGTGAGTTCGTATTCTTAATTTTTACTTTACGGTTAGTGATTGATGTTTTAATTTGTGAGTTTTACTAATTTATTTGTAATTTAGGAGTTCCGAGAAGGCCGCAAGGCTAGTCAGACAGCTCCTCAAGTCTTGTATTCTGTTGGTGAACCTCCAATGGAATTGAGAGACTTCCCTGAAGCAAAAACTGGACCTCATGTTGGATACATTACCTTTGGTAAGTAATTAAAGTTGCTCTTTTTTAAAATAAGCTAAGGGTCGAAAAGATTGTATGTTTTAAAATTTACATACAGTTTTAAAATTTACATACAACTATTAATGTCATCGTTTTAAGTATTGTTCCCAAGACACACTAAAGCAGCAACAAGGGAGAACACGATCAATTTGATCCACTCATTCCGCGATTACCTGCATTATCATATCAAGTGCTCAAAGGTAAATAAATTACATTAGGTACAATCTTTGTTTAGGCATACCTACATTCTCGAATGCGCAAGAAGACGTCCGACTTCTTGAAGGTATTGAACCGAGCCAGGCCAGAGATCAAAACCGAAAGGAAGACTATTAGGTATGTGGAACAAGAACGCCTAATTTATTTATGTCTAATCGAGTCAAAAGTAAAAATGTTCAAAAATAATAGAATGTTATAATAATTTTATCTTTTTTAGTGGCCGAACCTTCGTGCAACAGTAATCTCAATGTAACCTATCAATAATGGAGTCGCGAGTCGAGTTGTGTTAGTTATTTATTGGTCTGTAATTATTTTTATACGATGAATAAAGTGCCTAAATTTGTTTTTTTTTCTTTTCGGAAAATGTTTTTACGTTATCAATCGTATTTTATTGTGATCCATTGTTCGCCTTTTTAAAGTAGGTCCTGACACGAAAACATTTAAGAACAAAAATTGGAGGGCGAGTTTAGTAAAATTTATATTTTTAGACAATATTTTGTCCTCATACCTAAAATAACTACAAAATGGGTTATGAAAGCAATGGAGGTAAGTGTTAGTATGGGATTATTTAGATTTTAGGTATGAACCGCAGCAGAGGTGGAGGTGGCAATTGGAACAGTCCAGGACGAGGCAGAGGTGGTGGAGGTTTCAGGGGCCGCGGAGGTAGTCCAGGAGGATTCCGAGGCGGCTTCAGAGGAGGAAACCGAGGTGGAAGTGAAAACAGAAACTTCAGAGGAGGTAACCGTGGTGGTGGTGGCGACAGATCTTTTGATAGAAACCGTTCTTTTGGCTCGGACGGAGGAGATAACGGAAACCGATCGTTTGGTGGCCGTGGAGACAGATCTTTCCGAGGCGGCGATAGGTCATTCCGTGGTGGAGACCGCTCCTTCAGAGGTGGAGACAGATCTTTTGGAGGCGGCCGAGGTGGCGGATTCAGAGGAGGCCGAGGAGGAAACTTCTCTGGTGGTCGAGGAGGTTTCAGAAATGATTCGTTTAACGGTAAGTTTTGCTTATTATGTAGTATTATAAAACTAATAATGTTTTTTGTATTGTTTTTACTTTTAGGAACTCCTCAGAATCGTAAAAGAAAGTTCAGTGAAGAGGGAGGCGATGGACCTGATAACAAGAAGTCTAACAAAGAAACCTCATTCTTCAGCTCTGAAGATAACGACTTTGAGAAGAAGACTTCAAGTATTCTGAAGAAGGGCGGACAGCCACAAAGCGAGAAGAAGAATGTCAAGTTTTTCAGCGGCAAGAAGTCTCCTGTTTCTGTATGTTTTTAATATTATATCATCACTATTATTATTTAAATACCTAAAATCATTCTTATTTTATGTTTTTGTAAATACTTAATTTGAAAACCGTTTGATTTTAGGCTAAAACTCCAGCAACCCCTCATCCAGCTAAGGGAAAGAATGAGAAAATGCAACCACGACGCTTCCTCGACAGTGACGACGAAGATTCAGACTTGGATCTTTCTGATTTGAAGGCAAAACAGGTTGATATTGAGGATGAACACGAAAGAGCGGAAGACGAAGAGGTTGAGATTGAAGACGAAGAAGCTGAGGATGAAGAGGTTGAAGTTGAGGATGAAGAAGAAGAGGAGGAAGAAGAACCTGTTGCAAAAACCTTGCCAAAAGCTGCTCCAAAGCCAGATGCTGTTAAGACAGTATGTTTTAATTGACTAAATTTTCAAATATTTATAAATTTACATTTAAAAAATAATTTTGATTTTTAGGCGAAGACCAAATTCTCGTTGGATGCTATCAGCTTGGAGAAAAAGCAACGTTTAGATATCCTGGGGCTTTCTTTGTTTGCTTCCACAGACAAGAAGGTTAACGTGAATCAAGTGTTCAAAAAATTGCATCCGTTTGTTGTTGATGTTTGGACGGTGCAGATGGGAACCTTGATTTTGTTTGATAAGAGCAACTCGAGGAACGCAGCTTTGGAACATCTGAAGAATGACAAAAGATTCAAATTTGAGAAGGCTGAAAACGTACCAGGAATTCTTGAAGAATGTAAGTTTGTAAATTGCGTTTATCTTAAACTGTTGGTGTTTAGGCTACGTCTTTTATGCGTATTAAAACGTATTTTTAGCTTTGAAAACGGTCGACCCGCTAACTTTGAAGGTAGCACATGTGCCAAGTGGAACCTCGCAAAATGATCTCAAACTTATCTTCCCTACTGCTTCTGGTGTCAAACTGAATGGCGACTGGGCCACAATTTCTTTCAAAACACATTTGGATGCTATTAAAGGGCTTACTGCTGCAGGATCTTTACGAATTTATGGGCACTCTGTCTTAATTACCTTTTTAAGAAGTAAGTTGTTAAAGAACATTAGCTCAACTCATTTTAGGTGCTAAGGCAGAGGAGTCTAAGCCAGTTGAGAAAAAGAATGCCGTCAAGGCTGTAGTCCAAGAATCTGAGGATGACGCTGATGATGAGGAATTGGCCGAAGATTTGGAGATAGAGGATGAAGAGATCGAAGTGGAAGATGAAGAGGTCGAGGATGAGGAGGAAGGAGAGCAGGCTGGAAAAGCCAACGGCCTCGTCGATCACATGGCCGAAGAAGCCGAGGATTCTGACATTCCGTCTTCAGAAGAAGGGATTGAGGAAATCACGGACGACGAGGTGGAAGAGGACTAATGATTACTAAATATTGTTGATTCTTGTTGATTTGATTGTTGACTTGTTGAGTTTATTCATTTTTGAAATTCCCATGCAAATTTTTATATTGTAATACGCTGTAATGTTTGAATAAAATGGGCGATTAATGGATATCGTGTCGGGATTAGTGTATTTGGGGCCGAGAGGGGCTTCCAACGGGGTGGTAGATGTATTTTAAAGTGTGACGTCACCAAGTTTAACTTATTATAAGACTGGAAAGAATTGGACTGGCCAAACACTTGTTCCAAGTCCGTTACCCACTTTTCTTGTTTGGCTTTGCCGATAGATCGAAAGCACCTGTTACACGCTCTCCTTACTCCAGCTGCCCTCTGGCTTTTGATCAATTCCGATTTCTTTTTGAATTAACTTTGAATTTGGATTTTTTATCGAAATTTACAGTTTTTTGTTTACTTTGGTTGGTCAGTGACATTGTTTGGGGCTACTTTCGATGACAATATTGAGTTAATCTTATCAATGGGTACTATTTGTGGATTAGTTCCAAATACTGCAGTTATGTTTATTTTAAAAGGTTGATTCAGACCATGTTTACCATTCATAGCAAATTATAATATGTTTACAGTCATGTAGGTGTATGTTGTGGGACCAAGTTGGAGGCAACGCGGGCCCAGGTGTTTTGCTAGAAAGTAATTTGATTAATTTTATAGTAACATCCTAATTGGAAGTCCTCTTTGGCACACTAATTTCCCACACAATATAGGGGGCAGGGGATGTTTTACGATCCTAATTCTGAAGCCCCACGAATTAGTGGGTAAAAAAGGGAGTGTGGTAACTTTGAATGAAAGCGTTTCCGACCGTCTGAAGCCAAAACACGGGGTAAAAACAGGCCACTCGTTTACTCTCTCTCGTGGGCCGCGTGCCCGCAGGGCATTTTGGATATGAGGCCAAGGGGGGGGTGCGCGTAAGATGTCTTTTTCCTATCTCTCTGCTGCAGACGCGTTCTCTCCGTAATTTACTTTATTCTACTTTTTCTGTTTCAATTCTCGTACGTAGCACGTCTTTTCGACTCGAATCATACCCTGGCGTTTGTGCCCATTTTCAGGTTATTTATTAGGCCTGTTTGCTATTATAACAACATTCCCGAACCGCGTGTTAAACGTTGTTTTCGTGTGTTGGAGAGCGGTTAGTGTTCTCGTGTGCCACTTTGATTTGATACAAATCTGGTGGAGGAAGTGGGGCTGGGTAGGGGATGACATTGTGTTGTAATTTGAGCGACATATTATGCTAGGGTAGGTTTTGTGCCTATCGACCGGTCGAGCCCTCAGCGAAACATCACTTTGTGCATGTCATTAAGGGTGAGTTCCAATAAATGTTTGATGAGTCCTCTTCCTTTCGTATTAATTTCCCATCCTCCCTCGCCCCGACTTCTTGTTGGTGCACGGAGAGCACGTGTGGCGTAATGTTTTTTTTTCTCAAAGGGGGGGGGGACGCGCGCGGAATGCGAAATCTGGCGATAAAAGAAGGAAGCGAAAAGGCCGGTCGCCTGAGGGGAAACCTCCCCCCGCTACACCCCCACCCCACTCCGTAAACTGATAGCAAAGTCTGTGTCTCTCCGCTCTCTCGACTCCAACGTTTCGACTCTTCCTTCCCGAATGTGCAACAAGGGGACGTATACCATGGAAACGGCCTTGTTGGGGCCGGCTCTAAAATCTGTTTCTGGGACGGGTTTTGTTTTGATCGTGCATGTCCTACTTACAAAATATTTTCCTCCACCATAATATTCATGAATTCAAGGCGATTGCTAAAACAAGCCGATTCGGTTAAGGTTGGGCCGCGAGTACAAGAAACTACATTCGGAGGGTTTTATTGTCGCTGTGCCTTTACTCGGGCATTACACTGCTACATTCCCAGATTTACTCTCGAAGTTACAATGTCAGTAAAAGTCACGTTACTATGTTTAACAGTATGGCAGTAATGTGTCAGTAGTCGTGTTTAAGTGGTAATGTCCGCGTTACATTTGTTTGTTACTATTGACAATGTATAGTGCCACTCTTTATATTATAATGTGTTGTGTATTGTTTATTTATCCCTGAAAACGCCTCATTGTTATACAAATATGCAACAATTCATTATTTCTGACATACAATGGGGCTCAATGATAAGGTCAGTCTATACGATGACTTTTGTTCACTATGACAGCTACTGTTATGTTTGCAGCACATTGTATAGTATTATATTATCTTAGTTCAGTATCGTATGCTATTTTTAGAACACGAATAGGTAATTGGTATTTGGTATAGTAGTACCTAGTCATAGCTATATGATGTGATAATAGTCATAGTTTCAGGTATTAGGGATAGATCCAGATTAGGCTTTAAATAGATTAAAGTCATAGTAATAGATTACCTAATTTAGTTTTACTTTACTGAGTAAACGTATCTTGAAACTCAGCTTTACTCTACAGCTTTAGTGAACTAGTCCAAAGTGGCAATTAAGGCCGTGCAAACCATTAAAAATAATTAATTTTAAGCCAAAAAACAAAACCTAGCCATTTGTGGGGCATTGTAACCGGCAATTAGACATCTCCATGGAAGGATAACAGTCACTCTCCCACCAAGTACAACATGACTACAAGTATCTTTAAACCCATGACTATACAATGAAAGAGCGACTTTTACTTTGCTAGTATCTACAACAACATTATGTTGGTTGATGAACATAAAGTTGAAGCCGAAAGAAGTATTCTGACATTTGCATCTACAACAACATGGACTCTCAGATCTGCTACACGAAGAAGATCAGTTTTCAATGAATACGACGTTAAATACATTGTCATACTATAATATGACTGATACTGACTACATCAAAAACTAAGAACAAGGCTATTAACTCTACAACATTAAGATCATTATAAACTTCAGTACGACAAGACAACAGTACTACCAAGTACAACCAAACAACATTAACATCAACTTGAAAATGTATATCTTAACAACAACAACAATTCTACTTCAACTTTACAACATGAACATGACGCAACAACAATGACTGCTTGTTTGGACTGAACTGGACCTATTGGCCAACAGGGAGGGGGGAGGAGCGGAGAAAAGCAAGAAATAATGCCGGAATTCCAGAAAAAAGGTTCTCTGCCGGCAGCCGGGCCGTCTGCCCTCTTCCTTTCTCTCGCTCTCGTCACCATTCTCCAGGACATTAGACTGTGACCGACCGGGCCGCTTCTTTGGCTATCGGTCGCATGAGAAAGCCTGGATAAGGCGAGGACCCGTTTATCTCCTTCGCGTTCCAATTCCCCGGACACCTTTCCACGATGGGGCTAATTCCTCCCTTATTTATACGGCCGGCGGTTTTAATTAGAAGACCTCAACTTGTTGTTTACGATTGTTTCAGTGTTTCGCCGAGTAGATTTGTAAGGTAGAGCTTTGTGAAGTTGAGGTAGATGCTGTATTAGTCAACAAGATTGTTAAGAATGTTGTAAAGATGTTTTGTCACAAAGTACCTTTCAGTAAAGCCATGGCAAAGTTATATTGAAAAAGCGTCTTATAAGATAGCTTTTTCTCAATGATAACGTAGCGGAAAAGCTTTTAGCTTACCCAAGAAGTAGGCCTCTTCTGCAGCGATAACTGTAGCTGGTAGGTATAGCCTGCAATTGTTATGTTGGCTATAATTGAAAGGTCGTATGTTATGTCTGGGTGTTAATTATTGAAGTAACGCATTCCATTTACATTTATATTACCATATTTATGTTTATGACATTGCAGTCGATCATATTTTATGCAATAATGGTTTCGTTTTCTTTCCTTTTGACCCATTTTCTAGATGAAAACCTATTTGAAATAGTAAGAATTGTATTTCTAGTAGACGAAGTTGCTTTTTCTCACAAAAACTTGCATTTACTCTCCTTGCAACACTCTTTTCCTCCAAAATGGCTAATTTTAAGTTGAATTTTTCAAAAAAAGTGTCAGGTTTTCCTGCTTTTTTGCCAAAAGTTGCTCTAACCTGTGCCATTCCTCAGCAAGCAGGCTTGTTTTTGTTGCTCAGGTTACCGTAACATTGCATCCCATGATTGCGTGTGTATTGGAGTCTTGAAAGTAATCGAGAAGACTTAAAATTGTAGACGGACAAACAACTACAAATGTGGATGAGGCCGGCATTACACCCTGCGGCCCTTATTAGGCAGGCCAGGTGCTCTCTCGTTTACTTTATGATGGCGTGTACGTGTACGGCGATGCATGCATGTAGATGTCGATGAGGAGGGGTGCGAAGGAAAGCGACAAGACGGGCAAGTTTGGCCACTCTCCTCTTTTTCTGGGGGCCGACGCGCCACGTCGTTCACACCGCATTAGCATTTGTGAATGGCTTTCTGTTTCCTTGTCGGGGCGCTTTTGTTGTGTTAACCTGGCCCTTCACGTGTGCCACTTTTGGGGCGCGGCGCCGGCCCTCACGGTTTGGGGCCGTAAAAGATCCGTCGCGCAATCTGATACTCGGTTTCCCATCTGGTCGCGCCCTCCCCCCGACCTCGTGGCCAAACACTTGAGGCAAAACAAAGTCAGGAAAAGAAAAACGGGGACAAATCCTTACTTTCATATGTATGTGCACTAATGCTCTTTAGGAGTATATCCTCTTTTACTTTGTGTAATTGGACCGCGGGTTTCGTATAATTTTAGTATCAGTTGGGGAGGTTGAGGTGGTATGCGGTTGTTTATAAACATGTTGTTTAGGCTTGTTACCAATGTTTTTGGAAATTTATTTTTGTGCAATTGGGCCTTTTTATAATGTGGGTATCAATTAATAAAGGGCGGATATTCTTATCACTTATGGTAGGTTAAGTATTGTCATTTGCGTTTTTCATGTACGAATTTCTTTTATAAATTAGGTTACACTTTCACATATTTTTACTTCTTTGTCAATTTTATCATGTTTTATATGAGTTTTTGGTGTTCTACAGTTGAAAGCACCTACCCAAATTAACATTGCCACAGTGTATTGTTACGTTCTTTTGCACCATTGTTTATCATTTTATTATAAAAGACAATCATGTTTCTGGTTATGTCACCTTTTTCGTCCCGATTTTATTGAAATTTGTATAAAAATTCGAAGTGTTTTTGATTATTTTTGAAATTGTTTGAGCTTGAACATTTTTGCCATTCCTAACCTGACGTAAGCCTATTTTGACACTTCAGGTCTTATCCTTTAATCAGCTATCCCCTTCTTAAGGCGCTTATATTGTAACAGAGAGTTTGCGGTCTTGTTTTAATTAGTGATGGCACTGATTGGGCGAGAGAGCACGGGGAAGGGAGAGGGCTGCCGACCGCAGATCGGCGATGTTCTCCCACTCTTCTCGACTCTGTCGCTCGAGAGTGCGTTTTTAACTGTTTAAGAAGTGCTCCCACAAAAATAAATAACTTTTTTGGACCGGATACTCTTGTATTGTTCGCGTGACCTCAGGGGTTTGGTGGTAAACCGCTTTGTTTGTTTCGTTTTGACTCAGTCGCGATGACTCAATTTCTGGACCTCTTTCAGGAGCTGGAGATAAAGATCACAACTTGGTCGTAGCGGGTACCACTTGGCAACTTTCTTTCCCCTAATGGAAGCTGTGCGTTGATCCTCGAATACAAGTCAGTGTCACACCTAGTTCAAACACCCAGTCTAGTCTGTTTGGTCTCGCTAGCTAGTCCCCGAGTTGCGATTCATGGCGTCTTCCTCCAATGGCAGCGCGGATGGGTCTGGCCCTCAGAATGCGACAAATGCCAAGTCGTCCAACTCGACGGCTTCGCGGAGCACCACTGATCGTGTAATAAAAAGTGAGTTGTCGTTGATGGAAGTTTGCCAAAAGCGATGTTTTGCGACAAAGTATGACATACCCAGTATATCTTCTAGTACACAGCATAACTTCTGATGTTTTAGCAAATAATTACCATAAAGGGCCTAAAAAAGAGTATTATCACTTAAAACTTATAAAACTTGATTTAAAACCCAAACCAATCCTTCAGGTGTACAATTCCCAATCAGCGAGCGTCTGAAGCCAGATGATGTGTATGGACGAACGGGTAAACCTCGGACCGAGGTTCTGAAGGAACATTTCATTAAGGAGGGCCGGATCGACGAAGATGCCGCCCTCCGCATTATTAATGAATGCACGGCCCTCTTCCGCCAGGAGAAGACCATGCTCGACATCGAGGCGCCCGTCACCGTGTGTGGCGACATCCACGGACAGGTATTAACTTAATTTGCATATTCCAATTACATTTTGTACTCTAAAGAGATGATGTACTTACGAGTTTCCAGACTAATAATTATGTTTGTATTCGATTGTAGATGTTAATCATTGGTTTGGAACATTAATTGCCATGTAAACGTATTATAAAATGGCATAAAAACTAAAATAATAGGTTCTATATAACAATATTGCTCCTTTAATTATCTAATTCTTACCTATTCCAGTTCTACGACCTGATGAAGCTGTTCGAAGTCGGTGGATCCCCAGCCAACACCAAGTATCTGTTCCTGGGCGACTACGTCGATCGTGGCTACTTCAGTATAGAGTGTGTGCTGTACCTGTGGGCCCTCAAGATTTGTTATCCGAATACATTGTTTTTGTTGCGCGGTAATCACGAATGTCGACATTTGACAGAGTATTTCACTTTTAAGCAGGAGTGTAAGTTTTCCAACCTATGCCAATATAATACAATATAAACTAGGTAAAATAATATAAAAACTTTAGCTTTGAGCTTTATTGATCAAGTTTCACATTTTCGTTCAGTATAAGATCTTTTACGACTTTTTCTGGAAGTACGTTTTGATAAAATTCGCAAAAATATTTTTTTTCGGAACGAGTTTCGCGGGCGCGAATCGCAGGCGCAGGTCTTCTGCAGTCTGCGCGTATTTTTTATACCCTGATGTTTTGGGACGATAAAAGTTGATGTAAAACCACAAATAGATACCAAATTAATGTTTAAAAACACTTTTATAGTTAGTTTATATAAAAAATTATTTTAGGCAAAATAAAGTACTCGGAGCGGGTGTACGATGCCTGTATGGACTCGTTCGACGCCCTTCCCTTGGCCGCCTTGATGAACCAGCAGTTCTTGTGCGTGCACGGTGGTCTGTCGCCCGAGATCCACACTCTCGAGGACATCAAGAAGGTAAGTGTGTCCCCTTGAATGTTATACTGGTTTAGTTGGACCGCTTCAAGGAGCCACCTGCCTATGGGCCCATGTGCGACTTGTTATGGTCGGATCCGTTGGAGGACTTTGGCTCCGACCGACACACCGAACAGTTCTCTCACAACTCAGTCAGAGGCTGCTCCTACTTCTACAGGTAACTCCTCATGATATTTTTTTAAAGAATGATAACGTTTTCAAATGATAATTTTGACCTTCAGGTAACATTAGAAAGGGTTTATATTGTTATAGATCAGTTAATAAGTATTTCTTTTCAGTTATGGGGCTTGCTGCGATTTTCTGCAGCACAACAACTTGTTGTCCATCATTCGAGCTCACGAAGCGCAGGATGCTGGCTACAGGATGTACAAGAAGTCGCAGACTACAGGGTTTCCGTCCTTAATCACAATATTCAGTGCGCCAAACTACTTGGATGTATATAACAACAAAGGTGGGTGACTTTGCTTTATTTTTGGGTGGAATGTGTTGTTTTAGAATTGATTTACACTAGTTCTCGGTGGTGTAATTGTTTTCTAAACATGGCTAATATAGGACGCAGTTTACAAAAGAATCCTGCAAACTGCGAGAGCAATTATACGATTAAACATGCTTAATCTTAAACATGTTTCTAATTAAAGCTTTGTTTCAGCTGCTATTCTCAAATACGAAAACAATGTCATGAACATCAGGCAGTTCAATTGCTCACCTCACCCCTACTGGCTGCCCAACTTCATGGATGTCTTTACCTGGTCATTGCCGTTTGTCGGCGAGAAAGGTACTCAATGGTTAAATTAAAAATGGCTTGCAAAGTTTTAAAAAGTTCTAAAAGTAAATGGAAATTTGTAAATTAAGGTCGATTTCTTACGAACCGGTTGATTTCTATCTATTTTTTGACCAAACTTTAAAAAATATGTTTGAAGGATAATATGTTTTTTTACCACGATAACTTTTGTCGTTTAACCACAGTAATTTACATTTTAGTGACCGAAATGCTAGTCCATATCTTGAACATCTGCTCGGACGACGAGCTGATGGCCGAAGCAGACGACACGTTCGAAGGTAAGTGTGTAGCGGACGACGGTGTAACTGTGAATCCACATTCTTTATATTCCTGTAGTCCTCGGGTATACGGTAACTTTAAGCACACGTTTCTATACCATTTATGAGTTATGTTTTCCACACAGCAAAACTCTTAAATCCCCATTCCCTGAAGGCAGATACGATGACAGTGAAGACGTCCGATGTAGGTTTGGAGGCTACACGGGGCTACGGTGTGAGGCTACGATAGAGGTTGCAGTATAAGATAACTTTTTTGACTATTTTTATATATTAACTTTGAATGATTTTGCAATAAGTTACAATGCCGTAGTTACAGTTCAGTAAAATTCTTACTTATACCGACAGTAGCCTCATCGTAGCACCGGGTACGCTTCCGAACGTACGACGATGCTGAGTAGGTACCTCTGGACGTCTGTACCTCTATAACTATTTTCTGTGGTTTAGGTATTTAAATATTTCTGGCACTTTTTTCGGCAGGGAGGAGCGGAAGGAAGTACTGTAACCGCCGTTATATATTGACTGGTCGTGGTGGTGATATCTTGGGTGTTGTGTCGTGCCCACTATAGTATATTATGTTTGGCGTACTCGGTTTGACCATAGTATACGTATGTTCTACTACAGTATATTATGTCGGACTACGGTATCCCACGTTCTTACAGTATCTTATGTTTGGCTCACTGACCGTGCTTGTGTTGTCGCAGGTGTACCACGTTGACTTTTGAAATGATTGGTTGTTGCGTGCTGACAAGGATATTTGCGTGACAGTCGGGGTGACTCTTTTTTTGAACATAACCACAGTTTTGCCGTATCGTACCGTAATCGTAGGCTCCGACCGCTACTTTCTGCCTGTGCCGATTAAGTTTTGAGGCCAAGCTTTCGATGTCTAGGCCCACCCGTTCTTGACTAATAGCCTGAGGCCGAGTGCGTTGACGTGGTTTTTGTTCAGCGACGCAGTGTTTTAGGTAACGACATGTAGGTAGTAAAATAAGGTATAGGGAGATAGGTATTTTTGGAAAATTATTAGGGTAGTTTAGTCAAAAAGTTTAGAGAGAGAGTCATTAACGAAGGGTAGTTGATAAATGTTTAGGGATTTTGATTTAGCACTGTAAGATAAGTTTGTAGATGACGTGTAGTATGTTTTTGCAAAAAAGTACTATTATCTATATAAGGAAAAAACTTTGTTAAAGTTCGTACTGATAAGTGACATATACCTTTTGTCCAAAAAAGGCTTTTTCAGCTTATAATACTTTAAAAAAGACAATAAGATTTACAATTGCCGTACTTGTGCGCACACTGTAACTGTAAGAAGGTAACCTGAGTGTGTTGACTGCCATGAGTGTGGGTGTGCCTGATAGTATCTTGTTGATATCTTCTGTAGCCGTTTTGCATCAGGGGATGGGAGAGGAATGACTATTGACCCTGGGGCCATTTGTATAATTTTCTTTAATAATACCATATTTTCATGTCCGGTTCAGGATCCGAAGGTAAGTGGACTGGCCCGACCGCAGTAACCAGTCGATTTCTTTTTTTATTTTTGTTTGTTAACACTAATACTGTGCCGTGCTCAACCTTTTTCGTTTAATCGTATCGTTTTCGCTTCATTGTGCCGCCTCTTTGATGTGAAGCTACAGTAGTACGCTGTATACGGTATTCTGAATGTCGTGTACGGTGGGTGTGGGTGGTGTACAAAGGGGGTGTTGACGAAGGTACAGCAATGTTTACAAGTCGAAAAGAGTGTTTTCAAGTTGAAAAAACTGTTTACAGTCTGGATAAGGCTGTTTACAGTAATGTTTACAAATTTGACAATACAAGATTACTGTATTTTTTGAAAAAGTTTCTGATATATTCTGTAAATTTTGACAATATACAGTAAATTTCTAAAGGGTACTGTAAAAGCATCGTATTTCGAAAGAAAAAACATTCACAGCACAATACAGTACAACCCTACCGTACACCGCCCACCGTAGGCTTCGCATCGGACTGGACTGACTTCCGTTCCCTCTTCCACTTTCGGCCGTTATTTCTTTGGTTAATCACACTGAGCCGTTCTCTTTATTCGATCACTGTGTGCCATTCTTTTTGAGTCGTACTCCCAATTTCTATTGCAGGAGGGATACCGTCGGCACGAAAAGAAGTCATCAGACACAAGATCCGTGCCATTGGCAAGATGGCTCGGACGTTCTCCGTTCTCAGGTACGTTTGGGAGTCATTGTGAGGGGTCAGATGACATTCGAAGGTCATGAAAGACATCATGAGGTTCAAATGTTATCGTGACACTGCTTGGTCAGTCCAAAAGTTCTTGGATTTTGCGCAAAAGCATTTGAAAATGACTGTACCGTGCTGTAACTGTATTATTGCACAGTGCAGATTCTGCCAAGACTTTTGGGCTTCCTGAGTACTAGTTTCTGCACTGTGTCTTAATCGGGTGTGCTTCTTGACCTAACGGCGTGACATTGCGTGTTTCAGGGAAGAAAGCGAGTCCGTGCTCCAACTCAAGGGCCTCACGCCCACTGGAACGTTGCCGCTGGGCACGTTGGCAGAAGGCCGCCGTGGCATTCAAGATGGTAGGTTTGCTAACAAAGTAATAGCGTATCTACAACATGCGACAAGTTAACCTTAAATTTGCTGTTAAAGTACAGTAACCCTCACCAATAACTTTACAGTAGTACGGTTGAGTATTGTAAGGTAATATGATCCTACTGTATCTTTGGATACCGTAAGAACGATATTACAGTAAGGTCAAAACTTACTGTAATTCAAACATTACTATAATCTGACTGAATGCAGTAAGAGTGAAGTTACAGTAACCTCACGAGTCAAAGTAACCTTACTAAGTACAGTAATCTCGGTTTGCGGTTCGAGTCTTTGTATATCAGTTTACATTGTCATGTTTAAGACACGAAAGCGAGACCGTTGTACAACTCAAAGGCCTCAACCCCGCAGGCAAATTGCCGCAGGGCGTTCTGTCGGGAGGGAAGCCGGCCTTACAAGAGTGTAAGTTTAAGGATACTGTAAGATTTGTGGCCGAATTGCGTGTCAGTTTGTTGACCCAAATACGTTTTGTACGATTGTTACAGTAGACCAGGAAAACAACTTTTTATTAATTTTTGGACAAACTACCTGGTTTTGATTAAAGAGTACTGTAATTATGATACAAAACACTAATTTAGGTAACAAAATTTACAGTAGGAACTTTTACACATTTAGTTTTTTTTACAAATAACTGTTAAAGAAATAGACATATAGCTTTGTATACAACAGTACCATAAGATGTCGCATGTTGTAGTTACGGTAGATGTTGTATCGTCTCTCCGACGCCAGAAGAACTAACTAATCCATCTCTTTACAGCCAAAATTTCAGCCTTACAAGGCGTGGAACCTGGCCACAAGATCGAGACCTTCGACGAGGCCAAGATGCTGGACAGGATCAACGAGCGGATGCCCCCGCCCAAGGGGAGCAGCCCCCACTCCCAAAGCCCGTCCACCTCCCCCGGCCCCTCCCGCCACCCCTCGGCCTCCAACCACTCCAATCAGGTCAACAACTCCACCAACGACACCAGCCGGAGTACCAAGTCTTAGTACCTACTCTAATATATTATTATATGCTATGTCCGTCGCTTTTCGATTCTCCGGCTACACGCATGGAGTGTTAGGGCATGTCGTGGACGTCGCCACCGTGCCGGGCTCACCGTGCCGAGAAGTCGGTTCACTTTCGTCTCGACCACCTGGCTCTGGAGACTGGGGGTTCTAGTCATCGTTGTATATAGCAGGCTGTAGTGGTCTGTCTTGGTATCTTCTCCGTGAACTGCTGACCATATCCCAGTCTTCCAGACGCCGCAGCCGGGCGTTGTTGTAGTCGTAGTTAGCGTTTGTTATAGTTACATTTCTATACATAGTGTCATGTCTGTCCTTTCCGCTTTCGTTCTTGGTTTCCCGTCTCTCAGCCGTCCACCCACCCACCCAGGCCAGCCCAGCCACCCATCTCCGGTGAAACTTTGTCCACAAAATGCGTCGCGCTGACGGACCTAATTAAAGGAATAATTATGTCTTGTTGTGATTTTTTCTCTTTGTTCCTCGATCTTTATATTACTATAAATATTTCCGTTGAAGCTTGAGGGAATTCTATATTATGTGATGGCACCATCAACTCGAAACTGCACCATTCACGGCTCCCACACGGCCGTCTGTCTAATATAAATAAATATTTAAATCAATAAACTTTCGATTGGTCACACAACATTACATTACAATAAGGTACTTACCGTGGCACAATCTCGGAACTGTTTTTGGGCTTTGTCGAGGGGACAATTTTCGGTCGGAAAGGGAGGGATTGCGGGCGCAGTGCGGGTGTTTCTTTGCAGGCTGCGCACGTCAAGAAAAAATAAAAGAAAAACAATTATCCAGAGAAAATCGCTTGGCATTCCGCAACAAGAGGAAACAAATAGTATGTTAACTTCGCGGTATTTTTTCGACACGTTAAAGTGCAGATATCATAAAAGTGTTTAATAGCAATTAAAAAACAATACTTTAATTCCCAAATTTAAAAAATCTCTTTGTGTTTGAGCGCTTAATAAAAATTTGGTATTCATATTAAAAATACGCTTTTCCAAACTCTAAAATACGTCATAACTTTGCAACGAGCACATGAGCAGCTATAGCGGTAGTAACAGTTGGATTAAGGAGGTAATAAGGAATAATTTGATACTAAAAACTTCTGATTCTATGGAGTAGAACTTGAGTTATCAAGAGATATCAGTTTCATATTATCCATGCGGAAATTTTTCATTAATTTTTTGGCGCGATTTTCCTTTATTTATTATTTTCTTTCATTATTTATTTAATAAGGATGCTTAATTTTTACATTTTTTACCTTCTTTATCCTTAAATAACCTCGAAACTACATTAGTAATAAACCCGAAAGACATTTTCGAAAAAGAAAAGCTGAAGAAAAAATATTTTTCCGCTATTTGAGAAATGCCAAAAATCTGTTCAAGACACAAAAGCAAAATCGTTTTTTCTTGACGTGCTGCGCAAAAGCATTATAATAATAAGAATCTCGGAAATATTTATGTGAATAAGAGTTTAAAGGACCAGTTCGCTCATCCCCGGCTGTAAATGCAGAGCCGTGGTATGTTGTGACAAAAAAGTGAAGCCGCTAATCCGGACATTTTGTCAAAATGAACTTCATGGGAAATGAAAATTTTTATGCAAAAATTTTGAAGAATTTTTGAAAAAAGCGAGCGGTCGTGGAAATGAAAAAGTTTTTGTTAATCGAATTTGAAAATAAAAAAAAGTGGTCGCTTTTTTAGAATATGTTGTAAAAGATACGATGTATTCCTTTGGATTGATCATGAGTATGGTATTAATAAAAACAGATGCTGTGAAACGTGCCGAGGGCCGAAGGCCCGAGGCATTTGAATTGTAAAAAGTTCGTCCTTTGTTGTTTGCGATGTTGTTTTCTTACGATGCAGGTACAGAATTATACCGTACTGTTTTTAAAGGGTGAAGGCGTGCGAGGGCCGCAGGCTCGAGCCCACGGGTTTAAGTATTATAAAGTGTATTGAGATTGGCATATTGAAAACAAAATAACATGAAATTGCAATGTCCATATCAAAATAATATGCGAGGGCCGCAGGCCCGAGCTAATTTGTATGAATGTTGGAAATTGTATTGAAATTGGCATAATGGAAATGAAATTGCAATGTCCAGATCATAGGAGGTGATCTGGTCCCCGGCTGTTAATGCAGAGCCGTGGATGTCTGAAGCCGCTAATCCGGACATTTTGTCAAAATGAACTTGATGGGAAATGAAATTTTTTTGGCAACAATTTTGAAGTATTTTTGAAAAAAGCGAGCGGTCGTGGAAATCAAAATTTGAAAATGAAAATAAAAAGAGACCGGTCAGTTGCATTGAATTGCTTGGCGGAGAGCGGTCGTTGTTCGAAAATGTTGAGGAAGATACGATGGCAAAAGAATATGTAAGTATGTTTTCTGATACTATTTTGAGTATGGTATGGAATGTTGTGTTTGATTTTGAAAAGTTCATTTTAAACTATTTTAGGCGTGGGAAAATATATAGAAGGGTGTGGTAAATGGATTAAAGGTTAAGGCGTATCATACTCAAAATAGTTTCAGGATTCATGCTGCGTTTCAATAGCAAAACGTTGTTAGAAACAGATTTTAGAGTTTGTATTTGGAAAAACGTGCGAGGGCCGCAGGCCCGAGCTTATTAGTTTGTATAATATAAAACACATGAATTTGTAATGTCCAGATCAAAAGCTCATGATATGGTATCTTCAAATGAAAATTTTTTTATTGATTTGTGACAACACAAAAATCAAAAGGGGCGTGCGAGGGCCGCAGGCCCGAGCTTATGATTTTGCATACTATAAATTGTATTGAAATTGGCATAATGAAAATGAAAATGCAATGTCCAGATCATAGGAGGTTGATCTGATCCCCCCCCCCTATAAATGCAGTCAGATGGATGTCTGAAGCAAAAATAAAGTCCAAATGAAAATTTTTATTTTATTTTATAAAAAGCATTTTGAAAATGAAAATTTAGTGAGAATCGGTGTAGAAATTTTGCAAAATTTTGTAAAAAGAAAGCGGTCATTCAACTAAATTTTGTGGTAGTGAGCGGTTGTATTTCGACTAAAATTTTTGATTTTTCTGAGGCTAACACCCTCGGAATAAGGCTAAGGATTAAGGAAAGGATAAGGAATAAGAAAAGGATAAAGACTAAGAAAAGGATAAGGACTAAGGCTAAAAGTAAAGAAATTAAGTTATTGATTTTATAATGAAAATATGGCTATGGGTAATGAGGGTATGAATTTAAACATGGGTAAGGGTATGGTATATATGGGCATAAGTAGAGGTATAAAAATGGGAATGAGTAAAGACAATCGTTTAAATATGGGCAAGGGTATATAAAATGGCTATGAATGTGGGTGTGGGTATGGATATATTTATGGATAGGGGTATGGGTATAAATGTGGGTATGGTACGGGTGCAAAAAACGTAACAGAATATTAGATTGTTTTAAAACAAAAACAGTCAGTTTTAAAGTTAAAATCAAGAAACACGCGGCGGCCGCAGGCCGGCGCCTTTATTTGATAAAAGGTTTGTTTTCAAGCATAAAAATAATCAAATCACTTTTGAGTTGAAGCGTATCATACTTAAAGTAGTTTCAGGATTCATAATGCATTGAATTAGCAGAAAATTATTAAAACAAAAACATTCGATTTTAAAGTTAAAATGAAAAGAAACGCGCGAGGGCCGCAGGCCCGAGCTTTTTTTTTAAACATTCTAACGTTTCATTTTATTATAAAATAATTATATACTAAAATAAAACAAAACTAAACTATCCAGACCATAGGATGCCCGCAGGGCATCCGTTGGTCTGGTTCAAATATCATTGGCATTCTGTCGCAAAAAGCGTCGAAAATCAGGCAATTTCAATCAAAATCATTTTTCTCAAAAAACGTGAGTGGGTCGGTGTCAAAATGAATTTTCCAATTTGGGACCGACCTGCTCAGGTTTTTTGCGAAAAAAATGAACGTCGAATTTTTGCGACAGAATGCCAATGATATTTGAATGGGCGAACTGGTCTTTTAAATGAGCCAAAAATGCAAATTTATGTTTTTTGGATAAAAAAAAAGCATACTTTACTATAATAGATACTTTTTAAATGCATTTTTTCACTAAAAACCTCGAAAGAAATGTTCGAGAGCTTGAACAGTCAAGGTTCGCAAACTTTAGAACAAAAGTTTAGCCAAATTCAAGTGGCACATGTTGAAAATTAATTATATTTTAATATAATGGGTTAGTCTGAGTAATCATTACTCACTGCAAGTGCAAGTTCAAAAGTGTTTATGTTGTTTTAGGCATTCTAATAGAGAACGCATCAGAAAACATCTACTCAACTCTGACTGTTTTCAAATCCCGCACTGTGAATCGCGGGGAGAGTAGATCTGGTGTTCGCGACGTTAGCTGAGACAAAACATTAGTCATAGCCATCTTGAGAGTGTAAAGAAGCCTTCCCTTGCGTAATATTTGACCCGATTCCAATATGGGGAGTCGAGTGTAGCACTTGGGGGTCGAGTGTGACAAGCGATCTGTTTATGGCGTCGATACGGGGGTAGATGTATATCAGTGGCCGGAGGCACCAAGAGGAGAATGTGGCCAATTTCCTCCCCCGCTCGGCCCCGAATCGCCCTTCCTCGCCTCACTTAAGAGATGATTCATACTTTCCACTGCCCATCGCACCCGAACAAGGTTCTATTGTTGTCGTATTAGAAGTTATAATAATGTTATTCGTCTTACGGCGTCTCGGGTTGAGTGTTTTTTAAACTGTTATGCTAATCACAGCCGGATGGCTGGTTTACATCTTGTGTTTCATATAGTTTTGGAAGAGTTTGGGGTTTCAGAGAGGTCTTATAGGGTTATAGTGGAGTAAAAGGTTATATTGGTTGACTTTTTCACTTTTATTGCTTGCAAAGAGCATACTCTTATTTTTTTTAGTTGTCTGTTTAAAAATTGACTAGGGAAACCAAAATTTGTAAACGCTACAAGTTATTTTACGGTGCTGTTTAGTAAAACATTACCTCAAGTTTTAGATTAAAATACTTTAAAAATTTTGCTAAAAGTAGCTAAAAAATGAAAGTAATAGAATTTTTCACATAAAATCCAATACTTTGTGTTTGTATAACATAATATGACAAGTTTCCACCAGGTTTATGTCAATCTTCGCGTGCTTAACTTTATTCGTATTTTAATGCTGACCGTGTATGATAACCCTTAACAAGCCTTCAAATCACTGTTCAGACGGGTATGTCGAGTACACGGGAAAGATCCCGAGTCCGGATTCGTTCTCTGCTAGGCAAACTGTTCAACTCAGGCTCTCATTCCACGATAGAATCTGATTCCATATCTGAAATCGGGGCTCCTTACGATGCGATGCACAATGTTCACGTTGGGTACGATGGTCACACATTCACAGGGCTACCACAGACCTGGATGGAGATACTACGCCGAGACCTCAGGTAAGGAATTCTGAATTTGAGAGATTCTGTGTTTAGTGAAGCCGAACAGAAAAAGAATCCTGACGCCGCCATGAGGGCCATCAAGTTCTACGCTTCGGCCATGAAGGACAACAGGATCGACAAGTTCATGATGAGGAAGTCGGTGTACTCATCGGACGACGATAAGGAGCTGGATGTATCTAAAATGAAGCTGGATGAGGGTATGACTTATCGTAATATTACTTTACTAAACTTACAGTTAAAGCAATCACAGCTCAAAAGCCATGTTATTGTTTCATATCTTATAGCTATCAAGTCAGTGTAAAAATTGTACAAAATATAAGTTTCAGACAGAAGTGCGACTCCAGAATCCAGCAAAGAATACAGCTCTGTTCCCACTCCACCTCCACGATCTCTACCCCGAACTCAACTGGATGTACCTCCAGTACCAATCCCTCGTACCACTTCGATGGAGAAGAACCACGAAAGTACCAGTCCTAAGGTCCCACCTCCACTACCTCCGAAACCTACTGTAAGTTGTTTTAACATATTGCTTAAGGTTTAGTCAAAATCAAAATAATAGTTTTTAGTTTTACTAGCTAAATTACTGTACTTTCAGTAAAAGTGCAAAAAAGTTTAAAGAGAAGTTTGTTCGCTTTTTTAAAAGTTGTAATGGGGTTTTGAATGGTACGATTCGAGTTGTAATACCTTTCTGGTTTAATAATGGTTACAAGAATTAGTAGTTTTTAATTTTACAAAAATTTCCAGTAACGTACTCATGGCAAAGATAACATAACTTTTAATAACGCGGACGAGCCTTTCTTAGTTTGATGGGTAATTGTAATTAGTAAGCGGTTTCTTTAAACTGGTAGGAATAGGGTTTGGAACGGAACGCTTAATGTGAGTGGAATTTGATCAGGTAGACCTTGTTTATGGTCTGTGGCAGGAGGAGTTGTTCTCTTTATTAGGCTAGGGTAATATTATTTATAAAGATATTATTGTTGTATTTTAATTGTTTTGGAGTATATATTATTATTCAATGTTATTCTTGGACTACCTTGCCTTTAACTATGCTATCAAAGTCAGTCTTCCTTAACTTCCTTTCTCTTAACTTATCTCTCGACGACCTCAACTTGTGAATCCTCGTCGATTAAGCGGGTTCTTTGATGTTTTATGCAAATTCGTTGGAACCGACGGGGCGGAGGCAACTCTAATTTGTCGCGAGTCTCGAAGGAACGTGATCGCTGGTTGTTGGAGCGGCGACTAATCTGGTTAGCTGGACTGGATCCCTGCCGTTCTTCCGGAAGAATCCCTTTCGTTTGCTTAAGCTCCCCCACTTAACGTCACTAATTAGAGCGTCGATTACGTCTACTACAACATGTTGTTGTTTTTACTTTCGCTTAAACCAGTCCCGCACAGTAAGGGCGACACCGCCGGACGTGGTTTGCGCTTTTACTGCGCTACTCTTACTCTCTCTTTTTGTAACATGGTCGTATGTGGAGTACCTCTTTTGTATTATATTGTAGATGGGATGTCTGCCTTATGGTTCGAGTTTTTGAAATTTTTTTGAAATTCACTTATATTGTATACCTTTTACTCTGTGGAATTCTTACAACGCCAACTTACTTGATTGATAAGAGCTTACAGTCACTCTCCCTTTCACTTCGTCTGCTGATAGCGTGAACAATATATTCATAAAAAGAAGACATTTCGAGGTTTTGGGGAGAGTTCAAAAAGAAATGTCATTCTTTAATGAGCTGCGAATCTCTGCGTTGTCGTCGTATCTCACCTTTTCCGTAAACGCGAACACTTTAATTATCATGCCCTCAGGTGTTTATTCATACCAGTTTCAGGCTGGGTTAATTAGTTTCCCGACACTCCAGGGTTCTGTAACATTCTCGGGAAGTTGGGCGAGAAGTGTACCGTGAGTTGTTGTCGAGCTGTTACTCTGGTATTTGCGAAGATTGTGGTCTTTGAGAAAGAGTTACCGCGATTTTATTGAGGTTCGTACCGTGACTTTTGGTGGGAAAGTACTGTAACTTTGCTGAAGGAGCTTACTGTAACGTTCCTTCACGTCTCTCGCAGTTTTTACTACGTTTTGAATGTCTACGTTCGAAGCACGGTAAGATAGTTGTTCAAGAAACCTTCTACAAGACGGCCGTCCGTAGCGTGATTCTATACCGTGTTTTGTGAAGCCAAAACTGTCAAGACGTTGGATCTTGTGAATCGACGTGACGGCCGCGGATCTCGGATCTGCGGCTTTGAATCCGACAAGATTTTTGACTCCACGCTGCCACCGTTCCGAGTTAGCGTTCAGTCACCGTTCGCCGCATATATCGAGCACATTACTTGGGTGAGAGTGCATCAGGGGTTGAATGAGTCATTTGTTTGCAATTAGAAGGACTAACTTGAACTTTAAAGGTTCACAATATTTCATTAAACTTATTTAGGACTTTAGAGATTACCTAATTTGCACTTTTAGAAAAATTATTGTTTCAAAATTTTAAATTTAGCCTAAATTTATATAAATTTATTTTATTTTAGATTAATTTAATGTATAATACTATTGTTTCTGATTTCAGCACCTTAAGAACTCAAATGCCTCCGGTTCTCAGTCTTCGTCGACTCGAACGTTGGGGCGAAACGAGCACAGTCTCGGCTCCACGGCTTCGTCGAAGCATTCCAGCGACGAAGAACTATCGAAACCCGTAAGTAATCTAATTAACTTAACACATTTGACGCTGTAAACTGCTTAATGTCTGATTTGCATATTGTAACTTTAGTTTTTACCGAATTTCGGTCGAAAAGTAAACGGAAAAATACAAAATTATAATATGATATCATGATAGCTATAGAGGGAAACAGTTTGGGGAAGAAGGAGAGACTTGACACAAACGATTTTAATTTATTTTTGTGAACATAACTTTACAAAGATTACTTTGCTATAATGTTGCTCGTAGATTGATAAGATGGCTATTTATAGATCGACGAACCTCAGAAGTCGGAGAATCACGAATACAAGGCACCTTCGTTAGGAAAACCGGCTCCAGAAGCGCCTGTACGAAGGAGAACGGCGAATGTGGAGACGGAAGAGAAGACAGAAGATGTCAGACACAGACATGGACATAAGCTGACTGACCAACAAGTAAGTTTATTATCTTGGACGGATTTATTACTTATTCTTGTGGGAATCGACTGACAATAAGCTCGTACTTTATATTCTAGGTTGTAACTTTAATATTGGCGAAATCTTTTATTCTGAAGTTCATACGACTATGTATTTATGTCTTTTATGTAAAAATTACTAGTTAGATTTAAATTTGGCTAGAAATGATGTTTTTCTATAGATTTTTTGATTGAACTTCAATATTGTAGTAGCCTTCTTTCGCTGTTCTGAAGTAGTTTCAAAGCCTCTGACAATGTTTTTCCGTTAATCGAAATCCCGAGAATTTATTTTGCACGCATTTCGGGATTTTTGGTTTTTCTGGAGATTTTGCAAGAATCCGCTAACGACGATGATCCATCAACGTCAAGCATCGATGGTTGTTTCGAAGTGATATTGTTTTAGTTACGTCATCCAAGCTTATTTATATCAGAAAAAGTTGTGATAGCAATTTGGAATTCACTACTTTAGTGTTTTAGCTTTTTTATCACGGAAATTCGGTCAAGAAGTATTTAGAACTTCAGTATTAGGGCTGAACTTTGAACATAATGAAGGTCAAGACATGTTCCACTCAATTCTTGACCCAAATACTTAAATAAAAGCTTAGATCACATACAAGAATGTGTAAAAACAATATTACAAGGCAAATCATATAACTTTAAATATTTTAGGTATTGGATGAGCTTCGGAGGATCGTATCTCCTGGAGATCCTTATGCCAAGTACAAGTTGTCCGAGAAGATTGGTGCTGGTGCCACAGGTTCTGTTTGGACAGCACACAACTTGGTGACACATCAGATCGTTGCTGTGAAAAGAATGGCGTTCAGGAGTCAGCCCAAGAAGGAGATGCTTCTGACTGAGATCAAGGTCATGCAGCACTACAAACACAAGGTAGAGTAACATTACGTACTTTCAGATGGTACTGTCATGGACAACATTTATTAACTTTGGTAAAGTACTAAGTTTCTCTAGTACTACCATTTACTCTATGGTATTACTAGTACTGTTTTAATCTACCGTATCATTTCAGAATCTTGTGAACTACATCGACAGCTACTTGATCGGCGACGATGACCTCTGGGTAGTGATGGACTATTTAGAAGGGGGGAATCTGACAGATGTGGTCACTCGTACTGAATTGGACGAAGGTCAAATGGCGGCTGTCATTAAGGAATGTCTGCTGGCTCTGAACTTCCTCCACAAGAACAGTATCATACACAGGGACATCAAGAGCGACAACGTGCTACTGGGCATGGACGGTGCTGTGAAGCTGACAGATTTTGGGTTCTGTGCTCAGCTACAGCCTGGGGCTAACCGGTAAGAACTTTCTTTCCAGTATTAAGGCAGGTATACAGTATCTGAGCATATGTGTATACTAAGGTGTAACTGGTAGTTCTACATTGAGTATGTTATGTACATATAAGTCTTTTTATCTACGTCCAATGTTTTTTACAGTACTTATAATTTTAGAATTACTGTAATTGGTACCCCCTACTGGATGGCCCCAGAGATAGTAAACAAAACAAAATACAACTTCAAGGTTGACATCTGGTCATTAGGTATCATGTGCCTGGAGATGATCGATGGGGAACCGCCCTACCTACATGAGACACAGCTAAAGGTATGTTGTTGTAAAGTCGATGACTCAAGGGCTTCTGTTTGAAGTAAATACATTGATATAGGCTTGAAAAAGACATAAATTATCAAAATTATCAATTTTGACATTTTTAAATGTTTTACAGTATCCTTACAGTACTGTTTCACCATATGCCAATAGTAGAGTACTTAGGTATAAAATCAAAGTAAATTTACATTATTATACCATTTTAGGCCATTTGGTTGATAGCCCAAAACGGAAAGCCGGAGATCAAGAAGAAGGACGAATTATCGACCGAATTCCTCAGTTTTATCGACCGATGTCTGGATGTGGACCCGACCGGTCGAGCGGATACAGAAGAACTCTTGGAGCACCCCTTCCTTCGAAAAGCGAAGCCCTTAAGCGCTCTCATCTCTTACATTAAGGCGGTCAAAGACTTGAGGAGTCAACAGTAGCTACAGTACTGTCTTACTGTAATCTTACGGTAATTTTTGTGTTACTTATTCTTCGATAACATAGTATTACTGTAAACATTTAAAGCCTTAGTATTACCGTAATTCTAACTTATCTCTACCGTACTGTAGTTCTACTGGCTCTGTAGTCTTACTGTAACTTATTACTCGGGTCTTTTGCGCTTTCTTGTCCATGGCATTTCATTCTTGCTGGATTGTAATATCTGTTTTGTCTTGCTCAGTTACTGTACAGTAGCCCTCGTTACTGCATTTATCGTTATTCTGTTCGCTGGTAGGTGACATACCACAAACTACGCCATGACCACGTTTATACCATAACATAACTGTCGCCTGCTTGTCGTACGTTCGGTGTAACTATATTATTGTTTGTACAAATAAACTCAAACTTTTCTTCTACAGTAATATATTGTTACTTGACTTTGTCATAGAATAACTTTGACATCTTGTTTCAATTTAAGGTATAAGGCTAAACTCTCAAAAGTATCCCAACCCGCATCATCTCGAATGTTTACTGTATAACTGTTACTGTAAGAGTGAAAGCGATGGCAAGTCTACTATAATATTATCTATGCAGCAGCATCAGAAGCCCGTGCCAGGTCGAGGACGTTCTTGAAGTTGAAGGGAGTGAACGCGTAGCCAGCTCCAACGTAGAACTTACTCTGGAACTCGACCCAATGGAGACGAAGGGCGTGGAGGAAGGCTGACAGACCTTCCATCAACACCAAGATGGAGAAGGTCAGCACTCCGAACACGAAGAAGATCAGGTACGTCGCCACGATACCCGCCCAGCCTTCTTGTTGTAGCCCGTTCCGTAGCACCATGTCCCACAACACTTCTGACAGTTGGGCGTGGGCGAGTGATAACGCCCACAAACGGAGATACGAGGCAGTGTGAGACACACAGCCGAGCACGTACTCAATAGTATGGATGGCCTGGTGCACCATGATGTCGCCGAAGGCTTCATCGTGATGCTCCCCACCGCCGTGAGGCTTGTGGTCCTCTTCTTTGCCCTTCTTGAGGCCATTTCCATTTGTTATCACTTCTGTTTCGTCCGATTGCATATTGATTCGGACACTCTGTAATGTCAGTTATTATTGTAAATTTTTTACTTATTTGAGTTTAAAAGTGATTAATACTATAATTTCTTATCAGATTCTACTATCTCTGCAATGTTAAAAGCAAAAAAACTATTTGAAAGTTAATTTTGGCGCCAAATCCTATAAACTTGGATTATTTGGCATTTCGTCACAAAAAACAAAATTTTGTCATAACATTGACAAAACTGATCATTTTACAATCTTGGTGAAAAACCTAGGTAATCAAACTATAAAGTATGTTAATATATTGTAATATATCATACCATGTTGTCGGACATGGCTTGCTTGGCCTTCTTCTGTTTCATGAGAATGTAAATTGGTTTTCCGAACAACATGATTGGGATACAGATGACGGCGATGATTACAAGGACAGCTTCGATCATCGACTGAAAAGGGTATATTAACATAACAGTGGGTATCTTTATCCAATGGTGTCAGTTCGATAAGTTATAGTAACCTTATTTTATGTATAACATGTGTATAACTTACTTGACCTGGATACCATTGGTTTAGGTAACAGGCAGGTAGTTGCTTGCCATCAGCGTCCACGAAGCCTGGATCACGGTCTTTGAACATGAACATGTTGATCAAGCCGATCTGGAAGACAAATTACTTCAGTTTGAGATCAAAATACTTTGGTAATAGGCTTATATTACTTATGATTGCTACAAAAACTAACGTTTGAAATATTTTTTAATTTTAAAATTATTTTTTGCTTTTTTTAAATTATTTTTTTTAATTTTAAATTTCAAAAACTCGTCCTTTTTATGCAAATTTCCACCTTATCACAAATCTTGTCGCATTTTGATCATTGGTTACAACAAAAATGGATAGTGCGGTGTCACAATCCGAAGCTTCCAGTCAAGGGTCCTTGTGTTCACCACAGTAAGCCGCTTCGTATCTTTGTTATTTAGCCTTTACTACATAAATAGTATCTTTGTACCCTAGGCTTACAGTATATATCTCGTTTTTACTTTGCAGGACTCGATACATCGTATCATTGTGCGTTATTTCAACAGTCGGAATATCTACGTTAGTAATTCAAAAGCTGGGGCCGTGCTTGATACTGTCAGCGCCGGTGGGACTTCTGTTAGTGTGTTTTACTTATCAAGTAAGCTTTCTTACATCGTTGTAAAGAAGTGTCTTCTTGAGTGATGTGTATGTTATCATCAACATGATCCTTTGAAGAGTAGCTGGGTCTTATTATAAGTTAACCTTTGACTTCAGTGGGTACAACTCTATTCCTCAAGCCTAACGCGAACTCGACGAGCCTTCTTCGACGAAGCCAACATCCTGGACACTTATCAGACCCGTGCCCGCACCCATGGCCATCTTTTCCAGCCCGACCCACCCACGCCCGTTCCTGGCAGTTCGGATAGTTCGGATAAACAAATGTCGAAGTCTGAGTTCGAGAGAATGCGTGATGAAGTAAGTGTAACATCAGTTATTGCTAAGTGTATTATTGTTCTACTGAGTGTTATACGTTGGTATTCGTTGACTCATTCGAAGTGAAGGTCCAAAAGTTTATAGAAATATTCAATTCGACTCAATTTAACGATTTCTATCAACTTTTTGACCTTCATCAGACTGTTTTATACAAAAATTTTGAAAATAACCGGTGGGGCCATTCCATCTTGTAAATCGTATTATGTCACGCATTTTCAGCACTACACAGACATGTTTAATAAAGCAGATCGTCAAGCCAAGGAGAAGCTGACCGCGCCAAAGTTTGCCAAGGCCGAAGAGCCTATCCACATCGAATTCAAGGAACCTCCAGAACCCGACGACGGATCAGACAAGGACGCTGGTGGATAACTACTAGTTCTATTGAATAAATATTTCCATATAAATGAATGGTAGACTTTGTTGTAGACTACTAATTACCTTGTCTTTTTATTGTTGGGTGTGTAATATTGTTGATTTCGACTTGAATGCATAGTTTTATATTAGAATTGACCTCAAACTGAGAAGTGAAGTCGTTTTGCAGTGTAAGAAGTAATTAAAACACTTTGTATTACATCAGTTTGACATCATTGTACTTTGACTTACTACTCTGTAACTTATAATGCCATTTCTAATAACTAATAGCACGTAATACTATAAAACTCAGAAACGACTCACCAACAAAGAAGGAGCACAATGAGAGCCAGGGTACTGTTGGCCGAAGATGACATCTTCCTGGACCCAGAAGAAGATCCACTTGAGGATGATCTGTAGACACAGATACATGAAGATACAGCCCAAGAACAGCATCTGGGGGATGAACACGGTGTAGGTGTCGATGGCGGACTTGAAGAAGCGGTGGTTCAACAGCGACAGCACCACTCCGAAGGCCATCTGAGTGATACCGACGATGACGGAGAGCTTCATCTTCATCGAGTTCAGGAAGTTGAGCTTATTTTCTCCCACGTTCCAGATGGGGTCCATGCCGAAGGGGTAGGGGCCCATCTGATGTTGGTAACTGAAGTCTGGGGGCACTTCCATGTGGGCTTCCTTGCCGTGCCCACTGTCGTTGAACCAGTGCTCCAGGGCCTCGTGCTTGTAGGGATTGACCCATGAGCTTCCGAAGATGTTGAAGGACTTGGCGAAGAGATCGTTGTAGATCAGACCGGCGTGGATGGAGAAGATGCCCATCAAGAGGATGATGTAGCGACCTCCGAAGAACATGGTGAAGATCTCGTCTCTGATCTGTCGCGCCTCCAGATTCTTCTCTCGGACCACCAAGAAGAGGCCGGCCAAGAACATCAGGATACCGTGCCCGAGATCACCGAACATGCAGGAAAAGATGAAGGGGAACGTGATGATCGTGTACGGTGCCGGATTCAGCTCCAAATACGACGCGATACCGTACGAGTCGACGATGCCTTGGAAGACGGCAGTGAACTTGTTGGTGCGATTGTAGGTGGGAGGGGTTTCGTTGGTGTGGAGAATGTTGAGGACTGGCTTCACCGTGCCACCGTTCTTCTCCACGCCACGCTCCAGAGCGGCACGGACACTTTCAATGTCTTTGAAAGGAATCCAGCATTCGGCGACAAAGAACTTGCCGATTCCGTCAAAAGTGAAGTAGTTGAGGGTGTGGTAGATGGACTTGTACAGTCTCACCTACAATAATATGTTGAAGTAGACAGAATACCAATCAAAATAGACTTCGCAATGAAACTTGACTTACCTGCTTCAACCACACCTTCAGGTTGGCAGCAGCAGCATTCAGGACCTTGAGGCGATGGTCCTTGGTCTGTCCGATGACAGTTTGCATGTCTCTGATGTTATGCTGCACCTTACTGAGCGCTGTCTGTCTATCTTGACTTAGCTTTGGACATTGGTTGTATTGTTTGGCCTTGAAGCCTTCGGAAACCTTGTCGATGATGGCCTTCAGACGGTCACCGTTGTGGAAGACGATGAAGACCGACTTGTGCATCAGCTCGCCCTAAAAGATTACTGTATATTAACCTTAAAGTATCTGCAGAACATTAATTTCTGTTCCCTTGGGTGTACAATGAAAGGTTCGAATATGAGAATATATAATAGAAAATACAGTAACCTTTACCGTATTGGGGTTCTCGAGAGGCTCGTCGATGTCGGCCGACCTTAAGAAGGCCGTTCTTCGACAGGCACGCCAGAGGACACGTTCGAACACGCCGACCTTGTCTCTGTTGATGACGCCCACGCTGTAGCCCATGGGCTCCTTGTCGGAGCGCATCTGAATCCCGGCTTCTGTTTCGTTGGCGGTTTCGATTTCTTGAATCGCGGCATCGTCGATCCCCTGAAGGCAGTAACTTAACATACTGTAACATAAGTATATTGTAATAATCACTATTATATTTTACTTTTACATGAATGTACAGACTTGGTATGTCATACTGTAACTTACCCCCTGGAAGAACTGGTCGGTCTTCTGGAGGACGGCCTCCCATTCCTTGAGCTCGAGGTAGTTCTTCTTGAGCTGTTGGTCGCTGTCGTTCATGTTGTTCACGTCCCTCTCGAGGTCGGTCAGGGTCTGTTCCAACTGGTTGATCTCGGAATGGTTGATGACGTCGTTCGGCTCCTGGAAGGTTTTGTCCGGAATCTCGATCCCGTCCTTCTGAATCTGGGCGTCTAGGAATCCTGAAGACATATATGATATACTCTTGCTTATATTGAGGTAAATCATGATTACATGGTCACTAATACGGAAAGGGTTTTAAAATGTCATACTTTATATAAATGTAAGTATAAGTTACAGTAACCTACGTAGCTTTCGTTCCATTTCATCGAAGCGACGGATATCTCTGACGAACATACGTTGGAATGAGTTTACATCGGCGTTCAGCTACAAATATTATCATTGATAGCATCTTTTAAGTTTTAAAATGTTTGTCGTCTACAGTATACTGATTAGTCTTCAAAAACGAGACATGCCTACCCGAGCGGCAGTCTTGATCTTTCGGGCCGGACCTGCATTCGATAGCCAAACCAGGCCTTTCTTTAGTTCAAGTCCGGCCCAATCTGTTTCTCAAGTCTACTGGCTCTTACTACAGTATGACCCATATTCTGGCCATTCCACTGTCGCCATAACCTATCTTTTTAGTTACAGTATCCACCTACAGTACTTTTACAGCATCGACAACCAGTACCGTACCTTAATGACAACAAACAAGTAAATCAACTCACATCCTTGAACTGAACCCAGGGCTGTTTGCCGAGTTCGGCGACACAGGAGAAGGCGGAATCCTTCTCCACGATCATCTGGCAGAACCGCATCTCTTCCGAGCGATACAACGACCCCATCGCGACGGTGTGCTACTGGGTCGCTGAAACTTTGAACTAGATCTTGATGTTGAACTTGTAGATAAGCACGAATATTTAATTACAGTACTCAAATGTTGCTAAACTACAGTATGCCAAAAATAGAAATAATACATACTGTAAGTGATATACTGTGCATACAGTGATATTATACTAAATAAAACAAAACAATGAGCTCAAATAGTCTACTATAACATAAATCACCAATTTAATTCGAAATAGACCCCTATCTCCAAGTGTCATAACCCCGAACACCCCCCCCCCTCTCATTAATTGTTTAATTTGCAAACTCTCGAGAAGTTCACGGAACGGGCGGGGTAAACGGCTCCACACTTGAAAAGACAAACATACGATGTAATAAGTTTGTTACCTGAAGGCTCGATCGAAGAGCGATGGAAGAGAGATCAGTTCCCGGTTTTTGGTCGCGCGCAAAGCTCCCTTAACAAAAACAATATTATAGACGCACCAGACCGAGCTCCAGAGACACAAAAGACCGGGGATAATATCGTTGGCGACAGACGGTGTGGGTGCATATCACCGTGCCAAACGCTATTCAAATCACTTCGAAGTGAACAAACATTTCCAAAAAAACAACAAACAACTACTTTTGAATGTAGATACTGCAGGGTAAGGTATTTACGTCATCATGGCTAAATTTTTGAACAAAGTAAAAGACCTGCCAAACTCAAATTTAAAAATTAAAATCCCTCGAGGCTACAACAACAAGTGGGTCTGAGTTCCTGAACATTATTCGAATATTGACGACAGAAACGGTTCAGCGGCCGATAAGATCTGCTGATTAAGAGATAAAGAGCAAAGACAAAACATTACAATACCCTTCTGATGCCTGAACTACATCATACCTATGGATTCTGACTTCTGAATCCAGTAATATACGTTTCGTTTGAATAGCGCCTGGAATAGACTTCTAAATCTATATTATCGTACTCTTCTTAACCCAGATTGTGATAAGCATTTAAACATGAAGTAAAACAACTCAAATGACAATATAAAGTCAAAGCAAGCTTCTGAACCCAAAAAAACTTCTGAATTCCAACAAAAATAGACTTCCAAACGAAATTTAAACGTACTTCTGACTAAATCAAGGCCAAATCTCTGCGATTGGAGTGATTAATTAAGTCGAGGATGTTAGTCAGAGAAGGCAACATCACACTACTCTGCTTACAGCGTTTAACAAATTAGGAATGTTAACAAGTGAGAACAGTAAAACAAAGCGGTAACTCGACCTAACACTGCTATCACGACGTTCAAAAAAGATAAATTTAATGTGGCATGTGCTTCATGTCAAATGTTAACCTAACATAATATAAATAGGTAAGAATATTAACCCAAAACCACATAAATATATAGACCCATCCAACACCCAATACAACAACACCTACAACAATATAAAGCTACCACAACATAATACGAACCCAATTACCGCAAGTTGCGTTTACCGCCGCGAGATGACGTTAGAGTTAAGCACTTTACTTTGACAAAACAAATACATCGCTCGCCCCTCCGACCGTCCCATACCTTCGCGCGACTGGCAGGTCAGTTGATGGCCAGCAGACCCATCACCAGCAGCAGCAGCAACACGCACGACGAGAACCGTATCAGCATCTTACTGTACTCTATCAGCTCGGTCGTTCGGTCCCCAGGGTTCACGATCAGTTTGAAGGAGCGTAGCAGGTTCTGGGGAGGGTGGAAGCAGCTGAAACGTCTACTGTAACATACTGTAAATAAAATGTTGAAATGTTTCTTCTATTATATTGATATAAGGTATATTATGTATATTATATCATGTTATAGTTAATGCTTTTGTAATGTTTGTCCACCCCTTTTAATCGCTTTAATTCAAACTGTCCTCTTAGTCATCAGACAACATACCACAATATACAAAGCATACAAGCCCAAAAGCCAATTAAATCTATTATATTATCCATCACAAACATACCACAACCTACCTATACAAGTCTCGATCATCTAGAGTGACATCCCTGATGATGAGTTGACCATCAGCTGTCAGGTGAACTCTGTTCTTGTCGCTGGTCGTGTTCTTTGTCGTCAGTAGCAGCTGGTTGATGTACTTGTAGCCCTTGTGCCAGAAGACCCCCCTCTTGCCGCAATTCAAGATGACAAAGTCTGTCCCTTCAGTTACAGTAATCACCTTCCTAGTGACAGCCGCTTTCAGAGTAGGAAGTCGCTCCAGGACCGAGAACTCGCCTGCAGGGATCAGATCGGCAATAACTTTGTGACCACTCTTGTCGACCGATTGGATTACGCGGGTCTCGTTCTCAACTTCTTTGCATACAGACTAAAACATATTACTATCATATCATGTCATTTAATATGACATTATTTTATTTACAGTCAGAATTAACGTAAAATTAAACATCTGCACAGTGCAATCACTGAAAAGCGCTTCCTTTTTAGATTGCATCGTGCAAGTTATTAACCCAGCTGCACTGTGCAAAACTTTAACCACTGCACCGTGCAGAGTTTCTGCGCCGAGTGACAAATCGAATGCACGGTGCAAACCACAAAAAGAGTAAACAGTGCACAGTGCAATCCATCCACTGCCCGCTTTGTCGCTAAAATCCTTCCACATGCGGCAATCCGAAAATGTCGCCATTGGCGTTTAAACAGCGCGACATTCCAAAAAAAGTGCACTGTGCAAAAGCAGATTTGTTTCCGATAAAACTGATCAAGGCTTTGCCGCTGCGACACTTGCGACAGTTATGTCGCATCGCCTTCCAAAAGACAAAGCTACAGCTTGTCGCAGATCCTCAAATCCAGCGACAAAGTTCACTCGCAAATGTCGTAAAGCGCCAGCGATTGTCGAAGTTGTCGCTGTCTGTTGCAAGACCCTGGAGGTCGCTGTCGCGCAAAAAAATGAGAGAAATCGAATGAGAATCTCTCGCTCTTTGCGACACCAAAAGATCACATTGTCGCAGAATGTTCAGCTCTGCGAAAATCAGTTGCTTCAAAGAAAAATGCGGCCACGTTTGAACTGTTTTAAACAAAGTAATTGCGACACTCTTTTTTGATCTATCGCAAGCGAGATGCCTTTCGCGACAACTGCACAGTGTAAAAATTGCAGCGTGCAGTCTTCTTCCTGAATGTCGCAAAAGATTGCTGAAGAACCTGCGCAGTGCGAGCAACCAATTGTTTTCAAAATGAATCTGCGACAACTTGTGATACCGTACTTCTCAAAGCAATCAGGTGAGGTGTCGCAAAGGCTAAAAGTGTGGCTGTTGCGACACACTGCACGGTGCAGAGCTTTGTGAGACTGCACTGTGCATTGAATTGTTCTGCACAGTGCAATCGACTAGGAATGATTGCGTAATAAAAGTGCACGGTGCAGTGTAATTAAAGTTAATTATATTTGCACGGCGCAGTCAGCTAAGATAGACGCAATTTCTTTGCACCGTGCAAGCTTTAAATTAATTTCTTTAGTGACTGATCGGTAAAACCATAATATCAAAGATACCTATGATAATATAACACCTTACCTGACACAAATGAAATTCCTGTACCAATACGTACTTCCGTAGCAATCGTCGTATGTTCAAGGGTACCAAAGCTGAATTGCAAGGAATGGTACCAAACAGAGAAAAGAGTCCCAAAAGAGTACTGTTGGTTACTGTACCCTAAAACCATTTAAAAATTATTAAATACAACTACGAGTACTAATATAAGTACTGTAAAGTGACGTACTTGTTTGTACTGTCTAATGTGGCACTCTCCTCGTCTGAAGCTCTCTCCTGTCGCATTCACTCCACAGACATTACAAGGCGTCCATGGTGAATATCTCTTGAACGCGACAATCCCCTTTTCCTGCGACAAATGGTACACTCGAGTGGGAGTGGTACTGTTTGATACTGGAATTCCAGTGCCTTCTCCTACTTGTCGCTGAAATTATATTTTCTAATTTTAAGTATACGTTGTCGCTAAAAAGATTCAATCATCGCTTAAAACAAATAAACCTTTTAAATTACTTCTAAACATTACCATCATACCATAATTCATGATATGATAATATGAGTAAGTGCCCAGTTATAACTGCCATTAAAGCTCGTTTAACAGACAATTATAACATGACAGAGTAACGTTAAGCAAGTTAATATCAAAAGTAACAGACGGAGGTAAACATGTTGGTCGAACACCCAGCCAAACACGCAATCCCAAGGTAATTTACTCAGTATTACACCTATAGACATGCAGATTAGGCAAAGAAATAAAACACAAGTTAAATGTCGCAGATGTCTATTCAAATATATTTATAGCTGGTTTCACAAGGGAATGTCACAAACTGCCCATTCGATTTTTAAAAGTGAATGGTACCATGTGAAAGAGCGTAAAAAATTGACTAGAGATCTATTTTCAAAAACTGCTAATTTTGCCTTACAAGCCCGCTAGCGAGATTTTAAAATTATTAGTGAAAGGCCTTATAAGTTGTTATTCTTTCTTTTGGATTATTGTATTTTTAAAAACCTTAGTTTCTACTTTTTTTAGGTTTTATTAGATGTAAGAAGCCTTATCAACAAAAAAAAATTTTTTTTTGAATATTTAACTTAATTAACTTTTTAAATAAAAAAGAATACCGATCATTTATCCAAAAAGAGAATCGAACCTAAAGTCCATTGATTGCGCAATCACGGCGCCTTTGACCACTCGGCCATTCGAACACATTTAACTCCCCGTTTTGAAAGAAGCCAAAAGAAAGCGGGTTTAAAAAATCCGTTTTGATAGTAAAAATTTTAAAAGCTCGCTAGCGGGCTTGTAAAGCAAAATTAGCAGTTTTTGAAAATAGGTTTCTAGTCAACTTTTTACGCTCTTTCACATGGTACCATTCATTTTTAAAAAGCGAATGGGCAGTTTGTAACATTCCCTTGTCAGAATGAACAACTTCATCAATAAAGAGCCGGGCCTGCTAATTCATCATATGATAATGTGATTAGGCTTATAAAGGATAATATAACCCTTTCAAAATATACCTCATGTAAAATTCTATATTAGATACAACAATAACTGTAACAAACCTTACAATAATGTAATCAGAAGATCTGACAACTTGAACAAAGTACAAAGCTGATATGAAATGCTCGGGAGTCCTCTTAACACATCGGTACCATCCTTGTGTACCATTGTTGAGATCGTTGATTCTGAGCTCAAAGTGATCTCCAACTTCGTATTTCCTCTTCTTCTTGAACAATCTACAATTTCAAAAGATAAAACAGTAAGAATCAGCTTAAAACATACCTAAACTTAAAGAACTTCACGTTTTTGGTCGTCGATTTGCAAGGAAATTCAATATTTTAGGTAACATTTCTAACAAATTATTAGTCGAGAATGACCAACGTATTCCAAAGACTTGAAACTATCATATTTACTGATACTTTGTATTTTATTTTGCCAAACATTAACTAAAAACATAAAAAAGAAAAGAACTTACCCTTGAGCAGCCTTCTGAGTCTTTCTGGCCAAAGTTCTTGGCTCAGTCAGATCAATGGCTGGTTTCCATTTAGAATTCTTTTCGAATTTCATAAACTCCCAGCTGAAACTAGGCACAGTCTGGTTCTTTTCCTTCACAAACTTCTTGATTTTGTCCCAGAATCCAGAGAGTTTTCGACCGAGGATGTTTTCATTCGGCTTCCACAAGTCCTCGATGAACTCTTCTTCTGTGGGGCTTGGACTAAAACAGAAAATTTTAATTTTTAGGCTTCAATAAAATAACAATCAAATATCTTTAAATTTGCGATAAAAATGGCGAAAATAAAATGGCAAAAACATGTTTGATCGTATAAAATTACTCCCAAATAAAAAATTGGACAAATTTGGTTTTTTTTATTGAAAAACTGGACAAAGTTCTAAAAAAACTGGATAACATACCAAGCGAGGCAAGGCAACAACACTTCTGTACCCTTTGGCTGTATCACATGTTGAGCAAACTGATTGTCACGATGCCTTCTGTAGACTTGCTCCTTATGACGTATACAGTCATGGTACGCTTGATACTTTAGTTGGTTCTCCTGGATTTCAAGATGAGTGTAGCCAAAGACCACATGAATATTCAACAATATTACTGGCAATCGCATTATCGACCGGTAAAGACGAGAATATTATTTTTATTCTGAAACTGATTTGCATATTGACTTGGTCGATGAGTGTGGCCACAGAACACGGTGAGAGACAGCCAGTTCAGAGTATGTTGTTTTATGTATGTTATCTTACTTTGCCTTTACAGTAGTTTTAATTTAGGAATGTTACTTAAGGTAATAAACTTTTGGTCGTAACTTTGTTGTTTACAGTAAGATCTTGTTGACAGAATGTTATGATGCTTTTGCTCAGTGTCAGTTTTGTAATAATAATATTGGAGTTATTGACAGTCGAAGAGTATTTTTACAAAGATGGTTACTGTTTGCTTAGTGTAATATGTTGTTTGAGACTGCAAATTTTGAAGAAATACAATCTCTGGTTTTGCGACAATATTAGTTTCAATAAGTTGACTTTAAAATTGATAAGATTTGCGAAAAATTTTGTTTTTGATTTGTATTTTAAAGTACAATAATATAATGTTACATTACATTATTGTACATTATTTTGTAAAAGTTCGTGATTTATAAAATCAAAGTAGATAACCCTGTCTGTCTTATTAATATTGTATTTTTGACTTAATTGTATCGTATAACCATACCCAATTTTAAAAGACATTAGAATTACAGAACACTAACCTTATAGTAGACCACCGTTATAAAAACCTGATTTCAGATGTAAATTCCTTCGTTTTTATCAGCGGAAACGAGAACAAGGTCCGTGATGCGATTGCCATTCTAGGACAACATGTTTCGCTTGCAATCCGACCGGTCGATCTGATGGAGATCCAAGGAAAGCCTTCAGAAGTCGCGTTCCACAAGTGTTCGGAAGCGATGAAGCTGACTGGAGGGAACGTGATCGTCGAGGACACGGGTCAGTCGCTTACTTTACACCGTTTCATTTCTTTTCGCCGTTCCAAAGGTTAATATTTCAGCGTTGTGCCTGGAGGCGTTGGGTGGAATGCCAGGACCTTACATCAAATGGTTTGTCAACTCTCTCAACGCCAATGGCATCTACAAGATGCTACTCGGGTTCGACTCCTTCAATGCTACAATAATTTCTACAGTAGCTGTGGGACTGCGGAATGCGGAAGGAAAGGACGAAATAATGCTGTTCGAGGTACATTTCAATATAAAGAACGTTACACACCTACTATAACATAAGCTACAAGTGAAACGATAAGCTTTTAAACTATTTTTATCGTTTGTCGCCTATATTAATATAAAAAAGGTGGCTAAAGTTCAACTTGAACGTTTAGGGCCGAACGGAAGGCCGGATCGTGAAGCCGCGAGGAAGTTGGGGCGAGCGGAACGGCTACGATCCATGCTTTGAACCGAACGATCAGTCACAGACCTACAGCCAAATGGACCCCGAGACGAGAACATTACACTCTGCACGGCAGAAGGCTCTCCGAAAGGTTTTGCATCACTTACAGAAGAAGATAAACTAACACTTGATCACTTTTAACTCGGTCAAGAAGTTCGTAGATATTACATTTTTTTAATTTTAGAAAATTTAAAAATCAGTTTTTAAAGTTAAATTATTTACAAATTTGGTCTAAAAGTTTGTAGAACTAAAAAATATTTCCATTCACTTTTCGACCATATTTAGCACTACTATTTTAGAAATCAGGCCAATGTTTTCATACTGACGAAAGCTTTTGGTGACAATCTTTAACAAGATTATTTTTTGAAACCGTGATAAGAGTTAATGGTTATGATGAAAAGGTCATTTTGAAAACACAACATAGTTTATGGCAGGAACGAGCTGTGAAATCTGCAAATAAACTGCACAGTGCAGAAATACAGTACATTGAGAAGTATCCACAAACTTTTAGACCGCAAACGAACCTAAAATTTTAGGTAAAAACTTGATGTGAGCAAAGGTGTGACAGCCAGAAGAGAGCAGACGTGTAGAATTGTAGGTCGTTCTTTGTTCCCCAAGCGTGTAGAGGCAAGGTTAACATGGTCCCTTATCAATTCCTGCTAGACTTTGAAGTAAGTGCATATTATTATATTATGATTGAACGAGCTCGCGTCTGTCGCTCCAATGTCAATGAAAAACGGCGAGTCGCACTTGAACAAAAAGCGGGATGTCTCTGCTAACCTATAACAACATGAAGTGGCACCAAAGCACGTGAATCATGTTTTGTATTTCAAAAAGATGATCAACACAGTCCTCGGCTTCAGATGGCATCTTTTGTTTCTGGGAACAAAAGGTGGTATAAATTGATAATGCTGGCAAAAGGCGATAGCAAGTGTAAGATAACAGCTACTTCTTTATCATTTGCTAGTTGTAATCGACAGCTCGATGACCTTTAAGAATTCCCATCACTTACTGCCATCAAGTTATCATTAAAATGTTAACTTTTGCTCCATTCCCGATGCGATACATCAATATAAAGCAAGGTATACCATCATCAGACGGGTGTTAACTAACAAAATGCCATTCTTTCCTAAACTTTATGCCTATATCAACTTCAAACTCAATTCACATTGAACATGAGTACGTTTGTTGTTATTTACACTCGGAATGCGGTGTTATCAACTGTTTTTGCAATTCCGAAACACTGTTTTTCGACTACAATATCGCAATTCGAACTGACCACTGATAAGGCCCCGCCCACTGATAAGAGCGCACCCCGCCCACTTTATGATTAAAATTGTGTTTTAAGAGAACCAAAGTTGCCGGAAGGTTAAGATCTGGAAGTTTCCATCATGAATATCCTCCTCAACGCTCTCACCTACTTCAGAGCCCCTGAGGCCAACAACAACGAGCTGATAGTGGAGTCAGTCAACAAGGAGGACGTCATCAGAGACCGGAAGGAATGCATCGCGTAAGTTGTGTCGCTTGACATGACAGTATTACTCTAAATCTTTGGATTGATACTACTACAATATATAGGATGATACTATTTTCTAGTATCATCCTATGTATTGCAGTGTTTATGTAATGCATAAATACTACAATATTATAAAGACTTTACATGTTGACAGTAAAACAAGGAAAGTTGTTTCAGAAGCAAAGTAGAAGTCTTCTACAAAAGTGACCCCTTCTTGGTGTCCCAGGGTCGTGGGCAATACCTGTTCGATGACCAAGGTCGCCAGTACTTGGACTGTATCAGCAATGTTCAACATGGTAAGTTCACCCTATAGATACTGTATTTTCGCAAGTTCGTGATTTTTTTCAATACTGTTGTATTTACATTACTTTGCTCTCCTTACCTTACCGTACCTTCAGTTGGACACTGTAACCCGAAAGTTGCCGCCAAAGTGCATGAACAGATGATGACATCTAACTGTAACATTAGATTCCTGAGTAACAAGCTCACGGACGCTGCCAAAGCAATCTTGAACACATTGCCAGCCGAACTGGATACTGTTCTTTTCGTGAATTCGGGCTCCGAAGCCAATGACTTGGCTATGCGATTGGCCAGAGATTACACAAACAACCGTGACATCGTATGTTTGGACCACGCTTACCACGGACATCTGATCAGTACGATGCAGATCAGCCCCTACAAGTTTGATCACGGTAGCACCATTCCCAAACCCGAATGGGTACACGTCGTAAGTTACAGTAATCTTTGCAGCAGTTTCAGTTATTTGATCACTATTAACTACTACAAGGACCATAAAATATGACAGTAACTGCCACTTTTATCACGATACGTAACAGATAGAAATAGGTTGTTATACCTCCTCTTCCTGTCAGTTCTAATAAATTTGAATTCCAGGCCCCAACTCCAGATGTCTACCGTGGAAAGCATCGCTTAACTGACACTGATCTCAACAACCCTCAAAAGCTGGTCCAGATGGGACAATTGTACGCCGAGGAGGTTAGAAACCTGATTGAAGCCAACACCGAGAACGGCAAAGTGAGTGGATTCATCGCCGAAGCCCTCCAATCGTGTGGAGGCCAGATTATCCCTCCCAAAGGCTACATGACCCAGGTCGCAAACATCATCAGATCTCACGGTGGAGTCATGATCATCGACGAGGTCCAGACTGGCTTCGGCCGAGTGGGCGAGAAGTTCTGGGCCCACCAACTACAAGATGACAGTTTTGTACCAGACATTCTGACTATGGGGAAACCCATGGGGAACGGATTCCCTGTAGCCGCTGTCGTCACCAGAAGGGAGATAGCTGACCAACTAGGAGGTCAGGTCAACTACTTTAACACGTTCGGAGGAAACCCAGTATCGTGCTCGGCCGTTCTTGGCGTGATGGAAGTGCTGAAAGAGGAGAATCTGCTCAGTCATTCAGAACAAATGGGAAAGTACTTTGGAGAGAAACTGGCGCAGCTCAAGAACAGGCACGCTGTCATCGGCGATATCAGGTACATTTTGATATTCTATAACATATTATAGGTACCTAAGATAACTACAGTTAAGCTTTCAAAGTAAATCCTTTTACGAGTACAACAGATCCTATAATATCCTACCAATACAAATATATTTTCAGAGGCGTCGGCATGTTCTGGGGCCTAGATATTGTGACGGACCGTGAAAGTCGTTCCCCAGCTACAAAGCTAGCCGTAGACCTGTGTCTTAAGCTACGACAAGAATATCAAGTACTATTGAATGCTGACGGTCCCCACACCAACATCCTCAAGTTCAAACCGCCACTTTGCTTTAACAAGGAAGACCTGGACCTTGCGGTAACTTCAATAGACAAAGCTCTTTACGAATTGGGATATTAACCATCAAACCGTTGCTTCGTGATATTCACAGATTGGGTTATTTACCTTCAAGGCATTCGTATGATCTCAGTATTTGAATTTATTAATAAACAACAACTTTATAACAGTGAAACGAGTAACAACAACAATAAAATTAAAAACCTTATTCATCTTCTTCTTCCTCCTCTTCATCCTCAAACTCAATGTCTTCAATATCTATTTCCTCGTCTTCTACACCACCTTCTTCGTCAGATAAGTCGGATTCTGTTTCTATCTCTTCAACTTCTGTGGCTGCTTTTGCTGCTGCTTTCTTGGCCTCTTCCTTTTGTTTCTTGGCCAATTCCTTTTTATCCTTTGTTTCTACTTTAGTTGGCTCCACTTTCGTCTCTTCTTCTTTAATCACTAAACAACAATATTTTTAAATATTCAGGTAACTTACCGCGTCTTTTGAAGGTGACCACAACATAAGTTCCGCTGACTTTCAAGTTCTTTCCCTTGTCGAAAGCTTCCTTGGCATCCGTTTCATTCTCAAATTCAACAATAGCCAATTTTCTAAAAATTAAAGTTTAAAAACCTCATTGGTATACAAATTAACGTTAAACCTTCAAATATTAAATTATCGTAAAAATATGGAATTAAAACATACTTCTTAAAGTCCAAAAACATTTCATTACACTTAGGGAAGATCAGCTGGATCTTCTCTTTCGTGATTTCAGCTGGGAATCCAGTAACGTAAAGTTTCGTGGGCTCAATAACTCCTGCTGCATCTAAAACAATATAAACGATAAGTTTAAAGAAATAAAATAAAACGAAATTTAAGTATAATAGTCTAAAAACAATTTTTTAAAACCTACGAACTGTTTCCTTATGAGGCCTCTTGCTCTTAACTCCAAGGAAGTCAACCTTGATAGGTCTCTGTTGGATTCTTAGCTTCTGAATCACCTTCAACGCCTTCTCAGCTGCAGGTTCGGATACAAAGTGCAAGAACGCAGCTCTTCCAGTTCTAGTAACGTTAACAATGTCGGGATGAAGTGACTTGATGGCTGACTCCGAGACAGTCTTCTGTTTACCTTCCAGTAGAACAATCAAACCTCTAGCATCTCTTTCTGCCATTCGGCGTTGTTCTTCTGCAATGACCACTGGATCTTCTTTCCTTGCTTTCTTAGCAGCCGGTTGAGCTTCCTCAGTAGCAGATCGCTTCTGTTTCTTGTCAACTACCTCCACCTTCTTGTTTTCCTTTTCCTCCTTCTTGTTTTGCTTCTTGTCTTCTTTCTTTGCTGTTTCTTTTTCCAATTTCTTGGCAGCTTCCTTTTCTTTCTTTGTCAGAGGCTTGGCGGGGACTTCCTCTTCTTCTGACTCATCTTCATCCTCAAATTCTAGTTCTTCACCGTCAAAATCTTCGAAGTCAAAGCCTTCAAGGTCCTCAAAATCTACTTCTTCGCCAGATAATTCCTCGTTACTCACTTCATCTTCCCATTCTTCCACCTTTTTGCCTTTCTAAAACAAGCTTGGTTAAAACTTTAGTCAAACAAAATAAAAAGTTCAAATTTAGGTACCTAAATTTATACAAAAAACAATGTCGCTTACCTTTCCGCTTACAGTGTTAACTTTAGGATTAAACTTCGTAGATTTCAGTGAAACGTTTTCCTTCTTGCCAGGTTTAACTTTGCTAATTTGAACAGGCTCCTTTTGTTTTGTAACAGTCTTCAATTGGACATTATCCTTCTTTGCAGGTTTTACCTTCTCCACGGTTTCCTTCTTGCCAGCTTTTCCTTTAGGAATGTTCTCCTTCTTAGGTGGAGCTGCTTTAGGAACATTCTCCTTCTTTCCAGGTTTGCCCTTGGAAATAGCTTCCTTCTTCACCGGCTGTACCTTGGCAGCTTGATTATTCTTCTTGCTCTTGGCCATGCTACGAACAAATATTGTAAAAAATATTAATAGAAGATTAAACAACAATATTTTAAACACGAAATCACAAAAAAACGAAGCTTCATCAACAAAAACATAAAAGTTTTTCGGTAAATCCTCGTTATTTTTCCGCTCGTTTTCGTTGCGAGACCCACCCGTAACCAAGACGTTACTTACTATTTGTAATTTATAAAAACGCACAACTGGGCACAGTGAAAGTATAAAGTCATAAATTAAAACTTTTTGGACAGAATTTTTTACCAACACAATATACACCTAATGTTTATTTACTCAGAGTTGAGTGGCCCCAAACAAAAACAATGTTATGGTCGAGGAGATGAGTATGAACAATCCTTCCTTGTACGATGGGAACTGATTCACCTCAAATTTAATTTGGGATTCTCCTTCAATCTGTTCTTGGGCCTTGGCTATGGCTACTTGTAGCTGTTCTATTGTACCATCGAAGGGAACTCTGAGATCTGGTTGTATGGCATACCTTTCTGGACCCGTCGCAAACTAAAAATACCATATACAAGTAGTAAACAACTTACTGTGCTTAAGAACTGTTTGGTACTAACGTTAAAATGTTCTTCTTTGGATTTGGTTAGGTGAACATCCATTACTTTGAAGTTTGGTTGAACAATAATGGCTGATACCTGAAACATTTAATGAGCTCTGCCATTTTTTTGGTTACAAAATAACAAAAAATTTTAAAATTTAACAGTAAAAATACTCACCTTATTAGTTTTGATGTAATTTTCAGCGAATTCTTCAAAAGAAGCATGAGGAAGCTTCTCATTACCCTTTCTGTAATCACTCCTTCTCTGCCACAAACATATTGCACTAGATCCAAAAAAAGCGGCCACCATACTGGCTCCTACTATCATCCTCTGTTTGTCCTGTCTCTTACTTTCCCTTTCTTTATTGGCTTCTCGAATTTTTTGTTCAAGTTCGGCCTTCTCTTCTGGTGTCATTCTGCCAAGTGATCGGTCATTTCGAAGTTTGGATCCAAAGGAAAGCTGACGGTAGATAATATTCTTAAATTCGTAATGCCCAAATAACCTTAACATTGTTGGATAAATAGCATATCACAGAAGTGATATAAATTGACTGTAAAATTATTTATTTTATTAATTCAGAAGGCCAACAATATTGGAATCACGATTCCGCTTCGGGACCATTTTATTTATTAGTGAATAATATTTTTTAGCAAAATGAAGTTAAACTCTAATTAATGGAAACAAATCAAATACGACAAGGCTTTATATGTCCGTTTTGTTTTGGAGACTTTAATGATTCTCAGAACCTTCAGAAGCACGTCGACGATAGACATTCGGAATCTGGAGATCCTTTGGTTTACGTGAAAAGTGAGTAGTCTTATCATTGTTTGTATTGATTTTAGATGTGTTTGGAAAGGCTAAACAAAAGATAAACGAGTTCGACTTTTCCAAAAGCAATGCTCTTTTGTCGTGTAACTTAACATTGGGACAACAAGAGATTCAGAATCATGTTTACATTGACGATGATCAGTTACTGGGGATTGCGAAGCGACATACGCCGGCTTTTATGGAGATTCGCCAGCAGAACAATGATCAAGTAGAGACGACTACCAATACTTTGGTTATCAGGTTGGACAAGCTGATGTTATCTTTCGACCAGTCAAGTAATGATAGAAAAGGTGTTGTTTTTGTGAATTTGTACAGACTTCTATAGTACATTTAAGTTTACTCGATGTATTTTTAGTTGTATGTTTTCTATTTTTGTCAGTTTTAGACTTTGAGAAGAAGACCGTGCCGTGGGTAGATGATTCCAACGTTTCGAATTGCAAACTCTGTAACGCCAAGTTCAACATAACAAAGAGGAAACACCACTGTCGGTTGTGTGGAAAGATTATGTGTGCTACATGCTCTCAGTTTTTGTCGTTCTTCTCTGCCAGTAAGTTTGCGTGACTGGGTATTAGCTGTTTTGGTAACAGCTTTTAGTTATAAATGGCAATAAACAGGGTTAACACTAATAAACAATTAAATGATGTACAAAACGTAACCATGTCCTTGATATTATAGGAAAACTGACGAACCCAGCATTTGCGGCCGATGTCATCAATGGTTTGACAGAAAAAGTGGACAAAGATCGGCGATCTTCAGCTAGCCATGATCAAATCGAGGCTTTGAAACTGAAGACGGGCAAGTTCTTGAACAACATTATAAACGAACGGAAGTTCGCGACTGATGAGCCAGGTGATGGACTGAGGATATGCAAATTGTGCAAGGATTACCTCAGTAAAAGGGAACAGAGGATGGATCTTGGAGCTGCGTTACCTGTTTTTGTCGATTTATATGACAAATTGTGCACCCTTATCACTCAAATCAGCAACTTGGCACCGTCCTTCAGGAGAATGGCTAATTCTTTGAGTCAAGGAGAAGGTTTGTATACTTTAAGTTCGGCTAATCAGTTGAGGAAAAAGCTGATCAGTGTTCAGAGGGAAATCATCGACTTGAGGTGAGTATATTGTTCACGTAATGTTTCTTTAACGTTTATATTCTTTTAAATTAGTTTAACTTTATATTTTTATGATTTCTTTTAGTGAACGATTGGAATCTTGGGGAATGAACAACGACCCAATAGCGCCAATCCCACCAACTCCTCGAGAGATGATTGTGCAGAAGAATATACGGTATCTGGCCATGAATCAGTTACAAGTAAGCGCAGTGTTTATATAATTTGTCATGATGCTTTGATATAACATTTTGAGTGTTTTGTTGTATTAAAAGATAGTTACTTATGCATTTAGGATGTGATGATGGACATGCCAGACCTCCCGAGTGATGAGGAATACAAGGTTCTACATGAACAACACAAAAAACGGGCTAGCGAGCAATCCGAGATGGAGAAACGTCAGTTGAGGGTATGTTAATGTAGCGACATTAAAAGGTTTTTCTCAAGATTTGTGTATTAGCTTTGTACTTTTAGTAACATGTTCTATGTTAGTTTTGTGTTGAAGACTTTGATTATAGCCATCTCCGTCGAATCCTCAGTTGTCTAGAGCTACAGTATCCGAAGTCAACTTGGATCACTCTTCTAGGCCACACCTGAAGGCTAGCGTATCGTTTAGTGGGTTGAGGACGGAAGACAGCTGGACTCCAGACCCAATGCAACATCTCGGCCACAAGAATCCATTCTTCGAGGACGAGGAAGCGGCCGATATGCATCCTGTCGCTCAACAATATCTTATCATCAAGGGGTAGGTTTTGCACTTATTTTTAGTTTATTAATATGAAAATAATTTTTTGTTTTGATATGTTGCATATGAACTACAAGACAGCTTTTTTTTAATCTGAGATAGTTCAATTAGAGGCTAATTATGTGGTTTAGGTACCTAAAACAAGCCGCCCAAGCAGGTCGTCTGGAAGAGGTGGAGATGCTCGAAAAGAATCTCATCGACCTTGAGGACGAACTTAGCAATCTTAACTTGGCCACTCCACGGGTAGATTAGTACTTTCTGTGATACTACTGTAACGATCTCTGTGCAACTAAATTATTTTTTAACTATGATAATATAAATATTTTTAAATCTAGTAAAGCATATTTATGTAAGAGGTGGCTTTTTATAAAAATAAATCCAAATTTTACTTTTATATTTGAAAAATGAAATTCGAATTCAGCACAACCTTGAATTATGTGGAAATTTGAATCTCGCTCATTAGCATGACTAGGATGACGTAACTCATTAGCGCCCAGCTGTGACCTGATGAGCTCGAGATTTGTTGGGATATGCAAATTCTCGCAGTGGGAGAGGCGAGAGTCTTGCGATGATGAAGTGCAACGACATGTTGATGTAAATCTCGCGCACCTGCACATTCATGTTGTGGGAAAGCGCGTCTCTTGAAAGAGGGGGTGGTAAATGGGCATGGGAACGCTTCAGACCCAATTAAAGTCAGCCGGTTCACAGGGCTGTAAAGCCGTCGTATGTCTATGAACGCATAGTAAAGCATGAAAGCAAGCTTATATAGGGATTTAACAAGTGTGTTATAATTTATTGGGGGGGGTTGGAATTGTTCAAAAAGTTTGTAGAATTAGTGTTTAAAAAGGTAGCACTTCAAGTGTTACTTTTTTAAATAAAATTTATTTTTTCTGTTTGCTTTTGGACTGTCCAATTACCAAAACAACAAACTCCGAGTGTTTGACATTCTAATTAACAAAGCCAATCTTTGATCGACCGGTCAAGTGGCCTAGCCCTTTTGAGGTTGCGCAACGCAATTTGAGAGGCGGCACTGCTTTCGAGACTCTCGACTGTTTGTTTAATTGTAAGGCTTGTGGCCCTTTTATAGTTATCTACCCCTCTAATCCTCGCGATCTTTTACATAAACACACCTGTGTCCTTGGCTTATACGATTAAGTTGGGATGCGTTATCGTGTAGTGTCGCTCCAAAGGATCTCTTATTAAAGAAAGGGTTTACAGTTTAATTTTTATTGTTTTTGCCGTATTTTAGTCGGAAAGAATGTGGAGTGAGGCTTCTGTCACAAATCTAAGCTGCGACAAACTTTTAGGACATTTTGTAAAGACTTGTCGATCGATCTGAAGTCATAAAGTTGAGCTGATTTGTGGTTGCGCGAAGGAGGCAAATTAATGGGCTGGACTGCAATTATATACCACTTCTTATACGACCGGCCTTGACTTCACCGAACTTGGCTAATTCTGTTTTTTATATTGTTTTACACCAAAAGTTTTGTACTAATTGGGCCGAAATTAATGGAAAATCTAAAAAAAATTAAATTGAGCGACAGTTTACAAAGCTTGGACTAAATAGATATAAACCTATAATATAAGCGGTTGCATTGGTTAGTAAAGATAGACTTGTTTAAGGCTATACATTAGAAGTTATACTTTAATAAATTAGAGGTCTTGTTTTTATTACAGCTATGTGTTGTCTAAATTTGATGTCATTCTCAACCGTATGTTGATGTGTGTACATAAGAGTTCATAAATAGCCAAAATATAGTTTGGAGATTAATTCAGGATTAGCCGAAAACTTTTGTTTATACAGAAATATTGGCATTAGGTACAGCATTCTTCATAGCTCTATTCTAATCCCACTCTTTACCTTACTTTTGGTCAAAAAGTTAATGGAAGATAAAGGTAGTGACAAGTGTTACTCTTTTTCTAAAATATTTTTTAAATTTACTATGATCTAAAATAACATTGTATTAATGAGAAGCATTATTTTTTGATTCAATCGATGGTTGATCAAGATACGATAGTTGAAGTAGTTTAACGGCGACAGATGAGGTCCCTCGAGACACCGAAAAGGAAAGGTCGCGACTCTCGGTCTCGGCTTTGTTTACCTGACAATAATCAGTCCCATCTCCGACACAACCCAAGAAGATGCCGCCGCTCATGGGAATACCACCGGTTCAATATTGTCTGTGGTCGCTGGATATACGTTACTGTCAGCAGTCGCTTTATAATTGTTTTATACTATTATGTGATTTAAATTGTCATTCTTACTTTAACTTGTGTCTTTTTTCTAGTATTTTTGAGTTTCTTGCTACTACTTAATATTGATTTAGAATTACGTGTTTAATGTAACATACGATCTTTCTATAGTACCCATGATTCCTCTGACATTACCTTTGATATTATCCATGCCCAGCTCTTCAAACTTTTATACGCAATTGAATCGAACAGAAGTTTGAGAGATCAAAGGGACCATCGGCCCCTCAAACTAGTTCCGCGATATCCATTAAGGGAGATTATGTTGCATGTTTATGCGAATCAAAGTAGCGGTATCGACGTATCCAGGCGGTATATGCGTTTTGTCATACTTAGGCATTTTATACTTTGTCGCATGTATTAATACTTTACACTATAGTACACTATAGTTCAACAAGACTTTACATTTATATTTAAAAGACAACTTTACCACTTTTTTAGTTTAAAGTAAGACGAATACACAAAAAAATAATTAGAAATCACGTTTTGATGCTAAACAGTACTATTAATTAACTGTAACTTTGAAGTAATCGCGGTTACATTAAACCCCCTACTTATTCAAAACGCACATTAAACGGTTTAATATGCAAATGCGGCGACAATGGCCTTTATGGGAGCCCAGGTGTGTAAAATGCAAAACGACCGGAAGCCCTTTCTCTCTCATTGTTCCACTCAATGTTTGCCCAGAGATGCGTTAAGTGCGTTGAAACTTTCTTTCCACTGGTCGATGTAGTGCCTTTTGTTATCTCAGGTTACGTTTACAAGTTTATGCAAATTTTAAGGTTGTCTGTTGTAGAATGAAGTTTTCGAAAATTTTGAATTTTTTGGCAAAATCTAGTCGAAAAGTTTATAGAAATTGTCTTTTTGGTCCAAGATAGCCAAGCTAAAATTATAAAAATTATTTTGAGAAATTCTACGTACTTTTTGACCACTTATTTATTATTTTAAGTTTTGGTCAAAAACTTCGTAGAATTAGCCGCGTGAACCTTTGTAAATCTAAAATTATTCCTTAAATGCCATTTCTATTTAAAACATTTCGAAAGTTCGAAGCCCGTATGTTGTATAATATACTTGTTTAACAACATCCGTATGTTGAACGTCTGTCATGTTTCTCATGCGCATATGTTGGTGCAGTTGGTGACCAGCGGGTCGAATGCCAGCTGGTCCCGACAATTGGTCGAGACTTCTGATAGCTCGAGGGCATTTGGCGACAGCTGATTAGAATTTGCGTTCTCGATGAAACAGTTGGTATGCATGAGGAGGGTGGTGTACATGTTGTTATGCCGGGGTGAAGAGGTATTGTGGTTAGGCAGGGGTTAGAGGGGTTTTGCTTTTATTGTTCGAGGGGTGTCTATATTGTTTTAGATAAAAATGAGGTTGTAACACTATATTTCTTTTTTTAATTTTTAAAAGTTTTAGAGTGAATGTAAAGCAAAGTATTGTACTTGGGTGTGGGATACTTGCAGTCTGTTGTCGCAAACTTTTGTTTGACTTTCCTTTTGTGGCGGTCGAAAGTGGGCGGGGCCATCGCTACGTTCCGGTACCTTTTTCCTTTTCTCGATTCGCGTGAATTCGTTTTTCTGGTAATATTCTAATTCTTTCCTTTAGTCTATTCAAAATGGCAAAAGGAAGCATCAAGCCTAGAAGTTCAAAGCAAATTCGACACAGACCTGGTAAGATTTTGATTTATATTGTTGTAAAGAGCAGCTTCTATTGTTGTTTGATCCTCGTATTTTAAAATAAATTTAAGCAAATTTTTGTCAAACAAGAATACGAGATTAAAGCAACCCTTTGATAAGATGATTTTCCATTGATTGAGTAAATTTTACAAAGTAAATGTAAATCTTTTCAAATTTTATTGATTTTGTGATTTCAGTAGTAAAACCGTCCACGTCGAAGCCAGAGATTCTGTCGAAAGAAGAACGAGAAGAGTTGAAACGATTAGCTGAATGTCTCCCCATGGTAATGCAACAAAAGAACGATGATCCAGCCTCTATCGTATTCAACGCTGCCAGTTACATCGACCGGTTGGTATCTACGATCACTGCCAAAGTAAAAAGTGGAGCATTACCGCCAGGTAAGATATTATTTGATTTATTATAGGTATTTTATAAGAACTTCTACTTACTATTAAAAAAGCTGTCATATTTTACTGCGGTACTGAATATACTGTGTTTAATTAGAATTGCTACAGACATTTCGACAAAATTTCAATTTTTTGTAATTTTTGAGTTAATACATGTTATGTTAATATAAATATCTTATATTTTCTTTTTATCAACTTTAATTTTTCAGAAGCACTACAAAACATAGCCCCGCAAGTTACAGTAACCCGACGGCCGCAGAAGTCGCAGAAAGTGACGCGACGTCGCCGTTCCTAAGATCCCAAAGTTTTATTGGTCAGATGTAATAAATTATAGTTAATTATGAAGTGTGGTATCTTGCGTAACAATAGGTGTGAGCGGATTATCGAGACTCTCGACTTAATGGCTCCAATTTCTCGAACAAGACTGTTGCCTTGAGATCAAGGTTAATCCTCGAGATGGCTACATTTACATTCTTGAACGGGTATTAGGGGGGAGGCAATTGGTGATCTTCTTTAGGAAAGGTTAATATTTGAAAGGTTAATAACTCTTCTTGATGCATGTTTAGTTGAAAAGTCTTTAAAACATGAAAAGTTAAAATGACTTTTAAATTAACAGTGCTTCTACAGACTTCATGACTTGGCTTTAGCCATGATCTTTTGAAGAATGCATAAACTACAAGATGTTGTACATGTAAAGTTAATTATGTCTCTTTATGTAAGAACATAATCTGTTTCCGCAGTTTGTCTATGATGGTATCTTGGGGTTATGTACACATGATAATACTTCTATTATGTTACCTGGGAAGGTCGCCCAAGTATATTGATGAGTTCTAATTAGCTACGTCATGTTATACACGAAATAATTGATTACTTTAGTCATAAAGGGAAGATTAAATGGGGCTGGACTAAGATATGTATTGATGTAAGCCTTGTCATTTGTGAATGTATTTTTAGCTTTATTACATTTATACAGTAAAATTGGGTAGAAAAACAAGAATTGTAAGTTTAAAAGACTGGACTTCAAACTAACTTGATTCCATCTACTTTTTGACCGCTACATCAAAACCCGTGCCCCACAGACCGTCTTTTGTCCTTCAGTAATCCAATACAACTTCGTCCACCGTAATTAATCGAACTTTAGCCGGACTGTCATTAGTCAGCGGGATCGCCCCTTTCCCTCGCCGACATTCCTTTTGTTCATTGTCATGATGAAGGTCACAGGTGCAAACGGTCCGCACGATAGCTACAGACCGCAAGGGAAATAATAAAATCTATTAGGCAAGAGTCAAAGGGATCCGCCTTTTAGGGAGCCGGCTTCGTCTCGAGGGATCCGGCTGGCGGCAAGGATCGTAAACACTTTGTAGTCATGATTTGGTATGCAGGCGGTCATTCTGGGGTATTTGGCCACAAAATATGACTTATTGTTCTATGTAGTACTAGAATGACCTTGAAGTGTAAAATTGTGTCAAAAAATGTGATATCATACTTTTTAAATTTAGATTAACATATTAAGAACTTTAAAAACTGCAAAAAAAACTACGGTAATGTAACTCCAATAATACTTCAACGTAGAAACTCGAATAATTGCAATATTTTTATTAGAGCGGCATCTAAATATGGCCTTTTGTATATTTACGCAATGTGTGGGAGCGGGGTCCTCTTTGTAATGTGGCATGGTAATTAAGGTCTCTTTGTTTGGCCAACACCTCAAAAACAAAGGGAAGGGCGGTGGCCACTAAAGTATCTCCGTCTGTGTCCAGTATCTTCACTTGCTACTATAGAGACTCTAAGTGTATGTTAACATACGCCTTTTTGCACGGTATTTCATATTTTAAATGTAGATACTTCTAAATGTAAAATACGTAACAGGCCGTTAAAAGCCATTATATAATTTAAAATTATATTCAAGACGAGTGCTGAATTGATGGAAGCAACATTTCAACTTCAATTTCAAAAACATTGTTAACAATTACCTCAATAGATCTCCAGATGTCGCTAAGACACGTCTGAAAGTCTCAAAAAGGTATTAAACTGAAGTTACCGTAGCCCGAGTCAACACTGAAGCCTAAAACCAAATTAATTCCCCCGAATGTCCTTGACGTAAGTTTGTATGCAAATTACCCCGAAGAGAATATTGTTCGAAGAGGCGACCACCTGTGGTGCCAAACCTTAAATTTCTTGGGCAAACAAACTTGACTCTAGTAAACATTGTTCTGACTTTGAGATGGCATCAGCTGTGAGAAGACCTCTACTACAACATAAGAGACCTTTTTAGGTAACAAATCATGAGTTTGGTTACTATTACACATACTGAAATAACTTTGCCTTATTTTCGTAGTTTTTAAAGCTTATTAGACTATTTTGTACTTTTAAAACCTTGATTTATGGCCCTGCTATTAATGTTATTATCTGTCTTCATTAGGTCCATAAAAGCCATTATCTGCCTTCACAGTCAACATAATCGTATCTCGCTTGCGCAATGCCAAACTTTGCAAACTTTAGAAGTCGTAAATCGGAGACACCTGCGACTGAAAGGCCGCTGACTCAAAACACGCTGGAAACGGCTACATGACTAACTACACATGGTAAACATTTGGTATAACAGCCCGCGCACAGATGTCATGATCTTTTTATGGCCAACTGTTTTAAACACCTGGGCTGTTTTTTAGGCCAGCCAGACAACCAGCTGCAGCTTTCGATTATGACAGTTGTGCGCGGCTGTTTTGGGCCAAGCCTTTAACATCTGGCCACCCGTCGAAAAAGGGCCGGTTCTTCGTCCACGTGTGCCAGAAATGCAGCTGCGCCATCGCCGCCGGCTATTTTCCTCCGGCCATATGCGGTAAAACGGAACCGACTTCATCAGCACCTGCTCCCACATCAAGGTTAATGTTCCGAAGACAATATTTATGAGAAGGCAATGTCATTTTTGAATAACAGGCTGATAACAAAGTTAATGGCAGTACTATAGTAACAGCATTGATATCAGTGGTACTAACCAGTACTTGTAATTTAAAAGAATAAGTGACAAAGCTTATCATACTCAAAGTTTAATACTTTATGATAACACCCGTATAACGTAACATACAGTAAAGTAGATCGATTGTAGATATACTGAATACAATTAAAAATAAAATTTTTGTCAAACTGAAAAGCCTTAAAGTAAATTTTTAAATATTAAGATGACTTTCCTTCTCAGTTTGACATAAAAATAACTAAAATACGATAAAAAATAAAACAGTACAATCACCGGAAGTTATCGACTGGTCGAATAAAGTTAATTCGTGAGCAGCTCATTCAATCGACTGGTCAGGGACTTGATAATGTCGTCAGCTGGAGGTTGAACGTTCTCAGTGTCATCGGCAAGTTGGGCACGGAGATAGGCGATGTAGTCGATTACGCCCTACAATAATATATTGTTAAATTAAATCAAATAGTATGTAAATGTATAAAAATAAACAAAATGTCAAAATTGGTCAGAAAGTTTATAGAAAAAACAAGAAAAACATCTTTTATTTAAAAAAAAATCAATTCTGCATACTTTTTGACCTTGAAAATAAAAAATTTTAATTAAATGATAAGCTGATAAATCTGACCTGCACAACCTCAAGCTGACTGGACTGCTCCTTCTGTCCCACCATAACACGTAGTTTGTCAATGGCCTGTTGTCTCTTCACCTTCTCCTTGTTCGCTTTTCTGATGGCTGGCGAAGGCTTGGCCGACGATCGTCGAGGGGATTCAGAAGAGGAAGACGAAGATACAGATGAATGTCTGGCCATAGTAACGGAAGATGTGTTCGCAACGAGCTGGGAGTCGCAACTGACTGAATAATACTGCATTAGTGCCCGCCTTTCTTTCTCGCGCACATCTGCAATAGGGGGGGGGGGGGGCCACCCCCTCTCTATTAAGGGCACCTGCAGATTCCAAAAGTCTTTGTTTTGGCCCCGAATGTGTTACAGCTGTGTGGTACATGTGGTCATCCATAACCGTGCTGAAAGATATGGAACATGTGCAACTTAAATTGTAACACAAGTCACTTAACTATCCATCTGTCAGCTAATGCCTCAGGGCATTTGTAACCTAATTAAGCGCTGCCAGATGTCACCAGACAAAGAATGCGCAAAGCCTTATGTAACTCCTATCTTTCCGGCTCTTCCTTTCATTGTAAAATCAGATGGTTGGTCAGAAAGTAAATAGAAAAATGTTTAGAATAGATTTACAAGCATTACTAGTGTTATTAAAGGTAACTTTATATCAAAGAAATCAAAATGTAAAACTTAAAAATTTATTAAATTAAAAAAATAAAGATATATCACCGGAGGCCTTGACATTATAATGGTATGTTGCGAGGTTACTGTTGATTCAAACAGTATTCCAAGGACTGTATCCGCTCCATCGCTTTCTGAAATTAATATATTTATTATAAAGCCATTTAAAACAAAATACGAAAAAGAATGGTATGTACATTAACATAATAAGGACCAAAGTCTCATACAAATCTCATCTTTTAAACAAATTTTAATTTAAAAAATGATAAAACTTTTTTGCGATTGTTGTAGCATAACTAATAGTATTGATTATTTATAAATTGATTATGATTAATTAAAAACTCATTTTTTATACAAAAGCAGTAGCTATTACAGTAAGAAACAAGATTTTACCTGTAAAATGTTTAGAACAGTCAGGTCGTCTATCGTATCATTATTGTGTAGCACGTAGTGTAGCTCTTGTAACACGTTAGACTCACTAGTAACATACGAAGCAAGATTTTGACATAAAGATGCCATTGTGAAGTAAAGTGAGGTTAAACAATTACAACACCAGAATTGAACAAGTTGTACAAAACAACGTTAAACAACAAATACAACTGTAGGTATATGTTATAGCTAGCTAAAACAACGTCGTCTTCGTAGCACAAGTTATATAATATAAAGGAACACAGCTGCTGGTCAACAGATTCCGCGCTACGAACAGCCGGCGGAACCAACTGGGCCCGGGTCAGAGAACAGATGCTGACTGGGCCAGAGGCCTCATCTGCACCTGTGCTAATATTCTGAAAGGAGATGCAGATGCGTCCGCCACATTGTCACCTGTCATCCATTAAGGGTTTCTTTGTCGCCGCTACCGTCTTAAGTAACCGAACACTTCAAAACGTTACCTTACTGTTACTTTAGTGGACAGTGTGTATCTTATGGCATTTCTTTACTCAAAATTAAATTTAATTTTTTTTTGTTATTTTTTAAAATTTAAATTTTAAAGATTAAAATTTTTTGAGTTTTTTAACAAATGGTACTCTTTGAGCATTGCATTAAGCATGCTTCAATAATGTAGCCTAGATGCTAATAACAAGCCATTGTCCCTATTTATAGCTGTGTATTTACTGTCTCTGCCGCCCAGAGTACAATATCTTTGTTGTGACAGACTAATATACATAACTGAGCATCGTACACAGAAGCACACGGCCCAACAATAGTAATTAGGGACAAAAGCCATTGTAAAGTTTTCTCGCGCATTCTCGTCTTCCTCTTTGCCCTCAGGTCCTGGCCGCAAGGAGTTGGCCCGGCTTTGTTTTCCGCCTTTCCCCTTTCGGAAGTCAGAGCCTAAAGCAAGTTGTTCTAACTCTGTTTGTGTAATCGGATAAGATGTGACGACTGTATGGCATTGTTCCACCAGAGCTCCCCCCATCTCAGCAATCAGTTTAAGCTGTTTCCCGTCCGTTTATCCGAGTTCTACAACCTCAACGTTACTGCCGACGACTACGAGATTGACGATGCGATACAAGGTAAACAAGTGGGTTCAAGTTAGCTGTAAAAAAATGAAAAAGTTTATTTTTGTTTTTATTTTGCAAAGTAACTTTGTTTACTGTGACAAGTTTGTTTTTAAAAGCGTTTTTTGAATAGCAAATAGAATTGTCAATAATATTATATAATAGTATAGAAAATGAAAAACGAAAAATTTGAATAACAACTTCATTTTAAACATTTTATTTTTGACATTTTTAGTTTTTACGTACTTAGTTTTATTAAGTTGTATAAAAAGTAATGAGCTAAACGAACTCTATATAAACTTTAAGACATAGCTCATTTATTTTTATACATCTTAATAATAAAATTATACAACTTTAAGACAATTTAAATAAGTTGAAAGTCGTGTAAAATTAGATAATATTTCGAACTAAAATTAGCATATTTAAAGGTCTAATGATACTGTAGTTTCAGGCATATCACTAGCCGCATTCCTCCCTATCCTGGTCATTTTTATCATTGCTTTGGTACTGTTTATTCTTGTAAAATGTAAAAAATGGAGACGACACAGAGACGATGTAAGGCTCCGAAATATACCTGTTTTATGATAATGTTACGGTGTATTATGTTATAATAGACCATCAAAGCTCCTAAGTTGTTAAATTATTGAATTATAAACATTATAGCTAGTTTTCAAGAATTATATACATCTTTTTTTATTATTTTTAGTTTTCAAAACTACAAAAAGTTTACGATGCACTGGAGATTCTGGATCTTCTTCACGAAAACGATCAGCTTGATCCAGAATTAGTAAGTGTTTTGAGCAGTTTCGCGACTTTAAATGTTTGCCAAAAAGTAAGCAAACGTATTTTAGCTGTCCCAAATCGACGAGGCATTGGTCGGCGATAACTACGAAGCCGGGAATCAGATGCTTCGGAAAGAAAATGTGATAAAATACGAATACAGCGTGCGACGCCCAACTTCTCTGCATCTGGGCAATAAGTCGTTGTACAAGAATGGCAACATCGTGTAGTATGAGTAATCAACCGGTCGATAGTTATATAAATTTTAATAATTTATGTTTTCTAAATAAATAATAAATTTGCATATTTTTAAAAATTAAATTCAGGAATTTTATTTTTACATGTTTTTTCTGTTACCTAGTCATGTTGTTGTACCCAATACTACTGCTTCTACTTCGAAATGTAAACGGGTTTTTGATGGGAGTAAGCGAATGTGAAGAGAAACAACATATCGTACGTTTAGTGTTATAATTAAATGTCATAATTGACCGACATACCCAATATAGTACTCAATTCAGCTTATAAAACAATGTCTGTTCAAGTACATGCAAGAAGTGTACGAAGACGTGAACGACGTGCTACAGACGGGTGCCTTGCAGCAGCTCATGTATCGAATGGTCAGAGAAAAGGCTGAGTGCACGTAAGTAGTACTATACAGTATCATGCTGGCTGTACTAATCCACTAAAGTGTAGTTATTTGTGTTAACTTATTCAATGTTATTATAGCAAGTTCTGGCACTTGACCATGTGCTTCAAGTTTCTGGATCCCTGCTACGACCAAATGTGGCGAAAAGAAGACCGAGCTCAGCTGAACGCTGTCTTCGCCTTCAAGTTTGCTTCTTGTAGTGGATTCAACCGGGAAGGTAAGCATTGGGTTATCACACACAACATTTACTGTACTGTATTACTAGCAATTTTCTTTTATGTTATTAGATGTACTATTACGCATTCATATATAAGTTTACAGAATCTCTGGAGATTGTCAAATGCTACGACCGATACCAACAAGAACGAGTATGTGAAGAACAGGTACAAAACATGAAGACAGCCTCCACTTGTACTGCGTATGTTAACTTTATATATATTTTGCTATTTTACCTCTTAATAATCGTTTAGTAACTCGTAATAACTTTTATTACTTAATTTTCAATTTCAGGGAAGGTCACAAGGTGTATACCTGTCTCCAATCTCCAGAAGTCCATAGCCAATGCCGAGAGATGACCAAACAACAATATATCATCGTATGTCAGTTGTATACCTTCAGAAGTGTCACTTCGTGCATCACCAACAACTGTGATATCGAGTACATAAGGGAATAGCCCTGACATGAACAATATAAGCTATAACAATATAATAAACCATAATATTATGGAGCCTTTGAGTACTACTGTTCCAATGATTATTTTATTCAAGTTTAACATCAACCATATTCCATAAACAAGAGTTGGATTTGCGAAGTGGAACGACCCCCCAAGCGACTGGTCGTTACCCATTAGAATAAATACATTATATTAACAAAACCTGGCTCACAATCGGACAGGTCTCACAAGATTACCAAAATGCCCGTATAACACAAGTAAAGAGTAAGAGACGGTTTACCGGGCTTTTCCGTTCTTCGGATGCTCTTGGTTCAGATGCGTTTCCAGGTTCTGGTAGCTGCTACAACGGAACGGACACACGTCGCAAGAGAACATGATCTCGGCCGAGCACAGTTTGGCACCGTGATCCGTGGCCAAGTGTTGCAGAATGTTGAAAGCGAATGTCTGAAAGATATCATTTAATTTCCGACCAATCTTAATATAGTAATCCAAAAATGGATCTCCTGAATATTGTTAGACCAAACTGTGACATCTACTTACAAACATAGATAACATAATCAAATATAACTCACTTTAAGGCAATGTTTGCACCTCCCGTTGTCTGACTTGTTTTGGGCTTTGAGAAGGAGATCTGAAGTCACCAAGCTGTGTGTCATTACCAAATGTCTTTCCAGACCTTCGTACGACCAGAAACGGTCGCGACATCTGGAGCAGGCCAATGGTGGACCAGAATCCAGATCCACCGTGCTACGGTTCTTAAACGTGTTGTGGTTCACCTTCAAGTGGTTCAAGTATTCTGCCCGCGACTTGAACTTGTCGTCACAGATCTCACAGATATGTTCCTCCACTTTAGGTGTACCACTGCTTCTTGCGGTCGATGGCGTCGTCTTCCGTTGTTGCGGAGTTTTGGGTCCAGCAGCTGAAGAAGAAGGTCCATTTCGTCGTTGTTGCGCCAACGTCCTTTGCAGTTGCTGGAGTTGCTGAGTAGTCAAAGTCGAGAAGCCAGGAATATTGGCCACGCTTTGTTGTTGCTGAGCTTGAATCTTTTGAAGCTGGGCTTGAACAGCTTGCAACACGGCTGGTGGTAAGCTGGCCTTGTTGTCCTTAAGTATCTGTGTGAGTTGTTGTTGCTGATGTGGTCCCAATCCCTTAATTTGTGTAGCCAATTGTTGCCCGGCTAAGATTTGAGCGGCCGTTGGTTTTTGACTGGCTGTCGCAGCGGCCGCAGCAGCTGCTTGAGCCTGTCGTACAGCAGCGGCAGCAGCATAACGTTGTTGTTGTTGCTGTTTGATCTAAAAATTAATTTTAAAATACACATATATACAAGCAGCTTCAAGAGTAATATAATATTTACAACAGAGGTTACGCTTACCATTTGTTGCTTCTGAATGTCATGTTGCTGAGCCGTGATTGATGGATCGGACTGAGGCTTGGGCCAGAGCCATCTGTTTATCGTAGATATACTCTCGATCGGGTGAGATCCTTGGGTCTTGTTGAGTTTGGCGTAGTCACGCTTACATGACTTCAGATGTCCGTCCCGTTGACCCTTGAATTGGAAGTTTTCTTCACAAATCGGACACTGAATCTTAGATGGAGGCTCTTCTGGCATCAACGGCTTCACTGCGTGAACTTCGACCATGTGCCTTTCCATTCGGCTGCCGTTAGTGTTGTATTCTGGACACATACCACAGTAGATACGCTTATTGTCTCTGACATGTAGGGTTTGCTTATGGTTAGACATTACAATCATGGAGTCCGTCTTGAAGTCACAAGCTGAACACAAATATTGTTTTAGTTTGAAGGCTTTATTCTTGTCTCGGAGACTTTCCCATACTGGCTTCAGTTGTGCAGCGACCTAGAATTACAATACTTGTCATAATATGTCTCTAACCATGTAAATCATTGTCATTAACTACTAACAACACCTAAATACATCCCCAATATTAAAACATACCTGTTTGTAAGTGTCCACATTCTTGGGTACTTCGGGTAAGTTTCTAGCATGAACAATATCCGAATAAGTTGATTCTTGAACCAAGTCTTGACCAATGTCCAGCAGCATCTTGGTCATAGATGGGGCAGAGTAACTGGTTTTGAGAGTTTGTCGTTCTCGCTTCTCAGTCTCTGTGAACTTAATCTTTTCTTCTCCAAAAAGCTTGGAAATCACACGCGACAGCTGAGACTCTGCATCGTGCTCGATGACCATGTCCACAATCTGTGACGGAGGGAATGAGATCGTGTTGGGCAACACCAACTGCTTGTCTAATATCAACTTTCTGACCGAATAAGGCTCTTTTTGTACTTGAATGTTGATGGCTGCTAAAAGAGCGTCAAGAAGCTTTCGATCGACGTGATCCTTCTTCTCAAAGGCTTCTCGGATGTAGATCTCCAGCTTGTCTAGCAAAGCTGTGTAGTTGGTCAATTCAGCTTCCTTCTTCGCTTCCTAAAGACATACATTGAACTGGTTATACCAACTTACTTTAGATTCGTCCAGCTTAGGCTTCTTGGGCGCAACTTCATCATCTTCATCGTCCAACTCGATGCAATCTACATCTTTAGAAGCACCGTTCTCAGCGTGGCCGTTCTCTTTACCTGAAGGTAACTCTGAAGTGCCATTAGACTGGTTGACACCATTCTGAGGAGTGGAATCCCCATTTACAGCTTCTGAAGTGTCCATCTCTTCATCGTCGTCATCCAGGACTATCTCCTGGACTGGATTTGAAATCGGTGCGCTTGACGTGTGTACTTCAGAGTCAACCATTTGAGCTTATGTGCTGTAAATGTCAAGTTTATGAGGTAAAACTGTCATTCACACAAAAATATGCATAATAACTTCAAATTCGAAAAATAATCACCAAAACACATAAAATCGGAAAAATAATGTATCAACGGACTATTTGTGACTATATCTAATAAACAGTGCAGGCTCACAGAACAGGGCAAAATATCGATTAGTTGGTTTAAAGAAAAACTCTACGCAAAGAACGCGCGCTCTACAGCCTGTCGATTGTCTGTGGTCTCCGATTTCGACGCGGTCCCACGCAACCTGTCCCCCGGAGTAAGCCCCCCCCCCAATCAGGATGAGAGAACACTGTCCCCCGCGACCCCCCCCCCAACTCCACCCCGGCTCTCCAGCCCCCAACACTTACAACGCGTCTCTATCTCTCTGCCCCCTCTCGCCCGCCCACGGTCTCTACCGGTAGGTCCCGGCCCCTTCCGAGTCAACCTCTCACACTAAAACGTATACATATTCACGGTAAAAACATCTAATTTTTACCAAATCTACCGTAATCCCCACAATAAAACTAGTCCACTCCCAAAAACGACCAACCGGCTATGTGACAAGCCCCACCAAAAAAAAGTTTTTAAAAAATAACATCAGTAGTGGCATGAACAACAAGACTTTCTGTTCCGACAGGGAAGACCAGACTGACCGTCGGAGGAAGAGAAAAGCTGAATTGCACCACATAATTTCAGGGGCAAAGACAGCGAAAAAAACTCCCAAAAACTCCCCTTGAATTTGTTAACAAACATATAAGCGATCAATTACAACCACAAATACCTTGTCATAGGCCATATAACTAGCATGTAACGCAACACATTTAAACAATCACTTATCATCAAGAATTTTTAAAAGAAAACAACAATAAAAAACATCAACAACAAGATATAAACGTGAGTTATCAACATGTAAAGCAATGTCATCAATTCCCACAATAGTCTTCACATTAAATTTTTATTAATATACATCAATTATTATGTAAATTTGCAAATTATTTTACACTAGGCCGTCTTAGTCTTCCATATAATTCCACTTATGTCCCACTGGACATCACTGTTCCACATTTTATATCTATGTTTATATTACAATCAGTGATCCATACTAGAATCTACTGATCCATCTACAGAAGTAGCCCTCGACCCGTCCATCGTTTTGTTATCCTGTAAGCAATTCTGTCTCAGATTCTCCTTTAGCTCGGTGATCTCGCTCGTGATCTCCTTAACAGCGTTTGTCAGCTTCTCCACAAGGACGCTCTTCTGCTGCTGAACTGAAACCGTCATTTTGTTAACCTCAAAACAATCGCAAACTCACAGTCTGTCAACGATTTCATCGGCTTGTCTTTGGATGCTTCCTCCAACGCTTTCATCATCATTTTTGTGGGCTCCACGAATATCAAAAACAATATACAAATTTTTTAATTGAAACTTTAGATATCTGGCGTAATTTTAAAGCGCTTATACAAAGTTTGTGATAATAGTATAAACCTGACTAAAAGGTTAACATAAAACGGTAGTAATAAAAGTTAGAATGCTTCGAGTTCAGAGTCACTTACAATTTCATCGTAATGTTCATATAAAACAATTTGTTTTCCATCTGACATTGTCACTAGAGGTACGAAAAGCCTTAAGTAATATGTAGCATTAACCTGAAACAAAGAGTAACATAAACAAACCAGAAGCAATCATTTTACGACAAAAATCTGTTTTTAGGTATACTTAACATATTAAAGTAGTAGTAAAACTTACCGGTTTCTCATTAGGATCAACGAAATATATCTTAATATTGGCTTCAAACTCTCCCCATCCAGTCTCCTCTACTTCAAAAGGTGGAGTTTCAACCGCTAAAGACACATTAACGTTACCTTCTAGATTCTAGATGTAAATTCATAAAATACCAAAAAGTAACGATACTCTATAATTACTTATAGATAACACTTAAGGAACGTAATAAAGCACTTACTTCTCACTGCATTTGTGTAAGAGTCGTGGAGTCGAAACTGCACTTTCTTTACATACTTGGATATGTCTTCTTCACAATATGGCCTCACGAACAACTTCCACTTGTGCGTATGCTCCTGAGCTGTCTTATGAGGTAGCCTTTCGGCAGTGTTCCCGTAAACGATCGGCTTCACAGCACTGCAACCCGCTACTCGTTCCACATTTTCCATCCTAAAATACGTTGTACTTTAAAAAATTGTTAAAGTTTTAAAGCTAAAATACGACATAATAATAATTAAAATGCTCTTTTTAGCCTATCCAAAAATCACGCAGAAAAATTATTTTTGAAACGTATGCAATTTTTGGGACGCTTATTCGTCAGTACGACTCATTTTTTCCACAAACAATTTTTTGTTTCGAAAAATAATTTACATTTTTCTATTTTTTGAATCCCGATACGAAAACAAGGACTTCTAAAACGGAACGCCATGAGAATCGAAAAACGCGTTCACAGCTGAAAAATAAAGAAAGAAAGGGCTTTCGGGTTGGAGAAGGAGAACATCGTGTGGATTTATAGATTTTTTGGTAAGCTCTAATGTTAATTGACTTTAGATTTAAGGTATTTTAGTCCATCTGTCGTGTTAATGGTGTACGGACGACAGAAAATGCGGGTTCGAACCAAATCAGACGAGCCATGTAGCTCCAAAAGTCTGGAGTGTATGTCTCCGGTATCTCCTCGTGTCGCAAAGCGGAATGCCAACTTGCTGAACGGTTTTGATCTCAAGAGTAACGGGAACTACGCTAACAACCAATTGGGAACTGTTATTGATTGCAATATTAAGCAGACTTACGAGTGTTTGCCTGCGTTGACGAAAGCTCTTGACACAAAATTGGAGAACCAGTTTTCAGAAGTTATTGTAAGTGTAGCTAATGAGTATGACAACTATCTTTTTGTTTAGTGTGACCTTCAATTCCAACTTGAGAACATGCTGGCCCAGAATATTGATTATCAGAAGAATTTGAACGGAGAACTTATGTTTCTGACAACCGGAGACTATCCAACCGATGATCTCGCTGATCGACCAATGCCATCCTATGAACTGAGAAAAGTGATGGGCCAAGAGAAGCCTCGTGGTCGAAGACAAAAGAGTATTTCAATAGAAGAACAACCTTCATGTAGCAAATTGGAGAATGAAGACGAAGATGCGTAAGTTAAAGGTTTTCCTGACATTTATGTTTGATGTTTAGCGGATCAGATGTTGTGACGTCATGTGGAGAGTTCGAGGATGATCAGCCTTACCTTGTGTTAGATGTTCCTCACCGTTTCTGGACATGGGCAAGAGAATATCTTGGTCACATTGACGATAAATTTTTGATAGAATTTAACACCGAGTTTTATCAGCGTTACCATCCGAGCTACATGAGCGAGTTATTATTGAATGGTGAGTTCAAGAACAGTGTTTGATTACGATTATTGCAATTTTAGGTAATAATAAAACGACAGTTTTGGTATTAATATAGTAACTAATAATTACAATTTAAGTTTTTTTATTATTTAAAAATAATAAAATTAATTTTTGTTGGTTTTACCTAAAATTTGTTTCTAGAGCCCTTCAAGTACAAAAAAGTAGAAGGAAAGAGCCTGAATGGAATTGGCAATGGATCTCCCAAGAAATCAAGTGTGTCAAACGGGAACGGAGCTCCAAAATTAAGCGGAATCATGAATGGGTATGTAAATTTTTATAAAAATGACTTTTTTGGATTTTATAAATTGTTACCTAATCTTTCTTTTTCTAGTGTTTCAAAGCCAAATCCTAATTCTGCTGTGTTTGGGTTGATGAAGAACTTGGTTTCTGCCTACACGGATGAGTTCAAACCTTCACCGACAAAAGTTAAAGGTATTTTATGCTTTTTTAAAAATTTTTTGCTTAGTTTTTATTTTTCTGAAATTTTTTAAGCTTATAACACATACTACTATATTAAGGAAGCATTTCATAAATATATTTTAGTTGAATCTCCAGTGAACAAAAAGAGAAAGACCGAGTACCTGAATGGATATAATGGTTACCTAAACGGAATCGAAAACGAGAAGAAAGAGGTGGTTAAGGAGAATGAATTGATGGAAATGGCAGCAGCTTTGACTGACTGTTTGGGCCCAATTACTTTGTTGCCAGAATACGAATCCGAAGAATCGAGAGATTCTTTCTCAGCTTCTGTCAATTCTAATGGCATATTGTCAGAAAATGACACAACAGAGGAGAAGACAGATCCAGAAGAGATGGAGTACGTGAAGGTGATTGTGGATGGAGCTGATAAGGACAAGGAATGGGACGAAGTGTCTCTGGAGTTGCTGCAATGTCAAACCAAGCTGGACAAATTGTTGCGAAAGACAAAACCAGTTTTGGAGAGATGTAAGATGGAACTGGAGGCAGAGTTGACCCACTCGATAACTACAATTGACATCAACAACAGTGATGAAAAGGTAATGTTTTATTTTAAAAGTATAATATAAGAACTTTTTTAAAATTTATAAATGTTTTCTGTATTTTGACAATAATCTTTTCATGAAAATTTTCAGCTTTTCGCTCTTGTTGAAGACTTCAACGCTGGCCAGACTAGCTTCGAAGATTGCTTGAAGGCATGGAACGATCGTCAAAAACCGTTCCTTAAACATTACTGCGCAGACATTGTGGCCAAAGATGATGCCACATACGAATCCGACTGGTCCGAGGAGTTTGCCATGGACGTATCTTCTTCAAAACTCTCAAAGTAACCTTATTTATTCATGTTGTTGTACATATTCAAGTTGCTCATCACTGTTGATCTATCTTTGAGATTTTTGTAATTTACTGTATTATATTGTACTGTATTTATGGTTTTAATTTATTTGACGGATAAATTCTTTTGTACAGGTGTTTCTTGTCATATATCTTGGTAATGTATTGTAATCGTCTAATGTCTAAATGAGGTGGAATGAGTCTTACTTACTAAATTATGAATAAATACAATAATGGCCTTATCTCTTCGGAATGACCCTTTAAAAGGAATACATTTTGTTTGCAGTGAATCATAGCCCTGACTCAGGTTTTCCTCCTTCGGCTTGTATTCCCCACTCTCGACAAACATATCATCCGAGACGTATTCGCACTTTCTTTTAGTCCGAGTGAATCAAATCTGTTCCACGGGCCAATTTATTTACATTCCTTGACCTCGGTCTGACGAAGCGCAACATAAACTTCTTATCAACCTCTACCAAGTGGAAGATACCTCGTTAGCTCACTTACTTCGCGATGATTATATTGCTGACTACCATTTTCATATTGCACGCAGTAAGTGCAAATGAAGCCTACACGAATCCGAATCAGCCGATCGTGCCCAACATTATTCAAAACGCCATTTCTGAAATTCTTCCGGGATCTGGAGTAAGTTGGTCAACCTTATGACTGGCTTTTATTAGAATAATTTTTAACACAAAGTGTGTTTTCAGTATGTAAACGGATTCAACAAACCTGTAGCCGTCGGAGACCAAGCTTTGGGTGCTAGAGAAAATATCCACGTTCAGGTGGAACTACTAGAATACAGTAACCCCAGACATGCCCTTGATGAATCTCGAACATGCTTGTGCAGTTCTGGAGAATGTTTGATGGTCAGTCCTCAAGGAATGGGATTCAGATGCCTGTTCACCTTCATGGTCATCATCACGTCGGCAGAGTAAGAACTTTTATCATGTAATATTATTGTAAAGTTTGTTCTTCATTACCGTATGACCCATTTTAGTGATACTGTGCATTACCGGTCGACAGAGTTCTTGCCATTAAACAGTAATGGACATATTGATGCCAACTACACGAGCTCGTTCAGTCGCAAGTTCAACTTCTTTTTGAGTCATGAACCGGTAAATTACATACGTTTAGTACAATATTCCTTTCACATTTTTACTCTAATATTGCCTTCTCTTTCTTAATATATGGGTTTAGCTTGCACTTTTATAAGTATTACCTGACTATTATAATATTTCTCATTGAACCTGACTGTTTCAGAAAGCCATTAATGTGTTTGTTTACAATCTGGGCCCTGTTATCAATACGTTTAATCGAAAGTTGGAGAAAGTAAATACCCTTTATCAAGTCGATACCTTCACCGTGCCCGTCGAAGTCACTGACAACGAAGTCAAACGGAAATCGGTCGTCGGAAATCTGCTGGGAACACAGTACGTTTTGATAATAACAAAGAGACATTATTCACGTTTTACGACTGAATCATCTCCGGCCATCTGAATTCACTAGTCCTAATAACGAAACTTATTACGACCACGTGTTCAACGTTACGTTTTCTCATTTCGGGAAAAACTTGAGATAATTGATGCTTAGCAGAAAACAATTCACATGCCATTAATAATACATTATATATTAACAATATACGTATTTCAGGCTGTCTTTCGGATACTCATCTAGTTGTCGCAACCAGTTGTACGGCCGAGGATGTGACCTTCAATGCAACAGATCTACAGCCAATTCTGGCAGTGCCATTTGCCAGAATCAGCAAACGGGCTACTTCAGTGTGTGTCGTTGGACCAACAACAAACAGGTATACGACTGCAAGAATTGTCCATGGGGAATCAAAGAAAACTCCTACTGTATGGACGAACAAGGTGGAGTTCTGGAGTCAGAACATGCTGGGGTAGTATCAGAAGACTTCAGGACCGCCACTATCATTCTCGGGGTCATTTGCGGTCTTCTTTTTGTTCTTCTGATAATATTTATTGGATTGAACTGTCGCAACAAAGTCAGAAGTGGTCAGAGATACAACAGAAACGACCCTGACGAGATCAGACCTCTGCACGGTGCAGATTCTACAGCACTAACGCCTGTCCTGCCTCAAAAGAATCAACTAGTTCAGAGCAAACCTTTCACAAAGTGGACAGGACAAAGTAAGCTTTCAATTGTCAGAATGATTCACTAGTAGCTGAAAGCTGATAGTTTAAACCTTTGAAAAATAACAAAGACAACTCCAGAACGTCAATATTGTTCTAGAAATTGCGCAAATATTTGAGATTTTCTCAAATAAATGTTTTTAAATATTTCACCACATATTTTAGAACCTCCAAGACAAGGTTACCCAATACCCCCTCACCTGTCGACAGGACACAACAGCTCCTTGAACTCGTCCTTCAGCAGTGTAGCTCCGCCAGTGGCGCCAAGCCGTTCGGCCGACGTTTAAACACAGCTTTCACTTCAAACAAGATCTCTCTGACAACCTCTTATATTTTACATGTCATATCACGAATTTTTATATAAAAAATTACTTTCCAATTAACGTAAGGCTTTTTTTAAAAATATGAAATGATTTTAGTCAAGAACAGGCTTCCGTACTAGTGTCACAAACCTAACTGCAAAATCTAATTGACTATACAAGAAAAAAATGTCTTTAGAAATATTTTTTATTAGTTTGATCGATTGTTGAAACCCGTCTTACAAACCATTGATTTTATAAACTGCAAATGTAAATATATGGTGAATATATTTCTTCATGGCAAATATTATAGGTTTTATCGATATACTTGTGTTTTGATTATTACATTTTAATTTTTTTGATTTTGCTTTTTGTTTTTAGTTTAAAAATAGGCTATTTTTCTGAAGTTTAATTATTTTTTTTCAGCTGTTATACGAGTTACAACGTGGTATCTATTGATTTTGGTTTTATAATATAATTCAATGACATTTTAATATGATTTGTGAATTTATCAGTGTATATTTCAGTAAAAGATGGTGTTAGCGGATTTGGGTCGCCGAATCCGCGTGGCCATTGGCAAGTTGGGCCAGGCGACGGTAATTAATGAAGATGAGGTGAATGAGATGTTGAAAGAGGTCTGTAAGGCCTTGATGGAGAGCGATGTTAACATTAAGTTGGTGGCCAAGTTGAGAGAAAACATCAAGTAAGTGTTTTGTGATAGTTATTTGTGTTTTTAGGAGTTGTTATTAATTTATTGAACATGTTTTGTTTAGAAAGAGCTTGAACTTTGAGGACATGGCTGGAGGTGTTAACAAGAGGAGGCTCATTCAGAAGACCGTGTTCCAAGAACTCGTGAAGTTGGTGGATCCAGATGTTAAGCCTTTTGTTCCTCAAAAAGGAAAAACTAATGTTATCATGTTTGTTGGTCTTCAAGGTTCTGGTAAAACAACCTCGTGTACAAAGGTGGGTTTTGTTTAGCATAATTATGCATTGTTTTATTAAATGTATTTTATTAAATAACGTTAACTGTTATAGTTAGCGTATTACTACCAGAAGAAAGGATGGAAGAGTTGTTTGATTTGTGCAGATACATTCCGTGCTGGTGCTTTTGATCAGTTGAAACAGAATTGTACCAAAGCTAGGATTCCATTTTACGGAAGGTAATTCATTTTTCAGCATTTTCGTTTAAAAATAGGATACTTAGGTCTTGATTGTAGCTGATTATAACAAATTTCATCAATGTTTTTAGTTACACCGAAGTAGATCCTGTAGTAATTGCAAAGAACGGTGTGGATAAGTTCAAGCAAGATGGTTTTGAGATCATTGTGGTCGATACTTCTGGTCGACACAAGCAGGAAGCCTCTTTATTCGAAGAAATGCTCCAAGTTTCAAATACTATTGTAAGTTAAGTTTTGTCATTATTTGACATTTTTGGGATTTTAGGCATAATTTAAAATTTGCGGCCATGTTATGTATTTTTATTCTGTTGCAGGACCCGGACAATGTTGTATTTGTGATGGACGCTTCTATTGGTCAGGCTTGTGAAGCCCAAGCGAGTGCTTTCAGTCAAACTGTAAATGTCGGATCAGTGATTATCACCAAGTTGGATGGCCATGCGAAAGGTGGTGGTGCTTTATCAGCGTAAGTCACCAATATATTTACATTATTATTGAATTTAGTGTTGCTGCTACTCATTCTCCTATTATATTTATTGGTACCGGTGAGCATATCGATGAATTCGAAGAGTTCAAAGTCAAGCCTTTCGTGCAGAAGTTGTTGGGGATGGGTGACATCGAAGGTCTCGTGGAGAAGGTATCGGAAATGGGGTTAGAAGACAACGAAGAGCTTCTGAAACGTTTAAAGCAGGGCCAGTTTACTCTCAGAGACATGTATGAACAGTTTCAGAACATCATGAAGATGGGTCCCTTGAGTCAAGTCATGGTAATCATTATGACTATATTTTTGTAACAACTGCAGATTTGATTGATTTACGTAAAATACAATGGTAAAATCGTCCTTTGTAGAGTATGATACCCGGATTCGGTCCTGATTTTATGACGAAAGGCAACGAGCAAGAATCCTCACATCGTCTGAAGCGATTGATGACTATAATGGATAGTATGGCTGACAGTGAACTCGATCATCCTAAAGCCAACGATATATTTTCAAAAGAACCTTCCAGGGTTACTCGAGTAGCTCGTGGCAGTGGCACAGCTGAAGGGGAGGTGAAAGAGCTGTTATCACAATACAAAAAGTTCGCCGCCATGGTTAAGAAGATGGGAAGTGTTAAAGGATTATTCAAGGTAAGCTTTGAATTGATTTGTTTGAAGTTTAGGGGACAAATGCGGAAAATTTTAAAAGTGCTGGGTCTTTGTGTTTTTTGGATTTTTAATTATCACTTTTAAAAGAACATGTTTTAGAACGGAAACATGAATCCGAACAAGATCAACCCTATGCAGATGCAAAAACTGAACCAGCAGATGGCCAAAATGATGGACCCTCGGGTACTACAACAAATGGGCGGCATGGGAGGCCTTCAGAACATGATCAAGCAGCTGGGCGGCAGTGGTGGCATGGGCGGATTAGGAGGGCTAGGCGGCGGCGGTGGAGGCCGAAAGTGATATTGTTTGTAAAATGTTTAAATTTTTTATAAATAAATTGATAATTATTACAATAATCTGTAGAAAGCCTGTTTGATTTCGCATGAAAAGAATTCTCTATGAATTCGTTTATATCTTCACTATCAAATCCATTTTATTGGAACAAACAGCTATTGCAATAATCAGTAAAACGTTCCTACCAACAGTCAATGTAATAATATTTATTATTATATTGCTACGCAATTTCAAAAACCATACATTAGTGAGATACAAAGCGCCCGTACCAAACAGGGGCAGGTGAAAGGAAAGTCATAAGAAAGTTAACATTAATGAGAGTTTAAACTTGTGGAGGAACTTTGGCTTGTGATGATGGAGGATGCTCGGGTCCGCCCTTCTTGCTCATCAGGTAACGGTGAATGTGTGGAATGACACCACCGCCAGCGATGGTAGCCTTGATTAGAGTGTCCAACTCTTCATCTCCTCTGATGGCCAAGTGTAAATGTCTGGGGGTGATTCTCTTTACCTTCAGGTCCTTGGAAGCGTTGCCAGCCAACTCCAGAACTTCAGCTGTTAGGTACTCAAGGATGGCAGCACTGTAGACGGCGGCAGTAGCACCAACACGACCATGGGAGGTAGTTCTTTGTTTCAGGAATCGATGGATACGACCGACGGGGAACTGGAGACCAGCACGAGCACTCCTGGAAATAACTTTTGATTTGGACTTGCCGCTGTCCTTTCCGGATTTTCCTTTTCCTCCAGCCATTTTCAGTCTGAACAGATATATATAGATATAAAGAGCATTTGCGAGAAAAAACAAATATTACACGTTAAAATTGGCGAAGAAATCCACGAAAAAACAGAATACACTATAAAATACCATAAAAATCTAACTCAATACCACCTTCACAATTTTGACCTCACAAATCAATAGGGCTTCAACAAGAATCTAAAAAACGCGCCCGTTCAGAGCGAGCGAAACCAGCGAGTGTGGACAAGGCGGGAGAACGCGCAAGTGACCGCCACACCCCTTCTTGTGGACAACGCTAGCGAATAAAAGATTTTCGCGCGCATTTTCCATACAGTTCAAGGAAGAACAATATCAAATAAAATAAAACCTTTTTTTAAAAATCAATGTTACAGGAAAAAAGTACAAAAGAAGAAGGGAAAAGCGTCCAAATTCTCTCAAAAAAATAGATTTTTTTGGTCCCGCCACGAAAGCAATTGCCTTTTGGCGCCAATCTATCGCACAGCACGTTAAAAATCTTCAAGTCAAGAAGTATCAACGGAACAGTGGTAAACGGGTAATTCTTTAATTCAACATCACATTTATGTCGTCAAAGAAGTATGTGAAGATGCTTGACATCAGATGTACGTCAAGTTGAAAGAGATTTTTTGGCGTAAAAAGTATTTTATTGTAGTTTAATTGTTTATCTTAAAAAAAATCTGCTTTAATGTTTTTAGTATCATCTTGACGTACATTTTATAATCTATAAGAAATGCTTGATTTGCCATTTTAGACATGTTAATGCTGATGCATTCGGATTCGACAAGTCTGACGATGAAGATGAAGATTGTGAATCCCAGCCATCTTCTAGCACAGAAAAACCAGCTGCCTTAAGCCGCCCAAAGAGAGCCATGATCGACTTGAAGGAATCGAAGGACGAATATGATTTTAGTAGTCATGTGAAACGATCTAAGAAAGATATGGTGCCATCTTTAAAGAACTGTAAGTTAGTTTTGTAAAGTTGTAGGGTAAATCAGTTAATAATGTCGTGTATATATAAAAATGGCGTTATTCTTTGATTTACTCTATGTTTCTGTTTTTAGTTAGAAAGCAACTCGTTGTTACTCGATCTGTTGGGAGTTATGCTCATAAATGGAGCGAGGGAACAGTTGAAACCACAGAGGAAACAACTGTAATTTCTATGAGAAGACAAATTAAGAGAGTAAATGGCGAGAAGAATGAAGCTCAACATCCAGGGTCTTCAGTTCCAAATAAGACAGAAGATCTCTTCAAGGTACCAACATTCCCAGCTAAAATACGAACTGGTAATATTTCTTCTAAAGCGACAGTTCCTATGTTTGTCCCGAAACAAAAAGCTGTTCCATTGGAGAATCAAGCTGAGAAAGACGATTTTGACTACTTCATGGAGACTTTGGAGGAAAAAAATGTTGAACTTAGGTTAAAAGAACTCAGTTTCAATGGACTGGTTAACAGATGTGTTAGTTACAGATTCAGGAACTACCTCAGAAGTCATTCTCTTGCATTTGATAGGATTGTGGCTGTCATGAAAGACAACAAGGACAGTAAAGTACGGTTTTGTTTCATTTTTTAGTTTTCTTATAGCGGATATATTCGAAATTATAACTTTCTTATTTAAATTTTGGGTATTTTTTAACCTTATCTACAAAATATTAGTTTATACGTTTAGGACATTAGTCTGCTGGGAGCTGTTATGTTCTACATTATGTCCCGCGATCGTAATGACTTTCCCAAAAACAAGTTTGTCATGTCTATCTTGGTTGATATGATTAAACGAGGTAACGCAGTCGAGAATGAGGAAACTAGGAAAAAAGCCTGGACCGTTATGGAAGCTTGGCATAAGAAGATTACTCGGAAGTCAACTTGTGACTTTGACGAGAATACGATCAATTGTGAAAACGTCGCCATTGTCACTCTCGACTACCTCGCCTGTAGAAATGGAGCTCGGAATAGTGATGTACATGATGGGTTAAGAGCTGGAGGAGCATTTCCATATTTGGTTGGTAAAGGTGAGTCACTTTTTGTTTTAGCAATAATTAATTCAGACTGTATTGTTTTTACGTTTGTTAAATTTATTTTTGATATTAACTATTAAAATACATTGTTTCAGTTCATTCTTTGGTGAACATCATTATTGCTCAACAGGAGTCAACGGATAAAAACTTGTTTTACCACTACGGTCAACTTGAACATCTTTTTCGCGTGCACGAGCTTGTAAGTGCGGGGATTGCAATTATACTTATTTGGTAATATTTACATTTATATATTGCTTTTAGTTGTTCATGAACAAGGATGCTCAGAACACGATTACTGGTATAAACAATGGCGAGTTCTTCAGTGCTATCGACCGGTTTGTGGATTTTATGATCACAGCCATAGACAGAGATGACACGCGGGAACGTATCATACAGACCTATTTCTTGGCCATGAGGGCCACACTGAATGCCTGTTTGAAAAACGGTAATGTTTTAAGGCTTTATATGGCATAATGAAACAAAGAAAAATCTCGGTCTTGCTTTAAATAATTTTTTTGTTTCAGATATCTGTATTGGCCGGGTCGGTGGTATTGGTCAATTACTAAAGAACACGGTCGTCATTTTGTGTGATACAATTGTAAAATACGACACAGAAAAGTTCCACGACATTAGGACACTAGTACGTTTTTAAAGTTTTATTTACTTTGGCACTTACGATTGTCCTTCCTTGTATTTTCGTATATTTATAACACTATATTTAAGAAAAAACGGTTTTAGTTAGCATGTCTGCTCATTGTTCTGACTGAATCTAGTCCTAGAAACCGAAGGAAGCTGTTGAACATGAAAATTACTACTAAAGAGAACGAACTGTGTGTTATGAAGTTACTAACCCAGCTTTATAACGAACACGAGACGAAAGCCATAGAATACGATGCCAAATTGAATGAGAAGTTTATGGAGGAGATTCCATTGGAAAACAATGAAGAAGGTGATGGAGATGAAGTTATCGAAGAGCGGGACAGTAATGAAGAAGAAGACCTTGGTCCAGAAGAAATCTTACACAGGATTAACCAAGCGACTAAAGGCATCAACAAGGATAAGATGGCTAATGCGTATGCTACTGTAATGGAGATGGCCGAATGTCATATGAATGACAGTTTTGTGGCATCGTACGTGGCTTTGCTTATTGGTGTTCTCATTAACAACAACAGAGATGTGGCCGATCAAGTAAAGCAATACACTACTAACAAGAACTTTGCGAGCATCATCGACCAACTCAAGAGATTCTTCGAATTCTCTAAGGTTTCTGTAAGTTAATATTGCGATGGATAAGATTGTTACCTAAAATGGTTTATTATGTTGATTTAACGGATTTTTTTCAGAAAATGAGCGAAGTTACAAGTATAGAACGTGCCATTAAGACTTACGAAACTTTTAACGAAGACGACTAGACTAACTATTTTTCATTGATTTACATATTTTATGACCTCAATTTATTGATTGTTGATTATCTCACTTTGATAAAACCTGTTTAACTGATTGTCTCTTTCTGCTGGGCTGATGTCTGGGGGCCTTTGTACTGGTATAGGGGCAACTGGCTGTTCAACGAAAATATTCGCCATCTGAACATTAACTTTTAATGGTTTATTGCTTACCTGTATAGGTTTATTCCTTTCTGGAATGACTGGTCGCACACAACACAATGATATTACACTGGCACACATAATTATCAGTACTATTCCCAATAGTCCGATATTGTAGATTATCGTTACATTTCCTTTTGAGTGGGTTCGTTCACTTTTGTCAATGTCGAGTATATAACCTAATGAAACCCCTAAACATATTTGAAAAAAACTGTGTCCTTACCAATGACTAAAAGGTTGAGGATAATACCAACGCATAGAACTACTATGTTAGGTATTACGCTCCCTTTAGATCGGATGCATATTATAGAAGTCGAAAGTGCAATAGATACGATCCATACTGTAGCCATCGCAACATACCATACACTTGAGAGCGGAATAAAGTACACTGCCCACCTTACTGCATCTTCCGTTACATTAGTGCTTATCTCATTACTCTTGTAATGGTTTATCAAATAAGCAGTGCTCGAAAGTGAAACAACGGCCCCTAATGCCTAAATATTATGAATTTCGTGTTATGTAATGACCTTGTTACCTGCATCGACAACAGAACCGCATAACAAGCCACAAACCCATCAGGTGACATGTCACACAATACTCATAAATTTCATCTTAAATCCTAAAGCTTAAGAATCATCACCTTGGAGATGACCAGCACCACATCCCGCAACAAACTACAAGATTCTTTAAACAGTTTAATAACAAACAACAAAAAAACTCAATTAGAAGAAGAATCCCAGAATTTTACCACCAAGATGTTTTCGGCGAGCTTCCTCGTGGTCCATAATACCTCCTGAAGTGGTGAGTACGATGTAACCAAACTGACGAGATGGCAACAAGGTGGTACAGTACTTCTCCAAGTCACGGATAGCGATGTCGAAGCGGGGAGAGATGACGCTGCACTTGTTGATTCTTCCGGTAAGGTTCACAACGATTTTGCCAGCACGGTGGTCGTCCACAACTTCGAATTCTCCAATGTATCCTGCAAAACAATGATTAAGTTTGTGTCGAAAATTCATTTAGAAATCTTAACGCATAAATAAAGTAGATGCTTGGTTAATTTCCAGTTTCCAAACCTATATTGATAAAATTGTATAAAAACAGCCAGAAAAAATCCATTTTAAAACAGTTTTCCTTAAAATCCCAAAGCAGATTTAGGCAACAAAAAATTATCTTTGAAAAATATCGAGAAAAATTTAAACCCAAAGTTAAGAAAGTACTAATATAAGAAAGTACCCATTTACAACTAACAGCATAATAAAAGCCAGTCGGTTTTAATTACCACAAGCGAAATCCTAAAAGCAAAACAAAAATAATATAAAATTCTTACCGTGTCTCATCATGACGGTGAGGAATCTGACAATAACCTTTGAGGCTGGTCTGATAATAACTTGACGCTTAGCACGCTTTTCAGCATTGTTGATACTCTTCAAGGCATCGGCCAAGACGTTCATTCGCACCATTTTTAACGAAGGTACAAATAAAGTGGACCCTGAAATAGCAAAATATAGACAATCGCAGACCCGGAATAACACAAAACTCGCGAAAGTAACATATTTACAATTCAAAACTACATAAACTTCCAATTGTTATAAAATTTTGCAAAAATTTCCTATAAAATCTCTTTTCTTCATTTTTTCCGTCCGTTTACCGTATATTTGGCGTTTCGTTGCTTTTTCGTTGCGGGACCTAACGACGTCTATTATGTACACTTTTCGGAATTGAAGGCCAAAAAAATCGAAAATTAGAGTAATCTTAACAAATTTTAAATGTAAATCTGAAAAATTTAATATTCAATCCGTATTATTTCGGACCTCCACACTGAAAATTAAATAGTTTACGTAAAAACCTACATCCGTCTTCGTTTTGGCATGTCACAAGTGTACCAGGTTTATTATGATTTCAATATCAAATATCACAGTAGTTTTTAAAACTATAATTAAATATAATAAATAAAGTTCCTAACAACCATAAATTAATAAAGAAGAGGAATAAAGTGTTCTAGGAAAATATACAGGATAAGCACGTAGATACTCAGTTTGAATACGCTTTGTGTGAACGGAATCGATCTAGGCCACGGAACACGGTGAGACTTTACCATTTGATCCACCGACAAAGACAACATTATGCATTTCGCGTCAGCTCCTGGCCCAGGAAGCTCCACTTTGGGTCCATCAGAGGGTCCGGCTTCGATCTGTGCATCTGGAAGGAACTCTACTGCTGTGACAAAACTTTTGTGAGCTCCAATGGCTGTGTAGATGGGTTTTAATTGTGAGTTGAAGCAATACACTGAGCCTTCCATAGTGCCGATTGCCAAGTGCTGCGATTGTGAGTTAATGGACATGCAAGATACGGCCTGAAAATGCCGTGTTTATAAAAAAACGTTTATAACTACATAATAGAACCGTAGTATTATTGCAATAATAATACGGTTCTTAAACTTCAAAACAACCTATTAAAGCCTTACTTCTTTGCAAACTTCATTCAATTCAAAGCCGTGAATGGCTTTCCTTTCCGCGTTATACCCAAACAACCCAATATATGACACTTGTTTTGACGTTCGTTGGCGTTGTTGAAACGCTACAGCAAACACTGTCGAGTGACGTCCCCATTCAGTAAACCTTATTGATCGTACCTAAATAAGCCATACATAAATACAAATACAAAAAATCTTTCTTTTAAATCTAAAGACACAACTTCTCATTAAGAGAACATAAACTTGCTATTTGAAAGACTTACCTTAAAATCTTTGACCAAGTGTTGTGGAACCTGCACCACACATAATTTCTTTCCATTGCTCATATCCCAAAGAGCAGACTCTTTGGCAGAAACTGTGGAAATGTATCTTCCACATAATGATATGTCCAAGTCGTCAACCTCAACCTTGTTCTCGTCCAGAATCCTAAATTCAATTTGCGGTTTATGTTCAATTCGAGGATCTGGATTTGAAAGTATCGTACCAACATCCCAAACACGTACGTAGCCATCTGTACCCCCAGTAGCTGCTCGTATGTATTGACCTTGTGAACGGTCAAAACGAACACATTTCTGCAAATTTTATAAAGTTAGGAAAGTCGAAATAAGTTTTTTTCAATAAATATTAAATTTTAACGGTATTAAGCGATAAAACAATTAACCGAAATGCTTTGTTACCTGATAAGGATCCGAGTTGGCAAAGTCTGTTATAATCTTGAACAATGGCTTGAAGTTTAATGTGAGTTGCGCTGGAGATTCGAGTTCATCTTCTTGATCACATATGTCATACCCCTGAGCCACATACAATTGGCAATACTAAAATAAGTTAAAATTATTACCTAAACTTTTCAAAAATTATCCAACAATCCCCATTGCTCTTCAACCCAATAATTTACATTTAAATCAAGCAGTAAAACTTTGCAGAATTTTACCTCATCCTGTCCCGCAGCAGCAATAAAAATCTGTTTGCCATTTTCTATTCTGGTATAGACATCACAATTCATATTACTCCGTGCTTTAGTATCAATCGAAGAAACCATTTTAGCTCGTAGATTAGGCATAGTAGACGATTTAAGAGACGAAAGTGAATTGTAAGTTAATAAATATACCTAAAACATACGTTTAAACATCTTATACAGATTGAGTAACATATTTAGAAACAGATTTTGGACAACATTCTCGATATAATTACTAGTTTTAAAGATAGTTCGTCGAAATTCTAAAAACAAAACACATTATGCACAAGAAACCTACTTGAATCTCATTTTTGACTCCAGTCTTAGCTGCTCCACCACCTCCACCGACTAGGAAATGTCTGCTGCCAATCGACTTGATACAATAGGAAGGCATAGACAGCTGGGCTATCTGTTGGGCATCTGGTTTCGGTGACATCTTAAAAACCCATGAAAATTCAAGTAAAATGAAGTTTACAAAAGATATGGCAATAAACATAAACGAAAGAAAAACACAAACTTGGCAATCTGGTCCCTCAAAGTACAAAAAAAATTATTCAATTCAATGAATTTATTTGATTTATAAAAAACGTCTTCTGAATCTTCTAACGCATCGTACGTGTATAAATGAGCTACAAACCGCGCTAAAGCAAAATAAAAAAAATCGGCCCTAAAGGCTGAGCCCAGCCCTCGAGCCGAGCCCAATTTCCAGCCCGTTGCTCATGTCTACGTACGTGTAACTATTTCTCGCCGTAAAAAAAGATTTCTTCAAAAATTATATTTAGGGCGCAGCCGGACAGCACATTCCGCAGCTCGCAGCTTTTCTTTAAAATACTGTACTCTTTTTTTATTCTATAACATAAAGAAGCTTACGGTTAGTATGTTTAACACTTTTATGTATTGTTGGTTTTTTATTGTAATTTAAAATGATAATGTATAACAAAAAATGTTTCTTTATGTTCTTAACTCGTATTCTATTGTACTTTGTTGTTGTATCCACCAAGCCTGAATTCAAACGTTAATCCCCTTACTTCAAAGACCTTGCTTAATTCAATCAACTCCAATTAACATAAGTCAAAAATCTCTACTGGATTCTTTCGAATTCGCACATTTCTTTGTGTTGCAATTGAGGTGCAAGGTCACCGATGTTGAGATTAAAGCTCTTTCCGGGAAAACTTTGGCCAGGTAGCTTGTTAAAGCCGACGATGAAAAGCTTGCGTAATATCCACCAAAACAAACTGACCTTAGGATGGTTATGATCGCTGGGCGGTTCGTATGTTGTTATCTACAATAAGGTGTTTCTCTTCGAATCACAAACAAAATTTTGTGTGTAAAACGACTTTTGTGGAATTAGTCAAGTTCTAGTCAGTTGGACGAGGTGTCAATCTGCGGTCGAGTGTTGAGAATGAAGTGGTTCAAATGTCTGTGTCACCAAAAGAGGACTGACAATACCTACGAGTCTCTTTCTACTGCCTTCACTAACGTCACTTTGAAGTCGAATGTCAGAGACGAGTCTGCAGTCGAAGAAGGTAAATGTAAGAAGAAACATGAGAGTCATGTTGTGGATTGGAATCAGGAGATGTTGAATCAAAGGATCAAAAAGGTAAGGGATCGTCTTGTTCAATATGCTTCTTAACTCCATTTTAAAACCTATAACATCAATTTTGACAAATTATAGCGGTTAAAATAAGCATGGTGGTAAATGTAATTTTATTTTTCAGGAGCGTTACGAAAAGCAGTGCCTTCGGGAACGGCTACAAGATGCAGCTACACTGAATCGGAATCTGGTGGTTTACGCCAAAGCTCTCGAAGAGGTTTGTAATTATATTTCTAAAAAATACATTGTAAATTGTATTTTACTTTTTATATTTTGACTCGATTACGTTCAAATCCATCTACAATAACTTAATTAACAAAAACTTAACAATTTCAGGAGAACAAACAGATCGCGAGGAGAGTAACAGCTGTCAGAAAAACGCAAATGCAACTTATGCAACAACTTAAAGCAGGCGTTTTATCTGGAGAGGTCAGACAAGTATCCATCTGATATGACAAGGTATTATAGAGACCTACAGTATACAATGATTATATAACAGTTCGTACAATAAAAGATATAGCATAAAGTGGGATGTTATGGGCATTTGTAACAATACTATCTAACACAATACTTTCACTGATTTGCGTGGTATGGCACCGCAACTTACAATATTAAAACAATATTACTCTATAAATCAATTTGACAAGATGTTTCTTATAAACGGAAGATTGAACCTTATTTACCGGTATATTCTATCTAAAATGCCACCGAAGTGACGTTCTCTATCCACGATAGGTATGGCGTGATCATGGTGTATATACCTGGGTGTTTCTGTTGAGCACACCCTTCCCCCCAACTTATTATACCTCCAAGGTAGAAGACACCATCGTATTGGCAAGCAAAAGGTCCTCCAGAATCCCCTTGGCAAGAATCTATGCCTCCACTTAGGTAGCCGGCACAGAACGAGGTCTTACTGACAGCCGAGTAGATCTTCGAAGCGTTGCGACATTCTTCTCGGTCCAGGATTGGCATAGCTGCGGCCTTCATCTTGTCCGAGTATGCTAAAACATTATTTTTTATAGTAAAACTAAGTTACTATATTAATTTTTATCAAAAGTCAAGAATAATATACTGTTTCATCGTATAAAACAATCACCCAAATTGCGCCCCAACGTTTTTGTAAACATAATTTTTTGTGTAAATTTAGTATTGTATAACGGTTTACTTACCAGTGCCATTGCTACCCCATCCTGTAGCTACACACACTTGACCCGCTACATAGCGATAGCCTCGAGGTGGAAGACAGATGGGCTGAGAGAATTGATCGAATTTTATCCTAGATTTGGTCTTCAGAATCACAATATCGTGTTGAAATAGATCTGCAAGGATACTAATAAGGTACAATAAGATATTCATAAAAACAACTTTATCACGTTTAGCTACCTCAACATGCCTGTCCCATCCTACACGCTCACCTTCATAATTAGGAAAGAAGTTGATCTTCTCCACCTGTAGCACTTGTTCTGTGCCTTCTTTGATTCTGTTGTTCCAATCCCCAGTAACCACGGTAAAGTCTTTCGGGTCCTTGTTGGTTTCGAAGCAATGAGCAGCACTTAACACGAATCTATCAGCAATTATCACAGCGCCACAATGATGTAGATCACCGTAATTGAACCTCAACGCCGCCGTCCATGGATACGCTCCCATCGTGGCGTCGAATCCACCCACTACACGCTTCGTACGAGCTTTGAAGAAGCGACGACCACAGGATACTAAAGGCTTTCATGTTACTCAAATGATATATTATGTTACAGTAGTAAGCAAGCCATAGTGAAAATATAAACAATTTATTACTCACAACTTTCGTCTGTTTCACATCGCAAGTTCAAAATACCATTACCACAACTGCGCACTTTTAAAGGTTTACAATCACCATTAATACACTTTACCATCCAAGTTGTCGCTGTAGGAGTTTGATCGTATATTGGAAGAACTCTACCATACGCACTGCAAGAAATACCATTACACAGAAAACCATAACAACAAGATAACTCAAAAATATATTATATTAACCTACCCTTTTCCCAACTTATTGCATAAACTGTTGACATCGTCTTCAGTCAGTCCATCTGAACACACGTCAGTCCAGCTGTCTTGGAACGACAATTGTACCCTTCCTTCAGGTATCACTTCATCTACATCACCATTTAGCCTCCACCTTACATTCTGGCATCCGATTTCATCACTAGCATCTCCACAATCAACTCTGCCATCACAAACCTGATGTTGTTCTACACACTTTGGCTCCAATTGACAAGGAAACTGGGTGTAGCTACAATTAGAACACCTCAAGAAGCGACGACAAGATACGACAGCTTCAGAAGAACATTGTTTATCTTTACGGAGACAGTCGACCGACCAGATATTAGATGGGCGTGTAGTTAATCTGAGAGGAAACATCAGAGAAGGCCTAAAATACAGACTTGTTCCTTGCAAAAAGTTAAAACAACATTCGAATTCAACTTAAAGAGAGTATGATGACATACAAACTAAATGAACAATGTCTATTTTAGTAATAATGATATTATACCCGAATCCAAACTGCCGGCACAGCTGATCAGTCTCTGTTATATTATCTACACAAATTGCTCCAGAAGTGGTTCCTTTGGTTACCTCGACAATCATATTAGTAATGTTTCGAGAAGACGAAAACAATCCTAAAATTAACTCATAACAATTTTAAGAATAAAACACAAATTCTACTTAATATTACCTAAAAAACTTTTAATTGAATAAAGACACAACATACCGGTGGTAAACTTTCGCTGATAGTAAAACGAATCCGATCGTTCAAACAACACGGCCGGGTTACTGTAGATTCGACTGAGAAAACAGAATTCTCTCTCAACGTCATAGGAAAAGGATTCACAGTCCGGATTCTGGATACACCGTTGTGCACACTAAATAATATTATATATTGTAGTAGGTTCAAATAAAGAGAAGTTTATTTTAGGTTTAATGCCATTGTTAACATAAATATTAAATAAAACATAAATGATGACAATACTTACTCCCTGAACATGCCTGATGTTGGTCCACACCTCTGATACATCATCGACCAGTCGGAACTCACCGACTAACTCAAACGTACTCAAGAAATCGGCTGAAAGTGCAGTTTTAATAAATACTTTTACAAATTCATAGTAATGTTGACTATACCAACAACTTGCACCACTCACTGTTACCTAATTTGTTAACTTACGACAGTTTTGTTCGTCGAATCCATTGAAACAGTCCAAGTCGTAATCACATATGAATTCAGAAGCCACGCATTCTGCAGATTGACCACACTGGAGTTCGCCCTCATTGCACTTGGTTACTGTAGCTACAGTAGTGGCTAAAAATAACTATGTTATACCAACGATCATTTAACAAACTAAATCAAAAGCTTTCTTTTAAATCTTGTAAATTACAGACAAATATTGACTTTACCGTACCAAACGCGTTGTCTGTTAGAAGTGGTACATTACAAACACCGACTTTGCATTCTTCGTACACCTGATCTGATATCATACACCATGGTCGTACCCCATTGCCGCTCACAATTTTACAGTAATTATGGTCCCACAACTTTTGAGACGATGAGAAAAGGCCGTTCTTTGTGATTCTGACGTCGTTCCACTTCATACATTCTGAGCCTAAATATTCAAACAATTATAAGCATATACCTACAACTTCAAACATCTTATTCTTGCTAAAACTCCAAAATAACTTTTACAAAAATGAATTATACCAACTATAATAGTACCCTTAACATACCAGACACAGTCGTACTGATAGTGCCATGATACTCTCCTGGCAATGAACACTCTGTAGCCAGATCAATCTGGCATAAGGCTATAAACTGAGGCAACGTGCAGTCCATAGCCTTCTGAACTACGGTACCCTGACTCAACTGGAGTGCCAAACACCTTCCCATACCCTCAGGAGATTTCTCTACCAGACATCCGTCTGTCCATTTCCAATCTTTTCTAATTCGGACAGCTGAGGTTATGAACGGTCGAACGGCTGCAAAGTTACATCGTAAAAATGACAAGACTTTACAAAATTATGTACATAAGAGCAAAGAAGTTCAATTAACTCTTTGAAGCTATATCACCATAACGCTATGTATAAATTAATAATCATAAATTTACCTTTTAACGTCGTATTTAACTGTTTTAGCGTCAAGTACAATGTTTTCGTATCTATGTCACTTAACGAAGCCAGAGTACTATTATGATACTTCCCACAGCCGACTGCAGCTCCATCGTAATCATAGTTAATATCAGTTACCACGCCAAGACATTTAGATCGACCCACTTTCAGGAAACCGGCTGGACATGAGACAGAGTAATCAGCCAAATTACATTTTACTTCAACTCCAGAACTACATGACAATATACGATCTGTGGTGCACGTATCGTTACTACATGTTAGATTACTGCTTAGTAACGCAATGTTTGGTACTTTCTTGTATGATGATAAACTAAAAAACAGTTTTGAAAATTTTTTTTCAACTGATTGTGTATTCTTGAATTACATAAATACCGTATACATCGCTTACCGTCTTCCTTGTATTTGTTTACAAATGTAATTCAAGGCTGTCACATCCAAATTGTCGCCACAAATCTGTAGAAACTGATTCACATCTTTGTCGAAGACGTTCACTAAGCCATTATCTACTCTAAATTGAAAAATAAGCTTATTGTGGCAAATACAGGTAATACTTAACATTGAAGACCTTTATTTAAATTTGTGACACATTTATTGTTTCTTCGACACCATATAAGCTTACCTAAACACCTCCCCAAAAGCCAAGCAGACCAGCAGTACCAGACACGGCAGAACTGTACAAAACATTAATTAAATAACCCTCGAGACACGAATAAAGAGGGTCGAGAGTGTCGAGAGCGAAACATGTTTGTCGAGTAATACGCTGCTCTTACAATAAGTTTACCTTGCCTCTCCAATTGCTTACGACATTATTTTCGTCATAAAACCGCTAAAAACAATTTTTATAAGTTTCAATTCGCAAAAATATTGATCAAGTTGGACAGGTTGGAAGGTTCACAAACAATGTACTTTCTTTTAGTTATAAAGGTAGTTTGAGTTCAAAAATGTTTAATTGTTTTAAATTTAAAAAAAAAATTGCTCGCGACTTCAAATAATACAAAGAAATATTGAAAAGTGGTCATTAAATAAATGGAAAAGTCAAACATAACAGACTTTTTGACCAAATTTCAAAGAAATTCTGTAAAACGAACGTTCTTTTCAATCCAAAAAAACTTTCGTTGATTTTTAGGTAACATTCATAAGTAAAAGCTTTTCAAATTAATTTTATTGTGGTCGATTTTATGAAAAAAAAGTTTTTTGGAAGTAATCTATGCCTCAAAAATTACACCTGCTGCCTGTGTAAATATAAAATGTCCGAATTAAAGATAATTAAAATCTTGGTGAACAAGTATAATATCGAATTTTACCTATAATAATGTTCATCAGAAAAATTGTCACAATTATCTTATTTTGCTCAGGAAGTCAACCATTGTTGTTAACTTATCTTTGTATACAATTGTATGAAACAAAATTTTGTCCTGTTCAAACTTTGAAATAAAGTGGCAGTTTGCTTCGAAAGTCAATAGTGACATTTAATTCCAGAAATAATTTTGGAAAAATTCATTTTTTTGGTGATTGGAAAGGTTTGTTTCTTATCAACGATGTGTGATAACTGTGTCCTGTGATGTCTCTGTTAAAGTTCACACAAACTACATCCGGAATACGCGTATCTACACATTATTTTAGGTTTATGCTTTGTGACCTTTACCTTCTTAACGAATGCGACTCTTTATGTTCAAGGTCTTATTCGGTGTTAGTGAAAGTTGTGTTCAGACGTTTTTAGAGTATTTTGGTGTTGTTTTTAGTCTAAGTTTATCGGGTTTACAATATTATTCGGTCTAGTTGTTTTGGTTTTTATTGGTATTAACATAACTTATTTTGTTTTAGTGATAAGCTTAGTTTACTTTAACTTAGTAGAACTTAAGTTTATGTCACGTATTACTGTTTACAGAGTCCATTGTTTTAGATTGTTACATATTGTTTTTACGTGTCATTTTAATGTTACTTGTCAAGCTTATAATACATTGTTTTAGGTAAGATGAGTGCCGCCATCGCAATTGGAGGCACCCTAGGAGGATGTATGACATGTATGGTTGTAGTAGAGTCATTGGCAAAGTAAGTTCTAACTTTTAGTATGTATATTTGTGTTTAGAAGCCACACTCACGCCATGAACTTGATGACCTTTTCCAACTTCTTGTTCATCTCTCTTCAGGGTCTCATCTTTACCTCAAGGTTCTTGTCCGTGCCTAACAAAATACCTCTCAGAGCTTATATCCCAGTAGTCGTGACGTTCTGTTTTGTAAATATTATCAACAACCTGGCCTTGAGTTACAGAGTGCCAGTTCCCTTGCACATCATTTTCAGATCGGTAAGCGGGGTTGAAGTTTTTATATTTTCAGATAATCAGATTTTAAATGTGTTAGTACATGTGATCATATGTTATGTTGTTTAGGGTTCCCTACTGTCCAGTTTGGTCATGAACAGGTTATTGTTGGGGCGTCAGTATACGACCAAAAAGTATTTGTCAGTTGTTGCTATTACTATCGGCATCATAATGTGCACATTGGCTGAACAGGTAAGTAACATACTGAGTTTTACACATGTTTCAATATTACGTTATAACTGATGAAAAAGTCATGTCGAATCTTTCAGGGCACCCAAAAGAGTACCAGTTTGTCCATTGAAGAAGCCGAGAAGCATTTGAAGGACTGGTCGATCGGAATAACCATGCTAACTATTGCCTTGATCGCCTCGTCGTATCTCGCCATTTGTCAGGAGAAGATGTACACAACGCACGGCAAACATCCAGACGAAGCCATGTTCTACGTTCACGCTTTGTCGTTACCGTTTTTCGCTTTCTTTGGCCGAGACATTGTCAGTTGTGCCCAAGAGTTCAACCAGGAGCCGGCTCTGGAGTTGTTTGGGTACAACTTGGTGTTCTCTCAAGCATGGTGGATGGTGTTGGCTACTTCTATCTTCCAGTAAGCTGATTTTGCTGAATTTCTTATGGTAAACAGTTTTTATTTTTAAAATCATTCGTTTGAACAAACATGTCATGAAATGTAACTTTTAGGTACTTCTGTATCAAATTCGTGTATATGGCCAACGCTTACATGGACTCTCTGTCCGTCACTCTCCTGGTAACTCTCCGCAAATTCTTGTCATTACTGGTATCAATCATATACTTCAATAACGTGTTCACGGCTACCCATTGGGCTGGGGCCATTCTTGTGTTTGGTGGAACTCTCGTATTCAGTAACGTGATTCTACGCTCGTAACCTCATTTGCTAACATATCACATTTTTGTATCTTTTATTTTTACAAGTTTTCAACATATTAGGTACTATAGCTTATAAAATATTTAGTACATTTGTACATCTTAAAGCATGCTATATTACGTGTTAAATCATGATAGTTCTTTATGACGGCAAAAACGTTGTACGTAAATTATAATATACATTAATTTATCTAGTAATATTTACAAATATATCCGTTAGTGTTTGTAAACCGGGGATGTAATTGAGATCAGCGGTATTTGGAATTTGAAAAACGTGAGAGAAGTCTATCATCTTTAATTGTTCATTGGTAGGCAGTGCTTGGTCGCCTTCGTATATTAACAAAATAGAACTCGCGTAGAATTGTAATTGGGAATGTGTCTGGAAATGCCTAAAAACATATTATTATCGAAGTTTTACCTAAATTACTATCTTTAATAAGTAACTATAAATAATTACTGTTTTCTCTTACTTACTTTTCCAACAATCGTATCTTGCTCAGTAAACCTTTGGTTGCTGACTTATCTGACCGATCTGACGACAAAAACGATTTGAAACCTAAACATACAAATAAATTACATAACAAAACACGTACCTTCTGTTATGCTGTCCTGGTTTAATGTTTTGCCCCACACACGGTCTCTCGACTCTACCTGTCCATTCTTATGGACTCTGTAGCCCAAAACACGGAACCCAGACGCTTGTTGATATGCAGATTTGCTCAGTTCTTGGGTTTTCTTCTGTTCTGTTGCATGTGGGTCAAAGGACACCTTACCCATCTTTACATCTATCAAACAGGGCTGTTGGTAACTGGCCAACAAGTCTTCCATTACCAAAAATTGGCGATCAATTCCAGAAAGAAGTAATGTCTCTAACCCGTAGTATTTTGGGACCCATTCCACCAAATCTTTGAAAGCAGCCTCTAACTTGTCAATTTGATTTAAAGAAGTTGAAGCTTTCTGAATCATGCTGTAAAACCAAACCTAAAAAGAAATAAAAATAACAAATTCGATTACCTCACAATCTCCACGTTCAAAAGGCATACGAAGCTTCAAGATTTTAGAATCATCTTTTTTGATTATACCTAAAAAAATCATTTTACACAAAAAAATTACAATTAAGGGTTGAACCAGCTTTAAAAACTATATTAATGTTCAGCAAAGCTTTAATAAATGTAAAGCTATTCATACCTATTTGACATTTCCCGTCTTTTATCACGTTTATATTATGTCCAGCGATTTGATCGCTATACCAAGTGTAAGGAGGTGGTAAAACTTCATTTTGTTCAATCTAAAAATGTCACATTACATAAAATATTACAACGCTTTTAAAGATAAAGCAAAACTTACCAAAGTGTACTCAGCAATGCACTTTTTTCTTATCTTCAACTCTTGTTCTGTAAGATTATGTTTTGTCCTGTAGGGGTTATCTGATATGTCTTTACAATGAATTAGATCCATTTAAAAAACGATATGATAGAAACGGACAAATCTGAATGAACGACCTATTAGAATAACAAAAAACAACAGTTGGAATCAGCACACTGATCAAGGGGAGCAATGAATCATCAACAATCACACTGCAAGTATAAACAACACACTAAAACCATTAAACCTATAGAATACACGTACCATTATGACCACAAACTATTTAAACATAGTACTATACAATACAGAAATTGTAAAAAACAAAGAAAATATTTTATTTATTTTCCTGAGTCTCACCGCGAAAAGCTTGCGGAATCAAGCAAGAAACTTGGTGTTCGTCTGTGCTGACAGCGAATTAATGTTGTAGTATACATACGTCTTGACCCGGATTTGAAATTCTATTCCTTTTGTGATACGTGTATAACTTGTGAATTTTTGTATTATTCAATTTGAGTTTTAGGTGTGAAATCTTTGAATTGGGTTAAAATAAGAATGAGACTCATTATTCTTCTGGTATGTCTACTTGCATTTGTGGCTCAAGCAGATAAGGACGATTGTGAAGGTAAGAAGCATATGTTTTAAATTTTAATATCTAGTTATTTTAGTGTGTACCAAAGTTTTGACTGACATTTTGGAGAAAGTTCCTGCAGACAAGAAGTCAGATGCAAATACCATTGATAAAATTGCCCGATCTCATTGTAAAAGTCTGAAAGCCAAGGAGAACAAACTCGTAAGTCTTAACCTTCAGTTTTCTTATTTTAGACACCAATTGGAAATGTCAAAACTGAGTTTAGTGTAATATAAAACAACCTTTTCATGTGTAAAGTACGTGTAAACATATTTGGCGGATTATATGATGTAAAAGGGGAATTCATTGGTTGCTATGCGAAAATTAAATATAAAACTTTGTAGTGCTTCTACATTGGTGCCTTACCGGACTCTGCCACCTCAATCATGGGTGAGGTAACGAAGCCTTTGTCCTGGGGAATGCCACCAGCCAAGGTGTGTTCCGAGAAATTGCAGAAGAAGGATTCGCAGATCTGTGAGCTCAAGTTCGATAAGAGCATCGACTGGAAGACGGTCGACTTGAAGAAACTACGGGTCAAGGAGCTCAAGAAGATTCTCGAGAATTGGGGAGAGACATGTAAAGGATGCACGGAGAAGACCGAGTTTATCAAGAGGATCGAGGAGTTGAAGCCAAAGTTTGTGAAGGAAGAGCTGTAGATTTATGCGATTATCTTATTGTTGTGATATCAGAAATGTGGGCTTTCACCGTGCCTTTCATTTTGTTATAATATTGTTTTATTAACGAATTAAATTATTATTATAGAGTACACATTATTATTGTTGAGAAAGATGATCGGTTATGGCCGTTTAGATATCCAGAGGGAAAATTTGTTATTTTTGTAATTGCTCTTCTTTTTTGGCTGTGAGTTCTCTGTGGAACTTTAAAAGTTGCTTTCTGATAAACATGGTTCGTTGTGATTTGATCGTGTTTTCTTTAATTTTGCTTGAGTTACCAACAATTAATATGATTATTTGTCAGTTGGGTCCAGTTTGAATGGCTGGTCAATTGCCCCGTCGGATCACAAAAGAAACACAACGACTGCTACAGGACCCCGTGCCTGGAATCTCAGCCACTCCAGATGACAATAACGCACGCTACTTTCATGTTATAATTGCGGGTCCAGAAGGGTCGCCATTCGAAGGTGGAGTCTTTAAACTGGAGCTGTTTCTACCAGAAGAATACCCGATGGCCGCACCCAAAGTCAGGTTTATGACCAAAATCTATCATCCTAACATTGACAAACTTGGCAGAATTTGTTTAGACATTCTTAAAGGTACGTTTTGTTTTTATATTGTAGTTTAGTAGAATGGTCAAATTTTGATATACTTTTTGACATCTAGTATATTGTCTATGCATAGTTTAGAATAAGAAGCTAAGCCTGTTATATTTAGTTTTATAATTGGTTTTTAAATAGTTTTATAGTGTTTTATTTAAACTTGTTTAGATAAATGGTCTCCCGCTTTACAAATACGAACCGTGCTGCTGTCGATCCAAGCTCTGTTATCAGCCCCCAACCCAGAAGACCCTTTGGCTACGGACGTGGCCGAACAATGGAAAACGAACGAATCTGACGCGATCCGCACCGCCCAGGACTGGACCCGTCTTTATGCTAACGGCAATTGATCATAACACGTTTCGACCTAATACGACGATCTTCATAACAATTTCCCGATGGATGGTGTTCTTAAACGGTAATCTTGTTTGAATATTAAAGTATTGTAAACATATAAATAAATCCATTTTACCATGCTGATTTTATGTTAAACCTTTATGTTATACTGTTAAAACAATACTTTATACATGATACTACTATTAAGCTTAAGTTAAACGATAATACCTTATATGACCCGTATTTCTGAGTGAATGACCGATGATGTAAAGTAGACAACTTTGCTATCAGCAGATCCTGTGGTTTTCTGAATCCGTTAACACCAGATTGTCGATGAATACACTCGATTTTCGTTCTTTTTCCGCCAGTTTTACTATGATGTATATCTTGGTGTCGCTCGGCAGAATTTCTATAAAGTCATGGACAAAGGTACCATCTAATGGTACCAGCTCGGTGTTCTTGACAGCGTAACACTGGTCGAGTTCTTGTCGTATACTATCCTGACATACGTGGACTTGAGCTCTTCCTTTCTGAAAAGTTGTTGATTAAAAGTGTCATTGATAAGGCAAGTGAAACGGTTTTATCTTTACCATGATCGAATAGTCGAAGTGTAGCCGAGCTGGAGCGTTCAAACTGAAGACACTTGACTCCAGAATAGAGATTTTGCCTCTCTCGAACAACATTGAGTGTGCCGTGCTGTTGAATGCACTGAACATACTGACACTGTTGGCTACACGATGACTTTCGTACAAACACATGTGTCCACTGTTGAAGTCACAGGTTAGTAGCCGGCAGACGTTGGAATCTGGAGTGGAAGAAGAAGGAATGTGGTTCGAGATAGACTGGACTGGTCCAACTCCAACATCTTCGTATGTTTTGAGACTTTTAGATCCTGCAGCACGGCCCGAACCGTGGTGAGAGTTGGCGGAAAATGCGATTGGTGAACAAATTGATCCCTAAAACGACTTTTCATGTAGTAATTCTTTATTAAAAAAGGATAATTGTTGTTCTAGATAATGATATCCTACCGTTAAAGTAATGTTATCTACTGCAATTAGGCCCTCTCCATCTTCTAGGTCTTCTGGCACTTCTGCCTTCAACGCTAACCTTATAGGCTCTTGATAGTTAGGTATGTCAACTTCAATTCGTTCAGCACTTCCTTCACCAACGTCCTATAATTGAATGGGTTTACAATAGCATTACATCATGAGACTTAGATTAAGTTTGTAGATATACATAAGAAGTAAACGTTATGGTCTTTTGTGTTTTTCATATGACACTCACTTGACAATCCAAAATTTGATCGTTGAAGCTTTTGACTACACAAACCGATAGCACGGCGTCGCCAGTCCTCCAGAAGCTCAAGCTCAACGAAGACCCTTCGTATGTGCATCGTATCACCTCGCTGATCAGAATCGCCGCGGTTTTTGTTCCTTTATGTCGCGGGAAACGAGCGACAGCAAAATCCGAGCCTAAAAACGGTTTTTATTACTGTCATGATACAATAAACTAGTAACATATAACATCAGGAATGACATTTTTAGAGATTAAATCGACTCACTTGGCACCGAGTTTTTATGAGTTAAGAATTCAAATTTTCGTTCGTCGACTACGCCCAGGCCCACCTCCCATTTGTTGTGGCTGTTTTCCTCGTCCAAATTAGCCCAGTAGCAGTCTAGGCCACGCCTGGAGAAGTCGCATGCCAGGTCCTATAACAACATTGATTGCTCATAGGAAACTGATCTTTTATGTTCAACTTACATCAACAGAATGAGCAGCTCTATTCAGAATCACTCCTAGGAACTGTGTTGTGTAGAATCCTTTTCCAAGATCCAGAGATCCAAAGGCTTCGGTACACATCGTGGCTTCGTAGTCAATGTCATCTACCATCACGAAGTGGTCACGGTCCTTGTCAAGCACGGACACTTTGATGCCATACTGAAATGTTGCTAATTTAACATGGACAAACTACTGTAATATTCTCTGAAAACATTTTTACCATGAAGTTCTTGGTGTAGGCAAAGTGATGTGTAGATGGAGCTGGTGACCTTTCAATTGACACAAGTTGACACTCCAGCTCGTTCATGTCCAAATCCATCGCACAGACTTCGACTTGTAGCCCTTTGTTGGCCCAGACTCTGAACGTTATGGTGGAGCCGGCAGAAGCCTGGCAGTCGATCGGATCTGACACCAGCCTTCTGAATCCGGAGTTGTGATCTTGTTCGATGTACATGAAGGCGTACTGTCCTTTGGGTACGGTGTAGGTGCCAGTTTCATTAAACATGACGATTTCCGAAGGTTTACTGAGACCTCTCTTCCAAGCCAGCGTTCCATCATGCCCGCCGTTCCGCCAGCGACACGACTGGTCGAAGTTGGTACAGCCAAGGTCGGCTGCTGTGTTGACTAGCATTCCTTCTGCTCCAGTCTTGAGTTCCTCCGTTTGGAAATCGTTGCCAAAGTCAACTAAACTTGTCAATATAAAGCAACAAGGACTTCAGAAATGGAATCTCAAAACAAAACTATAAAAAATTATTGTAGATACCTACTATAATAATATTGAAGGTCAATATATATTTTTAAAATTATGATCTATATCACTTACTGGCTACTTTACAAAACTCGGCTTCGTAGTAAATGTTGTCCAACATGACAAACGAGCCTTCTGGATGACTAATGTCGTAAGCACGAATGGCTAGTCTAAAGGGTTCTTCTCGCTTCGGTATCTCCACTTTGCATTCTGTATCCATCGTCACCGTGCCGCAATCTACATGGAGTTTCTCTGGCAAGAACTTAATTTCGGTCTTGTTTCCTACTGTAACATCTTCCAACATCAACACTTCTACTCTCGCTCCATTGTAGATCCAGAATCTGAAGTCAGAATGCCATTACGCTACTATAAACGTAATTGAGCCGTTATAATGAATTTCAGTAGTAAAGTCACATTTTACTACTCCGGAAGTTACAAAAGGAAGTTATGTTACAATAAGATATAGTTACATTGTTATCTAATCGTATCTCAACCGACGATCGCTTGTAGCGGAGATACCATCAAGGTTAAAACTACAAGATGATGACTTCCGTCGACGTAATTACTATGTTTACTAATAACAATATAAAACATATTAACCAATCAAGATATAAAAAAACGTAAATATACTATAAACCACAGTAATTACAGTAACCTACGTAAAGGTGAGCAATCCAGTCGAATTCTGACACCTGATTGGCCACGATGCCAGAATCGCGTCCTTCTCGGTCTTCTTGCGATCTCCAGTGAAGAGAAGGTGGTCCCCTACCTCAACTTTGGACGGTCCTGGCCTGATCTGAACCACCGGGAAGGGGGTGTAGTCTTCTTTTTTGAATAAATGAAAGTCCAGAGAGTCCACGCCCTTCAGATTATTCCACTTACAGTCTTCTGGATGCTTGAAGTCACAGTTCAAGTCATGCGAATGTCTGATATACTTGGGGACGGCAGCTAAACGACAGGTAAGGTACTACAATATGTAGAGAATTTTGTAAGAAGACATAATGATAATAATACGAATAATGCTAACATAATAAAATAAAATACAAAATTAAAATAGAAAAAGTAAAACACAGTCAAAGTTGTCTTACCGTCAGCCTTATCCATTCCCTTGGGTATCCACTCGATTCCGAGATATTGTCGTAGCTTAGCCCTCTCGACTTCATATCCGGGCATACAACATGAAACTATAACACGTTTTAGGTAACCATCTACTACAATATACGACCATACCACAACAAACAATAAAAACCGGAAGTGCCTTACCTGTGCTCACGAGCACCGTGCACAATATCAGATTCCGGATCATGATGACATGAATTGGGGGTTACGGTAACCGTTGTGACCTCTATTGTTTTAAAAGTGCAAATTGGTGGTAATCGAATGCCACATACACCTCGACGTGAGGGTGGAGGATTCCGACGTGAACGAAGGGGGTGGAGGAAATGGAGCCAGACTTCAGCGTGTTTTCTCCTGTTCCGTTCTGTCGCTCCCCTCTGGCGTAATCTCGATCTATCGCAAAGGAACTCGCAGCGATCCCCTGAACGAGTTTTGAGATAAGCAAAAAGTAAGTAAGGAGGCCGTCCCGATGACCAAAAGCCCTCATTTCCTAATTAATTAACTGCTTCATTACACTCCTATCGATCATCGCTTCATCAACACATCCTCACGAAACGATTAAACAAATGTTTGTGTATGTCGCCTATGTTGCTGATTATCGTGGATAGGGTTGGCCTTTTGTAACTTATCAGCAGATAAACACTCTTCATGCTAATTGTAAGAGCGGCCTGGAATAAGCCTGATGCTGCATTCCTCATAAATATAAACGGCACTTTTTGAAAAAGTGCGACAAAATCCTATCAGACAAATGAAACTTTTCTAAAATTTCAAAATATTCAGCCTATTGCAGACAAATCTTGTTTTCATTTCAAAGAGTATACCACTTCACTTTGCCATAAAGACAACACAACTACAGTATCACACCTATCTCTATCCCCAGCAAAAATACATTTCAAAACACTACTGGACCCTATCTGACTCATTTCACAACTTTTTCGGATTTCACAAATGTTACGTCACTAGAATCTGATGACTATTTTGTCGCGAGAGTCTCGACTTCCGGTCGTAGCAACTTTCGTCGACGATGGCGTAACTCTGTCGATGGAATTCATCAAAAAGGTCAACGAAGGAAGAAATAGTAATTGGATTGTAACTTGATACGCCAATCAAGTTATCATTAATATCCTCAGAAGACTGTATTCATTAGTATCTTCAGAAGACGGTATTCTTCCGAATCATCACTGTTCTTCTGCATCGCAGCTGGCGGTCAAAGCTAATTAAAAAGAAAGGAACTTGTAACATTATTCTTTATTAAGAATTCTTACTATAAGATATCATTACTTTCAACAACTATTCTAATTCAATAACAAACTTTACAAAATTATTTACAGTAGACAATCAGTAAACAAACTATGAAAAACATATACAGATTAACAATATTTACAACAATAACAGCCTGCTAAACTGTCATTAACGTATAAAATTAACATAAACATTGCTTTTTTGACTCTAGGTCGTCAACATCTGATGACTTTCGTTTCTTTGCCATTTTAGAATCAATGAGGGGTGAGATGTAGTAAAAGCCTTCTAATACTTCTTCAACTTCTTCTTTTGGCAGCTTTTGAGGCCGTTCTGGGAACGAGTCCATCTCCATTATAGTTGACAACCCAACTGGCAAAGGTGGAGGTACCTAAACAAGATAACATTAAACTAGGATAAAATTATTATGTGATATATGTGTAACAAAAATAGTATTCTTAATACATTACAAACTAATACCTATCCTTAAAACGCTATACAATACGTCACAAAACTGTTTAGATTCTCACCGTTCTCTTCTCTACAGCACTCCAATTGGTTCGTCTGAAGAACAAGTGGCTTTGGACTTCAGTGTAGTCGTTGATTCCTTTTCCTATTCTCTTTTCAGGATTCTTCTGAAGTAGTTGCTGAATCAGGTTAACTGCATCTGGACCCACGTGGGACCTTTCGGGGTACTTTATTTCCCGTGTAGCATACTAGAAAGTTTAAAATATTATGTTTGTACAATTAATTGTGCACTGTGACATTTACACAAATAATTGCAAAATAGTAGACAGTGTGTTACAAAAGTACATCAACCTCTTTTTTTTTAATTACAGTAGTTTTTGTCTTTTAAAACTTACCTTTTTATCAACCGCGGGGTCCTCGTTGCTAAACGGCTGTCTGTCGTACATCATCTCGTACATGATGATGCCCGCCGCCCACCAATCAACAGCTTTTGTGTATCCATCTGCTGGATTTAGTGTTTCTGGTGCCTTGTAGCCGGGAGTACCAGCAATTGTGTGGACCTTTTGGTTCATTTTATCAATAAACCTAGCATGGCCGAAATCAATCAGCTTTAAGTAGCCTAAAACATAAGTTTATAACATCTTCTTATAGGAAATTAGTCTTAACATATGTAAAGTAAACAGAAACTACAAAAACTATGATCATATGACATGTTTTATCAGTGACTTACCATTCTTCTCTAACATCAGATTTTCGGGCTTCAAGTCTCTGAACAATATGTAGCTATCGTGTAGATAGCCTACTATAAGCACCAGTTGACTCATAAAGAACTTGGTCAACTGGTTATTAAACTTAATGTTCAACACCCCCAACCTCTCCATGAACGTCAACAACGTGCCGCCGCTGACGTACTCTGTTATGAAACAGAATGTGGACGGCGACTGTACTGCATAGTAAAGCTTGGCGATAAACGGACTGTCGACGTAAGCCAACAAGTCACGTTCTGCCATCAGACAGTCGATACCATGCTCTGTCTGCATGACTACAGCCTTGCTCATTACTTTCATGGCGTAGCGCTGCTTGCGGTCTACGCCGTTGAGCTTGTTCACAAGGTACACCTACAATAATATACAAGTTAGCTTTGTAATATATAAACAAAACGGGATGAGTCAAAACATTCTAATCAGATCGGCGTTGACAACATTTAGAAGAAGTTGGGCTGAAACACTGTGATAAGGCCTTCTTATCGTTAAATGTGTGAACCGTTATCTCCATAGCTTTTAGCCAGCGGCTAGAAACTGCCATAAAAGCTAGGTTTAAAGCATTTTGCATCTAACATACTTAGAATGATCTTTTAAACGTACAACAATAACTTTATGTCAATTTAACGACACAAAACTTACATTAGCAGAACCCCCAAAGCTCAAGAATTCCTCTACTTGGAAGTCGGATTCCTGAACAAACTCCATTTTATTTCCACAGTCGATAAACCAACGAAGAGATCACCTTTAGAGTTGATATTCAAACGAAGGAATGAATAGTTTCGATTGGCAATTGTGTTAATATGTTTATTTGTGCCTTTTTGCGCGACATTTCTTTTTCTTCGATAAGGCTGTCTTAACGCGGACTCTTTGTACAAAAAGAGAACTTTTTTGTGCTGATCGCGAGAAAGATTTGAATCTGGCTAAGGTTCATAATTGCGACCTGAATAAGTAATAAATATAAGTATATAATTATTTGAAAGATTTCTTTAAGGTATGCACAACACTACATTGTAATACGATAATACTTATAGGTCAGTGTAGCAGATTATTTCTTTTAACCGACCTTGAAGAGATCATAAAGAGATGTCTGCATACTCGACCACCATAAAGCTGTAACTGATCTCCAAGGCCTATGATTGTATTAACAGAATCCTAAAGGTAAATACAGCAACACCTCACGCGATCCTTACACATAATGTCAATCTGATATTAACCACAAAAACATAAGTTTATTACACGTTATTATAGATGAATATAACTGAGAAAACATCATTTTTACAAAATGAAAGGTTAGTTAGGTTAAATTGAGATATTGATATGGAATAACATTCATTTTAAAGTATGACAACTGAGAATTACTGATAGATAACAATATGAAAACCAAATGAAACCAATTTAGCTACAGAAGTAGCTGGACCAAATAATATAAATATATATAAATATTAAACCACATCTGAATGACTAGTATAACATAGTTGACTGGAAGTTGCAAATATCGTCGATACCTATATCTTCAGTTAGAGATGGGTGAGTGTATTCGAAGCCATCAAAGTTGTATGATACCGACTTACACGGTCCCAGAAAGCCGACAGCCGGTTCTACAGATGCGACCAGAGTCTGCGATAGATCGCCTAACGGTGTTGGCAGCTGAAATTCATTAATTATAGAAAGAACAGTTCTGCCCTTACTAAAGTTAACACAACAGTGCCTTAACTAAACGTCAAAAACTTATGTAAACAAACAAATTGTTGTGACAATCAATTAAGAGTTCAAATTAGACCACAGAAAAATTCTGCAAACTTTTTGACCGGCCGATAACAATAAAGTTATCCCAAAGACATACCGTTTGTGCCTCCAAGGCTGCCCAATCGTAGTTTGAGTAGTACGGATGATACCGTATCTCGAGGAAGTCATCATGACCAGCTCCCAACCTGCTGTTGAAGTCAGGATGCAAGAACTCCTGAACAACTTCCCACGACTTCTCATCGAATTTGATCTTGGTCGATGTTTTTGGTAGTTCAATTTTGCCTTCAAGGATCTAAATTTACATGTTTTACAACAGCTTTAAAATTACAAAATTATATAATTACAGTACCCTTCTCCACAGTAAACGAAGAAAGATCAAAGATTTACCATTTTGTCCAGAACATTTTCATCAGGATGATCGTAAGGCACGGTACCGTACAACATGTCGTACATCATAATCCCCAAAGCCCACCAGTCACACGACCAAGTGTATCCTTCAGTGAAGTTAACCATCTCTGGGCTCTTGTAAACTCTGGTTCCACAAAAAGTATACATCTTGTGATTGTAGTCGGTTATACCACTGGTTGCGTGCCCAAAGTCGACCAGTTGAAGATAGCCTAAAATTAAATACAGTGAATATAAAGCCTAAACAAAGACTAACCCAACCTAAAAATCTTTAAGACAAATACATCGATTTATTACCCATAAACCAAGTACAATATTCCCTATACTAAGTTGTGCCCTTTAATATCCTTTAAAATACAAACAACAAAAATATAAAGCAATATCTTACCCGTATCAACGCGTACCATCATGTTCTCTGGCTTCAGATCCCTGAAGACGATGCCACGATCATGTAGGTATCCAAGGATCATGGCGATCTGACAGACGTAGAACTTGGCTACTTCTGGACTGAATACTCCCATTTTGTTCATAAATTCGAACAACTCACATCCATCCACAGGATCCATCAAGTAGTACAAGAAGCTGGGAGTCTGGAACGTGTAGTAGAGTTGAGGAAAGAAAGAAACTCCAGCCACTTGTAACATGATGTCTCTCTCGTCCATAACACCTGCCTTCAAGATGGGATTGTGGACAACACGACCTTTGTTAATTTGCTTCATCGCATATTCCTTGGATTTGTCTTTTCCAGTCATCTTACGGACAAGTATTACCTAAAATTATATTTTGCATGTCAAATCATACCTAAACTTCTAAACTATAAGCTGAAATCAACTGTTTTTAATAAAAGACGTACTGTATTGAAATATCCTGCTATTTCTACATACTATAATTCCGAATTCATCATATAAATTCAAGAAGAAAACAGAAAAGATGTACAACAACATACAGTGAGATGAAGGAGATTGACTCAATTCAAGAAAGCTGAACTTACTTTGCCAAAACATCCTTCGCCCAATGTTCTGATCACTTCGAAGTCGTCTTCACCCACACTCATCTTGTTCAGTACCTAGATTCGTTGAAGAACAGGCGAACCGTCGACGAACAAGGGCTCTAAAATACGACGCTTTGCGCGGCAGAATTGTGCGCGTGAGAGAGCAGAGAGGAGGAGAGAGCGGCCAGAGAAAGAAGCCAATTGTGACATTTTGTATATTTTTGGCGGTAATTTAGGTAAATCCTGGATTTTCGAAGGTAATTGAGAATGTGGGAATGTCTTAATGAAAAAAACCATTAAAAAATTCAAAAAATAATAAATTTTGTTATAGTACACAAAGGTGAACTTTTAGTTTTATGCTATAACTTTTTTCCAATAAATAAGTAATGATTTGATATTTCTGGGATTTTAGATTATCTACATTGCACCAACCGAACATTTGTTTGTCGTATATACGAATATATTTAAAATATTACAACTCTTAGTTATTTTTAAATGTCTCACGCTACTATAATATAACATTTTATTGTAAGATTTTACATAGTTACTAACAATCAGGTTGTGATTACTATTCATTGAGACTGCCACTTTGCTGTAATATCGTTTTAATTGACTCGACACAATAAATTCGAGACTACAATTCATGTTACCCTTGCGAGTTTAATCAGTGCTGGAATGGGGGAGTTTATTGTCTCAAAAGCCATCAAATTTCAAAGCCTTGGGGATCCCAGAGAGGTAAGGGAGTGATAAGAGATTCCAAATATATTTGAAAGTATTGTTTGTATTTTACTGGTTAATTTTAAAGTTTTAACATATAAAGGTTGTAAAATAAGTAAAAACAAGGATTATACCTATATTAGTCTGTAATACTACCAGTTTAGACTTTATCGCTAACAACAGAAAAAGTAAAGACTTCGTTGGATGAACGAGAAGTTCTGATCAGATGGATTGCCAGCCCCGTGAATCCGGCTGATATTAACATAGCCAGAGGGGTGTACTTTTACAAAAGATTACCTCCAGCGTCGCTTGGAATCGATGGCTTTGGAATTGTTGAGAAAGTAAGACGCTGCAGTAAAAGTTATTGCTCAGTTGATTAGTTTACTACTTATATTTCTTTATACTCTGCTGTCATAATAGCATTATAATATTGTCATAAATAATACAAAAGTTTGTCACAAAGTCTCGTAAGTAAAAAATAACATTGTTTCCCATTCAGGTAGGTCAGAATGTGTCGTACGTGAAGCCAGGAGATCATGTCATGCCGTTACATCCTCACATCCAAGGTGGTTACTGGCGAGAGTACCAAGTACTACTAGATGATGGTATCTACAGACTGGACAAGAGATTACCGTTGGAAGCGAAGGGTACATTGACAGCCAACGCTGCTACTGCTTATCTGATGTTGAAGGAATATGTCAAACTGACAGAAGGCGACTATGTGCTTCAGAATGCAGCGAACTCACAGGTTGGCAGAGCTGTCATCGAAATATGTAAAGGTAGGTCTGTTTTACTTTAAAACACACTTTTTGTAAGGCTCGAGCAGGGCCTGACCCCCTGTCGACACCAAATTTTTTTTGCTTCAAATTGCTTCAAACCTTCACCAATGGGTATTAAGGTACTCATAAATCGCTTAAACAGAAAAATTGGGGCCAATGAAGAATCGTTACCCAGTGCATTATAGTTCCCAACGGTGCATAACCGTTCCCCCAATTATTTATTTTTATATTTTAACATCTTCAATTTAGAAATAAACTTTGAGCGGTGGTGCGTTGGGGAGAGATAGATAGTAAAGGGTTAAGGAACAATAGTAGAGCGTTGGGGAACGGTAGTAAAGCGTTGGGGAACGATAGTAAAGCGTTGGGGAACGGTAGTAAAGCGTTGGGGAACAATAGTAAAGCGTTGGGGAACGATAGTAAAGCGTTGGGAAACGGTAGTAAAGCGTTGGGGAACGATAGTAAAGCGTTGGGGAACGATAGTAAAGCGTTGGGAAACGGTAGTAAAGCGTTGGGGAACGATAGTAAAGCGTTGGGGAACGATAGTAAAGCGTTGGGAAACGGTAGTAAAGCGTTGGGGAACGATAGTAAAGCGTTGGAGAACGATAGTAAAGCGTTGGGGAACAATAGTAAAGCGTTGGGGAACGATAGTAAAGCGTTGGGGAATGATAGTAAAGCGTTGGGGAATGATAGTAAAGCGTTGGGGAGTCATAGTAAAGCGTTGGGGTATGATAGTAAAGCGTTGGGGAACGATAGTAAAGCGTTGGGGAACGGTAGTAAAGCGTTTGCGAATAATAGTAAATTGGAATACGTAGTCAATTACCTCGAATACTGTGTTTTATGGCGTAAAGTTCGGTGGCCAAAACCAGGATCCTTGAGCCCATTGTACGCCATCTGTGTCGAGACCGAAAGGTTAGAGTTCGAAAAGTAGGTACCATGACGAATAGAGCGGGTTCAGCAATCAGTACTTCCGTTTCGACATCTCCACTACAACAACATATGATAAATATAAACAACTAATTTACCATGTATTTATCGGCCAGTTTAGACTTTTTTGACAACTTCATAATCGACGAACATTGCTGGCACGAATAAGCCGGTGGGAGAAGAGAGTTGTCTATTATGGTCTGAATAGCAGAAACTGGTTCCATGCTGTACTAGTTTTTTGCGGTGATTTGGTATATGCTTGCCCCTCTTGTACCGTGTTCCATTTTTCGACCATCCCAGACCAAATTGAAAGAAAGAATGAAAAGCCATCATGAAAATGAAAAAATGTGTGAAGCAAAAATTTACATAGGTTTATTTATTCTCACCGTGGGGAACGATTATGCCTTTATGAGTGGGGAACGATTCTTCGATTTTGTGGGAACGATTTTGCATGAGCGCCGAAAAATTTTTTTCAAAGATACAGTAGTCAGGTGTACTGTAACTTCACTACAATTTTTATATCTCTGGAACGAATAACGCTAGAACGATGCGGTTTTCACTATAATGTAGGGCATACAAAATAATGTTAATTTGTAGTTTACACCAAGTTTCTATTTCTTTTGAAAGTTATTTTACAAAATGAAAATGTAGCAAAAGTTACAGTAATCCAATCATACCTCAAAACTGAAGCACCTATGTAGTTCTTTTTTATTGGTGATTCTAAAACTGCATTTTTTTGCGGTTTTAACGCACCTAAAAACGTTTCAAAAAAGTGTTGTTATGGGGTGCAAAAGTGCATTTGAATTTTGCACATCGCAATTTTTTTTTCAAAATTAAAAAAAAGTTTTTTTGACGTTGCAAAAATGTAGTGCATAAAAAACAACGTTACTTTGTACATTACACCAAATTTCTATCTTGTCTACAAACATTGCATTTGAAGTTAACACATTGCAAAATTTTTTTTCAAAAATTAAAAAAATTTGTTTCGGCTTTGCAAAAATGTTAAACATAAAAAATAACGTTACTTTGTACGTTACACCAAATTTGTATTTTGTCTACGAATATTTAAAAATTTTAATTTTCATAAAAGTTACAGTAACTAGAAATATCTCAAAATAAAAGCACTTTGTTCGCTTATTTTTATTTGTTATTATTACTGCATTTTCGTGCGGTTCGAGTGCACATAAACACGATGCACAAAAGTGTCGAAATGGGGTGCAAAAGTGCATTTGAAGTTTGCACACTGCAAAAAATTTTTTTTCAAAAACAAGAGATTATTCTCAAAACCCTTGAAAACTATAATTTGATAATTTTCTACATTTTTGCAAAGTCGAAACAATTTTTTTTTAATTTTTGAAAAAAAAAATTTTTCAATGTGCCAACTTCAAATGCAATGTTTGTAGTCAAGATAGAAATTTGGTGTAATGTACAAAGTAACGTTTTTTTTTATACACTACATTTTTTGCAACGTCAAAAAAAACTTTTTTTTAATTTTTTGAAAAAAAAATTGCGATGTGCAAAATTCAAATGCACTTTTGCACCCCATAACAACACTTTTTTGAAACGTTTTTAGGTGCGTTAAAACCGCAAAAAAATGCAGTTTTAGAATCACCAATAAAAAAGAACTACATAGGTGCTTCAGTTTTGAGGTATGATTGGATTACTGTAACTTTTGCTACATTTTCATTTTGTAAAATAACTTTCAAAAGAAATAGAAACTTGGTGTAAACTACAAATTAACATTATTTTGTATGCTCTACATTATAGTGAAAACCGCATCGTTCTAGCGTTATTCGTTCCAGAGATATAAAAATTGTAGTGAAGTTACAGTACACCTGGCTACTGTAACTTTGAAAAAATTTTTCTGTTTAAACAATTTATGAGTACCTTAATACCCATTGGTGAAGGTTTGAAGCAATTTGAAGCAAAAAAAATTTTGGTGTCGACAGGGGTGCTCGACCATTATAAAAAGGGTGTTTTAACAAGGAAGGTACCCGACCTGCAACGCTCAGATTTCGGTCAAACTTTTTTTATTGAAAGGTCACGTAAATGTAAGATGTTATGCAAAATTCTAAGTTGCGGTTTGCGGCCAGTCTTGAGAAAATCGAGATCGAAAAATCGCGTTTTGAATTTCCCGCCAAATTGGCATTGTGTTTCAAGCTTATAACTTTGCCATTTTTTGACTTTTAATCATTTTTCTTTAATATGCTAGTAAAAAACCTTTAAATGAACCTACATTTTTAAATTTGTATGTTTATCTTGGCTGGAAAGTCGAAAAAAGTGCTTGAAACACAATGCCAAATTTGCCAAATTGGCGGGAAATTTAAATATTTAAAATTTAAAACTCAAAAGCGCAAGCTAAAATTTTTCATAGGTACTATTGGTACTACAAAGAATCCGTATAAAAATTTTGAGCTGATTCTGAGAGTTGCAGGTTGGGTACTTTCCCTGTAAGTTTGATAACCATTGTGAAAAGAAGGTTTATAGTGATCTGGTCGGTGTAATTAAGTTATGATTTGATTAATATCTTAGCATTTGGCTACAAGTCCATCAACGTCATCCGTGACCGTAAAGATGTAGATGACCTTAAGCAAGAGCTCAAGTCTCTTGGCGGAGACTTTGTTTTCACAGAATCTGAATTCAAATCCATCGGTCGAGACTTGATTAAAAACCTTGACCGACCATTAAAACTATCGATAAATGGAGTTGGCGGGAGGAGTTCGATACCGATATCGGCCAACCTCACCAAGTTTGGCACGATGATTGTGTACGGTGGCATGAGTCTGAAGCCACATGAAGTGCTGACTTCATCCTTGGTCTTCAATAGCATCAAGATCATCGGATTCCAGCTGTTCGATTGGTTTGGCGTGGATCAGAGTGACTTCAGGAAGGCTACGTACGACGAACTCACGGTAAGGATCTGTATTGAAATTCGTGGATGTTCAACTGTGTACTTTATTAATAGCATTACGTCTTAGATACATATATTACTTTAGAATAAGTAAATTTTCGTTAATCCTTGTTACAGAAACTGTTTCTGGCCAACAAACTCCATCCAAGCCCCATGGAGAAAGTCCCAATGGAAGGATTCAAGGAAGCTGTAGCCAAAACAATGGCTGGCAGCAATTTGAAACAGTTGTTGATGATCTCAAAGGATTACTATAGTCAAATTTAAAGGTTATTATTACTAATGTTATAAAGCGTCTTTTTAGGCTAAAAGTAAAGAAAAGAACCTATAATTACAGTAGATTTCATTTAAAAAATCACGGTAAGCACTATGAAATTACTGTGCAGGTATCAATGTTTTCCTATACTACAGATACCATCAAATATTTTTTAAGTCAAGATGTATTTACGACCATACACAACATACCGAGCTAAAATTTTGTTTTATTTCAATAAATAACAATAATTTAAGTAAGTAGGAATGTAGAATGCGGAATGTTGTTTACGCAAAGAGACCTCAGATACGATCCTTTAGAGAAGATAGACACGATTCAGTGAGGTGTGGTGATAGCATTTACATGGGCAGGTCCTTCTTGGCCGACTTCATCGACTGACACGACCAGGTAACGATCAGACCGCTCAGCATGACGCACACCAACGACATCGAGGCGATCATCGACACCAGCCACGTGTTGTTCATGCACACCATCTCGTTGGCTTCGTATACGCTGGGGGTGGGAGCACTAAAACAAAGTCGATTATATAAAAGCAAGAGGTACTACAATATTAAACAAAGATAAGTTAGAAGAACGACTTGTACTAGTCAAACTATATTAATATTACATTGAACTTACCGTTGGGCGAAGATGGTGCCATTCTTGTAGAACTTGTCACCGTCGAGTTCATCTTCTCCTTCGGCCAAAACCCTGATGATGGCCGACAAGGTCTCCTTGGAAGCTTCAGCCTCTTCCATCGCCAAGATGGACCTCTTCTTTCTTCCGTGAGAGATGAACAACTCGTTGGTACCAGAGTCCAAGCAGTTCGATGGTGGACAACCATTTGGTCCAGCACAGAACATAACTTGACATTGGATCTGAACATCGTACGAACCATCCAGACGGAAGGCCTTCATGTCAGCCTTTAGTCTGTTGTGGGTGAAGTCTTGTTCAACTGGTCCAACTAGGGCAGGGTATCTTGGACATCCGTTGTCGATGATGGTGAATGGCACAGCGTCGCCTTCTCCTCCAACTCTGGTGGCTACACACTCCGTGACCATCATGTTGTGAGGTCCGGCTTGTTCCGAAGTGATGATCATCTGGATCTGGTCGCCGATGGAGGTCTTTCCAAGAGGCTGATCAGCAGCATCCAAGAAGGTGAGCTGAGCTGTGATTGGAGGTGGAGTTCCAACGTCCAAGACCTGAGTGTTGGCTTCTCCAGTCTCGAAGAGGGTGGTGACAACAACACTGCCTTCTTGCTGCATCTTGTCCATGGAGACATCGCAAGAGATCTTGTAGAATCTGTCCCATTCAGTGGTAACTTGGTGAGGAATGACACCGTCGATGGATACAACAACCAAGGCTTCCAGTTTACCGTCAACGATCTTGGTGCCACAGTTGGTGGACACGGTTGGTGGAGGGAAGGTGATGGCAATCTGCTTGGCATTCTCGACCACCTGAGAGCAGGTGCTGAACTTCTCGGCGGCGTAGATGGCTCCAGTATAAGGTTCCTTCGTGTTGACGATGAATCTGATTCCTTCGTTGGTACACAAAGCCATACCTCCAAAAGCGGCTTCTAAAAAGTGAAAATGCAATATTAGCCAATAGTTACCTCAAAATAACATACAAACTCTTAAGATTGCAAAAACGTCATGTAAATTATAATAATTCTTACCGCAGTTGAACTCGTAGTAGTCGAAGCTGGGGTTGGCCTTGGTGTTGGCCTCGCTCTTGCTGGTGCTGTAAATGTGACAGTTCATCTGGGTACGATCATAGTTGATGGACTTGCAGTTCAAGTTCTGGAAGCACAACGAAATACAGTCGGATACTGTAACACCGGCAGCCGAAGCGACTGGAGTGCCTTCAATAGAAACACCGATGAATCTCTCGAAAGCAGCTTGTTGACGGCATGTTGAAGAGCTCAAGTCCGCTGAAATAATAAGGTTTTGAATAATATTCTTTATAAGTTTTACCGCAATTCCATTTTGGCCAATAAACATCTATGAAATTTATTTTGGAAGACTCGTCTCAAAAGAGCGAAAGTTGACTCAAAAATAATTTTTGGAATTTTTTTCGAAATTATGTTTTTCAAGACAAATTCTTGTCCAAACCCCTTACCTGACACACAGATGGGTTCGTAGTAGTCCTTTCTTTGGACTGAACCTTGTTGATCAGCACGAGAGAAGGTATCTTCATCAGACACGATGCAGTTCTTCTCCTGAGGGCTGAATTCGACGGAGCGACAGAAGGTGTTCAACGAGTCCAAGCACTTCTGAAGACAATACGACTCTTGGGCTTCGACGGACTGAGTGTGGTCGTAGTATTGGATCTGGAAGTTATTGGTCTTGACGAACACAAGGTTGCCTCCAGACTGGCCACAACGGTTCTGACGAGACAGACAGTTGTTGTCGTAGTAGTCGACTGGCTTGTCGCTCATCTTCAGATGGTTGGGCTTGGAACGGCGGTCTTCTGTGGACAGTTCGCACAAGTAGTCTTCGTAGTTGTAGTTGACTGATCTGCAGATGAACTCCTTCTCGCGGAGACAAGCTGAGAGACATTGTTCACGATTGGCAACCTAGAAAGGTGAAATTAGGTAAGAGTTACATTTTTATGGGGTTCAGGTGTAAATTAATTGAGATATATTAAAGTAGATATTCAGTGACATTATTTTTAATGTTATATATACTTTTAATTGAGGTTTGACCATTTTTCTGTTTTTTTATTGTAATGGATAAACGGGTTTCCTAAACTGATAAAATGATCTCTCTGATCTTATTATTGCGATCATTTCTTTCAAGACCGTAACAAAAAATATTTAAAAGATATTCATTGTTAAAGTGCTCATATTGAGGTCACTAACAGTTATAATCTCAAAGAATTCATTGGAATTGAGGGCAGAGACTTCAGATTCCTCGTGGAGTCAAACGGAGATCCTTATTCAAATGTTTCTTACCTGCACGCTCTTCTTCACGAATCCCTCGAGGGCGGTTTTGCGCATTCTTTCGAATGAGAAGGATCTGTAGGTACAAGCTTCATGAGCCGAGACTCCCGGGAGACAAGTCTTCTCGTAGTAGAAGTTGTTGGCCGATGGGTTGGGGTTCAGTTCGGCGGTACCAGCTGGATGAGCGGCATCATCGAAGAAGTAGCAGGTCTCTCGACCGTCGAAGTTGAATGAAGCGCAGACTCTTTGAGCTCCAGTGGTGGGTTCGATGTTGTTGCGACAATATTGGGCACAGGTCAGATCGTGACCAGCTGTGGACACGACTACTGGGGTTCCATCCAAACGAGCACGGCTGATTCTGATGAAAGCGGCGGTTTCAGCGGCCCCACACTCGAAGACAGCTTCCACTTGGGCCAGGCCCAGGGCTAGCCAGAACAGGACCGCCAAGCGTGTCCTCGATGTCATCGACGCTACAACAACAATATTCAGGTACAAAAAAGCGGTGTTCGGCACGTTAAAAACAGTCGATATCGCGCGATGACCTTATTGATAACGGGGATATATCGAGAGGCAAGGTCACCGATGTTATCCGTTCGTCTACAATCAGTCATGTTCAAAGGGCAAGTGTAATATAGACAAGACTTTTAAAGTCATTAAGTCGAGGGTTATACTTAGGTATTTATATTATGGTTAAATAATAGAAACAAAGTTTATGAAGATCAATTAAAAAACAGAATGCTGAAATATCATAGATTATATTGTTTTAATTAGTTCAAAAACTTTGTAAAACTATCTTTAAAGCGCAATATTGGTCCTAACTTTTGTTTCTTCTAATGACTTATTGACCAAATTTTTATAGATACCTAAAACACTAAAGTGAAAGTGAATGTACACTAAGGAATGTAAATATACTTTGGATAAACACGAAGCGATGCAAATATATTGTGAACGAAACCAAAAGTAAATCAGGTTTTGGGTATAACGGAACGATGATACGCCGACTGACCGTTCGATCACATTAACTGGGTCGGATCCAATTAAAGGGCGTCGTTCCTTTGGTAATTAGGTCAGCGGATCAGCGAGCTAAGCCTAAGGCTCGGTCTAAGACCATCGCACAGCTTAAGGCCGAAGCTCAGGCTCAGTTTGCCAACACACCGAGAATGTTGTAGTAGTTTCAGTAGGTGAATATAATAGTGGTAGCACAATAACAAAGAAAAACAAACAATTCGAACCAAGCCTAGCACACTTGACTGTAAACAATGTACATTACCCATATTTCGATCTACCTTGATCAGTATGTAACATCTGATGGAATCGAAACCCCCGCTCTTAACAGTAAATACAGCAGATAAGTGTAACCCCGACATTCCAGAAAGACGAGCGTTTGTCACATGCCCACTCTTAATGGTTTGGTGAGTCAGTTAACGGAGAGAGAGACGTCGCGCACCCTGACCGACTCCTCCGACTTCTGGATTCGGACAAAACGGGATCTTTTCTCGCCTCAGGGCGCCGTCGAAGAAAGAGAACACCTTGGGTCGGGCATCGTTTGAATCAATTGTGAGCGCCCCTCCCCTGCCCGACCCCGATTCGGGGGACCTTGACCCTCCAGTATCTCCGCCTCGAAGATATGGCACTAGATCAAGCTTCTCGATGTTACACTAGATACCTCCTTTATAGCTGATGGGGAACCAAGGCCTTCAGGAGTCATAAAAGAGTTTTAAGAGATTTGTTTGGTCGCGTGAAGGTTAAAAGCTTGAACATAAAAATAAATTCTAAGAACTTTTAGACCGAATCTGGCATTTTTTTAGTCTTCCGTATCTTGGCTTTAGAATTCATAAAGAAAAAGCAAAACAATTGATCGAAAAATCAAAAATTGCACAGAATTAATTATGCCAAGTAAGCGCAAAAAAGACGATTCTACGAATTTTTTGACCAACACACGTTTCTGCTTTTTGAAAACGAGGATTTCAGAGCTGATATGGACGGTGTCATAGTAATATTAAGTACGATAACTAAAAATTGGAAATGAAAAGATGATGATTTACTGTTCAAATCCACCATGAAGACTCCCAGCAATTAAAAAAAAGCGGTGATAAAGTTTGCAAATCAGCGACAGTAAGAGACGTGAAGCCATCTTGGTTCTCTTCCGTTCAGTCGACATTCCTTTAGCCGATCTGCTGACCTAATTAGAGTCACCGTTCACCGACTTATTTTAATAACTGATGTCGTTCAGTTAGCTTTTCGAATATCAGTTTTATGACGTCGTTTAGGAAATGCACAAATTTGAAAAAAATGGTCTAATACAAATTACAGTACAGCTTACAGTACAAGAGACACTGACTACTGTATAGGAGGAATAACTTTTAGTCAAACTTGGTTGACATTCAAAACTTTCATGTTTATTCTTTAGGTTTAAAGTAACGAAGGCTTTATAAGAACACCGAAAGCCATTTTGTGTAGGTTACAGTAACTTTTTTGACTTTCATTCACATTTGTAGGCTTCTTACAGTTTTAGATATAACTTTCGTTTAAATTTTACATTTTTGGCGAATGATCTTTCTATTCAGAAGATACGATAGAAAAGTGTACAGTAAAAGGTTTAATTTCAAAGACGATTTTAAAATTTTCTGTTAAATTTTAAAAATTTTTCTGGTTCTCTGACGTCTCTTCGTTACTCGTTCTCTCTTGCAAGTTTGTTTATTGAATAAATAAGTTGGATTATATATCCGGATGGAGAAAGTAAACAGATCATTCCTATTCTTAAACTCGATTTCAGTTTGGCTTGATCTAAATATTTTTTTGTGTAAAATACGATGTAAGCGATTTCACATACAACTAGAATTGAATTCACAAAATATTTTTTCAAATCATGATTTTAAGCAGCTAAAAATACTTTAGGGCTCATTTTAAAGCATCTTATAAAGTATTTTATAAATTCACAAACCTGACCTTACTGTACTATTAATTACAATACCTATCAAGCCATGCCTCGGGCACAAACGACAGAATAAATGATTAGAAGCATCGATCACGTCTGCCAAGTTTTTCATGCAGCTGTTTATCAGGCATTTGTTTCGTGTCGGCCTGAGGGGATTAGGCCAAACTGGAATGAAATTATTTGAATAAGATTATTTGGCCATTGTTTCTGGCCGATAAACGGGAAACGGATTGAATTTCGCCTTCTTGGGCGCCTCGAATCAACTTGACTGCCATTTCTAATTGTGGCCGATTGAGTTGTGATTCAGCTATTGTAAGCTTGGCCGAGTTGATGACGTTTTCCGAAAGAAAATTGGATTTCCGGGTGAATAACATGGTGAATATGGTTTGCCCGAAAGGTCACTTCCCAAGGGTCAATCACCGTTCTCACTTTTCGTTTCTGACTCACGGCCAACCCTTTGTTTGGATTTGTTGTTAAAGTTTGTTGGAGCTGATTCGATTTTACTGTTTTTAGTTTTGGCAATTACGATATTATCCTCTAGACCAAAAGGTTCCTGGAATTGGTTCATACGAGTGTGACCGCATTCCTTGCTTTTCTATGTACTAAAAAGTGAGATATTGTAAGAAAAAATACATAAAGTAAGACAATTTTTGAGGAAAATCCAGTACCTTATACTATAAAAGCTTTTATAAAAGAGGTTTGGTCTAGAAAGCCCCTAAAACATGTTTGTCAATCCCACTGCAATGTATTCTTTGACAAAAAGTACCAAAATGATTTGGTGTTCCCAGACGGACGCGTAACAGATTGTCACTTAAACGTCTCTTTGGGTACCCTTATCCAGGTGTTTTAGTGGTATGGGTCCTTTCCCTTAATCCTCGACCTTGAAACGAAGGCTTTCTCTTTTCTTTTCGACCAGGAACAGTTTCGACCATTTCCGCGCGTCTATTTACTCTATTATTTATTCCGGTAATTCAAGGTTTAAACGTGATTTTGTTGTTACTCCTTCGATTTGGGTGGTCGGCCTGAAGTTCCAAATTTTAATATTAAACCTTTTTTTTTAATTTCTTTTTTTTATTTTTACATTCACTAAAATGATAATTTTTCCTTATTTTATAAAATTGACAGAACTTTCTGCACTTTTTGGTTTTTGAAAAAAGTAAACTACGGCTATCTTTAAAGTTAAAAAATCATTTCAATGTTTATTTTTCACCCCTTATCACAAAAAACGGGCAAGACTTCCGCCCCCACTTCCCTCTCGATTTGGCAAGAACATTTTTCGCGACAAACTGTATTTTTGGATAAAATAAATTTTCTACCAGTCGATCTCACGTTTCGCGCCAAAAACGTTCAGTTTCTTGATTTCTCTGATTTGGAACGGCAAGGCAGAACACTTATGATCCTTTAAGCGATTCCCCTCTCCCTCCTTTTTAATTCCCCTCCCCACCCCCTTTATTAATCTCCCCCCCCTTTTTAATACCGAAATTGTGCTCTTTCCCCAATTTCAATATGTAAAACAATATTGTTTGCGTCATAGTTTTATTGGTACCCGTTATCTTACCCATTATCATCCGTCTTTCCTGTTCGCTGGTCTCTTTCTCTGGATCGGCTTCGAATAGCCGTTCACTCATCGAATGTTCGAATCCGTGTAGCGTGTCGTCCTGCAAGTTGCTTCCGTTTTAATCACGTCATTATATTATAGTTGATTGGTTCAGTAAAAGTTATTATTTTTTTCGGTCCAAAATTAAATAGAAAAACCAAAGAGAATAACTGACTTATCGTTTAAGGCTTTTCTACAAACTTTTTGACCAAAATGTAAACTATCTTATGTTAGAACATTACCAATTCTTTTCCACAAACTTTTTGACCAAACCAATAACAACAAAATGTCATAACATGTCAGACCTACCTCATCTACCTCCTTCACCTTGATCTCGAGTGCTTTCCCTGGCAGTTTCTGAGTTGGAACTTGTTCGAGGAGTGAGTGGGTCTTGTGGGGGGTACCTACCTTCTTCCTGCTCTTACTCTTGACTTTGCCCTTCCTCGACTTCTTCTCTGACGCTTCGTCTTCCGAATCGACCAGAATCCCTGATTTCCCAAAACACATCCTACAGTACCACCAATTAACAATTCTACGAGAAATACAATGACAAAAGATATTGTTTTTGCTTCTCTTCTTTTCGTTTTGGCCCACTTTTTGTAATTGTCAGTAAAATTTTGTTCAAATTTATTGCTGATCTTGTTATAGAGTTGTGGACCGTAACTTTTATGTAGTACTACAACAGTCGTACTGGTTATACCTTTTGTTAGTTTAAAGACAAGTTAGTTTTGGCACAACCCTAAGAGTTTTAAGAATCTTAAAATAATGTGCACTCTGAAACTCTCGAATTAGCATTTCGGGACATTAATTTAAGTGACGGCTTTTAATGCCCTCGAGTGTTTTGAGATTTTCATGGAGGGAAATCTGTTTTTTGAATCTCCGACACTTAATAACACGACTTTGTTGTGTCGAGGCAGCCTACCACTACCTCCAATTCGAAAACGAGGTCGTCGGCTGGAGAAAGCGGTAAAAGGGTGACTCATCTCCTGGGTCCACGACTTCTGAAGCAATACTAGTATAATACCAGGTCTTTTATGTAGTGTTAAGTGATGGTGATTGTTAATTTTCTGTAGATGTTTTTTGTGATTGTTCGATTGTGGTAGAGAGCAAGATTTACTTACATAGCTTGAAAACCTCTACGGGAGACTGTCTAATCGTACGTTTATTGTAGCATAAGATATCGAGTAACATCCACGAGTGCCTTGCCATTACCATTGAGAACATCTTGATAGGTGATCGATTTCCTTTCCCGTCTCCGAGCAACTCCTCCTTCTTACCTCACCTTTTTGTTTCTGAATTTATGCATTTTTAAGTCGTGTCACATGCCGCCCCTCGGTATACAAACATATAAATCTACAATTTGAATATTTGTTTGCCAGCTTTGTTTCAGTGTTTGTGGTGGAATTAAGGTTTTTATTATTTTTGCATTTGCTTTGTAACGTGTAACGCTTATATCTTTCAACTGTGTTTTGCAGGTTTAGTTATAGTAGGCGTTAAAAAGATTTGTGTTTTGTGGCACTACTTTATGTTATCATTTACTTTTATATTAAGGATAAGGTGGGTTTGACAAAGTTGAATTATGCGGGTTTGGCATAGTACTGCAACCTTCTTTCTCAACAAACAAAGTAAATTTTTGATTTCTTATCAGAAGCCTTTGATCTTTTACACGGCATTTCAATATTTTAAATCTGGGAACCTCTTCAAAAAAGGCCTGCAACCCTATGCCAACTAGCGTTAAACCAAAATTTTAAATTTATAAACGAAGCAAGAAGTTTCAAGACGTTAAAATACGATTTCTTTTGATATTATACTCACTTTCTCTATGCAACATACCTTTTATGACGTCACCAAACAATAAATACCACAATTTGACTGGTAAAAAACATAATGTACCATGGTGAATATTTGTTTGTTGACCCCATTTCCGCTTTGTCACCTGAGTTTGCTCTTCTACTTTCCCCTAAGGCGATAATAATGTCCCCGACCGGTTCGCGAACCTTTTTGGGAGGATTAACGCATTTTAATAACCAAACCATTTCTCCCCCCAAAAGTAGTCCATTTCTGAATAATCCCCGAAATTCACTTTCCGGATGCCCTTTTTTAAGCCTTTTCCGCTTTTGTCGGAAAACGATACTCACTCAGCACCAAGGATAAGTATGCTTTTTGTTTGCAAATTCGGTTGCTCTCAGCGTGAGAGTAGAGTAAGGTCGAATATGCCATCTCTTGTCGACCTGTGATTTCGAAGCTTCCCTTAACCGAATCTAAAGTACCTTTTACTGCGAATATGTTAGCCATGGTTTCGTATTATTTACTTAAACATCAATATGTTCTCGTTTTATGCAAATGTAATTACTTTTGGTGATATAACTTAAAACTTTTACTTAGCTCCTCACAATTAATGAAAATCGAGAAAAACTACCCCATATACGCTTTGGTACTGTATATTATTCACGAAAACACTGACCTTTTGTAAGGGCAGATTTTTAATTAAGAGATTACCTTCGAAATCCGTCACACATGTTTATCTAGCCACTATTTACAATGCTGCCCTTTATACCGAAAATAACAAACGAGTAAGTATAATCCAACTTTCGAATCCCTCTCAGCCTCTAAAGTGGCCAATTTTTGCGGCCGTTCTATTGTTTGGGGCCGTTCCGCTATTCAAAACATCTAGCAGATTAAATAGACTTTAGGCTTTTCGTTTCCTTAAAATTTCGGGTTTTCCGAAGAAATTATCCCTCCGGCAGTCTATGATAATATAAAGATGAAAGTCCCAGATGCCAAATTCTACTGGCTTAATTAAATAACACTTCATTCAATGTAAAAAGTAATAATGAGCCCTTCTTTCAGATTTTAGTTTATGCGGGGGTTCAATTTCCCTTTTTTTATAATTTTGCGATTCCGTCTAGAAAATGTGTCGTAGTGACGCGTTTTGTTTGGATAAAAATGTCTTACATTCTTAAAGAATGCGTTTTTTAAAAATATGTTGATAATTAATACATCAATGAACCTGATATCTTTTGTACATTTACTTACTTTTCTGTTTTGTGTCGCGATGACGGATTTTGTAGAAAGGTCGGCGTCTCCCGATAATTAATAAATTTACTTTAGACTAACCTTATATTCTGATGGGAAGGGAATAACCAACGAATAATTAGTATGGCATTTCGAAAAGCTGCCACTAACGACTTTCAAGGCCATTTAAAAGGTAGGTTACAGTTTTCGACTTTGTTACCTTAAAACCAATTTCCCGGTTATTAAAATTGATATCTAAACTTTTTCAGATATCAGACTTCAATTATTAGACCAAATAAAGTGTCTAGAGAATCGAACCGAGACTCAGATCAACATTTATCATGAGATCAACGATTTTTGTAAGAAAAAGGCAGAACTCGACCAAGAATATTCGAAATCGCTTGACAAATTGGTCAAAGGTGTTATGATCAAGTACAAGAACGAGAAGAACAAGTAAGTTAGCCCGTCATTCTTTTACAATGTTTAGGAGAAACCAATGGATGATATATTCTCCATGCAATCTGTTCATGCAGTTAGTAGACGATACCAAGGAAGAAGCCAAGAACAAAGCCGTGATATCTGAAGTTATGGGCTCTTTTGCTACACAGTCTATCAATCAAAAGTGCTTGCAGATGCAAAAGGTTGCAAAGAAGGTGAGGTTGACATTAAAAGAGGGTTTGAATATTAATTTATTTTTTAGATAACAATTTTTTTATTTAGGTATTGACTCTTATCTAACCTAATGTTTCAATTTTCAGTGTCGTGAGATTGGAACATTAGCTCAGGGTGAAATAATTCGAGTTCTAAACGAGTTGAACTTATCCATGAAGACATATTTCGAGTGTTTTGAAGAAGCTCAAGCAGTCAAAAACAAGTTGTTATTGGCCGAAGAGAAGAACAAGCTCAATGAAAGTACAGGGAAGAAGCAGAAATCACTTCAAAAGAACTTGACTAAGGTAAATTACCTTTTAAAGATATATAACCACATATAAATTTGTGTTATCAACAGCCACCTGTTTTTGACTATGAAACTTTTAAAAAGGATGTTATTCTAGCTAATTATTTTGTTTATTTCTTCTTTCAGAGGACGGAGAAATACGATGCGGCTAAACAGAAGTGTTCGCGAGCACGAAACGAGTACTTGTTATGCATTGATGCAGCCAATGCTGCTTTGCACAAGTTCTTTGCTGACGACTTGAGTGATTTAATCGACTGCACGGATGTCGGCACTGATTATTGGCTTAGTTTGTTGCTGGACAACATCATTACAGCTCGGAAGGTGGCTTGTCATGGTGAGATGCAAGCATTGGCACAGCTAAATGAATATCGACAGAGTATCGCCGAATGCGAGCGACACAAATGTGACAAACAGAGATTCTTTGAGAGTCAGAACAGTACCTTCATGTTGCCAAGGATGTTCGAATTTAGGTAAGGTATTTCCAAATATTAACTCTACTTTTAGATAAAATTTTTTTCTAAAAGGTAGAGATCTAATCAAATTCCGTTTCTTTTTAGAGCTGATCAAGCCGAGAATGTCAGTCATATTGCACTTGACGATGGTTTGTGTGAAGACTTGAACAAACGTCATCAGCAGATGAGAATCAGATTAAAATCATTGAGAGAAGAGTCGGAAAAGACTTCGGAACAACTGATAATGACTCAGCAAAGAGTCAGAGAGATATTGTCACAACAACAAGCGGTAGAAGTGACCAGCAAAGGTGTTGTTGACCATCGACCAGCTGTCGATGTCACTGAAGCTGAACTGGACCAAGCTTTAGATGAATACTGCTCACACTTCAGCTTCTTCCTGCTCAATGCCAATCTGATTGTGAGGTTGGAAGCTAGAGCAGATGGAATTGAGAGAGCATTGGAGTCGTTTGATCCTGAGACTAATACTCAAAGTAAGTCATCAAGTACAATGTTATACTTGTGTTAACATAACTAATTTCACAAAATTTAGAGTTTTTTTGTACTTTACTGCTGAAAAACCATGAAAATTTTGATTGATCACTTATTGTCATGTTATTATAAAGTCTTTGTTGACATACTAATTCCACCAATCTTTGAAAAACAAGCCTAAATTAACCCTTTTGAAGCTAAAATTGTTTTAAAACTTTTATGTTTGAATTTTTCTTACAATAGTTTGGTCGAAAAGCTAAACTTTTTGATCTAACTCACTCTTTGGCATCAGTTTTGGTCGAAGAAGACCGTAATATTTGACGTTGGACTAACTGAGTCTTCAAGAAATTCATGTTTCAACTGTTTCAGTCCAGTTGCCGGCCCGGGAGAATGGAGAACAAGTAGCAGAATGGCACGCCAAAGAACGGCGGAAACTCAAGATCGGTATGGGGAACACGGCATATCTTCAGAATACGGAGCATCAGACAGCCGACTATCGACCGTCGACCGGTTCTCAAGCCAAGAGCAGTTTGAGCAGCTTGTAAGTCAAGGTTTAGGTATTAATTCGGATTGTATTTGAGTAATCTATTGATTTTGGGTATTTTTGAGAGATCGCTGGTATATTATAGTAGCTTTCACGGAACAACGATACAAATCAGTACTTTATCGTATCTTACAGTACTTTATTTGTAGGGGAACGGACTCGAAGCACACTCCCCCATCGACGTGCACCGACTCCACTCCACCCTTGAACGGTTCGCTGAGCAACGACGTGCCCGTGGGGGTGACTTCCCCCGCCCTCCAACGGCGGTTTTCTCATCAGCCCCCTCTTCTCCTCAAACGGCCCCGGCTCTTCGGAGGGGCTTTGGACGAGTACGTTCGACAGACTGGCGAGCAGATTCCACTGATCGTGATTTCCTGTATCAAAGTTCTGTCTCAGTACGCGCTGCACCATCAAGGCCTGTTCCGGGTCAGTGGATCTCAGGTCGAAATTAACCGCATTAAGGAAGCGTTTGAGGAAGGTATGTTAATGTTGAGTGTTTTGCCATTTTGAGGTGCTTTTGAATTTTTTATGGAATTTTTAGTGTTAATTATAACGAAAGAATTAAAATTGGATAAGATACACAAGATATAAGGTTGCTTAAAGGTGTCATCTACAATTTTAAAATCATTTTTTAGGAGATGACCCTTTGTCTAATGTTCGGAACGCGAGTGACAACAATTCCATTGCTGGTACTCTCAAGTTGTACTTCCGAGAGCTTCGAGAGCCAGTCTTTCCATTTTTCATGTTCGAACGTATCACTGACTGTGCCAAATTGACAAACATTGAAGAGTTTATATCAAAGGTAAGTCAGTGTAATATTATTGTTTTTAAAACTGGTATAATTGTTGTTTTACGTAATATTGATCTTTTAGATTACTGAGCTTATCAACAAACTACCTCCTTCATCCTACCTCTTACTACGGTATTTGTTCGCCTTCCTCAACCACGTCAGCCAGTTCTCGGATGAAAACATGATGGATGCCTACAACTTGGCCATCTGCTTTGGCCCCACTTTGTTGAGGATTCCAGAAACCAAGGACCAAGTGTACTACCAGAACTACGTGAATGATGTGGTTAAGAATCTGATTCTCTACCACCATCGTATCTTCTCCAACAAGGTCTCTGGCCCCTTGTACAACAGTATGAATCCAGGATTCATGGCCGATGACATCGAGAAGTTCGCTGACGATGGAGACGAGATGTTTGGTCAAGGGGTGGCAGGATTATCGACTACAGACACTCTGGCTACAGTATCTACACTTAATGAGAACGGCTCAGTCAATCTGAATTCCCTCAGGTGAGATCAGCTTGTTTTTGTTTGTCGTGCACATATATTGTGATACTGTAGATTGCTAATGAGTGTGTTCTATGAACAGTTGTATAAATGTCACTTAGAATGCACTAAGCTTTCTGTAATATGGTTTTTGTGAATTGAACTTTAAACTTACAATAACTCTATATTTTGTGTTTGTAGGTATGCCTTGACTTCAGAGCCAAGTTCGTCGGCAGAAGTTGAAGATCGTCTTCAAACCTTGAGGAACACAGATGTCTCCACCAACTTCCACTACTCGTCTTCCGAGAACAGTGTCCGAAGCACGACTGGTCGAAAGTCAATTTGCGTGGGGGATGAAGGTCGATGTGAGGAGCGACGCTCTTCCTTGATGTCTCCCGTCAGCGACGGCACTCTTGTAGGCTGTCACCATGAAGCCAGGAATAACAATGTAAGTACCAGCTTCTGACCGTCGCTTTCTGTGTAGCACTGTAGAATGTGTTAGATCAGCCAGCTTATGTATGATATTATTGTTAAGCAGTTTTATCTTTGCTTAATGTTGATATTGAAGACATTAATTTGCTTAGTAGTAGACTATATACGACTAGATATGTTGCTTACAGTCAGTATAATAATATTTTGATATTCAGCTTGAAATTAGTGTTAGTAATGTTGCTTTAAGTGTGTTAACTCAATTGTTTAGAAGACTCAGCTGAAGGTGGATTTGAACCAGAAGGACGACGACTCAGGGACAGGCGGATGTAGTCCAGCAGGGAAATCAGCCGAATCGGAATCTAACACCAGCTCCAGCCACACCCGGCCGAGCATTGATTCAGGGCTGGGGAATGCCAATCCTTATGCCGTGTCTTCGTATCAGTCCAAGGCAACTAAACCCTTACCTCAGAGTAGTACAAGGTAACTTACAGTATCATTAGATTGTGGTTTTACTCCTACTGTCATAGTTCACACATACACGTACCTATCTTACATATACCTGGAATTCTTTATAACTCGTTAATTACTGTAGCATCTATGTAATATTATATACACCAGGCTGATTGAAAAGGGTATAGGGATAGGAGGGATGTTCCGTTTATTGATCTGATATTATCATTCACTTCAGCCACTGATGATAACTGTTGTCAGCACTTTCGTATTTTAGGTAATGTTTTTTCTTGCACAACCGCATTGTGTTGCCATTCTAATTGGTGTTATACTGTAGGTTAAGGTGAATGTAATGCACTAACTACTAATTATAATTGTGATCATTGTTTATTAACCTTGTGATATGTAAAGACTTGTGAAAGATTGCTTGCTTCCATTGTTTGGTCAAAAAGTAATTTTAATAGGCCATTTCTTATTACTTTTCGACCAGTATAACTAACGTTGCTTCAGCTTACAAACAGTTGTAACTTGTTATTTGTTACCCAAAATTATCAATATGTGTTACTAATGTGATCATTTCAGCACATTGGGGAGAATGCGGATCCCAGTGCCACCGAGAGGTGCTACAGAGACTTCGACCAACTCGTTCTCCAATTTGAGCACGAGTCAGACCTCTGACCTGCCATCGTACCAACAGTTGTACAGCTCTATCAACAAGGGTCGGACATCCTCGACCAGGTCGGGTACGGTAATATCACGAGTCCATCAGATGGAAGACCTTTGCGATCGTGGCATCGGACCTCAGGAAGTGTCGCCCAACAACTTTCCGACCTCCGACGCCATGGACGAGCACAACTTGCACATGGTGACCGTCAACCAGAACTACATGATGTAGATGAGATGGATGATACTCTGAAGGAATGCTTAAGTGAAGTAACTCATCAACTTTATTGTACTGGACTATTCATCAATATACATGGCTACTGACCTTACTCAAGCTAACGGACCTGAACCACACTTACTTATTTTTAATATCTCTTGTAACTATACGTCGTTATTTCGTAGAGTTGTTTTATTTGGCCAATCTCTTGATCTCTATGTAGTTCGTATGTTCAGGCACGGGTGGTTGTTTGCCCCTCGTTACAATATTATTGTATACATCTCTTACTAACGACGGAACCGACTAACGTTTTGTGCCTTTCACAACTTTATTGTATATTGTGCTAGAAACTAATATAATAAAACTGATACACTTACCTTGTCGTACTTGATTCAAGCGGTTTCAACCTAAAGTTAGATAAAAATAAAATCAACATGGCTTTATCTTGTAGTAGAATGTATCCAAAACATTTTTGTTGATCAAAAAGACTAAGAAGTCAATTTCAGAAGTTAAATGAGGTTTTACAATTTAATGGCCAAACGATATCTACAGCAATCATTCAAAAGGTATAAAGAGCTGAAGACTCCAGTGTTCCCAGAACCTCCAGACCCAAACTTATGTTGTGGATCAGGCTGTCAGAACTGTGTTTGGATTGAGTACGCTCAGAAGGTCGGGGACTACTTTGACACACACCCAGAAGGTAACAACTTGAGCATCCAACAACGAAGAGACAAGATACAAAGGCTTCTGGATGAAAACATAGCAGACCCATCACTCAGAGCCTATTTATCGATTGAAGCCAAGATGAAACTGTGATAGAATAATAAAGCTGAACTAAAATAATAAAATTAAAGTAACATTTATTCATCTATTAAACGAATGGTCTTAAGTTTAAAATTGCAGAAAAATGTAGTTTCAAATGTAAATTCGTGAGTATCATAAACCACTTATTAGTGATGGATGTATAAATGCTTGGTCACATAGACAATATAAGAAGTTTTGGCGCTGAAAATGAAAGCGACGCTAATCAAAAGGTTGATGTCAATTTGCTTTTATTATGATTTACAAATGAACGTTAGTTTACCTTCTGAAGTAAGTTCGTATTATTTTAAAAATTCAAATTTACACTGCTAATGTCTAGTTTATGAAGTTCTTTATCATCATGTTCAGGTATGGTTGCGAGTGATCAGCCACATAACATACATAGAAGATGTATGTAACTTTTCCATGATCAGTAAATACTTTTACCGACTGACCAACACTGACTTCAGAAGTTTGTGCTAGAGAAATATGGTTTGTCGCCTGGTCGGTGAAACTTGGGCGACGGCGTTTTCATAGTGAGTTACTTTAATATACATAATGTTAAGTATAGTATACAACTTTGTAGTATATTTATCAAGTTGTAATCTTAACAAAAAGTTTTCATTTTTTTAAACACAATATCGTCCATTTAAAAACACCAACAATTTTTGGGGGGGGGGGGATCTACTTGAAATAAACCTTATAAACAAAGCTACACAACTGCTAGTAGACATGAGAAAGTCCTACGTAGTATACGACTTGAAGAAGAAAAAGATTGTCAAGATCTACAGCGCTCTTAAACGACAACGTTACGATGTGTTTGTATTGTACTACAGTGATGGTACTCTGGTAGACGTGTGTAACCAGAAGGAATACAAAGTCAAGGCCAAGTTCTTTCCAAAGTGTTATTTAATTTGCGGAGATGTATATAACTACAGGAAGTACGTAGGGTACTGGAATCTTCAAGATGAACTAGTGTTAATAGATAACGCGACCGGTCAACAAATTACTCTTTTCCGTGATATCCCTACATCGACGATTTACATTGTTCGTATCATGGACGATTTGGATCAAGTCATGTATCAAGGTAGGTTTTTTTATATTAGATATCCGTTTTTAAAACAGATAGTAGCATTTTTTAAACATTCTTGTTGTTATAATGTTTTCAGGTGAGAATACAAGAGTTTACGACATTAAAACCAAGAGGTGTATATTTGAGTTTGAATATGAGTTTTATCTTGATTACAGAATGCAAAGCTTTGATGGTTTTCACTTGTACGAAAGCAGTAGAGTAAGTTAACGTAAGATGAGACAACCGTCCGTGAGTAATTTTGTTATTGCAATATATGCAAATTAAACAAAGTTTATAAATTCATTGTTTAATGACATACCTTCAATTGTTTTACCTAATTATTAGCTTTAATTCTTTAAACAGTTCTATTTTAATATTTTAGTTTTTCGGATACAGTAAGAAGGACAAGGAATGGAAAGAAATGGGGAAATGGCCTTACCAAGCGCATAAAATCCACCGTTACGTCGAAAACCCCTTCCTGATGCCAGCATACACAACACATCGTGTAGTAAATGACAATGTTTTAAACTTTACACATTTCGACTGGTCTTCCGGTAAAAACTTAATCATTATTTTAACTATCATAACACGCAAATTAAAACTAATTTCTAACGTTATAGGGCATCTAACTTCAAAAGTTTCAACCAGTAGAAGTCAAAAAAGCAGGATTTAATTACCTTAAACTAGCTGACGTCGTGACGAAGAAGTTACCGAAGTATAGAGACTATTTAAAACACTAAAAAACCATCAGTAGAAGTTAAGACTTTACGAAAACTGAGTATAAAATAAAAGTTGCAAGCTTTATTGATCAAAAAATTGTGATAAAAGTTAATAGTACCAGTATAATTACAATCGTTAAATGAAGAGATCACCATCTGCCTCCATTGTCATCTGACAGCTGGTTTCGGCTTCCGTAGAGGTAGCTCAAGTCCTTCTTCTCATCTGGATCCACTGGGAACACCAGGTCAGGGAATCGTTCATGGAATCTCTGATCCGTGACATACTTCACCACCAAGGGACAAGAGAACTTGGAGGTTCTGCTCAGAATCTGGAAAGCTTCACCAGAATCTCTGACCGATTTGAAGGCCAGGTACATGGCTGGGGGTTGTCCGGTTTCAGAGCTGTATCTGTACTCGCAAAGGATTGGTTTAGCGGATTCCAGAAGCTTATTGAACTCTCCTTGAAGCTTTTGGATGGACTGCGCTCTAAAATAATAATAGTATTTAAATACTGTCTTTATAATTTAATGAGAGTAAGTAATGTGAAATGTTGAGAAGACTTACGCCGCCACTCTTGGGACATCTCGGATCTTCAAGCAACGAGTTACTCCAAGTGTTTCTCTGTGGAACGGACTTCCGTACTCTGAAAATATTAACGTTTTTAAACAACATTATCACTAAAAATCAGTGAATATATTTTGCAACATGTTGTACAGTCTAACTTACTATCAGCCACAGGCACGTTCCAAAACCACAACTTGGTCTCGACTCCATCGACCAGTCGAAGTTCAACTCGAATTCTTGTGTCAGAAGCTTCCAACAGTGTAGTAGCCTTATCGTACAATGCCTTCTGGTCGTTGGAGATTCTGGTTGGTGGATATATGGAGTCTCTAATGGCGTCGTCCTTGATTCCCTTCCCAGCTCCATCTCGGATCTTGACTAAAACAAAATAATCAGTAACGACATGACTTACCTGATATCTCGTCCGCCAGCTCTCTGATCTTGTTCTCCAATTGAAGTTTGCTTAGTTTGTGTCTTCTGTAGATGTAGAAAAGCAAAGTGCTTACTCCAATAACTAAACACTCAATTTATAGTATTATAAGCATAAGTCTCCTTTATAACTCAAAATATTAAAAACCATTATTTTAGTAAAGATACCTTTAAAACATTTTATCCACAACTTAAAACACATTAAATTCCATCACAGAAAGTAAAATAACCTACCCAAAACAGCAGCGATAACTGGGATGATCGCATAATTGTAGATCAAGCTTCCAATGTCCGAAACTGTACCTAAAACAACATATGTTTATCTTAATGTATTTAACACTTTAATATCCTCCTACAATACATTAAAGTAGTTCTACAATAGCTATATTCAATAGAGAAACACACGACAAAAACTAGTCTACTTACCGATAATGACGGCCTTTCCCTTCTCAACAGTCGAACTATGTGCAGTAAACACATACGCAACAAACAATAGTGTAGTAAATGCCATAAAAAATATTAAAATATACTTAGGAATCTCGGAAGCGACGCTTGGCGATGGCTCCCTGAGATGTGACTTTAATGGTGACACAGGCGAATATCGACCACCCGGAGTGCCAAAGTATCCTCGTTCTGAAGGATGATTAACATATTGAGGTTTCTTTCCACTCTTCTGCAGATAACCAATCGCTGAAGATCCAAATTGCTTCAGCTTGTCCAATGGAGAGTCTTGTTTCTGACCGCGACTACTACCAAAATGTCTCTTCTCTTCTGGAGACAGCGGCCGAGAAGTCTCGTAGTGATCATCCTCGTCTTCCTCAGCTTGTGACGCGATTCTGTGTCCAAAAACTAAAATTAAAAAATAAATAAAAAACTACCTGAACGTAAGTAAAAGTCAAGATACATCTTTCTAATTATACTAACGTTGAACCCTACCTTCGTCATCAATCCGAAAAACCGGCTCTCTAGACTTGTGTAAGGTTGGTCTAGTAGGTGTTGGTGTCCTCTTGAAAACGGGCCGATTTGTTCTAACTGGAGATTCAGCTGGAGTAGGTGGTATCACGCGAGGAACACTTTCCGGAACAACATTAACCTTCTTGCTTGCCGTTGGAGTGGTTCGCTTAGGACTGGTGACAACTGGAGCTGGATCGTCATCAAAGTTGAGACTTTCGTTAACCACAGTTGGTTGTGGCTCTCTATTCCCTCGTGAACTTGATCTTCTTGATGGTGGAGTCCTGGAGGCCGAAGAATCTCTCGAAGCAGATGATGTTGATTTAGTCGGAGATCTTTTGCCTTTCGGAGTCTTCTTTGAACTTTCTATGCCAGCTGCCTTGTCCCTTAAGATCTGTAGCTTCTTCTCCATTGTATTCCGTGTCATCCCCGTTACCGGAGGGGCATTGAAGCCCAGTGCCTTCAATTCATCTCGCAATTCAGTATCTGTTAACTCTGCGGGTGAGCTCATATTGTCTAAAACAATATAAAGTAATGAAAAAATACCTGGTTATAACACGAAACACTTGCGACAAAAGGGATTGCGACAATTTTATGCAACGCTAAATAAAATTATTTCGAAAATATATAACGCGCGCGCCTTTAATTTACACAAAAGGCCAACTTCTGATGCCCATTGTTTTCGTGGTGAGGCCCAACCGAGGGAACGCGGTTTTTAGAGAAACAAACTTTTTGACCTTCTTTGACGGATTTCAGGTAACACTTTTATTTGTGGGTCGCTGTAATGGGTGTAGACTACTTTCATGACAATGAATGGATGAATGGAAAGTACCTGTTGTTGGGAAAACTGGGAGAAGGAGGGTTTGGCAAGGTTAAAATGGCCATACACACAGCCACGAACGACAGTGTAGCCATTAAGGAGATGGAGAAGGCTAAACTTGGAGTAAGTTCTTATATATTGTGCGGTGTGTTAATGTTTTTTACCTTCTACTGCATATAAAGGTGTTATTCACTTTCCAAAGTTTTTGTAAACAAATGTTTTTCAGCCAGACATTGTACATATACGAAAGGAAGTCGAAGCTATGAAGCAGCTAACCCATCAGAATATATGCAGATTGTTACAGTTTGTAGAGACCAAGACACATTTCTATCTTGTTTTAGAGGTAAGCCACTGTTTTGTTAATAACTTCTGTTTTTAGTATTGTAGTGGCGGTGAAATGTTTGACTACATAGTATCGAAGAATAAGTTGACAGAGCCAGAAGCTCGACACTTCTTCAGACAACTGGTACAAGCTATATCGTTTTGTCATTCTCAAGGATTTGCTCACAGAGATCTCAAACCTGTAAGTTGTTTTTTGTTACCTAAATTTTTATATTTCATGATGTATTTGCTTAGGCAAATGCTTTATTTTAGGAAAACCTGTTGTTGAAAGATGATCTCCGACTAAAAGTAATTGACTTTGGTCTTAGTTCGCGAACTGGTAGACTTTTATCTACATATTGCGGGTCTTTGGCGTATGCTGCGCCTGAAGTGTTGGCTGTAAGTTTCTAACCTCTATAATATATATTACATACCTAATTCTTTTTAATTTTCTCTTAGTTAATGTATTTTATCAAGATATGTTTAGAATTGTCCATACGATGGTAAAATGTCAGATATATGGTCGATGGGCGTGTTGTTGTACATATTAGTTAGTGGATCTTGTCCTTTTCAAATGGAAAACCAAGACACAGCCATTAAGCAAATAAAGGTTGATTTAGCTTCTTTTATAATGTTTTTTTGTACTTAACACAAAATGTGACTTTGTGATTTATATTTTGAATATTTTTATCTTATTATACATATATTTATACCTTACTTATTCTGACTTTACATTGATTTAGAACGGAATCTACAAGATACCTTCATTTGTGACTCCAAACTGTGCTGATCTCCTAAGAAGAATGATGACTGTTGACCCAAAGAAGCGGATCACGATGGCAGAAGTGTTGGTTCATCCCTGGATCAAACAAGGCTACACTAACATACTTAAAACTGGTACTATATACAATGTAAGTACATTTATGGCTTTCAACCATCGTTTTTCAAATTACATTAGTTTTTTTAGAAAGATGTTGTTGATGACGATATAATTCGAGAACTGTCACAGTACGAAGGCGTGTCACCGGAGGTCATGACCGAGCACGTCAAAAAGGTACCTGTTATCTTAATAAAGAATAACTAGGTGATCTCTTAATTACAATGTAAAACTTAATATATATTAGAGCTAATGCACAATTTTAGTGGAAATACGACTACATAACAGCTACATACCTACTTTTGCTACAGAGGAAAGAACGCAAAGAGGACATATGCTTACCCGGTTACAAAGTAAGTAAAGTGGAGTAGTTAACATGAACTTAGTAACTTGATCTTTTAAAGGGTCGACAAGACTTTCCATATAGTTTTGGCTACTTTGAAGTTAATATTTACATTTTCAGAAGAAGACGCCAAGTGTTCTTAATTCCTCTACCATCCACGCTTCTCTAGATGGAGGCCTGGACTCACGATCAGCATTGATATCATCTGATGATCCTTTCAGTCGATCTCCGACTAGGAACGACAGGACCAGCGAGGGCAACAAGGAGAACATCCATCAATTCGACAAATATTACCCCGCCGCCACCCCCAAACGGAATAAGCCTCCGGCATTCCTGACTCCAAAACGAGCTGGAAGTCTGCCCCGCCGAGGTAGAGAAAGAGAGCCTATGACACCAACAGAACGATCTGTCAGTCCTGGACCTTCTCCAAAGTCTCATCGGGAACCCAGATCCACTACAAAGTCACCAAGGTTAAGTCGACGGTTGTTCGCATCGTTGGAGAGGATCAAGGATTCAAGAGTGATCGACATGATCACTCCACGAAGGAACCAACCTGATCGTCTCAAGACTTGCACAGTAAGTTTCAATTTGGCCAATTCATGACCAAACAATTAAGTATTTTACATGTTGTCTATGGCTACAATCTCATTGACTTCCTTAATTTTAGAACTACGCCAATGTCTCCGTGACGTACTCAGAAGACCCTCAACCGATCAAGGATCGACTAGTAGAAGTTTTGAAGCATCTCCATCTTAATGTCAAGACCAGCGGCTGGAAGATCTCCGGATCAGACGAGAGGAAGCTGATAGCCGTGGAGATGGAGGTGGTGTGGATCGAGGAGATGAAGAAGATCGGTGTCAAGAGGAAACGGCTTACAGGAGATGCTTTCGTTTACAAGAAGGTTTGCGAGGAGGTTCTGAAGATGGCCAAGTTGGCCGATCCCATCCAATCGCCCAAAGTGTCGGTCGTGTAAAGTCACTGTTAATTACACTATATAGTACTATCCCTTGTTTACGTATCAATGAATTTTTGCAGCAGAGTTTAGTAAATATTTATCCAGTAGTGAGGTGGAATGATCTTGTCAGTATCTTTTGTTTTATGCATATCTATTGTTTTATCATTCTGACCGTTCCTATGATAAACTTGTACCGTCGATATATGATATCGACGGTTAACGTGTCACATGTGACACCGTTAAATCTGAAAGACAAGATACCGATTACCATAAATTATATTCATTTGAAATATTCGATCCACAAATAGTACAACATAAACAACAGACATGTGATTGAAGCGAAAGATCCCGTTTTAAATGTAAATTCCGAATTGGCGTTACCTATAATAATATATCATGATATAACAATTAATATTAATTAGCGAAACCAGAGGGTTAGGTGGGTTTAACAACCAAGAGATCTGATACAAAATATAGGGAAGAGAAGACCCGTTTCTTGGACTAGATTTTGTGGACGGACTTGTGGTTCCGGGCCGACTTCTGGTGTGGGCCTCTGCTGAAGAAAGACTTGATTTTGGAGGAAACCGACTGGTGGTCCTTGGAGCTGCGGCGAGAGTCCGACTTTGGGGAAGGTACCATCTGTTGGAGGTCCTCGGACTGACGTTTGTGCATCATTTCCGGAGGCTGGATCTGGCCACTAAAGGACGAGGAAGCCGGCCGGACCAACGGCTCAAAAGCTGCCGATTCCACTTGGACGGAATGTCTTTGGGGGGAGTTGGGTGGGGTGACGATCATCTTGGGCGGTAGTTTTTGTCCCGGTTGGAAGGATCCTGAGCTTGGGACTCTGGTCGTGGCCGATCTCACGATCATCGGCCGGTCAGGGCCTTGTACGATAACCGACTGGCTCAAATCGATGGCAGAATTGGAAGGTACGGCTGCCAGTTGAATCGGCGAAGTGTCTACAGGATTCACAGGTACCGGCACGACTTGCTGTGCATTGTTCAAGTAGGGGATAGCTGTATGGGCGCGGTGACGGTGTCTTTGGTGTCTCAGAACCAATAGCTCGCGTCTCTGCCTTTCCAGTACCATCTCAAGTTCTCGTTTGTGACTAAAATGAACAATAAATTAAACAAACATAAAAATAATGAAAAAAAGTAATGTCATTGTTGCAATTTACAATAACTCAATCTTAAATAGCGGATACTCACTTATGCAAGAGTCGTTGCACGGTCTCGTCGTACTCATTCTCGATCTCGTCTTCCAGCTAAAACGATGCAAGTTAATATTTCTGAAAATCATGGATAACAACTAAAACAGCAGCATAACACAAAGAGCATAACAGTAAAACGTGACCTGTTGGATGGCATTGTATATAGCACATTCAAAGCTACAGTACACCTCCTTCACTAAACAACAATATTGTTCTTCCGTTGACTCTTCTTCCATCAAAGATTCTGATTGTCGCTTTGGAGATCCCACGGTGAAGGCCGCCTTCTCGCTGTCAATTTGAGGAAGTTGTTGAATATTCAAAGCTGGAGGTACTCTTTTAGTATGACGTAGCCTCTCTTCTGCCTCATCGTGCAAGTCCTCCATCCTGCTTTGCATCACTGGTGCTACGGACAAAGATCGACTCCCCAACGTGCAGCTCAGAGCATTGTCCAGATCTTTGAGATCGGCCAAAGGCTGGGACTGGAGTTGGGGAGTGGCACTGGCCGTCGACATCTTCTTCTCCAGATGCGGGACAGAAGAGATCACCGTGATCGTCTGATTCGGGACACTTTGTGTAGCAGCGAGGATAGAGTGCACGGATTCTCCAAACGACGCCAGAGGCGTTGCTTCTGAAGGCGTGCTTGGCACTGACCGTGGATCCGTCTGGGGTATGACCTCTGGCTTGTACGGTAGAATCGAGGGCCTTCTGTCCAGCACGACCTCAGACTTGTTGGTGGAGCTCTCGGCAGACGATGAGCATGTTGTCGTAGTGGCGGGGGAAAGAGAATTGTGAGAGGCGACGAGGGGGTGGGGCTCTTCTGTTACACACGGTTCGTGGTTAGGTTGAGGCTGCAGGACCAAACAAGTTACAATCACATTAAAAACAAAAAACAGCAAATGGTTAACAACTGAGGAACACCTAACCACTATATCAATATGAGGTTTGGTCAGAAAGTAAATAGAAAGAATACAAAACAATTCTACACACTTTTTGACCAAACTAGTATACCGCTGCCACAATAGCCTTACCTTGTTCATCTCCTGCTCAAACTGTTGATGAACACTGTCCATGGAGATGTGATTGGGCGGAGGTGACTGTCTAACAGTGTGAGTAGCATGAACATCGTAGCCAGGAGGAACAGAAGCTGAATCCCGCGCTTCTGGTTTGATTACCTAAATTTTTTTGTCAATTATGAAATATTTTAGGTAATAAACAACGCAAAATTAAAAATTGATAAAAACTTAATTTAGGTAACAAATACTTTTAAAAACTAAAGTAAACCCTTACCTTTTGAAGCGCAGACGCCAGACCATTCAAAGTATCGACTTGAATCGGCTTCGATTCTACAGTATCAATCTCATCTGTGGGTGCTACTGAAGTAGAACGGCTTCCATTCCTCGTTATAGGTAACGTGACCCTGGGTGTTTCTTCTTCGTGTTGATGAGTTTGATCTGCGATCTCTTGTAGCCGTTCTGGAAGTGAAGACAAGTTGTGTTGCTGCTCTTCACTATGGCCTGGTGTAGGAGGGATCGAAGCATTTTTGACCAGTTCATCCGTGTTTGTATGGTGAATACTAGTGTCGGAATGGGTAGCCGCAGCAGAGACACCACTCACCTTCCTCAATTCTGACTCCAGATGCGCCAACGAAGGGTCAGCTGAAGACATTGTGGGAGGATTCAGATTGTGGATGGTGGACTGGGCTGACATTGAGGCAGATGGAGGGGCAACCGACTGGTCGATTGAGTTTTGAATTTGGAGTGGGGCTGGGACTGCTTGGACACGGAACCTGGAGACTTTGTGTTCAGATGCGGCGGCAGAGGCAGCCGGCTCTGACTGTTGTTGTTGTGGCTCTTCTACTGGCAGTGACACCTCTACCTAGAAAGAAACGTCACTAAACTTTAGAATTTAATGTTCAAAAGTTTAAAGTAAGCTTTAACCTATCTACGACAACTCTCAACTTGATAAACAATATGAGTCGGATTCCTACCTTTTCTGCCGGTTTAGTGTCAAAGTTGAAAGTGTTAGTGACAGCCGGTGCTACCGAGAATCGTCCAGCCTTCTGAATCTGACCGTCTGGAGCCAACTTTGGTGTGGAAGGTCGATGAACTTCCATGCTGAACTTCTTGCCATCGTCCTTCAACTGTTCCACCACACTCGTCAGCCTCAACCCAATACTCTTTTCTGGGTTCTCATTCACAACTTCGATAACCTTCTCCAACTGTTCTATTACTGCTGTCATGTTGGCTTCTGACAGACAATCCTGGTTCACCAACTTGGCCGCGATCACATTAGGCTGGTCTGAATCGGGAGCGAAGCGGAAGGTCACGGTCTTGTGGGCTGTGTCCATTTTACAACTGACCAACTGAAAAGAACATTGTTTAGCTTCTTATTATAGTTAAAGAAGATGAAAAGGAATAGTATTAACAGTACTGTTCTATTTAAAGACCTACAGGCTGATTAGCGGCCTCAGTATTATACTGAACATTCAAAATCTCGAGGATGATCTTCTTCTTGGCCCTCTTTATGCCACTAGTGCCATTGTACGTTGTCTGATTAGAAGAAAGCCCTCCGTCTTGACTGTCCTCCATCACCGGCATCTGAACGTTGTTTTCGTGCACTTCATTCTGAACTTGCTGTACTTGGTCGTTTTGAGCTTGAGCAGCTGCCAATGCTTCTCGCTGATTCTTCCTTGCCTGTAGCTCCTCTTTGACTGCTTGTTCTTCTTTCCTCCGTTCCTCCTCTTCTCTTTGCCGTTTCAGGTCATTCCTCCTCTGTTCCCGATCCCTTTTGAAGTTGTCCACCTTATCCTTGATCATTTTGATGATCATTTTAGTGTCCACATCAGGAATATGCTGTTGCTCAATCATCTGGGCAACCACTTCTTCAGCTTTGTCAGTCTCAATGTCGAATGCAAACTGTAGACCTTCATTTTCCTTGAACTTGTACTGAGTTCTCTTCTTTTCATCGAACACTCGGAGTTGCATTTGGATCTAAATAGACAAGGTAATCAACATAAACACAATATAACGTTGTTTAATATACAAGTTATACGTTATATTACAACTGGTTTATGGAAATGAACATAGAAACTTTAGACTCACTTCGTTATTGGCCTCGTTGAGATCGTTCTCCCTGTTCTTGATGTCGATTCTGATGCCGAACTGTTCTTCTGGAGTGAAAAAGTCGTCATTCAGTAGCTGTTTCACAGTGCACCGTTCCTCTCTCCGTAGCCGGATACAACGATCAATAATATCTCGGATCTCTGGATATTGTTTTGGAACTCGATCGAAGCAACCTGGCTTCACACCCTAAAATTACCATAGTCAATTCAGTAATACATAAAGGCATAAAAAGCCAAATAACTAAAAAGAACTCAATGTAACATACCGATATGACTTTTCGGTAGATTTGCGCTGGGTACTGGCATTCAGAGTAAGGGTATTCGCCCGTCACCATCTCCAGAAGACACATGCCAAAGGCATATACATCAACACTCTCATCGTACTGTTCATCGTACATCTCTGGAGCCATGAACTCGGGAGTACCTATAACAGGACATACATATAATAAAAACAATAAGTAATCGTTACCTAAAATCATCAAATATATATTATAAAATTGCTTTCAATACATTACCAACACCTACCAATGACACTTTTGGCATGAGACTTGTTTTTCAACGTCGCCAAGCCCAGATCTCCGATCTTGACACTTCCAGTAGTACCGGTGATAAAGATATTGTCACACTTAAGATCTCTGTGGATCACTGGAGGGTTTCGGGTATGAAGAAAGTGTAAGCCCTTCAAAATCTGTCTGCACCATGACTTCAGAACCTTGATGTTGATACGTTTGAACCTTTTCAGGTACATCTTTAATGTTCCTGACGTCATGAGTTCGGTCACCAACACAATGTACCTAAAATTATATAAATATTAGCTGATGAACTCAAAAACTATACTTTAAAATATCAATCTGCACGTTCAAAACTTAAAAGTTGTTTAAAAGTTGTGTTAGCTTACTTTCGTTTACCCGTAGCTTCAGACCGTTCCCAGTAATCGTAGAACCGTACAATGTTTGGATGTTGAAGACCTTTTAACATCTCAGCTTCTTCTCGGAACCTCTGACGTTCAGCTTTATTCAGTTTACTATCTTGTAGCTCACACCACGCTACAGCAACTCCAGTTTCGGTGTCCAGTCCTCTGAACACTGTCTTGAAGGATCCACGACCCAATTCCTCATCGAACTTCAAGAAACGGTTGTCTAAAATAATTAACAATAGTTTAAATGTATATTAAGGTTGTTAGAACAACCAAGAACCAGATAACCATTTTAATTGCTAAATCATAGCAAACTTTTTTTAATCTAAAAGCTCAAAAGATGTACAAAACGATCAACCTGGACTTTTGTCGATGGGCTTTTCCTCAGCTTCCGCATCAAAGTCATCGTCATCTTCTACGACCTTTTCTTGAGCCTTTTTGTCAGCTGGTACATCGACTTTTTGCTCTGTTTCTTTTGGAACTCCTTCTGAATGTATGCATAATAAGTCAAAGCCAAGCATAAATTTAATTAAGACATTACCACTAATAACCACCTAAACAAGAAAAATATAAAATAAGCACACTCACCCTCTACTTTCTCGACTACAACATCAGCGACCTTAGGGGAGGCTTGTTGCATCGTTTGAGTGCCTTCTGAAGTCTGGATTGCGTCGACTTCCAATTCTTTCTGTGGAGAGAACGGTTCTGGATACGGAACCAAATTGGATAAAGGTTCATTTTCTTTTATCGTAACTTGGGGTGGACTTCTGGTAAACTCTGCCAATTCAGTCACATCAACAGCAGCTCCGGCAGTCGGGATTCTAAAGAAAATTTGTAAAAATTGATGTTACAATTTTCTTTATCATGCTATATTCTTTAATGTATTTTTAAACTTTTCACGTTTACCAAGCTAAAAGTACCTGTTACAGTAACTACTTCAATGTATTACCTGTTTCTGTCGAAGATAGACTTTTGAGTCAAATGCTCGGTGGGAGTCCGTTCGTTGTTTTCGCCAATCGACGTTCTTCCACTCGCCGTCTGAACCCTTGCCTAAACCCAGAACAATATTACTTTAGATTAAATATTACCCTTGGTGGTCTCGACAATCTCCAGTCCCGTTGCACCGCTTCCAACCGCGACTTCTCCTCCAGCCACAAACTCGAGCTACAAAACAAAACATTATGCATCAGGACATCGCCTACCTCGGCAACAAATCGCTGTTCTGTGTCTCATTCACCTTCCTCATCAACCTCTTCTTGTACGTGTTTTTGGTGTGGCTATTGCTCGACTTCTGAGAAGACGTAGCCAACGGGCTATCGCCCTCCTTTACGTTAACCATGATCACAAGAACAATTCAGGATTTTGCAGTCAATCCTCAAGAATAATATTGCTCATATTACCCAAAAGCGAACCTTTCAGAAAACTACCGAAAAGGCTCTGAAAATAATTTACAATTACGATTGTTCAATTGATATTCACCTCGATGAAAACATAGAGCCCCGGAAAAACGTCTTGCAGAAAAAGTATACTTTTTCATAAAAACAGACTTGACTCATCTTCATAATACGCAGCAAGACTTGACCCCCAAAGTAGCTGTTTCGCTAAATAATTTCGGAATGGGAAGTGGTCATAAGCGGACAGTAGGCCGATCCTTCCTTCCCCTTTTGACCGCATTTTCGAAAAAATACATTTGAATTTTCTAAAATTAAAAAGTTGACCTTTACCCGGTGTTTGAAATGAAACAAACCCTGCGGGCAAAAAGAGAGAACTGACCAGACAAACGGCCGCGAAGGCCTCTTAGGACGTCATTCACTCAAATGCACGTTTAACCCACACTGTTCTCTAGTACTAATTTGTCTTTATCAAATGACTTGTTACCTAAACTTTTGCTTTTTGGCTAAAACAATATATTAACAATGCTTTTGCAGTAAACCCATACCTTTTCGTACAATAACACCTTTCTAGAGTTAAACCAGATAAAATTAATATGTTCAGTTTGATATGTTTAGCCCCGTTCAGATTTAAATAATTAGCATAGGGAGAAGCGAACCCGCAATCACGTGATAAGATGGTTATGAGGTCGCTGTTACTGCGTTAGTAAACACCGGGGATCGCTGACAAAGTATTTTCCCAAACACTTGGTTAAATTTTGAAATTATTGAAAAAAAGGAGCATTTAGGTTCGGCCACAACTTAATTGTTAGCTTTATTAATATTGATTTAGCTATGATAACAAGTCTGGAATTGAGCTTATCATGAGAGTAAACAAAATGATTATTTAAAGTAGGAAACTTTAGGTGTTTAGTTACCCAAAACACTGCGCAACTTTCAGAAAGTGGGAACATTTATAATTTGAATGCCAGAACCCTATAAAACAGCTGGCGGGCTGCGAGGGGTGAACAATGAGCCATGCGTGAGGTGTTTGGTGATAGATAGAGAGCCTCTTTCTCGTCCCGTGAGTCTCCAGATCACGAGCATCAACTGTGCAATATCAATTTATGTTCTTTAATTCAAAATATTGCGCTTTGGCAGATGGAGGAGTGTCTGCTGGTTAATTGTTCTGAATTATTTCGTATTTTAAGTGACAATTTAAATAGAATTTTGAGCTTTTTCTGGTAATGGGAGGCTACTCGCTATATATTGTCGCTATTTTAGAAGCTGTTTAAACGTTTGGTAGTTTATAAAAGTGTAACAAGCAATTTTCAACGATTCTGTTTATCACTTACACATTTTAAGTTAACTGTTGACCTATCATAATACTCTATACTACAAATACTTTAATTTTAGTTGTAGTTTGTAATACTTTTTCAATTGTACCTCTTAAAAAAGCTTTAATTTACGAATAACTTGGTACACAAAGAATAAAGTAGGTCAACGGATAAGATTACTGTTCGGCCACGCGTGCTCAAGTTGTTCTTTACTCAATCTTTCTAACTGTTTGGCTTGTCTTTCATGCTAGTCTTTGATTGGTGGGGGTAACAAGTTCGACTTTTGTGTCGGTCAAACCAAAGTCATGACTTGCTTCAGAATAGATAAAGAAATAAATACATGTTGTCCACCACCCCTTTTTTTGTAGTGACCAAGGCTTACGACATTTAAAATTGCATACTTTGTTGACGTGCTAAGGCTTTTAATATAAGCGCAAGCTTTTCTGTTTGATTGGTTTTAGGTTTAATCATCTCACTGTCTCGAGTATCAACTTTGCAATATCAGTTTATTACCTTTAATACAAGATACCCGCGCTTTGGCAGATAGAGACCGTCAACAGGGTAGAATGTTGTGTATGGCTGTGGTACAATACATTGCAATATACATATTTCAATAGTGATTAGTTATCAACATGTCCGATATCTATTTAGTAGATCCATTAGTTCTTTCGCAGTTTTAAAGAAAGTACGAAAGAATTAATGGGTTTGTCTTTAAATGGTACTCTATCTTCTGAGAAAAACCTTCCACAAGTGCTATCTTATCAAAAATGGCATTCTTTTTTCAAATTTAACAAAAGTTGAAGGAAAATGCCTATGGTAGATCTAATACTACGTTAACAACTACTTGATTTTAAATTTCAACAAAAGGTACAATTTGTCATAAAACTAATACAAAGTATGACAAATATAAAAACTAGAACAAAGACTATTGTCAAAAACTACTAACATTACTACTGTAACTCTAGAAGCTAGCACAACTTCATGGGTGGCTCCACAGAGTGTCCTCTCCTTGGTCTTCGTACTGTAGATGTTGGAGTATTACACAGTTTGGCTAGACTGGCCCCCATCTGGTCGATCTGGTCACTGTTCTGTAGTAGGTACAACAGCGTCTCCCATATCATATCCATCAAGACCCCATCGTTGACTTGATCTATCTTGACGTCGATGCCTACTGGACAGACGCGGTAGAACGGTATCCCGGCTGCCAAACACCTGTCTTTGGCACAGTCGACCACAGACTTCTCGTAGCCGACCACTTGTTCGATCAGTAGCACCGCCATGTCACGAAGGTGGCGGCTACGGTGAGAGATGGAGGAGCCACTCTTGTAGCGTCGTTTGGTTTCAGCCGGCTCGCCCGTGCCAATTGAGATCACACAGCCCAGTTTGAGTTTGTCACCCGTTTGCAGACACTTGTCGTACTCCTATAACATCACCTTATAGCATGTGTATCTGATAGTTTTTTACAAAAGGTATACTGTATTTATGTATTCTTATCACTTTATCTTCCAGAACCTGCTTCATATTAAATTCGAACGTATATTGGAGAGTAATAAGATAATCATATTGCTCTTTTTAACACATTAAACATGTCTACGTATTGAACGTGTACACTTGCACTTACCCCAAAGAGAATCCCCAGAGGGCAATTGGCGACCAAAGAGCCGTCGACCAGCTTGCAATCTCCCATCGTATGTGGATGGAAGTAGGTTGGAGCAGCACTGAAATGTCACTTATGTAAGTACATTCAGATTGAACAAAGTTTTTCTAAATATTAAGGTTATACGGTCAAAAAGTCTGTGGAAAAACAAGAAAAGATCTTATTTTGAAGTAAAAAGTAGTTCTATTTACTTTTTGACCAGTATACTACGAAAGATGGTAATGAAGTATAGTTTCTATACATCTATATTAGTAAAAAGGAGATTATAATATGCAAATACTTACCTGCTAGCTCGTGCCGCGTCTCTGAAGTGAACATCTTCTGTTGTGCTGCCTTTGGTGGGGTAGTTTCTGAAGATGTGGAGCTTCCCTGGAGTGGTGGTTATGTCTAGTGAAGGTACTGTAAGCCGTAACGGAGAGTTTAGGAATGTATCGTTGTCGTTGTCAAACACCCGGTTCAGAACGTTGGATACTCGTACTGACTAAAGCAATATCATAATATTATGGTAATCAATATATAACTTTTTAATTACTCTACCTATAAGCCTTAAATTCATCGATTTACCTGTTTATCTATCACGTTGCCAAACAATCGTTTCATGGTAGACTTGTCCAGGAAGATCTCGTTCTTCATCTCCCAGTACAAGAAGAAGGTATCGATCAGAGAGTTGCCTTTAGCCAAGGCTAGGGCCAGCATAGAGCCAGTGGAACACCCTACCCACCAATCTACGAGTTTGGGGAAGGAGTCGTCACCCAGCAGCCTTCTGGAGGCGAACAACATACACACGATGGAGACTAGACCTCTCATCCCCCCTCCGTCCAAGGCTACTGTAACTAGGCCATGTTCTTGGCCTATCGGTTTGGTGGGCTTCTTGATCTTGAGCGGGGTCTAAATGGGGATGGTAAGAAACGAATTGACAGAAGCTACAAGAGATGTTATACGTCTATTATAATGACTCGACTCAATACTTACTCTATAAATCAAGAATTACTTCAGTTAAAACGAACTTACCGTACCAAACTGAGCCTGGTATATCTGTCTGGCAAACTGAAGGAACTCTTTGTACTTCTGAGCACAAAGTGTACAAATAGAACCATTCTCTACCCGGTCGGAAAGTACCTTCTCTCCAGTCGAGTTCTCATATAATGGCGCTGGATCTGCCCCTACCACAAACAAGATACGAACATCTGTTATAGAACACTGTGGCGTCGCCCACACTTCTGTTAGCTTGGCAGTATTCTGAAAATACTTTAATACTTACTACAATATATGATAGTATCTACTTTGAAGTAAAACTTTTTAGTTTATAAAACTAAAATTTGCATAAATTTTAAAAAGTTCAGGCACAAAACAAGCTTGTGCAACATTACAGTAACCCATAGTGTTAGGAAGTAATACTCAGTGAAAGCAGACGTACTTGTTGTTTGTTTGCGGTCTTGACGAAGTTGATGAGCGTCTGAATCCGCTCCAACTTTTTGTTTTGAGATATCTCGTGAGCACATCTGGAAGGCGCCATTCACAACCCGTAGCCCAAAGAATGAGGTGTAGCTTGTAAAGTCAACAATAATACGTGTTACAAGTTCAAATTCACGGTTTCGAAAAATTTTAAAAAGTGTAAAAAATGGTCGAAAAATACGTAAAATGAAGCTTTTAGCATTGAACAGTGCAAAATCAAATCATATAGAAGTTTTTCGTCTTTTTAACTCAACATTTAGCTAAAAATGATCTATTTTTAGTGACAAAAAGCTTGCTTATATTTACATCCTTCACTTTAATAAAAACAATATACGTATTTAAAGGTATTAACACCAAAGAGTAATCAGTGATAGTCACAAGTAGTAGATAACAACCTATAATAACCCCAAAAGTACATATTAACAGTAAATTACTTTAACGCAATTAACATTATCCTCGAAGTTGAGTCTCGAACAAGGTCGAGAGTGCACTCTCGAGAGAAGACTTTTATCTTTGGACTCTGATAACAAGCGTAATATAAGTGTAAGAGTATTACGGGGTTGATAGTATATTGAAAAGTCTAATATTATTGTTTGTAAGGGCATTACAAAGCACATTATCAATAAATATTCAACATATCACTAATACATGTATAACAATATATTATTATCAATGATAAGACAAAGGCTATTGAGTTTAAAACTAGAATTATACGTGCTTGTCAAACTACTATAACCTACAATAACATAACAAAACCAGACGTATGCAGAGTAACTATTACTCATTGCGAGATATTATTATAGCTATGTTAAGGTGGAAAATGTAAAAACAAAAAGTAAATCAATAGAAAGTAAAGTGAGCCGCGCTCCGAAACTACTTTCAAGCCGCTTAAATTGTAATAAAAGCCTTGTAAGTCACTCGAAATGTACTTTCTGATACGAAAAGTGTACTTTAGACTATAAACTATCAACTGTCTTATTAAAAATGGCATAAAGAAGACTGGTTTTATAAATATTGTCATAAGGAATGTCACAGAATAGGTTTTTTAAAGATAACGTCAACAAGGTAGCATATAGTAGACTTTTAAAACGTTTCCAGACCTTCAAATTACTGAAAAACTGGTAGAAAAGTGTCGTTATAACCTAGTAAATCATAAAAAAACAATGTAATATACAACATTACCATCAAGACAATCGAAAAACAGCAAAACCAATTAAAATATTGTTTTAAACGAACCGGTTTACAGTTATTATATCGCGAATTCCAAAGGATTTGTGGAGAAACGGCCAGAGGGGAAAGGCACGGAGAAAGGACGCCTCAGGGCCTGAGCTCTCGCTCTCCCGGCCCCATTCTCTGGTTGTTAAGAGGAACGCCGCGAGAGTGCATTCATCTAATCTTGTTACGGTGCAGAGGATTCACGTCTACAGTGTTGGTAAGGTCTGAACATGTGCTTAACAATTAACAGTGAGATAACTTTGAGTATTTTATTTTACATTGTAAACCGCTAGTCTATGCTACAAGTTCAGTACAACCAACTGTAGTTGTACAGTACACTAAAAAATGATTTAAAAATTAAGGTTACACAAAATTCCAAAACAAAAACTAAAAACAATGAATTGGTGGAGAAGACTTTGAAAAGAATGACTAAACCGTTGAAAACACCAGTCCAGCCATTAATAAAAACAAAGAGAACACCTTTCAAGAGCAGCTTAATCATGGTTATCATCATTCAAATATTTAACCAAGAAATGAGAGACATTCGAGATATAATAGATATGTTATTTTTACAAATTTAATTTAAAAACTTTTTAAAATGCACATTTACGCTTACTTTGACATAGCGTTTCTTATATTTTTTGTATTATACTTTTGCAGCGATAAGTGTAATGTTATGTCCATTACAATCTTTTCATTCAACTTTATGAGCAAATGTCTCCTTCATGACATCAACATGTATACTACCTACAATCTGAATGCAACCCTCTCGACCTCAACCTCCAAACCCATCCCAGCTCATTAAAACCGACACAAACATGTAAATATCCTCCACACGGCAATAAACGGCACGTGTTCGACCAGCTGGTGATGTTTTACTTGAGTTTGACTGTGCTCACGATGAGGTACGTTGGTCATGAGAACAGCGACATCTTCTGTGAAATGCCATTTCGAATGAGGATGATGTGCTTCGTGTGTACTGTACTGTTGCTGATAAGCCTGGTCACAGCGATTGCCAACTCTGTCAACAACAGTAACGTCGAGAGTGTCACTTACTGCCCTAAACATACCAAGTTTCATCCCGGTTTACTGTGAGTTAACGCATTTATGCTGCATGATACTAAGATAATACTCAGAGAGTATTAAGTAGAACTTTCTATACTGTTCTTCGTTTAATTCGCTTTTAAAATGAAATCAGTACTGTGAGTAACGTAGAGAGACGATGTGTTACTAAGTCAATTTGAAAACTGTAATCGAATGTTACAGATGTCCAGAAGAAAGTATGTTGTACTACTACAAATGTTGCGGTAGTAAATGTTGTTCAAACTACAAAACGCTTTTACTGTAAGTCGAGAAAGACACCTATACCTATATACCACAACATATAGAGAGATATAAAGTTGATCCATCTCTCACCTTAAATATACTATAATATGTCACCATTTGAAACCTAAAGTAACATTTTAGAGTCTCGGTAATCTCACTGCTGGGCGCAGTAATGGTTGTAATGGTTTACAGTGTGATGTCGAGCAGAGTAATTGTAAGTAGTGGCAGTGTAAAGAAGGTTTAATTGCGAAAAGTTACAATAAAATGCTTGTCCGCTTCCTCTGTATCTGCCTCCCTGTCGCTTTCTCGTTGCAATGTCACCAGTGTAACAGCCGTGTCGATACATACGACTATCGTTACGAATGTGTTGACCGTGATGTGTGCTACGGTAATGTTGGTTATTAATGTTTGAAATGGTCGAAAATGAGGATTCACGTGAAAAGCATACCTTTTTTGGTTATACATCCCTTTTATGATGTTTTAAAGAGTTCAATATAAAGATATGTCACGTAAACTAACATCATCTACTGTAATCTGAAGTAAAAACGTAGTTTTAAGCTAATTTGATTTTTTTATGAGCTACTCTAATATATTGGTGCTACCTATTATAATTATTGTTTCAGGCGACTGGTGTGTCAAACATTTGAAAGCGAACAATCTCACTCTGTCGTGTGTTTCCTCGCTTCCAGATACATCGTACAACGTAGCTACAGGCTCGTTTTGTAACGCCTATTACACCAAAAGTGGAACATACGAAGCGTTATGTTACTGCCGCACGGGAGATTACTGTAACAGTTCGAAACTTCAAAATGTTTGTTACATATTGCCATTAATACCTTTTTTGTTTATTTTCACATAAATTATTTATCTTTTTATATTTTTTTCGTTTTGAAACTTTACTTCTACCGCCAGCTGCGCCCTAAACATTTTCTGCTTCCCAGCCTGCATAAACAAAAAAGTCTTTTGGAAAAAACATTATTTCTTCACTACGGCTATTGCAACATGTTTGAACTTTGTTTTTTAATTTTATTTGGAGATAAAATAAAGTGAGAAGATTACCTAAAAAGACCGATTTGAAGGTTTAAAGCATGGACGGTTGAGGAGGGTAAAACAATATAAAACAACTGGAAAGGGAACTTACTAAAAGGCTAAAACGATAAAGTTACTATAACAAACAAACATACTTAATAAAAAGGGTGGATCAAGTAAAACAACGTGATCAAGATCGATTAAAGCTGAAGAACGGCTTTCTTATAGGTTCAAAGCCATTCTCAACCATAAAACATGTTGAACGTATGTTACACTCGACCAGCAGAAACAGGGATATACGGGGCATGTTACAGTAAAAGGTTAGGGCAGGATACTAAACAATTAAATGTGAAACGGGCGGGTAAATGCGAGGAAACGGGTTGAGAATCCTTGAGAACAGTCCTGAGAACATTGATATCGCTTGTGTAAAAGCTGACTCTCCAACAAAAAATGACAGACGGATAGCTGGGTAACAAGGGTGGTAATTGCACATGGTATTTACAGTTTAAAGCTTAAATAGTTTCGAAATTGTGAATTAAGAGCGATTCCGAAATCCACCATGATCGAGGCTTCAGATGTTGCTTTGGTCTTGGTCACGGTGGGATTCAGTGATAAAAGGCAGAGTTACATATTGGAGAAGGTAGTTGCAACATTGTAAAGGTGATTGCCAGATAATAACGGATGTGTCATTGCAAATCAATTGACAAACTTGTAAAGCTAATTGAAATATAGTAGGGGTTAAGATCTGTGGTGTACTGTAGTTTCTACAGTAATATCAGCTGTGTCCTTAAAGATCGACCCCATTGCTCTGTGCATCAACGTCATCTGGAGGCGTAGAGGCGTGCCCGTTGATGTTCTCGATCACCATGTCCAGCAGAATCTCGCTGATCCGCTTTCTGGCTACGAGCCGTGACCTAAGGCTCATTCTCCTCAGGTCGTGAGCTATCTGCTTTCCGAATAAGGCACATTCGTCTTCCTCTTTCGAGGGCATCAACTCCACCAGACAGCGACTCAGGTCGTTGACGGTCTTCTGAAGATCAGCTTTGTCCATTGTGGCAGTTGGACTGATCGTCAATTCAGAAACCGCCTCTTCAGCTCGACGCTTCCGTGGGGGTCTGGCGGCTGGAATTATTGTATGGTTTGTGGATAGTTAGGTTCAGTATGTTTACGTGAATTATATTATAGCTAAGATACCTACCCTAGTTAAAGTAAGTTATAGTTAGAAAGTTACAATGTAATTTCGTCAGATTTTGTTAAGTATCTTACGTTTTTCGTCGACGACGCTAGAAGGCCCAGAAGTGGTTGGCTTCTCGTCGAACATGATCTCTCCGGTCGATGGATTGATTCGACCGCTCGAGTTGTTGATCGAGTGTTTAGAGCTGGCACTCTGAGATAACTGCCACAAAATTTCATTGATATTGCCGCTTTTGTAGGCAAAGTCGTCGCTCTGGTTGTTTTCGGTACTGTCAGGGTCGATTTCTTGTGTATCGTTGTCACTGAAATGGAAAAAATTATTTGGAATACAGTAAATATGTATATATATTTTAAAAAGTAGAGTCAATTCTTAAGAATGGAACAACATTTTATTACTGATAATATTACTACAGTTTGATAACAAAATCTTAATTGTTATACACTACTAAGTAAGAGAACTCACGGCAATGACTCGGAACGTTCACTTTGCATGTAATCCTCCAAGAAAGACAACTGGTCGAACGTGAAGAGGTGTCTCTTAGATGGGTCCATTGGCGTTGGTGCTTGTCCAGACTTCCTTGCGTAGTACTCTTCTTCGTATTTGCGTCTCATATAAGACCATTGCTCGCGCACCTTTTTGGCTAAAACAATTATATTTGAGTTGTGAGGGTGTAGCACCACTTCGAAATAGCCACGTTGAACCTTCAGGTGACCATCTGAAGTGGCACTGACGGATTTTTTAACATTACGCTCAGAAAGTCAAAAATTTAAAATTAAAAAAATTGAATTTCGTTCTAGTTTTGTTTTTAAAACATTTTTTAAACATTAAAATTAGACATTTTAAGTCTCAAAAAGTAGTACTTTGTTTTAACTACTGGTTTGAAAACAGTTTAAACTCCCAACTATGACGTAAAACAAGTTGGACATGTTCTATAAAGTAATGTTTGAACCCTCCTATTAACATCCCACATTTAGTAAAAATGAAAAAGTAACGTACAATTAAACGTACCAGTGGCTCCATTGCCAAGCTTCTCCGCGATCTGACTCCACAGCACACCTTTGTGGGCGTTGTTCTTGTAGAGTGGGTTGGACTTGTCGTATAACTCTGGTAGAACTTTGACTAGATCAATCAAATGGGCTCTAGTCTCGGCTGGTCCCTTACTGCAAATGGGTACACCTTATCCACCATCTCTTAGCAATTAGCTAACATAATATGAATAGTTCTGAGCTTAACTTTTTAAAAGATTAAATAACTACTTTACAGTAACTTTTTGAATTTTCAAAGTTTTATCGATAATGACAGATCAGCCAATCAGCACTCACCGTTCGCTCGAGAGTCGGTTGTTGTTGCGAGAGGTGGGGGCGTTGTTCTCGAGGTCGTTGTCTGAAGGCGGAGAGTTGACGTGACCGTCTTCTGGACTGGCTTCCCCGAGCATTCGCTTGAAGTTGTCCAGGAAGTCGGTGTTATCTTCGATACGTCTTCTTCTGAAAGTTGTTATGTTATATAAGTAATGTCATTTTCACAATAATTCCAGCCATTGTACAGTAACCTGATTGTTTTACAGTAATTTTATCCTGTTTTACAATGACTTTGGCCAGTTTTACGGTAACTCTGACCAGTTATACAGTAACTTATTTTAGGAATCCTTCTATCATATACATCCAGAATGGATTCCAATTTTATGGTACACGATGATACCATGTGTTATATGATATGACTCACTTGGGGTCGGAGCCGTTACTCTTGCCGCTTTCGAGAAAGGCGCAGTCCTCGTAGTAAGGGAAGTCGGAGCTCATGTCCTTGCCCGACTGACGTAACTCTCGCTCCTGATAGTATCGGTTCTTAATTAACCGCCACTGTTCCCGCACTTGTTTCGCTGCAAGATCAAGGTTAAGTTCACGTACGTCAAGATAAGCACAGTACAAGTCGAAAGTATATCAATAAGTAATGGCACAATAACAATGCATAAGCCGGCGAACAAAACATAGGAAAGAACGGGCAAATCAGCGACAGATTACTGCGGTAAAATAGCAATACTGAGGGCGTGGGTCGAAAAATAAATAGAAAATGTCATCCTCCCATAAACTTTGGTTTAAAAAACTTTTTCACCAAAATAATAAACGGAAACCATGTTACAGTAAATATGCCCGCTTTACAGTAAATTTGAAACTAAAAAACAGCCAAGTACAATACTAAACCACTAAATTGTACCACGATACACCATAATATTACATTTCGAAACAGATATACTACAATGCAACAAACAAGCCAACAACAACAAAACGTCTTACAGTTGACCCCGTGATGGCGACTAATAAACTTTTCCCAGATGGTACTCTTGAGTGTGTTGTTACGGTAAGCCGGCATGGACAGATCCCAGAGCTCGGGATGAGTACGAACAAACTGTATCAAGCTGACTTTGAATGGCTGACGGCTGACCGTGGAGTCGGCCCCATCACTCATCGTTGGAATCTGATAAGAAATTATTGATAAAATACGTCAACTATTAGTGCAACGCAACGAAATCGATTACCAAGCTATGAATAGGACAATGTTAAAGTAAAGTGGTACAATTAGGAGTTGACTTTAGTAATACAAGTAGGAGTTGGTAATGGTACAACTAAGACGTTGTTTTAGGACTAGTAGTACAGACGGCACGAAAAGTTCAAAAAGTAAGTACAGCATTTAAAAATAGAGATTTTAACACCAATTCTATAATCTTATCAACAAAACAAGCTATTTTTCATATTATAAATAGAAAATTTGACTAGAAGATGTAAAATCAACAAAAAAATTGATGTCAATCACTTTTTAACTATATTAAACTAGACAAATTTGAAAAATTTTTGGCTTTTTTCAATTCAAACAATACTTTAGACTGAGATTACTCTATTCAGCGTTCAAGATATACAAAATACAGCAATATGACGCAGATCAACGACCAAGTCGACGTAGCCCACCACAGAGGCCAGAAAGGAAGAGACCGGAAACCCACCTGGAAAGAGGACGGAAAGCAAAGGGTATGGCCAACGCTGCTGATGAATCGATGGCCACGTCGTGGGGTCCCGAGAGTCGGTGAAGGAAGAGAAAGGGGACCGACTGTTTGTTTCTTTGGTTGAGAGCTGTGGACTCTCGGGAAGAGAGGGAACGAGAGGAGAGGGCGAAACGAAACGCCGCCGAGAGTCAACAACAAGGAATTATTCGTCGGTTGGGGACAAGAGAGGCCTGGCAGAGACCACAGCACCCAACTCACCCACCACCCCCACCATATGACTACAACGACCCTCGAGTGCGCGTCCAGCGAGGCCGTGGCCAAACAATCCCCTTCCCTGCCAGTCAGAGGCAAAGACAGTTCAGCAATGGATACAATATGACACAGTAAAGTAATCATTGTGACAAGGACGGACGCAACAAAGTCATCAAAGAAGGACACTCACTTCGGAAAACGATCAGGCCGCCAGTTATCGAGCAAAACAAACTGAGATTAGAGTCGGCGGAGATTGGGCCCGGACAATGTGTGTCTGTTTCGAAAGACGATCGATGGTTGAGAGGGAATTGGAGTCGCCTGGACAAAAACCGCAGAGCCAAGGGCGGGGGGCTCTCTGTTCCTCGGCGGAACAGGCGGCTTACTCACTCGCTGACTGGCACAAATTCTGTTTTCCCTCCCTTTCCCTCGACAACACGAGTCTCGACTCATTCAACCCTTAATAGCGGAGAAAGAGGTAGTTATACCTCCCGGTTGTTTAGCGACCAGTCAGCCAACAACCGTGAACCCCGTTTCCTCCGTTTTTGTTCATCTATTCTACTCTGGGACGGACGGATAACAGCGACCAAACGAACGCGGCGCCGCCTTTTTCCTCATCCATCCAGCATTCATTCAATCTGCGGCCGTCGCTCTACCTTCGTGCATTCAGTGTCCCGTCGCCCCATTCACTCCCTCTCGCCGACTAAAACAACCTCCCCCAACCCTCATCCCATCTCTCTGTCTTTGCCTCTCAACAGCCGACCAACCCAACTAACCGCAGTCCAATCAATTGACACGAGCGTCAGACACCAGGCCCTCTCGCCTTCGATCGAGATCTGAGTGAGTCGAGAGTCAGTTCACCAACATCCTCTATTTTTATTCCCTCTTCCTCCCAAATAACAGGCAAACATAAAGTCATCCTTTCGATCTGCATACGTTGAGAAATCAACATTGTCATATTTTATTAACAGACCTGTGAATTCCAATAATGACAAGAAAACATCCCAAAAACTATAATACCTTCAACATTTTCATGAAACTTATACCAAATGCAAAAGCGCAAAACACAAGTATACGTAAGTAAAACAAGCAAGAACTTAGAAAAGAAGTAGTCCTCCAACTACCAAAGAATGTAGATCTCGAGCATCAGCTGTGAAAGAATAGGTATAAAAACAAAACCATCTCTTTTGCGCCCCTCAATTTGTCCCAAGTTTCAGAAATATTAAATCTTGGTCAGTACAATTGCTTTTGAAATAGTTCATCCAAATTCCCAAACATTCAAACTTCGAAATAAACCTATTATACAAACCTTTTGCATTCTTGGCAGGGTACTTCAACATAAATCCGAAATCAATATACGATTAGATTCATTAGATTTACAAAGAAACAAAACAAGTAGAGATAAATAAGAGATCTGTGGTGAAGAATTAATCTACTTCTTCGATGGTTGGACCACCAGCTCCACCGGCACCAGGGGCTCCACCTGGAGCAGCGCCTGGAGGAGCACCACCAGCTGATTGGTACAGTTTGGTGATGATCGGTGAGCACACTCCTTCGACTTCCTTCAAGTGGTGTTCGAACTCCTCCTTCTCGGCCGTCTGGTTGCTGTCAAGCCATGAGATGGTCTCGTTGCACTTGTCTAAGATGGTCTTCTTGTCAGATTCGCTCAACTTGTCCTTCAGCTGAAATCAAAAAAGTTAAAATTCAAATTAAAAAATAAGTCGAAATACAACAAAATGTCACCAGTAAAGCCGAAAAATTCTTACCTTCTCATCCTCAACAGTCTGCTTCATGTTGAAACAGTACGATTCCAAGTTGTTCTTGGCGGAGACACGTTCACGTTGACTTTCGTCTTCGGATTTGTACTTCTCAGCATCTTGAACCATCCTTTCGATCTCTTCCTTGGACAAACGTCCCTTGTCGTTGGTGATGGTAATCTTGTTTTCCTTTCCAGTGGACTTGTCTTGAGCGGACACGTTCAAGATACCGTTGGCATCAATGTCGAAGGTAACCTCAATTTGAGGGACACCACGTGGGGCTGGAGGGATACCGGAGAGTTCGAACTTGCCAAGCAAGTTGTTGTCCTTAGTCATGGCACGTTCTCCTTCGAAAACTTGGATCAAGACGCCGGGTTGGTTGTCCGAATAGGTGGTGAAGGTTTGGGAAGTCTTGGTAGGGATAGTGGTGTTTCTCTTGATGAGGGAAGTCATCACACCTCCAGCAGTCTCAATACCAAGAGACAATGGAGCGACATCAAGCAATAACAGGTCTTGTACATTCTCTGACTTATCACCACACAAGATGGCAGCCTGAACGGCGGCACCATAGGCAACGGCCTCGTCAGGGTTGATGGACTTGTTCAGTTCTTTGCCAGAGAAGAAGTCCGACAGGAGCTTCTGAACCTTTGGAATACGGGTTGAGCCACCGACCAACACAATGTCGTTGACTTGAGACTTGTCCATCTTGGCGTCACGGAGAGCCTTCTCAACAGGGTCCATGGTGTTACGGAAAAGATCGGCACAGAGTTCCTCAAATCTAGCTCTGGTGATGTTGGTGTAGAAGTCGATACCATCGAACAACGAGTCGATTTCAATGCTGAAAACATAAAAATAAACTTATGAACTTTAATTTCCCAAAATAAAATCAAAAAAATAAATAAGTATCATGATTAACTTACCTAGCTTGAGTAGAGCTGGAGAGGGTTCTCTTAGCACGTTCACAAGCAGTACGAAGACGACGGAGAGCACGTGGGTTGGAAGCCAAATCCTTCTTGTGCTTTCTCTTGAACTCCTGGACGAAGTGGTTGACCAATCTGTTGTCGAAATCTTCACCTCCCAAGTGAGTGTCACCAGCTGTCGACTTGACTTCGAAGATACCGTCTTCAATGGTCAAGATGGACACATCGAAGGTACCACCTCCCAAATCAAAAATCAGAACGTTGCGTTCGGTACCTCCTTTCTTATCCAAACCATAAGCGATAGCAGCGGCAGTAGGCTCGTTGATAATACGAAGGACGTTCAAACCAGCGATGGCTCCAGCATCCTTGGTAGCCTGACGTTGGGAGTCGTTGAAGTAGGCTGGGACGGTGACAACGGCGTCCTTGACTTCCTGTCCTAAGAAAGCTTCGGCTGTCTCCTTCATCTTGATCAATACCATAGATGAGATCTCTTCTGGGAAGAAGGTCTTGGTCTCTCCCTTGTAGTCAACTTGAACCTTTGGTCGTCCACCTTCAGCACTGATTACTTTGAAGGGCCAGTGCTTCATGTCAGCCTGAACGGTTGATTCGTCGAACTTTCGGCCAATCAATCTCTTGGCGTCTGAAAAACATCAAATTATTACTTAAAAATACTTTATATAGCCTCAACAACTATCCTATAAACAAAAACTACAACAGTAAAAACTCTTTCGTTTGTACCTAAAATACTTAGACCTAATATATAAATTAACCAAAAATATCCTCATATATGTATCTTGTTACCTAAAATCAAGTAATAAAACAAGTAAACTTACCAAAAACTGTGTTCTGTGGGTTCATGGCAACTTGGTTCTTGGCGGCATCACCGATGAGACGTTCGGAGTCTGTGAAGGCAACGTACGATGGGGTGGTACGGTTTCCTTGGTCATTGGCGATGATTTCTACTTTACCGTGCATGAAGACTCCAACACAGGAGTAAGTTGTGCCAAGATCGATTCCAACAGCGTTTGCTTTGGCCATTTTATCAAATGAACTGAAATAACGAAAAAATAAGAATATTAAAATAAACATAACAAATGCGCGACAAAACATAAAAACGCAAACGTTAATACATGAACACCGACAGAATGTAACCCTAACAAAAAATATTCCCATTAACAGTAAGTACCAACCTTATCCCAACCCTTTTCTAGCCCAAAATGCGTTGAGGCCTTTATTTTCCGTCAAACAGAGAGAAGAGAAGAAAGTTCGCGAAAGAAGAGAGAACCCAGAAATCGTCGAATATTCGCGAACCTTTTTTCCCTCACAAAATTCGAATTTCCGTTATTTGGCGGGCCTTTTTCGAAGGTTCGCGAACTCTTTTGGGCGGAACCAAGCGATTCGCCGCGACGGCTGGCTCTAATTTTTTCCACGAACGTTCGCGAGTTTTCCAGCAAATTTAAATATGTGATTGTAGTTTACGAAATTAGCCTAGATTTCGTTACGAAAGTGGTTAATGCATTAAAACTACGGTAAATCACAAAAAATTGCGAAAATAGTGGCGAAGCTGTAAAAAAATGGTGATTTTAGTAAAAATCTGTTAAATTCCTACCGCAAAGTGACAGCCATGGCATTTTTAACCTTTACTGAATCAAAAAATATTAAAACGAAATCAAAAACTACAAAAAATCAAATGAAGTATGAAAAATCATTTCAAAAACTGCGAAATTGAGTTTCAAATCGTATCGCAAAATCGAGAAGTCATAAAATTGTTCATGGTTTATTCATAGTTATTTGTGTTTTCAGTAGAAATACGTACAAAATTCAAGTCGTTAAATCACTATTTACTCTTGGAGATCATCTTCTTCGACATCGGAGTCCTCCGTGTCACCAGCTAGGTCTGGCATTAAAAAGAATTGCACTGGATTTACCCAAACTTCATCTTTTAACACCTGAAAACAGGAGATAATTAACATAAAAATGTATTAAATTTTTGCCTAAAGCGTAAAATTGTTAACTAAAAAGAAAAACTTCAAATTGGTACATAAAGCTAGTTTTAAAAATATTTGCATGTAGTATAATGTAGATCAAAAACAACTAGCCTTTTTGATTTTCCTACCTAATTAACGAAATTGGCAAAATGTACCTAATATTCCACAAACATACAAAAAAGAGTACCTTACCTCTGCTATCTCATCTCCTGGCTCTGAAACATCAACCAACCATAAAAAGAAGCTGGGTGCATTACGATCTTTAGTTTGTGTCAACTGAAACGAGACAAACGTTACTCACACCGAATTGGGCGTTTTTCAAGATCTACTTCAATATAAACTCAAAATCCTACATCCTTGTTGGGTTTCCAGTCGATTTTGGTACATGATGCCTGAGGTTCTCCGTTATTTGGAGTTATTATCTCCTTCACTATCTCGGAATTGTTGAAAAACGGGTTGGTGTCGAATGAAAACTTTATTTTGAATCCGTTCTTACCATCCCCAAACTCTTCTACCTAAAATAATATAACTAGAAATGATAAAATATGAAAATATGATGTTGCATAAACAGTGTTGTTTCAAAGACCTAGTAAATTAATTCAAAAAAACAAAAACATACTACGTTGAGCGTGCTCAAGTAATGCAGAGCTTCTTCGTCCTCTTCTGTCAATAGTTGGTTCAATATCGGATGATTCGTAAACTAAAATTCAAGTAATAGACGTAATAGAATCAACATACCACTGTGATCCAGAAGTTAGGTATTTTCGCTATTAGTTTCTGTCTATCTACAAAAAATGGCTCCCTCAGATGAATGTACTTCTTCTCGATCTCTATGATTTCAGCACTAGCCTTCTCATTCAGCGCGTCTAGTTCACCTTGAACTTGATCAAGAGCCTCCAGAGACTTTTGTGTTGCTTCATCAAAGGTGTCCTGAAATAAAATTGTGAAAAATGTCCCGTAAATTCAAGAACTGTCGAGAATTAAAACATTTGCTATAACACCAAATAAAAGATAAGTAAGTTCAAACACTTAAAATTCCTTTAATTCAAGCAAACTTAATGTAAACTTACCTTAACTCCGTCCTCAACTTTCTGTTTCTTACTGGCTGGTTCACCCGACATAGCTGGTACCCGTTAAATTATATTCCGGCGAGAAGTGACAATGTTCAACATGTCGTCTTTCCATTTCCAAGCTGCGCCCTTTATTTTGAGACTTGCAAATGCAGTCTTATACATTTATGCTGGTTCTCGATGCCCAAGATGTTATGTAATGTAGAAATTATGGCAGAACCAAAAACTTTTATTCAATCAAAACAATTTTTTTTCAATTTCGTATGTTGACCTTTGTAAAACCATCATGATAAGCTTTCTCCCAGGCCTTCACACTATGTCAGTATTCCGGACAAAACTCATGTAAAAGTGGCTTTCCGCAAACCATATTACAAAATAGATTTTATTTTGAAAAAACTATTATGCGTCATAAATTAGTCCTATGAAATATTGAAAAAGAACATTTATTTCAACACCAGAGGCAATCCTGCACAAGAAAGACTCGAGAGAGAGCCAGAGAAGCAGAGAAGAGAGAATAGCAGACCGTAAAAGGGTTAGAGAAACAGAGACGAGACAACACAATATGGTCGTGTAGACAAACAGTCATACGGGGTGTGCGTCCGTGTGTATACCAATCGATAAAAGGAAAAGAGGCCGGCGAGACCTTTTCTGTTTTCTTTCGTATTTTCGGGTTGTTTCATCAGTTTTTTTTTAAAAAGATCGTTCTGTTATCGCTTCGAAACAATTACATATCTACACCATTGCCAGGAGGTAGATCTGTGTAAGATTTCGGCTTCTTTTAAACGTATATTTACATATATTTCCTGCTTTTTCGATTAAAAACCCTACGCATGTTACCATGTGATAAGATTTGTTTGCGGTTTCACCGTACGTTTGTTGTCATGTGCTAGATTTCAACGGTAAATTCGCTGTTTCAGTTGATGCCATTCAAAACGACACTGTTATCTAACGACAAATTCACGTTCTTGTTGTAATATCCATGTGTAATGTGCATGATTTGCAAAGACCCTACCAAAGTTCACGTAAGCTTTTATATTGCCATAGACCCTTTAATGTCTGGTTACTGAGAACTAAATTAACTTACTTGGTCCTCCAACTAAATGGCTTGAAAGAATACACTATTAAATTTTGACAATAATAATAAAAACAGTTTGAAGACTCTTGAGATCATTTATCGAAGGTAACATTAACAAAAGTCATGTCGAACGAATTTACAGAATCCTATGTACGGAGGAACGAATGTCTCACGACCGGACTCCAATAGTTCTACTCATCTCCCCCAAACTTACGTCCCACCATCGCACATGATCGACACCTCAATGCCACCCCCAAACTTCATGTTCATGCCCTCCCCAGTATCATTCCCAACAGGACTCCCTCCTCCAATATGTGCTCCATTTACCGTACCATTTTATGGCCAAGCCACAACTTTGTCGCAATCACAGGATTCGCCCCGATCGATCGAAAGTTCAGAATCTGTCGTTTTACCTCCACCGCCCCCACCGCCTACCGTAACCATAACCCCTACAAACACAGACAAATGTAACACCGAAAAGAAGGAAGGCAAAGAAAAGGTAAGAACATAAGAATGGCTAATTTACAATATTTAGAATGCATCAAATGTTGCGGAAATGCTGTCAGAAGACCCGATTCTCAAAGATCTCGGGAAGCCTCTAAAACGACCATTAACTACGACACCCACAAGTGATAGCACCACAAAGAAAATTAAAATCGAACAAACAACCAAATCGCCGAAGAAGAGTGTAAACAGCTCGAAAGATGACATTATTATTATTGAATCGACTAGTGCAACGCCTGCTAGTCCCAAGAAAAGCGGAGACACTAAACCAACAAAAAAAAGTCCAACAATCGGCTGACATTGATGTTATAATCATCGACGAACAAAAGCCAGCCAAAGCTGATAATATTGATGATTTCAAAAGCAAAATTGTAAAGACAGAAGAAGTCAAAACCAAAACTGACGCCCTTAAGGCAGATAAGCTACACAAGTCTCCAGAAAAAGCAAAAAAGTTCGAAATTGTGTCTCAAAAAGACGTCCATAACGAGCTTAAACCGATCAGAGTAGAAGTCAAGGTTGATTTGAAGAAACAAGATGATAAAAACGTAAAAGCGACCATTAGTGTACCAACGTTTCCGAAGAAATCGACGGAAGAAAAGAAACAAAAAGTTCACAAAAACAATACTACTTCTTCAAATACACCAACAAAGCATCATCATAAGCACCATAAGAAAGACGACAAACATTGTGTGAAGGCATCAGTGTCAGAAGAGTGCCGCAAGAAGGAAAGTTCTGATCACGAAAAGAAGATCAAGTTGGATGGACCAACAACATGTGAGCCAAAACCTGAAACTATGAGATCGCCGAAAAGAGAAGTCGAAAACACAACTCCAGAAGAAAGCCCGAAGAAGGAAAAGAAGAAGAAGTACAAACTACCAAAGATATCCGAGAAGTTCAGAAAGTACGTCCACATCGACATACATCCCAACGGTGGAGCATCAATTCTACGAGCCGACTGGCACAAGATACGCCAACACTTTGACAAAGCAGACCGAGCCCAGTTTTCTCAAGAATTCGTGACGTTGGGATTGGCTGAAATCAACGAAACTCCTGTATTTGTAATCTGCATTCTAGAGCACGCCGCTGAATACATGGGCAGCATCTTGGACCTTCTGAATGAGAAACACAACCACCTGCCAGTAAAAGTAGGAAGTCTAGTTAACAAACAAGTAGTAGAAACAATGGCAGTAGGAGAATATTACAAACATGTTATGGAATCGTGCAGGCAAGGAACCTTCAGATACGGACCCTTAAATGCTCTGAGTTTAGTCGGAACGAAACAAGAAGAATGTGGAGACTACTTCAAGGCAAGTAATATTTTCATTTCATTTCATTAACACGAATTTAACTCAAAGTTGTCTCGAGGAGCCAGTAAAAATTAGTTTATTTTCCAAATTCAAAACAAAAAAATTTTTACGGGTTTCTCGAGATATTATAAGAATAAGAAAGATGATGTCTATACTATAATTTACAATATCATACATGACAAAAATAATTTCAGGACGTAATCGACTTGTTGGAACGAAGTCCAGTGTTAAGGTCGTTAATGCCTTGGGGAAAGATGGCAATAACTTGTGATCAAGACCCTACCGACAGTGACGATGGCCCAATTTTCTGGGTCCGTCCAGGAGAACAACTCATTCCCACAGACGAATTAAAAGAAGACGTCAAAGCCAAACGACGGAACAGTAGCAACAGAAAAGTCGGAACGGCAATCAGATCTTTGGATAGGAGAGAAGTCTTGTTCGAAGATCGAACACCGTGCCATGCTGATCATGTTGGTGATGGTCTCGAACGGCATACTACTGCTGCTGTCGGTATATTACAATCAATTCGAGGTCCTAATGAACATAAGTAAGTTTAATTTTCTTTTATCCCTTCTATGTGACCATATTTATTAATAAGAACATGAGAACAAGAACCTCAGGATCTGTTCGCCAAGGCACAGGGTGGTAAAGTACGCGGAACCCGTAGAATTTACTTTCGTTTGTTGAACTGAGACAACGAGGTAATTTTTACGGGTACCCTGTGTTTTACTCACCGCCTTAGAATAACATATTATTTTTAAAAATACAGTTTGTGTTATATAACATAATACTTATACGTCCTAATTTCAGAGAAGAAGAAAGTCGTGTAGTAAAAGACGTTGTATGTTTCCATGCTAGTGATTTTGATAGGATTGTGGAAACATTACGATTAGACCTCTATGAACCTCCTATGTCACAAGTAAGTTACCCTCATTACTAAGCATTAACAAGGTAACCTAGATTTCTTTGTATCCGTAGGCATTAGTGTAGCTCATTAACTCAGAGTACTTTAACAAGATTAACATTATATTACACACCATTTTCAGTGCGTCCAATGGGTTGAGGAAGCCAAGTTAAATCAACTACGCCGAGAAGGCGTTCGTTACGCCAAGTTCGGTCTACACGAGAACTGCATCTACTTCCTGCCACGAAAGATTATCCACCAGTTCAGAACCGTGAGCGCCTGCTCTTCTATAGCCTGGCACGTTAGACTGAAACAATATTACCCAGAAGACAACAGTTAACTAACTCCGGTGTTTGTATTACCTAATATTCTAGAATCTCCTATATTATCCAAACCTCGTTGAACATAATCGTCTGCTTTAGCCTGTGAAAGAAGCTGGACTTCAGCATTTTAACACATTGTACAGTCGCATATCACTGTGATCTCGGTCATATTATTGTATTTAGTTCTTGTATAATTAATAAACGGTTGGTGACTAGGAAAGCAAGATTAATATACCACTGTGATTTTATTTAATATACCCTTTCGCATGTTAAGTGCCATAAAGAGTTAAAACCTAACTTCAACAAAATTCTACAAGACAAAAACAAAATTAATACGATTGTGGCAGTTACTGATAAATAAGCCAACATACAAAGTTCGAGGTTTATAAAATTTAAGAAAAGCGTCGTTTTGAATAGAAGAATGTGAAAAAAGGCGCTAAAATTGTCCGATCAATAATTGAGCAACTTGAAACGAAGTGTCACAAAAATATATGAAAAGAATTTTCCGTAATTTGGCAGATCTTTTGGTGGATCTCTGAACGGTAAATTATTGTGAATGTATTAGTAATGTAAAAATATTGTAAAAGGTAAATTTTTGATCTTTTAATTTAATTTTTGTTTTTCACAATTTATACATATAACATAAAGAAACAGTTTTGAAGTTCAGGTAATTGTTTTAGATGACGGATCGATTCACTCAAATTCAAGACCTTGTCAACGAGATGGCTAACACCATGTGTAATGCTGTAGGTGTGCTTCAAGCTTCTGCATTGCCGTGCGAGTTCAAAGAGTTGTCGCAAGATTTGTTGAATGAACAGAATACAGAATTGTACGCTTTAACAATAGCCAGGTTATGTAAAGACATTGACATCCTTATAGAAAGTATACCGGCAGAAGAGAAGACTGAAGAAGTGGCCGCGGAGGAAATGACAGTTATGGATATTGAACATAAGAAGGTGTGTCATTATACTTGGTAATATTGTTGTTTAGTTGACAGAAGATTTGAAGAAGCGTTCTGAGGAAATAGATGATTTGTTGGGTAATATTTCCGAAGAGCTGCTACACGTTTCTAAGGCACAGATGGATTCGAGGCCGTCATATTGATATATAACTTATATTTTAATTTACTAAAGCACTTTAATCTTATAAAGTTATAATGTAAAGTGCTTATTTGAGCATTGACAAAGAAGGACCACTCGTATTTTTTTGCCCAAAATGTTTATTGTTTCTACTTTTCTTAATTTCTTTAACAAAGTTATTTTAAATAGTATTAGCAAAGTTATCTAAAATTTTTTAGTTAAGAAGTTCATGAATTATTCTGCGTAGTAGGATGCTGATTTTTCTATTTTTAGAAATTTCATTTTAAGCTTTGCGAGTTTTAAAACATTGATCCGTGGCTTCTGAACCCTGAAGACCGAAGTATAATTTGATGGTAATGAGATGAAGAAGTTGGATTCAGAATAACGTCAGACGAACGTAGCCTTACGTAGCTGGGTGGAGAGAAGTGTTTTAAGGGGAATGTGGATTATAATAAGCAAAATTAAGTGGTATGAATCTATCGGAACGCTGAATGCTGGAAGGGACGGCCTATTCGCGTGGCCATGCGGGTCTCAGAATGGAGAGGACGAAAGCGTGACGCAAATCCCGTTTTTGTGTGCCTTCACTATTTTGGCACTTTTCTTTTGCTCTCTGAATATATTTTTATGCTCCCGAGAGTTTTCCGACGGCAAATTTTCTTTCCTTTTTAAAGCTACAAGCCTTAAATTTGTGGTTCGTGTAACCTGCGGGCCTGATGAAGTATTACTAGTCGTGTTTTTCACTTTTTCAAAAGGAATTTCATTTGTACGCATCTTTATTCAGATAAAGAAGCTCCAAACAAGACGCACCATACTCGGGCCAGCCGGCTTCGCTCAATTGTCGGGCAATTCGGCGTTGATTACGGCCTTGAGGGCGGCTCGGCACTTGTTTATCAGAATCTGAAATTATGACCTAGAATTATGTCATTTCGAAAATGGGATATTAGACATGACTTTCTCATATTATTAATTGCGGCTGTGTTTTCGTCTGGCATCAGTGCCAAGTTTCGGGGGTTTACGAGTATTTTGTGTTGACGAATTGGATGTTTATACAATCAATTCGTATCTTTAAGTAATCGATTTGTCTGCAAATATTGTTACCTTATCTTTGAGTTGACTGAAGTAGTGACAGTACTCTTGTAAGTTTATTGTAAGCTTGGCCTGGTGAGTCGGAATGATGTGGTCGACTATCTGAATGTAAAAGTATGAATAGTGTCATAATTGTTTACCTCCGTATGTCCGTTCTGGAAAGCCAAAAACAAAGCGTCGGACCAAGTTTTATCGACATCTTCATTACCCAGTTCTTGTATCTGGAAACTTTTACTTTAATTTGCCTGAATTTTCTTGTTAGGTTTACTTTGTTATTATAATGTATTTCCTGCTTTATGAGCTGTTACTCTACTCTGACATTGCTATATTTTCAGTCGCCTACTTTTTCGAGATTTCCGTTTTTGACGGCCAATAGAAGCTGAGTCTGGTTCTCTTTCTTGTCGTTCTCCATGAACTGAACCAGACTTGAGCCTGGTTCATCTGGTGCTGCGACGTCATCGGTGATGTGGCTCTTGTCCAACAGATAGTTAATATATTCTCCCATTTCACATTCGAAGTTATTTATGGTATCATTCAGAGCGTTGGAGGCCTCCAACTTCGAAGCGGTTTCTGTCAGAAGTTGCTGCTTCTGGGTGATGACTTCTGTCATCTTGCTAATCTTTTCTTGCACTGCATTTTAGGTTAATATTTAGATTTTAAGTTAGAAATGTTGGGAAAGTAATTCGTAACTAGTAAGTTGTTCATTAAGGCTGAATTGTGTCTTTCTGACAGCTTTTTTGCTTTAAAAGAGAAGAAATTTGTGTTAAACATAGAGTTTATAGTCTTTCTTTCATGTTCTACATGAATTTCGGTTTGAAAGTCTGTTTTAATTGAATTTAAAAGGTCAGTTCTAAAAAAATTTTTGAGCAAGAGTTGGCCTTTAAGCGGCTGAAACACTTACAGTTTTGGATGTAAGGTAAGATGGCAGGTAGTTCAGCATCATCAGACTCCTGGACTGATAAGCCCTGAGGCGAGTTTCTGCTTTCTTCTTCGTCCTCTTTAATCGCCATCTTCGAAACGATTATAATGTCGAGAGCAGAAAGAAAGGGAAAAGTTGTGTCCGCAGGTGTTTGAGCTCTGTGGCCAAGTTTATTGTCCGACCGAGGTCATCTAATTGGCTAGTCCCTTTGCTTTTTATTTTGTTGTTGCCTTTCGGACTGCAATGAATCTTAAACAAGTTCAATATTTATTTTCCCTTTCCGAATTTGCGTCAATTTCAATTTGTTTTTCCATAATACGTGTTAAGGTTTGGGTGTAATACAGAGCTGTCGCGGAACTTTTGAATTCGGTTTTGTATTGTCATTTGGTGATTACTTTACAGTTTATTTTTGTATTTTACAATTGAACCCTTGTATAACTCCTCTATAACGAAAGTTGCGTATGACAAGCAACTTTTAACTCCCAGAGCGATTCGTTATACAGGAGTTACATTGTGGTTTACAAGTTCTCCGCAGTTTTAACCATGACTGACTTTTGCCTTAAGGCATTTTTCATCTTACTTTTTTGACCATTTTAAAATATCATGCAAGTTTTGGAAGTTTCACTAGGTCCATTAAATTTATGTTTTTATGCAAATTACACGTAATGTTTGTTTCCGGTGCCAGAAATAGACGCCCTTATTAACCACCGACCATTTAGTATGTGTGCTTAACATTTCCACGTTGCTTACTCCCCCATCTAATGATAGAGGTGTTGAATGCGACTGCGATGCAGAGCAATGCCGATAACATGTCGCGACTAGAACCTGAGGCTATGGACTTTGCCCCGTCGCTAGCGGTCTCCTCTTCAGCGCCCAACCTGGAGCAGGCCGACTCGGACACGCTGCTCAGCTTCAGACAGACGGACTGTACGTTTGGGTGTTGTGTATGTTAATGTTGTACTGTTAATCTGTCTTCTGCTCAATATTATTCTATTTCTTATGCTTATTTCAGGAAAACTATTGCAAAAATGTAAAGATAATTATATTTCTTACTTTTTGCTGGGGTGTAGTAGTTAGTAGTATTTAAAAAAGATGATGAAACGTTAACATTAGATTTGTGACTCTTGAAACAATGCCAAAAGCATAAAAAATTAAAAGCCTCAATTGTGAAGCCATCTCCAACATTTTGTAACCCGCTTTGTGCCACGGGTAAGGTGCAATACACTGGCAATTTGAAGATGGACAGACTCGCCTCGGGTGTAAAAACAAGTGATAATACAAAAGCTACTCTCCTTCCTTTACTTTTCAGTCTTTGTTGTTGACACTCCTTCACAGGTGTGGAGAAGATTTAATCGGGCCAAATCCGGCGGGCCAGGGCGGCCTGGCCTGCCCGTCGGATTTGTGATTGTATGTGTGAATTTAGTGTTGGCATCTACTTGCCCGGCTGTCTCCCTTTCGTCTTCGCCGCCAATTTCCGAGTTTTGTGCGCGGAAAATGAACGTGACTGACTTTATCTATCCCTCCCAACATATCCAGAGGTCTCTCTCCGTCTCTTTCCAACAACAACAAAGTGCTCATTCAGCTTCGTTTCAGTGAGCTCCACGCCCAGCCACGATGCCAACGAGCCGGTGAACTCGGCTTCTGATGATTTGCGCAGTCCCCGGCCTCAGAATCCGACCAATATGAATCCGGAGTACGATCTCAGGTTGGTTGCAAGCTTAGTACAATATATACACACATTTACTTTGATCTTGCTTATGTGGGCTAAAAAACTACTCTAATGTCTACTACAACATTCAACTTTAACAACTAGGAAGTGCACTTTAGTACAATCTCAGCTTGTGTATGTAAACAAGCTGAGGTCTGAGACAAGGCGTTTACTCATTATACATTGTCAGTACATATAGGCAAGGCGTTTACCATTATATTACACTTGGTTGTGGCTCTTGACTGTGGGGGCGGCAGGTTGTCCGGGAAACCGCCACTTTCAAGCATTGTTTTCGAAAATTCAAATCTCTTTGTCTTTTCCTCTGAATTCGGCTACTGAAGCGCGGCATTGCGAAATTAAGCACGATCACACAGCTTTCATCGATTTTTTAATGTAGCGGAGGGGGGGGCTGCGTGATGACATTAAGAAAAATGTATGGTTACTTTGTGTAAATGATGTTATATTTTAAAATAACGTCAATTATTTTAAAAGAAATTATGAGAAATTTGCATATTTTTGTAAATTATCGACTTAAAGTTAAGTTGATCAACAGTAACTATTTAAAAAGTATGTCATTTTAAAAAAATATATTATTATATCCACTTTTTGACCATTAAACACTAAGTTAAGCCTAAAATTAGCCTTAGAATCAACATTTACGAGCCTAAAAGTAGCATTTTATTGCGACAGAACAGCTATATAACGATCGGAACGGCCAGCCGAGAGTGATCGTACTTTGGGAACACCTTTGAACTTAAGGAGGAGCGGCTCTCTGTTTTTTCGAGAGTAAGCGAGGTCTCTAAAGGTCATTCGAACTGTCTTGCAAGACGAGAAACGGAGCGGCACCGCTTGGTTCAGACGTTTTCTTTCGAGTGGGGATGGACATGAGGTGACGATCTTCCATTACTTTTTGATCGGGTTTCTGGATCTGTGTCATCTCTGTTACAAGGTCTGTGTCATCTTGAGTGTTGGACCGGGTTTCATTCAGCTCTGAGGGTTTTTTGGCTATTTTTTTTAATTTATGGTATGATACGGTCAGTTTTCCATAGTAAAATCATTAAAATCTCTTCTTATTTTTTGGATTTTTAGAGTTATTGCTATAGTAGATCGTATACAGTTTGATTTTTTGTCATAAATTGTTCAAAATGGATTTTGAATTACTATATATTGCTTGTTTTACAGCTTGATAGTACAATTTAGTATCATTAAATAACTTTTTGGAAATAAACATTACCCCTATCTAACCTTCCTTAAGATAGCCTTCTAATTGCTGACGCATAATTCGGAAACGCGGTATTAAGGGGGTTGAGAACATTCTCAAAGGTCATGTATCATTATCGTAGGTTTAGTTCCGTCGTATTGTAAGTTCTTGTTGGGGAATTGGTTTTGGAGGAGTAAGGGTAGGATATTACTTTCTATTATATGCATATACCTATATCAACCAAATCTCTTTTTAAACAAATGAAAGATTAGGCGTTACAATATAAACATAATTTTATCCTCAACTTTTCACTCAAATTAACATAGCTAAACCCTATGTAAAGTTTACGTCTTGAGATGTGTATATGTATATCCTTGTGTTTATTTGGAAACTGCAGTTTTGGTTTGCCATTGCTTTAACAAGGTTTAGACCCGGGGCTGCCTTCGTTTGCGCCAGACGATAAAACTCGAACGCCCTGAGGGGATACGGTGCCGGACCTTACAATGGACAGGTGTTTTTAGCTGACCTCGACAAAGAATGGCTCCATTTCATTCTGGAAAAGGGCTTTCTTGTTTGTTTTTGATAAAGTTTTAACAAGATTGGAATTTTAAGGTGATAAGGGGTAAATTAAAAGTGTAAATCTGAATACAATTAGTGTAAAATTAGGTAACACTTCTAGTTTATAGCTCAATTTCGATATACTCAATTGCCATTACAGTTTGAAAAGGCTAAAAACAAGCAGCCGAATTTGTTTTAAATTTAGCTTGCGACGCGTGCAAGAATGGACAACGTCGTGGGCAAGAGAGCGACCAGCACCGCGACCCTTCACCCCAAAAACCGACCTACCGACCGCTCCCTTCGCTTCTTCATTTGCAGATATCGGGGGTGCGCGAGGGTCCAGCTGAAGGGACCCTATTCTGGGAAAAGTATTGTGGTCGATTGCCCCGATGCGTCCCCCCCCCCCCCTCCCGTGCCTCCTCCCCTCACTTCAAACTCTTTCGCACAGCTCCTTCTGCCCACTCTCGATGGCTACTCTCGAGCACATTTTCGATCAATTTTTATTCACTTTCTTTAATTAAAGCATATCCCTTGGACTTTCGGGCTTTGTCGTGCTCCATTGGACTGCACGTCTCATTAGGTTTATCAAGCCGTTCAGTCCGGCGTTCTTTTCTGACATAATAACGCTTTTTCGCAGCAGAATGTCGCAACTTTCCTTTTCCTTGGTAAAAACATCTTTAATGGTATTTAAGCATGCTTATGTTCTAAGGCGTAGAAAGTATATCAAATTCATCGTTTGTTGATGAAGTTAGTATCATTCTTTTACTGATTTTGTTGTATCCTAATAATCTTTATGCAAATTTACATTTTTATTCTGAATTTTGCCATTTTCTAACGATTGCAAGTCCAGAACCAAGTTTGAACTTGATATTTGCAATTGATAACCTCCAGAATGTTGCTTTAGACTGTTTTTATGACCGTACTTGACGTCAGAAGGGGTTTCAGATGGTCTTCGACCATTTTACGACTGGTCGTTCTTTCTGTTGGACTTGTGACTCAAGATAACTTTGCTTATCACATTTTGTGACTCAGCCGTCTCTCCCGCCGTCTTCCCTTTACCCGTATCGTGGAGTTCCGTTTGAATGACCTGGTTACCTTATTCGACCCTTTCTGGAGCGAAGAAGTTGTAGGTATCCACAATGTTCATGTGGTTTTGTAGGGTTTGGTTAAATTTGGGGTTCGAGGATGAAATTCGAATTACGGTGGATTTGAGGGTGATTTTGACCAGGTTTGAAAGGTTTTCTTTAGTTGGAATGTAATTATTTGAGAAAGTTTAAAATGAAGTTTACAGTGTAAAAACATTTTTTGTGACAATTCTAACATGATATAAGAAGGAAACCTTTAAAAATAATTTTAAAATTTACTCCTTCAAATCTTTTTTTCGTACGAAAACGTATCTCATCACCGTTAAAATGTGTTTGTTGGGCCGCGTAACAGCCACCGGACTGGACTGGTTTTAAGACTAGAGTCAGAGGGGGGGGCGAAAACACTTGAACAATAATGGTCATTTACATGGTCACAAACATGACAAAGGTTTCATGTGACGTTCTTTTGTTGTCGCAACGTTCCAATTCACTTTACAGCGTGTTACACTTTCTTTTTTAAACTTTGCCTGCAGGGTTATAGCTACTTTTATGAACTTGGTTACCTTTTGGGAAACATCGGAGGTCAGGGGGTTGTTTTAATAAGTTTTAATACTATTTGTATTTTACTTAACAATTTTAAACTTATTTTAAGCTTTTAGTTCTTTCTTATCATTTTTTGTAAGTGGGGGTCACTTTAGAAGTAGAAATCCAGTTTTTAAAGGGGACGGTCATTTCTTTTTACACTTTTTATAAAAAAATGAAAAAACGTAAGAAATAACTTTTACTTTTCACACCCAATCCTATAAGCACCCAGTTCCAGCTAAGCAAACATGTACTTAGCTTTGGGGATTCCCACATAGATAACATACCACGGAGATACGATTAAAGAATAATTCTGGACAGTAATACTAATCTGTGGCGGCCGACGAGCGAAAGGCTTGTCGCCCGACTAACTCATTCCGCTTTTGGAGCGAAAACCCAAGGCCATAAGCGAGACAAGCCGACCCCTTTCTGCCAGCCGTCTTCCTTCTTTTAACTGTCGAGCTGCGCACGCTTTTAAGGCAGGGTCTTCCCAGGGCTCTTCTGGCCTCTCATCTGGGCCAAGATTTTTGTTATTGCTTCTTGTACTTTACTTTTGTTTTGTCTTCGATTACAGGCAGGTAGGGATTGTCATGTTGTGATAGCTCCACCGGACGTGATGTGATGGGGATTTGACTTGTCATTGGTTAGTATACCCTTTTACATAGTAACAGTAAATGATATGAGTAGTTATTTTATATTATACTGAACTGTAAATTTAAAAAGCAAACAATTACTTGTTCTACCGTATCTCAAGAACATGTTTTGCCATATTACAGTACCTTCTTTAAACAAAAACACTTCCACTATCGTTTTATATAACACTACTCGTCCTTAATATGATATATCAACATACGAATGCCGTTTAACTCTGTATCTTCGAAACATACGATGCTGTCTGACACCACAGTATTCTTTGATAGTCTTTAAACGTTGTGAATGCCATTCTGAATTCAATTATGTTATACTGTCGAGGATTCATTATGTCTTCTCTCCGTCGTATGTTTGCTCGGAAGGGTTTCAACGGATTCAGAAGAGATTCGGATCTCTTCGGAAGCACCTGATTGCCTTCAAATGAGCCGCCGTTCTTCTTTCCCTTTCTTAATTCGGTCGGTAATTACAACGCCCCCCCCCCGCCCCTTATCCATCTTATCCACCACTGACCTTTGCTATGTTTGTTTACTGACCACAGTTTCCACGGGATTCTGACCATCGATTGACGTTGTTATTATACTTTAAAGTTGCTATTATTACATTAGTTTATTGTTTTGTTGTTGTTGCTTATTGATCTACCACAATATGTAATTGTAAATTATTTGACGCAGCATTTAACCGTTTTAGTAGATAGTTATGTACACATACATAGTCATGTTCAAAAAGTTATATAGATGTAAATTTCTTAAAAATGAATTTCCAGGTCTGCGGCTTCATCGCAGAACGCGCAAGCCAAGGAGAACCTCAGCAAAGACGGGTCCCAACAGCCAGAGGGGGAGAAGTCAGACGACGCTTCGGCAGTCCAAAAACCCAGCCCCACCGACGACGCCACCATTACCGCTTCTGTGGCCATCTCCGCTCTCCCGCCCCCGCCCGCAGGCGTGGTTGGGGCCGGGCTGAATGGAGCCACCACCTCCTCGGCCAGCTCGTCCAGTTCAGCCGCCTCGGCAGCGAACCAGAACTTCAAAGGGAACCGCGCGGACGAAGCATTGCGGATATTCGGCTCCAAACTCACACCGTATGAACACACAGAGATCTACAACTTCAGCCGGGTCTACTTTGTCGGTTCGCAGGCCAATAAACGTGGAGGCAATCCAGGTGCGGCCAACAACTCGGGGTACGACGATGAGAACGGCAGCTACCACCTGGTACCCCACGATCACATCGCCTACCGCTACGAGATTCTGAAAATCATTGGAAAAGGCAGCTTTGGACAGGTAAGGGTCTTACGATGCGAAGTAACTAAATTTTGGTCAAAAAGTTTGTAGAATACTATTTTTTAATTAGTTTCGACTAAAATATTACTCCGTATAATCTTTGTTTACATTTTGGCCCCAACTAGTATCATAATGCCACAAAAACTGAATATTGATATAGCCATTAGATTAAGAAATATTATTTCCAATTACAGTAATCTCTTGTTTTGCATAACAAAACAGGTTAATTGTGACATTAATTATGGACTCCTTCAGGTAATCAAAGCCTTCGACCACAAACGTCAAGAGTTCGTGGCACTAAAGTTGGTGAGAAACGAGAAGAGATTCCACAAACAGGCAGAAGAGGAGATCAGAATCCTCGACCACCTACGTCAACAAGACCTCGAGAACGTGCACAACGTCATCCACATGCTGGACCACTTCAACTTCCGGAACCACAAGTGTATCACGTTCGAGTTGATGAGTATCAACTTGTACGAGCTCATCAAGAAGAACAAGTTCCATGGCTTTAATCTTACTGTAAGTCTTGTTTGACCTTACGTCATCAGAAGTTAATATGCATCTTGTAGTAGTTCTGATTAGTCAAAAATCAATAACTATTAAAAATAACTAAAAGAACAATAGTAATCTTACTGTAACTTGCAGCTAGTCAGAAAGTTTGCGCATTCGATGCTGCAATGCTTGGATCTACTACATCGAAATCGGCTGATTCACTGTGATCTGAAGCCGGAGAATGTGCTACTGAAGAACCAGAACAGGAGTAGCATCAAAGTCATCGATTTCGGGTCATCGTGTTTCGAAAACCAACGAATCTACACATATATACAGTCTCGTTTCTACCGTGCTCCCGAAGGTACGTTCTTTATTTGGTTTTTGCGTTTAGAAGTATGTAAACTTACTACCATGTTAGCTACAAAAGCTTCCATACCGTAATCTTTAACCATTCATGTACCGTATTACAATTTTACATTACAGTAATCCTCGGCTCCCGCTACAACATGCCAATTGACATGTGGTCCCTCGGCTGTATCCTGGCCGAACTCCTAACCGGGTACCCACTATTACCAGGAGAAGACGAGAACGACCAGCTAGCTCTCATCGTGGAGCTACTGGGCTCTCCGCCAGCCAAGATTCTGGAGTCAGGGAAACGGACGAGGAACTTCTTCTCCTCCAGGGGACATCCTCGCTACTGTCAGGTGACACAATTAATGGACGGATCAGTGGTGTTAGGAGGGGGACGGTCGAAGCGAGGCAAGATGCGAGGACCGCCTGGATCGAGGACGTGGAATCAGGCTTTGAAGACCATGGTAAGGATTTAGAACATAGTTTAAAAGCTATTTTTGGTAATTTACAAGTTTGGAATAACTCATTTTACATTATCATGCAGTGTGTACTGTATGACAAAAATGTTAAAAGTAATTTAAGACTCGGTTAACGTAAAAGTTTAATTTTTTGACCGGAAAAAGAAAGCTTTGCCCTTTTCCGATACCTAATCTTTAGTAATTTATTTACGTTTTTTGTGTATTTTTAATAGATTTACTTTCTCATGCACTTGTGGGAATATAATTTGCAAAACAGTTTGTCTTTCTCAGCTAAAACATCATTTAAAACAAGGTTCAGACCACAGAAATTGGCATAATTGTGTCTTGACCTGCTGCTATACATACCTTGACAAAAAAAACATAAAAGAACTATTTACAGAGATATATTGTACCACTAAAAGTTAAGGTTTTATATTGTGTTAGGCTTCTAGAAATCAAGAATTCAATTAAAAATGTCAATAATGTTAAACTCGAGACCTAACCAAACCATTTCAGGGCGACGAGCTGTTCACAGACTTCCTGAAGCGCTGCCTCGACTGGGATCCTGACCTCAGGATGACACCTCAGCAGGCCCTGAAGCATCCCTGGCTGCGGCGGCGGTTACCCCGCCCGCCCACTAACGGGGATTCGGCCAGTTCGGCGACGGCCAGCAGCGAAAACCTAATCAGCAACAGCTTCAGGATATCGGACTAACTGAATCACCACTCTTCCACGTTCACACTACTACAACATAGGGTTTCATTCTCTCAACGAATCGGGCGAAATTTGCATATTTAAAAGTATTTTAGTCGGTTTGCCCGTTTTAATGCTCAATTAGGGGGGGTTTCTGCGTGATTTTTAATCAGTTTGGTGACTTTTGACTATATACAAAAATACCGTACCTTCAAAAACTACAGTATCCCAAATACTGTAATTTATCGCACTATTAACTTGTGGTACCTAAACGCGTAGAAGACCCCCTAACAGACGTCTTGATGCATCTACAACCTAAACTTGTATTTAAAATCTTTCTTACCGTACCTTTCTGACATTACTGTAATTTAATTAGTGTTTTGTATTAATGCCTGCCAGTCTCCGGCTTTCTGTACATTAATGGTTAACTTAATATTGTCCCCCCAAGTTAAATGGCACCTCTCGCAAGGGACCATCATATATTATGGTGTTGTCGTATCATTAGTCTAATATATCTAATATAATATGATTGAATCTCTCACACAAAGTTGCAATTTGAATATTTGATTAAACTCCATTAGTGATAAGACTCGGCTGTTCGAAGTTCATGAGTAATATAGACAAGTTTATGTTAGCCATGATTGTACGTAAAAAGACTAAAAGATATTGATAAAAATACGGTAACATACCACAACACATACATATTACCACAAGATGCAAGCTCTACCGCTGTAGAAGCTTAAAAAGCTTGAAGCCTTAATTGGCGCTTATTAAGCGAAAGGGGGAAACCGGCTCTCGAGATACGATAACATCTCCAGAAGGCTTCTCCGAGTATTCAGAAGCCAGTTCAAAGTCTCGGCTACTGACATGACGGAATATCTGACTCATCTCCTCCAAGAAGATGTCATATATGACGAGGCCAACCCCAAATACAGATTCTTCTTCAACTCCACACATTGCGTGGTAAGTGAATTGTAAATGGGTATCTAATGTTATAACTATAGGCTAATGTAATACCTATATAACAGTAGATGTTTAATGAATAGCACATCTATATAAAGAATGATCTTTCAGAAACTAGTCAAGATCACACTAGTAGCCCATGCCATCCTTGCCCTACTCCCTATCTTGTACTACCTACCGTACTCAGTGCCCACCATCCCTATATACATCGTCGTATCTGTGGCTAGTGTGTACGGTATTAAAAAAGCTGACTCTCTGGCTCTTCTGCCTTTACAGATCTATGTTGTAAGTGAATCAACTATAACATGAAAGTAAAGTCTTTGCAGAAATTAACAATTGATGTTATTGTTTAGGTAACACTGTTCGTTCTGTCAGCAGCTACGCTCATCATGGACCCTTTAATCGTATACTACTGGAGGTCTAACATTTACGAGTTCTTTAACTACGGTAAGAAAGAGGCAATCTCAATATTAACATAGTCGCATATTGATTAAAGCACTTAACGTAATTTCAAGTAAATGGACCTAAAATAAGATATTTCAGAAGGTAAATCGTCGTATATGTTCCTCCTGCTGATCCTGTCGAACATCTTCATGTTCCATTTCATCTCCACTATAACCCTCTTCTGGCAGTACCAAGTCATCATCTACTGCCGAGACTACATTACCTTGCTCCGTGAGTCTTCTGAATACTCGAAGATGGCCGTGCCAGAGACATTCCTCAATACCCAGATCACAGAAGCCACGCCCATCACGATGAAGAATCCTAACTACGCTGTCTTCTCTCTGGAGACGGTAGATGAGAAACAACCGGCTTTAATTACACCCACTCAACAGTAATCAACACATTATGTTACAGTAACTTATAATACAGAAATTTAGTCTAATGCATGTGCCTTATTATTGGCTGTTTTTACTGTAGTTCATATATTATGGTTACAGTATCTACTTATAAATTGTTAGAGTAATCACTTTTTACTGTTATTTAAACTTGGCATTACCACATTGTTATACCACAAGATTGCACTGTCGAGTCACCAGCTTTCGTATGAAATTGCCAATTAGAAGTGACATCTGAATTACGGTATTCAGCGAGAGCCCCAGGAATAACATGAACTGACCTCCAATCTCGGAGACAAAGCCAGCTAGCGTGATACGAACGTTCTCACGATATGCTTCCACCTATTTTCATACATAATATAACATCATTACACATTAACAGTAATATGATGTTATCATAAAATGTCATATTAGTGGCAGTATATGGTAACTAATGTTATTTAAGTTCAAAGACCTACCTGCATATCACTGTAGCTGATAACTACAGAGTAATCAGCCTTGGCGGAACTGTAGCCGGCTACCTTGCCCGTCTGAAGTTGTTCTGTCAGAATCTCTCGATTACATGCTGGTCGGCACTAAAATACGATTCACATTAATCGACTTACCATAACAGACAACACTATTAATATAAAGTAATGTCAGACTTAAAACGTACGGTACACACCTTTAAAGTAATAAAAAACTACAGTAACTAACTCTACTTACCGATTTCGTGTCTACATGATTAGTCGTGACATTCTTGTAGTTGGTAATGATTACAGTAGGATGACATACAGTATACTCGTTAGTCTTGTGGTCCAAGTAGTGTACTGTACAGTTTAGAGGCTCTATTAGCTGATGAGTCAACCATCTGTTGGCAAAACAAGTGCCACGCCCTTTACTTTCTTCAGAGTTACTACAATGTTGATCGGCTTCGGACATGGCCACGGTCCGCATCTGAAGTCCTATTTTGTTCAGAATCTGGGGACCCAATGGAACCTTCGGATATCGTGCCACATCACTGTAGTTGTCAGATAAGTACAGTATCATGTGGTTCTTAAAATTGACAGTAATATTAGTCTACACTCAGATAATCTTATAGTATAACATGACATTGCACATAAATCAACATATCATGTTATCTTACTAAGTAAAAGTAAATTACAGAATTCCCCATTAACAATGTATGCATTATAAGCAAGGATTATAACATACCTGTTTACCAGACGCTGACAGGAAGTAGCTTGGAAGCTCGTTCATGTAGATATGAAGCCGGCCCCAGTCGTTTGGAGCTGTCTGATAGTACTCCTGGAGCTGGAAACATCTTCCGACAAGGATAACATAGACCGGTTGGAAGATCTCACAACAATTTATTGTTTGTTGACCGTAGAAACACTTGTAAAACAACTAAAAGCGACAGTAAGTATGTTTATAAAATTAACTTCGATATAAAGTAAACGTCGAATGTATATCATTGTAATTGAAAGTAAAAAGAACTCACTTCTTCACAAGTATAACCGTTTCGATCGAAAACAAACTCAAAAAACTGTTTCCACGATCTGTCACCCCTCCAAGTTTCTATCATCAACGTCAACTTCTGAATGTCATCTGGGTCCCACAACGAAACCTTGGTCTGAAACCCATCAACTCCAGAGCCAGCCAAAGCAAAGATAATCAGATCGTCCACCTCTGCATTTGTTATATTCTCCATCCTCGACCTCATATCTACAACAACGACACTAGAAGGCTACCTCAAAGTACAGTATGATACTGTACATTACATTATGCTTCAATAATCTATAAAACATTACTATTACCTATTTCCAGATCCCGATAATGAATAGCGTCGCCATTGTTTGGGCAGATTGTCACTCCAGGATACCTAATCTTGTCTACCTAAAACTCATTATGCATTAGTTTACTATGTAAAAGTATACTGTAACATATGATACATAAACTTAATTGATGATATTCAAAAACAGTAGATGTCCGTCTCTCCATGTATTCCCTGATCAGAATATTTGTAAAAACGCCAGCAAACACAAAACATATTCCGATAATCACTATCCACATCCGCTTTTCATACCTGTCAGACTGAAAGGACACACTTTATTTAGTCCCAACGACCCACCAGAAAGTACTGGGACAATCCATGAAGCTCTAAAGCCCAGTTTGGGACCTGTTTAATCTTCCTGTGACATTTTTTACACTTTTTGGCGGCCATTTCGCCATAAATTGGACAAAAATGATATTATACTTGTTTAACCTTTGTAATTTAATATTTTACATGTTTGCATTTTAAACACTTACATTTACTAAAAAATGTTAATAATGGGAGGACATAACAGTACTATAGTACTGTAATTTATGCTTTTATGAAATATTTTGACAAAATTCTGTTTTTTATTTTATTTTTCCGAAAACACTGAAAGCAATGCTGAGTCCCGCCACGAAAATATTTGCTGAACTGATTTTTGGCCGTGGTCTTTTTTATCGGTTTTAGAAAAATCTTTGTCGATTTTTGATTTTACAGACATCAAATACCTCGGCTAACTGAGTTGATATAGTTTAAGTATCCAAAATGGGTATTTCCGATAATGATGTCCAAAAACAGCTTCGCCACATGATGGCATTCATCGAGCAGGAGGCGAATGAGAAGGCCGAGGAGATTGATGCCAAAGCTGAAGAGGAGTTCAATATGGAAAAGGTAATTTTTTGTTTTTTTTTGTTGTTTTTTAGGTATTTTTTACTTTCTTGATTTAATTAGACATCTCCTAAATTTTATTCCAAGAGGTGGGTAAAAGAACCTAGAGGAAAACCCTATTTTTACGTCATTTATGGTATAGTTTTTAAGGGCCGTCTTGTACAACAACAAAGAACCAAGATTCTTGAGTATTACGAGAAGAAGGAGAAGCAAGTTGAGCTCCAGAGAAAGATTCAACGTTCAAACATGCAAAACCAGGGTCGTCTAAAGTGCTTGAAGGCTCGTGAAGACCATTTGAATGCCGTTTTGGACGAAGCTAAGGCTAACTTATCTAGGATTTCAGCTGATAGTGGTAGATACCCAGCTATTCTTAAGGGATTGATCATGCAAGTAAGTAATTATATTATTATTTTGTTTTTAGTTATTTTAATTTATTTTACCGTTTCTATAGCAATAACTTTTGTGCTGTCTGATGGTTAGTTGACAACCTTATGGCATTTTTTAAATTTCATAGTATCAACTTTTAATAAAAAATTGTTTTTAGGGTCTTTTCCAACTGTTAGAGAAGAACATTAGCTTGAAATGTTCGAAAAAAGACGAAGCTCTGGTCGAAAAGTTGCTGCCTGAATGCCTAGATGAGTTGAAAAACGTGTGGGGAGATCAGAGCAAGGTCACCATTGACAAAGAGAACTACTTGCCAGAAGATGTTGCCGGTGGTGTTGTGTTGACTGCAAAGAATGGCAAGATCAAGGTCTCTTCCACTTTAGAAAGCCGCTTGGAGTTGATTGCTGGACAAGTAAGTTTAAATTGTTTATATTATCTTTACAACTTGTAACTTGTGTTAGTTGTCATTTTACAGTTTTTTTGGAAAATTGGTGATAGAAAGCGTTTTAAAAACACATTTTACTAATGGGTACTTTTAGATTGTGCCACAAATCAGAACGGCCTTGTTCGGTCCCAACCCGAACCGCAAATTCTTCGATTAGATATATATTATACTTAAGAGATGTATTGTTGAAGAAGACTTTCACTGTTTATTATTTCGTAGCTCCAATTTAGTCTCACTTATATACTAATTAAAGGCTTGTAATATTTTTCCCGGCTTCCCGAAAATTGTGATATTATATTGTGACCAATAAAGATTTTTTTCATTTATCAAAGTGCTCGGAAACGTTACTGTGAGCATCTTTGTCACGATGTTTAATTTAAAAATATGCTTTTGAATGGACACTTAAAATTATATATTAGATGAGTCAGCTGTTTACCCATTGTTTGTATCAATTCAATGTAATTAAAAGGCTTAAAGACGAAGCTATAGAAAGTTCAAACAAACTTCTTGCTCCCCGCTTCCTTTTTCAAATCGGCCGGGTACCCCTAAAAGCGTTAGAACGATTCCCTTTTCTCTCAACGCACGGTCATGTTTTTGTTTCGGGCGATAATATTGTTTTTGTATTTTAATACAGTTTATGGCTGGAGCCTCTTCAAACACAAGGCAGAGCCGCCGCCTATGGAGCTGCATTGCTTCAGGGGATCTAAAATGGCTTTCAACGATGCCAGAGAAGAGAGTGTGAAATGTGATTCTATTCTCGGGATAGAACAATATTGTTATAAGTTTACTGCCTACTCTCCGATACATGAGATGGTCAAGTTGGGATGTGCTACTCTGCTGTGTTCGGTAAGTAATTCAAGGTTTTGATTCCTGTAACAAATCTCCAGGTATACTTGAAAGTGTTCTACATATCTCTTGAAATCATGTTTTAATCTAAAATCGCGCTGTTTTTGTTTACCGAGCTAAAATCATTTCGAAAAGCATTTCAGCCCTTTCGAAACACATGTGCAGACTTTGAGTTGAGTGGCGTTGCTGGTCGCTTGTGTTGCTGCAACCATGGCAGTTACTGTAACAGTGCTAGTCTTACTACAATATCTTCATTCCTGGCCATTGGGTTAATGATTTTTGCATTTCTTTAATTGCCATTTTAACAAATACGGGTGCATTACAGATTCTACTCTAATATAATAATCTAATAAATTGCAATATTTCTATTGAACAAACAAACAACTAAACTTAAGTAAACATCATATTATAGTAGTCATAAGGAACTTCATAAACTTGACCTTAAAATTGGTTTTTGAGTTAAAACGGCCTCAGGGTGTTTTGGTTTACTTTCTTTCCGCATTAGTCATCAACGTGTTCCTTTTCAAACTCATGGTAAGCATATTACAGGTCAAGCGTAAAAAGTAACTTCACAAACAATCAATGAAGTATTTTTGATTTCAACAAGTGCAATGTTTATATTTACGCAATTTTATTAAAATTTACACGAATTTATACAAAATACCCAAAAGCTAATAAATTAGTTGAAGACGGACAGAATCTCCCTGAAGCACTGGCTACGCTCCTCGTTCAGTTTTTTGCATTCTGCCAATGCTGATGCAAAACCAGAAGAGTCTAAAGTCTTTTTCTTCTTCGGTACTTCAATCTCAATGTCCTGCAAGACAATTGGCATTTGGGATTGAGGCATCTTCTTCTCCCACAACGATCGCAAACGGAATCGCAGCTAAAACACAAACATTACAGTAATCATCACTAATTTCAAAATGAGTTCGCCTAATTAACAATACGTAACAGACTCTTGACCAAAATCAATCCTTACGTCGTTTACTCTGTTATTGTATTCAACAACATTCCTACGGTAGAGCGAGCCTTGATCCTTGACATTAACAGAAGTCAGCTTCTTGTACTCCTAAAAAGAATCAGTTTAATATTTTACTTCCACTCATAATTCTTTAACCAAAAGATAAATTTCTTCATCCTTACCATGGATAATATGTCAGCTTCGGTTAAGAATGAGTTGATCGTATTTTTGATACTGTTCTCATTATTGTCGGCCAAACTAATTCTGCCGCAAACTCTGTCAGGACACTTCAATGGCTTCAAAGATGACAAAACGGAAGCCGAGAGTTCTGCTTGTAGCCTTCTGACCTTGTCTTGGGTCCAGATTAATGAGTTCTTCAGCTGAACTACATCCATTTGTTCTCCTTCCAATTTAAGTCCAGAGTTTCCGAGATCCATCATCAACGGGGAGCTGAGCTTGCCCTTTTTTTCCAATTCAAGTTCCTTCTTCAGCTTGTCTCTGGCCAGTTCGGCCTCCTTCAGCTGAGTCTTGGCTTCTTCTAGTTCAACGTGGATTTTGCTAAATTTAAATTGTCATAATTTTAAAAACTGCTCTCTCGTATTTGGTTAATATAGATTTAAAAAACGAGCAATTGTCACTTGATCCTCGTTGTATCTTACCCTGTCTCCGACTTGATGGCTTCTTCCAATTTGTCAGCTGGAATCAGAATATTCTCTGGTTTTCCACTTTCAATCAGCCTCTTCTTCTCGCGTTCCAATTGAATCTGCAATATACTCACATATAAATCACATAAAATGACAAAAGTAATACTACGATATTTTTATCGCAAAAAAATATCGAATGCAAATACCCACCTTATAGGTTGAAACAGCGTCTTCTGAAGCCTTGTAAGCTTGACAAACCCGTTTGTATTCCTCGTCCTTCTTCTGAAGCTGCCACCGTAGACTCTCGACATCAACAACATCTTGTCTTCGGCCTTCTGCACGATCCTTGAGCGGTGTGCATTTCCTGGCCGGAGGCAATGCTTTTTCAAATTCCTTTTTCTCGAGTTTATACGACAGATCTTCTAACGTCTGTTTGAAGGTGGTGAGAGTGGCCGTTACCTCGTGGAGAGCATCTGGGATGTTCTTCTGTTGTTTTATCATCTTCTCCACCTTGCTCTGGATGAACTCCTTCATTTCGATGATAGAGAAACCTTGGACATCTGGAAAGGAGTTTGTAATGGTTAACAAAGGTGTTAAGCACACGACAGATTAACACAAATTTGATGTAGCAGTTTAATCACAAAGTACTGAAATTACTTCAAATATGCTATTTTAACGTTAGTTTGTGATCAAACTGACCACTGATCATGGCCACAAGCTGAAACATAAACCGAAGTGGCCAATGGAAGCTCTACAATAAGATTACAAGGTGGATACAGTATCCTTCAGCACATAAAGCAACAAAAGTCACCCATTCAACTCGAAGATAAAAACAGATTGTTAACCCAAATATTATGTAAATTTTTAAGCATAAATGATTTTAATATTACAAAACTAGTAAGCTTACAGTAAGCATTCCATTAACTCACCTTCGGTTTGTCTAACAGCTATAATAACATTACATTAGATCAAATTACTGTAACTTACCATTGGTAGTCAACTGAGAGCAAGCCAGTCCAGCTGATTCGTGTAGGATCTTAGCAACCTTATCTACCAATGTCTCCAGACATGTTATCGTATCCTGCACATCGTGGCTCCAATCGATAGTCTTGTCTTGAGGTATGAACTTCTTGGTCTTGTTGATCGTGGAAGAAGACTCCTTTATCACATCAATCAAGTTATCCAGATATTCTGTGAAATCGTTCTCTCCCGAATGTTCCGGCAATAAAAACAGTTTCAGTCTGAGGCAATTGAACTCAGCCCATGCCAAAGCCGCCTTAAGTTGATGTAGGTAATTGTGCAGAGCAGCACAAGCATCGAAATCAGAAGCACTCAAGTTGATGATGAAGATCTTGTTGAGGGTATTAACACAATGCTCCAGAATGTCACAAGAAGTATTCTCGTCGAACTTTTGCTGCTTCAGAAGATCAAAGTACTGGTCGATTACTTTTTCTTGACTTGTGATCTCAGTTCGTTGCATTGCCAAACGCTGAAGACTTTCTGGTGTGCACGTTTTGGTCACTCTACAAATAAAGTTGTTTACTCCAAGACACCTGTATATATCGAAGTACACCACCAGAAAACATACGATTCGAATCTCCACATAACGCCACTAGCTCTAAGCAACTGATAATTGAACCTTCTGACATGAGCCCACTGTTCTCCCTTGTGTGACATCGTAACATGTTCTTGAGTAAGATTTGTGACCTCGGGATACTTATCAGCCAACAACTTTACCAAAAGTTCTGCTTTCTCCGCGACTTTAGGGAAAAATACAGTAAGCAAGACGCAATCGTAGTCTCCACCAGCACTGTTGAAGTTGTCAGGTAGAAAGTCTTTCAAATAGTGTGCCAACTGGTTCGAATACTTCAGTTCCAGAGCATCCAGTTCGCCAGAAACTACCTAAATTAAAGTTTTTTGGCAATAAATATTTTAAATTCGATGTTTTACAGTTGTCATTGAACTTTCGATAAAACTACAGTTTGACAAACTTTTAACCATATACTTGTAACAACTCTTACCTTACTAAAGTCTTTGGAAGCGTTGAAAGTAGCCAAAGATCCGCCCTCCACACTCCTGTTATTCATTTGCCCTTGTAGTACAGTAACCTGAAGAGACGCACATAAGTAGTGTAAGAAACAAAAACCATAACAAATCCAAAATAATACCACCAAATACAAGTTGAATATTCTACCTGATCTTTGAATCCCACTATATCATCGTTAAGATCCGAGATCTTCTGTCTGAACTTCTGAATCACGTTTTCGTAGTCGTTAATTCTGCTATTCAACTGAGAGATCTGATCATCCCTTTCGTTGATAGTGAGCAGATAACTGTTACTGTCCAACCTCGACTGTTGCATTTCTTCCTTCGCAGCTGCGGCAATGTCTTCTGATAGCAGATACATCTCGTACAGATGTTCTTTCTCGGTTAAGGCATTCCTATAAACACAAAAACATGTTCCACAATACCAATCAAAAAGACACTAACAACCCCATTACGTACTCATAACAAGCTAAGATTATCCTATTCCATCAACTTTTTGACCAATTATTTAAATATCTCATACCTCAACCTTTCTTCCAAATCCAAATTGCTAGCGGTCAAATGCTCTACCATCTTCGTGCTGCCCAAGGCAGAATCAACTTGCTCTTGAAGATCAGAGATAATGGCACGAGCTCCAGAGATCTCAGTTGACTTCTTCTCGAAGTCAGTCTGCAGAGTCTCGTACTGCTTTTGGAACTCTTCCAAGTTCTGTTGCATAAACTGCTTCTCCATATTGGTGGTGTTAACGATGTCCCTCATCCGAATGATAACAGCTTGACACTTCTCCAATTGCTGGTTCAGATTACGAACTTGCACACTGTTACCCTAAAAATAAATAACGTTAAATAGATTGAATTGTTATACTAACTAAATTTTTTTCCAAATCAATATCAATTTTACACATTTTAAAGTGTGACTTACAGCCATTTCGCCATCTGCTGACACTTCTTCCTCCATCGAAGTCTTCAATAGCTCTAACTCAACTTCCAGTTCCTCTATTTTAGTTTTCTTCTCGGTAAGCTCAATCATAGCACTTTCTAACTTCTGCTCAGCCAATTCTTTATCCAATGTTAACATTTCCAATTGACTCTCTAAATCTGAAGGTATCGAAGATTCATCTAGCCTTTTTTCCGTTTCTGCTAACCTCTAAAAGAATTTCATAAATCGTCTTTATCTAAAAACTTTCCAAAGACTTTTGATAGAACTATAAAGTAATCAGCAGCTTCAAGCTATAAAGTAAAATCACTTACAGCTTCTGTTTCCTCAATCCTCCGTCGATAATTCCGCATTTCTTCCGTCGCTGAACTTTTGTACTCTACCAGAGTTTGAAACTGAATCCTCAAGTTATCGAACTCAGTGAGTTTGGCCAAATCTTCCTTTCTTTTAGTCCTAAACACAAACACTGCCAATAATATATTAACCATACCTCAAATTTTCGAGTTTTTCACGTAATTCGGCATTTTCCTCCTCCAACTGTTGCATAGTTATCTTGGTATCACTGGACATCGTAAATTAGAATGAAAAACTTTACTTTCATCAGAAAGTCTTATTCACAACTTTTGCTTTTTTATTTATTCAGCGTAACAAAACGCCAATGAAGTTTTGCGCCCATTGCTTGCGTGGTCGGACCTATTTTGTGCAACAACCCCACTCAAAAATTTAGTTAAAAATTATTTTTCAACGTTTATTAATTGTTTTTCACAAATAGTAATAATTTAATAATTTATTAACAACTTTATGTACAACCTTATGAGATATTACTTTAGGTGTTCCTTTTGTAGCATGAATCTACAAACGAATTGATGTCGGTGCACGGTGCTTTCACAAATGTTTGAACGAAGGCACAGTTATGTCGTACCCATTTTTGAGGGTTGGAAACTCCAAATATCTTGGCATAACTGTTCACTTTCCGGCAGTTCTCCATACTCATTTGGATCGGTTTCTTTGGGGATTCTGTCGCTGAAATTTGAATTCAAAATATTGTCAACTCGATTCTACGTAGTACATGAAAGTAGAAAAATAATAATGTAACGAAAAGCTTACTTTTTGGGATGAATCCATACTTAGAACCCGCCAATCCAGCGCCTTCTTTGAATTGCGACGACTGTGACAAGGTATTGACAGGCAATGGCTTATGAGGTTCGAATGTTTTACTTCCAGCTGTTCCACTTTTCAACGATTTTACAGTCTTCTGGATCCTGTGGTTTTCGAACTCTTCAGAGTCTTCTTCTACCGATAGAGGTACTGGCTCGGCTATTGGTCGATATTTCTGGAATTGACAAACTTTAATTGATCGATTAGAACTAACGGTAGTGAAGCCTTTAAGTAAGAGAGAGCTAAATGGACTATAAATTTGTAAAAAATGAAAATAATAAGGTTTATAAGCAAAATGACCAAACCGAGTATCGATATCGTCGATGGCCGTAGCGTCTTTTCGGCCAATCAAAGTCGTCGTAATAAGCTGAAACAAAAAGTTACATGATACAGCAATGTTACGTAGATTTAGTTATTGCGATAACATACCTGGCCGTCGATGGTATTTTGGTCGTCGAGGGTAAAAATCTTCTTCATCATAATCCTAGAAACAGTAACTATGTTTATATGATAAATCAAGATATTAAAACACTTTTAGTACCCTTACCTCTACACTCTCGTACAACGGTCGTCTGGGATGATATCGGCGACGTTTCCGTAATGGACTGAAACAGAAAGATCATTTTAAAAGTTAATTAAAAAATAACTAAATGACAATATTTATATAGTTTATCAAAGACAATTAACCAGCAACATCTTACTCAACAATAGGTGTTTCCAGATACGAGAAGCGGGCATTGTCAACTATAGTGGAGCCTTCGTTTACTTCTGTGACATCCTTGGAAGACACGGTAGATGTGTAGACTTCGTTTACCTCATCTATGCTTTCAGTGTCCAACATGAACATTGGAACCATGACTGTTGTTGTTGAAGTGGGCGCTGCCGTAGTGTCCGTTGGCTCAAACATATTCGGGTTGAACTCGAATGGAGTTGTGTCATCGCCATCTGAGCTCAGAAGCAGGTTGTTACTCTGAACACAGATTTAAGTTATTGAAGCTATGTATATAAGAAGGTAATAGCCTTTTATATTAGGTTTTATATAAATGATAACAAACTCTGAGCTTAACTTACATTTTTAATCTTTCGTATCCTCAGCCTCGATTCTGGCTGGTCCTTTTGTAGCGTATAGTTTAGGGGAGAACCAGGAGTGGTCGCTTGAATAAAAGGCGAAAAAAGATTGGCTGTCTTCCGAACCTTTGGCTTGACTGGAAGCTTGATGGGATGGGCGGTAGTCAAGCGATTGGACGGTGGAATCGTGAAACGGCCAGAACTTACTTCAGGCTGTTCTACCTCTTCGTCGTTGTTTCTACTAAAGTTAATTACACGACTCAAGGATCCATTTTACCTATATCCTTACAATCTCTAATAATGGTGGTTTTGTCATGCTTGCAATAATATTATTGTAACCGCGTTTCAATCTAACCCCTATTCTAACATGACCTTACTTTAACTCCTTGAACTTGTCCTTGATCTTCATGAGTAGCCGTTCGTAGTCCTCCAATACTTTTGGGGACCCGTCCACCCGGCTGACCATCAGCCAAACCATTAACAATGACTGCAAATACATAACAAACGTGATTGTGCCACGGCAAGCACGTTTGTGATGGAATCGAACCCGGAGGCGGTGTTTTTATTCAGAACGAAAGTGAGTGCACAAACATTTACTTTCTTCCCATCAAAACAAATAAACCATGCTGAAGATGGCGACGGATTGAGGAGTGAACAAGGAAGATGAATCTGACCCGAAAATCGCCACTTTCACTCACTCAAATCGCTCTTTGTTCTTCGAAATCGTTACAAAATCCCCGTTAATTGGTTGAGTTTAGCCTAAATTTGAGCCATGAGAATTGGGGCACAGAGTAAGCTGTAAAAGTAAAATTCTCAGGAAAGTAATGTCTCCAGAGGTGAGAACTGTCGATTAAGATATCCCAAATGTTACAGGAAGGCATTACTACAGTAAGTTCGGCAGGTAAACGGCAATTATTAAGTTATGAAAGCACTATCGTAAAGAAAGATATTCTTTTGTTATTAATGCGCTATTATTGTTGACTTACTATTGTGTTTCTAATAGCAATTATAAACAAGGCTAACACATCATTATTTTAAAACAAAATTTATCATTTCATAACACAAAATTTCACAATGTGTTGAAAAAAGTCATAGCTTTTCTCTTCATAAATAATTTCTCGATTACTATACTAACTAGACATGAAAGGAGCCTACTAGGCCCGGTGATAATCAAGCTCGTCCCCTTTTCGTTTCTAGTATCAACCAACTTTAACTGACCATACATAGTATAACAAGCTCAATTTATCAAGATTTCTATTCGGGTTTTCATTTTCGGACGGAACAAAGGTCAACAAGTAATCATGATATTAAATCCGTGCTTGCATAGCACCATTCACTCCAATGGTCTCTCCCGTGATGTAACTGGCACTATTCGAAGCTAAGAATGAAACGGCCCCAGCGCATTCCTCGGCTTCGCCAAATCGTCCAAGAGGTATTAACTTTTCGGTATACTGATCACTGGATTCTCCACCCGTGATGGCTTTCGAGAAGTCTGTTCGGATCACACCTAAAACACAAGTTTTTAAACAATAAGTGATGTTAAAATGTCTTACAAGGGATAATACTGACAAACTGCAAAAGGTTTGGGTTGGTAACTTATGAATATGACTCAACGTATTTTTACTAGAAAACCCGCGTTCATAAGTTTCAAACCTAGTACTTTAAAATGCTAGAGAAAATAAGCAAAACCTATACCTGGTGCAATAGCGTTGACCCTAATGTTTCGGCTGGCTAGCGATTGACTTAGCGATTTGTTTAGTCCAACCAAAGCTGACTTCATGACACTGTAAGCACCAATGCCTTCCAAAGGCGAATATCCAGCTACAGATGATACAAAAACAATAGAAGCGTCTTCTGACTTCTCCAAATGAGGGATGGCTCCTTGTGCTAATAAAAATGAAGATCGTACCTAAATTTGATTAATTTATTACCTAAAATCATCAGTTTTGTTACATCTACCTAATTATGATAGAATAGCATCAAAATTCGCTAAATTGAACATTAAATTCATTTAAGATCATAAATATGATTATTAAGTACTTTTAAATCCCTTGTCTAAAAACTTAAAAAAACCTCTAAAATTTTCATAAATAACATACGTTAACAGAGATGAGTTTTTCCCACTGAGATTGTGAACAAGTAGTAATGTCTCCAAAATGTGGATTGGCTGCAGCGTTAGACACCAAAATGTCAAGTTTGTTGAAGTTGTCAATCGTGAAGTCAATCAGTTTCTTTCTGTCAGCATCAATCCCAACATGCGCAACACATCCTGCGCATTCAACTCCATCCATTTCCAGAGCCTTTACAGCTTCCTACAATTTAATTGTTGCAGTAAAATGAGTTTAGCTATTTTTTGTTATCAGGTTGTTCAAAAATTAGTTAAAAGCTGCAAAAATACAGTTGTTACCTAAAAAAGTAAAAACAGAAGATATAACCGACTTACCTGCACATTTCTCTGTTTTCTACTACTAACAACAACTTTGGCTCCGTCCAGTCCTAGTCTTCTTGCTATAGCAAACCCGATGCCCTTCGTTGAGGCTGTGACAATAGCGACACGCTCGGTCAAGAACTTGACGCCACTCATCCTAAAAACAAAATTTACTCTATATTTAGGTATTCAATGATCAAGCTTATATACAACAAAAAATTAAGAAATCGCATTTTTCACGCATTGAAAGTTAGACATGTAAGATCAATAAAACATTTGATAAAATCACAATTCGCCAGACACGTGAATATCACTTGAACATCTTTATATCATATATCTTCCAGACTCGTTTAATCTCTTTTTGACGCCAGTTTCAACATAATAAAAAGAAAACTTAAAATACCTTTCAATCCAAAACCTAAGGTTAAAAATTTTTAACCAGGTCCATACCAAAAAGTTAAATCTCTTCAAGTACCACATCAAAACAATTCCCATGTAGATAAAAAATAGTAGGTAAAACGGTACTTTTTGTGTCAAAATCAAATAAAATTGTTTTATAAGACTCAACATTGGTTCTCATTCAAAAAATGCGCGACAATGTCTTTATTGTCCACCTTTTTACAAAACCCGGAACTGTGGCGATATGCAAATAAAGAGTCTTTAAATAACTGCTACAGAGTTACCTCGTCCTTATTCTTTATTAAGACGGTGTTGTATTTATCTAACAAAACATGGCATTTTGACTTGTTAATTGTCCTAATTTTTATAAGGCGCCTAAAATACTATCTTCCCTACCGAAACACATTGTCTATTTTTTGTTCTCGATAAAAAACATAAAACTATTAATTTTACATAAAATTCTGATGGGAAGAAAAAGATACCGAACGCATGAACAGCGCTTGGCTGCGAACTGGAGAGAGCGCAAACGAATGAGTTCCATCTACCAAGCCTTCGAACTTTTGAGGACAAAGATACCGGCAGGGAACAACTTGAGGAGACTGAGTAGATTAGAACTGTTAAAGTATGTCTTATTAAATTATAAGATAAAAACTACATTCATAAAGCAAAAGCGATAGCTTAAAACAATATGTTTTGAAAGATAATTTACAAGAAACTTTAGGTTTGCGGTTACCTACATCAAACAGCTCGAACAGCAACTACAACTTCCTGATCCACGCAGGATTTGATAATAAAATCTAATAAGAACAATAGTATAATGTATATTTTCAAAAATAATAAATATATATTTATCCCGATAAATACTAGAAAAATCAACAGCGGATCGAAAGAAACAAGATCTTGTCGGAGAAAAAATATTTTGGGTTTATTGGCATTGTGTTGCAGTTAAGATTTTGGGGAAATATTATTTTTGCGACTGGTAAAACTAATAAACGAAGGTACCGCGTTGATAAAAACTAGAATGGAGTCAATTATGATGTTTAATTTTGCGTTTCTGTAACCTACATAAGATAGCAGTTGAGTGGTCATCTTAAGTTTACATTTTTTTTTCAGTTTGGGCTAGACAGAAGTTTTGATAGTTTTGGTTGAGAACAGGGACTTGTTGTGTCTTCCTGGATACATTAATATTGCGTCATTTTGTTTTTGTTGTTTCTTACAGTTTGAGAAACAGGTTGAAAGCAAATTCATTGTAGTGAAGCTTCCACTTTCTTTTACACATAAGAATGTGATATTTGGTAGTTAATAGTGTTTCATTAAAACTTCGAATGTTAATTAATACAGTAATGTTTTGGCAAAACCTTACTTTATGAATACAGCTCTGCTTAACTATATCGTGGAATCTTGTTGTTCGGGTCATTTCCGCGATCTTCTAAACCAGTGTTTTTAGAAGGAACGATCAAAGACGTCGTCGCTTTCTGCTATCCGAGCGGTTCGGGGATTTTTTACATCTTATAATACACACCGAACCTCAGTTTGGTCACGAGACTTTTCCACTAGTAAGTTTTTCAAATTTACTTTTAATATTTGTGAATATCGTCCACGTGGAGCTTAATGTTTACTTTTTAGGTAGCTATTTGGTGCGAAAGTGTTCAACGATGGCTGGATCAAGTGAAGGTAGGTTTTCTTTTTACGGTATTATTTATATGTTTAGGTCTTCGTATCTACAACAGTCTGACAAGGACAAAGGATGTGTTCAAACCAAATGACAACAAGGAGGTCAAGTTCTACATTTGTGGTCCTACTGTCTACGACTCTTCTCATATGGGGCATGCAAGAGCCTATCTTTCTTTTGACATTCTTCGGAGGGTTATGGAGAACTATTTTAACTACAACGTCAACTATGTTATGAATGTCACAGACATTGATGATAAGATCATCAAGCGGGCTCGACAATGCTTCTTGTTTGAGAGATACTTGAAGGAGGACAAGAACGCCAATGATTTCATCAAGGACGTCACTGAAGCCTTGGTCTTATTCAGTGAAAAAGCGGACAAAGAAGGTGACAAGGATAAGAAAAAGATGCTCACTGAAATGGTAAGTGGAATTTACAGGTTCGATGTAGCTATATTAGGGCTGGAAACATATCTTTTTTATTTATAAATTGTTTTTTACCTTTTAAATGTCGATTTTAGATAACTCGTGTGAACGAGACCGTCAAGAAGCTGGAATCAGAAGTGGTAAAAGCTAAAGGAGAATCTAACCGCGACCAGTTTAGTGAGCTGCTAATATCAGCAAGAGATATTTTGTCTGATTGGTTGGACACAAAGTTTGGAGGCACCGTAAACGAATTCTCCGTCTTCTCAAAATTGGCCAGAAAGTAGGTTTTTTTTGTTTTATATTATACTTTACATATAAACCTTTCATATATTTTTGTAAAAATGTTTTATTATGATTGAATGTTTGATTGTTTTTAATAAAAATTGTAATTTTAGGTTTGAAAAAGAGTTCTGGGACGATATGAACAACCTTGGAGTCAAGGAGCCTTCTGCTGTGACTCGTGTCAGCGAGTTCATCCCTGAGATCATTGAATATGTTCAAAAAATCGTGGACAATGGCTACGGATACGTTGCCAAAGATGGATCTGTAAGTTACTCTTTTACTCTGTGTATAGGCTTAGAAGAGTGGTATCATTTCATGTTTAACATGTATTTTCTGATAAAAAATTGTATTTTTTTTTCTAATTTAGGTATACTTTGACACTTTGGCGTTTTCTGAAGCTCCGAATCATAACTATGCCAAACTCGTGCCAGAAGCGTTTGGTGACACTGAGAATTTGCAGAAGCATTTAAGAGAAGGCGAAGGAGAATTGAGTCTAAGTGCTGACAAGGTTTCCGTAAGTGTTAAAATGATTTAACTCTAAATTGTACAAGATTGTGTTACTCTAAATCTCATAATTATTTTTAGGAAAAGCGGAATCTAAGCGATTTTGCCTTGTGGAAATCCTCAAAAGAAGGCGAACCGTTCTGGGATTCTCCGTGGGGCCAAGGAAGACCTGGATGGCACATTGAGTGCTCGGCTATGAGTACGGCGATTTGTGGCGAGAAACTTGACATTCATGCTGGTGGTTTTGACCTTAAATTTCCTCATCATGACAATGAGATCGCTCAGGTATGCTTTTCTGTACTTATAAATCAGAATTTGGTTCAGAGAAAACATTTTAATATGACTCACTATTTATAATTTTTTTGTTTAATATGTAGTTTAGTGCGAAGCCTACTTCAACTCTGACAACTGGGTGAACTACTTCTTGCATTGCGGAACTTTGCGGATTCAAGGATCGAAAATGTCAAAATCTCTAAAGAACTTCATCACGATAAAGAAAGCATTGGAAAGTTACACTGCAAGACAACTGAGGATTCTGTTTTTGATGCACAACTGGACCGATGTTCTTGACTACAGCAATGCCACGATGGAACACGCTCTTCAGTTCGAAAAAATGACCAATGAATTCTTTTTGAATGTGAAGGATCATCTTCGAAGGTCTTCTTACAACTCTGATGAGGTAGGCTTGACTTGTTTTTAAAAGTTTTTTTTAAATTAATTAAGTTTATCAAATTAACATTGAAATTATTTGTTTTCAGTATTTTTCAAAGTTTGGAAAAGAAGAGTTAGAAATGAAAAAGCAGATCGACGAAGCCAAGGAAGCCATTCACCTGGCTTTTTGTGATTCTGTGGACACAAGGTCAGTCATAGAGAAGATCCGTCAAGTCATCAGTTACTGCAATCTATACATCAAGCATAAGGTAAGACAATGATTATAAAAATGTAATTCTCGTGTTTAGGAATCTTCGCAACAACAAGTGTACGTGAAGCTTCTGAGAGATACGTCCGTATACATCACATGGCTTCTCAAAGTATTTGGTGTAGTTGCAGAATCAGAGGAGATTGGGTTGGGCTCCGACAGCACAAGTGATAGCAAAGGCTTCGAAGAACGACTGATGCCCTACTTGGACGTTTTCGTAGAATTCAGGGAGAAAGTACGAGAGATTGCCAGGAAAGACAAGATCGTGGAGATTCTGAAGGAATGCGACAGGCTCAGAGACGAATCATTACCAGAAGTTGGAGTTCGATTGGAAGACAAAGCCAACCAAACTTGTGTCAAACTAGTGGACAGGGAAACACTGCTAAGAGAGATTGTACAACAAAAGGCGTTACAGAAGGCCAAGGAAGAGGAAAAAGAAAGGAAACGGTTGGAGAAGGAGGCCAAAGAACGAGCCAAAGCTGAAGCGGCCAAGATCAACCCTGCTGAGCTTTTCAAACAAGGTGAATATAAAGGAAAGTTCAAGGAATACGATGAGAATGGCATGCCCACCATCGACTCCGAAGGCAACGAAATCTCAAAAAAGCAATTGAAGAAGCTCCAGAAGATGTACGACGACCAGAAGAAGGCGTTCGAAGCTGCTACACAACAAACGGTCTGATTCCATATTGTATCATCTTTTTATAAATAACGGGTGTATGTTACCTTTTTGTCTGGTTTCTCTAACCCGATCTTTTATTGTTGTTATTTATTAATAGATATTTTTTGCTTTCAATTTTATTACAGTGTCCCATGAAAACGATAAATGCCTCAAACGCAGGTTTTAAGAATGGAAAGAGTGATAATGTTTAGTTACTACAAAGCATGTTTGAGATCTTAAAGGATTAACTTTCATTATTTAGTGGACTACAGACTAGTAAATTAATTATGTACACCACAAGGTAGTCTTATCCATCTGAGTGATGGCTCATACCAGAATAAGAGTGGGGACCGTTGCCTCCGGGGAATTGGGAGTCGATGAACGAGAGGTCGATTTGTTGTAGAGGTTGCGAGGGTAGCTGAGGCCTGAAGCCAGCTCCAAGAAGACTCTCCACGTTAGTCGACTCCATCTGGCTACTAGAAAACATGGTGACAATGTCATCACTCCTGCAAAATCAATGTTTATCGATCTCTTAAGTACCATCATTGATTCCCTGCTAAAGTCATGGAACTTACATGTCCATAGAATTAGAAGACTGATAATCTCCCGGAGACCAGTCCAGCTTGCTGTTGTTGGACATTGGGGACGGACTTTCTCCACCAATATTCATTTTTCTAAAATAGTATTCCATATGAGTATTATATAATGGTAGGTTTACCCAGTCTTGGCCACCATTACAATTTGAGATTGGATATAGCCTGTCGGGGATTCTGACTTCGGACGTTCTTCTCCTTCGAACACGCGTAACATGTTTTCTTTATCATGGTCAGGGTACAAGAATCTGTAACAAAATTTGATAATATTTAAAAGATTGTGCTTAAAGACCCCATAAGGATGTGTACATACCTTATGTTTTGCAGCTGAGGACAGGATGCAATTCTCTGGGCCAAACTCAGCTGGTCGAGGTCTTTTATGGTGAATGGAGCCAAATGGAATGGCACCTTTTGTCCATCTTCTTCGCACACGAACCCAATACTGACTGCGCCAGTTTGAGTATCTGAAAAGCGTAGTAAGAAGGTAGGCATGGGTGACATGCACATTCTGTTAGAAGCGTCATTCTTGGAGATAAAGCCTATCAGCCATCCTTCGTCCCAGAACTTCAGTAACTTCTGTTTGATCAATTGCATTATCAAAAAGAACCATTCCCAAAACGAAAAGTTCACATCTTCACGTAGGTTTTGCTGAAAATGCGGTGTGTTTAATAATAATTAGATATCATAGACACATTCAAAATTTCTATTCGTGTCCCCCTTCCTATTGTACTCTATATGTAACATTATAAAATTCTTTACTTTAGCAAATCTGTGGAAAGTTATGGGTTTGGGCTCTGGTCCGGGCTGGACGATCAACTTTTCTGCCAAATAGTTCAAATCAGATTCATTCAACGGTCTTCGAGTTCCCGTGAACAGGTTGAACTTGTGTCTCAACACTTGACTCAAGTCTTTCCATGTGACAGCTGCGATGTCTTCGTTGACCGAAGTTCGAGTCTTAAATTGGACAATTTAATTACGCCCCAAATCTGTTTAGGTATAGGTGCATGTCTTGTTCTTTTTTGTCTTAAGTTTTTCAAACATTACTCACAAAACTTGCATAACAAGATAAATCTATCACAAAATTACTTTTATGTTCACGTTTAAAGTACTTTGTTATTTGACTAAAATCATATAACTCACCACGGACGAGAATGCTCGTTGCCACATGATAACACCTTGGGCATCGCAGTCTTGCGATCCGTGTACAGTAACCATAAGTGGCAATGACAAAGTCCACACGTCAAATTTGCCCAAGTTACCCAATTGGAACGGGGAGATGTGGAAAAGAAGAGCGTACTTCTGATCAGTAGCCGTTTGGACGTTGAAACTCTTGCAATCTCCTTGAATTCCCTTTGGCGGTGGTTTGCGATGTGCAATTCTAGTTAATTTCTAAATTTATCAATATTCTTTTTATGTTTTGGCATGTATATTATATATTTGCATAATTAGTAATCAAGTTACTTACAGAATTATTGAACTTGGCAGACATGTGTCCTCTTTCATCAAAAGTCAACTTCTCAAAGTCGTTGCTGATAGAGCCAACGGTTTTTCTAAAACTATAAATTTAAATGTGAATTTACCAATCAGTACTGCAACGGTTATCTAACTCACATATCTTTTTCCGCCAACTGACTGACGCTCAACAAGCGTGCCTCTTCTTCGGCCACAATCTTCACCGTGACATTGGCGTTGACCAAGTGTTGCTTAATCCCCAATTTGTCGCCGATTAAGAGCCGCACTTCAGCCACAAACTTATGTTGTGTCTTCAGAACTGGGTCTGGCTGGACGGCTACGACAAAAGACTGCGACACTAGCATACACAAGAGCTTGGTCAACGTTTCGTGAATGTGCGACAAGTGACTGATATGGGTTTGTGCCGTATTGTCTGATAACTGAGGGCTGCGACGTAATAGGTCTAATTGCCAACATGCAAACGTACGCAACTGCCAGTTGTTTTCGCATAGCATTTCAAAGCTGAAATCAAACAAACAGTGTAAGGTAATAATATGAAAGATATTTTTATTGATAACAAAGTACATATAAATTAAATACAGCAAACAAAAGAAAGAAAACAAACCAAGTCATGTTAGTAATAGCAAGACCACACAACAAAAAACAAGCGACAATACTAAACACAACCATACTCCATCTGGATCTCATCTAACTGAAGGTCCCTATTCTCAAATGGAACCCCGATTTGCGACAACTTTTGGCGATTCTTCCATTCCAGCAGTCTTTCGTTGATTAAGGTACTCTGTAACATGGCTATCTGCTGGATTCCTTCGTTTAACCGCTTTGTCTATAATCAATATAAGTAATACGTTTGAAAAAATCTTAAATTTAAGACGCTAAAACACTATAGTGATATGCACATAATCAAAGCTTACAAGATAGTTTCTGCGTTCAGTCAACTGTTCGTACAAGTGAGACGTCCTGGATTGCATTTCTTGCATCGAATTCTGTGCATGCCTCAACTGGTCAACCCTCTGACTCTGTTCCAGTTGACTAATAGCCAACTGGAATCTTTGTAGCTCGCTTAAATCGTTCACGAACCTTCCTTGCATATCTTTGTTCTCTTCCCAAATGTGCTGACACTCCTTGGTCAACCCATGGAGACTCATTTTCATCTCCTGGTAGTTCATCTTCCGTACACCTGCAAATGAACATCATGAATATGTGGCAACAAGAGTAGCAGGCAAAATTATGCAAAATTGGGTATCAAGAAATCAAAATTAAGTTATTTAACAAAAGACGACACTACGTCCAAAGTAATTAAAAAACTTGAAAACGATCAGATATTTAATAGTATATTAACTATCGCCCAACCCCAACGACTTTAAGAACAATTTATCATCGACAACAATAAACAAGTGTAACAAGAAAGGGTTATAACAGATCATTTCTTAAGAATTGTCGTCCAGCCATCTTCGTCCGTTTGTGTTTTAGGTTGACGAACTTTGCTGGAACTCTCTTCTACCTGGAAAACACTTTGATTAGACAAACTTGTATCATTTGCGTATAAGATTTTAAGAAAGCCACGCAAAAAATTATTTTGGAGATCTTGTTAGCCGAATTCTTATTAATCTCTCAAAAAGTTTACTTATGTTTTCCTTTTCTACTGCGTTAAAAGCGACAACTCCAGTTTTCACTTTACTTCTCGCTTTTTAGAAAGCCCGCTCACCTCCATTTCCTGATCATCGTCTCCGCTATCTCCTGATGCCTCCGGGTCCTCCACGGTTTTTGACTGAGCTTTCGCTTGGTTGACAGTATTTTCGTTGGGTAACCTGGCCAATACGCTCTCTACTTGGTCTATTTTTCCATCCAATATAAGTTGTGCTCCTCGTGCCAGAAGGTCACTCATCTCAGCCACACTTCCATCTTCTAACACCAAGTTAAAAACCTCGTTGAACCCATCCTCTAACCAATCTTCAATCACGAACTTGTCCAAATCTTTGGTTTCCAATAATAATAAAGTCAGTTCATTGTGCAACCTGCAAGTAAAACATGATTATTTTAAAAAGCAAATCATTACTTTACACTTGAGATCCTGCCCAAAATAACTAAAAAATGATATGGCAATGATTAAAAAAAGGTTTTGATCTGGCTCAAGCAACAATAAAAAAAGAAAATAAAATGACTATTGCAACTCTCATCTATAAAAAAGACGATAGGAAAAACATAACACAACCTTTAGCGACACAATTAAAATGGCAACAAGTTAACATCCATAACATGAGTAAGCTTACCGAGAAAACTTCAGAAAAGCGAAGGAATGAGAAGAACACGCGGACGGTGCAAAAAACGAATAAATTCGACTGCCCACAAGACCAAATTCAGTTCTAATGGCGTTTTTGGTTCATTTGCGGCCGGCCAAAGTGAATATAATTTTTAGAATACAAACTAACGTGTAAGAGCTCATAGCCGCTGTAATTAATTTACCGAGGCTAAAACTTTGGGCGAGAAGATTTGTCCCCCAACTAAATAATCTTTATGCCCGCGAGACGCTTTAATTAAGTTACACGCTTACAATTCCGCTTTATTGAAACAACCCCAAAAACAAAACGCTAATCTTAAGCCCCTAATTACTCGAATAATAACTTACCTATCACGCTTGTCAACAATAAGGCAACACATTTGTCATGTGCATAACTATAGTTAATTTAAGTCGTACTTACCTAGTTTTTACCATATTAGGTAAACAATCTGCCTTAATATTAGAGCAGTGTTACAAGGAACCATTAATAGACAAGTGTTTAAATTTAACAATGTGTAAAAACTAAAAGGTATCAAACCAAGTAACACAGAAAACAACTAAGCACTTTCTAACAAAATTCTTACCCATTTAAAATGACAAACCGGCTTAAATTAAAAAATATACCTAAACACTGACATACAACATGAAACAACCTAGTGTAACTTCGAAAAGTCAAATACGAATTCTTGTTTTCACTAAATTAAATCTAAATGCATCAAAAGAACTTACATAATGTCCATGTTCTTAGTCTCGCCACCGGCGGATTGGTTGACCAAAGCCAGCTGATAACCTGTCCATGAAGATAGAACCCGCTTGACTAGACCTTCCAAATAAGGTTTCGCTTGAACCCTATTCATTAGAACAAACGTTAGATCACGCTCTCTCGCTGAAAAAAAATCATTACTTTACGCTACGAGCGAGACAAAACGTATACAACATGTTGATATTACTCGGAACATTATTCAAAGCCCGCTACACTGAGTGCAGTGAAGAAATTGAACAAAAAAAATTTAAATTTACGTTAAAAAGCCTAAACTTGTTTTACTCTGATATAACTCTCTATCTAACAATATATTACCCATTCTTTAAGTAAAAATTTATAAATCAATCAGTGATAAGATTTTAAACACAAACTTGACCAGCAGAAGACTTGACGCCCAACATTTACAATCCTATCATAAATTACAACAAAAAGAAGACTTAAATCTATATTTTTTAAAGAATTAGAATGTACAGACAACAAGTATCGATAATTTACTTTATTCGTATAGATGTACCACAACAACAATGAAAACCTCAAAAGTAAAGCAAAGTTGACACACTGTGTCAAGTCTTTCTTTAAAGAGAAATATTTTGCGCTCGTTTTCCATATTTTAAAAACCGAAATTAGAAAAAATTCTCATAAACCAGGTGATACAAAAGTGCCTAGAACTGTAGCTACTATTTTACAATCTGATGTCTAGCTACATTGCGTCAGCACAGAAGCCGACGGTTGTTAATGGGGCCGTGGTTGGAAATTTCAGAAACAGTACCGAGAGGGACTTGATCATTGCTAGGATAAACAGGATTGAGCTGCTTTTAATCACAGAAGAAGGACTAAAACCACATCGAGAGATCCCTATTTTCGGCCGAATTGTTGTGATTAAGTCGTTTAGACCAACAGGAAAAGTAAGCAGCCTTTTTATATCTAATCTCAAGTTTAGGACAAACATCTGCTGTTGGTTGTGACCAGTAAATATCATGTTGCTATCTTGTCTTTTGGTGCTGAAGGAGAAGTGATCACTAAAGCTGCTGGTAGTGTTGCAGACAGAGTATTCAGACCAGCTGAGACAGGAATTCTTGTTAGTATCCACAAATCAGGAGTAAGTGTACTTCAATATAATTGGAAAGAGCTACAGTTATTTATATATTTAGTTTGCAATGTCAAACGTGTATTTAACGAGAATATTGATAATATCAATTTAGTTGATTGCCTTACGGTGTTACGAGGGAAGTTTGAAGATTATCAATTGGAATGACAGTGGAAATCTACAAGCTTTTAATCTGAGGCTTCTAGAAACTCAGTTGACTGATTTTGGATTCTTGGACACTAAAGGAAGTAAGTTGTACTCGTTTTTAAAGTTATTGCTTTAGGTGTTCTTTCTTTGGCTTACATTTACCAAAACGAAAGCGGGCGACATCTGAAAGTGTGCAGATTAAATACGGAAGAAAAGGAGCTCACTGCTGAATGGACTCAGGAGAATATTGAATCTGAAGCTTCTCTGCTGATTCCCGTACCTCATGTTGGTGGAGTTGTTGTAGTTGGTCAGGAGTCGATTTCTTATCATAAGAGTAGCAACAACTACAAGGCCGTATCTCCATTCTTGCTGCATATGTCAGAGATTTGTTGTTATTCCCATGTAGACGAGGATGGAGGAAGAATACTGCTCGGAGATATTCATGGTAGATTGTTTTTGCTTCATTTGCACACAATGCTGATGGAAAATGGGTTAAACGAAGTGAGGGACATTAAAGTAAGTGTTTAATACCGTAACCAACTACTTTTGTATAGTAACATTTAGTTATGGGTTAGTTTAACTAATGTCATTTAGGTGCAACTCTTGGGCGAAATTTCGATTCCCGAGTGCATAGTGTATCTTGATCGGTCGATAATGTTTGTGGGGTCAAGAATGGGTGACAGTCAGTTGATAAGAATACTCGACGAGCCTTACGAGTCTCAGCCAAACACATTCTTGGAGGTGGTGGATTCTTTTCCTAATCTTGGGCCGATCAGAGACCTGGTTATTCTAGACACAGATGGCCAAAAACAAGTTGTTACATGTTCTGGAGGCTTTAAAGAAGGATCGTTGCGGATTATCAGAAGTGGAATTGGTATTGACGAGACTGCCACAGTAGACATGCCTAAAATCAGAAATCTGTTCACTTTCAAGTTCAACTCGGAATTTGACAATTACATAGCCGTATGCTTTGCTGACTACGTGGACTTGTTCAAGGTCGAGGGAGAAGTCTTGGATAATGGTGATTTGCCTGGTAAGTTGAGAACAATGATCATATATAGTGGTAAACTATTTATTGTTTATTTTAGTAAATCATATTCACATTGGGAACAATTTGTATATCTAAATGTCATTTTTGGTGAATTTTCAGGCTTCGAACGAAACAAAGAAACGTTATTTGTTGGTGGACTGAAGGATGGAAGTGTTATCCAGATCTACGAAAACACATTGAGTTTGATCGGAACAGATGGAAATGTGACCGTGAAGGAAGAGTTTGATGACCTTACTTTGTGCGATGTCAATTTGCATACAGGCCAGGTCTTGGTGGCTAACAGAGATACCTTGGTGTACTACCGAATCATCGACAACGTCTTCAAACGGATTTGTTCTCAACAATTCGAATATCAAATCGCTTGTCTATCTCTGTCTTCGTTTGGTAAGTGTGTTGTCGTATGTTACTTTTATATTTAGGTTTTTATGCAAAAAAAGGAAGGGAAAGATAGTAATTTTTATTTTTTAATTCTAAAAGTCGGCACAATTAAAATGTTTTTAGACGAAGAAGGTGAAAGCACGGTATGTATGGCAGGATTCTGGAGCGGAACGGAAGTCTCAATGTTTGCGATTGAGAACAACGAGTTCAATCACGTCACCAATTGCACATTGCCTGGAGACTTTGTCTTGCCGCGGTCTTCTTTACTCACCAAGATGGATGGCGTTATCTATCTTATGATTGCGTTGAGCGATGGAATACTGTATTATTTCACGGTGGATCAGAATAATGGACAAGTTATTGATGTCAAGAAGGCTACTTTGGGTACAAGGCCGCCGAAACTGAGGAAGTTCTACGCCAGAGGCACCGTAAATGTGTTTGTATGTTCTGACAGACCAGCTGTGATTTACAGTTCGAATCAAAAGTTGATATTCAGTAATGTGAACATCAAGTTGATCACCCAAATGTGTCCGTTAAATGCAGAATTCTACCAGAACAGTCTAGTCTTGACAGACGGGTTCCGCTTGTTTATTGGTAGGTGTTACTTTCGATTTAAAATAATTATATATTACTATCTTCATTGCATAGTTTTATAATACGTTGTTGATTGTTACTAAAGTTATATTTATAGGGGTAATTGATGACATACAGAAGCTTCATATCCGGTCAGTACCATTGGGAGAAAGTGTCAGCAGAATTGCTCATCAGCCAGAAACAAACTCGATTGCTATATTAACTCATAGGGTCGAAGTAAGCGAAAACTAGTTAAAGGTTCGGTAAATGTGTATCGTTTTCATATATCTCTATTTATGTTTACAGTATTTAGTCCAAGTTATTTAGTCTTTAACAAACTGAATTTCAGAGAATATTGCCTAACGGAGACAGACAAATCAGAAATTCAGCTCCGAAAATGTGTCCAAACAGAACACAACAACCTTCTATTAATGGTACAGATAGCAATGTCACAAGTGAAGAGTTTGTGGATGCTGTACAAGTCTACTCCTTGTGTTTGTTAGACGTGAATACCTTCGAAATACTCCATGTTGTGGAAATGCCGAACAATGAAGCCTTAGTGTCCGTAGCGTCGGTCCAATTGGGTAACAGCACAACGCCTTTTTATGTTGTGGGAACAGCCATATATGTTCCATCAGATACAGAATGTAAACAAGTAAGTCATAGAATTTGTGTTTTTGTTTTAGGTTTGACCATCTGTGGGTTTAATGTGATCTTAATTTAGGTATAATCAGTTCATAATTCCAATTTTAGGGTCGTATTCTCATCTACGCTGTAGAAGACCAGCGTTTGAAGTTGGTAAACGACAAAGAAGTGAAAGGAGCCGTCTTGTCGATGGCCGCCCTTAACAACAAGTTGATTTGCTCGATCAATAGTTCTGTGCGCTTGTTCGAATGGACATCGGAGAACGAGTTAAGGTTGGAGTGTTCGTCTTTCAACTTCATTACTGCCCTCTTCATCAAGACTAAAGGAGACCTGGTATTGGTTGGTGACATTATGAGGTCGATGTCGTTGTTGGCTTACAAGTCCATCGATTCACAGTTTGAAGAAATTACTCGAGACCATAGTAATGAATGGACTACAGCTGTTGAGATTGTGGATTCGGATACGATGATTGCTGCCGAAAACGCCTACAATCTTTATGTCGTACGAAAAGAGGCCAAAATAGAAGGAGAAGATGAGAAGACAAAGTTCAGACAAGCTGGCTTCTGGTATTTGGGAGAAAACGTCAACGTGTTCAGAAGGGGGTCGTTGCTCACACCAAACACCGATACAGGCACAAATTTCACCAATCCATTATTGTTTGGGACAGCCGATGGCAGTCTGGGCGTTATTGTGCAGTTGACTGAAGACGACTTCAATTTCTTGTTAAATTTGCAACGTTCTTTGGCGAATAACACAACCAACTGCACCAGAATCTCGTACGATACCTACAGGAACTTCAACAATCAGAAGAAGGTGGAAAAGCACAGCGGATTCATAGATGGAGATCTAATCGAAGGGCTTACAGATATGTCAAGGGAAAACATTATTGAACTTGTGAAGTACATGAAGGAGAAATACAAACGTAGGTTGTCATATTTGAAAGAATTAAAAAAGAACTTCGTCTGAAGTTTAGTAACACTGTTTTGCCTTTAAACACACTTACTGTATAATGTAAAACTTTCGACTAAAATTATGTTAATTCCCTTCTGCAGGTGACACATCTCCAGAAGAAATCCTTCGACTGGTAGAAGATCTCTCACGGTTACATTAAATAAAAATATAATACCCGGTACATCGTTGTTAATTTTGTCAAATAAACTAACATTAAATCAATTTTCTGACAGGCTTTCGAAAAGATTGAGAAAAATATTCGCTTCCTGCTAATTAAGGTCGACGAGCAAAAAATAAACTTATTTTTTGTACAAAAAACATTAAAAATATAATAAAAACACTGGATTGCCTTGAGGAATTACGCCGTGATATGAGCAATGTTTTCTACTTCTTCTTTGGACCTCCCAACGGTTGGCCTATGTCTTTACCTCGAAGCTTCACTCCCAATGCTCGCTCCATCTTGGTCAGAACTTGTTGATTAGGAATGGCTTTTCCGTTTTCATACTCCCGAACTACTTCTACTTTCTCATTGACACGCTGAAAAAAAACCGTTTTAATCATCCGAAGCAAAACGTTGAAATAAACACGTAAACAAAAAACAATAAAATATGAACGAAAGTATAAAACATCAGTAAAAAGATAACTTACCGTGCTCAGATCCTTCTGCGTCCACTCCTTAGCTTGCCTAGCTTGTTGTAGAGCCTTACACAACGTTAGACCGACCTTCTCGTGCTTCAGCTCCTCAGTTTCTTCATCTAATCTCAACGTGTTCTTGTCAGTCTTGTGTTGACGGTTAGAGCCAGCAAAGAACTTCTTGTTCGTTTCCAGTTCCACACCACGACGTTGAGCAGAATTCAAGTCCTAAACAATCAAAAATATATAAAATACGACTTACAGAAGCAGTTTTGAGCGTTTTGTGAGCCGGACCGCGCTTGCTCAAGATGGTGACCGAGTTGGGGTCGGTGTCAGATTCCATACGTCCCATTTTCGACATCTTTACAGGTATTTAGCACAATTACACGAATTTCTCGACCAAAGTTATGTTGCAAAAATTACGTCAAGATATTTTGCAAGACAATTCTAGAATTGGCATTCCGTTACTGTCGTCGGTGCGGGACTAAAATGTGTGGCGGGAACGTGCTTTTTAAAACTAGAAAATTATCAATTTTTTGGTTGAGGACACGTTACGTTATTGACAATAGATTTAAAACCGAAACAGTGGCCGGAAAGTTCACTTTTTCAAACTAATTAGGCAAAAAGAAGAAAATTAACACTTGAGAGCATCTGACATAATTAACAACGACATTTTTCTTCCGTAAGCCCTGAGGGTTGATTAAAAGTCGGCTTCAGATGCGAAAATAATTCTTGCTGAACAGTTTCTTATGACGGCATCTAAAAGCGTCGTCTTTGGAGATATTGTTTTGTGGACAAAACGAAAAAGAGGAGAACTTGTTTGTGGCGAACTGATTTATCAGGCTTATAGAGTACGCGGACATTGTCTTACGCGGCCGGAAAAAATACATATTTTGTTGATGACATGTGCAAGAATAGTTTTTGGCTCTATAATCGTCTTGTTTCTGGATTTGGCCGGGTTCTCTTTACTTTTTGACCGAAAACCGGTGCTAATATAATATGATTAGGAGGCAGTTCTGTAACCAAATTAAACATCTGTTTGAAAACGATAATTGGGTTTCCTTGTTTCTTAAGCGGTTGTACTTGCCCTTTCCCATATTGGCATTGTTAGTTTGATTAGGGAACTTGGCTGTGAGCGAGGGGTGCTTATCAGAGTTGTCACTTTTTGGTTTAGGATATTGTTTACTGCAGAGTATTTAAGTCTTTTCAGGATATTATTCGGGACGTATACTTTGTGTTAGTACCGAAGACTGTCTGCAATAGCATCAGAGCATTCTCTGGAATCGTATCAACGTTCTGCTAGTATTAAACTGTTTACCAGCAATATGGTGTTATTTCGGTTCAATTACTGTAATGGCATCGTATCTGTGCATTGTTTTTGAGATGAGCACAAAGAAAGTTGGTTCGTCTTCAGATTTCCTAATTGGATGCACCTCTCGGTCAGTTTTATTTTGACTGAAGACGACTCATTTAAGGCGTCCCCCCCCCCTCCACCAAGATCTGCTGACCTCTTACTTTTGCTTTGTCCTCAGGGACGTTCTCTCGGCGTTCTGACCGTGAATGTGAGGCAAATCTTTCGTTAACTGAGACATAAAGATTGTGACGATAAGTATTGTAACTGCAATTTCTTGCCTACAACAATATCGATGTATTGTTTGCACGTTTATTTACTCTGACATAGCGGTGTAGCCAAGTTTAACTCAATTTCGGGCCTTCAGGCTTGTTTTCTGATGCGACGATGTTCTTCTTTTCCATGATATCATTGCGAATATTTTTTAATTAGGCTTTTCTTAGGCTGAGATTAGTTATTGTTATGTGCCTGTAGTGTTACATTCCGTGCTAATATGATGTTGTTTTATTGTACATCTGCTCGCATATTCATGTTTTCTGGGAGAATTTATGGTGTTTTTACTACGCATACTTTTCGTACTATATACTAGAGGTCGTGTACTAATAGGGACGGCTTTTTACGTCAATATATTTGAAAAGTTGTTGCTTTTTGGTCGAAAAGTAGGTAGAAACTTTGCTGTTTGTTTTAATTGTTGTTTATTTTGAAAGCATTTTTTTAAATTTAAATTGTTTTAAGAGTTATTGTACTACTAGTAGTGATGATATTGGACTATTGTTAAAGCCCCGCTACAACTTACTCTTTTGTTTTTACTTTGTTTTGAGCTATTCTTACCTAAAAACATTTTACTTATAAGTGCAACTGTCGAGTGTTATATTGATGTAGCCAAAATCCGACTAAGATTTTATATGTTCTGGCAGAGACTTTATAATTACGCATTTCGTTTTTTAGGTATTTTGATGTGGACTGGAATAATTAATATATTTATAGTACAAGAGCTGAAACCAACTGTACTCGGAAATAGTAAAGCAAGACAACCTCTTGTGTCTGGGTGGGTTTGTAGGGACCATTAAGGTGTGTTACCTACAGAGGCGTGTTGTTTTGGCTTCTAGGTAGATTAGTATGCTGTTTGGGTATATAATGAAAGCATATTAGTTAGATATAGAAGGTATACTTCCCTATACCTACGGTGCAGAGTCAAGCAACTTTAAAGTTGATGTGTCATGTATAACATAAACTAAGATAACAACTTTGCGTTTTGCTCTTTGTAGTACTCTTCTATGTTTTCAGTAGTATTACATAAAAATGCTATGTTATAATTAGTCTAGGAACTTTTGGTACAACTTTTCAACCCATTAAATGTTTTTAAGAACTAGTTCACCTGAGGGCATTCGACAATTAGTTCTGGGGAATGCAAATAGATATGAACATGGCATTGTGTTTACGTCAAGTATCCTCAGATTCTAATTACTCTGTTTGTCTGTGTTCTTCAGCAACACTACTCCAACCGATTAAACTGTTACCTTTCAGGCTTATTGGTCAATATTTGCTATGTTTTACTGCTTTATCGACTGGTCGAGCTTTATTTTATTTTAAGTTTATCCAACTTATAATAACTATTGAACAAAAGTTAAGACTTTTTTTTAATTTTGTGACGAACTTCAAAGAATTGTTTTAATTTTGTTACCTAAACCTTTACGTGGAGTTACCCAATTAACAGTACTTTCGTTAAACTTTGGTTCAGCCGCTTTACAGGATTGCACGTGTTCGTATTTTATTTTAATTGAATTGCAAATTAAGTTTCAGATTGCTGCGTAACCTCACAATGTGCTGAACAGTATGTTTCGTATTTTAATGACAACTCCAGAAGTGCTCAGGTACGTGGCTTTGTTTTTGTTTTTCCAATATCTACCATGGTATTTGCGAAGGTATCATGACTAATGATGCCAAAGTCTATTTGTGTTATTATAAACAGTCTCTCTTTGAGTCACATTAACATTGGGAAAGTCACAGTCTTACCTCACATTCCAGGTGACATTGTGGCTGTAATATTGTGACTTTGGCACTGTAATTGTGACTTTATTACAGTAAACCTTATATTTTTGTTGAACTACTGTATTTGTTAGACTATAAATCTCTTCAAATTATACTTTTGTATATTCACCATGCCTATATTAACCAGCCGGCTGTTATCAATCGTTTTCAGCTACTCGTTAGCGCTATGTTCCCAGACACTGCTCTGCGTGGTGGGTACCATCCTCAACATCGTATGTCTGCTGGCCTTCATGACCGCCTTCACTCAGTCGTACTACCGCAAGACCTCGTTACTCATCTACCTGGTGGCCTTGAGTGTGTGCAACACGCTACAGCTGACGCTGTCCTTCTTTGTTATCGTACTGCCGGCTACTGAGCAAGTAAGTCAATAATTAATGACTACTGAACCACAATCTCTTACATTGTTCTTGTTTACCATGCAATAACAGAGTAATCTTGCCATCTATTATTGGGTGTTATCGCCAAAATTAGCATTATTAGAACTGCAAAAGTGTTACCTAAAGATAGTTTACAATAAACAAAAAATTTAAGTGTGGAATACTGTAATAACACAGTAAATTATCATACATTGTAGGGGTTATACAGTAATATTTGCAATCACAGTTAATACCTAATTACACTTTCAAATTTCAGTTTATGGACGACTTACAGTACCCCTCAGAGTACGAGTTACTACGGTCGTTCAATCAGAAGACCTTGTCTCTTGCATATCCTTTGTTAATGTCTGCCAACTATGCCTCTATCTGGATACTTACTCTGATATGTGCTCAAAGATACCAAAGTATATGCCATCCGAGTTCACCATGGAAGCGACGCCTTGGTATCTTCAAGCACAGCACGCTGTGCGTTGCTGTTGTTGTCATATTTTCTTTGCGTATGTTTTTACATGTTTTAGATAATATTAAGTGATCATACAGTTAAAAGAAGAGGCTATATTAAGCTGATTTAGTATATAGGGGTTTTACAAGGTTAATATGAAGCGTTACTTTAGTTAGTATTTTAAACATTTTTTAAATTTAAACTTTTTTTAGTGTTCAATTTCCCCCGCTACTGGGAATTGCATGGTATTCGAGAGTATTTACTGTACAAAATAATCCAGGAAGGTATTATATACGGATTTGTCGTATACGGGGCACCAATGACATTACTGATATGGTTAAACTACAATACGATTCAAATCGTCAGGAAACACGATGTAAGTGATATTACAGTGTAGAATTACTGTCAATTATGCACTAGTTTATAGTAATATGATGTTTAAAAACTAAGGTTTACTTTGTGTTATGTTTGGAAATAACTGTCATTTGCAGGACATACCACTACGACCATCAGCGGAGCACAGGACGGCCTTGATGACGAGTTCTGTGTTTACCTTGTTTTTCTTGTGCACAACATTATCTGCTTCTCTGAGGCTTATATTGTGAGTTGGCAGGGCTTTACAGTCTTATCATTGGTTATTTTGCAGTGTTTTGCATTGAGCTTATTTTCAATTAGGTTACTACAACTATTAATAATATTTTAACTATGTTTTGCAATATTTTTTGAAAATTGCCGATTGTTAATTTGATATAAACCGCTATGATAACATCACAAATCTTTATCTTTTCAGAATCGTCAAAGAACATTCCCTGAGGCACTTGGATGACATTTGGCTGGTTGACTTGAGTAATTTGTTGATGAATGCCAACGCTATTACCATGCCCGTCGTATGTTTCATCTTTACTCGTGGTTTCCGCGATTTGTTCTTTGTTATACGATACCCGATCAATGGTGCTTGTCCTAGACGGTTCTTATCATCGAGTTTGAGGAAGAAGTCGAATCAACTCCTACAACCACTGGCTGTCTAACACGGCCATGATATCATGTTATACATATGGATATGTTGTAAACATTTACACAACTACAATACAAACATTTCATTCTTAAACATAAGTAAAGATATTAACATTGAAGGGGAGGATCTGATTTTAGTTTTTGGCCTAGGTTTTTTACGGAAATTTCGAATATATTCAAAATCATGAAGATATTATAATCCAGAAGATCTTAAGAACCAAATTTCAATAATTTTTAAAGTTAAAAAGCTGAAAATCATTTTGAATACAAAAACTTAATTCCAAACATTTATAAGCCGAATCAATTATAAGATTGTTATGAAGCGGAATGTGCATTTATCACACATCAGATCCTAATTACTTTGCGCACCGCTGTTATGACCTTCGTTTTGTACAGATGGCGGCGAAGTCGACGTTTTATGCAAATTTTTTGTCAAATACCTGCGAATACGATCCGTCGTGTATTGTACCAGGCAAAAAACGGCTTGGGCCAGATGGCCGCCATCCGGGACATTACAATACGTCCGGGTATTCCATTTGGGATCTGAAGCGGCGACGCCGGCCGGTGATAACGCGTTTTATCATTTGTTTGTTTCTGTCCGAAACGGAATGTTTCTTCCATTTCCCCTTAGGGTCAAGCAAAGGAAGCCGGGTTGGTCTCAAAGTTTTGTAAATAACGGTCGAAAAGTAAATAGAAGGGTCACAGTAAGCATAAGATAGAGTATAATATAACGTTCTGATAAGTTTTTGACCGAGTCTTATTGGTGATATAAGTGAAAACTATGGAGACTTTACTACCGTAAAGCCTGTACTTTTAGGCCTTTTTCTAAAAAAATTATTTTGGGGCTATAAATACCTTGTTATACCTATATTTAATGTTTAATTAAAGTTGTTGGTTCAAGGCCATGTAGTATTACGTATAATAATTTAAGCTTTACTCTTATAACCGAAGCTATCGTAAAGCTTTACTTATCTTAACCTCATACTATTTCATACCTACAACTCCAATGTTTATGTTGTTATAGCTATTTATAAGCTTATTAGTTGTTGATCCATCACCCCAATTCCCACTCCGAGCCAACATCTCGAACACTTTTTTGGTTTGGCCTTTCGCCCTCTTATCTGTGGCCCTTTCCCTTCGATCGGCGGCGATCTGGCCCATCCAATCGGCCATAAATTATGTGACTTTAGTTAGATCGGAACGTTCCCCGCATTTAGGGCAGTTTTCATTATGATTCATGAGCGTCTGTCCCTAATTTACTTGTTTTAGGCTTTGCTTATTGACTGTTTATCAATATTTTATAGAAGGCTGGTCAACAAGTAAATAGAAGCATGGAAATGATCTTTGACCTAACGTTACGTTTATGTATTTGAATTTGATAATCGTACTATACTTTGTTATGTTTATTACTGTGATTGCTGGTTTTGCTACGATACTGCCATTCTTTTATAGAAATTCATATTTTTTGCACTTAGTTTTGTACGTTTCGTAGAAGATTAACTGATAGGGCAACACAAGTGTTAAGTAATTCGAATTTTTATTTATTACTTTTTAAAGTTCGAAAGAGTGGATTCAAGGTTGTCAGAGAAGTAACACTTTTGCAAAACGTGAAAAAGACATTGTTAATGTAAAGGTTAAACTAATCACCATTCAGACTCTAATTAATCTCGTTTTAAAAGTTTTAAAATTTAAAGAAAATGTTTAAACAATCAGTACTTTATGTTCTTTGACTGATCACAACCATTAAACTGCACCGTGCAGACTGTTTCTGAGATAAGCTCATAAGATTTAGAAATCAGACTTAACTTCAAAATAAAATAAATTTTTTTATAAATTTTTAAAATTTGCAAAAACTTTGTTTCCAGACCAATTTCGGCGGGACAAAAAAGGGTTCGCGCAACTTTCGGACCAGAAGGAAGGGAACTGTTTGCAACTTGACGTAAAAGAATATCAGTCCAAGTTGAGTGGACAGACGGGTGAATGAAGGGAGCGGGTTACCTGTTCGCGACGCCACTTTCTCTGGCTTTGCCCAGGGTTTGGGTTCGCTCTATGACCTCTCTATGTTACCCTATCTTCATATCGGCACTGCCACATAGTTTTTGTTCGCTTTCTTCGCGTTTATGCATTATTAGGTGGCTTCTATTTGGGGCTCCAAAACTTGGATCAGTTTGAACTTCAAATTTGTACTTTAAATTTGCACTTTAAGGGTTTCGATGGGGTTTAGGTTTGATTTACTGATAACCTTTGAAGTCAAGGTTTTGTTTACTCTGATGTTACCTTTTGCACTGTTTTCGAACTTTTACAACTTTTAAAAACTACCCTTTTGAACTGTTTTGTTCACGAATCCACCCAAAAAGCGTGTTCCAATTACTGTAACCAGGCGGGTTATGTTGTTGAGTTCATAATTTTGCATCTGCCCGATGTGTAACCTTTTTAAAATTCCATTCTTGGCCCGAAATGAATCAGACCGGTATTGTATGGCAAGAAAGCCCATTCCTCCTCGCTGTTTGTCTTTTCCTTCAGAGGGAGTGCCCGCGAGTTGAGGTCACCTCTAGGGACAGTTTACTTTACTATCTTTTGTTTTCAGTCCGGGCATTCAGCCAAACTTGGATTCCGATCAGACCAACACCCGTCCTGGCCATAAGGCCCACCACACAGAAATGGCGGCAGGAACGCCCCCCTTTATCGTATCTAATCCAACTGTAAGTTGACATAACCTTAAAAAAGAGATCTTCAGTTTTGCAAAAATAATATTTAAATTTTAAAAATATGGAATTAAGTCAATCCATTTCCAAAAATGTATAAATTTGTTGATCTGATTAGAAGATAATCCCAAAAAGCGCCAAATTCCTGTTTCAAGAACTGGTTTTTTCCATAAATATTTACAAATTTGACTTACAGTCTCAGTAAAAGGTATAACATAATTACCCTTTTCAGATCTATGTTATTCTTATGTATCCTACCCCAAACCACATCTGAGTTAGCGGCCGAAGAAGAAGATCTGTGCCAAGGACGGTCCTGTTACCCTGCTACAGGTAACTTGTTGATCGGCAGGAAGGACAAGATCACAGCAACCTCAACTTGTGGTACCGGACGCCGAGAAAGGTATTGTATCGTATCCCATTTGGAAGACCAGACCAAGTGCTTCTTCTGTGATTCACGGCAAGAGTGGTTGGAAGACCGTGACCCCAACAGACTCAGCCATCGGATTCAGAATGTGGTCACGGAGAGCTACGAAGAGCGTGCCAAAAGTTGGTGGCAGTCGAAGAACGGTGAGCAGAACGTGTCGATTCGGATCGACTTTGACGAAGAGTTCCACGTTACTCACTTCATCCTCACATTCCGAACCTTCCGTCCTGCTGCCATGTTCATCGAGCACAGTGCTGACTACGGTAAGACGTGGAGAGTCGACCGTTACTTTGCCTATGACTGTGACAAAGCTTTCCCCGGAATCCCAGAAGGCCGTCCCAAGAAGCACGGTGACGTCATCTGTACCTCCAAGTACAGTTCCATGTCCCCATCGAACGGTGGTGAGGTAAGTTGCCCAGCTGGAGGTTATGTTCTTCTTTTAGTTGATCTACAAGGTCATCTCTCCCTACATCCACACCGACGACCCTTACGCTCCTGAGATTGCCAACCTTCTGAAGATGACCAATATCCGACTGAACTTCACGAAGCTACACACTCTGGGTGACGATCTTCTCGATTATCGACCAGAAATCGACGAGAAGTACTACTACGCTCTGTACGAGATTGTAGTACGAGGGTCTTGTTCATGTTATGGTCACGCTCAAAAGTGTGTTCCTAAATGGACGGGCGATGACCGTGAGAACTCGGACATGGTGCACGGTAACTGTGAGTGTACCCACAACACCCAAGGAGCCAACTGTGAGAAGTGCAAGGACTTCTACCACGACCTTCCATGGAAGCCGGCCATCGGAGATGAGTCGAACGAGTGTAAGATCTGCAGGTGTAACAACCATGCCGCTTCTTGCCACTTTGACGAGTCCGAATACATCAAGTCAGGTATGTAAAACCTGATTATAAGTTTTAAATTTTTTTTTATAATTTTAATATTTGCCTATGCTACTTAAAAGTATTGAACATCTAAAACAATGTACTTAATTACAGGTAATGTGTCTGGTGGTGTGTGTGACGATTGTCAGCACAATACTCAAGGAAAGAACTGTGACCAATGTCTACCGTACTTCTACCGTGACCCAGCCAGAAGAATCGATGACCCCTATGCTTGTCGACCATGTGAATGTGACAAACGAGGCTCGAAGTACGACGGAATCTGTGAAGGAGAAGAGAACATCAACGACAAAAAGACTGCCGGTACCTGCTACTGTAAAACGCACGTCGATGGGCCAAGGTAAGATAATCTCCAGCACAAAAGCTGGTAATCATTTCAAAGCATTTTCATATGTAATTCATGTTATTTGAAGTCAAAATACTAATAAAATCGACTTCAGATGTGACCGTTGCAAAAACGGATTCTGGAACTTCACAGAATCCAACCCAGACGGCTGTCAAGAGTGTGGATGCGACTTGCTGGGTACTGTAGACAACCTGGGTTGTGACAAGTACACTGGAGGATGTACCTGCAAGAAGAACGTCATCGGAGAACGATGTGACACTTGTAAACCCGACCATTACGGTCTCTCGAACCACACAGACGGCTGTCTACCGTGTAACTGTGACGTTGGAGCCTCTGTGAGCACTCAATGTGATGCCATTACCGGTAACTGTGAATGCAAGAATAACTTCGGCGGACCAAAGTGTAACGTCCCTCTCAGTGGGTTTTTCTGTCCAGCCATCGACCACCACACATACGATGCTGAAGACTCATCTGAAGTTACTGGTGGAGAAGTAATCACTCGGGCAGCCTACTCAGGCCAACACAAGACCTGGTCGGGCGATGGCTTCGTACAGATTCGTGAAGGCACCAACATCTCGTTTGTCGTCAACAACATCTTCGAATCTGGTCAGTACAACATCATCATTAGATACGAACTGCCGAATGTAAGTTTTACAGTATCACAAATCGAAATCAATACAAATTTCAAGAAATTTCGCCGTGGTATCTTAACAAAATTATTGTCTTGCTATCTTATCCTTAATATTACTGCTTTCAGGATGGAGCTGGATGGGACAATATCATGATTACCGTAGTACGACCTGATAGTCCTTCGCCTGACGGTCCCTGTGCCAACAGTATCACGTCAGATGACTTCCTAATCGCTCGTCTCGTACCTCAAACCACCTACTACGAAATCCACCCCAGTATATGTTTGGAAAAAGACGTCGAGTACAAGATTCTGATGTTCTTCGGTGAACGCATCGCCAACCACCACGACCCCCAAGCCCAGGCCTTGATCGACTCGGTCGTTCTGATCCCCCCGACCGACAACCTCGACATCTTCAGTGGTTCTCACGAGGCACAATACAAGGGCAGCTTGTTCGCCCAATGTCGCCCATCGTTCCTGAGACTGACGCCAAAGAGTCACGTTCCTCAACAATGTATCGACCTGATCTGTACGGTAGCTGGTGCCATCATACATGAAACCAAACCTTGCAACTGCGACTTGACTGGATCGCTCTCGTCTATCTGTGACATTCACGGCGGGAAATGTCAATGTAAACCCAACGTGATCGGTGACAAATGTGACCGATGTGCTCCAGAGACATACGGATTCGGACCAACGGGATGTACACCTTGTGGCTGTGACAGTTCCGGAGCTTGGAACAACGAATGTGACAAACAGTCAGGACAGTGTGAATGTCGCGACAAGGGAATCTACGGAAGGCAATGTAACCAATGTCAGCCTGGCTTCTGGTCGTTCCCTGACTGTAAGACTTGTCAATGTAACGGACATGCCACGGTTTGTGACCAAGAACGTGGAGCTTGTATCGACTGTCACAATCACACCACGGGACACAACTGTGAACGATGTATCGACACCTACTACGGAGACCCACGCCTTGGTGTAGGTGAACACTGTAAGCCTTGCCCATGCCCTGGAGGTCCAGGATCAGGACTCCAAAACGCAAATACCTGCTACTTGGACAGGAATGCTCTGGAGTCAAAACTGAAGTGTAACTGTAAACCTGGTTACACTGGAGATCGGTGCGATGCTTGTGAAGTCAACCATTGGGGAAGCCCTCGAGATATCGGAGGTCAATGTGTCGAGTGTGACTGTAACGGTAATATCGACAAGAGTGTGCCCGGTAGTTGTGACCCGAAAACTGGACATTGTGTCAAGTGTCTGCACAATACCGACGGAATCGAGTGTGAGAACTGTAAGGAAGGGTTCTTCGGAGATGCCAAGACCAGAAGCTGCCATCAGTAAGTCATTTTATATTTAAACATATTCAAGGTGTATGACATGCCTAACTGTTACAAAACCGAGATAAACACAACAACGCTTTTCAGATGTGTGTGCAACTCTCTTGGAACCAACACGACTGCTGGAGCTTGTGACAGAGTCACAGGACAATGCCACTGCTACCCCGACGTCGTAGGTCAACAATGTGATCAGTGTGCCCCTCAACACTTCGACTTGGCCAGTGGAAAAGGTTGCCAAGCTTGTGAATGTGATCCTTTGGGAGTGATCGATGGTCCAGATGGTCAGCCGCACTTGGAATGCAACAAAATTGATGGTAAATGCCAATGTAAGGAAGGGCGAGGAGGTCGCACCTGTTCTGAATGTCAAGATTACTACTGGGGAAACCCATTGTCCGGAGAATGTAAACGTTGTGAGTGTGATCCAACTGGATCAGCGTCGTACCAATGCCACCGTAACAATGGTACCTGCATCTGTAAGCCCGGATCTGGCGGTCCATTGTGTAACCAATGTGCGCGTGGCTACACCGGAAACTGGCCTCACTGCCAAGCCTGTGGCGAATGTTTCGACAACTGGGACAAGATCTTGACTGGTCTCAGAGACGAGCTAGACCAACTTGTGGAGAGGGCCAACAACATCGAAGACACCGGAGTCTCTTCCGAATACGACGAGACCTTTGAGAAGATGGAAGTCCAGATCAATGGCGTCAAGACTCAGTTAGAAGCCGTTAATATATCCAAAGAAGACGTCGAAGGCCTCAGAAAGAAGATCGACAGTCTTGAAGCCGATGTCAGCGACGCCAGAAGCAGAGTGTTGGAAAAGAACGAAAAAGTACTCAAGATCGCTTCCGATGTTGACATTGCTGAACAACAAGTAACCGCTTTGAAGGCTAAGGCCGACGATCTCACTAAAATGGCCGAGGATCTGAGCAAACAAGCAGATGACATACGTGGCTCAGACACTAAAGTAAGTGCAAACCGTGTTTTGTAAACTCTTCAAGATAAGATTGTTTGATTATCATTGGTTTCACTTACGGTCTAACATAATAAAACAATTTAGGGAGCATATGACATCGTTCGAGAATCTGCAGAAAAAGTCCGTCAGTCCCACGGATCGATTTCTGAAGCCATTGCTAAGATCACATCGGCCGAAAGCGACCGAAACAAAGCTGCGGACATGATGGAAACCCACAAGAACGAGTTCCTACAACAATACGACGAGAACAAAGCCGCTTTGGACGAGATTCAGAAGCGCATCGAGGAAATCGAAGAATCTCTGCCAACTTTGAACAAACAGGTTTGTGGTGGAGAAACTGCTGGTTGTGACGAGACTTGTGGCGGTCCATCTTCCGAATGTGGCAAGTGTGGTGGAAGTTCCTGTCTGGGATCTGTGTCCAAAGCCAAACAGGCTGGAGAGTTCGCTCGTGAAGCTCGCGAGAAGTTATTGGCCAAACAAAAGGAAGCTGAGGAGGTAAGAAATAATAGATTAGCGTTTATAATACACTTATAAATAATTCTTTATAAGTATATTTGAAATGCCAGATTTTTAGGTGTCACGGAACGAAAACGTTCTTTCTCAAAGTTCTGGCTTTTTGTGACAACTCAAGTTTCTCTGAAATTTCTTTTTTTTTTAAATTTCCTGTATTATTTTTAAAGCTTGTGTTACAAGGATTATAATTTTAATTTTTTTCAGTTGTTGCAAAGGATCCGCGACACTGTTCCTGAAACCAATGCGGCTGAACGATCGACATCCGAAGCACTTAGAAACGTGGAACAAGCTGTTAAGCTAGCAAATCACACAAAAGATGCCTTGAACAAGCAACTCGACGAGATTAAACAATTTATTGACTCAGAACGAACTGGACCGGAGCAACTCCAGAATATTGTCAATGAGATTCTCAGTGTATCCATTCCATTCACTGAAGAACAGATCAAGGAGATGTCAGATAAGATCAAGGAAAAGGTCAGCTCAACCAAGAACACGGACGAGATTCTGGCTGAAACTCAAGATAATAAAACTTTGGCCGAGAATCTTCAGAAGCAGGCTGATTCCGCGTCACAAAGGGCTGCCAAGATTCACAACACGACTGTAGCCATCAACAAAGCTTTGGAAGATGCTAATGCTGCTTACAACGAAGCTCAATCAGTTCTTGACCAAACAGCTGAATCAAATGATCAAATCAGTGCTGATCTCGAGAAAGCTGAAGGAGATGTTGTTACTTTGGAAGAGAAAGCAAAGGAAGCTACTACTCTCATTTCTGAGCTGCAGAACAAAACTGACAAGCTGAAGGCAGAGTACATTAAGATTACTTCCAACTCCAAATCAGCTGGAGCTTCAGCTGATAAGGCCTTGGAGATTGCTCAGAAGGTTGAAGAGAATCAAGCTCCATTGAAGGCCAAGTATGATGAGGTGGACAAGTTGTTGAGCGAGAGAGTCAGTGGAAACGAGGAGAAGAAGGAGAGAGCCGAGAAGCTGCATCGACGGACTACAGAGTTGCTGGTTAACATCAAGAAACACAACTCGGATGCGGAAGGTAAGGGCTTTATTTTATTTTTTTTTATATTAGGTTCAAAAGGGAATATATACTGTTAACAGCAACTGAATATTATTGTAAGCTGGAGTCGTTAACTGAATCTTTTTAGCTTTGAAACGCACGGCTGATTCTCTGGACGTGGAGCTGTCGAACTTCAGAAGCACTGTGGAAGTGCTGAGCAGACAAATCGACGAGGTGGCATCGGAAATCGAGAAACGAGTGGAGTTCCACGCCACGTGCGATGCTTGATGTGATTAATGTTGTTGTATCTTGTTGTAGGATATTGAGTGCCTTCTCTTTGCCCCATTTCCCGAGTAATTCCGTGTTTTTATGGCATTTGCTATAAAAGCCCTTAGGCCATCGTTCCCTTTTGTCCTCAGGTGTAGATCCGCCCGTTCTGGATCTCTAATAAGTAATAACTATATTCTTTCAAATTGTTTTTCCTCTTGAACAAAGCTGCCATTTTACATTTGCATATATTATTTGTTATAAAGGTTTTTTGTTTTGCGACTAGTAAATATCAAAAGTATTTTATCTTTGGTACTTTTTTCTTTTTTTGATTAATTATACTTTTTTTTATAAATTGTTACCTAAAATAGATGCCTTTTCTTATAAAATTAATAATAAAGAAAATTTTTGTCCAAGTAATGCTGAATATTCTGTATTTTATACAGTTACTACGAAAAGTGGGAAATAATTATTTTGATTTTTCGTCTGTTTTTCTGATGCATTTTATAGATTTTCAAAATTTTTTACTGTTTTACGTTGTTTTGAACGCGTTTTTACAGAAAAATGTAAGTATACTTTGTAGTGTTAGATTAATAGAAATTGTATGGTTTAGCCAATGAAATCTTTGCTACGGAATCTTAGACCTAAGCTCTGCTCTCTTCTTCAACGTTTATATCAGACGGACAGTATTTACGGAACTACAGTCAATTCAGATGCTTTCAAACGGTACGTTAATAGTATAGAAGGGAAGTTGAACCAATATAAAAGCGGGCAACTTAGTCATAAGGATAGTGAGAATGTATCAAGGTGGGAGAAGATAATTGACAATAACAATATTTTGCAAAAGATGGACACCGAACTACAACAACTTGATGAGCTGGTTAAACGTATGTTTTTCTTATTTAGTTTTTGTTACATTTTTATTTTAGCTGACAGGAGCTTTAATGAGAAACTTTATATTCTTTTAGAAAACGACTCTTTGAAAGAACTGGCAGAAGAAGACCGTTCACGGCTGATAGAAGAGTACGAAAGCACGTTAGACTCTCTTGTGAGTAGCGTTGTCCCTGTAACTTCGATGGACGTTCTGTCTAGGTGTCAGCTCGAGTTCACGAGTGGTGCTGGTGGTGTTGAATCCATGTATTTCGCAGAAGAAGTCCTGAATATGTACAGTAACTTGGCGACGAATAAAGGATGGAATTGGTTACCGTACGAAGTGGAAGCGGGGCCTCAAGGTGGTATAAGATCAGCCATCGTGTCGTTGGAAGGAGATGGAGTCTACTCTTCTTTGCAGTTTGAATCTGGAGTTCACCGAGTTCAGAGAGTGCCGAAAACTGACCCTACCAGGATGCATACCTCTACTATGAGTTTGGCTGTCCTACCAGTACCAGAAGAGGTAACAATATTATTTCTGTTACAATATGTGGCAGTAAATATGTTATTTTAATAGGGGTAACAGTGAATCTTTTTGTCGTTAATGCCAAGTTTATTGTACGATTTTAGGCTCAAGTCAACGTAATCTCATCGGACTGTAAACTGGAAACTATGAGAGCCTCAGGACCTGGAGGTCAGAACGTGAACAAACGATCAAGTGCCGTCAGAATCACACACATTCCCTCAGGCATTGTGGTGCATTGTATGGAAGAACGATTCCAGCATTTGAATATGCAAGTAAGTTGATTTACCGAGTCAAGAATAGTCTTCTATGGCATGTTTTGACTTTATTAACTTTTGTCTGCTTAGAAGGCGTATCAACGTCTCGGTGCCATCCTGATGAGTCAAAAGGTTGACGAACTACAATCCAAGCTCTCGAGTAGTCGGAAGCTGCAAGTTGGAAGTCGAGCAAGATCCGAAAAGGTGAGGACCTTCAACTTTCAACACGATCGGATAACTGATCATCGCTTGAAGGAGACGGTCACCAACATCCAGGACTTTATGAGTGGGGGAGACAAGTTACGGTACTTTATCGACGAGTTGAAACGACTGAATATGTTGGAACGGTTGGTAGAGCAGATTGACACAGAATGTGATGAACAACAGGAAGCAACATGACGGTTTACTGTAAGGTACTTTTTTGAATTACAGTAGGACTGTTTGTTAAATTTTGTTATTACAGTAGGAATTTTGTTGTTTTTTGTAGTTTACACTATAAATAGATACTTGTTTGTGAAGGTTAGTTGTTTGGATATAAATTCCTTGAAATAAGACTATTTTCGTTAAAATTATTTAATTTTTATAAAGAAAAAAGTTTTTTTTTGTAATTTGTCGACCTTGAAAGTTGGCGGGAAAATGTGAATTTGAAGTTTTAAAATTATTTTTTACTTAGTTGGTTATTAACGTCAAAGGTTGGATACTTTTTGAAGAATAAGACTGTACTTTGTTCTGTAGACAATTAAACGCCATGCTTTCTTGATATAAGAATGTAAAAATAACAAACATTTCACAACGGAACTTATTATCGAATTCGTCGATTTCAAAAGTATTGTTGCGATTGGTCCATATGAATTACACAGTAACGTTTATTACTTTACAGTTAATGATCATCGTCTCTCCCTATCGAAGCGGAAGATCAAAGAACGAGGTTCATCTGGAAGCCATCGTACTTTTGTCTTCAGAAGGAAAGCCCGGGTTCTCATGCTTCATAACCAATCACTTCCTTTCCCATCTAGCTAGCCGCCCTTCCTTCGCGATGTTCAAGTAGGCAGAGGTTCGAATGTCTGGAGAGAGTTGTGGGGAATCTTGGAGACTTTCCTTAACATTCGTAGAGATTGCTGCCTTTTTGTCGGGTCTTCTTCAGCAACTACTATCAGCAGCGTTATCGTTCCGGTTCTGGCGTTCCGTTTTTACCGTACCACAGAACGTTTAACCTTTAGACTGGGCGTCCGTTCTCTGAATTTGTTGCACTCTGTTGTTTACCGATTAATTGCATTCTAGCTCGCTCATGTGACCGATTATTTTTGTGCAAATCACGAGAAGACAGAACTTATCAGTAGGAATGGTTTTTGTACTCTACAACAATATCTTCTGTGCAAAGGCGGCTGATAAAGTTTGCATCAGGGTTGGAGAAGCACTTTTGAATACTTTAGTGTATACAAACCTTTGAAACATTTATGAAAGGCGATATTGTGATTCAAACCCTAAACAAAGCGTTTGGGAACGTTTTCGGATTACGAAGCAGATCAATTGGTGGGCTGAACAGACGGCTCAGACTGCCACAGTGGAGTCTGTGTTTTGTGAGAAGCGTTGCATAAATTAAGGTCTCTGCTGATCTGACTCTACACAACGCGATCAGATTGCAGCGTTTGCAGCGATATATTCTTCGCGATTATTGATCTTCTCCAGCGGACTTTGCTCCAATTTGGGAATAAATTAGAGAATCCTTTCAGCCGACCTTCACATGGAGAAGACGTAAGGTCATCGTGGCGACTGATAAGAGTTGCACTCCTCGGGCACGTGATCTTGTTCTGTTCTTTGCCCGCACTCTAAATAGAAAAAAATCATTTTAAAGCTGTCAACGACAAAAACGGCGACAACCCGATTGCACTTGCAGGCGAGAAGGCATGTGACGACCAAAGTCCGTTCGATTTTCCCAAACCTTTTGTACTGCGGGGATCTAAAACTGTCAAAATGTACACAAAAGCTGACCTTTTCGTGGTATTTGGTCGCCAAATGTTGGTATTTACGTCACCACTTGCAGTTTTCGATCGCATAAAGATAAGAATCAGAAAACTACACACCATGTTGCTGTTTGTTCACATCGTTTAGAGGATCCAATATTAGTTTTATACAAATGTTATTGGGGAGAGCAATGGTTTAAAAGTGAAGACTGTAAAGAAAACTAATTTTAAGGTGTTATTTTAGGTAATATATTCAAGTATATCGAAGAAGAATCAATTTTTAAGGCTAATAACTTATCCTTTAAAAATTTTTTTTGAAAATTTTGCCAATTTGCTTTACATTTTGCATTATAAGTCAATGTAAAGCTTCACAATATAAAGTTTTCTTTAAAAATAATTCAAAAAAGATAGTAATCATAAGTTGAATTAAGAATAACTCTTATCACCGACTTACAGTAAAGAACCAATAACAATTCGGATGTTTTCTTTTTACATCATAGCAAACGTTTTACAGTAAAAACTCGCACAAGTTGTGTTTTCCTACTGTAGGCGTTACATTTACACTGTAAAAAGCAAAATTACATTACAAAACAAATGATTGTAAGCAAAACAAGAACAATGTACACGGAATGCCCAAAGACCAATTTCGAAAACAGCGATTGTTTCTAAGGTGCATTCCGACCAAAATAGAATTCACGTGATTCAGATGAGTGCGCGACCGCACTTTAGTCTTGCCATTCTTTATCACAGCAGTTGCGTTAGTGACCTTTTGTCTTTGACTTTATAAGGACACTGCTTATTACAAGTACTTGGCGGTGCAAGGGATTAGATTACTGTCTAATCGCTTACGTTTTATTTACAATTACGCTGGGGTTACGGTAGGCGGACGAGTTTCCGAGAAATTTTTAGAGCCGTTATCACTCTAAAGATTCTGAAGGTGTTATCATTTAAAGAGTTTGAAGGTGCTGTCACTGTGACGATTCTGAAGTTGTCGTCAGTGTAAAGGTGTTGAAGCTGTTATCACTGTAAATTTGTTTTTATTTTAGATTCATTTTGCAAGTTGTTCTTGGTATTTATAGACGCTTGTGCTACTTTTGCACAATCTTCTGGTTTGCAAAAAGTTCAAAACTTCTTGATACTTAAAATAGAATCTTAAATTTTAAAGAAAGTTAAGATAATATTTTGCAAAATTAGTAGTTGTAGCAAGCACAAAATAAGCCTTTTCAAAGCTTGAAATTGTATTCGAAATCGAAAACAGTATAGTAAGAATTGTTTTTCCCGATTTGTAATTGTAACTGTCAAGCACGGCCATAGACGCCGTTCTACATTTGTAGCCTCGTGCTTCAGACTGCAAACGCCCCCAGGCACTCGCTGCCTTGTTTTTTGGCCTCGCAGACTCTCGCTCACATGTTCTCCCTAATGACATTACACTATATAATTTTTGGCCAATGGTCAGAGTTCGAATTGTAAAAAGTTGTTTACTCGAGAGTGCAGCGGCCAAAGGCGTGGCCATGCTTGTGATACGAAAAGGGCGTCCGTAAAAAGTTGTTTTTGGCAAAGTACATTCGTCACTTGGGCCAAGGAACCCCCGGCCCTCAGGCACGTTAGACTCGAGAGCGAGAGAGAGAGGGGGGGGGAGTGGTCTGTTTGATCTTAAACAAAAAAGTGCAACGTTTGCAAGGCTTTGTTCTTGTGTTCGTTACACTCAGATGCAACACGAGTGTTACCCAAAGTTTGGGTACAGTTCGAAATATAAGTGTAACTGCATTCATAACCTGTTTTACTATATAAGGCTGACAGGCTTTTATTTTTTGGCAAAGTACGTGTAGATTAGCTAATCAAGTACAACTTACTAGTTTTAGTACAAATTGGTAGTACAATCTGGCAGTATTACTATATTCTGGTGGTTTAATGTGACAGTTTAAGTACTATGTGAGCTCGTGACAATGAATTTTTTGGCTACAACTTTTCACGCAATTACCTTATAGTATTTGATGGCTAATAATGTACTGAGAACAGCTATATATTATCTTTCATATCATATTACTAAGGATTGTTAAGTACATATGAGTACAATGGTTCAAAAAGTTCACAAGCTCAGCCTTGTATAGTTACTACAGTTTGTAGCGTTTGTTTAAGTTTACTGTGAAGTTTAGGGCAAAATTGATAACGGTGGTTCCATTATCATGTTCTCTGCTTGGTCTTTGATCCGCTTTCTGTTCATTTTGTTTTGTTTCTCATGCTAGAGTTGTTTTTTGGCCGACTTTCGAATTAAATTCCTGAGGCCAAAATAAATGGGGCCTCTCAGCGTCTCGCACGGTCTCTCGCCGTTCTGTGATTGCTGTTTTTTGCTGTTCTCTCACATCATTCGCTTCGAGGCCGTTTCTCGGCTTCAGGCCAAAAATATTTTGTTATTTTTATACCCGCTGGCTTATGAACCAGTCGTATCCTTTTGTTTTTGTCGATTGCGAAAGCAGCCAAGGTTAGAGAACATACGCACACCGCTGTTTACATGGGCTAGTCGACTCTTATAAGTCCATATTAATGGATTAGCCAACATTTCGTTGTTATTTTATTCTGTTTTTATGGCCCTGAGGGTAGGGGTACAGTGTTGTTTTGAGAGGGTTGTAGTGGCCAGAAATGGTGTTGTTTAATGTCTTGGAAAGCCTCTGATATCTGTTGTGTTTCCTTCTCGTTTTGATGTCAATTTCCGTAGCGCTGTCTCCTTTATATTGTTTTCTGAACCTTTATACTCCCATACCTATGGCCCCTACTTTATGTCCTGGCAATCCTTGAACCGTTTCTCTTTTGAATTCCTTTATGTATATTGTGATGTGGCGAAAGGAAATGCACATAATGGAAACCCGCCTTCAGTTGGCGCTTCTCCAGATTCTGCATCTATTTTCATTTTTGATCTATGCCCCTTCGGGGGGCGGGGCCGCTTAAAGGGCTGACAAAGTCTGTTCGCCGGTTTCCGAAATAATTGCGAGCATTTGGGCGAAATCCAAAAACTTGCGGTCACATTGGGTTTGGCGGGCTTCTGATTCAGGTTCGGCTGACTTTTGGTCTTGGCTTGGCCCACTTTTGGCTTTGAAAACTCGTGACTTTCCGTCGACTGACACTCCCAGCACAATACGAGTTTGTATCTCAAACTCCTGCTCTTCGTATCTATTTTTCACCGTCTTCGTATCTTCTGCAACACACTACATTTACCATCGTATGTTACGCAACTCTTGGTTGACTTTGATTGTTTACGCGTTTCCTTAAGTCCGTGTGAGTTCACGTGATTTGTGGACCGTTCCGAAAACATTTCCGACAAAGAACAATATTCAAGAACACCCACTCGACCTTTGCTCTCTTAATTTACATATGTTGTGACATTGTTTGTGATTGTTTGGTATTTCCAATTGTTAACTGGGTATTTTATTTAGTGTAATCTTACATTGTTTTAATATTTCGTTTTTATTTTAATACTTTTATAATATTACAATGCTTTTTAGTCAAAAAGTGTCTTTTAAAAGTTATTTTAGTAATATTTGTTGTATTTTTTACAATTTTTTTTATCAAAATTAGATTGTAAGTAACCATGACTTCATTTTACTATGCCAATACAAGTTTATGCATTTCTGCCATATTTCCAACAATTTCAAAACAAGATGACGCGTTGCTGGTAGCGATTGTACTGTTTAGGCGATGACTAAGGCTTTGTTTAGGGATGACGGAGTCCCCGATGGTCTCGGGCTCCTCAGATCAGTCCTTCTTCCTTCACCAGATCCAGCAGAAGCACTTGATGGACGAGTATCTCCGCCAAACATACGGTCAGAGCAGGAGCGACCAGATGGACACGTCCGAGACCTCGTTACCCACCTTTCTGGCCGACGAGAGTAAGATAAAGCTGGAGAGTCAGACGGAGGAAGAGACTTCCACAATATGGTGAGTATGACAATATAGTATTAAGTACACCCCAGCCACAGCTCTACAATCTCTAAGGATGGGATAGGTGTTTAGATTAGTTTAGTTTATGATATTGTGTTAGTAATGTCAAAACAAACGTAACCAAGGCCCGAAGCACAAGTAATATATTGTCTTTGTGGGGGTGGTTATGACGTTGGCCGAGGGACTCTAGTGAACCCTGAACAAACAATAATGTTGTCACATGAGAATGTAATTTTGAAACAATTAGGCGCTTGCAAACCTTGTTCTATCAGCTGTTTTGGCAAACCGGCTGTTACGTCACGATAACAAAAAACACTAAAGACCTTAACACCTACTACAAGGAAGACCTTTTAGCCAAGTTACCTTTAAAAGTTTAAAATTTATAAACTTTCAAAGATATCATTCAATACGAACACTATTACTATGAGGTTTACAACCTTGACTTTGGCTAACAGAATACTGTAGAATTCCTAGCTGATAAGAGGCGTTCAAAGACCAGCCAATGTTGGTAGAAATCGGTTTGTGACCTTTGAGTCATAGCCATCGTAGTACAGCTTATTAAAACTTACCGTACTGTAATGAGAGATTAAGATAAGTCGTATGTAATGAAGCATTAACACATATTGTATCAACACAAGTCTTTGTAAATAATATTTGGAATACGGTTATTAATCTAGCATAATATTTTACTCGGTAAACATACACACTAAGTCATTCCGAACTATATTAATATCATTTCAGTAGCGTGTGTAACGATGAAGCCAGTGGAAGACACTACGGAGCCTTTACCTGCTTCGGATGTAAAGGATTCTTCAGGTAAGTCATCCATTACACATACAGTAACCCTTTTTTTAGGCGGACGGTCCGCGCCAACAAGGTTTACACTTGTCGATACGAAAAGCAATGTCAGATAGACAAAGGTAATTTATATATAGCTTTACATTACTTAAGCGTGTATTAAGAGTATGGAAACTTGCGTTACATTACTTTAAACCTGACTTTACATTACTTTAAACCTGATGTTACATTACTTTATGTCATCCTTTCAGTCGGTCGTAACATCTGTCGATCGTGCCGTTTCCGCAAATGTTTGGAAGTTGGGATGGAGCCAGATGGTAAGATAACATAACATTAACGTAGAACTCGACCTTTTCAGCTATCCGACCCGACCGCGACAAGACCGGTCGACAAAAGAACCCTCGCAAGTCGACCACCTCGATCTCGTCGTGCAAGAGCAGTCATGACATCGAGGAGGACCGAAAGTCTCCAGTATCGAGTTCGTCGAGTCATACTGGCAGTGTGGACGACAACCTACAGTCCCATTGCGAGACAATGGCACCATCTTCGGCCGCGCTGTCCCAAAGGGACCTTATTCTTGGTACCCTTTTGCAAATCGAGAAGATCTGCGCTGAAATCACCGACGATCCCAAGCTACAGTCATCGCCGCAGGGCATTAACGAGCTGCACGACATTGTCTTAAGGCCGTCCTTGTTGGGAGAGAGGAGTCCGGTGAGTATCATTTTAAAGATTTTTTAAAAATTTCTATTTTTTGTTCAAAAGGTACATAGTATTAACTATTATATTATACCTTTTTCTCACATTTTTTATCAGTTTGCTTATATTGTTTGTACAGTAAATAACCTTGTACATAATACGTTACCTCTTACCATTCGAAACTACTAGCATATTAAATTAGTCGCTTCAGCTGAACTATGACGCCACCTCGGTGGTGTTCGGGGCCGATGACTTGTGTGGCGGCATCAGACGTCTCGTGATTATGGCCATCGACTATGTAAACACGCTGAAGCCGATAGCTGACGTCTGCGTGGAAGAGAAGGTAAGAAGAGTTGTTTTTTGGGGATAATCTCGTCTCGTGGTCCATCAAATCCTGGTTCCTTCAGGGCCTAATTCGCACTTTTGAACACAAGTGGATAATTAACTCTGTATAGCATTGTCTATATCTCTGTTGTGAACAACAACATGTGTCTACAACGGTCTCGCTGAGTACTGTAACATGCCTTATACTTTGCTCTACAGAAGTACTATAACGTTTTGGCCTCCAGCGTTCCCGACTATAGTCTGAAAAACAACTATAGTTGAATGCACTTTCCGTTGGGCCAAAGGCCAGCGGGCCATACGAGCGACGGCAGGGGGCTGGTGCTCTTTGGTCCCGCCGACCCGATAGGTTGTTTTCGTCTCCACCGCTGGGCCTTCTGCGAGACCCCCTTACTTCCGGGAAATCGGCCACAGGGGTCTCGTGGTATACTTCGTTTTTGCTGTAACCCAAAAAGGGAATCTGAGGGACGGAGAGAAGCACATTGACGTCAGTGTTCCCCTTTCTGAACCCGCCAAAGCAGTAGACTTATAAATATGTAAGGGGCACGGGACACGGTTTGCAGGATTACAATACACAATAGAACGTTAAGTGGGCAGTGGTAGGGATAATACCTTCCTCTAGGTGACAAAACGTGTTATACCACGCATCTTGGATTCAAAACTGTCTTTTGTCTCGGAATGATACCGGAAGAGCCATGGTTCAGTAGAAAAGGCTTCAGTAGTACTTTGAAATACGACCAACCCTATTACAGTACAATATAAAATACACATACTTACAATCATATTAAGTCAAGAAAACAAAGTAACCAACAACCAATTTTCAGGTGATCCTAGTCCGCTCGTTCGTCTCCAGCTTCATCGTGCTGACAACCGTGCAGAAGAACGTAGTCGAAGGCAAAGCCGAGAAGATTCTACTGCCAAACGGATGCTACATCGACTCCTCAACCTACCTGAGCTCGTTGTTCGCCAGCTGCCAACGAGACCTCTCCTGGCTCGACCTCAAGTTCACCTCCATCAAGGATAACATCGTGGAGAAGCTGAATGTGACATTCGACAGGCTTCGGCTGGTGGACCAGGAGATTGTGTGCCTGAAGGCATTGATGGCGTTGGACCCGAATGTAGCTGGGCTAAGTGAAAACACTTCAAACGTGTTGAACATCGCCAGAGAGTCTGTCCAGAACGCTCTGTATCTGTATCTGGCAGAACGGTACCCACTGAACGAGGCTGTAGCACGCTTTGGCAAGATCCTCATGCTACTGCCAAACATCGCTGTAAGTTTTTTGTATCTTTGTACAAAGCTTATGTCAGTTTAGTTTACCAGTTATAGTAATATAACTTTGCTTTTGGTCAAAAAGTTCGTAAAATGGCTTTTAATTATCCAAATTGGGTGATTTTGTGGTTTTCTACGTATTTTTCGACCTGAAAAATGAATTCGATTGTTATATTGAAGAATTTATTTTCAGAAGACCGGAGCCCTTTTATCGATGACTCTTCAGCTGGGCCGCGACCTGCGCCCGGACGCCAAACTCCTGGATCTGTTTTCGGTCTAGTCACCACAATATGACACTGTAAATACTGTACATATAACTTATTTAAATTATGCATTGTGTGTTTCTGTTACTCCGAGTGACTTTCAACCTTGTACATATTGCCGTATACATCTACATGTATATGTTTCGTTCCCGATGATCTTTCTCTCCGTTATCGACCGGTCGAGCCGATGACCCCTTGTACATAAGTCTTATGCCAAAAACTTCTATTCTTGTAGCTTGCTCATGTCAACGTTATCATACAGTTCATTCCCATCCGATGTACATAAACCTTTCAATAAATTAAGTGAATCAAGGTGGGGACGTTACCTTCTTGTTGTAAGTAGTAATTTAAGGTTCCAAATCTAAAAATAAAATTCAAAAGTAAAAGTAAGCTATCAAAAGCAGCTTTAAACCTCCATTTAAATCTTGACATAGACCCTTCAATTTGTCGGTTGACCTTTTATTTGTCGCGCAATAGCGTTTGTTGTGCCACCGTATATATACATGTATGTAACATATATATATGTTTCTGCATCAATTTCAAACAAAAAAGCCACTTAATAGAAAAGCGTAGTATAACATGAAAAGACCCCCCTCTATTACATCAACATACCTAATTATAACACCTTCTACAACATTAAAGACCCCCTTTATAGTCGTATCCCTTTCCTTTTATGTTTTACATGTTCTAATTGACAACAAGACCTTGCCGACAATGTTTTACACCTATGGCCATGCCGACAAAGCAACAAACAAAACATGAACTTTGTTGGCGTGGCTACCTATGTTGACAAAGCTCGGTTAATATTCAGTATTCTCAACAATTTCGTCCTCCGATCAGTCGTTCCCAACATTCTTTTACCATGGGATTGTTCAGTCGTCTTCCATTCTCTGCCACCAAGAAGAGCTGCAGTCTTAACTCTGGATCCACCTCAACTGTTTCGACTACTTCGAGTGATTTAGTACTGCCAACGAAAAGAACCAAGTTTTGCGAAAATGGTACTTTTAGTACCTATTCGCCCCCTAAAAGAGAAAAGAAGAGTAAGAAGCAGATGCAGAAGGAAGCTGCAGCAGAAGAAGCCGAGAAGAAACGACTACTAAAACTCTACGTTCTTGAACAGAGTCTTGTCAATGTAAGTTTTAAGCAGTATCTAGATAAAAAGCTTTTTTAAACCCTCCTCATACTAAAAATGTAAAATTTGTCATTTTATTACTACTTTTATTAAAAAACTGTAATGTGTAATATTGTAGGAACGCGTCAAAAAACAAAAACTGCAACAAGACCTTCAGCTCATGCACAATTATAACCAACAGATGATTCAGTACATCAAAACCTTAGAACAAGTAAGTTACTACTTTATATTGGTTAATATAGTCTATAAAAATGCTTAAAAATATCGCTATACAGTGTTTCGACACATTTTTAACATGAAAAACCGTTAAAAAATTTAAAAAAAAAACCTAAAAATTACCTTTTTTCTTTGTCATAACACCGGATTACCGTAGTTCAAAGCAACTTTGTTGTAAACCTTATCCGCTTTTACTACCATTACATTAACAGCTTATGTGTGCAATTACATTGATTACTTTCAGCACAACATGGAAGGCCACATGAAACTGCCCCAGAAGAGGAAGAACAACAACAAACAAGTCCACTTCCGAGAGACTGTGATCGTCAAGTACTACGACCTTGACTAAAACCTACTACAGGATAATTTGAATAGGTTTATAGTAATTAAATAGAGTCCCCTTGGTGCACAAATATAACCAGTGAGCTTACACATATTATGTACATAACATGATTAATATTGTAAAAAGTAAAAATAAACTTTTAATTTTATTGAAACTTAACAATAACGTTCAACAAGTAAAGAAAGGGTTCTTCTGAAGTCATTCTTCGTCCTCAGAATTGCTCAGAACAAGTTGTTTAAAGGCCAGATCATAGTCTTCGAAAGTAATGCCAGCTTTATCCTTGACTACAGTATCTCGTATCTTCAAGGACGACATATTAATAGCTTCTGACTGATCTTTCTCGATGTAAACGTTCTTCAGTCCTGCCATTGTCTCCCTAGCAAAAAGATCGTCGAGAAAGGCATTGGCTGCCAAAGCAGCTTTGATAATGTCCTTGAAGATCAACTTGGGGAAACAACCTCGTACGTCCAAGAATGACATCTCTTGTTTGCCATCTAAAAAAATATACAAAATTGTATAATCAAATTACATTAAAAATGATGAATTTTGTATAACTTCCGTATAACAATATATAATATAGCATTTATAAAATTAAAACAATTGCCCTCCTCCAACGTCAACTCACTTATTGATCCAACCAAAACAACTCCATTAGATTCTTGCTGATCTAAATCACAGACATCTACAACCACGTTGTCATTGGCATAAGAACAAGCTGCCACTGTCAAAAGTCCCTTCATGTAGACACCTGCATCCATTAAAGCAAAGTTGGCCGCGTTTAAACATACGGCAATATTGTTTCCATCACTCTAAAACATACATTATGTTAGTTGCGTGTATCCCTCAAAACTAAAACACAAATGTCCACTTAAAAGGCAAAATTTATATATTTTAGATAACAAAAAAAAAGAAATGCCAATTCACCTGAATAATCCTAAAGACAATGTCAATTCGAGTGCGTGGATAGTGCTCCAACAGTATCACACTACTAAGTGCACTTTCCAGCACTGAGTGAGTCTCTTTATCACTTCTGGCCTTCATTCTTCGCCGATCTGATCCCGATAGTTTACTTGTGTACAAATGACATCGTAAAACAGCAGCATCGTCTAGTTTTCTCATTTTAAATCGTTGCAAAGGTCCAAATACAGAACATAACACCTAAAAGTAGACACATAACAAAAAACAACTTACCTTGGCATTGCCCTGTTCATAATAACATGAGCCGTCAGCGTGTTCCATCACATTCCAAGCGAATTTAAAAGGCCTGAAGTCGTTGGGACCTCTGCCATCTGGTCGGATGTTCACTGTCTTGACAGAAGCACTCTGTACTGGTGCAATATCCACTTCCATCTTCATTTTTCTCAGTTTTTCAATAAATAAAGTCAGAAATTAAGAAAAATTTTTAAAAAAAGACTTGACGGGCAAACAATGTGCCAAGTGTTTCCTTGCGGCTTACAATTGTCTTATTTTCAATATTTAAAAATTAAAGACGATAAGGTTTTGCTACAATTATTTTTAACATTTTTATCGTGTCTTCAACATGTTAAAGTAAGTTTACCACTTGAATCTACATTGTTGGATTAAATTGTAAATTAAAAGTACATAATAAATTTACTTTATGTTATACTTTGTGTACTTTCATGTTAGTCTGGCACCGAATAAAAGATCAGGTTATTTATAGTAATAACAGACTAATATTGTGTTGTAGTTTCTTGTCAAAGATCACTAAATCAAGTTCTACAATGACTTTCTTTGAACATACCATATAAAGACCTATGGTAAAGCAAACAAACAAGTTATTACCGAGCCAGTAAATACAAAAAGGTGATTTTTGATGTAGTAGCCTGGTATATCAACTTAAATGTGGTTGTTCTTTTTTATTTTAGTTAACTTGACATAGTGAACATTATACTTTACGTAAAAGTGTGAAGATTATATTAACCTTGATAAGAATATGAGTTACTTTTATATATTTATATCACCTTGTATTAGCATTGTTGTGGTATCTTTGAAACCTTGGATTTAGTTGTTTAGGAGTGGCAGTAATTAGCGGCCGAGGAGTTGGAAGTTGTTAGTATTAAGTATTCCATTATAGTGAGTGATGTTGTGCCGAATTCTGGGTGACCAGATTAGTGAGAGCGATGACATTTGTTACTCTTTGTTTGCAGAAAACTGAGTAAATCTATTTTGGAAATATTGTTTTAAGTGGACTTGAGTACACTGCAGTTATTATAGTAACCGTTACATATTTCTATAGTATTGTACTAGCTTTGAATCTTTATAAGAGACATTGATAGTTCTATAACAAGGTTTATATACTTTTTTGTGGCAAGTTCTACAGTTTCTTTAAGAACTAAATCATTGTTTATCAATCTAGTCTTACATATCTTTAAAATAGTATCAAAACATACAGGGTTTTACATTATGATATCATAGTAAAGTAAAGAACACTTTTAATTTAAACTGCATATGACATTATTACATACCGTACCATCGTATTACACAGAATGTAATCGAAATGCTGATATATGGCTTCTGTTCTTATTAATAGCCAGATAATATGTCGTTCATCGTATGCTCTACGGTGTTCGAAATCCCCCAAGGGCATCTTGTGAACAGACTGCCTGAGGCAATTCCCTCTGCCCGACGTCTCTAAACGGCCGTCTTCGAATTGAGGTCTAAATCAATTTACATTGCTTTATATTATGATTATTGTTTGTTCATGTTGTAGTTGTTGCGTTTGCTATGTTTTTTTTGTCATTTACTGTGTGTATGGTACTGTGGCAATTAACATTGTATTTGCTCAATTATAGTATGCTAATATATTTGAACAACCATGATACTATTTTTTAGCTATATTGTTGTAGATATAATGGAGAGCGATGTGAGAGACTGTCTCAGCGACTGCTCCTGCCATCAGAACTACCAGTTCTACGAGTACGATGAGCGCTTCATTCTGGGTGTGGTAGCGTGGGGCGTGATCGTGTTTGGTATCATCTGCAACCTCACATCAGTTCGTATCTTCACACATCGTCTTATGTACTCTACGTGTATCAACTGGTATCTGACCGTGCTCTCAGTGACAGATTCTTTGGTTTTGGCATCAGCGTTCTTCGTGCTGACCTTACCTAGGTTGGGAGAGACATTTCAGTTTTGGATTGCTACGAGAATCAGGTAAGATACTAAAAGTGTTTACGTATATCTTAAATTAACGTAAGATAACTAATGAATAGCCGACGGAGCTGTATAATAATATTAATTACTTTTTTCTTACATGTATATTATTTTTTTGATAATACATCTAACTTTAAGTCATGTTTTAGCTACAAGATGGTGCCAGTTTGCTACGGGTTGATGACTTTTGCTCAAACTGCCAGGTAACAACTTTATACGCACTTTAGACAATATATTTTTCTAATAACTATAAAGTATAATTAAAACTTTTGATCATACATTGCTAAATCTATCCAACATCTGAATACAATGCACATAACATACAGTAACGTAACATGAATTTGCAAGTCTGTTCTAATAATACAATATCTTTACAGTGTGTGGATAACAGTGGCCTTATCAGTGCACAGATTTGTTGGTGTTTGTTATCCTTTTCGGTCGATGGACTGGCTGAGTGAACAGAAAGTCCGTAGACTAATAGTCAGTATTATAATGTTCGCGGCCTTATTCAATGTGACGAGGTTTTTCGAGGTGAGAGTCGTGAATAATTGCTTCCGGAAGAACATCGGGACTCTGATTCCGGTAAGTCAATAACATATTTGGCTAACAAAAATCAATTTTATCAACAAAAGGTATGGGAGAGGCAAGTATAAGCAGCTAAATCAATTCAACTTTTTATATAAGATTCTACTGCAGTAGTACGTAATGATGGTAATACTACTATTTTAATATTTTGCTTTTTGTACTCGCAAGTACTTGCCACAAGAATGTTGCACGTATCTTGAGATAAGTCTGTAATTGTTTAGGTAATCGCCCCAACTGCTCTCCGGATGAACCCAATTTATCGACTGGTCTTCTTTGGCTGGGCCTACACCTTGGTCATGTTCCTTTTGCCATTTGTGACGTTGATTATTGTAAACTCTCGGGTACTACACAGTATCAGACGCCAGAACCGGCTCCATCGTCGAGAGAGCACAACACCGGCGGAGAAACAGATGACCAAGAAGGCGGAGATCAAGGAGCGACAAACCACCATCATGTTATTCGCCTTGGTGGCAGTGTTTTTGTCGTGCAACACCTTGGCTTTGCTGTCTAACATCATGGAGAACCTTGGGTATGACGATACCTCCGCCTACGCCACTCTTGTCACTTTCAATAACTTTTTCGTAAGTTCAAGCAATTAGATATAAGTCAAAACTTTTATTTAACAATTTCCTTATGGCAGTTCGAGCCCTAGGATACGCTTTTTCTAGCCAAAACGTTCTTTTCTTGAGATTAACAGTTTTGCAATAGTATAAATTGTAGCTATATCTATAAAGGGTATTGTGCGTTTTAATTTAAATTAGTTTTTAAAATAACTTAATCAATCAACTCGTTAAAGATATTGGCGAAAAAGAAGATTAGCATCCCAATCCGGTTAACAGATTATTGTTTCGCCTTTCAGGTAATCGTTAACGCCTCAAGCAATGTTTTTATATTCCTCTTGTTTTCCGAAAAGTATCGACTAATCATGAAGACCTACATGGGATTATATCGGCGGCCGAGTAGAACCGAGTCTCAGCTCCTCACCAACGGCCCCATCTTCCTTTAACGATATCTCCAAGAGATATTGCTACCTTTCAATAGCTATAATGATATCGCTCTTGGTTAAAGTGCGGCATTGCCAACATTATTCTCAAAAATTGACATTTAAACAACTCTTACTGTACCATATTCGAAACCATAATGTAATACGGGTAGAATAAATATTTATTATATAACCCTTTGCCATATAGACCATCACAGAGATGCTGAATTACATAGACACGATTTGATGCTTGAAATGATAATAAAGAACCGAGGATGGGAATCTCAGTTAGAAATATTGATTGTCAAAATCAATATTAAAAACATTGAGAGAGACTTAACCACCGTATACAAATGATAATAAATATGAAAATAAATAAGCAAAACTACATTAATATAGTAAAATATCTGTGTGTTAACACATAGAACTTTCATAGAGTAATATATCTAGTCGTAGTTGTCGGCCATAATGGCAAAAACAAGAGCAGTCCAGCCAGTGAACGGCCGGGTGCCCTGGCCAACGCCCGTAGTGTCATTGTAGTGTTCCCAGAAGAGACCCGTAGTTCTGTACACGTTGAATACATTGTTGAGGACGTTGTGCTTCAGTTCATCGTATAGTGCTCTCGACTTCTCGGCCGTGCTGCCACCTTTGGTTGAGTAATGATTCAAGGCTTCCAAAGCCATATAATTCATGTTGATCCAGATGTTTCCTCTCCAGTATGGGGGATCGTGCTGGGTGTTCATCTTATTGTAGTAGACACAGTTCTTGGCCACGGACCGCAACCCGTATGGAGTCCACAAAAGCTGAAAAACAAAGATTATTGTAAGAATAAGTGCCTATATAATAGCATGCACTTTTATAAATAATCACAGTAAGAAATACAAAAAAAAACTCGAAAATTCCAAAAATATGCAAAAAATAAAACTTACTTCAGGATCACCCAGCTGATCAAGAATAATCTTCAGCTGTTCGGATTCAGCAGGCAACAACTTCAACAAGAACGGGAACAAGGACACGTAGCCGTAGACGTCATCGACCAGTCGGTTTTCCGGCTCTTCCAACGCCCTTCTCAAGGTTCTTCTATGAGTCCTGCCTTCCTTGTCCTTGGTGACTTCAGTGTACAATTCGACGTTGTAGCTGTGAAAACCAAAGTCAGCGTACCGCTTCTTTTCAGAAGACCAGTGGAATTTATTCAAGGTCTCCATTTCTCCAAACACTCTCTGATCGTCGTCAGCTTCGTTGATGAACAAGGCATCCGAAGACAATTCGGCCAAATAACGAATCACGCGCGAAGCTACGGCTAGCCAGCATTTGATGTCTAGATGATATTCCTGAAAAAAGACATATAAGTATTGCACAGTATAATAAAACACATAAAGTAATGCCCAAATGCCTTACATGCATAGTTGGATGAGAAGCTCGAGGATAGTCATCCAAACCGCTAGCCAAAGTCTTGGGATTAAGCTCGAGATTGGTTGTTTCGTTTCGACCTTGCCATTGGAAGACGCCTTTGTACGGTCCTTGTTGGGTATCTCTCAGCCAGAAGTACCACTTCTTCAGACGAGGATACATTGAAATAATTTGGTTCTTATATTGCGCCATAAACTAAAAAATCTAATTTAAAAACCGATACCATTAATCCAATGCTTTCACTATATGACTACAAAATCTTACAACCTGAACTAGATACATTAAAACCACAAACAAAGGTGACATGTTAACCTACCCTTGAGTTTTGCATAAATTTCTCCATGAGATAAAAGAAGACTGGGGGATTAGCTACATTATCAGACTGAACCAAGAAGTCAGCTGGTACTTTGGTTTCAGCCTCAGGGCCTAAAATCATTTCTCTCGGGATCCAGCCATCTGCATTCATACAATTGAGCCAAGAAGTCAGAATCTGAAATTAAAGTCATCATTAAAGAGGAAAACAATTAAATAGTCATACCACAATATGGTTTATATTAATAACAAAATTCATCAAGTATAAACAGAACAAAAACACTAACTCACATCCAAAGACAGCCGTTGGTCGACCTTGTGGATAAGAACATTGTGGAAACCCTCGTCCCAAATGAATCCTCTAGGAAAGAATGGTCTTGACGGTACTGCCGAAAACAGCTCCAAAGGTCCATATGGCTCCACTCTGTGTGCTGGCCAAGTAATACTTCTCATTCTGGCAAGTCCGTACCAGTAGCCAACACCTCCAAGCATATTAGACAAGGCGCTTTTACCCATTTCAAACATACTCTTAGTTACCTTCTGAAACCACAGTTAGGTAATATACTAATAAAGCTAGTATCACTAAATATTTTTAAATGCGAACGGTTTATAGTTTAACTTACGCTGGACGAGGCGAAAGCATTTCTAACCGTCTGATCAAAGATTTCTTCTCTTTTCTTGAATTCAGTCTCAAAATCGGGTAGATCCTTTTCTGAATGGTCCCTATACTCCACCTGGATTTTGGCATTACCAGTAATGTCAATATGAAGAGCAAACAAGTTGAAACTCTCCTTGTCCGGCGTTTGGAAGACAATATTGTTGTCTTCATCCATGCCCAAAGAGGTCTTCACTGTCTCCATTATGTTGTTTGAAGTGATCCATAACTTTGTCGTCATCTTTAGTGTGCTGGTCTTGTATTTCTCCGCAGATATGTCAAATTCCAGAGAGAAGTCAGGTTGTTTTGGTGTGTGAATCCACAACTTCGGACCTTCTGATTCTTGGTCTTGCATAAAGGAAGTGTGTGGATTCTGTAAAAAACATAAAACTATAAAAACTATATATACGAATTGTCATATAAAATGGTAGCTTTTAGGTACTTAACAAAAATAAATTAACCTTCACGAAATGTCATTACCTGAGCAGCAAAGTAGAGGATCAAGCCAGTAACTCCTTTGTCCTTACGCTTAACATCTATCTCTGATACAAACGACTTTCCTCGATTAAACCATTTTGTAGTGATGTTCACAGGACCATCATGAATGTCTTGATGACCAAAGCTCTTACCATCTGCTGCTTTCCACATATATTTTATCCCGTCATCTGTAAAATACGTTACGTTGACATAACATACAAAGTTCAAGCATACTTTGAAAGAAACAAGAACCTAAAATGATAAAACGAAACGGTAATCCTTACTTTGACTGCAATCATGTCGGAACTCTGACAGCAACTTCTGACCAGCATGACTGTACCATCCGATGCCAAACAATGGTGACACTGGCGATCGTGTCCTCAAACTAAAGTAAGCTTGCGGACGATAAGAGCCCCACAAGTCCTAAAAACGGTTAGTCAGTGAACATAGTAACGTAATTTCACCAAAACCTAAAATACTGCAAAAATAATACTCTCAAAAAAACGGAACTTACTCTGTCAAACTCATTCGAGAATCTTGCCAACGGTGCATCAGACAACGCGTTCGGAAATGTATCAGAAGTACGATACTTGAAATAACGAATTAGCGCCGCAGCAGCAAGCACAGTAACAACCTGAATGACAGTATGTTGTTTGTTTGATATACATGGAGGTCGATCACCCATCTTCAGCCCCTTCGCAGCAGAAGGTGGTTTCCGGTCAACCCTTCTACTCATCTTCTCACCCTGGGGCTGAGATTCAATGTTTCTGGCAATAAAATTATAATTTTAATAACAGAATGCCAAACACTTGCTTTCGGGCCGGGACCTAGTTGTATGTATAACGCTTCTTTGTGAGTAAGAGAAAAAGAAAGAGAATGTTCGTTTGCGCTTTAATACGAAATAGTTTTTACGTATAAGCTCAGTCTTTAATTGTTAATTTTAAAATTGTTTTTGGAGTTACAATATTTTTTGTTATTGTCGTTTTTCTCTATCATTTTATTTTTGATTTCAGTTTTAAATGGGACGGGCAAAAAATCGAAAAGTTGTCCCAGCTCGGAATAAACAACATATGAATGTTAATCTCCGAGATCACACGGTTATCATCGAATGTCTTAAGCCTTACTTGAGTTTGTTGCCAGATCTGAGGTCGTTTGGAACGACGAAGCAGAAGTCGCTTCACCTTGCTTTGTATCATGTGGGATGTAGTGCAGCTCAAGCTCTGGAGTCTTATCTCAAAGAGAAGCCGATTACTTTGAAGGGAGATGATAGTTCGGTAAGTTTATTGTTATTTTTGTTTTTTTTTTAATTTTTAGGTAACAGTCTCATAGTTTTGTTAGCTGACATTATTTTTACGATAAGACTCAAGAAAATAATCAATTGAATTTGTTGAAAAAAATACGTTTTAAAGATTTTCAAACAACAAGTTTTTGTAAATTAAGTTGTTGTTTTAGTCGGAAAGCGAAGAACTTCGACTTTTGTTGAACTATGTTTCTGTGGAGATGGCCGCTGATGACTTGAAGCGTGTGTGCATGGGCGAAGATGGCAAAGTATTGTTGAGGGATGAGCATAATAAAATACTGAACGAAGTCGCTGCTGCTGCCTTGTCTGCATTTGCTTTTGCCGCAGCTCGAAGGTCAGCAACTCGACATGTCGAGTACCTGATGAACCCTACCGCTTCGGTGGACGTCCCTGAAGAAACCGGCTCTCATACCTCGACGGCCGTCAGTGCTGACCCTAAAGGAGGAGTTTACGGACATGGTAGTTACGTGGACTCATTGTTAACTAATCCTTTCAATTTGAAACACAGGCGCAAAGGTGGGGATGATGAATATTCTGAAGACGAGGAGCCTGAAGACGAACTGGACGATGACGATATAGACGAGCATTCGGAAGAACTTGAGATTGATCGAACGGATGCTTTACTTAGGTTTTGTTGTTCTGTTGGGTACACGGAGCTTGTGAAACATTTGATAAGGTTAAGAGGATCTGCCGAGTACGTTTCAATCAAGCGGACCTCAATGTTGATGGAAGCTTGTTGTGTAGGACATACAGAAATTGTGAAGGAGTTACTTGCAAGTGGAGCTGATGTAAATGCAGTTAGTTCGACTCAAAACACTCCTTTGATCTACGCATCAACGACAGGAAAGCTTGAGGTACGTTTATTTATTAATTTTGTTTAATATTCTTTTTGTGGATTTCAATAATTTCTTGCTTTCAGTGTGTAAAGCTACTTTTGGATATTCCTGGGTTAGACATTGATGCCAGAAACTTGAGTGGACACACAGCTCTGATGGAGGCCAGCAGTGCGGGACACCTCGATATTGTGGAAGAATTGATTTCAAATGGAGCAGACATCTTTGCGATTGTTGAAAACGTTGATTTTAAGGTGAGTTACTTTAATTTAAACTTTATTTGATTTTTAGGAGTCGTCTTTGTCGTTGGCATCTTACCGAGGTCACGTTGAGGTGGTGAAGTACCTGTTCAGTCGGATGGAGGAATGTTCGGAACGAAGCGAAGAGCTCCATACCGGATTGCTTGAAGCAGCGATGAATGGACATTACGATGTAGCTAAGGCGTTGCTTGATGGCGGAGCTCCAGTGAATCTACCTACTGAGAACTTTGAAAGTCCACTGACGTTGGCTGCTTGTGGAGGACACCTGGAGTTAGTGGAGTTGTTAGTTGAAAGAGGAGCTGATCTAGAAGAGCCTAATGATGAAGGCTACACCCCGTTGATGGAGGCTGCTCGTGAAGGATATAAAGATGTTGTAGAGTATCTTCTTGACCATGGAGCGAACGTTAATTCCAAGATCGAGGAAGGAATTGAGACACCTTTAACGTTGGCCGCTTCTGGTGGATATTTGTAAGTGTTATATTAGTTTAGCTATTGTCAAAGAAACAGTAGATGTTGTTTTGTACAATTTTGGTATATTTAGCTTTACTTTTTCGTAATTAATTGTACATGAGAACGTTTGAGAGCCGTTACATAATTTTGGTAATAACGTTTTTGAGTCGAAAATTTGAAAAATTTATTACCTAAATTTAAAAAATACAATTTTGATTTATCATTTGTAGTTTAAAAGCAAATCTCACATATTTTTAGGAACGTTGTGCAAATTCTTGTGAGAAGAGGTGGAGATTTGTTTCTGGGAGAACGGACACCGTTATACGAAGCCGTGCAAGAAGGTCACGTTGAGGTTGCGAAGTTTATTATTAGTGAACTGAAGAATACTGAAAAGAAAACTGTAAGTGTTTACTTGAAAAGCGATACCTTATTTAAAATATTTTTGTGTGTTTTAAAATGTTACCTAAAACGATTTAGGAGGCGATCCAAGAACTCAACTTTGCTTTGGTGTGCGCAGCTGAGAATGGAAGCCTCTCCATGTGTAACATGTTGTTGGAGAATGGTGCCAGTAAGGATTGTTTTTCAAAAGAAGGTCGAACGCCGTTGATGGAAGCGTCGAAACATGGAAATCTGGAGATCATCGAGTTCTTCATCGCCAAAGGAGCTGATGTCAACAAGAACTCGCCGAACAACGATGTCACAGCCTTGTCGTTGAGTTGTCTGTATGGCCACGCTGACGCTACCAAGACATTGCTTATGCACGGTGCTAATCCAGAACACACGTTGAAGGATTCAGTAACGTGTATTATTGAAGCAGCAAGAAATGGCAGTACGGAGTGTGCCAAACTTCTGCTGGACTACATTGGCAATCCAGTGCAAAAGGCGTCAACAGCTGTATGTTCATCTTACTTTTGTTAATCATTAAGTTTACTTTTATTGTATTACTTAAATCTTTTTAGGCTGAGATTCACAATCGTCCGAAGATTAAACCGGTGTCTAAGCTTCAAAACGGAACAGCCCATTCCAGAGTCAACGAAAAGAAGCTCGCTAATGAAACTCAACAACTACCTGGACATCGTTCTGTCACTGACGATCACAAGCACTCAAATTGTAAGTTGAGTAAGTATTTTCTATCATCTTCTTTTATTATTGCTTTTACTAAATTTTTATGAACTTTTAGGTAATAAAGTGTTACCAAATATTTTAAAAAGTTAAAATTTTAGCCATAAAGTCAGTCGAAGAGTCTTCGTTGGCTCACTTTCTATACAACTGTATAATTGAACCGAAACGAAGAGATGGTTGGTCAGACGACGACCTCTTCTACCTCATGGACAGAATTGCCACTTCCAAGCTGCTGGACGTCGATCCCAAGAAGATTGCTCGGCTACTGATGGACGAGCAGGAAGGAAAGTCAAATTACTTCTCGAATCCAGCCGGTTTGTTAGACCTCAACTCCCTGTCCGAGTCTTCTGGATGTCCCTCATGTCAACACAATCAGCGAGTAGCCGCCAAAACTTCTGCCGTCAACGTCAACACTGCAGCTGTTCTTAATGCCATTCATAATGCAAGGTCGGGTGCTGAAGAAGCAGCTCGAGTCGCTAACTCAGTGTTCCCTCACGGTGCGCTTCCTCCAGATTCTGGAACTCTCGGTTCTACATGCAACACCACTATCAGAAGGAAGGTGATTAAAACTCAAGTGGGCGTTAACGATAATGTGTCTAAAACAACGACTTCAGGTTGTAAGTTGTTATATTTTATCTATTATACTGTGTTTAGTGAAACAAAAGTTGGCAGAGACAAGTGAAATGATCAGGTCCAAGTTAGAATCCCTTTCGGTAGAAGCCGAGTACCTGGCTCAGCTGTCGAGTTCATCAGGAGCCGCCAATCCGCCTGCTGGATCTCTGGAGGAAGCCATGATGAAACTCAGCGACCTTGGATTCTCTTACAATTGTGAGTTGTTTTCGAATTGGCATTGTTGGTAATTTAGAATTAAAATTTTAAAAAGCTGTATTTAATATTCTATGTATTTTTCAGCAGCTTCTCAAGGCGTTCCGTCGTTCAACAGCCGTGGCTCTCCAATTCCTGGTGACTTTCATTCAACTCAAAGGAAAACGAATCGCAGTAACGCCTACAGTAAGATATGCTCTGAAACCATCACTACCACTGCCACCAACGGCCGAATCGGCCGTCGTGTAACAAAGACAACGACTTCCGACAGAAGAACGGCTTCAGTTGGCTCTTCCCTTCCACCGACCTCTGAACTTTTCTCTCGAACTCCTGGAGATCCACATGTAGCAAACGTCGTTGATCTTCCAACCGAAACGAATGCAGACACCGCGTTAACAGTAGCATGTGTTGGGGGTCATGACACGTTGGTACGATTGCTTATTGACCGAGGGGCTAACGTAGAACATAGGGACAAAAAGGGATTTACACCTTTGATTCTGGCTGCTACTGGAGGGCACGTCGAGGTTTGCAAACTTCTGATCAGTGCAGGATGTGTGATTGATGCTCAATCCGAGAGAACCAAAGACACTGCTTTGTCGTTAGCTTGTTCTGGAGGACGAAGAGATGTATGTTCCTAGCGTTTTGAAATAGAACATAACTAAACTATAAGTTAACTAACTTTAAATTTCAGGTTGTTGAGCTTCTGCTGCAATTTGGGGCGAACAAGGAACACCGGAATGTCAGCGACTACACTCCCTTGTCTCTGGCTGCATCTGGAGGATATGTGGAGATAATCACGCTGCTTCTGAATGCTGGAGCCGAAATTAACTCTCGTACCGGATCGAAGCTGGGGATCTCACCGCTGATGTTAGCTGCTATGAACGGACATGATCAAGCCACTTTTTTGTTGCTAGAAAGGAAGTCTGATATCAATGCACAAATTGAAACGAACAGAAACACGGCTTTGACATTGGCTTGTTTCCAGGGAAGAACTGAAGTCGTGAGGTTGTTGTTGAAGTATGAAGCTAACGTCGAACATCGCGCAAAGGTGTGTCTTTTATCTTTAGAAAATATTGTTTTAATGCAACTATAATGAGTTTGAATATATTTGTTTTAGACTGGATTGACACCGTTAATGGAGGCGGCAAATGGTGGTTACACTGACGTGGGAGAGCTGCTGCTTCAGGCTGGTGCTGATTCCAATGCTCCACCTGTACCAAGTTCTAGAGATACAGCTTTGACCATCGCTGCTGATAAAGGTCATTCGGCTTTTGTGGACATATTGCTTAGTCATGGAGCTGCCATTGATGTTAGAAACAAGAAAGGATGCACACCGTTGTTTTTGGCGTGTGCTGGTGGTCATCTGTCTACAGTTCGAAGTTTGATTAACAAGGGAGCTGACCCCGATGCTATGGACAACAGGAAGACTCTACCAGTTGTGGCGGCTTTTAGAAAGGGCCACTTTGAGGTGGTAGAGTTCATGGTTGAACACGTGACTCAGTTCCCCAATGATTCGGAGTGTCTTCGCTTCTACAAAGCCAATACCGATCAAGAAGCGGCTAAAAACATCAAGAAGTGTTTATGTTTGATTGTGAAAGCGAAGGAGAAACAAGCTGAGCAAGCTAACAAAGCCGCTGATGCCCTGCTACAACTACTAGAAGAAGAAAAGAAGCAGGCAAAAGTGAAGGAAGAGACCAAAAAGAAACAAAAGGAAAAGAAAAAGGCGAAGAAACTGGCCAAAAAGATGCAGGACGTTAAAGACGACGATAAGGACTTGGAGGAAGATCAAGGCAGCGAAGAAATGACACCTACTAAAGAGAACAAGGAAGTTGTGGAAGAAGTCGTGTCAGAAGAAGAACGAGTACCGATAGTACCAGTAAATGAAAAACCTGAGCAAAAAGAGGTTCAACAGGCGCCAAAGCAGAAGAGGCAGTCTAGAAGACAGAGGAACGAGAGCAATGGTAAGAGGATACTGTAGTTTAATTCATTATATTTTGAGTTATTTTTATTTTTAAAACTATATTTTGTTTCAGCTGCTTCAATCTCCTCTCCTAAAACCGCACCATTACCGTCAAACGGCGTCTACAAGAACGTTGTTTTACCAACAGAAGACTTAGAATGGCACAGTGCAGGGAAGAAGCGAGCAGTGGTAAGTTCTATCAACAAAGTATTTTGTATTATGGCTTGTTTTTTATCTCTATACTATAATAATCTTCTAATTTTAGTCACGTGGCAAAGAGTCTCGAAACAGTAAAGAACGTTCAGTTAATGATGGCAACTCATCTGAGTTTGACGCTATTTGTGAGATAACAAAGGACAACAGCAACATAATTGAAACCTTGAATCAGAGTGACCCTAATTCGAAGAGGAAAATCTACGCTCTCAGTGTTAATTCAAATACCGTGGCCAGGATAATAGGTAGGGGTGGGCAGAACATCAACGCTATCAGAGAGGCAACGGATGCTCACATTGAAGTAGAGAAGATAGCTACGCGACGAGAGCAAAGTACCCGGACTATTGCAGTCAAAGGTCCGTACGATGTGGCCAAGGCTGCTGTCATAATGATCGATCTTTTGATCAGGGATAGCGAGACTCCCGTCAACGACATCATCAAGAGAGTCACCCGTTCTCGGTCAAGATCGTCTACTTATGCTCATTCTCAAGCCTTATCTAGCTACCGAAACACGGTTCCGTCTTCTAACACGTCAAACGTGTCTTCTACTCAAGGTTCGGGTAATATTTGGCAGAAGCGAGCGGCTATTAGACAGATGAATCAAGGAAACGAACCGACTTACCAAGATTCCCAATCCAGCGAAACCTCACCTCCACCGAACGAGATTCCGTCTGCTCAGCCTGTGATTTCATCTTCGGCATCGCCAGTTGGATCTCTCACAGAAAGTCCCAGTCCAGTTCAGAAGTTTGTGGAGAAAGAAGATCCTGAAGTCGTGCCAAGCACATTCCCAGCCAAACTGATAGACGAAGACTTGCGACGGAAAGCTCCAGGATGTGATAGACCAACAGCCAATCATTTGAGGGAAATTCAAACGTAAGTCTGCTAGAAATGATAGTATTTATAAGGGGCAGTTACAGATTTTTTTATTATTTTCAAACTTTTGGGGCCATACTAGAGAAAGCACCCAACATATTAAAGGCACCCAATAATGGTTTAATGCACCCAACAATCTTTATTCAAATTTTATCATTATGAAACGTAGCGGTTTTGAAGAGCGGTGTGGAAGTGTCCAATTCGTGAATGGCGATTGTTGTAGCAAAAACTGAAAAAAATATAATAAGGTGCACGGCTACTGTAATTATATAGTTGGCCACTATAACTAGATAGTAGTTTTTATATTTATGGTATGCTTGATTTTAAATTTTTTTAGTAATGGAGATATCTACAACAATGTCGCCGACCAACCGACCCTTCCAACATTGGAAAACAATTTCATCGATCTGGCTCGGATTCTAAATGACGTTCCAATGCAGTTGTCTTCAGTAAATCCTTCAAGCTCACCTTTACTTCCATCGCTTGCCTCTTTGAATGGAAGCTCTGGCCAAGAAAAGAAGACTAGGCCATTGTCCGAGATCTGGGACAGTCGCGGAATGGACAGCAACACTTCCGACTCGTTTGGTCTCAACTTTGGAACTATGTTTGGAAGCAGTGTGACCGATCCCAAAGCTTCTTTCTGGCTTCCTCCTCAATCGAAGAACGATTCCGTTAGAGATGACACTTGGCTTGGCTCTTCAGGGGCCTCTCTGTTTGGAGCTATTGGAAGTGACAAGAACGGATCTCAGAAAGGAAATCGACCACATTCGTCCACCGACTGGACTAATTCTATTCCAAATCCATCAGCTTCATGGGGACAAGGTCAGGCTTCTCAGTGGTCCACGTCTCCAAAGGTACCTACGACAAACGGGACTCAATCGAACAAACAAAGAATGACAGGATCAACATGGGGTAACGATGACAAGATCGACGTCTTCCATCAATTGGCAGCACAACTTGGAGATGCAGCCGAGAAAGAAAAGCTGAAACAAGGAGCTCAACAAATCTATTCATCGTACAACCAAGTCGATGATAGAGTAGGTGTACTTTTATGTTGCTATGATTTTACAGTAGTTTACGACTTCAAAAGATTTTTTGTAACCTATTCTTACATTTTTAGTTTGGTGCCCCTGCATCTCGCCAGTCGATGCCGCCCTTATCGCAGCCAGCAACAGCCGTAGCCAACCATCCTACAGTAATCAAATCTTACTTGGATAGTATGCAGCAGTCTTCTAATGACATCAGCTCCATTCCTTCGAACGCACCATCTTTCTACAATCGAATGTCTTCCAGTCCATCACAACGCCAACACTATGGAAATCGACCGGTCGGACCATCACCTGGCCAGATGTCTTCACAACAGGCAGGATTGTTCTACCCCAATCAACGATCCATTCAGCCAGGAATGCCTCCACCGCCCTCCTTCGTCCAGCCTCCACCCGGATTTCAGATGAACCGCCCTTCTGGACAGATAGGACAGCCGCCCCCTCCGCCGCCGTTCTTCAGTTCTCAAGGCAATCCTCGTCAGAATGCGGTTTCTGGGCCATTTCCGAGAAACGGTATGATTGGAGGTAATGCGCCACAGCCTGGATTCCAAGGGTAAGGCTTCGACTTTTGATAGTTTTTACCGTGTTTTGATGTTTTTTTACATTTTTCTAATTTCGTGTAGTAGACTGATAATACTTCTATGTTTCAGAGCCAACTGGACCAATTACCCGAACAGCATGAACCCTCCTCTTCCCAAACAACCTTTCAATGGTTCTGCTCCACCTTCCCAATGGAACTCGTGGAACTACTGAAGCTACCGCGATGTTGTTATACAACAGTTGGTGGTTTTGTTACCTATTCTTCTTATTAGCTTTCTAACTGATGTATATTTCCTTCCCTCTCGCATCTACGTTTGTTATATTTATCTCCTAACTTTTGTTTTATATCTTAAAATACGGGACGATTAACCCAAATTAATCAGTACTTGTTGAATTGGGTACTTTGTCTTTTTAATCTCCAAGTTTTTAGTCATTTTTGTTTCCCACCTTCAATCAGATCAAGATGATAATAAAAGATAATTTTGCTTACCTTTGTCGCTTTGGATTCGTTTCCTCGATTCTTATATTGTTTTTGAGATTTATAAATCGTTTTGCTATAAATGGGCCTTTTTGAACTACAGTATGTCAACATAAGTGTAAAAAACTCTGTTGAGCACTACATGAACCATTATTATTTTGAATTAGCTTTAGCAACATATTGACAGAATAAATAATAAACTTTTAGCTTGAACACAACATGCTGGCATCAGCCTTTTCAAAACTGACCAGAAGAGTGGGATCATCGCTAAGTATCGGTATGTGGTCTTTTTGTCATTGATATCTTGTTGTAGCGCGGAGCATGTTCATCCAGGTCGAGGAGACCCCTAATCCCCGAACTCTCAAGTTTGTTCCCGGTCAAAAGATATTGTCAGAGCCTCGAACGTACGACTTCACATCGGTTTCTTCTGCTAAAATCAGTCCTTTGGCACTGTGAGTTTTCAAACTTTATTGATCTTTACATCAACGTTTCTGTAAAACAAGCTTATGATGATCCCGGTTTTGACTACGTTTTTATACTTTAATTAATAGTTTTATACAATAACTTGACAAAGTCACTATGTTTTTCTTTTTCAGGCAATTACTGCGGCTTCACGGAGTAAAAGCAGTCTTTTTTGGTGAAGATTTTGTTACAGTAACCAAGACGAGCGACGAGGAAGAATGGGCTTTGATCAAGCCTGATATCTTTGCCACATTAATGGACTACCTTCAGAGTGGAAGACCTGTGATTGCTGAATCAGCAGAAGCCGAGCCCAGTGATACTAGTACGTATTGGTGCTACTTTTTAATACAAATTAGTACTTTTATTTCTATTTTGTCGTATTTTATTACTTAAACTTTGGATTTCAGCGATTCTGGACACGGACGATGATACCGTAGCCATGATAAAAGAGCTACTAGAGAGTAGAATAAAGCCCATGGTACAAGAAGATGGGGGCGATGTAATCTACAAAGGCTTTGAGGACGGCGTGGTAAAACTCAAAATGCAGGTAAGAGATTCAACGTTTGCGAGTTTTATAAAATTTGAAGATGAGTTTTTCGTGTAGATTGAAGTGTTTGAGCCCCACAAAAACGTATTTTAAGATAGACGAGACGTCACTATGAAATCACACTTTCAGGGATCGTGCACAGGCTGTCCCAGCTCGGCAGTAACCCTGAAGTCAGGAATAAAGAACATGATGCAGTTCTACGTTCCTGAAATTCAAGATGTGATCGAGGTAAAGGACGAATCAGATGACATCATCGAGAAAGAGTTCGAGAAAGTGGATTCTACACTTTCCAAGGAGTAGAGTTTCATATATACATATACAGTTAGTTGTTGTTGATAAAGCGATAAGTATATTTTGTAAGAGACAATGTAAAACGGTTTTGATCTAGTACATATGTACTGAACAGTTTATATATTTTCAATCCATTACGCTCCCCCCCCCCCTTCACGCGCCCGGCGCTGAATGTCACACATGTGTGTTACTGTGTTCGTACTGTAGTAATTGGAGCGATGTACTATAGAAGTGCATTATGGCAAAAATCGTCAAAAGGCCATCTAGAAAACGATGGTACAGTTAATGATGCTGGTTTAGTATGTTGGTATTAGTTTAGTAGCTGTAATAAACATTACTTGAAGAATAATATTTTTTAGGCAACAGTTAATACATAGAACTGGCGCAGTGTTTTGTTTCTGACTTGTTGAAGATGGATTTGACGAAGCTTTTGTGAAATACGAAAAAAGAGCAGAGTTGGATGCAAAAAAAGCGATGCGAATGCGTTTCACTTGGCACAAAGCGTCTGCTTATTGCCAGAAAAGCTTAGATTAATGCACCTCTTGCAGGAGCTCTTGTACTTGAATTAAAACTGGCATAAAATCAAAGTTTTTAACCGTTAAATATCATTTGCAAAATGAACGTTTCATATTGGGGTTTGCCTTCCGAAGTAAGTTTGTATTGGGTTTTACTTTATTTTAACTAATTTGAAACCTATAAGAGTAATTTAGATATGTTTTAATTTAGGTTTGGATACGTGTGATGAAATACGTAATATACATGGAAGATGTCTGTAACTTTGCCATGATCAGTAAATACTTTTACCGACTGACAAACACGGACTTTAAAAGTTTGTGCTACAAGAATGTGGTTTATCGATTAGATAATGAAACTTGGGCATCTGCTTTTTCCTTGTAGGTTACTGTAACATACATGGCTTGCGAGTTTTGGGATTGGCTAGTCAATCAAAAACAGCCAGATCTTGTCGAAAAGGCCTTTAGACAATAATAATAATAACCATGCTCTTCCTGCGCGAAAATAAAACTTTTTCCTTCAGCCGAGAATTGGCAGTTTTTACTGACTGTCCTATCACAACACTAACGCACAAGTAACATATATACAACAAAATTGAAAATGGTACTTACTGAATGAATAGTACAAGTTTAAAACGGCACACGTCAATTTATATTATTATGCATTCCTTATCACTTCTTACCCTTAAAAACGCTTTTTATGTCATTTCCTCTTTTCAGGACAAATTACCGTACACTTGACATAAAACTTAACTCAATGAGAGGCATTTCGTTCAGCGATCGCACGTCTTTTTGCTCCCACACTGGAACGTTGGCAATAATATTAAAGTTAAAACAAGTATTGGTAACCAATATCGACTTTGGAAGGAAAGTTTTTAGAATTATCAACTTGGCAAAAGTTAAAGGCCCTTTAGTGAATATTCATCTTATGAACAAAGCTACACAACTACTACTAGACACCAAGGTGTCGTATGTTGTATACGACTTGGTACAGGAAAAGATAGTTAAAACCTACAGTGCCTTAAGGCATGAACGTTACAATGCTTTTACACTGTACTACAATAGCGGTATTCTAGTAGACTTGTGTAATCAGAAAGATTACAAATTGGAATTGGGCCAACAAATGTGTTCAATATCATGTAGACCTATATTAAACACTGAAACACAGGGCTACAGAAAGTATGTTGGATACTGGAAAAAGCTCAACGAACTTGTACTAATAGACAACTCAACCGGCCAAAGGACTGTAATTTGCACAATTGACAGTTTGTCTACGATTTGTATCTTAGATAGACTTGATCAAGTCGTGGAGATGTATGCCGTTTTCGAACCACATATTGTTTTATATAAATTTACTTACTAATTTCATATACAGTGGAACTCCTGTATAAAGAATCGCTCGGGGATTCGACATTTGTTCGTTATACGGGATTTTCGTTATAGAGGAGTTCGTTATACAGGAGTACCACTGTACATATAATTTTCAGACGATTGTGCGACACAAATTTACGACATCAAAACTAGAAACTGTGTTTCTCAATTCATCTACCATGACGGGCACAGCGAAGGCAAAATCATCGGTTTTGCTGGTATGTACTTATGTAAAACCAATAAAGTAAGTCACGAAGTAGAGATTACTACGAATTTGATAGTTATACAATACCTGGAAGTCTTCTCATTATAGTTCTCGAAGAACTCGAATCAGTCACACTTCACGAGAAAATCTTTTTTTTTAAACTGACTTGTAACTTCTAGATGCTCGGATACAGTAAGAAGAAAAAGAAATGGACAGAAATGGGGCAATGGCCTGATGAAATGCACTGTGTACTCCCTTACTGCATGTGGGCTCACGTGCTACCATTATCGACAACTCAGCGTTTCATAGAAGATGGCGTTCTTGCTATAACGCACATAGACTGGTCGACAGGTAAACAAACATACATTATTCCGGACAAAAGAAAAGCTGAACAATTTAAGACAAACTTAATGTTTTAGATCACCTAATGCTTAAAAAGTTTCACCCTATTGAGTTTGTGACAGCCGGCTTTGATTACCTGAAACTTGTCGATGTTAAGGTGAGGAAGCGGGATTCTACAGAAGACAGAGTGCGAAAGCAGTTTGAGCAAGTACTACAAGACCTACAGACAGATGTTACAAAAAGTTCTCCTTCTTATAAAATGTGATAAGCGTTTCTGATCAAATCACAACATCCTCAAATTCATTACATTACACGCAACAGAAACAGAACATTAACACTCAGACATCCACCGTTCCGTACCAAAAACGATCTCGATATTACTCACAAAAGTATGTTAGAAAAGAAGGTATTGGACGTTCTCTTTATTGTCGTTGTTATTGGTATGTTCTTTGCTTCTGATATTGTTGTTCCTTTTATCAAATTGTTCTTTTTATCAAAAGTATTATCGGTGTAAAATTCTGTAGAATTATCATATTATTCTTATATTTTAGAAGTTTCAAATCAAGTTTGTTTTTTCTTAAATTAAAAAAGACTAACGACATTACTTTAGGCAGAGTGTTCTACAGATTCCGGAAGAACTCAGAGGCCGGTCGATAACTACCAGACAAAATAATCTTACATGGCATAGTAAACAAGATGCACTTTTAATACTTGCATGTTATTAATAGAGGTTGAATTCAATTTGTATTAAAGTATTGTAAATTGTACCTTAGGAAAGTTGTATTCATTTATATTGTAGTAAGTTACACAAAACTATTTTTGTTGTAGTAAGGTTTCAGCAAAAACTACATTTTAGTAAAGCTATGTTTTAACAATTGTAACTGTTTGATTCACAGCAGTTGATATTAAACGGATACAATTACTGGAGTAGCTGGACTTTACAAGAACATACGATAAAGATATTACATTTACATTTTAATACGTTGAAATAACATTTAAAAGGCTGTTTCAACCATTATTAGACTGAAATGCTGTCTTATCCAACTTGTGCTGTCTGAGATTAGAGAGTAACATTAACATAATCTTGTTCTGATAACTTTTAAAGACTCTTAACTGTTATCTAAATTTGATTGGTGATAAGAAAGACAAACAATAACACAGCCGAGGGTCTCGACGTCACTTGTTTGTAATTGTTTGGGTTTAATAACTAGTTTACAATAATATGACTTGTTTATGACTGCACTTACTCTTTCTGATTGCCTTATCTGCCTTCCTCTGATGACATTACCTCCCAATTACCTTATCAGATTCTGCGCCTTTTGCAGGCTACAGCCACGGTATCAGCGTTTAAGGGAACACCATTTAAACGCTCCATAAAACGATCTCCGAAGGAGGGCGGAGAGAGGGCAGGCCGAGGAGAGAGACCCAGACCGGCGGAGAAGCGATAGAACTGCTCGCGGGAAATGAAAAAAACACAAAATCTCGAATGAATCCGTCGAGAGTGGGGGTTTCTTCACAACAATAAAAAGTAGAGGCATGTACCCGACCCCTGCTCCTTCTCCCCTCTGGGCCTTTTTGAAACCCGCCAAGCTCGTGGCCAAAGGGGGTGGCGAGAGAGTGGGGCGAAGCGGGAGACGGGCAGACAGCCGGCTGGTGAGTCCTTGTCTTCACTTTTCTCGGGCTATACAAGTCCCGGTCGGACATCTCGCACTGTCGTCACGTATTTTCATATTCGATCGGTAATGCTCTTTTGTACTAGTATATACCACTACGTACTATAACATGGTTTTGGTATAGGGTATGTTGTTGAAGGGAGGTGCAAGTGGTCGGGGGTTGTTTTCCTGATATGTGTTGTCTGTCTGGCCCTGTGGCTGTATGTGTGCTATGTGCATGCTATGTAGCTTTAAGTGTTCGTATCTGGGATGGCGGCTCTGCCCGCGGCTGTTTGAACTTGTTTTATCGCACCAATAACTGTTGACATATTTACTTAATTAGCTGGTGCCCTACTTTTACAGTAAATGTTTTTGTGCGGTAACTCGCCGGTCTCTCTCCACTGTAACTTACTTTAATTGAACGAGTTGTGGTCTAATTACTGTAGGACGGTGGTTACACTCTTTACTTGAGTTGTAGTAATAGTAAGTGATGTAGACACATCTTTGGAATGACAAATCTTTTGTATCATACCACGCGGTTAATACGACTTTCTCTCGTTCTCTGCATCCTCTCTGTCTGGCACGGTCCTTTTCGAGTATGTTAACAAGTGTATTTACTATCCTTGCTATCTGTACAAGGTTTTAATTCGTTTGTTTTGATTATCTGTACTTGTTGGTATTTCGTTAGTGTGATATGACTACTTTGTATTACAATGGTATGTACTCGGTTAGCTTTCAATATTGTGATATGTACCCAGTTTCGTAAGTATACGTAATTATTGTATTTATCGCTCAGAAAGTAGTCGCCAAAAAGTGTTTTTTTAAATTCTGTAAACTTTTGGACCAAACTATAACCTTTGACTGTGTATTTTGTAGATATCTTATACTATGTAAGCGATTACAGTTTTAGCCTGTTTCTCGATTGATATTCCTCTAATCTGTTGATATGCTAATTTAGAATTGCGTAGTTTACCTTGTGTATCTCTATGTTAATGTACTCTTTTATGTCAATATAAAGTGCCCAGATTGTACCATTTTATAAGTTTTTTAACAGAGTAATTAAGTTAGTTGCAGTATAGTGCTTAGTTATTGGTAAGTAACATGACAAAACATTACTTTATCAAATCTGAAATTACTTTACAATAATTTAGATTTGGATTTATTTTTAAAAACATACGTTTTCTGTTACAGTAACCAAATCGCTTATAACTATTATGTCGTATAAGCCCCTTACTTTAATAGTATCATACTGGGAGTGTAAATTTAATTGAGAAAATGCACATTACAGTAAATCCTCCGTAATGTAAACGTATATATTGCAAGATATATGGTGTAACAAAGATGTTTTGGCAGTTGACATATACAAAAACATTTCTAATGCCAGTCATATTCCATTGTCAATCAGTAGAACGTACGTTTGGTATGTATGATGTAAAACACCGTATCTATACCGTAATGTTGTTTTATATTACAATATCGTATCTTATAAATGGTCGAATACCGCGGTATGTCGCGTATACGAAGCGTACAATAAGTTTGAGTGTATCGAACCGCTGAAACAGATTCTTTTTATTGTAGCGTCTGTGCGTTCTCTGCGCTCTCTTCCGTGCCCCGTGCTCTCTCGTCGTGTCTGCCACCCTCTCCGTTGCGGGTGTGTCGCGGAGTGTCGCCACGTGAACTTTTTGTTTTATCGAGGTGTTTTCTTCCCACTTAATAATCCCTTTACTTAAAGGTGCCTCCGATTGCTGAAGGCATCCAACTGGATCGATTCCTTTACCACGGTGATGCTTCTGTGGCGATGAGGGGGAACTGTCTGATGCCCATTTTACTGGTACTCTTCACGGGGTTCCTGGTCATCTCTTCCGAGTCCTTCTCGTACACCAGAGACTGCAATGATCAACAACATAGGGTAAGTTGTTGTTATTGGTGTTATAACCATATTACAAGTGATAGGTTACATATATGACTTTATGTTATACGTAACATAACTTACATGACAATGTTACTATAATACCTTACACATGTTCTATAAAGGTTATAGTAACACACCACTATAACTGTTTATCTGCAAACCAAGTAACAGTGGGTTATTGTCAACAAAACCAACTGTTACAGTTCGCCTTGTTGTCATAGCAATAAAAGTCTCAGCTGATGTTATCAGTCGAGTTTGTAGTCGGATTCTTTTGTTTCTGCCTTCCGCATAACTCCCCACTTTCAGGAAATACATTGCGTTGTAAGACCGGTCGATTGCGAGGAAGATGAGCAGATCCCGCAAGTCAACAAGACCACCCTCATACCTGACGAAGCTCACGACATCCGGGTGTCGAACGTCGCGAAAGCAGTGTCGAAGAGGAAAGGGGAGTCTTATCAGTTGTCGGTCGATATTTCGTGGCAGACCCCACCTAACAGTAAGTCACTTGTTTACTGTAGTAAATGTAAAATACTAAGGCTAAAGCAATATGAAGAAGACTATTCTGAAGCCTTTGAAAAACATTATCAAGCTTTTGTCAGATAAAAAGTTCATTAACAAACAAACTTGAAAAGAATGTTTTGACCTTAGCAGACCTACCACAACATAAAACAAATTTCAGACTCGACCAGACTTCTGCACGGATTCTTGTTGGAAATCAATTCAGAAGACGGAAAGCAGCACCAGTGCTTTCTGTTGGATGTAAACGGCTCCACTTGGACTGAAAACACCGTCAAATTGTCGGTATGTCAACATAAGCCATATTAAGCCTAATATACATTGTCAGAAATACGGTAAAAGTTTAATTAATCTATAGCATGTCATGTACATTACTCTAAAGTAATATTATACTTTCAGCCGAGACTTCACTTCTTCACCGAATCCCTGTTCAGATTCTCGCAGAATTACGAAATCTCCGTGCATTCGTTGCCGGAGGGTATTGAGATTACTCGTACAGCGACCAAAACCGTCCAGATGCCGCACCATCCTCGCTCAATAGGCCAGTCTGGCTTGTTACCTTCAAATTGCTCACATTCTTGTAAGTTGCTCTTATGGTTCATATACTGTGAAACTTTGAATTCTTTGGCCAATTACTGTAACATTTTGTTATAGCTCATCCGTTCGCTTCTCAGTGGGCAGCCGGCTTTCGCCGTGTTCTTGTTTATCCGCTGACGCGTACTGTCCACATCGAGTTCATAGCAGCACCTCCCGAGTATTGCTTCGAACAATACGAGGTAAGGTTTACAACATATCACCGGATGTACAATGGTAAAAACTCTGCCTTTATATATGTTAGCTTAACATAGTACATTCATATATCTTCAGGTTCGACTGATGGATCCTACTGTAATGCTGGTAGAAAGAACCACACTTATCAGTCTGGACCAATTGGTGGAAGAAAACACGAATGGTACCGTCAACTACATTGGCTACGTTAACTTCACGGATGTTGAAGTAAGATTAATTATATATGTTTATATATGGATTTTTATCCAGTATATGACATTTTATATAACATTTAATCTTCTGTTTAGTTGAACAAGACCTACACTCCCACCGTGATCCCAGTAGAAACCTCGCTACAAGGTAGATGTCTATGTCCGGTTAATTCGCAGAATCATCCAAAGAGTAACAACGTCGTATGTACATGTGTTAACTCGGAGAGTAAACGAATCCGGCTTATCAGTAAGTTAAATGATTCAAAATTATCAAGTTTTATAAACTTTTTAAATACCTCAATACCGTAATAATTTTGTAATAAGGGTAACTAAAGGGAGCCAAACATAACATTATTGGAAGATACCAAAGTTGAAGATTGATAACTAATCAATTTCAGAAATCGACGCCACAAAAACCATTTGCATGGGATGCTCCAACGAAACCAAGCCGATTCTGGAGACCGAACTAGACGAAGACGAGTCCCAGACCTGGCTGTACCATCTTGGAGTATTCCTCCTTATCCTCTTCCTACTATGCCTATTGGCGGTCATGATTCTGATGGTGTACCAAAAGTACCGTACATGGGGAAAGGCCTTCAGAATCCAGCTTATTCATGACAGAAACCCCTCCAGAAGCCCAAATCTGGAAATCGCCGATCTACAGACGAACGCGCTTCTGAAGCCAAACGGGTCCGTTCTACGGTCAACGAATCTGAATATTCTGATCGTCTACAGCCACGATGCTCCTGAACACGACCTGGCTGTCATCGCATTCGCAGAATATCTACGTGACGTATTCAACATGGATGTTCACGTAGGTTTTACCATCGTAAACAATCTTTCGAAAGCCTTTACTTCCTTCGAACACGTTTGTTACAAGCAGAACAACATGCTCTTAAAGGTGTTACAAGAAAGATGTTTTACTAGGGTTAAGAAAGGAATGTTTAGTAGTAGTGCTATTGTTAGAATATCATCTTAATAGTTTTAAAAGAGGTAACGTCGCAATAATAGTGTTAAAACCTTGCCAGTACGTAATAAGTCGTATTTTAGCTGGACATGTGGGACGCGGAATTAATCCACAAAAATCTGATGGATTACTTGTCGCTTTCGGTGGTTAATGCTGATTATGTGGTCGTAATCAACTCGATAGGCACGTCAGCTAGATACAACACCAAACTCCAATCCCTTGGAGCCGAGAGCCCTACCGTAATCCAAAGAAACGAAGCCGGACCTTTTGACAAACTCTTCCTTTCTCAAGTTGATTTTGCATTACAGTAAGTTATACCATACTTAAGTTATACAAACTTCAAAATTTGTATATAATATTAGGTAAAAGGCCAATATTAATCTTCTCCATATTACAGACATGGAAACGTGATATCAGCCAGACTGAACTATTCCCACTTTGATCAAGTGCTACCACCACTACAAGGCCGACTACAATATGTTATACCAGACACTCTAGGTCCTCTACTGACAGCACTACACAAGACCAACATGAAGAATGACCCACGACTGGTCGGGTTCACTCCACAGCTAGTCAAACTTAAGAAAGCTGTAGAAGCCATGGCTAGTCTAATATTGAAAGACCCCGAGTGGTTCACAGCAACACATCACACCCATCGTATGCAACCAAATACAAAACCTCTTCAAACAGAACCCCCCAAAAAGCTACAGTGAAATTCCGCTTCTTCAGAACGGGGTACTTCCATTGCACGATGAAGTCAGTTCTCGACTGGCACCTCAAGTTCAACGGTCAGAAGAATCTGAGCCCCTTCTGGAAATGGAAAGCTCCGCCAACTCGCTTCACTCGGCTACAGATCTCCACCAGTGCTGCGAAGAAGAGCATGAAGAACCAGTAGCTCAGAAGGATTACTTGGACGATCACAATGGATCAGAAGACAGCGGAAACGTTACACAACAGATGGTCAGTCAGGAATACACTGACGACATCTGTGCTGACGACGGTGCCCTTGTACATAACACTCACATAGACACCCCTGTACATAACACAACATTCAACAACGACACAACGGTAGATAAGGAAACAGAAGACGACGGAGGTAACATACTAAATCCGGTTACCGAGCAGCCGCTACAAAAGTGGCGCGCGGATCCGAATCAAGATTCTGGGATGGTATCTGACGCCGATCTCCAGATGATCTCATCCTCATGATAACACACGGTAACTATTGAAACACGACGTGGTAACGAAATACGATGAGTTAGTTACTCACAGAACACGCTCGTATGTACGATGCTTACACGGACTACATACGATGTATCAAGTCAGTCATGTACATCATAATATACACCACCTTTAGCATCGTACATACGAACATGTTCACCATCGTACCTCACCTCCCACACCGTAACATGTTGACGTGCTATCATCTCAGTACATGTTAGTCTCATACCGGTATTGTTGTTTGTATTATATCTGTTCTCGTTGTTGAATGACCTCTTATATTGTTATTCCGGTGAGGCGGGTCCGTCCCGTCCAACATAACATAATATCTTTCTCCCCACTTTCTCGGTCGAATGTCCAGAATCGCATCTTATTTTAATTGTTTATCATTCCCCTGATCTCGATTGTTATTGTTGTATAATGTCAGAACACTTAGCTGGACATTCAACGTTTTACTGCACTTACGGGCATCGTACTCACGGTACGAATTCCAATCAAAAACATGTACCATAACTTTATTTAAATGTGGTAGAGTTCTATAATTATTGCATAATAATAAAAGGTGATAAGTATTTCGTTGAAATATTGATGTAAAATATACTTTAAAAGTGTCCAATCGAAAAAAATAAAAAGGAAAAGAACAAAAAGAACAATACTATAAATTAAAAACTAAAAAATCACTAAATTCAGATTTAATTATACTTATTTTATAATTAAAGTCTCAAAAAAACTATTTTTTGGAGAAATACTGATTTAAATGAGTTTTATGCGGAATTTGTGTTTTCGTTTCAGGACCGAACAGCAGAAAGGTTGCTTGCGGCTGTTCGGAATAACTTTGAAATTAAGATTCTGAGTGGCTAGCTAAGTAGCAAAAATAGGTAAGAAAGTAACATTATAATTATTTATAACAATATTTATATGTTTTTGTTGTTTCTAAGTTTTCCGTTGGCAAAACATCCGCTTTAAGCCCTGTTTTATGAACTATTTATTGTGTTTTATTTCTTTTTTAATTCTGTCTTTTTAGGAAATCTTGCCATTATGGCGAATGCCATCGGAATCGACCTAGGCACAACGTATTCGTGTGTTGGTGTGTTCTTCAACGACACTGTCAAGATCTTAGCGAACGACCATGGTAACTTGACAACGCCATCGTGTGTTTCCTTTACTGACAGCGACCGTGTGGCAGGAGAGGCAGCTTTTGGTCAAGCTATTCGTAATCCTTTAAACACAGTCTTCAGTAAGTTTTTATTTTAATAATATGTTGATTTCTGACGTTAATTTTAAATTATTACTGTTTTTCAGTAGAAATATGGGTACGAAGTTGATCGTTTTATTTTTAGATGCCAAACGTCTTATTGGCCGTGAGTTCTACGATTCTACCGTTCAGTCTGACATCAAGAACTGGCCGTACAAAGTGGTTAACGACAATGGCAATCCAAAGTTTCAAGTCAACTACAAAGGCGAAACCAAGACGTATCTGCCAGAGGAGATCTCAGCCATGGTCTTGACGAAAATGAAGGAATCTGCTGAAGCCTTTCTACACGAAGAAGTAACTGACGCTGTGATCACGGTTCCAGCGTATTTCAACGACGCCCAACGTCAGTCGACAAAGGATGCCGCCAAGATTGCTGGGTTGAATGTTCTTCGCATTATCAACGAACCCACAGCTGCAGCCATTGGATTTGGTCCTCAGGGGAATGTCACTGGCACGAAGAATGTACTGGTCTATGATCTGGGTGGCGGAACCTTTGATGTTTCTATTATGACGATCAGAGACAAGACCTATCAAGTTAGAGCTGTTGGTGGAGATACTCACCTTGGTGGAGAAGATTTTGATGACGCTATGATGAAGCACATGATTGACGAATTCAGTACTAAATATGGCAAGGATTTGACTAAAAATGGACGTTCTTTGAGACGTTTGAAGGTGCAGTGTGAGCGCACGAAGAGGGAACTTTATATTTAATGTTAGTTTTGAAGTCGATTCGTTGTTTGAAGGCGAAGACTTTTACACTACCATAAGCCGAGCTCGATTTGAAAGCCTTATTGTTGGTCGATTGGAGGAATCCATGAAAATTGTCGAAAATGTTTTGAAAGATGCTAAGATGGAGAAGGCAGAGATTGATGAGGTGATTCTGGTCGGTGGATCCACTAGAATCCCAAAAGTTCAGGAAATGCTGTCAAAGCTGTTCAACGGGAAGCAATTGAACAAATCCCTCAACCCTGATGAAGCAGTAGCGTATAGAGCTGCTGTACAAGCGGCAATTCTATCTGGTGTTCAGTCTGAGAAGTTGAAGAATGTCAAGATTGTCGATGTCACTGCACTTTCTTTGTGTACTGAAGTTGTTGGTGGACACGCCTTAACTGTTATCAAAAGAAATACGCCGCTGCCCGTCAAGGTTTCTAAAAACTTTTATACAGTTTCTGACAATCAAACAAGTGTTCGGATTAATGTATACGAAGGAGAAAGAGCTATGGCAAAAGACAATCATTTCCTTGATGAGTTTACTCTTTCTGGACTAATACCTGCTTCTAGAAGGGCATATCCTATTCAAGAAACCTACGAGATTAATGAAGATGGACTTTTAAAAGTGACTGCTGTTGATGTCAGGACTGGATTAAGTAGTAGTATTACTATTACTAGTGCCAGAATGTATTTGTCGAACGAAGAAATTCAAAAATTGAAGGAAAATGAAGAAATCTACAAAAGGGAACATCACGAATCATCTCAGACTCAAAGCGCAAGACACATTTTGGAAAGATTCTGTTTTGACAAGTTGAGAGAGTTAAAGACAAAGGTACGTTCATAAAGAATTAGTTTTTATAAAATCTACTGTTTTTTTTTATAAAAGCACACTTGTGTTGATGTATATGTACCGAATTTGTTAAACCACATTAAAATTACGTTTTCAGAATTCAGACGATCAATCAGAGAACGATGAAATCATGGCCAAATGTCGCGAAACCATTGAATGGCTGGACGCTAATCATATGGCAAAGAGATCAGAGTTCGAGAATCATTTGAAGGAGATGGAAGATTTGTGTTCTTGTTTCGAATCCAGTTTGGTCGTCCTTTAATTTAAATGGATGAAGTATTTGAAATTTTATTCATCGTCATGAACATATCAAAACTCATATTATTTTTATTTTACGTTTTTCACTTTTCGTATATTCATTTTCTCATTTTTGTTCACAAATATTGTCGACAACTTATTGTAATAAATTTCATTGTAATTCAAAATAGAGGTCAGAGGTTCAAGGGGAAAAATGGCCGATGGGAAACTTAACGCAATTAGTACTTTATTTAACAAAAAAATTGTTTTCCAAAAATTTAAACCGCGCTTTCTTGTTTTCGTTGCAGAACCAAAGCATAAAAAGGTTGCTTCCGGCTGCGCTCAATTTTTTAGCGAAGAACCGGCAGATTTTAGTTTTCCAAAACAAAAAAACCTTGCATATTTGACTGCTGTTGAAGAGCGTTTCATTTTCAGTATAAAGTATTATGGAACATGCCAATGGAATCGACCTAGGCACGACATACTCGTGTGTCGCGGTTTTCATTGATGGAAATGTGAAAGTATTGGCAAACGACTATGGCAGCTTGACAACTCCATCTTGCGTTGGATTCACAGATTGTGATCGTGTAGTTGGAGAAGCAGCTTTCAGTCAAGCCATTCGAAATTCGGAAAATACGGTGTTTAGTGAGTTATATATTTGTTACCTAAACTATACGTCCACTTCAATTAATTAACCACTTTTTTATTATAGGCACTTTTCTTTAATTTTTTACTATATTTTTTGGGCACATTTCTTTGTTTCAGATGCAAAACGTCTTATTGGTCGCAAATTCAGTGATCCCACCGTTCAATCTGACATGGAACACTGGCCTTACAAAGTAGTAGAAGAGGAAGGCACGCCAAAGTTTCAAGTCCAACACGAAGGAAAGACTAAAACATACCTTCCAGAAGAAATCTCAGCAATGGTTTTGTCAAAAATGAAGGCAACGGCTGAAGATTTCCTTCAACATCCTGTCACTGACGCTGTGATCACGGTTCCAGCATATTTCAACGACGCTCAACGTCAATCAACAAAGGATGCAGCCAAGATTGCTGGGCTGAATGTTCTTCGCATTATCAACGAACCCACAGCTGCAGCCATTGGCTTTGGTCATCAGAAGAATGTCACTGGCACCAAGAATGTATTGGTTTATGACTTGGGAGGAGGAACGTTTGACGTTTCTATTATGAGAATCACGGACAAGACTTTCCAAGTAAAAGCTGTTGGTGGAAGTACACATCTTGGCGGAGAAGACTTCGATAATGCTATGATGAAGTACTTGATGAAGGAATTCAAAATGAAGTACGACAAGGACTTGAGTACCAACAATCGATCTCTGAGACGTCTGAAGGTGCAATGTGAGCGCACAAAGAGAGAACTGTCAAACTTTACTAGCGTCGAGTAAGTATTTAGTGTTTATATTGAATATTTTGTGTGGTTAAAGAGGTTACAAACGTTTTTTGGCAAGTATTTCAAGCTATTCCTTTATGTTGAGGACGCGATATTAAAATTACGAAGACTTATTGTAGCTTCGAAATTGATTCGTTGTTCGACGGCGAGGATTTTTACACCAAAATGACGAGAGTCAGGTTTGAAAGTCTGACCATGGATCGACTGGAAGAGACTATTAAAATTGTGGAAGATGTTTTGAAGGATGCCAAGATGGAGAAGTCCCAAATCGATGAAGTGATCTTGGTTGGTGGATCTACCAGAATCCCAAAGGTCCAGGAATTGTTGTCAAAGACTTTCGAAGGAAAAAAATTGAACAAGTCTATCAACCCTGATGAAGCCGTGGCTTACGGAGCAGCTTTACATGCTGCTATTCTTTCTGGAGTCAAATCAGAAACACTGAAAGATGTGACGATTATCGATGTTACCTCGCTTTCTTTGGGTATTGGAGTCATTGGTGGACACATGGAAACTGTGGTCAAAAGAAACACCAAGATCCCAGCAAGTATTTCCTAGGTATTCAAGACTGCTTATGACAATGTGAGGTGTGTCAACATCAGAGTATATGAAGGAGAACGAGCCATGACAAAAGACAACCGTTTTCTCGACGAATTCAGACTTTATGGCCTTCGTCCTGCTCCTCGTGGTGCATACGGAATCACCGTTACTTTCGATATCAACGAAGAGGGAGTGCTGACAGTAACAGCAGTCGATGACAAAACTGGGAACATGGGTGACGTCACTATCACCAACTTCAACCAGTACTTGTCAAAGGACGAGATTCTGAGACTGCAAGAAAACGAAGAAAGGTACAAGCGAGAGAAACACGAATCATCCCAGACTCAGAATGCGAGACATACTCTGGAGAGCTTCTGTTTCGAGAAATTGAGAGAATTTAAATCCAATGTGAGTCAAAATTTTGATACACTTGTTTTACTTTTTAACTTTTAAAACTCGAGGTATTTGGTAGTGCAATATATAGACATTGTGGACTTATGTTTGTGTGATTTTAGATGCTGGAAGGCCATTCCGATAAAGAATTTATAATTGAGAAATGCCTGGAAACCATCGATTGGATTGATAAAAATCCTTTGGCTCCAAGGTCGGACTTCGAGAACCAATTGAAAGAGATGGAAGAACTTTGTGAATGTTTCATGTCCAACGTCATTGTCCTTTAATGATATAAAAGCATATTTTTGTTTATGTTATACAAATTTCACTTTTGTATATTTGTTATTATACTGTTTCGAATACTTTTCCAATAAACTTATAGTATAATTTAAAAAATACAAGTTATTAGAATTCTGATGTTTATGTTATTGCAATTGTAAAGGCGACAAGTGAATTCGTTTTATGACAAAAGTGTTAAACATGGGAATAACTATCGATAAGTTACGAAATATTTTGGAATTCAATACAAGTTACTCATCAAATTACAGAGACAAGTCTCCTTCACTTTCAAAAATATTGTTTTAGCCAATGATTAGGAGTGCACTGAGCAGTTAGGGTTAAAGCCGACAATAATTTACATGAAAATATGGAGAATTATGCAAATGAGGCAGTAATGACGGGCAAAATTAGTTGTGGGCCGACTTGAACTTGCGCGACAACTCGCTGAACTGCTGTCCCATCGTGCTGTAGAAGTTGGCTTGGTGTTCGAAGAAGCCGCCCAGCATTTCCCTGAAGTCGTCGTTCCGTTCCTCGTTTAATTGAGTTATTTCCGCGAGCAGCGAGTACGACACCACGTCTACACGCTGCCGAATCGCTTCCGAATCCTGTGGAGATAATTTGTTCTCTGCTTGCAGACGTTCATTGTCCTTGAGTTTGGCTAACGCAGACTGAAATTGGACTCAATCAATTTACGCAAAAGTATATTAATTTAGACCAGAGGGGTTTGCCTGTATTAGCTTTTTCCAAGATATATGTTTTGGCAAAGTTAATGAAGAAAGAATTCAATTTGTTAATATTCCAACTATTCAATTAAGAATGCTTACCTTATGAACGTTGAGCATATCCGGAATGTTGGCCAGCAGCCCTTTATAAGTGTAGAGCCAGTCCAGTAGCTGCTCCATGTCCCGCTTACCGTGTTCTTCATGTTGAACTCCTATTTTGTGCATTACTGAAGCACTTTCTCTGATTGCTGAGGTAACTTGTGTCCCTGCAATATTATCGTAATGCCTTTTATATTAAAAGTGCAAAAGTATGAACAATTTTTACAAAAATACGTCCTTTCAAAGCAATAATTTAAGCTATTATGAAACTAGGCAAACGTTAACATACCACATGTCTGGTCGAGCTCAAAAGATTGTCCTAGGGCTTCAAACGCTGCTGCACTCTTCTGCCAATTTGATTTGTATGGTCCCGTTAGTCGCTTCTGACTTTCGTTGATACGCTCATACAGTACCTTCACACTGTCTTCCAAACTTCTACAGCATCTTGCAAACGTTTCTACTTGATTTTCTCTGAAAATAAGCAAAATACAACAAAATGCAACTCAACTAAGACAACATGAAGAAAGATTACCATTAAAATTAAACTAACTTACACTTTGTTGATCTCCAGTGGCTTGTCAGGTACCCTAACACAATGGAAGAAGTTACCACCAACATATTCATCCTTTTCAGCCTGTCTCTTCCCGGCCTTCCACTTCTTCTCGTCCGTACAGTTCATGAAATGCATCCACACCTCTGCCTGACCTAACACTGGATGTCTGCATATCTTATTCACCCACAGTTGTAATATCACCTTCCTGTGCTCAATCAGATCCTCCTCGTATCTACCTGCCACTTGTTTTTCGGGTAATGGTGGAGACGGAATCAGTAGAAACTTGCTCGTGAGCTGTTCGTGGAGCCAGTCGAAGTGTTTGTAGCGTCGTGACACCTGGATTCCGGTCAAGGAAGACGTCATACTGTAAGCAATGAAGCTCTTCAGGCCTTTTAGCTTGGATTCCTTCTTCGGTTTGTCTACTGTACACTGGTACTGCTGATGAGAAGGGGCCCATCTGACGTGACCATCGGACACCTGTAAAGTAGAGTTGTTAAGAATAGTTTTAACTTTTCAAAGCCACGTTTAAGTCACAAAATTAAATTCACAATTTAGAATGTAACTTACCACAACTTCAAAGTTCTCCGTAGGTTGTTGATTCATTTTACTCGTGTTCAAAATGAACGCTTCCATTCCTGTTTTTACGAAGTTAGAAAACCTGTTTATATTCTTCATTCTGGCAGCTCCACCAGCACCACCTTGACGTGAAGACAGAGAAACAGTGTCAGGACCAGCTGACCTACTTCTGGCTACCGCTCTTTGTTGACCCGGTTCCTAAAACATTAATTTAGATACGAAAAGAGCTTTAACGTTAAACAGTACTACAAAGTAACTAACACTAGTTACCAATACTTAATAAAGGAAGGAGGTACTAACCAACACAACTGATGACAACTGAAGAAACGACATTAAAACAACACAACCAAGTACAACATCAATCACAATACTCCACCTAAGAAACCTTTTTCTCTTCTTTCTCGTTTCCAGACTTCGTGGACAAGGACTCCGTGAGTTTGTCCTTCTCGTTACCACTTTGACTGATAACATCGTCCTCCACCGCACTCAAATCTGTCCTAGATCCTGAGGTAGTTCGTGAACGCCCATTCGTACTAGCCGGAACATCTGTGCCGAGAGTACGATGCTCGTGAGCTGACCCCGATCGTCCCTCCTTAATGAAAAGAATGGATTGAGAAGTCGAAGCTGGAGCCGAGACCAAGTGGTCGATGACTTTGAAAGAGACCCTGCGGGTGTAGAAAGAGTGGGACTGAGTCAGGCGACTCGGCTCACAATGACTAGAAGATCTAGGCCTTGCAAACAACATTTAGCTCACTCGAGTTAGAAGGTTTAAAAAGTCATCCTACTGACACTTGAAATGTACTCAAAAAAGTATTTTAAAATCAGATTGGAGATTACAAATATGTTAACCACAAGCTGTACTTAAGTATGAAAGATAAAGTAATATAGTAAGTATAAGCAGAATGAGTAAGTAGTATTCCAAATATAGTAAAGTCGAAAAAGTCACACTTTTCGGGACAAAAAGCCAAAACAGCAATCCAAATAATGACAGAATTTGCAAATCTCAACTGGGGGTTGCTATAGAATGGTCCCATTACTTAGCTAATGCCTCGACCCCGGAACTGGGCTGGAATCCGGCCAAATTCAGAAGTCAGACCCTCAAATCTAATAGACTTTTTTCAAACGAACCGCGTTTTCCTCGTCGTCTTCCGTCCATTCATCGTCAAAGTCGTCTTCCATATGATTGCCAGAAGGGACCTGGGGCAGTATGGGGTATGTGCTCGAGGTGACCGAGTTCGTGGCGGCTAATGGTAGAGGCTGAGCAGCTAAAACACCAAAAATAAGTAGATATACCTCTATTATACAATCGCAATAATCAATTTTCACTAATTTCTTTATTCTTAAAATACAGTAAAAAACAAAATTTCAAAATAAACTCACGTGCTTCATCTGCCCACGGATCGTATGCTGTAGATGCTCCGATGACTGACGGTAGCAGAGGCTTTATAGTGGGAGGCGCAGTAACTGGTGGTTGAGAGTAGCTACCGTAATCCTGTGTAGGTAAGACTGGTGGAGGTGCTTGTGGAGGTAATGACGACTGAAAGTTAATCAAATTTAAAAACAAAACATAAAATCCATGAGCTTTTAATAAATAATATCTAATCTTGTCTTATCGTGCCTTTTTGACTGGAGAATCAGATGCCGAAAGAGATATTCTGACACAAGAAGACTTTGGCCTTTCAATGACTTCAGATTCCTCAATACATGCTTCTAACAACGGCGACTTTCTAGGTATCAACGCTTTTTGTTCAGCATTAGAAGGTAGAGCAGTGGGATCAAAGGTAAGACAAGTATGGCGTCTTCTCAGTTGAGCCCTCTTCTCTTGCAAAGTCTTGTCATTGACAGCTTTGCGAATACCAGAAGAAAACAACATGTCGACAGTAACTAGTTTTAGGTCAACAAAAAAACTTTTAACTATTAGAAGACCTCAATATGTTTATAAAAATCAGTATAATACTGTAGAAGTTAATTCACAACCAAGCGCGTTACTGGGACTATTTCAACAAGTACTTGGAGAGTATCACAATATCTCAAATACAATCGACCGTATCCGGCGGAAGAAATAGAGTCAGTTTAAGCACAGAAACTCGAATTAAGTATCTGGAAGACGGATAAAGTAAATCAACTTACCGTCGCAGTAACTCGGGTAACATAAGACTCGGGGAACAGTCCGACCTTCCCTTTGGCATTCTTTCCTTCCATCCAGCCGCCATCAATGTTCTGAAAATGCTATAAGTACCACAGAAAACTCAAATTTTTAGTTATAAAATTCATAATTACCTAGTCAAAACGTAATCAAAAGAAAGAAAACATTGACTCAAATAATAATTCAAAAACTTACATCTCTGATAACCATTAACATCTCGCCCTCTTTGATAGTCAACTCTCCACTGCCCGGCTGGGCGTCAAAGTCATAGCAGGCCTTTACCTGATTCGTGGCCATGACGCCCTGGAATCATACCAAATATAAAAACGTAAATTACTTTACATAAACAACTTCAAAAAACTCGTAAAAGTGTGTCAATTTATCACTCACGCTCACTTAATTTTAAAATTTATCACTCACGATCACTTAATTTTAAAAAAAATTTAAAATTCTACGCACTTTTGGACCAAAACAACAAGATGAATACCTTTAAACAACAAATACAGAAAATACGTAAAATATGACATGAAATAACCGAATCTTAACATAGGATAACGACGTCGTATCTGTGGTAAAACACAAAACGATATTCAGAAAAGTTTCGGATTCTGTTTTTGAGAGACGGCTTCCTCTTTCCTTCTTTAAAATTCGAAAAATCGAAGACGACCCGACCTCAACGGCCCCACATGAGGGCCTCAGCCCTTCAGGCGCGTCCTTATAACAAAATTAAATGCCCTGATTGTAGAATGTTACAATCGAAACAACAATATTACACTCAAAATAACAATGGTCAAACAACCTTAATATTATAAGGAAAAGTCCGGAAAAACATGCGTGAACTTGAGAAAAGGCTTTCGCTCAAGACTCTCGAGAAAGTCTTTTATAAAATGCCAATACTATTTGAAAAGTAACAATGATACCAAAAGAATATATTTAAATATTAGAAAACAATATCGAGAAGACGGCAGTCGAAAACAAAAGAGATATAACTATAAATTCAAGTATAAAGGCTTGGATGATGGTAAGAGTTATCCAAATGCCGTGAAAATGTAAGAAAAAGATGCTCGAAAAATAGAGAATAATATCTTTGATTTATGACACTTCGCCACAAAAAGACAATGCTAAAACAACGAAAAAACAAATTAATTTCGGACAAAAATTGTCAAAATTGAAAAGTTTTTCGTGTTTTTTAATTTATACATTGCAGATAGTATAGCTTTTCATACGTGTAACAAATTTCTAGGTAATAAACTTGCCTAACTATAATCATAATATATTCCTCATAAACAATTTCCATTACTCTGAAAGTCTCGCGGCCTTATAACGTGCGTGATATAATAATATACGTACATATTTAAAATCGGACATTTTTGTTTTTATCCACAAATCTCTTTCACGCGGACTTTTTACGTGCTGTCTTTGCACGGCTCTCAGCATTTAAGTAGTGCATCGTACTGGGAAGGGAAAAGTTATAAAAAAGAGGTGGGTTACGCCCTTAGGGGAAAAGGGTTGAGATTGGAAGACGGGAAGAAAGCCCAGAAGAAACCAACTTGGCCCCCGATGGCGTTCCGGAACCCGATTTAAATCATTTTAAATGAGTAAGCGAATTATAGTTGTAATGGCTACTGTTTCTGGTTATCGGTTTACGAAAGGATGGATAATATAACACGGATGAGTAATATAAATTTATGTAAATCGTTGTTCAAAACACAGTTTTTATTGAAAGTATAAGTGGTTGTGATATCAATAGCATCATAATACAAAAGACATTGTTTTATACACTGAAATGGCAATACTTACAAACTTTGGAAGATGTCTGACAAACAAAGATGATATTGTAGAAGGCGCTACCGAGATTTGTGAGATCTGTTGTTGAACAAAGACTAAATTAACAATAAAAAGAATAACTTGTTTGAGAATGGAAGAGAGTTTCTCCGTTCGATTTTATGTCTCGTGATTCATCCGCGCTCTCGTTCCGCCGTGCTCTCTCGCCCTCAAGTCCACGTCCCTTTATTTATACTAAAACAATATTTATTTTGATAATATGGTCATACGGCTGGTCATGACATTAGTCTAGCATGTCCAACACCACGCTCCCCACGTGGGATTCGAGTCGTTGCCTGCGGCGATTCTGTTTCAGCCCACTTTCTATTGTTAAACTGCGCTCGGGTTGGTATATGCCCCATTGTTGGGGTGATCCTAAAGGAGGAGCTTACTAGTTTATACACCAAAATATCTTAATAATAAAAAGAGTTATTATGTGATATAAAATATTATTTTAAACACAAATAGTATTAACATAGTTCTTTTAACAAGTTAAATGATACTGTAATCAAATCAACAGAATACTCACCCGACCCAAATAATAAGAAGAGAGCACCACTAAACAAGGTAGACAAGGCCATAAAGTAGAACACCATCCTCCACTCTTGCATTGAACCAGTCTTGTTGAAGTAGGATATCGTTAACGGAGTGATTAATCGGCCGAGGTTGCCTGCTACCATTGATATGGATGTCAGTGTGCCTGTATATAAGGGTGCCAATGACAATAGACTAGTGTAGAATCCACTAATGGCTGTGCTGAAGCACATGGTCATGGCACAAAACAACGTCAGCGAGATGAAAGGGGTGCGACAATCAGCTACGGCTGCCAATGTGATGAATATGATTCCCACTGAGACACTGGCTTAAATATATCACTGCATATATATTAATATATATATAGTTTTTATTGCTTAAATTTTCAAATTAGCGAAGAGGTAACATTCTCATGATTTTGATATAAGCTTAACTTACAGAACCCTTGAGAGATTTTGCAAGCTGCTGTTGAAGATAGCCGTTTCTGTTTGAGTTTGTCCATTACAATACTCCACAGAAACTTTACGATGAGCATTGACACATTAGGAGCTGCACTGAAGAATCCATTCTGAAATTGAGATAATATATTATCATTCAATGTATCATTACTTAACAAAGTTATATTCTATTTGTTACCTACTTGAATCATGCCAAGATACAGTACTTGTTTAAAGAACAAAGGTAGATATGCTTGCGTTAATACTACCAACATGTTTGCTGTAAATGTGCACAGTAACAATGACCACAGAGGTAAAGATGTTGCTATAGCCCAATATGGTACTTTTAGAGGTGAATCCTATAATTTTACATGCTATCACGGTAAAATATTATAGTAGTTTGTAACAGGTACATCATTGATAAAAATATAAAAATATGTTATGTAATATAAATAGTCTTAAGACCCACATCATCAATGGTACTACGATCTGATGCCAACTTCCTGTTCAGATATTGCCGTTCAGCCGTCGTCATGACCTTACATGTAGTAGGAGTGTCAGTTACAGTAAACATCCACAACAATATCCAGACGATACCCATAACACCTAAAATGTTAACTATAATTTTAAAATTGACTTTAAATGTTTTGTGAAATTTAGGCTGAAACCGACTTTATCATTAGTTTACAATGAAGTTTGTTAGAAGATGTGCTAGTAATGTTAACGTACCACTAACATAAAATATAGAAGGCCATTTGTAGCTACTGGTGCACAAGACGGCAGCTAATGGAGCTCCAAAGAACCCGGCCATCTGACTTCCGGTAGTATAAACAGAAGCGGCCGTACTCATTTCGTCGGCCGGAATCCATTGGCTGACCATTTTGTTGATGGATGGCAAGATAAAGCCCTGAATTAAGGCTGTCTGATAAACACAAATTTTGCTTTGATAAAATTGCAATTTTGTACTGATAAGACACAATTCAATGTTATCCTATCAAGTATCAACTATTGTATTACCTCCGCTATTCCCATAAGAAATCGGCTTATAAAGGTTAATTCAAAGTTCTCTCGTGCCAGATACGGTAACACCAACGAGCAGATTGTGCTGATTAGAGCTGACCACATTAACAACCTTTTCGGAGAATATCTGAAACAAAGTACAATCAGGCAAAGGTTTACTGATTAAAGTACAGTAAACAGTTGAGTGCAAAAATGTTAAAAATAAACAATAAAAGAATTATTGTTTGAGATATAAAGGTTACTTTAATTTTTATTCATTCTAAAATACAAAACTAGAATAGTAAATTATAAATATCTTTTTGTATCTTTACACTATTTTAACTACCTGTCAGCCATTACGCCAGCGGGTATTAAAGACACAATGGAGCCGTAGAACGAAGCCGAGAAAAGCCAGGCTTGGGTCGAAGCATCCCAGTCAAGATCTCCCTAAAAATACAACTGATTACCGTAACATTACTAAAAAACAGCATTTTTACTATACTTTTTACTATTTTTACACTGCAGATTGATAAAACCAGAAGAATGTTTAGACTACAAGGATAATCAATGAGTCAAAAACCATCGAGCAAGTTAAAATTAATGGATTCTATATACTTTTCGACCACAAACCCGTAAAACCTACACCGTAATCTCTCTCCACACTACCACCATCAATATAAACTGCCTGGCAATCTTTATTATCATCAGACAATAAGATAGCGTGATCTTCTTTATGACTAACACTTGTTACTACAGAACTGTTGACCATACAAGTGACAGCAACCCCAAGATTAGTACGTTGATATACCATGACAAAGTATCCCAACATAATCAATAGAAGAAAGTGAAAGCGTCGAGACATTGGATGAAAGACACCTGAAAACGAAACACTAAAGAAATCTCTAGTATCTCTATAAAAGTAAGAAGCTACTCCACAAAAGATATACTTCCTTACTAAGATACGGTAACTTCTGAGGGATTTTGAAGGGCGACTTGAGCAACCCCTGATTCGTCATTGTTTTGGAGGTAAGCTGCTTGAGAACTTAATTTTGCAGAGAATAATAGATTGATAAGTGAGTGTCAGTTCAGAAAGCAGAGTGGAAATAAAAGTTGGTTCTTATCACAAATACCAACATAAAATTGAGTAGGGAATGTGTGAAAGAGATCATCACAGCTTAATTGTACGATTCTTAACACTACTATCACCTCAAGTACTATTTGCATAATAATATAATACTGATGTCTAACAACTGTTTGGTTCGTATATTATATAGGCAGATAGTTGTTGTGATAGGAGCTTATCTCACCATTTGTAAGTGTTAAAACCTTTAAGAACCCAATCATCAGATGGTTTCTATCAATCTTATTACAGTGACATAACAGACATTTGTGTGTTTAACAAATGTTCAGAGATAATACAACACTTTCTTTACATTATATTGATATAAATTAGCATAATTACATCGTTTAAAGCATTTTTTGAATTTTCTCTAATTCTGTTACGGTATTCTGGAACGAATTTGATGCTGACAGATTTTGTAAGAGTTTCTGTGATTCCTCGAAGGTCTGACTCAGATTCTCGGCGTTTCTCAGCATATCTTCAGCTAGAATGATACACATTAGTACCTTACACTACAACCTTGCAATTCTTACAAAAATTATAGTCAATTAACCTTTCGATACAACAATAGTCTATTTCACTTTTCACATTTACTTACCATGCTCTGACAACTTTGCACATCGTCGCAGGTGTTTTAGCAGCTGAGGAAGTACCTGGCACTCCGTATTCCATTTCTGTAGAATATCGTGCAGCTCGTTTACCTTCTGATGACTTTCGTTCGCAGAATTCTTGTTGAACTCTTGAAGTTGCGTCAAAGTAGCCGTCAGTTCAGTGTTGATCTCAGCTTTACTCTGAGTTGTGAAGCTCTCCAGACGTACCAGCAGTTCTTCGACCATTAGCGACAACGGTCTTAGAAAAGCATTAGAATTGTTTGTATCAGCTCCTAATCTGGTTATGATGCGAGAAACACGTTCAGAAAGTAAAGCGATGTCTGATGGCCCAACGGTCTCTTCAGGAAGTTGTTTCCTGAAAGAACTACAGTAATAAAATCAACAATTTAAAACATAAATCTAAAATAACTCACAACATACGAGACAACTAACCTTTGTTTCGCTTCTGATTCATATGCCGTTACCGTCTTGTTCATGTTCAGCTTGGCATTTTCTACGAGTTTCTTTAGTGAGTTTAGATGCTCACTTGTAATTTCAAAATCCGAATTCTAAAGTTGTAGTATTTAGCATACGTTTATCATGACCGACACTTTACTGATTAAACCTTCTTACAGTAATTTTAAAATACTTACAGTTTCCAACTCCTTTTCCAGCTCTAATACCTCTTCTTCAAGCTCGGACAATCTTTGTGATGCTGGCTTAGATGTCAGAATACTGTCAGAGGGATAAGACTGATACCCTTTCTCTAAAAACTTATTTTAAAACAGTCTTTAAATGTTATCAGCTATTAAGATAAAATAGATTTACTTACCACTTTCGTGCAACATTACTCTATTGAACTTCTCCACAAAGTCGGAGAAGTTAGTATCAATATTCTGGACAGAGTCGTCTGGCGACAGATTCATGCGAGGAGAATCATTTGCTACATTACTCACAAACCTCTTCTCTACTACTTCTTTCTCCACCGTAATAGGATCACTTTCGTATACGGTTATTACCGGCTTTTTAATTACCATCTGTAACAAAACTTTGTTAAATTTATACAAAACTACCACATATTAACTAACACACATCTATATTAGGTGGCTGAAGCTATTGAATTTAATCGATGTATTCAACAGGCTAATAACCCTTTTACCACCGACCTTCTGATAATAAAAGTAAACAATTTATTGTAAAATCAACAAGATGAAATAACAAGTAACAATAACAGTAAAACAACTACTTCCTCTTCAGTCTCTGCATCTTCTTCTTCTGTATCTCGGACGGTAATGGCTTCAGATGCCTCATTATAGGTCCGACTGTTCTTCTGACAGCCTTCCGTTCTTCAATGTGCTTCTTTTGTTTAGATTCTCGTTTTAAGGATTCTGCAGACTTGCCTTCTGCTGAAACGGTACATTTTTAGTCAAGCAGCTTTAACACCAACTTAATGTTTCCTTCTTAAAACTTACGCTCTAACGTAAATGTCATCGATTTGCCACCAAATGGCGTGGATTCCACTGTATCGTCCTTAAGAGTCTTACCCATCAGCTTCTTCTTGTCCCTCATAGTTCCAGAAACCTATAATTTTTTGACTTTATTTTGTTCAAAACAGTTATTAGATTATGAGTAACAATTTCATAGTAAAACCTACCCTAGCAAATGCATCTTCTTCATCTTCATTAGAAACGAAAGCCTTAAAATCTCTACTCGAATCAAGTCCCACAAATTTGAAGCTTTTAGGTTTTCTTTCTCGTTCCAATTCCTGTTGTAGCTCTTTCTCCATTTCATATTCTCTTCTTCTAGCTTCTCTTTCATTTTCGCTATCACCAGACTCTTCTTCGTCACTATCTTCGTCTTCTTCACCGTCATCATCGTCGCTTTCGTCTTCAGACACATCAACATCCTCCATAAGATCAGTTGGAATTCTATTCTTATTCTTCTCTTCCTAAAAGGTATTTTTTACAACATTGTGGTTTATAAAATGCATTGGAACGCACAGAATTGTTTTAAATTTACAGATACCTACCTGTTGATCGTAATCCATTTCGATGGCCAGTTCTGGAGCCTCTTCCTCATCAGAATCCTCAGCTCGTCCTATCGTCTTCTCCTTTTGCTTGTTAAGTTTGTCAACAATCTGAGCATAATGTTCACTGTCCTTGTCAACTTCAAAGTCTGGGTTTGCAAACAAATTCTTGAATCTGTCATCGTTCAGCAATTCTTGTGCCATTTTGGTCTAAAAAGCGAGGTTAAAACAAGAATATATGTTACTCTATAAAAACATTTAGATATTAGTAGTACAACATAGTACAAGTAAAACAGCTCTGCATACCTTCTTCTTCTTTCCTGATCCCAGGTCTAGCTCCATCTGAAGTTTCGAAGCCAGCTCTTTGTTAACTTTAGGCAACTTGGACTTCTTTGTTAACGCATTCAACTCTCTTTCTTCGTCCAACTTCTCTTGTATCTAAATTTATATATTACAAACAAAAATTATAATGATACAAAGATACGTTCGAAAGTCCTAATTAAATACTTAAACAAATTACCTTTCTGTTCTTATAACTATCAAAAGCAAATGGTTGTGTCAATGTCTTGGCCTTGTTGTACAGCCTGACGTCAATAAAGTACCCATGCATGTAAGCTCTGAGCAAATTGGATCCTATCAAGTTGCTCAACCCAACTTCATCCAACTGCTCTTTTGTCACAAACTTGTAATCATCGTACACAACCGGAGCTTCCGTCTCTTCCAACTCTTCAGTAATGTTATCCAAGTAATGACACCATTTAGGAGCCAATCCAAGAGCAGGAACAAAGTACTGTAACATCTTAGGGGTATCGTTAGCAAAGAACAGAAGACCAGAATCTGGGTACCGAACAAACTGATTCAGTTGAGTGTTGGGTTCAATGGCAGTATAAGCTTTGCCACTTTTGGCGTTCCAAACCTTCAATGCTCTGCTGTCCATACTTAAGACTAGATCTTTCTCAACGTCAAACTCAATAGACTTTATAGGCAAGCCAAAGTTGTGATTCTTCACAAGTTTCGGCTGCTTTGCTCGGATGTCGTACATTAATACCTAAAAATAAAATATTTTTAAATTTATTAATGTCTAAAAATACATAATTGCTAAAAAAATTTAAGAAGATATGAATTTATTATATGAAAGCTGCATACAACTAATTTAACTTACGTGACCAGTACTCATGCCCACAGCTAAATTTAGGGGATCTTTAAAGTTGATCGAAGTTACTTCTGGCATTCTAAACATAAGATTAAAGAAAATATTTCTATAACTTACACATCAGGCAACAAGGACTCTTCCTGAAGTTGTTGTAATGCACAGTTCAATATTCCAACTCTGTTTTTATCGCGATGATCCCAGGCTTCGACCGTGGCATTAGATCCGCCAGTGGCAAATAACTGATGATACTTGTTAAATGTGCAACAATTCAAAGTATCTGATTCTGTTGCCAGAGAACTCAAAAAACAGCCTTGCTCCAAATTCAAACGAAAAATTTCGTTTCTGAAAAAAGTATAATAGAATACAATCAAAACGTAAAACGTACACTAAAATGTAAAGGAAGCTAAAACATTAACAGATGGTAAATAACCTACCCTCCTCCAACCATGTATAAATCACTAGCTTCATTGCAAAAAGCCATGTCTCTGCCAACTTTAGGTATCCTCAATCTAAAATACCGTCCGAATCTAGCGTGGAACTCGACCCATCGTTCAGTCTGTAGCATTGCCACTTTAGAGTAGTCTTCTGTTAAAGGCATCAGCTTAACCACCTCAGCATCCAAACCTCTCTCAAACTTCAAAGACAAATCATTAACATCATAACACTTTAGTGTGGGTTTATATGTTCCGGCTGCGTAGATGTACTGCCCGTCATTTGTAATACATATAGAATTAGATACACAAGGCATCTCAAAGTCTTGAATCAGCTGTATTCTTCTTCGTATGTCAATGTCTTTCTTTTCCAGATTTCTTCTTTTCTTCTCTGATATCCACTAAACACAAACCTTTGGTAAAATAATAATAAACTTACTTGTGGCAGAGATTTCCCAGCACTCAGGTTGTAAATTTTGACATCATTAGATTTAGAAACCTGCATTTTAAAATTTAACAAATATTAACTGAAAATAAAAATAGTATTTATCTGATGAGTCAAATAATAAAAAGCCGTTTAACAGGAAAAGCCAGTTTATTTTTCAGAAATTGTAAATTTTAGAGAAAGACCGCCGTATAAAATAACTGTTGCAGTCTGCAACGTCCTGCCTATTTATTTTTATCAAGCGGGCGCAGTTCGAACACATTAAACGTTGCGAGTCCCAAAGCGAAAACAAAATCAATTCAGGGCTTTTCTTATGTTCAGACGCGCACCTTTTCCCGCTTTTTGTTTCGTTTATTTTCTATGGATTTTTTGACAATTTATTTTTCGCGAAAAATATTGTTTTACATTTAAAAAGTAAAGCTTTTCAGAAATGAACGGTTCTGATACAATAGAGCCAGTGGCCGTCCAGGTACGGCAAATTGTTATCGATGAAGATGAGCCTTTGCATAATATTGAATCTCCAGTAAAAATTGTTCCTCATGATGTAAGTTATTTTACTTGAGGTGTTTTTCTATTTATTAATTTAGGTGTTAAGAATGTTTCTTGTTATTTTAAATGTTTTTATTGTTTAACTAATGGAATTATTTAGGATCATGATTACGGAAGTGCTTCTGGAGCTAGATATAATTCTGCCTTGGAATATTATGGAGATGGACAGAATAATGAAACATTTCCTTTGTTGGAAGGTTTAGGTAAGAATCAAGATTAATTTTTAGTTCTTTCTTTAGGCGATAAAGAGTTTTCTTCTTCACCAGTCAAAAGCGAACCAAGACCTCAGTTTATTCAACAACCTCATCGTCCGGCTGCTGAACACTACGCAAATATAAAGACAGTTGGGTTCGGAAGTACCAATAGAGTTGGGGGTGAGTTTTTTGAGAATAAAGATAAATATGGTTGGCAAAGGAAAGATTTTTGTTATTTTCTTAACTGATTTTATATTTTTAGGTAGAACACAAGTTTTGATGCAGAGTCGGCCACGGTCAGCATACACGATTCCTCAAAGGTATGTCCAACTTCATATAAATTATTTTTAAAGCTTTAGAATCAGACCAGAAGCAACGACTCCGGTTCTCAGCTATGCTAGTTCAGTTTCTCGAATTGTCAGGGCTCCCACAGGTATGGAAACACCTGTTCAACGAAGTACTCCAAACGTTTTGCGACAAGCTGTAGTTCGTCCTCGAACTCCGGCTTCAGTACGGCCAGCAAGACCACCTAAACCGATTATTCAAGCTCCTCTGAGTCCCGAAAGTGGTTTGATGAATGTCTTAGACGAAGAAGACGCTCAGAATCAAAAATTCTTTAGCCAACACGCTAAAATGGGAAACAACTTCACTCAGATGAAGCCGATTGTATCTTCTGTGGCATCAGGGTCTAGCTTGTCGATTTCTCCACAAAAACAATATTTGTCACCTGATAGTCTGAATAAAGCTAGAGGTCGTGGAAGACCGTCGAATGCAGTAAGCTAACTTATATTAAGCACCCTTTTAAATGTTAAGAAATACTGCTAATACTTACTTTCCTTCAGGAAAAGGCTTTGCAACAGCAGAAGAACACCAGTCCTGACAAAAACAAACTGGAAAGACTTGCTGAAATTGCTCAGCAACAAGCAACTGTTTCATTGCCAAAGCCACAAATGGGTAAGTTTATTTTTCTTATGAATTTTTATTTGTAAATTACTTTTGTTTATTTTTTATTGGTTTAGACGTACCTTCTTCTGAAAAATCTCAACCAAAGCCAGTGTTGGAAACAGTGGCTACAGAAAACAAAAAAGAAGCGCCCCCACAACATAAACTATTTAAGAAGTTGGTGGCGTCATCACCAAAGAAGGAAGAAAAGGTGAAAGCTTATGAATCTGACAAGGAAGAGGATGAAGTGGAAGGCGTTGATTATATTACAAGATGTTTGTGTGACATGAAGCATAACGATGAATTTATGGTACAATGTGACCAATGCAAGGCTTGGGTGCATGTGGATTGTTTTGGAGGTGAAGATGTTGTTGACACAGAAAGCAAATTCTTTTGTCACAAGTGTGACACCAGCCGGATTAATCCTCTGACATTGGAAGAAGCTAAGAGATTACAGCTTCACAAACTGGCCATGTTACAGAAGAATAGAAAGAAATCTAAGGAGAAAGAAAAACGCACGGTAAGATTTGTTTTTGCCTCAGCAATTATTATGTCAAAGATGTTTTAAAACTACTGATTTAGATCTCTCCATTACCGCAGAAGAAACATCACAAACTGATCAAGAAGCACGTTCAAAAGGAGAAGGAAAATACTTACTCGAGAAGTGTTCGGAGCGATATTGGTGAAGGAAAGATCTCTGAAGGAGATCTTGGCACGTTCGTACAGTTAAAGTCAGTTGGCGATCGAAGATGTCGGAATACATTGGTCGGAAAAGGAATAACTGGTTTGATGACTACTGAGAATGTGAAAAAAGGAGAACCACTGATTGAATTTAAAGGACATTTCTGTTTCGTTGATGAAGACAAAGTCCACGAGCGTTTGAGAGATCCAAAATTGTTTTATCACAGCGTTGTGTACAGGTAAGACTGTCTTATTTATTTCTAACGTTAATTTAGTGGCCTTGGATTAAATGCCAACCCGATTTTCGTGGATTCATCAAAATCTGGAACGGCAGCGAACGAAGCTCGCAGGTCATGTAGACCAAATGCTAAGCTTTCTCATTGTGTTATCGAAAACCGACTAGTCTTGTTTTTGGTAGCTGCTGAGGATATCGATGAAACTTCTGAAGTAAGTTATATAGACTTTCACCGTAAAATAATTTAGTTTTTTTGAGTTAGAACATGTATTGTTGAATTTTAAATAAGACACTTGCAACTTATATTTTAGGTAACATTGCCTTTTGATAACGAAGAACGGGGAAATCCTCCTTTCCAACTTGATTGTGCTTGTAAAACAGATTATGCTTACATGTCAGATGAACACAAATGTCTTATTGAAGATTACAATCGCAAAGTTGTAAAAGGCGAATTTGATGTTCGAACTGAACCGATTTCCAAAAAACGAACAGTGTCTCCGGAGAAACCAAGTTCGCCTAAAAATGTTAGAAAGTCGCCTTATAAAACAGAAGTCAGAAGTCCTAAACCAGAAGTTAAAACTTCAAAGACAGCACAAGTAAAGAGTCCCAGGCATGAAATTAGAAGTCCTAGAAGAGAAGAACCAGTTCAACCAAAAGAAGCTTCAAAGGAGAAGGTGGTACTGGATTCTCAGCCGGAAGAACCATCGACTTCTAAGGAGAAATTTAGCGAAGAAGAGTAAGATTTCCACACTTTTTCAGTTGCAATTTGAATATTTTTAAAATGAATTTTCAATTTTATCTTGTATTTTCAGGGAAAGTGAAGGCACTCCTCGCAGATCAAACCGGAAACGTGTATCCACAAACGAACGTTTGTCTCCCAAACCTGATGCTAAACTTCCAAAGCTTACGAAACCTCAGAGCGTTGACTTTGACGAAAGTGTGGACAACAAAGGAGTAGTATCTGTAAGTGTTTGATTCTTTTCTGAACGCTTACTTGCTTATCGGTTGTGTTTCACATATGTATAATTTTAGCTGCGAGTGCAAAAGAAGATTGAACGATTAGAACAAGCTGAACAGAAGCAAGGAAAACGAAGGAAGACGTCTGAGTCGGATTCCAGTAAGATTTCCAAAGGAACACGAAGATCTTTGGCAATGAAACAAGCATCTCTAGCAAAGGTAAGCAGTCGTTGTTATGTTTATCATTTATGTTTAGAAAATGAAGGCAGAAAGCCCGGAAGAAGCCGCTGCCAGTGTCTTGCTTGGATTGTCGAATGCTGACGCTGGATTGTCCGAAAAGAAGAAGACGCAGTTGCTAATTTATTGGAAGAAGTGCATTAAGGAATTGGAGACGGTTGGCCCGTTTTCGACCTTTGATTTCTCGGAAATTCAAAAAATCGCTTCGTCTAAAAAGTCAGTAAGCTAACAACTTACAAGTTTCACCTGTATTTATAGTTTATATTTGTATTTTACTATTTTCTGGTCTCTTAATCTATATAGTTCATTAAAGTGATGATTAACGTACTTTTTGTCATTTATTTCTATCCTTGCACTTTTATTGCTTCTCTTTCTTTTAAGGAAATCAACTTGTCTCACAAATCTTGAATCCTCTAAGATACTCACGCCGAGTCTCCAGATGTTACAGAAGACTAGTTTTGACAGGTCTTTGCCTCCACCAATCACACAAAATGCACATTGCCCTGTAGGTAGTAAAATAGGACAAAAGACACAGCAACCTGCAATGGATGAAAGTTGCATAACGGACAAAAAGGATAATACGGAGGAGTCTATTATCAAAGAAGGACAATCTCTTGATCAAGAAGGGGATGAAAATGAAGAAAAGAAGCCCGGTGACGGTAAAACTTCCGAAGGTTCTACAAGTGAGAGTGGTAGCACTTCTGCACCAGCACCGTTTGTTGAGCAAAGAGTTGTTACATTTTTTGATGCATTTAAAGATGTCAGTGATGCTGACATCTCGTTTGGATGCGAGACGATGGTCGGTCGGAAGTTCAAGCATGAAAGTCCTGGCAAGTTGACTTTGGATATGTTGATGTCGCCACGGAATCTATCTAGGGTTGATACGCCTCCGAAGTCAGCGCCCCCAATGTTTACCCCAATGTCTGTTTCGAAATCACGGCTAGACACTTTGAAGAAGCAATTGTTTGACGGAGGCAGCTTGGTAGGTAATACCGATAACTTTAAAGAGTTTACTTTTTGCATTTGTACTTATGTTATTGTGATATTAATTAAAGCTATTATTATAGGCAGCGGTTGCTGACACGGGAGCGTCAACTCCATCCGCCCGACCAATTCCACACCCAGAAGTCTTCCGATCTCTTCGAAAACCTAGAACGCCACCGCTACCTACTGACGTAGAAGAAGCTAGTGTCACGAGGAAAGACCGTTCTTCAGACCAGCCAAAGAAGAAGAGGCTCTCTGAAGATCAAATCTTGGCAGCGCTAAATCGTCTGAGGAAGATGACCGTCTTTGACCGAGTGAAGCACCAGTTCTTCAAAGACCTCAATTGAATGGCGACTCGGTTTTCGCATGTACATATGTTATAGTGTTGACTAGCATTGTTTTATTTTGTTGTCTTATAAATTTCCATTAATATTTAAGGTTATTTTGTGCCTTCGGTAATAAAGGTCTGATATTGAAGTAGTTTTTCGTTGCCTATTCTATTTTGTGCATTTGTATCAGGTTTTGATTCATACCTTGTTCGACTTACCTCTTAAATGCCTTAGATACTTAACGGCACTGGATGCCGAATTCGTATATATTAATTTTTACTTTTGTAATAAATACATTATTAACGAGCTTTGAGCATCAACGGGTTTAAGTAGCTAGGTTGCATTTGGCTATAGCAGGCTCTTCTTGTGATTCGAGAAGCTTTGGTTGTAATCCGGCATTGGAATCAGGTTGTGTGGTACCCTAAAACAAAACCGTTAATGCTGTAAAGTTAAACAATCCTTTACCTTTGAGGTTCGAACCTGGAAGGAGTGTGAACGGCATACATGTTCTCCTCCACTGAGAAGTCGCCGTCTTCATGGTATCGACTAGCGTTGCTTCTGGCATACAAATGGTTCTGTGTGGGTCGATAGATGTTAGTTCCTGCACGGTAATGAGCGTTGGCTAACCGTGGCTCTGAATGAAGCGAGCTCTGCTTCAACGTGGCTATGTCTTCATCGCTCATCGGCATCTCCAACATCTGAGTTTCGTACTTGTCCCGCTCCATGGTGTTCATGAACATAGCAGTACTGTACTTGGGTAATGGGTACACGTTGGGGTAGGTATGAACATGTCGTCTATGTCTCTTTTTCTGTTTGTAGAAGCAATATGCACATACCAGTATTAGAGCTAGTACAAGTACGCCGAAGGTCAATACAAAACAAACAATAGTAAAATTGCTCCAGTCAACAGTGGCAAAGAAATTGCTTACAAAGCTGGCTGATTGGCCATTGTTCATGACAATGTTGTCGTTGATGTGTGTCATATGGAACCAGGGTTGTAGCTTGCCAATCAACAAATCTTCGGAGCTTCTTTCAAATAGTTTTCTGAAAATGTAAGAAGGTTTGCTGTTTGATTTACCTGAATTCTTGTTTCCTGCAAATCTTATGTGTGGAAGGGTTCTGGGTATACCAATAAAGGTCGATGATATTGTCCTTTCCTTTTACTTTCTCTTCCATCTTCTCTAGTGACACAATACTGCAAGCCCCAGTGAACTGACGAATAGCTTTGACAATATCCTAAAGAGTGACAATTATAAAATTATGTACAAATGCGAGTTATTGATTAATAAAAGACTTGACCCTACCTGTTCGTGAGTTCTAACTTGTTGAGGTTGGGTCCCAGTTAGAGTTATAGCAAATCTGTGTTGGTCCAAAATGGCAGTAACATATACATCAGCACTTCCACACAGTCTGTCGCCAGCTTGTGGAGAGTCGCAAGCCAGAACTTTGAACTCGAAAGAGCTGATCTTGTTGTTCTGAGTCAGCTGAATCATAGACTGCTTCAGAATAATTTCTCCGGAATCCTTATCAACTTGGAAGTACTTTGAATGGACAGAGTTCGGATCAATTTCATAGTGCACGAGGCCAGAAGGCCCTAGATCGGGGTCTTCTGCCTTTACAGCTGCAACTCTGGAGAAGGCAGCCGCAGCAGATGACACTCCAGTAAAGTAGGCCTTCAGAGGTAGATCAGTTGGGAAGATAAAGAACGGAGCGTTGTCGTTCACATCCAGCACGGTGATGGACACCAACGTGTAGTCTGTTTGTGAACCAGCAGTTATCGTGACGTTCAGAAGATACTTCTCAATGGATTCACGATCCAGCTGAGATTGTGTGCGTAGTTCACAGTTACCATCGGCTCCAGGAGAGATGCTGAAAGCTTGACGGTAGTTTCCGGATACTATAGCACACATTATGAATCTGCTATCCTTGGGTTTGTTGATGACTGGTAACAACATCACGAAATGAGGTGCTTTCACACTTTCTACCAAAGAAGCACTGAAAGGAGTAACATGATCAAATAGATACATTTAAGATCGAAAGATGCTTAGAAATGTTGCGAATCTTACGTGTAATTCCTTTGAGTAAACTGGCACGCATCTGGTTTTGGCTTTGACATTCCGTCGACCGGTGGAATGACTTCGGTTTGGGATTCCTCTACACTTATAACAACATTGGTCTGAGTGGACTGTGGTAGCTCTCCTTCGTCTTGTGCTTCTACCACAACCTTTACTTTCGTCCCTTTGAGGTCAGTAGCCGGTTTGTTGAGCGTGATTAAACCGCTTTGAGCGTTCACACTGATCAGACCTTCTCCATCCTGTCCTTTCACCATTCTGTAGTGGATTCTGTTGTTGGGATCGTCGCGGTCTTGGTCGAATGCTGTCACTTGACCAATCACAGTGCCCGGTTCTGTGTTATCAGTGATTGTGAAAGCGTAGTTGTTTGTTTCAAAGTTGGGTATCCAATCGTTAACATCCAGAACCTTGACGGTCACGGTGATAGAGTGAGCCAGTAGCGGATCCATCGGCATATTCTGAGCTTCTTGAGTGGAGATTAGTAGCTGATATTCTTGGTCAGTTTCGGCATCCAAAGGCTTCAGAAGCGTCAGTTTTCCAGTATACGATGAGATGGAAAAGATGTCGGAATCCCCTTCGATCATGACATAAGTGATTGGGCCGGGCTGTTCATCCGGGTAATGGGCTTCTATCGTGGCTAACTCGAGGTCGCTATCGTTTTCCTCTACCATCACACTTAGTACTGGTGCTGTAAAAACTGGTGCCAATCTGGGTGGTGCAGTTGGAGGTGTTGCTTCTGTAACTACTGTTTGTGTTGAAGTTGCGACAACTTTTGTTGTTAGTAGCTGAGTCTGTTTCCTGGCTGGTGGTTTTACAGTACTTGTTGTTGTAGCTACTGTAGTGGTGGTAGTTATTCGAGTAGTTGTCGTGGTGGGAACCGTAGTGACAACCGTCTGCGGAGATAAAGTTGCTCTAGTCATCATGAACCCAGTCTCAATTGCTGGCATCACTAGGTGTGCTGTGTAGTTTGAGAACGGTAGATTCTCTCCAAAGTTTGGAGGTAATGTAGCTCGACTAAAGAACATTGGAGAGGTACTGTCGCTTTCCATTGATTGTGCTGTAGTAACTGAACCACTAATCGAAATCTGAACCTTTACTGTGGTCTCTAGAGGTGGTTGTCCGTGGTCAGAAGCTACGACAAAGATTTCGGTATCGCTTAAGTGTTCAGAAGTAAAGGCACCGTTGACCCGGATCACCCCACGACTGTCAATCTTGAACAGCTTGTCTGCCGGAGAGAGGATTCTGTAGCCTACTTTCCCGTTATCATCTTTGTCTACATCGGTGGCCTTTACTCTGCCAACTTCTAGGTTGGCTGGGAATCCAGTATGTTCGTTGAGTTTGACGTTGAAGGTAAAGGGCTGGACTCCTTCGAACTCGGGAGCATTGTCGTTGGCATCCTGAAGAAAAAGAATATTAAGCATGAAAATAATTACATAAACTAATATTACTTAAGCAAGCTTTGAAACTTTTACTATGCTTTTTTAATTCGTTAAAATTACTGTAACTTACGGTAATGACAACTTGTAACAACGTCCAGTACAAAGACTGGTCTGGCTGTTTGGATCTGGCCTCGATTTGGAGTGTGTAGAGGTCGATCTTCTCCCTATCAAATTCTTGAGTTGTAGTCACGGCACCGCTGAAAACAAAAGTTTAGTTTAACGATTACTGTAGCATTTGACAAACTACCTCAACTTAACATCTCGTTTGTGGCTCATAAATGAATTTACATTATTTGTAACTTACGTGGTTTGATCGATAACAAACTTTCCGGCCTCGTTACCTTCGCTGATTTTAAAATACACATGCTGGCGGGTTTCAGCATCCTGAATCAAAAGATACAATACAGAATGAAAACACAGTATAAAAATAATAAGGTTGGCAAGAAATACGGTATAATGTTATTGTAACAACTTTTGAAAAACTTACTCCTAACACCGCCACGATCGAATGTGGTGGAGTAGCCTCATTTAACTCTGTCAGAATGGTCTGAACTTGAGAAGAGACCGGCTTCACGGTTGTTTGAGGAGGAAAAGGAGTAAAGGTAGCTATTGGGAGTAACGGACTGCTAGTCTTCTCCACGGTCTTCAGAGGAAACTGAGGAATTGGTTGTTGCATTGCCGGCATTCTGTTCTGTTGTCCTATTAAAGAGGGAAGCATTGTGTTGGAGCCGTGGTTAAAGGCAGCCGGATTCAAAGCTGAGTTTACATTTGGCGTCACGGCCGGCTTTGGCATGGCTGGATTCAACGGCGAGATCTTTGTAGGTAATGCCAACACCAACAATGTGGTTCTTCCGCTCAACCCATCGCCATCTTGAGCTTCCACTGTAACACGATACCGTGTTCCGGCAGCAAGGCGTCCAACTGCCATGAGAACGTTGGTGTTGGAATCATAAACAAAGTTGGCTGCTGCTCCGTCACTGACTTCAACAATCTTATAGGTCAGCCGCCCGAATCTTCCAGAATCCAAATCGATCGCCTTCAGCTTCGCAACGTACCGTTCCATGGGTTCATCGGCAGAAACATTGGCGAAGTAGACCGGCTGTTCAAAGAACGGCGAGTTATCGTTCACGTCCATGACGTGAATGGTCAATGCGATGGGATCCGAACTTCTTAGAGGCTCAGTCTCAACCTCACGAGCCTGAATCTGGAGTTGGAATGTGGAAGAGTTGGAGTCGGCGTCGAGGCCTTCAGCGTTGACGTAAAGGAAGCCACGCTGATCGACGGCGAACTTCTCGGCGCCGAACCCGTTGATTACGTACTGGTAAATGGCGGGCATCATACCGGGCTTCTAAAATTGTTATTTTATACATACTTTCAAAAAATGGTATGTCATTAAAGAAACTGATAACAGTAGCAAAAGCAACACTATTAAACATCAAAAGCTTACTAAGTCCTGATCCTCCACCAGAATCTGTAAACTCTCAGCCCTCATCGACGGTGTTATCCTGACTGTAGTACCAATAGGAGCATTCTCAGGGATGTAGCCTTCTCTCGACTTGACCCGTAGCACTGGAGGGAACAGCGACGGTCGTGCTGAAGACGGTAGGGCATGGTAACGGAGATTCTGAGCGCTTTCGCTTAACGAGATCAAAAGAACAGTGTAGAGGAGAAGGGAATTAATTTGTATCGTCCAAGGCATTATTGACCGGTCGATTCGAAACCAGTAATCAAAGCGTTGCGGTTCAGGTCATCGAATCACCTGAAACTTGAGTAAAAAGTGGTTGAACGCGCCAAGTCGCCTTCAGCTGGGTCGGGGCCCTGTTTGCGCAGCGGATCGCCAAAAGAGAGCAAAGTGGCCTCAGGGGTCTTAGACCGCTGGTCTTGAACGGTCATTCATTTCAAGTAATATAAAGACGGCTTAGGTAAGGGAAGGAGCAATCAGGAAATATAATAAGTGAGTACAATAGAAAGTAATAAAGATAAATACACATAGTAATAATAAAAAAAGACATATTTTATATATATATCATTATAATACACATAGAAAATTAAATTGTTGGTGAGAACATTTAATTTCTACAGTACTATAAGTAATCATTTACGTAAAGTTTTATTTGTAATTTTTTTTGACAAACTAACAATTGTAAATGTGATTCTAATTTTGAAAAAAGTATGACAGAAAATAATTACTTATAATTATAAAAAATTTAAATGAAAAAAAATTAAAACCTCACAGTTTAATACTAGTTCAAAAAGGTACAACTTGACAGAAAAGTCACTTCAAAACCAGTGTTAAAAGCTTTCTTACTATACAGTATCTAAACAACGTACTACCCCACAAATAAAATCCCAACCCGAATCTCTTTAATACTCTTACCTATAATTAATAACTCAAAGCTGTCAAGCAACAAAGCAAACTGGTTAAAAACCGTGACGCGAACAAAACCTTAACAATTGTACGCGACGTAACGAAAGAAAAGATGGGATACTAAGTAAACTTGATAGCAAGCTCAAGTGGCAGCAAACAAATCTCGAGAGAATGACCGCTCGGCCAATTCAAGCTGGCCGCAAGAAGTCGCTTGGGGTCGAAGGTGAAGGTAAGCCGGATGATCGGACTCGTTTACAATGCTCGAACGTGACCACATTAGTTTAAAAGGCTTATCAGCTCATGCAGGAAGCTGAGGATGCTGATTTCGGGTATCAGTTTACAAGATACCAGATTAAACGGTAACGAGGGACAGTAAAATGAAACTTTAAATTAATTAAACAGTCGAAATGATAAGACAAGCAATACACTGTGATAAGACAAGCTATGATATCTATTACAAACCGATTATAGTTACTGTTAACCATAAGCGGTAGCATGCAGGATTCTATTTCCCTGTCTTCAGAATCCCCGATTATTAGAGACAGCCGAAGACGGACCTCGCATTCCTTTAATTCAGGGACCGGACAAATACAAAACGAGCTCCCGAACCACCTCATGAACTGTAAGCCTTGATTCACGAGACCAGAAACATAGTTTCGAGTGAACCTGCTAACACATTACATTATACTGGGTCAAACGTTATATTGTAGTAGGTCGGAAATAAAATTCTTTAAAAAATATAAACAATCACAAATAAGTTGTTACCACAATGGTTAAAATGCATACTTACATCTTTTTGCAAACACTTTTGTCCATTTACGGACGGTTTCCTTCTCAAACATTGTTCCACATCACAATAAAGGCATTCGGACAATGTTTTTCGAATATTTCTTTGCGATTCTCTTATTCATATCTCTATTTTGCTTCTTCTTTAACAAATCTGATGTTACAACTACAATACCACAAGAGCTCAAGTCTTTTGAAGTCAAATACCTTGTTGTATATGTCGTGGCAATCAGTGCAGATTGGTTACAAGGTCGGTTGTGCAAGTTCTGCTCAAACTTTAAACTTATAATAGATAAAGCTAGCTTTAGGTAACAATTGGGTTACTTCAAAGCTAATTTCAATGTTTTTTGGTATAAAACTGCAGCTGCAGGCACAGCCTAACAATTCCAAAAACAGTTGTTTTCGACAAGATCTTGTTGAGCATGGGCGCAACTGTCATTGTTGTTGCGCAGCTTGCAGCTTTTCAGAAAATAAACTTTATTTTTTTATTGAAATTAACTTCTAGAAGTGGGTATTTTTGAGGAGATTATTACTTTTTTATAATATTTTGTGTTCAATATTTATAGGTTCACATATATACGCTCTATACGGCAGTTATGGTTTGTCCAAGCATGATATTGAGTTGTTATTTGCCATTGGTTTTGCTTCAAGTTTAATAGCTGGTCCTTTGATTGGTGTATTGTCAGACCAGTATGGCCGACGATTGTTGTGTGTTTCGTATGGTGCAATGTACATGGTGTCATGTATTTTGTTAGTTGTTGAAGATTATAAAATCTTGATTTTGGGGAGAATATTAAGTGGAATAAGTACCTCAATATTGTTCACTTCCTTCGAAAGCTGGTTGATTTGCGAGTATAACAAGGTAGGCTTTGATACGTTGTGATTACATTTTATTTTTCTTTTGAGCGGTATTTGTTAGTGTATAATTTTGTGTCATATGAGGTCAGTAATGTTAACTTTACATTGTTTTAGTTCAATCGGCATTCTCAGTTTTTGTCTGTCATTTTCTACCATATGGGGTTGAGTAACAGTGTAGTAGCAGTATTATCTGGTATTGTAGCTGAAGTTATTGTTGATATGTATGGATTACGGTAGGATTAAAGTGAAACTGTAAAAGGTGTTAAAGAAAGTTCACTTAAGTGTTATGTTAATGTTAAATTAGCCTTTTAGAAGTCCTTTTTATCTCTCTGCCATTATGTTGTGCTTATTATGTTTTGTCATAATGTTGTTATGGCCAGAGAATTACGGGACGGAACGATTAGGAATGACAAGTTTGATCAAATCTGGGTTATCTGCTGGTATCAACGGTAGTTTGATTTTTGGCTTACCTATTTCTTGTAGTTTATCTTGTCGTTGTTTGAGTTTATAGCATTGTGTAGATCTTACAATACTTAATTAAAAGGTGTGTTGTTTTAGACAGGAACATATTGTATCTGATGGTAGTTCAAAGTTGTTTTGAAGGAGCCATGTATACATTTGTGTTACAATGGAGTCCGATTCTGGATGTCTTTTCAGAAGTCAATGTTAACATACCATATGGACTTGTATTCTCTTCTTTTATGGCAGCTACGTTTATTGGAGGTAGTATGTTTAGTATACTTCGTCAAAAGTTAGCAATTAATACGTTGTTTGCGTAAGTCTTACAGTCATTTAGAAGATTTTAGGTATAAAAATAATTTCTGTTACAATTTTTAAAATTTTTTAGGTACTCTTTGGTATGTTCGGTGATTAGTATGTCTTTACCATTACTTTTTCCACAAAGCTTGAGTTTAACGTACATTGGGTTTATTTTGTTCGAAGTTACTGTAGGAGTATATTGGCCTTCTATATCTTCACTGAGAAATATCTTCAGAATCCCATCAAATGTTCTTGTTATACTAATATTGCTTCTAGGGTTGAGCAATATTGGAGTATTAACTTCAAGTGTCATTATGTTGTCTTTGGCTTGTTTATTTCAAACATTAATCAGATGATTACCCTATCTATAATATGTTATTTATTGTTATATGTTATATTACTGAGTAAATTTAAGTTTATTGTTTTTGTCTTTTTATATGTTTGTCAGTCAAATACGGAACACTTTTGAATTCTCACAATTTGAAATAATCCGAAATGAGATCCGAATTAAGAAGTTTAACGAGTTAAATGGGAGCGATGAAAGGTTTTAAAGGTGTCAGTGAGTAGATCGACCTTTCTTACCATGGTAATTGTTCTCTTTAGAATCCTTTCTGAGAACAGAACTGATGAATAATATGCTTTTCGACTGATTCTCCTTTCAAACTTGTGCCATTACGTTAAGATGTTAACTTGGTTTATTTGTCTTTGTTTTGTGTTGTCTTAGTTGCTATGTTTTAGTTTATTTTTTTGTTACAGTAAGCAATGTGCAGATACGCATTATAATTTTTCAATTTAATTTTACAAAGTAATGCCTGGAATATTTTACATGTAATCGTTGCTGACTGTGTACAAGAAGTTGGTGAAGTCCTTCCGTAGCTGTTCTCCTTCTCTATCAACATTCACCGGCACACACCGTATCCCCATCATGTCCTGAGGCAGTTTGAAGTCGGCTATCGCGGAATCGTTGGTGTTTTCGGATGGATGGTGCAGGAATACGACAGCTTGTTGAGGTCGAAGGCCCACTTTCTGAACGAATTCGTTGTGCCTAAAACAATTAAACTTTACGGTTTGTTAAGTTTACGACCGAAAGGCTGACTTCATGACATTACTTTGTTACATTTGCGGTTGCAGTTCGTTTTTATTGCTATCATGTCCTTTATTGCAATGTAGAGAACATGGTCAATAGTTTGAGGATAAATATGTTTAAATCGTGAAATAAGACCATTCAAATATTATGTTTTACTATAGTAAAATACGATTTTTTTTTGTTTCTATAGTCGTAGCAGTCAGAGACCATAACTTGTGCATCAATCGAGATTTTACTTTTTGTGTTTTACTAGGTATTATACAGTTACCCATCTCTATATTTAAATTGTTATACCAAACAAGGTTCTCCTAATTCCATCCTTGTGACCGTAACGAAGGCGGCGCCCAACCAGTTCCTAGATTTTATTAAACTCGAAGACAAACATCTCCTAATTGCTTTTCTAATTGCTATGTCTTGCGTTGTTATTGATGTTGTAAACCTTGTAAGTTACTTTGGTGGATAGTGCACAACATCTACTTAATGTACTGTAATTGAAAGCTTTTTTTGTAGCAATTTGGTCAAAACGTCCGCAGAGTTATGAATAGTGTTATAGGTAACAAACGCTATTAAATTTTATAGGTATCTAACGCTATCTAGAGCTGCTTTTTGTATGATAGATGGTTTATTTTTTAAACTTGAAGTTATTTTTCAATAAAGTCACTGTCTGTCATAGTAATGTAATCTTAGTTATTACTGTCATGTCATAGTAATGTAATCGCAGTTATTGTAGACTTTTACAAAAAACACTTGTCATGGTTATATATTGGTTGTCCATCTAATGACATTAAAGCGCGGCATGATTACAAAAAACCGATTCTTGAGGAAAACGGCCCATTAAGAGATCGCGCGGAATTCTGAAGGCCGTTAAATTGAAGAGGATACTTTATGGCATCTATAAACTTTTAGTTTTTACAGCAACGTTCCCGCACGCTTCTGCAGCCGTGCTGGAGATTCCGCCGACGACCTGGTTTGGTTACGCCGTTCCCGTTTGGGTTTAACATATTGTAATTTCTTTCTCAGGGTATGGTAAAACAAATCAGGTTATATAATAAGCGGGAACGGTGGGTCGCTACTAATTTCCGGGAAAGGTAGGGTTTTGTATTTTACCTTGTAAACTCAATACGGGCGATTTCTTACTGTAGAAGCTCTATTGTAAAGCTTACTTACCATAATAACAGCTCTTCTCCTCGTGTGTCTACTGGGTTGCAGAGTATGATAACAGCATCAGCGTACTGTCTCATGGCTGGCCAACACTTTTCGTATCTTCTGTCACCGCTGCAGTCCCATAACTCTACATCTGGCTCGATTCTTTGGTCTTCTAGGCTCAGTTCGATGCTTTCGAATTCGATTATCCTTACTCCTATAACAATATTTTATTAATTTTGGTTTTTAGAGTAATTTTCAAAAGTTTTTTATTTTTGTATTTATATTATGATCATTTTTATTTACGAAATTAACCATTCATTTCATTAACAACATTATTTTGAGGCAAAACCAAACGTTTTAGATCCTGAGGTCTAAAACAATATATTACTCTTTGTTTTGGGCAATGCTGACCAGAACAATATAGAAAGGCACATGTGTATTTATTACATGCATATGCATCTTTTAATTATGACTTACCACTGGTCGGTTTGTACTCCATTCGAAGGTTTTCGGTCGTATCTGATAAGAACGTTGAGATCACGGTCTTCCCACTCTAACACTGATTAGCATATTACACTGTACTTACTTTCATTGGCCCCACCAAAACAACTTTCATTCGCTTATTACTCATTGTTCTTAATTTGTATTCTAGTAGTATTGTTGACGATATTGGGATAGTAGCTACTATCAGTGTTTTGCCCGGACCGGTCCAAACTTCAAATTTTTGGGTTCGGTCCGGACCGGTCCAACCCCAAAATTTTTGGGTCCGGTCCGGTCCGCAAAAAAATTTTTTTTAATTTTTAAAAAAAGCAAGGAGCGCTAAAACTGCTTTCTTTTTGCTTAAAAACTCCTAAAAATATTTTTTATTTGCAATTTTTAAAACAGTTTTCTTAAAATAAAAAAAAAATTTTCTTCCGGACCGGTCCGGAGCTTTTTCTTCGGTCCGGGTCCGCAGGTTTTTGGGTCCGGTCCGGTCCGCAAAAATTTCTGTTTCGGTCCGTCCGGTCCGGCAAAACACTGGCTACTATAGTATTAGAGGGTTTAGTAAAAAGATTTACATTACTATTTAAATATTCATAATTTGAATTCGAAATTTACCTTTTATACTCAAGTATCTTTTTTCAATTATTATTTTTGTCGTCAAGGCAACTGTTTTCTTTTTTAAAGTTTTCGTGGTGGGACCCACAAATGTAATTGGTTTAAATACGCTAATGACATATGTCATTCCACGGTTTGTTTAATAATACTTAGGCAGGCTATTTCCGTGGAAAAAACATTTCTCCCAGGGGTGGAGGCTCTGATTCTATTAAGCCTGTCCACTCTCGTCCCTCAGGGGAATTTTGGAGGAAACGCGGGCAAAGTTTTGAATTCCATTGTCTCGGCTCTTTCCGGCTAATCTTACATTCGAATTAGATATTATGGTATTCTTTGACCCACCTCTCAATTACAGCTTTATTCTTACACTGGTGGGGAATATCTAGCTCCAGATATATTTTTCATTACCTAATTCCCTGTTGTGCCAGAAACGTGAATATTGGATGCGAATGTCATCAGCGAAATTGCATCCGTGTTTGTTTAGTTTTTGTTCTCGGCTGACCCCTCTCCAGGCCGGCTTCCTCTTTTTTAATGGACAAACCGACCATTTGTGATGATATCCCCGAATTAGCGGTAATCTACATAAATTGGGATCGGATCAGCTGGAGACCGGCTTCTAATTAATAATGCCGCGTTTTAATCGAGAACGCCTCTATGTTTGGCCACATTTGACTTCGGGGGACTTCTAATTTGGTTTGTTGCTCTGATGACGAAAACAACTTCATCTTACTCTTTGTCTTACATGTTTAGTTAAGTAGTACGGTTTTGGGAGGGAGTGGGGAATACTTTAATTTTCTGAATGTTTTAGGTTTTTTTTAGATTATAAATTGATAATTTAGCTTTTTTCAATAAAAATTGCATTATTTTGTCAAAAAGGCATATAATATTTGTGGGTGAAGGTGGCTATGTAAATTTTGTTATCTTTTCTCTATTCATATTCCAACTAATCACTCTGAGTAAATATTGTGATCTACTGCATATTGATTTACAACAACTCGCCTTTTATGTTGCGTCATCGTTAATAAAACAAATTGGCAGGCGCTTGCGGGCGGCATCCTTTGGCCTCGAATTTGTTTGGCCAAGCTGATTTGTGGCCTGTCGATGCGGCCCATTGATCCGCGCGCTTCGTTTACAGCCAGTCTTCTGTTGTGCAACGCTGTTTTTGCTGGCTTTTTGATAGATAAATATTACTTCAATACTTTCTTTAAACTTCTTTATTATTTTCATTATTGTTGGTTTAACAACTCGTACTCTGTATACTCCAACTTTACTAACTGTATTTTATGATGACTAACGTAGCATTTACTTCTGCAACGCTATGTCTTCTGCAACCGTATGTAAAAAAGAAGGGTCGGCGTGTCAAAACGTTGTTCCGTTCTTTAGGTCAAGAGTGTCGCCGCAGGCATTCTCGAGGATCCTTGTGATGAGGCCAATCGCCTTTTTCAATTCGTAAAACCCAAAGTTTCAGCGGTTTTTTCGACTATAACAGATTGCGCGAGATAATGCGGGACTGTTAGATCGAGTTATGTTCAGGTAGATCAACTCACGCTCTGATGCTAATGTCCTTGCTTTGTCGCCATCCGGGCAGATTTGTAACATCAGATTGGATGATATTTCCGAGTGACTGAGCTGATGAGCTTCTTTGTACATGCTTATAGACTTTTAGTTGGTTCTGAGTTTACGACCCTCACCAACTAAAGACAGCTTACAATGTTATGATCTAGAATCGGCTAAAGAGTTGAGTGAACGGTCTAGAATCAGATAGGGATACTAAACGACTTTGTGACGCCAGAATCGGATTCTAGATGGGTCACGAAAACGCTTAGAATTATTTTTAAATCGCTTTGAAATGGTTCATATCGTTACAAAAGCCATTAGAACTTCGGAGGTTAGGCGTGTGCCGGATGTAATATGTAAGCGACGTGCATGTTTGCCGAGAGGTGCCAAGTATTGCGTTTGGCTGGCCAAACAAATGCCAATTGGCTTTCCGGTTTTATTAGCGAAACAAATGCAGGTGTTCACCTCGAAAGTCATCGTTTGTTTGGGGCTGCGCGAGTTTATTTCATGGTTTCAAAAGTTGCTGACCAACTTATAGTTCCTACTTTGATTAAGTACTTCATACCACATTGTGGCTTTACTGTAATTATTTTATTTTTATGAAGATGATAAAGCGCTTTTATTTTTTTTTATTTTAAATTTGGAAGTCTCACTATATTATGTAGCATAATATTGCAGTAAGACATTCAAGTACATTTGTTATAACCTTGTAGTGCCCTTAGCCTTGGCTGCGTGACAGAATGGCCGTTAAGCTTTTATATGATCATCAAATTGAGCAATGTTTTTCATGAATACCTGAACAATCGAGAGACAACGTTTTGCTCTCGGTCTCACTGAAAAGCCCTCAGGGCAAAAAACGTTTAATAAGCTGTAGCGGTTTTTGGGTTAGCATTTGCATAAAGTGGGTTTAATTTCCGTTTTTGGGAGCCGAAACAATGCCAAATGAATTCCCTGGAAAGGGTGGATCCTCCAAATATTTTCGGACCAATTCTTCTCACTTTTGACCTCTGAAACGCCCGCGAGGAATTACGCGCCGACGCACGCGTTGAAAGCGCGCAGAATTAGAGGCCTCAGGGTTTGGCCGCGTAATCGCCCATAATCCCGTCGATTACCAAACTTTTGCATTAAGTGCTTTGTTTCGGATATTCTAGGCGAAAAATGCATTGCGTTTAAAAGTTGTTTGTTTTAACTTTTTAAAATGATTGTTTTGTTGATAACGTGATTTTATGAACCCGACTTTTCACAACAAGTATATTTTTGTCATCCTTGAGGTTCAAAAGCTAATTTTATGCCATTTCAAATCTAAACTGTTGTAAACTTTACGTATTTTATAAGATTATAATATAAGCCCAAATACGGCTTTTAGAAAAGTTTATACTCCAGACGGCTTCATCGTTGAAACATCTGCGAGTTATACGATGTTGGCTGTTGTAAACTCTTTGTCGAAAAAACATTTTGTAATCGAGTCTCCGACACACGGCAGGGGTCCCTTGTTTGACAACTTTTGAGACCTGTTGAAGCCTCGTTGGCACTCAAGAGGATTTACTTGGAGATCTCGACAGTGCGTTAAGTAGAGCCTGGGCCACCATTTAAGGCCAAGGTAATCTTGTTTGTACAGACAGGGGGTCTATTCACGGTTCTATGAATTTTATTTTTCAGGCTTTAAAATTTTTTTGTAAAATTTGAATTTTCTGTCATAAAAAACCAGGGCCAGAAATGCAAATCTCGTACAGTAACGCTGCATTTGTTACATTATTGTAGCCAATTTTACGGTGCAACGAAGCCTACTCCCGCCTGTTATTTCCGTTTTATTTCAGGTAATTTGCGGGTCTGATTTACGCACAGTAATTAGATTTTACTGGGGTCAGTAATATTACTATGGTTTTATAGCCCGATAATGGGGTTGTTCCGACTAAATGTCAATGTTTTTACAATCTCTGATACGGTTTTCACTAGGCTTTGAGGAACTTTGCGCGAAAAACGGAAACGCTACTACCGGAGAGTCTTCCTTGGAACGGTCCTTTGTTTTATTAGGCTCATTCTAATTAAAGAGCGGAACGACCAAACGTTTAACCTTTTTGTTTTGTGAGGGGTTGTTGCGCGGCTTCAGATTTCACTAAATGCCCACTGAGTCACTTGGCCAGGGCAGATGCACAGTCACTCGCTTGTACGAGGTGGCAGATTAAGCACTTTTGGTACTCTTATGATCTGGCAGTACTTCAAGGTTTCTTCTTTGCCGCCACACTTCCGTTCCCGCATTAATTCGAAGCGACATCTTGAGGCCACAAATTTTTACTGCGCTGATGGGAAAATTAAATCCCGGGATCAAAAATTTCAGCGCCGACATTCGGCGGCCAAATAGCGGTTGCGCAAGGGCCAAAAGTATGCAAATTTCGCAAAATTTGGTTTTTTTTCTGAACACTTTTAGACATCATAACACATAGTTATTGTCGTTCATCTAACATGACATTGCTACTCTGTCTTGATACATAATTCTTCCTTAAGCTTATCTTAATTGCCCTTCCGAACCCATTCGAAAAGCAAACGCTTGGCCAGTTTTATGGCCTAAATGGCACTTTACGAGGCTCTAGGTAACAGCAGCTAAGACGGTTGTAACTCTTGAGTATATATCTGTTGGAAATTAGAAAATGAAGCCTGCCGAGGGAGGGGAAATGAGACGAATGCGGTAATTTCTTGACTCCAAAAGGGCCGGATTAGGACTTGGCCCTCTTGGCCGCGCGCCCTTCCTTTCGCTCTCGAGAACACGGCTTGTTTTTACAGGTACCCTTTGATCTTACAATACGAATACGATTAGGGCAATAGACGGAAGTTGGCGATTAGTCTGTTCATGACCTCAAAGGGGCGGGCTAGAACAAACAACATTGTTGCTATATCACTTTCTTTTCGTTTTTTGAAGCAGGAAACAACGCCGTTTCTTCTAGGACGCCTAATCAAGTGATATTGGGATCGTTTTCATTTATAAGTTCCCTCGATCTGAGGAGCGGAAGCTTTCTTATGTCTGGGTTTATATTATTGTAGGATGTATTAGATTCTCAATATGTCAAATTTATTATTATTTTTATTTCTTAGCAGTTGTAGTGTCAAAAACCATTATTTTCGTTACTTTGAACCGTTTATTAATTTTTCCTTACCTAAATTACTTAGACATTCATTCTGTTGTTTTTACACTTTCTATATGCCATTATTTATTGTATGTCTTATTAGACATGTCTTTCTCCTGTTCATTACCTATAAAATGTATGTTGAGGGAAGCGGTCGTTAATCTTATCAGCTGGGTCACCGCATTGAAATGTCGCGCAACTGCCCAGCCAACTCACTTAAGAGGACTGTTTTGCTTGGGGCACTAATTTAGGGCTTCATTAGGCCTGGAAACACTTACGCAACGGATTCATGTCAATTATGCGAACACTTAGGTCGAGAGTGGACATAAACAAGGTTAAGGTCGGGAGTGAATGAGTCGGTTGTTTGCAAGTTTTCGAAAAGACAGACCCTTGAATGGCCACTGTCTCAAAACGGTTTCCTCGCCCAAAGGCAGGGGGGGGTTAGGTCAAGTCATTTTAACAGCTCATCCCTTTGTAACTGCTTTTGTCCTAAATTCGGAGGATGACTGTATATTTATGTGTTACTAACCCCCTTTTTATTCAAGCAAAAGTAGCGCGTTTACAATGTAAAAAAGTATTTTGCATATTTGAAGGATAGTAAAGTAAAAAACTTTGAATTGAAATGACGAAGCCCTGACAGGGTAGCTAATGTTTAATAGAAAAGTTCTCTTCTTTGCAGGTTGGTCAATAAGTAACTAGAAAAACCAAAAAATCAATCTTTTAACAATTCTAAACACTTTTTGACCGGACTGTCTTTCCGCGGGTTCAGAAACCGACCGACTTTTATTTTGGGGCTATAAATTAAATCCAGGGACTGTCACATATGCGCGACGTCATGCTGCGATTTCATGAACATTTGTTGCTGCTCCAACTTATTTATTTTTATTGATATACTGTCAGGTATTCCTCCTCGGGGAGGAGTTGATTTACGACAATGCTCGTTAGTCAGTGGTCATGTTTTCATCAGCCATTAGTATATCTACTAGATTACAAGTACGTGTACGAATGATACGAAAACAAAAGTGTAGCAGAACTTTTTACTATGATATTGTAGTATACAAAGTGCTTAAAGGGGCTTCCTATGAGTATATTTAGGGTAAGAAGCCATAGTTTGTCATTTCTAGGTATACTTTAAGTCTAAACTAGTACCACGCTACTAATTAATGATCTGCTTGTATGTAGTAGTATGCTTAAATCAACAAACTTTTAACGATCTTTAGCCTTACTTACTGTTTGGAGAACCAAGTTTCAGGAACATGCTAATTTGCATTGCTAATCTGCATACTTACGTCGTTTTTTGTGTCAGAAGGTCATGACCTCGGACATTAAGTCCTCGGAATAAGACCACTAGGCCCTGGGATTCCGCGAGACTGCTTCCTAATTGGTGATCGAACCTCAAGGTCGGGAGCCACCTCCTTAGCCTGGAATGAATATTATACTTGTTGCTTTCTCACAATACAACCAAGCCCGTTTAGTGTCATTTTATGATTAAAAACCTTAATTTAGGCTTGTTTTTGTCTACGAAATTTTTAGTGTCAAACCCTAACTTAATATTTCGAAAACCTTGTTCTAATTTTCATAAAACCTCTATCCTTTACTTTCCAATCAACGTTTGCACATTATGGTTATTGCGGTAGTTATAGAGGTTCGATCCTGTCACGGAAATATTTTAATCTAACTGTATTGTTTGTTTTTCGGGATAATCGCATCTCATTATATCGTCTTTGAATTTTGATTGGAGCGGTTTCATAAAGGCCTATCACTCTCAGATTAGAGAGTTATTCGATCTTCTCCTTGGCCTTTGGTCGGATTACAGCACCCTCAGCGGCCGCTTCCCGAGTTTATAAGTTTATTCCAGAGTTATTGTACAATGACTCTTACCTGCGATCACTCTCGTCTATCATAGACAATAAAGTGTGTTTTTATTATATACTTTTGTTATACACATCCTTATCTACACATGGCGGGATTACCGATCCGATCGGAAGGGGGCGGGCCTTGGGAAGGCGGACTTTTTCTTAAAACTTTCGCTCTCCTAGATGCTGAAACTCGTGGGAAGGATCGTGACCTCCATAATTAGAACCTCGGGCGAGTATCTAATATGTCCATTAGTTGTTGCAACAAATATAAAATACTTTAATTTGGGGTTCGACTTGGAAAATATGTTATTACATTATACGTTTTTTTTTCTATGTACTGTGTCATAACAATGCCCATTTTTAAGACCTTTTGATTTTGAATATAATACCTAAAATATTCTTTCTTAAGTTAAAATTTGATGCTTAAAACTTGCAGAAACACTTTATTTTGTAGGTATCAAATGTTTTTTACACTGGCTTTCGTAATTCGAATACCATTATTGCTTGTATTATAATATTCGAGTGCCTTTGACTTGCATGAGACCTTATTAGTCCTCGAGGCCTCAAAAGTCGCCTGGGGAGATTAATTGGCAGGGATACAAGCCCGGCTCCTTTCTTGGTCAGATTTTGTTTATGAATTCTCCTTCATTCCCACAATTAACCATTATTTTCACAATTTACCAAGCCCTACTCCGCTATATTTACATTACATTTACGTTACTTTTGCTACAAAACAAAACTTTGTAACGTAAAGTAATATTATACACGATAAAATTGCTGTATTTTTTGGTTTTACATTGAAAGTACTGTGTTTTGCCTTTATTATCCAATGATAGCGATATAAAATGTGTTTTATCTCTATCAAAGCTCCAATTTACCTTTTATTACCTAAAAACCAAAGAATCCTTGTTTCGAAATTTTGCGACAAAAAACTGTTTTGTCCAGAAAATGTGTCATCAGAAATCAGTCATCATGACGCGTTTTTTGGAGGACAATTTTTTGTCTAAATTATTTTCTCGTCGGATGGGAGAATATAACCCAGAATTATGCGATGGGCTCCCACGGTTTAATGGCCAGTTTTGCGCGAAAGATACAATTATTCATTGGCCAATTTGGCCACAAGGCATTTTCATAGTAGTATCGCTCTTGGATTGTAGTATTATTGCTCTTAGATTGTCATTGTTATATTATTTCGTTGCAGAGCTATGCCTAAATGTATTTGTCGGCATGGGATCTTCCTTGTCTGATAGTCTTCGTGACACTGCTATCTTGTACCTCAGCTTCGGATCGAGTGATCAACACCTATCGAACTTCTACAAACATCAACAATGTTCTTATTAAAGGGGACAAGGTCGGTTTTTATTTTTAATTATAAATTCATGGTAACTTCAAGATATACAGAGATGTTGTTTAAACCGATGTAAACAAAACCGATCTAAATTTATATTTTAATTGACGTTTCAGGTTTACATTGGTGCTGTAAACAACATTTATGTGCTCAACAGCCAGCTGACACTACTGGCTGAACAATCGACGGGTCCAGTACTAGATTCTCCTTATTGTTCTCCAGATCTCAATAGTTGTGTGGGTTCCAAGGATCTGATTGAGTCAACCGACAACTACAACAAAGTACTACAATATACTCCCAAGTCGGGTCTTATTCTTGTTTGTGGCTCGGTAAGACAAGGAGTATGTGAATGGCGAGATCTCAACACCTTGAGGGTCGTCAACAAATATGAAGCTTCAGTCATCCCAGTAGCAGCAAATGCTCCCAACGCTTCTACAGTATCCTTGTTGACCAAGGATGAGTATGATGAAGATCAGCTTTTCGTAGCCGCTTCTTTGACTACAGAATCCCCGTACAGAGAAGCGTTTCCGGCTGTTTCTACGAGGACACTGCCTTCTTTGGCTACATTGAATTCTGGGGATTTGGAGGGTGAGTTTATGGTACCTTTTTGTTACAGTAGGGCTGTTTTTGTAATGTAATATAGTTTATTTTACAAGAAAATGATTTTGAAGGTTTTATATACTTTCTTTGATATATAATTTTTTGATTAGATTTGTTTTTAATACCTAGGTGAATATGTAATTGGATCTAAAATTCGAATCTTTAGGCGAAGCAGCCGTCTTTATCCGAGCTGATTACCGACAGATGTTCAAAGTGGAGTACGTGTCTACCTTCACATACGAGAACTACATCTACACGGTGTCAGTTCAGAATCGTGATCTTAAGTCGAGTTCAGGCCAGCCTGTCTCCAAGCTGATTCGAGTCTGTCAATACGATGACAAGTAAGTGTTTTGACACCTTTATTAGCTGCATCAAGGTCAGATGTGTCACAGATAACATGCTTTGGGTTGTAATTGTGTTCTGCACACATATATATGTTTTTTGATATGTATCTCTTGATAGCTAAAATAGTCTGTCTAATACCCAATCTCGTGATTAGCTCTATTTTGTATTCAGATTTGTTCTATTTGGTAGTCTAACTCAATTAGCTTTGTTTCGGGCTTCAAATATATAATTATGGCACACTTATTTTGGGAAAATGTTGTGGGAAAGGGGGGGGGAGACTAGAGTGGAAGTTACGTAATCATGCCAATAAGCCTGGTCAGGGAAAACAAATCAAGTGTAAATAGTCAAGATTAAGATCAATAGTCGAGTGTGAGTAATTTAAGTGTACCTCGCAGATACGTTACACAGCTTGACCTTGTAGATAAGACTTGTGTCCACAATTGACATTAACAAAACCTAGGTTTGAAGTGTGTCAAACGGTAATAGGGTGACATTTAGGTATGAGTAATGATTAGACGCAGAAAATAGAAATAAAGTGGATGAAGTAACATAAAAATGACGTTTTAGGTATGTATCGTACTCTGAAATCGAGATCCAATGCCGAGGGGAAGACAACACCAACTACAACATTGTCAAGTCGATGAAGTTGATAGAGAACGAGCTGGTTGGAGTGTTCACAGATCAGAATGAACAGAACTCCGCCATTTGCTTCTACCCTATGTCCAAGGTTGGCACTACTTTCTTTTACAATATCGACAGATGCTGGGGAGGCACGTCTACAGTAGGCCTACCTCACATTGGAAGGGATTCCAAGTGTATCAATGTAAGTTGATGTTGTCCATTCTTATAGTTTATATGTTTTCACATTGCAATAGTTATTGTTTCGGTAGATGAAAGTTGGTGGATCTGTCAGTTTATGACGACTTCTGTGTTTAATATCTTTTACCGCCCTTTGTTTTGGCATGCTTTGAATAACAAAGCCTCGGTTTTACCGCCAAGTTTTATGCAAATGAGGGAAGACATCTGGGCGCGGTTCACCTTTCCTCGAATAATTAAATAATTGTCCTTGAACAGATGCCAAGAAGTGCAACATAAGCTAATAACTTTATATTAGCCTTAATACAGAATACTATGGAGTGAAATTGTATATTAACATAGTCATTAAACAATATTAAAATCAAATTTCAGAAGAGTAGAATCAAAGTGTCAAACGAATCGTGTGCTCTGGGGGTTGGCGGATCCATCGAGATCTCTCAGATCGCGGCCAAACAATTCGACGATCGTATTTTAACGGCCGCGGACGCGAGATTTATTCAAGGTCATTATCTGTTGGCACTCGGCACAAAGTCGGGTGATATCTTACAGGTAAGCACATCCATCTTGTTGTCTAAATGTTTTTTTAACCGTTGTTAATGACTTAGCACTTTGGCGAACATTTACCACTCAAAAATTTTGTTATAAAGCGTTTTGGCTGAATTTTATTACCTAAAAGTTGACAAGGACTTAAGTTTTATAAAATAGAAAGATAGCACTTGAAAATACATAAAGTCACGATTGATAAATCGCAAATAGTTAAAAAATCTAATATAACTTTTTGGTTAATGAATGTAATAAAATGAACATTTTGAGTAAATTCTTTGGGAAAACTTTTGGTTTTATCACCTAAAGTGACAACGCCCTTTGAGGCCTTTGTCAGTTTACTCTGGCCAGATTTATGGCCGTCCTGAGTGATGCAGTGCTGGACCGAACATCCGGAAGATTAATTAGTTCTTCTTTTGTCTCAAAACTTTTGCGCGAAGTTGCTGATGGATGGGGACACTAATTGAAGGATTTGTTATTTTAGTGTTAGCGACAGATGGCTGGTGTTAAAACGGATAATCACTTCAATTTTTAAAACATAATGAGCTTGAATTTCAAAATAAAAGTAAAGAAAATGATGTTAGATTAATTAAAATTTTATTTTAGTACGAAGTTCATGGAGACGAAAGGAACAGAAGGCTCGAGGATTCGTTTGCTGAGTTCTTGGTGGGCCCTGACCCAGTTCAGAAGGTCCAGTTCATCGATGACAGAAAGTTTTTGGTTGTCAGTGGGAATGAAGTAAGTTTCAAGATTTCTAGTTGATCTACGTATTTTATGGATTTAAAATTTAAACTACGGTAACTTAGAGTTTAAGGTCATGCTACAGTAATTGCGTGTAAATATTTGTATAGTGGCGACAAACGTTGAAATTGTATTACCACACCCTGTGTATAAGCGAGGATTAGCCTTATTTATATCGTGTCATCACGACATTAAAAGGGCCGCTTTAATAATTCCAAGTTTGCGCAAGAAATGGCGAAAATAAAATCCGTAATTTAGGTCTTTGGGAGTCCATTAGAGTAACACCCAAGGTCGTATGCGTGTTACTGTGGAGGGATTATTAAGCTACAATTTGGTGTTGTTATATATCGAGGTATAGTAACGGTATGAGCATAGCGAAGCACAGCTAGCAGTACTTAACGTTTATTAGCTTTATATGTATGTAACTACGAAAAAGAAAAAACTTAAAAAACCGCATGAAATATCGTTTTTCAATAGTAAAAATAATTTTCTGCAACAATAGGCTGACATGCTGTAGTTGCGGTCCCACTGACATACCATCTTATCAGTATGTTTATGGTCCATAAAACCGCAGTAAGAAGATCGTAAATTAGCCGGTCGATCAAAAAGTTTTGTCTTGTTTGCTGATGACAACGACGGCGGCGCCCGTTTTTCAAGACCGCCGTTATCATTTAATCTGACCGATCGCTAATCGACCAGGCCCGGGCCATCTGTTTGGTCTCATTAATAAAGGACAATGGACATTATTTATGTGCGAACACATCCCGCAAAGTTTACACAATAGTTTTGCATAAATTACCAGCTTTGCTGTAACGGAATTATTATTATAATCCCAAACTTTGGTTTGGCGAGTGTAACAATCGGCAATAGATACTGAAGCAAGGCCAAATTCTAGTTGAAAAGTTATTTGAATATTGAAAAAGTTTCTGAACAAACAGGTTTTAACAAATATAAAAGAGAATATGGACTTAATCTCAATTAAAAAACTTTAAAACTAAATATAAAACAATATTTTTTTAGGTTTTAACTTTCAAAGTGTCCGTCTGTTCGAAGAGCTCATCCTGCCACGAATGTGTAGCCTCGCGAGATCCCTTGTGCGGATTCTGTTTGTTTGAAGGCAAATGCACTTCCCAGATCGACTGCCAGACTTCTTTGATCAGTCAGTGTCCAGAAGCCAAGAGTACGGTCACTCCAGCCAACGCTTCTACCACACTGACCTCAAGTGTCTTCTTCCCTGTCGTCGGATTACCTCAGCCTTCTCAGAACAAAGGATACGATTGCTTCTTCGGCCCCTTCAAATCAGCTGCTTTGTGGACTCCAGAAGGCGTCAAATGCAGCCTGCCGAAGCAACGGCCGAGTACGAAGGAAAAGGACAGTACTGAAGTCAAGTTGTCAATCAGATCTTCTTCTTCACGGTACAATATTGTCCAACAACCCTTCACATTCTTCGACTGTAACGTCCACACGGTGTGCTCAGAATGCTCACAGTCATCGTGGCCTTGTAGCTGGTGCTCATCTACAAGAAAATGCCAGTCGGTTGACCTGTCGTGTGATTCTCAATCTAACGGCAAATGCCCCCATATTGATGTTACCAGCAAAGCCACGATCGAGATTTCGGATTCCACCAACCAGTCGATTTCTTTCAACGTTAGATACATGGATTCAAAGCTGGATTCGCAAGATCTGTTCTGCCAAGTGACGTCATTGGAGATTGGAGCCAAACCAATAACAGCTTCAGCTGGCTTTGTCTCGGAGAACAGAATCCAGTGTGCTCCAATGTTCTTCAAGTACCGTGACGAGAAGCCAGAGCACTCGTATCAGTTGGAGTTAAGGAGGGAAAGAGAGCTGATCGACAAGTTTACTGTAACATCCTACAAGTGTTCGGTGATGGCATCTGACTGTTCTACCTGTTTGGCCTTGGATCCTAGATATAAATGTACCTGGTGCTCTGGAGGATGCCACTTTGATGATCATTGTCCCGTTCGGCCGTCGAAGGCCAAGGCTGATATACTGTGTACTGCCCCGGTTATTGAATCCGTACGTTTTTAATTCTGATATTGCTAAAGCGAAAAAGCTCAAAATTTTATTTTTTTGTGAAAAGTGAATTTGAGGGCGCAGCTTGCGGTTGATTGTTTGGCAGTTTGCGTAAAATTATGGGATCTGTCAGTGTATTTTATAAACTTTTTTTTAGTTCCACCCAGTTTCTGGTCCAATTGAAGGTGGCACAGTAATCGAGATCAAAGGACGTGATCTTGGCTCTAGGATTCAAGATGTTCAAGATCGAGTCATGGTGGGAACTTCCAAATGCAGAGTAATCGATTACGAAATTTCAGTACGGTAAGTCGCTCTATAATAGTTTTAGTAAGTACAAGCTTATAGTTTGGTTTATATTATTTTGGTACTAACTTTCAAAATGGTATTTCAACATGTATGCTGGGTAATTTTAGGATTGTATGTGTTGTGGACCCAGGAACATCTTCTGGCCCTATCAGAGTCACCATTGGCAAGACTGGGAAACGACAGGTCGAGTCGGATGTTCATTTCCATTTCCTTCAGCCGGTTCTTCGTTCTCTTCAGCCAGCGTTTGGTCCTGTTTCCGGCGGTACCAGAGTCAGAATCCACGGAGAGAATCTGGATGTTGGAGCAGCAGTCAACGTGACAATTGACAGAATCCCATGTGTTGTAGTACCAGAACAGAGATTCAAGAATCAGATCATTTGTATCACTTCTGAAAGTCCACGAACCTACTCGGCCGAAACTGTCAAGCTCCAGATTGATGAAACCGTCAGAATCTTGAACACACGATTCGAATACAGACCCGATCCGACGATAGAATTTATAGAACCTTTGGTAGCGTACGAAAGTGGAGGACGGCTACTCACGGTGAAGGGTAATAACTTTGATTCTGTATTGGAAGCCAAGATCTACCTGACATCATCGTCGTATGTTAACGAGGCTACGATTGTTTCTGATTTGGCAGCGTGTCAGATTCAGAATGCTACGGAGATGACTTGTGAATCTCCAAAGCTGCTACAGAATCTGATTAATTCTGAAGACAATCACGGTAGACGAGCCTTCAACAAATATCCGATCGGATTCCACATGGACGGTGTTAAGGGGGTCAGGAGTCTGGGGCGTCAGATGTCACTTATGACCGTAGCCGATCCACAGTTTGCATCATTCAGAGGAGTCAAGACCTTGAGTTTGGGACAGCCGTTGGTCATCGAAGGAAAACATTTGACATTGGCTGCTAGACCTGATGAGTATACGGTAAGCATCATATAGAATAAATATGGTTAACAATTTAATTAATTCATTTAAAAACTGTTACTTGTACAAAAAGTAATAGATTAAGCTTCTTAACCGTTATCTTATAGGTAACAATTGGAACAGAGAGATGCCACGTGATTGTGTTGGAAGCTCATCAACTCGTATGCCGAACTCCTGACCTTCTTCCTCCACCTACAGATGACCAGGGAACCCCTCTTAACGACGGTCGATCTTTGGTGGTCATTCGATTTGGATCTGGTCGGATTCGAGCTGAGATCGGACCTTTGGAATTCACGGATTCGGTAACGCTACAGTCTTCTGCCTTCATGAAGAACAACTTGGTCAGATTGATATTGATTCTGGTCTTCGGCATTGGAATCGTTGGCATTGGGCTCATCTTATTGTTTTACCTGTGGAGAAGACGTACTAACGAGCACGAGAGAGATTACAAGAGGATTCAGATGCAGATGGAGCAGATGGAATCGAATGTCCGCAACGAATGCAAACAAGCGTTCGCGGAGCTACAGACTGATATGTTAACCGACTTGAACATGACCATGGATAGCGAAGGTGTGCCTTATCATGAACGGGTCGAGTTCTTCGGTAGATTGCTGTTCAAAGATGGCATGGATTCTTCGATTCTGAATGGTTACGGTACAGCCGGGATATATGCAACGTAAGTTGTTCTATTAAACTCTTGATTACTTTATATGGCAAGTTGTTTTATTTGCTGTAAAGTTTTTTTTTAATGTTGTTGTTTCAGCCATCTTCCAAACGCCATTATTCAGTTCGAGAGTCTACTGTACAACCGTCAGTTTGTGTTTGTCATCGTCCAGATGGTAGAGTCGAACATCAATATTGGAGTATCCGAACGGTCCACTTTAGCTTCCTTGTTGATGGTCACGATGACAAGAGACATGGGTTACTGTACTGACGTGATGTTTACTTTACTAACCGCTCACATACAACAGTCCTGTCAGAATAAGACCAGTCATCTTCTGTTCAGGAGATCTGACAGTTTGGTGGAGAAGTTGTTCCAGCATTGGCTCGCCTTTGCTCTTCACCCAGCCATGGTAGAACCTGTAGGACCAGCTAGACAGTTCTACTTGCTATACAAGGCTCTAAAGTTCCAAACAGAGAAAGGACCAATTGACAGTTGTACTGGCAACTCGAGGTATTCTCTATCAGAACAACGACTGCTTCGTGAATCTGTAGATGCTCAGCCTCTGATTCTGATGGTGATTCTAATTGACGGCTTCGATCAGGCTCCGGTTCCTTTAAGAGTACTAGACTGTGATACCATCTCTCAAGTGAAAGCCAAGCTTCTGGACACGTTGTACAAGAACGAACCGTTCACCGCCAGAATGACGGTAGATCAGTTCGATCTCGAATGGAGATGTCCCCGGAGGGGTAACATGTTGCTGTTGGACGATAATCAGCCTCACATCAAGGGGGTAAAGAAGTTGCACACGGTAAAGTACTACAACCTACAATCGAACTCTGTGCTCACGATGCAACAACGAGGTCAACATTCGTTCACAACCTTCAGAAGCGAGTCTGGAGGCTCGTCTGATACTACATGTTCAGTCTGGTCTTCTGCTCACTTGATCGATGTTAACGGTGTGCCAATATCTCCTGGATCTGTTTGTGGGAATGTGACGTATTACCATCTAACACCTCCTATTGCTAACAAAAGTAATACGTTACAAAGTCAGGCCAGTGCGTTGTTATCTTTTGATAAGAAACAAAGGAAACAATACGTGCTACAGAGGAATTCTAGTCAACAGCGACTGTTCATGGAAGAGAACTCGTCGAGGAATATACCGGAGATATTCTTGACACGTCTAGTTATGTGGTAAGTGCTTTAGTCAAGAAATACCTTGTTATATTACTCACAGATCAGTTTTTAAATGTCATTTTTCAGCAAGGGCACTATTCAACAATTTATCGACGAGTTCCTGAACTCGGTCATGTATTCTCAAGTAGACGTCAGTGAAGTGCCAGTAGTTTTGAAGTATGTGATGGACTTTTTGGACCAACAAGCTCTTAAGAACGGAGTATCGGATCCAGAACTGATTCACGCTTGGAAGACGAACGCCTACGTTCTCAGATTCTGGATGCAACTTCTTCACAATCCAGATGCTCTGTTTGACATCCCTCGTCAGTCATACGTCAACTCATCGCTGGTTGTCATTGGTCAGACATTGATCGATGCTTTCTCTCATTCTGATGTTCCACTTGGCAAAGAATCTCCGTCGTCCAAGTTGTTGTTCGCTAAGGATATTGCCAAATACAGACCCGTGGCCACGAGAATGTTCTCGAGGATACGACAACAACCTCGGGTTGATAACGACAAGTTCTTCGAGTACATTAAGACGTTAACTACAGTAAGTATACTGATGTTTAACCCTTTTTGGTTATAATTTTGTAATATTTTATTAATAATACAGTATACTTGGTGTTTTTATATCAATTTTGTTTCCAGGAATCTTGTGGTATGTCCCCACATATGGCCATGAACGAGCTGTTGAACTGGTCCAAGGCCAACATCCTTCGCCTGACCGATCTCCTTAACCAGGACCAGACGTGCCTGAAGCAGAGGTTGGCCGAACGCCTTCAGGAGTCGGCCAGATGCTCGCTGGTGCCTTCCGAACCTCCAGATCATATTTACGCTACTTTGCAGTAACTTCTCATATCTGTACATTATGCTTTCCATGGTTACCTTGCTGTTATTCGGGTTTGATGTTATATTGTTCATAGGTATTGGTCTCTTTTTGTACAAACTTGTTTTCCCCGTGCTTTTCACTCAAATTAGATGTTCTATTATATTGTACTGCCTTTCAGTGACTCTAAGTATCCCTCAGTTACATCTCAATGTTATCATAGTTAATAAAAATAATTTATAAGAGTATTTTTTAAAAAATGTTATTGGAAAACTTGGTAATTAGATATTGACACGTTCTGTCGCTTAATCTTATATATTGCTTTAAGTTTCTCCAATTCTAAATGAAGAAACCCATTATTACACGTCAGTATTGCATTTATTCGTATTTACAGTATGATACAAATGTACAAATAACTTATTTTACATTAGTGAGGCGAGTAACGGCCGTTCACGTTCCGAACGTGCTCGATACCTCGTTTGGCTAGTTTCCAGAAGGGTGCTGGTCGGTTTAGCTGTATCGCAGCATCAAATATCTTCTGTCGGTTCCTTCTGACATACGATTGGGCATCAGCGACCATTTGCTCCAGTCGTTTCGGATCGATTTCGTCCAATGTGTAGGGGAATGACATATAAGGATTGAGACGGAAGTACGAGTTCGGTGGCAGAAGATCACCCATGGCATTGTGTACCAATTCCGTGTCAGTGGCAGAGTCCACGATCTTGGAGATTTTATCTTGAATGCCAGTGTTTCGCACAGTAGAAGTGAGCTCCAGCTCACTGACAGTACGACCATTACCTACGGAGACAACACATTGGATGGGCTCGTGAGGCCACAGTAACCTTGCTTCATGTAGAGCAATAGCAGTAGGATTGTTCGCCAGAACACCTCCATCTTGATGTAGTACCGTGCCGAGGAATACCTGCAAAAGATACTCCACAAATCAAAAAGCATTTTAATTTGAATTGACTTTTCGAAACGCAAAATTCCATAAATCAAATTTAGTTCAAAGACAGATCAATTGCATAATCAACAGTCGCGGCCATTAATCTCAGGGACGTGAATCCAAACATTTACGTTTCGTGTGATTAAAGTAATTGAAAAGAGTGACTTGGACGAATTACCCGAACCAGGGAATGGTGTGTTGGCCCGACCCTTACCCGCCCGCCTCCTGCTCTACCTGACTGACATTAATGAGGAGGCTCGAGAGCGGAACACCATTGACTTCTGCATACTCCACTGTTCCCCTTTAAGACAACAGCTGTCGGGCATTTACAGCCCCTTGGTCAATCGGGTACCTCGGAGTTAATAGCGCTTATGAGGGCCGCGACATGTTTCCGCCCGCCTATACATTAACCATCCTCGTCCTCACATTGTTACAATTCTCATTCGACAAGAACTTCAAGTCGGTGTGCGAGAAGAACCTCAACAATCAGGTATGTTGTAATTGGACACCATGTATAACTCGTTTAGACAAGTGACACTTCCAGTTGTCTAAATAACCAAAACAGAAGAGAGATACGGCAGTTGACAGACAGCGAGTTGGAGTTCTTTATCAGTAAATACAATGATTACCTCGTGCGGAATAACACTCAGCAATGGAACGAAGACATCAGCGAGCTAGGCGTCGTTCAAATGTAAGAACTTTTGCCCTATTATAATTCGTTTTTTTCAATAAAAATCCTAAAATAAACTTTTTTGTTTAAAATTTCTCTAATAAACCTTAAATTCAATTCCAGTTTCGACGAACTGCTGGGAGACCGTCTTCTGACGCCTTACTGGGACTACCGCATAGAACTAAACCTTTCTGATCCAACGTGGAGCTCCATTTGGAACGACTCCAAATTCGCAGACGTCTCAGAAGCCGTAGATGCCCAATGGTTAGCCGAAATAATCAACAGTGATGTGCAAGAAGACTCAAACGACTTCTTCGACGATCCCAACATCGGACTGTGGAAGCGCAGAGAACGGGCACTCAACGTGATGCGCACCGTGAAAGGGAACGACGTCTTCTGGCATCTCCTAGTCCTGGTTTCAATTGAAGCTGGTGTTGATCAACAAAACCTAACGATAACCAAAAGTTCTTGTAATAGCTACGAAGGCCTATATTGGAACAACACACATTGTGTACCGTATCTTCGTGATGGAGCTTACTGTAAAATAAAACGAGAATGTCACAGTAATTTATGTCTTGATAATTACTGCGGTAACATTACAATTACAATAACTTCCACAACATCAACTCCAATCACGACGACAGTTATTTCAGCAGTAGAAACTACACAGAATCATATTCTAGAGAATGTGACAAACTTGGCAGAAGTCAGTCAACGTCACTTTCCCTGGCTGACTACAGAATTCCTAGCCAAAGAACTGACACCTCCAAAACAGATGAAAAACAAGTTCAAAGCAGAGAGAAAGCCAAAGAAACACAAGAAAAAGAAGAAGAAACAGAAGGAAACATCCACCGTAGCTCCAACTGAACCTGCCTTCAATGAACAGATTCCTCCAACGACGCTACAAACCGAGCCCACGATTTCCATGGTAATGCCTTCTGACGCCGTCAACGAAACCAACGCCCCAATCGAGCCAGAAAAGTATTCAGAAGACACTTTAGACGCACTGCTGGTCTACATGCCAAAGCCAAAAGAGCCAGCTGGCATGATACCGTGGACTAACAGAATGCCATTCAAAATGGCCTACTTTTCTTTCACCGTCATAGAAGGAAGTCTGGGCAAGAACAGGAAGCTGAAGGAGAAGGGGACCAAGAGAGCCAAAGGGGCCAGGATCTACGTCAAAGGACTGGAAATGCCTTCTGGATACAAACAAATCACTCAGGTTAGTGGAAGTCAGTTGGATAATTAACTATAATATACTGCTGGCAATAAGTTTTGGGGCACCCCATATCTCAGTTTGTACATGACAGATTTTCATAAATTTTTACATAGAGGTTGTAATAGAGATGTACAATTGATATTAGTAAGAAATTTGTCAAAATCAAAATTGACATTTTGTTACACTTGTAAAAAAATATTTTTGCTATGAAAATCTGGCAAAAAGTTTTGGGACACAGTAATTTATGTTGCGATAAGGTCGATGTATTAGTTTAAACTACTTTAAATATCTATTACGTTTTGTTAAGGATACAATTTAATGGTCACTTTGATTTTGTTTTGCTCCGTTGTAGGATTCTGAGGCTTAACGTCAAGTTGGTCAGGTACATCAACATCGATATTATAAACTTTGTATTTATTCCTAATTATGAATTAAATTTAATATTTAGCTCATAGTAAGTGCTGTAGAAACTTTTTTAACTTTGTGACATTTTACAGTGACTTCAGAAGTAAGCACGTATATTGTCTTAGGTACCCCCACTGACTTTTAGATACCAGTAGCTTCTTAGTTTAGAAAAAGTAACATAAAAAGCAATGTTTAATACAACTACTACACTATTAGCAACATATTAAAGGACAATAAGTATTTGTATTATCCTTTTCTAGATGTTTTGTTGACACTTTTATATAAAAATTAGGGGAAAGGATAAAGTGATTTTTTCAAATAATTTTTTATGACTTATGTACGGCTTATATTAGTTAATTCAGACCTCTAAAAACATTTTATACTTGGATTTGCATTATTAAGACAAAAAAAAACAATTACACATACCATGGTCGTGATGTAGTACTTGGGGCTATGTACGATGCAGTGCATTTTGATATAAAATCGTCAAAATACCATCTAGAAAAGGTTGGTACAAGCACTTATCGTAGTTTTATACGTTGATAATAGTGTAGTGTGTTGCATTAAACATTGCTTTTTATGTTACTTTTTGTAAACTGAAAAGCTACTGGTATCTAAAAGTCAGTGGGGGTACCTAAGACAATATACGTGCTTACTTCTGAAGTCACTGTAAAATGTCACAAAGTTAAAAAAGTTTCTACAGCACTTACTATGAGCTAAATATTAAATTTAATTCATAATTAGGAATAAATACAAAGTTTATAATATCGATGTTGATGTACCTGACCAACTTGACGTTAAGCCCCAGAATCCTATAACGGAGCAAAACAAAATCAAAGTGACCATTAAATTGTATCCTTAACAAAACGTAATAGATATTTAAAGTAGTTTAAACTAATATATCGACCTTATCGCAACATAAATTACTGTGTCCCAAAACTTTTTGCCAGATTTTCATAGCAAAAATATTTTTTTACAAGTGTAACAAAACGTCAATTTTGATTTTGACAATTTTCTTACTAATATCAATTGTAAATCTCTGTTACAACCTCTATGTAAAAATTTATGAAGATCTGCCATGTACAAACTGAGATATAGGGTGTCCCAAAACTTATTGCCAGCAGTATATTGTAAAACAGTCATTTAAAACCAAAACCTTCTAAAGTATTGAAAATTGTAAACTTCAAAATTTAAAATTCGAATTTTCAGGGAAAACAACTTCGAAGTGGCATCGGATCTTTGGCCAGAACCCTCCACCCAGACAACAATGGACCATTCGTGGAGTTCAAGATGAGAGTGGAGAACAGATACGGCATAGCGTGTAAGCAAATGTGTCTAGATGCACATCACCGCTACAGAAGATGTGCACGGAAGACGATACGAATCAGTCCGTACAAACGATTCGGAGACCCAATACCATACTACGAGAGTGAACAACGAGCAATAGAAGGACAGTTCACAGGGAAAGGGTACTACAAGAAGAGAAAGCTGACGCATATTCTATTTAAGTGTGAATAATATTGTATAAAGTATAATTTCAAACTGGTTATATCATACTACCTTAGAGCGACTGGATATAGTAATATAGAAAGATAACTATAAAAATCCAATTTAAAACTAAACCCACCTCTTCGAAGTAACCTGGAGCAGCGGCCGATGCTTGAATCGCCTGCCACAGTTTATGTTGGGTCCCACCACGAAAATGACTGTCCCTGCCCGCAGGGTGTTCGTAGTTGCGGAACACGAATGGTTGAAGTTGAGCTGCGTTTACTATGCATGAGATAACAGCTATCTTGACGGCATCTTCATGCTGGGAGGTATCCAACACCTGGTCATTGCCTAAAGTGGTCTGAAGTATCTCGACCCACTTCTTGGTGTTGTAGTAAGAGTGTGACATCAGAAGACCACTCACTCCGGATATCTTTCCTTGATTAAATAGCTGTCTCGAAATGTCCATATATATCTCCTTGGCTGTCTTTACATGCATCCTCTTCGCTCCGAGCAGTACAGAGATGATGGCACCAGTACTGACGCCACAAATAAGATCGAAATGCTCACATATCTGAAAGCATCACAAAACAATGTAATCCATGAAATATATAAATCAAAACAACAATCACTTTAAACTACATTAACCAAAGGCTTACCTTGGATCCGAGATTCTTTTCTAATTCCGCCAGAATTTCCAGACCCATCATCCCTCGGGTACCTCCTCCATCGATGGATAGTACTCTGATACCCGCGCCCTTAGGTGCTTTCACATAACCAAGTAAAGCCAGACACCTCCTCGTACAGCCTTTCAAAGCTTCCTCTTGGCTCGTCTTTTCTTGTTTCAACAAAAATGACACTAATTCTGGGTACTGAAACAAAAGTAATTTTAAATAATTTTTATAACTTATCTTTATCAACCTCAACGGCCAGTAATAAACATATAAAAATAAAAGTATACCCCTTTTAAACGTAAATCTAAGATTCACCTACCCGTTGAACGGCAACTAATCGACTAGCTGGAAACTCGACCAAATGCTTCACAAGATTTTCTGTTTTCGGTAGCGCTTCAGGCGGAGATTCTGCTTCCAATAATGCTTTCACTAGATTCTGAGTCCGTTCCACAACTTCCGTTCGGCTCACTTTCTTCACGATTATCTTTGTTTTCCTGAAAATAGTTTTAAATCAAAGCATAAATATTAACGAATATACCATAACATTCTCGTATCAGACCTAAATAACATACTTCTCCTTGACAGGTGGAGCAGTAATTTCATGTTCACCTCGTTCCACTTTGTGTTGTGCTGGATTCCACAGCGAACTCACAACGCCAGATAGGTATCCAAAGTAGGAAGGTTGTGTGGTCTCGATAGTTACAGTATTCTTGGTTGAAGAGTCCGATTCTTCTGTTAGTTTTTGCAAAGTCTTGATTTCTTCTAAAAATAAAAGGTTGTAAAGTTAAAAGAATATTATTCTTGTCGAGGTAACAAGTTTTACTTCCTTTTTATAATATATTTTTAAAAACTATGTTTATCTTAACAAAAAACTTACTTTCAGAAGCTTTTTCCTTCTGAGTATTGAGAGCTCCAGCACTAGTTTCAGGTGCTCCACCTCTACCTTTAGAGAAGATGCCAAACCTTGAAAACCGTGTCAGTACAGTCATAACTAATAAATTCTAGTCCACTCCATGCAATTAAACCTGAAAACGTCCATTAGAACGTTCAGATAGAACGCGTGAGGTTAAAGAACAGCTGTTATTAAAAGACCAAACGATGTTACGATGAAATCAGCTGAACTTTAATCAAGGATAGTATAACAACTGTATGCAACTACGTATTGAGATAAACATTTATATTAAAAATGATTATTTAAAATAAAGTTCTACTCCCTTTATTGCAATTGTTACAACTATCACTAAAATCACCCGTTATCATCTGATTCCGAGATATAAACTCCCATTCGAGGAAACCCCATTTCTCTCGATCTCTACCCCTCCCCCGAATAATAGTGCATTTCAGGGTCCCTTAGACATTTGTCGTCGAAATTCATTAAAAAAGCCACGTGCTTCCTGACTAAAGACCAGACAAGCGGCTCACATGGTTCAGCTCGTCATTCATCACAATACTTATGGTGTTTAACCCGGAAAATGAAACAAAATTAGCTTTTTATATTTATTAACAACATTATATTATAACAACTAAAACAACTAACAACATTGAGCGTCTCAAAACAACTTCAAGATCAATCGAGAAAGTACAAAACAATTTCAAAACAAGATAAGAATACAAAGTAAACAACAAAATAAAGTGACATCACGAAGCTTCAGAAGCTTCATTCACTGGTGCCGGCAGAATCCTGATCACAATGTCCAAAATCTCGCCCATCTGATCGTCGTTGATCCTCTCATCGCACTCTTCAATCAACACTCCAAGACCGAGACTATCTGTCGGCCTGTGATTCACAATTTGCAAAACTTCGGCTCCAGTCAACTTGTACGGTTCGAGAGCTTTCATTAGTTCAACGACATGTTGTTCTGTCTGACTGATAGCCGGAGTCTCTTTAAGGTATTTTACAGTCTCGTACAGCACTGTCTGGTGTTGTCTGAGAGATCGTTCTTTGTTTTGCTTGGCCTTTGCCGTTATCAGCAAGTTCAAAGCTTCTGCATTTGATATAACCGTACATCGAGCATCCAAAACTTCCATTATCTACCTAAAATAATAAAAAAATAAATGTTTTATAAAAACTCACGTTATAACGCTTTAATTTACGTAAAACGGTCACAAGATCCCGAAAATATAAATATTTTATTTATTTTCGTCTCAACTATTGACTTTTAAGACGAAGTGTCACCTTTCGTTTGCTGATCAAAAAACATTTTCTATCGCTAACAGCGCAATGATCTGCTATGATAAACGTTTATAAAAAAGGTTGTTTATTGACGGAAAGTGATTTTTTACATTTCAGCCAGTCCACTTTGTCATCTGTTCACTTCTGTCTCGCGATTATATTACATTTATAAGAGCAAGTTTGTATTAAATTACTTTCAGACAATAATGGTGCATGTTACCCACATCATATTTGACTTTGATGGAGTTCTAATTGACAGCGAGACCCAGTACTCGATTGCCAATCAAAATGTCTTGAACACTTGGGGCAAAGAGTTTACATTGGACAAGAAGTTGGCCATGATGGGGACCAAGAAGAGCGAGGCCATGCAAACTCTCATCCGAATGTCCGATCTCGAAGGCAAAGTGACACCACCGCAGTACGAAGAGTTGTACGATGTTCAACTGAACAAGCTGTTGTCAGAACCTCCAGAACTTCCTGGCGCCGACCGACTGATCTCACATCTTTTCAATAACAACATTCCCATGGCCATTTGCACTGGATCTGATGACTGGGAGTTCGAGCTGAAGACCAAGAAACTTTACAAGAAGTGGTTGGACAAGATTCCACTCAGGGTTTTGTCTGGATCTGATCCTGAAGTCAAGCACGGAAAGCCTTCTCCAGATCCTTACCAGATCACGCTTCAACGAATGGCTCCAGGGCTTGACCCCTCCAAGGTGTTAGTGTTCGAGGATTCGATTAACGGAGTCAAGAGTGCTTTAGCAGCTGGAATGAATTGTGTTATGATACCGCAATGGCAGTTTGTGAACGAGTCCGGAAAGAAGGAGATCGAGGAATTGAAGCCGAAGCTGGCAGATCTTCTGGAGTCACTAGAACAATTCCAACCCACAAAGTACGGTCTTCCAGCCTTCCAATAATTCTAATATTATCATTTATTTTGCAATGTTTGCAATTTAAAAAATAAATTAATAGTCATTAATACAAACAACAATTATTCTGACTTCTTGTCCTTCTTCTTCTGCGATTTCTTGGCGGCTTCTTTCTCTTTGGCTTCTTCTGGGTTCACGATGTGTTCTTCTGTGTAGTTCCACAGTTCGCTGAACTCTCCTCTGATCACGGCCAAGATCAGGGGGATGATGATGCATGAGGGTACAAGGTACAGCAAAGCAGGTTGAGCTGCCTGAAAATTAATTGTCATTAATCAAAAATTTATATTACTCTGATAAAAAATAAAAGCTACCTTAAAATGGTGCATGACGCCCATGGTAACCAGTAGTCCGACCATGTATCCGACAATGACAGCAGCAAAGTAGTATCTGTTCTTTGACTTTTCGGTTTTCTTTGATCCCACGTAGTGGTCGAATCTGTACAGCAAGGCGACAAAGATTCCTGGCACAACAATATCACCCAATCCGAGCATGCTGTACTTGCTGGCTTCAAACCATCCAACTCTCAAGATATCTTGTGGGAATTGCAACAAAATCGGGGCATCAATAGACTTGGCAACAGTGGTCATGACATCAGTTCCGAATACCCAGAAAATGTCGTAGAAGAATAGTCCAATCAACAAGAATAGTCCGGCCTAAACTTTGAAATAACGTAAAAGTAATGAGTACATACCTTGAAACTAGCCAAATGAAGATTCTCGATTCCATAAACCGAAAATCCAATACCCAACAAATTGTTAGTGATCCAGTGTCGTCGGTACAAGTGAGAGACGCCGACAAAGATACCAGTCAACAGCAAAGTGCCAAGGTAGTGACAGTCGTACTCGATGTGAACAAGAGATTCCTAAGTTGTTGGTTAAAAATTGAGTTAAAAAATGTTGTAAATATTCAAACTTTACAAAAAAGCACCAAACCTTACAGTTTCGTTGTGGCTAGCGTAAACAATGTCGCCCTCCTCCATTTCCTTCTTTCCCTTCTTGATCGACCACAAGTAGGTAGTGTTCTTCTTCGGCCATCTGTCTCCAATAGGTAACAACCGTAGAACAAATGAAACTACAGGCTTGAACAAAACAGCCAGAGCTGAACATCCTTCGTAAACCAACAAGACCAGCAACCAGTAGGCCAACTTGCTCTTGTTAACTTCTGGAACATAAGGCTCGATGTAAGTAGTGGCATCGTTCACAAAGTCCTCCAGGCGGGGATCGCTGGATTTGATTTTATAGTAGTAGTCCTTCACAAACTGGAATCTCACTGGAGCTTCATCTGTGTTGTTCTTGACCAGGAAGTAGTCTCTCCCACTCTCGACATACACAAAGTATTCTTCTGGTACGTAAGGCTGAACCTTCTGAGCGAGAACATCAGCTACTGGATAAGGTCCTCTAAAACCAAAGGTTGAAAATCTTATAGATAATACAGTTAAATCACAAAGTCAGTTTAAAGATTAAAAAAGTAAAAAACATACTTGAACACAACATATAATCCAAACAGAACGAAACTAGCCGTCAGTGGAAACCTGGTGGCTTCCTTCCATCCTATCGAACTCTCAATGTTCCGCTTTTTAGCAACATGTGTTTTAATCAGTTTAACTGATCGAATTGAACCCCATACCACGCATAGTAGAGCCATAGAGTAAAGAGAGCATGATGATAACACCTAAAAACATAAATTATCAAACTAAGAAACTAAAAACGCCAATCATACTCATCATTTTTACAAAAAACATAAATTATTATAAAATTCGTTAAAAAAGAATAAAATTTACCTGTTCTTCAAAGGTGAACACCACCTTTTCAGGTGTTGCTGTTGTTGTTGCGGTTTCGGCCATGCCTGAGAAAGATTCTAAAATTATTCAATGTTACGATTGCACCCAAGTAAACAAACACGCAAATATATACGCATCAATATGGCCATCTAGTTCTTGAGCTGCAAAGCGGACCACGTACGCCGATGCGAGAAATAATGCATTATCCAGTCGTTTTGGTCCCGCACGGAACAATTTACGGCTTGATGTTGGCCTTTTGCTTACGTTGTTTTACAGAAATCATTGTTCGTAAAATAAATTTTTTAGACAAATTGTAAAACCTTTACATAAATTGTGTTTTTCAGTTTTTAATTGTTCACAAAAATGACTCTAATGTTAAATAATTACATATTGATTATGAAGGAGGTTTTTACGACGGAAAATGGTGATAATTCATGTTCATTATTGTGCTTCTAGTATCTGTTGTTTTTCACATGATCTTATCTTTGATTTGCTTAATTTTCTTACATCTTACAGTAGTTTTTCTTTATTAAATAAACACGATGTTTTATGAGTATTCAAGTCTTAAAAAGCTGACCATTTTCTAGTTATTATAAGTACTCGGCCATTTTTGAATAACATACTAATGTAAGCTTATAATTTACACTTTAAGGATTAACTTTATTCGCCAAAGCTTCTAGAAGCGAATCTCGAAGCGTCAGCACGAGTGTACGTTGATTTTCTGACGTGTTATTCGAGAGCGCGCGCTGATTGGTGCACGTCACAACGGGGCGGGGCTTGACCATTCAAATCGAGAAATTTCCACGCGAAATTAGTTTGAGTCTATTGTAAGGTTGCCTTTCAGAGTGTAGACAACTGTGAGTCAAGATGGCCGCTAGGAGGTCATGGCTAATTGTTTTGGCCGCTCTTTTGATTGCATCTGGTGAGTTTCTTTTCTTTTTTATGGTCATTTTTGTTTTTTTTCGTTTAGCTTTTGCTTTTTTGTCTATTTTTGAACTTTAAAAGCGTTAAAATAATATGTTTCAGTTTATAATAACATTATATTTCAGCATTTATACCTCAATATCATGTACACGCCGACGAGGATGAGGTTGATGAAGCTACAGTGGAGGAAAGTGTGGCCAAAGGAAAGGTTGGGTCAAAGACTGACGACGAAACAGTTTTGAGGTAGGTTTTGTAAATTTAAACGTCTCTTGATTTTTGGAACTATGTTTTAACTTTAAAATTTTTTAATTTAACTTTACTAGATTTTGTTACCTAAAATCTTCATTTTAAAGTTATTTATCTGAGTATGTTGCGATAATTTTTTTGCGCTTAAAAAGTGAAAGATATAGGGCGTAAATACTTATCTAGTTGCAAAACGTGGTTTTATTAATGTTTACTGATAAGAGGCGTCAAAATTGCAACAAAAATAGTTTAACGTCTCCACGTTGACTTTTTTAAAGTTGCGCGGAAATAATTGGGTCAGACAGGCACCACCAGTCTCGTTTTGTTTGCTCTCCTTGCTTTAAACTTTGCGAACTCTCGAGTGACTTTTATTCAATTTTAACGTTAATAAAAGCTAATTTAACGCAATTTCAATAAAATAAGATTCGCTTTAAGCATTACAGACTTAAATGTTACCTAAAAAATAACAATTGTCATTTAGGGAGGAAGAAGCAATCAAATTAGATGGGTTGTCCGTATCGGAGATCAAGAAGCTACGGGAAAGTGCGGAAAAGCATGAATTCCAGGCCGAAGTCAATCGAATGATGAAGTTGATCATCAACTCTTTGTATAGGAATAAGGAGATCTTTTTGAGAGAACTCATCTCCAACGCTTCTGATGCTCTGGACAAGATCCGTCTTTTGTCTTTAACCGATCCTAACGCTTTGAGTGCCACTGATGAAATGTCGATCAGAATCAAGAGTGATAAGTATAACCACATCCTCACTTTAACTGACACTGGTATTGGAATGACTAAGCAAGACCTCATCAACAATCTTGGCACTATCGCTCGCTCTGGAACTTCAGAATTCTTGCAAAAATTGATGGACTCTAACTCAGATCAACAACAAGTAAGTGGTTCACTTTCACTGATTATTTTGTGTTTAGGATTTGATTGGCCAATTTGGTGTTGGTTTCTACTCTGCTTTCCTTGTTGCCGACAGAGTTGTGGTTACGACTAAGAACAATGACGACAAGCAGTACATCTGGGAGTCTGATTCCGCTTCTTTCACCATTGCCGAAGACCCACGTGGATCAACTTTGAAGCGAGGTACGGAGATCCAACTCCATTTGAAGGAAGAAGCTTACGATTTCTTGGAGCCAGACACTTTGAAGAAGCTTGTCCACAGATATTCCCAATTCATCAACTTCTCTATCTATTTGTGGCAATCCAAGACTGTCACTGTTGATGAGCCAGTTGAAGATGAGGAAGTTAAGGAAGGTGAAGAGAAGAAGACCAAGAGCGTTGAGAAGACCGTGTGGGATTGGGAGAAGGTCAACAGCCTTAAGCCCATCTGGATGCGCAAGCCTTCAGAAGTTACCGAAGACGAATACAAAGAGTTTTACAAGAGTATTACTAAGGATTACGACGAGCCTCTGGGACATGTAAGTTACTGGCTTTGAAAATATATTTTATTTTTTGAGTGTTTAAGACATGTTTTTATTATGAATATCCTTGTTCTAGGTCCACTTCAACGCCGAAGGTGAAGTTTCCTTCCGTTCGATCATGTATGTTCCAAAGAAGGCCCAACAAGATGCCTTCCAGAACTACGGAAAAGCCAACGAAAACATCAAGCTCTACGTCAGACGAGTTTTTATCACTGATGACTTCCAAGACATGTTACCTAAGTACTTGTCTTTCATTAGAGGTTTGGTCGATTCAGATGATCTTCCTCTCAATGTGTCTCGCGAAAACTTGCAACAACACAAGTTGTTGAAGGTGATCAAGAAGAAGCTGGTCAGGAAGGTATTGGACATGTTGAAAAAGATGGACGAGAAGACCTACGATGACTTCTGGAAGGAGTTCTCTACCAACTTGAAGCTCGGAATCATGGAAGACCCATCAAACCGTAACAGACTCGCTAAACTCCTTCGGTTCCAGAGCTCGAACGATGCTACTGCTTTGACTACCTTGACTCAGTACGCCGAAAGAATGAAGGAGAAGCAAGAAACCATCTTCTACGTTGCCGGAACTTCACGTAAGGAAGTTGAGACTTCTCCATTTGTTGAAGCCTTGTTGAAGAAGGGATATGAAGTCTTGTACTTGACTGAGCCAGTAGACGAGTACTGTATTCAGGCTATGCCAGAATTTGATGGTAAGAAGTTCCAGAATGTGGCCAAGGAAGGATTGAAGCTGAACCAAGGAGAGAAGGCCAAGGAAGCTTTTGCTGAACTCGAAAAGCAATTCGAGCCCTTGACCGACTGGTTGAAGGATAAGGGTCTGAACGGCAAGATCGAGAAGGCTGTTGTCTCTGAACGTTTGAGCACGTCTCCATCAGCTCTTGTCGCTTCATCTTACGGATGGTCTGGAAATATGGAGAGGATTATGAAGTCGCAAGCCTATGCCAAAGCCAACGACCCCACTCAAGACTTCTACGCCAACCAGAAGAAGATCTTTGAGATCAACCCTCGGCATCCAGTAGTTAAGGAGTTGTTGAGAAGAGTGGAAAGTGATCAGGAGGATCCCAAAGCAGTCAGCACTGCTCAACTCCTCTTTGAAACTGCCACTTTGAGGTCAGGGTTTGCTTTGAATGATCAAGTCGGCTTTGCGGAAAGAATTGAAGCTGTAAGTTTATTACCTAAAATTATTTCTTGTTTTGTTTTATCGTTGATTTGTATAAAAACTATACTTTTAAATATTAAACTGTGTATTTACAGATCCTCCGTCAATCCCTTGACTTGAGTGCCGATGAGCCAGTCGAAGAAGAGGTAGAGATCGTTGAAGATGAAGCTCCCAAAGAAGAAGAGTCGACAACGGACGAGAAGGTGGAGGTAGAAGAGGAACACACCGAACTTTAAGCCTCTGAATGTTGTTAATAATGCCATTCCATTTATTTATTCTCTTTGTCTCAATGCTCTAGGGTCTCTTTTTGTAAAACTTAATATAATTTATTCATCAATATTACTGGTCTGTTGAAACTTAATATTAAAATAAAAGATATGGTTGTTTGTTGCCTTTACTTGGACTAGTTGTTATTCAAAATATATTTTAGGAAAATTTAAAGAAAACTTGGAATTTTTGGGCATGTTTAAACTTATTTTTAATCAAGAGTGTAGGTATTGGTTTAGAATTTTTTTCACAAAATCTTTGATGTTTCACCCTAAAAAACAAATATTTATACATTTGTAATATCAAAATATTTTTTCAAACATAGTAGCACTGTCAGGCTGTATAACAATATATCTTTTTATTGTCAAGCACATGGAGTCCCAAAGTCGTTTTTGAAAATAAAAAATGTCATAGGGTTAAACGGCAATTGTGAGGTCAAACGGTAATAAGATGATTTATACGGTGTTTTGCGAGAGAAAGTGGAAACAACAAAGCCAGGAGTAGGTTTGTTGACAGTGGAGTGGGGGTGGGTGCGGGTGGACTCGGAATGGCTTTGTTGTCGGGCGTGGTGCCAAGTTCAAGCTGCGGAGAATGGGGCTCGTTACCTGCTCCAGAATCGAATCACATCGTACGCGGGGATAAATAAAGAAAGTTGACCGAGAACTGACCAAACGAACTGCACTCCCGGGATTAGCCTGACGCCGACCTGGCCAGGCCGGGGCTTTTTCGCTCGGAAAAGAGAGCGGCCGAAAAGGTGAAGAAGAGAGTAAAAGCAAGACCGCCTCGGCGAAACGGGCAATGTCACTTTAGCAGAGAGAAAGAGAGCCCTCAGGGCCCAGGGGACGACCGACTCGTGGTGCCGTGGCTAGTCGTCTTTGCAGCAAAGTAGGGAAAAACTGTCTCCGCACTCTTTTTATCTTCTTTAACCCGGGTACGATGGCCTGAGGGGAAGAAAGGGAGATAGAAAGCGTCTTCTGTGCCCATCTCCTTGTTATCGCCTTGAAGAAAAGATGAGGCCAAGTGCATTCCTCCTCCGCACCTTCTGGTTTTCAAATTATAATCGCGCCGTTTTGACTGGACTGACTGTTTTCGCGGGCCAGGCCGCATTGTATTCCTGAATTCTCGTTTTTCAATTAAGAATTCCGCGAATTTGTGATGAATACAATACCTCGGCCCCTCTCACCACTAATTATGTTTTTGGCGTTGGTGGACCGGCGATTTCCTGCCCCACAAAGCGGACACGTGCCGTTCCGGAGTGCGCGAATAGTTGAAATACTTTTTTAGGGGTTTGTCGTGCCCGAGGACCGCGGATTAGTTGACGTTTCTCAACAAAAGGTGCCGGCCGAGAGTAAAAGCCGCTATTAATGGGAATGAGGGGATGTTTTAGTCTCTGGGTGTTATTATGCCGTGGATTATATTGTTCTTGGTGGGGCCATTCCCTTTTTGTACTTTGAATTGCTGGAAAGTAGGACTGGGTACTCGATGTTCCGAGATATTTCCCTTTTTGTTCTCCAAATTGGCCGTTCTCGCGGGAATCTGGCCGTTTCTCCCTTGATTCTTGACGTTCCGTGTGCCGAATCAAAAATGCCATGAATGAAAATCCTCACCCTGCCCTGAGGCACATAAATTGTGTCCTTCAAATGAGATACATTCGGACACGTTCCCTTTAACGGCCATTCCTACAAATTGTAATTGTGTTTCGGTTTAACGGGTCTTAAACTAATTAAGTCGCGATGACCGAACGGCTACACAGCCCTCCAGTCAGCAGTTTGGCCAAGATGGACAAAACAGCCGGGACACACCTGTCACTCAGAGAGCAGGGACTTTTTGTATAATTCCCGTTCTGATCCCTTTATTTTCCAATTATAACTGGGCTTGTACACATGATTAGGCTGTGTTACAATAGACTTGTTTGCGGGTAGGGCACGTGTGCGTCACCGAGTATACTTTTTCACATTCGTCCTGTACTTTTTGTAGTTGAGTTGTAGTCGTGTCAAGGTTTCACATGACAATCTACGTAGTTATAGATACACTATTGTCGTTTACAACTCCTTTCGTATCTAATTCCATCATATTATTTACTGTACTCGAGTTATGCCATTGGCGACAATAGACCCATTACCATCCCCACATGTCCCCTCAGGCCGTCACGGCTCGGTAAGACGGTTTCCCGCCTTTTTGGTATTGTGGGGTTTGGAAAGTTGAAAATTGAAGGGACGAGTTGAAGGTTGAAACCGGAGACGTCTTTAGGAAGAATAAGGCCAAAGCGGCCAGAAGAAGGAAGCGGCATTATTAGGACCAGATGGATGTCTTTTACTGTTTTTATTGACCTTTCTCAAGGTCTACGGAGTTATTTTTATGTACTAATTTGGGTAATCGATCATGCAACGCCTTGGGCCCAGTTTCTGGCCATATTGACGCCAATTTGACATGTAACGGCAATTTAATTGTGTCGCTTTTGGGAGTAATTAGACATTTTGCTTTATAGGGGGTGGATTCTGTTGATATATGATGACATATTTTGTCATTTTGGATTGGTTTCGTCATATTATGTGTTTCTTTAAATCATTTTTAGTCACAATTGCTTAATTTTGGTTTATTTTAAAACTCGTGTTGATAATCTTTGTTTGATTTAATTTAAAATTTTGAACTAGGATTCGACTAGTCTAAAACCCCTTTTTAATAATTTTTAAAATTTAAATAATAAAAATTCTTCATTTTCTCTTTTTGTCAACTACAATATGTGCAACATTTCGGGTCCGAACTCTTGGGTAAAGAGATTAGCAAGCGGCATCAATCACAACTTAAGGATCAACAATGGACTCTCGAAGCCTGAAGGGTTTGAAGCCGCAGAAAAAACCGGGTTTAAGAAGAGGAATGGCCAAGAAATGCCGTCTCTCGTGTTTTTTGCCACAAAAAGAGGAAAGAACATGGGGCATTTCCTCTGCAACGACGTTTGGTGCCTCCTTGAAACCCGCTCCATTACATTACTCCGTTGTTCAGCCTGATCCGTCTAATTGCCATCTATATCCGAGTGTCTTTCGCGTTTAATGTCCACACTTCCTCTTTGCTATGCCAACCTGAAAGACACGCGTTTCCCTCCCCAAATCGCCTGAGGATTGTAAACTTTTAATCAAAATAATGTTTCAGGCCTGCCTTGTCTTTTCTGTACATACGAATGCCATCCGGCGGCTCGGTGCCGCAGCAACGATGAGAACGTTGAACAATCAAAGGCATCGTTGTTCCATCTACAAAGTCAGTAGCGCTGCTCGTCGCCGTCGCCTCAAGTGTTAGAAGATGTCGGGTATGTCATTTTATTTTCAAGTATTTTAAGGTGTAATTAGGTATATTAATAGTAAGTTTTGATCCTGACAAAAGTTGTATATTGTATAAGTAGCAGAACACAATGTTGATTTTCCCTTGCTCGAGATGTTCTTTTAATGTTGCTTCTAATAACACAATTTCAAAATCTGAAATCTGATTATGAGGTCAAATAGGGAGAAAATCAGAATCCGAGAATAAGCCCAAACTCAGTAGGCATCTTTTACGGTAAACGGGCTGATGGTTGAGGCTGCTTTTACGGTAAATACCATACCAAAGTGATGTTTGGAAAATACGTTTGGAGCCAAAAACTCTTGCTCCCAATCTCTGGCCTAGGGCGATCAAGTGGGGGACCCGCCGCCAAGAACCTCAAGAGCTACCGAAAGGTGACTATGACGATAGCGAGGCCAGGGAAAGTGCAGGAAAGTGCGCAGAGCTGATCCTTGCCTGCCTCCACGCTCTCCTGTAATCTCGATCACACTCCTTCCACCCCTCCGGATCATCTCATTGTTTAAGCTCCAGGCCCCCTTTCACTCTTTAATTAGCAACTTTGCAGAAAACAAACCCAAAAACTTATTGTTTGGAGTGGCATCGACGTTTTCATTAAGATGCTGCTGGTGATAAGGGTCCTGAATAACACTTTAGACCTTAATTTTAGCCAAACGCCAGTCTATTTTTAAAACTTTGAGGGAATCTGCACGGTGCCGCCAAGCTTACTTTGGTTATTGCACTGTGCAATCACTTTGATAATCTTATGTCATCTTATTTGATCGCTAAATTAAAGTTATTTTTGTATAATGATTAAAAAGTAATACCTTTGGTTTCAGCGTTCGCAAGCATGATGGCCTCGTCCATGGACGAGGACGAGAATGGCATCGGTGGAGATGGAGGGGCGGGAGGCGACGAAAACCGAACAGATCTCTGGCAACAAACACTACAGGTAAGCAACCTAACACAACATAACTGTTGGTTTAGAACCTTAAACACAATCCTTTATACTAGTCGTTCGACCTCCAAACACCACCTTCCCACTAGCAGTCCAGCCCTCTAAAGAACGTCTTTTCACTTGTAGTCCAGCCCTCTAGAGACACGTCTTTACCTCACCTCAGACCTCCAAACTACCCGATACCTCGTAGTATCAGGTTCACTCGTTTCTCCTCCCTTTAAACCCGTTTCAATCTCTTCATGAGCTTTTACTTGCAGGCTGCGGTTGCCGCAACGAGTCAGCAGGAGAATGCGCGGAAGCGGGCTCAGCAACGCAAACCCCGCAACACGGCCAACAACACGGTGGAGCGGGTGGAACGGTCTCTGCTCTGCCTCCGCACCACCAACCCCATCCGCAAGTTCGCCATCCACATCACCGAGCTTCGCGCCTTCGAGTCCATCATCTTGCTCATGATATGCGCCAACTGTGTAGCTCTCGCCGTTTACCAACCATATCCCGCCCAGGACTCGGACTCCAAGAACACAATCCTCGTAAGATTCTGACTGATGCTATCCTTACCTCTTGATAAGATACATCTTCAGAAGATGATAATTAATGATATTAATGTCACTTTATTCACAGTTCTTTGAGATAATATTACATTATCATAACCTAACGCGTACCGTATTTCAGGAACAAGTGGAGTATCTGTTTATTGTTGTTTTCACTGTCGAATGTGTTCTCAAAGTGATAGCCATGGGGTTTTTCTTTCATTCGGGTGCTTATCTTCGTAATGCTTGGAATATTCTCGATTTCATTATTGTTGTTATTGGGTAAGTCATCGGTGTTACAGTATGATTGATACTGTAAAAATTCAATATTTTACAATTTATTATTATTTTTCTGGCTTTTACCGTTACCTACTGTTAAAACCTCATTTTTGTGGTTTTCTAAATTAAAATTTTACAATGCCATTTCTCATGTAATGTTGAGCCGAAACTAATCTCATACAACTTTGCAGACTCGTCAGTACGGTGCTTTCCCGTATGCACATCCAGGGATTCGACGTGAAGGCGTTGCGAGCGTTCCGTGTGCTTCGGCCGCTCCGTCTGGTTTCGGGTGTACCCTCACTTCAGGTCGTGTTGAACGCCATCCTCAGAGCCATGCTGCCTCTTCTTCACATTTCATTACTGGTCATGTTTGTCATTATCATATACGCCATCATAGGTCTAGAATTGTTTTGTGGGAAGCTGCATTCAACGTGGTGAGTTTCTACTATAATATTATCCTTTACGTGACTTTTCTCTGTTTTTTAATACAGTATGACATTATTCCTTCTTTTTGAAACTTTGTTTTCGAATTTTCAATATTATTCCACTTTTTGTGTCAAGTTTAATATTACTTGCATAACCTTATCACTCCTGATTTCAGTGTTGATGTAGTGACCGGAGACTTTGCTCAAAAGGACCCTTCACCGTGTGGTCGTGCATCTACAGCGTACCACTGTGAACCGGCATCAGCTTCAGCCAAACACAGTAGCAATGGCTGGGTATGTTCGGGTAACACGACGTGGCAAGGTCCCAACAATGGCATCACCAACTTCGACAACTTTGGCTTGGCCATGTTGACCGTGTTCCAGTGTGTGTCGCTGGAAGGCTGGACTGACGTCATGTACTGGGTGAACGATGCTGTAGGAAGGGAATGGCCGTGGATCTACTTTGTCACATTGGTCATCCTCGGCTCCTTCTTCGTACTCAACCTTGTACTTGGTGTCTTGTCTGGAGAGTTCTCCAAAGAGCGAGAGAAGGCCCGAGCCAGAGGTCTGTTCCAAAAGTTTCGAGAAAAGCAGCAGCTGGAAGAGGACCTAAAAGGATACCTGGACTGGATCACACAAGCCGAGGACATCGAGCCAGTCAACGACGACGACCAAGTGGAAGATGAGCAACAACAGTTTCGTAAGTTGGTTATTACTTCTTGTTTAGTTTTTAGGCTTGGGACCTATTTACTTAATGATGCCTAAAGCCATTTAAATGTTTTTCAAAACTGATTACGGTAATTGCAGAACTGAACGGCGAAGAGATCGACGAAGAAGGTGAGGAACGTGCTGACGAAAAGAAACCTCCCATTTGTGGCGCTCAGATCCGAACATTTCAACGCTTCAACCGACGCTGTAGACGTGGTTGTCGCCGTCTGGTCAAATCCCAAGGATTCTACTGGTTGGTTATCGTATTGGTGCTTTTGAACACTTTGGTGCTGACATCTGAACACTACGGACAGGAGCCTTGGTTAGATGACTTTCAAAGTGAGTTACCTTACCGTATTTATTTTTTTATAGAATAGAAGTAATAACTGTTCTTGAAGCAAGAATAACATTTATATTGACATAGCTCTAAACAATCGTTATTTCAGCTGCCGCAAACCTCTTCTTTGTAATACTGTTTTCCATGGAAATGTTACTCAAAATGTATTCGCTCGGCTTCAACACGTACACTACATCTCAGTTCAACAGGTTCGACTGCTTCGTTGTCATATCATCCATCTTGGAGTTCATCTTGGTCTACTTCGAACTGATGAAGCCGCTTGGTGTGTCTGTGTTACGTTCTGCCCGTCTGCTTCGTATCTTCAAGGTAACCAAGTACTGGACGTCACTCAGAAACCTGGTATCGTCCTTGTTGAACTCGCTCAGGTCGATCATGTCGTTGCTGTTACTTCTGTTCTTGTTCATCGTCATCTTCGCCTTGCTGGGTATGCAAGTGTTTGGTGGAAAGTTCAATTTCAACCCAATGCAACCCAAACCCCGTGCCAACTTCGACACCTTCATCCAGTCACTTCTTACCGTATTCCAGGCAAGTTACTGTACTCTTTGATAATTCTGCTTTTAGATTCTGACTGGTGAAGATTGGAATACTGTAATGTACAACGGTATCGAATCGTTCGGTGGAGTAGGGTCCATGGGTATGATGGTATCCATCTACTTTATCGTGCTCTTTATCTGTGGTAACTACATTCTGTTAAACGTCTTCTTGGCTATCGCTGTCGATAACTTGGCCGACGCTGACAGTTTGACAAACGCCGAGAAGGAAGAGGAGCAGACGGAGATGGAAGTGGAAGAGCCAGAAGACGAGTACGATGAAGAGAAGTACGACGAGAACGGCAACGAAGAGATGCGAATCCGCCCCAACGACATCAAGGATGGTGACGGATCCGACATCGAGGCCAACGAAGAAGAGCCAGTGGGGCCGCGACCTCGTCGCGTCTCGAATCTACCCTCAAGTAAGAACGTGAAGCCGATTCCAAAGGCTTCATCGTTGTTCATCTTGAGCCACACGAATCCCTTCAGGGTATTCTGCAACAAGATCGTCAACCACACCTACTTCACCAACTCCGTGCTCGTGTGTATCTTGGTGTCATCTGCTATGTTAGCAGCCGAAGATCCACTCGAAGCCGGCAGTTACCGTAATCAAATCCTGAACTACTTTGACTACTTCTTCACGACCGTGTTCACGGTGGAGATCACGTTGAAGGTTGTGGTGTTCGGTTTGGTGCTCCACAAAGGGTCATTCTGTAGAAACGCCTTCAACTTGCTGGATATCCTTGTAGTAGCCGTGTCTCTCATCTCTTTTGTACTCAAATCAGGTAGGTAACGTTACTTTGGTCAGTTATTCCATGTTTAGATGCCATCTCCGTGGTCAAGATTCTTCGTGTTCTGAGAGTGTTGAGGCCGCTTCGTGCCATCAACCGTGCCAAGGGTCTGAAGCACGTCGTACAATGTGTGATCGTAGCCGTGAAGACCATCGGTAACATCATGTTGGTGACGTTCATGTTGCAGTTCATGTTCGCCATTATCGGAGTTCAATTGTTCAAGGGAACGTTCTTCTCTTGCAACGACTTATCCAAGATGACAGCGGCCGAATGTCGTGGTGAATTCATAACATACGAAGATGGAGATCCAACAAAACCGTTAAGAATGGAGCGAGAATGGACGAGGAACGACTTCAACTTTGATAATGTCATGGACGCCATGATATCGTTGTTTGTGGTGTCCACGTTCGAAGGATGGCCAGAGTAAGTATTATATGCTAAATGTGCCAGAACATTCTAGGTATTACAAGAAAATTGTTATTCACAAAATTACTTTTTTTATTTTTCTTTAAATGTGCGCCCTCGTTTGGCGCGAATTTTATACGCTGAAACGTGTACAGTTGCTTTGTTTCCGCGAAAAATAAAAAAAAAATTTGTTTTCATAATAATTTTAGAAAGCTAAAGACATTTACAACAAAAATCGTATATTTTTGTAATTATTTCATCTCTATCAAGCCGACTAACATTTTTGAACAATTTCACATTGAATTGCTTTCAGTTTGCTCTATGTTGCCATCAACTCAAACGAAGAAGACAAAGGACCTGTCTACAATGCGAGACAAGCTGTAGCCATCTTCTTTATCGCCTTCATCGTCGTAATCGCCTTCTTCATGATGAACATCTTCGTCGGTTTCGTTATCGTAACGTTCCAGAACGAGGGAGAACGTGAGTACGAGAATTGTGAACTGGACAAGAATCAAGTAAGTTAATCAACGGTTTCTGATATATTGAAACTTGGAAAAATTGGATGATAATATTAGCAGCTTTTTGAAATTTTTAAAGATATTCAACATTAGGTATAAACAAGTTGTAATTCATACATTTTCAGCGTAAATGTATCGAATTCGCGTTGAAAGCGAAGCCTCACCGTCGCTACATTCCGAGGAACAGGTTCCAGTACCGTGTTTGGTGGTTTGTGACTTCTCAGTTCTTCGAGTATGCCATCTTCATCATCATCTTGCTGAACACCACCACATTAGCCATGAAGCACTATCCCCCAGACGTCCAGATGGACAACGTGCTTGACATCTTGAACTTGTTGTTCACAGGAGTGTTCGCTTTTGAAGCCGTCTTTAAGATCATTGCTTTGAACCCGAAGAACTACTTTGGCGACAGATGGAATGCATTTGATTTTGTCATCGTACTCGGTTCTTTCATCGACATCATCTACGGTAAACTGAGTCCTGGGTCCAACATTATCTCTATCAACTTCTTCCGACTGTTCCGTGTCATGAGGTTGGTCAAGTTGCTGGCTCGAGGAGAAGGCATTAGGACGTTGCTGTGGACTTTCATGAAGTCTTTCCAAGTAAGTCTTAATATAGTTTTAGTGTTGATTATTACTGCAATATCTTAAGTTTACAATTATTGTGAAAACTCATGTTATATTTTAACTTCATTTACTGCTTCAGGCCCTTCCGTACGTAGCGTTGTTGATTGTTTTGTTGTTCTTTATCTACGCTGTGATCGGAATGCAGGTGTTTGGAAAGGTAGCCTTGGACGACGATACCCAGATCCATCGTAACAACAACTTCCACACCTTCCCTGCCGCAGTACTCGTATTGTTCAGGTCAGCTACAGGAGAAGCGTGGCAAGAGATCATGTTGTCGTGTTCAGAACGGCCTGACGTCAAGTGTGATCCGTCATCTGACGACTACAAGAACGATCCCAACGCACTTTGCGGAGTCGACTTTGCCTATCCTTACTTCATCTCCTTCTTCATGTTGTGCTCGTTCTTGGTCATCAACTTGTTCGTGGCTGTCATTATGGACAACTTCGATTACCTGACCAGAGATTGGAGTATTCTGGGGCCTCACCATCTGGAAGAGTTCGTGAGGTTGTGGTCTGAATACGATCCTGACGCCAAGGGGAGGATCAAGCATCTTGATGTAGTCACATTGCTACGTAAGATATCTCCACCGCTCGGTTTTGGTAAACTGTGCCCTCACAGGTTGGCCTGCAAGGTAAGATACCGTATCTGACATATTTTAAGTCAAGATAATATTTATTTTTGTACGGTCAATTGTATATACTACTGTAATGTTCCTTTTGTTATTGCATGTTGTCTTTCTTTGTAGCGACTCGTATCCATGAACATGCCGCTGAACAGTGATGGTACTGTCTGTTTCAATGCTACTTTGTTTGCTTTGGTTCGTACCAACTTGAAGATCTACACTGAAGGAAACATCGACGAAGCCAACGAACAGCTTCGAGCTGCCATCAGACGTATCTGGAAGAGAACTCCTATCAAGATGCTCGATGAAGTCGTACCTCCAGCTGGACGTAAGTACTTTACAGTAGTATATCAACTTATTTAGGTGGCGATGACGTTACTGTCGGGAAGTTCTACGCTACCTTCTTGATCCAGGACTACTTCCGTCGCTTCAAGAAACGAAAGGAACTTGAATCCAAAGGTGTCATCCCAGTACAAAGTACTCAAGCTATGGCACTACAGGTAAGCATATTATAGATGTTGTAGTTCAGAACAAATTTATTTTAATATTTTACTTCAGACAAAACTTAATTTACATAATCAAAAGTAAAGTAGCATAAACAATATTATCTAGAGAAATAATCAAATTTTAATAATTATCATAATCGCCGTATTTTAGGCCGGCCTCCGTACGCTACACGAAATTGGCCCTGAGCTGAAGCGAGCCATTTCCGGGAATCTGGAGACGGACTTCGTGAACGAGCTGGAAGAGCCCCAACACAGAGTTAGTCATCTTTTGTTTCGGCATTGTTTGCCTAGGTTATTCGATTCCGTTTATCGAATGCCGGTTCGTGGACGTTTTCTGACCTCTTGATGCCTTTTTGTATAAATTCATCCGTCCAGAGAAATTAGCGGCCGCTCGGAAGAAAGGCCCTCCGGGCAATTGCTGCGGCCGTCAAATTAAACGCCGGGAATTGTTGTTTTAACGGACTTGTTTTCAGCGCACCCATTCCCTCTTCAACAACATTGTGAATGCGTTGAGCGGCTCCAATCAGCCGAGTAGTGCTAGTGGGGCCTCCACCACGCACCACCAGCCCTACGAGAGGGAGGAACGCAAGCTCTTGCCGCTCAAGAGTAAGTTCTTGCTCCGCAAGTCGGGCCTAAAGTCCGACTACGAGCTGGAGCAAGGGACCCTAGACCGTCTTCTGCCCACCCGCCCCAGCAACTTTAGTCTGCCCTTTTTCTGACGACCTCGTTATTGTACATACCTCAGGTTTCGTGTTTGTTTTACTACCTTTCCATTGTTATGATTTACTGTTTGTTGCCATTCTCGCACTTACGTACTACTACTTAACTCACGTACATGTTGTGGTAACGTTGACACGACTGTTCCCCTTATCATTACAGTTTTGTGCTCACACTCCGGTTTGTGGTGTTTTAATATTATAGTAGCCTTTAACCACTATTCAGTTAGTTTTCCTGACATATTGTTAGTGTTCGATGTATGTTTGTATGATTACAAGTTCACTTTAATAAATGGTATTTCGAGTGGCCCCGGCCGCGTTTTAACACCTTTAATTTATGTCGTGATGTGAATGGGGTAATTTAATATTACTAAATCAAAGCCAGAGTGAGTGCTTAACTATGCACCATCACACGTAAGTCGACGCTCGTGCATGAATGCACCACAGACACGCGACGTCGTCCACAAACCTGTCGTAAAGTAAATAAAATGTTGTCTTCCTCCAGATCTGGCCTTATTCTTTTAGTCTTTCCCATGAGAGCCAATTTCATGCCAAAATCTTCAATTTCATTTTTAGTGGATGGCCTATCCCCGACGCATTCCATTGCGGCCGCGGACACAATCAGCAACGAACACTACCGTATCCACCGCGGCATGCCCACCAACAACAGCATCAACATCCCCACCAAAGTAGGTTACCCCGCCCCACTCGTAATACTTTAGAACCACGTCTACCAGAACGAGCATCAGCCATTAGTCCAGAACAGGTATGGGAAAACAAATGGCGCCCCCAACACAGGAAGACGACTTCCCAATCTGGCAAAACTTTATGGCCGCGGCCCGGACAGGCACTTCCACACTTCGTCCACGGAATCTCAACAACCTCTGAATCCGTCCCATGACTCACGGGATTCTTCTCTAGGCCCACAAAGACCGGTCGACCCCGCTCGCAGATTCATCTTTGCCAACCGAACGTAAGTCCTGAAGTCAGCCTTCTAATCTCGTTTCAGAATGCCCCCAGAATCAGATGACGAGGACTGGTTCGAACGCCGACAAAGGATCGATGCCATGGAGAGAATGGAAGAAACGGAGAGAACTCGACCGCCAATCCAGGAGCCCCTTCAGCTAGCCAGAAGCCAAGCCTTCGCTTTAGCCGGAGTCAATTCTGACAACGAATACGAAGTCCAGTCGCCAACCCACTCCAGGCTGGGCTTCGGAATGATGGATATGGGTATCATGGACGATGACAACAGGACCTATCGACCAGTGCCCGACGGACAGTCAGTCCGGCTACCTCACACTGACAGTCGACGAACATTATTCCGACCCGCGGAACCTGGTGAGTACTACAACTACGAGAAGCCCAGTGCTCCATTAGTACAGCGACACCTGCCCAACAATAGACAACACCCAGCCGACCAGCTAGTCCGAGACGCACTACAGACTAGTCTTGGCCGCTACATGGATCCCCAGGTGGTTGAAGTCGCTCGACGAGAGTTGGCTGAAGCCTACGAACTCAACGAACGACAGCTACAGTCGGCCGCCCAGTACACGCTAGCCAATCCTACTTATCTAGAGCACGTCGGTGGCATCAGGCCGGAGGAGATCAACGACTACAACCAGTACTCGCAGCAGTCTCTTCTACGTCGTGCTGACACTCATCATCAACCTCACCTCAGTCAAGGGACCAGCAACGCGGGCGGATCCTCCAAAGACGAGGACCTGCTGCTGGTTACCACATTGTAAATGTTTATAAAGTGCCGAATCTCGTACATATGTCTTCCTTAATTTAAATCTGTGATTTTGTACTTGTATTTCTGTTCGCTTCGAGGATCGCCGTGGAAGTGTCAGTTAGGATGTGCTAGATGTCACTTAGGATATGCTAGATGTCACTGCTACGACAATCCTCGTCCCCTAAGGTTCTTGCAAACTGCTCAACTCTGTTTTGTATAATATTGTTAACACGCCGTGCAACAACGACGTCGAGACCGGTTTTGTTTCCATCAAATAAAGTTTTAAATTGAATTTCCAGCAGAATTATACAAATAATTGAAAACAAACTAAGTTAAAGTTCGCCAAAGCCCTGTTACAAAAGAATAACAGAGCGAAGGGAACGGGCGCAATTCACAGACATCATCATCATCACTCGGTTAGAGCCCGCATGTAAAAAAGGGCCGCGACCGAAAGACTGGAGGTTACCTGACAAAGGAGTTCACAGTGCCTTCAGGGTGTCGCGCATTGTTATAACTCTTTACTTCCGAGCTAATCATATGTAGGACTTCCTTGCTGACTTGTCGTGACGTTAAACTAAAGCAGCAAGGTTGTAAACCGTTCCCCTTCCGATTAAACAAAATGTTCTTAATTTAGTTAGATGCGGTTGTCAGCCTCTAAATGACGGCGAACTACACGGTTGACAATAACACCATCCAATCGCCCAAGAAATCCGTCAGAATCTGTGCCGTTTGTGGCGATACACCGGCTAAATTACATTATGGAGTGCTGGCCTGTTTTGGCTGTAAAGGCTTCTTCCGACGGGCGGTGAAGGAAGGGAGAAACAAGTACGTTTGTCGCTACGACAAGCAATGTAAAGTTGACAAATGTAGGTTGTTTTACAGAGTTTTTCAACCATTTCTTACCTTCAATGTAAATGTATTTTAGATGAAAGAAACAGTTGTCGCTACTGCCGATTCCGACGATGCTTGGAAGTTGGCATGAATCCAGATGGTGAGTAACCTACAACTACATTAACTTAAAGTTTCAGCTGTTCGGCCAGACAGAAACGAAAACACTGGCTGTAAAAGTAACAAATCAGTTTCTCCTGAACAAGGTAAAGCCGTTCACAGTTCGTCGCACTTCCGTTTGAGCCGTCAGGATTCAAGTAGACCCCTCGAGGACGTTCCGGAAGACAATTGCACTTTGCCGGATTTGTGAGTTTCTATTGTTTTGCGTCATTCATTTACTATTGTTTCGTTTAGTAATTTATTAGTTATTATTTTTGAAATTTTAAATTCCGTTTAAATTAATTTCAGTGAGCTAGTAGACGAGATAAAGAACGTAGAAGAAAGTAGCATAAAACAATGTCGTACCCAAAGCCTAGAATCCGTCAAGAACTTCACGCTGAAGAGTCTCATCAACGAACGCTTCCTCGCTTCGACCGAGCAGGTAATGCTTTAATTATGTCTGATACACCATGTTTAGAACAGACCCATCTTCGAGAACGCTGACGACTCCTTCTACGCGCTGTGGAGGGTCGTTCAGGTGGTGGACTGGGTGAACGGTCTGTGTTCTGTGGCTTCAAAACACATCAAGACCATCGACAACTTCACGGTGGAAGACAAAGTGGCGATTGTCCAGAGTGTGTTCACCAGAATCACCTTTTTCCGTTTGTGTACGGACCGAGTTTTGGAAAGGAAAACAGACCAATTGGCCGTTATGCGCACCCTTTTCTTAGAAGAGTAAGTTAAAAAGAACACGCAAAAACAAATTTTTTATTTGTTTAGGGACGACCTGGTTTATAATTCTGCTAGTGAAGATGTAATTCGTCCACTCAAGAAGACCGCTACGACAGAGACCGAGCTTCTCCTGTTCCAAGCCATCTTAACAGCCGATCCCGCTATCAAGGGCATCAGGCCGGCTGCCTCCGACCTGCTTTTAAAGCTCAGAAACCTACTGATAGACTCGCTACTAGACGTGATAAAGAAGTCCCATCCCCATCTGACCTCACCGTTCTCTCAATGCGGAAACATGCTTCTGTTGACACCGTCAGTCCTGGTATGTTAAACAAACGAAAACAACACCTTTTCAGACAATATCAGACAGACTCCACTCCGCGTTACAACAACACTTCCCTTTGTCGCTGGCTGTAAGCGAGTACCCTTACTTCCGGCTACTCCAATCGCTAGCCAATCCCGATACCACCGACTACCTCAGATTCCCCCAATTCAACAGAAAACTGTTTGGAGCTGAGAAGTCTCCCGAGAAGCCGCCAGAAAGGCCGCCAGTCCCAGATTCATGGCAAACGTTCGCCAACGCTTTCACCGAGATTCATATGACATCGCAGTTGAACGGATCTACGTGCGGACCTACTTTCTCGTTGATGTCAGCACTGAATCCGCTACAAGGCCCGTCATTCTACACAACTCCATCACTATTCCCTAATCAACCCCTGCCTGATCCTCCCCCAAGTTGTTCAGCTTTTGTTACCGTGCCAGCGTTACCACTAACTGTGACAGCTCCAAGTCCATCAAGCGATGTGCTGACGCCTCAGGGACTGCCCACCAACAGTCCAGCTTGCAACTCCGACATTAACAGTTCATATCCACTAGACACCTCCCCCACCACAGCACCTACTGGTCACCGGCTGGAAGTCCCTAACACACATCAGACCTTGAATGCCAATGGCAGAGTCTACAAGCTTCCCTTACAGCTAACCAAATCAATCGAAGAAATGCTAAAGCCCCCAGGGCAGTCGCAAGAAGACACCAACTGGAACAAACCGCTGACAATGGACTGGGCCGACCTCCAGGTCAGCACTCCAGCATTTAACAAAGAAGTCGCCAAGTTCTTCCCAGAAACGGCCCTACCCCACAATGTGTAACATAGCTTGCCATATCAGAGGAGTACACGGCTATCGGATAAACGCTACTTGCCCATACCTTTTACAATCGAATTTTACAAAACACTTCAGTTTTAACAAGACATTATCATAGATTAGGCCTTTAGACTTGTAAAATCACAAAAACTAGATATAAATGGTTTTTTATCACATAAAGCAACAACTTTAAACGTCAGTCCAAGCATATCTACCTATTTTTACATATTATTTTAGCCTTTTCATTAACTTAAATCCAGAAGTGTTTTGTGCCGTTCCCTAATCAAAGCAGGATGCGGTAGCCGCCTACTTAGTTGGCTGTAACAGTTGCAATCGTATTCGAATACCTTCATATGTATAGTGAAACAACGTCGTAATAAATATTGATCGAGCGCTTTGTGTTATTGTGAATATGATAATTTGAAAGTGATATCAAGTGTGAGTTCTGCGTCATTCGAATATTTTTCGATCGAACCCGCAGGCAGTTAAAGTGAGCAGAACTCCCTTTTTTAGTCGCGACAGAAGTAAGCGGCCCTTTAATTCAACCCGTTTAACCCTGATGGCTCGACGATCTAGTAAGTAAAAGTACAGTTAGGTAGTTGCAGAATGTAACTTATGCCAGATTTTCGCATAATTTACTACCTTTACATTACAATGTTAGACTTTATCTTAAAGACTTTAACCTTACCCATTGAGAACTAAAAATAAACAAAAGGTAACTTCAGATTGCTCGAGATGTTTTGGTTTCTGTCAAAAGAACCTCCTCCTGACATTGACCATAAACTCAGTCATTATTGGCCTGGCTTTAGGCTTCGTACTGAGAGGAATGAGCTTGTCGGCCGAGACTATTCAAATAATCAATTTCCCGGGTGAAATCTTCTTACAGGTCCTCAAACTCATGATATTGCCATTGATATTCTCGTCTTTGATCTCTGCCTTGGCCCAACTCGACGCCCGATCTGCTGGCCAAATGGGAATGATTACTGTAGGCTACTACTTGCTTACAGTAATCCTTTCAACCATAGTAAGTTGAGTTATCTTAATGATAAGCATGATCAGACTGGAATTATTTTAGTACTGACGATCCACCCAGGACATCCTGAGATCAACGCTAGTAACAAAGCGGTAGATGCGAGCGAACATCACGCTGTGTCTCCTCTAGATACCTTTCTGGATGTGGTGCGGAACATGTTCCCAGAAAATGTGATTCAAGCCACCTTCCAAAGAGTTCAGACAAGTTATTACGAACACAAACCCAAGTCATTGAGGGCTAACATGACTAGTGCTATCATCAAGAAGAAGATCGAATATGCTGAAGGCATGAACATTCTAGGTAAGACCATTAAATTATAAACATAAGGTTAGACTACAACATTATACATAACAACACTATGAAAAGCAAAGCAAAGTTATCAACCTTAGTTCAACATTATAAAACCCCCTTTAGGTATCATAATGTTCTGTTCCGGCTTCGGCATCATAATTTCTCAATTCGGACAAAAAGCCAGAATCATAATAGACTTCTTCATCATCCTGGAAGCTGTCATCATGAAACTAGTAGATGTATTCATGTGGCTGGCTCCATTAGGTATCGTTTGCTTAATCGCCGGCAATATTCTGGAACTTGACGATCTGTCAGATACTGCTCAATTGTTGCTCATGTACGTTATTACGGTGATCGGAGGCCTCACCATACATACCATACTCACTATGCCGTTACTGTACTTCATACTGACAAGGAAGAATCCCCTTACAATTTGCAATGGTATGATACAGGCCTTGGTTACAGCTTTTGGAACAGCATCAGGGTTGGTTAATAAGTTATTGTTACAATGTTACTTTTTACACCGTAGATATAGTTTTAACTTTCCAATAAAATATTCTCGCGATAAACAGCTTAAAATACTTAAATTACAGAGGAGCAGCACTGCCAGTTTCCATGCAATGTATGGAAGACAACCTCAAGATAGACCGTCGTATTTCTCGATTCGTATTACCTTTAGGATCTACTATTAACATGGTATGTTAAGCAAGCTATATATAAAGGTATTTCAAGGATGGCAACGCATTATACGAAGCTGTGGCAGTAATATTCATCGCTCAACTGAATGGTGTAGAACTGTCATTAGCCGAAGTCATTACTGTCAGGTAAAACCCCTTTTAGGAATACAACATTTAAAACACAATTTCAGCCTGATCTCAACCATAGCTTCTCTCGGTTTGAATTCAGTACCAGCTGGACTAGTTAGTATCTTAATCATCTTGAAAACAGTCGACTTACCTACAAAAGATGTCTCCTTGCTCATCACAGTCGACTGGTTAATGTAAGAAAGCTTGTGGCTGTACTATAATCATCATTTAGTGACAGAATTAGGACATTAATCAACGTTCTTGGAGACGCGTTCACAGCTGGAATAGTATCACATTACCTACAAAAAGAGCTAGACAAAGCAGATGAACTCAACGAATTCCATCAACAACTAACACAAGAAGCCCGTAAGGCCACACTAAATCATGAAATCTTAACAGTCAAAGATAGCACATAATACATAAAATCAGCATATTGTTTTAGTTCTCTTAAAATCAGCAGCAAACAGTCGTCGAGGATCCCTCAGATTCAACGACAGTCCGTTTCTGTCCAACAAAAACAGTCGCAGACCATCAATCGACGTTATGAACTGGAAGGAACAGGCTATTCTAAACAAGTTGACGTCCCAAATCGCACTACCTCAGGTTAAACATGTGTAAAAAAATCGTATTTTAAGCTAATAAAATAAAATCTTCACGAGATGACACTTACCTTCGCGTCAAAAGGCGTTATTGTCTATTTTGAATGGATAATTTTGAAAAAATAGTAAGGTAATTTTGTACTTTTAAAATTTTTAATTTTGAAAAATTATGTTATATTTCTGAAAGTCCCATAACGAAATCTATTCTCTCAAAATTCGTGGCCTTTTGCTGCAAGACATTATTTTTTCCACCTGAAATGCACTTGAATGTGGCGTGTTATGTAAGTTATCACCGAATTGTTGCAAACACGTTTTAATAGAAATGATCGTTGGTAAAGGAGTCGTTCGAAATTTGAGGTAGGCCAATATTTATATAATGATATATATTGTCTTGTTTTTAGTACGCAAAACGCAACTTTAATAGGCCCTGCAGTTCGGTTGCTACTCCACGATTATAACATCAATTTGGATAGTGTGAAAGGCTCTGGTCCTAAAGGCAATGTGTTAAAAAGGTAAGGATAATATTGTTGTTGATTTTGCTTTTAGTGATGTTTGGAGTCACATCAAGGGCTCAAATCTGCAGCCTCAGAAGCAGAAGGTTCCTCTGCCACTGCTGAATCCAGATCCTTTGTTGGATCAGACTACAAAGTTGAAGCACTCTAGTCCGTTTGGAGATGTGGTATCCAAGAGAAGACACAGAAGAACCTCAGCGTTCCAGGACATTCCTTTGTCTGGAATGAGAGCGACTATTGCTAGAAGGTTGACGCAGGCTAAGGTAATATTTTAGTTTACTTAAATTTACAAGTCGTAAAATTCAGGTATCGTTGTGGGATGTCTTAGATACGTAAAACAACTTTTTGTTGTCAATTTAATATATTTTTTCTAGTGTACGGTGCCTCACAACTATACTTCTGTTCAAGTGAGAGCTGAGAATTTGACAGCCTTTAGAAAAACGTTGTCTAAACAAGGAATCAAGGTTTCTGTAAATGATTTCATCGTCAAAGCAGCTGCGTTGTCTTTGAGGGTAAGATCTTTTGTGTTTTCAGTTGTTGATCTACTGTTTTACGTCGATTTTTACAATTTTGCTTTAGGCAGTGCCAGAAGTGAACGTGCAATGGGTAGAGCATGATGTGAGACGTGTACCAGAAGTCGATGTTTCTATTGCTGTAGCTACTCCATCTGGTCTGATTACACCGATTGTCTTCAGAGCAGATCAATTACCGGTCGATAAGATTAGCCACGTTATAAGAGAATTGGCCATTAGAGCAAAAGACAACAAGCTTAAACCTCAGGAGTTTCAAGGAGGATCTTTTACGCAAGTTACATAATTTTTATGGACTTTACATTGAGAACTCATAAATCAAAGTGATTGTTTTTTATGGTTAGGTAACGTTTTTTGAAAATTTTATTAAAAACGATTTACGGCGCTAGGACAAATGCGGTTTTGGACATTTGCGGATCTGCGGTTTTTAGACACTTGCGGATCTTCGGTTTTTGGACACTTGCGGATTTTGGACATTTGCGGATTTTTTAAAGGTTTTTTTTTATTTTTTATTTAATTTATTTGTATATTGGTACTAAATTGTACTAAAGTTTAAATTGGTACGGTTTTAACATAATAGTACCATTTTGGGCTTTTAGTACTATTTAGTACCAAAAATATAAAAACAGTACCAATTAAAAATTTAGTACTATTTAACATTAAGAAATATTCAGACAGTGCCAATTTAAACTTTAGTACCATACTACAAATAAATTAAATAAAAAATAAAAAAACCCCTTTAAAAAATCCGCAAATGTCTAAAATCCGCAAGTGTCCAAAAACCGTATTTCCGCAATTGTCTAAAAACCGCAGATCCGCAAATGTCCAAAAACCGCATTTGTCTTAGCGCCCGATTTACTTCAGAGTGTCGAATCTTGGAATGTTTGGAATTCACACTTTCACCGCTATCATCAACCCTCCCCAAACTGCTGTCTTGGCTGTTGGAGGTACTCATACTCAACTGGACTCTGAGTTTAACGCTAAACATCAGTTCTCTTTAACGTTATGTTACGATAACAGAGCTGTTACTGAGGTAGATGCGCACAGGTTTTTACAGAATATGCAACAACTACTAGGACACCCAGACGTTTCATTGTCTGGAGGACTGGACCTCACCGGTGAACATCACGATCTATTCTATACAGTTTAGGTGATAATAGATAATAAAGTAGCTTACGTATGTTTGGCGTATTAAGAATGTTAAAATCATCGTATTGAAGTTGTGTTGAGAATGTCAACACACTAACATTGAATTTTTGAATATTTTGAATTATGTAAAAACATAAAATTAATGAATTATGTGTTAGTTTATGTTTTGTAGTTCAGTAGATGGACCCGCAGGCGTCTTCTTCAACCAAAAAACGTAAAATTGACGCAGAATCAGAAGTAAAAACTACTTCGATACTCGAAGGACTTCATTACACAAAAGTTCATGTGTTAGGCGAAAGCTACAACAAGAATGCCTACAGTTTTAAAGAAATCATTAATGCTATTCAGCCGAAACGGTCGATTCACTTCAATTTTTGCGTCGATTTTGAGTTTGTTATGAAGTAAGTTTTTTACATCTCTTTATTTTATATTAAGTTAATGTTAATTAAAAATTGCTTTAGAAACTATCCTAGCCACTTGAGAAACAAACCGATTACAATAATAACTGGCAGTGAAAAAGATGTTGAGGATGGTGAATATTTAAAACAACACTTTCCCAACTTGAAGGTACAATGTGCAAGTATGGTATCTCAATGGGGAACTCATCACACTAAGCTATCATTGTTTGAGACAGAGTCTGGACTACATGTTATGATATCTACTGCCAATCTAATTCACGATGACTGGGATCACCTTACCCAAGCTTTTTACTACGCTTACGGACCGTACTTAATTGATGACGGTAATTTTTAGTTTATTGTTTTAACTTAAATAGTATAATATCGATTGTATGTAGTTTGAAAAATGGTATAACATGCACATTTCAGTCGCAACGTCAAAAAGGACCAAAGTGGTGGATAATTTTGGTGATGACCTGAAGAAGTACATCAGAACTGCCTACTTGAACCCTGGTTTAAAGATTCTGAATAGAGTGCAAGACTGGTCAGACATCTTTGCTGAGAAACTGCCGGACTTTAGTCACATCAAGGATAGGCTAGTCTACTCGATTCCAGGCAAAGAGTGGGTTCAGCCAATGGGTTATGTTATACTACGTGACCTTCTGAAGGACCGTTTGAAGGAGGACGAGATTAAGGATTGTACTTTTGTAACTCAGATAAGTTCAATTGGGAGCTTGGGGCAGAGTAAACACGAATGGCTATGTCGAGAGTTTGGGGGGAGTCTTTGTGGGAAGACTTCTGGGCCTAAAGGTTCGTTTGATTAATGTTTTGTTATTGATTAATGGGTTAAGATTATTATATTGAATGTCTTTTCACAAAAAAGCTGCATGATGACACTACTCTATGTGGACTGTGTATTGTAGATATGAACCTGAAGATAGTGTACCCTTCGATGCAAACTATGGCAGATTCCGTAGACGGCTGGCTGAGTGGAGGATCGTTTCCCTGGAGTGACAATATCTATTGGAGACAGAAGTGGATGAACGATCACTTTTGCGATTGGAAAAGCGATCATTTGGGCAGGTAATTCTTAGTTTTACTCAAATCATGGTCAATAATTAAGTAGAAACGTACTTTCGTACCTGTATGAATTATGATAATATTATTAAGACACATTGTTTTGCGTAAGGAACATTTAATACTATGTCTTCAGGACAAGATGCATGCCCCACATCAAGAGTTACGCTGTTGTAACTTCTGATGATACTGTAAAATGGCTGTTAATCACATCGGCTAACCTCTCCAAAGCTGCATGGGGAAGACTGAATAATAATGGTCGTACTACTTTTGTACATTCATATGAGTTGGGAGTATTGATGCTGGCAGAGAATTCAGAAGCACCTCTGCAGCTACCGTACGATTGGCCTTTGAAAGGGTACAGTAATACTGACACACCATTCAGAAGGAACGCCAGAACTAATATCAAGGACTGTGAAGGTAGAGAGTACCCTTACACTCAGTAACGGGTACAGTAACCTCATCACTGTTTTTTACTTGTAAATTATATATAGTAATCTAACTGGTATTTTTGAAATAAGTTATAGTTGGAAGAAATTGGTTGACTTGTATATTAACATAAATCGAAATTGGTATCTCATTAACACTATTGTAATTAAAATAAACTAATGGCGTTGTAAAATAAATTAATGTGATCGCTCTTCGTGTTATTGTGCATATTTATTGGTTTCGCATACCGTAATCATAATTAACACAAACTGTTAACCCGGATTGAAGAGGATTGGATGCCCATTGATCGTATTTTAGGTGGAATGTAAGGCGGGAAAGGAATCGGGGCTTAACCTTATACTATATACAAGATACGAGATCACCAGGATCGAACAAAGACTGTCACGAGATCTTATCATGAGGGTAATCGTTGAGGGGTGGTTTTCAATGCGATTGGGTCAGGAATATACTTAACACCAGGCAACGACAACACGGACTCGGTGTCAGGTAGGGAGAAGATGGCATGAGGGAAACAGTCCAAGAACTGATGGTGCATCGCGTCCAACGCCGAGATACGTTTCTTGCCATCGTACTGAAAGAGAACGTTAATACGGAAGGATTAAAACAATTGTCTTCACATGCCTTGAATAGTTAAGATTAACATTTGTATCTCTTTCGAACAGAAAAGCTCTTAAAATACCATAATATACATGTACGTACACATATAATGTCTAAATATGCAGGTAGACAACGATGTCACTCACCTTGAGACACTTCTCCAAGAAGTCTGCTCGTTGGGCGTCGACTCGAGGGTGACGAATCAAAGACTTGGCCTTCTGTTTCTTGAAGTTTCCTTGTTTGAAGCCCGGCATCTGACAGAGTTCGGGACAGCTATCCATCGTCGGCGTCCCCAGCATGTTGAAGATGAGTTTTAATTGTTCGTCGTTGCTCTGCCCAGGGAACATGGGCTTGTGGTGCAGCATCTCGTACAGAATACACCCGACCCCCCACATATCAATATGAGTGGTGTAGTCGGTAGAACCGAGAAGAACGTCGGGAGGACGGTACCACAAGGTCACGACCTCGTTCGAGTAGGTCTTTGTGGGTATAGACTGAGCACGAGCCAGCCCAAAATCCGCCAACTTCAACTCTCCCAGTCGATTAATCAGGAGATTCTGAGGCTTCAAGTCACGATGAAGAATCCTCCGACGATGACAGTAAGCCAGTCCTCGGAGCAGTTGTACCAAGAAGAGTTTGACGTTGTCAATACTGATTAGACGTGCTATTTCCTCCATGTACTCCCTCAAGTCTCGTTCCACGAACTCGAAGACCAGTGTGAGGACACGGTCAGTGTAGATAATGTCGTGTAGGGTTACCACGTTTGCATGTTTAAGTGATCTTAGCAAACTGACTTCTCGAATTGCAGTACAAGGGGCTCCTTCCTCGTGCTCCAGTCTCATCTCCTTCATGGCTACGCTCTTGCCGGTCAGGAGGCTCTTCCCCAACCATACCGTGGCGTACGTGCCTTCGCCCAAGTCGAAGATCTTCTTGTAGGTCTCGAGTTTCCCGAACCCAATCTCGCTCTGAAAGGATTACGATGTCATCTGTTTTGATGTAAAAGTTATATCGTCGTAAAAGTCATGAAAAGAAAGCAAAACAAGCCGTAGAATTTGATAGCTGCAACCACAATAGTTACAGTGTCGCCGTTCCGCAACCGGTCGGTGATAAAGAACGACGGTCGAACGACAGACAAATTGCGCGATAACTATGGGTAGTAAGTAGACTGTTAAATACTATATAGACAGTCAGAAATGTCTGTTTAGAAAAAATGAAGTCGGTCGATTGACAAAACGACCGTCTGGTAAAACATATCTAGTATAATACAAATGACTCACCAGCGAAGCACGACGACTCTTCCTCGTCAACGGATTATCCAGGGTTGGTGTTCGGTTGAGCTTGTCGATGACACCCTGCGGCAATCGAATGTCGGCGGGCAGAGAGAGCCGCTTCTGAATGTCTTGCTGAAACAAAGCCATTAAGTCGGACTCAATTTGGAACTTGACATTAGACCACTTCCTTGGCATGCAATTCCTTTCTTTTTCTGGTTTCGTGGCCGAAAGAACGTTAAGACCTACCTCACTCCATAGACGGGTCGGTTTCTGACGTAGTTTCACGTTGGGGATGTAGCGCTCCTCGCTGCCACTCGGGTAGCATGAGGAGGTAGACATCTGATCACTGGTACATGGCGAGACTTCCAGACTCTCGCCATCTGACCCCAGGGCACAGGTTTCATGGACGACAGCTGAAAACGGGTATATTTAATGTGTGTTTAGGTATAGCGTGTCATATTTTTGGAAATATGGCCCCTGTGATAGGCATTCTACTCTTAATCTTGCCAATTTATGAAGCTTTCAATCAAAAATGGTTTTTTTATGGGCACTAACAGTGATCCGCCTTTATATACTCTGCCTATGTTATACGTTTTTAATTGGCGGAGCTTCTACTGCTTAATCACCTCCAGCTGTTTTGATTTTTCGCCCGTAACTCATCCTCGAACGACGTTCCTTCCCCTCTTAAAATTGTTTTTAACCCTATATAAAGATGACTTAGCATTCCCACACGTCTACTGTGCTCCACCATCTGAAATTTAACCCTATTCCCATGTGATTATGACGTTTGAGAGAAATGGCTTCAAAATAACTCATTTCTTACATAACGAGACGGACGGTCGGATAGACGAGAACTGCTGTGACGAACTGTAACGTTCGTTCAAGCCACCGTTCCGTTTCTTCTTCAGGAATATCTGAAGCCAGGAGGAGAAAGACGCATTCAAAGGTAGTCCTCGGCGATTAGTCTTCTTTTTGGTCGACTGTTCCGAGGTCCGCGACATCGGCGAGTGCGACGAGCTCGTGGAGCCATCGGAACAGGTGAGGTCGCGGAGGTCGTCATGCCCTGGCGAGGGATGGCGGCTCCTGACCTCGCCAAAGTCATGAAAAGTAACTGATTTGGCCAGCTCCATCATCGAGTGAAGAGCCACATTAACTCTTTGTCGTGTTGGGCACCGCCGAAAATTCGAAAAAAAAGGGATTAGGGAGGAAAACAGGTGAAACGGCTAGCTAATTTGCCTGGAATTGAAGGTGTAAACGCGAAATCAGACCAAAACACGCCGCGTAAATAGACAAAACCATTACGAAAGAATATTCGGATGGAAAGTGAAAGAAGACATACGAAGCACCCCACCCTTTCTTTGCCATAATCGCATTTAGAGCGGATGGCCAGGTTGGTCTTGTCGAGATCTACTGGATCGCGGCCCAATAAGTGGCTCTTTTCCCCTTCTGAATCCGTGTACCGGTACGCGGACCGCTTTTTTCATGTGGCCACAAGCCTGTGGCTACACGCACTCTCGTCGCATTTACGCCCCACTCAGCTCGGCATGACGCTTTTGGAAGTTGATGGTCTCCCGACTCGCGCCCTCTGCTTTCAGCCCGCTCTCTGACCGCGCTTTGGCCGTCTGTGGGCCGGAGTCGAGACAACAAGTGAGAGATTGCCAATTCTGCCAGTATCTATTTCGCTTTCTGTAAAAGAACAGAGGAGAATGTAATATGGCCGTGACCATGTCGGGAGTTCATCTCACGAAAGCCACAACTTGCGGGACACGTGCATGAATAAGGAAAGATCACAACCACTTTCCCCATGGAAGAGAACCGCTAATTTATGCACTCGAATGTATCCCGAAATATATAAAACCCACCGAAATAACTGACCAAGTGCAATATAAAGAGAAACGCTTTGCACTTTACAGAAAAGGATTCGGCTTTCGGAAGGTGGCGGTCGATAAATGGTCACAACCCACTCAACCAAGAGGAGTCGGGGATTCAGCAAATTTGACGGAGGAATTAATTAAAGGAAGGACAATTGGATGTAAGGTAAACAAAAACAGAGTATCTCTCCCAACAAAACGGCTTTATTTGAGGAGATGTTTCATATTATGATTGCAAAACAAACTCTATAAACAGCGCTCTTCGAGATTGATGTTGTGACAGTTTATAAATTGGAAAAGCTTTGAGCAAATATGTCAAAATTATATCCTTAAATCGGTCTAAATTTATATAAAAAACACAAAATTCCTCCAAAATCTCCGAAAAAAAGCGCAAATTTAAATAAAAGTGCAAAAAGCAACCCAAATTTAAAAAAAGTGCGACCCAAATTTTCATATTTTTGCCGAAATCCCCGAAATGGATTTTGGGCACAAAACGAGATTGGCCAAGACACGACAACATCCGCCATTCATTCGACGATTGTCTCGCGCATAAACCTCCATAAACCCGTAATTACCATAACGAACAAGACAATAAATAAATGCCCACTCCCAGATGCCTCGTTCCCAACTTTTGCCCACTCCCAGATGTCTAACACAACATCAGGTAACGTGATGAAGGTTGTTTCTAACATGAAGGCTGTGCCTAATATAAAAGTCTCATCCCAAGTCTAATATAAAGTTGTTTTTGCTGTTACGAGAACGCATACCTCCCTTGATTACCCCTTTTTAGAGTCAAAGGATCCTTCCGCGCGTCCGTCGTATACGGGAAACAGAGCAGAGTGGGGTGAGAGAAAGAAGACTGATCCGAAGAAGGCGGAGAATCAACTGGCGTCTCCAGAAGCCTCGAACGAAGAATCGACTATTTCCAGAAGCCGACTACGCTTCTGGCGTCATTTCATTATAGCAATTTTAAAAAGATGTTTTAAGTGAGTCAGCCAAGTTGGGCCGCTCGACCCCCTCTACAGAAAAACGTTTCGACCCCTGCAAGTCGCTCACAGTTGCGAACTGTCCAGTTTTACTGGTCCATTTGTTTATTTAACCTCTTGTGTCCCGACCTACCTGAACTCAATTGGGTTTGGCTTCCGAGCAGCCGGCTGGCGTGCCAACTGTATCTGTTCTTGTTGTTCTTTTTGACTTCAACGTGGCGAGGTTGTATCTGCACCATAGTGTTGTCGACTGGTACCATCTAAAGTCGTATTGTTAATAATAATTTGTATTTGAATTATTTTGAAGTATATCAAAATGATTTTATTTTGATCGGAAAGTGAGTGTAACTGCCTGTTTTACTCGAATTCAATTTTTCATTTAATTATTTTTCACTTTTCCGGAACATTAGTAATCTGCAGACTTCTTAATGCTTTTAAAATTATTTTCCAAACTAAAATTACAATGTCTTTTCAAATTTACAGCAATTTCGAAGACCTTCAACCTCACCTGACTCCTACAGTAAAGAGTGTGCATGGAGACTGGTCGGCCTTTCGTCTTCGACTGCCTCACGGGCTCGTAATTCAAGGTGCTTGAGCTATTATAACATGAGTCATGGTTGGAACTGCCATCTGGATTGTAGTCGACACAGCTCTCCTCGAGAATGACTCCGTCTACGGCCAGCCGCTCGCTGAGACGGCTCATCGAGTTGCTCAGATGCCAGGCCTTCATCTGCGTACTCTGGTAGCCGGAAATCGAATTGGAGTTGACCGGATTCGCGCCAATCAGATGGACGCCGTTGGCCTGGTGGAGGAAGAGGGAGCTGGGCCCGGACAGGTCGGCGATGTTGGAGTTGGAGCCTTTGAAGGCCTTGCTCAGACGCCGCTTCAGCTTCTTCATCATTTTCCCTGAAGCGTTAATTAAAACGAATGAATGGTCAGTGGTGGGCACGGTGTAACGTTCCGCTTGGCCACAACCAAACGCCATAAAACCGGCTCGTAAACTCGTGAAAATGCTCTTGATTAGTAGGACGAAATTTTTAATTGGCTACAATAAAACGAATCTTTTATAGAGTAGACCGGGTATCACAGGGCGGGTTTATGCTTTTAAAATGGTTACAAATTGCAATGAAGGAAGAATGGTTTGAGTTTAATATGGGTTTCGATGCCCACAAGACATTAGTTTAGCGATAAAGTTTTGAAACGTTAAAATTAGCATATTATTATATATATCAAATCAACAAAAAACTTATATTTGAAAGTTCTAAAAGCACAAAAAGTCATTTCCAAAGCCTGTTTTCCTAACTCAATTTTTGAAAATTATAAATTTTAATTTTAAATCTAGTAAAGAAACAACAAAACAATAATAGTTTAAGCCTGTTATTAACTGAATATATTTATCATAATATATGTTTAAAAAACGACATGAAATCAAAACCCTAAAGCACTTTGCAAGCTTTAAAACAAAGAAACGACAAATCAGTTATGCTGTCTACAGCTTTAAAATAAATCAGACCCCATATCAACGTCGTTTCTATGCATACGGCTCGTAAACGCTGTTAATGGCTAGCCACCAAACAGGAAATTTAACAAAAATTAAACAAACGAGTGTCCTTAGGCGATCGTTGTCGAAAATACCGAAAAACGCTAGTCAACATTAAGCATGTTGTTATTGCGAATTACTTAAGTGGAAGTTAAATGACACGCAACCTCGTTTGGCTGAGTTAAATGAAGAAGAACCAACTTCTAATTCAATTTAGTCGGCGGTTTTTCAAACACAAAAGTGAGTCGACAGAAGAGGGCATCCAACCAGTAATTCTAGTTTCAGATATAGCCAATTAACAGCCTTATCATGGGCAAGGTAAGGTAGTAAAAGGGTTACCAAGGTGTGTAAAGTAGTAAAAAACATCTATTTAAGGCAAGGTAGTAAGATATATCAAGTTTTTCAAGGTAAAATAAAAAAGCCATATCAAGTCGTTTAAGACAAAGTAACAAAAGCTTTACCACAGTAACAAAACATTTTTACAAAGCAGAAAATAAAGTAATTGAACAAGGTAATTAAAACTATAAAAAAATTTAAGTCACCTTATGGTACAATAAGTTAGCTCAATTAACCAAAACCTGTACTATTCCAATAAAAAATGACTAAAACTATGTCACAGTGACACAATTAACATTGATAGAAAGGCGGGATCAATAGCCAGCTATCCATGACAACAGAACATGAATCACCGAATGACCGAACTGAATGAACATCACGTGTGAATCGACCCCCAAACCATTAAAACGAAATTTACAAACTTTCCCCTGAAGAGAGAAAACACGATCGCTTAACACATTATCAAGACATTAAGACCCCAGTTCATTCAGGAATAAAGTCGAACGCACAATGATATTAACATAGAATATTCATAGAGGTATCGAACACATTCTTTCAGAAAAGGCAGAGCAAGTTCAATATATGCGAAGCAAGTTCAGCCTAAAACAATATAAGAGATTGGTTGTACAGCCAATGAGTAAGCTCTCCGGTTAAGGAATGCAAAAAACTGAAACAGCCCTCAGGGCAAGAGCGAAAGAGATTTGTTGCGCGGGATTTGAGAAGAGAAATAGGTGTTTGATTGATGACAACGGCACCCGGTCGCTTTCCGAAACTTGTCACAAAACCTCAAAACCGAGTTCGACGGTGCCGCTGGCACTCAAATGACCTTTCGAACATAAAAGTGGTCGTTCCGTGATTATTATGCCCGTGTCTCCCTCCACTTTCAGCGAATTCGCGATAAGGAACCCGGAGGCCTCGAAATAGTCGTCTCTGATAAGGTATTCGTTTTGTGTCGCGGGTGCCAGATACTTGTTGTTGCCAGGTAGGTATGCTATCTATGTTTACAAAATAAACTTGCTTGTTGTCTGAGATATAATTTTAGTCGAATAATTTTATAAATTGATTAAGATTGACTAATGTTTTAGGTTTTGATACCCCTTTAAACTCCCTTTATATTCATGACCAAAGTAACCCAAATCTGACAACAGAATACCTATATACCTATTTGTGTTTATGTTGTCATCAGATAAAACTTTAACTTTTATAGCAAGACATATCAACATCCTTATTGTAAGACAAACATCTATAACATAAGATATAAGACATGCGAACTAAAAACAGTTCAAACGGCCGCAGGAAACGTTACAATATTTTGAGATTTCGAAAAGAAAAAGTTGAAAACAATTATTTTGGGAATAAATACGACGAAAAATAGACCAAATTGACATCGTTATATTGTCATGCATCAAAGATACAGATAATGACGTAAACAAAGTCAGATAAGTGTACAGTAGTTGAGACTATAAACGTTCTGATACAAGACATACTTTTATATTTACTTCCTCCACATTTCCATTACAACTACATAAAATAACGTAAAATGCCTAAAAAATCTACTTTTCTGATTACACATACCCAAAACAACATGATATACAAATGTATACACAAAAAGCTTGTAAGTGACTCAAAAGTAAAGCGATCAGAATACTCTACTATTACCTACACTCGTTTCCTTTTGTCAGTAGCCTTCAATTCAGTTTTCGTAACTCGTCAAGGTCACCTTACCTATAGTAAGAGCCGCGGAATGCCGTTTCGACTCGTAAATCACTGATTATCATCCACTTCTGACAATTTTTATAATGACATTTTTGGCATGGTCACGTGTTACCGTATGCCACAATTAAAAAAAATTCACAAAAATCGACCAAAAATAATTTTAAAACTCAAAAATAGACAAAACTTTACATTTTAAGTAGAAATCTATGCTTTTTTTAAATTTTTTAAATATAAATTAAACAATAAGTTGTAAAGCAATTGGAATACAAAATACTTTGAAAGAAACACAAGTATATACACAGTTTATTGCTCCGAAAACAATGTGAGCATCAAAGAAAACGGATCATCTCAGCGGACGTTGTTCTCCACCCTGAAACATGATACCATATCACAACGTCTTCAAGAAACATAAACACTGTAAACACAATACTTACCTCAATGTAGGCCGATTCTTGTTTACAATGGACACGATCAGCCACTTTCGACGGGATTTGGTTCTGCAATATCAAGTTAGAGTAAACTTGTGCAAAGTGAGATTTATAGGACATAACTCTCTCAACTACAGTGACCTCAATTGTATTACTCCCTTAGAAAAAAACAGTAACTTACACATGACGCGTGATTGTCCTTCTTGACCTCGTTTACCGGTCGTCTTACCGTAGTGCCAGTCTTGTTCTCGTACTGTGTAGGATCAACTTCACCGTCCTTCTTCCTCTTCGAACGTTTCTTTCGTTGCGTCAGATTCTTGGCGTCGTACTGAGTAGCGTCCAACCGATTACGTTGAGAGACGTTCTTCGGATCTTGATATTGGGTTTTGTCTTCCCCAATTGTGGCTTTTCCTCTGATACTGTACATTCTACGTTTGGGGAGGTTTTTGCCATCTTGATACTGGGTTTTGTCTTCTACCAATCCAGGTGCAGCCTTTCCTCTAGTACTGTACTTTCCACGTTTGGAGACATTCTTAACATCTTGGTACTGTGTGGGATCGGCTTCTAACAGCTCTCCAGACTTCTTGTTCTTCGGCACACTAGGCTGAGTGGGCTCATCAGATTCAGATTCTTTCTTTTCATCGTCGATCTTCCGGATCGATTCTCGTTTCTTTCCGGTGTGGGCGATGCTCTCTCGCGGAGCACTTTGATTCTTCATTTTCTCTTCCAGGCTTCTGAAGTCGGTCTCGCTGTCACTCTCGACCTTCTTATTCTCTTTAGGTGCGGTAACATTCGACTGTCCGAGTGGCACACAGCCATGCAGAGTATATGGTACCAATTCTGGATGTGATTGGGCGCAGCTTTGGTTAGTCGGGGCTGATTCGTTAGGGGGATTGATAGATTCATTAGGTTTGAGATTGTCATCAGATGAGGAAGACGGAGGTTGAACAGCTCTCTGAGATCCAAATGGCTTTTTTCTCCGTTTTTTAATTTCAGAATTCTAAAACGATAACTTAAAATTGTTAGAATGACTAATAAAACTAAACTAACACAAAGGCACGTTAGTACAGCACGTAATAATAAAACCAAAATACTTTCAAACGAATACAAATATCAAAAACTGAAAAAAATATTGTCCTTTCTGGACAAAATAGTACAAGACAAAAGAATTGACATTACTTTAGACTTGTTGTTACATGTTACAAAAAACGGTAGTATCAGGTTCGCCCATACGATACACAAGAGTAGAACCCATAAAATCATAACAAATCGACCGGTAATCAACTGATGACAAAGTGAAGTGGAACGGCCATCGACAGTCGCGACCGGTCGAATTACGAAAGGAAATAAGGTGAGAAACTCAATACTCTTCTTTGTTTGTCTTATACCAGTTGGCGGGCAAGTTCTTTTAAGGCTAATCAGTAAGACAACTTGAAGACCGAATACTTTGTTTCATTTTTAGTTCTTTTACTTTCAGGTTTAGGTAACAACTGATTGCAAATTACTGAAGTTTAAACCTTCTTATACGTAAGATCTAGTAAAGTATAATAACTTCATCGTATACGTGCAGGAATTTTCGAAAAGTACACAAGATAACTGATTCTAGCCACTGGGGATTCACGGGTCTGACAGATTTGGCCGAGATTATTCCAGTTGCTCTACATGTCGGTTTAACACGTACTCCTTTCCACTTTCAGATGATCTATCACATGTTGTGTTAATCAGTTCTAATGGCTCAGGAATCTGGTGCAGACGAGAAGATACGACGATTAGGGTGGATGTTACTAATACTGTGGATCATGGTGGTATGTTGGATTACTAAAGAGTACTGGTGTCCCTCGTTGGCACGTAGAAGGCAACACAAAGAACTCAAAGAAATTGACTTTTAATCTTTTATAGCAAATGTCAATAAACTTTTGTAAAGTTAAAAATAAGCCTTTACATTTGAAATAAACCCCATTACTTTACAGTAAAAACTTTAATACTTCTATATCAAACTCGGTTAGTATCTTACAGTAACAGTAACAATTTATTTCTGTACATATCCTAGTCATACAACTAAATCCTTGCGACATCCGTATTATGTCATCAACCGGGACCTTAATTGTCAACCTACTGTTTGAGCGATGCCCCAGGCAGTTTTTCTAGATCAAATCCCTTCTTCTCCGTCCTACCCTTCTGACTGATACCCATCAGAATCAGTATTAACGGAAGGTACAGCAACGAGTATCTAAACAATGTCCGACTATTTTTGGAGTCTGGAGCTTTGTAGAATTTGTAGGAAAGGTAGATCAAAAGCGCATTCAAAGGGATCGACTCTAACGCAAAGTTGACCGGAGCCAAGTCGCACAATGGTGCAGCTATCGAACACATACCAAACAAAGCTACAGCATGCCTAGAATATAGACCATTGTAAAAACGATCTTGAGTGAATAATAACTTGTTACAACTATCAATAAAGCAATTTAAAAGAGAAACGTACCTCATCGTCGTTTTCCTACAAATGTCTTCATCTGTCACACACATTACCCTATAGCCAGCTTTACTGTAATCTCCACGAAGATTCCAGCTGAGGCCATTGAAATGAGGAAACTGCCACGAGTAATGAATAGCAGCCAAAACCAAAGCCGCAGTATCCAACGACCCTGTCATCGCAGCGTATCCCATTAGTGGTGGGATTGCCCCAACCACAGCTCCTGCCCATGTACATCCAATGTGGTACCTCTTCATCGGAGTATACACACCAGCGTACAAAAACACGTTTAACAAGCCTAAACCGGCGGTAAGCGGGTTGCAGCCTAAAATATATTAAAGCTACAAAATTAATATTAGGTTGTCCGGAAAGTTCTGCAATATTTGAGTAGGTAAACTTTGAAAAATCAGGAAAAATTTATTTCTTGACGGAAAGAAAAAATTCTTTTTTTGTTTGTTTGTTTGTTACCTAAATTATTCAAAAAGGTAAGTTACATAACTTAATTTCATTTTTTTTGTATTGTTTTAGGTATTAGAAAAAAAATGGAGAAATCTCGCCTGCGCGTGATTATATGGAATGAATTCAAACGCGGAAATACTGCGGCAGAAACCTTCAGAATCATAAACGAAAATGAGGGTAAGAATGTTGTGAGTTATTCTACGGTGACCAGATGGTTCGCAAAGTTTCGTGTGGACGATGAGAAGCTTGAAGACAAACCACGTGCAGGAAGACCCAGCAAACTTGACAAAGATGCCCTGAGGCGCAAGATTGAAGATGACCCACATATTACAATCCGGGAGTTAGAAGAGTTACTAAACTGTGGAAAAAGTACCATTGATGATCATTTGAAGGCAATGGGTATGGTCAAAAAGTTGGACAAATGGGTGCCTCACAATTTGACTGATCTGCAAAAAGCCAAGAGACGGTGTGCTTCCGAAAAGCTTCTGCAACGCTGCAAAAACGAAGAATTCTTGGATCGAATTGTAACTATTGACGAGAAGTGGATCTCGTTTAACAATACTAGAAGATCTACAAGTTGGTGTAAGCGTGGAGAAGCTCCTAAGCCCGTTCCGAAGCCAGAATTGCACGAAAAGAAGCTTATGGTGACTGTCTGGTGGTGTAGCTCTGGAGTGATCCAGTACGATTTCATGAAACCTGGCCAAAGTATTACGGCCGACACCTACTGTGCCCAGATTGACAAACTGCGGCACAATCTTCCAACAATGGTCAGAAGGAGGGGTCCGATCATTCTGCAGGATAACGCACGGCCCCATGCTGCAAAGAAGACCGTGGCAAAATTCAGGGAACTGGGATACGAAGTCTTGGAGCGCCCTCCTTATTCTCCAGACTTGGCTCCAACGGACTTTCACCTTTTTAAACACTTGTCTTCGTTTCTTAATGGAAGAATCTTCAAAACTCCGGACGATGCCAAGAATGCCTTCAAGAACTTCATCAACTCCAGAAACCCGGAATTCTACAATCGTGGAATAAAAAAGCTTGTAAATCGTTGGCAAGACTGTATTGATTCAGACGGTAATTACTTTGATTGATTGTAGTTGTTAATTATATTGTTATTATTGTTAGTTCAAAAGTGAATAAATATTGCAGAACTTTCCGGACAACCTAATACATAAGATGCAAAGTCGACTTTTGATGGATAAAACCCAATTTACGTGATTTAGGCAGCATAATCTAGTTAAGAAAAAAAACCGTACTAAGAATACATTAAAAGGTCAACGTACCAATCCAAAGAGCCGTTGCTCCAAGTGCACTAGTAGTCCCAGCAAAGGAAACAGCGTGCAAAGGTGAGAATCTGTTTGTTACCAAAACTCTCGACTGTGTTCTCTTCATTTGAGCATCATAAGGTGCTTCCAACAGATGATTAAAAGCATTTGCTGATGCCGACATTAACGTCGTTCCCAAAGCACAATAACCGAGAGTGGACCAATTGAGAGGAACTGGAGCCATAAACACTCCACCCATCGCTGTTGTCGTGATTAACATGGTGAGACGATGTTTGGACAACTAAAACTTGAATAGACCAAATAAAGACGGCATACCTGTAAATAGTCGGCAACAATCGACCGAGATTCCATTGGACTCCATTCTGAAGCTCGCGATCCTCTAACGATCAACTTTAGAGTTTGTGGTCGAGATCTAGGCAAATTTTTCGTGGTTACATTCACAACATTGTCAGGTAAGACTTCGTCTTCTAGCCGGAGGGGCCTGGCGCTGGAGTAGACTCTAATCGGTGTGTATCTACATTTTGATGCCAATTTATGCATGTCGCCAAAAAGGCGATGTAACCTAAAGTAAATTTAAATAAAAAAAAATTAAACGCATTTACAAGCAACAAAATATAATCGTACAAAGGATTTAAAAGTTTCTAAGATCTGTAATTTACTTATCCTACAAATTTAACATAACTTTTTTATGATAATACTTCGCCAATATTACTCTCAAAAATAGTATAGAAAATATTAAAATAACGTGTTGAATTTAATTTTTATTGAGCACCTTGGGTTAAACTTTTGCGTTTAGCAAAGTAACAAACAAAACCTTGTTTTACTGAAAAAATAAAAAATATTTTAGAAAAGCGCGCAAGGCGCGCCCGGGCTTTGTTTTGCCACGACAAACGAATAAGAATATTGGTTGGAAATAATATTTTCTGGATTTTATTGGCACGATTGAAGGTCCAAACTCAACAGGCATAACGACTTCACATGGTTTAACATGTTTGGTTGGCCGTCTTTAACTACACGATCTTATTTTTGGTTGTTGTATGCCTTGTCGGCACTTTTTGCTATTTACTGTTTAAGGGGTCCCTTAAAGATTCCAGATGGTAAGGTATATTTTTTATTTAAAGAGGAGTATATTTAGATACTATTTCAGATGTTTAAAGTTGCTACACTTTTTTAATGTTTTTGTATATTTAAATACTTTTTTTCTGATACATGACGGTCAATATCGCAGTTTCAGTTTTCTCGTTGTCGTCGTATTTTAACAACTTGACGCCCAAGTTCTACGTTGCTTTGACGGGTACATCCAGCTTGGTGTCCGGTATCATTTTGATATTCGAATGGTGGTATTTCAAAAAGTAAGTGCCTTAGGGTGGAAAGGAAGTGCCGACGCACCTGGGCTTTACTAATTATCTTCGGCCCTTCACTTCGAAGGGGGCCTAGCTTGACACCGCGCACCGGTGTCTTTTATTTCTGTGTAACTTAAATAGTTCTAATGGGAAATGCTCTCATGTAAGCCCTTTTCGGTAATAGGCATGTAATCTTTGTTAATTCTCACAATGACTTTTGTTGTTTACAGTAACAACTTGGACAATGGAATGGACTTAGACGATCAAAGTGATGTGGACGATGCTATAGAACAAAACAGTGAGTTGTTTTTGTAGCAGTTTTTATTGTTTAGAAGAAGTTTTTAAAGAAAGATGATGATTTTGAGTACATTTGGGTAACAATCAGGAACATTTTTCAATAGTTAACTGTCTTGCAACGCTTTTGTCTTAAAGTATGTGGTTTTAGAATGCGAGAATGGAGCTGAAGAGCTAGCCAATGATTGTAAAGTTTGGAGGAATCCTACAGCACTATTTAGAGGAGCTGAATATCAAAGGTTTACGAGAATGACACAACGAGAACCTTTGACTTTTCATGATCTTAACTTATCAGCTCAAGATCATCAACAAATATTTTGTTGTGAACAAGATGTGGGAAGGGAAGATTATGAAAGTAAGTTACATTTTAAATTTTTTAAAAATGGCAAACTTTCTATTTTTTTATTAATTTGGTTTTGCTAAACAATATTTTTAATACTTTAACTTTACATAAACTTGTAGTAATGCAACTAGCGTGGAGAGAGCGAGATGGGATAAGCAGGATAAAAGCGGCCAAACGAGCTCTCGATATAAATGCTGATTGTGCGCCAGCTTTAATATTATTAGCAGAGGAAGATTGTTCAACTTTAACAGAAGCCGAGGAATTATTAAGAAGAGCTCAACGGCCAGCTGAAATAGCTTATAGAAGAAGTCAGGCTTTAGGGCAATATGATCCTGACTCAGCGGAACGAACTAGGGACATGAACATGTTGGTGTTTATAAGGAGGAGGATAGCCATGATTTTAAGGAGGCAAGGGCGGTTAAGGGAAGCTATAAAGATTATGAGAGATGTAAGTTTTTAAAATCGCCTAATTTTTTTGATTTTAACTATATTTTAGGTAACAATAACAAAAAAGTTAACATTTTATTAGCTTTTTGGAATTAGAATATATTTTAGGTAACAAAAAATCTAAAACCTTATTTTTAAGTTAATAAAAGAATATCCTCTGATGAATGTGATGAACATACACGAGAACTTAATAGAAGCATTGCTGGAACAACGAGCGTATGCCGATGCTCAAGCAGTATTAGCGAAGTACGATGGTAAGTGCAATAAGGTTATTCGGATTTTGAAATTTAGATATTGCTCTGCCAAAATCAGCGACGATATGTTTTAGTTCAGCATTACTGAAAACACGTCTAATAGCGGATAAGTAAGTATAACACGAAATGATTTTTTATTTTATTTCTTAAATTTATTTTAAAGATTTTCAGTTTTGAAATTATGTTTGTTAGGAGATAAATGTTTACGTTTAGGTTTGAAACCGATTCCCTGAGGCGGCGAGGCTTTTCTTCGGCCGAAATGAGCGCAGTAGAAGCGATTCACCGTGCTGTTGAATTCAATCCTCATGTGCCATTGTACCTACTGGAGATGAAGCCTTTGATATTACCACCCGAACATATCTTGAAACGAGGGGACTCAGAAGCTATTGCTTATGCCTTCTGGCATCTGCCTCATTGGAAGCGAGTCGAAGGAGCTCTACAGGTGCTGCAGTACACTTGGGAAGGAAGTAAGTTGGTTTTTTGAAGAATATCTTTATATTACTATACTTTATGACTGTTTATATATTATTTTTATTGTAGTTACATATATTGTTTTAGCGTTTCGACTGATTCCAAATCCTACAGAAAAGGGTCACTTGTTTTATCCATATCCAGCCACGACAGCCGTTTCCGAAAAGGAATTATTACCCGGTAAGCGATGAGACCAACGTTTATCGCTTTTGAGTTTAGGTATTTATTATGACTATATTTCGTTACGTTTGAGCGAAACGAAGGTGTTAAATGATGTTATTATTCTAACTTTTAGGATGGCACGAACTGTCTATCTACCCCAAACGGAGTTTTCCTTTTGGAACTATCTTGACAACCTTATTGTGCATAGCTGTTGCAATCTCAGCCATCATTCTTCATCAGTTTCCTCAATCTTTTAATGACGTCATGGAAAAATGTAGTGTCTACGTGATAGCCATATCAAGCTCTATGATCGAATATGCCTATAATTTCATACCAGAAAACGTACTAGCGTTAATTGCCTCTAAGAGCCCTTCTCCTTCAGTAGTCAATCAACCAGTACGAAGCTGAATCAGCTTTGTTTACGTACGAAGTCGTATAATTAGATACTTACAAACCTCTCAATTTATTAAGATCTCTGCGGTATCGGGAACGTGTCTGTTGTAATAGATAAATGAAAGTCTAGTCTTATTTGTTACGCATTACTTTTAAACTAATGGTATTTAATTGTTTTACTAATATAAATAAATATTTTAAATTTGGTAGCGATTACTGCAATGTTGATGTTGTGTCATTGTGATATCTGGCTACTTTGAAAAAATGTTTTGGTTAACAAGAGCGTTATACTATTTATTTTAACTGTTTAGAAAGGCATGACCGCGTCGATACAGTCGACGGATTCGAATAAGTTAATAGACTATTTACTGAGTGATCTCCGCAGTTTATCGACCGAAGCCAAGAAGAAACATAATCATGTTAAGGACGCGGCAGAGTCTTGTTTGGTCAAGATTAGGAACATTTCGACCAATTCCCAGCCTCATTCACTTCTTCAGAACATGCGATCTGGATGTAATGAAATCTTGCATCCCATGATACTGGGCTGCAGTACTAGAGTACCAAAACTCGTACAAATCTCCCTACAAGGGATTCAGCACATGCTACAGTATCGTGTCGTATCACCGGTAAGTAGTTATTTTGGGTAACATTTGTGTTTAGAATTCTGCTTCGACTATCGTGAACGAGCTGTGGAACCTGGCAGAGAACGAATGCGAAGAGTTACGTGTTCTACAGACTGTTACCTCTTTTGTCAATTCTGAATTACTGGTTACGGACACAGCCTTGGCCAAATGTATCGTCTTGTCTATCAAACTCAACTTCTCAAAGGATCCATCAGTGATCAACGCCGCCAATGCTGCCGTCCGACAGTTATTTAGTTGTGTATTCGAAAGAGTGATTCAAGAAGATGGCATGAAAGGCGCTGAGATGACAATCGTGTCAGAGATTGTACGAGAACAGTCCAGTCAAGCTCCGCCAACGTTAAGACCGTGTGCTGCAGATGGGTATATGCTGCTTAAGGTGAGTATTAACTTGTTTTTAAAGTTTTAGGTGTAAATCATTTTTATTTGTTTTTATAAGAAATCTTAATGTATTTTGATAGGATCTGTGCGCGTTGGTTAAACGAGAACAGCCAGTATGGCTGGACGGTGTTCAACGGATTACTCTCACATTATCGCTGGAACTTCTAGAAGCGATCCTCAAGAATTATCCTTCGATCTTCTTCAAACATTCCGAGTACGCTGATCTACTGAAGAACTCGATATGTCCACAATTAGTCAAGTTGTTTGCTCATGACAAAGATTCAAAAGTAAGTAGTTAGATATTTAAAAATAAAAAATGCGTTTTAGAAATTTTAATTTGCACAACTTTTATTTTCAGGCAGTGTCACATATCAACTCGAGAGATGCCCAAGTCGCTGCGTCTCAATTGAATCGTCGTTCGGTGTCATCGTTATCATCAGCTTCTATCCAGTCCACTAGTTCTAGTCAAAGGCCTTACTTTTCTGTCATTATGCGGGCTCTACGGATCACTTACATATTAATATCCTTCTATCACAAGGTCTTGGTATGTGATATTTTTAATGTAGTAACGTGTTTTGTTGTTCCCCTCGATGAATTGTGTTGTAATATTCTACCATTTAGGCGCTACAATGCGAGATTTTGCTGTCGTTCCTTCTCGAACTGTTATCGCCAGAGCACTCCGTTTGGCAGTCGGCTGTGGCTTTGGAAGTACTACACAGACTAACGGTACAACCAGAGCTACTGGCATGGATGTGCGAAAACTTTGACATGCAGCCAGAAGGAGTTCCTTTGGTCAGAAATATACTTACGAAGCTGAAGGGATTCATTCAGAAGACTCTGGAAGCCGCTTCGATCGACGAAACTCTAAAAGAAAAGGAAAACCAATCAGTCAGCACATTTGGACAGACTGGTTTCTTGTACAACGGGGTGTTTGTCCCACTCAACGAGAATCTGTCGGCCAAAAGATGGATGATGTGAGTTCATATTTATTTATTACCTAAATTTTCCATCGGAATTTTTAAACTCTACTAAATTTTATTGTTCTGTGTTATAAATTACTGTATTCATGGTTTTGTAGATTGGAATGGCTTGACAAGCACGACCCGGCAGCTGTTCCAGAAGGCTACACTCTCTCCGTGGCCTACTTTAGTATGGTAGATCTTACCCATAGTATCTACGCAGTTGTTGAAGAAGACAATTCTCCTACGTATCAGGAGAAACCTACGGACTCCAAAAACAAGTTCGAAGTGGCTTCTCAGCTCTATTTGTCGTCCTACGACCGCTTAATCGAAGGTTTGAACTTGCTACTGGAATGTAGCGTGGACGACTCGATAACAGAAGCCGTTCTCAATTCCTTGTCTACTGTCATGGTAATGGGATGTAAGGTTGGAAATGTGGAAGCAAAGGATGCCACAGTTAGAGCCATCTGTCAAGCAGCATTACCTCAAGGATACTTCGGAAGCTTCGTAGAACCGCTTTGTCCAGGAAACGAAAAGGAAAACAAACTTGAAGGTACTAACAATAATGTTGATAAGGATAGAGGTAATTGAGGTGTAATTAAGAGTGAAATCCCTATGCTTTTAATTTTTAATTTACATGATTTTAGTGACCAGCCAGACGATTGGAGAGCCGAGCCAAGTCGTTGTTATGAGCACAGTGTGTCCAGTATCTATGAACTCTAACCAAAGCAATACGAATGTCATGTTGACAGCCAAGAACTTGCAAGTAGGACGTCTTCTCATCAATTCGGTACAACAATGTGGAGATCGACTTCTGAATTCGTGGGAAGTTGTGTTATCAACGCTACAGCACCTCTTCTGGATTCTGGGTATCAAATCTACCGCGAACGGAGCTTTCAAGATGGATACGTCTACAGAAGGCAAAGCGAGTAATGGTGCTGCTATTGTGACGACGGCTGTTACGTCAGAATTGCCAGAACTGAACACGATGTTGAACAAGTTGTTTGAATCTACTTCTAAGTACGATGAAACGTCGCTCCATCATGTCATCGCTTCACTGTGCAAGTTGTCAAACGATGGTATGATTGTGGGGAAACAGAACCTCTCTAAAGAACCGTCGTTGTTCCCATTGGCCAGGTTACTACAGACGGCCGAGAACAACTTGAATCGGTTTGTCATCTTTTGGAGACCGGTTACGTCACACTTACTGGAGGTATGCTTTTTTTAAATTGTTTTGATCTTAAAAAACTACCGAATTATTACTGAAATCCATTATCGTTATTGTAGATTTGCGTTCATCCTAATGGAATACTGCGAGATTGGGGAGCTTTGTGTTTAACAAGTCTCGTTAAAAGCGCTTTGAAGTCTTTGAACGATGAAGATCCAAAAGTTGACATTGTGGTAAGGATTTGATATTTTGAATTGATTTAAATATTTTTTTCCCGGATTATTAGTAGTAATACTTTATTTTAGAAGCAAGAACAACTGATTCTGTCCCCGCTCTCTGCCATGAACGAGTCCGAGTACATCGACGTCAGATCCAAACAGATCGACTGTCTTCTTAATGTCCTTCAGTCAGATCGGCACCATTTGAGTCCAGAATTGTGGCCAGTCGTTATTAACATTGTGACGGCAGTAGTAGAACACAAGTCGGTAGCTAATGCTGAACTGGTCGATCAAGGTTTTGGGATTGCCAAGTTGTTGATAAAAGAGTTTCTGAGCGGTCTGCCTCTAGATTGTGTGCAACTTGTAGTAGAGACTGATGCCAAGTATGGTCATCAACAGCTGAACATGAACATATCACTAGCAGCGGTCGGCTTACTAGTAGGTTTTGTCATAGTTTGTATATTGTCATATGATGTGATTGTAAGTTAAATATTGATTAACGTATTTTAGTGGGACATTTCTGATTTTGTGAGTGGAATCAGCCACGTTGGTGGAGGGAACGAGAACGTCGAGCAGATGTGGCTTGTAATCTATAACTGTTTGAGTGAACTGTGTGTCGACTCTCGACCTCCAGTCAGGAAGTCAGCTTGTGATACTCTACTTCAAACTGTAGCGGCTCATGGTCACATCTTGAAGGCCAGCACGTGGGATCACATGGTTTGGAAGGTGAGTTGATATAAATATTTATTCTTGTTGCTGAATCTAGGTCTTGTTGTGGATGACATAATCTTATTTTTTAGATTCTGTTTCCAATGTTGGACAAGGTACGCGTGGAAACGAAGAACGCCTCAACAAAGAAGGCGGATTCTTCAGCCCTTGGTGCTCCAAACATGATTCTCCATCATTCACGGGATACAGAATCCAAACAATGGGCAGAAACGACTGTTCGAACGTTTGGAGGTGTGGTCAAGATCTTTAACGCTCAGAGGAACACCTTGGTCGAGTTGAGTATGTGATTTTATCATCATTTGTAATATTTCTTGATATGGTAATTATTTTGATTTACAGAAACGTTCGAAGAATGTTGGAAAACGTTGCTGAAGTTCATAGAGTACGTGGCGGGAACGGATAACAGTGAAATGTCATTGGCGGCGTTGAAGAACTTCCAAGAATTGTTATTCGGAAGAGCTCAAACGGCTGCAGATCCCAAGAAGAAGAAGAATGGGTAAGAATACTTTCATTCTTATGTGAACGCATCATGTGGTATAGTATATGAATGTTTACTTTAGATTGTCAAATGAAGAACAAGCTCTTCCGTTGCCAGAAAAATTGTGGATGACATCTTGGAAGGCGTTCATGAACATCGCCGAAGTTGTAACGTCACCAACGATCCCAGAAGCTTCATTGTCTACAGCTGAGCTGATGGCGGCGACTTCAGACTACCAGAAACACTTCATTCCTGGGACCTTCCACTTCACCACTCTTCTGTCAGCCTTCCAGCCGCTGTTCTACAGAGTTTGTAAAAAGCTGGGCTCAGAGGACGTAATTGGTATATTGTCCATCTTCAAGGTTGGTTTTCTTACTGTTTTGGATATTCATTTCAAAATGTTGACTTAAGATAAATTTTATATTCAGAGGATAGTCAGTACGCCCATGTCAGACCAAACGCCGTTTATGATGACAGCTCAGAATTCGGAGATCAATCCCTCACAAGAATGCATACTTGACTGTATGTATGTCATATTCCAGGTATGAAATATCGTTTTTCTGTAAATGAAAAAACCCTTTACTATATGTTTGGACAGCCTTAACATTTACTTTCAGGAGCAGTGTGAACCAAATTCGAAGCTTCGACCGATTCTGCCAGATCTACTTAAAACTCTACTGGAGTTTGTAGGATTCTCAACCAGACCTCCCGTATCCGGATTTGTACAGAAAGACAAACAGGTGAATTGGGCACAGCAAAATCTGATTTCCTTCGCCGAGTTGTCTCTTCGTACTAGTGTAGCATATTACTCCAAGGTCTACAACTATCCAGAAGTGTTGGAGCAGCAAGTGTTTGTTAACTTTATCTATGTGAGTTTTCTAATGGTCAAGTTTTTAGGTAATCATATTTTTATTTTATTGCTCTTAAATTTTTTATTCAGGCCATCAAAGAACCACTGTCTCTGAAGTACCAATGCCCCAGTCAGACCACGTGGAAAATAGCAGCCAACTTTTTTGTCCAAATTTGCGGTATTGGACTGCCAATTGCGCGGGAAAATGGTAATTTTTAAAAATTTTTGGTTGTTATCATTAAGTAAGTGTCAATTTAAACGTAATATTTACATTACTATTGCAGTGGTTCAATTCTCTGGCCTGTGGAACGTCTTGGCCGATGCCATCGAAGACTTTTTGTTCACCAAATTCAAGTCAGAAACGCCTCTGAATGCAGATGAACGAAAGCGACACGAATACATTGACTGTCAGATAATAGAGCTGATACGAGTAGAAGTACTACCGTATGCTTCTCGGCTGCCTCGAGAGTTTATGCAACGGATGATCGAGATTCTGAACCGAGGCTCCATTAACGCGATGGATTCGAATGATGTGATGGGTGAGTCAGCCTCTAACCCCTCGACGCTTACTCCTGTCTGTTCCGCCTAGAGTAATGTAACTGTCTCAAAAGTTTAAAACTTCAATTTTGAGACTATCTTGACATTATATATGTTAGTTGGGTCAATTAATATAGATAGTGTTCCAAACATTTAAAGGAAAAGAGACATGTTTAATTGATCCACCTAATGTTGTTGCTTACTAACACTTGAATAGCACTTTACCTTTCGCTTTGGATGTTCACTATTGGTTCAGGGATAATATTTCCGAGATTATACTTTAGCTTCAGACTCATTTCAACAACGTGCTGATTTGTCGCGAGTTTGCTTCGATGCACTTTTATCGATGAGTAAGGGCGGCGACGACTCCACCGAGAGCGGCAAAAACAATGTCGTTCTCAATTCTTTAGGATCGACAGCCATTACTTCGCTTCTGAACAGGTGTAAACAAGTCAGTTTTTTTGTTATTGTAGTTAAATTTGGTGTATTATATTATTAACATCAATATAACGCATAATTGCATTGTTATATAGATATTTTACCCCAAGGTGAATTGCAGGTTCTGAACAACTACGCCCGTGATGAACAAGGTGCAGGTCACTTCCGTCTGCCACAGGAAAGAATCTTCGAGACGATATCTGTCCTCAGAGCCATATCCACCCTGATTGACGGTCTCAGCAAACACCCCGAAGCTGTTCACTCTTCTCTATATCAACATCTGGTCAGTCTTCACCCGAATCTGGTACAACTGATACCATCTTGTCGTAGTGACCAACAGATCGAGTTGGCCTTGATGACAGCCCTAAACTCGTACCAAACTCTTCTCCTCATCAACATTCATAACCGGAACCTGTAACAGGGTCTGCTATGTCGGGTATATCAATGTACAGTTCACTTCCCATGATAACGTCAACAAGTCCCATTTGTGCCTAATATATAGTCGTACTTTGAGTGATTTTATATCAGATATTTATTATATATTAATTTATTCATAAAGGTTTAATTGGCTAGTGTATTGGATCATTTTTTTCTGGTAGCTTAACGTCAGAAACTGGTGCTTCTGAAGTCTGGTTGATATCTAAGGTTATGGCTGATTCAAATTCCTTTCGTTTTAATACTAAAACTTTGAAGTAATGAGTTTTAAATATATCAGATATTTATTAAATATTATGAAGTTAATTTAAAATTAATTGGCTTTTGTTTATATTATGGTGAATTCACATCAGAAGCCGGCGCTTCTGAAGTGGGTTCAGGAGATATAGCTTGACTGACGGTGTTCGGTGTTATACATGTACTAGTGTTCTCGTCCTCGATAGAAGTGTTCAGTCTCTTACCGTAGCGTGATCTGTTTTTCTTGGCCGAGCTGTCCGTAGATCTGTAGCTGTTCACAGCGATAGGATTCGGCCCTAATGGTGTTGCAGCTTCGACTCCAGGACTCTTGCTTATACGCAGTCTGCCGTACCTGGAGCCTCTAATAGAGCCTCTGACACTGGAGATGAACTTCCTGATCGATGTTGTTCTCTTCAAACCTTCCCCTCTGAAGAAACGCCATACTCTCTGTTGTACTGGATCGGATGGACTAGCCATACTCGACATAACATTCAGTAAGTAGACGAACACCACCATTAACCCAAGAAGTAACCCGAAGTTAGAAGCACTGTACAATTCTGCTCCATAGGCCGACAGCATCTGGGTCAGTAATATCGGATATGTAAACTGTGCCACTACCGAACTCATTATCAAAGAGTGGATCGATGTGCCTTAAAATGGCATTTTATTTTAGGACATCCGTAAAAATCCCTGTTTACGAAGATGTAAAGATTATAGGGCGTAATTAACAGTAAATCCTCAAAATAATGTTTGTCTCCCTCTCTCTTGATCTTACACTTGATGTTTTCTTTTCCCCACGTAAAACTGGGTATGTGCTATTTGACGTTCCCTCACTTACCGTGTATCCGCAGCAAGAAAAACGAATATGCCGGGAAGATTAGAGACACTCCGAGGCCGTGAAACAATACTGAAGCCATTTGAAACTCGTTGAATGTTAGTCCGCATGTAGAAGCCCCAGTAATCACCTTTAAATGTACTTATTGTAAGTTTACAAATACCCTACCATACTCAGAATCAACCAGAACGTCGGCGGAAACTTGTTGCCGTACACCAAGAACAAGATACGGCCGAGCACGTAGCCAAACTGCAAAGATTAGAGATAAGTTGATTAAGAATTCATGGCTTTAAACAATTTTATTTTAATGTAAAACAACTCCAAACATCTTACCATGCAGATATACAGAAGATACACATGGTATGTGGCGTTAGAGAACCCAAATAGGTAATGTGGTACTCCTGCAATCAGAGAACTGCTCAAGAATCCCAGTAGCCACCCTATGTAGATCAACTTCTTCACTACGTTACTCGAATCGTTAGAAGGTTGCTCCACCAACACATCATGTTGTAGTCGTGTCACGGTAAACGTATTTGTGCATTCTGGAGTCTTCCACACATCGTATATCAGATAACTAATCAAGCACTGAAAATAAATGTTACAACATAATAACTTCAACATTGTCATAAAAGTGTACTGTAAACTTACTTGTACTACGGCAGATCCAAAACAAATGTTTTCGAATGAGATTCGGAAGGATATTGACATTGGCTGCAATGCTCCAGCACTAAAATGTTTTTATAGTAATGTAACCCATAATATAACAACAGAGTGATAGAAAAGACTATTCGTCAACATAAAAACCTACGTGTTGTAAACCGACTTGTAAAATGACAATTCAGTAACATTTTTGTTGATTGTGACACTAATGTGGTCGTTTTCAACCACAAACAATGTCCCAATGAGTTGTCCCAACCCAAATCCAAGGAAAATGATCTAAAACAATAACTAAAACATCACTAAATAAAAAAGACACAGTACCAACATATATTAATGAATAGAATGTAATAATGTTACAAATAACCACAAAATACCTAAACAATAAATATTGCAATTTCCTTTACTTACGGCTAGCAGCAATCGTTTGGAAATGGCAGGAACTTTGGTAAATGCTTGATAATATACGACGCTTTGTGTCCACCCAAGAAGCAAGCCTTCTGCACTCAGAACGGTGATAATAACGGGATTCGGAAGAGTTAATTTCAAAGTAAAATGTAGCACAACCTTGCACAGTGATAGGAAGAATACTGTAGCCCATAAAGAAAATCTGAAATTAAAAAACTACTTCATAACAGTAAAAAGTATTAGCATTACATTAGGAACGTTTTCTTTCATACTTTATAGTGATGCCGTAGTAAGTGCTGTTTTTACATATATTCACGTACCTATCAGACAACACCCAGACAGTAATTGCACCAATTAAAACTCCGAAATTGAACAAACAAGTAGATATCAAGAGTAAAGGACCAGTGAACCGTTCCTCTACGTAGTAATTGAAGCAACATATATCGAAAGATATGGAAACCGCCAATAAAGCTGACAAAACGAATGTGGGTATCCTTCCTAACACCTGGTTCCTGAAATTAAAGTAAATGTACTCTGTCATGGCTAACTTTTTTTTTTTAATCCTTAATTTTTAAATTTCGTTTTATTTCGTTCAAATTTGAATTAAAAATATACTATTATATTAACCTTGCTATGCCAAACCTAACCATCGTACCTGATATTGTCCATGATCACGACGCTGGCCGAGTCCGCGACAACGTGCGAGCTGACAGTAATTGTGGGGATGGATTGTTTTTTGGGCCCAGTCGCATGTCCCCTAATCCCGGCCAAATTATCCTCCCTGCACACTGACGACACCATTAAGGCCCTTAAGCACTTAAAACACTTTCAATTGACAATTGTTCTGCAACAAAACACTGTAACCCGTAAACTTCAAAAGTCATGGCCAAGAGCAAAAAAAATTATGGCCAAGGCTTAAAACTTTAATGCGTAACGACAGATTAACCACGACTTCGTATCTCTTTGGATGTTATTCATGTCATGCATAGTGTGCTGGGGGTGTCGATGTTGAGGCAGGTGTAAATAGAGCCTTGTTTCACGGTAATTGTTTGTTTTTTGCAGATTCTTTAATATTGTATTAGTACATTCAAGCAAACTTTCTAATTATGTATGTCTTTTAAATTCGTCGTTATTAAGATGAACTTCCTATCATTATCATACTTCTCAAGTTAAAAAATTTTAAAATTAAAGCTTGAAACTTCTGGATTCTTCGCATTTGTGAGATTTGTAACACTCTTCCCTCTCTTCCGTGCCATTACTCCAGTTTCCAGTAGCGCTGCGTAACCATCGATTACACAAAAAAGAAAGTTGTTATGCAACAAAAACATCAATCTCGATGTTACTCAACCCAAGAAAGAAGATAAACGCAGAACTTGTTTGGATTGGAGCCGGTTATGGAAGCTGGACTGACCTTGTTAAGTCAGAAGAGCCGTTCCAGCCGCCGAAGTGCGAGGAAAAAAGAAGGATAATGAAAAGATCGCCTCCTCAGACGAGCCTGACCAACGCCCGGCTAGATACTCATCATGATTAAACTGTTCTCGCTCATCTTCCCCTTCGTACTAATTTCGAGTACCGTATCGAGGATCGTACTGCTACACAACAACAAATGGAATCCACATTACGGTAAGATGACAAAATATATATAAAGACATCATTACTGTGATTCATAAGAACTTTAGACATACTTTGACATCAAAAAAGCGTTTTACTTTCTACAAATTGTTACCTAAATTTCAGGTAACCCTGGTGTGAAACTGCGGTTAACCCAACGTGGCGCTGAACATCTCAAAAATGTAGGTGTAAAGCTACTGAACGAACGGATAGCTCAACTACAAGGATTCCATGTGCAACACTCATTCTCTCAACCGGGAATCGAAGGCTACATTCATGTAAACGACATCAAAACTCTAAGTTTCCAGCCTCCATCAGCTTCGTTCATCAAGTTTTCAGCACCGTCCTTTATCACCTTCGCCATTGAAAACACAGCCATATCGTAAGCTTTCCGTAGCCAATTTACATTTCATAGAATTTAAAAAAACCAAATTTACGTCATAAATGGTTAACAGAGAAAGTAAAATTTAACTTGACCAACTAAAACAAACCCTTTAGACTAGCAGGACGATTCCTGGGAGTGGCAGGAGCTGGTGTCTTCCAAGTCCCCGGCCAAGTCAGCGGGCATATGTCTGGAATGTCGGTATCATTAACAACATCGTTCCGAGCAACTCAAGACGGCCTTATGGCTGTGAATGTGGTTAACTGCTCCACCGTAATCCAACAAAGCAACTTTGTACTCCAACCAGAAGGACCACTCAGTACCATCGTCAAAACTTTTGAGGTATGAACAAGTTCAAGTTTGACTATCCCCTTCCTTTTATTTATGTCATTCGTATACATTTACGTCCTAAACAAAGAAATCTTGCATTATTTTAGGCTCAAATAAACGATGTTATTCGTCAGAGAATACCATCCATATTCTGCAAAGGCCTTCAAGATATTATTGAAAAGAACTCACCCAATCTGTTCAGAAGACTGGCTACTGCACAACTACAAGATCACTTCCAAGGCTTTAATTCGTCAGAAGTCATCGAGAGCTTCATCCGACGGTTTACTCACGGTCTTTACATTGACGGAAGCAACATTGCTGACCCTATCGTCACAAACGACTTCTTCGAGACACAACAAAAAGGTAAAACAAAATATCCAAACCAATGTCTAGTTTCTACATTATCCAAGTCAACTTTATGACCTTTATAGACCTGATACTTTTATAAACATTAATAAAAGTTGAATAACACTCACCTTGCAGGAGAATTGCGCTACAATAACAGTCAAGCATCGGCTCCATTCTATCCACGTCCAATTCCTCAAGATAATGATTCAGATCGTATGTTATATCTATACGGCTCCGACTACACGTTAAACTCGTTGCTGTACCACGCTTATCAAACTGACAAGCTTACAATCAAGGTAAGGCATCCTAAAATCGAATTAGTGTTCAAAAATGTCGATAGTTAAGGCTTTTATTACCTAAAATAACGTAAAAAGAGTATACTTACAATTTTTATGAAATATACATGCTGCTGTAAAATATGTTTCCACTGGAAGACAAATATCAGTTTCGGAATAGCAAAAACAAAATTTTGTATAATACAGAGAGAAATACTCGGCACATTATTATCTCCGAGTCAAGTGTTCTTTTGTAATTTCACAAATTTCTGTGCACAGATCTGTGAAAACGCGAAAAATTGAGGAAACTGAAACATAGTACAACAAAGAATACCCTAAAATTTATAGCTCTATAAACTTTAAGAAAATTTTAGATCGAAGAAGCAACATTATCAGAACAATTCAAAGGATTTGTGAAGACAACTGGTGATGGAAAGGGCAAAGAAGGCGACTTTGCCAGTTCCATCTGTGTGGGAACATTGATACCTAAAATAAGTGAAGCTTATCCAAATACGACGACCAAGTTCGTGTTGCTGCCTCATGGTCTGCCGGAAATGACGTTTGTGGATGGAGTCAGTTCCATGGATTTGAGAAGTAAACTTTATTTTAATTTTATCTTGGTTAAAGTTGCCTTACTTCTAATAACATCCGAGTAGACGACTTTCTTGGAGAATATTATTTTTAACTTCTTTTAGCTCGAATTCTCACGTATGTGGATGATCACGGTGTGGACAGACAGATTCTGGTGTCTTCTGCTGATGGTTTGGCTGACATCAAGATGATGGCAGAAGACGGTAGATTCAGTGGGGATTTGAAGCTTAGGAAGTTGAATGTCAGACTTCACAGAAGTGGTATAGCTGGCGTCGAGCCGGACTCGATTGCCCAGCTCGCGCCCTTGGCCAAGACATTCTTGGGTCCTCAATTGTCAAAGGGACTAAAGCAAGGTCTACCGTATCCACTGAAGGTAAGCCTCATGACTATAATTTTTCGTGTATAAGGTATAGTTTGTGTTTTTATGTGCAATTTTATTTGTTTTAGGGTTCGATAACCTTTATTGACCCGAAGCTCAGCCTTCACGATGGCTACGTGAGATTGGCTACAGACTTTGAACTCGGTGAAGAAAGCCTAAGAAGTAAGGTGTACGAAGCCTTCGAACGAATCAAGAACTCAATCTAGACGGTGTTAATTGATTATTTATTGTTAATATTTTGTATAAGATAAAGTTTGCCTCTCATGTCGAGAATGGCCGGCCTTGTTTCGGCGGGGGCGAAGAAGTGAGATAGATACAGCAAAGATGCAGAGAGATTGGCGAAACTGCTTTTGATTTCTTTTCCCGGTGCCTCAGGGCCAGACGAAAATCGGCAAATCGCTTCGAATACACTTTTGAGTTTTACCCTTGTTCTTTTTTACAATTTGTGATAAAAGTAGTAGAGTACTGTAAATTACAATTAATTACTGTAGTTTACTAGTGCATTACGGTAAGATAGAATGCAAAAGCTATATTTTTTAATTTTAAATTACCGCGACAGATTCTGTAACAATCTACAGTAAGCTAAACGTTTGATACGTGGAATACAATAATTAGGATCTTGATTACAGTACTTTTCAGGGTTGTAAATTATGGGTCGATACTCTGGGATAGACAGCGACGTGGAGACGGCCACAAAATGGTGGAACGACTACCCAACAAGGTAACTAATTTTAAAATATTTAATCATAATATTGTGAATGATTAATTCGCATTTTAAGTTTTTACTAAAAAATTAAGAAATCTTTTTGACAAACCACAGAAGAGTAAAGTTGGGTAAACATTACACTCGTAGCATATTACGAGAAAAATGACATTCACTTATAATTTAGTCGGTTCACCGATCTGTGCAAGGCCGAAACCGCCTTCCAGAACATCGTGGAAGGAGTGTGGTCGAAGCCGAAGCGATTGGGCCGCTCCGCATCCTTCACTAACATGACCTACATCAAAGAGAAACAACACGACTATCCCATCAAGAGAAGCGAGTCCATCAGTTCCTTGGCTCCATCTCTCGGCCTTCTGCCACAGTATCATCGTGAAGCTCAACGAATCGTCCACACTGCACCAGTGTACAAACCATTCGTTCACGACTGGTACAACAACGCTTATTCTTCATCCAGATACAGAGTAAGTACGAGGTCTTCGTAAATTACGAATAGAGACAAAAAAGGTAGAAAAAGTAAAAGTGGAGGCAGAGTGTGTTCATAGTTATAATCTATACATCCATAGTTTCTAACAACAACGTTAAGCAACATTTTTGATATATTAATTAAAGGCGCCGCTTCGCCCACTATGTGCAAGTTCAGATCCCACGTTTTCTGTTTACTTTTTGACCAAACCATTGAACATATGGACAATCAAATGTGTTGACAAATTAAAAGAAACACATTGGCCAAAAATAAGCCTAATTCGAAGCTGACACCTGTTACCTAAATCAACAAAACTGACGTCATGATTAATGAATTCGGATTTTAGGACACTCAGCGAGAGATCGAGAGACCATTAAGAAGAGAAGTACCAGACTACGAGAGGTCCACCCATGTACCATACTACACCTTCCAAACCAAGCGCATCTTCTTCGAAGAGGTAATAATTTTAAAGTCTCCACGATGCAATTCAAGTTTAGACCATCCTGGTACACTTTTTGTATAATTAGTTTAAGTTACACACGTATTTTAAGACAAAATTTGAATAATGTTATTCAATCTGCAGAGACGTCAGCCCTACAAGTCCTACATCGGACAGTCGCAGAAGTACCTCGACAAGTACGTGACATCAAGACTAAAGGCCGATGACTTTGCTCAACAGTATGTCCACTCTGCCTACGAATGGCACAAGCCCCAAGACTACTCCTTCAACAGACATTGTGTGTGGGGTAGTCAGGTCTATGTACCACATGCACCATCCAACCCCCACTCGTACAGCGACGCTCAGGCACTGCGCAAACTGTATAAGACTACTGGAAGATTCCGATTCGCTTGAAGCTTTTATGCGTCGATTTCGAATAAATAAAACACTTCCTAAATTCTTTGAATAAATTGAAATTGACATGTTTGTTATCTTTAAAACTTATTTTTGGAATTTCGAATAAAACTAAATAGTTTTGTTTTCTTTTTCGTGTAAATGGAGCATGCCCCCGGATTGCTTGGCACTGAGCATAAGTCAAAGAAAAGAGATCAAGGCGTGGGACACGGAAAGGCCGATGAACGTGTTTACGACTGTTTATTTGCTCGTCAGCTGGCTAAGGTGTTCCCAGCTATCATCCTCCCACCAAGCCCTCACAAAAGCCTAACCTAATCAGAAACCGGTCAAAGCGTTCGTTCTGCATCATGAGCCAGCAGCAGTACTCCTATAACCAGTAAGTTACTCTTACTTTGTTACCTTGTGGACATTTTATTCGACGATCTTTTTAAAACCTTTGAAATCTGAGAATATTTAAAAAAATGTTCTAGAATAATATGCCAGGTGTGAGTAATGAAATGTGGCCGATCATAACAAGCTCATCGTGTAAATGCTTTAATATTATAATTTTAATTTACAGTATGCTTTCAGAGGCTACGACCAACAACTCCTGGAGTCACTATCTACCAAGGAGGAAACCAACCGTACTATGACGAACAGTACGTCCAAGAAGAACAATTCGTTCCTCAGGGCTACAACCAATACGCTCAGAACGGAAATCTGCCACAACAACAATATCAAAATCAACAGCAATTCCAAGGCCAACAACAAAAGTTCCAAGGTCAACCACAGTACCAAAACCAACAACAACAGTACTACCAAAAAGGGGGCAATCAACAGTTTGCCAACCAAGGTAACTTCAACCAGTACCAGCAGTACCAAGAGCAACCACAAGACCAATTCGCTCAAAGTCAACAACGTGCTCGTTCTGTAGGCCCTGAGAACCAGTATTCGTACTTTGTAGACAAGAAAGGTAATTACATCCCCACATCTTACCCACCATTGTACACTACTGGTGAACCAGAAGGCGCCAACTACGTACCATACTCAAGTTACGAGCGCCGTGGCCGTAGCGTTGACCCTAACCTGTAAGTGCACAATTTGTACCTAAAAAGCTTGTATAGTAGAATTTTTCGAAAGCTTAACCATATTTTTAATTTCAAAATTCATAACTAACAAATGCTTCAGAGACAACGATGATCTTCGCTTCAAGTTCGGAGGAATGGCCTTTGTTGATAGTGAAGCCGCCTTCTACGATGTAGAAGGAAACGACGTCTTCTTGGACCTGAATACCCACAACGAAGAGACCCAAGTAAGAAGACCGGGAGACAACTACGGTCTTGACTTCAACGAATCTGTTTATCGTGGCGACCAAGTCGACGTAGAAGATGGATATCAAGGTTACCAAGCCCAGAAACCACGACGACACTGGACCTACTGTGAGGATCCATTCAACCCAAATAACACGTATGTTGACGATTTGTTTGGCTTCTACGACCCCGGAGATGTCGTTGGAGACACTGTAGCCAACCATCGTGTAACAGTTGAACGAGAGTTGACTGATGGTAAGTAGATATTGTAAATTTTAATATTTGTCTTACTGTAAATTCAATTTGACACTAATTATTATTATTGATATGTCTTCCAGAAGAAAGGAACAATTTCTGTACGGAATATATCCCAACTCCTGGTTTCTTGCCCCAGCACCGTACTGAGAAGCCAGAGCCAAAAGAAGAAGGTCCAATCTGTTATTCTTTGTCAGCAAAGAAGGAGTTGGCCCAAGGCAGTGATTACCGCCCGCCAAGCCGATCCCAAAGTGTTGGGCCAGTGAAGCCAGGTGACAAAAAGGAAGTCAACCTCAGAAACCTACTCGACGATTCCGCCATTCAACGTCAAGAAAACGTGATTCAACCTGCACCATGGGCTCCAGACTCGGACTACAAACAAGGAAGATGGCAGATCCAGCAAGGACAACTTGACCCACTGAACAGCCGACCTCAAGTAAGTACTAATCCATTACAAAGCAAAGCCTAAACAATATCTTTTAAAATTAGTGGGGTTTCGAACTTATTTGTAAAATTTGAAAAATTGACCTTGAAGATCCCCATACACATTCCCTTCTGGGTCCCACTTTCGCTGGCCAAACATCGGCGTTGGCTTAGTGCTAGTGCACTTCTGGAGCCACTAATTCATAGGCCTGGGGTGAGTGTTAATGAATCAAATTTAAAATGATCCATTAAAAGTTAATGTAACTTGACAATTGTTGATGTTGTAGATTCCAAACCAACGTCCGGAGTGGTCGCAACAAGTTGAAAACAAAAAGAACGTCTGGAGTGGAAAAGCACCACCAACCGGCCAACAAGCCCCACCAGAAAGACCTGGCTTCTGGAACAAAAAGCAAGGAGCACCACAACAAAACGCTCAAGCACCAAAACAACCAGCTCAGCAACAACAACAAGGAGGTTTCCAACAACAAGCTGGACAACCTCAAGGAAACCAAGTTTCCACTAACTATACGTAAGTTACGAAAATATTATTTAGGTTAATTTAAATGCGTCGAAACGTTTAAAGCCACTTGAAACTTTTAGATACTATCAACAAGGCCAACAACAGAACCAACAGCCATCTCAAGGACAACAACAAACACAACGAGTCCAACAACAACCCATTAGAGGACAACAACAGCAGCAGCCGGGTTATCAAGGACAAGGAAAACAACAACCCCAGCAATTCCAAAGGCAACAACAACAAAGTCAACAAACCCCACAAACTCAGCAACAACAACAGCTGCAACAACAGCAACGTGGAAGACCACAAACACAACAACAACCTCAACAACAGTTTGGGCAACAGCAACGCGTTTCTCAACAACCCCAACAACAAACGCAACAACGTCCAGGTCAACAACCACAACAACAAAGAGCTCAGCCTCAAGTAGTTAGGCCAAACCAGCCCCAACAGCCAGCTAACCAACTAGGCCAACAGCGCCAAGCCCCGCAACAACAACAGAGAACACTGTCCCAGCCCCCTCCTCAAAGCCAAAATAGACAACCCCAAGCCGGATCCTACCAGAAAACAATTACCTACGTGAATGGGAAACCTGTCTCATACGAAGAAGTCGCTGATCGCCATCAAAATGCTCAAACCCAGCCACAAAACTATCAATCTGTGGTCTATGCCAATGGACAACCTCAACGAAGTGGACCAATTGGAGGTTCTTATCAACAAACCTCTTACTACTCTCAAGGACAACCGGCCAAGAATGGTGGACTACCACAGCAAGGAGGCGTTCAACAAGGCAAACCTCAACAAAAACCAGCTGGCTGGAACAACCAAATCCCAAAAGGGCAGTTGAGCAACACACAATCCCAAGCGAACGGCCAATATAAGGGCCCACAAGGACAGAATGTTCAATATCAGCGCCAAGTGACCAGCTCTGCCAACCCGAATCAACAATACCAATTGATCAAGCAAACCGATACTCAAGTTCGTCAACAACAACAACCTTCCGGACAATTTCAAAGGCAAGTGATTCAATCTGAAAACAAATGAATAATCTAGAAGCACTGAAACCAAGTACTACAAGAAGCAAACCTTATCCTAACTGGTGCATGTATCCGAATAAACGCTTACAATATACTTAAAAATTTTGCATTTCTTGGTATATAATTATTCAAACTCATTCATTCAAACTTACAAATATCACGACACTAACTTCCAAAAAAACAGAATTCTAACTTTCAACTGCAGTACAATTCCTGCATAACGGATATAAAACTTGTTCAATATAAAGGAAACTCAAGTCCCTTTCCAAAAGCCATTTTACCTACGCGAATTCAAAGCGCGCCTCATACAAAGAAGCTGCAGATCACCACAATTCCCAAAACCAACCGCAAAACTACCCATCTTATGATCCCCAAGAACAGAAAGAACCAGTAATAGAAGTCGACCGTATCACAATATTTCCACTAAATACTTACAACATAAATATTTACTTTTTACAATTAACAACGAAGTCTTACGACTAATATAATAACAAAATAAGAATTGTGACCTAAGCTACCAACTCGGCTTGCTTTTCCTCGGCCTGGATCAGTTTCTTGTCCTCACTGGTGGTCTTTTCTTTCTCGTCCTTGCTTTTGCGGTTACGACGCAACGCTGAAATAACAAGATAAAAAGATGAAAAACGATCATTAGTGTAAAACAAAATAGCAGATTAAAAGTAATCAAAATACAACTTACGCTTGCGCTTTACAACTGTCTTGTTCTTCTTTGCTTCCTCCGAGCTTTCACCACCATCAGAAGCATAACGACGACGAGAGGAATCAGTCTTATCTCCATCGGAAGCGTTCTCGCTCTTGGTGCGTCTGCGGCCGTTCTTGAAGCGTCCGAAACGTTCGTAGAGTCTCAAAACTTCAACAGGTTCACCACCGGGCAAAGTAACGGCTTGAGCTTTCGGTCCCTTCCATCCGGAAATCACGTCGAACTCCACTTCTTGATCGGCAACCAACGCGTATCTCCAACGACGATCATCACGTTGGACAATAGCTGAACTATGAACGAATATGTCCTTCTCGTTGTCGTTGCGACGGATGAAACCAAAACCTAAAAGGTAACAATAGACAAAAAAAACTGATGCTGAAACTAAAATTCGTCTAAAAATAAACCGAAAATTAAAACAAAAACCAAGATTTACCTTTGGAAATGCTGAACCACTTGACAACTCCAGTACAGCCACGGAGCACGACTTTCTTGGGGTCGGTTTCATCAACCTCAACGCACATCTGACTCTTCTTGCTGACTTCGGTCTCCTCAGAATCGGTTTGTGAAATTGGGTTGTCGCCCTTCTCATTCAGCTCGATCTTCTTTTCTTCGGCCATTGTTATAGTTTCTTGTTCGGTGGTTTGCCCACGAAGGGTGAAACTTCGAAAAATTTCTGAAATCACACCCATGACCCTATCAAATACTCTGCCGGAAACAACATTAAAAATTAACATCAATAAAACACGAAAAAATTAACGAAAACACAAACTATATTTAAAAAGAAGTAAGAAATAAAACTGTTGAGACTAAAATCAAGAGCACGCTCGCTCAAAAATGTTGCAACAACCCTAAATGGGCCACAATCCATCGAGAAAAACAAAACCGAAATTTCCCAATCGCGAAGGATCCTACAGTAAATTGCCGATACTTCTCATCAACGTGTTTGCTTTCGTGCCAGGACCAAATTTAGGCGCAAAAACACGTGGTTTTAAAATATTAAAAATACTTTCGGAAAATATTTGATTTTGTGAGTAAAAACCATCTTTTGTAAAATTTTAATTACTCATTACAAAAATACCAAATCGTATAGTAGAATTAATGTCTTTGCCATGTTATTGAACCATTAATGCAAAGTGTATGTTAATGTTTTTCGTTCAAAGTGTTCATGATGTTTATTTCTGGGTGGTTGATTACAGTCTTTATGGATCTGCGATTTTTATAATTGTTATGAATTGTTTGTTGTTTTGGGTATAGAGGAGTGGTATTATAATGAAATGACAGTTTATAACATTGTCCACTTATGAAACAAGCTTTATCTGAATTGTTTTTCTTCTTCTGAACTTCGGCAATTAGATAAGGGAATGACGTTACTTCATGGTCTACTATATAAAAGGGTTATGTGTGGTGTTTGAGAGGTCTAACTTCAGTTTGCAAAGTTTTTTTGGCAAGTGTAATATTAAATTTTTAAAGGTTTGCTAAGTGTGAGGCTTGGTGATAGTTTTTCCAGTAGACTGAAGGATGTGTTTGTAGTATCTACCAGCTTGTTGCAGACAGTTCATTCTAACATCAAGTATGGATCATGTGTATGTTTTTGATGAAGCTTTTTAAAATTCTAGGATCAAGTTTTGAGATTAACATGTATAATATCAGTTTGCAGAGGTTTTCACTCCGAACGCAAGGCGTCGTTTTGGGCGCTGTAATTAAGATAAGCATTCAGAGGAGCCTTAACGGTCACTTAATTTTCGACTATCTGCTCGCTGCGGTCAACTTTGCATAAACTTAGAGTCAAAAGCATTTCCAGGACGTTCTTGTTGCTTCTTTGGCGCTCAAACGGGGGAAAAGGAGCTCATAGATCACATAAAACTATGTTATACATGGCTTGTTGCAGGGGGACATTTATGAGCTTATAATTGTTTTGATGTTTCAAGTTTGCAACTTTGAGTGTTTAACTTGGAAAAACAACATGTTATCCATTCAATCGTTTACAATTATTGTATTAAATCACTAACATGCCAAAGACATGAATTACGTAGTTTGTACTATTGGCTGCAGTTCAATCTTTGTAAAGTTGGCGTTCAAATGTGATTGATACCTAAAAATGCTATTTGGTTTTGTGCAAAGGGAATTAGCATAAATTTGTACTAAATTAGGCAGTAATCGAGACTCAAGGTCAAAGACAAACTGTCAGATGACCCTTTAGGACAGTTAAAACCGTTTATCGGATTAAACCATTGACAAGGGTGAGATAGATTGATTTTACGGGAATAATGCACAACTAGAGATTAATATTCATGGTTTATAAGGGACAACGTTGACTGTTGGCGTTTTATTTCGAACTTTAAAGGTAGTTTGGAATTGTGAACTCATGCAGTTTGAATATTTCCGCCTTTCTTGAATGACTGTCATATTTATACATTAGAAAGCTGCTGTACAGATAGTGCATTAGTTTTATTATTAACTAAACGATCCTTTTGTAGATCAAAGTAGTTATACTGGTAGTTGGACGAGTAGTAGTAAACGTGCTTCGTATCGCGAAGCAAGGGCTTTTCCGTTACATTGTTACCTAAATACGGATTTTTTGTTGATTGTTACCTAAACTTCTCCTACTTTCAGAATTCTCTCGATTCTTTGCAACCAGCCCTTGTCGGTGATTGAAGCTTACTGAGTGTGTCTTTCGTGGAATGAGAAAACATTATGATAGTGGCCTAGATAACTCAAACCCGACTCATGCGCAACACTTCCGAGCGACGAATGGCCCGTCGCCAGCTTCAAACAATGAAATCTCTCTTGAGAACGGATATCTTGGAGAATCTAAACCAGGAAATGGGGGTCCCATCGTGGACGGAGAGCTGTTCGCGGACGGCACAGATGAACCCGATGGTATATGTGGGTCCGAGGTGAGTTTTGAGGTTAATATTTATGGAGGGATAGCGCTTGAGTGAACTGATGGAGACATTTTGTAGTGATTGTCAATATTTGGGCAATTTTTTTGTTTTACTGTGCAATAAGATAAACAAGTTATAATCAAAGGTTGATAGTTGGTCACAGGTGGCTGAATCATAGAAGTCTCGATGCGGGTTCAAAAAGTTTTCGAAAACAGTTGAACTTTTATCAACGGAAGCGCTGATAATATTGTGGTAACTTTTACTGGACTATCACTAGATATGGTTGTTTATGGGGATGAACGGAAGCGGGGGGAGCGGCGTCTTCGGCTGATTCTCGCATCCGTGCGTGTCGATGAATCAGTCGGTAAAAGTTCTTGGCGGTTAGTTTTAAAGTATTTATTTTTTATTACAATCGGCCGAATGAGCGCAGGTTACTTGATTTAGTTGGGTTTTATGATTTCTCTCAAAATATATTGATTACAACGTTGATGGGCAATAAGGAGCGCCTGCCTTCCTTATTTCGGTTGTTTTGTGAATGCGATTTCAGACGAAAACGACCTCCCGAACCAAGCTCTCAGCGGCCAAGGCCGGTGATTTGACTGCCGACAGTCAGACGCCATGGCCTTCCATCTCCGAACTTCGTCATCTTATGGAAGCGAGAGGTCCAGATGCTCAACTCAAGGTGGGTCTTTTGATGCTTATATAGAAGACAGTATTATTATTATATGTTGTTTATGAAGAAGGAAGCTAGTTTTGATATTATTTTCTGTTTTAAGTAGTGAAGGGATAATTTTGGCATAAATATACTTCAAAACGTTTTACTTTGTTTAAATTTGCTTTATTATTATATTGTTGTTGTTTGAGAATGTTGATGTTTGTTTGATTATTACCTAACTTGTAAATATTCTAGTTGTCTGATGAATTCAAAGGAGTTGATGGACTTTTGAGCAAACTGAGAGTAGACCCAGTTAAAGGTCTTCCGAATGATAAGCACTATCTGGATGAACGAAGAAAGAGATACGGTTCCAACACGATACCGAAGGCCGAGTCTAAATCGCTTCTGAAGCTGATTTATGATGCCAGCAAGGTGCGTTTTTATCTAAACTGTCAATGAACTATATTGACTACAATGAGTAAATGTTGTTGTGATAGAGATTACTTATTATTACTTGTTGTGATAGTTGATAATTTTTCAATTGATAACTTATTTATTGTTTTCAAATACTGTAATATGAAACAAGTTTACTATAAAACCATTACAAAAATGGTATTTAGGACCCCACATTGATCATCTTGATCTTCTCTGGTCTAGTTTCGCTTGGACTTTCCTTTTACCAACCTCCATCTGAGAATAGTGGGTTAACTCTAACCAATGGTACTATCGTTAATGGTACCAATCTGAACGAAGGCGAGGAAGAGGATCATGGATCAGCGTGGATTGAAGGCGTAGCCATCTTGGTGTGTGTAGTTGTGGTGGTACTCGTGACAGCCTTAAACGATTATTCCAAGGAGCGACAGTTTCGTAGTATGTTTGTGTTTGCTTTTGAAATAATGACAAATAGCTGTTTGTTTAGACGACTTATTGAACTGTTAAATTACTTGTTGTCGATGTTATATTAATTCAGAGAAAGAAAGTAGCCTAGAGTTGCAATAAAACAAAGAAACTGGTTTCTTGAGTATATTTCTGGTAATTTAGACTTGCAAGATAAGATTGAAACTGGGCAAAAGTTCTCGGTGATTCGTGCAGGAGATGCGTTGGACGTTCCGGTTAGTGATCTTGTTGTTGGTGATGTAATACGAGTCAAGTACGGAGATCTTGTTCCATCTGATGGAGTGCTTCTTCAAGGAAATGATTTGAAGATTGATGAGAGTTCGCTGACGGGAGAATCTGATCACGTGAAGAAGACAGTGGAGGACGATCCCTTCGTTCTTTCAGGTACAGTTTTAAGCGATATCGAAAGGACAGCAAATTAAATAAAAATGTCATTCAAGCAACAAAATAATAAGTTTAAGAAAGTAAAAATAATTTTTAGGTACTTATGTCATGGAAGGAAGTGGTAAAGTAGTAGTGACGGCCGTGGGTGTAAACTCACAAACTGGTATAATCATGACTTTGCTTGGAGGCGGAAAACCAGAAGGAGATTCGGATGCTTCTAGCTGTATGTTATTCTGCATTATTTTAGTTTTTCTTTTTAAGTGTTATACAAATATAAATTGTGTTTTTCATGAACTTTTTTCAGCAAATTCGTCGTCAGACTCATCGTCATCAGGTTCCGGAAGTTCGTCTACATCTAGTGACTCTGATAATGGCGATTTGCATACGAAATCCATCTTGCAAACCAAATTGTCAGCATTGGCGTTACACATCATCTACTGTGGTACAAGTGTAGCTATCTTGGCGTTGATCATATTAATCATCCGGTACTGTATTGAGACCTATATAGTTGGTGGACAATCTTTCAATGTTGCTCAACTTTACAACTTTGTCAAGTTCTTCATTATTGCAGTTACTATATTGGTCATTTCAATACCTGAAGGTCTTCCATTGGCTATCGCGTTATCGCTGACATATTCTGTCAAAAAGGTATGTTTTTAGTATTGGTAGACGTTGTTGTATTTGTAAAAAGAATATTATTATGTTTACTGTAAATATTTGATTTAAGAATTTGTAACTATGTTAAATAATAGTATCAAGAAGATAAAGATATTGTTTTAGATGATGAAAGATAATAATTTGGTGCGACACTTGGATGCTTGTGAAACAATGGGCAATGCAACCACAATCTGCTCTGACAAAACTGGAACACTGACGACAAACAGAATGACTTGCGTTCAGTCATATGTTTGCGATAAGTTATACACCGATGAAAAGTCACAGCCGACTGCCGGAACCCTGCCAGGAGATGTGACGTCATTGATCACAGAGAGTATTACCTTGAACTGCGCCTACAACTCGATGATAGTAGATGGGGAGAAGCCAGGAGATAAGGGACTTCAGCTCGGGAACAAGACAGAATGTGGTCTTCTGGGCTTTGTCTCTCGATTAGGTGGAGATGTTAATGCAATTCGAAAGGCCCAGCCAGAAGAATCCTTGTTCAAGGTATACACCTTCAATTCATCTAGAAAGTCTATGATGACAGTTATCCAACTGAAAGATGCCTTAGGCAATAACTATGGTTACCGAGTAATCGCAAAAGGAGCTTCAGAAATTATTTTGGGTAGATGTAAATACTTTATTGGTAGCGAAGGGACACCTGAATTGTTTACTGAAGCAAAGCATAATAAACTGCATGGTATCATTCATAATATGGCTAACAACGGACTACGTACCATTTGCATCGGCTACAAAGATTATATTCTGAAAGAAGGACGAGAAGTGAAAGAAACTGAACACGGTATCACTTCTGATGACGACATTGATTGGGATGATGAGAAAGAGATCAGCAAAGACTTCATCGGACTTTGCATATGTGGTATACAAGATCCAGTGAGAGACGAAGTACCAGACGCTATCACAAGATGTAAGAACGCCGGAATCACCGTGAGAATGGTCACTGGTGACAACATAAACACTGCCAGAGCAATTGCTCTCAACTGCAAGATCATCGAGCCGGGAGAGGACTTCTTGGTGTTGGAAGGAAAGGAATTCAACGAGAGAATTCGCGACAAAAACGGACAAGTCAGCCAGGCTAAGTTGGACGAAGTTTGGCCACGATTACGAGTTCTGGCGAGAGCACAGCCAGCTGATAAGTATACCTTGGTTAAAGGTATTATCGACAGTAAAATTACGACACAAAGAGAAATCGTCGCGGTAACAGGAGATGGAACCAACGATGGACCAGCCTTGAAGAAGGCTGATGTTGGCTTTGCTATGGGAATCGCCGGGACAGATGTTGCCAAAGAAGCGTCCGATATTATCCTGACAGACGACAACTTCAGCTCTATCGTGAAGGCCGTGATGTGGGGAAGGAACGTCTACGACTCCATCAGCAAGTTCCTTCAGTTCCAGTTGACAGTCAACGTTGTCGCTGTTCTTACTGCATTCATTGGTGCCTGTTCGGTGTCTGATTCTCCTTTGAAGGCGGTTCACATGTTGTGGATTAATCTGATCATGGACACATTGGCTTCTCTTGCTTTAGCTACAGAAATGCCGACAGAAGAATTGCTTCAAAGGAAGCCGTATGGTAGAAAGAAGTCGCTGATTTCCAGGACGATGGTGAAGAACATTCTTCTCCACGCTTTGTATCAGCTGATTGTGTTGATGGTATTCTTGTTCAAGGGTCCTGAACTTTTCGGCATTCATTCTGGACTAAATGCACCGTTGTTCGCTCCTCCATCTGTTCATTTTACTATCATATTCAACACGTTTGTCATGATGACAGTCTTTAACGAGATCAACGCAAGAAAGGTTCACGGAGAAAGAAACGTTTTCAAGGTATGTTGTTATTTATAAATGTGTTGAAACAAAAACTTTCTTTTGGAAAAAACTACAATTGATAATGTTAATACTAATTCTTGCAGTACTTGTCATCTAACCACATGTTCATCGTCATCTGGGTTTGTACCTTTATCTGCCAGATCATCATCGTACAATTTGGCGGTCAATGGTTCTCAACAGCACCATTGTCTTTGTCCCAATGGGCAGTTTGTCTCGGATTCGGACTGTCAGAACTTGTGTTTGGTCAAATTGTGGCCACAATTCCATCGAAGAAACTGCCAAAGAGTGTAGCGCTTCTACGTGGAGTGCCAACCCCAACTCCATTGTCGATGCACAGACGCGAGGAAAAGCAATCTCATGCTCTGCAACATCACTCGTCTCCCAAGGCTATGTCACTTTGGTTGAGGGCGGTGGAGTTGATTGCCGTACATGTATGTATTTGATATTTTATTATGGATATGGTCTTTAATTTATTTAAAAATTGTCGTTTTAGTACCGTATCATGAGAGCGATGAGAGAAAACCATAGACAGAAAACCATGGGGGAAACAGCTCCAAAGATGACAGCTGAAGCGGCCGAAAGATGGAGAGCCAGCTACAGACGGTATCGTCATAGACAAAGACACACGAAAAGTAAGTTATCAACTATATTGTAAACTGCTGTGATTGTTTAAACTTGGGTACCTTCTCCCTGTACTTATACAATATTTTTAGAATTGGCTCGAGAAGCGTCGAAAGATAATCCAGAAGTGGTACCCACAGAGCCACAAGCCGAAAGCCACGAGATACGCAAGATTCACCGTCAGATCAAGGGAATCACTCGGCCCAGAAACTCGATGTCAACATCGTCACAGAATCAGGAGAACTCTCAGGTTAATATGGACCCCTCAAGCAATGCCTAGTTAATAATTTCTCACTTTCTAACGCTTATTGTTAACATATTGTATATTTTTGTTATCACTCACTATACTCGAACGAATTTAAAATAAAACCCCATACGATTATGTGGACCACATATGATTACTTTGCATATAGTTTACAGTAGCTACAAATTTAAAGTATTTAACTGCCAAACTCTTAAAATATTATTTAGATTACCTTGTGTAATTTTTATTACACCGGAGGCAGGTTTGGAACGTTGGTGTTCGTGGCGGTAGGGGGTGTTGGTACTCCTTCAGCTTCCACGACGCTCGCGCCTTCTGGAGGTGGAGTCGGTACTGCTGGTACCACTGGTTCTTCTTCAGGAGGCTCTAGTTCGGCAATCTGTAATAATTATGTTTTTCTAAGTGATAGTACTACTCTAATGTAGCTTGAAAAGGCATTACCAATTCTTTGATCATCTGTTGTTTCTTTCGTATCTCGTAGTACACTTGCAATGCGACCAGTACCAACAGGCAAGATATGACACCTAAAAAAGTTATAATTTGTAACAGTACCCAAATTACTAGATCAATAGAAAACCGCATTTGTATGTTAACGTTGTTTTAGAGTAAACACTATTTTTGTTACATATAGCATGTGCTCACCTGCAATGATACCGGACCACTTTAGAATACTGTTGTTGTACTTTGACGCAATCTCTTCGCTAAATTATTGAACATAAATGTTCATTACGGACTGACTTACTATGGTATGTGAAATTTGACGAAGTAACTGTTAGAATGGTTTCTACAGATCACGGACGCCGTTATTACGGTTTGCACCATCTCTTTGCTAAACCCTGAAAGTAACAACATTACTGTTACATGTTAATTAGTTATTTTGATAGTACTTTGTCGTCATGATACTGTCTTATGAATAATTTTTTAAACTCGCCCATTAGAAGGATAGACTTGTTATCGGGTAATACGACCAGATCTTGTTCAGAACAACTCTTCGACCAGTCGTAAGGTACAATATCAGATGTTCCTAACTGCCAATGCATCTGAATTAATCAACTCTTACACAAACACACTGTTTTGTAAAGTAATAACCCTACAACTATAAATGATAATACCTTGTCATCATCATCGAAGAGTCCAATCTGAAGGGAGATTCTGTAGTTGAGACCCACTTTCATTAGAAAGCTTTCTTCTTCCTCATCTACTACAATATCCACAAACTCCACAAGTTGACAGCTCTTTTTCCATGAGTTATCTTCCACTTTTGGCTTGAATGTTGTTGTAGTCGTCGTGAAGTACACGATTCCTTGATCATGTAGTCTTCGACAACGATCCAGTTCACTACAAGATTGCTTCTGTGGGTTGCTTTGATCACATTCTTGGTCTTCAATAACTTTACCGTAACGGCCAAAAGGCTGGGAATCTGTGGGTAACACTTCGTAGAGGTCAGGTGTTTCTCCTCGAAACTTGAACACCTAAATATTCAGATAACAAATTATGTTATTCATAAACAATACTGTAGCAAAAATTTAACTTTAGTATTACGAAATAAAAAAATGTAGTTACCATGTTCAACGCTTCTTCCACATGGGTTCGTTTGATGTCCGAGTGGAAGAAGTGGGAAAATAATGGAATAAAATCAGATTCATTGCTTGATAAGGCATTATCAAATTCAACTGAGACTTCTGCGGCCTCAGCTTCTGTTAGGGAATTGTTATGATCCTTTAACAAGTTGTTTATATTCACCTAAAACAATATCTTCAAGAGTATGGTAAACTTACTGGTTTATCCTTGTCTACCTTCATAAATGACACATATCCCATTCGACTTCTGTGACTTTGCAACGCTTTACTGTAATTTTACATATTTATTGTCCAAATAATTTTTACCATCTTCCATCATTAGGGGTGAGAAACGGGCCGTCTAGGCCCGGCCCGGCCTTGAGCTAAAATTGAAACGGGCCGGGCTTGAAAATTGGGCCCGGGCCCGAAAAAAAAAAATTTTTAATTTTAAAAAATTTTTTATTTTAATCCCCGTTGATGTTTTTTGATTTTATTGGGTATCATTATACATAAATGACCTAAAAAAACAATGCAAAGCCAAATTTCCGTTTATTTTTTAAGTTTTAAAATTTTTTTAATTTTTTAAAACGAGCCGGGCCTAGAAATTTTCTGACCGGACCGGGCCGGCCTGAGAGAAAATTGTAAACGGGTCGGGCCTAAACGTTGGGCCCCGGGCCTGGGCCGGGCCTAAAAAGTGGGCCCGGCCCGGCCCTTTTCTCACCCCTATCCATAGATAATGTCAGTACATGTTGACCCAAGAATCAGAGACTTGACACGTAAAATTATTTCGACATAAAAGTTGTGAAATTTTGGGCAGAAAATCGTGGTCTAAAAGTCTTTCAGGTACAATAGCAATTAATTCTATAGTTAGTACGTTGGACTTACCATTTCTTTTCAGAAACACCATATCCCACGCCACAGTAATCGTTGGAGCAACAACAAGCTGAACAACAAGACCAAGGCATCCATTTGATGTCAAGTTGGAGATTCAGCTGGTAGTTTTGAATAGGTAAAACTCTTTTCAAACTTGATTTCTCCAGTTGATCAGCTATAGCTTCTTCTGTTTCGTTACCGCTCAATGACAATCCTATCTTGAAGTGGATCGGTTGGAGTCGTTTGGCTGGTTCTCCAATGTTTTTACTCTGGAAGTTACTGTAAATAATATGGAATGTAGAAAAGGTAAAACTGGATGATATTAATGTAACATGTGACTTTTAATCTTACATTAACACATTCTACGTTAAGGTCTTCCGTGTCTACCATAAGTTCTTCTGTGTTGTCAGATGTCACTATCTTTCCTAGTTTTGTGATAGTCTCCAAGCGTTCTAAAACATTTCGGCATTTATATGAACTTACTACGTTTTAGTCGTTTTCTGTTTAGGTTTATATTTTTGTATATTGTACTTAACTTACACTAAAACGTTACTTTTATTGTTTCACAACTGTTATAGAACAGAATGCAATAGCAATAGTTTACTTACTTTTTTCATCTGGAATTCGTAGTATCTTCTCGACCAATGGCTCGTTCTCGGCCATGAAGATGTTAAAGTCTTTTGACTGTTTACATTTTACAAACAGAGGTTCTCCTGATTGTTGTAGCTCCATCTGAAGGCTACTGTCGTCTTCGTTATTGTAAACAGTAGACCGTACTGAATCTTGTACAGCACGAGATAGATCAGGCAAAGCCGGCTCTAGTGCTGGGATGTGGAACGGACTGAAATTTTGAAAATAAAAACAAGACAAAAGGCTTTTGAAAACGATTTTTTGAAACAAAACTAAATAGATAGTTAAAGTAAAGTGACTTACTGCTTTTTGATGTCACATCCAGAATATCCCTCAGGCACGGCAAACAGATTGCATAAGTAAATCTGCCAAGGATCTGCACTTTTGGATAAGGGAACGATCGAAGAAAGTAGCAACAAGGTGATAACAACCATTTCAGAAAAATAATTTTAGGAAAAATATCTTTCAATATTTACGTCACACAAAAATGTCATTATTTTTTCAATTATTATTTGAAATTGTGAATTTTAATGTTTTTCGTTTAATTTTTCACTTTCAGCCAAAAGACCAACTTGAACGATTTGGATGTCGTGCCAAGAGTTCCTCAAACTTTTTTCTCGTTGTCTTACTGTGTAAGGAATGTTTGTGGATTATATAATATAGACATATTAACGTCTCATAAGAAGCCTTTCTGTGTCCTCCATCCGGTTTTGCAAACATCTGGCGGGGTTTGACACTTTCTTGGCACAAAGTTCACCTTTTGCAAGTTTCGGCGCTTTTGTAATTTGAACTGTCAGAGGTTATGTCATCACGGTGACATCATTTCTTTTAGTTTACCGGTACTAGTGTTATCATTTTATAGGTTCAAACTACATTTTTGTCATATTTTTTGCGAACCTTTTACTCAGTAAATTCTCCTGTTTATACGTACATGTTGTTATGAACTTAGGTGCATACACAATGGTATACACCCATGTACACATCTGAACATGTTCAAAGCTCTGGGAAAATTATTTTTGCTGAGGGTTATATTATAAATGGCAGAACTGGCCAATCTTTCTTTGCGACAAAGATTGGCCATTTTAATTGATATGACTGATATGTTCGTCGCCTCATATTGACATTTGTGGTTACTAGGCCTTGATTTAACACCTTTATTATCACTGGGACTTGTGGTTGGGAGTGAATGACTTCTGGGTTGATGACGGTGACTTTGTAGAAGATTCTGATTTTCGAGTGGAATCTGTGTGTAGCACGGAATCCGATCGTGGGGCGGCATCTGAAGCTTTGCTTGAATCGGAAGATAGAGAGCTCATCGAGGCGGTGACTGAGTTGAGGTCACGTTCAGAGGTTGAAGACTTGGGACTGCCACTTTGAGGAGACCGTGCCGTTTTGGGTGTCAGAATGTCAAAGTTCTGAAAATATTTGTTTATTTATGTCTGGTGTCTGTAGTAACATGGTGTTTAACTTCACACTTGTGTGTTCATTTTTATTTTACATTAATTACGCTAAGTTTCTTAATTATGTTCAAAATTGTCCCTAGTTTTATTAAAAGTTATTTAGACCTACTTTTCCTTTGCTTGAGTTCATTGTGCTCTTACTGCGTCGTTTGTATATCATAGCTACAGGAGAGTTCATCTTGACTTGCTGGTTCTGTGCATTCATGATAGCAGTACGAAGCTCATTGTGAATGTCTGACTTCTGAAATAAGTTAGACAGTATATTTATGGTTTTACTCTATGTTGTGGTATTGTGCAAATCTGCACTCAAAAATGATAATTTATACGGCAAACTTACTCTAGAACCCCTGGATCTTCTTCTTTTGTGCGAAACCGGTCGCATCTGCCATACTGGATAAAAGAAGTAGTAGTAAAAGTTACGGAGTAAGAGTAACACGTAGAAGAGGATCATGGCCAGGACGAACGAGTACAGGGCCTGGGCCAAGGGACTGGTCTTGGCCAATTCCTTCTTAATTTCATTCTCAATATCACTGAAACAAGGAGATAACGGCAGATGGCTAACGGCGTTCTTCAAACGACCCAGTTTATGCATTAATGGTTCTTTTAGGCACTTATTACATGTGTGACGTTAAAATCGAAATGATACTACATGTCTGAGGTCAAGGAATGTAGGGGAGGAATATAAGAAAAGGTTTTGTTTATAAAGTATAAATTTTAAAAATAATTTTAAGGGAATATTAGACATGGCAGAATTATTATCTAGGGCTATATGACTTTTAGTATGTAACTTACGGTTCTTCTGATCCATCTGGAGGGGGTGGACACTTTAGCCACCAGGTTAGGAACGCACTGACAATTTCATGCGACATCGACCGGTCGGTCACTACAATTTTGCAGAAATGCATGCTTTTTGGGGCTTTAGAGTGAGGTTTTGTGGGTTTTATATTTTATTCTCAATTTTTTAAATTTTATTTATGAATTTTTGGTACTGGTCAAAAATCAAGCAGAAAATCCATAAAAGTAATGTATTTTTCATCTCTAAACGTCTACGTACTTTTTGACCCTAATAATTTTGGTTTTATCACTATTCTGTATTATTTTTGACCAAAGATGATAGTTGTCGCAACTTAAGCGAACACTGCTGATAACAGTTGTTACTACGCAAATACATGTTCTGCAAATACCATGGTGAACATAAACAACTATGTGAAGATGTATGCACGTATGGCATCATGTTTGGAACTACCTCAACATGAAAGTCTTTGAAATTTTTTATATTCGATGGGTTGGCGGTGGTTTCGGATTTCGGACTTTTGAAAAGTGGAGAGGCCGCTTCTGGCTTCGTGCAAAACGGTTCGGAACCAGAAGACGCTGTAGCCATCAATTGGCCTAATTAATGGCCTGCATATCATGGTATGACGCGGTATAGCGGTGGTATCAATTACGGTACAATATGTTGTGACGTCGTATAAGAGCGGCCACTGACAACTGTTTCATCTCGAAATACGGTGTTCTTTTGCATATGTTTGGCCGGGTCAATCGATACGGATCCTATGATTTGTGTTGTGTTGCATGTCGTTTTATCATGTTATAATCAGAAGGTGTGGTATTAGCCACAAGACATGTTATTAGTAGGAAGTTGGGTTATTAATGACTGGTTTATTAGAGGCTCCTATGCCAGATGACTGGTTTCATCTTATTTATACGTGTATTTTATGAATATCTTGAGTTTTTATTAACATAACTATTGTTTACCATGTACCTAAAAGTATTATATAATTACCCCTATTTTGTGGCTAAGGTGATCCTTATTTTACATTTGGAGACCTTTCTTACCTTCAAAATAAAACTATTTGTCAATATATATTGTGTATGTTTTTCCGTACGTGTTCGTCACCAAATTGCAAACATCTTATCTCTATGTTTCGCGGTGTAATCGTATTTAAATTGAATTCCTCGAGTTGGTTTCGGTTTCATACTTTTTATGTTTTGCAGCTACATCAGACAGAAGATCTGTTACATCTTCTCTTATGTTAATTTGTGTTTGATGGCAACTTCCTTGTCAGCATGAAGGCCGTTCTTCGTGTCATTCTTATTGTTTGCACTTTCACAGTAAGTCCGGTGTCCGAGAGAGGGCTTTCAGTGTTTAAAATTTAAAAATGTTTCTAAAACGCTTTTAACTAAAAAAATATATTTTCCGAGTAGAAAACATCACTAAAGTGAAACAGAATGCCACAGCTAGTTTTTAAAAATAAAAAATCAAAATACTTTGAAATTTTTTTATTGGAAACATAATGTCGTATTTTGAAAATATGAGGTATAAGCAATTTCTTAGGTAACACATGGCAGCCAATATAATCATGCGTTGTACGATCATCTCTTTAAGAACTACCGAAAAGAAGTTAGGCCGATCGACTACACGAATCCTTCAGGTAAAGTAACTCATAAATACACTTTGTTTAATAAATTTGAAAAAATTTGCATAAGCAGCTTGTTTTCTATCTAATTTTCAACCACAAAGAGGTTAAAAATTTCAAAGAATTCGTCAGCTTTTTGTAATTTTCTGAATATTGTTCTAAAACTTATCTAATCGGACAGAAACGGATTTGTCAGTCAATTTACTTTGCAGCTCCGACCAATGTAACGATCCAATTATACCTAAAACAGATTCAGAAGGTCGTTGACAGTGATCAGATTGTCAAGTTGTACTGTTGGCTGGAAATGGTGAGTAATGCCTAAAACAAGGTCGAATCTTTTAGTATTGGCGAGATGTGAACTTGCGATGGAAGGAGTCGGATTTCAATGGCACAACTCAACTCATCATTCCCTCCAATCATCTCTGGCGGCCTGATCTTCTTGTGTATAACAAGTAAGACATATCTTTCAAGTTTTATATATTTCGTTCGTATTTTATAATAATTTTATTTTATAGTTTAGCTTCTCCTATTTGATCAAGATTTATTTTACTAGTTTTAAGGTTTTTTTTTTAACTTTTAGATCATATTCGTATTGTTAAGTATCCTTTTGCCTTTTTAGTGCTCACATGAATGTTGAGGACAACGAGCTCGAGACGAACGCCGTTATCAGAAGCGATGGGAGAGTGAGTGTTTACAGAGCCATGGTAACTCAGATTACTTGTCAACTAGAATTGTGAGTGCTCTTGAAACATAAATAATATAAAAATGCTAAAAATACATGTTATAGTAGGTATATCTTGATTTTTAGAGAAAACTTTCCGTTCGATCAGCAAATCTGTTTTATCATGTTGTCGTCGTGGAGTTATGATGGTTCGGGTATTATGTTGAATACCTTGGTCTCTACAGACCTTGATAACAGTCAGAAAGACCTCAGTAAAATCAGTACGTTGGCACATTACATGCCGAACGGGGAATGGTATATGAATGATTTCAAGATTCAGCGGAATTTAAAGTATGTTTTTTTAAATTATTGGGTAATTTTAACATTAACAAAATTTGCAAAAATTTTTGGTTGTTCTAAAAGTGTGAAGAACTACCTCCTTTTTAACTTTATTTATACACATTGAACCTTAAAGTATGATTATTTCCAGGTATTACGAGTGCTGTCCTTATGCCTTCCCTGACTTGACCTACTACTTCTCTATTAGACGAAACCCTATCTACTATTTGTTTACTCAGTTACTGCCGAGTACTTTCATTAGCATCATCACGATGATAGGATCGTTCACGGTGCATTCTTCTACGGGTGAAAACGAAGAAAAGATCACGTTGGGAGTGACAGCTGGCATGGCGATTGTCATTATTTGTAAGTTCAAAAGTGTATTTTTACTGAATATTTTTTTTGTCGTAATACGGACGTTTTGTATAAAATTATATATATTGTGGTTATATTATCCTACATTTGTTATCAACTCTTGTTATGTTGCAGTAATGATGGTGGCCGACAAACTCCCAGCCACCTCCAACGATCTTCCGCTTCTGGGAAAGTTCTACGTTGGCCTGATCTTCATAATCTTCTTTGGCACGGTATGTACCACCATCGTTCTCAATGTGCAGATGAAAGGAAACCACATGGAGCCAGTGCCATTATGGTTCAAACGACTGGTCAAGAGGTATCGTATCTTTCAAATCGTATTCGAACGCTACTGGAAACAGACGCAGAAAGAAGTTCGGAGCTACGATTGCACAAAGGAGTCGCTTTTGATTCACTCACAGTCCGTGAACGGACATCTGAATCGGGGCGACGGTCTGAAAGAGAACGGTGTCAAACTCAATTTGCATAAATGCCCCGGGGTAAGCTGATTGTAAAGTAATTGGGTTACATCTGCAGTCTTAAAAACAGTAGGATTTCAAAACTTTTCTGCAAATATAAGCCTAGAAAAGTGGTTATTGCTCGACTATGTTTGTAAAAGTGCATTTAAGCACATAAGCCAGCTTTTAACAATAGTATTTCAGTAATTTAGGTATTACTGGTTTAACTATGGTTCTGTTTACTTGTTAACTTTATTTTGACAACTAACAAAGGGATTTGTGACACTTTTAAAAGCCATTCTGACAGCCATTTTCACTTTCAGTATACGCCGACTAGCCAGAACTTTGCGACTTGCTCGTTGTACAGTAAGATCCTGAGCACGGTGACAGAGATTCACGATAGTACGCGCTTCATGCTTGACCGTTTCGAGCAGGATCGTCGCAGGAGCGTGTTACGTCACGATTGGGAGAGCATAGCCCGAGGGCTGGACCGAGTATTCCTCACCATCTTCGTTACGGTGACGACCCTCTATGCCTTCTGGCTATTTACCCAGTCCTCGTCGGCGGCGCTTATGATTACACAGGAGTTTATGAACCAGACCTCGGCCATCGCTTGAGTTCAGAATCCTGAAGCTTCGGATTCTGATGATTTTAACTTTATATGGAACCAGAATCTGAGACATTCTTCAAAGCCAAAATGATTTTAAAGTTATTCTGAAGTCGACGATGGTCAGAAGTGACGGTGTACTTTCAATATCTTGGGGCTGTAGTGCGGGTATCCAAAAATAAAAATATTGAAACATAATTGTGGCCTCTTAATATGTTCGAATGCCCTCGAGGCTTGTTCATTTTCCGAATCTCGTCGAGATTCAAGTTGTTCGAAACATGTAAATTTGTGTAAATAAACTGATTAATAATTGCTGTATGATGATTTTACGTGCAATTATTTATTTTTTGATGTTGTAGAAGGATTCAAATGTTATCTGTCGTAATTGAAGCTAATTCTCTCGGTTTTAGGTTTTAGACTTGATATTTTAAGGCTATAACTGATTTGGTATTTGATTTATAAACATTTTGGAGGGATATCTTTGTGTGATTTTCGTTCTTTCAACATTGAATGTCATTTCTACTGGATTATTTTAATTATCTTAGTTTCTTAGTTCTGTTTTCTTTAACTTTCTCAAATTAACTATAAATTTCAGACGTCAATTCTGTGTTTTTTCGAATCTTTGCTTCCAAACTCTGATTTCTAATCTCTATAAACCTTGTTGTTACCTCTTCTTCTCTATGCCGAGTATAAAAGTTAACGTAATACGTTTGCAAGATGCGGAACCCACGTATCGTGCCAACCCCTTCCTGTGTGTCACGTTGGGCTCGGGTTTCATGTTATCATTGAACAGCCCCTAACTTTTTGATCATTTGGGCCTGAGGCGTAATCCAATCAGCGTCCGCTTTGTCCCCAATTTTGCACTGATTTGCGCGTTCTTTGTTTTGGCCATAACTTGGCCGTTCTGGCGTGGAGACTGGTGGCCGCTTTATCTCCGCTCTCCCGGATTTGTATGATAATTGTTTCAGGAACAAACGTATACACATATAGAGTTTCGTCATGTTTAGTGCGACGTTGTTTTGGCTTCTGGTAAGTTATGACTATATTCAAATGTACAATATTGATATTTGTTTTAATAGTTTCACGTGGAGTTTTAAGTTAAGTTTCTTCGTCATGTTAATCATGAGAATATTTTTTAAAAATTGTAACTTAATTGTAATATTGATGTTTTTTCTTCAAAAGTAATCTCATGCCCAATTTGTATTCATAAAAATCATTAATTGTATTCAGTTTACTCAACCATCTTCGGGCCTTGTATATGTTCAAGGTATCGTATTACCCGCTTTAGTAATAATTCATGTCTTTGAGAAGTGCGTTAGTCACAGTTTTGGTCGAAAATAGTTTAAGAAGTAACAAAAACAACTAAAACAATATAGTAAGGCAATAATGACGGTGCTTTCAGATAATTTTGGTGACTTTTATCGTAGATGCAGACCTTACATTATACAATTACCTTTTCAAAAACTACAGGAAAGAAATTCGGCCTATGAATCCTCAACATCCAGGTAGGGTAACATCTACAATTAATATTAAGCTTAATGAAACAGAGTAAAATAAGGTAAAGTTAACAGATATAAGCTGATAATAAATGAGGTAATGTTTATAGAATCCATAATGATATGTTTTAGCTTCTACAAATGTAACAGTCCAGCTATTTTTGAAGCAGATTCAGAAGGTGAAAGAAAGCGACCAAACTCTGTCACTTTACTGTTGGATCGAGATGTACTGGACTGACTTTTACCTAAAATGGAACGAAAAAGAATTCAACGGAACCAAAGAGATCATCGTTCCAGTTTCAGAGATCTGGAAGCCGGATCTTTTGGTTTACAACAAGTAAGGCGACTTCATTAAAGTTTTAAAAACCTTGCCAATCTCAGGTAGTAAAATACTTTAACCTCCTCAACCTGAGGTAGTAAAACAAGTGTACAAAATAATAATTTTCAGTGCTCATATGAATGTAGAAGCAAATCAGTTGGAAACGAACGCTGTCATCAAAAGTGATGGCAGAGTAAGTGTCTACAGAGCCATGGTAACGCAGATCACATGCCTTTTGAATCTGTAAGTTATATTATCTAATGATAATATAAATAATTACTTTTTTATTTGAAATTGTCACATTTGCAGAGATGACTTTCCATTTGACCAACAAATCTGCTATATCATGCTGTCTTCCTGGAGTTACGATGGGTCTGGTATCATGCTGGACACTTTGGTGAATACTCTAGTCGATAACAGTCAAACCGATCTGGCCAAGATTAGTACGCTGACTCATTACATGGAGAACTCCGAATGGCAGTTGAACGACTTTAAAATTAGACGAAATCTAAAGTAATTACTGTTGTTGTCATGGTTTGATAGTGTGCTAGCCTAGTAGTATGGCTGCTTATTGTGGTAGCTGTACAGTAATGTGACCTCAAGTAGTTGCCTTCTCTGTTGTACTGTGTCTTGACATCTGTTTCAAAAAACGACTTTCAGATACTATGAATGTTGTCCCTATGCCTTCCCTGACCTCACATATTACTTTTCGATCCGTCGAAACCCAATGTATTATCTCTTTACTCAGTTACTGCCAAGTTCTTTCATTAGCGTGGTAAGTGAACCCGAATTCAGTAACCGAGAATAATGTTTTAGATTACAATAATCGGCTCTTTCACCCCGCACCACACAACCGGTGAGAATCAGGAGAAGATCACATTGGGTGCGACGGCCGGCATGGCGATTGTCATTATCCGTAAGTGATATTATATTATACTAAAGAAGTTTTGAAGTTTTCTGAAATCAACTTGTTTTTCTTGGATGACAATACTAAATTAAATTTACTAGTGGTACCATTTACCTAAGTTATGTGCATCTTATTTTAAACACCTAACTTTTAGTTATGATGATAGCGGACAAGTTGCCAGCAACCTCTAACACACTACCGTTGTTAGGAAAGTTTTACGTAGGACTAATTTTCATTATTTTCTTTGGTACCAGCTGTACCACTGTTGTTATGAGCATCCAGATGAAAGGAAATCTGGGAAAACCCATACCTGAATGGCTGCGAAGTTTGATTCGAAACTCCAGAATCCTCAGGTACATCTTCAAAAACATCAACACAAAACGAAACATGGTAGGTTCTGTACGGTAATCGTATGTTGTATTAGTTATTTATTTAATATTGTGTGAATTACATATTTCAGAAGAAACGATGCACTTGTGGCACAAGAAGGAGTAGCTCGTTCTTCTTGAAGACCGAGAATGGAGGCTGTAAATGGGTAAGAGCCATGATAACAAGTCGGACACAGAGTAATTACTTTACATACATTACTGTACTTTTAGCTCATACCATCCCACACAACCCCTGAAGCGTATTCCTCTTTAACCCCACCATATCAACGTATCTTGTCGATAATGGGCGACATACGATGCTCGTCTGAAGCCACAGCTCAACGACTATATCATGAACAAATGGTTCAAGAGTGCCGGAGGGAATGGGAATACATTGCCAGAGGGTTGGATCGGGTATTTCTGTGCTTCTTCGTTACTATTACTGTTGTCTACGAGTTGTGGCTACTCAGTTTGACCAACATAACACCCTTAAAGATCAGCGACGAGTTCATGAACCTAACTGCAGGGCTTTCGTGAACAGTCAAATAAATAAAGACAATCTCATTAGTTCCTGGTTCAGAACGTAATTTTTCGAAAAAGAGGATTCTGGAAAACAAACAGCCTTTCCGGCACGTCTTTTGATGCCAAACCTCGCAAAAATATCGATAAAAACAAATGTCATTCAAATCTGATGACGTGACAACAAATATAAATAAAAAAAAGTTTACGTACTAAGTCCTAGCTTTCATGGGCATGTACACGAAAATAAATAAGGTAAATCACATTACTTCATACTCTAGAAAGTTGTTTAAAAATTAGTTTTGTTGGTACAAAGACAGAAAACCTTTTTTATTTTTGGCGGGAAATGTAAATATGTTGGTTTACCACTCGAAGACGCAAGCTAAGGAATTAGACGCTGAAAATGCAAGTTTATAACCACTAAACAAAAAAGGCTAGTCGTATATCCCTTGCTATAATTTTAACATGGACAATTTATAGAGGAGTTTTCCTCCCGAAGTATGTTTTTGTACGACAACTTCTGTGTTATTGCTTTTTTAAAATTAAAATTTATCTTATTTTTCTAATTTAACTCATATATAAATGAAACTAGAGAAACAGAATAGATTTAAAATAATTTGTATTTTTAGGTATGGCTGCGTGTAGTCAACCATATAACACACATGGAAGATGTGTGTAGGTTCTCTATGATCAGTGAATACTTTTATCGATTGATAAACACTGACTTCAGAAGTTTATGTTACAAAAATATGGTTTTTCGTCTTCCCGGTGAAACTTGGGCAACGGCTTTCTCATAGTAAGTTGCTGTAATACCTGACATACGGTAATTCCTCTTTAAAACAGTTGTTTTAAAGCGTTTTTTTGCACCGTTTGGTCGGTTTGGCAATGCTTGTTAAGTCTCTTTTTACATTTAGTTTTATTTAGCACAAATTACCGTACAATCAACTTCGAAGTAAAATCTGAGTGTATGTTCTCCGCACGCACATCATGTTGCCCTTACACTGGTACATTGGCAATAACTATCGATGACAAAAAAGTGTTAATAAGTAATGTTGACTTCGGAAAGAGGATTTTTGAATTTATTGACCTTAGAAGAAAAGAGGGCGAAATACTCAAAGTGTATCTTATTAACAAGTCTACACAACTAGTATTAAAAATGTCTATATCGTGCCTGGTATATGATCTAACACAAAAAAAGATTGTCAATGGCAACTTTATCGTCTTACAATTTTATGACATCTTATCGTGACGGTTTTCTTTTTGATATGTATAATCAGAAAGAACACAAAGTGAAAGCCAAAGACCGAAAAGGAATTATATTAAACGCTGACATCTGTGGCTACAGGAAGTATGTTGGCTACTGGAACCTTGAAGATGAATTTGTTGTAATAGATAACTTGACCGGTCAACATCATGTCATTTTTTATACTACTAAAACATTTAGTCTTTTTACAATTCGTATTTTTGATGATTTAGATCAAGTAATGGTACAAGGTGAGTATTTTTATAACATCACTTGTCTCTAAATGGAGCATGTGCACAAAAAAGACTTTTCAGACACAGATACTCGAGTTTACGACATTAAAACCAAAAGTTGTGTATTTAAATGGAAACACGTTCCATACGAGCACTACGAAATGTGGAGTTTTGAATGTATGTACTTATACGAAAGCAGTAAAGTAAGTTAATAAAATGGAATGATCCCTACCCGTTTAGCCATATACGACAACAGATGCGACAGTACTTATATTTTGTTAGAAAAGTAAAGTTAGAACAACTAATATTTTGGATATTTTAGTTGGTTGGGTACAATAAAAAGGAAAAGGAATGGACAGAACTGGGAACATGGCCTTATCAAATAAATCCACCGCCCGATATCAAGATATTTTCAAAACTGTTGTCCTTGTCGACAATACACCCTGTAGACGGAAACGGTATTCGCACTTTAACGCATGTCGATTGGTATTCAGGTAAAATTTTGCATGAAATTCAAACTAACAAGGAAAGTGCCCAACCTGCAGCTCTCTTTTGTAGTACCGATAGTACATATAAAAAACCTTAGCTTGCGGGTTTAAGTTTGAAATTTAATATATTTAAATTTTCCACCACTTTGGCATTGTGTTTCAAACATGCTTGTGCGTAGGGCAGGGCCCAATTTTCGGCCCTGTCATCGGGCCCGCTTAGGCCCTGCCCAGTGCCGGGCTTTTTGATTTCGGCCCGGCCCTAGCTATTATATTATATTTCCTTATAGAGTAGTGTATTATGTTCCCAAATGATGTGTATTTCTTTACATTAGCACCGGATAGGGTATGGTAGAGTATGGCATCGGGTTAGAGGTAGAGTTAGGTAAAGCTAGAAAAGTCAGGGTTAGGGTCGCTAAAGTGGTCAGGGGTGAAGTGGGGGGAGGTAATATTACTTGTTAGACACTCAACAATTTTAAATAGTTTTTTTTTCAAAAAATGTAAAAAAAATTTACCGGGCACGAAGCAAGCCCTGCCCGGTTACAATCATGTGCCCTGTCCGGTAACTGACCTGGGTCGGGTTGGGCACAGGAGACAACATCCTAAGTCCAAGCCTGGTTTCAACCCCTTTTTTTACGTTCCAGATAAGATAGGCTTATAAATTTAAAACTGCAGGTTCATTTTAAGCTTTTCTATCATTATATTAAAGAAAAATAGTTAATAGCCAAAAAATTACAAAATAAATAGTTGAAAGAACTATACATGGCAATTTGGGAAAATTCAAAACGCAATTTTTTGACCTCGATTTCCTCAAGAGTGGCCGCAAGTTATAAATTTGCATAAGATCTTACTTTACATCATCTTTCAATAAAAAAATCTGAACGAACCTGAGCGTTGCAGGGCGAGTACCTTCCTTAAAAGCTGGCTTGGTTTAACGTTTTTATAATTTTTTCTAAAAAGCAAAGTGAAATCGAATTTTTATTTTGTAGGTCGTTTGGTTTCAAAGGAATTCCAACCTATTGAAGTTCAAAAAGCCGGGTTCGATTACAAAAAATTTATTAACGTTCGTGGACTCCAAAAACAGATTCTCCTCAGAATGGCGATCCAATCCAACCTACAGATTATAGAACACATTTTGAACGTATATTGGTAGAGCTATCGGCAGATATTACCAGGCGTTTATGAATTTGTGAATCGAATTTGTATTTTAATAGTTTAAAAACTTTGAGTAAATCATATTATTAACAAAAAACCAAAAGAACTCAATTTTAGGCCATTCAACTACAAGTGGTTCAGTGACGAATATAATTATTGTGCACAACATTTCTATGTATGAAATTCCTAAAGAAATTGAACTATAAGTATACGTATCTTATAAGGAATCACAACTTTTAAAAAGATAAATATCATTTGCAATGGATAGCATAACACTGGCATAAAAAATAGTGAATTATTATTTTCCTTAACGAGGGAAAGGCAAATAGGATATCGGACCTAGAACTGAAACCTATATCATATGAAAGAGCGTGAAAAGTTATGTAAGAATTAAAATTTTTAGCTGCTCAAATTCATATACTAAAAAGTTACAGTAATTCAAACTTTTACGACCTTCTAATATTTCAAATCTCGCCTGCACGCCAAGAAAATAAATAAAGAAAAACGGAAGTTGTGGCATTCTGTTCGCGAACAGCGAAAAATTGTAAAATTAAATAAATAATTCATAAATATTTTCAGAAAATGTTATTTTTCTTTTTTCTTTGTTATAATTGTGTTATAAAATAAATTTTATATTGTAGTTTAACTATTTTTGTTTATTTTAACATCAATTTCAGGTCGTTAATTCGAAATTTGAAGAGACTGGAAAATTGGAAAGAAAAGACAACCTTCCCGCCAGAAAACAAAGATGTAAGTATAACTTCTGTTGTTTCTGTTGAATTTAGGAAATTTCTGTCTAATATGTCCATGATATTGAGCAGAACATGTGTGTAAATTTTCGTAGATTTTGCTTCTAATTTGAAAAAGATCTATCTAAATTTGTGCCTAATTTTACTCTGAAAGACCCTCGACCAGCCTCGCTGCAACTTTTGATGGTCAAGAACTTCACCGAACCGTCCCAAATCGCTTGCCAGCAACTACAATAAGTCTTCTGCAATGGAATGCGCGCGTATAGCAAGCAAGGTTTGAAAGGGAAGACCAATAAACGGCGCAAACGAGACATACGACGGAAAAGTGTCGCCATAGTTTAATTGACTGAACTAGGACAAAAGAAATTATTCTTTGTATTTTTAAATGTCATTTCCATTATTATAAACCATTTAACGTATGTTTTATAAGGTTAATACCTAAAATGCTACACTCGTATAATTAAGATCCGCAGATTGAGAAAGGTCGGGCGCAAGTCGGAAAATAAATTGTTTTTTCTGATAAATTTTACGCCCGTAAATATAATAAATAAATATAATTTTAGCTTTTTTTTCAGACATAAAAACAATATTTTAAGGTAATTAGACGGTTATATTTATATATTTTGTCCCATTAACATTTTTTCATGTTCCGTATAACTTGGATTTTCCCTTGTTTTGAAAAATTAAACCCGAGCTGCGCCCAAAGCCAAATTTTTCTATTTCTGCAAAAAACTTGGCGTGCGCCTGTGGATTATTGAAAAAAAAATGTTTAAAAACTTTATTTTACACCTCCTATTTACCCCCTATTTTCCTTTCCCTTGTAAAAGATTTTATATTAATTGACCCAACTAACATATATAATGTCAAGATAGCCTCAAAATTGAAGTTTTAAACTTTCGAGACAGTTACATTACTCTAGGCGGAACAGACTGGGGTAAGCGTTGAGGGGTTAGAGGTAGACTCACCCATCACATCATTCGAATCCATCGTGTTAATCGAGCCTCGATTCAGAATCTCGATCATTCGTTGCATAAACTCTCGAGGCAGCCGAGAAGCATACGGTAGGACTTCCACTCGGACCAGCTCTATTATCTGACAGTCAATGTATTCGTGTCGCTTCCGTTCATCTGCATTCAGAGGTGTTTCTGACTTGGATTTGGTGAACAAAAAGTCTTCGATGGCATCGGCCAAGACGTTCCACAGGCCAGAGAATTGAACCACTGCAATAGTAATGTAAATATTACGTTTAAATTGACACTTACTTAATGATAACAACCAAAAATTTTTAAAAATTACCATTTTCCCGCGCAATTGGCAGTCCAATACCGCAAATTTGGACAAAAAAGTTGGCTGCTATCTTCCACGTGGTCTGACTGGGGCATTGGTACTTCAAAGACAGTGGTTCCTTGATCGCCTGAATAAATAACGTAGAACAAGAATGATAAAGTGGAATGTGATTCCATTAGAAAACTTAGATAAACTTGACAAACACTTGCTGTTCCAACACTTCTGGATAGTTGTAGACCTTGGAGTAATATGCTACACTAGTACGAAGAGACAACTCGGCGAAGGAAACCAGGTTTTGCTGTGCCCAATTCACCTGTTTGTCTTTCTGTACGAATCCGGATACTGGAGGTCTGGTTGAGAATCCTACAAACTCCAGTAGAGTTTTAAGTAGGTCTGGCAGAATCGGTCAAAGCTTCGAATTTGGTTCACACTGCTCCTAAAAGTAAAAGGGAGGCTGTCAAACATATCATACAGGGTGCGTCAAAAGCCCGGAAACTCATTATTTTAGTCATATATTTATTAAAGCAATGAATATACTTAAAACAACAACTAAGAATAGTAATATATAGTAGTAGTTATAAGCAGGCTTGGACACAGGGCAGGGCATAGGGCATGATTTGAAATTTTTTTACAGGGCAGGGCAGGGCATAGCTTGGAACAGGGCAGGGCATGCCCTATGCCCTGCATTACCCTGCAAATGCCCTGTTTGTGCCATGGTAAGTTTTGGCGGACGCCTCCGCCGAGCGGTTGATAATCGGCGGACGCCATAAATTGGTTAGTTTAGCAGCTAGAAACATGTAGTTCAATTCAGAAGTTATTATATGTCATACGCTACAAGTAAAAGCATAATTTTAAGACTTTAAAAGTAGTATTGTTATCGACCGGTTGATAATTTTTAGTATATTTTAATTGCAAATTTTATATATATTCTTATCGCTCTGTTGTTCTAAATTGTATAGAAATTTCAATAGATACAATTCTAAGCAAAAAACTTTGTTTTTTGTAAAAATTAAACATTTGTAAATTATCGACCGGTCGATAACAATACTACTTTTAAAACTTTAAACTTATGGTTTTATTTGTAGCCAATGACATATAATAGCTTCTGAATTGAACTACATGTTTCTAGCTGCTAAACTAAACAAGTTATGGCGTCTGCCGATTATCGACCACTCGGCGGAGGCGTCCGCCAAGATATACCCAAATGCCCTGTAAATACCCTGTAAATGCCCTGATGCCCTGCAGGGCAAGGGCAGGGCAGGGCATAAAAGCCCAATGCCCTGTGCCGGGCAGGGCATTGCAGGGCACAGGGCAGGGCATGGAAATTTGCCAATGCCCTGCCCTGTGTCCAAGCCTGGTTATAACATAGTCAAGCGGTTTCGAAGTGGCCCCTCTTTGCCGCCACGCAGAGGCGTAAACGCTTCACAAAGTGTTAGGCGATGGGCCGCAGGTCCTGAAGCGTAAGTTTGTCCCATTCGGATCAGAAGTTATTCACGTTGGAACAGGCACATAACCCCTCAAAATGACAGACATTACTCTACGGAGCCTCTCTGAAACAAGCATTGATATACTACACGATGCGTTCACATAAGAATGAAAGTAGTCTTACCCATTCTTCTTCTCCTTGGGATCTGCTGCCGTTTGAGCTCTTCCGAATAACAATTTTTGGAAGTTCTTCAACGCCGCCAATGACATTTCACTGTTATCCGTTCCCGCCACGTACTCTATGAACTTCAGCAACGTTTTCCAACATTCTTCGAAAGTTTCTGTAAATCAAAATAATTACCATATCAAGAAATATATTACAAATAATGATAAAATCACATACTCAACTCGACCAAGGTGTTCCTCTGAGCGTTAAAGATCTTGACCACACCTCCAAACGTTCGAACAGTCGTTTCTGCCCATTGTTTGGATTCTGTATCCCGTGAATGATGGAGAATCATGTTTGGAGCACCAAGGGCTGAGGAATCCGCCTTCTTTGTTGAGGCGTTCTTCGTTTCCACGCGTACCTTGTCCAACATTGGAAACAGAATCTAAAAAATAATGAGATTATGTCATCCACAACAAGACCTAGATTCAGCAACAAGAATAAATATTTATATCAACTCACCTTCCAAACCATGTGATCCCACGTGCTGGCCTTCAAGATGTGACCATGAGCCGCTACAGTTTGAAGTAGAGTATCACAAGCTGACTTCCTGACTGGAGGTCGAGAGTCGACACACAGTTCACTCAAACAGTTATAGATTACAAGCCACATCTGCTCGACGTTCTCGTTCCCTCCACCAACGTGGCTGATTCCACTCACAAAATCAGAAATGTCCCACTAAAATACGTTAATCAATATTTAACTTACAATCACATCATATGACAATATACAAACTATGACAAAACCTACTAGTAAGCCGACCGCTGCTAGTGATATGTTCATGTTCAGCTGTTGATGACCATACTTGGCATCAGTCTCTACTACAAGTTGCACACAATCTAGAGGCAGACCGCTCAGAAACTCTTTTATCAACAACTTGGCAATCCCAAAACCTTGATCGACCAGTTCAGCATTAGCTACCGACTTGTGTTCTACTACTGCCGTCACAATGTTAATAACGACTGGCCACAATTCTGGACTCAAATGGTGCCGATCTGACTGAAGGACATTAAGAAGACAGTCGATCTGTTTGGATCTGACGTCGATGTACTCGGACTCGTTCATGGCAGAGAGCGGGGACAGAATCAGTTGTTCTTGCTTCTAAAATAAAGTATTACTACTAATAATCCGGGAAAAAATATTTAAATCAATTCAAAATATCAAATCCTTACCACAATGTCAACTTTTGGATCTTCATCGTTCAAAGACTTCAAAGCGCTTTTAACGAGACTTGTTAAACACAAAGCTCCCCAATCTCGCAGTATTCCATTAGGATGAACGCAAATCTACAATAACGATAATGGATTTCAGTAATAATTCGGTAGTTTTTTAAGATCAAAACAATTTAAAAAAGCATACCTCCAGTAAGTGTGACGTAACCGGTCTCCAAAAGATGACAAACCGATTCAAGTTGTTCTCGGCCGTCTGTAGTAACCTGGCCAATGGGAACAACGACGGTTCTTTAGAGAGGTTCTGTTTCCCCACAATCATACCATCGTTTGACAACTTGCACAGTGAAGCGATGACATGATGGAGCGACGTTTCATCGTACTTAGAAGTAGATTCAAACAACTTGTTCAACATCGTGTTCAGTTCTGGCAATTCTGACGTAACAGCCGTCGTCACAATAGCAGCACCATTACTCGCTTTGCCTTCTGTAGACGTATCCATCTTGAAAGCTCCGTTCGCGGTAGATTTGATACCCAGAATCCAGAAGAGGTGCTGTAGCGTTGATAACACAACTTCCCACGAATTCAGAAGTCGATCTCCACATTGTTGTACCGAATTGATGAGAAGACGTCCTACTTGCAAGTTCTTGGCTGTCAACATGACATTCGTATTGCTTTGGTTAGAGTTCATAGATACTGGACACACTGTGCTCATAACAACGACTTGGCTCGGCTCTCCAATCGTCTGGCTGGTCACTAAAATCATGTAAATTAAAAATTAAAAGCATAGGGATTTCACTCTTAATTACACCTCAATTACCTCTATCCTTATCAACATTATTGTTAGTACCTTCAAGTTTGTTTTCCTTTTCGTTTCCTGGACAAAGCGGTTCTACGAAGCTTCCGAAGTATCCTTGAGGTAATGCTGCTTGACAGATGGCTCTAACTGTGGCATCCTTTGCTTCCACATTTCCAACCTTACATCCCATTACCATGACAGTAGACAAGGAATTGAGAACGGCTTCTGTTATCGAGTCGTCCACGCTACATTCCAGTAGCAAGTTCAAACCTTCGATTAAGCGGTCGTAGGACGACAATGGCCGACAGATTCTCGTTGAGTGGGACAAACACCCCGATATTATAATACAATTCATCGAGGAGAACAACGAAACACGTTACTACATTAAAAATATCACTTACCAAGACCTTGTGATAGAAGGATATTAATATGTAAGTGATCCGTAGAGCCAGTGCATAATGGACTTTGACTGAACTGTTGGACTGGATAGAAGCTGATGATAACGATGACACCGAGCGACGATTCAATTGAGACGCAGCGACTTGGGCATCTCTCGAGTTGATATGTGACACTGCCTGAAAATTAAAGTTGTGCAAATTAAAAAATTTCAAAAACGCATTTTTCATTTTTAAGCATTTGACTACTTACTTTCGAATCTTTGTTATGAGCAAACAAGTTGAGTAGTTGTGGAAAGGCCCGTTTTTTGAAAAATTTTTCCCGCACTTACATGTTTGTTTTTGTTTGGTCCTGGCACGAAAAGAAACGTTGGGACATTTTGCGTTTTTTCGGCTACGTGACGTTTTGAAAATGTCTCAAAGCATTTTGGGCTAGAAAAGGGTTGGGATAAGGTTGGTACTTACTGTTAACGGAAATATTTTTTTTGTTATGGGATAATAGGGTTACATTTTGTCGGTATTCACGTATAAACGTTTTAGATATCGTCGCGCATTTGTTATGTTTATTTTCATATAAGGGACGAGCTAAATACATCGGATGGAAAGTATCAGACAAAAAATGCAATTCTTTGTCTGATATTTTTTTCAACGATCTTTTTTTTCTCTAACTGCCGTCGGCAACGAGAGGAAAAAAAAGATAGAGGGAAAATGAGAGACGAAAATATCAGACAAGAAATCGCATTTTTTGTCTGATACTTTCCATCCGATGTATTTAGCTCGTCCCTTATATTCTTATTTTTTCGTTACTTCAGTTCATTTGATAAAATGGCCAAAGCAAACGCTGTTGGAATCGATCTTGGCACAACTTACTCCTGTGTTGGAGTACTCATGCACGGTAAGGTAGAAATCATCGCCAATGACCAAGGAAACCGTACCACCCCATCCTACGTCGCCTTCACCGACATTGAACGTCTCATTGGTGATGCCGCCAAGAACCAAGTTGCCATGAACCCACAGAACACAGTTTTCGGTACGTTTACTTATTATATTACAGGATTTTAGGTAACAAAATATATAAGAATATTTTTTGGTGAACTTGTATATTAGGTCTAAGTATTTTAGGTAAAAACGAAAATATTATACAGTTCTAGGCTTTGCTTGTTTGTTTATAGGACAGTTCAGGCTATATGAAGTATTTTTAAGTAATAATTTGATGTTTTTCCGACGCCAAGAGATTAATTGGCAGGAAGTTTCGACGACCAAAGGTCAGGCTTGGACACAGGGCAGGGCATTGACAAATTTCCATGCCCTGCCCTTGCCCTGCAGGGCATCAGGGCATTTACAGAGTATTTACAGGGCATTTGGGTATATTTTGGCGGACGCCTCCGCCGAGTGGTCGATAATCGGCAGACGTCATAACTTGTTTAGTTTAGCAGCTAGAAACATGTAGTTCAATTCAGAAGCTATTATATGTCATTGGCTACAAATAAAACCATAAGTTTAAAGTTTTAAAAGTAGTATTGTTATCGACCGGTCGATAATTTACAAATGTTTAATTTTTACAAAAAACAAAGTTTTTTGCTTAGAATTGTATCTATTGAAATTTCTATACAATTTAGAACAACAGAGCGATAAGAATATATATAAAATTTGCAATTAAAATATACTAAAAATTATCAACCGGTCGATAACAATACTACCTTTAAAGTATTAAAATTATGCTTTTACTTGTAGCGTATGACATATAATAACTTCTGAATTGAACTACATGTTTCTAGCTGCTAAACTAACCAATTTATGGCCGATTATCAACCGCTCGGCGGAGGCGTCCGCCAAAATATACCCAAATGCCCTGTAAATACTCTGTAAATGCCCTGATGCCCTGCAGGGGCAAGGGCAGGGCATGGAAATTTGTCAATGCCCTGCCCTGTGTCCAAGTCAAAAACAGCGAATTCTTGTCTGAAAGCGCGCAGAGAAAAAAAGACGTTGTTCTCTTCGCGGCGAGAGAGCATGGTCTCTTTTATCTTTTCAGACAAGAAATTTGGAATTCTTGTCTCAATGCCTTTTAAACAAGAATTCGCGGTTTTTGACTGAACGTCTAATTTTTTTTGTAACGCACGTGGCATATATGTATAGTGCTGTTTGTATGCCACTTTAAAAATAAAATGGCAAAACTTACCCATTCAGTCAAAATAACCAGACACGATGAAGTCGGCTTCAAATAAACCGAAGATTTGAACGGGACACCATTGAAGGCCAAGTCATTGAACGGAGTGTCAAAGTCGATCATTTCGTTTGTCACTTTCGTAACTTTGTCACAGAAGTTTTGGAAGGTCGAGTTCAGCTTCTTCCGCATCTCGCGTTCCATCTAAATTCAAAGAACCATTAAACAATTAACTATCTGTCATATTTTGATTATTATTGTAAAAGTTGCTCCAAAATCAAAAGTATAATCAGATATCTTACCTGTTCACTAGCAATATCGTCTCGGTCTTGCATATGATGATACTTTCCTAAATCTGTAGTAATTTCACCGACTTCTGTGTAGAATTGAATATCCAAATACTTCTTCTTGCCCCATAATACCGGGTTCTAAACATACAAATTATTATACGCAACAAGCAATCAGGTAAAATAAATATTACCTAAAAGTAAAAAAGACTCACCTTTAAGTTAAAATGTAATAGTATAATCATTTCATTGTCACAAGGCTGGAAGAAAGCATGTTTGATGTTGTTGTAGAGTACGTCGATCTTGTCCCCTCTAGGTATCGTGTATCGGAAACCATTCTGATGAGCCTTCAGAACACCACTCATTCTTTTGACAATATTTGGTCCGACATACAAATCCTTCAACTTTGGATTTCCCTTCATTGTGATAAGCTTATCTTGTCTCACGGCACCTTCTTTCTCTCGTTCTTCAGCAGATGGCATTTTCTATGAGATTTGGGACTGAGGTTGTTGCGGAGAGACTGACCAACAATACCTGTAAACAACTTTTCATAACATAATCCTTTGTTATTCTGGGGCCACAATTCCCGTTTTGGGTCATTGGACACAGAGCAAGGCATTGGCAAATTTCCATGCCCTGCCCTCTGCCCTGTACAGGGCATTGGGGTTTTATGCCCTGCCCTTGCCCTGCAGGGCATCAGGGCATTTACAGGGTATTTACAAGGCATTTGGGTATATTTTGGCGGACGCCTCCGCCGAGTGGTCGATAATCGGCGGACGTCATAACTCGGTTAGTTTAGCAGCTAGAAAAATGTAGTTAAGTGCAGAAGTTGTTATCTGTTATAACCTACACATTAAGTCAGAAATTTATGTTTTTGAAAACAATATTGTTATCGACCGGTCGATAATTTACAAATGTTTAATTTAAAGAAACAAAGTTTTTTGCTTAGAATTGTACCTAATGCAATTTCTATAGAATTTAGAACAACAGAGCGGTAAGAATATATATAAAATTTGCAATTAAAATATACTAAAAATTATCAACCGGTCGATAACAATACTACCTTTAAAGTATTAAAATTATGATTTTACTTGTAGCGTATGACATATAATAACTTCTGAATTGAACTACATGTTTCTAGTTGCTAAACTAACCAAGTTATGGCATCCGCCGATTATCGACCGCTCGGCGGAGGCGTCCGCCAAAACTTACCATGGCACAAACAGGGCATTTGCAGGGTATGCCCTGCCCTGTTCCAAGCTATGCCCTGCAATGTAAAAAAATTTCAAACCATGCCCTGTGTCCAAGCCTGGTCACAACCGCTTTTAGTAAGAGTAATTTGAAAAAGATCTCATACTAACATCAAAAACTTTAAATCCCTTAAGACAAAGCAATAAACAAAAGGTACAACATAAAAGAAGGGTAATATTTTGATAAAGATAAAACCCAAATAAGATTAGTGTATTTTTATTCCATATGTCCACATAAACATGATTCTCGAAGTAGCATTAGATCATCTTCGCTTCTTCTTGGAGCTCGAATGTCCTCCACTTTCTCTGCCGTGCTTTCTCTTGTGACCTCGAGATGGTTCTTCTTCACCTCGTTCCTTGGCCTTGTCGGCTTGAGCAGCTTCTTCTTCTAGATCGCTCCAATCTTTGCCTTCACTTTCATCTGAATCCAACTCGGCTTCTGATTCGGATTCTGATGTTGTTTGGACGGATTCAGAGTCGGATTCGCTTTCTTCTTCTCCACTCACATCAGAATCATCGGTTGGCGCGAATTCACTCTCTTCTGAATCTTCTTCATCCATTTCGTCCTAAACAAACAATTTATCAAAGATATTCTACTTTAATAAAAATAAAAAAAATTCTTACATCAGAATCAGCCAACAAGAAGTTCCAACCACCTTCTTCAAAGAAAGTTTCCGGCTCGTCGATAACTCTCTTCATGATGTTATTCCAATTCAAAGACATTGGTCCTTCAGAGTATCGGATATCGCACGAGCTGAATCAATATTAATTCAAACTCCATGATAACTTACTTTAACCAATCTTTGATGCCATCCAAAGCGTGATCTGGAATGTTGAATATGCCTTGTGTTTTCTTGGAGTAGTCTTTGAAAACAATAATCATATCACAAGTTCGAGTGTTTCCACTGACACGTTCAAAGTGAGCCAATTCAACTTCGTCCAATGTAACCACAAATGGAGGCTAAAAAAGAAGGAAATAGTTGTATATGTATAGTGCTTTTTGTATGCCACTTTAAAAATAAAATGGCAAAACTTACCCATTCAGTCAAATTAACCAGACACGATGAAGTCGGCTTCAAATAAACCGAAGATTTGAACGGGACACCATTGAAGGCCAAGTCATTGAACGGAGTGTCAAAGTCGATCATTTCGTTTGTCACTTTCGTAACTTTGTCACAGAAGTTTTGGAAGGTCGAGTTCAGCTTCTTCCGCATCTCGCGTTCCATCTAAATTCAAAGAACCATTAAACAATTAACTATCTGTCATATTTTGATTATTATTGTAAAAGTTGCTCCAAAATCAAAAGTACAATCAGATATCTTACCTGTTCACTAGCAATATCGTCTCGGTCTTGCATATGATGATACTTTCCTAAATCTGTAGTAATTTCACCGACTTCTGTGTAGAATTGAATATCCAAATACTTCTTCTTGCCCCATAATACCGGGTTCTAAACATACAAATTATTATACGCAACAAGCAATCAGGTAAAATAAATATTACCTAAAAGTAAAAAAGACTCACCTTTAAGTTAAAATGTAATAGTATAATCATTTCATTGTCACAAGGCTGGAAGAAAGCATGTTTGATGTTGTTGTAGAGTACGTCGATCTTGTCCCCTCTAGGTGTCGTGTATCGGAAACCGTTCTGATGGGCCTCCAAAACACCACTCATCCTTTTGACAATATTTGGTCTGACATACAAATCCTTCAGTTTCGGATTTCCCTTCATTGTGATAAGCTTATCTTGTCTCACGGCACCTTCTTTCTCTCGTTCTTCAGCTTCTGAAGTCCTAAACTTCTTCTGCATTTCCTTGATGAGACGATATGCCGTTTGAAGGTTTAGACTCGGAGCGTGCATTTCACCCAACTCCTTCATGTTGCTGCTTCGGAACGTCCTACAGTAACATTATGTAAACGTTATTTCATATTATTTTCGGCCTACCAAAACGAGTTACAACTATCACTAAAGAGACAACTTACAATTCCTTCACATAATCCGCCAACGGATTGGGGAACATGAAGTTGTCCTTTCCGATCTGAGACCCTGGATGAGTGAAATTCAGACGCAAATAAGTGTACTCTCCTTCATTTGCCAAACTCGTATTCTTCAACATAGATATGTGGAAAGGAACAGGAATACCAAAGATGGGTAATATAATAGTGTCATGTCGCTTGTCAACATATATCATACAATCGTTGACTTCAGGCTCGTTAGGAAACCGATCCACAGATTTGTAGGAAATGTTGGACTTCTTAACCTTTCTTTCCTCCTTTTCCCCTGGAAGATTCTCTAACCTCGCTTTTGCATTGGCATTCAGTTGTTCTGACAGTTCCTTCTGATGCTCCCTTCTTCTGTCTTCGTTGGTTTGTTTGTGCTAAAATATATTAGTCTAATCCTCCTCTTAAATAAAAATTATTTGCAATTTAACGCAAATATTAACGTTAACTTACCCTGGTCTGTTCCTGTAGAATGACTGATCTCTTCGACCTTCCTTGGTCCATAATAGCCTGCTTTACTTCCTGGACCTTCTCCTCGTCGTCGTTCTTCAGTCTTATAGCATTAGCCTTGAACTGGCTCTTAGCTCCCATAGTAAGAACTTCACATGGACCTTCTTTGGTAATCAGAATCGTGTCACTCAACCAGATAGATGTAGTTTTGTACTCACTGTTTTTCGAGTCGGGGTTTGGGAAGTTTTGAGCGGCGATGGATACGACAAATGTCATATTTGGTTGCAAGACTTGTTTGCACTTTTCGTTGATTACAAATTGAGGATCACGGAACTCGATTCCAGTCACAAAACTGAAAAATGTTACATATATTACAAAAATATAACATACAACATAAAACTCATATAGTAAAACAAATTTAATATTCAACTCACCCAAAATTATTCTTAACAATAAAGGGAAGGAGATCTGGTTCTTCGTCTTCAATGAACTTCATCGTGCTCTTGTAAACATCCGAGATGACATTCCCTGGTCTCATCTCCTTCAGAAGCTTCTGTTGGATACTTAATAAGTTATCATATACTTTTTCAAATGATTTAGCAGGCTCCAGCGCCAAAGTTCGAGCAACGTTTGTACAATATGACTAAAAAGTTAGTCATAAATTCAAATTTAACCCACGTATTTCATAGTGAATACTAAACGCTTATGACTTTAAAAACCTGTAGTAATACTCACCATATATCGCATTCCTAAACAACAAGGGACTGAACCATATGACACGTTATGATCATTGTTCTCGCTACTGAACTTCAACGAACACTTCAGACCAGATTGAAGAATTGGTGTATAACAAGTCTCCAGATTTCCTTCATTCTGTGCCAATCTTCCTTGAAGTTCTTTCGAAACGATATTCTTTTCCATCTCTCCAGCGAGCCGACTATGTTTCACTTTCTAAAACATGTAAAAGGTAATAAATAATGCGTTAAACTTCAAAATTTATAATATGTAACTTTGTCCCAGAGAAATATTCTTCCATTATAAGACCTCGCTTTTATAAAAATATAACTACAGCTTAAAAACTCAAATAATTACCTTTTCTGTGTCGACAATAGTGACAAGCTTCTTCTTAACATAATTCATCGCAGCAGCAGTAGCTTCAGCCGACCGTCTCATAAATACAATCTCCTTCTCATCTTTAACAGCAAACAACAAAGCGAATGGTAGACTGATATCAACAGCAGTCAAATTGGCTCCTTCCACAGCCATCTGCCAACTCTTGGTAAACTCACTATCCAACTTCTCCGTTTCTTTCAAAAAACATCCGTAAGATCCTCCAGATTCTTTGATCACACTGATTAGCTTTTCAAAGTTCCCGGCATCCTTTGTCGCCTAAAAGCATAAGAACAACAAGACAATGACTCACCTTATCCCTGTGAAGAATATTAAACGGTGGATATTCTTCATCGTTTTCCTTAGATTCTACTGGAGAAAAGAATCTGGCCTTCTTCTCACTGCCCAAGAAATAAATGCCCTTCTTGTTCATGACCAACAAAGTGTCGAAAATAGAACAGTTGAACAGCCATGTCTAAAAATACGTAAGTTAAATGTGAAGTAAAAAAGGCTACAAAATCCATGTATACAAGCAAAAATCAATAAAGTTACCTACAAGGGTTAAACTCAAATTGTAGTCTTTTACTTCAAATGTCATAAAATGAGATTGTTAAAGATAATTTTACCTGTAGTGACTGTGTTTTGGAGTAGTTATCATTAGTGTCGACAGGAAATACTAAACAGTCCAATTTGTTAAGGGTTTCATCTTCTCCACTATTCTGAAAATTAACAAAAGCATATGAAAAACACCTAGAAAACAATACTAGCACTCAACAAAACTTACCCATCGTTCGTACAAACGAGTAGCACGTTTTACAAAATAATCTTTATCAATCCGAGCCATATTGGTTCTCTACAATAACATTAGTAAACAAGATACATCAAATAAAAATGTTTCGTCGAAAACAATGAAAGATTTTGCGCCTTTTATCTTCCGTGCAGGACCCAGGCACACAATGGGCGGGAGAAAAGCGCGGGTTGTGCTGTCAAGTTATACTATGAAATCTATTAGCCGGTGTATTTTTCTGGTTTTAGTAAGAAGGTTTTCGATGTTGAAATTGTCATTTTATACTTCCATTTTTTTGTGAACTTTACTTTTATGGTCGTGTAAGTTATTTTAATGTTTTGACAAATATTAAACTCCATCCCATTAATTAATAACAAGATATTGAATCACTTTTATATATATTCCATGCCGTTTAAATTTTGAAAAATAACCCAAAACAAGAGATTTATGCTCTAGTTTATTTAAATAGTTTAAAATTTCTTGATTAAACAATATTTACATCTTACTAACCCATTATGTAACCGGTGTGGTCAAATATTACAATAATGTAAGAGTAGAGTGTTACCGAAGTGTATTGACTGGGAACAAAATATTTGTACACGAAAAACTAATGTATTTTACAACGAATGTTATGAGTAAAATAGGTTTGTATGCAGGTCTTGAGTAACAAAATAACAATAAATGGAAAGTAGTAATGGTTAACAGTTCTGTTTAGGTAACAGTAATGTAGCAAGAATCACTTCTTTTTGACGTGAATCTCGTACGGTAAAGTGCCACGCATCTCGGCCATGTTGAACACACACATCATGGCTATGGTGTTGTCGTCCATTTGAGCAATACGCTAAAACATTAGGTTTAGTTACTGGCGTTGCTTTAATTTATCAAGAAATTATTGTTGTAACGCAATGTTGTGTTACTTTATCCTATATAATATAACTTCACAGATACATTATTTACAGTCTGCTGAATCTAAACTATTCTATTAAAAGCTTACTTCTGCAATAGGTAACAACATCATGAGTTTGCTGATACGATGTAGCACTTGTGTAGCGCTCGTTCCCTCCGGCAATCCTTGTTTGATGAGCTGGGAGAAGGTGGCTAGGTACTTTTGTCGAGATTGTGTGATAACACGGGTACCTTGTTCGCTCAGACCTCCTACTGTAACAAGACATTGCATTACTCAAAGTTTAAACTAACTTCGTATGTTGGTATTTTGAAGGTAAGTCATATAAGTTCAAAGTTGAGTTATCTTACCTGGTACACAGAGGCATAACACTCTCATTAAGGCATACTCGGTCTTAGTGACCCCCATTCGCTTTAATGGCTCTATCAACTCATCTTTTGCGTAGTTTGCTAAAGCAATATAATTTATTTTACACAATGAAATAAATTAAATAGTAACATTAATAAAGTACAACAATACATACCGGTTTTGATGCTGCCAACTACCCATTCGGAAGAGTATCCAGTTTCCTTTTGTGGGAAAAACTGTCCGCCAGTGCACAACACTCCAGTAGCGTTCGACAGGATAGTCCTGTAGCACATCAGAAGCCACACACATGGTACGATGCGATCGACCACTAGCAGACGCTGAAAGACAATAGATAAGATTTTGATATAGGAAGGCCTATTAAACGACAATAATACCAAACCTACTTGGTCAGACTCCGAAAGCTCCTGAAGTTCTGGAATGTGACTGAGCCAGTCGAAGAAGTGTACTAGCAATCTACAGTAGCACGATTTCATTATCGTAAGACTGGTATATTCAAATTTGGGTTCCCAGTCCAGATTCGTGCGAAGACAGACCTTGCGCGGCTGGGAGATGGCTTCGGACAATGGAACTTCGATGTCCAGAGTTGCTGAGCGAAGGAATTCATCGCTGATGTGACTGAGATCTGTGTCCACGAACTTGTCGCACAACCTGAAAGTCATGTATTGTAATTATGCCACGTTCTGTAAAGTTTTTTTAGACTTTAAACTGTATTTTCTAGTGTTTTTTGTACCCAAACTTCAAATTTCACAAAACTTGCAAGCCGGAAAGTACATTTTTAAGTGTTTTGAAGGTGTTTATCTACATTTGCATAGTTGTTTGTGTATACTTTGGCTGTTTTGAAACGCAAGGTTAATTAGACTCTGCTCCTGTGACGCGCCCGCAGGCTGTTTCACAATGTTTTAATGACGGTGTTAAAGGGGTTGTTTTGAGTAGTTTTGTTTTCGAATCAAAAACATTTTCGAAGTAAGTGCTAAAGAGCTCCATATGCAACAAATGACGAAAGATCGACTACCGTATTCCACCAAGAGTATTGTTTTTTGCCATTTCCGCGGTGTGTGCCAGATTCCGCGACAGCGTGAGGAACGGAGAGAGTGCAGAGAAAAACTCTAGTGAATACACGACTTCGAGCTTTAAACCTCTCAAAAATGTCCTTGTCCTCGGGGCATCGGGACACGGCATTCGAAAAAGGTTTGCAAAAAATGGCTCAAAGGACATAAACGCAACATAATCGAAAAGCAACTGTTACAAGATGACAGATGATGTTCGGACGGGCGGAGAGGAACACAACTCATTGACACGGTTATGTGCAAACAGTCCGATGATTTACAATTTTGGTTATTTACATTCAAAGATAATATAATACAGATTAAGGCATTGATAACGTAAAGATAGAAACTTTTGGTCATTGACAAGTGTAAAACCATAAAACTCACCATTCAACAGAAACAAAGTACTTCCCGATACTCAGCGGATCGTCGGGATTGAACGCGGGAATGAGTTTGGCAATGCCCAGAGGCAAGTCCAGTTTGGAAATCTACAATGTAAACAGCGTAAAACTACAAAATTATGTAACAAATATAACTACATACAAGTACGAATAACAACAATCGAGTATAAACAGCAAAAAACTACAATAATGTAAATTACAAACGTATAACAAGCTACTGAAAATATAATGTGTAATAATGTAAAGCCAACATACCGCCAGCAGCCGTTTACTCTGGTAGAAGGTGTTGTCAACGATAAAGTCCTTCTCCAACGGCTTCACATCGGCCACTTCCATGCACAAAGAAGATGATGACGTTCCCGGACGTTGTTGTTCTCCAGGAGTGTCAGGGAGATCAGAAGTTGATGGTGAAGAAGCGGTACTGTCCTTTCGTACACAGCCTCTGTCACCGTGCACCAGCATCGGATTCAGACCGACGTCGATGCACTTCTGAAGGCGACATGCTCGGCAAGAGTTGCGGTACTCTAAACGAAGTTATACTTAATGTGCCTTACTATCACTATTAATGACTTAATGTTTGTTTTTCCTTGAAACCACTTTAATGTTGCATATTGTTTGTTACAACAGATCTATATTATATCACTTTGATAGCTCACTAACTTATCACATTTAACTTTATTACCTTTCCGAATGACACACTTCTTGCTGTACGGACACTGGTAAGAGCGGTTGTGACGAATAGATCTGCGGAAGAATCCTAAAGGTTATATGATCATAAATCATATTAATGTTCACTTAAGCATTTTCTACTTCAAATCATATCAATTTGTGTTATATTAACATTGTACGCTACCGAGCTCAACAGTGTGATAGATGGTAATATAAAATGTTGCCAAGTCATATTAAATCATCATATCAGATCGGATTTCAAGTCATTAAAAAGGCTACGGTAATTAAACAAACCTTTGCACCCACTGCAGCACACACTTCCGTAATGCCGACTTCCATCAGGGTCGTCGCATACCATACATCGCCCAGCCGAAGAGCCAGTGGACGGGGTCCTGATGGGTCCTGGACTGTCACTTAGGTCAGTCTGGTTCGAAACTTTGCGATTGTACTCTTCGAAGTTGGCAGCCAGTACATCCAGAGGCGGCTCCACAGAAACTGTGGTCATATCACGCTCCGTATCTGCAATAGTAGCTAAAACGGCATGTATATATGTAAGTATAACACAAAATATAACGTAAATGCGCCGTGTATGACAATGGCTACAACAAGCTTCCTTATTGTAGCTCAAAAACGCAATATCTTGAGAACAATCCACCAAAAACATTCACAATTCATAAATTTGATATGTAAATTAATGCGATAAGAGCAATGATACCAGAGCCCAGAATAAATACTTTCAAAGCAATTGACAATTTGAAACATCATAATGTTGCAAATCTACCTTCAAACCAACTAAAACAACATTAACCAGCAACGTTTTGTAAAACAGACTTAATTAACTGTTTGGTAAAGACAAAACATCAGAACCCAACGAACACCAGCTTTAAACAGAGCACGGCTCACTGCCTCTGGCGATAACAGTGATCGGTAAGAGACAATCGATAAAACGTTTGTTTCTTGTTATTGCACGTTGAGTTTAATACTCGAAAACATTGTATCGTATGATAATGTCTTACGATACGTTACGTAAATAGAGTGGGAACGACAAAACAAGATACGATACAAAGTGGGTATTGTAGTCAACTCTTTCGACACTTGTACTCGGCTACAATTAGCGCCGTTGCTGTTCGGAACGGTGTGGATAATTACCTCCAACGTGAACTGCCAAAGATGAGAATAACTGACAAACACGAGCAGCAGCTCCCTATCAGAAGTATGAAACGTTAACACCGTGATAAGTGTCAGAAATGAGTCGTTTTCAAAGTCAAAAACAAAGAATCGCGCAGTGTGAAACACGATACACCGACATGACTACCTCGCTACCCCCGGATACATTATACTCAAGAAGGTTTCTTAAACAAAAACAACGTTGGTTGGGGTATTATTATTCGAGGCCTAAAAAACGAAATAGCGGAGAGCTTGCACTGTTTTATCTGGGCTGCACTCTCGGGGCAGCGAGAGAAAGTGAGAGAGAAGGAAGGAGCAAGCAGGCCGGGCCGACTTCAGCCCTTCCAAAAAAGAAACGTTCATTCGAAACAACACGGTGAAGTGAAAAGTGTCCCCCTGTTCCCTCCGACCGTTCCCCCCGCTGCTTCATCGCATGACTTGGGGGAACGCCGCACACCCTGGCCACTTCAACAACAAGGTAAAACATGAACAACATGGAGAAAACAGCACCGGGTCGTTTTTGGTTTTTGTTCTTCTCAGAGACCGCCTCGAGGCTTCAGTACATGCTACACGTCGTCCTTGTAATAACATCAGAATACGTTGTGTTACATATTGACTTTGTGTCAACTTAAGTTGCTATGAATGTATTTAACCTTTCAATTCGTACCAAAAAGATTGTAAAAATAGTCCAAACATTTAGTACCATCAAATTGTGTTTAAAATTGTATTTTTGTTTTTGCACAAAAGAACATTAGCTTAAAAGTCAACTTAACAACGCAGAATGTAACTCGTCCTTTATCTAAACTAACGTATGTTGAATGTATTAACAAAAAAGTACGTTTGGTTAGACATTAACGTGGTGCTAAACATAAACCCACATCAATGTACTTTTTATAAAACGAGTATTACATATACCCTGTTAATGGCATCGTACTATAAAAACAGGAAATTTAAAAGTGCATGTAAAGAATTGGCCACAAGAACGAAAACATCGTAAAAGTTCCAACATTACACATCTTGTAGTACCAGTAAGATGATTAAAAATATTTGTTATCTAAATAATATAACGAACACCATATAATGCATAGATTCTGTAAGGTTACTTAACTGAACATACACACTTCGCATTTAAAAGTAAATGCAAAAACATAGTTGTAAGTCATGGTACAATGACTTTACATTATATTACTCTCGAGATTTATTATCTTTACGCAAACATAGACCAACGAGTGCAGATACTATTATAAAATACGGTATTATCCTACTCGAAATAACAGGGTATTAGCAGAATAATGAAGAAAGTCACCTTAAAGGAATGGTGTAATTTGAGAGTGTTTTCGACACAAAGCAACACAATGAATTCATAACACTATTACGACCACAAAACTACGAAATCACAAGATATTGTAAATGACCTGTTATGGTAGTGGATTGGTAACCAATCTATTATAGTAATATTTCGAGTAATCTAACGTGACAACAAGTACAATATAATGTGGGTAAGAGGACAAACAACACATCATAACATAATCTGAATTGTAAACCCCATAGCACAGTAAATATTACTGTCAGCCAATTAGGCACAACAGTTCTTAAGACAAACTAAGTAGTGTGAAAAGTCATTGACCCAGATGATTTAACATTGAATTTAATTGAGTTTGCGCGATCCCTTCATTAAGTAGCCTCCGCTCACGCGTTGCAAAGAAAAATTGGTCTGACCAGTACATTCACCTTTCTAGATACGCTATGGTCCGCGAAATGCAAATAGAGATTCAGAACAAACATTGTATGATTAAATACGATCACAATATCCAAAATCGAATTTAAATGTTTGAAATTCAGTTAATTCGCATAACTTTTTCTAACAGATGTATAGATATAACGAGGAATAAAGGTAAATATTGGAGTTCTAATGAAAAATGGCAAAAGCGACGCAGCTTACATAAAGAAATTTGGCAATTGCAAACATTATATGTTACAGATATCATAAAGCCAAAATGAAATTTAATCTACAAACTACTAATAAGTTCATTTAAAAAAAGAATTTAAAAGAAATTAATGTAAGAAATTAACATTTATCATTTACCCCATAGAAAATATTAAAAACTCTTACAAACTAACAAAGTAAAAGCATTTTATTTTGCCAGTAACCGATTTTTTTTGTTTAACCTTTGGTTACAATTAGCACCTATACAATTTAAGTTAAAGTTTCGACAGAAACCTTAAAACTATGTATTATGTGACTACATACATAAAATAAATAGTCGATAAAACAAAACATTTATAACATTGTGATTTATTATAACAAACTTTATTATTAATTTAAAAATATAGTTAATAAGTTCTAAATTCAAAAAATATTTAATTTTTAACTTTTTGACATTGTGCATTATATAGGTAGAAGTAGTTTATCGACTTATTGTAAGCCAGAACAAGCCAATATTCTCCCACACACCCTGTCGAATTTTTACTGGTTCAAAGTTATAAGATACCTATACGAACCAACTTTAGAAACCAGTTATAGGCAAGTAACTACATAGTCTCAACAGCCTTATTTCGATATAAAACACCTTATAAACCTCATTTTCCCTATTATAAACCATAAATGTCTATTCCATGATTGGACTCATATTTATTGTTACCTATTGATCTACCGCACCGTAGTTTTATAAGTAAATCACAATTTAAGAAAAAAAGATAAAAAAAGAAGTTAAAAACAAAGCCTACAAAACATTTGAAAACAATTTATTTTTACAAAATTTTAATTTCTATTTACAATAAAATACAACGAAATGCAACTATTGATCGGGCGAACCTTTTCCGTATGGAAATCTATTTAAAAATGAGAATTTTCAGGAAAAATGTCAGGAATTATCGTCTAAAATATCAAATTATGTGATATGTTTTTGTATACATAAAACTTACAAAATATTTCATCACTAAATTTAAAACTTGAAGGTTTTCAATTTGTTTTAATGTTGAAATTTGACAAAACTTAATCGAGGGTTTTGTCACGTTATCAATAAGCCAAGCCAATTGCTCAACTAATAGGCTTTGTGTAGTATATAATATTGTCGAGAGCAAAGATATGATGTTGTCCTAATTGTGTTTGATCAACTGTCCTTTATCTTATTGTGTGGTGCTATATTGTTATTCGCAAATTTATAAATTCTGATTTTGAGAGTCGTATTGAGGCTGTGTGCATAATGTATTTGGACTGATAAAACGCTTAATGATTATACTTTGTTCCAGTCAGTTTGATATGACATTGTACTATAATATTTTACATTACGGTACGAACGCTCAATGTAAAACGTGGTTGGAACAGTAATTATGGTAGTCAAGTAACGTGATCTCGATCGTATAACATTATATTTTCTGCGGCTTTGGGGGATTACGTAGCAAAAAGAGGCTTCCATTCTCAGTTAAATGGTGTACAATATTCGGAAAGAGCCATTCTGAAGGCCTCGTTTTTCATGAATTCGTAATTGATTCGGAAATAAATCAACCTGGGTCCATTTCTGATTAACAGTACGCTATTGTCAGTCTTTTGTAATGTTTATGGTTAGTTCATACCTTTTCGTAAGGTGTTTTGTATAAACATATCTTTCAAGTAATGTTCAGGTTAATAACGCTTTTGTTTAGATACAGGTTTATAATTTTTACATTGGCTGTTTGAACTTATTTAAAAATTTAAATGTTTTTATTATCTACCATAAGTTACCATCCCTAACGTTGCTTTGATATAGTTCTTTGTTTTGCACTATTATGTCGCGATGACTAAAGTAGTTTGTCGCTGTAAAGAGCAGAATAATCAGTTTGTTACACAGTTCCGCTCTTCACAATTCACATTCGATTACAAATCTAGTATAACACACATTAATTCGCACATTAGTAAAATTTTTAACATTTCGGTTAATGATACAATTCCCGTTTGTTTATGTTATAGTATGTTCGAATGGGGCCGTGACTTTTGTTTATCGTTATTTTTTAAAGTTTCCGTTTCTGACAATGTCACCGCTTCTTGCTTGAACGCATAAAACCGACGGTGTTCGCCATTGTCTTCGGAAGCAGCTCCTTTCGGGCGTTTTCCCCCGAGGCCCAACGAGCCGGTTTGAACTCCCGGAGTTTGTAAAACGTCCCGAAATATGCTGAAAAGACGACTAATTCGACGTGAGTTTGTTTGCGCGGCGGCTAACCCGAGGGAGCCAGCGTTTTTTGTAATTATTTGCTCAACGATCGAGTTCGGTTTTCTGGCGTGCCCAACTACAACAAGGTCTAGCAGTCGAGGTAGAGTGATCTGAGAAGGTATAAGGGATTGATAGCTAACATAGTGTTTGACAGTAAGGTAGTATATCTACAGTAAGAAAAGTGAAATAAAAGTTGTAAGAATAACATTGTCAGTCTATAGACACTGTAAAACAATAAAAACTGTGTAAAAATGTATATTCCGTTTGAATGGGGCCGCGATTTTGAGAAAAGAGTAAGGATTTTGATGTAATAATTTACTGTAAGGATAAGATAGAGAAGATGGCTTTAGGAAGTACGTATACATGACAATCAGACACTACTGGACGTTTGCGACCGGAACTGTGTTCCGTTGTCCTCTCACGGGCAGCTGTTCCTTGCGGCGTTTAAGTCAGAACGAGGAAGGACACGGCAAGCATTTTTTGGCCTGTCCATCCGTCCTCTCTCCTCCATGCAAGTTCTCGGTCACACTCTTCTGATTGCGATTTTAATTTTGTCATAACATAAGTGTCTCCTTATTTAAATTCTGGTTGGAAGTGTTTTATTTGGGTAGTCCTTCGTCGTTCTGTGAACGTTCTGAACCTTGTCAAAAAGAGTTGGATTTAATTGCTTATTTTCTGTTCCCCCAACGTTTGCGGATTCATCGTGAAAGTAGTGTGTTTCCTCAATATTTACATAAGCAGATCTCAAACAGTTTTTTGCTGAGAGGTTTTTTGGCGTGAAACGTGAGAAAATTGGGGTCACGACCCCGGCTGTCTCTTCCCTGAGCCTCTTCCGATGCTCTCAAAACTCTTGCGCAACAATCTCGCGTCAATCCGTTTTTTGTGAATTTTTCTTTTTTCCGTGTGTTCGCGTCGACCTTTGACTGGAGGGGGCAAGGGGAGAGAGGGGAGGTGTCTCCATCTTTTTTCGAGACAAAAAACAGTCGAGAGACCGCGAGTTGCTGCGGTTGCCGGCGGAGGGCGCAGCGGCCGATTATTTGACTGTTTGTGAGTTTGAGCTTGCCTGACGCGGCGCCGCTCACGTCCGCCCTCAGGTGGGGCTGCTGAGGTTGCACAGGTGCGCAAATGGTTGTTTGGAGGAGTTCTCGAGTGGCGAATCGTCTTGCCGTTCTCTCCGTTCGAGAGCAACTCAACGAGGCGCCTCTTCCTTTTTAAACAATTCTGAGTTTACTTGGTCGTACCTTAAAATGTCGACCCGTCTTCTTACTCCAACTCGAAGTCGAGTTGCTCGCTTTTTACATGGAATGGAGGTCAGGACGTGAACAATGGGTTAACCGGTCCGGCCGGTCCCTTTTTACACAGAGTGGCTAGCCTTTAATGTGAGCAACTTTTTTGTAATACTATTACTTATAAACGAGTCCAGAAGGAGTTGGAGTGTTCGAATAAGTGGCGTTTAGTCTACTCGATTGGGGAATACTCGGGCTGGTTGGAGACTAATCAAGATGGGTTCCAATACTTTAGATACATAGGTTTGGATACCATGATTAGCAAACGTTTTTTCTCATCCAGATGGCGTGTGCCCGATTCCGACAATTGGGAGACGACCTTGGGCGGGGGTCAAGTTCAATGACAAGATTTGTTGATTTGTTGTGTAACTCTTTCTATTCCAGAAAACACAATTCGTGGTAGTTGTTGCCATAATCAACATGGTAGTAAGTGTTTACGTGTTGAGTGTCGATTGCTTTACTCTACCTTATATTGCTTTATACTACGTCAATATTTTATGTTATAATAGACTATATATTATACTACTCCTATTTACATACTCTTTACTACCAAGACACCTCTAGATTTACTACGATCGAGAATGTTTTGGGCATGTTTTGGGTTTATTTGTTCGATTTGTCCATTTTGTTAAGTAAAGGTTAGAATTGTATTGAAAGGGTCGTTCCGAAAACATTTTGCGCCACCGTTCCAAGGTCCTTCTCCTTGCGCTTCGGCCTCGGTCCGTTTCTCTCACTTTTCTTTATTCTGTGCCCGAGTGTTCTGATCGAACGTAAGCTTCAGGTTTTACTTTTCAAAGTTATGGCTATTTCGGGAAGGGAATTGATCACGGTTTGTAATCTTCGAACCACTTCATAACCAGCCGGCTGGCTTCTGCCCTTCATTATCAAGCTCATAAATGCACTATTTCTCCGCAATTAGCCTACAATGCTGGCTTGATTCCGGGCTTATCAGTGGTAGGGCCGTCCTTCCCTCCGCCGATTGCCTCTAAATAAACGTGCGAGTGACTAATTCGAGTTCGAAGCTGTTTGCTTGCGTAATGACCTTCCGCACGGTGCACAAATTCTTTCCTGCCAAAGCCGTTTCAAGTTGGTTCGGCTTCGTTTTCGTTATTTTTTCTAATCCGATTTCCGAGATGCAGTCCCATTCCGAGTATTTTCCGAGTTGGACTTGTGCCGAACTTGTTAACGTTTATCGACCAGTAATTATGAGAACTTCTAGTTTGGTTCAGAAGTTTGTAGAATCGAGTTGTTTGGAGTTTTCATGTCAATATGAACCTATTGAAACGTCTACCTGTTCATATTTTGATATTAATTTAGATCAAACTGGTCAGCTTTATTAAAGACCATCTGTTGTTATCTTGATCGTCTGTTGGCGCCAGTTTGGTCCACGTTTTAATATCGTTTATGTCTGGATTCCCTGTTAAAAGTTCATTTGGTCTGATTACAATGATCTGATTACATGAGAAAAGTTTAAAATAGGGCTTCTGTTGTGTTAGGTTACTTGTTTCTTTGCTATAGTTAATATCATGTTTTGCTTTGGCACAGGTTTACAGAGTCATAAACTGTCACCTGATCTAGGAGCCGTTGTGCGGACAGAAATAATATTATTTATGCAAAAAATAGCTTCGTTTTGTCGGCCTCATTCCTCCGAATGTCTTTCCCTCTCCTCCGCAACGTCTATAACATTCTTCTTTCGATTGTAACTTTTCGGAAAACATTATGTCAAGGTTGTATGACCCCGTCTTTGGCCGAGGCTTGACGTCTGATGTCGTGTGCCTACAACCGTAAGTTTACTATTGTGTGTCTTCAGGCTGATGTAAGACGTAATAAGCCATCTTCACCAGGCTTTTTTGTTTTGATGATTTGGCCTTATCTCTATTGGTTTCCGTCTTTTGTTCTTTTATGCAAGATTCTCAGCGTGTTACCAGGGGACCATGTACGTAGAATGTGAGTATATCTGGTTTCATACTTGATGTATGCGCCTTTCTGTTTTATGGGTCCAATGTTTATAGGTTTTCGATGTGAAGCTGTTTTGTTTTCGTGCTCAACGTAAACTTCTAATACTCACGATGACTTTTGACATTGTTTGACATACGTTTATATTATATTTCCGATAACTTAAATTTTGTATTTTATGTAATTTTAAACATGAATTCACTGTTATTTTTTACGAGCTACAATTACTATTGTGAATACCTTACTTTACAGTGAAATTAGAAGTATTGTTTCAGTATCTACTAATAACTTGTCTCAACAGAGGACCTTCCTTGCTCTCCTCGGGTTTCTACTCCACCTCAATACTTGTAAATATATACCTTCACTTGGACAACTCGGTGTGTACATACTTTAACCATGTTCGAATACGATCGTCTCGCTTTGGATGTTACCCAACAGTTCTCGAACGGCAAGAACTTTGACCCCGCTCCAGGCAGGCCAAGACGGAGAGAAAACACTGATGACGGGGTAAATTTGATATTAGCTTACATTGTTATTGCAGTTTGAGGATTTTATACACTTTATTTACAGTTACAGTAAACTTTGTCTTTGGGCAAAATAATTGAAAGTTGAATTTCAGAAGAACCGCCACTTCAGCGGCAGCTCCATGGACTTGTTTGATTGTGGCAGCAGCTCCGGGTACGGCAGTCCAGGAGTTAGTGGGACACCTCTGGCTAGTCCAGCACCGAACTCGGCTTCGTTTATTGCTCAGTCCGTGCAGAGAATGTTGTTGGATCAGGGATTCTTCGACGAGTTGAAGACCATGGGAGGTCAGATGTCGCTGAATACTACTGACTTGAGTAGTATGATCGCTGGAATGACAATCGAGCAAGTCGACAAGGTAAGTGCCTATTTTATTTTTCTTTGACTTACTTTTATGTATACTACTGGCTAAGTTTATTCCCTACTCTTCTAATTGGGTGCGTTGTTAACCGATTAAGTTCAGATTATTGGGTATTAAAATTTAGGTTTTAAAAAAGTGAAACAGCCTATATCAAATCAAAAAACATGGCAAAGTGATTTTAAATGTTCCTACGCTATGTAAAACACTAAAAATTATTCAGTCAACATTATTTTTCTATGGTAGGATTCAGTCGAGCAGGTGATGAGTAAACATAACGATTGCAATGACTGTTACAACTTTTTTCAGTAGTTTTTTACTTATAAGTTGAAAAAAGTAAGAACCAAAAATAGAATTTTACAACCTAACTTCAAGGGTAACTAATAAAATTGGCCAGCAGTATATTAGACATTGTTATACAGTCGCATTTCATAATATATTTATACATTAACATCGAAGTCATTATTGATCAGACCTATGTTGTAAAGTTGTAACAACTGGGTATTATTATCATTGTTTATTTGCAGAGTGTTTGTTCCGAGAAGGAGAAGCTGAGTCTCTCAACCTCATCCGAGGACTCCCACAGTTCTCCATTTAGTCCAACGCCAACTCAAACAATCGCTGTGGCACCAGCTGAGGATGGCTTCAGTCAGGACGAGATCGCTCAGTTCGCTGAACTCTTATGTAGTCCAAAGAAGACTCCGCCAACTAGATATCAATGTCACATCTGCTACAACACTGGACATTACATCAGCGACTGTCCGATGGTATGTTTTACTTCACTTAACTGTCATTTTATATCATAGTTTCTGTGTTGAAGATATACATTGAACAATGTTGTCTATAATTACGTAAACTTTTAGCGTTTCAACAGCCCTTACGAAGAGCTGACGCCCTACCAAGGTCGCAAGAAGTGCTACGGAGAGTTTACATGCCAACAGTGCAAACGTCGTTGGACTTCCCAGAATTCTGTGGCCAATGAAGCTCAAAGTTGTATCAAATGTCACGTCCCAGTGTTTCCTCACAAGCAATTACCGGTCGATAAGGCGGTAGCCCTTGGTCTGGTCAAGGCTCAACGTACCGTTCCAACCAAAGTAGCTCCGATTGGGCACGGTCGTCCGCCGTTCCAAGCTGATGCTTCGCCTTAGGGTATCATCCTCAACAACATACCTAGATAACATGATGAAATGGCTGTATGTAACATACAAAGTAACGGTCCGAGCATCTGGCCCCATTAACCACTGCCTGGACATTCTGATCTTTTCAATTTCTGTATATTGCGATTACCGTGCGTGATTGTGTATCTACAATAACGTGTTGTTATCTACTGATACTTTTGTAGGTGCCCAACTCCGCTCTATTTTATGTATCTATATTATACTGGATAATTTGGATGTGTATATTCTCTTGTCTATTTGTTTTTAATATAATAATTTGATGTACATAAATTTGTGTAACTCCCGGTCAGATGTTATTATTGTAGATATTCATAGGGATATAAACTTTGTTATGCCAGGACGGTACTCTATTCGAATGCACCATAAAGTGCAAAACCTTGAAACTGGGCTACAACACCACCTGCTCCTTCATGCATAATATAGTCAAGTCACATTCTGTAGAAAGGGTGTGGTAACTTGAGTAAATAAGCCGGTTATGTGGGATATTTACACAACAGGAAAGTTTTTGATTATAAATTAATATTGTGGGAAAGATTGAGGCCGTAATTCGAGTCCTCGAGAGATTGATCTAATTGGGTATGCATTTAAGACACCCTATGCATAGTATAACCTCGCGACTAGGTGAGTTTGTAGCTAATTTCGGGGGAAAGAAACGTCCACATTGATTATGTATTTCGGTCCAATGGACAACAGAATGGGGTGTCAAATGAAAGCGGACGTCAAGTGCGACAAGTAAAGGACAAATTGTCTTTGTCCGTTTCGTCAGTACGTTGCCAACCTTTGGGTCCTAGTGCAAGGGAGTGGTCCCATTGTGGCGCGCTTTAATTAAAACCCAATCCCTCGCCCTGGTAACAGTTGTTGGAATCGGCATAACAACCTGTTCTTGCCTTGGGATCCTTGAGGAACGGCCCGTTTATGGTTTCCTTAACGTGAAAAGAAGACTTTCGAAGAGCGCAAAGCCAGACCCAGTCTTACCTATGTAAAAAAGAGGCACAAAAAGAGCAGGCCCTTTAGGGCGAGGGTTTCTGGCCAAGTCCAGCAAAAAGAGACAGACATTTCTTTGCACGCGTCTAAAAAAGGAGAGCTTTCTATTCCCATTCCGTGCAACTATCAATAACTTCTTCTCACTCATCTTCTCTTTATCAGCCGTTTCGATACTTATTACGCCATAAAACCCTTTTTTGAATAATTTGAATTTCTAAACAGTTCGGCGTGATTAACATTTCCGCGATAATTACGTTTTGTGCATTAATCCGCATGTTGCCGCCTTAATTGTTTGTGTAGTGCACACCGGTTTTAATTAGTCGTTGTTGTACTCTGAAACTATTCGTAACCTAATTGCTTTGAACCCGCGGCCCAAAATTGGCTTTATCGGCGCAAACGCATCCGAAATCCATGGTCACGGTGTCGAGTCGGAGGCCGATCCTTTTTATGCAGTTAGGTTTGTGAATGGAGGAGAAAGGAAGGGTGGGCAGGACGTGGCCGTGCTCCCGAGAACGGTGCTCTTTACGGATTGCTATAGAGCTTTTAATTGTGATCGGGCATTGTTAACGAGGCCCTTTTATCGCGTTGGGATAAACGGGGAGCCGGCTTCATCATCTTGTCCTTTTGTCCCGCTAATTGTCCCAACTACAATTCAGCTTTTGGCGGGAACCCTAAGGCTCAGAAGTCGCGGCCCAAACAAATCCCATTACCATGCCGTTATTTCTTTCGTTTTTTGTGTCTTCGATGTTTTCTCTTCCTCTAGCCTTTATGAAAGGATTTTGACGTTTTCAGGGGAATATATATAAACGTCTCTGGTTATGGCATCGACCGGCAATATTTTTTTCAATGTTAAAACGAGCCGGACTGGTCCCCGGAGGCGATTTAAGCTTTGTTTTTTCCTTTTATTTGCATTTGATGCACATCCAGACTTAAAACAACGGTACTTTATCTTTCAGAAGTTGAGTTATTACTTTCCCTAGACTAGCATGTGTACTATCAGAATAATGATTGTGAAAACCCGTCAACGTTTTTAAGCGTTCTTAATTCGGCTTCTCGCGGAAGACGAAAAAATACGAAACGAGCTGGGGAAGAGGACAATAGGAGAAACAAAGTTCTTCCTTCCAGACCAATACCCGAGCCAGCCCAAAAAACCGGGGATTTGCATTCGGCCGTTCTGGCACCCACCCCGACATTTCAACTCAACCTTCCCCGGGGCCGTGTTTTGTTGTCTTACTCTCAACAAATCCTCCGTTTTGTATAATCCCGGTCAAAATTAATTTCGAAAAACAGTCGCCAGTCTCTTAAGGAGCCACCATCTCGTGTGTAATGGGGTTTCAGGTTTATACTATACTATTACGAAGCTCCATTCTTCTCCAAATTTGGGGGGGTCTCGGAAGCGGCCCGCCGTTCACGGTCGCCATGAATTATTCCTTTTACCTAAATTTGGACATGACCTTTCAGTAGCTGTTCTTTCGTAGCCTACACACATGTCTTCTGGACCTGCGGTATTATATTGCGCGTTGTTAGTCGAAAGCCCTTCCGGGCTCAAATAACATTTTTGGCGGCTTAAATGGTCTTGATCTGTTGGTTGTCCTTTTCTTGCCGCAGGGCCAAACCACATTCTGTTTAATTGCCTTTTTAGCGGTTAATGTGACTTTGTTCGGCGAGCGTTTCGTTAAGTAGGATGCTCGCGGAATCAATTTGTTTAATTTTTCATGTTAGTACTATCTGTAAAATGACTTTAGCTCGTTTTAGATGCTTGGTGCTTCAAGCAGCGATGAAGACGACGACGATATTGTAGAGAACGACAACGATGTTCTCGGTGTGCCCCGTCCTCTCGCCGTTCTTCAACAGTCTGCTAGCCCGCGATCCAACTCGCCGGCCCCTTCCGACTCCTTCAGTCAAGCCAACAGCCTCAAACACAGCGACAGTTCCTTCGCCAAACGAGATCGCAACTCGTTCAGGACTGGCAACACCCCCCGGAAAGTAAGTGTTACCCTGCCATAATTATCTTCTCTCTAGAAGCCTTCCAGTAGTACGGTAACAAATCGACCGGTCGCTCAATCTTCTCAAGACATCTCAGACGAAGAAGATGAGAGTTACAGTCAGCCGGCTCAGACAGACGAGCCAAGACTGTCGAAAGAAGAACAAGAACGAAAAAGGTTTGTCATCATCCTTTAAGAACAGTATTACAGACTATTTTTAAGAAATTAACCAACATTAAAATAAGCTAATTTATTGCTTTCAGAGCAGAAGAAGAGGAAGAAGAGCGGCGCAAGAATCTACAGTTATATGTCTTTGTAGCCAAATGTGCAGCATATCATTTCAACGCCAAACAGCCGACAGATATGGCCAAACGACAGCTGAAGATCACCAAACAAGAGTTGGCTAGGATCAAGGACCGCTTCCAGACATTTCTGAAAGGCGAAACCCAGATTCCGGCCGACGAAGCCTTCACCAAAGCCATAGAATCCTACTTTGAAGTTTTCCTCAAATCCGAACGGGTAGCCAAAGTCGTCCAGGCCGGAGGGTTTTCGGCGTACGACTTTCGCGAAGTCTTTAGATGCAATGTAGAAAAGAGAATCAGAAGTCTGCCAGAGATAGAAGGGCTCAGCAAGGAGACCGTACTCACATCATGGCTCTCGAAGTTTGACACGATAATGAAAGGGGATGAAGATCAACACAGTCGACAAACTCGCGGTCGAATGAGAGGTATGAATCAACAGAACGGAGATGCCATCATGTCGAAGGAACAGTTGTACGACATGTTCCAACAAGTACTGAACATCAAGAAGTTCGAGCACCAGATCATCTTCAACTCGCTTCAGTTGGACAACCCTGACGAACAAGCCGCAGCCATCAGACGTGAAGTCGCGACTCGTGAAGAAGTGTTACGTGAGATGCCGAGGGTATGTTTACGACTACCGTATTAGGGGATTCTAATTAACTACACGTTTCCTTTTCAGCTACGGAAGATAATGCCCAAGTTCGTTGTCAAAAACATGGACACATTATTCATGGATGAGGTGCGCCAGTCCATCAACCAGCTGATCCAGAATCTGGAATCAGTGCCGGTGACGCCCCGAGGGCAGACGTTGAACCGCAAGAAAGACGGTAAAAGCCGTTCTCGGTAAGACTTTCGTTCTCTGGTGTTTCCCGACTTCCGATACTCTTTTCACTTTGATTTCAGTCGATTACTTTGTGTTATGATTTCAGATTCTCGTTCAGAATTAAAAGGTAAAATACTGTCCTTTTTCACTTTTTTGCTCTTTCATCCTTCGTATCACATTGGCTGTCATAATACGTCCCTTTCGTTTATAACACGATGATGTGCCTTTATGTTCTGTACTTGACTCTGTCACACTCTGATTAACACTTTACACGTTTGATGACATTTTTGGTTTGTGTGTTACATGTCTCGAAACTTACCATAGCTTGTGACTAAGCGGTTTTACTAACGGTTTCTCACGTTTTGATTAACACTCAGACTACTATACACATACTGTGAGCAAATTGTAATTGATTAACCGATTTTTAGGTCACGGAGCATCGAGGACTTGTCCTTGTTCAACAGGTAAGAGCATAGTATTTACGGCGGTGTGTATTTCTGGGTGGGGTCGGAGTGTTCTAGGCTAGTTGTGACCGGCTTTAGCACGATAACCGAAAAAACGCTTTTGTAATGGTTAGCTAGGTCATAGTATAGTAGTTTTTGGAATATCGTGAAATTTGATGGCATGGCGAATGCTGATATTGTAGTATATTGTGTCCCCTGTGATTTTTGTTGATTTTATTTTTTGCTTTCCAATGGGTACAGTCTACATCCAACCTTCTTGTATATTACCCTTGTATGGCTATCGGCTTATCCTCTATGTAAAAGCTTATCAGTCAGCTACTCAATGACACAAACGTAACCTTCGCTTTTAGCTTAAAACGTCGGACTAGTTCTATGTCATTGAACAAAGGGGAGAGTGAAGATGCCGAAGTGTCGCTGACTAAAAGTGATGTTACGCTCAGTTTCAACATGGAGGTAAGACGCACTGATCACCACTAGAACTATCATTTTTAGGTAGTTGTAATGGAGGTACAGAACTTGAAGTCAGTACAGCCAAACAGGATAGTATACTGTACGATGGAGGTGGACAGTTGCTCAAAACTACAAACAGACCATGCAGAAGCGTCGAAGCCACAGTAAGTTACATTATTGTAGTCGAAAACACAGTTTAGATGGGATACGCAAGGCGATTTCACCACGAAACATCCATTACCTACAGTAAAAGTGAAGCTGTACGCTGAAGTCAAGACTCTGGTCTCATTCGAGGACAAAGAATTAGGAAAAGTCATCATTCAGCCGACCCCAAACTGCTCCAGAATCCCCGAATGGTACAAGATGACGGTACCAAAAAGCAGCCCAGACCAAGGTCTCAAGATCAGGATAGCTATCAGAGTAGAGAAACCACCCAACTTGAAGTATTGTGGATACTGCTACGCGATGGGGAAGATCGCTTGGAAGAAATGGAAGCGGAGGTTCTTTTGTTTAGTACAAGTAAGTCCTATCAATAAGTTAGATCATTATAGTAATGCAGTGTAATATAAAACTCAAAAATGTTTTCAGGTATCCCAATATGCCTTTGCAATGTGTAGTTATCGAGAAAAGAAGTCAGATCCCACAGAATTCATCCAATTAGAAGGGTTTACCATCGATTACATGCCAGAGCCAGATCAAGGTAACAGTATATTCTTGTTCTTTATATTAATTTAATTCCAGATCTCTACTCCCAAGGCGGCAAACATTTCTTTACGGCCATAAAAGAAGGCGACGAGTTGAAGTTTGCGACAGATGATGAGAACGAGCGACATCTATGGGTCCAGGCCCTTTACCGAGCTACAGGCCAAGCCTATAAGCCAGTGCCTCCTAAACAATCATCGATAACACCCTCGAAGGCTGTGGCGGACAAGGCCAGCAAGCACGGTCTGGACGAGTTCATCCAAGCAGACCCAGTCATCAACCACGACCATCTATTTATGAGGCTGCAGACGTTGACGTTGGACTATCGATTGGCTGAGCCAATCTGTTCGCTAGGCTGGTTTTCACCAGGCCAAGTCTTCGTGCTGGACGAGTACTGTGCCCGATACATGGTACGTGGGTGTCATCGTCACGTTTCTTTGTTAAACGATCTTCTGAACAAAGCTAATGATGGTTACCTGGTTGATCCTACATTAATACACTACTCGTTTGCCTTCTGCGCCTCTCATGTGCACGGTAATAGGTAAGAAATTTTAGAAACACGTTCTGTAGGCATACATATTGAATATATTAATCATGTTGCTTTTCAGACCAGACGGTGTAGGAACAGTGACATTGGAAGAGAAAGAAAAGTTTCAAGATGTAAAGGAGCGTCTTAGAGTGCTTCTGGAGAAACAAATCACCAACTTCAGATATTGTTTTCCCTTCGGAAGACCTGAAGGTGCCTTGAAAGGTACTCTGTCATTGTTGGAACGGGTAAGTTGCTAACTTTACAACCTGAAATCACGTTTCCTTTAAAGTATTTTAATTTTAAAAACTTTTAGGTATTGATGAAAGACGTGGTTTCTCCAGTGCCTCCAGAAGAAGTTCGTTCAGTTATCAGAAAGTGTCTTTCTGAAGCAGCCTTCCTCAACTACAACAGGCTCTGTAATGAAGCCTTGATAGCTCGTAAGTACCATAAATAAAACATAATATTTAAAAGTTCAAAAATAGAATAAGTTAAACAAAGATAAGCTCACATTGGCCATAATTCAATTATTTAGGTAATAAAAAAACTTTCAGAGCGGATGAGCCAAGACGTCAGTCCTCAACAACGAATCGAAGACATGATTCGGATCACAGAACTGTGCATCGACCTCCTGAAGGAGAACGAAGAACACCACGGAGAGGTAAGTTAACCAAGAGCGGGGCAAGGTGTGGTTTCCAGCTTGAAATCTAATTACTTCCTTGACATAACCTTACAATTTCAGCAGCTTCGAGGGGTGAGTGGGCGTTCTATCTGTCAGTACCCGGTGAACGTAACCTTTTCTTTCGCATTTTTATTTTATCTTGCCCTGATTGGTATTTTCTGTCATTGTCTCGTTTACCGAGACCAAAACTCACAATACTAGTCAACACCCACTGTACACTTCACCCTCACAATAACACTTTCACCCACCATCAAACACCCTCACCTGCACCTTTCCCAGAACAATATCATTCACTTGTTTCAGGCATTCGCTTGGTTCAGCGATCTTCTAGCCGACCACTCAGAAACCTTCTGGTCGTTGTACTCAGTAGATCTTGATGAAGCTCTGAAAGTCCAACCTCCTGACTCGTGGGATGCTTTTCCTCTGTTCCAACTTCTGAACGACTTTTTATGCTCCGAGCCATCGCTGAAGATGGGGAGTTTCCACAAGACCTTGGTGGAGAAGTTTGAGCCGATGGTCGGTAGATACGTTGATCTGATGGAGCACTCCATTTCACAGTCGATTGAGAAAGGCTTCTCCAAGGAGAAGTGGGAACAGCGAAAGGATGGGTGCGCGACTTCTGAAGACATCTACTGGAAGTTGGACGCTCTCCAGGGATTCATTCATGACCTTAACTGGCCCGAAGAAGATTTTGCCAAATTCCTGCAAAACAGAATGAAAACATTGACCAGCGAAATGATCGTCAAATGTGCACAATGGTATGTTTTATATTTTAAAAGTTGAGAAGAACATTTTTTTCGTCCTCCATGACAAGAATGATTAAGAAACTTACATTTATAAAATTAAAAAGGTCAGAACTAATATAAAAACAAAAAAAGTTTGATAAATTTCTATTTTGAGACAAAAATTATCAAAATTTGTTTCCAAGAAAATTATTTAGCACACTTTTGCGCCCGAAATTACGCAGGCTGCAGAAAATTGTTTACCAAAACAAAATTTACGAAATATATTTCTAAATTATTTAAATAATTACGAAATATATGAAATTTTTAATTTTGCAAAAAAATCAACGAAATGTAAAACCGGACAAAATGATGGTTTCAGTACATTCCAAGCATTCGACAGTCATATGCAAAGAGCCAAGAAGTCTGTGGAATATGTTTTACCGTCAGAAACCTGTGTCATGATCAATGTCATGTTTTCGTCTCGTCAGAGAGCTGTAAAACTGAGTTTGGATTCTGGAGAGGTTAGTTTTTGTTGCATTACACTACCTTTGACGTTACCAGGTAAAGAAATGCTTTGTTTTAGATTAAATACCAATCAAAACTGGACGAGACCCTGGAAACCATGATCCATGACATGGAGACGTGTGTGTACGACAAACTTCTGTCTATCCTCGAATACGTTCTCTCGAAACTGGCGAGATACGATGAAGGAAATCCAATTGGTGCAATCTTATCAGTGGCTCCAAAGCCAGGATTCATGTTTAATAAGCTGAAGAGCTTTGTCGGAGATCAGTCGAATCACACCAACAACACTGCAGTCAACAACGCTCAGAAGGCGGCTGCAACACAAAAGGACTCAGGCCATATTGGCAATCAATATGTCACTTTTATGACACAGTCGGCCGAACAGTTGCAATGTGTCATCACTGACGAAGTTTGGGTAACCAACATTTTTGGGGTACGTTGTTTTTGTCTCTTGATGTTTATTTTAAACGTGGTAAAATTATATTTACTAAACAGTAAGTTCGACTTATTTGTTTAGAAATGGTACGACGGACAGCTGAAGATGATCAATGAATGGCTTGCCGAGCGTATTCAACAATCTCTACATCCATATCAGCTACAGTGCTTGAACTTCATGGTCAAGGTAAGGCCAATAATCTAAACCACAATTTTAAAGATTTTAACACAGGAATATATTGTTTATATTTTTAAGAAAAACTATGATTTGTAGCCAAAAATTTTCTAACTTCAGAAAATCCACACTGATTTCGAACTTCACGGAATCGAGCCTGAACGTCTGGAGACCGGCGTTCTGAAGGCGATCAACCAACGGCTTCAGTTGGAAGAAACGAATTGTGCCTTAAACGATCGCAGCATCAGCGGATCTTCGTCGCATCACGGTGGAAGCAACAACCTTCTGAACTTGGGCAACATCTCCAACGCGTCCCAGGCCGTGTCCAACATGGGCAGCATGGTCGAAGGGGCTGGTGCGAAAGTTTTTTCCTTGTTCTCCAAATGACTGCCGTCTTCTTCTCAGGATCTAGTCATAGCTCATGTAACTTCGCTTCTGCGTCTATAGATCTTTATAGCTTTTAGGTCGTAATCACAAGATTAATTAGCTTCACTTTACGTTATCACTTGTTACCTACTTTGCCATCTTATTTTAAGCTTTTTGAGTGCTAGTTGGGTCAAAAAGTACGTGGAATTATATTGTTTCAAATATATGTTTAATTTTGGATTAAGTTCTTTAAGGTTTCTATCTACTTTTTGACCAATTAACACTATTAAGCTAAATTGTTACCTCGCTCAACTAAACGCTAGCGTCCTTCCTTAAGATATTCAGCACCAAACCGGTGAGCTTCTGCTTGTTTGCAATTGAATCATTACTTTCGAACACATATGGGTATGTCATTGCCAATGGTCTATGTTACGTTTAAAATAAATTTAAATTGGTAGTTTTTTTTTAAATATAATTTTGAATATATTGTTACCTAAAGTCATGTATGTCTGTTCCCAGGGGATCAAATCTAGTTGACGTATTATATTTTGACATTGCTCACTGCAATGTCAACATATATGTGCTTGATCTGACTTCCGACGATCGTAGCGCGGGTTTCAAACGTCAGACAAAGATCTTTTACTTTCAAAACCATTTTCATCATGGAGATTGAGACGTCTTCGAATAATGTCAAAAACAGATTAACGATCTAAAACGAGGCGAAAGTAGTTAAAATAGATATATAGAGTAATGGCAGTCATCAGAGTTACGTCATGTATAGTTAAGAAATAGTTTGCAAGCTGGTTTGCGTGTTTCTACAAGGCGTAAATTAGTTGTTATATTCATTAACTTGACTTATATTGACAATTGTTTAAGTTTCAAGGTTTTCAACTTTACTTTCTCCAAGAACAAGTAATTCTTCCAAAAACCCACAACAAATTTTAAAAATTTATTAATTACCATAACATTTTTTAAAATTGATAATGCACTTTTGTGGGGACGAGATGAGATACCGTGAGGAAGAAAATGGCACAAAAACAAACAAAGCTTAGTGGAAGACGACGCAGGTGGTCTTGTCGTTGCCAGCGGCACAAGCCTTCTTTCCTTCCAATGGGATCAAGGTGAATCCCTTGGTTGGGACACAGGAGATGGCCACGTTCTCGGTCTTGTACTCCTCCTTCAACACCTTCTCGATGATGGAGGCGAGCTTGACGGTGTCTTCTTCAGCGAGCTCCTGAAATGTAGATTTTAATAATTTTAAAGCAACTTTGATTCTAGTACTCGTAATAACAAAACTATGAACTTGTAATCGTTGATATCAAATGATACCTCAGGCAATAGGTAATTGTTTTAAATAAGACTTACCTTTTCGATCACATCGACGATCTCGGAGCACTTGATTGGGGCTTCTTCAGTCGATCTCTTCTTTCTTCCGCATCCGCAGCCTGATGGAGCAGCTGGCAACTGTGGCAACGAGAAGGCTGGTGGTGGGGGTAGAGCGAAGCTTGGTGGGCATGGTGGTGGTGGTGGAGGGGGTAGAGAGAGGGCTGGTGGGGGTGGGAGGTTGAAGGAAGGTGGGCATGGTGGGGGTGGTGGTGGGGCACAGCCACAGCCTCCTCCGGCTGAAGGGAAGAGGAAAGCGCAGGTAATGGCGGGGAAGGCCAACAATAAGACGGTCTTGATCATGGTGGTTGGTGAATGACTCGAGGAGTAGAATGACCGGTCGGATTGAGGACAAGGGCTTAAGTATTGTCTCCCCGACGTTTTTCATTTCGTAGCCTGAGGGTTTTTTGAAAGTCGACACCTCCCATATTTACAATATTTGGAATTTGGCTGGAATCCAGCCGTGAACGCCCTTAGGCTATAGTGAATGTGATATACAGTCCCGTGAGGAGGCGTTAGGATTTTACTCATCGGCGAAATAAAAACGTCAAAAGAATTGAACCGCGCGATTGTTATCACAATTGGGAAAAACGAAAAGCAAGAAAGAGAGAGAGAGCATTGAGAGGAGAGAGAGTGCCGACAGACAGTCTAAACACAAGGCCATCGATGCGGTTAGCCAGTTGGAAGTGTCTCATCTGGTCATCAGCGTTATCAATGAAGTTCTACACTGTCGACGCGTTCACTACACAGGTCTTTCGAGGAAACTCGGCAGCCGTCGTCATCGAGGTGAGGATTCACTTTCACTCGAAATATGAAGCTACATAGATCACACCAAATCAGGTTTCAACTTAGAAGCAAGTGAACATAGTTTATGAGTTTATTGCTTTCAGACTCCCAGGCTTAAAGTCTGTTTAGTTTAACAATTTGTACTTTAAGAGATAGACAAATGTTACAGTAACAAAGACAGTTTCATTGTTTCAGCCCAATGACATTCCTGATGACAAGAAGCAGAAGCTCGCGGCGGAATTCAACATTTCCGAGACGGCGTTCCCCCTACCGTTGAATCAGAAGTCGTTCGAGAAAGGTGACTCATAATGTCATTGTGATGTGTTACATTATGTCGTGTCTGTAGTATATGATCTTGATTGTCTCTCGAAACTATTAAGTCACTTTCAGCCGACCGTTTCTCTCTACGCTGGTTCACGCCGACCAACGAAGTCCCGCTTTGTGGTCACGCTACACTTGCAACCTCACATGTCATCTTCAACGAGCTCGGTTTGTAACTCTATACAATAACAACACATGTTTAGGTAACAAGAACGAACAGATTCATTTTGAAACCAAGTCGGGAACATTGTCGGTAACCAGGAAGAACGGTCGATTATGTATGATCATGCCCAACTACGAGACTTTCAACTTGGACAGTGTGAAGGCGAAGATCAGCACTGACTTCAAAAAGGTACTAAATAGTTTCAAAATACTGTAAAAAACGAACTTTGAGGCTACAGGATGACAACATTTGCATCATAAATATAAATTTAATTAAAAAATTTTAAATTTCAAAATTCAATAGACTTCGACCCGTTTCACATGAAACTCGTCGCTTTGTTGTTACTTTCTCATTACATAACCATTCTCGACATGTTTCAGATCAATGACGTGAACCAGATCGGGCGGCAAGTTGCCGAAGTAAGTGCTTCAACCGGTCTGCTCGAAAAACATTAATATGCACATCTTTCAGCGCATTGTTCCGTCTGATGTTATCGAGCAACTAGCTTATAATCCGGATACCAAGAAGCTGGTCGTTGCGTTGCGGGAGTCGGTTACATAGTAAGTTGTGTAATCCCTTGTGAATAAAAGGAAGTACATCGGAAATGTCATCGATATAAAAAGTTTTATGTCATCATTGTAAAAAGTGCCTTTTTTGTTTAAAAATGTAATCGACATTACAATTAGAGCAGACAAGTCTTTATTTTTAAATTTAAAATAGATTTCTCGGATTAACATTAACATTTTCTATTTTTACTGCAATGTATTACAATAATATATTTTATTTTTTTATTAAAAACATAGAAAAATAATTCTTTAAAATTAAAATCCACTTTTAAACTCAACTCCACGAATTGAAACTCCTTTACAAAGCTGACATTACTTTCAGTGACGAACTGACTAAGTACAAGCCGCAGGACATTCACTCGGCAGACCCGGACGGGCTGTTTTGTCGCGGTGTAATGATTACCTTCATGCCAAAACAGGCAATTAAGCAGGGATTCTCGGCGGAGGTCGACTACGTGCTGCGTTACTTCTCACCGTGGAACGGGATTCCAGAAGACCCGGCCACGGGCTCGGCCCAATGCGTCGCCGCTCCTTTCTGGGCCCACATCACGGGCCGCCCGGCCCTCAAAGGTGTGTGCCGTGAATTAATTAACGGTGTTTCTGGCCGTCTTATGAAATCGTAATTAAACGACTTTACTTTTACAGCCTTGCAATGTTATCCATCGCGTGGCGCCGAGTTCGAGACGTTAGTTCGCGAGGATAGTATTGAGTTACAAGGGAGCGCGGTTACCGTAATGAAAGGCGACTTGGTCCTGCCAGCATGATACTTTGCCGGCCGATACTTCAAGATTAGTGTAATAAGTCGAGTGTAAGATGGACTTGAATGTTGCGTGGAAATGTGTTTGGCTGATAATAAAGTATATTTGATTCGATTAATGTCACTATTACTGGGAGGTGTAGGCGTGCTACATGATATGTGTAAGAGGGAGGAGATGTGTGTCTGGTCTCTTCACTGGCCAAGATGCGGCTTAACGAACGTTGAATGGTGATGATTATGCTCGTTTTTATACAAGTCTTGGTTCGGCGACACTTTGGTCCGGCGACGCTCTCTTTTTGGTCTTCTGAAGCGCCCTTGTTTCCTTATTTGATAGTGAAGGTCCTAATTGAATTTCATAAGTGCTGTGTTAGTTTTTTCTTGGGCTTGCACGTTTAACGCGAGCTTTACAGACCGGAGCGAGTGTAATGTTATTCTAGTGATTCCTCGAAGACATACGACCAGATTATCAAAAGCTCGTTTCATACATATCACACTCCAATTACATTCAGCTCCATTTTCACAAACGTGCTGAAGTCGAATGTGCGAAAAGGGCCGCTTTTAATCCCGAGGCCGGCCCCTAATCCCGGCGACACTTCATCGACCGAGATTCTCGTTTGGGCGCGTCTGACCTCTTTGTTACTAATAATGTACTTTTAGAATGAGACTTAATGCCAACAGTTCCACTTGTTTCTTGTAGTTGGCCTTCTGGACACGACATTTATGTTTCCCACTCTGAGACCCAATGCAGTTGGCCACAATCGACGGCGACGCCGATCTGACCATTCACAACATCTCCATCCTGCCTTCAGATCAGTGTGCGACGGAGGAACAGAGAGTAAGCTTGGTTTGGTGATGTTAGTGTTATATTGTATCATAATGTTGACAATGTTTGACATTTAGATACCTAAAAGATCAAATGTATAGTTTTTTAAACCTTCAGGCTGCCAAATGCTGTTGTGGCGATGGGTTCTTCTATGATTTCCCTCAACGCAAGTGTCTTGTGTCAGCTAATGTAGGGTTCATGTTCGGCAGAGTCAACAACAACTGGCCCCACATGGTCGTATACGGGTTCGTGTACCCTATGTTAGTACTCACGATGGTCGCGCCTTTAAGTGCTGTGATGTTGGGAATGGGGAAACGAGAGAAACGTGAAGGCGACCGCCGTTTCGTATGTTATTTTACTATACCTTACATTTTATTTTAATTTTTGGTAATTTATGTATACACCAACGTTTCTTTTAAGGGCCAAGCATGTACTTCATCTTACTATTTCCTTTTTACATTTTAAACTTTAGTTTCAATTTTACATTATCATCATTTCAGCCCAACCCTCTATATCAAATGATCTGGTTACTGTGTTTCTGTGGGTGGATCAGTTTACTAGCTCCACTGCCGTTTACAGTCTGGTATTATGTTACGGGTAATGGTATTCGAAATCTAAATCAGTCAGTTGTAATGTGTCATTTGTTCCGTACCTCAATGGAAGCCATTCCACATACGATGGACACCATGATGACCTTATTCAGTGTTCTGTTAGCTGCCGCTAGGTATGTTATGGTAGCTATTTCAATATATCATCAAAACGCTTATTAAAGTTTAAAAAAACCTTATTATAAAGTTTTTTTTGCAAAACTTTAATTTAAATTTGCAGATTTTTAACTCAGTATCATAGAAATACGCTGAAGCTTCGTACTGTAGAGCGCTTCTCCCGAGCCATTTGGACCATCATCATCGTGTGCATCATGTTAGGTACTCTAAGGTTCTTTGAGCACGAAGCCACAGTGTACACGTTCTGTATGGGTATGTCGCTTGCCTATGACAATATCTTGCTTTAGATACGGAGCCTGGTCCTTACTGGGCTCGTCGATGTATGGTCAGGGATGGAAGTCTGATTACTTTCATAAACAGAAGATTCTGGAAGGTCTTCTTGCCGTTGGCAGACTTCTTTGTACAGTTTGTTGTGCCTGGTGTCATGTTGACACTACTACATATAGGCTTTAACCAAGAGCCCAATATTGACATAGAAGGGTTGAACACACAGTAAGTTTTCTTGTTATGAAGAAAACATACTGTAAAAATAATGTAAAACAAACATCAATATAATGAAATAATTAGCGTTATGAAAGCAATACAGTAATCCTTGTTTAGTAATCGCTTCGGCCGCTCACCTCGCGACCAAACCCGTATCTTAATATACGCCGTTACCACTGCCTTCCTCGTCGTGCAACTACCTACCGCCGTCGTCACCACCCTCAGTCTTACCGTAACCCACTTCCACACCAACAAGATAGGTAAGTGTAGCGAGAGCACGATGAATCTTTCAGTGGGCCTAATTACTCTCTCGATTGGCCATCTCCAGCCTCTTCTCTCCATTTCTACCATCATGGCCAATTGTGGGGCCTTGTTGACTGCGTATTATGTCATAGTAAAAGAGGACGACCTCGACGTCGGCGACTCCCATGCCTCCATATCGTCCACGGATGGTGTAGACGACTATCTTCTGGGTGATCGGAGAAGGAGCACGAGGTATGTTGTGGTAGACGACTGACTGAAACATTATATTGTCTTTGTTAAGAGTTTGATGTAAAAAACGTTATTTATAGAGTAATCGAAGACCTTTGTATTTAAGCTAGTACATTACCTTACAAACTTAAAATGTTGTAGGAACTACCTGACCGTCAGCCGCTCCTTCGACACCAGCTCCATGAGGTCGTTCTCGAGGAAAGGATCGGACTTCCCTGATGACTTTGTCTTTCTGGTCAATGCCCCCAACTCTCCTGCACCTTCTCAATAACCGATATATCTTAATGTATGCTGCCTCAACTAAATAAAGAGTACATATTTTTGCAAAAATTCTTGTTTTTCACACATTTCACATCACTAATCACAGTGACAACATAATATTATATATAAATCACATATTCTGATTTATAAAATATATTTTTAATATATGTGTATATTTAAATTTAAAAACTTTGGTTTAATCTTAAACGAGTCAAGATCAGCACAACTTTATCCTTCAAGCATTGACAACAAACCTTCGACTCAACAATGACATTTTTAATCAATTACAACTTGATTATTCAAAAATTTTAAACTTACTTTCGTATATTATGCTTTCTTTTTGCTGATCAACATAAGCTGAAATGTTCTAAAACCTCGAAGCCACATTATGTTTTCTAAAATTGGTTCTTTTAGAAAAATGTATTTTTCGATTACAACATAATGCCAAAAGTGCCAAATTAGCAAAAAATAAAGAATTCAAAATTGTTTTGTTTCGAAATAAATTCCTAGAAATTCGTAATAATAAACCTAGTTATAGTCTTATTTGTAAGGAAACTCTTATTTAAAAAGCTATGTTGATCTCGTCCTATCATTTTTAAACCTGAAAACGTCAGCTATTGGTAACTTTTGACAATCAAAGAGAACGTCTTGTTATTATATATGTCGTCTTGTGATTTGATTGTACATAATTCTTTGCAGTAAAGTTAGATCAAACTTTTCTGACAAATTTTGATAAAGATTTAATTTGCAAGCTTTAGAAACTCTGCACAACTTTACCTCCTTTTGTTACCTATGTTAATATGTTTCTTGCCGACTTCCTTGTGACATGTATATCACAGGAATGCAATTATGGTATATTCTTGAAACGGACACAAATGGCCAGATTAGTCTATGTAATAGTAAGAAACATTTGCAAACGTCAGATGCAGTAATGTAAACAATGTTTTACCATGAAGATTACCACCATTATCATATTAGTTGTCATGTTTATTTTGGCCCAATTTAGTACGTAGATGGTTACGTAATGTGCATCAGATATGTTGTGATATACAAGGATAGTCGTATTACGTATTCCGTATATGTCACTGAATTTACTATAAGCATCTATATACTCTATTGTGAACGCTTAGTAATTGATGCACAACAACGAAATAACCGATCACCGTAACACCACCCATCTTGCACTCTATGGTATCTTGACAACAAACCCATATGTCTTACCATGAATAAATTGCCATCTTCCCACTGCATTGTGACACGACATCAAATACCTTGCTGCAGTCGTATCTCTTTCACCCTGAGAACATGTTGGATGATACCGTTGTAAAAAACATGTTCTGTTGTTTGATATCATGGTAGAAAGCCATATTCTATTGTTTGATACCATAATAGGACAACATCTTCTCTTCTGTAGGTACTTGTTATGACGTGGCTGTTGTTGCTCTGCCTACACTTATATTGTAATCTTAATAATTCAGAAACTAATTAATGGCCGGATTTGATACATTAATTGTATTTATTAGTAGCCGGGAGACGAGCCTTACATCATGTTGTGTGAGTTATAACATACGATGAGTAACGGCCGTAAAGATATAAATATTGCAGCTTTGCATAATATTATTCAAAGTCTTCTACAACATGTTTCTACAGTACTTTGCAAACTTCAAAGCTTTGTTTTTAAACAATATTGTGATAATAACCAAATTCTAAATAGTTTCAAGATATTAATAGTATTGTTTTTGTAAATCAAGTAATGACAACGCTACTATTACTATGAGTTACTATGAGTTCAACCGAGTACAATCTAATATACTATGTATCTTAATTTAGCTATGTCCTTATTGGCAATCAGCTATTTTAACATACCATGTTGTTTTTGGCAAAGCATACATATAAGAATAGTTAAACATATATGTACATTAATGTATTCGTATCGTATGTTCATTCAATGTTGTCACTGTTGCAAGACATGGTAAATTTTCATTTGTGGTTTGATTATCTTTTCTAGGTATACTTCGCATACACTTTAAATGTCATTTCAAAGTTTTTTCTTGTATTTTAATTGATTTTCCAGTAATTTGCCATAAAACAAAAGTCTCTAATATTAATGTAGATATTGGTATTGTTCGTTCGTCTGAAACAAACAGATTACAGTAGGCTGTCATTGTCAAACTCTTATCAGTATTACTCTTTTATCTTTTAAATTTAGCTCTTAATCGCTTACCTAATAGCTAAATCTGTATCTGTCTAATACCTACTCTTACAAAGCTGATATCTCTTCTTGTGTACCTAATATCTACTTGAATATACCTGTTATACACCTTTATGTGCTTGATATATACTTATCTCCAACCCATGTTAGAGATCCCTTCCAGCTACCATGCTATTGTCACCTTTGTCCCTAGTATTACGTACTCCCACCAGTGAATGCAGGTGATTATCCTTAATTAACAATTCTTTGTCTGATGGAAGAAACTCTTACAAGGCCCGCCCTATCCGGAAATTAGTAATTACAACATATTAAAGTATATATCAGCTACAGATTCCATTCTCGTGGGAGAATATCTTCCGAGACATGCTTATATATACACATGTTTCTGGTTAATTTACTCTCATTTCAATCTTGTTATCTTACAATTCCACAACTGAATTGGACCCCGAGGGCCCGTTTCGTTCGGATTTGTAAACAAAGTTTCTTCGTGTTTTGATTTGAGCTAATTGTAGAATAGGCGTTGAGGTTATTAGAGTTAAGTCCTGAGTTTAGGTTAATAAACACATACTTTGGGCTTAGAACGGCTTTTTAGGCTTACAACTAGACTTTTGAAACTGCCAGTTCAAGCTGTAGGCTTTTCAGCTACTGTCGGCATGTTGAACATTCTTTTTTTTCTCGCCCATATTGCTTTCTAGAGTACCTACTGTTCCTTGTTGTGTTACCAATTACCTTGCGTGTTCGCGTTGTAATAGCTGTAAAACAAACACTTTCCATGTTATTCAAGTCGAATATAGTACAAAACATACTACGTAGTCATCCTTAAGCTTAACAAAGTTATTATCAGTAATTGTCGTAATTACCTTCTTCCTTGTAATAGCCTTAGCTAGTAGACTGATTACTTTCTAACTACTACTACTAGTCGTGTGTTTACCGTGCTTTACAGTACTACCTAGCACACTTTATAACTTAAATTCAGGTTACATTCGCCACAACTGGGACGTTTATAAGAGTAACTGTACATATATACCTAGATCAGAGAATGCAGTCGCTGATTGCTTCCAGCATCGTACTATTATTGGTTACGAATTCTGTATTTGGTAAGTTGAATTTTTTTTTGAAATTTTACTGTAGTTTTCAAACCTTTTTACTGTTGTTTTTTACTGGAATTCTATTTTTATACTAAATTTATTATAAATCCATTCAAAACCATATTGTAACTTACGCAACATGTATTAAAGAAAGGTACATCCGGACTGAGAATGTTAATTAAAGTAATCTGTGGTCGTACTGTAGCCGTTTACTACTTAATTCTTTAATTTATCGGATTAGCAAACCTGTTTTTAGAAGTTATTATTCTTAATTAACGCCCTTAATGTGTTTAATCATTCAGGACTGGGTTACATCTACGACGACACCTACTTCCCCATCCCTCAAGGAGCACAGATCGTGGTCGAGACCCTGCCCGAGACCAAGTTTATGCCCCAGCGACGGTTCGACCCCGCCTGGAGGCATATCGGGCTAGGAAAACGGTCGACGGACGAGCCGCGACGGATCAGCGGCGAACGGTCCTGGGCCATGATCGGGCTGGGCAAGCGACGATAGACTGACATACCTGGATCTGCGGTTGTCGCTAAGGCAACGTGTATAATAATATTCGAATTGTGATGTTTTGTATCAGAATTCTTATCAGATAAATAGTGGTTTGATCCCTTCTCTTTCGAGCCTCCGATCGGGCCGCGACTGACATCGCCGAGTCATTCATCACCCCAAAAAACGGCGGCCGAAGAGCGGCGGAAATAGGCAAATGATTGGGTCACAATATACGAATATCTTTAAAAAACTTTGAAACCCGAGAGAAACCGGAAGCCGCTGAAGAGACACGAAGAAGAGCTCCGGAGGGCATATGGCCAAGTCGTTATTGTCGATTATCCGCGCTTCCAAACAAAGCCTGGCGGTCTTCTAAGAGCTACAAATAGCTCATCGAAGTATTCTTTAAGGCCTTGTTGAGTGATGTTTGAAGAATAGTCTTTGTAACATCATTTTTTGAGTAGCAGAATACCTCTTTCTACACAGTAGGCCATCTTACACCATTTTTTGCGCATAATCAGGGCTCTGTACCATCTGTAACCGCTTTTGTTTGAACCCGTTAAACCCTTAAATAGCGAAACTACTCCACTCCAATTTGAAGGATATGCAAATCTGGACAGCTGTTGGTCAATCTGGCCCAGGTTTACGGCTGGGCCAAGTTTGGAGAGCCCAATTGACCCGGATTCGAGAGTGGCGCGGTGTTTTATTACCGAGAGTGCGCAGGCGGAAGCAGTAGAACGTCGCCGTTTCTGAATGCTTTTTATCCGCCCTCATCTTTTACCACAACATCAACATTTTTCTTTCTTCCTTCGTTTAAGTCGACTGTCTTCACAAAACGTTTCTCAAAATAATGTTGGTTTGATGGTTCAGATCGGACGGACATTTATAATTATTTTCATTTTACGGTACATTCTCTTACTCTGTCATGTGTTGCTGTCGCTCTGTATTTTAATGTGTTTTTTCAATGAGTTTACCGTAATTTCTCTGCTTTACTGTACACTTTCTCAATATTTTACTTTCTCAAACGATTGTAAAGCGCTGTTGTGTCCATTCAGCTGAGATCATCAGTTTCACATTGTTTGAGGAATTTGGAGAGCCAATCACTCGAAAGAAGGTCGTTCCTAACAAAAAGTGCACGCCGTTCCCCCCCCCCTTTTTTTTCACCTTAACTCGGCCCGAGTGTCCAGCTGAAGCGATCGCTTTTTAATGCGCACTTCCCTCAGATTTGTGGCGGTTTAAGCGATGATCGCAACTCCCGGCGGACTCCCACATTTGCATAATGCCTTCGCACGCCGCTTAAGAGGCGTGAAACAGCATGCCCCAGGCCATGTCCATTCCAATTCTGGGTGACCGCTTCTCGCTGTCTTGTCAAATTAACTCTGCCTCAGGCATGGTGTGGGTCTCCAATGCAAACCGAATAATCGCGGCCGATCCGATGCAAATCTGGTTAGTCGTGGCCGGAACAGAACGGAGCAAAAGGTCATCGTTCCTTTACAATAACGTTTCTTTAATGTATTCAAAAACATTTCTTATGCCTGCGGCGCGTATTAAAATATTAAACCGCTGATCCGGTTTATCGTGAAAACACTTTTGTCATCGCTGAGTTTTGTCATCGCTTACCTGCGACGTCCCGCTGCTTTAACGGATCGGTCCAGAAAGAAAGGAGGGGGAACAACGGCCTTGCCGAAGAAGTTTTGGCTTTCTGAAGCGCGCAGAAGCCAGCTCAGGTGAAAACGGAGCGGCGCCGAGGTCGTTCCCGATTTGCCCCTTAATTCCTTTTATCATCATTCTTTGAATATTAGGTATACATGATTTATATTTTGTTTTTGAACGAGTATTGTGTAGTTATCATTATATTTTATTTCCTTACAATTTAGTTTATATATGTAATACATCTCATTTTGTTTAATATTATATCATACTGTATACATATTGCTTGTTATACAATTTTTATTTTGTCCTAGTACTATATCACACTTAGTTGGTGTCAATCTGAGCCGTGATTCATTTGTTTTGGTCGGTTTTAGTACCATGCTAAGCGGTTTATGCCATTTCACTCCAAGTATTTATGGTTTTGACCTCGTAAACACGGCCTCTCGTATACGCTTAAATGGCTTAATGCAGTCCGATAACCTTGTATCAAAGTAATTGATCTCGGTTTGAACGACCGCATCAAAGAGACAGTGTAATACGCGGAAATCAGATATTGCTCATTAGCTTCAGATACCTAATTATTGGGCTGACCAGTAGTTCTTATAATTATTTGAATAGTTTTTCTTTGATAGTTAGATATTGATATGTTGTTTAGTGTTAATACCTAAATAGTCTTTTTTGAATTTAAATATATAACTACTAAACTGTTTAGTAGACTTTTATACTTTATTACTTGACTATTATAAGCTCTGGTACCAAATTATTGAGCTACCAACTCGCTCCAACCCATTCGATCGTCGCTTCAGGCGAGGCCTGTCGCGCTGGCGTGCGACTCAGATTGGGCTTCAAACTGTTTGTGTCCCCAGCGCGCAGCCGTGTTTTGACCCCGGCCTCCAAACCCTTGTCTTTCGTCTAAAGAGTGCCGATCCACACTCGTTTGACCTTAATTTCAGCGGATCATCCAGCTACTTGTAGTTGGTTTTGTTTTAATTCGGATGGGCACTTGATCGCTTTAATCAAAACATTTCCCAAAACTTGGTGATCGGAGAGATAAAGGGGTCTGAATGTCATGCTCTCTGTACCTTTGTTCGCTCCCCTTTTGGCGGAATTAATGGGTTGATTAGTGCGTTCCTGAATTAGAGTAATGAGTCAGGGTGGGAACATTGTTGTTTGCTTTATCGATTATCAGCCAGATGTTCAGCATGGATCTAATCCTATTGTCGGGTCTATAACATGTTTTATAGTCTGTGAAAGTGACCGATCCCCCATGTTCTGGGTTGGCAGAGGTTCTGTACAAAAAGTTTGAGTCTACGGTATTTGTGGGGCGAACGCCATCTTTTGTTTTATGATTACTCATCAATAAGCGATTCAGTCTCTTTATCAACATATTCAAATGTTCCACCCAGCCCTGTGCTCAGAGGTCACAGATTATGACTTACTTCCTCACATAATTACTTTTTGCGCGTTCCAAACAATAATTGAGCGACTTTTGTTTACAGTTTAATCTTCGGGAGCTGAGCTGATTTTACTTTTATTTTACTGAAACAACGACCTTATACGTCTCTTTTGCATATTTTGAATTTGTTACACTTTCAGCGCGATGCCTATCACAATGGGTTTGAGATGAAGTAAAGGTTATGTAGATGTCTTTGTCTGTGAATTGTAATATATTTTATACAGTTAGATACCACTATATTTTGATGTATATTGTTGTACCTTCGGGTTTACAATAGCTAGTAACTGCGTGAGATGGTTCTCTTGTTCATCAACGTCAAAACTTTGTTTGAGCTGCGCGTTTACTCTTTTTGCTGCGGCTGGAGACAGCCGGGCCCGGTAGCAAAAAGAAACTGATCCCGTAATACATACCTCCGTCACTAAAATACTGCCTGTATTATACCGGGATCGTGTAGTTTGCGGGGGAAACGTTTACGCTTTGTTATTTTACTTCAGATCTCGGGAAGAGATACCTGCAGTTGCCTTTCCATCTTTGTTTTCACTAATTTGAGTCATCGTTAACGTGCTTTACTATTATATAATTGCTTTTACATGGTTTACTTGGTCTTGCTATTATTTATTTAGCTTTTATCCTTATTCTTGGTTTGTGTTTTGAAAGTAAAGTACTATCATATACACATTCCATATGCGACTTTTGTCAATCAAAAGATCCTATAATTACATGTCCTTGTGATCTGGCCATAGTTCGCGACCTTGGCCTATTGTCCGTTCGGCTGGCCCCAAATTCCGTCCATTCCAATCAAATCTCTCCAATTTTGAATAAACTCTGTTTTGCGCGTCTGTCGGTCGGGAGATGCCATCGCCTTGTCGGTGGCTTATGTACTCTGCAAATCCCTTAAATCGTGGACGTGCATGTTGTAACCCCGCCCCTTAAGCGGGATGTCCATCTCATGATCGCTTCCCAAGCAGGCTGTTAGCTTGGGCCATATTGGGCTGCGACAAACAAACTTAAGCGGTCATCGGAAGGGAATCAGAAACCTTTCGTAGAAGCTGGAATCATAAGCGTCTTCTGCGGTTGTTTCCGAATGATTAAGGGTTAAAAAACGCCGAAATGCTCCCTTCTCAACTCTTCCGTGAAATGCCAGCTTATCAGATCGTCGGGGAGCGAGGCGGCGACCCACCTTGTCTTCCATCTCGCGCGCGTTCCGGATGCCTGTCATTTGATTGTATTAACTTTTGTCACAGTTGGAATAATTTGAATAATGTTGGCATTAGATTTGGTATAATTTCAATCTTATTTCGCGTTATTTCAGCCTTTCAACTAATGTAGAAGCTCCGAAGCACGATGACGACGTTGGACACAGGTCCTCGCAGTCGATTCCGGGTCAGCCGGACCTTATTTCTGTTGTTATTTTGGTTGACAGTGCTTGGAGCAGATGAGGGTGCCTTCAAACAGGACCCCAGCGTGCTGGCCGTCTTCAGCGGCCACTTCGAAGGCCGGGAAGTGGAGCTGGAGAAGCTGGTATGATTCAAACGGTTCCAAGGTTAAATTACGAAATATTTGCAGATAATGGACCCTCTCACAAACCGGCTCTACGTCGGCGCTGTCAATCATTTGTACGATCTCTCGCCGGTCGATTTGAGCATTCGGGAGCAAGCCTTGACTGGCCCCAAACCGGATTCGCTGATGTGTGCAGGTAATGACAAAAATTGAAAAAAATTTACAATTTAAAACAACTTCAATTTTAAAATTTAAAAAATTTTTAATTTTTAAATTTTTTTTTCAAAATTTCGAACTCTAAACTTGAAAACATTTCGCTAGTTCACAAACAATGCCATTCTGTACCCGACGTCACCGCCTTCTAGTATTCTGATTCTGACGAACCGGAATCGCTTTCTAATTACCCTAGCTTTTTGTTTCTTTTCGAACATGTACAGATTTACATTTTAAATAAGCTAATCCCGAAGTTGGTTCCGGAGATTCCCTCGGACTGTGATTAGCCTTCCGGAACAAGCGGCGGATGTCACTGTCGAAAGGGAACAAGGCTAACTACGGCCTTGATTGCGTGGCCATCCTCGTCGTATCTGCCCCAAGCAAACAAATCTCTGTGCCTTTCCGCTTCTAATAGTAAAGTCAGTGCCGTAGGGAGGGAGATAGATTCAGATGTTCACAACAACATAATCACATAAATATGTAGTATAACAACATAACCATGTCTAACAGTTAATAGGGAAACACAATTTGATTTAGTAGGTTAACATTTCTAATCGATCACAAAGAATGGCATTTGTATCTTTTCTTAAAAAACAATACTTTCTTAAAGATAATACTCCCAAACAATATTATATTAGTTCAATGCCTTTTAAGGAATCAGAGTATAATATAAAATTAGTTAACATGACCAAAGTTTACTTTCAGATACGTTACGAAGATGTACTGAGCCATTATCTCAAACGAATTCGTACACAAAAGCTTTGGCCATCGACCAGGACTCAAATAAGCTGATCGAGTGCACCAGTTTGTACCAAGGAAGATGTCGAGTCAGAAATCTGTCGAACATTGGGCGTGAAGCTGACGTCAAAAGCTCGAGGCCGGGTCTTGTAGCTAACGATCAGCGATCTTCTACAGTAATATTTGTGGGTACAGGACCCAACTCAGCCAGTTTGAGTAGTGCCAACCAACCATCCAAGGTTCTGTATGTAGCCTCGACATATGTTTCCAACCAGATTGGCATACGTGATGCTCTCGACGTGCCGGCTGTGTCAAGTCTACTGCTCGATCCTGGTCGATTATTTGAATATACGGCCAAAGACATCTCGTCTGGCACACTAATGAAGCTGGATTACATTAATCGACCGAACTTCCAGTAAGTTGTTATCAGTTTAATGTCAGTTTCTGTTTAGGATTCATTACATTGGCGGCTTCGAAGCCAATGGATTCGCTTACTTTGCCACACGACAGCCAAAGTACTCAGGTGAAGGTCAACCTACGATATCAAAGTTAATACGAGTATGTACAGCTGATGCAGATTTCTACAGCTACACTGAAGTGCCGTTGGAGTGTACGAAGAATGGAGTCAACTACAATCTACTACAAGATGTATATCTTGGTAACCCTGGCTTCGACTTGGCCAATGATTTGGACGTTAAGGTGACGGACCAAGTACTATTCGGAGTGTTTACTCGAGGAGAAGGACCAGAAAGGAATGTTTCCAGTCGAGATTCAGCCATTTGTCTGTATCCGATCAAACAAATTGAAGCCAAGTTCTTTGAGAACATTCGAGAATGTTACAATGGAAACACCAATACAGTAAGTCTTGATATTACCCATATTTTGAGTTTCAAACTTTTGATACAACATAACATTACCTAAATTTATATTTGCAGAATCTACCGTGGTTCAACTCGGACAAGAAGTGTTCCCAGACCAAATATCCAGACTCTGAAATCATGTGTGGCAAAGATGTTAACAGTCATATCGGTGGTGAAATCCCCATCATATCACAAGCCTCGTTATCAGAACAAAGTGTTCAGTTCACTTCAATTGTCGCAACATCAGTTCAAAGCGCTACAGTAGCCTTTGTAGGTACTCAAAATGGTCAGATTCTGAAGATTATTCTCGAAGGAAACGCCAATTCGAGAGTTTACAAAAAGCTACAGCTGACTGACGGTAATCCTCTACTACAAGATCTTGAGTTGGATGAAAAGAACGGTCTACTGTACGCGATGAGCAGGAGCAACGTCTACAAGGTCAACATCAGACAGTGCACACCAGCTACAGACTGTCACAGCTGTTTAGAAGCCGGAGATCCCTTCTGTGGATGGTGCATGAGACAATCTCAGTGTGTGACGGAAGAAGGATGTATTGGAGGAGAGATCCGAGATGCCAACAACCAGCGAATCGGTACCATTCCTGCCAAGAACGACTGGTTCAACTACAGGTCAGGTCGATGTCCTCTGATTCGATCAGTGGAACCTCACGAACAACAAATAACTTCCAGCAAGGTGTTGAGCATAGTTATGGACAACCTCCCATCGTCGTTGGATGGCTTCAGCTGCTCGTTTGTGTTCCCCAACCAGCAGACCTTCAAACTGCCGGCTTCTGTCATGTCAAATGGAGTGTCATGTCCAACACCAACTCGAGCTGACCTCAAGACTCTCGCTTCAGCTGAGAAACGTGCCAAAGAAGGGCTACAAGCCAAGCTGACGGTGATGAAGACTCACGACAACTCTCCTCTCGCTTCCACCAACTTCACCTTCTACGACTGTCACCAGCTACAGACTTGTACTGAATGTGCTTCTAGTCGGTTTCCTTGTGATTGGTGTACCATTAGCAACAAGTGTGTACCAAACGCAGAAGATGTGTGTCAAGGAGAACCATTGGTGAACGCCATCAACAGACAAGGGCCGTCGTCCAGAAGGGGACCGGAATTCTGTCCTAGATTCACTCCAGTCCAGCCAGCATCTGAAATCTTTGTTCCCTCAGGTCACAGAAGAAAGCTGACGTTGAGAGTTCACAATGTGCACACTTCGATGAGGAACTTCAAGTGTCAGTACACAGTAGACCAATCAACCCACGAACGACCGGCTACCAGATCTGGAGACACGATTCAGTGTGATGAACTCCGATTTGAGTACTTCAGCCGCGGTTACGGTAACGGAACAGCTCGTGCCGACTTCTCAGTGGTCTGGTGGCCAGATTCAGCTCTTACCCAGTCGACTGGCGGTGTGGCTAGTGTATCTTCGTTGATATCATCAGCATTGTCAGCTCCTAGAGACCCAGTCGTCGCTCCTGTCGCTTCTTCCGGTCGATCCAGAACAATTACAGTAGGACCTGGCTTCAAATTAGACAATTCAGATGACTTCCATGTTATCATCTACAAGTGCGACCAACTGGCTACAAACTGTGGAACTTGTCTGGGACTACCTACAGACGACTTTGAGTGTGGATGGTGCTCGGCTGATGCACGATGTTCACATTCAGATTCCTGCACGATCAACGACAACCACTCCTGGCTAGCGAGAACGAGAGGATCGCCTTCTGACCTGCGATGTCCCTTCCCCAAGATTGACTCGTTCTACCCCAAGAAAGGCCCCATCAATGGTGGTACCAAAATCACAATTAATGGAGTCAACTTGGGACTGGACTATCACCACGTCAAAGACGCAGTTCGAGTAGCCAACGTGAAGTGTGACGTGTCAGAACATGAATACGTTCCTTCCCAGAAGATCGTATGTCACACACGATCTCCATCTCAGCGACAAACCCAAGCTCAGCACGTTGTGATCAAGTTGAAGGACGATTCTCAGTACACTGCCGTTTCTAACGACACCTTCATGTACGTCAACCCCAAGATTCAGTCGTTCCGACCGTTCCGTGGTCCGCGAGCAGGAGGAACTGACATCACTCTGATTGGAGAAGACCTCGATTCTGGAGCAGCCTTTAACTTAACGATCGGGAATGTCCCGTGCCAAGTGTTTCAACGTTCCAGTACTATGGTGGTATGTCGTACTGGACCGTCACACAACGAAGGCACTGAGTATGTGGTTGTAAACACAGATGGAACTCAAGTCAAGGTCGACAATATCCAGTTTCAGTACACGTAAGTATACCTATATAACTGAATTACTTTACATCTTCACTTACAATATTACTTTATTCTACGTTTAAAACTTACGTATAATAACTTTTTATTATAGTCAGAATCCGATTGTCGATGGAGTAACTCGACCAGTAAGTATCGTATCAGGTGGCATTGCTGTAGATGTGTTCGGAAAGGGCCTCGACTTGCTACAGAGACCTCGGATGATCGTGACTCATGAAGACAAGGTATATGTTGGTCAGAAGTGTGAAGTGATTGATGAACATCTAATGGTATGTCGTGCTCCTGGGCTGGATGACCTTCCAATGCACAGAAGAGCTTCACTTAGTGTAGATCGACCACTTTTGGCAGACTACGGCTTCGACTTGGATGGTCAGCTTACTGGGTAAGTTATATTCTTCATCATAATATACTGTACATATTGTTGATTGCGTCAAGAATTAGAAGTGATTGTGTTATTGACATATCAGTCTTTCCACTAAAGAATTACACAAAATCGCAAACCCCAATTTGAGGGAATCGCTGTCGCGCCGAGAGTTGGGGAATGTCGCGCGACATACAGCGAGTCGTGCGACATTCGCTTGCACCCTGCGACATCAAAAGAAGAATCGCAATGTCGCAAGGTGCAAAACCTTGCGACAAGTTGTCGTATCGCGGTTTAAAGGGCGATGCGACAGCGTGTCGCTGTTATCGCAACGCTCAAGTCACCATCGTGTTCAATGGAAGGTTTGCGACAAGTTTTCTTTGACTGTCGCAAGCCCCTTGACTTCTGCGACAACGGACCGGTGCGACAACTGGAGGCTTGCACTGTGCAGTCTTTCCATTATCGTTTGGGGTTGCAAGCGATCGCGGGGGAATCTGCACTGTGCAGGGGAATAAAAAAGGGCGCGATTTTCCCAGGGACTGCACTGTGCAGTTGTGTAATTCTTTAGTGGAACGACTGATATATTGTGTTTCAGAAACCTGACGATCGAGCGTTCTCTGCCTAAGCTAACCATCTACGACGATCCCCGTGTCGTTCCATTCGGTGAAGTCTTAACGATAAAGCCTTCTGGAGACCTTGTCATTAAAGGAGCGTCGCTGAATGTGGCAGCATCAACCCGAGATGTGAGAGTAGTCGTCGATGGAAAGCCTTGTAATGTGACAGCTTTGGCTACGAGTACCCTGACCTGCCAGCTACATCCTGACCTCTCGGATGATGACATGGAAGTGGTTGTTTTCATTGGTCAGCGTTCAGAAACAGTCGGTGTAGTCTCTCAAAGCATGCACAACTCGTCCTCCAGTCTTTATGTGATTGCCTTTGTCTTGGCCTTCATCGGCATATTCATGAGTATCACGCTGGTATGTTTGTACAGAAGGAAGAACACTTCTCACAACAAGCAGCTACGGTACCTGAAGAACCAGATGAACTCCATTGAGATCAAAGTAGCTCAAGAATGCAAAGCAGCCTTCGTGGAGCTACAGACATCGATGAATGCCATTACTCATAGCGTCCCTCAAGGAGGTTCTGTCATCCCTTTGCTATCGTACAAGGATTACGCTGCTAGAGTAAGTCACAGTTTTAAGTTTCAATTAGATACGAAATGCTTGTAGAGGTTGAAACAAGTTCCTAACCACTAATCTCCTTCAGATTCTGTTCCCACAAAACTTTGTCAACCATCCGGTACTATCAGAACTAGCTGTAGAAGCCGAACGCGCTGAAGCCATCGAGAGTGGCCTACGGCAATTGAATCGTCTGTTACTCAATCCTAACTTCTTGCTGTCGTTTGTGAGAACGATTGATGAGAACAAGTACTTGCTACTGAAGGATCGTGTCTACGTGGGGTCTCTGATCATGGTGATACTGCAAGTAAGTATTCTTTAAGGTTTTTTTTATAAAATTCGTTTTATAAATTGTACTTAAACCCATTTTACACTAATTGTGTTTTAGGGCCACATGGAGTACTGTACTGAAATCCTGAAGATTCTCCTCAAAGAACTGATCAGAAAGAATCTTGACGGTAAATTCCAGCCAAAGATTCTGTTCAGAAGAGCAGAAAGCGTAGCCGAGAGGATGCTCAGTGCTTGGTTCTCTTTCCTTATGTACCGATTCCTGGATCAAGCTGCTGGAAAAGAACTGTACCAGTTGTACTGGTCGATAAAGCAACAAACAGAAAAAGGACCTCAAGATGCTTTGACAATGGATGCACGGTACTCGTTGTCGGAAGAGAAGCTACTGAGGAGCTCGATTGAAGTGAACGAACTGACAGTATACGTGCTCAACGATGGTACTCCTGGTGCGCTCTATGATGTACCAGTGAAGGTACTAGACTGCGACGCCATAAGTCAAGTGAAGGAAAAGTGTTTGGACGCCAAGTACCGTACTACACCGTTCTCTCAACGTCCACACCCCAATGAAATTGACATGGAACTAAGGACACCAACCCATCGTATGCTACTACAAGATCTTGATGCTACGTCCAAGGCGGAAAACGGCATCTGGAAATACAATACTTTGGCCCACTACAAAATCGAGAACAAGGCTACGTTAGCCTTGATTCCGAGACCGGCATCTGGGTCTGTCTACAACTTGTCAATGTTAAGTGACAAATCAGACAAGAGTTCTCCACTGAGCATTCACAACAACTCTCTACATCAAAGTCACGGTCACCTTCACATGGGCCCTACCAACAGCCCCACCCTGTCACGACCATTCGGAACTGCTTCAACTGGATATAACAAAGACGCCAACAACTCTGTAAAGGTCATGCATCTCGTGAAACCAATGGATCACTGTTCTCAAGACAACGAGGACAAGCTGGTCACAGAAGTGTACCTGACCAGACTGCTCACCATGAAAGGCACTCTCAAACAGTTCATTAAACGCAACTTGAAGATGATCTTGTCTGTAAATAACGGTGTCACTCCTCTACCTCTTTGTATCAAGTACATGTTTGACTTCCTGGACGAGCAAGCTGCTGAGCATGGCATCGACGATCCTGATGTTGTTCATGCCTGGAAGAGCAACGCCCTTCCGTTACGCTTCTGGGTGAATCTGATCAAGAATCCGGACTTTATCTTCGACGTTCCCAAGCCTACCAAGATTGAAGGGTCTCTGAACGTTGTAGCTCAAACATTGATGGACGCCTGTTCAACTCAAGATCAACTCCTGACCAAGGATTCCCCATCTTCCAAGTTGTTGTTTGCTGACGTTATGGACGAGTATAAAACTTGGGTCCAAGAGTACGTGGTACCGTGTTCACTTTTATATTACGTTCCTTTTTCAAGCTGAAAGAACTTTTAAATTAACTCCGGGATTTAATTTTATCTTCTTTCAGCTATTACCGTGCCATCCGTGAGATGCCGCCAGTGAAGGAAGAACAAATGAGCGCATTCTTAGCCGAAGAATCCAGAAACCACGCCAACGACTTTCGTGTCTTCTCCGCATTGAACGAGCTCTACGTGTACGTGCATCAGAACAAGGAAGCGGTACAAGAAGAGCTGTCGCAGAACGATGTCGCCATTCACCAACAACTTCCAGAAAAGTTCCAGAAGCTGCTGGACACGATGGAGGTAATTCCCGACGCTCTTATCATGAACAGCGGATCGTTGGAGAACTACAACTCCAAGTCGAGGCTCATGTCCAACTCGGCCAATCGTTTCTATTAGTCAAAGTATATATTTCACGGGTCCTCTTTGTACAACAACTCTTTTACGCAACATTCATATTAGAATAGGGACATCAAGAATACTTTCCAAACTTATAATGCCACAGGGTCAGATTTACAGTTAATTTGGTGTATTATACATAAATAATCTCTTTTCGCACGGGTCTCTTTGTCTACAAATCATGTCATTACGACGTATTTTGTGAGCGCAATTCTTTCTGCTTTGTCTCAATTACCAGCAATTGCCATTTCTAGAGTTAGATTGTAAATAGTAATGCCGACTTTGTATTTTACTTCAGTTACAACCGGGTTTAGTTGGCTCACTTTCTATTTGAATAAAGAATTTTAAATTTTTTTGCACTTTTAAGAAAATTAACAAGGGAATGTTACAAACTGCCCATTCGCTTTTTAAAAATGAATGGTACCGTGTGAAAGAGCGTAAAAAGTTGGCTAGAAATCTATTTTCAAAAACTGCCAAATTCGCCTTACAAGCCCGCTAGCGAGCTTTTAAAATATTACTTATTAAAATGGTTTTTGTAAGATAAAACATGAACTTACTGACCAGTTCCTTGATATCTTCCTAATAACCATAATCTTCAAAAATAGAATTAACAAGGAAAGTACCCGACCTACCCCGCTCTGATTGACCTCGAGCTTTTTATACAGGGTGCGAAAAAAGTAGTGTTACAAACCTTTACCGGTCGTTTTCTCAATGTTGCGGCTAAATTATTTAATTTTTTAAATTTCATCTTTTCTCCATTGTTTTTTATTGTATAATCATAAAAGTTAAGTTTTAATTGCATCTGTTAACACCGTGGCCAATCGTCAGATGATCAAGAAGCGCTTCAAGCGAAATTCGCGGACCTCAGTACAAAAAATGGCCTGGAAGACGGGAATCAAAGAAACTATTTCGTGGCGGATAGTAGGAAAGAAACTTAAGATTAAGCCGCACAAACTCAAAAAATTTCAGAAGCTAACTGAAGAAAACAAGGCTGTACGTTTCAAAAGATGTAAACTGCTTCAGCAGCGGGCCGCTGGTCAAAAATTGGGGATGAATTCTTTTCTTGATGAGAAGATACTTACACTGGAATAGGTCTACAATCCCCAAAATGACAGAAAGATGATGTAAATATAAGATCTTCGGCAAAATACTAAATTGCGCTTTCAAGTCAGTTTCGAGAAAATAGAGATCAAAAAGATAAGTTTTGAATTTCGCGCTAAATTGGCATTGTGTTTCAAGCTTATAACTCTGTAATTTTTTGAGTTTTAGGAGTTTTTCTTTAATATCCTAATAGAATACCTTTAAATGAACCTAAATTTTTTAATTTGTAAGCTTGTCTGGGTAGTCGAAAAAAGTGTTCACATAATAGAGTTAAAATAATCTTAAATAATAGTTTAGAATAAAAAGTTGAATACAAACACTTAGAAATAGGTAATAAAATTGAAGCAGAAAAACAAGACAGTATATTTAGGTTGACTGGTCCTTTAAGACCCAGAACGCCCGTTAAGACCCTGTGTGGGATAAATTTGGCGGAGGCTTAAAACCAAAATGATTCAAAGTTAAAACTCAAAAGCACGAGCTAAAATTTTTTATGGGTACTATTGCTGGTACAAAGAATTCATATAATAATTTTGAGCTGATTCTGAGCGGGACACGTAGGGTAAGTCCTAGTTTTTTGTGAGCATGTACAGGAAAATAAGTAAGTTAAATCACATTATTTTAAGTCCAGAACGTTGTTTAAAAAACGTTTTTGTTAATACAAAGACAGAAAACCTTTTTGATTTTCGGCGGGAAATTTAAATATGTTGGTTTAACACGCGAAAGCGCAAGCTAAGGAATTAGACGCTGAAAAAGCAAGTGTATACCCACTAAACAAAAAAGGCCAGTCGTATATCCCTTGCTATAATTTTAACATGGACAATTTATACAGGAGTTTTCCTCCCGAAGTATGTTTTTGTACGACTACTTCTGTGTTATTGCTTTTTTAAAATTAAAATTTATCTTATTTTTCTAATTTAACTCATATATAAATGAAACTAGAGAAACAGAATAGATTTAAAATAATTTGTATTTTTAGGTATGGCTGCGTGTAGTCAACCATATAACACACATGGAAGATGTGTGTAGGTTCTCTATGATCAGTGAATACTTTTATCGATTGATAAACACTGACTTCAGAAGTTTATGTTACAAAAATATGGTTTTTCGTCTTCCCGGTGAAACTTGGGCAACGGCTTTCTCATAGTAAGTTGCTGTAATACCTGACATACGGTAATTCCTCTTTAAAACAGTTGTTTTAAAGCGTGTTTTTGCACCGTTTGGTTGGTTTGGCAATGCTTGTTAAGTCTCTTTTTACATTTAGTTTTATTTAGCACAAATTACCGTACAATCAAATTCGAAGTAGAATCTGAGTGTATGTTCTCCGCACGCACATCATGTTGCCCTTACACTGGTACATTGGCAATAACTATCGATGACAAAAAAGTGTTAATAAGTAATGTTGACTTCGGAAAGAGGATTTTTGAATTTATTGACCTTAGAAGAAAAGAGGGTGAAATACTCAAAGTGTATCTTATTAACAAGTCTACACAACTAGTATTAAAAATGTCTATATCGTGCCTGGTATATGATCTAACACAAAAAAAGATTGTCAATGGCAACTTTATCAGATAGTCTTACAATTTTATGACATCTTATCGTGACGGTTTTCTTTTTGGTATGTATAATCAGAAAGAACACAAAGTGAAAGCCAAAGAGCGAAAAGGAATTATATTAAACGCTGACATCTGTGGCTACAGAAAGTACGTATAAGGTAAGTTAATTGTCGACAAGGACAACAGTTTTGAAAATATCTTGATATTGGGCGGTAGATTTATTTGATAAGGCCATGTTCCCAGTTCTGTCCATTCCTTTTCCTTTTTATTGTATCCAACCAACTAAAATAAGCGAATTATTAGTTGTGTTACCTTTACTTTTCTTATAAGTAATGTCGCCTCTTTGTACGCCTCTATTGTCTTATATGGCCAAACGGGGAGCGGTCATCCTATTTTATTAACTTACCTTATTGCTTTCGTATGAGTACATACTATCAAAATTCCGCATTTCGTAGTGCTCATTCCGCATTTCGTAGTTCCTTTTTATTGTACCCAACCAACTAAAATATCCAAAATATTAGTTGTTCTAACTTTACTTTTCTAACAAAATATAAGTACTGTCGCATCTGTTGTCGTATATGGCTAAACGGGTAGGGATCATTCCATTTTATTAACTTACTTTACTGCTTTCGTATAAGTACATACATTCAAAACTCCACATTTCGTAGTGCTCGTATGGAACGTGGGCCCATTTAAATACACAACTTTTGGTTTTAATGTCGTAAACTCGAGTATCTGTGTCTGAAAAGTCTTTTTTGTGCACATGCTCCATTTAGAGACAAGTGATTTTATAAAAATACTCACCTTGTACCATTACTTGATCTAAATCATCAAAAATACGAATTGTAAAAAGACTAAATGTTTTAGTAGTATAAAAAATGACATGATGTTGACCGGTCAAGTTATCTATTACAACAAATTCATTTTTAAGGTTCCAGTAGCCAACGTACTTTCTGTAGCCACAGATGTCAGCGTTTAATATAATTCCTTTTCGCTCTTTGGCTTTCACTTTGTGTTCTTTCTGATTATACATACCAAAAAGAAAACCGTCACGATAAGATGTCATAAAATTGTAAGACTATCTGATAAAGTTGCCATTGACAATCTTTTTTTGTGTTAGATCATATACCAGGCACGATATAGACATTTTTAATACTAGTTGTGTAGACTTGTTAATAAGATACACTTTGAGTATTTCGCCCTCTTTTCTTCTAAGGTCAATAAATTCAAAAATCCTCTTTCCGAAGTCAACATTACTTATTAACACTTTTTTGTCATCGATAGTTATTGCCAATGTACCAGTGTAAGGGCAACATGATGTGCGTGCGGAGAACATACACTCAGATTCTACTTCGAATTTGATTGTACGGTAATTTGTGCTAAATAAAACTAAATGTAAAAAGAGACTTAACAAGCATTGCCAAACCAACCAAACGGTGCAAAAACACGCTTTAAAACAACTGTTTTAAAGAGGAATTACCGTATGTCAGGTATTACAGCAACTTACTATGAGAAAGCCGTTGCCCAAGTTTCACCGGGAAGACGAAAAACCATATTTTTGTAACATAAACTTCTGAAGTCAGTGTTTATCAATCGATAAAAGTATTCACTGATCATAGAGAACCTACACACATCTTCCATGTGTGTTATATGGTTGACTACACGCAGCCATACCTAAAAATACAAATTATTTTAAATCTATTCTGTTTCTCTAGTTTCATTTATATATGAGTTAAATTAGAAAAATAAGATAAATTTTAATTTTAAAAAAGCAATAACACAGAAGTAGTCGTACAAAAACATACTTCGGGAGGAAAACTCCTGTATAAATTGTCCATGTTAAAATTATAGCAAGGGATATACGACTGGCCTTTTTTGTTTAGTGGGTATACACTTGCTTTTTCAGCGTCTAATTCCTTAGCTTGCGCTTTCGCGTGTTAAACCAACATATTTAAATTTCCCGCCGAAAATCAAAAAGGTTTTCTGTCTTTGTATTAACAAAAACGTTTTTTAAACAACGTTCTGGACTTAAAATAATGTGATTTAACTTACTTATTTTCCTGTACATGCTCACAAAAACTAGGACTTACCCTACGTGTCCCGCTCAGAATCAGCTCAAAATTATTATATGAATTCTTTGTACCAGCAATAGTACCCATAAAAAATTTTAGCTCGTGCTTTTGAGTTTTAACTTTGAATCATTTTGGTTTTAAGCCTCCGCCAAATTTATCCCACACAGGGTCTTAACGGGCGTTCTGGGTCTTAAAGGACCAGTCAACCTAAATATACTGTCTTGTTTTTCTGCTTCAATTTTATTACCTATTTCTAAGTGTTTGTATTCAACTTTTTATTCTAAACTATTATTTAAGATTATTTTAACTCTATTATGTGAACACTTTTTTCGACTACCCAGACAAGCTTACAAATTAAAAAATTTAGGTTCATTTAAAGGTATTCTATTAGGATATTAAAGAAAAACTCCTAAAACTCAAAAAATTACAGAGTTATAAGCTTGAAACACAATGCCAACTTTGGACTCCGCCACGAAAACAAATAAAAATAATTTTATCGAAAAATTTATTCCTAAAATATTTTGGCAATTCTCAAGGTATCAGAGTCAGTGCTTCTTCTTGTGGGGACTTTTGGAGCCGGGCAGGAACTTGTACATCGAGAATCCTTTGGTCTTGTCTTTCTTCGGAGTCGAAGCAACCGGTGGTGCCAACATACCATAAGCACGACTGATGTAAGAGACAACTTCTGCCATCGTTGGTCGTATGGCTTCTTCCGCGAATACCTTGTTTACCATCAAATACTAAAAAAACTGATTATTGTGTAAAACTCGGCCAAATGGGTTAATTAATTTTGTTTTACCTTCATTTCCATTGGAGTTTCTTCTGGAAACGTAAGACGGTAGCCTTCTCGGACACGTCTCACGACTTCACCGTCCGGCAATTCATTGTAGGGATCTCTTCCGCGAGTATAAATCTCGTAACACATAACTCCTGTAACAAATAATGTTAATTTAAGTTTATAATGAAACTTTGAACAAAAGTTTAAGTAACAAAGAGTAAATTTAGAAACTTCTGTAAAAAACCGACCATAAGCCCAAACATCAGTCTTGTACGTGAACTTCAGCTTAACCACGGCTTCTGGAGATATCCATTTAACTGGGATCGGCTTCGACGGATCAATGTCAAAGACTGGGCCTTCTCGAGTCAGCCCAAAGTCAGAGATCTTGACGTGGTTGTCGCTGTACAGACAGTTCCTCGCCGCAATGTCACGATGAAGCAGGCCGCTTTCGTGTAAGTAGTTGATGCCACAGGCAGCTCCAAAGCACATCTCGGTTCTCTTTTCGATGGACAGTTCAGTCTTGGCGAGGTAACTGTTTAGGGCTCCTTGGTTACAAAACTCCATCACGATCATCAGAGGCTCTTGCATGGCGGCTACACCGTATAACTTGACCTGGAAGTTGATTATAAGTTAATTTTTTTCATAAATCAATAATCGGTCAGAGATTTGAGTCTTAAGTCTTAATTTGAGTCTTAAGTTGAGTCTTAAGCCTAAACAACAGAAAACTTTAATTTATTTTTGATGAAACTGTAAACATACCACGTTTGGATGAAATAGAGGTCTCATGACTCTTGCTTCGTGCATCACTTCTTTGATCTGCTCCTTGTCCAATGCTTCTAGCTTTGCTTGTTTGATGGCACAGTCAACTGTAATACCCGTAGCCAACGAGGTCCACTTTCCAAGACAAACTGCACCAAATGCACCTTCTCCTATCTGTTTCGCTACGAAGATTTCAGAATGCAGAAGCTCCCAGCTTTGTCTGTGGATCGGGTTAAGAATGGCAGTTTCTGGCTGATTCTGAACAAGTTTGGTTAAAGTAAACATTAAAAACAATATAGAACTAGACCAAAGCTTTGTTATAATCAAATGGACTCACCACATTCAATGGTTCTCTTTGTCTGACATGGTACTCGACGAGTTCTGTAATGGTGGGGAAGTGTCTTTTGTAGATAATGAAGCCTGCGTTGTCGTACTTTATGATAAAGTGCCGTACCTATAAGGAAGGTTAAATTATAAATATCTTCATCAAAAACTTGAAATAGTAATATATTTCTACTACAACTATTAATTTAACTATGAAACTGACCGAGTCCTTGTCTGTAGGCGTGGGTGCTTTGAGTGAGAGTACGTGGGTTCTGGGCTGCCCTTTAGATGGCTCTGTCAGACGAATCAGAAAGTCTCCACGCTTGCGCAACATGGACGGTAGGTCTTCGCGAGGCAGAAGGCCGTGGAAGTAGGTTTGTTGCATCAATGTAGGGTCCATTTCGGAGTCGTTGGCGGCAACCGGCTCTTGGAAACTGAATATAAAAATGAAAGAATAAAGTGGCAGAAGAAGCAATTAATATTTTTGTCTTTTTAATATGCAAATTTTGAGAAAAAACAAAGATAAATCACAAAATTGGTAAAGAAAAGGTAACATTTTCAAGAAAATCTTCAAACTTTACCCATTTATTTCGTCGGTTCATTCGCGACAAAGTCGGTATGTCAACTTCAGCTCTCGCCGTCGTTCCTCCAGTGTGCCCGATCTCGGCCACCGGAGGCAAGTCCAAGCACAAGCTGGTAAATCAATGTGGAGTCAAGCTCGCGTACAAGGTCAAGTGCTCGAACAACGGTAACTACTCGGTCAACAAGGTGCACGGCTTCGTCGACGTCGGAGACCAAGGAGACTTGGAGATTACTCGTATTGTAAGTTTGTCATTTTTTACCTTTCGTATTGTATGATAATATTTCATTTTTTTTGCTTTTTAAGTTGGTATCGTTATACGCCAAAGTGTTAGATTTATAAAGTTTCTTTTAAAATGTTCATTTTATTTTTTTGGATTACTGTATTTTAGAAAATAATTTTTATTTTTCAGGCCGGAAAACCCAAAGCCGACAAGCTGGTGGTAGCCTTCGCCCAGCCCGACGACAAGCACACCGACCCCAAGCAAGCATTCGAAGGCGGCTTCCAATCCCAATTCACGGGCGAAACCGTCGTCAAACTGTCTGCTGCCGAATAAGGGTTTCAGAAGAATAAATCAGATTCTCATTAATTACGTTTACAATCGCTTTCTGTTTTATTCCGTCGCTGTAAAACATTATTTATGGCTTATATCCTTCTAATCGAAGATATTATATTGTTCTAGGCAATCTCAGTCATTATGGTATATGTCCTTGTACCTTCGCTGTACGCAATCATCTTATTTATTGGCATTCAGTGTTGTACTCTATCGTATATCTATAATTAGATTCTTCCACAAGGAAACTCAAAACTGGACCGCTGATTTGGATTAATTCTAAAGTAATCCTCGCCTGACCTACTAGATCCCCCAGTCTTTGTTTTTGGAGTCATTCGAGGCGCTCCTCCTCCTTTGAATTATCTGAATAAGAGGAGGCTCATTAATCAACTCTATTCTGAACGATCCAACGTGATTCTGATTTGAATATCGCTCATCCTAGTAGCCGGAAATGTTACATTGTTCACTCAATTCAGAAGAAGATTGCGCAAGAGCGACGTGAACATTGTGGAGTTGTCTTAAGTGCCTGAGGGCGTCGAACGACGAGCAACGCCGTTCATCGCCTCGGCTGGCTGTCGCTGTTACTAAACTCAACTTTTAATAATAAACTCCTTCCGGAACTTGAGATCTCTAACTTGTTGACGTTGCGCGATCCCTTCCCCACAACAACGTCCGTTTGTATCCAGAATATTGTGTTTTCATAACAACATTGTTTTCAGATGACGGTAATCATCTTCTTGTTGTTCTACTTGCTTCCCGCCATCGTCTCCCACGTTACCTGGACCTTCCCTGAGGCCCGGTATCCGCCGTTGGACTTCTTAGACACGGCCAGGACCTTAGGGCAGTGTGGAATTCCGAAGTCAGATAGGAGTGAGTTTTATGACAATTTGTGACATTTTTTGTTCAATTGTGGCATTATTTGAAGTTGTTAAACAAATTAGATAAATTGGTTTTAGCTACATTAACTTTTATTATTATTTGATATCGTTACGTATCATTAACTAATCCTTCAGGTGGCTACACTACTCTTAAAACTGGCACAAGATACAACGTAACCTGGAGGCTACAATACCCGCACCAAGGTGGCTTCAGAATCCGCTTAATCGATTACTTGGGCAACCTTGTAGAACAACTTTCTCCCCCAATAACCAGTTCGGAAACCAATTCTACGTCATTCGATGGCCTCCAAGATCAAAGGTAGCTTCTGAATGCTTAAAACCAATATTATTTAGAATCCATTACAGTAAAGTCTAATTAAATGTCGGTAACACTACTATAATATAATCTTTAGTTTGGAGAACCATCAAGTACAATTTGACAGTGTCTGTCCCAACTGTACACTGGTACTGGAGCGACAAGCCTTAGAGTGGGGCCCTTCATACAAGTTCAAGTCGTGTGCTGAAGTTCACATCGTAGAGGTCGAGAGTAAGGAGAAAGAGTGTATGGGAAGAGGAGAGAAGACAGACGACACGTGTAAGTGCAACAAAGGATACTCTGGTGACATATGTCAATATCGCAACGACTGTGACAATGACAAAGACTGTTATAATGAAGGAAAGTGTGTTCAAGATGGTATCTACCTCCACAAAAAGACGTGCTTCTGCCCGTATGGGTGGTATGGCAAAGATTGCAGAGACAGTAAGGTTTACTGTAACGAATCATTACATTAATAATTGTCGCATCACATAAAAAAACAATTAAAGCGCAACATATATATAGTAATCGATAAATCATTTAGAGTCAGGGCCAATGTTCGTTGACGATGAATGTTTCAACTACGAAGGAGGAGAGATGGACAAGTTCAAGTACAACGTCTTTGACCCAAAGTGTTACAAAGAACATAACCTTACCAAGGATGACTTCATGTACACGAGAGTTCTCAAAGTAGGTCAACTTCAGATAATACTAGGATTAACTTATATGAAAGAACTTTATTTACATTAAATTACAGGACGAGATAGAAATAGTACTAGACTTTAAAACAGAGTCGTATGTAGCTATCGGATGGAGACCCACTAACATACCAAGAACTTGTCGCTTGTTCCCAAACTTGGATAATAAAAAAGAAAAAAACTCAGAAACTTCTGGTTACGGTAGGTTTACTAAACAATTGTTTGAACATAGCCAACTACTCAGAGATAAAAAAGCAAAAATAATCAATCAAAAACTTTTTAGCTCAATCAGCGCTGGACTCTCCATTACACGGAATGGACTGTACTGACATCATGATGGCGTCTGTAGCCGATGGTGACCTTATTCATATTGAAGACATGTACACCAGAGACCGGTCGACTCCTATCTCCGACAACCTGCTGGATGGAGAGCAGTCCCTTACCACAGCATATGGCAAACAGAAAGATGGGAGGACGATTGTCATGTTCAGGAGAGGGATAAGAGGTATGTATGAAATAGAATCGTATGTCTGCTATAACATCCTTCTTCCTACGAACAAAACAATAGTTCACGCGATTAACGTAACACTTTTTTCAGAAATTGAACCCTCAGACCACCCATTTGGGCCAGGCCTTATTCACCTGATCCATGCCAAAGGCCAAGACCAAGGTTCTTACAAACACTTTACCCCATCAGCCTTGGAGAAGAACAAGGTCAAAGTGAAGAACTTTTACAAAAACGACCAGTGGAGGTACCACGGAAGTACGTTGCATATTTCCTTATACTACCTTAGACATCTGAATCAATTTTTTATGTTAAAACAAGGTCGATAAGTATTGTTATAGGCGAAAACCGAGGGGTTCATCGACTTGAGTTAGTGTCGAACACCGAGATCAGTGCCGGCCGAAGCTTCCTCCTACACAAACCTGACATTGTGGAGCGACCACAAGTTGACAATGCTCAATTCAGAGATCAAGTGCTCCCTCGACCTCAGCCCTCATCCACCGCGAGCTCGGTGGTGGTCGTGGATCTCGAAAACGAAAACACGAGCGAGACTTTTGGTCGCTCGAGTGAACCCACCAAAACTACCGTAACCCACGAGACCATTACCGTACTCGACTCAACCACTACAAAACGAACTCAAGCTGGTGTTACAAACATGGCTGCCACCACTTCATCTCCAGAAGAAACGACGGCACAATATCTGGACAGCACAACACCACCACCGCCCAACGAGTCTGATACCATTGAGAAGTTCCCTGCCACAACGACCTCGTCCTCCGCCACTTCCGCGACACTATGTTCTCTAATATTTATTGTTGTTCTGCTCCAATGACGTGTAAATAGTTTCCAAATTATTTCGGTATTCTTGACAAATCATGGGACTGATCTTAAGGTCGCGATCCCTGAGACTGTTGTTATTGCTTGGGATTGTGACCTCTCGAATAACAGACAACCGGCTGGCACGACCAACCACTTTTTGACTCACGTTTTTAACGCCGCATTCAGCTGGGAGGAAACGAGCCCCCAGGGCAAAGGCTATTGTGTTTTGGACTTGGAAAAACAAGGTATACGATCAGGTGATCCATCCGCTCTCGACCAATTTAGCAGCCTGCGCCCTCTGTCGCGCGTCATGGGGCGGTCAGTAGATCCGTTTGTTTCCCTCTTCCGACGGCGTCCGTCTCCTCAAGCAGTGTTTACAATCCGAATTGTAGACAAACTAACGAGAAGGAACGGGGTTCTCGCCTCCCAACACTTATTTAAGGCCAGTCAGCAAGGCGGATCTTCTTGATTTTGAGTTTCTAATTCTGTTTAGCAGTCTGATTCACGGTGTCTTACACGCGCCGTAAACGTTTCCAGACTTGGAGCCCCGTTTACCTTTTCAAATTAAAATTTATGCGTCGCCAGAGAACCCAACTAGACGTTTTGCTAATCTCAGATTCATTAGTGTCTAACAACATAAACACTATTTTCTTAACATAAGATAGACACCAGACAAGATAACATTTTCCCTTTTTTATTGTTTGACCATTCTTGTCGGGTCAACAATATTTCCTCTTTCTCTTTGCAAACACTACTTCTTTTCGAAAAGCAGGGATGACTGGTTTTTTGGAAAAAATGACGCAAGTTTCTGGACTTTTTATTCAGAATGTTTTTTTTCAAATCGCAACGACAGTTTTTTGTTTCGACAGTTTATGGCAAATATGTATTTCAATATTGTGGGGTTTTATAAAGTTCTTGTACATCTTTTGACCTTGTTTTTAAAGATTCTCCACCTCCATACCCTTTTCTGGAGAAACATGTTGTTTTTGGATCAAAAACAATAACAACGCTTGGGTTTGTAGTTTGTGCAGTTTCACGGTGCAGATAAGATAGATTGAGTGCATCGCGAACATACTAAACTATTATTAAACTCAATGTGCTTTTCTAATTCGAGAATATTCGGATTTTGAAAGAAGACAACGTTTGCTTGTGAATGTGTTTTTGAGTAATTGTTAAGTCAAATACGTTATCGCAGCATAATTTCAGACGTCCTTATTGTAAACTTTGGATTTATCTGTTTTTATCAAAACAGGTGACATGAATTGTTCCGTCTGTTCAGATCTGCTACAAGTACATCCCAGTTTGTTGAATGATCAGGTCACGGCTGTGCTCGAGGTAGTTCACATGTACTCATACAAGCTTTCGTTTAGAACAGGAATATCAATGGACCTTCTTCTTTAAACAGTGGGAAACTGCTTGAGCTGATTGCCAACTCTTCTGGTCCTCTAGATGTTCCGATTTGTAAAGTTAGTTGTTTGTTTTGTAACGTTACGGCAATGAAGGAATAGTTTATTTAACAATTCTAAAGGACTTTATGCAAAAATACATGAAAATATTGATAAATTTACAAAAATGGATAATAATGTACGTTATCTTTTAGGTATGTTGCAATTCAATATCAGAAGACTTGGAAAAACAGTTAACGGAGATGGATAAAGAATATCTGGAACACAAGAATGTCTACGAAAGCCTTCTAGAGCAAAAGGAGTCAAGTAAGGTTGATGAACAGACAGTACGACGACAGTTAGAAGACCTTTCTGTAAGTTACCTCTTTTGTTATCGTAATTTGAGTTTAGAGAGAAGAAAGTGAACTGATGGAAGAGTTGAATGGGCTACTGAAAAGCGAAGTTGACCTCACCAAAGAACTGAAGGATAAACAAGATGAACAGAAGAAAATGATAGAGAAAGACGAGGAGTTGTACAGAAAACTGCGCGACAATCACAGGTTTGTATTTTACTTTGTTATTATGTTTTCGACAGATTTTAGGTAACAGTTTAACTAAAAATGTCTTTATAATAATTTACTTGTTTTAGGACTTTGAGTGAACAATCAGCTGAGAAAAGAAGCCTGAAGACACAGATAGCGTATGCTGAAGAGCAACTAAATAAGCTGACCAAGACTAATGTTCTCGATATGGCGTTTTTTATTTGGAAGGATGGCGAATATGGCACAATAAATGGCCTCAGGCTTGGCCGACTACCTGCTGACAACGTAGATTGGCACGAAATCAATGCCGCTTTTGGGCAAGCAGCTATGTTGATGGTGGTGAGTCTTTTTCCTTTCTTTTTTATTTTTAGGTAACAAATTTTATCTTTATTAACAAAAGGTTATTGTTAAAAGTGCTGTTATTGTTATTTTCAATAATCAGACGATTCTGCTATAAATGCAAAACACAAGTTGTTTAGTTTCGAATTTCAAATGTTATCAGAAGTCTTTTTACAGTATTCGCCCATTATTTTGTTTTAAACCGACTTAATGTTAATCAAGGTCATTTCTTTTTAGGTAATGTGCAGGCATGTTAATCTCAAGTTGGAGAATTATGAGATTGTGCCATTTGGGTCGCACTCCATTATCAGACATTTCAAGGGCAACAAGACTGAAGAGTACCAATTATACGGTAGTGGGTCATGGAGACCTTTTGGATTGTCTACTTTGGATCACGGAATTGTGGCGTTAGTCGATTGTTTCTGTCAGTTGGAGAACAAGTTGAAGGAGAAGTTCCCGAAGGTAGGTGGCTTTATCTTGTTATTAGCTTTTACAGTTTTTGATTTAAATATGCATGATATGGTCAGGTGATTTTAGTACTTTCTGAACGCACTCCAAGGTTACCTAGACGTAAACAACATATTGGTATAAGAATTTTGATTCAGTTACTAAAAGACGATGTTTAAATGACCATTGTCTGCAAACCATTACTTGTTTGTTGATTTCCAAAAAACAGGTGTTTGCTTAGTCTTATAGTTTATATTTTAGTATGAATTGTTTCAGGCCGAACGCATTTTGCCGTATCGGATGGTAAAGGACAAGATAATCGACCAAGAATCCCAGTATCTGGTCAAGATGCAGTTGAATTCAGAAGAACGATGGACAAAAGCCATGAAGTGTTTGTTGTTGAACATGAAAAGAGTTGTGGGCATTCTGGCTAGCAACAGAGTGGCCTTAGAGGATATCAAGAGCGGACAATGACTGGTTGTTCTCTGTTGATGTCCTCTGTGATTGTATATCTTACTGCCATATTCTAACTTATCTATTTGTACATAGTTTTATTCATACGGGTCGCCAAAATAAATCCAAACTTTTATCGTACCTTGATTAATTACACCACAAGCAGTTTCTAATCTGCGTCTTATTTACACTTGTTTTTACGCGAGTTTGCCGTCTCCTACATCAACACGATATTACATTAATTTTATTTTAGACATAAGCACGAGGTTGCGGTGGAACTGAATGGAGGAGACCAATCCCGAGTCGAGAACGAAGAAGGACAGAGTTCAGGTGCGGCCTGGACACAACGGGGCAAACCCCCAGCTGAGAAGGAGAACAGAGCGGCGAGAGAAGCACAGCGAGTCAGGCGCGTTTCTTCTGTTCTTGGTCATTACCCATTCGCTCACTCCACCGACCGGCTTCACCGATATGAGCACTAATAAAGGAACGGTCAGGAAGCTGTTCGACCCGATGGTGGGCGAGTTCTATGCTGATTTGGACATTTCACATCTGAAGGAGTTTCTGGAGCCCAAGTTGAGGTAGGTTTATCTTTGAAACGGTTTCGAAATCGGATAATGAAAGTGTTTACGTGCATTTTTTCGGTTTTTTGTGCGTCGAATCATTCGAATTTGTAGTTTAACGTGCACAAACTATTCTTGGTTGTATTTTATGCTGCTTTTAGAAGGTTTCTATCTATAAAAACGTTTACAACAAGAGGCTGGGGGATTAATTTGCTTTGATAAATTAGACCTAAAGTTGACGTGTGGTTTCATATAAATAAAAACAGATTAAAAATGGGTAATACAGTAGGAGTTGAAGTTAATGTTTGTGACATACTACATAAAATCTAACTTTTATTGTTTTAGGTACCGAAATGACGCAGCTTTGGCCGAATTCGCGTTCAAGAATGCTCCGCAACCGACCGCCGTGAACATGTTGATGGTCTCGAACCAGAGAATGACGGCGATGCGACGTCAAGCAGAAGATCCATCTCTGTTGGACTACGACGCTATCGATGCATCATGGCGCAGAGATATCGAACTTGAAAAGGGTCTGCCACCTTTGGACACTGGGTACAACGGGTGTTTGGGACAAGGATGCTCAAGCTCAACTACCAGCGACACTGCCTCAGATCAATATCAACGTGATCTGCAGATTTTAACAGAGAAAAGCATGTTCGGTGTAAGTTGAAAGTTTTATTGCAATTTGGGTTCAAAGAACAATATAAGAGATTTTAATTAAAAATAGTGTTACACTTGTAAGTGTAATCGAGTACTGTAGGTTTAATATAATCTTGTGTTATTAGTCGAGAGTTAGTTTACAAACAAAGTACTGAGGCAGCTTTGCGTGACAACTGTAGTCGAACCAAGTTCCCTTCAGTTCTTGGTTGTATGCCATATATACACAATCAACTTCTGGCTCATTAGGCTGACTGGAGTCCCAGTTTAGGTAGTTGACAGGGGTACCATCACTCCATTCGTACGATCCTTCTGTATCTTGCACTTTGTTCAGTCCAGTCCAAATATTGTTTTCTGAAACTCATTTCTAAACTAGTTTTTGTTACAATTTAAGAAGTTGAGCATTAGATTTTAAATTGTTACAGTAACCTTCTTACTCTTTCTGAGTTTGTGAACAAAGTCATTTTCGGCTAGATCTCTTATAGAAACCAGATGAGCTCCGAGTTCTCGACAGAAGTTTTCTGCCGGAATCCACATTAACTCTTCTTCGAACATACGATACCAATAGCCTGCGTACAGTTTCCATCCCTAAATTACACTTACATTTAGTTTTGTGATACAGATACTTAAAACGAAGTATAAATGACATTAGCTGTGAATATAGACGTCTTTACCTGATTCATAAGATTGGACACAGTCAGGATTCTGAGTTGTTGTTCGAGTTTACTGTCAAATCTAGTTTCGTTCTTTAACTTGGCAGGGATTACTGTATCCACATAGTGGGAGCTGACGTAAGTCAACAGCGATGTTAGATAAAGTAGTCGCATGTTTAGTTTCTGACTGATTACGAGAGTTAGAGAAGGTCTGTAATGATAAACAAATCAAAGTTAACAAAAAATGACATTGTTTAGTTATAAAATTGAAAAAGTTATGAAAAAAATACAATTTGCAGTGATATAATGATGTCAGTTACAATTTATAATTTCAGACATTGTCCACCGAAGAGGCTTACCAATATGAAGACCTGGCCAAGGCTCAATTCGCCGACTTCTACCAACAACTACCTGGATTCAAAAAGGGAAATCAACGAGAATGGCTGTCCCCAAACGACATGAAAAGAGTTTTGGGCGATCTGCAAGACAATTCAGAGTGTTTCAACAATTTGAAGGACACTGCCCACTCTTCCAGCTACAGCGATCTTACTCTGTGCCAAGGAGAGAACATGATCGTAAACGATGTTCACTTCGGAGTCGACCATCTGGAAGAACAGATCAGTGACACTGAGACTGAAGTGGAGGGATTGCCTGAGGAGTTCAAGGATTTTGACAAATCAACTTCATTGAACTTGTCAATGGAAGACTCTTCTCAGATTCTGAACGATGAACAAGTCAGAGCTGACCTAGGCGATGGTGAGTTGAACTTATATTTAAAAACGGCAACGTTTTATTTATAAAAAATTTTATTTTTTTAATTCATGTTGTTTTAGCCTACTGGCTGCACGAGTTTGAAGGGATGGAAATGCTGGGCGAATTCCAAAACCACTTTGCTGACGATGACGACGAATCTAGTCGTAGAAGCGCTTCTCCAGTTCCAGATGTTGGCCGAGTTGAAGAAGTCGAAAATTGTTGCGAACCAGAGAGAGACACGACTCCTTCTAGCGGGTAAAATATGACACTTGTTTCAATTTGCTTTTTAGAATCGGTTCCATGCGCTCTTCCGGATCTTCTCCATCACATACTGACGAGCATGGTGTCTCTGATGTTGAGAACCGGCAGTATTACCACTCTAGAATCTACAACAAGCTTGCTCCGAAGTTGAGGGAAAGTTACTGTTCGATGTCTTCTGAATCTTCTTACGATTTGGAGACGATTAGAGTTGGATCTCGAGCACGACACGATTCAATGTTTGGATCTTCTTCAACTGTGAGACCTTTCGCTCCTCAGAATGGGGATCAGCAGAGAAAGCGAGGAAGACAGTCTAAGGACGAGCAGTTGGCTATGGAGAATGGACTGCCAGCTTCAGCTGAAGAGTTCGCAGGAATGACCCACATGGAGATTCAGAGGTTTATGCGAGATCCAAACTTGACCGTGCAACAGAAGGCGTTGATCAAGAAGATCAGGAGAAGAGGTGAGTCAATGACTTCAAAAATTAACTTTGAGTCAAAAGAAGCCTGTGAAATAAGTTTTTTTTTGAGAAAAGGAGAATATCGTTTTGTCAAAAAGATTAAGATTTTTTGTTTATTTTTAACTGTCTGACTAATCTACAAAAGCGATTGTTCTCTCATGTTATAATGTCATAACTTTCTATTGCAAGGTCCTTGTTTGGTCTTTCACTGCTCATTGAACAATTACCAAAGTCTGTTTTCATTGCGAATCCGTCTTGCAAACAAATTCCTGGGAATTTCATGGGTAATATATTTGTCGAACATAATATAGCTAACGTATATTTTCGTCTCTTCCTCGAACACAGCTATCTTATATTAGGTATATAAATACATAATTTAAATTGATTATTGACCAAAACACATTTACTCAATGACTCGATTCAATTTGAATTGTTTTAGGTCGCAACAAGGTGGCGGCGAGAAAGTGCAGGGAACGTCGTACTGGGGAAGGGGCTGACGAGCCTTCCACTTCCAAGCAGATGCTGAACGACCCTTCCTCGATGAGTTTGTTCGACTTTTAATAGATGAAATTGCTCTGGAACAACTAATTAATTAATAATTTATGGCAGTTACGGTGAAACTCTTCCCATCTGAATATTCGCTTTAATACCTCTAAGGAAAACTTTTCTTTGATATAACAGTCTGTGCAGTCGGCTGTTGTCATGATGACGCTTTAATTTACAGTATGCTGGTTGCACGACTGTTTGGAATACGGTTTCTCAGAATTTGAAATATTCTCTTTGTCGGATCTCTGCTCTGGAGATCTTAACATTATCTTACTAGTTAGCGCGGGTTCTACTCTCTGATAAGGAAAAACACGCGTACATACTCATTGTTAATACATCTTATACTATTTTTCTAATTGTTATTTTGTAAGTTTTGTAATAAATCTAATCAAAACGTGTGTTATGGGTCTGTGACTACCAGGGCCGGGCGCGAGGGGGGGGACGTACCCCCCCCAGAAAAAAAAATTTTTGAAAAAAATTGAACGTTGTCCCCCCTGTGGATTTTCGAAAAAAAATTTTGCAAAAAAATCGGCACAGGTAGCTACCGATTTTTTGGACCCCCGCCCCCAGACCAAAAGTCCCCGCCCGGCCCTGGTGACTACTAAATGGAGCTTGCTCTATGTTTTAGTGGTCCAAACTGTTATAGAAGTTAGTTAAAAGTTTTTTTTATTTTTATAGCTATTATCGGGTTTTTTGTAATAATTTTAAAGAAATATTTGAAAACTTATTCTCCTGGAAACCATGATGTCATCTTCGACTGTAACATCTCGTTCAATCCGAACCCATCCGACAGAGATTACTAATATCTGCAGTATTAGCTACTGCAAGGAAGACAATGTTTAACTCTTGTGACATTGGTGTCATTTCGCGGTAATATGGTATTAGGGAATATTAAACAGAGTGTTATTGTTATTCTTACATCTTCGAAGTCGTTTATGGACCTTATTGTAGTTCCACTTGGGCATTCTTTTCATTAGTCGTTTGTTGTCATGGCCGAGACGAGACTTGGGCCAAGTACAACTTCCAATCACTAAAATACAGCACCTGTTGGCGCATAGTTGATGAAGCTGTTGTTGTAATGGGAGTAAACGTTGTTTTTGCTCTGCATAATAAACAGATTTGGGGTTTATCTTCTGTGAGAGCGACGATGACGTTCCCAGTACGGCTCCTTTAGTACTGTTGTTGGGTAATCGAGGTTGTGGATGTTGGTTTAATCCCGGTTTTTAGTGTTTTATTCTTTGTTTAGGTAATAATTATGCTAATAAGATCTTATTTAGTAATAAAAAGTGTAATAAACGTCTTTTCGAGGCTAACAACGTCTTACGCTCATCCAGAAACAAAGATCGCGCTCTTCATCATCACTGCAACCTACTACAACTGGGAATGTCGCACTCGGCTGACGTCAAAGACCTTGTTCACCTTGTCTGACTTGGGCCTTTCCTCCGGCTTTTGGACGTCGGACTCATTTTATGCTAATTGGACTTACCGAAAGTGTCAAATTCCGTGCCAATCCCTCGTTGCGTCCGAAGATTGTGTACTCTAATTTATTTATTTCTCCATTCTTGTGTTTCCTGGCCTCGGGGGATTCAGGCTGATCTCACGGCTGAAGACTTGACAGTTAGCACAGTCGGGGAGGGGTACGTCGTGCATGATGACTTTTATTTGGCAGACATTTTAATTTAGAAAAGGTTCAGAGTTTTTTTAAAGTTTAAATTGGCGGGTGATGTTGGAATGTTAGCGTTTTGTTAGTTTTTGTTTATTTTAGACTTTATTATATATAATACTTCTAATTGTGAATAGGGATAAGTTATTATCGTACTACAATATATTTTATACAAACTTTAAAGTTTATTAACTTCAGAGGGAATACTACAAAACCTTCAGTTGAACTGTTGAACTGAAGGTTTTGTATTATCTAAAGTATGTTATATTAGTAAGTTAAACACTTTCTGATATAATATAAAGTAATTTTACTGTTTCTCAAGATAACTGTAGTGTAATATAAAGACAACTCCAAATTACATTTCATTTTATTTACCACATTTCGTCGCGTTAATCGAACAAAGCTCTGTCCAAACCAGATTTCCTTGGGCTTTGTCTGGAGATAAACAGTAGCAATCGTGTAGCCTACCTACGTCATATACTTGACATGTTACTTCGAATTGACAGTTTGGTATCTTTGGTACTGTTTATGTTAACTCTTAAAGTTCTAGAATTGGAGCTATTAGATTGTCACCTATTATAACATAGAGAATATTATTCTACGCACTTTTTGACCGTATAATGTTATAAGACTTGTCTTGCATTATGATATTATTACGCCAAGATGTACTAAGTGTGATATCGTTTGAAGTGTTTTAAAGTTGTCAAAGTAAAACCCACGTTTCGTCTAAACAAAGCCAATTTGAAATAGGCTAAAGTAGAAGGCGGCTTACAATTTTTGGGTATTAACTAATGTCAAGTGTGATCTTTTGATGAGTTAAGTCTCAAAAGTTTTGAAGTTGTAGTAGTACTTTTGATCGTTACGATGGGTAATAATGTCTTAGCTTCTGTATGTTATATTAACTTAGAAGCTTGTTATATATGCATTTGATTATGCTTAGTTTTAGCAAGGTAAGCGATGTAAATGAGTTGATATTATGTAAATAAGTTGCAACTTTCACCAAGCCAAGGCTACTTGGAATAGTCCTACTTAATATGCATATGTATCTCCCTTTACATCTCTTAATTCTATTGTTAGACGCTGTTTACTATCACAGCTACTTTAATTTGCATAAGGTTTTCCTTACAAGCCTAAGTCTCTTTTTAATATAGTGAATTGTTTTGATTAGAACAACTGGTATTGCCAATATTAATGTCACGTCTCTGACAATAGTGTTATATTGATGTTTAGTGTTATGTTGAGCTTTACATCGAATTACTATAGTCATAACCTTTTACAACTTGTTTTACAATGGCGGTGCAAGTTTAATCGACTTATCAAATTTGTTTTGTATATTGTACTTGTCGTATGTATTATTATATTAGTAGTTTTATGGTAGGTTTATGTTATTATTGTGCTGCTTTCTGTATAATATTGATATGCTGTGTCTCTGGGTATTACAATTAGATGTATGTGTTGTTTGACCACACAATTGTTGTTTTGTTCTTTAACGTCTTCACAGTGTAACTCTTCAGTTGCAACTGGCCTGAACGGTTCTTCAATGGCCTAACTTTATTGCAAAATAGGAAATCGCCTTAGGGCGCGGAAGGCCTGGGGATCAGATTAGCGGAGGGAAAAGATTAACTACATCTTTTTGCGTTACCTGTTAGTCGTTTCAGTGTAACATTATTCTTTGTCGCTATTTTAACAAAAGCTTTTCAGGGTGATTAATCTCGGTTAATTAAGGTAACAGAGATGGGGGTTAGAGTTTACTCTGTTTTGGCATGAAACCTTGCATTTTGGAGAGAGTAGATGAGGTTTGTGTACTATAAGGTGTTTTTTGAAATGTCGTGGAATGTTTTAAAGAAAATTAATAGATTATTTAAAAGACTGTAACCATCAAAAACGTCATCTACAAGGTTTTCCGTCTAAGTGCCACAAATTAGATCTGAACGTAAACTTGCAAACCAAAACGTAGTAAAAGCTTTGGAAGGTCCTCCAGACCGCCTTGTACATCTACTGGCTGTCTTCTCCTTTTAAGGCCGTCAGAAGCCAGGTAGACGTCAAAAAGTGTGCCATTGACAGGCATCGAGATTGTGACAGTTTTAATTCTGTTCATCTCAACTCTGACGAGGTGGGGGACGTCTTCGGCCGCTTCGGGATGCAAATCAGAGTTTACATAAAATGTTGTTGGAAGTTCGAGGTTTCTGGCGTCAAATTCGTTTCCAACCCAAAATTCAATTCCGGGTGTGAACGACGAAGGGCGGGCAGCTTTCTGTTTCGTCTGGCCACGTGAACGACCAAGAGAAGGTGAAACGCCTCGGTTATTTCGGTCAACTGGGGGGTGACTTTTCGGACTTTTGTGTTTAATCTTGTATGTATAGGGCTTTAACTTGTATCTATTACGGTCATGATTATATACACCATTGTCAGCCAAAAACTGATATCACCACCCAACTTTAACGTCGTTACCCGAGCTTAGCCCTCTACATTACTTTCTTTATGTATTTATCGATAATGTAGTAACCGCCTCTCACCGTGACGTACATCACTTCACAATTACTCTGCCCCAGGGGTTGTTTTTGTTTGCCAGAGATTATGATATTGTTGGGTTCCTTTAATGTCGCTTGTGAAATAATTGGATTAAGCCTGATTTGTGTTACTTTCGTTCCTGTACTTCCCCTCCCTCGGCCCCCGATTTCAGGCCATTTCGAGCTACCAACTCTTGGTTACCCAGTTAGACTAAAACTTATATTTTACAATTTTAATTGGGGGAAAAACTTTTGAAAACGATGTTAATGCCACAATACCGAGTTATTGTAGCTATTACTTTAGGCCATTTAACCTACAATTTCATTTTTAGGCCACAAAAGCTACAAATCTCTACGAATTGCTACCATGTGCATCTTACACCTGGACAAGACCTGAGTACTTTCCCAGATGTCCGGAGCGTTGCGGGACTGGATGTTCATCTTATGGATGTTATTTTTGGTCCCCGAGGTCCGTGCCCTACGGCAAGTGCTGGTGGAAGGCGACCTCATGATCGGCGGCCTGTTCCCGATCCACGAAAGCGGTCGATCCGCCCAACAGTGCGGTCGAATAAAGGCCGACCAGGGCGTGCAACGGATGGTGGCCATGTTGTTCGCGTTGGAGGAGATCAACAACCGCAACGACATTCTTCCCGATATTCGGCTTGGTGCTCAGATCCTCGACACCTGCTCCATCGAGACCCACGCTCTCGAGCAGAGCCTGGAGTTCATCAAGACGGTGATGAGCAAGTCCAGTGCTCTCCAATGTAACAGCGAGGTCGAGCACCAGCCCATTATCGCGGTAATTGGGGCTGCCGGAAGCCAAGTGTCAGTTATGGTGGCCTCCATGCTTCAGCCCTTCAAGATTCCCATGCTCAGCTACAGTTCTACGGGTGTGGAGTTGAGCGAGAAGCCTCGGTAATACATCTATCACTTCATTACCCTTAAATTTATCACAAAAGAACTGTAAAAATAATTTTTTCGAAGAAAATACGATTTTCTGCATAATTCCAAAAAACATGTCATGATGACCGTCAAATTCCATAAAATGTGTCATTGTGACAAAAAATTGCAGAAAATTCGTAACAAAATCTTTTCGAAAACGAGGAAATTCGAGAATTTTTAATTTTGGAAATGTTTTCAGATTCCAGTTCTTTTCTAGGGTGGTACCACCCGATAACCTCCAGGCAAAGGCCATGGCTCACGTTGTAAGTACATTATTAATATTAAAAAAGGAAATTCATTCCAATAAATCTCTGAGAAGGGAATATGTTATTGCAGATCGTAATAAAACAATGTTGGGAAGTTATTGTAACCATTCATATATCAATTGATATTGTCTTAAGAGTAACAAGTGGATATTATTGTAGCTAAAATGGCATTTTCGCTTGAAGTACAATTAGATATTGATGTTAATCATATTGTTTTTGGCAATAATGTAAACAATAATTGTAAAATGACTCAACATGATTGTTTTGAAGGTATTTTGAATGAGCTAAAGCGAGTAAAAAATCGTAATACGAAGTTGTATGGTTTTAGGTGGCCGAACTCGACTGGAACTTCCTTCATGCTGTTGTTGATACGGGTTCGTATGGGGAACGAGGAATGGACAGTTTCAGATCCGCCGCCACTGAGTTGGGTATCTGTATTGACGGTGAGATTCACAAAGTCAGTAGACGGTGGACGGACGATCAGTTCAGGTCAGTTCCTTATCATTAACATCGACAATATCAGCCAAACCTTACCCATAATAAAAAAAACGTTTCGAACAGTAATTCATGACATTACCTGTTTATCTAAACGTTCTACTATTCAGGGACTTGTTGATACGTATGAGGCAATCGAACAAAGCTCGAGGAGTAGTTATGTTTGTAGATGAAGATAACTTGAGGAGATTTCTGACCAATCTTAAAAGCATGATCACGAGTGGAAGGCATCCGGAGATGAAGAACTACTTCTGGTACGTTGTTAGAGTATAAAATACGTGAAAACAAAGGTTTTATGACTAAATATAGAAGGCTTCCTTTACATAATGTTAGACGCAGCTTTAAAAGTCAGTTGTGCAGGCTGCGCAAATTATTATGCTAAAATTACAGTGATTTATAGAAGGAACTTACGGTAATTCCATTTCAGGTTTATAGCCTCAGATTCGTGGGGAATGAAGACAGCTGTGATCCAAGGATTCGAGGATATTGCAGAAGGTGCCATCACGATAGCGCCGAGAATGCGACAAGTACCCAAGTTCAACGAGTACTTCTACAGTCTGGGACCTCAGAATACGTTTCTGAGTGAGTATTGGAAGTCGATGAACTGTTCTGATCGTATTAATGGCAACTTCGGCAACTGCTTCAAGTCAGTCAACTACAAGTTCAAGCAGGAAGCCTATGTGCCGAGTGTTGTAGACAGTGTCTACGTGATGGCTAGGGCTATTCACAACTACATTGATGTGAGTTTTTTGTAGTTTGAAGTTGTTAAATATAAAGGGTCCTTAAGTTAAACTACATTCAGTTTTTATTGTAGTTATAACCTTTTTATTGTTATACTTTCAGGATCACTGTCACTCCATTGAATGGCGTAGTTGTGCCCTGTCTCATATTGGCTTTGATGGTGCTCTACTACAACGATATTACCGTAACATATCGCTGGAGGAAGGTCATCCACCTCTGATCGATGCCAATGGTGATGGGATTGGACAGTACAGTATCTTTCAGCTGGGCAAAGAAGGTGTATATAGTCCAGTTGGGTCGTGGAGAACGGGTGTCTTAAGGGAATTCAATCTCGACAAGGTCAGGAGGGGCATTCAGGTAAAATATTATGCTTTTACACTATCTAACTAGATTTGGTATAAAATACGTCTTTATGTTGTGTTAAAGATAACTTAGCAAGGTTTTATATACTATATTTTCTTTTTTAGGCCCTTGATGGAAGTCGCGTGGTCCCAATGTCAGTGTGTAGTGTACCATGCGACGTTGGTTACTATAGAGCATATCAGGACATGACCTGTTGCTGGACATGTATCCCTTGTGACATATCCACTTCGATTATAGTCAACGAGACCAGGTACGGGATGTTACCTCATCTTTTAATATATTCATTCATTAAAAAAATCAATCTGAAGTGTTGATTATTGTAGCTGCCTCCAATGCCCTCTGGGTATGATCCCCAACCCCAGCTTTGACTCCTGCCGTCCAATCCAGCCGATCCATCTAGAATGGACTTCAGTCTGGGCTTTGTCTCCAGCTTTGTTCTCTCTGCTAGGAGTAACTGCCACAATCTTTGTGACATCAGTCTTCGTACGGTACAACAACACTCCAGTAGTCATGGCTTCTGGCCGAGAACTCTGCTACTGTATGTTATTCGGGATCGCCTTATGTTATCTAGCCACTTTTGTGCTGGTTAGCCGACCATCTAGCTACTCTTGTGCCTTGTCGAGAGTTATCATTGGCCTTTCGATGTGTGCTGTATACGCAGCGATATTAATCAAGACCAACAGATTGGCTAGGGTTTTTAAACCGAGCAGTCCGGTCAGGCCAAGGCTAATATCACCACCTGCACAGGTAACCTTTATCTTTTAAGATTTTTAAAATATCTTTAAACTACCCTGATTGTGACAAGAATATATTACTTTATTAGCCTTGAACTAATTAACTGTCTTTTAGGTAGCCCTATGTGCCTCGATAGTACTGACCCAGTTGTTGGGGTCTTTGGTATGGTTGATAATGGATCCTCCCGAAACGACTGTAGTGTATCCAACTCGTACTAAGGCTGTGTTGACATGTAAAGCCACATCCTCCCACCTATTGATATCTCTTGGCTTTATCATGATACTCATTCTGGCTTGTACCATATACGCTTTCAAGACCAGGAAGATACCAGAAAACTTTAACGAAACCAGACTCATCGGCTTCACAATGTACAGTACGAGCATACTGTGGCTGGCCTTTGGGCCGATCTACTTTGCTACACAAAATAACTTTAAGGTACGTTACAGTGTATATCTTGTCTCTTGTGTTATGCATTACACCACTATTCCATATGACTTTAGATCCAAATAGCCAGCTTGTGCTTCTGTATCTCTCTTAGTGGTACTGTAGCTTTGGCCTGCTTCTTCTTCCCCAAAGTCTACATCGTGCTATGGCAACCGTACAAGAATGTACGAACACGACATTCTGCTGTAGGCAAGCTGGTCAATCAGCAAATGCGGTTCATTAGGTATGTCACAATAGCTCATTACTGGTAAATACCGTCATTTACTATTTGTAAATAGTATACCCCCGATTACTGTAACCCGTTTTTGTTTTTGACAAAAGGTAGATTATCTTACCATGCGACGGTCACGTTTGTAATTACCTTGATCTCACCATAATTAAGGCTTACCATGTAAATTTTATGTTTAAATTACCTGAAACTTACCGTAATGCTTAAATCTATATAAGGATTACATACCTATCGTAATTTTATTTCGATTTACACCCGTTTTTCAATTAACATATAACCTTTAAAGTCAAATGACAACTCCCCAATCATCTCATCCTCCTACCAGGATTGGTACTCAAGGTGTCCAGGAGATCTCCACTAACTACACGTCGTCGTATCACGAGAATTACTCTGTCCAAAACGGGTCTTCTTGTAAGTATCCCCCATTAACATGTTTTAAACATTTTCCACTTTCAACCCTTTTTCATTTTATGACAACTTATATCTTTTTTATTTTAAAAACCTAGTTGGATAACACAATTATGACATCCATGATCTTAAAATGATAATATTGTACTACTTTTACTCATAACAACATATCTTTAAAACTTTTGATTCCAGCCGAAGCCAGCGGCACGAACCGTTGCATATCTCCGCCTCCGCCCCGTGCACCCCAATCCACACCCGCCCCCCTCTCAGCACGTGCTTCAGTGAATCCGGAAGCAGTCCAGGACAGGACGAGCTACACAGTGATTACCAATGTAGCGGCGACTGTCTCTGTTTCTAATGGCTGCCCCAAGGGCATGTTTGATGAGGACGAAGCGATTCAGTCCATAGACTCGTCGTCAGTCTCTTCTGATTCCTGCTCCAACGCTTCTGCAGCTAGTCTGCGGAGAAGGCTGATCCATCAGAATTCAGCCGCTTCTCCGCCCCCAGTCCAGCTGATTCTGAGAGAAATCAGCGAGAATCCGTTTTCTACGTTTCTTTGAAGTACTAATCAGTAGAGTTTTTGGTCAAAAAATATGTAGAATTGGCTTTAGAACCAATTTTTTATGGGATTTAGCCATTTTTTTTCGTTTTCTGTTGATTTTGGACCGATATTTATAACTTTCTCTTCAGTACAAAACTTAAGTATCTATGGCCATGCATGGTCATTAACTCAACTGCCGCCTCCTAGTCACTTCTTCATTGTCGTATCTTCCATAAGTATCTTGTGATTAATCTTTACTGTGTTCAGATCTCTTCCTTCACTTCTTCTTCCATTTTTATCTTACCAGAGCCTTTTCTAATCGATCTCAAGTGCCTTCCGGTTCTGAATCGTCATTTACACCTCAAGACGTCGTTGTGACATTGTTTGTCGGGTATACGAAGTAATGTAAATTTATTTACAATAAACAAGGTTTGAATTTGTAAATAACAACATTGTGGGGACGGTGAAATACGCATTAAAAATATGGTGATTATGATATAACAACATGTACAATATATTAACTACAGACTGTTTGACACTGACGTATTTACATTAACTAGAATATTGCATTGTATACATGTTTCGGAGAGTAATAAATAAAGCCAGAGTTACGAAAATTTACTGTAACATACGACGTTACAGTACTTTTAACAATCTTACTGTAATATCCAAACAATTACTTACTTACAAACAGCGTATTTACATGAGAACATACTAAAGGTCGATGTAATGGAGATGACTGATATAGAGATCAAACGAGAGAGTGTGTTTAATTAGGAGTGGGCAATACGAGCAGACGACAGTCGTAGCTGCAACTGTCGTATCGCGGCCGTCGCATTGTAGGCCTTGCGCCATTTCCTCTTGGCCAACGACTTTTTGAGGTGGGTGGCGACGGAAATGTGGATATCTTTGGTGCCGGCAGTGTTTCCACTGATCCTAAAACAATGTTATTAGCTGTTGTAGAGTAATTCAATACATTTTATCATGAAATTTGTTATAAAAATCATTTCATTTTCGTGTAAAAATGGAAACTATCTGCGCAGTCTGCAAAAACAGCTCCCAACAGAAAGCTGATGCTTTAGCTGACTATAATAACATTCGAGACTTTTCACACTTTCCAAAAATATTTTTTAAAACTGTTAATACAACATACCATGGATGTTCGAGAGCATTGCCGCAGCTGTATCTCTTGGACGGGTCACAACACATCAGGTGGCTGATGAAGTCTTTGGCACTGTCAGAGATGTCGTCCCAGTACGGTGAGTCGAACTCGTACTCGCCCTTTATGATCTGAGCGAACAGATTGGCGTCGTTCTCGTCGTAGAACGGAGGATATCCACACAGTAAGATGTAGGCGATCACTCCGATCGACCACACATCTACAGCTTTACCGTACGGTTTCTGTTGCAGGACTTCTGGAGCCACGTAGCCAGGAGTTCCGCAAGCCGTAGCCATGATCCCAGATTCCTCGGTCTTCGAAAGGCCAAAGTCAGAGATCATGATCTTGGACTCCTCGTCGTTGTTGTAGTACAACAGATTCTCCGGTTTCAAATCACGATGAACAACTCCATTATCGTGCATGAAGGCTACGGCTTCAAGAACTTGGCGTATCAGATTCGAAGCGTCCCTTTCTGTGTACGATCCTTTAGCCACGATACGGTCGAACAGCTCTCCACCAGTTACAAGCTCCATCACAAGATAGACGTAGCCCTTCTCTTCAAAGGTGTCGTACAACTGGACAATGTTCGGATGCCGAAGCCTGAAAGTTAATTTGTGAAAAAGACCGTTACACAAGATTAGTAAAACGTTTTGAACAAAGATTGCTGCAACCTATTTTATCCCACCACGATTACTTAGCGACAATTAGTCTTTCAATTACAATATATTAATACATTACAAAAGCCACAAAAATGATTAAACGCCGGCAAATACTACCACAACATATTGTGAGGACATGGCCGGTTAATCTGATTAGCGCTCATATCCATCTTATTGTAAGAGCCTACCTTCTGAGGACCTTAATCTCGTTCTCCAGAGACTCTTCCTTGCCCTTCAGCGCTTTCTTGTCGATACACTTGACGGCCACAAGATGACCAGGATCAAAGCGACATTCTGCCAGATTCACTCTGGAGAAGGCGCCCGTCCCGAGCACTTCTCTGATCTCATACTGATCATACAACGAGCAGGTCGAGCTGTTCCCATTCATTCCGTTCGGGCTCATGGGCGAGACTCCCGAGGTCGTGGGCAAAGTCGTCTGCTCCAAGACCGGTGTAGCGAGGATTGAAGACGGTGTAGCTGCTGAACCTGGTTGCTGACGTCGCTGGAACAAGGGCATGGGCGCCGCCAACGTGGTGGTGAAGTTCTGCTGGGGATAAAACTGGGGCGGGGCAGAAGCGTTAGCGTAGAAGCCCGCCTGTTCGTTACTTGTGTACACGTCGATATCCAGGATTACAACACGAGTTGTGAGGTTATTGCTTTGTTAACTGTGTTAAGGGCCTGAAAGTTACAGTATAACTAAGGGTTGACATCTACATCGACTGCAAATACTAAACACGAAAAACAATTATAAAATCTACAATAATATTGGAAACATAAGAGTTGCACGGTAAATATATGAGAAATAATTCAAGGTTGAATGGTTTTTAAACCGTTTACAGTGTAATACGACACAAGATTACGATAAGACCATTACAAAAGACATCCTGAAGAGAGTATACTATCGCAAATTACATTGTAATCTCAATATACGACAGAGTAAACACCCAATCCATGTATCGCATTCAACGTACATATTATCCATGCACGAGTTTCTCAAATTAAAATGTAAACGGCAATTACTCGACCATAACTCTGTGACGTCGCATCGTACAAAACCAAAGCAAGGTAAGTTTAAAGTAATTAACTGCAGAATCACCCCAGTTACAACCACCAGCACGCGATAATTGGCAACTTCACAGTAACATTCTACAAGCTTTTGTAGAGTCCCCGAGTTAGACAGCCAAAGACCAGGATTAATGAGAAACTACAGCATTACAAAATGTAAAACTACAGCTTTCACCTGTTTTTATCCGTTTGACGTAAAAGGATAAACGACGCCTTTTCCCACTTTCTAGTAATCCCAAAGAAAAGACTCATTCGATGTCATTGACTCCGAAGCTAAGTTAACATTTATGTTAATATTGAGGATGGTAAACAACACAATACAAGTGTCCCAGCTATAAATATTGATGTCATAAACTAAAAGAATAGTACATGTTACGTTTTTATTAATTAGGAAACGCATCTTAATTAAATGATTAGTTCTGGTTCGACAGTAAATAAAAAAAGTAGACATAAGACAATTGAAGGAAAAGAAGACCATTCTACGCAACTTTTGACCAATTTAACCAGTAGAATATAAAAATAAAATAAAAGGACAATATTAAAATGGTATATTAAACCAGTCTCGTATTTGTATTACCTAAAAACATACTTTATCTCGTAAAAACCTCGAAAAAAGAATTTCCAATTATTTGTGACACTTCGTCAGCAATTTATTGGTTTTTTGACTGAAATGCCACAAAAGCGCCAAAAAACAATTTCGTCAAATAACCATAACATTAAACAGTAATTTTTGATGTAATAGTTACAGTAAACCTGATGCTTTAGCTGACTATAATAACATTAATTGGTATTTTGGCGTTAGAACCTCTACCACCACCTTTAACACTCTTTTGGTAACCTTAAATAGCATTTTTAATGGCTACAATCACCTAGAATGTGGTTGTAATTGCTAACAATAACATAGCCAGCTAATTAACCTTTGTAGCTGTCGAGGAGACAAGTACAATGTGGTAAAAGTACAATAAATAGTTATTTAACGGATTAATTCTAGTAACTGGACACTTGGAGTACACACGAAACCCTGATGACGCTATCTGTAAAAACAATCACCGTCATGCTATTGTACATTTTAATTACATGTCCAGACATCTGTAATTATCCCACAACTCTTCATGGCTAATGTAATGTAATGAATATGTAGATGAGAGATGTCATACACTTGCATATATGTATATATAGATGAGAAAGGTTCAATAAGTTAAGTACACAGTTTATATATAGATGCTGAGTGAAAAACTTAAATATATGTTAAGAAAGATGGGTGCTAATGTAAAGAAATACACATCCTTCGGGAATATAATACACTACCCGGTTATGCAAATTTTTAAGAATGGTCGAAAGCAAAAGCGTTTTCATTATTTGATTTTTATAATTGGCGAGTGGTCGCTTAATTTATTATTTTGGCAAACGGGCCCCATGATGTTATGGTTACCATCTTCCGGCGTCAATCTTTGCACGTATGCGATGGACTGATCAACAACATGATAGAAGACGGTCTAATATAATAGCACGCCCAATGTCACAGTATTCGATTCAACTCAGTTTATTTTAGTGTTTTTCACAAAAACGCTAGGTAAGTCATTCTTCGGTTATATTACTTTTCACCTAGGGTCACTCCATTTTACTTAGGTACACTCCATTTCACTTAGGTACACCCTATTTTACTTAGTTACACTCCATTTTACTTAGGTACACCCCCATTTTACTTAGCTACACCCCATTTTACTTAGGTACACTCCATTTTACTTTAGTACTCTCCATTTTACTTAGATACACTCCATTTTACTTAGGTACACTCCATTTTACCCCCATTTTACTTAGGTACACTTTTTTTGCTATGGTGGATTTTATTCGACTGTTTTACGACCAATTCGGTCGTAGGTATAAGTTGGAAATGATATGAATTTATTCAAACCAAAATTTGAATAAATTCATCTAGGTGTATTATATTCCCATGTAGTGTATCATATTACGGGGTGTATTACACTACATTAGCCCCGAAAGATGTATATAGTAGAGACATAGAATAAAGGCATATGTGTATAGGTATATTACATTACAATTATACCTTGTAAAACGACTATATATAGTTTAGAATTATTCTTCATTGTGTTTCTAATTATAAAAACATAATACTATGACACAGTACACGGTATAAATGATATAGAAAATAACGTAAAACATATAGTAAAATATATAAATGACATAGTAAATGGTACAAATGATTACATAGACGTTTGTTTGTTCCTTAACATATGAAATTGTAAATGTTTATTGTAGTGATATATTCCGACTACAAAATTTTAAATACACTTTCAGGTACATTTACAAACTGCCAACCTTTTATAGCAAAGTTTGTATGCAAGCCATACCACAGTAAATATAGACCGCGAAAACACATGGAAATGTATTTACATACGATAATATTTAAATTGGAAAAGTTTCCGTCCCAATTCGATTACTGTAAGTTGAGAACACTCAAAAAAATTGGAAAAGTAAATTTATTTCGAAAACGGTTCGAAATTAAATAAAGTCGGTAACAGGAACCATTAAGTCGGGGTTTCCTTATAAAATGACGTTTTTTATAGAGATGGTGCCATGTGACAAGGTGGCCTTGCAACATAGTCTACAGTTTGTATGAAATTAGTAAAGAAAAGATTTCAAGGACTTTTTGACCACGTTTTTATGTTTTGCTTTCAAAAACTTACAATATAATCACTACAACAAAGCAAAGGTCTAAAAGTTGGTAGAGTAAATTTAAAATGACCCCCTTAAACTCCCAAAATTTAGCTTTTACTAAACTCACTTTTCGACCACAACATACTAAAACAACAGAAATCGACCAGAATTTGCAATAAAAGAATATCAGAGTAAAATAATAAAGTCATTGCAGTATTGTTTACAGTATCAAAACAACAAAGAGTGGAGGGAACGTAACTTTATATAACACCCGTTCATGTAAATAGTCAATTACCACATCTGAATAGCCATGCCCTCCGGGAGAATAACAAAGAAAACGTTGGGCAATCAAAACAAGTCGCCCAGTAAATAAGCCTGCTCTACCTAAACTGATATACGGCCTGATAGAGTGCTCAATATGAATGAGGGATATTGGGGTAAAAGCTAGAAATCGCTTTAAAAACAGTTACGTTGACAGATAAGAAGATGAGGCATCAGAGCGTGTCGTAAAACTGTAAAGAGATTTATGAAAAAAGTATTATCAAAATAGCTTGAAGTTTTGATAAATAACCAAGTAAAATCGAACCATCGCCTTGAAAGACACTCTTTTCTTTACAGCAGTAATACCCATAATCAATATGACCAGCTGCAAAATTTGCAAAAACTTGGCCCAAATCTAATCCGAAATTCTGAAAAACCACAAATTATACCTAAACCTTCACTCTAAATGCCACTCCCGCCCTGACCCACCCAGCAATATCAAGTTGCCGTAATGAGTAAGACCAGCTGTAAAATAATGCGAGAAAACCCTGAATACAGATGAATGTAACAGCAGAACAAAGACCGCTGAGGGAAGATAATCTCTTTTCGGCCCAGCCAGATGATAGTTTGGCCACAGAATTTCTCATGCGAAAACGAACGGCATCATGGACAAAACAAACCCATTAATAAATTGGTGGGCGAAGGAAAAGGTATAAACACGCCTTTCTGAGCTGTCACACACACGCGGCCAGTAATTGGGACCGTTTGACTGATTCCACTGTTTCTTCCGGCTTCCAGAGGTCGGGGGCACTTGGAGGCTTCAGAAGTATTCAGAAGCACACCGTTTTTGGAAAAGTTCATCATCGATTCAAATATACTACTCTTGAGAAAGAATAACTTCTGAAACAAGTAGTAACAATGTAAAGACAGCACTGTAAGTAAAAGCAAGTTACTAGCCAAAAAGGTAGACAGCTACGTTCAAAAAAATTTACATTTAATTGTGGCATTAACATTTTTGTAAGAGTCCATCGTAAGTACTTGTGACTACGTTCTTCCTGTATCTACTACAACATTGATCCTTTCCGGTAATGCATCAGCTTTAAAACTACAATTACAAAATTATCAAAAGTAGCTACAAACGTCCAAAAACCTTTGAAATAACTACAACTTTCAAACTGTCCAAGACCTTTTGAAATGAATCAATTTCTAAATTCCGATAACTTTTGAGCGACAAAACATAAGAACAAAAACTACAACCCAAAACTCACAAAATGTTATGCAGACACTTATCCATACCGAGTAGAAAGCCCTGAGGGCACGAGATTATTAGATTTGCCATCTTTTCACCCGACGCGCAACTTTTCCCACCGCTTAAGAGTAATGTAATGTAATATAGGAGGGCTGTAAATGACAGGTCTGAATTCCTCGAAAAGTCTTTCCGGAAACCCAGATAACAAATTACAGTTATTCGAATATGATAATTGATCATGTCCTAGCACTTTTGCGACGTTTTTCAAACATATTTATTTTATCAATTTATTAAAAAGTTAATAAAAAACTTTAAAAATTTAAAAAATTCAAATATTTTGACAAAAAAATTAATGTTGCGACTCAAAAAATTAAATTTAAAAAATTTAACAAATGAAATCTGACTTATGCTTTCAAAATGATAAATCAGGTCAAGAAAACTCATAGAAATTAACGTGAAAACATGTTCAACCTCAAAGTCACGTCAAAGGCATTCAAAACCAAGAATGAAGAACTAGCAAGCCTGACCGTTAGTCGAGGTAATGCTGCAAATCAAAACGCGAATAACTAATAGCAAAACTAAACGTGGCATTCCTGTAATTGGAGGAATTAATAAACGCGTTAAACAACCACCTGAAAACTTTATTCACCTAAAAACTAACATCGGGAAGAAAGAAAGCCTGGAGACAGTGCCACTCTTTTCTGTGAGCCAGAAAACGTTGCACTTTGTAGAGAGGAGGAGAGAGAGGGCTCGAGAGGAAGAGACGGCCGAAGGCCAGATAAACTTCAAAATATTACTCGCCGACTGCTGGGCCGGCCAAAAGACGCGGCCGAAAGAGTTTGACCGACTCTTGGCCCTCGTTTCAAACCCTGAATTTATTAATAAATATTAAACTAGGCCTGATTAATAGCATAACCCGGTTAAAAATAGGTGCATGGATGATACGTTGAGTATTAATTAGATGACAAAAGTCTTCTCACATGATAACATATTTTAGTTGGCCTTTAAAAAGCATCTTTTCATATCATAATCAATATAATTACGTTGTATATCTTCAATACAGGAAGGTACCAATCTCCTACAACATGAGATTCTTCACCAGTCTTCCAACAGAAAGTGTTGTTAACACAATGTGTAACATAACAATTTCAAATAATACCACTATAGAGTATATTTAAACTAAAAATATTATCTTGAAAACAAGGCTAGGATAACATCCGAAGCCCTATTGAGCCTCCAATTGCGCCCCATAAAGTGTCATGAACCATGTCGGGCAGTGTCGAAACGGAAGATCACAAGTTTCGTGCCCGGAGGGAAGAGTGCATTATCGGCGGGACTAAAAAGGAAACTGGCATTTCTCGCCCTTTCATTCTTCGAAAATGAATCCGTTCGGGATTTGTGTTTGGAAACCGAAAGAAACCGCCAAAGTCAACAAGGTGACAAATCATCACTCACGCGTGACACTCGCCCAATCAGCCATATACACATGTGTTTCCGAAGGTAATCCGCCAGCACGTGCTTGATATTCGTGCACACGGAAGGCTGTTCGTTGCGAGCCTCGTTTCAGTATTCTGGCAAGGCTATTTTCGCCCGAAAGTAAATAGAAAATACTCAAAAAGGCAGTCTGCACATAAATAATATTTAATAACTAAACTGGTACTGATACTATTTTTCCGTTTGTCTGAATAAGCTAACATTATAAGTGTTTTCTGAGTTCAAACTTTCTTAAATAAGTTTACAGTGTTTTAATTGAATATTATAACAGATATAACAGATTTATATACAAAATTAGCGATCTGATACGATCACCAAACAACAACAACCTAATCCGCATTAGGTATGCAAAGAGAGGGTTTTTTCGCTCTGTCCAGTCAGACTTGACAGACCCAAACACGACGATGAACCCGGCTGGATGTAACCGACCTTGGCTGATCTGTGCGGTCTCTTTCTTTGCAGGTATCTTTGTATCTTCGTATGTTGACTAAGGGTGTAGTGGTTGTTGTAGGACTAGCCCTGATGGTACACGCCATCCCCACCCAGTCCGGACTAAATTCGGTCGAAGATAAACAACGAATCAGCTCTCACGTTTTGGACATTTCCAATGGGAATCCGGCCAAGAACGTTAGACTAGTCAGCTTCAAGTACAACGAGAGCACCAAAAAATGGGTGGAACTGGCCGAGACGTAAGTACAGTAACCAGAACTAAAAGTAGTACGTAAAGTTCTGAGCGAGAAACCAGGATTCACATTATGTAATTTATCTTCTGTTCGATCCCTTGAAACTCAAAATAAAAATTTATATTTTTATTTACTCTTTGACCTGACTACAACAAAAATTACAGTCTATCAACACCTAATTAACATAGTCTACTATCAGCATGTTAGCCCTTTCATTGTGTAAAAGTTGTTAATTAATGTAATTATGTTGATTAAGGGAAACGGACGAGAACGGAAGAGTATACTCAGTACATCCAGGCCTAGCACTAGATACTGGAATATTCAAGATAACCTTCCACACAGAAGAGTACTATCAAGCACTGAATCAGACTACTTTCTATCCTCAAGTTGATGTAAGTAACTTTTACAAAGTAACACGTGTTAAGACACCTGCCACATACTAAGAAATACAATCGCGTTCGTATATGATAAAGTATGGCACATAACGTAAAAAATCTTATATATGTTGTTACATTTTTCGTCGTATTTAGGTTGTATTTCGAGTGACAGACCCGAACTTGAAGCTGCACGTGCCACTTACACTCAGTAACTACGGCTACTCCACTTATAAAGGACAGTAGAGGTACGATGCTGGTGTATGAAGTTTAATTAAATAAATAAAAAATATGCGAAAAAAAGTTGAAAAATGTAAGTTTAAAGAAGTTACCGTAACATTAAATACTATAGTAAAAGAAAGTAACAATATATATGCCAAACGTTAACAAAGACCCGGTCAAAGAAGGTAACAAAACCGGGTGAAACACCATCTATATGTACAACAACCAACATGTTCTGTCTAGCAGAAGATAACAAAAGACCGACGTATAGGTTTAAAAACGACTATTAAACTAAATATTTACGAATATTACTTTAGAGTCCTATGAGAATTGACAAACTAGTAAACCTTCGAAATTATTATAAAACCAAACCTTCCTAATACAAAGTGTTGTCGTTGTGTTTAAAAGCGTTAGTAGTTCCAGATATGTACATGATAAGACGTATCGAATCAATAAGATTCTTAGTAGAAACATGTAAATACGCCCAAGTATTAGCTAATACTATCACCATATTGTTAAAGATAAGATATTCTAAAGATAAACAATAGCACATCATCTAATTCAAGTATTCCCTTATGCTACTGGTTGATGATGCATGTTTGAGCTTCCTAAAACGCGTACCGTTCTTTCTCATGAATCTTTAAGTGCGTTTTGGCATGGCTATGATGAGCGAATAGTCTGCCACAAATTGAACATGCAAAAGGCTTCTCGCCGGTATGTTTTCTCTTGTGAACATTGAGGTTGGAGTTGGTTGAGAAGGCCTTTCCGCACTCATCACACAAGAACGGTCGCTCGCCGTTATGAATTCTTAAATGCCGCTTAAGTTTTGGCATGGTGACAAAGCTTTTGTCGCAGATATCGCAAGAAAACACCGGCGGAGCATGAGTAATGTGGTGGTACTTGAGAGAACGCTGTCGTTCGAACGTTTTCCCGCAATTCGGAAAAGTGCATTTATATTTTTTGGGTATATTAGACTCGGCTTTGGTCGGTAGAACCAGCCCATTGGCCGATCTTTTGATGACAGTCCCAGCAAACAGAGGTGGTGGACTTTCCTGCATTTCCGTGAAAAGAGGCTGATACTCTTCGTAGATAGGCTCTTCTGCTTCAATTGTGTTGTAGTCTTCAAATGTGTTCCTAAATCAATATATGAGATCAATCTTCATGACTTACAGTTTGAAATCATGTTCATTGTTAGCCTTGAACACCTCTGCCTCGGTTCCTTCTTCCATAGCATTCCCATTATTAACGTCATCCATCCGAGAACACAAAAACGGATCAGATGCCAGATCTGGCGATGAAGCATTCTCTCGTTCGACAACGTAGTTCTTATTCGATGCCACCTTAGACTGACTCCTGATCTCATTCTTCACCGGAGGATTACCGTAATGTATCTGAATAGTGACACCGTTTCCGCCAGCTGCCAATAGAGGATCAACTGGAATTGCCAGGTATTTTATTGGCGATTGAGCTGGTGTCACGTGAACTTGTCTTTGAGCTACACCAGGTATCGTGCCCATAGTCCCGTCCTTCCGAATCACTGTAATCCGCCGTGCATTCTGTGTTACCGGTTGTAAATTTAATGCCGCTCGATATGTAATGCGTTTGGGGCTTAAACCATTGCCAGATAAGTGCACTTTCTTTGCGTGCAGCATACTGAAAACGTCACAATTGTATGAACAAGACCATAAACTACATATTCAAACATAATCATTAGCCCTCAAAAGCTACAAAATAAAGTATAATATACGTATGCAACGTATAAACATAAAATCCAGCGCGACAATACTATTAATTTATTCAGTTTAATATCCATAAATAAGTGACAACATAGGAACTTGAGAAGGAATGACTGAAAATGCGTTAGAAATACCCTTAAAATACAGTAATCCTTTAGTTCTTTTGAGGCAAGAGTTTTATGAGCTGGGCCAAGTCTTCGGCTAGCGACTGGCCCCACTCTTGGTCCGAGCATTTGCAACAAACTGAACATGTCGAGTCCTGAAAAGAAAATATAATAAACAAAACTTCAAAAATAATAATAGATGCATTAAGAATTTCAAATTTGTAAAACTAAAAAAATATAGTTCAAATCTTACCTTATACTTCAGCAAAGCACAAATAGGCTTAGAATCAAAGCTGTGAGCATATAAAGTAGCAGCTGTTTCCGTCTTCTCCACAACTGTAAGATAACATTATCAGTTACTGTGTAAACCATAATCCAAAATATACAAACTAGAACAAAACTTACTCGAAAAATTAGATTCACTTGTTAATCCATCTACAATGTCGAAGAAGTTGCATCTGGTTTCTACGGAAGGTGTCGCTGAACTCAACAACTCTCCACTGGTTATCATGAATTCAAAAGACGAGCTAAAACGACAACTTAACATGGTATAAACAAAAGGCAAAACAAATTAAAATTCCAAAAATGTTTTACCTTCCAATTGTAGCAAACTTCAAGAAGAGGATGCTTCTGATTTCCAGTTTAAAGTCCAGCTTTTCGGTTACAGTATCCCCGCCACCTTCCTCCACCAGATAACTCAACGAACATCGTACTCGCTGAGTCTGGTTAGCATTGTTAACATTCAGCTTCAAGTCAACTTGGTTCGATCCTTTAGGTACCAATTCGAATGGCAACTTGATTGTACCCTCCTTTTCGGACTGCAACGATACAGCTGAAGATTCAAGAACAAATACTTCAAGATTCTTGAGACGTTCTGTTCCAATATTCTCCATCAAAAGTGTTATGATGACTTTCGGTGGATCCAGTTCTTCGATTTGTATCGACGAATATATAAAAATCCTGTCATTGGCACACAACTTCTTGAAAGACACATCAAGCGAAGCAGGCAGCACATTTGGTTTGACCATTTCAGCAGAATCTTGAACAAAAATGTCCTCGATGTTAGCTTTGTTCTTGCCTTTAGTGCTCTTTTTCGGCTTCTTCGACTTCTCATCGATGGCTGTATATAGGTTGTCGTCATTCGCCTTTTTCTTCTTCTTTTTTGTCTTTTTCTTGTCTTCTGATGCCTTTTCTTTTTCCTTTTCCTTCTTCTTTTTCTTCTTTGGTTCTGTTTTGTCATTAATAGGTAGTCTAAAAGCATCAAAGCGATCCTGAGAAAAGGTCTTCGGCCGTTCGTATGGTCGAGGAGCAAAGAGTTGTTCGTCATCTCTTAGTGGAGCGTCCAAATCCATATCCAACGCCTTAAACTCGTCGGAAACTCCATTCTAAAAAGGTATTGGTTAACAGAAAGCTAATTTTAACTAAAAATTGAACATTTAGATAATAAAAGCTGATTTACACTTACCATATCCTTCTCGTCATCACTACTCAAAGCATTTTCGGGCATTTCTCCATCGTCTCTATTTACATTATGTACAACTACAGCCTCATCTTCTTCTTCAGAACTCGAAAGAACTGACAGTGTCTGAGCTTTAGTCTTCTTCTTCTTCTTGATGCCCTTCTTGGTCTTCTTCTGTTTCTCTACCTTCGCGGTCTTCCAAGATATTGTTGAATTCTGTTGCTCTAGATACCTGTCCATGCCGATAACTCCAGGTATCTCTAACGGACTTTGAAGATCGGGTGGTGATTGGTGTTTGACTCGCTTTGACACTTGACTCAGCTGACTCTGGTTGCTTTGGCTCTTCTGCATCGGCTTCACCACTGACTTCATGTAGTAGGGGTTGTTTTCTTGCTCGAATTTCCTTCGTTCCTTACTCTCTTCTATCTCTTTTTGAGATACCTTCTTCTTCTTCTCCGAGCCATTCTTCTTTGGCTTCAGATGTTCTTCTTCAGAACTATCCATATAAGACTCAGCTGCCAAAGCAAACTGACGTCTCGCAGTGTCGATTGAAGGCATTTCTTCTGGTTCCTCGTCCTCTTCTGATTCGGATTCCAGTGGTTCTACTATCCACTGATCAAGGTCCAAACTGTAAAATATATAATCACACAAGTTTAAATTTCATACGGTAGAATCTCCTGTATGATAAAATCTTATACAATAAAAATTTTAGACAATGAACAAATTTTAAATCTTTTCACTACAAATCCAATTTTAAATAAGCAAAACTCACCCTTCAGGCAGTGGAACCTTTCTTTGTGCTTTTGCAGCTACAGGATTCAGTTCTCCTACAAACAGATCCGAGAAGGCTTCCGCGATCTGCTTCTTTTGCATGTGTTCAGACTCCACAAACTTGAGAAGATGGAGTAGATTACAAGCACGTTCCTGTGCCTCCAAATGCTCTGAGTACTGGAATTGAGGTAGTTTTGATAGCACCAAATTGTCCAAACTTTCAATCGCATCCCAGTCGGCTTCCTTCTCGTATTGTACCAACAAGAAGGCATACAGCTTTGCAATGTTCTGAATGTAAACACTTAGAAGATCGCCGGGAACAAGAGATACTTTCGTTTTCAGCATTGATTCAAGCACAGAAGTTATGTCGTTTACGTGTCTGTAATTTCAATTTATATAACTGTCACTTTTAGAAATAGAAGATACCTTTTCAAAATTACAATAATATAACTTACTCAGCGTATTCTCCACAAATCCAAGCAGCAGCTAGAAGAACGGCCGAAATATTATTTCTTTGAGCAGAGTTAGCGGAAAGCAGTAAGTGAGCATTTTCAACAAGTAAAGCCATTTGTGATACCGAGTAGTGTCGTATTGATTGTACTCTAACAGTAACATCTTGAATCTGAAATTAAAATTGGCAATATAACTACATTTTATTAAAGAATAAATATTTTACTTTGCTACAAAGGTTTAGGCATAAAACGTACTTGTTCGCCGATCAAAACTCCGTGTTTCGATCCCTCTACCTTGGTGAGTTCTACTAAGACTGATATGTACCATTCGAAGTTAGTAATGTACTGATAGTTCTTGTGCGAACATATCGAGATTATTCGTGCCAGAAGTTCGTCACGGTAAAAAGCGCCTTCTGCTTTGTCTACGTGATCCATCAGTTTTCTTACGATCTCCATGATATTCTTCTTTGACACCATACCGTACAAAAGGTCCAGTGCTCTAAAATAATTTAAAAATTTTTTTTTAATTTAAGTAACAAAAAGTTTTAAATAATAAGCAAAACGTACCTCAATCGTATACTCTCGTCCTTATCATCCAAACACCTGAGTACTATATCCTTGTGAGCTTGTACTGCCTTCGGATGTGTTAGAAGAATCCTCCCCATCGCCAGCAATCCAAGGTACTTCAGGTTTTGATCAGAATCTTCAATTAGCACTCCAAGTTTTTGAACACATAACTAAAATATTAATTTTGTCGATCAAACTTTATATAAAACTATTACCTAAAATACAATAATTAAAAAAAGAAAACTTACTTGAATTGAAGGCGTGTAATCTCCAGGACCTTCAGTAGAAATACTAATTAGCACGGCAATCACAGTGTTAATGCATTCGTACAAAAGCGACATGGCAGAAGTGCTAAAAAATTATTATTATTTGAATTAACAGATTCATACCTAAACTTAGAAATTTTGCTACAGTTAAAGACGTACCTGTTTATAAGAGTAGTCAATGGCTCCAGCAACTTCTTGCCCAACCTTGATTCTAATGGCACTAAAGAACCAAACAGTTTTATGATTTTAATCAACATCCAGTTGTTCGAACTTGTTGTCATCAACTTAAAAAACAGTGGGGCCAAGCTCAAGTAATTCCTAGGGTTCTTTCTAGCCAGCTCACATATTACATTTACTGCAGCACTTTGAACCCCTGAATCCATGTTATATTAAAAGCATTAGGTAAAAAAAATGTTAAAATTTAAATAATGAATAGATTACCTGAATCAGGATCTTCCAATTTCTCCTTTAATCTTGAAAAGGTTGGCCTCAAGCTCTCTGGATACTTGAGAAAAACCTTGTACAACAACAAAACTGCCTTTTTACGTACATATGGACGACTGGATGTCAGCTACAAATAGTTTAGGTATTAAAAACTAGTTCAATATTTAAAAAACGTCATAGTTCAAAGTAGCCTGATCCGTGTTATTTAATGTATCGCTAATGCATTATAAAGCACCAAAATTAATATCTTACCAAGTTAACAACATCATTAACCAGATCCCTAGACAAATCAGACGTAGCAAAACATGCTAATCCACTCAAAGCTACTCCGCAATCGTACATGTTGCTACTCTGTAGATCTTTTCGAATCATATTCGTTGTTAACATCAACACATCAGTCTCGTCGTTGAAACATTGTGTAGCCGTCAGATATCCTATCCTTTTCTCACAATACTTGGTAGACGCCATTACCTCTATTATGTTGAAGGAAGCCCAGCTTATGTCATAACCAAGCATTTGTAACTAAAACACAGCATTTAAAGTACATATTACTTTTACTGTATAGTTCTTACTTCAGCACATATTTGTTACCTAAAAACTAAAAAAGCAATAAAAAACATACATAAGCCAACTTCTCGATAGCATTGGCTTTAATAAAAGGAGAATCTGTTCGTAACTCTGCCTTAATCTCCTCCATACAAGCAGCAATGTACCTTCCCTGTAAAAAATAGTTTCTTAACATAAGCTCTACAACTTTAATGCCACATTAATATGTAAAACGACACTTTTAAAATATTAATTATAAAAACGTACCTCATTTTCCTTGTTGTTTCTGATCCCTCGTATCAAGTCAGTAAGGTTTTTGTCAAAAAGACGGTCGATATTGTTTCGAACCTTCCGAAGCGCCATCTTTCGAATCAGTTATATTACCAAGAAACGAAGGTATCTCTTTTCCGTAGCATTACAGCCTGTTTTCAATAAAAGGATGCCAAAAACAGGGATAGAGAGCCAAGTCTCTCTCTAGTTTTGCGTGGCCAGAAACAAACCAATGCCCTGCGGCTCGAAGATTTTTGGCAGCCGGACAACGAGAATTCCCTTTTTTGCAAGAAAAGACACGCAGAACACTTCCACAAACAATTGATGTACAATAAAATATCAGACTTGATAAAAATAAGTTTGCATTTGACAACGGATTGTCTGTATTGTTTTATTGATAAAACTTTTTCTCTTGAAATTATTTATTAACTAATCAATAATATTTGTGGCATTTCGTCCATAACTCAAATTCTTGTTTCCGGTTGTTTTTGAGTGGACGAAAGAAAAGTTGTTTGTAAACATGTTCAAGCTAGCTTTTGGTTACTAATTGAAATTAGTCAATTGTTTCGACTAATTGAACTAAATCAATATGAAACATTGAAATTTTTCAAAATTTTAAGGATTCTTTACTGAACAACCCAGATTTATTAGGTATAAATTACAATAAATTATCTCCGACAGATTTTGTTATTTTATTAGAATGATAACACCTTGTTCGACAACATAATATATATAGAAATTAGCTTTAGATCACATTTAACCAAAGAATACAAAATAGACGTTTAAATGAAAGAATAGTGTTAACTCGACCAACTGAACCCGACCTAGACGATGAATCCGTTTTGAAGATTGAGAATTCGTTGAACAGATCATATATTAGAATACCCAAGGAAATGAAGAAACTGAGCAGAAACTACATTAGAATGATTACTTCTAAAGCTTTAATTATGAACAGAATCAAATTAATTTACATATAGAACTTTGGGTTACATTGCTTGATTACCGCCGTTGCGGAGGCTGACGGAAGTGGGGATTTTCCGCGTAGTTTGGGGGTACCATAAAGAATCTTTGGTTTAGATATGACTTGTTTGCTCCGTTCATACCGCCATCTGCAAGTTGTGATATAATTTAAATGTGAAAAAGGTTACTGATCTAAGGACCAAAACAGAAAACAGCAAACAATTAAAGAAATAACTATAAAGGTTATCACAATAGTAAAAAGTTTTGCTTTGTTCACACATTTCTTGACCGAAAAATAACTTACTGTTTAGATTTACATGTTCCACAATGATGCCAGGGTCTTCCGAATCTGAAGGAGGAGTGATTCCAGAATCCGTTAACGGAGTTCTCCCAATCCCAGAATCCGAGTCATCCGATACCGTGATCAGTTCCGCACTCTCCAATGACAGTGCTGATTCGAAGCTGCCCGATCGTTTCCCGATTTGTTGACCTGTCTGGTAGATAAACTCTTGTTCACCAGGTTTTTGGCCATGAAATACGAACACCTTGTTCATCTTCGCCCTTATGGTTTGTTGAGGGTAAGGGATGAACTGGGGTCGTTGTGCCTGCGGATAATAGTGCACAGGTCTGGGTTGTTGTTGAGGTTTAAAGTACCCAGCAGGTCCCACTGGTTTTAAGTAATACTTTTTGGACATTTCCATGCGAGCTAAAAGATAATAAATTAATTCTAAAATTTACTCAAAAGTTTAAACAATTTTAAAATTCAAATCCCGAAAACAGTGATAGCTAATTAAAAAATCAGAAAATTCCGAAAAAAACTTACGATTCCCAAATTCTGGACGTTGCATTTTCACTGTCCCAGCTGGTACTAGTCTGACATTCTTTATCCGTGGATTGTTTTGTTTCCAAAACTCTTGATGTTGTGCATTGTTCGAGTGTCCATTATTCATGTACTCAAGATACTCGTTCGCAAATGGTGTAAGCTCCTGTAGACTATGCTTCTGAGCTCGTCTGACATCTTGCTTATGATGCACGATTGGTCGACTTTTGAAGTTATCATTTCTAGAGCTGGGCCCAGGTTGACATTCGTTTGACCCTGATAAAACATCTTCCCTCTCGAGATGAGGCATGTCTGGAGATCGAGGAGGTAGTTCGACACTCCCTCCAGCTATTGAAGACATAGACGGACGCTGATTGTATACATAACTATCTTCTCTGATATACGAAACGGGAATAGGCTTCTGAGCCGGTCGTATGACTCGAACAACGTTGTTCACAGGTATATAATTACCATGAGTTGGCGGAGGTTTTACCATAAAACTGGTAATTGGCTTTGGCGGCGGAGGAGACGGTGTTTTCGGTAAGGGTTCAGTCGGCTGTCCCATAAGTTCTTGCAAGAAACTGGACTGAACGGGAGGCTCAGGTTCCGATTGTGCATTCCCATTAGCTGAGTTGAAAACGTATCCTGGACTGCCGTCGCAATTGCTAGCAAACTCAGACTTCGGCTCGATGGTTGTGTCAACTTCTAGAGCTGGATCTTCACTTTTAATGTGTACCGTTAAAGAATCGCCATTGTGATATTCGTGATCCTCTATCTCTTTCAAATGTCGCCTCGTCCGAAGAGCGACACAGTCTGAACTCTGATTAGTCTTAGGATGTAACATTCTTGGCTTTTTAGCCTTTTTGTCTCGAGAATAGGAACGAATATCAGTGATCTTAGTATCTATCATAGAAGCAAGCTTCGTGAGGTCTTTTGTATCTCTTTCTTTCGCTTTCTTCAACAAATTTTCTTCAGAAGATACCTAAAACACAGCAATTATTTGAGATTGAAACAACGTTTAAGCATATCGTTTAAAGAATGTGCAAAAAACTGCCTAAACTGACTATTTTACATCCTCAAAAATATATACCTCATTAAGTTATAAGTATATAGCTAAATTAAAAAAAATAATACCTAAAATTATTCAAAATTACCTAAAATATCAAAAAAAAATGTAAAAACATACAGACAAAGCCTCATCGTCGTTAGAAGAGTCCATTTCAAACTTCGTTCGCTTCAACACCAACAACAGCTCGTTCTTCTTCTCGGCAACATACGACAAGTTACGTTGACGAGGTGGCGACAGCAAGAACGACTGAGATTCGTCTCCAGAAGTTGAAGATTGCGGCTCCGCCAAATGCCTACGCCTCATATGATGGGCAAAAGCAACATGCTTGACCAGTCGATGGCATTTCTAAACAAAAAACAATAAGAATATAAAGTTACAAACCTCGCATTCAATTAGCCGAAGGTACCTCCAGTTATCCAGCGGTGATTGCCCAAAACACAATGCTTCTGAACAAATAAAGTATGATTAAAATAAATTTAACGTATTTACTTTTAATAAAATCAGGAATCTTTTAAAAAACAAAAAGAAGAGGCTAAACTTACTTTGATAAGACATGTGAGTAACCAGTTCATTTCGCCTGATCGGGGCTTGAGAAAACTCAGAAGCCGGCTTCAGCTGAGCCTCTTTAGATCGAAGAAAGGTCTCCCAATCAGCCATATTTATATCAGTTTAGTAACCTTAGTTATCATCTCACACAAACAATCCAAAAACACAATTCTACGTCAACAATTTTAGTTTGACAAAAATATTTTGATATCTAAAACGATATTTTATAGGTTAATAAAAAAATAAAATTTTAAACTAAAACCGTGTCTGATTAGTATCAGATGCGCGGTTAAAGACAACACAACGCAGACGGTTAATAGTTCTTTTTTCCGTCTTGGTTTAAAGAAGGAAGCGTTTTCGTGCCGGGACTCGACGCCGCGCCGAATGTGTAAAATATAATTATCTTATGATTTCTGGCATGTATAGAGTCGTATTAGGTATATGTATTGTATTAACAAGCTCTTAAGTTCAGTTTTTTAAAGTATTACGCTTGAAACGCGTAGACATCAAACAAAAAATGAGTGAACTTTTAGTATGTTGTATATTATGCTACAATAAATGTAGGAATGATTTCAACAAAATTTAAAATATTATTAGAGGTTATGTTGTTATTCGTTCGTCAGCCGACATTCTATTGTCTGAATCACAATCGGTGGATCGCCCATCTCCCATTGACCATTACTATCACATGTACCTGGGAACGTGGATGAAGTTCCAGCGGCTGTCGCTAAAAAGTTGTCGTCGTTTGCCACAATTGAGGTCCCTAAGTCAGTACCAGCGTTTGATGGGATTCTGAAGTTATTAATATGTATATACATGCATAATATATCTTTTTATGGTTAGGAGATAGTTATCTATAAAAAATACTTATTGTTAAACTGCACAGTTTGGTGAAAATTTGACTACAATAGCGCTAAACACAACCTTATGTTCTAAACACTGTAAGATTGAAAAACGTACGAACATGTTGCCGTGACAGTTTGAGGACACGCATCGTTGTCGTATGTAAATGTCATGTCACCGTTTGCAAAATTACTGTCGGTTACAGTAGTGGCTGTTAATTGTGGACAACAAACGCCACCAGATGCACTGTCATGATTCGCACTTTGAGTTGGTGTGCATGATCTACATAACATGACAGACATCATAGCGGATATAATAACTAACTCAATTTGAGTTGTCTGAAAGTACTATTTATGTTATGATTGACCTTTACAATATTAATGTCTTACAAAAATGTAGTCCTTTTCTACTCGCTATCAAAAATTAACGCCATTAACACGTTTGCTTACCTTAATTAAGTTGATAAACATTTATTAATCGTTAAAGCATGAAGGAAACGAATAAATACAGGTTAAGAGTACAAAAGTCGAAGAAATTGAAAGTTTTAGAGGAACTGTTTAAGGCCGGATTAACCTCGTTGCGCCAATGGTCGAGCGGTAATTACTAGTATATGTACATACGATTTGTTTGTAATACCGCGAGAAACGTCATACTTTAAGTTTTGACGTTGAATAGGAGTTGGCAGCACAATGCTCGCTCAGAATCCTGAAAAGCTCAATATAGTCGTGTAGCTAGCAATATCTTCTAATAATACATCTCACAACTACTTTGCCTCTTTGATACGGTAACTTTTTAAATGGGTAAAGTACTACAAACTGTTACCATTCAATAGAAAACACAACGAGTTTCTTCTTTTTTGGCACTTGAAAAGATGGTTTCCATTCAGGCAGGTTCATTTCTTTCCTGAACTTGACGTGTCTACAGATGCGAGGGTCGTGAGCATCGGCTTCTCCAGGACACGCACACGAGGCTGTCCTTGAACTTTTATTGTCTACATCACCCGTTTCTTCAAACCTACAATTACAGTCAAATATCGTTATATTTTTAAAAATACTGTTTTTTAGTATAAAATCAATTAAAAAACGTATAACAAAAAAATTAAAAAGTTTGCTGATTCTCATTACTATGTTAATATTGTACAACCTACTTCCGTATCACTTTACTGACACAGCTATGCGTGACACCGATCGTTCTGGCGATCGTTATCTTCCTGGCTCCATCCTTGTACATTTCGATTATTTTCTTTCTGTCGCACGCTAACAGTGGTCGTCCAGAAATGTACGGTCGCCCAAAGCGGTTTCGAGCTGACTCGCCTACTGTAACACATAAATTTATTTTAAAGCCAATATAGACATTCACTGGCCAATAACTGTAGTTTACAGAGTTTTTTCAACACTTCGTAAAATCAAAACTTACTTGTATCTATTGGTAAAACAAGTTCACGGTGCAAAGAATGACCTGATGCCGTAGCTGTTTCTACCATCCAGTTCTGAAATTGTTAATTTTAAGGATATAGAGTCCCACAACGTGTTAATAAAAACACTAAAAAATAAAACAAATTATATCAAGTTCTAAGAATAAACTACTCTTATATTATAGATATTATCCTTACAAAAGCATTGAGTTGATTTGGCAACGGAATAGTGTCCATTTCCTGCTGCAAATACTGTTCCAAACAGCTAATGTTACAGTGCTCTAATAACTACTGACACTGTATCCAAGTATAATAGTTATTGCTACAGTACTCCAGTAGATGCTGTTACCGTATACCAGCGGCTACTTGGCAGCCGAGTAGTATAAATGATTGGCCGGTACTTCTGGCGGGCGTCGCAACCATAAATGAACAGAATCTGAAGAAGGAGAAGCCTGTTCCAACTGATAAAAACTCTGCGAGGTGTTTTTTGCCTGGGGGTGATGATGGACGACTTAGTCGACAAGTTGATGAAGAGTATAATAAAGTGGTTGTATTCATCAAAGATGATTAACCGTCCGGCCGGATCAGCGGAAGGGGTTGGGCTGAAGCAGGCGAGAGACCTTGCAAAACATTACCGCTGGTCATTAATTTGAAGTTGCAAATGTTGTAAATTCATTTTAGAAGTGTGGGTAATATACGAAAGTTAATTTTGAAATTGGAAGTTTTAATATTCTATGCCTTGCCACATCAACGGTAAACGCTGCTATCATAATCATAGTAATCTCATTTTATCCCCAGTGATAAGTAATCGTGAGAAGCTGTTCTTAAAAGAATCCATCACAGCGAAGCGGCGTTTTTTTTAAAATAACATAAAAACTTACATCAATGACACGCGCCAACAATTTCAGCTCGGAAATTGATGGGACCCATTAAATTTTAACTTACGATTATCAAAATGTTGCGATTTTTGTTGCGGATCATCAGATGGATGGCGCGACGATCCATCAACGATCTTCAGAATTTAATTTCATTGATCGTGCAGACAAGATTAATGCTGCCAAAACCTTAACAATGTAACAATGAGCTACGTTTTTTAGCAGTAGCATCTTAGGGTAACTAAGTTACCTTGTAGGTTTTTATCATTACTTTGCTAATTTATATTTATTGCTTTACCGTGGAATTCAGCTTCTAAAAACACTTCCGTTTGGTATCTCCGAGAGTGTGCTGACACCTATTTATGTGATTTATGATTTAGAATGGAATCTGATGCAGTAATGTTTACAATATACACTACAACATTAGTTTTTTATCCGTAAAGCTCCCTTTATCGTTAACGTGACTGATCAAACTTATCATAACATAAGTAAACCACTAATTATATCTAAATTTATATTCCGAATGTAAGCGATAAAATAGTTATTTTACAACCCAAAAAATATATAGTAACATCTAAAGTTGTAGAATGAAAGGTTCGTAGATTAATGTACAATCTATAACATAGTAATACCTAGGCCAGCTCTTCCGTGGCTAAACAGAAGAAGCGAGAAGAGGAGCACCGGGATCGACAATAGATAACATCCTAGATGATAAACAAGATAGCATCACGGATAAAAGTGTGGTCTAGAGGTGTAATACCGAAAAGAAAATGGAGCAGGATCGGGTTGGTCGATTCATAAACGGATTCATTCTCAAATGGGGTGGAATCCCTATTCAAACAGAATCGCATCCTTACAAAAAAATCAGAATCCAAGAAAAAGTTAGAATCCTTCATCCCATCCTGAAAACTCGTCTGGAGGTACATCTTGGTCGGGTGGGTAGTTGTCGAAGTTAGACACGTCGGCTGGGTTCGTGACCTTCGGAATGATCGGCGGCTTCAAGGTCCTAGTCCTCAAACCTTCCCAGTCAAAGCCCATGAACCACCTGTGCTTCCTAATATCATTCACACCACCCGATCCCGACCCAAGCCGTTCTCCCGGATTGTCGCGGCAAAGTTTCTTGACCAACGCTGTAGCCGTCTTGCCGATTCTTCTGTTTGGAATCTCAAGAGCATCAATTCCTTTCAGAATCAACGTGTACGTCTTCATTGGATCAGATGCCTGAAAGTAAAATAATTTATAACTCCTAAAACAATTAAATTTTTCACAAAATTTAAAATAACTTTGACGAAGTGTCACAAATCTATCGGATTTAGAAACGAAATGTCCAATTTATTATATTTTCAACAGTTTTTTGTTTTACCTGGAATGGAGGACGTCCCAACATCAATTCGCAAATGTAAATACCCAGAGCCCAGTAATCGGCAGCTTGATCATGACCTTTGTTCAAGATAATCTCAGGAGAAACGTATTCAGGAGTTCCACAGAAAGTCCACGTCTTTCGGCCGCTAGCCAGTCGTTTGGCGAAGCCGAAATCGACCAATTTCAAGTAGCCAGAAGTTGTAAGTAGGCAGTTTTCAGGTTTTAAGTCACGGTAAACAATGTTTTTGTGGTGAAGATACTCCAGACCTTCCAGCACACACGCCACGTAAAAGCGGGCCGTGTAGTCGTCGAAGTGCCCTCGATCTCTGAGCGTAGTCCAGAGTTCACCACCCAGACAAGCCTCTAGCAGCATGTACACGTATTTGGAATCTCGGAATGTTGTGTATAAGCGTACGATCCAGTCGTTGCGGGTTTCCATCATGATATTTCTTTCGGCAAAGATGTGTTCTTGTTGTCGCGTATCCACGATGTGCTTCTTTTTCAGGGCTTTCAAAGCGAAAGTGCGCGACTTGTCTCCGCCAATGCATACCAATTCTACTCGGCCGAAACCTCCCACGCCCAACGTGGCAATGCGCTTTAGCTGGCGTAGCTGCAAGCTCGCAAACTCGCTGAGCTCTCGAACATCCTTTGTGGGTGAAGGGTGTTCCTGATGTGTACGTGAGGATAAGGTCGCTCTTCGTTGCAAATCTCCGTAGTCGCGTTTCAAAGCCTGTAATTAGTTTGCATTTACATTTCAAATGTGTAACGTTGTAAACTTAAATGTTTCCAAGGCTGTGTTTAATATTGCAAAAATATATTAAAAATAGCGATGGTTAATTTGTAAATTAATGTCGTGTAATTACAGATGTTTCATAATTACTATTGTACTTACTTCAAGATCACCAATGAGCTTCAAGAACGATTCTCGGTCGAGAGTCAACACTTCTACGCCTGGGTTCATGGCAATAACGTTGGCAGTACGAACTTCATCTCCTAATAAGGCTCGCTCTCCGAAGAAGTCACCTTGCTTCAGGATCCTGATTTCTCGAGGTTCTGGCTCTCCTTCGATGGTCTGGGTAACTTGGACTTGACCAGAGTTGATAACAAAGAAGGTATCACCCTTTTCGCCTTCTCGGATGATGTAATGACCTCCGGCATAGTAATCTTGGTCCATAACATCGGCCATTTTGGAGATACGATCTTCTGGCAGATTCTCAAAGATGGACACTTTGTGGAGGAAGTTCATGAGCTGAGAATGACGTTCCATTCCCAACCTCATGGTGATCATTTGGAAGGCAGATCGATCTAGCACCCATAGTACAACGTCGGTCAAGGCTTGGATTGACGCCGTTCTAAAGATACACAGTTTAACAGTGTTCGTGACAACCTTTACGTGTATGTACGTAGCTGTATAACATATAGTATCGTAAGGGTGAGACCGGTTTTATGATGATAAAAATGTTTTAAGGCCAGTTTTTAAATTTTAAAACATAATTATCTTATGGTTAATTACAAAAAACCAAATTATTCATACCTAGTGCAGTTGTATAAGATGGCCAACTCGCCCATGACCACTCCTGGGTTCATGACGCCCAACGCCTGACCTTCTCTGGAGACCTGCAGCTGACCTTCGGCAACAACAAACAAACGATCTCCAGGCTCTCCTTCTTGAATGATCCACTGACCAGCTCGTGCTCGCATCTCGAACATGCACTCCACCAGTTCGATGACCTGTTCTTTGGCGAGTTGCCGCAAGAAGTCGTTTTTCTGGACGGCATCTCGGATCAGCTGCTTCGAACCGGCACTCTTAGGATGGTGTTGAAGTGTGGCGGCCTTGTGCTGGTCGAGCTTGGCTGGCTCGGCCGAAACGGCCAACTTCTTGGCTCGAGGCTCATTCGTTTTGACATCGGCTGGTAGGACCTTCTTTTGTAGGGCTTCCTGAAATGAGTCATAATCAACAAAGTAATTTACAGTTATTTCATTTGATTATTGTTATTTTCAAATATTACTCAAAATTCTATAAACAAAAAGAAAAAGACAATGCCTGGTTAATCTCAGCATGAGGGTCGTCAGTTTGACTTGTCTTGGGCTGGGGCGTTGGTGGAGAGGCGACTGATTCAGCCTTCTGACTAAGCACGGAACGGAGCTTATCACATTCTGTCTGCAAGTATAATATTGAGTTGTGTCTCGGTTCCCAGAACTTTTTTGGAAAAACAAAAAACGACAACAAGTGTGATATTCAGTAGCGTAAGACGTAAACAAGACTACAAGTTCTGCAAAAGCCCACCTGAAGGGTCTTGACGTCACTCTCGAGTTTCACAATCTTGGACTGTTGTACTTCGATCTGGTTCTGGGCTTGTTGCAGGAGCCGGTTCTTCTTTTCGATCGTCTCTTCTAGCTGTGGAACCAGCTTCTGGATTTCTTGAGCATCGTAAACCCGACTTCCAATTTGGACCTGAATGACATTGTTTTAGTTTGGAACCGAGTCCAACAAGTTAATCTACCCCAAATCCTTACATTTTTAGCCCGCTTTTAAAAGTCAAAATTGGAATTCAAAGAAATTCCGAGAAAATCCGTTAATTTAAGTTTTGTCGCTTTGAAAACGTTAATTAAAGTTTTATGACCTCACAGAACGTGTGACAGTTGTACGAAAGTAACGTACTCAACTGAGTATTATCTAATGATACAAAATAGAGACCGTACCGTCCACGGATACTTGAGAATGCCTTTGAACATAGACGACATGATTTAACGTGCTTTATCAGACTTCCCAGTCAAACCTCGAGTCTTTAAGACAAAAACATCTATGCCGTGAAACCCTAACTTTCACACACGTCCTCCGAGAATGGGCACAGAATAAGTGAACGTGCGTGAGATGCTGCAATCCATATCAGTTTTAAATTTGTAATTTAGCGCGACAATTAAGAGTATCAAAGTTTAATATTCGCAAAGAACGTCGTATAAAAAGTATTAAAAAAGCAATCTGAAAGTATCCGAATACCACCTAAAAACATGGTAATTGCGGCATAATTAATCGAGTAGTCTAATTTCAGAATATCCAATGTACGGCAATCGGAACCCTTGAAAGCTGCAGAAATCCAGCTAATTTTAAGTAAGGAGAGTATTTTTAGTTGCATAAACGACTATTCTAACGTTAAACATACTTTTTATATAAAACATCATATACTCTACTCTTAATGCCAAATACAATCAATTTTACTCCCGGAAGCCACAGGATGCCAAATTACAAAAACAGTTTCCAGAAGATACATAAACGCCCATCTTCCGGCCACTTTACGCCCTGAGGGGCTAAGAATGAGACACACGCGGCTCATTCCCGTACCCACTGAAAAAGCGTGCCGCTAAACACATACAGGCCAAAAAGGGTATGAAATATGGGACTGGTAATACGTGAAAGAGAAAACAGCCAAAAAACAAGAAACCGCGGGGAATGTCTACTGCACCTTGGTCGTCCTAGCACTAAAAAGGAGTTGAGAGACACACATTGGACAGGTAGGGGAGATAGGCAGCCGGCCATGTTGTTAATCTGCTTAGAAAAAACGGCTTTTAATCCCCCCTAACAGCCGGGTGATGATGGCTAGGTTCTACTCCGTAATCGGGCGTCAACAATCGAAATAGGAAGAAGACCAACAGTTGCCCATTACGGCGCCGCCTTCCGACTTGAAACGGCACATCACGGTCTGTTATTGTTTATGATTGTTGTCGACACGACTGTAGAGTAGAATCAGTGCAAAAAGCGGAAGGCGGATCGTTTGGTCACGATTAAAAACAAGAGCGTCCCCAAAAGTGCTATTACTTACTCCGCCATTACCCAAAAACAATCCAGACAGACCACAGAAACAGACGCAAAACAGACTCATGGTTATAAACAACTATATAAGTATGGCAAGATATGTAACACTACACCTTCTGTGTCACGTTAAGTGTCATTATCACAGTTTTATAAGACATACTCTCTGTATTCTTTACATAACTTTGACACATGTTGTTTTCTACACGTAGATACAGCCACACCTTGTTTTTGACAACAAAATGCTGCTGTATATAGCCTTCAGTAAGTAGACCTTGTTGTTCAGAACATCCCTTCACCTTACCTTCCCCAACCCTCCCAGCGCAGGGTCGGCGCGTGCTGAAAACATGTTCATACTAGCTGTCAGGCCTGGCTGATTCGAACCTGATTGATTATAACATTGAGTTTTGGCGGCAGTGACACTGTAAGGAAGTATCGTGTTCGTTAAAAATTAATTTACATCGGCACAACAACGACCGCGTTCAATTAAAATTAATTCTCAATGTAACGCGTAAATAACCCAGTAATACCACGAGCCTGTACAATAACCTGAGTAAGTAATAGGTATACCAGTCTCTATGTAATAGGTAGCAATACAACGGACTTTTAACAACTATACCGCGAAATTGCCACGGAATTGTAATGTGTATACTGAGCAATAAGACCAGCTTGTAATGGGTGTAGCCAACAATAACACTTAGATATCGGGTTCTCATACAGGCTAGTGGGTTGTGTACGTGAATAAAAACAAGCATTATAGGTAACACTTGTAATATCGTTATACTACAGCCTCGTAAAGTACCCAAAAACCTGACATAACATTTTAAACGGACATACAGTTAGTAAAAGGATATAGTAAACGGACAAACAGGCTGGTAAATACAAGCTCGTATGTTGTGCGGCTAAGTCGAAGCCATATCTTTGTTGACACCTTCGAATTTCATAAAAGTTGAAGCGCCTCGCAGTTAAACAATGGTTTCCTATCAAACCAGATGGGGACGCGGATTCGACGCCAACCTATCTACTGGCAGCGAATCGTTCTGCGCCTCAATACCCTGGAAAAAACAAATCGCCGCAAGGGGAAAACAAAACCGCTGAGGCCGCGTTTCCTTCACAAAACAACATGCAGACCCGTCAAATACAAAAAATAACAATCCAGCCGTGTGTTACGTTTAAAACGCAATCTGTCGACCTTGTAAATATCTATGACAAGACGGCGAAGGAAGTAAATCAATTTTACTTTCTTAGAATACATTATTTCGGTTTGTTATCGCGAAAAATCGATCGCCGTCGCTTGCTGAATCTCTTTCTCTTGTCGTAAATGACTTGTTTAGGGCTGTTTGTTTTAATGTTTTGTGTCCACACGACGCTCAAATGTCCATCAAGGTGTTGGAATCGGTTCCCTGTACAATTCGAAGCCTTAGATTTCTCAAAATTTTAAAAAATTTGGAAAAATAAAGGTTCTTGTCACCAAAAAGATAAAACTAAGCAGGAGGTAAACCCGTGTAAGCCCAAGGTAACACCCAGCTCAAAGCCTATAAACAGACGGAGTAAACAAACGATTGATCGCTCCACCAGAACTGATATGACGGACCCAAATACGAACCCAACCCATCTGCAAAAAAAGGCTGCAAACCCGCCAAAAAAAGGTCCTAAAAGCGGCTTGCAACTCTCTTTCTCCTCATGTCCGGAGGGCTGTCGAGGCAAAACGACTTTGTAAAAAGAAAAAGGGACACACGAAGCATTCCGAGCTCCCCTCCCTGCACTTTCCATTTTAATTTTTGTGTTCGCTTCTGCAAAACTTCCACGAGCCGTCCCAATCTCTCGCCCCGACTGTTCCATTTTTTATCATAATGATGGCGGAGTTATTGTTTACGATTTACTTTTCTTGTTGTTGTGGAAAACCGAGAATATTATAAGTTGTGACCAAAAACAACTTTACTCACAAGGTTCGGCATCCCCGAGCACTTTTGTTGTTTAGGTACAGTTTTTTGTGGCAGATATTCGAAAACACTATATTGACAAGGAATCACACACTTTGATGCTTGTAAAAGATTAATATACACCTGCGAAGAGACTACATCATAATCACAAAGTAACTTCCAGTATCTCTTTAAGTTACATTACAACGAGCTTGCAAGATTACAAAGATATTGACAGAGACGTGCAAAGACTTGAACGTCTGCTTTGCTGACGCATTTCCTCAAATTTATTTAAAGTGACAAAGAATTTCTCAAAAACAATCATTTCGAATGATTGGCGAAAACAGAATTAGCTAGTCATATCACAAAAACATCCTTAAACTCCATACAACTGTCACGTTGAATCCAAATTTCGGAAACTATATCAAAACATGGTTGGCATTCTGCACCACCTTTTGCGAATTTTAGTTGTGAGACAAAACATGATAACACTTGTCTTTGGTAAACAAGATTAAAAACGTTTTTTTCGCAAAAAGCGTTATACTTTGTATAAACTATCGAAAGAAGCCAGACTTTTAAAAAAATAGTTTGATAAGTTTATAACACAACATAGTAAACCGACCTGATGAGCATGTTCAGATGGCTTGCGCAGCTTGCTGAATAATCCTCGGAATCCGCCACTGGACTGACTCTTGTGATGGCTGTTTTCCATGGTTGTCGACGAACTCATCGCGACGCCAATGGGGCGTTCGGATGTGCGATCGGAGACCAGATCGCCGTCGGCCGAACGCTTCAGTCTGCGCGAGAGATGGCCGTTGGCTCAGTTTAGCGATATGAAGTTGAATGAAGCCGGTCGGACGTGGCTCAACTGAACATTCGACTGGACTGAAAATGGTTTAATCAGCCGATAAATTATGGCAAACAGGTAACGCGAGTTTCAGCATAATATACGGTACAAAATGGCATTAACAAATGATATGGTGTAACAATGTAAAAATGGTAGTATAATGTAATATGGCATGGATTAAAATAGTATATTTAAAGTAAAATACGTTGAAGTATGCAGAACAGCAAGAACAGAAAGTAAAAACAAAAAGTCGTTAAAAGTAATGGTATAAACGTGATAGTAACACATCAATAGAGTTGAACCCGTGGCAATATAATACACCTTTAATTGTAAGTTTATTCGTACAAGAAATGTCTACAGATTCCGTCGTCCGGCAGACCAAAGACCGCTGCTGAAATAACTAGGATTAGAATGTAGCATTATTTGACAAACTCTTTAAATTAATCAGCGCTTTCAAAGAATTGAATAGCGTTAAAAGCCTTGAATAACTGTCTAAATTTTGATATTCTTATATACGTCAAAGTTTCTAATCAAAAACACTAAGTCTAAAATTAGAATGTGAGTATCAAAAATAGTATTTTTCAAAAAATGTGTAAAATTACTTTTTCTATGATCTTTACTATTTACTTTAATATCAAATATACTCATGTAACGCTTATAATGCCACCATTGTTATTTCCTTTAAAAAACAACGAAGTGTCACAAAATGTATTGGAATTTCACGCCACAAAAAGAGCCTTTTTTCCTGTATGTTTTGGAATTTATCTATTTAAAGCTGACTGATTTTCATAATTAACTTTCAACTTGTACTTTAACCAACTAATAAACCGTTACCTGCACTCGTCGCTGGTCGGGAGCGAGGAATCTGTCGCTGCACTGAAGTCCCCAGTGGACGGACTCGCGTCCAAGGAGATGGCCGCGTTCTCGGTGATGCCGTTCTGCCTGAGGTACTCGGTTAAGGCGGCGGACTCTTCCGCTGACACATCGCGTAACAAGCTTTTCATGCCTATAAAACAAAAGAGATATATTGGCAACGAATAATAGCTAAAGTAAACAAGAAAAGCGCATAAACAAAGGCGGGAATTACTCGTGGAGAAGGAACACTTACGCGCGAGCAGATGCTTCCTCTCAGGTCCATAAAGTTCCATTAATTTGTAGGCGAATTCGAGCACCGGCATCTCTTTGGCGCGCCATCTTTTCAGCAGGACAGCGAACTTGTTCAGCTCGTCGTGCGAAAGGCAGACGGCTAGCTAAAGGAAAGAAGAAGGCTAATGTCATAAACAAATAAATGTGTGGAATCAAAAATTTATGACAAAAGAGCCATATTTTGTAGAAACGAAGGTAACGTCAGTATTCGAATATTGAGTAAGATTATATAGACTATCTAACCTAAAATCATAATATACTTATTCTACAATTAGAGCTAGACTGCCTTCTACCACAACATTACGATTTTACTCCTGACACAACTTGTGCTAATATGGATGTGTATCGCCTTAAGAGTATAACAAAGCCGCAGGGCCTCTTCAAAAACAATTGAAACAAGCGGGCCGGAAGAAAAATAAAATTAAAAAATGCCGCTGGCATCAAATAGAATTAACCCGAAGCGGACGAAATTTATTCGTACGTATCAAACAGCAGAACGGAAACAAGATCACGCAGTCCGAGAGTACCTAAAAACTAGTCCAATACCCGAAACCCAACCAGATACTCGAAATGAATTCTGGAAACTAAACCCAATTCGAAGCCTCTCCTCTTGGCGCCAATTCCGACGCCATTCAAATAATAGGAAATGAATCCAGTACAGTGTTGCACTCTAAGAATTGCCTTGGCACTAACTCACGGTACCTTTGATAAGATTTTAAAATGTTTTTAAATAAAATTAGAAAGTTTACAAAGACAACTCTGACTGCAATATGATAATCTAGTGCCAAAACTTTTCAATTTCTAAACCAAAAACCCCTCAATTCTTATTACCCTACCCCAAAAACCTTCCCGAGTACAGTTGTCGCCCTTTAACACAAAAATATGAAAAACTCTTGCAATGCGCAGCATCAATCATAACCCAAACCCTTGAGTTGTTTGCTAAAAAAATTTGTAGGGAAGAACGGAAGACGGTCTTACTAAATAGACTTTGTTGTAAACAACCTCAACGTAATTATCGTACCATGGTCAAGTATTCATTGATACGATCGATGCCGACCTTCGACGATGTACTAGTGCTGACCGTACTCAAGGACAAGGTAGTGCTGTTGTGCTTAGTCTTTGACGGTACTTCGGTTATGCCGTAGACATCACTAAATTTACTTGGCTTTACGTAACTTGCTTGTTAATTAAAAAGACTTATCATGTATACTGTATTTTACAACTAATTCCAAAAGAATATATTAAAAACAGCTTGATATATGTTTAAAAAACCTACAGAACCTTCTTCGATGACGAAACAACATCTGATTTAGGAGAAAAGCTGGACATAGAAACGCTTCGTTTAGGTCCTATAACGTGTTTAATATAAACTGTTTGTCAAAACAAGATCAGATAAGAGAAATTATTTAAATGGTCGTATAACGCATACCTTTGTCCTTATTTTCATTTACAGTATTAGCCAATACTTCCCGATAAAGCCGCTGAAACGCTCCATCTAAGTGATTACAGACTTCTTCGGCCGTTTCCTGAAAATTCATTTTATGTTGTTTCTATCATAACATATTTAAAATTTTATACTAAACAGTACCCATGTACTAAGCTGATATAAACCATCAAAGCTGATACTAACCTTACCAAAGATACTAGCTGATACCAAACCTTATCTCAATACTATTCAAAATAACAAACATTATCAAACACAAGACTCCTCGGTCATGCTGGAAGTCAGACGCCGCAAGCGAATAATTTGAAATCCCATGTCAAAAAGATTAAACGCTGTACAAAGTAGCCAAATCTCGGCGTGAGAACGAGCAGCATTCACGAAGGCAACGTGAATAAAGATGCGCAATAAAGACGAAGAAAGAAGAAGGGAATGGCGTCAGAAGCCGTCCAAGTGCGGCCAAGATGAGATAAAAGTCGACACAAAAACAAACGCGACCCGTTCGTTAAAAATGCAGCCCGGACTTCCGTCGACTCGAGTCGCCAGAAGCGTGAATCAAGAAGCCCCCCTTAATGGGCATGGCAAATCGAATCAGTGAAACGAAAGTAACGAGACGTGAAACATATTTAATATGAAGGAAGGGTTCTGAAGTAAGAACTTGGCAAACGCCACTATCAAACACAAACTCAGTCATACTGCCCTATAATTTTAAATTTCCCGTCGTTTTTAGCATTCTATTTTGAAACTCTAGTATCACATGTGGCAGTTCTTTCGATAGACTGATAAGACCTATTATTAAAATTGATTACTCGAATACTTTATAATTAAAAAACTGTAAAAAAAGCCAAAAAATCAAAATTTAAAATAAAAGTTGAAGTAAAAAAGTAAGCGTACCTAGGTATTTCTATTAGAAAGCGTCAAAATAACTGTTTTTTGCAAAAAAAACAGAATCCGTAAAAGCGTGCCCTCTGGCCTTTCCTATGTACAAGTTATTCAACAGTCTGTCATCACAAAATAGAATTCGAAGTGTCTGATCGAAGTAAAAACGCAAAAAGAACACTGTGACGTGCACGGAGGTGACAAGTAAACAGCTTCGGTACAGACAGCACCCAAAATAAGAGAAAATAGCACATAAATAAGTGAAAACAGTACACAAAAGGCTGAAAAAAATTTCTAGAAGGAATGAAGTCTGTACCTCAAAAGATAAGTACAATTTATATATATAATAAGAAGAACCAGTACCTATAAAAGTAAAAAAGTTTTTAGAGTAGACACTATCTAGAAAGTAGTACCCAAAGAAAATCGAAAAAACATATAAAACAAGTTATAACACCCCCAAAACAAACAAAACAGTACCTTTTCCTTCACAAACAGCACTGCCAGATCCACCAAATCGGCCGAATACACTTCCCCTATCTTCAATGCCACTATATGTTGTTCTTCTTCAATTACGTACCCCACTGATACCAACATGTATAGTGGTACAACTAGGACTACATCCTAAAATACCACAACTATAGGTAAAAGACGTTAAAAGTAAAAGCCAAAATATCAGCACCGTGAACAGTTTTAATTACTGCACCGTGTTACTCAAACAAGTTTAGCGCTCGAAAAGTGTACCACCTTTCAGTACAGTAGCGTGAGCAAGTTGTGTACAAGTAGCCTCACCTCAACCCAAACAAAAGAAGATTCGAAGACAAAAAGTTAAAAATTTATAGAATGTATATGAATAAACAGCCGGCTGTTTATCACTCACCCCATCAGCCATGTTACGAATGACCACAGCTTGGTGGTCTAGCTCCAGCCGTGCGTTTTCTGCGATCTCTCGCGAAGGCATGATGACTTGGCCATTAGCCTAAAAAAGTAATGTCATGCAGTGTCATTAGAGGTTCGTTTTTGACAGATACTTTGCAATTCTGAGCAGCTTCAAAACAAGCTCCTCTTCCAGTTTTATACTATATATTACAGTACTGAAATCTGCTTTTAGTATCAAAAGTTCTGTATTTTTACTGTTAAATTTTAAAACTAAGTAATAAAAAATACAGAAAGAATATCATATTAATGCTTGTTTAACATAAAATTTTTAAAATTTAAACTTGATTATACAGAAGCAAGTAATCTGTAATTAAGGTAAACCTCGTACTGACAACAATCCCAGACACCAAACCCTCCCTTACCTGAGCATGGTCCAACACCTTCAACAGATCGGTGCGCCCACTCGGATCGATGTTGGCATTGACTCGGGACGCCAGCCCAGCATACTGCAACCAGCCATCATCACCATCTCAAGGTTAAACATAGAAAAGGGAATGGGCCGAGAAAAAGTTGGGAAGCAAAAGAAAAATAACTAACTAATAGTGCGACGGGCAAAAAACTCGAATAAACACACATCGGAAGGAGACGGAGTGATTCCAGACCTGATTGGCATTCATTTTATTCGGCCGGCAAAACAATTCCCTCAGGGGGGAACGCCACAAATCAAGTCTGTTGTTCTCGTGTCTTCATTAACATTAATATTGTATGTTCATAACCACAAGTTGTAATCGCAAGACAGTGAAAAGCCGGCTCAAAAGAATGCTTTCCTCCCTCCCAATTAAAGCCTTTATATTGTAATAAAAAAGTTAATTCAAAACGTTTTTCCAATTACTTTCGGACTGTCAGAGATGCCGTTCTGATATAAAACGTTCAAAAATATTCTAATATAAACAGACTTTATTACCTAAAAATGCTAAAAACCAACTGTTTCAAATGCAACAAAAGGCGCCAAGTTCAAATACCTATTTATAGCTCTAGTTGACACTTGAATGCCGCACGAATGACAACTTGTGACAAATTTACTGGAAACAAACGAAAGAACATGTGTTCTCGGTTTACCTGAATAGCGAATGTGCGCGTCTGAATGGTGCAAGTGGCCATAATAAATGAAACAATCAATACGAATATTCAAACAGTCACCAACATCGGCTTCGAAAATCGCGACCGACCCGTAAATGACTGAGAAACGGGCTTAAAAGCGCAAAAAAGACAACCTTTTTCAGCCCGTCTTCAGCTGGCTGGCTACCCCACACTCTCGCCGAATCAAAGCGAACACGCTCCAATGATAGCTATGCCTATTACAGCAATTATGGTTCCACAAATAGAACAGCTACTACAATGTAAAGTCATTGCTACCGAATTGGCCTCAAATCTAAGAAAATCACAAAAAGTAAGAAGATATTAAGAAGTATACCTAAGCCAGTCACAGTAAGAACTTAAATTTGTCGTTATCGTAACAATATTCAGTAGATGTAAACATTTTTGTAACCCGTAAAAATAACAAAAACGAATAAGTTGTAACTCAACTTCATTTCTCATACTCTTCAACGTAACATGTAATAATAAACCATTAATTCAAAATACATATTATTGTTAGTAACAAGTCCGTATAAAAAACTTGCGAAAAGTCATTCTTTTCCAACTCGTTGTTATGCCTTTCTGAGACAATAATTTAAATATGAAAAGTAATGTAGTTCAAACTAAGTTAAAAAAAACATTAGATGAAATTGAAAGATTTATAAACAAATATTACTGTGAGTGTATTAATTAGGTATGTGTAATATAACTATTGAGATCCACATGCAAACATAAACAATATCAAAAGTAGTTAAGTTAGAAAATTAAGCGACATCAATGTTATCATCCACAACATGATCAGGATGAGCCACCAGTGAAGGGTCTTGCTCTTCTTCTTCAGACAGGTTGATCAGCACCGAATCCTTGATCAGCTTTCTTATCATTCTGTTGATAATGGCCTTCTGAGTGTGGTAATCCTCTTCTGAATGCAGGTCTTCTTCGATCATTTCCAAAAACCTGTAATTTCATTTCAATATAGAACACAGCATTAAGATTGTGTTGATCTATACTATACAACATATAAAAACAATACTACTCAAAATATAACTCACCATTCCGCAAGTTGAGTCTGTTTAACACCACTCCATTCAGTATCCTCAGCGTTCTTCTCTTCTTCACCTCTCAAGTACAATACTAACATGTTAGCTACTCGTTTGTAGTAGTCGTACTTGATCTTCAGCTTGTCTGGATCAACTTCACCGGCCTGTGTATTACTTTGTGTGTTGGTATTGCTGACATCTCTGAGAACTCCCTCGTCCATCACAACATTTCCCTATAATAAAAATAGATAAGAAACTTAAAATAAAAAAGCTAATAGATACAACATTATAAAACCACTTACAATATCCAGATCATCGCCGAGATCAACATCCGGACTGATAACGGGCTTGTTGCAGTCCTTGACAAGCTTCACAGCTTGTTCAACATGAGAAACAAGAACACTGTCAGAGCAAGCGAGACGTGCCAAGGCTTCAGAAAGACGGACCAAACTCTCCAGCTGTCTTACTGTGATCTTTCTGTTCATCTTCTGACCTGGAGTCACTGAATCCATACGAAGTCGTTTGTAGTGTTCCTTCATGCACTTCATCGCTTCTTCAGAAATCTAAAAAAGCCAATTTTGACAAAACAATAAATTTTAAAATTAATTAAAAAACAATATAAAGAAAGACAACAATAATTCAACTTACTTGAGGCCTGAAGCATCTGGCGAACATGATGTAGTTTCTAATTTCATCTGGAGTGTACTTCTGATGTTGACATTCAGATTCATCCTTGAACCATACTTCGTGATTGTCCAAAATACGTCTAGCTACAGCGTAATCAACGGTCTAAAACAACTCATATTATCCACACCAACCTACCAAATGATTTTAAGCTAATTAAAAAAACAACATACACTTAAAATATTAAAAACCGTACCTGATTGACTTCATCAGTCATCACAAAGAACAAGTCAAATCGAGACAAGATAGGAGCAGACAAAGCTACATTAAAGTGCAATGGCTTGCTCTTGTCGTATCTCCCACCAATAGGATTCGCAGCAGCCAGTATGGAACAACGTGCATTCAATGTAGCCTTGACTCCAGCCTTAGTGATAGAGATGGTCTGTTGTTCCATAGCTTCGTGAATAGCGACTTGATCCTTCACATCCATCTTGTCGAACTCGTCGATGCAACAAATACCCTAAATCAGGACGTTGATATTATACATATTTATTGCTCTGATAACAACTAAAGAACGGATTAAACAATTTTTAACTAAAAACTTAAATTAACAGTAATATAATAAAGTTGGATTGCAAACTTACGTTATCGGCTAACATCAAAGCGCCAGCTTCAATAACAAAGTCAAAAGATTCTTCATCTTTAACTACAGCAGCAGTAAGACCAGCAGCTGAAGACGCCTTTCCACTAGTATACACAACACGAGAGGAAAAACGATTTACCGTCCTGAAAAGAAAATTAAAGTACAACACCAATAAAAAAGTTTCATAACAATAACAACATTAAACTTTAAAAACTTTACAAAGCAATGACTTACTTCAAGAACTGAGACTTGGCGCAGCTAGGATCACCAACCAAACAGACGTTGATATCTCCTCTCAAATGTGAGCCTGTCGTGTTCTTAGGTACACCTCCAAACAACATCAACAAGATGCCGAGTTTAACTTCATCGTTACCAAAAATGTCAGGAAAGAGTGAGTTACACAAGTTCTGAATAATATTGGGATCTTCACTCATCTGACGAAGCTTCACTCTGTCTGATTCACTAGTATTCTTCCACAACTGATCGTGATCCATCTCATCGTGAGTGAACTCGATACCACCAAGCTGCAAATAATATTATACATACCACAGATCTAACAACTATGCCAAGAATAATTTAAGTACAGAATAGAATATAATTCCAAAACAATTATAACCTTACCGAAGCATTGGTTGGTGTAACACTAGTTGACAAGAAAGCCAACTTGTAGTGCAGATCTCTGACTCCGAGCTGCTTCAAGCCTCTAACACCATCACTTTGTTGTTCTCCTTTCCTATTCTTAGTCTCAGCTCTCATTCCAGGCGCCGATATAGCTGAAACGTCAGGAATCGCAATCAACGTTCCAATAAAATCACAGTGATCTCCTGGCTGAGCAGATTCCACAGCTTCTCCTCTCAAAATGATGTCAACAGTACGTGGAATGCAACCAAGAGGGAGCTCTTCTTGAGATTCTTGGATTCGAACTCGCTGATAATCAACAAAGGTAGAGTCGTGAGGGTCCAGGGAGAAACGAGAGCGGTTGCTACAGTTGGTGCTTTCACATTTCGCTGGCTAAATTACGAATTACAACATAAAATACGTAAAATTTTAGGTAACAAATTTAATAAAAAAACTCACCAAAGTATGTTTGAATTGTTGGAGAACGTTCCTAATTGTAATACCACAATCATCGCACACAAACGTAGCTCTGAACAGTTCAGGGTGAACCGGGTGAGTTCGCACCACCTGACCAGAGATCCGGACCAAAGTCCCAACCTTATCAGTTGTTAATTCTCTGATTGGTCTTTTGGTTGGAAGTCCAACAATACTAATGTAGATCTGTTTCTTCTCCACAATATGTCTCATAGAGTCATCTTGACATTGTTCGATCACCAAAGCTCGAACAGCGTCACAAATGAACGAATAATACCTAAAGTTACAGTTAATTTAAAGTACAATAAATACCAGTTTGTCCAAAAAAAAATTTAAAATATGCTGCATTTAAAAAAACACTAAATCAAGAATAAAAGAAAATTAAATGGAATACCTGTAAAACTGAAGCTCAATGGCAGCAGACAAGGAAGCAGAGTATTGTTGAACGTGAGGAAACTTGACCGTGATCGTGTTCCTCTCAACTTCTTGTAGATCCTTCAGGTGAGGTTCGTAAAACAACTCACCGTGCTCGTCTTTAAATCTGAAACTCAGACAATAAGTTCAAAAATTTTCCAAAAACACTGACATTCAAAATAAACCACGCTATAAGACCTTAACTTACTCCTTGAGAAACTTTTCAAAAGTTCTTTGAATCGAGATTCCTTCCTGATCTTCATGAAATGGAACTTGAGCACTCTGTTGATTCAGAACAACCATCTTTGTCGAAGAAAAAACAATATTATCCTTCTCTTTCCTCCGAACAATTTTTTGTCAAAATATCAGTTCGAATGCTTTCGAACCGCCAAAACTTCGCGCTTTTTGTTTCGTTATGGGACCCTGGTTTAATGTTGATGGATAATATTTTTGTTATAAATATTTATAAGTTAAAATTATGTAACTATTTTTACAACAACTGTTAATTTAGCTTCTTATACTGTAATTTGTTATGGTTTTAAATTGTAATTTTTAGGATGTTATGCACAATTTTCTTAATTTTATTTTAAAACTTGAGTTTTAATGTTATTTTTAAAAGAATCTTTGTCTTGCGTATTTATCAGGTTTACATAGATCTTGTAACGCGTTTTCAAAATATTAATCGTCATGTTAAGGTGCTGTTGACGTACAATGACGACAACTTTCGGTGGGAAGAACTTCCTGGAAGAGTTGTGAAAGGGTGCGGGAGCAGATGTACTTGCTGTAGATATGGAGTTTGGGGGGATTAAGAAGATACGAGATATTGTTATTCATGTTGTTGGTGTTCCTTGAGAGTCTCTACGTTTTTCGCTTCTTTTGCTTTTCGTCCCGCTTTATATTGCAGTAGTGGGTTTTGGTGGAGAAAGAGCAGATCGCGAGGAGAGAGAGCAGCTTTGCCACTGCCTGACCGTTTTTTGGGGTGAGAGAGAGGGTGCGTCCGAATTTTAGGGGTTTGCTGGATTCGGAATGAAATGAATGAAGAAGGTTACATCTAACCCCGGGCGGGAAATGAGAATGTATGAATGAGACTCTACCTACCTGCCTTCCGATCCTCCTAATTAGAGGACTTGATTAGGGGGAAAACCTGTTTCCACTTGTTTTTCTGTTCAGATTCTGACTTCTGGGTGTTGTTATACCAGACCTTGCCGTGTTGTTGTATCTTCGGAAGTGATTTTATAGTTTTATCAGGTGTTATGCTTTTTATTTGTTCTTTTCTCCTTTGTTTATACTTACGTTAACACCAACTTGTACTCTTATTTGTAGTTACTACTTTAATATACTTTACCGTGCGTCACGTAACATTACAGTATCCCAACGTGCGTGTTACGTTGGTCTTTATTTACAAAAGGGAGGAATGTGAGTATGGCTGGGGACTGTGAGTTAGTGTGTTATGTCTTCCGTGCTCCCTCATCCTGCCCACCTAATTAGGACTATCCACTATCACTAGAGACTGTATGTCCCTTAAGGGGACGGATTTGATGGTAGTCGTGGCAACGCTGTATCCTGTTCGCGGCGTTCCTTTAGATCGGGTTTTAATTACTTTTGTTCAGACAAGTGCATGGACGGACAGGCTGTGGTGCAGCCGGAACAGAACGGGCTCCCCAACGGTGGGATGTTCCCTCCGGGCGCCAATCAGTATCCACTATGGTCTCAAGGCGCCCCGCAACAACACCGTCCGGAGATGCCATCCACCTCCAACGGCGGTCCCATGCAGTTTCAAGATCCGTCTCCCAACTTCTTCAACGGAAATGGAATGGCACCACCCAACTCGGCACCACCTTCAGTTGGATACTTCAGTCAACAACAAGCTCCCTACTACAACAACATGCCAGGTATGCCCGGTCCTCGACCTCCAGGCACGCCCGAATTCCAACCTCCACCATCGTACAATGCTCAAATGGCACGAACGGCCCCAATGAACCCGATGCAACGACCGTTTCCTCCACAGATGATTAGCAGAGGAATGAGTAATCCACAGCTCTTATCTCAACGAAATCCGTATGTCTTTACATCGGAAATGCTAAACAGTGCGACACAAGAGGTCAAGCAAGGCAGATATCCGAGTTTGGTACAATGGCATCAAGCACGGCAACTTTCCCAACCGAATCCCATCATGAACAGTATGATGGACAACGGTCAGCGCAATTCTCCCAGCTTCCCATCCGTTCAACAGCCTAACAGAAGTCTTAAGAGGAAGAACACTACACAGTCTGTAAGTTTTTTATCTTGTTATTAGTTTATTCTTGGTTTAGGAACATAATCCGACTCCCTCGCCTCAGTCCCAAATGCAGAACATGGACTTTAAGCAGCCCATGTCTAACCAGAACCCCCAGCAGGACGTAAAGCAAGAGCTGAACACCGCTGATGAGAATAATCCCTTGAAGTAAGTTTTCTACAGAGTTAATCTCATGTACATATATACATTGTAATCTCATTGTTCGTATACATTATCTTGTAATTACAGGAAAATGGAAATTATGGCTTCGTTCTCAAATGAGCCGCCGGCAAAGAACATCAAGACCGAAGTCCCGAATGGGAAGTCAAAGTAAGGGGTTTTGACTTTTGTTACCTAAAAACGTCAATATTTTGGTAAAAAGTTAGCAGAACATTAAAAAAAATTAAAATCTAAGGCTTCATTTCAAAAACTTTATATTTTTTCAAATTTTAATTTTAGAGAAGAGAAGATGGCCAAATTGGATGAGCTTCAACGTTCCTTACAACAACAACCTCATCAATACCATCCAGCTATGAGGTATGGATTTCCTCCCAATGGATACCCACCCAACCAGATGCCACCTCAGTTCATGAATGGCCAGAACTTTATGCCGCAGGGCTTCAACCCTCAGATGCAGAATGGAATGCCTCAGGGTGGAATGCCGCCAACAGCTGATCCAAGTCAAATGGGCCAGTACTCGAACCCTCAGATGAATGGCGGACCAGTGCCCCAGAATGGATTCCAGGGACACATGAACTCTCCGAGATTCGCTCCGGCTATGGGAGGGATGATGGGTATGGGTGGAAATGATCAGAGGACGATGGCTGGAGGAGCATACCAGCCAGGCATGGATATGGGTAAGTGTTTGAAATTTTAATTTTCGAAACTAAATGAAGCATAATAGGGTTCGTCCGAGAAAGCATGCTTATTCAAATTTTGAAGTCTAAATGAATGTATTTGTAGGTATTCAAAGGCCACAGAACCCCCAAGAACAATATGCCTGGAACCAGAACATGCCCCAGCCTCTGACCAACCTTGACTCTCGGGTGCCCAACCAGAAGATGCAATACTACGGTAACGGTCAGCCCCCAATGGGAGGTCCCATGCCTCCACCAGCATCGTCGTCGACAACGTGATCTTTATTTGTTAACAAGTAATACTATTTGTAATATTGTTTATTTTTTACCTTAACTATTGTCTACTAACCTTCTCTTTTATTATCTTAGTTTACCGTCTATATCAATAACATAACTAGAGAACCCGATGTATAACATACCACGAGGTGGTGTGATTGTTGTAACTATAAGAGGAAGCTCTCTGTAACTGATTGGATCTCTCATATTGTTCTCCTATCCCAAAGCATTTCTAACTCTGGCCTGGTTGCCATAAAATACTCCGTCTTCAAAGATATATTTGGTCGGTATGTTATCACTTTATTTTATTTACAACAAAACGGACCCTTGAGCGGCTCAGATTGTCAATCATGCAACAAATTTTTACGTAATCTCTGTGATTTACAATAAAATAAGTTATGATAAAGTTCTGCTGTATGATACTAACCATTTAAATGATAACCGCGCAGCTACTGTGGATTATTAATTTATTGTAAAGGCACTTTACGAACAAAAACTGAGATCAATGTAAGGGTAATAAGAACTGCCTCACCGGCCACCTATGTCATTGTAAGCAAGATACGATATGAGATGATTATTGCACCGATGTCGTTCCTGAAGAACTGTTGAAACTGTCACTTAACGCTCGTTGTTCCAAATTATTCTGGTAGCTTTTACCTCGTTTGATCAGCGATATCACAACTTCGCCTAGAGACTGAGTAAATTCGACTCTATGAGATTCTAGTAATGAAGCTTCTAAATGGCTAGCCTTGCCTGGACCAGGGAGGTTGTTATAAAATACATTGTCTACGTACACTAAAGGGTCTTCCTCGTCTACTAGACAGCTTCCATCAATCCTGAAATGTTGGTATGATAAAATAAACTTTTTAAAAGGATAGTGCACTCAATCCATCAACAACACCAGAAAAACAACAAAATGCATAAAATTAGTCAAAACAATATCAGATAACATTGACTCTTATTGGAATCGACACAAAAGTAAGCCCAAACACGACTTTCATTAGTACTCGACTAAAAACTTACGAAGCTCGGTATCGTCCCAACAACTTCTGGTCGAAGCCATTCCTCTCCATCACGATCACCTTCAGATCCCCGTCTTCATCGTCCAGACTCTCCAAGCTCTTGTCCGAATCCGATTCTCGTACTCTCCGCCCACTTTGTAGCATTAGTGACCTAACCACGGAACGTACCAACCATGGTAAGTTGAGTGTAGTCATTGTGCTGAAACAAGCCTTCTTATTAGAATATGTCTATGAAATTCGCAAGCGTAAGAAGCGAAAAAGGGTTTACTCATAAATGACACGCTGATCGCTTCTCAAAAATCACGTATGATGTTATTATATGCATTGATGGTTGCAATAACATAACCAAAGTATTGTTTTGAAATTTTATTTTTAACTCAAAGTACGTTTATAACTTATAAAGTTTAAAAAAATTTAAGTACGATTAAACTGTATTAATGAGAAAGTTTACAGTAACAAATTTATACAAACAGTAACGCATTACCCAAATTAACAGTCTTATTTTACCGCTTACAGAGTAAAAAAATAAAACGCTTCTAGAAGCTTTGCGTCAGACGAGAAATTGAGGGAAAATCCGGAGGCATAAAAGACGAGGGAATGGAGCAGAGTGCAGTACAGAGAACGAGCAACCTGTACTCTCTCTCCTCTGCCCACTCTCTCTTCTTTCTCTCCTCTCAACACGTTTCGGACACAAAAAGTTAAGGGGAACATCCACCTCATGACGTTCGAGATGAACCGGAAACGGGAACATCTGATCGTTCACGGCTCAGACATTATATCAGTAGCTTGACTGTAATGTCATCAACTTACAATGGCTTAAAAGTACATTTATATATCAAGCCGCTTTCAAAACACAGTCGTTTTTTTTATATTTTAGGCGCTTCGTTTTAAAATAAGAAGGAATTGAGCTGTTCTTTCAACTGCCTGACCGATAACAAAGATGCTACAAAAGACACGAGTTACATTACTGTAAGATATACAAATACTTTACATTCTCCAAGCATATTCTTTCAATTTTACAACAATATATCCATAGAAACCCCACTTAAAACCAACTTTAGGCCAAAAAAACACCTACTTTTTATACTTTTGAAACTATTTAATTTGAAACTTTGACTAGAAATAAATTACAAACAACTAAAATACGGTTAAAAAGTACAAACCAACTCTAAAACTAGACTACAGTAAGCAAATCAGGTTTTACTCCCAAACAACCTCAAGACCTCGTTCCCTTCTCTCAAGTTAACATTCGAGAGAAAGGAACGCCCATTCACAGTTAACACAAACTTTAATTCATTCTGGAAACAACGTACTGTAACGCAACGCATTGCAGATATTGTTGTTTTGAAACCTAATTTAAAAAAATTAAATAAAAAAATAATAAAAAAAATTTATTAAAATATATATTAAAATCAGTATTACCGTAAGCATAAGGTCAGTCACATACTTACTTTCCATAGGGGTGAGAAAAGGGCCGGGCCGGTCCCACTTTTTAGGCCCGGCCCAGGCCCGGGGCCCAACGTTTAGGCCCGGCCCGTTTTCAATTTTTTCTCAGGCCGGCCCGGCCCGGTCAGAAAATTTCTAGGCCCGGCCCGTTTTAAAAAATTTTAAAAATTTTAAAACAAAAAATAAACGAAAATTTGGCTTTCCATTGTTCTTTTAGATCATTTATGTATCATGGTACCCAATAAAACCAAAAAACATCAACGGGGATTAAAATAAAAAATTTTTAAAAATTAAAAAAATTTTTTTTTCGGGCCCGGGCCCAATTTTCAAGCCCGGCCCGTTTTAATTTTTGCTCAAGGCCGGCCCGGCCCGGTCGTAGGGCCGGGCCGGGCCTAGACGGCCCGTTTCTCACCCCTAACTTTCCAGTATCTTATGCAATAATTTCGAAATTTTAAATATTTTTTCGAAAAATTTTAAAATGCAAAACGCGACAAACGAATCGCAACTATTGATTAACCATTTTAAAGTTAACAAAGCTTGCACGTTTTGATACAATATTTGCGAATCAGCTCCCTGTAAACGTCTACATGACACAAATACTGATAACACTTGTCAGCGATGTCATAGCAGCTGTCATCTTCTTCTACCTTCGTGTATTGCCCTTTCGACACGAATCTGGATTCAGAAGCTGTTTTTGGACACTTTCCCAGGATTCTGAGTTTAGAGAGATCTAGTTCAGATAGGCGTATGTTATCATTGATGGTGATGCCATCTTTCAATGGTAACATCGTCTCTAGCTTTCTACGTTTATTCCAATCGTATCTTCCGAAAGCTTTACTATCATAGTGCATTATAGACTTGAAGTCGTACGGTTGGTCATATAGGTCGATGAGGTGCGATGATATCTTGTCAAAATTATCTGAAAAGTGATGTTAATCACCTCAGAAGATAAGAAAACAATAAATTGTTATAAAATAAATTGAAACGATATATTATCGTACCTTCTTTTCCTTTTTCGACATTCTTGAATTTTACTTTAATGTACTTGTCTCTATCATGTCGTTGATGTTCATGTTCTAGCCCCAATGCATGTAACAGTTCATGCTGTATTATATAAGAATACAAACATCCACTTGACAACGACATCAACTGCTTACCTCCTGAATAACTACATTTAGAATGCCACCGCCAAAAAACCACAAGAAAGACAAACTAACAAAACACCTACCAACTCTACCCACATACGAATAACACCCGTCTTCTTTTCGTATGTTCAAATAGTCCTTCTGAGTGGTTCTTTCTACGAATTTGAAACAAGTTTTGGTCTCCAGATGTAGCATGGCTTCTACAATCGCTTTTTTCCTACAGAATGACATTACTTTGCAGTTTAACGTACTCTTCTGGGTGGTATTGGGGAGATAAGATGTAATATAAGGTGTTGTTCTTCCATCTGTTCGATCCTTTTTCCTTTATCACTGCTGATAACTTATGGGGATCGCTGATGCTTTGGTAACGGTGGGGTTTGACTACTAAAATATATAAAACTGGATTTTAATTATTTAAAGTTAAAACGACAGTAATACTGAACAGAAGTAGAAGAATGAAATACCTACAAACATCGCCGTATCTCAAGTTATCAATGTTTGATTTTTCGTTTATTTCAAACAAATCAACAGAATTTGCATAAAATACGTAGAAAGTCAAATATAACAGGAGAAACATACCTCAACGTTATAATCCCACCATCTCACGCATTATAAACGAGACAACCAGCTGGAACAACAAAAGCCAGTGGTCATTGGAGATAATGACAATGGAACGGCACCAACTATCAAAAGACAATATGCGATGCATTTTTGCATATTATATAGTATGCTTACAACGTTTTCTTGCATTTTCTAAATGTTTAGTATGCACTTTTATCACAGTAAATTTTGCATATAACGTAGTCAATAGTGACACTTCGTTTGTGACATTTCGCAAAAGCAAAATAAAATAATTTTGAGAATATATTTCGGTGAAAATGTTGACAAAACTGCTTCGATCCGGCTTCTTCAGGAATCAAATAATCCAAACACAGTCCATTTACAAGTCTGCACCACTTTTACATGGAGATTTTGAATGGAAGGATCCGAAATCAGAAGATGAAGTTGTAAATATCACTTACGTGACTCGGGATGGCACTCCGAAGAAGGTGAGAGGCAAGATTGGTGACAATGTCATGTATCTGGCCCATCGGTAAGTTTTTTTTGTTGATTTTTGTTTGTTTTAGGTATTAGAACTTGTTTTATATTGAACGGAGACAATCATCTTCAAATTCAATCACTATATACCTAAAATAGTGTTTTTAGGTATAACATTGAAGTAGAAGGTGCGTGTGAAGCCTCGTTAGCTTGTTGCACGTGTCATGTGTATGTTGATCCACAATATTTTGACATATTGCCAGAACCAAAAGAGGAGGAAGAAGATATGTTAGACATGGCTCCAGTTCTGAAGCCGACTTCTCGCTTATCGTGCCAGATTATTCTGACTAAGGAACTCGATGGAATCACCGTGACGTTACCACGGATTACACGCAACTTTTATGTTGACGGACACGTTCCTGAACCTCATTAGCTTATGTATATTGTTATCTGTTAGATAAATAAATATTATATATTTTTAGGGGCATTCTCTAGACCTAAGTATTTGTCTTATTGTATCTAAATTTAAGATTCTATATAGATATTTTTAAAATTTTTAAGTAATTTTAGAGGAGTAAATGTTCTGTTCAAGTTCAGAACTTGTTCTTTATATTAAATATAAAATTTTTAGATTATTGTTTCAAATCGAAAAAAATTATGGGGATCGCTGGTGCAGTCTTATTGGTTTTTAGTTTTTATAAATATATTTGGTCCTCGTGGAATAGCAATATTTTATTAAGGTCATAAAAAGTTGCAGAATGTTGTTGATTAGGAGAAAATGATAATTTTTGTGTTTATGGGGGAAAAACATCTTCGAATGGTAAGCCTTTCAATTTTTACCTTTATTTAAAAAAAGCAGAATGTGGGTCGGGCTAGGCCTGAAATTATGATTTGTACGGTCAACTAATCAAAATATCTACGTTTTGTGCAATTTCTGTTGATTTTTATATAATGTTGAGTATTTAAAATTTTAAAGTGTTTTTATGTTTTTAATCTGACTTTGAATACCATACTCAATAAACAGGGTTTTAGTGTTTCTGGCTATCGATATTGGGAATACAAACATAAAAAGACAGAAACATAACAATGGCAGTAATTGTATGTACTCGAAAAGCTGATTATAACGTCGGTGTTATAAAAACGGTGATTTGCATAAAGAAATGGCCAAATTAGATTTGCTTTCGTATGTTGCTATGAATAGAAAGAAACATACAGTAAATCCTTGAACCTTAGTCTTGGTATGTTGGGCCGGTTTGAAGGCATATTTGTATGTTAGTTTCATTATTTTCGTATCTTGAGTTGTGTTCCCATTGTTTCAACCTTTACAGTAACTTTTTAATGCGTTTCGTAAGATATCTTATATTAAGATATTAATTTAGCTAAATATCATTGTTCGTATATTACAGTGCCATTTCTTTTAAACTTTTATTCTTTGGTGTACATCTAAAATGGCATCTTCTCAATGACATTTACTGGTTTAAAGCATGGTAAATGTCAATGTAAATATTAATATAGCTATTAATACCTTTTTAATTAAGTGATTAACTTTATTTGGAATGTAGATTGTTACCTTTTTGTCAATCTTTTGTAGATATCTGTTTTTAGCTTGGATTTGGATTACTGTAACTGCGATGTGTGTTGTATTTACATAGTTGTACTATTGTTTGCCTTAAGTGCACGTAATGTTAATGAAGTGCCGGAAGCAGTAAAAGTATATACAGAGTAAATATTTTGCGAATTTATTGCTCCAAGATACGAAGTTGTTGAGTATAACATGATCGTACTATCTTCTAGTAGTGTTTGTGATATACGATCTGTATTCGTATTATATACTAATCTATACTTCACATGGTTAGTAAGGTAGTATACTTTATAGTACGGTAATGTAATTTAAACATATGTTGCGATATCGAAACGTAGAGCTATGCACATACGGTAACACTTTGCACGTTCATATCTGTAATGTTACAGTGTTTTTCCTACTAGTAAACACTATTATAGCACAGTTGAGCGATGTTATGACATAAGATACGAAGTAAAGTAAGGCTGTTTTGGTGATCTTTGACTATGCTTGTTGATGCGTAAGATACGAAAAGGTGGAGGAAAACAAGATACGACCAGATTCGATAACCCAGAAAGATGTTTGGAGTGTAAATAAAGTAATTGTGAGGCTGGGTAATTGGCTATCTTGTTACAAACATTCACGGGCTATTCATAGGCTTCCGTGGTATACCATGGTATGTTTACTTGTAAATATTTTACAGTTTGCAATCTTTACTGTGGTTTTTTGAAGGTTTGGGGGAGGGGGCTTCATAATATGTTATTATTATTGCTTGTAGCCTAGATCTGGTACTGAATTAGTAGTCGTATCATAACTATTCTTGGAATTGTTGACCTCTTCGTACTTTGAAAACATAATTACTGAGCTTCTAGGTATCTTTACTTCAAATGAACATACTCTATTTTTGTACTTGGTAGTTATGGCACATATCTGTTGGAGATGTCTATGGCCTCACACATACTTGGCTTGAGGGTTTATTTGATTTAGAGGAAGGGGGGGGAGAGAATGTATGCAATTAGACCAAACTTGTTTTAGACACGTGGGTTGCCACCACCTCTTACTATGGTACGTGCTGTGACCAGAGGATGTGGAATTAGACCTGTATAATGATATGGAGATATACATTGTTATATTTATATGTCAGTAACGTGTAATATATATTTACGGGGTATGTACGGTAGATTTTGCTAAAAGATACTGTAGTTTTTGTTTTTAAGCCTGTTATCAGAATCCTTATTATATTTTGTATAGTACATTAACATGTATACTATTTGTTTACCAACATGTCCACAAACAGTAAACATACCGAACATACAATGGCCGTGATTCAAGACCACGCAGTAAATGAATACGTAATTAGCGGGGGCGGCGGAATGGGCCAGCGTTCTAGGTCAGCGATTTCGAATAAAATTATTTGTGACATGACTATTAAGCAAGGCATCGCTGCATATATGTCACATTTACGTGCAAAAATATTACTGTACATGTTGGTATTTGAGCTTTTACAGACCTTTGTTTCATTTACCACGGTCTCTGATATTACTCTAGGATTTACATTGGTTTTATCTTTGGTATACTTTAAGTTTTAGTAGAGTATGATGACATAGCACGATACGATGTTCTTTTGTACTTATGTTGACTTCATTACTATGCAAATTTAATTGTGGTATGTTACATTTACATGGATATCGTGTAAATGCTTCTGGAATATATTTATGTTAACATATGTTTGTGTAGGTACCAGGATAGATATAAGAACGTATGACATTATGTGTTATACATAGTGGCAAGATTGCTTTTACCTTCTTGTACACTGCAGTAATGTACATATATACCACATTGTTATATTCATATATAGAGTAGTTTAATTTTATGTAGGCTTCTTTTGTACTTGCAGATATGTTATGTCACGCGATCGATTCTCGTCGTATCTTTGCATGGTAAAGGTAATTACTCCGGTTTAAGAAGTAAATGTTATTTATAGTAGCATATGATATCATAAAGGATGTTAACATGTAGGTATTGTGTAGGAGTAGTGTTGATATATGATGGATGATATATGTAAATAGTAGGCGTGGTATACAAATAGTGTATATTAGTTTACTTTGTTTATTATAAGTCTTGTATCGGTTTAGGCGCGTTTATATGTTAAAAGTAAAAATGAAATTAGGATGTATTAATATATACTGTGAAGGTAACATTTTTTTATATAAATTTTTAATTGTAACATTTTCGTATGTTTACGGAGATTATCGTTAGCAAGACATATTGTGTAGTAATTGCCTTTCACTAAGCCTGTCATAAGCAATTATAACGTTTAAGATACAATGACTATATGTTATTGTGTCTATGATAATATATGTAATATTTTTTTACATTTTACACGTTTTCGAACATACGACTATGTTCGAAGATACAAAGTTTTTTTGAAGATACGATTTCTTTGTTCACCATTCTTTAATGTAAACACAATGTAACACATTGTAACCATGTTTACACTTGATGTTAATCTTGATTGACTACCCTTATTCATCGTATTATACATCAAGATGCCACCTATACTAATCTATGTTTATATTAAGCCAAGATACGAACACGTGTGTTCCTAAGCCTTGTAAACACGAGATTATCGGTTTAAAGCTTCGGTATATCTTGTTGGATAATATGTTGGTGGTACCATAGAATAGAATAATATTTAGCAGATCGTACAATATGTTATTGCTGCATGCCAAGGTAATGAGGTTCTATATTTGCTTTATTTAATTACTCTAATCCGACGTACGACGATGTTTTAATTAATTGTAGTTAAGTGTATTTATAGGCTTTTTAATTATTCAAGTATATTAACATGTAATGTAATTATGTCCTGACATAAACAAGATATTAATATACATACCTTAATACAAATTTGCTACATTCTTGTCTAATTGTAGCTAAAACTATATTTACATTCATATGTACTTACTTTATATATATAAAATACATGTATGTATATATATATGCATGAACAAGTATATAAAACTATATATATGCATGTTTACTTTAAAGGAAGTTACCGTAAAGACAATCCATCTCCATACATTACCGTGGTCTTTACACTATGATGGAACGCTGCAAGATGGTCGTATCTTATGCATGCTAGTTATATTAATATCGTCGTACTTAAGTCGGCCAAAACAACAATCTATCTCGAGACATAACTTTGCATGATACACTTATGCATATCGTATGTCTGTCTACAGTGATGACCTTTGAGTGTTACGTTTGTCTATATAGTAGATGTATACATTGTTTTGACAGTATATTATCTATGAAAGTGAGTATAGCGTTAATGGTTTGTCTGGTACACATGGTGTATGTATTGTATACATAGTTAATTAGGAACAAAATGTACGCTAAATACATCACGTAAACGCGTGTATATGTGAAGATACAATTAACATCTTGATAGATACATTAGAGATACTACGTTCGAATTTCTATCCCATGTTGTGTCTATAAAGATCTGCGTAGATAGTATATACTTGTTAGATACTACGTTATTGTGCTCGTATCTTGTAGACAACAGTCGATTTAACGTAGATACCATGTGGTGGATAAAGATACGATGCAGATAGACGTGTTTGTCGCGATAATGAACGGAAGCCGGCTTTGTCATCCAATATAAACTTCTTTTGGCCAAACATCAATACTCTCCTTCCGAGGAAACCGGAGCTGCCACTGGCATGGGTAATGTCGGTTCTGAATTATTAGGCAGTAAGACAACAACTCCAAGTTACTCATGGTTATACTGTGCTTTGGCATCGTATGTTGTAGGCGACAGGGTTACTAAGTAATTATATTGTTGTAGTCGTATCTTGAGAGTAGGGTAC